AACTCCAACACGAGATGGTTAGTTGGCTTTAGCTGCAGCAGTTCATATCATCGTCAACTACGGTCCTGTTGCTTCATCTCCGATTCGCTACTCCGGCAGGTTTCGAGTATTTTCTCATGCAAGAAAAGTCACTAAATACCGACAAGCTACCCGCTTTCTTAGTGTTTCAGTCGGAACCGACTACATACTAACTAACATCCATCCAGTTAGATGTTCTTCGTCATGAGTCGGATGGTCTCCCTCATCGACCAAAAGTACGATGCTCAGCCTCTCAGGTACCGTTTCAGACCCGACCTTCCTTTGTGAGCAAGTTGAGATTTCAAATTATCTCCGTCCCATGGGCGGTGTTTTCAATGGTTCCAATCCAACCTCCAGCTGTCCTCGGACCTCTGCTTAGTCGTGCCGGTTCCAGCCCAGTAAGCGAGGTACCACGGAATGGTCATGTGCGCAGTATCCCCCTTTTGTCAATCTGGTGTAGCTAAATTCTTTTTTTCCCCCGACAGGGTTGTTGGTCCTGTTGTATAGTCAAAGCTTGTATGTATGTATGTATGTATGCAGCAGGAAGATGCCGGTGAGACCGAGTACAAGCCGAAGCTAGTCTCTGATATGACTGCTAAAGCTGATATCCAGTTACTTGTGCTATTAGCCGACTAATTGGGAATTAACACAGATGGGAATCCGGTGAAAATGTGAAGCTAGCCTCCAAACCGCATGGCTGTTATTCCTTACTCCAAGTAGGCATTTCCTGGCATCCTTATTACGAAATAAAAAAATCAAGCCATAAATAGTGTGCCTCTAAGAAGCCCGAAGGGTGCGCTATTGGATTTCAATGGGCTTCTCAATGTAGGACCCCATGGTGGTCCATGACCGAGTTGTTGTACATATATGGACCTCATGACTGCCGCGTCGACCTAGTAAGTGTATCAACCATGCCGGTAAGCCACATCGTCGATCTGACAGAAGCTCAATAGATTATTACTTGCTTTGATGCTTTGACGCAAGGGCTTCTGCATAGGCGTGTTCTTAATCGACGGGGCTCGTTGGTAGATGGACACGTGCTTATCTGGAGGAACAAGTCAGGCAGACTTGTGCCAAAGAAACGTTGAGATGACAGCTAGACACAGATAATGCTTAAGTGTACGCTCCAAGTAAGTGCATCGAAAGAAATGGTAACTTGAGATTTCCTTGGTTGCTATCACGGTGAGCATGGCTTTGAAAGAAGGCAGAGATTGGTCTAGACCTGTGTCCATTCATGAAAGTACCTCGGAACTGGATCGAATTCTTACGAGCATCCGCCCTTCTATGTGCAGTAGAAAAAGCCACGACTCGATGAAAGATGGTATGGATCTTTTCTGCTCAGGCAATCCATCAGTCTATAAAAAATGTCGATCAGGTGAGATCGGTGTGGACCGTTCCCAATTGGGAAGTGTTATGTGATAACAGACAACCAATGGCGTGCCTGGATCCTGTGTAGATGTATTGTGGTATCAGCCATACGGTATTTTTGCCTATATCCACTGAGATAATGCGGGGTTACAGGAGGGGTTGTGACCCTCCATGACATGACGTGACGTGACATGACCTGACCTGACCTCATGCGATATGGAAGGCATGTCGACCTTAAGATGTCCTTTTCCTTTCGCTGGTGATGGCTCTTTCCCCCTTTCTTTCTACATCATTTCAAGATATTCTGACACGCATGCCTTATTTCCGTGAAGAGTCCTATATCCAACCACCATGAGACCTGTGCCTGACGTCGTTTCTCATCGATCCCGCAAGTCGTCCTTCGAACAGCAGTGGACCGATCCCCGCAACACCGCCCCCGCGACTTTCTTTTTGACCCGCAGTAGCCATGATAATGATCCTGAGGATGAACTTTCTCAGGATGACTCCGAGATCTCGAAGGATAGCACATATGGGGTCCAGAGTCTCGGCGAAGCCACTTATCCAGCCACTCTAGGTGCATCCAAATGCCAGCCTGACCCCCCTTCCGACAACAAACTCTCCCCCAGCAGAGCCCAACACCCCCACGAGGACTGCCACGAAGAAGATGGTGAAGCCTTGCCCTCGATCCGACGCAGATCAACTCTCAGGCCATTTGATCTGCTCAATTCCAAAATAGATACTGCCTCTTTACAACCTCCTTCTGACCCTTCTTTATCCCGCCCGCTCACTCCGTTCAACCTCAGCAACCCTGACGACCATCCGTCCCTCCCCAGTAGCCCAAAGTCAATATCAAACCAATCATTGAAAAACCTCGATGACATCTCCATTGGTGATGACCTTAGCAGCCAAGCCATCGCTTCGGGAGAAGAGGATGATGAGCCCCGGGACGCCCCTGGCTTGGGCCCCGACAATAAATCTCAACTGATAATGCCTAGCCTCAGAATGCCAAGTCGAAGGCCTTTTACAGAACGAGGTAAAGGCATAGGGCGGTTGAAAGTGCTTCTTGCTGGTGCACCCGGTAAGTGATTATCTAGCTTGAGACATTGACATAGAATTGCTGATAGTGAAATAGGCTCTGGGAAAACGTCCCTGATAAAATCCATCGTACAGGTTTGCGAAGATATTGTGCATGTGGATCCTTTCCCGTCTCCTGCTCCTCCAAGCCCACACAGCTGGTCTCGCCCGCAGACCCGAATTACGCAGGTCCAAAGCATGCCGACAGTCATTTCGGAGACCTACGCTAGTACTAAACCTTACCCTCCGTGGTGGTCAGATTTGGAAGATTCACGGGTGCTGCGCCGGAGAAAAAGCATGGGTGATATTGTTCTTGAACGGAACCTCTGCTTCGTTGATACACCGGCAAACTCCCTCAGTCGAGCCGGACAGACTGATACTATAGTTCAATACATGCACCAGCAACTTCTCCGTGCCACAGATTCACTGGACTCCTTGAATATTGATTTTCAAAACCTCCTTGCTGGGAACGGCGGATCTCAAGTAGATACCATCATCTATCTTATCTCTGAAGGTATGTAGTTTATTGTCTTGGGTGCAGGTTTTCATCTAGAATTATGCTCACATTTTCTTAAGAATCCCTTTCGACTGATATTGAATGCATCCGGAAACTTTGTGATTTGACAAATGTCATCCCCGTTATATCCAAAGCGGATCTCCTGTTGCCTGGTCAGGTTGCCGCTCTCAAGGCCTCCTTTCACAAGCATGCCCAGGCTGCCTCCATCAAACCCTTCCTGTTTGGAGACTTGGGCTTAGGCGGGATAGATGGGATTGACCCTCGATTGCCTTTTGCAGTTTCATCGGCAGCTTCCAGTGACGATGATGTCATGGACGCCAGTACTTTAATGAGCCCAGACTACGTTCAACCATTGGTGCCATCCGAACTAGGTCTCTTGGTCGAGAAGATGTTTGATCGAGATAACCTAGCTTGGATGCGCCACTCTGCCGCAAAGAAACTCACTCAAAGGCAGCGGGGGCAACCCCGTCAGCGGCGACAGTCCACACACAGTGCCCCCCGGTCTCTTAGCCAAAGTAGTATGTCAGGATTAGGCTCCCCTCTTCCATCGGTGTGCTCCTCCGATGGCATTGTTTCACTTGCTAGCGGTTGCTCCCCTAGTTATACTATAGCGCGCATTGCAGACTACACCCAGAGCGAAGAGAAGCTAGCACAAGTACATCTGGCTAAATGGGCATCAGACTTGCAGCGAAGCCTTCAGAATGAACGCGAACGATACGCGGCCATGACAAGGGGGGACCGTGCTGTTTGGCTCACGGAGCGACTGGGCGAGTGTGTTGTAGATGGATCCCTGGTGCCGATTACACAGACACCGGGCTTCTGCGGACTGCACCAAGCACCCTCGGACAAAACGGGGGGTGGCTTTTTGGTTCGAACCCCAGATGGACAGGGAATAGAATACCATCTTGCGAAATTAAGTCCACATGACCCTCTGGGGGTTGTTTGGTGGACGGATGATGTAAAACGACGAGGATGGACTATTGTCCAAATTGTTGGAAGCTTTGGTGTCGTGGGAGGGCTGGCCCTCTGGCTCGCAAAGACATGGGGTCTACCGTCACGAAGCCTATCTGAATGGCACTTGAACTGGAGTGGCCACCAGTAATTAGGCAGGATGACTATTATGCTTTGGAAATATTTTACTTGGTTATGAAAAGAAAGGGACATGCATGCTATTTACTATACATTCTTATTTTTTTTTTTTTTTCTCTTGCTGCTTTTCTCTGGACTGGCGTCAAAAGGTGTATATGCATATACCCTTAGAAACGGTCATTGCTGGGCGCTATCTATTCATTCGTTCTTTCTTTCCCATGTTTTCACAAGCAACAATTTGTATACGAACGGACTTTTCTTATATGGCGGGGCTGGAATGTTGGGCTAGTGGAGTTCTTGAGGCGCTTGGCTCGACTGATCTTGTCGTTTATCAGGTGATTATGTATTTCTCCTCTTACTAGCTGGCACCTTTGCCTTATATAAAGAGGATGAGTATGCATGACGAAATGCTTCGCCAATGGAATCAATCAACCTCTTAATTTACAGCTCAAGAGCTCCATAATTACAGTGCACCCAATTGGATTACAAAGACCAGATAGATGCTACAATAGCCTACGAAAGATGAAAACAAATGAACATGGAAAGAAGCTTTTCGATCAGAAAATCTACCCGACTATCTGGAAAGTTCCGAAAAACACCCTCAAATCTTCCCCGAAGGAAAAGAAATGACAAGCGAAAAGCAAGGTTGGGTTAATTGGTTGTTGTAAAACGCTCAAAACGCCGTGGTGAAATCAACATCGTCACATTTGAGACTGTTCCAATTAAGATAAAATGATAAGCGGAATATGTCGCTTCAGGAATCAAATCCTGATGCGCAAATAACCGCTGGAACAGCTTTCAAGGGTCGTAAAAAACAAAAGAGAAAATACATTTATTTCGTTTCCATCTGAAAATCAAATGATTTAGTCAACCTCCTCCATGGAGCTCTCACCGGCGGCGGCGGCAGGGGCAGCCTCCTCAGCGGCCTTCTCCTCGGCGGTCTCGGTGTCCTCGTCGATGTTCAGACCGAGAGAAACGAGCTTGTGGATACGCTCAGCGAAGCTGGCGGGCTCCTCGATGGTGAATCCAGAGACCAAGAGGGAGGTCTCGAAGAGCAGCTGGGTGATGGACTTGACGGTGCGGTCGTTCTCGCCGTCAGCCTCGACCTTCTTTTTGAGCTCCTGGACGATGGAGGACTTGGGAGAGATCTCAAAGGTCTTCTTGGAAGACATGTAAGAGCTCATGGAGGTGTCACGGAGGGCCTGGGCCTTCATGATACGCTCCATGTTGGCGGACCAACCGAACTGGCCGGTACGGATGGCGCAAGGGGCACCGCTGAGCTTGTGAGAGACAACAACCTTCTCGACCTTCTCGCCGAGGATGTTCTTGAGGCTCTTGGCAAGCTCCTCGTACTCCTTCTCCTCCTTTTCGCGCTCGGCCTTCTCCTCCTCGGACTCCTCAAGCTCGAAGTCCTTGGTGATGTCGACGAGCTTCTTGCCGTCGAACTCCTTCAGTTGAGTGAAGGCGTACTCGTCAATGGGGTCAACCAAGAACAGAACCTCGAAGTTCTTCTGCTTGAGGGTGTCAAGGAAGGGAGACTTGGAGACAGCCTTGATGGACTCGCCAGTGATGTAGTAGAGGTTCTTCTGGTGCTCGGGCATGCGAGTGACATAGTCGGCGAGAGAGGTGGTCTCGTCACCGGTCTTGGTGGACTGGTAGCGGAGCAGCTTGGCGAGGGTGGGGCGGTTCTGGGCATCCTCGTGGATACCGAGCTTGATGTTCTTGCTGAAGGCAGAGTAGAACTTGTCGAACTGCTCACGGTCCTCGGCGATCTCAGTGAAGAGCTCGAGGGTCTTCTTGACAATGTTCTTCTTGATGACCTTCATGATCTTGTTCTGCTGCAGAGTCTCACGAGACAGGTTGAGGGGAAGGTCCTCAGAGTCGACAACACCCTTGATGAAGCTGAGCCACTCAGGGATGAGATCGGTGGCGTCATCGGTAATGAAGACACGGCGGACGTAGAGCTTGATGTTGTTCTTAGTCTTCTTGGTCTCGAAGAGGTCAAAGGGAGCGCGCTTGGGGATGTAGAGGATGGCGCGGAACTCAAGCTGACCCTCGACGGAGAAGTGCTTGACGGCAAGGTGGTCCTCCCAGTCGTTGGAGAGGGACTTGTAGAAGGCAGCGTATTCCTCGGTGGTGATGTCGGAGGGGTTGCGAGTCCAGATGGGCTTGGTCTTGTTAAGCTCCTCCTCCTCAATCTTGCTCTCCTTGACGGTCTTGGTCTTCTTTTCCTTCTTCTCCTCCTCATCGTCGACCTCCTCGACCTTGGGCTTCTTCTCCTCGTCCTCCTCCTTGTTCTCCTCAGCCTCCTCATCGGGGACCTCCTTCTCGGTCTCCTTCAGGACGTGGAGGTAGATGGGGTAGGAGATGAACTCGGAGTGCTTGCGAACAACCTCCTTGATGCGGCTCTCCTGGAGGTAGTCGGCCTGCTCATCCTTCAGGTGGAGGACAATCTTGGAGCCACGGCCGAGCTGCTCACCCTCGGTGTCCTGGGTGAGGGTGAAGGTACCACCGGCAGCAGACTCCCAGACGTACTGCTCGTCATCGTTGTGCTTGGAGACAACGGTGACACGGTCGGCAACGAGGTAGGCAGAGTAGAAACCAACACCGAACTGACCGATCATGGAGATATCAGCACCAGCGGTGAGAGCCTCCATGAACTGCTTGGTACCAGAGCGGGCAATGGTACCGAGGTTGTTGATCAAGTCCTATGAAAATCAAGTATTAGTCTAAAAATCCTTGTTGGGAAACCATCTTCTTCCATCGATTGAGGTAACTTACAGCCTTGGTCATACCAATACCGGTATCCCGGATGGTCAAGGTCTTGTTAACGGCATCGGGGATGATGTCGATACGCAGGTCCTTGTTGGAGTCGAGCTTGGAGGGGTCGGACAGGGACTCGTAGCGGATCTTGTCGAGAGCATCGGAGGCGTTAGAGATGAGTTCTCGCAAGAAGATCTCCTTGTTGGAGTAGACGGTGTTAATGATCAGCGAGAGAAGCTGAGAGATCTCAGCCTGGAACTCGAAGGTCTCGGACATGATGAAGGTATATTCTGAGTCACAGTTCTGTTAGCAACTGAAATGTTGAGACCACAGCTAAGAATTGCCCGATCACGCAATGCCAGTTTCCTTTTTTTTTTTTTTTCCCCTCTCTTTTCTTTTGAAATAAGAAAAAGAAGGAGATGAGATGAGAGGAAGATAAAATCTTCTCCACCTCCTGATAAGGTTGCATAAAAGAAAATTCCAAGCTCCTGAAGATACCAAGGTGGGGTAATTGACTTACAGAAGTAACAAGAAAAAAAGGGAAAAAAGAGGTCAAAAACGGATCACAAAGGATAAAGTGAGGATGAAATAAAAGAGGCTGCCTGTAATAAGCAGACTTTCAGGACGGAGAGAAGAAAGGGAGAGAATGAAGAAGAGAGAGAGAGAAGAGGAGAAGAGAAAAAGAACAGCGCAGGCGGGACTTAATGCCTTTTTTCTGCTGAGGGACACAAAATTCGGTGCGGCGTTTCTACGGCAATCCAGCATCTTCCACAGTCTCTCCGCCTGGCGCTAGACCGTGTCCGGCTTGTCAGTGAGATCTTCCAGTGCTTTCTACCTGAGATCGCCTGCGATTCTAGGGAGTATATGGCTATTCCGGTCTTCTAGATCCTTCCGGCCAGACACTATCCTTATTCTGCCAAACGGATCCCCATCTTTCATCTTCATCTGAGTCTGAAAATATGCCATATCCATCGATTCCACCGCCCCTTCCTGCCTGAGGCATTCAATCTAGAACGTTCCGCTCCACCATTGCCTGCTTTCCATCACGCGGGACCAGTCAGAAGCCGCCGTTCATTACCTGTACTGTATCGTATTGGTCTTTTTTCTCTCTCCGCCTCCCTCTCCGCCAGCTTGTAGGTAGATTAGATTGGAGACGATACTTGATGGCTTATCTAGAAGATACGCAGAAGGTCCAAATGCATTGACCTTGTACGATGAGAAGATTCCCGGACAATTGATGGGTTTGATGATCATCCTATCTTGTAATAAAGGTCTTTCTGATTGTACCATGGTACCTTGGAGGCCAACAAGGTGTACGGTATGTATGAATTCTGTACCTTACAGAGATTCCATGGTTTACTAAGAAGATGGAATTCTCAACAACTTACGCAGATCCAACTACCCATAAGGGCTTGTCAATGTGTGGTATAATTTGGATACTCTCTTTTTGGTTCTGAGTTAATAAACCTTGAATGCCTGAGTGCAGGGATTCATCCTCTATTATTACTAGGCGCTACCTAACTTTCCGAAGCACCTTCAAACCGCATAAGGGATCATTAATCATGCCAAAATCCAAGTTGAAAAGAAAAGATGGAGATGCATACGAAGTGGCAAAAAAAGGAAGAAGCGAAGGAGAAAAGCAAGAAAAAGGAAACCGTCAGTCATTTTTACATTCTTCGGATAGTAAAAGAAATAAAGTAGGCCGCAAAGGCAGAAAGAGAAATAAGAAAGAAAAAAAAAAAAAGAAAAGAAGAAGTAGAAATAATACGGGCGTGTTAAGCTCGCTATGCTAGAAGGGGCAAGTAAATAGTAAGAAAAGAGAAAAGGTCATGACAACACAGTGATAGAAACAAAAGTCATAAAAGGAAAATGAAACCCAATGGTGGAATCAAGAAGCAACTGCCCAGTTAGAAAATGAAAAAGAAAAGAAACTTTTCCAACCGCTAATATGCACCGTGACAAAGTAAAAGTCACTTAACACATGTCATTATGAGTAATGGGAGTAATACATGCCCTGGAATCGCCGTAGACAACAATAATTCGTATGCTGCTTTTTTGACCCAGGATGAAGGGTTGAGGATCATCTGAAGAGAAAATAACGCGTCATGAAACAATTCTTCTTCTCTTTTATTTTTATTTTTATTTTTTTTGTTTTGGATTCGCCTCCTTTTTAAGCAGTCTGAGGCTGGCTTCGGCCCTTGGGGGCGACGTTACCACGGCCGCGCTGAGGGAAACCTCCACGACCTCCATCGCGCTGGAAGCCACCACGGCCCTGGCTGCCCGCACGGTCTCCACGGCCACGACCAGCACCGCCTCGGCTGGCACCGAAGTTGGCATTTCCACCAAAGGCATTGGAGCGGGGACGGCGCTCTTCAACGAAGATCTGTTCGGTACCGATCTGGTGGGGGTTGGCGGCAACAGCTGCGGTGTAACCAGAGGGCTCGGCGAACTCAACAAAGGCGCAGTTCTGAAAGCAAATTTTATCAGTTTCATGACTTCTACTAACGCAAGTATACTGTCGGGAATAGACATACCTTCTGACGGCTCACATCAAAGTACTTGAGCTTACCGAAGCGAGACAGGGTCTGCTTGAGCAAGCTCGCATCGACCTTGTCATTGACATTCTTAATGTAAGCAAGGACGTTCTGCTCCTCGCCGGCACGGGACTGCGTCTTCTTGTGGTCGTGACCAGCGGTTTGCCATCCAGCGGCATCGTTAGAAGGAACCGCTTGGGCTGGGGTAGTAGCTTCGGGGGCAGCAGCAGCAGGTGGCTGAGAAGAGCTAGCAGCGGGAGCAGCAGTCTTCGGGGCAGCAACAGGGATAGCAGGGGCAGCAGGCGCGGCGGCGGCAGCGGCAGCGGCAGCAGCAGCGGACTTGGAGGCAATGTTAGCCCAGGTCTTGGGAAGAGCCTTGGCAGGAGCAGCAGTCTCCTTTTCGGGAGCAGGAGCTTCCTTCTGCACGGGAGCGGCAGGAGTTGGTGCAGGGCTCTTGGGCGTCTCGACCTTAGGCTCAGCTTCAGCCGGCTCAGCAGCAGTAGCCTCTGCCTCCTGAGGAGCAGCGCCGTTGGTCTCAGGAGCAGGAGATTCCTTGGGCTGGGCGGCCTCGCCGTTAGTCTCAGCTTGCTCAAGTTTCTCATCAACCTTGGCCGCGGAAGCCTCAGTGCTCACCTGCGACTCGACGGGTGCAGGGGCAGCTTCAGCAGCGGGCTGCGCAGGGGCCTGAGCGATCTGCTCCTCAGCCGGGGCAGCCGGAGCCTCAGCGGGAGCTGTCTCCTCGTTAACGATTTCCTCCTCCTCATCAGCCAAGTATCTGAAGATATCGTTGAGGACATAGTAGCCATTAGGCTGCTCAGCCAGCACGAAGGTCTGGACGAATTTGCGAGATGGCTCGGACTTGTTCGAGATCTCACCAATGACAGAGACCAGGATGCTCTCGAAGGAAGCCTGAGAGTCCACGTTCAGAACACGAACCTTGCAGTCCTGGAAGTCGAGCTGCTTGATCTTTTCATTGATGGCCTAGGGAAGAAAGTTATTGGCATCTCAGATATGCAAAGGAACAACGAGAGAGACATTGACTCACCTTTTGGCCAACCGCGACAGGCACAGACTCAGCCTCAGTTCCGACAACAAACTGCGAACGCCGAGAGTAGAAGAGATGCAACTTTTCCGGGCTACGGCTCATGTTGGTGTAATACTGCTCGACAAAGTACCAGCCAACTTCATCCTTGGAAATTCCGTTCTTTGGTTCGCTGGGAGGGGCATTTGTGGGCGTAGAGGACTGTGCTGGCTGAAAGTTCGCGGCGCTGTTCATAGCAGCGGGGGTATGGTTAAAAGATTCGGGGTACGGCTGAGCAGGGAAGCTGCCGTTCATAGGAGCTTGAGTCGTGTCGGCCATTGTGGATGAAATTGGGGTTAGAGTCGTAAAGAGAGAAAATGAGTAGATAGCCGAACGAAAGTCGGAGTCGAAAAGTATAAGAACAATGGAAGGCTTCTATGCAGTGCTGAAAAATAGATAGGAGATCTAAGAAGAACTTTTCCCCGTCGCTGGACTATGAGGTGAATTGTCAGTATGCGTGATGCCAAAGTGTACATACACCTCGTAGTGAGAGGTTGATATGAGAAAAAGATGAGGACTCACAATGCTAAATGGAAAAAGGAAGAAAAACCTGACAACCTGAAGATGCGATAGAAATAGAGGTAAAGAAAAGATAGGAAACGGTTTCGTGTTCAAAGCGTTTCGCGTCGAGTGGTCGAAATAATGGGCAAGGGAAGCAGAGAAAGATTCTGTGCGATTTGCAAGATGAAATCCGCGAAGGGAAACCCGAGGAAGGGCCGGCAAAGAAAAGCAAGGATGGAAAGTGGTAATATTGAGGGGAAAAAAAAAAGAAAAAGAAAAGAAAAAAAGAAAAAAGAAACTGAAGATAGGGATGAGGAAGGGTAGACGATAAGCCTGAAGAAAGAAGCGAAATAAACTGAGAGATATGAGAGATCACGAAGGGAGATGGGTGTGGTCAATGGATGATGGTGGATGTAGAGTTGCTGGTCGACCTGAATTCAAGGCCGTTCGGGTCGCGGTTTCAGTGTGGCGGTTTGTTAGCGCTTTTCTCACCGCCTGCCCAGAGGGTGATAGGGTGGGTTCCACTGTGAGTGAATCTCTGCTATGGAGACAGACAGCAAGAACAGGTGGTGCTGGATAGAGGGTCAGAGGAGAGTAAAGGATGCTGGGATTCTCTTTTAGTCACTGGTGAAGAGTCAATGGTGGCTCATGATGATAGTGGTCTTACAAAAGGCCCGGGATAACATCATAGCTCTACCCTTAGGTCTTAGAGATGCATGTATGAAGTAAGGGTCCAAAGTGATTTGCAGGCTAGAAAGAATGATAAGATCAATTGTTTGATATGGTACAGTGGTAGCAAGAACAGCTGGGACGGACAGGTTCCTGTACGATACACCAGGAGCATCGACTGTATGTACAATTCAATAGAAAAAATACCCCCAAATCGAGAGATTCGATCGCACAATCTATCGACATTGTTTGACGATCGACTCAGTAGCGTGGACGAAAGACATGACTATCCCAGCACCAGAACAAATTAAAAGAATGCATTAAAAAACCTTGACAGCCAGTTAAAAACCAAGAGTATCTCATAAAATCAAAACGCCATATAAGCAGTTGGCTCGGTAGAAGAGGGGTATGATAGTAGACGTGAGGAGTGATCTTCTCATCAAAACGATAGGTATCAAACTCGTTCATAGGATTCGCCACGAGAAAATAAACCGAACAGAAAAAAAGCGGGGGTGTGGGCAAATGAGTGGGAAGCCATAGAACATAGCAACGTAACCACAAGAAATTAAGATATAGTTATAAACGTGAGAGCAATCAGTTATGGCATGAGCTCAGGCATTTTCTTCGCGGCACTTAAACTGAAGTCTCGGCCGCAGCTTTCTCGTTCAGCACTGGTTTGCGCATGACGGCGTCCTGGCCCGTCATTCTTCGGCCAAGCGCACGATCCAACTTAGCGCCCAGAGCCAGTTTGTTCAAGTTATCGGTTTTCTCAGCCGTGGCGACGAAGCGCTGCTTTTGAAGGGGCTTGTTTTCGAGACGCTCCAGGCCGTCACGCAGGTGGTGGACCTCGGCCAGACGAGGATCGCCGCTGGGAAGGCTTCGTTCCGAGGGAGCAACCGAAGGGCTGCCGCTCACCGTGGAGAATCTCTTGGAGCCACGAGTCTAAATTGGAGTCAGATAGTGTCGGCGAAGGAAGAATGTAGAATGGACCTACAGAGTTGGCCATGATGGGTCTCTCGGACTCAAGCGACGTGTGTCGGGCCATGTTCGTTATGATGATTGCGGAGGAAGGCGGTTTTATTGGACGAAATTGTCGCGTGTATGCTGCGACAAGTCGAAGATCGATTTGGATTGATTAATTGATTGGTTTCAAGGGATAGTAGATGGACACTATATTGATGAGTCTGCGAAAAGAATATGGATTAGAATGTTTTTTCCCCCAAGAGAAAAAAAAAAAAAAGTGAGGGGAAGAAAGGGACAGCGGTGATTATCAGTAATGAATCAGAAATTGGATTATGCGACTCCGTAAAATCCGAAACAAGGCTGTAGCGGGTCAGGGAGATCGTGAAGAATACGCACCTTGAGACAATGAAATGCACCGGGTGTGATGGGTGAGATGCAACAAAGAGGATGGCGAGAGTTATTTGAATCCAGATGCAGAGGGGAAAAAGCAAATGGGAGGGAAAGGGAAGGAAAATAGAAGCGCTGGGATGGAGACAGTGTGGTATGCACGTCGGGGATTCAGGAGAGGCAGAGACAGTCTAAGAGAAAGCGGGTGACAAACAGTGGGTCACCGAGGCAGAAAGTGGGAGTTTTAGTTCTTGTTTGGGGCTGTGATGGAGTGATGGCCTGCAGGATATAATGACAATCAGCATCAGAGGCTTATATTAATCTTATATTAACATGATTTATGGTCATTCGGAGAGACTTACTCTGGCTCTTTTTGATCCCGCTGAGATGCCAGAGACCGAATAATGATCCTTTCGACGGAAGTAATTCAACGGCGTCGTTAGACTAGTGACTAGAGAGTAGGGTAGAATCGACTCGGTAGAAAATGCTAATACTATTAATGAAAGGAATAATAATAATAAACAAGGGGGGCTATCCAAATGGGAGCCACAACGGCTTCTAGACGAAGAGGAGAAGAAGTTGAGGGAAGTTGAGAAAAGAAAGGATCGGCCGGTTCAAGATTGGATGGGCGCGTCATACAAAGCAGTGATTTGCCCCTGGAGATGGCTGGAGTCGGTCACCACAGATAGATTATTATTATTATGACTGTAGATGGCAATTCGTCGTCAATGGCTCAATTGAATATGGACAACAGAGTGAATAATATGAAGGTTGAGGATGACCGAGGTGAATCAAGGGATCCATGGGATTGCCACGTGCCGCGAGAGCCACGCGAGAAAGTGGCGAAAAAGTTTGGATAGCATCATTAGCAGGTAACCTTGAATCACGGATCAATGGATATCGATTCCATCTGGCCTATAAGAGGCGTGTGATTCCGGATGGAGACTCTTAGTCTGCCTGGCTGTACGGCCCCCTGTAGTATTCACACCTTCATATTCCATATGTGACTAGACATATGGAACATGGGGGGGGGCTGATTGATATAGATTCATTCGATGAAGCCAAAATGAATCCTTTCACATCGCAGGCTGATCATTGCCTGCTCGAGGCGTACTTTTTTTTTATTTTCTTTGTTCAGCGCGGAAGATGGAGATGATCCCTTAGCCACCACAACCACCGGCGAGTTGGTGGCTTGGATATTCCAGTTTTTTCTGGACCCCATAATAATAAGAATAATAAAAAGAATAATAATCATGATAATAACAATAATACTTACTTCGTAACTATCTCGAATCCGTTATTCTTGACCGACTTTTACATTCTGAATTCTTACTGGAATACTACGATCGTAGGCGACAGGTGAAAGTGAAACAGCCCAACCGGGTCTTGGCAGCCCCTCGGCAGCCCCGCCAAAACGACGATCCCGTATGAAAGATTTGCACAAGTCATATGGACTGACTGTTGATGATAGCATCACCTCACCTCTGCTTGGTTCTTAATTGTCAATCCGCCAAATCAAGGCTAATTAGCCCATAATGCCTAAGCCAAAGACGTTTCTCAAGGACAACAACAAGTCCAAGAAAAAGGCCGCCCAGCAGGTAAGGGTTCTCTCCATGTGGTATATACATACATACATACATACATTGCTGACGAATAACAGCAAGTCCCCCAAACTGCAGATGAGTTTCTAGCAGGTGAGTTGGTTTATTTACGGTCCAGTTTCGATATCAATACTAATCAAATCAGTTGGCGTCGAGCATGAAGAAGCCGGCGAAAAATGGCGTGCCGGTGACGCTGCCAAATCCATGCGCTTTTTCATGCGCGCCATCAACACCTACGATGAAGGACTAAAGAAACACCCCGCAGCTTTTGATTTGGCTTATAACAAGTATGTCATGGTTCACTATCCATACATAATAATAACAACATGAACTAAACTTTGTAGAGCTCGGGTTCAATATGAAATCACCCAACATCCTAAACTAGCTGCACAGCTGCCTGCGCCGCTGCCGGACATCCTGCAAATCGCTTTGCAATCTCACAGGGATGCCTTGGTTTTGGAGCAAGAAAATGCGGACGTCCTCTTCAACACGGCTCAAGTTCTCACCAGCTTGGCCGAAATAATCAACGACACTAAACGCCCAGCCGACGACCAGCTCGACCAGGCTGTCAAGTATCTACAGGAAGCCATAGAGCTCTTCCAGCGTTGTCTCCTTCTGCAAGAGTTTCGGTATACCGAGATGCAAGAGCAGATCAAACAGATGGAATCCGGAGACGTCGGGAACCAGCAGGAAATGCAGCAAGTCGAAGAAAAGCCCGGAGAAACCAGCGAGTCCACGCCTTCAGACCCACAGGAGCAATGGGCCGCTGTCGTCGAACCGGTGACCAAGGAAACTTTGGTGGATACTGCCGTAGCACAGCTCGAAACCTTGACCACTCTGTGCAATCTGCTCACCTACGACCCTGGAGTCGGCGTTACCTGGGTAGAAGAGTATTCATTCGAACTCGTCCAGAAAAGGCTTCCTGCGTATGTTGAGGGTTCTGACAGACAATATGAAGCGTCCTTGGCCCGCGCCAAATTCGTATGCGCCTTGAGCGAGGTGGTATATCGGAGTGGACGAATCGACGTTGAAACCTATCATAGAGAAATCATGCAAGCCTATGGGACGGACCTAAACATTTCCGCTGATCCAGACGGTCTTTGCAGTAAAGCAGATGCGCTCATATCGTTGAACTCGGCACTCGCAGACTTTCCCCCATCAAATGACCCTCAAGCGTTTAGCAAAGCACTGGTGTTGCGATGGCAATCCCTGTCTGTGGCTTTGGAGGCCTTGACAGCAGCCTCCAAGCTCCCGGATGCTGAAAACCTTCCCAAGATCCACATCGCAAGAGGCGACACGGAGATGAACAGGTGGAGACTAGGTACAGCTCCATGGGAGTATGCCATGGCACAAAAAAACGGCGCATTACTTCTTCGAAACGCCCAGACATACTATCGAGGCGCTGCAGCTCTGGCAAAACGAGATGGGGCCGCTGAAGAAGCAAGAGATGGAACTTGCAAGGAAGCCTTCGCAGCAGCTTTTGACGGTCAGAAGACCAAGTTGGAACAGCTCAAAGTCGGCGCACCAAAGGAATTGTTGGCCGTTGCAGAGGAGATGGTGGATGACGGATTGGCAAGTCCCATTGATTTGGAGACCTTGCTATCCTGATGGCGTATCCATATCACCAAATAGAAAATTTTAGTCGAATTAAAAAACACAAGTACCCAACCAGCCTGATTAAATATCTGGCCTGGCTTTGACTTCCTCATCCATTTGCATAGTTTCCTGGCGAAGACCATTTTCTTTGCTGAATTGTGTTGCAGCGGCCGCGGCACCATCGAGATCTGCCACAACAGACTCGAGGTTTGATAGTAGATTTTGGATTTCCATTCTCTGGCTCTGGATATCTTGCGCTAGCTCCGCATTCTGCTTCTCAGTCGACTGAAGCTTTGCATTCACAGTCGATTGAGCCTCTTGCAGGTATGGAGTAAGATGTGCCTTATATAATTCCTCCGGGCCGAGTGTGTGAGGACTAGAATCGTCGAGTTAGCAATAGCACAGATATAACCAAATTTGAACTCCCTTCGTCAAACATACGCAATATTTCCCTCTCCTTGTCCATTATCCCTCCTATATCTCGCTTCACCCACCAGCCGATCCAACTCATTCAATTGCCGCACCACATCCCTCTCATAAACGATATCGTCAAACTCGGCTTTAGCACTCTCCTCCAACTTAGCATTCAACTGTCTCCACACCGACTCCAAACTCGCCGGCACATGCTTCGCAGGCGTCGGGAAGCACCCCGAGAAATTCGCATACGAGTTGGCGCGCAGCGTCCGCGCCAACGCTTGGTCGAAGACCTGGTGTAAACGCGACGCGCGCGGACCAGGGGTGAGGGGGACGGGAGCTGGAGGTGGAGGGGAAGGCGAGGCCGCTTGTCTTTCGGGATTAGGGTTGATGGTATCTTGCGTGGTCGTATTTTTTTCGGCCATTGTGGTAGTTGGCTTGATTGTTGTGCTGTGAAGGTTGGTTTGTGATGGTGTTGGTGTTGGGTTAAGATAGCAGGTGGAGCATGCTGGGATGGACGCGGGGTCACATGACTTGTATAGATCAATTGCGAGTACTATCACCCCTTACAGGTGCTGATTTATCCTGGCTGTTTTAGTTTCTTTCTGCTTTTGTATTTAGATGAATAATATTACTGGCTCTAATAGGCGGGAGCATAAAGTATTTTCGGCATCAAATGCTGAGATGTACGAAAGGATCAACTCTTATGAGATCAAACACAATATTATTGGTTATTGACAAATAATTTAGATAGTCAACTCCTGAGTGCTTTCATTTCCAAATGACCCAGAAGGCTTTTTTGAATCCCTCTTCCTGCTACCTGTAGCGGTGCGATGAGGGAGAGACCTCGAATCCTGATGCAGTCCAATGACTCTCTGACATCTTCTTTTGATGTCGGAAAGTAGCGACTTGCATGCAGGCCATGAGATGGAGACATAAATGATGCTATTCCAAAACCCTTGCAGAGGTAGAACAAAACTCGAGGCATAGTTTAGACTGAATATGAAAGCGTCGGGGCGGGCCAGAGCGTATACTCGGTTAACCGTTGATGGAACCTATGATTCGACAATTGGTTGGTTTTTATTCTTTCCATATTAAAGAAAGCCTACTCACCCAGGTAACGAGGAGCGCGATAAAGAAGAGCATTGCGTATTTTGTATATGCCCACGCAGCCGAGTTGGCCTCGGAAGCCCTGATGCGGCGCTGGCTAGGTAAATCCGGCTGTTCCTTCTTCGTGGGTCCATTAGAAACACCATCGTTCTTCTCATAACTACCCCCAGCTTCAATTGTGATGGAGTACGGATCGTAGGGCGATTTGGAAGATGTTGGCGATGCTCGGTAGGCGCTTTCACCCTGCCTTGCGGAGCAGACCGCTGCCTCACTCGTTACTTGGATCTCTGTTGTTTTGAAGAAAGACATTTCGAGTGCGGTTTCGGCATCAAACGACGAATCAAGACCACCTATATCACGAAGCTGGCGTCGCTTCTGGTAGATGACCCGGCCAGCACGCACATATATGGCAAAGGTTAGGAATATAATGAACCAAACCGGACCGTAGAAAAGTGCGATTCGAAGATAGTCCCATGATAGAGCAACCCAACACCAAAGCTACCAGATTGTAAGCGCTTTATACTATAAAACGGCGTCTAGAAGCAGACATACTATAGCTGAACCATAAATCCTACCTCTTTCCCTGGTTTCGATGAAGAAATACACAAACGCAGGTATAAATGGCAAACCGTAGCAGCACACGACGTACTTCCATTCCAATCGCCGCAGCTGCTCCGAATTGTATTTGTGGAAAAATGTCAGGTAGACATTGCATGCCATGGCAAAAGTCCACAAGGCGTCGGCAGGCATGAACCTACTCAAACAAACAAAGATTAGAGTCGAATACAATGGCAGACTGGATAAAAAGTGAATAACTGACCACTGAATCAAGAATGCTTGAAACTGACACAGAAAACTACTGGTACCGAGGTGAATGCCCGACTGGGAGATGAGAGTCGCAATGTTTGCCATGGTGTTTCCCCAGGAGGCGTAAAACACCAGACGGTTGATGGGCTTGCGAAAGGAACTCGATGCGATGAAAGTGACAACAATGATACCGGTTCCGATCAAAGAGACAGCAGAGCAGACTCGCTCTGTGGCCGAGATGGCAAACAGTTGCTGCTCTGTCAGAGACATGGCGTCATGATAGAGAGGGTGAACTGAGAGGCGACCAGGTTTCGCAGACTCGAAGTGTATCAGGTGTTGTACAGGAAATGACAGGTCAAATATCCTTCATCAAATGGGGTTATTAAATGATGATACCAGCATCACAGAGATGGATAGAATAAAGGCTTGAGATGTAGCATCTTAAAATGATGAAACAAATAACAAAAGGCCCTGAAAAGCGGCTGCAGGAGAAATTCGTCTACACCCTGGAGTGACATCTGCGGGGATGCCGATCCAGACAAGGAAATACGATGAAGAGTGGCGTGGATGCAACATACTACATTTCGCTAGCCTGTCGTTTCTATTCTCTCCTTTTTTTCTAATATGGCACTGCAGCAAAGATGTTTTTGGAATTCTAGAATATTGAGTGTCATACTATCTCGATGAAAACACAGATAAAACGATAAAACGCCCCTATTCTTGAATCCAAAGTTGAAGCAAGCAGACAATCAACATATCCCACGGACGATGCATTCCTAGATAGGAACCCAATCCTCGAACAAGGATCACATTATTGTCAAACAACTCCTAGGTAGAACATAATTCGATGGATAATTCTATACCGACAGAAGGAGACAAAGAACTAACAGGATTCTGCAGCATTCATTCACTGACTCGAGACTAGCCCCAATGCGGATTGTGTCACCTGAAACAAAGAATGCATCCAACGAGGCACTTTATTTGTCCACATGGCTGATCGATATCCCTGGATCTTCAATTCTTAAAAGTAAAAGTATATTTGAATAAAGATAAGCCCGTATTAATTGTGGAATATAGCAGAGCCGTATAAGTATACATTTTACCTGTCTGGTATATGCTGATGATTCCAGGGTGGAAATTGGAGACAGTCATCCTCAATGCAGTGAATATAATCGAAACAATATACAACTGAAGAGTACATCTAAAATTTTCATGGCTTATGCAGCCCATCAAAAAGCAGGGGTGGAATCCACAACGGCAAGTGAATGCATCTCTCTTCACTGAAATCAAACAAGGGAAAATCATGCAAGCCAAAAGACAACAACAAAAGAAAAAAAAACAATTTATCAGCCATGATTAATTTAGAATCCTTCTTCGGGTATAACGCCATGCTCTCCCGATTCTAAAACCGAACCTCGTCATCTCGTCATGCTCTTCGGATAGGACAAAGAACAAGCATCGCGGTCTAGTATGCCTGCTGCGGTGCCACCATTCCTCCGTACGCACCAGCCATCTGCTGCTGGTGTTGTTGCTGTTGCTGCAACTGCGCCTGTAGTTGAGGAAGGTCATGGAACCAAGGGTGCTGCAGGGCATCGGCTGCACTGATGCGCATCTCCGGTCGTAGCTGAAGCATGCGGTTCAGCAAATCCAAACCAAGGGGGTCAATCTGTGGGAGAATGAGCCCCAGGTCCTGCGTTGGCCACACGTGGAAATTCGGCTTGTACTCCGGAAGCTGCGAGATACCCAGCCATGAGCGCTCTGATGGTGTCCCCATGAGACGGAAGATCTTCTGCAGTTGATCCTCATTGGTCGTACCGGGGAACAAAGGTCGTCCCGTGTACATCTCCGCCATGATACAACCCGCGGACCAGATGTCGATACTTGTGTTGTATGTCCGACTTCCTAGGAGGACGTCCGGGGCTCGGTACCATAGAGTCACGACTTCATTCGAGAAGGTGTTGACGGGGATACCAAAGGCACGGGCCAGACCAAAATCTCCTAGCTTAAGCTGGCCCTTCTTGTTGATCAAAAGGTTCTGAGGCTTCAGATCGCGGTGGAGAACACGGTTCTCGTGGCAGAACGCAATACCCTTGAGAAGCTGGTGCATGAACGACTTGATCGTAGCAGGATCCAGCTGCCCACGCTCGCTCCGGGTGTCCATGTATTTCTTCAGGTCCTTATCCATAAATTCAAAAACAAGCATCAGCTTGTTCTCCGTGTGAATCACATCGTGAAGCGAGACAATGCTCTCGTGTTTGAGCTCTTTCATCAACGAGATCTCACGGATGGCGGTCGACGGTGTCCCTTCCTCCGAATCGAGATGGATTTCTTTCAAAGCGACCAGTTCACCGGTCTGACGATTCCGTCCTTTGAACACCTATGTATGATTTGTCTCAGCGAACCGACCAAGCCGGGGGGGGAGGAAACAACAACGGGGAGAAAACGAGAGGGGATGAAAACGTACGGTGGCGTAGGTGCCTTCTCCGAGCTAGAAGAATAGGATAAGGATTAGACATCGTTCTTTCGTCTCTGTAGAGCAAATAACACAGAGCTACACACCTTTTCCAGCTGCTGGAACGAGCTGGGTTGTTGTGCCTTGTCCATGGTCTGCGATGCTCCTCGCTGCGAGGCTGACGAAGGTCGAGGTGGGGTTTTTGTAAGCGGGTTGAAAAGGAACGAGCCAGGAGCGACAAGAGAAGAAGCAACCTGCAGAGATGACGAGCGGGCGTGAGGCTGTAACACAGGATCTCTTGATGTTCTTAAGCTCCGACTGTCCATGTCGATGGATCCTGCCGGGTCTGAAATCTGAGCCCCGCGCGGCCCCTGCGAGCGTTTCGACCTTTCGGTTCGGTGGAGGTTGGATTATCCACCAGCGCGTCTAGAACTTTATTGAAGAAGAGGCGTCTACTTATTTTTATCCTTTGCCTTTTATTTATATTGGAGTAAAGTGTGTATCATTAAATTAAATTGCTACTAGATGTGGAGAGATGAGTTAGGATTCTGGTATGTTCAGCCATATTAGCATTAGGCATGAACTTTGAACAAATTATATGCTTTGTATTTATATGCAATCCAATATATCGTAAATCTATCTATATCGATGGCAGCTGTGATGCAATATGAGGCAGGATCGATTCGGATTTCAGGCTGCACCGGACATTCTCAGATATATTACTGTCCTGGCCAACGCCCCCCCCAAAAATGACTGATTCGTTTCGAACACCCCCAACATTGATGATGCCAATGGGCATGCCTCTCTTATAAGCTCTTTCCACCAGCCGCCATGCGGAGTATGTTGCCAAGCTACTACCAAGGACAAGTAGCCTGCCGGCGTCATCAATCGCCTCCTCGGCCTCGTCCTTCACGGCTGGGTCAATGTTTTCTCCAAACATGATGACTGCAGGCTTTAGGATTCCGGCATTGGAGGCGGGCAACCATGCACCATCATTCTCTACTTCGACCCTTGACTGTGTGCCGTCTCGGAGTCGAGGAGGCTTCTCAAGACATGTTGGACAGGACGGATACCTGAAAGTGGAATAGGGGGCCTCTGCAAGGTCGACATCACCATCCGGGTTGAGCTTCAGGCCCTTCTTCCGCTGTTCCTGAGGATTATCCGTGTCAAGAGCCCCACTGTCAATCATTCTTGCCAAAAATTCCGCCCACGCGGGATTCAGCTTCTCCAGCGAGTTCTGGAATTCGGCTCGCGAGAATTGATTCCGACAGTTAATACAGACCACAGACCTCAGGTAGCCATGGAGTTCAAGGGTGGGAAGCCCTGGATGGGCGACGTGATGAAAAGAGTCAACATTCTGCGTCACCACGGAACTGAGGTAGCCTTTTACACCAAGATCTCGAATCGCCCAATGCGTAGAATTCGGCTTCGCTTTCAGTAGCCCGGGCCATCCAACAAAGCTGCGGGCCCAATATCTCTTACGCGATTCATGCTGTGCCAAAAATTCATGGAAGTATATCGGTCGATAAGACTTGTTCGTGACGTAGGTGCCATTCTCGCCTCGATAGTCGGACAACCCAGATGCGACCGAAATCCCGGCACCTGTCAGCAGGACGGTCTGTGAGTGTCTCCCGACATCGACTCCGCGTAGATATGGAGATGGAGGGGCTGTCAGAAAGGACGAAATCGCTTCGATAGCACCGGAGACTGTGCCTGCTGATGGGGGCGCAATTATCGGCGAGGGCAATAGGCCGGTGTATGGGATTCGGATCGCCGGCTTCGTCATTGACGACGCATCATTAGCCAATGATGATAGAAAGAAGAGGATGATTGAGACAGTCTCAGACTTGTTGCAACTTGATAAGTTCAGGTCGAGTTGACGAGAGAAATCAGGATTCCACAATTAATCAGCAGTCACATGACTTGTGCTGTATGGAATCGACAGGCATTATTGAGGCAAGAATGCAAGATATGTAGAAATATCATTTTGAGACAAGTTTTATTCTATGCATGTAGCTCTGATACACTTAGAAGAATATATCAAAGCACGAATTTAATGCTTGAACTATGCGAACTAGGAGCTTTTATTTCTCCTAGGGCAGATCGGCATAAGCTGCAGTTAAGCTTAGCTGCATGTAAAATGAGACTCGAATAGCTTCAAAGCAGCAAATCTACAAGATCATTGAAAGTCGTCTCATTCCCGATACTCTCTTATAATATTATATGATATATATCCAGCAAATAAGGTACACACGCCACGACCAAAGATGTCCTCGTCAATTCATGCTCTAGAAGCTGTTCCCCGGGTCCGCACGTCATCTCCCAGCGTTGCCGAACGTCATTTAGCAGATCCTTCATCCACCACTATCAACCTCACATTATATCACGCTTGAACCTGGTTTTTTTTTCTTATCTATCGGGGAGATTTAATACAAAACATCTGAACCGGAAGCTGAACAGGAATTTCTTCCAATTCAATCCATCCTCTTGAATATGTTCCCCCAAGTTGGCCTGGAAGCGTTGAGTGGGATCTGCGGGTGAGTTTTTGCTCCATCTTCGCTCATTTTAGTATTGTGCTAATCCTACAGATCCATCTCAATCGCTTGCTGGGTCGTCGTTTTTTCTCCGCAAATCATTGAAAATTTCCGCCGTGGCTCGGCCGAGGGTCTCTCCCTTGTTTTCCTCGTCATCTGGCTGGCTGGTGATATATTCAATATCCTGGGATCCGTCTTGCAAGGCGTCTTGCCGACTATGACCATCCTTGCTGTATACTACACACTCGCCGACATCGTGCTTTTAGGCCAATGTTTCTACTATCGGGGTTTTACGCTGCGAGACGAAGTGTCTGTTCCTGCGACTCCCACACATCAGGATGTAGAAGACAATGCCGCCAAATCAACAGAGCGAACTTCCCTTTTGTCCCCAAAGCAAGATGGCCATTCCCACCAGAGCTACGCCCAGGACCAGTCCTGGAATGGCCAGCCGACATCTACCTCGTCATCTCACCCACCGGGCCATAGAAGACATTCGGGAGCATCAATTCGTGATATACTCCACTCGTCCGTAGACGGAACACACTTGTCGCCTGCAACACCTTTTGTTGACACAACCACCAAGGAAACCCGGCCTACAGCAAGAATATCTACCGTTCAAGCCGTCATTTTCAATACGTCCGCCATTGTGCTCGTGTGCATTGCTGGTTTTCTGGGCTGGTACGTCAGTCAATCAAAAGGCAGGCATCAACCCGACAATAGTGACGACACTGGCGTCGAATTTAGCGCCCCGGGCCAAATATTCGGCTATCTCTGCGCCGTCCTTTACCTTGGCTCTCGTTTGCCCCAAATTCTTCTCAATTTCCGACGCAAGTCCACAGAGGGGGTCTCGTTGCTGTTTTTCATCTTTGCATGTCTCGGGAACCTGACTTACGTCTTCTCTATTCTGGCTTACACGCCTGCATGCGAAGGTGACTTGCACAAGAAGCATGCGGGACACTGCCAGCTTGGAGAAGCGGCGGCACTATATGGGAAATATATCCTTGTGAATCTATCCTGGTTGATTGGGAGCTTTGGGACGCTGCTACTTGACATGGTGATTTTTGTACAGTTCTTCTTGTACAAGGATAATGGGAGTGCAATTGCCAGCTAGGAAATATGACAAAGTATGTATATAGTCTCAGCTATATTCAAGCATTGGAGCAGATTGGATAGGCTGAATACTTGTTGGTTGATTTCCATATATGCACTTATGAGTATACCATCATGACAATTTACTCTCAGTATCAACACCACATGACCATTTTGCAATAAAAAGGCTGGCTGAGTCTATCATAGCACTATGTATTTCTGCGCGTCACTCTGTTAGACAGCAGTTCAGTAGTATTTATGCACTCAGCCAGACCCTGATCCACAATGCAGCATATGCCCAGTCATGCACCAGCATCTACTGGACCAATCCCATTTTCCTCGGCCACGAAGCCACTTTTCAGATCGCTGAACGAAAAGAAGTCAGAATGGCCACTGACAACCAAAAATACCACCCTAGCCTGCGAATAAAAAAACCCGCTGAGGCGAGCAAATCGAGTTGACAAGGATCTAGACCTGGTCGTCACCTTTCATCCCCTTTCCATATAGCGTCTTGTCCTTGTTTCGGATACAGGAGCGAGAACGGCCCTTGCGCGAAGCATAGATGCTTTGTGGTAGTGACCGGCGGCAGGACTCTCTTAACTCCGAGGTGATTCGAGTGAAGCCAAAGTCTTTGCTTGATATGGCTCTCCACCATTCATCCAGAACCTCCAGGCTTGGGGCAGTCATCAGGTACCTGAACGTGTTGTGGTTGTTTGTCTGTATCATAAGACCAAGGAACAACTCCAAGGTGACGGCGGTGGGTGTGTCTTTTCCTCGCAGACGGCGCGGGTGGATGGGGTTGCCATCAACTCTGCTAACGAGGTCTTCAAAAAGTCCAATCTCCAAAAGGGGAATTCGTTCAGACTTGAATTGGGCAGACAGGCGACCTTTTACTCTTCGAGAGGGATTGTGGTGACGGTCTATGTCAAGTTTGAGAATTCAGACAGCTCCATCAAATTTAAATCGGCTGGGGTGTCGATTGCCTGTGAGTCTTGATTGCTGTATGATGTGAATGTGGAATATACTGAATATGAGTGTCTTAGAGTCTCAAAGCCTTGTCTGGGCCTTGAAATTGGTGTAGTTGGGTGTCCACAGGGTTTCCACGGAGGCCAAATGGAATGGGTAATGCAGCCTGTCATTTCTATTATCTGCAGTTATTCAGAAATGGTAATATCAATCGCGTTGAAAAGGTATCTTGTTCTAATTCAACCCATGATAGATACACGGAACTTGCGTGAATCATTAGTACTAAAAGACGATAAACTACACCCCGAGCAAAAACACCCGCTAGATGCAATCGACCGATAAACTCCGCTGACGATTACCTCCCAAATCATCTGAGTATCCCTATTCCAATCGAAATCATTCACTGGGAGGGCGAGGCTCCACTTTCCCAGAGCCTACCTCTCCCCAGTTGGTACTCAGAGAGGTTCCTTGGCTCTCAACATAGCTCTTCATCATGGCGCGGCGGGTGTCCGGGTCAGCTCCTGCATACAGCCTCTTGAAAAATGCATCGACAGGATCACCACCGCCATAATCAGAGTCGACGGATTCTGCACCGTCGGATTCGTTTCCATTGTCCTCTCCCTGGTTGGTTTTCTTCTCCTTGCCCTTCTTCTCGGAATCCTTGGATTTCTTCGCTGTGAGGGTCGAGGCTAGCTTATCCCAGTCTTTGGCTCCATGGCGAGACGATGTCGGGTAAGAAGGTCCATCAGGCGCGGGCGTGGCACCTGTAACGGCTTGTCGGTCTGCAAGCTTGACGCCGGTCGAGGAGGATTCCAGTGCACCCCATTTCTGTCCCGGGATTTGTTTACGCAGCACAATTTCGATTTTCGTAGACATGACGGACACCTTTGACGACGATGGGTCAACCGGGGCGAACAGAGGGTCAAGAGTAAAGTCGTAGTCTGCGCCAGATGGAAGTGGGAATTGAAGAGCAACCTTTTGATAATGTTAGCTTGTATTCAATAAACAGAAGAAGTTTTCAACATACTGAATCACCCTTCAGATCAATGTCCACTTTGTCCTTCTGTACTCCCTTGACATATAGTGTCACCACAACGGAGTCGTGCGATTGATACCATTCATGCCGGACCTTTTCAGGTGCAGGAGAAGCAGATGGGGCAGCGGAGGGTGCACTCCCAGCACCAGCCTTACTCTCCGAAGCTTTCTCAGTCGAAGCATCCACCTCAGCCTGGCTTTGTGTCTTGTCATCCTCTGGAATCCCTGCCGTATTTCCCGCCTTGAGTGCCTCCAATTGCTTCTTGAGATCCTTCTCGCTCGGTATCTTGGTATCCGAAGGATATTCAACGACATTGACAGTAGCCTTTTCATCCCCTTCAGCCAATTTGTTCAACTTCCCCTTCAACTTCAACGTCCAGATAGGCAGCTCCTGCTCATAGCCCTTCTTCGCAGAGGCAGAACCCCCACCAGCCATAGCATTCTTCACTTTCTCAGATTTATCCTGACCCTCACTCTCCGCCGTAGTAGTCTTCGCCCTGATAGTGTCGAACACAAACCCCGCATCTCCAAATCTCTCGAGCTGGAACAGCGCCACCCCACGTCTCATCTGGGCAGATAAGATTATTTCACGTTTCCCACGTTCCTGCGCAAGGGCAAGGGCAATTTCGGCATCGCGGAGAGCAGCGTGCGAGTTCGGTCCTCCATTTGCAGGCTTGAGGCGGGTGTGGGCGGTCGATCGTTTGATGTAGTAGGTTGGGGCGCGAGGGAGCTCGATCAGGGCCTGGGTAAAGTGCCGAATGGCGCTTGGGAAGTCTGAATTGGCAAGGGCATTGTCGCCCTGCGCTGCCGCGTTCATATCGTCAAGTCTTGGAGTGATTTCCTCAGAACCCGATAGGGAGTGTACTCCGCAGCGGGAAATGTGCTGCAAGGCCTATAAATGCCGAATAAGCAAGAGGAACACCGGCTGGCTTTTGGAGAGGTAGATTGTTTTCGAAAGTAAGCTTGATAGACCCTAGACTGTGTTATTTTGAAGCAGCATCGAATGATTTGTTTGGATTGTTCTATGACCTTCTTTTTGGAGACTGCGGGGATACCACGTGACCAGGTAGCTCTCCAACTCCAAGCAATGACGATCATAAATTCATTCAATGATTCAACAATGAAAATAGGGGAAGGAAATGAAGACTTCTATTAATTCTTTGAACTTTTTACCCTTGGATTTATAATTAATTATATGGAATCATGTTGTTACAGACAAATTAATAGGGAACTCCCAAACCATTCGATGCAGATCAGAACACCCTATGATGCAAAACCAAGGATATTCATAGGCGCCTCTTTTCTCAATCATCCAAGAAAGGTACAATTACCAGTCACCATCAAGGCCACAAGTTGTTGGAGGTACTTCCTCATACCAACTCTTCATTGCCGAACTTTCTGCTGTAAAGACCCAACGCCCGAATAGGCCAGTAGAATTTGTAGTTAGGATACGAAATCATACTGCTCAAGTCAGCCAGCGATTCTTATAATAGAAACTCAAAGTTTGCACTCACCATGATTGATTGAAAACACCCTCAATGGATTCTTGCAACCACTCTCCATTGGGCTGCTGTCGCGACATCAGCAGCTTCATGGCCTTCCGGAGAGGCTCCTTGTCTGGGTATCCGGCCTCCATCAACGCAAGACACGACCACGCTGTCTGAGTCACTTGTGACTTTTCATGCTGTACATAGACGTGCTTTTCACTGCTAAGGTAGGATTCACCCCAGCCTCCGTCTTCCTTTTGCTTCGAGATGAGGAACTCACAGCCACGGCGGGCATAGTCACTAGTCTCGTAGGTCTCGCCAATACTGGCTAAACTCTCCAAGGCAAACATTGCAGCATAGGTAAAACAGATACCCCATGCTCCGTACCAGCTTCCATCCGATCTTTGCACGCGCTTGATATACCTCACAGCCCTATCCTTGGTGGCTTTGATTTCGGCGGCACGATAGTTGGGGTAGAACTTGCTGAATAGAGAAAGCGCAGTAACAGAGGCAGTGGTACACTCTGGGTAGTCGTAACCGATCATGATCCCACCAAATACCTCGGCAGCGTTGAGCCACTCAAGCTTCGTAGAGCCACGGGTAGTTTCGTACTCGGTAAATCCACCAGAAGGATTCTGCATGAGCAGCAAACAATCCACACTGTCCTTCAAGCGCTCTACAGAGATCAGCTGGGGGTAATTGTGCATCTCTTGAAGCTGGATGGTGGACCGCAAGCCTTCTGCCGTGCAGTCACTAACCGTGTATCCCTGCGTCTTGTTGCTGAATGGCCATGCGCCTTTTCGGTGCTGGCGGTAGCACTTCTCTTGCTCAGGAACATTTTCCCGCAGTTGATGATCTTCAAGGAATTCCAAGGCCTTGGTGAGCATTGGACGCCACTTGGGGTCATCTGCAAAACCGGCAACAACGATAGCCTGCGTGATAAATGCTGTGTCCCATACCTGAACACCGTTGGTACCATTCATCAACATGCCCTCGTTCTTCATCCACATGTAGTCGTGGAGACGCTCGCGATGACGGCGGACTGAATAACTATCTGGGCCATCATGGTGATAACAAGCAACCATGTTCATTGGGTTGCTGACGGGTCCCAAACCAGCATAATCGGTATTCTCATCCTCCATCTGAATTAATTCCCAGGTCCATTCTTCCGCGCGCTTCACCACAGGGGAAACTCGGAAGTATGGGATCCATAATCCAACCATAAGCTGATTGGCCAGGTTCAACAGAGAGGTTTTAGGGTAGTAGTTATCCGCCTTGTGGATAGAGTTTCGGTGTGCTGAAAAGTTGATCGAGTCATATGGTTCTGTGTACAACTCCTGTCGAATCTGTTTGGTGAGCGAATCCAATGGATAGGTGAACTTCTTAGACCAAAGATACGACATCGGCAAGAATACCTGGCGCATGTGAATCCACCAGCGCCAGGGGGCAAAGGGAACCCAGTCGGGAATCAGCCTTGAGCCTGGTTAGCGCTTTTAAGGTACATAAGCGAACAAGGGAAATACAAACCAGAGTTCGGGAGGGACAGGATTGACACAGTCCCATTCCATTACACCAAGAACACTGAGCCAGAACTTAGCCCAATGAGGCCCGTAGACCGCACCGCCAAACTTGTGCAAAAGTCCTCGGGCTTTGATCATACGAGGATGATCCTCACTGACGCCGACTAGACGCAATGTGACGTAGTTCATCGATGTGCCAAAGACAGAACTGTGAGCCTCAATATGGAGGCCCCAGCCACCATCCTCCGGGTGCTGACGAGCAAAGAGATAACGTTTGATCTCTGTCGCATACTCCGGTGGAATGGGGGTGTTAGTCACATAGTAGGTGATGATAAGTCCTGGCAGCAAGAACATTGGACCGCCATACTCGCACGCCCAATTTCCAGGCGGTAGCTGCAATTTGGAGAAAAACTCCAAGCCATTTTCTGCGCATTGCAATGGGGTTTTGGGAGTGGGCAGGTCCGGAAGCCCCTAGACGGAGTTAGGAACGTCACGACAGTTGCAGGGGTAGAAATTTACCAATGGAAGACCAAGAAAATGCTTGTCAGCGATTGACTGAGGCCATTTTAGATTTTCCTCGTCAGATTCAAGATATTGCCATGTCTGGCGGCCACGATCGTCCAGTAACCTCCACCGTGAGTAGTCTGTTTTGGCATTTCCTTCGGCGTCGGAAGCCAGATGGCCTTGAGCGTCCGTTCTCCACGGTCCAATATGATCGCCCGCCATCATCTATCTAAGAATACGATGTGGATATATCGTTTGTCAGTGAGCAAGCGTTAAAATCGCTCCAGGGACAAATATTGAAAGGTATTCAGAGCGCACGACAGACAAAATGTATTGCAGATGCCTGGATTCGAACAACTTTCCCCGGACGCTTAGTCATCCAGGGGCAGTGATCGGCGGAATTATAAGAAGCACCAAACGATCACGATCATCCACGACTTTGCAAGAAGAATAAAGAATATATTTATACTTTGATTCATGAGAAGCTAAACTTTATATGGCTTGGTTGATGATGCGATTGCTATACAATAAATCATGGATGTTGGGCCTAGCGCTGACTTAAGCCTTTCCAGACGACCAGGTCTATATATGCACGTCTATTGCTCTTCCCTGCCATCTCAACGGTTGTACATATGGGGTACAGCATAATGTATGAATCTGATGCCTGTAGCCGCTTTCTTGGGATGGCTACGAATTCTAGAACAATCGATCTTCGTGTCTTTGGGTTCGACTTCCGGATATATTTCGAGATCGATTTGTTACTAGCCAGGTAAACTAGTCGTTGTCCTTCTGAGCCTTGGCCTAGATAAGAATGACTATTGTAGAATTATACTGAATCAGCCATCATGAGCCAAGAAAACTCATCGCTGAATCAAGTGTCCCGTAGAAAAGCGATGGGAAATCTTGTTGAGCCTGTAGTCTCAATGGTAGTCGAGTTGGGAACTTCATGGACCCATCCCCCAGAAAACCACCCTACCTTCTCATCTCTCTCATCCATCTCTGCCCATCAAATCACCTTGCATTTCCATCAATATCTCATCATGGCAGATTTATCAGACAGCTCTACACTGGCCTCAGGGTATTCAAGAGGTTACCCTGGGCAACAATCCCCCAAGAGACTCGTTCAAAATTATATCGACGATACACTTGCGGCAGCTCTCGATGAGATGACATCCCCCGAAGGTCATCCATCTATTACCTTGAAACGGCGATCTAAACAAGCGTCTTTCTTCATCAATCCCGATAATGGTGCCCTCGAGACAACTGAGACGGAGAATCAGACGACTTACACTTGGCCCGGACAGGACGCACACGAAGCGTGGAGGTTCAGTATGTGTACATGCTAGCTATGTATATCAGATGCTGCTAATATTGGCTGGTGTTGTGATAGCTATCGCATTTCGGATCCTTGCAGCCATTGCTGAAGCCGTTCAGACAGGATTGATGATCTCCAAAAGGTTTACGGATAATTCACGGATACCATTCCACTGCTAAATCATTCAAAGAGATATATATTACACCGATCCGGCCTGCTTCGGTTCACAAAGAGTGGTTGATACTGTTGTTGATGACATTGCTCACACAATTGGGGTGGATCGGACAGCGCTAAACGTGGTAAAGCATTACCTGCATGGGACGATTTGATGATAGCTAACTAGACAACCACCCAAAGGAAGCAGCTGCAAAAGGACTCGTTGCGGGATACTACTGTTTGAAAACGAAATCACACGATATACTAGATGCCCGATTATCCACACAGGTAAGCCAGTCTGGTTAGGGTTCGTTATCGTGGATAAATTGACGGGGCAAATAGGATTCCTTAATCCCAAGAGCAGAATACATCGAGGAAATTGACATATCCGAAATTGAATGGGTTTTGATACTGGAAAAAGAGGTACGAATCTGCCTCTTGACGCTCAATTCGAACTCATGTGTCAGCAGGCAGTCTACCGTCGACTTGCAAGAAGCAACTATCACACTAAGGCTGCTGTAGGAAAAGGAATCATGATCACCGTGAGTCTGTCTCTAACCGGAGCATGAACCTAATAACCAACAATACCCTTAGGGTAAAGGGTACCCCGACCTTTGCACAAGAGCCTTTGCTCGTCTCCTGTTCGAAAAAAGCTCCCATTTGCGACCTGCTCCGTGTTTCTATGCTCTTGTTGACAGTGACCCTGATGGAATGGCTATCATGTCGACATATAAATACGGCTCCATGGCATATGCGCACGAGAATGCAAAGTTAAACATTCCCAAATTACACTGGCTGGGTCTTCGCACATCAGACGTCGCGGCAGGTGCTGATCCTCTTGGTGACGATGCCCTCATTCGGCTGACAACCAGGGACAGAAGGAAGATTGTTTCCATGTTGAACAACAGCCCTATTTTGGCAGTGGACGGACCGGAGCAGGAATGGCGCGTGGAGTTGCAGCAGATGCTCATGTTGAATTTGAAGGCAGAGACTGAGATCGTATATGATCGAAATGGTGGACTTGAAGGGTGGATTGATCGAAAAATGACCGATTTACTGAATGATAATAGGCCCTTTTGAGATCAGTGTGGCATAGTCTCTCTTGAAAAGAAAGAAAGAAAGAAAGAAAGAAAGAAAGAAAGAAAGAAAGAAAGAAAGAAAGAAAGAAAGAAAGAAAGAAAGAAAGAAAGAAAGAAAGGATGGACGTGAAACTTGTATTGTGTAACAATGGACAAAGAGAAGAAGAGAAGAGAAATCTAAACGCACCACAGACGCCAATAACCCAGGTTTGTGCCATCGTCGATCAACGACAATGCAGCTATGCTATGCTTTGTAACAGCACATTTTCTCTCCCATGTAAAGGTCATCTCACAAGCCCAATCCCTTCCTAACTTCATCCCGAACCTTCTTCTCATATTCATTTCTCCGCTCTCTCCACATCTTGGCCGCCTCGACATTAGCCGGGCTCTCATCGTTTGGCTCAGCCAACATGCTCATGACGGAAATCAAAATCTTCTCCACGCTCTGAATAGGCGACCACCGCTCCGACGCATGCTCGTAATGGTTCGGGTCATCACCAGGGGGATGAAGAATAGAGATGCAAACTGTTCCGTTGGGATAGACTACAGTCAAATAAAACAATCATCAGCCCCCCAAAAAAAAATCATCCCAGCGGAGTGAACGTGGAAAAAGAACCAAATCAAAGACAACTCACCATTAGGATGCCAAACCCCACCCCCAACAAACTTCATGGTCGGAGGACTCAACGGATAATCTCTGGGAAACTTGAGCTCAGCTGCGAATATACCACCTTCGAACGGCGTGCCTTCGGGTCCTTGGATGAGAGCTTCCCAATGGTACATGTCATCTTCCGTGACTGGGCCGGCGGTAATGCCGTCAGGTGGGTTTGTGGACAGATTCTTGTACTCGTGGAAAAGACGCTTTTGTGCAACGGATGACATGTTGGCTTTATTTATTTTCTTCTTATGGCGTATAGAGAAGAAAAGGCACCAATTCCTTTATGACGTTGGTGTATCGAGTCGGCGATTGATGATGGTTGCGGAGAAAACCGAGCGGTGAATGTGGCGGGGAAGTTGAACTTCTGCGAGATGAGGGGTTGTTGATGGCGAACCTCCAGGACAAGACAGAATAGATGGTCGGAATATTCTGAAAAATAAAATAAAATAAAAATAAAGGAGAAGCGGAAATTTAAATATGAAATGTCGCCACTGGGATGAAAGATGCGAGAAGGAAAGAAACTCTGTCTGAGACTGTGTTTCTTCAACTTCCGAGGGTTCGGGCCGTGAGTCTGTCTCATTATTTAGAGTGAGTTATGCAGCATCACGAGATTGGCATAAATTGACAACAAAATTATTCAAATGACATATAGTATTGAGTGTAGGAGTCCCAGAGTCTATGCTATAGCAACGCCAGTCTTTTTTTATCGTACATAAAACAACACCCGCTATAAGAACAACCCTATACAAGTGCATCAGAACCAGTCAAAATCGTCACCTCCGCCTTCTCCTTCATCTCCCAGTTCTTCTGCGCCCCATGGGTCATTGGATCGCTGACCCCAGGGATCTTCCATCCGCTCCTCAGGCCAGCCAGTCTGGTAAGGATCAGGTTGACCTGGGGCTGGTGGTGATTGTTGGTCTACCGGTGGGGCCTGAGGGCTATCACTGGTCATTCCTCTGTGCATCGCGTCGTAGCCTGCCATTGCACCGGCGCCAGCAACACCAGCGGTCATGCCTTCAGTCATGCCACCGGCTCCAGCCCTGCCAACGGTCCCTGCGGCAGCGTCGCCTACGGCCCCGGCTTCACCAGCCGCAGCACCACCAGCTGCTGCTTCGCCGCCCATGCCAGGGAACCACATAGGCATGAAGCCGAATCCTCCCGAGCCACTGTGGCGGCTAAAGTAATCAAAGTCAACACTGACAGCGGTAGCCAGCATCACGGCACGTTGATCGAGCGTCATGCCAGGAACGGCATTGTTAGGCGCGGTTGGTGTCTCCCCGGGGACAAGACCAGCGGAATCCATGCGCAGCGCATAAACACCAGTATCCGTGAAAAGCTCACGAGCGAAGCCAGCAAAATCACGATTTACTGATCCGATCAGTTGATTATTGGCTGAACGAAGCGAAAAGTCCCACGACAAGACAGGCTCGTCCACGTAGGCGAACTGCGCGAATTCCCCAAGATTTTGGCCGTCTTTCTGCGACCGAGTCAACTGCATCTGCTGAGACTCAGACAAGCCAGACTCTGAAAGCGGTAACCGCTCTGTCCCCATTTCTGTCGCTGGGTTTGGGGAGTGATGAAAGTTGAAAAGGTTGTACTTCCGTCGCAATGGAGCCCACTGTTGCTGGGCCTCTCCAATCACGCGCATTTCATCGAATCCAAGCGGCGAGACTCTGGCATTTGAATCGCCATTAGCCTGAACTAGAGACCCCTTAGAAACTCCTTGCAGAGCGGTCGATGACGAATAGGCACTCCTGGCGAGGTCGAGAGGGTCGTACACTCGAATACGGGAGTTGATCCATGAGAATGGGCGGTGGAACTATGTTGTCAGCAACTAACTATCGCGATGCACTTATCTCGAAGATCAAAAATAAACCTACCCGGAGCACTTCATTTTCATGTCGATCAAATACATGCGTCACAAAGCTTCGGTGGGTGCGGAACCACTGTCGAGCCATAACACTGGCCATGCTCTTCTCCTGCTCAGCCATGTATCCAACATGGTTCCCATTCGCGTCCATAATCACATACTTATTGGCTTGTTCGAAACCGCTACAATAAAAAACCTCGTTAGTGTATGAAGCGACAATCATTTGGCAGAAATAACTCACATCATCACATTCATCAACTCCAATTGCCTCTGTACAACCAACCCTGAATTTGCCAATATACCCATCGCAGGATGGGTCTCCTTGAGCACAGCATTTGGATCTTCTGGTATATGAACGGGAGCGAGGAGAGAGTTCTGAGAGGGATCGTAGTTCGGACTGCTGGGGTTGTTCGTCTCCGGATGCGATGGGTATTCTGACTGTTGCTGTTGCTGTTGTGCCGCGTCGCTCTGTTTCGGCGCAATGCGCTCTGGTCTTCGAATACTATTACGAGGACCCCGAGGGCTGATCCGACCTCTGGTGAACGAGCTGGAGAGAGCTCGACCGGGAGCTCGAATCCACCGGAGAGCCGGTGGTTGGAGTCTTGCGCTCCACATGGGAAGATAGATGTAGCCTTGGAAAGCTATGGAATAGTTTTAGATACCGTAAAGATAAAATGATTTTAATGGGGAGTTTGAGTATTCCGCAAAGGACAACGGAGAATGATTGATGGATGAACGATCGTCACAGTGGCGGCGCCGGCAGACATGACGAAGTTCTTCGCCGAGGGGTTAAGCGGAGATAAAGAATCAGCATTGAACGATGGTAATGCCATCTTTACGTATAGCCAGAAGGGACTATTTCGCTTCGATTCTTATAGATTATAATGCTTGAATAGTTCGAAGTGATGGAAATTGAAACTACCTAGAAATTCGTCTGATAATACAGCATTTTATGGTATACTCCGTAACGCTTCGACAACATTTCAACTCCTCATTTTGTCAGGAATATATATGCAATACCCAAGAAATAATCCATCAGTCGCTTCATTTAGAAGGAAAGAAGGAATAAGAGAGAAAGTCACACTCCATTACAGGAGACCCTTCCGAGCCAATTCGATTTTCCGCGACGCCTCGCCCTCTTTATATCCTCCCTTGGACACACAGATGGCACTTCCTTCGCCCAATTCAACCTTTTCTTCCACGTCGGGATGTGGGCAAGGACAGTGATGAGGGAAATCGACGCAAGCCAGGATTCCAGGGCATAGATATTTGTTGCATTGTGCTATGGCAGCCGTATTAGCCAATATTCTGGAGATTACAAGGCATAGAGCTTGGAAATAAACACGAATACTCACAGGATTCCCAGGACCTCTGATACCGTGAGCTGTCACTGGGCGAATTCTGAGCCTGGCGCTGCTGTTCCTGTTGATTGCCACCTCCAAACATATGCTCGAAGAACTGGAATTGGGCCTGCGCGACAGAGACCATTAAAAAGAGAGCCCAGAGGGACTTGATCCAGGAAAAATGCATATTGAAACAAATGACAGCTCTTTGCTGGTCAAATATGGTCTTCCGAGTTGCACTGTCAATTGGCAAATCATGATGTCGTCGTGTTTGTTTCCAACGATGAAGCCAACTATCGTGGTGGCACGTGACCACCCGCCAAGATCGTCAACTGCGGCCGAAAAAAGTTCCCCTTCGGCTTCAATCATTCTCCATCGTCAAAGGTTGCCATAACCCCATCGCCTGGACTGAGGGGAATTATCGGTTGAAAGCGGAAGAATATGTTACAGCCCAGGCTATTGGCACCCTTCCGGGTGTTGGAGAGATCCTTTGCTCCCTCCCTCCGCGCCTCGCAGCAGCTCTACCGGCCGCAATCCGTCCTCCAACGAACCCTCTCCGCGCCCTCTCCCATCTCCAAATCGACCACCTCGCTCCCCACTCTCCTTTCTCTCTCCCAGGTCCGACACGCTTCTCACGCCTCGCAAGGTACCGCAAACAGACACTCCCGGGATCCAGCCGGAAAACGTCTCGGAGCGAAGAGAACAGGCGGAGAGTACGTCGTCCCCGGCTGCATCATCTTCCGACAGCGTGGATCAAAATGGTTCCCCGGCGAAAACTGTGCAATGGGCCGTGACCACACCATCTATGCCACCGAGGCTGGCTATGTCCGCTACTACCTCGACCCTGAACGGCACTCGGACCGAAAGTACATTGGTATTTGCTTCGAAAAGGAAGGAAAGCTGCCCACACCCCGAAACGCACCCACTAGGCGAAAGTTGAACCGAGTCGCTGTTCACCGAGTTTTTGAATCCGCCGAGGCTCCTGCTCAGTCCGATTTGGTCGCCTCTGTCACTGAAGAAGGCACAATGGTCTCTAGCGTTGGGGCCGAGGATGCCAGCACTGGCTCCCAGCTACGACCCGGATACATGTACCGTGAGGCAAACTGGCAAATTGGTCGGGCCGCCGAGAAGGCTGGTATCACTGCCAAGGAGTACAACAGCAAGAACCGCTGGATGGCCTGGAGAAAGAGACAGGCTAGGGCTGACCGGGCTGCCCAGATGAAGAGCCTGAAGAACAAGAAGAAGGGCTCGAAGAAGGCCAAGGGTGGTCGCTAATCGATACATGTATTGTTTTTCTATTTATCTACCTTTGTTTGTGTGGCGATATGACGGTTTTCCAAGGTGTTTCTTTGTATTATAGAAAGATGACTGCAATTATCAATCCCTTCCTGACTGTATTATGCCTTAGACTACCATGGAATTTGATGTAGATACTGTTGTATTGAGCACTTTTGAGAAATCCAGATGTGTGAACATGGTACTTTTAAATACACCACAGCTACTCAGAAAAATAATAGAACAAAAAGAAGGGGTATCTTCCATATTTCGCCGTATACATAGTGTTGGGGGGGAGACTGATTCACATTCAATAGCCCCATATGCGCCTTTCATCAACCATTTCAAGACAGATGAATGGCCACTGGCCTCAGGCGGGATAAACAAACAAATGAAAAAAAAAAAAAAAAAAAAAAAAAGGGGAAGGCATTATGCTTCGAATAGCCTTCCCAATATTAAGCTCTGAACGACGAACTCATTGCCCACAACTTGAACACTTTTATCCAAGCCAACATCATTGCCATTAATGGAACCCATGAGCTCATCTCTCTTGCGCTTTTTTGACCCCCGGGATGACTGGGCCTTCTTCGAACCCGCCATTTGGGCCCCGAGCAATAAAGACCTAACGGCGTCCTCATCATAGCCATGCACGTAGACCCAGTCCCAACCATTTGTGACGCCGGCCTCCTTTTGCCGATCAAGGATTTCTTTGGCCGACTCTAGATCGGGCACACGTTCTACCCTAGAAGCGCCTAGAGCATATGTTAGGAAGACATACGCTTTCTTCTTATCATCTTGTTTTCCACGGCCCATAACAAGTAACACCGACTGTCTATTCAGAAGATTTGGCCTGCCAGAAATTGTTTCAGACAACCGTGCAGTTGTAGGTGGGTTGGGTGTAAGCATTCGGGACTTTGTCGCTCCGTGGAGATACATTGATTCTCCGGCAGGAAGCAGATACATCTCCCAGTCCAAGATCCGGTTCTGGGCGACACAGTCTTCTACCCAGCGAGGCGAGAGGCAAGGGAGATTGAGAGCCAAAGCTTGCATATATTTCTCGCGACGAGAATGTTGGTCGGCGATGAGACACGCGAATCCCACTTCTTCCGCACTCCTAGTCAGACGCAAGCCTCCCGTGGTTCCAGTTGCACCCGAATCTGGTAACTTTGTCGGGCTGGCAAATGGAACGTTCGATGGGAATTCAAACAGCTCATTGAAACCATCAGTCAAAATACGTCCATCGTTGTCCAGAATAAGTTTCGTTATGCGAGACTTGGCTTCGTCGTTGCCTGAGTATGTGACTGCAAACACCATGCCGGCAAAGATACCGCTATAATAGTGAATACTGCGGGAGAGTCGGGTGCCCGGAGAGGCCGGAGTAGAATGTCTGTTGGATGGTGTCTGAAGTCTGCTTTCTGATTGCACGGTTTCTGAGTCATATGTGAATGTTCGGTCTTTTAACTGATTCCACAAGATAGTATCCAGATAGATGCTTGAGATAGGGACTTTGAAAACACTCCCGGATGTCACTATGCCTCCATTCGGGAGACTCTTTCGTTGCTTTGGCTCCAAGATCACAATAAGATGACCATAAATATCAGTCATTTTGGGTAACCCGGTAACTGAATCGCATAAATCACCCTCGCTGAGCTTATCATCAAAGCCCCGGATAACATGCGGAGCCTTCGGGAAATTAGGCATGTCTACTTTGACGCTATCGCCAACACGCAGTTCCAGCCTCTTCACACCACCAATAGGCACTTCAACCGGATCACTATCCTCGAATTTGACCAGGTAACGCGACTGTGAGACCCCAATTGGCGTTCCAAGGCAAGTTGCAGGGCAATATACGCGTTTCTTTCCACTCCAAGGAGCAAGGACTTGATTTAGTGCGATCTTGATGTTATCAGAGGCTGAAGATCGTTTGACTTTGACAGGAATATCCTCTATAGGGTCTTCATGTGGCTCAGTGTTGGCGTTTTCTTTGTCTCCTGCAGAAGCAATGTCCTGAGCCAATTCCTGCCCATTATGGACAACAGCAGGTTGTGGAGTGGAATCATTTCCAGACTTTTGGACTTGATTAGATTGTCGTTCATGATGGCGAGCCCTTGCCAGTTTCCTGGACCTGGCAGTGCGCGAAACATGGATTTCAGGTGTCTCATCAACTTCCCATACGGTCTCCACTCGTCTGGAAGGTTTAAATCGTCTTTGGAAAGCGGTTCCTCCACCAACCATCGACTCTGTACGCCGCGGCTCTTCTCGCCCTGGATAAATTGCCTGCGGGTTGACGAATTGAGATGTGGTCGAGCGAGGGGTAACCGGAAGTATTGGGTCGGAGGCATATATGTTCTTTCCATCATTTCCGCGTCGCTTTTTTCTTGGGGGGTTTGGGGACATTGAAACAACAGAACTGAACTCTCGATCATCCGCGGTCAGAATACCAATGTCACCCTCAAAATAGCCGGTACCAGCTTGAGGAGAGAGGTCGCCAGCAATCTCAGTCAGCCTTCGACACTGTTTACCGCTAGGGCTGGAAAGTATCTTTGAGGGGGCTTTAGCGGGAGACGAACTCCCTGAACCTGAAGGGCGAGACTGGCTAGCACGTCCATGGTCCGCTGAGTAGAGAGGCAGCAAGTCATCGTCATCTTGGTTCATTGTGTCACAATTTTCACCAGTCCAGGATGGGTTTTGCGAACGGTTTGGGCTGGTCTCCGGGATGCTGGTGGCCGATATCACATCCCCAAAACCTCTTGGGCGCTGAGAAACAGGTGTTTCAGCAATACGAGACGGCACTGATGACGACTTTTCCCTAGAATCAAACCCTAACCGTCTTCCACCGGCCCCTAAAGGCCTTTCGGTAACAGGGTAACTAGACTGAGCTCGACCGCCATCAGGGGCGGATGAAACCTTGGGGAGCTGGCTTGAAGAGCCATGTGAACTGACTGAGAGTGACCGGGTCCGCATAATAGGTTGGTTATCTTGAAGCTGCGAAAACAGTGGGATTCGCTGAGGGGCTGCAGGTGGTGATGATCGTAGTGGTCGCTTGGTCATAGGCGAGGATGCGACCTTCTCTAATTCAGAAGAGGGTTCCACATGGGTTCCACTGGGGTTTCGTGGGAGATCTTGTTCCCAGTGTTGGTTTGCTCGATTTCCTTCATCATTACCCTCATCATTCGGTCGCGGAGATTGCTGAGAATCTTTCACAATTAGTATTTGTGATGATCTTGCAGTTCCATCGATTTCATCCCGGGTGGGACTTCGAGAATGACGGCGAAAAACCCCGGGCTGTTTCGACGACGCTCTGTTGTGACGAGACGGACTCTCTTGCAGAGCAAGAGCCTGAGAAAGGCGATCATGTGCGTTAGTCGCAGCGACAATAGCCGGTGCAGGTGGGCCGTTGTAGTTCTCCTTGTCCTCGACAGAGGAATGAGGTTCCTGTGACTGGGGGATATGTTGATCTATATCCTCTTGCTCTGTCTCTTCTTCACTTGTAGCTGCATTTTGAAAAGCGGATGTTGTCTCGTCATCTAAAGCAGGGGCCACAGAAGTATCTTCAAAATTCCTTGTTGCTAAATTATCGACCGGGGAAGTCCTTTGCTTTTCTGCTTGTTTGCTAGATCGACTCGAAGGCCTTGCTGGTGCAGTTAGACCTGCAAATTGTGCCGAAGTCTCCTCATCGATCGCTTTTTGGCGGCGCAGGCGCTCTACAAAGCTAGAGTCTTTGTTGAATTCACTGTCACTATGATCCTCCGAGTTGATATAGTCCACAGAGCGCGTCATCCGCTCCCCAAGGATTTTATCCCTCTGTGCCTGTGATTCCTTCATTGTGATGTAGTTCATTTGTGACTCTGATGAATCCCGAGGGAATGTAGCTGCTATGTGATTGAACGGCGAGGAAAGGGCTGTGGCTAGCGGATGGCTTTGAATAGGCAAATTGGGCGACGGCCGATCGGACATTGGATCTGACTGCTGATGGTTGACCAGAGGGGAGGATGGAGCCTGTGTTGCCCTGAAGACCTGGCTGAGAGCCATTATGCCACCACTCGACTCTATACTCGCCGTGAGAGGATTTCGAGATGCACAGGGGGTAACAGACGAGAACCCCTCAGGATGGCCCTGCTTCACTGCGGTGGCCGGAGTCTTGCTTAAAAACCGTTGAGACTCAGGGAAAAGATTTGGCTGATAGTGCATTGGAGATGATTCTCCGAGTTTGGGGCTGCTTTGATCCTCGTTTTCATTGTCTTCCGTATTCATGGCATCCGCAGGAGCACTGTCGAATCCAGCCAACAGGTCGATATGCCCACTATCCCCCTCATGCAGCGTCATAATTGTACCTCGATCCCCGACATTGCCAAACCCAACATCCGGGGCGTCTTTGTTCTGTTTTATGATATTGTCAAACACCGTCTGGGAAATGACCTGGGTGTCCGACGGGACGGAATCGGCAGAGCCCATCTTTCCAGATTGTGGCAAGAGAGTGGTTATTGGTCGATCGGATCCAGCAGGCGAATGCTTCTCATTTATCGAGCTTGTAGCATGCTGCCCATGAGAAGGATTTTGAGAGTGTGATGGGGTGGAGGATTTCGGCAGGGATTGGCCAGTGGCCGACACACTCTCATCTGAAGAATGCTGGTTGTTCCGGTTTGCTTTTGAAAGTTCGGTCGCCTCAGACGTGCTTTCAGTAGACTCAATATAATTTATGATCGACTGGGATGGTTCAGTCTCCTGACAAGATCGATGGGAGTGAGTGTTAGTATGATGAAGATCAGAAACGCCACCCAGGGTCATCACTTACTAGCCCCAGCACGACGCGTTGCACCTTCGCGATGTCGATGCTGTCATCTTGCGTGTCCATAGCTGCACCAATCATCTGCAATTCTCAATGCACAGAAATATAATGACCGCATTGTTCAGATGCTTCAGTCCTTTGTCCCACGGGATTCTAGCCTGCACATAGGGGTTACCAGCCATGTCCTCATCACTGAACCGGAAAACGCGAAACGCGTCCATCACGTGAGGGCTTGAGTAATATTGCCTTTTTGGGAATGGCACCAAATCGAAAGACTGATTTCTGGGATGAAAGATTTATAAAGGTAAATGGGAAGGGTTTTCTGTTATATGTCGCATTTTTCATGGCCTCTCAAGCATACATAAAAGGCCTGTTATAGCTTCCAGCTTGATGGCATTTTAAGCACGTCTGCTGGTTTATGTTAGAGCTTCAAATACCATGTTCATTGCTATTCTGTAGATTGTAGAAACTCCAAGCAAATCAGATTTTTGTCTACACTCCCCTAGGAGATACTAAAGTTATATATTCATCTTTAAAGTAATAATTTGACAAGCATCTCCAGAATAAGATTGTTGAATGTAAACGAATCGAGAAAAAGCACACCCAAAAAAAAAAAAAAAGCGCCAAACACCATCCAAATGCTACAATCAACAACCATAAACCATTCAGTCAGGTCAGATATGCGTCTGGGCATGGACATGAGTGATATCAAAGTAACAGAAGAAAATGTAGAAAAAGCCGTGGCAAGCCATTACCGACCTCTGCCTCGTCCACCACCACCACCCATCAACCCACTCATCTGGCTCATCATGCTCTGCAAGTCCATGCCTCCCAAGCCAGGCAGGCCGCCACCACCACCACCACCACCACCTTGTCCCTGAAGCATCTGCATCATCTTGGACATATCGCCCATGCCGGGCATACCAGGCATACCAGGCATGCCTCCTCCACCGCCCATGGCTGCCATGCGCTTTTGCATAGCCGCCATCTGTTGTTCTTTGTTGCCACCCTTGAGCATGTTCTGGGCGCGCTGCATCTGCTTCTTCTGACCACCGACCCGCTTGGCCATGCCGGCCATCATACGGTGCTGCGACAGCAGGTCCTCAACCTCGCGGACAGTCGTACCGCTACCACATGCGATGCGAACCATACGGCTGGGGTGTTCCACGAAGACCTTTCCGTCACCGTCCAGCTCGGCAGCTGTCATGCTGTCGAAGATGTAGATCATACGGCGGAGCTTGAGCGAGCCGTCCTCGTCGTCCAACCCAGCCGTCAGGTTGGAGAGACCGGGGATCATGCCTGACAATTTGGAAAGAGGGCCCATTTTCATTATGGAGGTGATGTTTTCACGGAAATCCCGAATCGTGTAGATTCCCTCCGAGATGTGCTTGTACGTCTCTTTGGCCGCTGCAGAGTCCTTAGTCACAGCTTGCACATGTTCAACAAGACCAGCCATGTCACCCATTCCCAACAGCTTTTGGATAAAAGCCTTGGGATCAAAGCGCTCCAGGTCCATCAAGTGTTCACCAGTACCCAGGTAGATAATCGGGGTGTGCGTTGCCGCGACGGCAGAGATGGCACCTCCTCCAGCTGCATGTCCGTCCGTCTTGGTGATGATGATGGCTCCAAAGTCCGCGGTCGTCTTGAAAGCAGCAGACTGTGCCTCAGCTGCCTGACCGATGGTGCTGTCCAGTACAAGGATGGTTTGGTCTGGGGTCACGGCAGTCTGAATCTGCGTCATTTCAGTGAAGAGGTCCTCTTCCTGCTTGTGCCGACCACTGGTATCCACAATAATAATCTCAAATCTTTCCTTCTTGAATTTGGCGACACCTTCCGCTGCCACAACGGCGGGGTCTGTCTGGGTCAAGCTACCGTAGTATGGAATTTTGGCCTTGGTGGCATTTTGCTTCAGCTGGTCAAACGCACCAGCACGGAAGGTATCGGCACAAACGAGGGCTGTCTTGAAACCACGAGTCTGATAGTGCCGGGCCAATTTGGTACAGGTGGTGGTCTTGCCCGCACCTTGCAAACCCACAAACATGATCACATTGGACCGGCCTTTCTTGGGACGGAACGATTCAGCATGAGGATCGACCAGCGACACCAACTCATCAAAGACAGCCTTCTGGATCGTCCGCTTCTTGTTCACGGCTGGAGGAAGGTTGGCAAAATTCACGCCGGACTTGATAGATTTGCGAAGTGTCTGGACGAGGCGAACATTGACGTCTGCCGACAGCAAAGCGGCGCAGATCTCTTTCAACATATCATCAAACGCCTGCAAGAATCAGTATAAAGCTACATCTAGCGGGCAACCAGAAGCAGAAGAGCGTACCTTTTCATCGAGATTGTTGGATCGTGTCAAGTCATTGACAGCGGCGTTGATTCGCCGCCCAAGATCCTGGAGGACCATGGCGGAAGACTGGGTCGATTAAATGTCGAGAGATATAACGGGGTCGAGCTTCAATAAGCGCCGACTTTCTCCTGATAAATGTCGTCACTAAAGCGATGGAGAATCGGAGTCGTGGATTGCAATGACAGCAATGTTGAAGCAAAAGGACAGCAGAAGCGATGCGGAGAGTCTGGAGTCGTTGGCCGCCAACCAATCGGAGGCCGCGACGGGCTGTCCGCTTTGGAGAGAAAAAAAAAAGTTGAGCAGCAAAAAAAAAAATTCATTGAAGACAACAACCATCGCAGGAATTATTTCACACCGATTGTCGATTCCACCATGGCTCCACACATGAAGAAACGCAAGGTTTTGGACGGCATTAAGGGCCAGCCGAAGAAGAAGTTCAAAAAGCAGCGCAATTATCACAGCAGCTCCGACGAGGCCTCCGACGACGAGCCGACCGACTTCAAAGCAGTGGATCTCGCTGATTCCGATGAGGAGGAAGAAAAGAAGCCAAAGAAATCGATCAAGGAACAGAAGAAGAACACAAAATCATTGGGTTCGCAGAACAAGAGAAAGGCCGAGGAGAGCGACGATAGCGAAGACGGCGGCAACGACGACGATGCGTCTGATTCTGCAGGATCTTCCGGCGCCGATGATGATGAGGGCGATGAGTCGGATACTTCATTGCCCGCGGGCATCGATCGCCGGTCAGTCCCCAAGCGAAATGACCCAACCGCTTTCTCGACATCCATTTCCAAAATTCTGGCCACCAAGCTCCCAACATCAGCTCGAGCAGACCCTGTGTTGTCGCGCAGCAAGGTCGCCGCACAGACCACCGACAATTTTGCAGATGAGAAGTTGGACAGACAGGCAAGGGCCAAGCTCCGGGCAGAGAAGAAGGAGGAATTGGATCGCGGTCGGATTCGCGACGTTCGGGGCATTGACCGAGGCCAGGCAGGAGCCGTGGCCGAGGAGGAGAAGCGACTTCGCAAGACGGCGCAGCGGGGTGTGGTAAAGCTGTTCAACGCCGTCCGTGCTGCGCAGGTTCGCGGAGAAGAGGCGGCCAAGGATGAGAGGAAGAAGGGAACCGTTGGTATGGGTGAACGAGAGAAGGCCGTGAACGAGGTCAGCAAGCAGGGATTCCTGGAGCTGATCAGTGGGAAGAAGGGCAAACCATTGAATATCGAAGAGGCTTAGAAAAGGATACCCTATTCTGATCACGGCATATTCTGGCGTTTAGGAGGAGTTTTGGATTTTCTTTCTACACACATCTAAACCACAAAAAGTTATGCATTCTACACTACACTCTAGAGACGCTAAAATAAATGTAGAAGTAATTTTAAATACCCAAATCATATTATAGAGCTGAGAATATGTGGTTTTGACCTTTTTTTTGTCCTCTCCAGGGCCGATGACATAACAATCCCTCTTATTGGCTTGTTCCATTTCTACTCAAAGTCGCTGGCCTGCAAATTCCTTGTCGACGACGGCAACTTCACCACCATTCCATCGAGATCCTTGTTCATTATAACTTGACAGCCCAGGCGCGATGTTTCTGTGAGGCCAAAGGCCAGGTCCAGCATGTCGTTCTCGTCGTCCGAAGGTTCCTCCATCTTGTCGAACATGTCCGGGTCTTCGACAATGACATGGCAGGTTGAACAGGCGCAAGAACCACCACAGGCACCTAATTGAATCATTTGTCAATAAATAATCATGATCAGAGTGTAGATATCCACCAACCTTCCATCTCGAGGTCGTTGGCTTGGGCGATATCTAGCAAGTTGTCGCCCTCGGCTACTTGAAAGTCGTATTTTTCACCATCCTTATCCACAAAAGTCACATTGATTCTGCGCAACTGTAAGCACATATGATAATTGCCATTCCGCACAAATCATCCCACTTACTCCTCACCAGGCTTTGGGGGTGTGATGTGACCGTGCTGGACTCCGGCCGTAACGGAGAAGGACCGCTGCGACGGCTTCATTCCTTGCCATAACCGTTGCTGTGTCCAAGCCTGGATGTTTCCCCTTCCATTCAACTGGAATCTGCTCGATTGTGCGATCCGAGATGCCTGCAATGGGGTTGAGGTGTTGAGATATCGCTTCGACTGTGACAAACATATGCGGTCCCCGGTGACTACCGCGCGACGCAGGTGTTGACAGGTCTCCCTCCAAAGCGACATTGTGTAGGTGTAAAGGAATAGAAATCTATAATTAAGAATACAACAATTGAGAAAAGAAAAGAAAAGAGGCAATAAAAAAAAGAAGAAGGGCAAAAAAGATAGAAAGAGTCGACGGGTCTCGACTAGGAAGAAGATGGGGAAAAGGAAAACCCGACCGAAAAAAGACGGGAAATTCGGACTTTAAGCTTCAATCATTATTATTCACCTTCTCTCCCACCATCGCTGCAGGTACTGCTTCTCATCCCATTCCACCACGAGCATCATCGACCTCTCTCTTTAGAGATGGCTTCGTCGCGTGAAGGGATCAACCCTTTGCGCCCCTATTATATTCCTCCCTCCCTCGGCCTGTCACCTGCTGAAGCTTCCAACTCCTCGTCCCCTCCAGATCTCGCCGCAGCGTCATCCGCCCAGGTCTTTGGCAGCTCCGCACGCGATCTATTGCCGGATCTCGACTATTCAGACTATCTCGATTCGTCACCGTCGGTGTCGGACTGGATCCGAGATGCTTTGGACCGTGCTGTCTGGCGCTATCTCTTTCTTCTGACCTCTCAACCGCTGGACGTCGCCAAAATCATTTTGCAGGCGTATGTCGTGCCCGATGATCAGGATGGGCAATGGGCAGAGGAGGGGAACCGCCGGAGATCGATTCCTCGTGCTCGCGAAAACATCTATGACGAGGTACGTTGTTGTAATTTTGAACAACAAGAGATAGACAGCTAACGGTGGTAGGACTCGCAATCCTCCGACGATGAGAGCAGTTACTTCACATCGGCAGCACCCACGGCCTCATCCCCCGCGACACCTCGATCTCGAAAGTCTCAACACCATGTCACTGATCGCAGCGGCTACATCCCGCCCCCTGGATCGTCGCCCAGGCATGCTTTGACAATCAAGAACCCGTCGTCCTTGATGGAGGTGCTCGGGCAGCTCTGGTCTACCAGTGGCCCGACATCGCCGTGGAAGGCTACCAACGCGACTTTTATCTACTCTCTGCTCCTCCCCACCTTGAACACCTTCATCCGCAGTCTTCTATCCGCCATCGTGGGTCTACCGGAGGAAGATGTATCATCCTCGATGACGACGGATATTCTGACCTCGGCCTCGCCAATCGCCACCATGGTCCTCTCTTTCATTTCTTCATCTTTGTCCGCTATCATACTCTCCCCCATTGATACCGCGCGCACCTTTCTCATTCTTACGCCTGCCACACATGGCCCGCGATCCCTCCTTCGGGCTCTGCGACTCCTCCCGACTTCCAACTGTACCATCCCCCCTCACCTGGTCCCGATTACCATTCTTCACTCCAGTTTGCCAAACTTCATTACAACCACCACTCCGCTCTTTCTAAAATCCTATCTATCGATTGATCCTATCCTGAATCCATCTGCGTGGAACCTCTTCACCTTTCTCGGGTCAGGCTTGGAACTGGCTGTGCGTTTCCCTCTCGAGACTGTCTTGCGTCGTGCCCAGATTGCCACATTCACCTCTCCGAGTCTACGACAAGACCAGGCGCCTTCCAATCTACGTCGTACGGTTTCATCCTCCTCGTCTGTTTCGTCCCCGGGAGAGAGCTCCGAGATCGAGACAATCATCCCCGCGCCACAGACCTACCGCGGCATCATCGGGACGATGTGGAGCATTGTATACGAAGAAGGTGTCAGCACATCTCAATCAGAAACCGACCGGATCCATGGAGCACTCACAAGGCCCCTGCCACTCCGCAAACGCCAAGGGCAGGGCATCTACGGTCTCTACCGGGGATGGAGAATAGGCATGTGGGGCATTGCCGGTATTTGGGGATCCAATATACTGGGGGCAGTGGGTGGTGGAGGAGACGAGGACGTGATGGTCAGCAGGGGACGATTCTAATCTGAATGTTTCGGCTGTCTGACTGTTTTGTCAAAATCCCCACTCTTATTAAGGAACAAACCTCAAGGACCATACTCCTGACGCCCCGCGAAGGGCTACACTACTGCTTGATACACAAGGACGGCGCAAGGACAATGAATTGGTGATGTATATAATAATCTCGGTTTAGTGAGGTTTTCTTTTCTATTTCGTTTCTCTATTATACCCAGCCCTTGGCGCTTACACGGGTTGGGTTCGGATCATGATTACTTTTTCTCTTCTTCCAGATGGGGTTATAATAGTTTCATTTGAGCAGTTTAGCATATGATGAATGTTGGGACCTGGAGCGCTAATACATACATACTCATCTCTCTTACTCGGATTGAGAATTACTTGAATGTAGCATGTAGTGTATAGACTGTAGATTGATACCATAAGTAGACTGATACTGTAGTCAAAATACCAATAGGTATTCATAGTCAGTCCGTCATCCTATGACCATTATCCCGAACAGAATGCAGTCCATCCGTCCAGCCGAAAGAGACTCTAATAGGGTTGAGCGTCGAAAAGAAAAAAAGAAAACCAAAATCCATTCCATTCCATTCATAGCAATCATAGAACCCGTTTTTTGCGTCTTTGTTTGTTTGTGTTTGTGTTTCTTTTTCCTGTTTTTGTTTTCTTGTTGTTGATGTCCACACCCAAACGCCCCCCAAATCCATTCGTTTTAAAAGCCCGTCTAATCATTGAAAAAAAAAAAAAAAAAGTAAACGTGTACCCATCCTTTTTTTCATTGCTGTCTGATGCCATGATTTGCCTATCAGGGTTCATGCATGACGGACGCTGATAGGCAAATGACCGCCTGAAATCATTCCCATAACGGATGGGAAGTATTAGATGAAGGGGTAGACCTCCATCAAGGATAAGAATAAGAACATAAACAATTGTATATTGTATAATACAAACTCAGACATGCAAAAAGGTCAGGTTTGGGTATCATCAAGAGAAAAAAAGAAAGAAAGAAAAAGAAAGGTGGTATCTGTTTTTATTTGTCCGCGAATCTTCGGTCGAAGTATCGCAGGACTCCCATGACGCTAGCAGCTTCGACTTCCATTGCCGCTCGGGCAGCAGGACGCTCTTCACGGGCCAGATCGCGTGGGTTAGGCAGTGTGTGAAGCTTAGGAAGCCAGGATGAGATCTCATCGCTGGCGCGGGAGAAGTTTGGGTGTCGAGAGAGGGTCGTGAAGGCATCAGCGCAGGAGAGAGTCAGAGAAGGAGATGCAGATGAGGAAGAGTTCATAGTAGGACCGTTCGAGGGTTTAGGTCGTGACATGCAGCATCCGCCGTCGGCGCCTTTACCGCCGCAGCATCCTCCAGAAGGTGTTCCGCTGGCAGACCTCGACGCTGCCAGCGTCTTGCAAAAAAGGGTCCTTCGTGGGTCTGCCATACATTGCGCGCAGGTCCCGGGACCGTTCGCACAGGGGTTAGTGGCCTGGCTGATCGGTGGCAAGGTGACCTCAGAGCGAACATCGCCGTCCGATGGGGGTGGGGTGAACTGAGAAAGATTCTGGATCGGGGCGAGACGGTTGTTCTCAAAAGAAGTCTTGCGACGCTGCTGTTCCTCCTGGGCAGCCATCTCTGCACAGATACAGGGAGTGCCGTCCTGGCAGAAACCACATGGGTCTACGGCCGGAGACGAGATGATGCTCACGTCATCGTCGTCGTCATGATGGGGTTGGGCGGCCGCAAACCGGGAGGTAAAATCGATTTCCATCTCTTCAGGCTCGGGTTTTATCTCCGGCTCCACACGCTTTTGGTGTGATGTCTCTCGCGTTGCGATGCCGGGCATCCCAAAAGCATCCTCGATGCACTGGCAATGAGCCGACGAGCAGTTGTTGCACCCAAGGGGAACACCCTCCTGTCCGTCGTCGTGGCTGTTACTGCTCATGGTCTCCTTAGCATTCACCTGGCGATCGGTGGTGTTTCGTCTTGAGGCGCGTGGGGGCAAGGGCACGCTATCGGGGGTGGCCGTATTCTTTTCCGACAGTGAGGTTCGAAACTCCTTGACAAGAGCCTCCTTAGCACTGCGTTCCACCGAAACCTCCTTCTCCAAGGCATGGCTACGGTCGCGCCACCAGTTGATTTCATTTCGGCATTGTTCGACCTCGCGAGACAGTTCGGCTATTTGGTCCTTGAACTGGGACACGTGAAGATCGTGCTCATCTTCGATTCGCTTAATATCATCCTCGAGCTCATTAACCCGAGCGGCCCGACGTTCTCGAAAAGCTCTCTGTGCCGCCCGGTTCTGCGCTTTGCGTTTCGTAGGGGGGGTGTCTGTAGCGGGCTTGCGGCCAGGCTTAGGGCGTGGGGGGATGACCCATTCCTTGGAGGTAATGGAGCCGGGCGTGCCCGGACCGGGAGAAGCTGACATGGTCGGCTTGGCGGCCAACGCAGGAGCCAGAGGGGCAATTGAGAGAGCAGGCGTAAGAGCTGCCATTGTGAAGATAATAATTTATATGGTGGATTGCTCGAGCAACAAAACCACAAAGGTCTAACTGGGGGGGTTAGTTGGCCATGGTCAGATCTGGCGGTGGGGGAATTTCACCGACCACCTGGGTTGTGACGCCTTTTACCGCTTCGGCCGGAAGAGCGGAAGAGCGCTCATTCGAGCCGTAAGCGAGGGAGACGAGCAAAGGGAAGGAAATGGACGGTGAGGAGGCAGACGGCGACAAGTTGTCCACGAAGAACAATTGTCAAGGGAGGAGGGAGAATGAAGGGAAGAGAGGAATGAGAGACAGACAAGGGGGGAGGGAAGAGAAGAAGAAGAGAAAGTCGAGGTTGAGGGGAAAAGCAGGAGTGGAAAAAGGCATCGGATCAGATTAGATTATCGTGGGCAGCACAAGCGAAAAGGCCCGATTTCGGAGGGGTGGGGCTTACTGTGGGCTGTGATTGGCGGAGGTTTATCAATCTATGATTCTGCTGAGGTCGGGTATTTTTGTATTTATGATTTCTGTATGGGACGGTATGGAATATGAGTAATAGATTATCAGGTAGCTTTTCTCGCAACATAGCGACGACTATGTAATAACTGCACATCCAGCTGATAGGCAGGACTACATCCCGTGTGGCATGTGTTGATGTCATCGGCTGCCGTCCAATACTAGACTAAATTTTCACCCGCCAGGCGCGATGGCCGCTGGATATCATATCAGATAATCTGAGCATCTTACTGATTGATATCCCTGTAGCCCATCCAGTGCGCATCGTAAAAAGTACATATTTACGTGGGTGTAGGGTATTGTTTCAATTATTGCACTTTACAGCCTAACTGGATAGTATGTGTCTGTACGAACAGATTTCTGAATGCGGCATTTTCGACGGATTCGATTACGTCTCCATTTGGACTTTTGGGTCGGCCAAGGACTTACGGTGTATTCCTTTCTTTTCCTTTCTTTTTCATATTATTTTTTTCTGCGTAAGAGATTATCCCCTGACATGGCAGCCATGTGAACCCAGTACCACCACCAACGGCTATCAGGATAGGATGAAGAGGATGATGCCAATCAGCTCAATCAATCAGAATACCAGCATATGAATTACAGTTACAGCATCCCATCCCCAAGTAATCAAGGCCATTGCTTATTACTAAGAATGTTAATTCGGCTCGGATGACTTTCTGCTTTCTCATATGATCTTATCTGATTCTGTAGCCCTGGAACCATTCCCCATTCGGCTATCCGACCCATGGTCAGTCTTTGTTGATCGCCTCTACCAAACCAGTCCGTCTTCAGCTAAAATCAGCTGGTGAAAGATTTTTCTGTCGATGATGATTATCATATGGCACTGGATCAGGATGTTTCTGCCGATTCCGGATCAAAGGGCGAATTCGGCAGTTGTTGGTGGGAATATTGCATATTATTGATCAGATCTACAGGTACAATGTATGCAGTGTCTCTCAACAGACAGTCCGGCAGGACCTATGAGTGCCTACAGATTGATATGCTCAGCTCTACGGGTCTTATGAAACAGCCATTTCTGATTATCCAGTCGGCAAACTCGGTTTCGCACGGACGGAGCAGATTCTGCCTGCACAGACTGTCTCGATGTTTTGGACACTAACGGATGCTTTGTCCATCTTCTCCATTTCAGGCACACTCGATGACTCATTCTATTCAAGGGCTGGTCCTTTTACCAATGCACTGGGATAAACCGTTGTCGCCAGTAGCTCTAGACTCTGACTAGTTTATGTGAGATGGCTGCCAATGTCGGGGATTCATCGACCAAGTTGGTAAAAGAATCCCATGCACGCTGTAGACTTGCGTTTACCAATCCATCCCATCCCATCCACATGGCCGAGGGGCCGTGATCATCTCACTCAAGCCTCCGACATATCCGCTTCCATTGCAGCCATCTCCATATTCTCCAGGCTGTTCATTCCATTGGTCAGTAATCAATAGTCACTCCTAAAGCAGTCAATCGCCACTTTACTGGATCATCTTCTCTCTCCACTTATTCAGAATAAGAGGAAACTGGATTCCGTCACCATCTGACCAACAGGATTGCCACCCCAAATGGCCCTGCATCGGGACTCGCCTCAGTTGAGTATAGAATTTATCTTCTTGATATTGGCGAGACATGTTTAATATGTTCTGTTACTTCTCCATACTTACGTTAACACTTCCGCAATATATATTTTAGGCATTGCTCAAAACTTAGCCCTGTGGGGTGTTGGAGAGCAAGTACTATAGTACCAGATTGCATTCTATATCTAGACAGGCAACTTCATATATTGAGACTAGGCTGGTTGGCCCATTGATCATTTGTCAAATGTCCCCATTCCATTGAAGAGTCTCTAGATCAATCTACTGCTGTGATGAAGCAAATTTCCAGGTCATTGAACAGAGCTACACTGCTACATGCTTAGATAGCCGAGGCCTATCAGCTATCACCATGAGATCACTGCACTATCCCAGCTCAATACCATAAAGACAATATCAATCCAGGAATAACCAAGACATATCATAAACAAAATATCATCAACATGAGTCTATATCTACATTCTTTGTGTCGTCACAATCTGCCCTCCAGCAAGGGCATCGTCGTCCGCCAAGACATTCGCGAGTCGATCTTCAGCTTCAGCTGGACAAACTGCCAGCTTCTCTCCTGCCCGTCAAGGCTTCAATTAACGCATCAACAATGTCCCAGCCTAGCGCAAAGTTAGACAATCTTTCCCCTTATCCTGAACCCAGACTAACATTCTCCAGTATCATTCTCGTCTCACCTAGGAATGAAATCCTCTTAGTCCAGCGGATCAAAACCTCTTCGGCCTTTCCATCTGCTCATGTCTTCCCAGAGGGGGGGGGGGGATCTATCTTCGCAGGATGGCCCTGATCCAAAGAGACACGATGCGATCTGGTACAGACGGGCAGCTTTAAGAGAGCTTTTCGAGGGAAGTGGGATCCTATTAGCTCGTGACACTGCTTCAGGGGCGATGCTCCATGTCAGTGATGCCAAACGAGGAGAAGGCAGACGGGCAATTCACGCCCAAAAAACTACTTTTGCCCAGTGGTTGAAGAAGCAAGACTCTGCAGCAGAGCCGGATACAGGTATACCCCCCCCCCTCTGATTCGATTAAACTACAGTTGAACTAATTTATTGTTAGAAAACCTGATCCCTTTCACTCGCTGGGTCAACCCGATTGGTGTCCCTTATCGCTACACGACGCAAATGTATCTTTACTTCTTGCCCATGGACAATCATGATCTTAAGCGAGACATTCTAAACATGCCAAGGGAGATCCACGAGCTCACGCATGATGGGGGGATCGAGATCACTGATGCTCGGTTCTTGGAGTCTTCAGAGTGGCTTCGAAAAGCTGTCAAGAAAGAGGTCAAACTTTTACCGCCTCAATATTTCCTCGTCGATTTAATGGCGCAGTTCCTCGATACATATACCCCAAAGCCGTCAATCCGTCTTTCTACTCAAGCGACAGCGGAGAAAACTGGCTATATTCGCGCACTCTGGATCGCCACCCTGGACGCAGATGTGTATTTCGCCTACAATCTTGAGGACTCTACCCGATGGGCGGTCGTTGGTGGGATTGGATACCCCTGGCCATGAGCTCGAAGGATCTGATCGAAGAGGCGTGGGTGATCGGGTTGTTTTGGTCCGAATTCAATAGAGATGGCCCTAGTGAGGCTGAAGTTAAATGGAAGAAAGATATTCTGGAGGATGGGAAAGAAAATGGTAGACTTTGATCGGGAGTAATTATTCAATCCAAACCCATCGCTTCACCCTCTTTCTACCTGAATGGTTTTTGTCCCTCTCTTGTATTCAATTTCAGCTACTAACACTGATTTCCGATACTAGTCTCTCGCTAGTAACCAACTAGCTACCGCAACACGGGTTCGTGAAGAACTGCTGTGGGGTGAGATGCATCGTTAATCTGCTAGGCAACGTCTTGATATCGTGGGGTTGTCCTCGCCAGGATACTACAGATGCATACTGCCAGTGACATTTTAGATAATGAGAAATGAAGCGATAACACTCTTTTTCAATGCAATTACAGGAATTGACGGAATCCTAAAGTGACAAACCGTGGACGATCTGTACGTTATGAACCTAATTATCTATCACCTACTCCAAATATTGATCTTTATAGCTACAAGCAAATCCAGCAGCGCCTTTCCCCCGACGATGACCCTCGAAACGACTTTCGCCGAAGCGTCTATAGCAGTATCACAGGTGGGGGATCCGGAGGGGTGCCGATGATATTCGCAACAGACTCAACCGAGAATCGAAGACATCGATTTGTCTCGGGTCGATTTCTGAACACATGCGGACTGGTCGACCCTGGCGACTGGATTCTGACGGTCCATGTCACGGGTGGCTTTTATAGATCGCTGGACCTACTGTCGGAGATGTTTGAGAGCGCAGGCGGAAGTGTCCTTGCTGCAGGACCGACACACGATGCCCGTTCCAAATGTCGTCGACGCACTTATCAAGTATCGTGTCAATGTCCTCAGTGGTGGGAGTAGTCAGATCTTACAGGTTATCAGCTACATTACCTCCCTGGAGCAGGAAAAGCGAGATGCACTCAAAATCAACAAGATCATCTTCACTTCCCAGGTTCTTGGTCGTCCTCAGCGAGACTTTATCCGATCCGTCTTGGGCCCGGTGAATATCTGTTCGGTGCTTGGAAGTGCTGAGGCTGGTCCTTGGGCGATTGCCAATCTAGCACTCACCGGGGAACCGGGAGACGATGCAATCGAGTACATCTACGATACGCGGAAGATGGTTATCGAGGTGCTTCCGCTCGAGGCCACGGATAGCAATTCTGCTCAATATTTGACAGAGCTTCCTCAAGGCAGTGTGGGCGTTATCGTACAGACTTCCCTACAGCGTCTGAGAAACCCCCAGGTCCGGTACATCACTGGCGATGTTGAATCTCTTTATCCGTTGTCTGCTTCCGTGAGAGACGCTGTGCCTGCCGAAGAAGCGCCGTACTTGAGAATGATCCGGGTCTGCGGACGTGATAAGCGTTTCAGCTTTAAGTGGGTAGGGAGATACTTCGAATTCCACACCATCAGGGAGACCATGCGCACCAGCAACTGGGAAGTTCTGCAGTGGCAGCTTATATTGAGTGTTAAAAAGCCATCGCCAGAAATGATTCTGGAAGTTCGCCTCTTGCGTGCCGCAACTGACAACCAGAGTTCCGAAGAAGAATTGACTGAGAAGCTCAAAGAGGTATTTGTTGTTGTTCGCAACAGCGAACATCTGTTCAAGGTCACTTTTGTAGGAGATGATCAAGTCTCCCTCCTTCATCCATTCAAGGATTGCTTCTTACCTGAAGTACAGGGCGTATAAGAAATAATCCAGTCAGCACTCGCGAAGCATTCCACGACGGATGGTTCCGAACAGGAGACGTTCTCAAGATGGACACGGATGGTTTCCTCTGGTTCCAAGACCGCCAAAAGGAGATGATCAAGTACAAGGGGCAAGTCAATCTCGTCGATCAAGCTGATCCCTCCATTTACACGCTTTTTTTTTTAGAAACCTAATCGCCCCTGCGGAGCTGGAAAATGCTCTCTCTGCACCCCCAGACGTTCTCGAAGCTGCTGTTTGCGGCTACTTTGATGAATCGCAACAGACGGATCTTCCCGTTGGATATGCCAAACTCAGGGATACTGTGGACGTCACCGACCGCGCTCGCGTCCTCGCAGATATTAAAAAGGGCATGGACGATGCTGTATCCCCAGTGAAGAAATTAAGAGGTAGGCTGTTTTATCTGGCAAAGTTGCCTAAGAACCCGACAGGAAAGATCACGAGAGCGCATCTTCCAGCTCGCTTAGAGGCTGCTAAAAAGAGGGCTGCAAAATTATGAGCATCCCAATAGAGATAGGTATTCGGTTGAGTTTACCAAAATTACTATATATAAATATAGTGGTGTATATCTGCATGTCATTCCCTGTCTCCGCTTCGTCCGGCAGTTTTCCCACTCACGCTAATTCAACAACTTCAAGTTCCCCTTCTGATTATCTTCAAATACTTTGGATCTTCAGTCGATCAAATTCTTCCGATACCCCCTCATATTTCGTCATCCCCGGATTCCTGACAGCTGCCACGCGCAGCACCACCGCAAGAATGGGCCGTCTTGATCGTTTTTTGCGTCGCGTCCATGCCAGACAGAGACATCAACAATCCCCGCCAGGTTGGTCTTCTTTCTTTTATCATGCCTCGACTTGTTTTCTATTATATTTATGAGCTATTCCCTCCCTCTGGTTCATTCTCTCTTTCCTGTGTGCAGCAATATTGAGTCCTTGGACTACTGGGTCAAGCTTGCTTGACCGTCCATTCCTTATGGTATTCTTCGTATGACCTCATTTGATTGATCTTCTATCTTCGAGATACCTTAAGACGAGTGGCAGTGCCAGAGTCGCATTTCGTATCTTCCTCAATCATTCTATTCCCGATTCACTCCACCATGGTACCCTTCATTTATTTACTTTCTCTATTATTCGCAGTCTCTGTTACCGCCCAGTCAGAGCCAAAGAGTGTCTTTGCCCATTTCATAGTGAGATATTCGCCCATGATCCATGACGCCATCTAACGCATACAGGTGGGCAATGCGGCGGCCATGACGGTTGAGCAGTGGGAATGGGACATTATTGAAGCCCAGAGAGCTCATATCGATGGATTCGCTCTGAATATCGCCCAGCAAGATAGCTATACTCAGGATGTTCTCGACAAGGCTTACTTTGCAGCAGAGAAGCTGGGGAACTTTTCTCTTTTTCTCTCTTTTGACTACCTCTCAGGAGGACCATGGCCTACAGACCGTGTCGTTACACTCATAAACACGTATAAGAACCTACCGGCGCAGTTTCACTACAAGGGAAAACCATTGGTGTCGACCTTTGAAGGAGCTGGAAATACTGGGGACTGGGCATACATCAAGGAAGCGACTGGCTGTATATTCATCCCCTGCTGGACGAGCCTAGGACCTGCAGGGGTGGCCAGCATAGATGCCGTTGACGGCGCGTTTAGCTGGGATGCCTGGCCCACCGGGGCAGAAGACAAGGATGCGACAAGTGATGAAGCCTGGATCAAAGCCCTTGCCGGCAAACCATACATGATGCCTGTTTCTCCGTGGTTTTATACGAATCTTCCTCAATGGGGGAAGAATTGGCTTTGGCGTGGTGATGATCTGTGGCACTATCGCTGGCAGCAGATCATGGATTTACAGCCGGATCTCGTTCAGGTATATCAGCCTTGTCCGTCTTTTGCATGCTGTCTTATTGACCTCTTGCAGATTATCAGTTGGAATGACTATGGAGAAGCACATTATATCGGACCCATCCGCGAAGCTGGTATTCCCGACGGGGCCGCTCGCTATGTTGATAACCGTTCCCACGATGCATGGAGAGCTCTTCTGCCGCACTACATCAATGCCTATAGAACGAAAGACACAGTCTCTGTCAATTCCATACCCGGAGCTGTCGCACCTATGTACAATCCCAAATACCCAATCTCCTTCGAGGAGAAAATCACATACTGGTACCGATTGAACCCCAGCGATTCTGGAAGCGCTGATGGTACAACCGGCAACAACCCATCCATGGGCCAAACACCAATGGCCCCGGGTGAGATCTCCCAGGATCGGATCTTTGTCACTGCGCTGGTAATGGAGCCGAGCGATGTTTATGTGCAAATTGGAGAGAATTACCCGACCGTCCTTCAGGCTTCATCCGCTGGTATTAATCACTTCTCTATTCCTTTCAATGAACAGACTGGCTCTGTTTGGCTGGCGATTGTACGGAATGGATGGGTGGCCGTGGAAACAGTTGGGCCTGCAGTTACCGAAGAGTGCGAGGATGGATCTGTCAATTGGAACGCATTTGTTGGTTGCAGTCACGAATATACGACATGGTAGCTATTTTTATGATATCCCATTTGCGAGTTTGCTTCAAGTTTCAACCTAAATGACTTGTTCCTGCAGTGCCGATCAGTCACAGGCACAGAATGCGATGACGTCGTCTCGGCTGTTGAAATCGAGATGAATTCAATTAAACCAACATAGAATAATTAAATTAGTCCTGTAATTATAGAAGTACAGCTATTCACTATGCTCCTTTTCTCTAATCCGCACCCATCGTCCGCATCGTTATTGATGACTGAGATCTCACGGTGGATCCGATCGCCGATAAGCAGAGCTCAGCTGGACCCCCAAGCGAGGCCATTCCGCATCTCCAAGTCAACCTGCATCCCCTCATTTCTCCTCACCGACTCTATCCAAGACGTACTCCCCTTTTGACATTAGATTGCGTCTTCGTTCATATTCATCTCTCGTCATGGCTAGGAAAACCCTCGTTGACCTTCACAATCCCAACATGGCTTATCGCTTGTCCAACTCCACCCAGCTCCCCGAAGCTCATCAGCATGCTCCGGCTCCTTCTCGCCCGTCTGCCAACGACAAAGACGACTTTGCTCCTGAAAAATATGCCAAACCTTACTGCGAGTTCATGACCGCGAATCCGACTATCTTCCACGCCGTCGATGCCTTTAAGAAAGAACTCGAACAAAACGGATACGAGGCCCTCTCGGAGCGCGACGTGTGGACGTCCAAGCTACAGCGTGGTGGAAAATACTACATCACCCGCAATGACAGTGCCCTAATCTCGTTCTCGATCGGTCAGGAGTACAAGAGCGGTAATGGTATGGCAATTGTGGCCGGTCATGTGGATGCTTTGACGGCCAAGTTGAAGCCCGTCTCCAGTCTGCCTACCAAGGCGGGTTTCCTCCAGCTCGGGGTCGCCCCGTATGCTGGTGCTTTGAACAAGACCTGGTGGGACCGTGATCTCTCAGTCGGTGGTCGGGTTCTCGTCCGCAATGCTGAAACTGGAAAGGTTGAGACCAAGCTGGTTAAGCTGGACTGGCCCATTGCTCGCATTCCCTCTCTGGCAGAGCACTTTGGGGCTCCCGCTGACGGGCCCTTCAACAAGGAGACTCAGATGGTTCCTATTATCGGTGTTGATAACTCCGATCTTTTCAAGCAGTCGGAATCGCCTGCGTCTGACAGTGGAATCAAGCCCAACACGTTTGCGGCTACACAACCGGAGAAGTTGGTCAAGGTCATCTCCAATCAGCTGGGCGTTACGGATTACAGCTCAATTCTTCGCTGGGAGCTGGAGCTGTTTGACAGCCAGCCGGCTCAATTGGGTGGTTTGGAGAAGGACTTGATCTTTGCCGGTCGGATTGACGACAAGCTTTGCTGCTATGCCGCCCACGAGGCACTTTTGGCCTCCGACGACAACACATCCAAGGGCGTCGTGAAGATGGTCGGAATGTTTGACGATGAAGAGATCGGCAGTCTTCTCCGCCAGGGTGCCAACTCCAACTTTATGAGCAGCGTCATGGAGCGCATTACCGAGGCCTTTTCGCCCTCGTATGGACCCAATGTGCTGTCCCAGACTGTTGCTAACAGCTTCCTCGTTTCATCGGATGTCATCCACGCCGTAAATCCGAACTTCCTCAATGTTTACCTGGAGAACCACTCTCCCCGTCTGAATGTCGGCGTGGCGGTCTCTGCTGACTCTAATGGCCACATGACGACAGACAGCGTCAGCCACGGTTTCATGCAACGTGTCGCCGAACTTTGTGGTTCTACCCTTCAAGTTTTCCAGATCCGCAATGATTCTCGAAGTGGCGGTACCATTGGACCTATGACCAGCGCCCGTATTGGTATGCGAGCCATTGATATGGGAATTCCACAGTGGAGCATGCACAGCATCCGTGCTACCACCGGTAGCTTGGACCCTGGCTTGGGTGTGAAGCTGTTCAAGGGCTTCTTTGACAACTTCGAAAAAGTCGACAAGGAGTTTGAGGACTTTTAGATATGCTTGTTTTTTTGAACCTTTTTGCTGTGGTGAGCTGATGCGGCTTTTTTTATGAAATAGCTATAGCGCCTTTGGGGAATTTGAGTTCTGTTTTTTTCTTACGCCACTCTTAGCTGCTCGCAATTGATAAAAACGGTTATTGAATCATTTTTTTTTTTTGGACTTTTTTTATTTTTTATTTTTTTGGTTCATTTGGTTGTGTTTCTAACATACAGTACACCCAAACCGGCGCGCATTCCAGATATCCTCCGTGGTATCAAAATATGACATCGTTATGTTTTACATATAATAACGAAAAGGGGTAAGAAATAAACAAGAATCTACTAATGATGGAACAGTGTGATCTGTGTACTTGGTGTCAGTCAGCAACTGAATCTAAATGGGACCAGCAGACACGTGCAATGGACCTACCTCTCTTCCACTGTATAATAAGGCTGCCAGCAGCACACTGACACTATCGTGAGTTATCACTTTTACATTCTGTGGTGATGGTTGCCTGGTAGCTCTTTTGGAAGTCCCTCGACATGGCCGTGGCGTTTTCACTGCCAGGCATGAAATTCAGTTTTCGCTCCGCGTCGCCATATTCGGGATCTTCGTGGTGTGTTATTGTTCTGGATACACCAGTGCCGGTCCAGTACGTCGGTGCACGTCCGTGAAACTTGGGAGAGTTGCCGTAAGTGTTGCTTCCGCTACCGAAGGTGGAGAGAAGGTGCGGCATGATACTGGACACAAGAGGACGGAGAGTAGGTAGACAGGCGCAGATGATTCCGACGTTGCACTCAACAGCGGACCAGGATGCGGCGCCGACGTTGTCGTCTGTTCGGTCAGTTTGGCATTTTTGATTGAATGGTACCTAAGTGGCTTACAGGTTGGATCGGCCGATTCGGAAATCTTTTTCAGAGCGACCAAGCGGCAAATGCTGGTCACGCATACACTGGATCAAGGTTAGGAAGGCGTAACGCAGAAAGACTGAATAGGAAAACTCACAAGCCACCCAGAGCAAAGATGGTAATGAGGACAAACCTTTGCTTCCTGGGAAGAGCAAGTGTCGCCAAAGCCGGGACGGGGATGACAAGAATGGCAATATCAGTGCTGATATGCATGGCTGCGTTGGAGAACCACAGTCCTTTACTGCTCAGGCAGAATCCTTCAATCGAAGGATCCCAGAACTTGGCGACGGGAAGACAGTTGAGAAAGGCGCTCAGGACACACCATGTCCCATATATGCCCAGCATTGTGATCATTGTCCAGCATACGACACGCATGTATTTTTTTGATGTGAAGAGGTGGAAGTATTGCATTAGGATGGAGGCTTTTGCGCATAGCACGGTGGCATTATAGAAGGGTATGGTGATCCAGAAAGCCTGGGACGAGCCAAGTTAGGTGGAGTCCTCTTGGGGAATGCATAGAAGCTCACCTTCATCTGAGCCATGAGGATCTCGGGGGGGATATCAGCTATATGCATTCCCATTCCGTTGACAACTTCGACAACATAGAAGCCCATGAAAACGAACGAGTTGATCTATCTCAATTAATATCGTCGATCGGTTTGGGGATTCACTCCGCGGATCGTGAACTCACCAGCGCAATGACGATCATCCAATCATTGGGTTCCATGTGCCTCACCAACTTGACCCGGGTATATAGACGAGCGGCGACGAAGCATGTTGCCAAACAAGTGAAGATGATACTGACAGCCAGGCCTTGGGTGCCACGAGTGGTGCGATAAGCTTCATGGCTGCCCCGTGGGAGCATCGCATAGGAGTCTGGCATGTTGGCGATCAACAGTTGCTACTAACCTGCTCTGATGAAGAATGAAGCGTTTCGAATTTGAGCACAGCCAATGTCGAAAATCTAGGCATGCACGTTTTAACCCTCGACTAAACCCTATACACTGACCACATCCCTGAGGAAGGTAGAGAAATCGATCGAGTTATAACCGTTTCGTCAAGATAAAGTATACAAAGGGAGGGGGTTAAGAGAAACGGCCAGGTCTCGTGAAGAAAGAGAGCCCTCGCTGCATGTTTCATTGCGTCCCCGGGTTTGCGGGCCGATGCTAAGACAGGCGACAAGCAAAGGGTGTAAAAAGCAAGGGAGCGCCAACATAGCTAATCAGAGACTCATATGAATGTGCCCACAGACAGAGCCCATTTTTTTTATTTATTTTCTTTTTTGCCAAAAGGGCGTGCACTATGTGCATTGTCCATTAAAGGGCTGTTAACAGGGTGGGAAGATCCTTGGATAGGGGATCTCCAAAAGGGACGTGGGGAGGCACAGCCGGAGTCACAGCCAGCTTCAGATCCCAACAGCCCTAACTCTGACAGGCAGATGGGCGAAAGGTCACGGATCAAGTCACGGACCCGATGCGGCGGACGAGAGGCTTTGTCCGTGCAGTTATCTACAGACAGATGATCTTCAAAGCTCTGAGGGGTGGCCAAATGGAGATGTATCCAAAAGGGGCCCTTCTATAACTGCATACGATGCATATATGTGCACAATGCCTATGTATTACATGCACCACGGCAACCATATCCTTGATCCGCAGCCTCCAGAACGAGATGGTAAGTGTATATTAAGACGGAAAATGACTAATTGGTGACATGCCTCCGCACTCCACAGTGGGACATTGAAGGACGATGTAGCTAATCCTATCCTGGGAGCCGGGAAAGATGGAGGCGCCAACCGTTTAGTCGACAGTATGATGTTACATGAGATCCTTTCTTGGCTCATTTTCTCCTCAGGCTTACAGGTCGACCTCCTTTTGACATCATGATTGGCTTTTGCATTATCTGTGTGGCTGTCTATAATCTGTACGTTCCTGGGAAAGGGGGGTTGGAGGGCTAACCAAGAGAGGAGAACAACCCTTGTCCCCAGACCTTTTGAGAGAAAAGGGAACACGATTGAAGACAAGATGAGGTCAACAATCACCCGACATTGAATAAAAAAGGAAAGAAGATTTTGACTACCTTACAGCAAACTATCCTAGGGAGACAGTCCCTCGTTAAGCTCATCGCACGGAACGGGAGTAAGGGATGATGAAGGGTCCAGGGACAGGGTTCTGAAATCCCTTTTTGATTTAAATTTTGGTCGATAAGAGATTGTGGGTGACAGAATGGGATAAAGATGGGATAGATCATCTTAACGAGGGGATACAAAGTACCATACATGCGGATGGATGGTGAATCTCCGAGTGCTCCGTGGCTGCCTGTGTATAGACACAGTGTACTCCATCAAACAACATCAATTGATTTGTCTATCAAGGATTCAGTCCGGATCTGGTTTCAGATCATCTTCTACGGCAGTCACTCACATCGATCTGATGGTCTTCCATCCCAAACCGAACGGATTTATTCACGGAGTCGAAAAAGGGGCAGGTTTGTACCCGGCATACCTATCACATTTGCTTGCATCGTGGCTTTTGGGGTTAACTATAGAGTACAGAGTAGTACAAATAGAAGCATTATTTTCAATTAAGATGCTGCTATCGTACTCTGTTTATTGCGTGGTAGCAAGGAGAGCTGGAAACCATCATTATTGACGCTCTCTGCCATAGTCACGCTTCGCTTACCAGCAACTATCCACCGCCACCAATGGCTAATAATGGCTAGCTAATAATGAAGCTATGTCGTCAATCCTCTATTAATACGAGCTGAGGCTATTGGTATTTTTATGGATTTCCGTTCAATGTGATACCAGGCTATGTCGATAGTCTATACACAGGCCTGGGTATAGGCCACGAGATGTCAAGTCTTCATGCCACATGGCTGTCGTCTGGAAACAATAGCTTGTTTTATTTGTCACTGGTTGCTATATTCAATCTGTAGTTATAGCTACTCGAAGTGAGATGATTGATTCTATATTAAACTCGCTTCTACCTTCATCTTGTCGATTTGTCACGTTGGTCTGTCAGTTTTCTCGTATACTGTCATTTGCAAATGTCGAATCGATTCTATGTGTATAGCGTAGATAATGTGATACTCTCCAAGATATTAATTGGCTGTATGTAATCATTTTCTGGGTCTAAATGACTGATATTTAGTTGTCGATTGCCTCGTTGTATATAGTACCTTGTGAGTTCGCTGCAGTGAGTTGAATATCACCCCAATTCCACAATAATCGACATCAAAAATAAATACATCGCTAAATAAAACACCCAACCATCAATCTATCCTAAATTTAACCCCCATCTTCATCCCTATCCTCATCGCATAGCATCGCCATCTCCATCGTCATGCCTGATAAGCCGATAAGTATAACGCACAGACCAACTAAAAAAAACCCGCGAAATCACGATTCGAACATTTCTTCAACTTCCCACATTCACACCATCCCACTCTTTCCCCTCCTTTTACCCCCTCATATCCGTCATATTCAAACGCGAAAATGGCGGACTCTACTACCCCTCCCAAACCAGTCAACACCATTGTTCTCGATGCCGGTCCTATCTTGAAAAATACCCCGCCGCTATCCACCCTGCTCGCACAATGTGAGGAAATCATCACCACCCCCTCCGTTGTTAGCGAAATCCGCGACCCCGACGCTCGCATGCGTGTCGAGACTCTCTACCTGCCTTTCTTGAAGCAGCGCTCTCCCAGTCCCAAAAGCTTCAGTATTCTGAGCGAATTTGCCCGCAAGACTGGCGACCGCGCGGTCCTCAGTAAAACCGATATCGAAGTTCTGGCGCTCGCCTACGAGATTGAGTGTGAGAAGAATGGCGGTGACTGGAGACTGCGAAGTGTTCCCGGACAGAAGCAGGTGAATGGAAAGCCGCCTGCCAAGGTAGAGGAGAAGAAAGAGGAGTCGACCGAGCCTGCGCAGGAGGAAAAGAAAACCGAAGAGGTGGACGCCATCACGGAGGACTTGAAGACAACAACTTTGGAGAATGGCGATGCTGTTTCGACAGAAGAGGAGTCTCCTGCTGCGGACACTGAGGCGGAGCCTCAGGCCACTGAGGAGGAAGAGCCCCAAAATGAAGAAGACGAGGCCGAGTCGGATGGAGGGGAATGGATTACCCCCTCCAACTTGAAGAAGCGGCAGGCCCGCGACGAATCGAGCGCTGCGTCTGCAGCTCCTGAGCCTAAGGTGATGCAGGTTGCAACCATGACCACTGACTTTGCGGTTAGTAGATTATGCCAGGATCATGCTAAGAACCATATCAATACTGACAATTTGATAGTGCCAAAACGTACTGCTTCAGATGAACCTGAACCTTCTGTCAACGACCACTCTGCAGAGGATTAAGCATCTCAAGTCCTTCATCAAGCGCTGCCACGCCTGTTTCTTTACCACCAAAGACATGAACAAGCAGTTCTGCCCTCGCTGCGGAAATGACACCCTCACTCGCGTCTCCTGCTCGACCGATGCCAACGGCCAGTTCAAAATGCACCTGAAGAAGAACATGCAGTGGAACAACAGGGGCAACAAGTACAGCATCCCCAAACCCATCCACGGCACTGCCAGCGGAAAATGGAAGGGAGGCGGCGGCAAGCAGGGATGGGGAACCGACCTTGTCCTCTCCGCCGACCAGAAGGAGTATACCCGGTCTCTCACCGAGGAGGGCCGAAGACTTCGAAAGGAACGCGACCTCATGGACGAAGACTACCTGCCTGGAATTCTGACTGGAGAGCGGAACAAGCACGTTGGCCGGACAAAGGTCGGAGCTGGCCGCAATGTGAACTCGAGAAAGCGCTAATCGCGGTCGTTCTCTGCATTGGCTTGGATTGGCGTTCTGGCACGAGAAGTTTCATGACCTTTGTTTTTTTCTTTTTAATGGTTGGATGACCTGATGGCTACGTTTCTTTGGGTAAGGCTATGCATATAGGACATCTACAGGAATAGGATATAGACGATAAAGCAATGTCAAAAGGTATATTGATCACCATGCAAGGTATCACTGGCTTGGAGCTTACAGTATCACCTGATACGTAGAATCGACATCCCGAAGTCAAAGAAAAACTAAGAACAGATCCAAACATAGTCTTTTGGCCATCTAGAGACCGCACAAATAACACCATTCGCCAATAAATGACTTGATATAACACCCCCGTATATTCATTTTGCCTTGATCTTTTTTTAAAGGTTCAACCCCTTACAGCTGCGCAACTTCCTTCTCTGCAATTCCACACATTAGCCTCCAGCCAAATCACAAGACGAGGGGATGTATCGTACCAGGCTGCTGGGTCATGAGCAGACCGTATCTTCTCTTGAGAGTAACACGGTGTCTATATTAAAAATGACCCGCATTAGCTTGAATCCGTTCCGTAGTTTCCTCACTATTCAGACACCAACGCACCTCGAGTACTTGTCATCGGGAGAGAATCTGGCCGGGTGGGCAGACTTGGTGACCTCGCCATTCAAGACCTTCTTGAGGGTGTAAACCCGCTTTCCTTCCTTGTCAAGGGTGTACTATCATCCATTTAGTATTTTTGTCGTTGCGCCCTAGCATTGGATTGGGATTGGGGATTCGCGATATCAACGTACCATAAGATGCATCCTAGTAATGACAGGTTAGCTATGGCACATACACAAATTCAAATGAGCACATCACACTTACTTGACGGTATTTAATCGAGACCCGGGGGATTAGTATTATTTGTCCGTCCTGAGCTGGTGAATTCGTTGGTTGTTCTTTTCGATAAGTGGAGGAATTTTTTGCGGCAGAACGAAGAAGCTCGGACCACCGCCGGGGATCTGCTGAGTCAGCCGCAACCCTTTTTTACCTGATTTCTTCCCAAGCGAATTTTATTGCCGACACTTTTTCTTCTTCTTCTCATCGCTCGACGATGAGGAATAATGAGAATGAACGGTTCCCACGGGATTCCAAGATGATTTGATCGGGTTTTCTACACTGCTAACTGCCAATTGTATTCAAAACTACCTATTTGGATATTCATCTTCCTGACATCGTCTTGAAAAAGATTTTCTGGTAAGCTTCACGACTCCTGAACACATAGCCCTACCGCACGCAAGCTCGCTTGCACTTCTTCGGTGATGATGAAAAACTATACCCAATCCTAGGCAATGGCACTTTGATTTCTCGCTGTTCGTCGATGATGGTAGTATATTGACTACAACGGTATCTGAGAAGAAGCTCGCATCATGCGGTGTATTGTTATGGAAGCGAATGACTCGTGCTGACTCTTCCCTTTAAAGTATTAGGATCTTTCTGGATAGATCAATAATGATTCTGTGATCATGGCCTCTCAATCTCAAACTATGTCAATTCCAAATGGTGGGCCTGAGGCTGCTGCCCCTAAGGCTGAGACCACGTCAGACAATGCACGTCCAGCTCGCCGTCCTCGGCCTCCAAGACCCAATTACAGACAAATCCATCGTTTCCCTCTCCCCATTAGTGTCCATCCTCTTCCCCCCCTCATTCCTCATAACCCTCTTTCCATTGTCACTATTGTTCTCTCGTATTTGACCTACTTCATCTCCCCTGCCCAACAAGATGTCTATTCTGCCTACTTTGACTCAGCTACTTCCTCGGTTCATGTCACTGATGAGAAGACCATGCGAGCGTTGTGGGAGATGGGCTTCTTTGGTAAAGGAAGTTTGAGTAGAAGTGAGCCCAGCTGGCTAGAGCGGGAAAAGAAGAGGAGGGGATTGCTGGGTGGTAAAACAAGTGAAGAGCACACGTCGCAGAGAAGAACCGAGCGGCGTGAGCTGAAGCTCGAGAGAGCTAGGATGGAGAAGAAGGCTATCGAGGAGAGACTGAAGGCGGAGGCTGCGGCTCGGGAATCTGGTGCCACACCAGCCGATCCAAACTCCGTGCCAGATGGTGCTACTAACGGCACGGCTACAGAGAAGTTTTCCTTAAAGAAGGCTAGGGAAGCCAGACAGCTGGAGTCCCAACGCTCGGTAGAACAAGATGCGGAGAAAGACGCACTCGATGCCTCGCCTGGTAGAAGAAAGTCCATTGGCAAAACCGTACGATTTTCCCCTGTTGTTCAGGAGAAGCAGTTCCTCGCCGATTCGTCCGTGTTACATCTACCAGAAGTGGTCGTGGACGAACCCAAAGCCGAGGAGGAGCTTTCCTTGAAAAATGAAGAGCACCTTCAACTATCAAATGAAGAAGCCTTTTTCCTCGTGTATGGGCTCGGTGCCCTGCAAGTCTTTGACCACCAACAAAATGCCGTAATTCCTGCTACATCTCTTCTTTCACTCCTTCGCCGGCATTCATACCACCCGCCTCGAGAAACCTCGTCGGGCTTGGAGCCCGATGATACGTTCATTACCTCCTACGTCGTATACCACCACTTCCGATCTCTCGGATGGATCGTGCGCTCCGGTGTGAAATTCGGAGTTGACCATCTTCTTTACAACCGCGGACCGGTGTTTTCTCACGCTGAGTTTGCTACCGTGGTTATCCCTTCGTACGACCACCCTTACTGGTCTGAAACCGAAGAGAGGCGAGAGCGCGCCGCCAGCAAGCAGGCACGCAGCTGGTGGTGGCTTCACTGCGTCAACCGAGTACAGGCGCAGGTGAAGAAGAGCTTGGTGGTGTGTTATGTCGAAATACCACCACCCTCTTCGACAGAGGAAGACATCGGAGCTCTTCTCTCGCGGTATCGTGTTCGGGAAATGGTCATCAAACGATGGGTTCCCAATCGGAGTCGGGACTGATCGTGATGTTTCTACTGTACATAGTTGACATATCATCGGGCTTGAGTTGGAATATTCTGTTGTAAATATATGTAACATGATCATGAGGCATGAGAAATCAATACCCTGCTTTTGAACAAATATCTTTAATTATAACTCAAAGACCAACGTGACTAGCTTTGGACTGCTGCCTGATATCTCAACTTCCACAGTTGTGGCATTGGGGATATATACGTTCCATCAATTTTTATCCAACTTCACACTGGCTCTGTTCGCTCATTAGCACCTCAAACATACATCTTGCCCGAACCCTTTGAAGCAAGAAGACATCAACAAAATGTCATCAACCCCGCCCAACCATCCCCGAAACATTCTACAACAACCCCCAGGATATCCCCAATACTACTTCTTCTACGGAACGCTCACAACACCCCAAACACTCCAAAGAATCCTAGATCACACCGAAGAACCCACCCTCCGCAAAGCCCAAATAACCGGCTTCACAGTAGCCAAATGGGGCGATTACCCCACCCTGATCAACAGAGAACAAAATGATGAACAGGAGCAGGAGCAGGTAATTTCCGGATATGCGTATCTGGTACAGTCGGATGAGGAGGCGCAGAAGCTTGCTAGTTATGAGACCAAGGCGTATATGGTTACTTCCTGTTGGATTTGTTTCGTGGATGGTGAAGAACCGGGGGAAGTACGAGGGAGAACTTTTATGTATGCTGGGGATGCGAAGGCTTTGCTGGAGCAACGATTTGATCGGAAGCTTTGGGCTTTGCAGATGGGTGGGAAGTTGGGATGATGGTGGATGAGAATAGTCATCTCAGATAGCTTCAGGTTAGGATTATCTTTGCAGGTTACTCACGAGGGTATGCTGTATAGTATATCTAATCCCTAGTATGATGTCTGCGCTAAATTCATGTTTAGATGAATCTGATCATCCGTCTGTCTGCGAACAAATCGCTATTTTCTTCATATATCCAAAGTTACACTCTCTCGGCCTTGCCAGCCTTTTCCAACAATTCGTAATACTGGTCGACGGCCTGCCGCCAGATCGAAGCACCAATTTCTTCTGCCTTACCAAGAAATTCCTGGAAGGCGACCTCCCAGCCCTCGGTGACTTCATCCAGGAGAACTCGCCCAGGAGGCAGTCGAGGATGTTTGGCGGACGAAGCGGCCATCAATCCACCAGACTCAACAAGAGGGACGCTTAGTCTATATTTCCAGACGACCTCGCCATCAATATAGAGCGAGTATGTAAGAACAGAACTGGGCACCTTCGCTGGCGTCCCAGACGGAGTATCGATCTCTTCGTCATAATTGGCGATGTCGATTAAACCGTACTTGAAGTTCCCAGTGGGAGTGTACTTGATTGTAACATCTTCGTTGTCTGTCTGTTGGTAGGTCCCCACAGGAATGTAGAACATACTCAGTGGGCCAACGCTGAACTCATGGAGACCCTCGCCGGCACTATTAGGGGCCAGCTCGTCAGGGGTCAACCCCAATGTAGGATCGGGGAACCGAGTGGCCCCGAACTCATGGCGGTCGCCGCTCAACATGACAATGCGGACGCCTAGCTCTCGCTCAGCACGCCACATTGCCTCGAAAACAGTGCGGCGTTCATGCAAGAACCCGCCCCAAGTGTCGGCGTTGCCCACAGGCCAGTTCTTGGTCATGGGCACGCTCGATGCAACAAACTTCCACCGAACCTCAGCAGGTTCCGGGCGGCCTATGTACTCAAGAAGGGACTGCAGCTGTGCTGAACCCAAGATGGTGGAGTTTGCCTGCGAGGGTTCCGATCGGTAGGTACGCGTATCCATCATGAAGAATGAAGCCGGGCCGTTGATGAATGAGAAGTAGGTGGTATTTTCGGGCTTGGCAAAAGGCATAGGCGGAATGGGTGGGTTCACGCTGACGTGGTAGTGTACATACGGATCAGCGGCCGCCGGATATGGTGCTGTGGTGTTTCCCTGAGACCAGTCGTTCGCAATTTCATGGTCGTCCAGCGTGTGAAGCCAGGGGAGGTCAATCGCCGGGCCGTCATTGGGAATGGTCCACGATGGCGATGAATAGACGCGGCGGTATTCGCTGCGATAGTGAGAGATGGAAGATCCAAAACGCTGAGGAACATCGATATAGATGAAGTCTCCAAGGAACAGCATGAAAGCTGGCCGGAATAAGGACGGAAGCTTGGCGATCGTCTCGGACATCTGCTCAATACCTGGAATTCGCAGAGGATGAGAGAGCGGATTGTACGGAAAGTTTGCCTTTATGCAACTCGAAGTCAGGAAACTAAGTCGGGTGGCTGATTCCGACCCTGGGAGGGGTGCTGTAATGAATGTTCCCGTCATATTGTTGGACAGGGAGTAGCGGTAGGGCGAGGACGGCTTCAAGTTTTTGAATGCCACCTTAGCCGTGAAGTCAGACGTATCATCAAGAGCATAAACGATTCCTTCTTCGATCCATTTCGCGGCGTCCGCTTCATGGTTCGCTTCCTGGTAGTAGACGTACAGGGGAAGCTGGGCCGGGTCAGGCTCACGAACGAGCAGATTTGCAGTAGTTGGCGAGATATAGCCGATACGAGAGATTGCGGCATCCGTGCTAGGATATAATACCAGTCCTCGTACGAGAAAGTCGAGTGTGAGAAGCGAAACGATGACATTAATGAGAACCGTCAAGCGCGTCGACCATGGCGACCTAGCAGATGGCAGGCCTGTCAATAATGCCTTTATAGCACCAGGGCCGCCTTGGCCTGATGACTTCCGATTTTCTGTATGGATTTACATGAGCACTCCATAAATAGGAGTAATGAATATGAGATGGGACCGTACTGGAGTCTTGATCTTTCCCGCCGTTGCGACCATTGTTGCCTTGTCGGATGAGGGATGGCAGTGTTGAGAGGTATACAGCCAACGAAGTGAAGACTATGGGTGGGAAATGATGACCGGGAATCTGGAGCAATATGTTAGCAGCTGTTTAGAGGGAAATATATCATCAATCTCATGATGACGCACCCATCGTAAGAAAAGAAAGGCGATAAGCCGGATCGTTGCGGAGCTTGTCGCAACGACAATCCGTGGTAGGGACCCCATGACTTGCAATCGGAGCTATCAGACGATGTATCTGCAGCTATAGGTCAATCTCTGATCATAATTAAGTCTTTTCTTCGCGTCCGAGGATGAAAAGGAGATGGAGAGGAGGCGAAGGATTACGGCAAAATAAAGCGGTGTTGGCGGCGTTGTCGGCGGTGATGGCTATGACGACATGGCCGGCAGCCAAACAGACGCCTTTATTATTAATGCGCATTGCTTTTTTTTTTTTTTTTTTTTTTTTTCATGGATGGCAATGTTGGATTCATAAACTGAAAGTTGGTTTATTCATTCCAGTGTCTCATATGGTGTTCGTATATACAAGGTAGTATCATCAATATATACTCCGTACCAAGACAAACAACCTTCCCTCTATCGATTCATCATATCCCGAATCACATTCATCAGATTATTGGCCATGGGCCCAGCAGTCAGCACTTGTCGAGCTGCAGCGACCACTTGCTTCATGTGCATGCTCAGCGACATCTCTGCCGCCCATTGCCAGGGCTTCTCTCGCTCCCCCGGCTGGGAATTGAAGTACTCCCAGCCCATGACGCCGCCAAAGTTAGGAAATTGCTCAACCAGCAGAGCCAGAATCGGCCCGATCTTCTCTCGTGGTACGTAGCCTTGCGATCCATTGCCCGGGTTTGTCAACAACCCATAGACTACTCGTTGCGGGGACCATCCCTGCGCAACAATGGCAGCATACATGCGAGGATCATCGGCTGGCCCCCAACCGTTGTAGAATTGGGCGTTATACCAGCTGATCTTTGACGCCCGTTGTTGTTCCAGCTGTCGGTAATCAAAGCCGGATAGGTTGCCCATTCCCAAAAGTGCGGCGGCGACTGGGGCCAGCGTTATGATAAATTCGTCCCCGAGATCCGACTTCAGCCGGTCGATAAGTCGGATGACGCCGGCCAAGGACATGGACTCTTCTACATCGAGGTCCATCCCTTCCAGTCCATGCCGCCGAATCATAGCCAGCAGAGGTTGGTAGAACAACTCGAACTGCTCCTCACTACCATCCAATTTCTTAAAAGTACCCGGAGCTGCTCCCCCCAGCATTCCCATGACTTTGACACCGGCCTCCTTCACCAGAGGCACTTCTGCCCACAACGCATCATGTAATTCTTTCTCTGGTGGATCATTGTTGAGGGTAATATGTCCAGGGTCTGTATTCAGGTGAAAGGCAGCGATGATGATGTGGGTGATTCCAGTGTTGTTCTCCACCAGCGGCAGCATCGAGACATATTGGCCTCCATCGCGGATGGTTTGGTGGTAACAGACCACGCGGTGTCGCGACAATTGTCCAGAAACAGGAGGCATGTTTATTGTAGGAAAGAGGAAATAAAGGCCAGGTTTGCTTTTTGATAGATGCAATTTAGCATCTCGATGGAAAACAGCGGGGGGTTAACAGTTCGTCTGACTGTTGCCCCGCAGATCAGCCGTGCGAAGATTGCATTTCTGGTTGCGAAGCTGTTGGAAGTAAACCAGCTTAGATGTGAATAGCAAAAATGTGGCCATATGATACAGAAAATTATAGATATTATCTTTGATAAATGAGACACAAAAAAGAATCATCAATGATGGAAGAAAAGAGCAAAAAGAATTGCAAAAACCAGAGGGTCGTGATAGATCGCTGACTAACCAGACAGGGCATTCACTGCGACGCTTCAACACCCCCAACGTCCTCGCACTTCCTGAAAAAGCTTCCATTTTTCAAGCTGTCATGAGAAATACTGCTGTCACCATGCTGTATGCCCTCCATCAATGGCCAGGCTACTCCCTGTCATGAAACTGCTGGCCGAGGACAGCATAAAGACAATCGCACCAGTGAATTCATCTGGGGTTGCCAGTCTGCCCAGCATATTCTCCATCTCCCACAATTTCCTCAAACCTGGGACCTCTTCAAAGTTCTTCTGGACCATAGGGGTCAGAATGTGCCCAGGACATTGCGAATTTACTCGAATTCCATGCTTTGACCATTCCATGGCCAGGTTGCGAGTGAGCTGAATCACGGCTGCCTTGGACGAGTTGTATACGGGGCAATGGAGCCCTTTGTTGGCAATGAGTCCCGACATGCTGGCTATGAATACGATTGACCCGGAAGTTCCACGCGCCATCATCTGCCGGGCAACTGCATTGGCGGACATGAAGACACCGGTGTAGTTGACATCCAACATCTCTCTTGCTTCGGCGGGGGTGTAATGCAATGCTTCTTTGATCTTCTGGATCCCTGCTGCGGCTACAAGTCCATCTATCTTATTATGACTTGTTGCAATATCTGCCACGGTTCGATCGAGCTCCTCTTGGTTCCTCACATCGATCTGGTGATAGTACAGTGAGCCCTTGTATCGCTTTGATAATTCATGTGACGCCACGAAATTAGGACCAGGGTGAGTCAGTCGATCAAAGCAGTGCACTGTGATATTGTCAAAATTTGTCACCTGCTTGAAAAGAACTGAAGCAAGTTACCATGGGCACCGCCTTGCATCATAGCTTCGGCCAACACTAAGCCCAGTCCACCTCCACCTCCTGTGACTACATACACCTTGTCACGGAGGCAAAAGTCTGGATATGGTTTTCTCAGTGCTTCCATGATTGGCTTCTCACTCGAGCCTAATTTGGTCTGGGGTTTCGAGGGAACGGAAGAAGCCAAGAACCTTCGATTGCTAGTGAATGAGGCCATCATTCCATAGGCTTGAAAGGCTGCTGACAAGGTAAGAATACCAGAAAAGCGTGCAAATCTGGTACCATGTCTACCAAGGAGTATAGATGGGTGAAAGATGGCCATTGACGCCAAGTATACAATGAAGAACTGATTGTATAGTTTAGATAACCTTGATTGACATGAACTATCTTCTATCTTGATATATTGCCGGTATATTATCTCATCAGACAGGAACCTATGAACTTCGTGCTTACAAGGTCACAGACGATTGTTCAGATTCCCTCGGTTGATTTCTTCTGGGCCATGGCGCTCTACTTCCTCACATTCATACTTTTCAGGCCATCAATCAGAAACAAAGCAGAAGAAATGATAGGCAAATGAAAGCTTGACTTGTTTCACAGGCCAGTTACACGAGAGACAGTACTTAATGTCAGATGACCTTACACTTGTATAGGTAAGACGTCAATTTGACATCAGCCATGATTTGGCTGTAAAGCCAAATCTGTAAATTGGCATTCCCTCTTAACGCTGCATAAATTCTTATTGGATTCCTAGTGCATTTTCGTTCCAAGATGAACAATAATTGAACAGGCCGAATGTATCTGGAATGCCCCAGCATATAGCCAGAGGCAAGTCATACAAATCGAATGATGTGAGGGTGACATCGAATCGCAGCTCGGCGAATTCTCCCACCAATAACTAACATTCCGACATGGTGGTATCAAACCTTACCGGTTGTCCCCAGGATCTCGAATTCTCTAGGCGAGGGACACCCATACTTCTATCTTGCGAAAGAACGAGATCGTATTTTATCGAAGGAGGCTGAGTATGGTTTCGTTGATGCCCTTGGGTATAGTATTATAGAGGCGTTTATGAGTCCCAGTCAGGACTACATAAACTCATGGATTCTGCATCTTTCATGGCATAAACTCGAGGTAGAGTATTGAAACTTAGCTAGCACAGTTTGACCTTGGTATAATATATCAGACCACTCGCAATGCAGCGATCCTTCTTCCAACGTTCCACTACTGTCTTCTCGAGTATCCGTGGGCTCGCAACAGCGTCCCATCCCAACCCAGGCAACTTTGCCAATCGCCCTAGAGCCGAGCTCTCCCGGATTGGACGTAAAGGAGGCCGGAAGGGAGGAAAGGCAAAAGGTGTAGGGGGATTTCACGATATGGATCCCGAGAAACAGGTATACTTCAATACCTTTCAATATGATTTGCTGAATACTCAACTGACACTTTCAGCATGAAATTGCTTCACGAGGAGGTCGTGCAGCCAGAAAGGTTGAGAAGGCGAGGGGAGAACACGACAGGTATCATCCTCATGGTCCTACCTCGCTGCCACCAGAGTTTGACAGGGGATGGGTTGTATGATATACATGAATTTATATAATAAGATATACCAGCAGATAGAATGAAGGAATGTATAACTGATTGACCAAGAGAAGAAGAGAAGATGAAGATAGAGAGTATAAAGTACAATACCATACATACGGTATAATACCGCTAAACCCCATCGAGACTGTATAAACACCCTTTTCTGCCTTACGGATAAGGCACCAATCGCGAGGTCTTCCACTTCCGCTTCTCCCAGGCTTCGCGTTCATTTCATCATCGCTCTACAAATCCCCTTTTTATTGTTATCGGTTCTGCCTATTAACTTTCCGTGGACGGACTGTATTTATTCCAAAAAAAGATGCTCCCTTTGGTGGCGTGAGCATATCTATTGCCTTCATTTGCATCAATCGCGTTCCCCTCGCATTCTCGAAATCAATAATTGTTCATTATGGCCAACACGGGGTATTCCTCGCCCTTCCCCACGTCTCACGACACAATCGGCGCTTCTACCCTCGCGACACCTCTCTTCATGCCATCCTCTCCTCCTGGCCCTGATGATGCGCTCATGGATTCCCCCGACCGTGCGAAGAGCCCTGTGCCGAATCGCGTCGCTAAGAGGGATAGCTATGATGACGATGCGCGTCTGCACAGAGCCGATTCGCCTGGTTCATCCAGAGCGTCGTCTCCAGATAGAGCTGCGAAAGCCCTCGACGCGCGCCTCGCTGATTACAGCCTCGATTTTAGCAAGTTCAACAGTGGTCTAGACGACAAGGATGACGAGCCCCTGCCCGAGTTGAAATTGCGGGAGGAGGATAAACTATCTGAAGTTGGTGGTCCTGAAGATTTCACTGCGAATCTGGAACGATATCTTATGGGCGACGATGATTCATCTGTGGATCTGAAGGAATTGGAGATGGAGGCACAGCAGGAGGAACGGGAGGAGCGACGAAGACAAGAGGAGCAAGAGGAAAAAGAGGAGAAAGAACAAGAAGATGAACAACAGGAAGAGGGGGAGCAAAAGGAGGAACAGAAACAGCAGCAAGATACTTCCAAATTACACCAAGCTGCCGTCGAGGATGAGCCGGAATTGGGCGAATACAGCGAATTTGGTCCTCCGATCGACATGTCAACCCCGTCTCATCTCCTACACAGAAACGCCGGACTCGCAAAAGACATAACACACCTTGAAAATATTGAGGAGGACCCGGACGATGAGCCTGACACAGCAGCGACACCATCAGTTCGGAAACAGAAGACTGTTTTCAACAATGACAAAAAGGGGACAGATGACGAATTGCGCCGGCAGATTGCAGAACTCCAACAAGCAGTGCAAGATCGGGATGAGCAATTACAGAGAAATCACCGACGGTTCTTGGAAGCAACCTCGGCGGCAGAGCAGATCAAGCACCTTCAACAAGAATTACAACGGAAAACGACACACCTTGACGAGCTTCATGAGAAACGTAGCGATGAGGCTCTCTTGCGTGAGCACATTCAGACTCTTCAGAAACAGAACGAAGAAAAAGAGCAGTTCCTACAAAAATCCGCCGTTAACACATCTGATATCACTGCACTCCAGAAGCAGATCGGTGACATGCAGAAGGATCTGCAGAGCCACAATACATTCGGGGATTTGGACTCGGAGAGACTAGACACAATCGCCCACCTTCGCGAGCAGCTCACACTCGCTCAAGAAGTGACTCAGAAGCGGGATGTCGCTCTCGAGGAAACGATCGCAAAATTGAGGGAAGTCACGACGTCTAAGGAATTGCAACTTCGAGAAACGAACACGGAAATAGATGGTCTCAAGGCGCAAAATGACGATCATCTTTTGTATATTGAGAGGCTGGAAGCAGACATCGACCGAGTGAACAAGGACTACCAAACTCTCGAGAATCGTATTGATTCTCTTGAAACCAAAAACCGTCCATTGGAAGAAAAGAACAGCACACTCGAAGCCGATTTGACGCGCGCCCAATCCCAGATGACCGCACAAGAGAACGCTCTCAAGGCAATGGCCGCGGACCTTCCGATTGAAAGCGGGGGCAACACGTACACGGAGATCCTAGAATTGATCAAAGACCTGGGCCATGGTGACATGGAAGACACAGTGGAAGGTCTTCCGAAGGTTAAAAACTCAGGAGATGGCGAGATTGAGCAGCTGCGCCAAGAACTTGCCAATCTGCAGGCCGAAATGAAAGAAATATCGTCCAGACGGGACACATTGGAGGCTGAATTGACACGCTCCCAAGAGCAAGCTACCGAAGCACAGTCACTTATCCACTCGATCGAAGGTGAAAACACCAGGCTGACCAAACGGGCTGATGAACTTAAGTCCAGCCTAGATAAGAGCAATACTGAATTATGCCAAACAAAAGAAGGCCACTCAGAAGCTCTAAGAACCATTGAGCGCCTTCGGGAGGAAAACAAGGTCCAGCAACCCAGCCCTCCCCCATCGCCACCAACAACACGCGACGTCAATCAGAAAGCAGCCGCCCAGGAGGAAGCGCACCAAGCCCAAATCGAAAGCCTGCAGTCTGCCCATGCCACGGCTATCTCTACTCTGCGTACTTCTCATGCCGATTCCAACCGCAAACTGCGCAATCTCCTCATGGCAGCCGAGAAGCGAGAGTCCAAGTTAAAAGCTGACCTCCAGGCTATGCGCAACTCACAGTCGGCTCGTGATTCCCGGATAGAGATGCTCGGCTCCGAAATTGAAAGGCTTGAGTCCGTAATTGCCGCCAAGGATGAGACGGCGGCGGCAATGGACCAGCACATTGCCCGCTCTATCGAGAAGCGCGAGAAGGAGTGGGAGCGTCGGATCGATCTCCTTCTCAAAGAAAGAGACCGCATGGGCAAGGCTCTCATGTGGACTTGGGGCGAGAAAGAACTTGGGGATACCAAGGAAGATACCGTAGGAGAGGATGGACGATGGAAGTCCAAGCAGGCGTATCGGTATAAGTATGCCCACCCAGAGGAGTGAGGGGAAGAAAGTATAACCTTTTAACTTTTGTTTGGGGGTTTTTATTTTAACACGGCTCTGTTTCGGGTGTGTGTATTTTTGCCAGGTGCACGGGGGCTGGTTGCATATATCTCTGAGGGTATCATGGATGCGAATTGGCGTTTGCAGGATGAATGGGCGTTTGTCTGTCTTAGTATAAACTGTTCTTAGGAGGATCGGTTAGGGAAATAAATATGAGGACTATCAACTTTATTTCATTATCACATATAATATTCGATTTAACAACATTAGATAAATTGACATGGTATCATATTTTGACAAAGAAAAGAAGAAAACAATGTGCTCAAATCAAACCCTTATTTCACTGCCTGACCACAAACGGCAGACTATCCTGATGCGAGTATGCATGTTCCCTTGCTCGCCATTCCACATCTGACCTAAAACCCATAATTACTTGTCCGGTTGACGCCTCGATATGTATGCTCATTTATGAGATTCCCAGTATCCTCGGACGAGTGGTGTCCCCGGGATTCATCGACAGACGCCCGCGACTCTTTGATGCTATCCAAATGAGAACAAGAGGATCCGAGACCAGCATATGTACTGCTGCGAGGCCGTCGTGTGCTCGAGTAGATGATTTCCACATCGTTTCGACGCGGGTAGGGTGCCATCTTGCGTTGAGGCTCGTATCGGCCGTAGTGAGCATGAGGGTGGTACTGGCTTTGCGTGCGGGGGATTTGAGACTGCTCAAACTGGTACGCCTGGCTGTGCCTTCTGCCTGTACTGTAAGGCCGGGTGTTGTGACGTCTAATTCTGTCAGGCTCGGTTGAGGGGGTCCTGAAGCTGGGGCCTCGGGCTGGATGGTGTATCATTTGGGGTTGTGGAGCAGACATGTAGTTGGGGTGATGCGGGTGGTGAGTGGAGCGATTGACTGGGATTATGTCTGCAGTGCTAGCTTTATGGACCCTGAGTGGTCCTGGGGGAACAACCTCTGGGGCGTCGGCGAAGTTGATGGTTGACAATCGTGGTTGACTGTTCTCCAGGTGCTGTACTGTCGGATTGCTTTCGAGTGGAGTACTTTTTGTAACCACAGGGACCGGCAGTGGTGGAGAATCAGCCCGTATTGATGGTAGCTGAGAGGGACTACTCTTTGGATCAGAGGCTTTCTCGGCTTGTTTCTCGAGATCGGGGTGGTTCTTGGGGTCGGCAAGGGCGAGGATCTGTGGATCTGCTGACAGAGGTAGAGATAAGGGAAACGTCTTGGGAAGAAATCTCCGGAGCGAGGATACAGAGGATTTGGCTCGCTTGTGGCTGAACTTGGCGGGAATTGGCGGAACCTCGGGGGCAGGTAATTCTGCGATGAAGGGGACCTGGAAATTGAAATCGTTGGGGGTTCGCGAGGTCAGGGTCGTAGAGGTGCGAGAGATAGGATTGGAATTAGTGGCTGCCAAAGACGCTCTCTCACTGGGAGAGGTAGATGAGCCCCGCACGAATTCGGCATTTTTCGAGGCAAAATTTGTATTGATTCTCAATTGAGGCTTTGGGTGAATTGGGGTAGGATATTGAATGCACGGGTTATCATCCGGTTTTTCCACAATGGTCTCATCGCCTGAAGCCCAGTACAAGCCCCGTTGGTCATATGGAGCATCAGGGCGGCGACAGAGCCAGAGGATTTCGTTCTTTATAGTGTTTTCGCTATCCCAGCTTGAGTTCGAGAAGATGCTGTTGTCACGGGATGCTTGTTGCTGATTATATACTCTAAATAGCGATATATCGTAGGGATGATCGCACAGTTCCCTCGAGCAGAAATATATGCAAACTGTGACACTAGGGGCTTGTAAGTAGGTGTTTTCAATCCATAGGAGCATCTAGGGCTTACAAAGATAGAACAGAGACTATCACTGAGGCTCTGTAAAGGCCACAGCTGACTCCAACTTTCCAAAAGCTCCCACTGGCATCATCAGGGAGACATGGAGCCTGTTGTGAAACAACCACCAGGCCTGCGACACTGGCTGCCAGCCATATAATGACAGTCGCCCGTAGAATATAGGTACAGGCGGTGACCAGGATAGCCTTTTGACTTGAGAAGACAGAAGTCTTGTGATACTGCCAAGCAAGCAGACTGTGTAGAGAGACAAGTGGTACGGTGAAAAAGGACTGGGCTATAGTCAGCAATGGAAAACAATTAGGATCGGACGAAATTATTCATACCGCAATGAGAGCTAGAATCAAGCCCGGAGTCATCTTGGAATCCACATGCTTGTTCCCGTAAAGATAAAGAACCAAAACCCATTCGATGAGCGACTCTAGTAGCAACACATAGAGAGAAATGAATATCCCAACTCTTGTCCAAGATCCACCTTTTTTGGAAATGCTTGATTTGTTAGCCATTTTCGGGTCCTTCAGATATGCCAACGAGCTGGTTCGCAGCTTTGCCGGAATGTTGACTCTAAGAGAGCATCCAGCTATGGGTGAGTGACAGCTCGAAATATCAGGGTCGGCTTGTAGAAACTGAAGAATGATGCTCAACAGAAGAATGTACTATTAGATTTCTCTGGATAAAGTGGAATATACACATGCTTAAGAGAGAAGAGAATCAAAAAACCAAGATCCGTCACAGGACTAAAAGGGATATGTCATTGGCACCTTGAGCGCGTTCACGCGGAAGGAAGAGGGGCAAGAATGTGATAGCAGGAGACATCATCCTAGATCTTGTGCCAAAGAATTGGCGATAAGAAGGATCGACGACCTTCAGGGAGATGTCATTATTTGGAATGTCAAAGAACAACCCTAAGACAGGAGCAGGCAGTACACTCAAGGAACAGAGGTTGATTCCCTGAAGGTGAAAGAGTTTCCTAATGACTCATCAGGCTGTTAGCAAGATCAAGCCTATAATATTAGGAAGGGATGACTTCGACGCCCAAGATCTGAGGCCCCCTGGATTGAGCGACTCCTACCGCCGCGTGGGGATGACACTGTCCGACAAGGAGAGCGATCGCATTGAGACACGAGAGTCGCCTACACGAATGCAGGACGGACTCTAGGGTCGCTGCCTACGATGAAGCTATCCAGGGGACCGTGTCTCTGTGTTTTTGTCAATAATGCAGGAGACGGAAGAGGAAGAAAATCGCGGGGGACGAAGAGAAGCAGGCGGTCCAAGGGCGGTACACGTGACCAGCCCATGACAAAACATTGCTTGACAAAACACCAAAGGGTGTTTCTGTAAGGAAGGAAACATGCTGGAATGGCTGCTCTACCGTGTTTATCCTCCTGTTTTATGGTTTCCTATTTCATTATCGTGGAAAGGATTGTTCCAATATGGAGTACGTCTAGACGATTCCATCTAGGTGAGTTCAAAGGCTGTACAACTCTGATAAGCCTTTAATTATTGACAAATGTGACAGTATACAGGGTAACAAGCCTATCTGAGTCGTTTTTTTCTCTTAGCCATCGTTCAATGACAACTTGTGGAGGGACATTGCTCAGCACTTCAATTGAAATGTACTCCATCTATCTTCGCTTCAAGAGGCCGTGATATTCTTTACAAATCGGATAGATTAACGGTCTTGTCCATGTCGATCCTCTTGGAAATCTTTCTGAGGATGCAGTAATTGCTGAGGACGTCTCCAACTGCTTTGGTCTCAGTTCAGTTGACGTTGACGGATGGTGATGATTTCCGCGCTACAAGGGCCCAGAATAAGTTGATCTACATTTATATTCTTTACAGGCTCACTGAAGACTCGAATATGGTTGAAGCAAGAACTGATGAATTTATTTTCTCTATAACCAGCCTCTATACTAAAGCCTACTTACAGCACTGCGATGCATTCAATCTCCACATCCGTGTTGAGGGGCAATGTCTTGACCGCAACGCATCTGAAAGATGTTAGCATCTCATTCATTCTAGACATCGGAATATCAATAAACATACGTCCGGCATGGCTTGACGTCTCCCCAATACTGCATATAAACCGAGTTCATGTCGGCAAAGTTGTCCATGTCGGACAGGAACACATTGACCTTGACGACCTTGTTGATATTGGTGCCGGCTTCCTCGAGGATATGGGTCAGGTTCTTGATACATTGGTGCTGTGTTGGAGCAGAGTATTAGCTATGAATATGGGTTGAGAGATTCCTAGGTGAGTACTAACTGTACGATCCTTGATGTCTCCCTCAATCAATTTGCCTGTGACAGGGTCCATCGCCACAGCACCGGAGCAGTAGACGACTCCATTTGCGATAATGGCCTGGGAGTAGATTCCAGGTAGAGGCTTGGGGGCCTTGTCAGTGAGCACAGGAGTTTTGGTGGCCATGTTGAAGTATGAAGCGAATAGATTTGGATTGATTGAGTAGGTATAGAGGAAGAAAGAAGGAGAATGAGGGAAAAGCAGAGAAGAAAGACTTGAGCATCACCTCCTTTGCGGGGAAGTAAATGCGCAGCGATAAGCGATAGCTGATCTCTGGTATCGATCTTCATCCCACGTCGGAATTGGGGTCGTGTTCCAATGGCGTCGCAGCAACCCCTCTTTTACGCTGCAACGATGCATCCGCGACTCTGAAGTAGACCACATACAAAGGCCCTGTTTGACGACCGTTGCATCTGATGCTCTTCGCTTCCAAATTATTCTCCAACCTACCCCGCACGAGCCCCTTTGCGATGGTACTTGAATAGTATTAGGTACTGATATGACTGTAGGTATCTAGTACAAATTCTCTACGCTTTGCTAGTAGGAAGGAGTTTATTAGATAATAGTAGATATAAAGGAAACCAATTGGCTGAGATATACAGAATTAAACATGGCTTTTCGAGGGGAAATTATGAAAATATCCGGAACTCGTTATCGTCGGGCGTCGTACTCCAAAGCGTGGGGGTTGAATCGATGATCGGAATGCAGCAACCGCTGAGTCAAAGCTCCAGCAAGGGATACAGGACTGAGAGAGTCGAGGTTATTATTCAACGAAGGTGTTTCCGTTTCTCTCGTCTTTTCGATCTTGAATCAACCTTTCACTTACTACCTAACCCCTCTCATCCTTTATCAACAGTCACAATGTCAGTGTCCCACGACCCTCAACCTCCATATCCTTTGCATGCCTCGGTCAAGGACAAGCTGGATCCTGAATATGTCGAGTTCTACAACAAGCACGTAATCAATCTGCAGCAGGTTCACCTCCAACCGGTGAGTGCGTCGCGAACAAGCGGTGTTCTGATCCCGGGTGGTGGCCCTCTGCTCGAAGTGGGAAACACGCAGGATATCGCCATCAAACGGAGAGCCACTGATGGCCCGGATATCAACATTCGCTGCTTCACACCTAGTGGAGAGACACCGGCCGGTGGCTGGCCGGTAATGCTATACTTCCATGGTGGTGGATGGGTGTTGGGCAATATCGACACTGAGAATGTCGTGTGCTCGAATCTCTGCAAGAGAGGCAACTGTGTTGTCGTGACTGTAGATTATCGGTCAGTCTACATTCTTCCTTTCAACTTAAGCCAAAGAAACTAAACCGGAGAATAGACTGGCCCCCGAGAATCCCTTCCCAGCCGCCGTCCATGACTGCTGGGAAGCACTCCTCTGGCTGATCTCCGACGGCGTCTCAGCTCTCTCCATCGACACGTCCAAAATGGCCACAGGGGGCTCATCAGCAGGCGGAAACCTCGCCTCTATCATCACCCACAAGGCTCTAGCTCTCTCCCCACCCGTTCACTTTCTGACACAGCTCCTCTCTGTCCCAGTGATGGATAACACGGCCACGGTGGCGAACAATGAAGCGTATCGTCTCTATGAGAACACACCAGCCTTGCCCGCGGCCAAAATGATCTGGTATCGAGACCATTACCTACCTAACGAGGCTGATCGGGTGAACCCAGAGGCTAGTCCGCTGTTCTACAGTGATGACTGGTCCCTATTACCTCCAGCATTGATCATGGTTGGAGAGTTGGACGTGCTGCGGACCGAAGGCGAGCAGTATGGGGAGAAGCTCCGTAAGGCTGGCGTTGAGGTGGATTTACAGGTGATGAAGGGAATGCCTCATCCTTTCCTTGCTATGGATGGAGCTCTCAAGGAAGGCAAACGGTCGATTACGTTGATGTGTGATGCTCTGCTGAAGGCATTCTGGACCAAGCCCTAGTTTATGTCGTACTATCTAGAGTGAATCTAGCAATACATATTGATTCATTTGTCTTTTTTAACAATAAAATCAACAGTAGAGTATCTACTGCCATGCTCGATGTATAGAAAATATGTTCGTTCAGTGTACCCAAGTATTTACAAATAGTATCTCGAATCGCTATCACAGAAGGCCTACCTCCCCCTACCAGCCAAACTTCTTTAGAGTATTTTCGTCATCCACAACCTTGCTGTACAGATCCTTTGGGTTACCCTCAGTCATCGCCCGCACGATATCCGGAGCACCCTGCGCTGCATTCTTAACACCATAACCACCCGTAAAGTTGGCACGGCAGTAACTTGGCGGGGTCGAGAATCGGTCTCCTCGGCCAGAGTGACGGCATCCACGGCTGTGAGCATATTCAAGGCCGTCTTGTTACTACGATAGACAGGCAAGCCGAAAGATTTGACTTTATACTCGGAGGTGGACGAGTAAGCAATGCCAATCAGGCCTAGGCTGCTTGTTACATTGATGATGCGACGGTCATGGTATGTAGAGGAGCGCAGGAGTGGGAGGAATGCAGTGGTCGCGACGGTCACCCCGAAGACGTTGGTGTCAAACTTGGCTGCGACAGCGATGGAGACATCGTCTGTGAGATCGAGGACTAGGGGTGTCAGGGCTGAACTGTCGACGGTGTTTGACTGTGACTTCAACTGCTGGATGATGTCTTCGGCTTTAGCTAGCGAGCGGGCGCCAAGGAGAAGGTGATATTGACCGGTATTAACGAGATGCTGAGCGGCAGCGAATCCAATGCCCTAGTTGGTGATGAGGATCAAGGGCTTGGTGGTGGCCATAATGCTGAATCAAAGGGATGGATGTAGATGGTGGATTGACAATTGAAAGCGACGAAGGCTTCCCATTTCAACCTGGATGGAAACATCATGGACAGAGAGATCTTAAACGAAGTTAGGAGGTTATCAATCGTGAGCTTCTGCGGGTTCAAATATCGGTGATAGCAGTTTAAGAATCCCGTGAAGTATAGTAAAGTGTGACTATCTTTTCAGATTCAATTTCTAGTTGCTGATGGGGCAGAATGAGAGTCCATGGTGTTGAAGACGATTGACTATGTGCAATGGATACCTTTAGTATGGCATATAGAGAACTGTCTGAATAGACTGTAATAAAGCTCTTTGCTGTATCAGAAAAATAGTGAGGTTAAAGGGGTTTAACATTATGCCAATAATATACTATAATCTGTTATTCATGGTCAGATAAGAAAAGGGCTCTTCTGGGAATACTTACAAACTACTATATAATACTTCACCTACGAAGCAACACATGCCCTAGATAGTAACAAGGGGTTATATGTACAATGTTAGGGCATCCAACAGCCCTAATCGAGCTGCAGTAGATAGTTATTCTATTCAAGCTAAAAGATAACACGAGAGTGATGGCAAGCTATAATATCAACTAATATCCCGAATTATCCACAGCTCGTGTTTGAATAAACTTTGTGCGGGAGTTGATTGCCACCGATGCAGCTCCGAGATTATGGCGATATTTCATAGCGATCAGTCTAATGTATTAGACTTTGTAGTGAGAGGACTAGTAATATTACCTGTTTACCTGTTTGGAATCAGACTGAAGCAGGGCGATTACCGCTTTGAGTAGCCGGAGAGTGTCCGATGGAGGAAGTAAAACTGCAGGTCTAGAACGCCAGTTCAATCTGTTTTACTCGATCTCGCTTATAATGGAGGGCATTGGCCTAATTAGCTGCAATAATGCCATTCTAACACAATTAACAGCACACCTTCATGAGTCATAAATCCCTGTTCTCACAGCCTCACGGCCATCCCGAAGGCAAAAATCACACATAAGCGGCGGATCTCCGAAATCTAGTTTCGAGTGGATTCCATCTTAGTTCAATCATCCAAAGAATCAAAGAGATTCAAACCCTGTTTATCCTCCGAGGTTTCTACTTGCTTTGAATTCAATATTATCTCCGTTCAGGACAAGACTACCTCTATCCAGTATGAGTGTTAGTGGCCTTTTTAAGGAAACTGGCCACCGTTGCTTTTTATGCCATTCTGTTTATTATGTGTTTGGGAATATTATTCGATCCACCGCAGAAACGCTGCAATAAGCCTGTCAGTGACGAGAAACTACAAGCGCAACTGGTGGCTTTTCTCGACGGGTTTTGGGACAACGGCATTCATCAATATAATGCTGCCCCAACCGATGTCACCCAGGCTGATGGCACAGTTCTCAAAGTAAAATTAGAGCTTTCAGACGACAGAACCAATCTCTGTGACTCCAAGGATGGAGGGTTGGAATGGGTGACCTATCGCTCAGACCTGACTACAGACACCTGTGTGCCTGTATATTAATTCTGATATCGACGGTCTGTGCATCGAACAGTGGAAACCGATGATCCGGCTGCTTCCGACCGTCCAACTTTTTAGTCCCTGAGGCTCTTGATTCCTCTAAAATCTATTGGTTCATTAGCTCTCGTTTAGCCTGTTTTTTTTCACTGAGTAGCAGGCGTTTCTTCTTGGATTTTTCTGTTTGCGCCGCTTGTACTTCCTGTCTCGGCAATATTTCCAGGCCCAAAAGAGTATGGTGCCAGATAGGGTTCAGGGTGTCTCATACACCTGACAGCTGTTAATCTATCTGTTGTTTCTGATTGGCGTTCCTGGAAATTAGTGCCTGCACTAAACCCAATACAACCGGGTCTACGTGGGGGCCATCCAATCGCCCATGGATCAGAGAACAGGGCTGTACCGTACCGTACCAGTGTTACCTGGTAACTTACGCCGTACAGCGATTCTCCCAGGCTTCAACCTCGACAGCAACCTGTTCTTCCTCGCTTGCAATCACCTATCCTGCCATGTGACGATACCACACAAGCCATCTGCCAACTTATCCACTATGGATTCATTTACTGAAGACCTCAGGCACTGACTTGCCCTGATGGGATGAATCATCCGAAGAGGTGATGGTCCTTGAGCCATTCTCCATTTCAGTCGACGGACTTTGCTCCGCCCATGGTTGTTCTCGATGCTTAGACTGCTATCGTGTAAGTCTACCAGAGGAAAATTGGCTTTTCCTCTCCATCAGCTAATTCACGACCCATCACTGACTCCAATTTAGCTTGATCCTACCTACTAGTACCGTGGATGTACTGCGGCTCTTCAGATAATTCCTAGACGGATAGCCGGTCAAATCCTCCACTACTGGTCCAGTGGCACTGTCGGTTCTCAATATCATCAATCTCCGTGGCCACTAGGAGGCCCCAGGAGATATCCGATAACAGTTCATGGCGCATTAGTCTGTTTAGTCCCTGTTAGTTTTGCTATACTGGAAATTTTATCTCCTTCATCGTCCATAGCAATGTCCTTAATGGGCTATGCGCCGTTGCTGGTCGAATCTTATATCGCTGCCGAGTGGTGTGCTCATTTCCCTGCAGTGGTCCCTGGCTCTTTCCCTGGATGGGCCAGGCACCAATGGCAAGGGTGGAAATGAAGACCTAAGTTCTCCTCCAGGCGAAAGAAATGGTTTATATATCCCCCTCCCCTAGTTTTTCCATCATGCCCTTCTGTTCTTCAGCACCCGTATCCTCGTTCGTCGAGAGACTATCCTTGCAGACATTTGTCTGCGTCCTTTCTTTGTGGTGACCTAATACATTCATTTGGACTATATAAATACACACCAATAGTCATTCTTTTAAAAAATGGTGGCCAGCAACCCTCTTCTCGCCGTCTCGGTGTCGGCTCTGGCATCTTTGACCTCTACCTTTGATGCTCAGGCAAAAACCAATGTTGCTGTTTATTACGTACGCGCCCTCTATACATACTGGCACTGATTAGACAAACACTCACATTACTCTTTACACAGGGACAAGGTGCGAACCAACAACGATTGAGCCATTTCTGTCAGGAGACGTCGTTGGATATTATCAACCTTGCCTTCCTTAATATCTTTCCGGATCAGGGCCTTGGTGGATTGCCTGGTACAAACTTTGGAAACCAATGTGATGGTCTGACCTACACTGTTGGAAACACCACCACCGAATTGCTCTCCGGCTGCCACCAGTTGATCCGGGATATCCCAATCTGCCAAGCAGCCGGAAAAAAGGTCATGCTCTCCCTTGGTGGTGGCTATCCCGATACTCAGAAGATCGAATCCGAAACATCAGCCATCGCTTTTGCCGACTATCTTTGGGCTGTTTTTGGTCCAGTGACTGAGGAATGGTCGTTGATCAATGGCCAACGTCCGTTTGGAGACGTCGTTATTGATGGTTTTGATTTTGACATTGAGCACAATGGAGGATTTGGTATGGTTCAAGTCATTATCATTTTCACTACTCGCCTAAACTAACCATTGATAGGTTACGATATCATGGTCAACCGTCTTCGAGAGCATTTTACAGAGTCCTCGCAATCGTTTTATATCTCAGCCTCCCCCCAATGCCCGATACCTGATGCACAACTCAGCAACGCTATTGCGAATTCCGCATTTGACTTTGTCTGGGTTCAGTTCTACAACAATGACGGCTGCTCTGCTCGCAATTTTGTCAACGGCACAGGTTTCAACTATGACGAATGGGTCACTGTCATCAAGAACGGTGGAAACCCTGATGCTAAGCTCTTTGTCGGATTGCCTGCCAGCTCTAACGCAGCAAATAAGGGTTACTACATTACTCCTAACGATGCCCAGCCCCTGATTAAGAAGTATATGGATCTGTATCCAGAGACCTTCGGAGGTGTTATGCTCTGGGAAGCCACACAGTCTGATCTGAACCAGATTAATGGTGGAAGCTATGCGGACAACATGAAGAGCATCCTCAATGGATGTGCACCTAAGCCTACTCCCACTCCAACACCATCGCCGTCCAGCACCCCTGTCCCATCAAGCACACCCATTACCTCGCCATCTAGCTCTTCGGTCATCTCGGACACGCCATCGCCATCCAGCACTCCTGCTTCGTCCAGCACTCCTGTCTCGTCCAGCACTGCCGTTCAGTCGAGTGTGCCGTTCAGCTCTGGAACACCCTCTTCGAGTGCAGCAACTCCATCTTCTTCGGCGACACCGATTAAATCCCACACACCAGCTCCTTCCAACTCCCCAACTGCATCCTCATCTGGTGTGCCAAGTTCTCCCAGCACGCCGTCACCTTCAAGCTCTCCTGCTTCCTCTGGAAAGCCCTCGTCAAGCTCATCAATGGCATCTGGAAAGCCAACACAGTCTAGCTCTGCGATTGCTTCCCCTAAACCAACGACATCAAACTCGCTGGCTACTTCGGGCAAGCCAACCTCAACGAGCACTGCTGCTGTTTCCTCCAAGCCAGTAACATCGAGCTCAATCGTTGCTCCCAATAAACCATCCTCGTCAAGCTCCGCAATTATTTCCAACAAGCCGACTCAATCTAGCACTGCGGCTGATTCTTCTAAACCAACAACATCAAGCTCTTTGATTACTTCTGGAAACCCTTCAACCAGCAAATCAAGCGTGACCAAGACACCTTCCTCTGGTGTCATTAAGCAATCAACCCCGCCCTTCAGCTTTGGAAACTCATCAAGCACAGTGCAGCCAACCCTTGGGCACACAGGATCCGCTGGTTTGTCTGCAAGCCAGACTACTCTCACTGCCAGCTCGACTGGATCTTCTGGATCTAGCGGCCAGTCAAGTGGAAACACCAAGAGCACCACGCCTACTGTTACTTCGCTGATTACACCTGGCCCTTCGTCTGCCACATCTACTGGGCCTACCCAGCCTGATACCGTCACAACCATTATCATTACTTCGTACATCGACATTTGCCCAACGGGATTCACCACAATTACCACGACATACACCACGACATATTGTCCTGGCACCGTGTCTGCAACGGCCACTGCGACAAATCCACCCACAGCCTCAGTTGTGACCACATCCCCATCAATCCCTGAGGGCTGGACCACCACTGTGACCGTCTGCACTCACTGTGCCCCAACATCAACCACGGTGACGCTTACTTTGCCTCCCACCGCGACTGAGGCTGGACCTGCTCCTACTGGATCTTCCAGCTCTCTTCTTGTGGGACAGCCTAGCTCGCTCAGTCAAGATATTTCCAACCCATCTACGGCTCTTGCTAGCACAAGCAAGGTCATCATTGCACCTACCACTCGAGTTTCTGCTGGTTTCCCTCTGATTACTGGAACTGGTGGTGCCTATCCATCTTTGACATCCGCCGTCAAGCCATTCCAATCCCAATCCCAATCCCAGAGCCAGTCCCAGTCCCGGGTTCCCGTTGCCCCTAGCGGTACCCAGGAGGGCGTATCGCCCGTATTCACTGGCGCTGCTCCTCGCACTAGCTTTGGCAGTGTGGCTGCTATCCTTATGGCGTTTATGCTGTCTGCATTTATCATATAGTAATGACCCTGATCTGTGCCCGTGCGCATGATCAGTCCAAATGATAATCTCGATTATAATCATAATGAAGTCATTGGCATGCGCCTTACATTCTTTCTCTACATGATTTTCTTATTAAGTTTTTCAGATATATGTATGTTTCCAATACAATATGTTCCAATGACCTACCCAGCTGCCCTAGCATACTCCGTAGATGATTAAGAAAGGGATGACCTTGATGATCTCATTCCATGCAACCCCTATACCACCGCCACGATCCGGTGTGACAAATCGAGCTCCAATGCCTCAATTCTGGAATCCTAGATGAATCGACAAGCTTCCCAGCCAAGACGGGAGGATCCGACAGGGCTAAAGTGTGGCAATACCTGCGGTGAATCCGTATTCCGTAGGGTGGTAGTGATTTAAAAAGCATCCAGCACAGCCAAGACCAAAATATCCAGGAGAGTGGAGATGGTGAGGCAGTGGTTTGCTGATGAAGTGACACTAGAACGGCTAGTATCGTGAGGAATATTTGTGACGGGAAACGATCTGGGGACGGGCTGTGGCTGAGATTACTGGATACAGCAAAAGATCAACAGGCCCCAAGCCACTTGGCCTTAGGAATCGTCTTGATTAGATACACGTAGTGAGGATGCAGACGAGCTTAGTCTAGTCTGTCCCCCCCCCCCTCCTTGGGGGTATTTAATCACTCAATTATAATTATTTGTCCTTTTCCATTTGCTATCTTCTTTTTTTCTTCAGTCTCCCTTCTGTCATCTTCTAAATACCCTTTTTTTTTTTTTTTTCCTCCTGATTATTTACATTCCCTCCATCTACTTCTACATCTTCACCCACCAGGCACCATGGATCTCGTCGGAAAGCTCGTCGGGAAAGTTCTCGAATCCAAGATGGGCGGAGGAGAGAGCCACAGCAGTGAGCAACAACAGCCTCAGCAGCAGCCTGAATACTCCCAACCCCAGCCCAGCTACGGTGGCGGCAGTTACGAGCAGGGCGGGTATAGCTCTGCCCCTCCCCCAGGACCCGGACAAGATCTCCCTTACCCATGGGAGGCACGCTTTGACGATCAAAGCGGAAGCTGGTACTTTGTGAACGGACAGACTGGTGAGAGGACCTGGGAGCGACCGGGTCACGGCGGCCCGCCTCAGGGATACGGTCAGCAGCCATCGTACGGTGGGTATGAAGGTGGGGGTGGATATGGCGGTGGGTACGGAGGTGGATATGGTGGTGAGAGGCAGGGAGAATATTATCCCCAGGAGCAGGAGAAGCCCAAGAAGGACCATAGCATGATGTACGGTGCCGGCGGTCTTTTGATTGGTGCGGTTGGTGGTGCTCTTGCCATGAACCAGGGAGAGAAGATTCGTGAGTTTTCCTTTTTCTTTTTTATCATTTCCAATGCCTACAGGGTAAATGCTAATGGCTGGTGATTAGATGACGGCTTTGAAGAAAAGAAAGAATCATTCGAGGAAGGTGTGGAAGACTTGCCCGAGAACGCTGCAAGGTGGACAGGCGAGAAGGTATGTCTATCTCAACCTCTTACCCTTTGTTTACCATCCATTCGAGAGTCTAACGATATAATCAGGTCGGTGAAGTTGAGGAATTGCCCGACCGGGTCGAGGACGGGTTCGATCGATTCGGAGACAACGTCGAGAACAAATGGGACAATGCTGTCGATGATGTCCAAGAGTTCCCTGAAAACGCCGCCGAGTGGACTGGCGAGAAGGTTGGCGCTGTTGAGCAGTTTGGTGATGACATGGGCGATGCATATGACGAGGGCAAGGAAGAGGGAAGATACGAGGAGGAGTATGAATAATTTTGCATATTTATCGATACCTATCACCGAGTACATGCTCTGGAAGCTGGATATAATATCATCTTGACTTTGGATTGTTAGATCTCCCAGGAGGGAATACAAAATGACTGCCTGTATAGAGTTCTGGTCACCGTCTGTGCTTTGAAGTACCAATAGTAGACAGTCTGATGGATCATCTGCATGGTCTGTCAATGCTAGCATCTTGTGAATCTATCATCTTGATCTTTATTCTCATGCAGTGATGGAATATGAAGACTTCCCCGCACGTGGCCGGACCTCGGCTGCGGAGAACGGAGAACAGAACAGCTTCAACAGCTCGACATCATCCACGCCACTGCCAGTTCAGTGGTATTTAAGCATACTATCTCTCCAGATAGTGGACTACAGTAATTAATATCCAGTTCAATCAAAATGTCTACACCATCTCCGCCTCTGGCTGGTATCCGGGTTGTCGAGCTGGCAGGCCTAGCTCCGGGTTTGTATCTTCTTGCAACTTAGACTTCAAATCCACGATACTGATGAGTATGTCAGGACCATTTGCTGGACTCTTACTCGCAGACTATGGAGCTTCCGTGCTAAGAGTCGACCGACCCAGTGCAGATAATTCAGTACCAACTTCCGACCAGCTAACGCGACACAAGACCTCGGTCACCATCGACCTGCGAGACACTGCATCACATCGAGTCCTACTCGATATCCTCTCCAAAGCCGATGTTCTCATTGACCCCTTTCGCCCGGGGGTATTAGAGCGACTAGGGCTCTCCCCTTCTGAAGTCCTCCTTAAACACAACCCTCGGCTCATCGTAGCCCGCATGACCGGCTTCCGTCGCGATGGCAAATACAAAGACATGGCCGGCCATGATATCAACTATATCGCCGTATCCGGCGTGCTATCCATGCTAGGACGTAGCGGTGAAGCGCCGTACGCCCCGGCCAATATCATCGGCGATTTCGCGGGCGGAGGCGCCATGTGTTTTCTCGGCATCCTGCTAGCGTTGATATCGCGTCTAGGCACGGGACGCGGGCAAGTCGTTGAGGCCAACATGGTGGATGGATCGGCATATCTCGCAGCCATGTTGCGGTTGAATCTGCGTACACCTTTGTGGAATGCCCCGCGGGGTCAAAACCCGCTGGACGGAGGTAGTCCGTACTACGACACCTACGAGACCAAGGATCCAGGGAAATATTTCGCCGTGGGGGCTCTTGAGCCGCAGTTTTATGCGGCTTTGCTGAAGGGATTAGGGTTCAAAGCGGAGGATCTTCCCTCGCGGAATGACAGGACGAATTGGCCAGTTCTCCAGGCGGCGTTTACGAAACGGTTTAGGGAAAAGACACGGGCGGAGTGGGAAGCCATCTTTGACGGGACGGATGCCTGTGCGACGCCCGTGCTGGAGCAGGGAGAGCTCGAACGGGGCGGATACGAGCAACGACCCGCGGTGCATTTGGTTGACACTTCAGGGTTGCCGATCCAGGCGGACGACGGGGGGTGGACTGGGGGAGGACTCATACCGGGAACGGGGGGAGAAGAGACGTTGAATACATGGTTGGGATGGAAGAGGGGCAGAGAGTTTGAGGTGCGAGACGATGGAGCGTTGCGGCGAGCGGACGATAAGGCCAAAGCCAAGCTGTGATGGGTGATACAGATGAGATCACGACTGGATTGCCCAGATGACTACTAGCAGGACTATTTTAGGCGAGTGCCACAATGCCATGGTTCAGTTGAAGCGATCATAGGGCTGAACACGAGAGACGATGACAATGGTACATCATGACTCGGGGTATCCGAGGGTCTAACTCTGTCGGTAGCCTCTATCCAAGGACCAAGTGAGACTTGATCCAAACCTAGTCGGTGTCAATATGATTGTCGTTATTGTCGACGCCAGCTGAGCCCATCCACACCCCCCATTCTGGCTCTGCGGTTGGTTGAAACGTTGCAGCGGCTGGATGTAACCCGCAGGGATTGTGTGCTTGACAGTATGTAACAGTCACGTCATGGTATTGACAGGCACAGTGCCTGATAAAATGACAATCAAAGATTTGAACCATCAAGTGAATTGATGCGATTTCATAATGATGGCGAGTAATATTGAATCAACAGGCTATTGATAGCTCCATCATTTAGTTCTCCCTCTTTTTTTCCCCTCGGCTTTCTTCCGCTGCTTCCGGTCGTCCAAGGAGGGTAATTTGCCTGATCTCCGTATTCCGGCGTATTCTATCTCCTGACACTGTATGACATGTGGTTCCTTACTAGCCACGTATTGTATTGTCTTCTCTATCCGGTAAGCTCCACGTGTTGTGTGGCGCAGCTTGACTTGTTTCAATCTTCATATTATGTGATATATGATATTATTATTATTTTATTACTATCAGTATTATTATTTAAGATTTATAAGACTCGTGGAACAGAAAGGAATGGGAAGGAATAACAAGATCGTTATACATGCCAAGTAAGGTAGGATCCGTGCTCAAGCCTTACGAGGTCCATGGCTCAAGCTGACCCTGAACATCCAATATTCAAGATACTCGATAGATACAGTTGATGACAGCATCACCTGATGATCGGAAGAATGCAATATTTGCATATTCCTTACAGATTTACCACGCAAACGCCTGACTATTTGATCACTAGTACTACTAGTTATGGCTGTCATTTATGATTGAGTTTGATGGGTCCTTAGGGCCGGCCTTAGGCCTTAGGCACGCCATGCACATCATGACTGGGAATCTTCCTTGGATATCAAAGCCTCCATTGATAAAGCCGATTGTTCGGCCGGTGGTATTAGTGTACTTCATCGGATTACACCTGCTACAGTCATAATTCTTGATATTATTTCTCATATTATGATATTCTTACTACATAGTATATTGTAAGAAATAATATTACCCCATATATTGTTTCACTATTTCGTCATTCTTCGGTTTCACCCACTCCAACTGTGGCTCCTGCTGTGGCTCTCCTGTGGCTCTCCTGTGGCTCCCACAGTGGCTGTGCAGAGTTACCATACCATACCGTAATAACTCCGTATTTCGGTACCGCCAGGGCCAATCACAATAATGCCGCTTAACTCCAGGTTTTCTTCTTCTTCCGGATCTTAATCAATCCCTTCTCCTCCTAACTACGACCCCCCCCTCTTCCTCTTCATCTTCTTCATCCTCCCCTGAATCCCCTCCCTATATTCTCCATTGCTTCGCCTGCCTTTACAATCGCTCTTTTCTTCCCATTGTTTCTGCAGGTCTCACTCTTTGTCTGTCGTGGGGTTCAGGTACAAAAGTCCCCTGCAGGTGTGACTTGGTGAAGTTGGGTACCCGCCCAAGAACCAGTCCTCGTGTGTATTTCCTGGCCGATCGTCTGCCTCACACAGCAAGTCATCCAACACAGCGCTTCCGTCCCACAAATGGCCGTCTAGCCTGGGATTGAAACAAATCCGCCCGCCGATCGACTCGTCGATTATTCGTCCAGACTGCCTCTAGACTACCTCACCGTCAAAAAAACATCCCGCCGTGCTCCGTATCCACGGTCCTGTCTCGACACACCGGAGTTGCAGATAAATCTGACCAGGCCCGGAATCGGCTTACGAAACCGCAGAACAAACAACGCCCCCCCCCCCTCCCTTCTCATCACACACTCGATTTTCCTTGGGGCGTCGTTTCTCAGATCCTCCTATTTTATTCAGTAAGCGACTACTGCTGCTGGCCTGCATGGCTGGTGTACAACTTTCACCCAACATGACCACCGAATTTCGACTGCCGATGCACCAGGCGCCTCCTCGGAAGCCTGTCCCTAACACAATGCACCATGGATACGCCTACCAGTCCTATGATGCACCGCACACACAGCAACTCTCCCCTCATCCCTCCGCGGCCAGTCTCGCTCACAACCGCCGCCGGACGTCTTCGTCCCATGTCCTGCCCTATTCGGCAGCCCAGCAACAGTATCCAGTCCACCCCGCACCTCATCAAACAATGGCTGCCCCGGCTCCGTACCCCCCCTCGAGGCGCTTGTCGAGTGCCACCACCTCGACTAGCTCTACCGGAAATAACCTTGTCTCGAGCGGAAATTCGGGCGATATTCGCCGCAGCACTTCGTCACGTTCGGCCCACAGCCAGCTAGGATATGTGGCTCTCATGCGTCGGCAAAAGGCGACCGTGTGGTGTGACCGTTCGCAGCCGGAGGATCCTCGAATCCGGGCTCAGAAGCTTGTTGACAAGAAGAGGGCGTACCTGGAAGTTCATGGCGCTGGCGCCGGACGCACAGGTACCCTGGGAAGTGGTAAAGCCAAGCATGCTAAGGGAACCACCGATTTCTCGCCGTCAACGCTGGTTGGGGCTAAGGTTCCTGTTCGACTCAGTGCCAACGAAGTGGGTGACGATGCAGACGATGATGCACACAGTGACAGTGGATTCCTTCACCGTCGGACGAACAGCGGCCACAGCTCCCTCAAAAGCAACCGCTACCCTAGTGGATATCAGCGACCGCAGGGCACCATGGGAAGCAACAGTACTCCCCCCAATGAGAAGACTGATTTGCCAGAAGTGTCTGAGCATCCGCCGGCGGAAAAACTCGAGGAAGAGAAGGATATTAAATCTGCCAAGGATGATGCCGCGACGACTCACAGCCGAGCGAGCGAGCCGGAGGATAGTTTTGGAACTGTGGGTGATATGGCTGCCCCAAGTGCCGCGGTGGCCGCCTCGCAGAAGGCGAAGAAGGCCGATGAACTGAGGCGTCGGGGTAGTGTGGATGATCGAACAACGTCGATGACTCGGCTGTTTGTTGCGAACCCGGATTTGAGTGATTAGTGAAAGTCATGCACAGTGGCTTGCACGGGAACTTGCAGCTTGACCCGTCAAGCTAGTATCGTGCAGTGCATCTCAACTTGTTTCGTCTCCTTTTATTCTCTTCGATGCTCTACCGATTGCAAATACTACTGTTGGATTTGGATCGGTGTCACTGAGCTGCGCTCTGCTGGGCTTCTTTGCCCATTCTGTTCTATGTTCTCAGATGGCGTCATTGCCTGTCTGGATTGCATTTGTCTATTTTGCACCTGTTCTATTCCCCCTTTTGCTGCATATCCCCGATGCCGGTTTTTGATGCATCGGGTTGCTACTTGTATCTGCAGAACTGTACCATTTCTGGGCATCTCCCCTATGGAAATCATGAGCAGATATAGTAATAATAATATCAAGTCTGTACATAGCACAATCTGATCTTTATCTGGTGTAAAGATGAATTACCAATTAGTACGTAGAACCGATGGTGTGCCTGAATTTTAGCTGGATAGTGCTTATCTAACATATTAAAGCACGTGCCACATCTCCCGACGCGAGGAAAGCGCGAACTTCAATTAACGCGTTTCCGACGTCCATCCAGGATCCACGGAGGGATTGGAAAGCCTTCCATTGTTCCCCCGGCTCGACGATAATGCCCTCTGGCGCCCGCTAGACACCTGAATCCGACATTGATCACCATCCCTCCCACTCCTAGCTGTATCCCCTCCTCTCGACCTAAAAATCCTGTCAACACACCCGTAATACACACTAGGCAATCCAGCAATCGCCCTTTCACTATCTTCACCCCGACCTACAAGACTACCATTCAGGACATATATAGCGGAGGATGGAAGTATCAATGGACACGAGCCCGGGTCTCTCGCCCATCCCACAACAATCGTTTCCCACATCCCCGGCCGGATCGAGAAAACGGTCAATCCAGGACCTGGACGACTCGACAACATCGGAATTCAAAAAACCATCGATCCCCTCACATCCAGAAAACCAAGAAAATAACGCTCCCGTCTCGAATATCGAACCTACCTCTGACACTCCCACACAATCTACACCCCCGAAACCCTTGACCGAGACAAACGATGGTAAACCCGCTGAGGTGGCCGTTGAGATACGGGTCCCGAACCAGGAAAGTGGGTCGAAGCAAGAGTCGAACCCTACGGCTGCGGGCTCTGCTGAGTCGGCCCTGACCGCTATTCCCAACCCGAATACAACTATGGACAATAACTCGAGCTCAACGGGTCAGCCGCCCGGGTCGAGTACCCCCGCTGCGAAGAAGAGAAAGCTCTCGCCTGCGAGCAAGGAGGCGAAACAACAGGAAAAGGAAGCAAAGCAACAAGAGAAAGAGGCGAAGGAGCGCCAGAAGCAGGAGGACAAGGTGAAGAAGGAGGAAGAGAAGGCCAAGAAGGAGGAAGAGAAACGGGTCAAAGAAGAGGAAAAGAAGAAACGGGATGTAGAGCGAGAAGAGGAACGAAAACGGAAGGAAGAGAAGAAGAAGGTGAAAGAAGAGGAGAAGGCAGCGAAGGAGGAAGAAAAGCGTAAGAAAGATGAGGAGAAATCGAAAAAGGAGAGAGTGAGTATACTCTGAGAGACGAGGTGGGATGCTGCTAACAATTCCCAGGCGCAAATGAAGCTGAATTCCTTCTTCGCCAAACCCAAAAGCCCGGCACAACCATCAAATACCAGCTCATCTGCTTCGCCGAAGAAAGCTTCAGGTGACGGGGCCTCCAATGAGCCTGCTCCAGAGCCCGTGTCAACCGTATCGGATTATCAGCGACAGTTCCCCGATTTCTTTTTACAATCGCATACAACTGTGGCACCCCCGCATCGATTCGAGCGCGATGCAGAAGCACTTCGCCATATGCGGGAGAAGGTCGATACTTCTTTGAAATTGGGCGACAGGACTTCGCAAGAACCCTTGGCATTCCGACCGAATGAAATCTTTCACATGATGCCATACAGGCGACGGCATGGTAGACAATCCGGGTCAATCAAAGAGATCCTTCTCAAGATACAGAGCCTCGGTGACTCTACCGGATTGGGCGCAATTGCAGAGGCTAAGCCAGGGAGTCGACCGCAAGATTTATTAAAAGGACATAGGATGAAATCGTTCCGGTTTGGGGAGGATGTTCGGCCTCCTTACCAAGGAACCTACAGCAAACCCGTCCCAGTACCCTCTGCTAAGAAACTTTCACGAAACCCCTTTCACCGCGGGCTACCAGACACGAATTACGACTACGACTCAGAAGCAGAATGGGAGGAGCCGGAAGAAGGCGAGGATCTGGATTCAGAAGAAGAGGAAGAAGGAAGCGAAGATGGGGAGGATGACTTGGACGGCTTCCTGGACGATGACGATGACAATCAGATCGACGGAAAGCGACGGTTGATAGTCGGGGATCTAGAACCGGTTTGCACGGGGATTCGCTGGCAGGGGAATAGCGTGGATCCGGACCTTCAGATGTACAAGATGGAGACAATAGCGGAAGGGGCGACGTTCCCCATTGACCCATTTTCGACGGCATACTGGCAGAAGCCCAAGGCAGCGGAACCAGCACCGGGAGGGGGCGCAGGACGGTCGACACTTCATGCCTTTATGACCAACTCGTCAGCGCCGAATGGAAGCTCGACACCGATGGCGGATGGAACAGGGTTGGCACTACTGAGCAAGGCGAGGCGGCCATTTCCCCCGGAGCAGCTGCCTGAGTTTAAGCAAGTGGTGGATGGGAGCGACTTGACCAAGACGGGGTTGGTTGAGATTTTGAAGAAACGGTAAGTTAGCCGAGGGGAGAGATGATATGAGATGAGATAGAAGCTAACGGGAGAGAGATAGATTCCCCAAAGTGTCTAAAGAAGCGCTCAAAGATACACTGAACAATGTGGCTACGCGGGTAGGACAGAAGGAAGTGGAAAAGAAATGGATATGCAAATAGAATTGATATTACGGGAATAGTATATCTATCCAGGGGAGTATGGAGTCATTTACAGTGGAGTCTGGCGATAGGAACAGGAACCGGGATTCTTATTTTTATAAATTTATTTTTATTTCCCCAAATTCAATTCGAAGATGACAGTGCATAAATAAATAAAATTGTTCTGTGTCCTATCTGTACTCCGCATAGGGAGTAGTCTGGGTATACTACTGCAGGGTCGAGGTGAGCCGTCAGCAGTTGATATCAGTTTGATCTGTCTGGATGTATTGCGAGGGCATTTCGGAGGGATGCCGACGGAAGAGCCAAAGTACATATTTTCTTTTTCTTCAGCTAGTAACCTGTAGTAGGGGGCAAAAAAGTAGACTCAGCTCGAAGCAGCTGAATGAATCATCGCAAGAGTCATTCTGTTTGTTGTCGGGTTGTACACGTGCGCTGGGTGGAGTGGGACACAGCCCCGTCCAGTTGCGACGGAATGGACGATGAAGAACAGGCCGAGAAGGTTTCACCAAAGGGCCTCCTCGAATGACATGTTTCAGAATGACTGTCGGACAGGATAATGTCTTCCTTTTTTTTTCTTTTTTTTTAAGAGGAGACTGATCATCCACAGTATGTTGAGTCAAGGCGAGGGAAAAAAAGCAGAATGGATGGAGGGGGAGAGGAGGAGGAGCCAATCAGGGAGGCGAGAACAACCGCCCACGATGCATTGCCATCTGCAATGCCAACGCATCAACCAGGAAGAATGCAAATGAATCAGTTTGCCTCACTGGATATACAATATCATCATATTATATTACAGTGTAGAGTAGATGGAATAGAGGGACCCAGAGTACGGAGGATAATAGATACGACAATAACAGATAATAATAACTATATTATGATCATCTTGATCGATAATATCAATATAAACTACCATATCATAAGGATAATATAATATAATACTGTATCATACTGAGAACCCCTCCACACTAGCCTGTTATTTGCTGCCACTTCACTGCATGTCATCCTCTGCTTTTCTGCTGCTTTTCTTCTTGTCATTCGGAGTTTATTAAATATCTTTCAGCCTTCCTTTTCGCTTCTTTATTTTCCTATCATATCCGATTGCATCCCTCTCCTCTTACCTCGTATTTAATCCATCCTCTTTCTCTCTCTACTCTACCCCACATTCATTCATTTTCCATCTCATCTTCTATCCTCCTCTATCCTCATCTCTCCATCCTGGAGCTCTCGACCGTGTCTTCTCGGATCCTTCTTCGTCCCCGCTCCCATGAGCGCCCTCTCCCTCCCTCCTCCTCCCTCCTAGCACTCGCAGCGCCATCCCCAGCAGCTGAATCATGCGATAGAGAGGATCCTTCTGCCGCCAGGGGCATCTTGCGACCTCGACTGTCATTCGGGCTGGCTGCTGGCCGGGAGACTGCCCATGGCAACATGTTCGATGCCCAACACGATGTTCTTCTCTCTCCGGATCTTGATGTGACCAGTACGTGCGCTGCAATTTTACTCCAATAATTTCCTCTTTCTCCTTTTTTTTTTTTTTTTTCCCTTCCCTTCTTCCCCCTCGCCTCACTTCTCTCTCTTTCTCTCTCTCGACTGTTGTTCTCTCCTTTTACGCACAGTCCAGTCTTTTCTCTCGCTTTTTTTCGCCCCTCACTCCTTATTATTATTATTTTATCTTCTTCCTCTATTTTACCCCTGATTCCTACAGCTTCATCCCTATTTATTCGCTAATCCATTCATTTTCAGCTCCCTCTGCAGTCGAGACTGCTCCATCATGTGATTTCTCACGTCGCGTGCAAGATTCCCCTTTGGTGCCTCAATCTCCTACAGCTACTGTAGCTACCAGCATGTCTCCAATGCTTTTTATACCCGATGATGATGTGGGTTCATCCGCTGCCGTTTGGACGCCAGGTGAGTCCGGGGATTCGGCCCGTTCCAGCTCGCGTTTCATGGCCACCCCCATATGTTCCGAGGATGGACACCCGCAACCGTCGCCCTTCCCTCCAATGCCGTCGGAGCCCGTGGATTCCCCCAAGGTCTCCTTTGACGACTTAGCCACTCGCTATCGCCAGAATCAGCATAAGCTAGCCCAAAGGAAGAGGCTGGAATACCGTCTCCATGCCTCCAAAGTCTCTATTGGTGCCTCCGCGCGCTTGATCCGCGTTGGCGCCGCCCTCCAGCGAGGCTTGGTGGACTGCCTCAAACATGAAGACAAAATCAACTTCGTCTCCCTCTACCATACCCTCCATGATGTCCAGGATTCCTGTGATGCGGCGTTCCGGCGCCACTTCCACCGGCAGGATCCGTTGGAAGATTGGTCCCCCGCCTCGGATTCCGCCATGGACCATTCCCCGGACTTTTTCCTGCAGTTGAGCCCCCAGTCCCGAGCCGATCTCCTGGGAATTTTGCAATTGGTCCGCTCCGACCCCCAGTTCTTGTATGAGCGGCTGAGCAGTCTGTCGTCTGCCCAGCTGGCCGCTCTCGTATCTTCGGCCTCTTCCTTGGAGGCCGCTGACCCTGTCTTCCCTTCTTCGTCCCGATCCCGGAGTCAGTTTTCATTCTCTAAGCGCAACCTTTCTTCCCCACTCACCCCTTTTAAAGACCATGCCCTGGCCTTTGAGAGGACGGACGCTCTTTCTGCTTTATTGTTCAACGTATATGCTGCTCCATTGGATTCCGATGCCCCCGAGGCGCGCTTGCGCCTGGATGTTTGGTCCTCCGTCTGCGCAAAATTGATTGCCCATGGTGGCAGTAGATATTATCCTTTGGTTGGCCACATCCTCTCCGCCTGGGCCATGTGCAGCGAGTGGAAGGCCCGCCCCAAGTTTGAGCTCTATCTCATGGATATCCTCCAAACTGGCGCATTCCTGCTGGAGCACATAGATAATCCTCCCGGTATGAGCTTTGGTGCGGAGCCCATAGACCCTCTCAGGACAGATGTGGCCGAGGAATTTTTTGCGTCTGCCGTGAATTCCCTGTTCGATCTCCTTGATGACCCTGATGGAGGCTTCCCCCATGCGGTGATGGAATTTGGCAGTGCTATTCTCCAAAAACTGGACCGTCCGGATTGCCATGATCGTTTCCTCGAGTATCTCTTTGTCCAGTGGTTTTTCTCCAAGTTCCTTTACGGCGCACTAACCTACCCCGAGGTATGCCCTTTGCCTTTTTGCTTTCTTACACTGAAGAAATAACTCACTCGTTTTAATCCTAGGCACATGGTCTTTTGCTCGATTTCCACATTCGCAAAGATGCCAGAGATAAACTTCTTGGGCAGGTTGGACTCCAGGCTTACTCACAGGTGTTCGCCGTCCTGCACTCTATGTAAGTTTGCGTTTTGGTCAGTGTGTAAAAATATAATATAACTAACCGGTAAAAGGAATCACTTTTCAATGGCACGTCCAGCTGTGCGGGAGCATGTCGAGAATATGCTTCATCGATTCAAGAGCACAGCTTCCCGGAATTTACAGGGCTTAGGTGGCAATGCATCCACAAACTATTCGCGCATGGCCGGTGGACTAGCACAAAACTCGCCCTCTGTCTTCCTGATGTTGTCCGCCCCTGACATTTTGACCCTTCTGAACGCTCTTTTCCCCAGGACATACTCTGTGTATAACTCTCCAACTTCATCTTCAGGACTTCCTACACTATCCCTCAGCTCGTTACACTCACACTCGGAAAGAGCTGTCCTCGCTGCTGAGCCTGGTTTTTTCCGCCCCAAAGTCGATAGTGCCTCTAGGTATTCTCCCAATAGCAAGACGATGTTCCCAACAGAGATGAATTTCCTGTCGCCTCCAGAGAACTGCTTAAGCCAAAATGCTAACCGTATCCGTTTTGAACTGTCGGATTTGGCTGAGCTCGATGATCGTACCCATCTGGACCACCCCTCTGCTGAAGACTGGGCCATCTTTTCAATCGCCCCGGATGGGAAACGCCTGGTCTGGGGCCTTTTCCCTGACGGCCAATCCAGCGTCCCAGAGGATCCATCAATCGAGGATGTCCAGTCCACCACTTTGGGAATAGAGGATAACTATGAGGCACTTCAAACGGCCATCGTGAAGCTAGTCAAGGAGAATCCTGCCGGTGACCATGTGGACTATGACTTCCAATTTGACAATAACGAACAGGCAGACAAATTATCCCTCAAGCAAAGATTCGATCGTGCCATGTCTCACTGTCATCATGACTCCGACTTTATCGGCGCTCACTACTGGTGGAATGCCGCCCGACAACTCAGACACAGTGTCGCCAATTCACTATCCCGACGCACCGATGATTCATGGATTCTCGACCCGATGTATACATCTTGTTCCCGGTCGTTGCATACCTCGCGCTCTGTGATTGATCGCTGCGAAGGCGACTTTGTGACCCTTGACCGCAATATGCAACGACTGCAGAAAACAGTCCGGAGCATGATGGCCACCGTGGGCAAGCTCAGAAACAAAATGTGGTATATGACAGATGTGAAAAATTCCATGAGATATGAGGATGCGAAAAATGTGGCGCTGGCGCTCAAAAATATGATTTACTCCGCTCTTTTCAAAATCCCCGACGATCATCGATCTCGCAGTGCACGGTCACTGGGAGGGTCGCTGCTTCAAAAGCCCGAGCTGCAAGTCATGAACGTTATGAAGGCACCAAGTAGCCAAGGCGGTCCGAACAAGCTCTCCGATGATCAAGTGGACTTGACTCGAAAATGGCTGTCACATAACGGCGTCGACAACTTTTGCAGAGGCGAAGAGAGAATCCACCGTTTCTGCTACGAAGTCAAGACAAGTATAAATCGACTCGTCGGCGAGACCATGGCTGAAACCCCTGTACTCTGGTCCAGCGAGTTATTCCAGAGAGAGCGATCCAAGTACGAAGGCCACAGCAACCGAGGCTTCCTGGGCCTCTCCAGCTCTAACCTGCGCCCATTCAGCATTTCTAGCGAAGATTCCATTTCCAACCCGCCGTCGTACGGTCCCAACCTGCGCGCGTCAGACTCTATTTCGAGATTTTCCCAAGATGCCCCGTCGCTCAACCGCAAAACCTCTTTCCAGAGCCTCCTTTCAGACAAATGGAAATCTCCTGCCACTGAGACATCTTCTATAGGAGGTTCTCCGGGGCGAACCGCTTCCATTTCGACGGGTGATTCCTGCAGCACGTTTTGGTCCACACCGCATCAACCGCCACAGTATGCAGCAAGCGCCTCGAGCTTCTATTCCCGCCCTCCTTCTATGGTTAGCGATATGACCACGCACCAACCACGTCGCGTTGAACGCAAAACGCACGGCAAAATCGCTTTTCTAGACGAACTCAAGCAGGCTCTGACTAGTTTGCTTCTCAGTGATCTAGGCTCCCCGGTCTGGAGCTGTGGAAGTGAAACAGATGCCTGGTTTGGTAATGCTTTGGACCAAAAAAGAATCAAGGCGCAGATGGAAAAGCGCGCCAGGATCCAAAGATTCTATGATGATTATGATCAGCGATCAACCCGCCAAACCATCCACCGCACACCATCAAACGGTCGAAGAAGCAAGTCTATTGGACCTGAACCCCGGAGCCGCCGTGTCTCCGAAGACTCCTCATCTACTATTCCGAATGAGAGTACGCAAGAAACAGACTCACAATCCCCCTTTGCCTATAAAACCGTTTTCCGCCAATTGATCGAGGTTTTCTCACGTCACGGTAATCCTTTTGTCAAGTTAAAGGCTCTGCGTGATTTGAGAGCTTTGGTCGTTGCGTCGCTGAATTCCTCCAATGAAGATCATTTACCTTTCGCTGCCCTCCAGACACCTACTTCCCCGAGAGTACGAAACTCAGGGATCTCAGGAAACCGACCCCCTCGCTATAGCTTCTCCGAGCCCCGGACTAGTCAAGACTCCGAGAAGGATATCCTCCAGACGCCTAAATCCCCCGCGGCCGAGTCCGTGGTTTTTGAATCTCGACCTTCTGATTACTCAACACCGACTGAGAGCCAGATTGTCGATGCGCTGCGAGGACTCCTTCTCGAGATCAAACCCAAGACTCTATTCCGGGACTTGCAATTTATTTCAGCATTTGTTCCTGGGGAAACTCTGAACAAAACAGATAGCGGGACGGCATTCTTACAATTTGGTCTGGCGGCGATGAGCTTGAAGGACGAGGTTTGCAACAGCATGATCGAAATCGCAGACAAGATTGTCTCCCAGGAACTCACCCGACGCCACCCACCCCAAGGCTATGATTCCAGCTCCCGGCCAAACCGTGCCATTGAAGATGCTGCCGGGATGTGGATCATTACCGCCAAAGAAGGAAACCCAGTTGCTCAGCGTGAGCTTGGTATCCTTTACCTCACTCATCCAGAACTTCTCCCCCGGGTGACACTACCACTCACTTCGCCCCGGGACACTTTCAAAGCAGACATGATGTATCACCGCGATAAAGACTCCAAATCTGACCCTCTAAGCATGTGTCTGGCGCTGCACTGGATGCAGTTGTCGGCCAGTGGGGGCGACGAACTCGCGCGAAACAGACTGCGCGAACGAGAAGAATTCGACTCGATTGCCTGATCCCTTATTCTGATTTTTCTTTCTCTTCCTTGTCTGTCGTTATATTTTGATTGATTTTCTTTCCTTTTCTTCCTATATCTCACTTTTGATTTGGATTTTCTTGATACCATTGACGGTCATGTGCCGTCTTTTCCCTTGGTCTTTTCAGACTTTGATAATTTCTTTTTTGACTAATACTTCTTTTTTGCGCAGATTCTGCCATTTCTTTCCCTTTTGTCTTTTCTCGTCTTCTCAAGGTTTGAAGATTTTATTTTCCTTTTTTTGTTCGCAGTTCATTGATTTTTCCTTTCCCATGCCCTGTAGCTCTTTTACTCTTTGATACAGGTTGGTCTGGTCTGGGAGATACCATCCATCGTCTTGAGGGTGTGCTTTCTACAATATTCCCCTATAAGCGTCTTTTTACTTATATTCATTTCATATCTCATGGGAGGCTTTTTGTCGTACTTTTTTCATCTTTGTGTTTTTCTGGTCTATCTGGATTCAGGCCCTTGGAGTTCCAATATCTTGGACTGGATTTTGGGAAGACATACAGGTTCTGGAGGCATTGTGCGGTTTTGATATCGGCATTTCTGGATTTATCTAGCATGAGCAACAATTGATATTCTTCATCAACCGGTCTAGACATCTGAATCATACGTAGTTGTCGCTGTTTGCAGCCCGTTAGTCATGCCCCTCGACGTCATCTCCGACTGCCCCACGTGCCAGTTCAGATGAAACAAACAGTTCCATCATCGTCATCTGCTCTTCTCTTTCACCTGCTTTTGATACCCAAAGATCAAAAGCCTTTTCTGCACTTACATGCGTTACATACGCCCAGGGACCAGGCATCATCATACATCACCCGATACCCTTTCTACCAACGGCTTATATATCCCCACTCCCACCCCCCGGGCCGCAGTCCCATTTTCAATATTCCCACCTACTCGGCTGAGACAGACAGACCAACGGACAGACTACCCCTGCTATTTAATCTAACTCAGCCTCATTTCTTGCTTAATCTTTTTTTATCTTTTTTGCTTTATCAATTTTTTATCCCTCGTGGCTGAGGATTACTTATTTCCTATCCGAGGTTTTTAAAAGGATAGGACAGACTTCTTGTCACCGCTGGTTTCTACCGACCGAGTAGATTTCTGTTTTTCACTTATGATGACCATGTCGCACAGCAGCGAGGGCAGGCCCAAGGGTGAGTCTGAATGATATCCTACGAGAAATCTGCATTTCTAAACATGTTACAGGCATTCTTAAAAACTCATCCAGCTCAAACAGCATCCCCCAAGCGCAAGCGCAAACTACTCACTTTCACACCCCCACCCCCGAAATCCACCCCACCGTGCACGTCACCGACACCAAGGAAATCACTCTTCAAAACACACTGCAGAATGCAGGCCGTCGTCGGTCCTCGTCGACTACCCGGCCCGGCTCCTCGTCTCGCCGACAATCCCTGGCTAGTATCCACGGGCACGATGACAACTCGCCGCGACTCAAGTGGGATGAGGCGAACATTTACCTGACGGAGCAGGAGAAGACGGCCAAGATGAAGATCGATGAGCCCAAGACCCCTTACGCCCCGCAGTACGACCCCGCCGAGGACGAGGAGGAGATGCAGCTGGCCGAGGCGGAGGAGTCGCTGATTGATGCGCAGGGGGTGGTGGTTGATGAGTTGGAGAAGTCGAAAGTGCCGTATAAGAAGGGAGTGTCGGAGGATGATATTCCAGAGCTGGAACTGGGTGAGCCCGAGGAGGAAGTTCCTTCTGGGAACGCGGCGGGGGATCAGCAGGATGGTCGGGTTTTCCGGGCCCGAAGTCTCAGTAATGACTCGCACAAGAGTGAGAAGCACGTTGTTGTCGGGACGGTTGGTGCCAATGGAGCGGGGGAGTCGGATGCGGATCACTTGTTGACGCCTGAAGAGGCCAAGGCGAAACATGACCAATTTGAAAAGCATCGGAAGCAGCATTACGAGATGAGGAACATTAAGGAGCTTCTTGCGTAGGTTCCCTTCTTCTTCTTAAGCAGTGAGAGGAGTGCTAACTTTTTATGATACAGCCATCCTGAGAACCTGGACGAGATGGACGAGGACGACGATGACGAAGAAGAAAGTGCCGCTCCTCGTGTTCCACCCCCGGTGCCGAAGATTCCGGAACAATTTTTGAATGGAGGAAGATAAGCTGGGTGGCGAGACGGTAGATGTTTAAAAAATTCTCCATTGTGTTCATTGTTGCTATTGTATATTCCCCAGCGACTCCATCTGAGATCTCCTGCAAGACAGCCTGAGACATCGCATGAGTGGATAGATGAGATTTCTTTTGTTTGGAATGGATGTTATGATTACTGTAGATGTCAAATGTCATTATGATCGTTGTCAGCCCATGGACAGCATGTTGTTGCGATTCACGATGATCTTTTACTAGGCGTGGATGCCTGAGGCAGGTGATCGGCAGTGACACCACACAAGCAACAAATAGCGCCGACATTTGACAGCACTATTTACTCCGTATTCCACTCCCTTTTCGTCCCTCTATCGACCTCTTATTTTATTACAGATTCAGAATACTCTACTCACTAACCCACTAACTAGATAGAAGACATTCTCCTGAAATTTATGAAACAAACCAAATCACCCTTGCGGAGCTGCACTGCAACCCCCCTTTACAGTGAATTAAAGAGAAATGGACAGGATCATCGGGGTCTCCATCGCCAAAATTAATCAGTCACAAATGGCCCTCAGAGATCCATGGCCAATGAATCATTTATAGATACATACAGATGGAGTACACACACACGTACATACCCCTGGAGTTGCGTTGCTCAGACAAAAGTTCCTGGGCAATTGAGGCCTCGATGGGATTTATAGATAGTAGCAAATAATCATAACAATAATAATAAATACCCGCTTTGTCTCCCCTGAATTTCTTTTCTGTCATCCCACACTTTCTCTGTGATTCTCTGCTTGTCCTTTTCTTCTCCCATTCCTCTGTAAGTGCTGTCATCCTTGATCGTTTTTGTTAGGACTATTTGATCTCTATATATACCCATGCTGGACATGTGATTTCCCTGTTGGCCGTTCTTCCCCTCCTTCTTTTTCTTTTGTTTCTTTCTTTCTCTCTTCTTCCCTCCCACCCACGCCTCTCGCACTTTGTCCTTCCATCCTCCTCCCCATCCTTACCCTTCCATCCTACCCTATCCTCCCTCCCATTTGGTTCACTCTTCTCATCTCAATTCACCTAGGTTTCGTCAGGTTCACAATGTCTGAGCAGCCTACTGAAACGACTGCGGCGCCTGCTGCCCCCGTTGCTCCCCAGCAGCCCACCGAAACCACCCCAGAGGGCACCGTCGCTCCCGAGTCCCAGCAGGCAGAGAAGCCCCAGGAGAAGGCGGAAGAGAGCGAAGCTCCTGCGGCCGATGCTAATGCCACCACCGAAACCCCCGCTAAGCAGGAGGAGCCAGCCGCTGAGAAGCCAGCTTATTTGGCCAACAACCCTGCTCTGGTTCAGCTTTTTGGGCGTCTCCCCGCCATCCTCTCCAGCACTGGTCACGAGGAGATGTGGGGTGTGTCCCTCAAGGACTCCGATGATATTCCCACCGTCAATGTCTTGATCAAGTTCCTTCGTGCCAATGAGGGTAATGTCAAGTTGGCTGAGGAGCAGCTGACCAAGGCTTTGGAATGGCGCAAGTTGATGAAACCCGTTGCTCTGGCTGAGTCGGGCAGCTACAGTGCCTCCAAGTTTGGCGGATTGGGTTACTTGACCGTCTACAAGGACGCTGAGGGTAAAGAGACCGTTACCACTTGGAACATCTATGGCGCTGTGAAGGATATCCCTGCTACTTTCTCTAATGCCGATGAGTGAGTTTCTTTGTTTTGGCTTGTATCGGATCAAACATTACTGACGCTTTCTAGATTCATCAAGTGGCGTGTTGCGCTCATGGAGTTGGCTGTCAAAGACCTCAAGTTGAACGAGGCTACTTCCGTTATTGAGTACGACGGCGAGGACCCATACCAGATGGTTCAGGTTCACGACTACCTGGGGGTGAGCTTCTTCCGATTGAACCCTGCCGTCAAGGCCGCTACCAAGAAGACCATCGATGTTTTCGCCACGGCATACCCCGAGCTTCTTCGCGAGAAGTACTTTGTCAATGTTCCTTCCATCATGGGCTGGATGTTTGCTGCCATGAAGGTGTTCCTGAGCAAGAACACTACTCGCAAATTCCACCCCATCTCCAATGGCGCCAACTTGGCTCGCGAATTTCCCTCGATTGTGCACCAGTTCCCCAAGGTCTACGGTGGAGAATCCCCTGAGCTCTTGGAAACTGCGAAGACCGTCAAATTGGAGGCCGATGCCGAAACCCCTGAAGCTCCCAAGGAGGAAGTGAAGGAAGAATCTGCCAAGGAGGAGCCGGCCAAGACTGAACCAGCTGTCACGACTGCGGAAGCTCCTGCTGCTGCTGAGGTCAAATAGAGGCGTCAGTGAATGGAGATGAGAAAGGCGCGATGATCATAATAGGGGCAGTCTGGTTGGTTTGATACCCGGAAAGGATAGGTAGATTGATTCACCTTGTTTGTTTTTGATACCTCGGAATCATCATGTTGTTTGCAAAGGAGTTTTGTTAGAGCAGTACTTTAGTAATTCCTAATTCTAATCATATATATACCAGAGTGATGAACCAGGCTTCAGTTTGTAGTTTTCATGTCGATCGACAGATAATGTTTGTAACTGCTGTATAGGACTGGTTTTCTTTGAGAGCAAAATGAGTCGGCATTTGTTATAACACAGCCTTAGAAATAAGTGAATTCAACATAGATAAGATATAGTCTCATTGAACATTCTTTTCTTTGTCTTTGTCTTTTCTTTTCAATTCTCTCCGTCTGGTTGTTATGGTGGTGAATATACCAGTACGGGACATCATAGTGCCAGGACCGCAATTCGTCTCTCCGATCTTGGCTTCTGGGAGCTTCAACAGATCTGTTACCCCAGCTTCAACTTCCCTCCCATCTTTGCGAAGCGGTCTGCTCTAGCATCATTGCTCGTGGGCGTTTCAATCAGAATGCGTTTCGCCCCCTTCGACACACCCAACACGTTTCGATAATCCAAATTCCGTCGTCCATCAAACCTCCGACCCCATTCCCCTCGATTCCGCTATACATCGATCGCCTCGTCACGAGAAAGTTGGCTGGCACCATCTTTTCCGAGCTAGGCGGGAAAGAAAAAACATAAAAAGCAACCATGTCGGTTTGGAACCCAGATAATATCCGCGACATCGCCGAATCTGTGGGCGTTGTCAACCTCAACAACGATGTCACCGAAAACCTTGCGCGCGACGTCGAGTATCGCATCGCTCAGGTGTTGGAGGAGTCGCTCAAGTTCATGCGACACAGCAAGCGGACTCTGCTCACGACGCAGGATGTAGCGCAGGCACTGCGCGTCCTTGATGTTGAGCCTCTATATGGTTACGAGTCTACACGGCCTCTTCGGTTTGGGGAGGCTTCGTTAGGCCCTGGGCAGCCGCTGTTCTACGTGGAGGATGAGGAGGTGGATTTTGAAAAGCTGATCAATGCGCCTTTGCCGAGAGTCCCTCGTGAGGTGTCGTTTACTGGTGTGTATTGGATGGTGCTTTTTGGTTTTATGTTTACCTGCTCAGAGCTGACTTGGATTATAGCACACTGGCTAGCTGTTGAAGGTGTGCAACCGTCCATCCCTCAGAACCCGACTGCGGCCGATTCGAGAAACCTCGAGCTGGTATCCAAGGGTCCCAATGCCAACTCCACGTTGGCTGCGATGAGTGGCAGTGGCAATGTGGCCGTGAAGCCGTTGGTCAAGCATGTGTTGTCCAAAGAGCTCCAGTTGTATTTCGAAAAGGTGTGCAGTGCGTTTTTGGACGAGACCAGCGAGGAGTACAGGACGTCTGGATATTCCAGTCTGCGTGAGGATCCTGGTCTACACCAACTGGTGCCGTACTTTGTACAGTTCATTGCGGAGAAGGTCACACACAGCCTTAAGGATATATTTGTTCTGACGCAGGTCATGCACATGGCGGAGGCTTTGGTGCAAAATAAATCCCTTTACGTGGATCCTTACGTGAGTTCAACGAACGGCTGTATACCATGCGTTGTGTGTTTATGTGGCTAATTTGCGGGTTCTTTTTTCTTTCCTGTCTAGATTGCATCTCTTGTTCCTCCTATTCTTACCTGTCTGATTGGCAGACAACTTGGCAGTAATGCCGATTTGCCTGAACAGTTTGCGCTCAGAGACCTTGCGGCATCTCTGCTGGGTCTCATTGCCAAAAAATACTCCCACTCATCGCATACCCTCAAACCGAGACTTGCGCGTTCCTGCCTGAAGAGCTTCCTGGACCCCTCGAAGCCATTTGGCGCTCATTACGGAGCCATCATTGGGTTACATGCCGTCGGAGGCCCCGAAGCTGTGCGAGTGCTCATTGTCCCCAACCTCGCGACATACGCCAGCTTACTCAAGGACGGGATCGCGGAAGATAACCCTCGCCGACCAGAGGCCGAAAAGGTTCTGGGCGCTCTGGTCGCTGTTCTTGCTACGTTGCGCGAGGGTCGTATGCCCCTTTCCAACGGGCATACAGGTGTTGTGACGGATGAACTACGAGCCCGGTTGAATGGGAAAGTCGGTGAGCTTATTGCAGGGAAGATTGCAGAGGCGGGGGAGGTACAAATGGCCCATGCCATACTTGAGGCATAAGCGCATTTTTATCTTTCATTTTTATAATCCTTGTTTATTACCCTTTCTTTCGGCCAGGAATGATTCTCTTATTGTGCCCAAGAGGAGATGGATTTCAATTCACGCAGGCGTCTGGAATTGGTGTTGGGGAGTGGACATACAATACAAATTTATTATACTGAGTATTATTCTTGATTGTCGGACAGGTTGCGGCATTTTCGTCTTGTGATAATCTTGACCAGATTTGCTGGAGAAGCCGTAGGTGAAAGACTGAACACATTATCTTGGTCCTCTTGACATACACTAGTTAGTCCGAGGAGTTGAAACACGCGACATTGTACGGGTAAACGATCGCTGTGGATCTCAGGGTTCCTGGCAAGAGATCGCCATCACGATTACTCTGTCTTGCACTGGTTTTACAATCTTTATCACCGGGACTGAGCCATCGATTCCGTGGATAACATTGACGCCAAAAATAACATCCCGACGCCAGATGAGTCAATGACCAGGTTCGTGACAGGATATCTTCTCCAGCCTCCATGTGAGGCATTTCCCTTCTCGACGTCATCGGGATTAGTCAGCGCGGGCAGATGACTCAGCATTTCCTCCTCCACCGAATCCCGCAGTGTCTCGCGACCGGCAAAAATTATCGTCTCCAAAGCGATTCTTGGTAACAAGAAGCAAAAACTAAGGAAGAGGGAGTACAGAAAAGGGAAAAGAAAACGTCGGTGCGTATCTAGCCCCCCTCCGTCCTACACCCCCTCTTCTTGCCACGAGTTACAATCCCTGTGTGGTTGTGTTGGCTTCGTTTCAATTTTTTCCCTCTCTCTCTCTTCCCCGTTCCCACAGTCGAGTAGTCGAGACTGACGCTTATACGGGAATTTCCCTCAGTTTCTGCGTCCCTCCAAGGAAGAACTACACTATCTCTCCCCCTGCGCCCCACGAAGCATTGCAAGGGCCCACAGGCAAAATAATCGCTCAGGCCTGATTGTCTTGTCTGCCCTAAATTAAATACCGAACGACATCCCCCCCGCGCGCACGTCGCCCAGAGGTTGTTGGGTTTCTTTTGCTCCCAAAAAAATTTATTTCCCCAAATTGGAAAACAAGCAGTCCTTGTTTCTGCCATTGGATTCCTCTGCCCCCCTTTCGATTGAGATATATATTCGGTGAGCATCGGACAGATTTTCGTCGTTTGTCGCAGATGTCCATTGTCCCGTAGCTTCGCTGCTGTTTCGCCAAATTTTCGTCTTGGTCTTCCATGAACCCGACGGACCTTTTGCGATTCCTGTCAAAGCCTGCTAAGTATGTTGATCTTTGTTGCTCTTCCTGCGTGATATTTGGCTGTCATTGGTTCCTTGGGAGCTTTGTTGTTTTTCCCTTACGTTTCTTTGCACTTGTCATGGCGGGCTATGGTGGTTGCCTTGAGATCGTCTCTCCAGGATGATGCTGGATTGGGTCGCAACAATCGTGGATTCCTTCTACTTGAAGAGAAAGAAGGAACGATTCATGGAAACAATCATCATTCTGTCATGGTCACTTGACTACTCATACTTATCAAGACAAAGGCTAATATCACCGTCTCTAGGCCCAGATAACACGACTCAACTCGAGTCCAAACGCCTTCACCTTTTCTCTTTATACCCTTTTTTATCAAAAGCAGATACCTCTCGTCTGCTAGACCCGATACTTTGGCCGGTATCGGTATCTTTCAGCACGAGGGTACCGGACTGATAGTCACCATTCCTTTTTCCAGAGGCCTCTTCCTCCTCTCTCTTTCCTTCCGCCCTCCCTAGCACCCCTTCAGGTGTCTTCTGAATCTATTTTGCTTGGCCTGTTGTGCCAATCTTTCCTTGGATAAAGGGCCTTCTCTCTCAGACGGACATTGCCCCCCTGTTCGTCTGGGCAGCAGACAGTGCTTCCTAGGCTTCTTTGTCTACGGTCACGAACATAAAAACTGTGTCGCTTATCGTCTCTGAATTCAGCATACAACTTGGTTATCCCGGTTTATTCATCAGTCAATCGCAATGGTTTCTGCAGCTATCCCAACTCAGTACACGGCCTCGCCGTCTTCGTTCGCGGCGACTCCGTCCTTGACGATCAACCATGTCGCAACTCAGGATCTCGATTCCAGCAATGCCTTTGAAGGTCCGTTTTGTCCTATTTTTTGATTAGTGTACCAGTACTAACACTGAACAGGGCCTGAGAAGCTCCTTGAGGTCTGGTTTGCACCTAGCGCCAAGGACCTGGGAACCGCAAACCCTGCGGGTCTGAAAGCCGTTTCGGAGGATGTCTGGAAGGACATGCTGGACCTGGTCAACTGTCAGGTCCTGTCCATTGTTGCGTCTGACGATGTCGACGCCTATCTACTGTCGGAATCCAGCATGTTCGTATGGCCTCACAAGCTGATCCTCAAGACCTGTGGAACTACGACCCTGCTCTCCGGTCTTCCGCGCATCCTTGAGATCGCCGCCGTGTTTGCTGGTTTCCCTAAAGCAACTGCACCTGCATCTCTTGGAATTAGCGTTGCGGCTACCCCGTACCGTGTGTTCTACAGTCGCAAGAACTTCCTCTTCCCCGACCGCCAGCGTGGTCCTCACCGAAGCTGGAGGGACGAGGTCCGAACCATGGACAAGCTCTTCCAAAACGGCAGTGCCTACATGATTGGCAAGATGAACGGTGACCATTGGTACCTGTACCTGACCGAGCCGCATACGTTGCTTACACCGCCTGGCACCCCTGGTGAGGAGACCGAGACCAGGTTCCTCTCTGTTCCTGAGGGCACTGCCTTGCACAGCGGAAATGACGAGCATGATGAGACTCTCGAGGTCCTGATGACCGACCTGGATGAGGAGAATGCCAAGCAGTTTTACCTTGAAAATGCCACCGAGGTCGCGGCAACGCGCTACCGCAACATTGAAAAGGACGACGATGGCCACGTCGATGTATTCAGCAATACCTCGGACATGAGCGACATGGGTTCCGACGGTGGCCAGATTCTGCCTTCCGAGCTGACCACCGAAGGCCATGCTTTGGGAACTGTGGTGTCTGAGTCGTCCGGTCTGTCCGATGTGTACCCTAAGGACAAGTTTCCCGACTCACGCATCGATGCGTATCTGTTCACCCCGTGCGGATTCTCCGCCAACGGTGTGATTCCTGCCCCCGATCTCAAGACCGGCACCCATTACTTCACCGTTCATGTGACGCCGGAGCCTCACTGCTCCTACGCGTCTTTTGAGACCAACGTGCCCCACTCGCAGACCGGCCAGACCACTGCAGGAATCATCAAGCAAGTGGTGGACATTTTCAAGCCAGGACGTTTCAGCGTGACTCTCTTCGAGGCCCAGCCCGACGAGGGAGAGGCCGATAGCGCCAAATACATTGAACGCCAGACCGCCCGTCGGGCGACCAAGATGGAGCACATTGACGGCTACCGTCGGGTGGACCGGATCGTGCACGATCTGGATGGATACGACCTTGTCTTCCGTTACTACGAACGTAATGACTGGAAAGGGGGGGCCCCGAGACTGGGCGAGAAGACTTGGTGAAGTATCCGCTAATTAGGAATATGGGGACGGATATGTGGACGCTCGTTTATATGAAATTCTTTGCAAATATTGTGCTTTTTGTACACCAGTCTCGTGCTGGAAAGCTTAGCGATTGATGTTAGTCTCGCATTTGTCATTCCTTAGTTGCAGTTATTAGTTTTGCTCGAGCGAGTTCTGTCGTTCCAATTGAGTGCATTTACTGCCATCAAAACTGAATCTTAGATTATGCTTTTGTAAATGTAGATATTATCCCATCCTATTCCACAAGGCCATCAAAAGTGAGTGGTTGCTATTGATATGGCTGAGTTGATTGTAACGACTAGAGTGACTCGGCAGACCTGCCGAATGTGAAGGGCGGATCTTTGGATCTTACAGCTCCGCCCGGCCTTTCCAACACAACACTTCAAGCTCTCTCCGTCATACCAGATCTCATCTGCACGCCTTTTACTCGTCCTCATCCATCCATCACTCTACTCTCATTCTATCTCTGTACCCTGCGATTTTCAAACTGGCTCTTACGCCCCGTTAATCCAGCCCAGCTAGGGCGGCGACTCGAAGGATCTTGCAAGCGATCGCATCAAAAAAGAATCTGAACAGCCTCGAAAACCAACACGATCCATCTACTCATATCTAATACTCTTCTCGAAGAACAAAGCGAACATTCACCATGTCTTCACCACCACCCCCTGGCAACCCTCTAAAACGACCCTCGATGTCCTCCTCCGCCTCCCAACCCATTGGCGCCAACCCGAAACGCGCACGCATGCACCCCCTCCGCCAGACCTCATTCCCGACGACGATCGAAGCGGAATCGCGCACGTTCAGTGATGCAGGGAGCGTGACGGGGAGTTTCACGGGGAGTCTGGGGGGCACGAGTGCGGACGGGGTTTTCTCGGGAGCTGCTTCGAAGATGAAGAAACGGGGTCGGAAGAGTAAAGCAGAAAAAGAGCGAGAGAGGGAAGACGCGGCTAGTATGAGGGGGATGGAGACGAGGGTCGGGTCTGTCGATGCTGAGGGTTCGGTTCGAGGGGGTCCTAGTGGTGGGGGCGGCGGCGGTGGTGCAGGGGGTGGCGCGGATGACGGGGATGATGATGATGATTTTGATGATGAGGTGGAGTTATTGGGGAGAGAGGATGGAGCTACGGATACGGAGGCAGAGAAGAAGAATCTTGCGTATGTTCTATGTGTTTTGATGATGGATGGATGGATGGTTGAATGAATGGGTTGGCTAACATGATGGTTACCTTAAAGGCTACTTGTCGACGCGTTTAACCCCTTACAATCGGAACGATATGATTTGTTCAAACGAGCCAAGCTGAGGAAGGAAACACTCCGGCGAATTGTGAATCATGTGCTCTCGCAATCTGTGCCTGCCAGTGTGGTCACCACCATCAACGGATTTACGAAGGTGTTTGCCGGAGAGATGATCGAAAAGGCTCGAACAGTCCAGGCTGAATGGGCCGATGCACACGATCAGGCAGCATTAGCCGCTTTCGAGGCGGAAGAGAGAGCAGCCGATGAGAGAGCAGCAGCCGCGGCAACAGCAGCAACAACCTCTGGCGGTGCGACACCGACATCTGGTGCAACAACACCCGTGAATGGAGCAGGCGATCCGGCCGTGAAAAAGGAGCCGTTGAATGGTGACCGCTCTTCGATCCCTCCACATGTCCATGCAGCAGCGAGTCGGCCATCGAGTCCTAGCCACAACCCAAACCCCGTGCGGCCACGACGGGAGTTCAAACCGCCTCCCAACCCCCACCGAGGCCAGCTGCTACCGTCACACCTCCGCGAGGCACAGCGACGGTATAAGCGAGACTACGAAGGAGGAGGGGTTGGGTTCTCGGGGCTAAGCATGGGCAACCTGGGCGTGCGGGGAGCGGTGACCTGGAATGCTGGCGGTGCTGGAGGACGAAGAATCTTCCGATAGACTTGAACTTATGATGCGATGAACATGTACAGTCTGGTAATCCTAATAATGAAAGTAATCCGATTATCCGTCTATGCTTCTATCTATCTATTTCAGATATAGGATTTGCTTCCGGAAACACCCATGCTCTGGGCAGTGAGTTCTGTGTGTTTGTTGTTGTACTGCACTTGCAGGTCCATATTGAGTTCTCAACTGCATCGATGTTATGCATCAGCCTTATCAGGACCGCAGAGAACCACAGGCAACATACTTGACCCTCTCACAAGGGGTTATCCCTTTATCAGGCTTATTGCGATCAGCTGAGTTGTTTCTATGCATCTGTAGATGTATTCTATTTGAAATTCGAGGAATAAATCAAGATAATTCCATTGATTCTGGTTTCTCTGCGGTATCGAAAGAATTCATCGAGGGAGCAATAAAGTATACGCTAGTACCATACTAGGCCTAGTGTCGCTTGGCATAGAGGATTTGAGTTAGAGGCTAATCGCATTTGACGAATAGAATGCTGGAGATTGGAGGATACCGTACCAATACACAGAAAACCCCTGTTTCAGCCATAGTTCTGCGTACTGTGACTGTATCGTACCAGATAATACCACCGTTCTTTTGCTTCATCTACATGCTTCAAAAAGAATCTCTCTCTCTCTCTCTCTCTCTCTCTCTCTCTCTCTCTCTTTCTCTCGCAGACTGTCTCTTCTCGTTCTAGCAAGGAATCTGCACGGAGAGGGATTGGCCTGCAGATAGCCATCGAGGGCTTATCAGGACCATCGCTCATCTGCATCAGCTGCAGGAATGCCTCAGATTGAGACAACACCGACAGATGGCGCAATTGCAGCCAGAGGGATAGGATCATGGCGGTATATGCGTTGCACATTGGACAGTTCTTGAATGCCTCTGGTATGCTCATTTGTTCATCCTTTTCTCTTCTTTTCTCCTCTTATGGATTCGTGATTCTCTTTTCTTCTTTCTTTTGCCTACTTTGTCTTCATCTCTATATTTCTCCCTTTTTAGCCCTTGGATGCGTGTGCTCTTTGTTCCATCTCTCTCTAGATGCTGTACACCTTTACCCCTCAATTGGACTCATACCAACCCAATTCAGTCACTCTTGACATTGACTTTTTCTTTTAATTCTTCAATTCCTTCCTTTATTTCTCTTATGGATTATCATCATCCCACTGCTGTCCCATGAAAAGTCCATCGTTACCCACTATGCGTGTCCCTCTATACTCCCGCCTCGTGGGTATCCTCCCCACGCTGCCGTGGGATTCAGGCGATCCTGCAGTCAAGGGCGACCCCCGGAAGAGTGTCAAATGGATTGATGTATGCTTCCCCTCGTCATCCCCGATGCTCCATATTAACGTCAGAAGGGTCTTCGAGGAATTGCTTCATTTCTAGTCGTTCTCACTCATCTGGCCCGCGCCTGGGATTACGATCTATTCTCCACCCGAGATACTGAAGATGCTGCACCCCGAATTTTACAATGGCCCATCCTGCGGATTCCCTGGCAGGGCCGAATTGGTGTTACCATCTTCGCCTTTCTTACCGGATATGTCTGTGCCCTAAAACCGATCAAGCAATCGCGGGCTGGTGACAAAATCGGATCCTTCACGTCCATTGCGAAGAGTGCTTTTCGCCGTCCGCCCCGTCTCATCTTGCCCGCCACAATCGCCATGATAGTCTCCTGGACAATGGCGCAGTTTGGGGCGTTTATCGTGGCCAATCGCTCGGACTGTTGGTGGTGTCGATATGCCTCGCCTGATCTGGAAGAAAGCCTGTGGCAGGAGTTTGAGCGGCTGCTCAAGAACTTCCTCAGTACTTGGACCACCGGATACATGGCCTACGATGATCATCAGTGGGCATTATTGCCTTTACTAGAAGCGTCAATGCTTGTTTATATATTGCTTTTTGCGACTTCGTTTATCAAATTCCGCTGGCGGTTGGCAATCTATCTCGGCATGTTTCTTTACTTTCACCAAAACGCCGCAAAAGATACAGGTGGGTTTAATTCTTTTATTACGATATAAAGGTTATGACTGACCCCAATTAGAAACCTTTCAGATGCAAGCCATCTATGGAATGTTCCTTAGCGACCTTTCATTCGACTTTTCATTTAGAGAATTCATTAATTATCATAGCTGGGGACGTAAATTAGTCGCCTTGTTTTTGGCGATCTCCGGTCTTTTTATAGCATCCTACCCCGGAGAACATCCCGAGTGGATTACCTGGTCCGACTATATGTTTCATCTAGCCCAGTATCTCTTCCCACCAGACGTCAACCTTGGCAAACGGTATACAGCACTTGGAGTGGACCTGGTTATCCTGGCTATCTATATTTCCCCGTCCACCAAGGAATTCCTCTCCAACCGCCTGCTACTCTGGCTAGGGAAGCAGAGTTTTGCCGTCTACCTTATCCACGGTACTCTCCTGCGCACCGTCCTCTGCTGGATGCTATATGGCATAACTGGTCAGCCTTGGGAGGAGACCAAAGATGCAGATGGCAACCTTGTTGACCCCCAGTGGATTCCCCTCCGAGCTCCCTCGATTGTGGCTATCAGTATTCCCACGTGGATCATGATCGTTTATTTTTGCGCTTCATTATGGACCCGCTACGTCGATACCTTCTGCGCAGCCGTCACGCAGAAGTTGGAGAGACTCATGTTCGAAGAGGATGAGAAGCAGCCACCGCTACCATTGAATACGATTTCTATGCCGACTGTTTGATTTTGATTTTTATTTTTTTTATTTTTTTCGCTTTTAGCCTTGCATTTTGCTGGTGTTGTTGGTTCCACCATATTTTGACTATCTTTGCTTTGTGGTTGTTTCCTTCGGTGTAAATATATGGGAAGCCTCGATATAAGTTGGATTTTTGGATATTCCATCATTCAATATATATCAATGGACTTGATAATTACTATTTTAGTATATTCTAGCGAGGATGGATCATTTGTCAGTGGTAGACATCTAAGTGTGGTTGTTGATGTTTTGGGCTGGTGATATATAATGAGTTCATAGAATCTAGACTAGAGGAAGCTACTTTATTATTAACTCGAATTGCTTTTAGAAACAAGACAATACTAAGCAATGGAAGGGACTTGATTGTAGTTATCTACAATACATTTAAAGAAAAAAAAAAAAAAAAAAACCCTCATGTCCCAACCAAATTTAACTGTCGTCGTCACCTTCCATATCAACCATAAGGGATAACTAGATTCCGAGCTGAGCTTGATACAATCAGCACCTAGACCAAGAAATGATCAAGGAAACTACTCACCATCCTAAAGGAAGAGTAACGCAAAAGCAATGCATTCAATCGTGTATCTCATTTCCCAACGAGACAAACCGACTCAACACACCGTCCAACTTAGTCAACGTGGATAACGCGAACTTCAATCGGACCCGTGATACGAGCACGACGTCTATTGCGTTGATGATGTTCGAACCAGGAGACACTGAGGCGGATGAAGAAGGCAGCAAAGAGGACTGCGAGGCCTTTAATGATAACGGGGAACCACTTGATGCTGGTGGCCGTTTCCATGATAGACATGATTCTGTGGTTGTTAGCGGTGTATTTGATAAGGGTATATAGGTGACATACGTTGAGGAGTGGAGGAAAGGATAGATGGCGTAGATCTGGAGCTGGGGTGCTGAGAGGACGAGGTGGTTAATTTCCTTTGTTTTCGTATATGGCTTTGGGTAGGGTTTGTATACTTCTGAACTGGAGATCGGGGTCAAGATAGCTCAACAACTCAGGTAAGGTGATGTATGAGTGATTGAAAGAAAGAGTGGACATGGAGAGATGAAAAGGTGATGGTTGAGACAAGAAGAAAGAGAGAACAAAAGTAGTAAAGAACAGGGGGGGGGGGGTTAATAATTCTGTTTCGTGGGAAGAGGGCTTTCTGTTCTCGGCGTCATGATCAGTCCTTCACTCTCTTGCTTCTGGGCTAGTTGCCATGACGAGTCAGCGATAGGGTTTTGTGGTTCTTTGAGAATTTCTTCAGTGAAGAGGCGTGCTTTCTTCATGTCTCCTGGAAATGCAGCTTCATGAGTCTCAAAATCATTTCTCCCTTCTTGGACTTGATGTTTCTTTATTTTCCCGATCCACTCAGGCACCTCATCCTTTTCTGAAACAATTTCCCAGCTAATAAAGGTATTGTTTTTCTTTGTTTGTTGTGGTCTGTTCATGTTCATCGCCTGAGATGTGGTTCTCTGAAATCATGACGGGACCTATTCGGCAAACCCATCTTAGAAAGAGCCAATCTAACTATGCCCGAGACCGAGACAGGAAAACTCACGGCACGGACCTATGACGAGGTCACGTACCTTCAAGGCGGAGGTTTAGTAGCTATTGAGATGCTCCCTGAGAATGACACTGCAAAGCAGGTCGATATCGCAGAAGCTAAAGTCTTCTTTCTGATGGGTAAGGCACCCACTTGAGGATATCAAACATAAGGAATACTCAGAAAATTGGTGTTTAGGCGGCCCTGGGTGTGGCAAGAGTACGATTGCTGTCAAACCAGCGGCGGATCGGGGCATGATTCACCTCGATCCGGATGTTATTGTTCGTCGTTTGAAAGACAGTGTCCCCACGGAGGCATGGGAATCCATCAAAAGCAGCATGGATGAGGATGGGAATTTGCCGGACAAAGTGCTCATTCTGCTTATCAAACAGGAGATTGAGCAACATCTGCAGTACGGAGCTCTGCGGTTCGTGATTGATGGATTTCCACGATCTTGGGAGCAGCATGATCTAGCTGACAAGGTGAGCTTGGCAGAAATTGCTGGTGTTTGTCAATTTTCCTTTGCTGGCTTTTTCTGACTATTCCTTGACGTTAGACCTTCAACTTCAAGCTCACCCTTTATCCGCAGGTGTCCTCAGAAACACTGAAACAGCGATCTATGCAGAAAAGTCTCGCCTCACAGAGCGCGGAAAAAGGGATCGACACATTCAAAAGACAGAGAGAGCAGTATGGGGCGCCTTCCAAAGTCCTGATAGCCTATTTCGATTCCAAGATAGTCTTGCACGAGGTAGGTAAAGTCGATGTGAACCAAGTTTCTGTAATCTGTAACCCCCATTGACAGCACCAGATAAGGGCTGAAGGCGAGATTGATATGGATTATCGGTCCCTGATACAGGCGGTCAATGTATGTCCATTTTCCACTGGCGTTGCATCTGCATCACCTTGTTAACGAGAGTGCAAAGAGGAAGATTGCTATTTCAGAGTACGAACTGCCTTAGAGGTTTGATTCCCCGAACAGTAGCATAACCAGGAGACTCATCATTCTTCAATGTGACGGAGGTTGAAGGCTGTTTCGATTCTTGCTCTTATTCCAGCCTTCTTTGGTTGGTGTCTTAGTGTCGTGCAGGAAAGTAACTTGGTAAATATCAGCATTTGTTGCAGGTTTAAACTTCCTCCAACGACTCTGGCTTGGGATAGAGAATTTCAGATGGCTGAGGATGGTTGGAGCTGGTGGGAGTCGGATGCGTGAAGTGAAGTGAAGTTGAATTGAATTGAACTGGCGACTCGATCACCTGACAAAGCAATCACAGAGACCATCATGTACCAAGAAAGAAGCAAAGGAAATAAATGAAAATAAATGTCTCATGGAACAAAAACCCTTCTAAATAAACAAAATAGGTGAATGGTACAATGCCATATTTTACAAATGTAAATACAAACTCCAGCCTCGCCCCCATAACACATGCTCACCTTTGCTTGCTCTTGAGCGATGAACGGGCCTTCTCCCTCTCATTCTCCATAGCTTGCATATAGGCCTGTCTCCGAGCGTGGTTTCTCTCTTCCCGCTTCCATTCTTCCTCCTCATTCCGTCTCTTTTCATAGTCAGCTGCTGTCTTGAGATCCTTCTCGCTGAGTCTGGGTGGAGCCACAGGCGACCCATCTGGATTCTTGGAGGGGTTGCCGCGCATATCGTTGAGCTTCTCTGTGGCATCACGCGTGATATTTTGCTTAGATTCCTTGATAGAATTCAGAGCACGGTCAATGAAGCTGAGGTCTGCTGACGGGCTCTCTGTCTTCATCTTGGCCTTTTCTGCCGTAATGGCATCGCTAAGCATGCGAATTGCCTTGCTCTGCTCCGATTGCCCCTGTCCTGCAGAGCCTCCTGAAGCTGACGGTTTAGCAATGGCAATGTTCGCAAACCTCCTGAAGCTGTTGCTAGAAAGCAGGTACGATTGCCCCAACGCCATAAGACCCGTTCCGACGAAATAGAGCTGAAGGGCACTAGGGAAGAAGGCAACGAAAAGAGTTGAAAATGCGGGCAGCCCATAAAGAAACATTTTTCCAAAGGATGTCTGGCTCATTTCGTTCATACCAGATTCTCCTCCTTTCTAAACAAAGAAAAAGATAAGTCATCAGTATCGCCATCATAATATGGAAAGGTTATGGCAGGACATACCCGGAAACTCAGATGCATGGACAAAGCTGTGATAGCGGGAAGAATATAATACGGGTCAGCTACCGTGAGGTCTTGCAGCCAGAGAAGTTGTTCTGAAGCCAACCCGGGAACAGGCAGCGAGGTCATGCCCTTGACAACTCGGTAACAGCCGAATCCAAAAGGAATCTGTATCAAGGGGAGAAACGATTTCCAAGGCTTGACACCATGCCTAATGTGAACGTCCTGCAACTCGGCTCTCGCCCTTGTCATCTCAGCCTGGTTCCCTTCCTTGCCGTAGGCCATCATCTGCGAACGGAGAGGGTTCACGATGTGCTTGATGCTTTGCATCCTGGCGGAGGTGTCTGCAGCACCCAAGACTGGTTTCAATAAGGCTAGGCGGACCAAGACTCCTGCCCCAATAATACTTGCCCACCAGGGCATTCCTCCCCAGATGTGAAGATGCTCAATGACATATTCGATCATTGCCGACGGACCCCAGCCGTAGTCCAACCCCAGCTCTTTGAGGTATCCGACCTTCTCGGGAATCAAGTTGATGTCAGTAGCGGAGATATCGGAGAGATCGCCAGGTGCATCTGACACAGTCTCGGTGGCAGCTGCGGCTGTCGAGGCGGAGGCAGCGGACGTGGTGGAATTGAAACGAGCGGACGACGGTCCGGGCAGAGAAGATGTGGCTCTCCATGAGAGATTGCCAGAGAGTGTCTGGTTTAACCTGCCATATCGAGTGGGAAGCTTGGCAGTTTGCGATCGGAACGAGGACATCTATAAACCTGGGTCAATTCAATTCCTCCTGTTTTGTTACCGACGGAGAAGATAATCGGAGAGGAACGAACCGAACGACTGGAGCGAGGGAGGGCAGTCAATCGTTGCCGCGCAATGGCAGGCACTGTGCCAGACCCTTTCAGGCCATATCCTCCCAGCATTTTGAACCCGGCAATATAAAAAGTGATTGGCCTGGGGAAGTAATAATATGGGGTGTTGGGGAAGAACGCAACCTGTCTCCGTCGGTATTTTGGACTTTTCAGCGCCAAGACCGTTTTTCTGCCGGGCGGCCGGATCGATATCAACTACAACAACCCGCACGGCGGATTGTCCGAGGTAAATACAGACACGACAGGATGTTGAGAGGCAGTCATGGGTTAGATGTGATGGTGAATTATTATCTGTTGTATTTGCAATGCAGTGCTGGGATGATCCGTAGCTTTGATATGCCAAACTTGAGGTTCTTCGCCAGACGCCGTCCAGTCAGGCCTACGACTGGGTGCTTTTGAATCTATGTACACAAAACCCACAGGCACACGTATCTTGCTGGTTGAAATCAAAAGCCAAAAAAAGCTCTTCAACTGTGTATCTCAAAAACTTGAACAAAAAGAGAGTTCTAAATCAACGCTCGACTAGGTTGATCGTTCTAACACCTTGCTCCCTCATCGCCGCGACGGAACCTCTCGAACTTCGATACCTGACCCCACGGGCCTCGATCGTCGATGGACTGGGAAAATCTATAAAAACCAGTGTTAGCTCGGAGCACAGGAAGTGACATGCATGCGTAGCAAACGTATTCAAACGCAGAGACAATCGTATGCGTTTGAAGATCAAACTGTACCTTTGTGCCAGACCATCCTAGTCTAAATGCTGCCTCATGGGCAAACAGTTCACCAAATCCTAGCATCAGGCCGTTCACAAAGGGAAGGATCAGATTGATCGCAGCGCCTCGCAGAATACTCCAGGCAGTTGTTGGTTTGTAGAGAACGAGCGGGGAGCTCGACGTGGATGGAGGGGACGAGGTCAACTCATTGTTGGCGGAATAGTTATCAGAGTCTGATGGGACAGTCAACCCAGAGTCGTAAAGCTCGACTTTAGAGTCGGTGTGGTCGTTGGATGCCATGATGCGGGGACGGTGCCGGTGTCAACAGTGAAATCAGGGACTGCACTGGCAGCAGAAATAAAGAGCGGTAGATATGAAAGTTCAAGCTCCACTCTCTATCCGTCAGTAAAACAGAGAGACGAAGGCCAAGTAATGATTGAATGGATGAGGTTTCTTCTGCGGCTTAAGGGCGGTACTTAGAGAGAGTTCGTGAGGGATAATGGGATTGTTGCGCTCTGCGAAGGAGGTTATGTAAGCATGTAGTCTCCTTACACCATTTTGTGTCAACGCAACATCAAACATACTAGAAATTTGCTAATAAATATTAGAGACATCCAGAGATTCAAATGCCTGGATATTCTCTTTTTGTAACAGTTTACTGCTTTATTCATTGTAGGTATGGAGAGCATTATGGCATAATCACCTACCTAGCTACCTGCATACAAAACCGCGGCATAGCAATTACATCCAATTAGGATATGCCAATTTCCCGCCAAATGTCTATTTATTCTCATATGAGAGTAACAAGACTCAATGACACTTTCCAGCCTAGACTTTCCAGTCAGAAAACAATACTGGCTGAATGTTCAACATTTCGCAGGGAACATAGCGGCATGCATGCCTCAGGAATGAAGACCAGCGGAAGATCCCCTCTTCCGGATGACCAATCAGGCGGCAGTGACGTACCCTGGATCTTGTCGAGAGCTTTCCATAGCAATCAGCCGCTGCTCTTCCTTCTCCAAAGCATCTATCTCCTCATCTCTTCATCCCCTCACTACCACTCGTTGTTCTCCTTTCTCACTGCGCTGAGCTCTCGAAACCCCTACACCTACAATAAACAAAGCCTTGCTGATTTCGCGCGACTTCTCAAACCTACCGTCAGCATGGACCATAACCCCGCAAATAACGATGAGGTCGTTTCGCAATTCTGTGCCATGACCAGCGCCAGCACTTCAGAAGTAAGCTTTTGTTCCTTCAACGGTCTGTACAGCTCATTGCTGACTCTTGACTGCAAAGGCACAGGAATATCTATCGACCAATGGATGGGATATCGAGGCGGCAGTGACAGAGTTCTTCGCAGAACAAGACGAAGCCTCGCAGAGGCCATCGGGAGGTCGTTCTCTAGGAGGTAGCTCGGCTCAGTCACCGGCTCCTACACAGCAGGAATCTTCGGGAGCACGGAAATCAGCGCCCCAAAAGAAAATTGCTACACTGGGCGACTTCACGTCTGGAGGTGGTGATTCTTCCGATGAAGAAGATGATGAGAACCAGGACATGTTTGCTGGAGGCGAAAAGTCCGGACTGGCTGTGCAGAACCCTGATGATCTCAAAAAGAAGATTATTGAGAAGGCCAAGAGGTAAAAGAAAGCGTCATCACATGTACCGATAGCAGAGCTGACTCGTTGGCAGAGCCCAGCCCCCCACTTCTGATGACAATGAGCCTAGAAGGTCGTTTTTCACTGGATCGGCCCGCACCCTTGGGGGCGATGATGCTCCTAGCAGAGTGATCGAAGCCCCGAGTGCGCCGACCGTTCAAAGACCGCAACGGGTGCAAAGGACGCTTCACTTTTGGCCTGACGGATTCTCTGTTGACGATGGTGACTTGTATAGGTCTGATGACCCTCGGAATGCAGAAATCTTGGACGGCATCCGGCAGGGGCGTGCTCCGCTTTCGATCATGAATGTCCAACCAGGACAGGAGGTAGATGTGGAAATCAAACAGCATGATGAGAAATACGTGAAGCCAAAGCCCAAATACAAGCCATTCTCGGGGGCTGGCCAACGACTCGGAAGCCCAACACCCAGCGTGAGGAGCCAAGCTCCTCCAGTAGAACCTACTGCCCCTAGTCAGAGCAACTCTGAACCTGTCAAACCCAATGTGGATGAGTCGCAGCCAACGGTAACATTGCAGGTCAGACTTGGTGATGGTACACGGCTCACGTCCCGATTCAACACATCGCATACCATCGGTGATGTTTACCAGTTTGTTTCTGCGGCAAGCCCAGTCAGCCAGTCCCGCCCTTGGGCGCTGATGACTACTTTCCCCAGTAAGGAGCTTACTGATAAAGCTGCTGCCCTGGGCGATCTCCCCGAGTTCAAGCGAGGTGGTGTGGTGGTTCAGAAGTGGCAGTAGATGAACCTCAGAATTAACATATCCAAATGCACTTGTCCGGCCTCCATACTCTTCAAATGGTGACAGTGCTTTCTATTTCTTTTTTTACTTTACAGTGGTCAACAAAAGGTTTCGGGTTTAATGGCAAAAGAACATCATCTAGAGGTCTTTTACAGAGACTTGATGGCATTTTATGGAATAACGGATACTATTTGGTAGATAGCAGACTTTTCAGAGAGAAAAGACAATGCAAACCCAAGAGCACACAGCGTGCTTCAACTAGAGTCCAACAGTCCAAGTCATCCCATCAGTAAGAGCAGAAATGAAGCTTGTCTTGCCTGCGAATATAATATCTAGCATGCTTGAGACGATGAACACCATAATTTCGCATCCAATGACTTTGTCTCATTTGTCATATTAACGAAAACAGATATATCTTGCAGTAATAATCATAAATGCAGCAATGGCGGTTGGTCAAAATGTGCCTATCTCGTGGATTGCTAAGCAAATTCCGCGGAATGACGCAGAAAAGCGAACCACGGCGAAATCGGCCTTTCGCCATTTCGCCATCGCCATTCTTTAACAAGCTACAGTGCTCGATGATCAATTGAAGCAGAAATTAAAACAACCCAGAAACAAAAGACTTGAAAAATGCCTCTAGGCGGGGTTAAGAACATCGTTCTGGTAAGTTGCGATATCCTCCCAAGACAAAGAAGATGAAGAGTGCCCCTCATCGCATCTTATCGATAACGATCGAATGTATTCAAAACTTCTACGACAGACACAAAACTGGAATAACTGTCGCATGGACTTGTGATTCAGCATTCTAACTGTTTCGATCTATACAGGTTCTCTCCGGAAAAGGTGGCGTTGGCAAATCGTCCGTCACTCTACAACTCGCCCTCGCCCTGTCGCTGCAGGGAAAATCGGTCGGAATCCTCGATATCGACCTTACAGGTCCTTCAATCCCACGTCTCGTCGGACTCGAAGGCGCAAAGATCACACAGACACCCGGTGGCTGGCTCCCGGTGGACGTCCACCCTGCCGAACAACCAGAACAGCAACCGGGACGAGGTTCTCTGAGATGCATGTCGTTAGGCTTTCTCCTTCGAGACCGCGGCGATGCTGTGATTTGGCGCGGTCCTAAGAAAACAGCCATGATCCGACAATTTCTGGCAGATGTCTTCTGGGGGGAAACTGACTACTTGCTCGTGGATACCCCCCCGGGCACGAGTGACGAGCATATCGCTCTCGCCGAACAGCTTCTGACTATGTCTTCTACAAACCCCCCACCATCATCCAGTGTGCCTCGTCTCGCGGGCGCTGTTCTTGTTACAACCCCTCAGGCTATTGCGACATCAGATGTGCGCAAGGAGGTCAACTTCTGTGTGAAGACTAAAATCCCAACCCTGGGAGTGGTTGAGAATATGTCGGGCTATGCGTGCCCTTGCTGCGGCGACGTCAGCAACCTCTTTTCGAGTGGCGGTGGTCAAGTGATGGCCCAGGAGATGGGGGTGAAGTTCCTGGGGATCGTTCCAGTAGACGTCAAGTTCGGGGAATTGGTGGAAGGGAAGATGATTGCTGGAAGTGACATTGATGAAGACAGCGACGACGAGCAAAGCTCAGAAAGGCCCCAGCCAGAAGAACCTGTCGATGAAAGGCCGCTTGTCGAAAGATATAAGGATTGCTGGTCCTACCCTCGATTCGAAGAGTTCGCAAAAACATTAATATCCGATATAGAGAGAACAGCGGCCAACTAGACGCCTATTTTAACCTACTGTCTTTCTTGCATGGGGAAATGGCACTGGCTTTGTATCATTTTCTTTTGCTTTGCATTATGCACTCAAATTCAACAGCGATATTATGATTCAATATTTTATATTGGTCGGGAAGGGAGTTTAAAATTGCATTGAATGCATTGGATTTACTTCGATTTATGCCATATGCCATCAAATAATGAGCTAGATATGATTTTTGATTTTTAGGGGGTTAACAAGGTACTAGCTTTGTAATATGATTATATATAAGACTATGGTGGATATATGAGACCTAAAAAGCAATTCGAGGTGTTATTATCATCAACCATCATCATAATCAAGATCCATCAGTCATTAAGTAATATACCAGGCAGCGAGAAAAAGAAAAGTGATGTTTTTCCTCAACAGTGTTATATCAAAGCACTCGATCAGCATGGAGATTAGAGCTTTGCTCAGTCTCTCGTTCGAGCATTGCGCGCAGTCGCATCTCCGCCGACAAAGGAGGCTGAGATGATGTGTTGCCGTGCGAAGCATGCTTCAGCCAGTTAAAAAGTGCCTGGAGGTCCGCTAAAACAGATGCATTACTGTACTGCGATGTAAGGTCTTCAGAATTTCTATTGGCACTGAACTCCAAGACATTGAAAGGCATTTGGTCTTGACTAGAGTCCAAGGTACGTGGCTCCGACGACAGGGGGCCATTTCCCTGGGCATCAAGGTATGTCTCAGAGACAACAGCTGGAGTCACAATGTTTTGAAATTTATCATCCGTAGATGATTCAACATTCTTTCCAAGTAACGCACGACCAGAGGATTTTGATTTGGTTGTGAATTCTTTGGTAGTCGGGGTCGATTCAATTTCATTCCCTGGCTCGAAACCAGTGTCTGCAGCCGTGTTAGATCCTGAAGACTCTGGCTGCGCTTGCATTGACGACTCGTCCCCAGAGGGAAAGGGCATCATTGGCTGAAATCCCGTATTATGGGCCGTTGTCGCAGCCTGTCTTATGTTCTCTAGATAGCGATAGTGTGAAAATGGACTATGATCCCCCCCATCCATGAGACTGTTTTCATCGTCATAGATAACAACATTTTCATCAGACTGTTGCTCATGGCCAGGGCTGGCTTCTTCAACGGTTAATAGCCCGCCAGGGGGAGCTCGGATCTCACCCAACGGTGCGATGTGACTCCCATACTCGTTGGCAAGACTAAGTTTGCTGCGACCACATATTTCTGCAATCGAGTCCAAAGTTCCGCGGATGTTGGGCTCAATAGCTCGCAGGATACCGTCGATGCTGAAATCTTCGTCCGACGGAAGCGGTGGTCGGCGCTCCTGGGTGCTCGAACTACTCGCAAAAGGAAACGACCGCCGGGAAGGCATTTTCGATGCCCCTGCGTTATCATCAGTATTGCCGGAATAGGTCCGAACTAGCACTGGCTGCGATGCCAGTGTCGAGGACCGGCCGCCAGTTGGGTTGGCCTGCCGAGGCTTTCGGGATAAGGGTTTGGGATTCCCATTCAGTTGCCGCAATGCAGAGGCACGGTATGCTCGAGCAGACTCATCTAGCGTAGACTCGTAGCGACGTGGGTTTGCCTGGTGAGATGGACCAGCAGTCTCAACCACGGGGGAGGCGTAAGAAGAAGGCGAAATCTGCGACCATCTTTGGCGAGGAAACGAAGAGAGTCGAAATCTGTCAGGGTGGACAGACGATCTATCTGACCTTAAATCCATTTCACCTAGCATAGTTCACCGGGCAAATGCAGCAAGACAACCAGCACCAGTGTTGCTTTCGTCAGGCAAGCCACTACCAAGTGGATGCGTCGCAGCGTGACGCAGGAAAACGTGGTGGGAATATAATGATACCACCACTGTAGCAACCCCGCCTGAAGAGAAACCAATTTGCGGCGGATCGCCAAACAACAGCAGGGGGTTTAGTGACCAAGATCAAGCGCCTGTTGACCACAGAGGGCGGGACACGTACTCCCACCAATGCATCGCACGGAGGCAAAACAGCTGCATTGGCTCACGAGGAAAGGTGCATCCTGACATGCAGCACAGAGGATGTCTGACATTACTTGAGAGTTTCCCCTAACACTGAACTTCTCGGGATGAAACTGTGCTGCTGCTGCGCTGATGGTGGTAGCGGTGGTGGTGACATGCAGGACAGTTGGCACGGCTGAAGGACGGGCCAAAAGACCCGCGGGAGACGGACGGGGAACTTTCAAGCAAACACCGCAGATCACGAGTGCGACTTCTTCGACATATCACCTTTGCCACAGCTTTGCCCTTACTGGCCATTGTATTGTCGTGATTTGTTTATTCTTTGGGTATTGGGAAATACAATATGAACAGGTTTCGCGTATGGAGGCCTTGCGCTTGCCTAGATCTTTTGGGATATACACTGATCGTGATCAACAGTTTGGCGACTCTGAAGAGTCCACGTCCGACTTCGATGAGGACACCTCCGGTCTTCCTTTCCCAGAGCCATTGTCTCGCTCTTCTTTCCTCGCCTCTGACTTCGATGCGGCAAACTACCTATCGTCCCTGAGAAACCGACACCAGAGTCTTGAGGATCTGCGACAGGAACTACGGAACCTAGACCAATTGTTGAGTAAAGAGCTGCTAGACTTGGTCAATGAGAATTATCAGGACTTCTTGTCGCTTGGGCCTGCACTGCAAGGAGGTGAAGAGAAGGTAGAGGGGGTTCGAGTCGGGCTGTTGGCATTTCAGAGGGACATCCAGACAATACGCGATAAGGTCGAGGCTAGACGAAAAGAAGTGGAACAGCTGCTGGGTGAGAAAAGGCAGCTCAGAGGAGACGCCAACATTGGGAAGGCCCTGTTGGATTTTGTAGATCGCGTTGAAGAGCTCGAACAACGGTTGATGATCGGGGACTCCGCGGCTCGCCCTCAGGAAGATTGCGCTGACGACCTGGATTCAGAATCCGATTTTCTGGACAGTGAAAGCGACGAAAGCGACGAAGAGTCCCCGGCAAACAAATCTGCCGCACCTTCGGTCTCCCTGAAGAGGCTTGAGCATCATATCCAAAAATACGTCTATCTTACAAAATTGTCAACTCGGATAGGGGACGAACACCCGTTCCTAGTTGGCCAGCAACCGCGTGTGACCAAAATCAGATCTACAGTACTCCTGGATCTCAAAACAGCACTCGAACAAGCCAAGCATGCTGGTGGCAAGCAGGATAGAAAGACACTGGAGGTATTGCGTCTCTACAATCTCATGGGAGAAGATACCAGCGCAGTATCTGCGTTGAAAAATCTCAAGACTTAGATCATTTCTATTAATATAGTTTCGAGCTGGCTCGCATAGCGTTGGTGTTTAGGGACTGTTTTTGTTTGGCAAATATATTGAAAATGATACCATAATACACCGTGTCCATCCTAATATAACATAATCTATACAACCAAGAAACTGGGCAAAGGCTAATTTACAGACCACTCAAAGATGAAGTCTCCGGGGAGTTATCCGACTTGAATTCTCCGTTCAAACTGAGACCGGGGCCGTTGGTTGAGCTCAGCACCTGATTTTTGACACGAGTCAGCCAAGTTCACGAGTTAATTTGCAATGAGATGATGGATGCCAGCTTACAACTTCGTAGATTTCCTTGACGATGCGGTCGTTGAGACCAGCGGCATCTTTTTTGATCTGCTCGATGGTTGTGCGCAAGTTGTCTCGCAACTGTTCGGGAGAGAACCCGAGCTGTCCAATGGGAATTCTGATCACTGCATCTCTCTCTCTGTACACCGTACCACCACGCAGCGTTTCGACTCGGGAGGCCACTTCTTCGACCACAGTACCTGTCTTGACGCTTGGCATCAAACCCCTTGGTCCAAGAACCCTGCCCAGTCCAGCTTTGTTTAAGGCATCCAGACTATCAGGATGGCAGATACAGCGGTCGAATTCAATGACACCATTTTTAACAGCATCAAAGACTTCCTGCTCTCCGACCAAAACCGCACCGGCTGCGCGAGCCTCTTTCTCGTGTCTCGATCCTGGGGGACAAATGACACAAATGCGCGACTCAGTCTGAACGGCGTGAGGGAATCGAAGCATGTTGCGAATGACAGGACCGTCCTTCTTGGTCTTTAGACGAATGTGGATTTCGTATTTTGAGATAGTTGGCTCCCGACCGACTTCGAATGCACGGATATATCTGTAAGGTTTCGAAACGATTAGTCTCCCATCCAACGCCGCGGGAACGAGATAAAAGATACCTCATAGCATCACAAAGAGCGTGCTGCTCCATGTTCTTCAAATCTGCCTGCTTGAATTCCCTAGCACCCTTTTTCTCCTTCTTCTTTGGCTTGTTCTTGTTGTATTTGGCACTGTTCTGGCTTGCGCACCTGACCTGCTGGTGGAAGCTCGACAGGAAAGGAGCCATTGTCCTTTGACGAAGAGAAGGTCCACATGGCGATAGAATGCTTCTTGCCGCAGTGGGCAACAGAGAACTGGAGAAAGACATGGCGTTGCGCCCCAATCGGAAGTCGAGCTTCTGTCTGGCTATTGGAGATGGGAATGTTTTCTGCTCCGAAAGCTGTCCGCCGATATGGAGACGGAACAACGTGACTCCGGCGGAACTCTTCTGAGTCAAGTGCCCCTCCCCGGCGATGATAATTCTATCACCCCCCCCCCCCCCCCCCCCCCCCCCCCAACACACGAACGCTCTCAAATTGAATTCATTTTGCGTGGATTCGAGAGCAAAATGTCGCAATTCCAGCTCAGTTTGGCCACGCGGGCCAACCAGGCCTTGCTGCTTCCCGTGCTCTTCGTTGCTACCTCCATCAATGAGGCACGCCCGAGCCCAGTGATCACCATCACCTATGAGGATACCGCTGTCCTCAATGAAGGAGAGAACGCCGTCGTCCAGTTCACCGGTGCCAGTGGAACTCCTGTTTTCGGTACCCAGAAAGTCATTGAGGAACTGCGCAACAGTTTCCCTTACTTGACCAGCAAGGACGACAAACTGGTAAGGTTGCCCTCTTTTTCTTCTATTGCCTTGCCTATCTAACGTAATTCTTTTCTCTAGGAGAACCAGTGGCTTTCGCAGCTCGAGTCGTTCACTGTACTCGATTTCAAGGCCCTTGACCCTCAACTCCAAAGCCTCGATACCCACCTCTTACTTCGATCCTTTGTCGTTGGATACTCTCTCTCCACCGCCGACATCGCTCTGTGGGGTGCCATTCGGGGCAACCGCGTCGGTGTTGCTGCAATCAAGAAGGCATCTTTGGTCAACTTGACCCGTTGGTTCCGCTTCTTGGAGGAGCTGTGCCCCTGGACCACCTCCGCCCTTGAGTCCTTGAACGCAGCAGCCAAGGAGAAGAAGGCTGCTAAGGCCAAGGAGGGTGCAAGCTACGACATTGCCCTTCTCAACACTGACAAGGGTGTCGTGACCCGATTCCCCCCCGAGCCTTCGGGATACCTTCACATTGGTCACGCCAAGGCCGCACTTCTCAACGACTACTTTGCGCATGAGAAGTACACCGGTACGCTCCTTGTCCGTTTCGATGACACAAACCCTTCGAACGAGAAGCAAGAGTTCCAGGATGCTATCATTGAGGATCTGGCACTCATGGGTATCAAGCCTGATAAGATGAGCTACACTAGTGATTATTTCGACGAGCTCTACGAGTACGGTCTTCAGATTATCAAGGACGGTAATGCCTACGCCGATGACACGGATAAGGAGACCATGGCCCACCAGAGATTCCACGGAGAGCCCAGCAAGCGCCGTGATGCCTCTGTCGAGGAGAACCTTGCTCGTTTCGAGGAGATGAAGCAAGGAACTGAGGAGGGTACCCGGTGGTGCATTCGCGCCAAGATGTCGGTTGACAACCCCAACAAAGCCATGCGTGACCCTGTTATCTACCGTTGCAACCCGGCACCCCACCACCGTACCGGTACCAAGTGGAAGGTCTATCCGACTTACGATTTCTGCTGCCCTATTGTTGACTCGATGGAGGGAGTTACCCACGCTCTTAGAACCATCGAGTACCGTGACCGCAACCCGCAGTATGAGTGGATGCTTAATGCGCTCAAGCTCCGGTCTGTTCAGATCTGGGACTTTGCTCGCATGAACTTCATCCGGACTTTGCTGTCCAAGAGAAAGCTCACCAAGCTTGTCGACCAGGGAGTTGTCTGGGGATGGGACGACCCTCGTTTCCCCACCATCCGTGGTATCCGTAGACGTGGCATGACAATCCCCGCTCTGAGAGAGTTCATCCTTAAGCAGGGACCCAGTAAGAACATCACCAACCTCGACTGGACTCTCATCTGGGCAACCAACAAGAAGTACATTGACCCGGTTGCGCCTCGCCACACCGCCATCCTCAAGAAGGACATTGTCAAGGCCACCATCACGGGAGCCCCTGCTGCTTATACTGAGGAGAAGCCAAAGCATGGCAAGAACCCCGCTGTCGGTGTCAAGAAGGTCGCCTTCAGCGGCTCGGTCGTTTTCGAGCAGGAAGACGCCAAGTCGTTCAAGCAAGATGAGGAAGTTACTCTCATGAACTGGGGTAATGCTATTGTTCGCAAGATCGAGACTGACTCTTCGTCTGGCCTCGTCAAAGAGCTGGAGCTGGAGCTTCACCTGGAAGGTGATGTTAAGAAGACCGAGAAGAAGGTTACTTGGTTGTCTACGGAGGGCCAGGAGGTCGTTCCCGTTGAACTGGTGGACTTTGACTACCTCCTCAACAAGGACGCTCTTCAGGAGGATGATAAACTTGAGGACGTCCTGACCCCCAAGACTGAATTCAGAGAGGACGCTGTGGCTGATGCCAATGTGACCGAGCTGAAGGAGGGCGACATCATTCAGTTTGAGCGCAAGGGCTACTACAGAGTCGACCAGCCCTCTGCTCCAGGAAAGCCCGCCGTTCTGTTCAACATCCCTACCGGCAAGGGTGGAAAATAAATCCTCGATTTATCGGGGATTAATGATTGATGAGGATATGTGTGTCGGTATGAAAATATTACAAAGCAAAGATAGATATGAATAAAATCAGATGGATGTCCCCAAATCAACCCTTGATCACCAGAAGCATACTGTCGAATGTTCGAGTATAACAGTTGAAGTTTAAAATGACTTGTAGATGACCGGTTCTTTGGAATAGTTCGTCGTTATTGCAAGATGATCAATGTTTATGTGGGCGGGGAAATGCATTTAATATTCACAGTGCGACTGCTTGTGTTTATCCCCTCTTTTATCACTCAGGTTCCTTTTCTTTCTCTTTCTCTTCGGGCCGTTTGAACCATGTCATCTCCCTACCATTCAGAGGGACAGAAGATGATGAGAAAGTTACGTCGAAATGAGTCGAAGATCAGAGGAAAAGCATGACCATCGTTCCAGTGTTTTATATCCAGTATTCTGGTCATCCAAGTTTCATTCGTCAAAACACCAAGGTTGGCAGCGTCACGGGAACCAGTGCTCACCTCCCATGTCCGTCCACCTTCCCTCCATCTCACTACGTACCAACCAACAAGCCTCCTGCTTTCACGGGCAAATCAGCAATAAAGATACCTAGTCTATTGGGCAAGGTGGGGTAGACACTTGAGCTGTGTCCTGGACATCGCCGTCATTGTTTCCTGAACCACCAAGGATTTCCCACGGTTCTTGCTTGGTCTTGCCGATGGATTCCCACCTCTGAGCCGTGGAACCCACAGCAATTGTCGTGCCAAACAGAGTCAATTAAATGGCTCTCAACCTAGACCCTAAATCAAAGTTTCTATCCGGCATGCCCAATATATGCTCTGATGGCGTACCCTCCGTCATGGATAATTAACACATCTCATACGTCAAGATAAACTGGAGGCATCTATTCAGTGAAGGAAACTCCTGGCACTATCATGGACCCTTGGTACTCGTCGAGCAATTGTGCTTCTGCACATGCTCCCGGGTCATTATCGCAACAGTGTTGAGAGCCGGGGCCTTCCTACTCTTAACGTCAGTATGATTGTGCATACGGAGAGGCCGCTTCAATGACGGTAAAGATCAGACACCCTGCGGTATTTTCTGGGGCTTACTTGGAACAGAGGAAAAGCATTTTCCTGTGCTCCTTCACTTGTCAAATGCCGTCGAAGATTCCTTTCCAGTAGCGACCTTCTATTGTTGTTTGGCAATACGCACTATTTTGTGTTGGAATCCAAACTGAGGACTGCTGAAAGAGAGCAGCGCCGCTAGTTGAATTCTCTGTCTCCTAGGCGAGTCATCAAAGACAAAATGGCCCAACAAGGCAGCTCCGGCAATGATGTTGAGCAAGCAGAAGCGCGGCGTGGCTCTGAGGCACAGCAGTCAAGACGTCTCTCTCGTGTCTCTTATAAGGAGGATTGGGCAAATTTAGACGAGTATGGGAAGCTTGTCAAATATGTTTCAACTTACCGGGAGCCTGGTAAGGGCGATGAAGAAGAGGAAGAGGAGATGAAAAGGCTTTGGTATGCTCCTTGGAAGAAGAGAAAAGTGCGTATTCGACGAAGAGATCAAGAACGAGGATTCCCCGATGAATGGCGTCTTACGGACATTCGCAAAGGACTGAATAGTGGGGATATTCCCATCAGGCGTCGCCAGGTGGGATGGAACGAGCTTGTGTCCGAAAAGGAGAATCCTTTTGCCAAGGTTTTGTCCTATTTTAGAGGTCCAATTCTATATGGTGAGATATATCATCTAAATCTAAGCACAGCTTCCTGTGCGAGTACAGTGTTTCTGACTTTCCACAGTCATGGAGCTGGCTGTTCTCCTTGCGGCGGGTCTGGAAGATTGGATTGACTTCGGTGTCATCATTGGTATTCTATGCCTGAATGCTTCCGTCGGATGGTATCAGGAGAAGCAGGCTGCCGATGTTGTTGCTAGTCTTAAAGGCGATATCGCAATGAGAGCATTGGTTGTTCGCGACAGTGAGCAACAGGAGATCTTAGCCCGAGAGCTTGTGCCTGGGGATGTGGTATGTTTGATGACATGCTATTAAAACTGGCTGCAAAACCGATGGCTTTGCATACTGATGTATGAGCAGATCATTGTCGGAGAAGGCCAGGTCATTCCTGCCGATTCCAAGGTTATATGTGATTTTAACGATCTGAATGGATGGGATGAATTCATAAGGATGCAAGATCAAGGCGACCTCACAAGTAGCTCAGAGTCTGACATGGAAGATGGAGAAAAAAAGGAAGACGACGGCAAAGACAAAGAAGATGACGGGACCAAAGAAGAACGGCCCAAAAAGCGAGGTTATCCAATTCTAGCTTGCGATCACTCTGCTATTACGGGAGAGTCTTTGGCTGTTGATCGCTATATGGGCGAGGTCATATATTACACCACTGGCTGCAAGCGTGGAAAGGCCTATGCAGTGGTCCAAACTCCAGCCAAGACGTCTTTTGTTGGAAAAACTGCTACCATGGTCCAATCGGCCAAAGGTGCTGGTCATTTTGAAATTGTCATGGATAACATCGGTACCTCTCTTCTCATCCTTGTCATGGCATGGATTTTGGCTGCCTGGATTGGTGGCTTTTTCCGACACGTCCCAATTGCCTCGCCTGGCCAGCAGACGCTTCTCCACTACACACTGTCTTTGCTGATTATCGGCGTTCCTGTCGGTCTTCCTGTTGTTACGACCACAACTATGGCTGTCGGGGCAGCGTACTTGGCCAAGAAAAAAGCTATCGTGCAAAAGCTTACTGCAATCGAGTCCCTGGCGGTAAGCAATAGTCCTACGGCTTATAACATACTAGTATGTGTCACTAATCAGATCGGCAGGGTGTTGATATTCTATGCTCTGATAAAACTGGAACGCTTACGGCCAATAAACTGAGCATTCGTGACCCATATGTATCTGAAGGCGTCGATATCAGCTGGATGTTTGCAGTGGCTGTTTTGGCTTCCTCTCATAATATCGAGTCATTGGATCCGATTGACAAAGTCACAATTCTAACACTCAGGCAATATCCCAAGGCCAGAGACTATCTCCGACAAGGCTGGAAAACCGAAAAGTTCCAGCCATTTGACCCGGTTTCAAAACGTATCGTGACTGTTGCAAGCTGTGATGGGGTCAAATACACATGCACCAAAGGCGCACCAAAAGCAATTCTTGCATTGACCAAATGCTCCAAGAAGACTGCTGACTTGTATAAATCCAAAGCTCAAGAATTTGCGCATAGAGGCTTCCGTTCTCTAGGTGTTGCAGTTCAGAAAGAGGGAGAAGATTGGACGCTCCTTGGGATGCTTCCAATGTTTGACCCGCCCAGAGAAGATACCGCCCAGACGATCCGTGAGGCACAGAATCTTGGTATCAGTGTCAAAATGCTTACAGGTGACGCACTTGCTATTGCCAAAGAAACTTGCAAGATGCTCGCACTTGGGACTAAAGTGTATAACTCTGACAAGCTTATTCATGGAGGCCTTAGCGGTGCTATGGCTGGTGACTTATGTGAGAAGGCAGACGGCTTTGCAGAGGTATTTCCAGAACACAAATACCAGGTTGTTCAAATTCTCCAGGAACGTGGTCATCTGACTGCCATGACTGGAGATGGTGTCAATGATGCACCATCTTTGAAGAGGGCAGATTGCGGTATTGCTGTGGAAGGAGCATCTGAAGCAGCTCAGTCGGCCTCTGATATTGTGTTTTTGGAACCCGGATTATCGACTATTATTGATTCTATCAAAGTTGCACGCCAAATCTTCCACCGCATGAAGGCATATATCCAGTACCGTATTGCTCTTTGCCTACACCTGGAAATTTACCTGGTGACATCGATGATCATTCTAAATGAAAGTATCCGTGTGGAACTGGTCGTTTTCCTTGCACTTTTTGCCGATCTTGCTACTGTTGCAGTAGCATATGATCACGCATCATTTGAATTGCGCCCTGTGGAATGGCAGCTTCCAAAGATTTGGTTCATTTCGGTTCTTCTTGGCATTTTGCTTGCACTTGGAACATGGGTCGTTCGTGGTTCCATGTTCCTTCCCTCAGGTGGTATCGTTCAAAATTGGGGCTCGATTCAAGAAGTCTTATTCCTCGAAGTCGCACTTACAGAGAATTGGCTGATCTTTGTCACAAGAGGCGCTGACACTTGGCCTTCCGTCCATCTAGTGAGTGCTATTCTAGGCGTTGACATTTTGGCCACTATTTTCTGTTTATTTGGCTGGTTCAGTAATGAGGACATGCCCACTATCCCTCATACTTCATTTCTTGAGACACGCAATGGGTGGACTGATATTGTCACGGTTGTCCGTATCTGGGGCTATTCTCTCGGTGTGGAGATTGTCATTGCACTGGTATACTTCATGCTGAACAAGTTTAAGTGGCTTGATGATCTGGGCAGATCTAAGCGTGACAAGGGTGACCTCAAGATTGAGAATATCCTCGGTCATCTTGCACGACTCACCGTGGAGTACGACAAACCAGGTGAACCCAAGGGCCGTTTCTTCCTTGCTGCCAGTAAGGAGGAGGAAGATGTTGAGTAAAGAACTGAGGGTCTGCTTTCTTATGACTGGATATGTGAAACGATGCTCAATTTACTTGGATGGCGTTGGGTAAGAATGGTGTTTTGGTGTTTTGGGATTGATTTTCGTAATGAAGGAAAAGAAGAGGGAATGATATCAGATGATTTGGATTTGTTAATCACTAATATTTTGATTTTTGATTTGATTCAGGTAGCTTTATCTTTACAAATACCTCTATTATGATTGCCCACATTTTCTCCAAGCCGGACATTAAGCTAGACTGGGGTGCAATTCACCTGCTTCCTATGACATAATGGCACCTCGCGGCTCATGTGATGGATGCACCGCTGCTTCTGTGTAACTCGAAGACGCATTCTCATTGTCTGCCATCACCAACGAGTTATCTGTCATGTCACCCACCTTGGAATTTCCCCGCTTTCGAATCATCTGTTCCTGAGAGAAGCAGATGGGCCGTATTCCTGAATGTCCCTCATCTGTCTTCCAGTGCCATCTTCAGGCCTGCATACCCATTATCCCCTGCGTCGTTCAATTAATTTCTTTTACAATATTGGCGTCAAGCACACGCAATGGGAGTGAGAGAAGCACAATCATCACTTGAAGTGATCTTTGGTCACCAACTTAGTACAGCCGATACGGCACTAACGCGTCAATGTCTAGAGCTTTTGCGCCAGAATTTAGGTGTTGAATTTATCGAGGTCACTCGAGAAGATGCAGACAAAGCCTCTGGCGAGGGACATGGTAAGTGTCATCAGTCTGTTTCGATAGCTCATAGTTTTCTGACTGGCGATTCTCTTGCCCCAGGATTCGTCAATCTTTCAACAACCTCGCACCCTTTGCAAGCCATACAGACGATTGCCAATGCTCTATCCGAAATTGGGAGAACCAGGGAGTCAGAAGTCCTAGATCATGTTCTCTATTTGTGCTCTGAGGATCATGAACTTGGTGGTCTTTCCCTCTCATCTGACCGACAACTATCGGATGCGGACTACGAGAAAGTCATCTTTCTCGTAGACTCATGGTTGCAGGCGACAACTCATGAAACGGCACTACAGCCATCAAACGCTGGATTGTCAAAAGCCCAAGAAGGGCGTCGCCCTATGACACTCTCGGAGAAGATATTTACAGAGCACATGCTACCGGGTAAATTCTCCAAGGGTGTAAAAGCTGGTGATGTGATTCGAGTATCGGTAGACTGGATCCTCGGGTCTGAAGTCTCATGGAAGGTATGTAGAATTTAGATTCCATTGTTCAAGTATACGATCAAGATTTTGATACTAAAAACACCTGGACATATATACAGGGCATGGTGAAGACCATCGACCAAGTTGGTGCTAAACAGATATGGCGTAATGATCGCTTTTGGCTGGTGGGAGATCATATCGTTGATCCGCGAAACAAGCATCTTCCCAATGTCAAGGCCTTGGTTGACAAGTCTGAAAAAGCTCAGAAAGACTACAAATTGACCGAATATCAAGGTCAAAATGTATGTTTGTGCATACATCTTTGGGAGAATTTTACTAATATATATCTTTTGGGATGTAGTACACAATTCTGCATACCGAGTTTGTCCGGGAGAGAGCCCAGCCTGGAATGCTGGCAATTGGCTCTGATTCGCATACATGCTCTGCTGGAGCGGTTGGATGCATGGGAATCGGCCTGGGTGCTGCGGATGTAGCAATGTCTCTCCTTACCGGCGTTTCATGGTTTAGAGTCCCAGAGTCCATCAGGATTCATGTGACGGGCGAGCCAGCCTTTGGTATAGGAGGAAAGGATGTCATTCTCCATATAATTGGAGAGCTCAAAAGGAACACTGTTGCTGCAGATAGGATCGTGGAGTTTGGTGGTCCCGGTACTAAATATCTTTCTTGCGATGACCGGTTTGCTATTTGCAACATGTGCACGGTAGGAATCCAGCTCCATGGCAAATAAGAAATATACTAATCAGTTATATAGGAGTTTGGAGCTATCACTGGACTTTTCGTGCCGGATACAGTTGTCCAGGGATATATTGATCGTCGAAAAAGAAAACTTCACAAGACCGAATCACTCTACTTCCGTCCTGATGATAACGCTGTCTATGCGGATAGCTTTGAAATTGATCTCAATAAGGTCCAGTCCTACATCGCACTCTATCCTTCCCCAGATAACGTCGTTCCTGTACGGGAGTGTGACCCTATAGCCTTTGACGGCGTGTTCATCGGAGCCTGCACCACCACCGAGGAAGACCTGATATTGGGAGCCCTTGTCCTTCAAGTAGGACTCCATGAGAATATACCTCTGAAACGAGGCAAGCGACATGTGGTGTTTGGTTCTCTTCCCATCACCAAAAGGCTCCGTGAACTCGGTATTGTGGATATATATAAACAAGCAGGGTTCGAACAATCCGCACCAGGGTGTAGTTTCTGTGTTGGAATGGGAGCAGACCAGGCAGGCGCCGGTGAGACATGGCTTTCATCGCAAAACCGTAACTTTAAGAATCGGATGGGAAGAGGTATGTTACAACGACTTCTATGCTCGTTTGCCCAAGTTTGTTACTTATGTCGGTTTCTTCAAGGCTCTTTCGGGAATATCAGTTCCGCAGCTGTTGTTGCAGCATCGAGCTTTACCATGTCCCTTGTGGATCCTGGGCCTTCCCTGGAGAAGGTGGATAGAAAGTTATACGGAATGCTTTTTCGAAAGTCCACGTCTCAACAACCAGACGGATTGGAAACAATTATATATACTGAGCCGCAGATATCAGCACGCTCAACCAGCACAACCCAAGCTGGCGACAATCTATTAAACATGAAAACTAACGAGTCAGATCAAGAAACCGACTGGATTATATCAAGCAAAGTTCAAACCTTGGGTGATTTCATCGATACCGATGCGGTGAGTAGTCCATATTTCCTCCCAAAATATAATGGGACCAATTCACATTAACATACATGATTAAGCTTGCACCCTCGCAATACTTCATGAACTACGAAACAGACGAAGATATAGCCCAACACTGTCTTGAGCACACACATCCCGAATTCCGGGACGCTGTTAGATCCGGCCGGAAAGTGGTCGTGGTGGGCGAGGCTTTTGGCTGCGGGTCATCTAGAGAAGGGGCACCTCGAGCTCTAATGGGTCTTGGTGTTCAATGTGTGATTGCAAAGTCATTTGCATTCATCTATGGTCGAAACCAGCCGACACTGGGCCTGCTGGGGATTACGATGCGGGATCCTTCCTTTTACGAGGCGGCCAGTGATGGGGCCGATATCAAAATCGATGTCCACAAACGGGAGATCTGCATTGGACAGCAGAAGTGGAGGTTTGACCTCGATGGCTTGGAGATAAAGATGCTGCAGAATAAAGGTCTAGCTGAAGCGTACAAACGGTTTGGAAAGAATGTATATGACAGTTTGTGCGATGAGGATACGGGACCTGTAAAGAATGTGGATGTGGAACCAGAGCATGTTGACAAGTCATTGGAGTGGTGATAGGACTTCTACTGATTTACTAGGAATGCCTTTTTTATTTTTATGTGATTATATTCAAATGATATACTTTTGCCTTCGAGTACTATATAAGGTTGTCTACATTAGCGGTACAGCATTATCATTAAAGATTACTGATTAAGTTCATATGTATGAACGTTAGTCATTCCTCCTCCAGCCCTCTTGGGACCATTGGGTAACATCATCATGTATCATGATCAATAGACAGTATATCTCTGGAATTAAGACTCGTTAACCTGAGCCCAGAGGTCCTCCATCTCGTTGCCCATGCGCTTCTCGATCTCAGCGTAGGTTGGAACGGTTCTCTTGGAGATGGCAGCCCGCATTTCCTCACGAGCAAGAGCACCTAGAATTATCAAATCAGCGACTATGTAACCAGGTACCTGGCTATGTAACTTACCGTGAAGGTAGACAACAGCACGCTTTGCGCTGAACATGGCGTGGGGAACGTTGGTGCTGCCATCACTGTTGGCATCACCAACGGCGTACACACCGGGGATGTTGGTGGCCTGGGTGCCAATAGACACTTGGATCTTGTTATCTACGATCTGTGCACCAAGCGAAGCGGCGAGGTTAGAACGCTGCACAACGGGGAAGCTAGTGAGGAAGGCGTTGCGCTGAGCAGTCGAGCCATCGGTGAAGTGCAGACGGAAGATATCAAACTGTCTGCCCTCGTTATCAGTGTGGTTACCACCGTCCTGAAGTCTCTCAATGCTAGAGATGATGCGGTTGTCGACGGTAACGTTGTAAGCAGCGAGCTCCTCGCGCCACTGGGGGTCAGCCTTGTCGAGAGCCTGCTCGTTCTCGGGGGTCTGGGTGCCGTTGACGAAAGCAATGATGTCGCTGTTGAGAGTGGCCACTTCACGGACGTTGGGAACGACCTTGCTCAGAGGGCACAGCAGACCAAAGGGCTGATCGCGGTGCTCGAAGCCATCGCACCAGGGGCACCAGAAAACACCCTTGCCAAAGGCACCCTCGAGACCCGGGGTGTTGGGGAGGACGTCCTTGACACCGGTACCCAAGATGAGCTTGCTACCCGCGTACTGGGTACCGTTTCTATCAGTTGCGATGAAAGAGGTAGTTCCGTTTGTGCCATTGAGAGCCTTGACCGAGACGATGGTTGTGTCGACAATTCTAGCCGTGTCGTGATATTGGGAGAGGATTTGCTGACGAGCCAGGTTACGGAACTTGTCAGGGGGGGTACCTTTAATCTGTTAATTGATATCCTCTAGATCAGATAAAAGCAAGACTTACCATCGTTTCCGATCACATCGTGCATTTCCCTGGTCGGGCCATTGCGGTATTCGCCCGAGTCGAGCATGACAGCCGTGCGACGGACTCGCGAAAGAGAGCTCAGCGCACTGAGGCCAGCCGGACCTCCACCAATGACAAGGGCATCATATTTCTGAGGGATACTAGCTGCAAGCGCAACTGTGAGGCACGAAAAGGCCGAGTACAAGACGCTGAGAGTGCTAGGCATGGTGGCACAGAGATGAGGGGGGAGGAGAAGAGAGAAGGCTTGGTGATGGGGGAAAGAAAAACAGTCGAGCAGCACCTTCTTATAGCCTGATGAGATGGCAAAAAGCATAGACCAGTAACATCATGACGAGCCATTTTTCCAAGCGCACATTGTCGTGGTTTGGTTAGAACTCGGATGATCAGCATCGTGTACAGATTGCTCCACATACACTATTGACAGCCCTGCATGAGTTGAGCAAAACAGCCGGCAATTCCGATGGAACCTAGAATAATTGGATTGGATCGATGGAAAACAGAGACATTCCACACACAGGGTAGTATTCATTTTAGTGGTTGTGTAATGGAGCAGCGCGGGTGATATCATGGACCGATTGAGTTTGTTTAGTGAAGCTATCCCCAGCCTGCAGGTGTACGGTATTATTATCGATGCGAGACGTGTCTAATTACTCGATCCACTCCACATTCTGGTTCGAGACAAAAACAAACACATGTTCAGAGCAAAATATTATTGATAATCATCAGATGCGGATAAAATCACAATCACTACAGGGGTAGATCCTCGGGATAAAGTAGGGAAGCAGAGACACCGGTTCGTTAATAGTCTCCCGATCGGCTTCTTGGTTGCCGGATAAGATCTAGAGCAGTTCATCCGAAAAAAAAAAATGCAAGCTGTGGATTCATCTGGTTTTTGTTTGTTATGGAAACTTGGTTTCACTGCAGCGACGAGGTTACTGCAGGCGTAGATCAATTCCTGGCTGGAAACTAGTCGCATGTACGCCATAGCAGTGAGGGGTTCTCAGCCAGCCACCACATTGCTTTGCTACGGAGGACTCGGAGCAAATATCATTGATTCATTTGATTCATTGGAGATGGATGAATCAACGATATTATTCACGGGTAAGCAAGTGAATAAGCACAGTAAACAAGGGATAAGTCGTCAAGAGTATGTATGGACAGCGACATTGAATGTGCCTTGTGGACAATCACGCCAGAAACATAAACAACAGAAGCCCTAACCGGGCACGAGATAATGGAAACGGGTATTTGAAATGAGTATGTGCAAACAGAAAAGAAGAGTGGAGAATGGCCAAAGAAGAAAGAGGAAAAATTTGACTTCATCTTCAGTAAGTCATCCCCAGTACCACGCATTAGGCTGTGACCCAGAAGCAGGACGGAGAATGCGAGATGGCACCTTGCCCAGAGCCTTTTTGGCAGAATCCAGGAAGCCCTCATTGGCATAGGCCTGGCTCACATCCCACATCATCACTCCGCCAAAGCTCTTGAAAGTCTTGCTGTATTTGATGACCGGCTCCAGCTTGTCGGCGGGGAGATACCCAGTGCTCGCCGCGCCTGTGTTGGCAGGAACCCCCAAGAAGACCTTGGTGTTGCCATTCTTGGAGACATTCTTCGCCCAGTTGTCCCAGTCAATGAAGTTGAAGCTGGTCTGAATGTCTTTGCCGGGGGTGAAACTATTGACACCGCACCAGTTGTTGTAGAACTGCACAAACGCCGCATCGATCGCGACAGAGCCGTTGAGGATATCTTTATCCGCCAGATCAGGGTACATGCACTGCGGCGCAGCCGTCAGGAAGAATGGCTTTGTCTTATCGGCGTCTCCCAACTCACGAAGCCGTTTCGCAAAGGGACCCATGTGGAAGACGTTTGCCTCGAAATCAAAGTCGAACCCGTCGACGGAGGAGTTGCCAAATGGACGAAGTGCAGAGGTGTTGGTCGAAGGAGGACCGAAAGTCTGCCAGACCTTGTCAGCTCCAGCAATGGCATCAGCCTCGGATCTAAAGCCGCCTTCGCTGTAGGTAGCACCTCCAATGGAGAGGATGATGGTCTTGTTCTTCTTCTGGCAGGTAGCGATGTCGGCACTACTCCATGTTAACGATGATCAGCCAGAAGCAGAATGTTGCATCATACTCACCCGACCTGGGGACAGTTCTTGAGATTGGTGCCCTCAAACACATTGCAGTGGTCACTCGCATTCTGGAAATCATACTCCGGAGCACCACCAAGTCCATTGATGTTCATGAGAAAAGCAAGCTGAATGACCTGTAGCATAAAAGGTAAGTTGGTCTATTCAAATCAAACTCATCGAAACCCATACATCAATCTTGTCATCTGAAGAAAAAACACAGTAAGTATATATCCCCTTGACGATAACCAACAGCAATGCTCACCATTGCAGTAGAAAGCCAAAGGCTGCTGCGCAAGCTTTCCTTGTCCTTTGAATGAATTCTGGCCTACCAACGCGAGTCACGAGTCAGCGCTTTTCTTTCATCCAGAGCAATCGATATTCACCCCAGTACATGGCCACATTCGAGGTGGACGAAAGATCGAGTTTGGCATAAGCCCCTCCAAGAGAAGCAAACACAGCAGCAAAGGAGATGGCTTTCTGAAGGAAAGACATGTTGAGATCGATCTGTGAGAGATATCTCTTTGTGTAAAGGAGTGGAGTGGTGTAGGAAACTGATCGAAATAAATAATCAGAAAAATTAAAGGAGAGTGTTGCTGAAAAGAGTGAATGGCCAAGCCTAAGTTAATTTTTGTTGTCTATTCTATCAAAATTATTCACATCCCTGAATTCACTACATCTTTATACCATATTCGAGTGCGTGCCTCATCCATATCAACGCAATACAAAACAAGGCTTCCCAGACACGTCAACTACTGTAAATCATCCGGAGAATAGACATTCCAAGAACCGCCTGTCATAGTCCAAACATAGCCTTATCTGTCATCAATGCAAAGGTAAAACAATCTCTTAAGCTTCTGACTGGCTTCAATCCGCCTCATCCTGTCCTGGTGTGTACATTCCACGCGTTGTTGTAGGACACTGGCCTTGGGGAATGCCACCATTTCCTTATCAGTCCATCGTTTCTGGTTCATGCGACTTTGACAGGTGACGTGTGCCAGACCAAAGATTCTCCCACATGTATTCACCATCCGAGAAGTTGTCAAATTACTGGTATATGACCGGAGCTCCTTGGAGAATATATCTGCAAAGTCAAATATCTCGTATATGTAACAACCGTAGAATTTATGCAGTATATCCGTGCAGAATATGACCTGCATTGAAAGTAGATATTGTCAGCAGCAGCAAGGGAACAAAATGACTGAATGACTCGCTGATAAACTTTAGAGCACCCAGATAACAGTCATTGAAAATAAAAACTGTTTACATAGCTGATTTGTCAATGTTAGACCAAGCATATTCTATTTCCGTCCATTGCTGCTTTGTATCTTGTTGGCTGAGAATTCTTGACTGCGTAGAGGTTTGTTGCGACGATCCAGGGATTGTGCTCAAAATCCCGCTGATCGAGCCACCATGGACGAGTGAACATGCCCTAGGCCCAGAAAAGGAAATAGGATGGCGGTTATCTTCGACTGTTCTAGTAGACGTTGGAATGAATGAAGCAGTGATTCTAGTGAGGGATGGCAAGCGTGTCAGATAGAAGGTCTTTCTGGGAGAGGAACTGGTCGAACTGGATTTGGCTACTAGAAGGACACCCAAGCTGACTGTCTTTGCGTCCATGGAATAGGACAATCGGTAGAAAAGCAACTATAAATGCAAGGATAAAGGGTTTGTACAAAAGAATTGCTGATATTGACTATGAAACACGTAAAGAGATAGTTTATACTTCTCAACGTTTATGTTGGTAGTTTAGCGATATAAGGCACCTATTGTCCACCACGCTGGATTCCAATGACCCTCTGAATAGCATCTTCGTTCTTCAAGCCGGCATCAATGACACCAGCAACCTTGAGAATATCCACGACGTTTCCAACAATCTTGGAGTCAATGCCCCTGGTGGAGTTGGTAAACTTGACGTCCTTCAGCCACTCAAGGGCATCATCGGCCACATAATGGCATCCAAAATCGCCAGTGCCCAGGAGCTTCACAACCTGCGCAGTGTCGGCCTCAAAGTCCCGGATACCCTGGTCCAAGACCTGGAACAGCTTCTCCAACCTCTGGTCGTTCTCGGGATCCGGGAAGACAGAGGTGGATGCGACAATCATCCAAGATGGCCACGGGGTGAAGATCTCTCCGATCTTCTTGAGTGGTGGCTGGGGATTCTCCTCTGTTGGGTGGAAGTGTGGTTTCGTAGTGAATTGCTCCCACATGAAGAACTCGGCGGTTGGGTTAGGGGCTTGTTCGGGATTGGCCTCATCCTTTCCAGTCACTCCATTTCGGAGATCTTTGAAAGGACCCAGTGGAATGGTACTCAACGAGTCGGAGTTCCAGCCCTGCTGCTGAGCAAGGACAAAAGACATGATGTGGGAGCCACTATGATGATGAGTCTCGGTCAGCGTCTACCCGTTTCTATGGCCAGTCGAATGAACTTGACCGTCCACGTCGATGCTAATTGCTCACCTTCCCAGTCGACTAACTCCAACTCTCTTATCCTTCAGGTCAGCCACCCCGTTGGTATCATTTCTTTCCCGACCTGTGACAATGGCCCACCGCAACGGGGTGTCGACCCAGTGTCCGACCATCTTGTACCCATCCGTGGAGACATCCTTTTGTGCCTGCTGTTTGCCAGCCAGCCCAGCAACCCAACCCTCTGTAAGTCCGATGGCGAGGTCAATCTCCTTCTCGCGAAGGGAGGTGATCATGTGTCCCGTTCCGGAGGGGAAGGGAACCAACGAGACCTTGTATGGAAGCGAGGCGGCGGCGGAGGAGCGGAGGGCGAGATGAAGAGGGGCAAGGTAGTGCTCTATATTGTAAGAAATATTAGCAAGACCTAATAAATGCCTTGAAGAACCTCCAACATGGGGGTTCGATAACTTCAAGTCTCTCTCCGTATAAAGTCCGGTGGCCAAGAAAAGTAACGTCATACCGGGTACATAGCCAATTCGGATAGTGTCTGAAGCCATGGTGAAAGCTAAATTCGCTTATAGAGTATTAAGGAACTTTGGTGGTCGAGATATGAAGGTAGGGATGCAAGAGTCTTTGGATTGATTTGCTTTTCAGCTAGAAGAGCTGAAGATCCAGCTGTGGTGGGGTAATCGCGGGGTGCGTTTGGATGAGTGAGCAGAATGCGTTTTCTCTAAATCACGTCAAGTAACAACATTTCCATAGCCTGCAATTGACTTATACCTATTAAAGTGGATTTTCATTGTTTGTTAGTCTAAATATATCCGAGTTGATGATAAAACAGGAAAATCTATCTACAACATCAAGTAGCATTACTAATAAGAAAAACGACCATAGCTCATTCAAGTCATCCGGATGTCCTTCTCTTCGTGACCCCAGGCTTCACCTTGCTGGTGGTTGTTAGAGCTGCCCGCAGCCCTGTATGGACCCCTTGTATACATCCAGTATTGGAACCCGAGGTAGAAGTCACAGGCGCACTGGAACATGCCGCAAATTCGGAAAGCCCACGGGATCGTTTCCTCGCTGAAAAAGAAGTAGCTCATCTTCATTGTGTCGCCAATAATCCACGCAGCAAGCACCGAGAGTCTGAATCCTTTGCACGAGCGGGTTCGGTGGTTCGCCAGAATCTGCGGCACAGGGAGCGTGGCCTCAACTGCGAGACCGACATATCCGAGAAGGGCGATGTAGGATTCCGATTCGGAAATTGGTGTGAGGTGAATGAAGGAAAGCGCGGCGACAAAGTATGCCAGGGACATCCAGTACCTATGGCCACATTAGTATCCGCGGTGGCAAAAAGTAGACACCCAGCTAGGAGGATACATACGGCTTTGCGTTCCTCCACTGCCAGAATTCATACGGTCTTGCCATGCCATTGTCGCTTTCACCGCTGAATGGAGCATGTTCAAGGCTATTCTTTCCACCCGGCGACGGTCGGTTGTCCAGCGCGACCTTCAGCAAGACCGCTTGAACCCCGATCATGATCACAGCCTGCGCGAGTAGCGCAAGAGAGTAGTATTCACCGAACCAGTAAAAAACCCTAGTATAAACCGTCAATGCCGAATACTAATGCATAACCAAGCCGAACAGAATCTTACTTGAGAACCGACGCAATGAGCATGATCAGAGGAATATCCAGCGAAAAGCCAGCCGAGTTCTTAGACCGATGTATACTGAGAATCTGGTCCGCGTATGATGTCAACGGAGATGTGACAAGACTGTATCATGCAAAAGAATCCCCGAGGTCAGCATTGCGGACATTTTTTTCAACGTTGAGCATTTGCACTGGTTGGCATATTGCGAACATACAAGAACGGAGCGGCATATTCGAGAGCAAGCGACACGAGATACATTGTGTAGTGGGAGAGGTGTGACAGGTCTAAAGCACCAAATTGCAAGTCGAAGAAGTATGTATCCTGGAAAGACTCGTCTTTAACCGTTCGAAAGGTGAAACGATCGCCCAACACGCCCCAAAAACTGGTGATTGCACTGCCTCAGGGGTAAGACGCAACCAATGCCCCAGATTCAAGGGAACAAGGCAAAATCAGAATGAAAGAGGACAGCTGGAAGGGTGAGGAGGAGAAGAGACGGGATGGGCGACAGTCCCTATAATTAAAAAAAGCAGTTGGGGATGGTTTAATTGAAACGCAACGAGAAAATGGAACCTTCGCTTTGGCTGGATGCGGCTTTGCGTTCGGTGGTTCAGGATCCCGAAGCTGACTCAGCCGTTATAAATAGAGATGTTGATCACTGAAGATCAGGATTCATCATTCAAGCCTTTTATTATTCGATCAGATCAAATGAAGCTGTATGGAATATGGAATATGGAGACAGATGATACTTACTGACATGAAGTCGCTGTCTGGAGATCAGATAACTCCATCTGCTATCAGAGATCAAAGTCTCTCTCCACAACAATTCTACCTGTAGGCAATCAACGCCACAATTCAACAGATCTATCGTCATGCCTCAACAATCAGGATTGGAATCTGCTATTCAAGTTTCAAATAAGACCATAACCATCCTATCCAGAAACTAATCTAGGACATACAATTTCATCTATCTACTTCGTACACCAAGTCAGCCGATCATAAGAGAAAACGCTTAACCTCGGATGAAAACACCGACGCCCGAAGCAACAAAGTTGCCGCTGGCAAAATAGACTCGGTCAATTCAGAAACCCACGAAAGCGATGACGATGGCGATGACAGCGACTACATCAACAGCCTAGGTTTTCCAGAGGCCATGATCAAAGAGCTCCAAGCTGCAGAGACGGAGGCCAGCTCAGCCAATACTTCCCAGATTGTATATCTGGTCCTCAGCCAAGCCGAGGGAGAATATAATTCAGGCTGTGATGTGCTCGGCACGTATAGCAATGTGAAGAAAGCTAATAGGAAGATTATGGAGTCTTTCGATACCGAGTACTCGATGGTTATGGAAGGCGGCAAGTTTGTCAAGGGATGTGACAACTCCTTCTATGGAGACGATGCGGGTGCCTGGTGCATAACGAAAGATGGCACTTTGAAATTGAAAGCATATTGCGAAGGAGAGGAAGGCAAGATATACGCTCTGAAGCAGAAAGTACAGTAATGTTACTCAAATTCATGTTGTATACTCGTCTGTACAAAAGGTTATTTTTACTACACGTCTAGACCGCTACAATCAAGTCTACTGCATCTTTATCCCAAAACTCAATGACGATCAAAGTTTATATCATGATCATAGACAATTTGACAAAATAATACTATACACCCCTTGACATGGGGTCATACTATGCAGTTTAGAATTCGATCTTCCACGTCTTTCCGATACCAACGTTGGGGTTTTTCACCACGGCGTAGGAAGCCTTTCCGTCTTGTTGCGCATGGTACTCAATCCGAGCACTGGTAGCTTCCTTGGCTCCCTCTTCGATAACAGTCACACTGGTCTTGCTCTGCCATTCGTTAGGAGGATCGACGACCACAACCTTTTCGACCCTAACATCGGCCATGGCCTTCAGGTATCCGGGTGTCTTAGGACCCTGGGTTCCGAGGTCCTCAGACGACAAGGTAGACTCGCGGAAGAGGAAACGACGGTGGATATAGGCACCACTCTCGTAATCAAAAGTTTCTCCATCATCCACGTACAGAGTGCCGTCTGCATTGCCATTCTTGTCCAGGGTGATAACAAAGGTGTATGGATCCCATCTCATCAATCCACTGCTGCGACGAGGTCGATCCTTGCGGGGAATGACATGACCTCCCTGCATCAGCAATGGCACTCTCTCCATAGGAGCCGGTACCGTATGTCTCTTACCGGCGCCTTGGTACACCGTATAATCGTAATAGTCGTAGTACTTCTCATCATCGGAGATATAAACGTCGGCGGTAGTGGTGCCCTCGGAAACAACCGGCTTAGTGAGAAGACCAGTAGCTGCCAGATAGAGCTGGTCATCAATGGCAAAACCTTGCTCGTCGGACGGGTGGACGTAGTACTGGGGCCGGACGATTGGCATCCCGTTTACCGAAGCTTCATGGAACGCTGTGTACCACGCGGGTAGAAGCTGGTATCTCATACGCAGAGTTTGAGCAATGATGGATCGGTAAGGCTCGCTGATCAAGTAGGGTTCTCTCCTGCGTGTATCGATATGGGCATGTGCACGGAAGAAGGGATACCAGATTCCAGCTTGGTACCATCTCGTCAGAAGTTCCTTGCTGGGGTTATGGAAGAAACCGCCAACGTCAGCGCCAGCAAAAGGGAAACCGGCAATTCCATTGTTCAAGACCATGGGAAGAGAGGCAGCCAAATGCTCCCATGTAGCTTGATTGTCGCCTGTCCACATGGCAGACATTCTTTGAGCACCGGCATAGTAAGACCGTGTTAGAATGAACGGTCGTCGAACTTCGCCTTTCTTGCGTTCTAGCATGGCTTGGTAGGTGGCATTGACCAGAGTGATTCCGTTGACGTTGTGGATATCACGGTGCTCCCAGTTGCCGAAATGCAGGTTGTCTTTGGGCATCGTCGTTTCGGGCCCGTTGAAAACGGATGGCTCATTCATGTCATTCCAGATAAACACGTTGGGAAGTGTGCCCTTGAATCTGTCGTACTTGAACAGAGTTTTCCACCACTTGATAGCCTCCGGGTTGAAACAGTCCACCCAGTTCGACGAACCGGGCCAACACCAACCATCGTAGAGCTCTCCATCCTTGTTCTTAGTACCTAGATCCTTGCTTTTCAGCTCCTCCGAGACGAAAAATTTGTCCTGGTTTTTGATGTGCGGGTCGATGAGGACCACAAGCTTTCGCTCGGAATCATCAAGCTGCTCGTTCATTCCCTTCGGGTTAGGGAAGGTGAGGGGGTCCCAAGTGAAGTACTTCCGGTCATCAGTATACTCAAGGTCAAGCCAGATAACGTCATAAGGAATTTGATATTTGTCGAACTTGGCGTCAACCTCTTTCACGTCCTCATCGGTGACGTAGTTCCAGCGACACTGATGATACGCAATGGCAAAGTGCTGAGGCAGTTGAGTATATCCAGTCAATCCTCCGTAAGTCTTACTAATATCTTGCGGGGAGGGTCCAAGGAAGACGAAGAGGTCAATTTGTCCAGACTCGGAGAACCAATGGCTTTCGGTCGTTGTCTTGGAGCCGACTCCCAACGAGAGCGGGTTGGCCGAAGATGTTGACTTGACGATGTCCACCCAGGTTTCAGCTGCATTAAGCCAGAACACGCCAACAGTAGAGCCCTGTCGGTGTGCCTGCATAAGAGGAATGGCACCATACAAGGTCATAGGGCTGTTGAGCTCATATTCGAACACATCGGAGTTATACAAGCGGTATGGGTCCTCGTGGTTTCCCGATCCACCCCTAGAGTACTTTTAGCTTCATTTCGAACCATTAATTGCCGTAGATTTACCTGGTCTCCTTCAAAGAAAGGGAGTCTGCATGTTCCGGGATTCCAAAAACATGACTGTATCCTGGGAATGAGATATCCAAGCCTACACTCTCCGGTCCTCTGGGCTTGGAGTCTGTGTTTCCGCCAAAGGTTTCCTCCCACCAGGTGCTTTCATCTTCCTGAGACTCGGACACCTGCTGGCTGTCACCTTCCGCGGCTTCCACCTTCGGCCGCCAGTGTTCCAAATTCAAGTAGCCTTTGTTATTCAATTGGACATGGGTTTCGCCGTCTCTTTGGAACTCGACATCAAATGGTGCATGGCGAATGATCGCCTGGAATTTATTATCAGGTCCATACAGCACTTTGGTATAGCCAGTATCCGTGTCGGAGTTGAGCGTCGCGGACTTGCTCAATTCCAAACCTCCAACCAGTGCCCATTTTTCTGCCTCATTATATCGCTCCTTCCGTGCTTTGCTGTTGTGTCGAATTTCAATTTCGCCCTTCATTCGCTTCTCTTCATCGAGAACGACTCGTGCGGCCCCGGATTCGAGGAAGGACACTGTGAGAGGTAGCCTGACCTTCTCGTTTGCGGATGTCGTTTTGATGACCATGCCCTGCAATTGAGCATCTTTGAACTCGATAGACGAAGGGTCTAACTCGTATGGAGAGCTCCATGACGAGCCCTTGGCGGAGACATCATCGGCTAACGCTCGGTTGCGCTTACAAAATCCAGATTGGGAACACTTTTTGAAGTTCTCATGCTTCACGGTGACTGAATTTGTCATCAGAATCAAGCACAGCTGAAATCCCATGAGCCATCACAGATCTTACCTCCGGGTACAACAAGGCATCCGAATAGAATCACCAAGGAGAGCAATACCGTCCAAGGGACGGAAGCTAGCTTACTCCTGGCCATAATTGAGCTAAAAAGGATGCGATCAGAGACACTCAACCTCTGAAAGTAGAATTCGGCCGGATAACAGTTGCGATGGCCTGCATCTACCGGATTCGAAAGACCAACACAGGATGATATACAGTACAACGATATGGAAGCAGCTTAGTACACCCTGTTCAGATGGAGAGAGCTCCGTTAGTCTAACAGCGCTAGCCCGGATGGGGAAGTAGGGCGGCTGGGGTTGGCGTCTCAGGCATTAAGGCATTAATAAGGCACCGAATGCGAACCCCTCACCCCCACTATCTAATTTTCTCGCCAACTCGCCCATCACCAGCAAGTCTACTTCTTCTCTTTTCTCCCTCTTGATCTTCTTCTTTTCTCCTCATCCTTTTGATCATCCATCACATCCATCAAAATGTCCAACTCCGAGCAGACGTAAGTTAGCTTCCTGCCCCTCGTGTGCACTTCTATTTCTCTCTTCTTTTATTTCTCTCCTATATTTCATATTTTTTCTAACCCCCTCATTCGATTGCAAAGCTAATCAAATGTAACAGCTTCATTGCCATCAAGCCCGACGGTGTCCAGGTACGAACTTTTTCGGGACTCAATTGGTCCTAGGATGTCCTCGGGACAAGGCTCTTTCGTGTTGAAGCAGAATAACTAACGTTTTCGGTCACCAGCGTGGACTCGTTGGCCCCATCCTCTCTCGCTTCGAGAACCGTGGGTGCGTATTTCTTGTATAACCAATCCGACCGATACCGAACTAACAGCATATAGCTTCAAGCTCGCTGCCATGAAGCTCACCTCTCCCTCCAAGGAGCACCTCGAGAAGCACTATGCTGATCTCGCTGGCAAGCCCTTCTTCCCCGGTCTCATCACCTGTAAGTCGCTACGCCGTCACGACCCAAGGCTCAAATTTCTACAAGACTGTTCAACATGCTAATTTTCAACCAGACATGCTGAGCGGCCCCATCGTCGCCATGGTCTGGGAGGGCCGTGACGTCGTCAAGACTGGCCGTAGTAAGTCTACACCATGCTGGAACGCTTCATTCCATACACTCTAACGATCAAATTACAGCCATCCTCGGTGCCACCAACCCTCTTGCCTCCGCCCCTGGCACCATCCGTGGTGACTTCGCCATTGTAAGACCCCATTGCGAAAAACTGCCTTCAACTGTTGATCCCTTACTCACATTACAATAGGACGTCGGCCGCAACGTCTGCCACGGCTCCGACAGCGTCGAGAGCGCCCAGAAGGAGATTGCCCTCTGGTTCAAGCCTGAGGAGATCAGCACCTACAAGCAGGCCTCCGCCGCTTGGATCTACGAGAAGGTTTAAATTTCTCCACACAATCCTTGATCTGAAACACTGCAGCTTACTGCAGGCGAAGACGTAGGACGTGGACGAAAGAAAACCAAAATACCACGATACATAGAAATCTACAATTTCCTGGAACCCCACCATCGTCTTCACAGTACATCTATAGTATTCTATTCGAATCTCAACGTAGATCATACATGGATATCTTGCAGAAAGAGCTGAGCATGACTACCCTCGATTTATTTCCTCCCAAAAACAGCTCTGGCCCCTTTCCCTAAAGGACCCAAGACGGCTCTCGCAAACCATGGTGTTGCCCACACACTTGCAGCTAGACGTACCGGCAAAAGCGCCTTGGTGATTGCATAGGCTGTTGCGAATTCCAAAACCAGACGCACACCTTTTCTGCTTTCTCCTTTGAGCTCAACTTGTCCATCTGGCGCGGATTTCTCTTCTACTACTCCGCCGTCTACCGTAACAATCTCCATATCGTCATCCTCCACCCAGCCTTTCTTCCGCAGCCAACGCCCGAATCTTTCTGTCCCTTCCTCGAATGCACCGCTAGGATTACCAGATGTTAGATCCGGAATCCAGTTACCATAGTGGAATACAGCCACGAGGCCGAACAGTGGTACAATAGCTGTGATTTCATGGAGGATCAAGAATGACGTGATATGTGTAACCGGGGCTCCAAGCAAGGGAGTTGTGTAGGTCCGGAGGAACGGCGGAAGACGGTCATTGAATCTGTGGAGACGCGATATGGAGTCTTTGGGAGATGAAGGGGAAGAAGACGGAGGTGGTGTAGAAAAGGCTCGGCGTGGTAAAGATCTGGAAGTGAACCGAAAGGGCCGGAGTGAGAATGGACGCCGTGACGACATTTGGGCAGTATGGCAGGAATCGCTTGCAGTTAGCCTAATGGGGTAATTATTAGCCAAAGAATAAATTGACTTTATGAACCGCCTGGGGGTCATAACATGCTCGCGGAAGTCGTTCGGTTCAGCTGTTGTGTTGGTGATGTCGTAAATCTTTTCCTACCACGGCGGTCTGTTTGCAGTGTTTGCAGGGTGTATAAGATGTTAGTCATGGTGGATGGGTTCAACTGAAATTACTTCATAAAGGAAGCTGATAGTTTGGTCTATTTGACTGATGGTGAAATAGGCTACTGTATATTGTTTAGTTGACTTGAAATGGCTGTAGCTGACGCAGTATAATGCTGATCGCGCTCTTCTGAGTTGTTCCTCCGTAGACGGAGCTGAGATGGCTGAATGAGAAGGCAAACGCACCAGTCTTCTATCTTCACCTGAAAAGCTTAGAAATAACTGTCCCACATTCAGCTCCAATCGATCTCAGCTGGCCCAATTATTAGGTGCCTGCGCATCGACGCGATCAAAATGGGCCCCATAACCGGCAGTCGAGCATGCTTCCCTTTCCGTTGATCGCTGGCCGGTCCGCGATCGCATCCACCATTGCGGGCTTCTTCAGGCCTTTCCCACCTCTGACTCCCAGAACAACCATCCATCAACCACCCATCTATTCGAGTTTCCTCGCAATAGGAACTCAAGTCACGATGGAGAAGATTACAGACAAGATCGCGGCTTTGCCGCCTGACTCGAATTACTTCTCTTTGGAGTTTTTCCCTCCTAAAACCCAAATGGTGGAGTTAGCCCCGCGCCCGAAACCATTGTCACTGATAGGGACTGGTATGGCTAACAATGTCCTTTTCTCTCTCAGGGTTTTGCCAATCTCCAAGCCCGTTTGGAGCGTATGGCCCAGGCTTTGCGCCCGTTGTTCGTGACTGTTACTTGGGGCGCTGGAGGAAGCACTGCAACCAGATCGCTGGAGTTGGCGGAGATCTGCCAGCGCCAGCTGCAACTAACGACATGCTTGCATTTGACGTGCACAAACATGAGCCGCGCCTTGGTTGATCAGGCATTAGAGGAAGCCAAGGTGCTGGGAATTAGAAACATCCTGGCTCTACGTGGAGATCCCCCGCGGAGCGAAGAATACAACATTCACGGAGAAGACGACAGCAACAAGGATTTCACGTACGCGGTGGACTTGGTGCGATACATCCGACAGCAGCATGGCGACTACTTCTGCTTGGGAGTTGCTGGATACCCCGAGGGTCACCCGCCTGAGAACTCGCAGGAACCTCAGGATCCCGTACACGATCTGCCTTACTTGGTTGAAAAGACCAAGGCTGGCGCGGATTTCATCATGACCCAGTTGACTTACGACCTTGACGTCTACACGAAGTATGAAAACATGCTGCGAAACCATGAATCGGGTGTTTTCAAGACTATTCCGATTATTCCTGGTTTGATGCCGATTCACAGCTACAAGATCCTGACGAGAGTGACGAAGCTCAGCCACGTGAAAGTCCCACCCCCCATCCTTCAAAAATTGGAGGAGCTGAAACATGACGATGATGCTGTTAAGCGCACTGGTGTGGACATCATTAATGATATTGTGGAAGGCATCAAAAAGACGGCTTGTCCTGGATCCCGGGGCTTCCATTTCTATACTCTCAACCTTGAAAAGACGGTCTCTTTCATCATTGAGCGCTGCAAACTTATCCCACCCCCTCTCGATGAAGAAACCTCTGCTGTCGATTCGGGCTTCCTGGAAGTCTCTTTAAATGACGTCCCCAAGCGTCTAGCACGGCGTCGTGGTTCATCTATGAATTCACAACCGCACAACCGGGTTATCGTGGATAGGTTGAATGGTGTGTCCGATGTATCTTCCAAGAACTCTGCCACACATGAAGTGCCTGCAACAAGTGCGGGAATGCCTGCACTGCCACCGGATCGCAACACAACCCTTCAGATCTCTGAAGGCCTGGGCGCACTGGGCAGGGAGGCAACCTGGGATGATTTCCCCAACGGACGTTGGGGTGATGCTCGCTCACCAGCCTTCGGTGAGATTGATGGCTACGGCCCCTCGCTTGGTGTCCAGGCTTCTGTTGCCCGCCGAATCTGGGGCCACCCTGTTCAGCGGGAAGACATCAACACTCTCTTCCGGCGCCTTGTCTCCGGAGACCTGCACATGGTTCCTTGGTCGGAAGGAGGTGCTGAGGAAGGCAGCGATGGCTTAAACGCGGAAACCGAACTTATTCGACCTGAACTTTTGAAACTTATCGACGGTAGAGGCTGGTGGACATTGGCATCCCAGCCCGCGGTAAATGGCGTCCGTAGTGACGACCCTATTTTCGGATGGGGACCGCAGCGTGAAGGGTTCGTCTTCCAAAAGCCATTTGTCGAATTCTTCTGTCCCGACAAAGACTACCAATCCATCCTCAAACCTATCTTTGAAAAGCACGGCCACGATGAACTAGCTTGGTTCGCGACTAACGCAAAGGGCACGTTTGAATCATCTCTTCCCGCCCAAACCGGAGACTTTGACACTATCGAGACGAACCCTGAAAACGTCAACGCAGTGACATGGGGAGTTTTCAAGGGCAAGGAGATTGTTACTCCCACCATTATCGAAGAGGTCAGTTTCCGTGCCTGGTCTGACGAGGCATACCGCATCTGGGAAGAATGGCGCCGCATCTACCCCCGTGGCTCTCCAACAGAGCGTTTTCTCGACTCGACCAAGAACGATGTCTGGCTGGTCTGCGTTATTGGCCAGAACTTTGGTGCAGGCACAAAGGTTGGCTCTCAGGAAGAGGCCAACGAGGTCAAGTGGATGTGGAATGTGCTGGCGGGCAAGGAGTAGACACCATGAGGAAGTTGATTGATTTGCTGTTGTAACATGACGCCAAGTATTTGATCCTACATCCTGTACTACTGACAGTGGATTTCTGGTCTCTGGAGAGTTCAATTTCAACATTTGACTCGTTTTAGCAAATTTGTGGCATATATTTTATTGACGTGGATCGGAATATGCATAGGAGATGTGAGGGCTTGACATCTGTTGTTGTACAGTACAGTACTGGCTCGCTTTTTGAATGAAGACCGATCAAGTAAATAGATGACTTTTAATGTGATGAATGCTGATATTACGATGCCTTTTTTTTCATGTAATTTTCCATACTCTATTATCAACCATTCTGCTACCTCTCTCTAAGATAACAAACAAAAAAAGTCAGGATAAATTCAACTCCCCATCGCCAGCGCAGTTAGCGACTAAAACGATGGTGCCATATTAGTATATTCTAAAATCTATGCTAATAATCGCTCATGACTATCAAAACCACGCCTTATATAACAGTAGACCTATAATCATTTCTTCTCAGCAAAGCCTCGTGCCTCGAGCTCGTCTGCTCCAGCGTCTGGTGTAACTACTGAGGATTGAGATTCTGCGAACTTCTCCGCTGCAGCGTCTAGACGACCATAAACCTTAGGGAAACGTTTGGCTTGGTGTGGTCCAGCGGCGGGGAGGTGGTAACCACGAAGTCTATGTTTTGTTAGAAAAGGTGCTGTATTATCAGATGAACTGGATTGAAATACCTTGGACCTTGACCGGTCTTTTCTGGTAATTCGGGAGAATACGCCCGGTTGAAATTTAAGCAATCTTGCTCGAAAGTACCACGTTCGATACTTTCTCTGATCTGAGCGAAGAAAACGTCCATCGTATGGTGATTGTGGATCTGGAGGAGAGTCCAAGCCAGCATTTCCTTTGCGGAGAGGAGATGGTGGAGGTATGCACGATGGTGATTCCTGCAGGCGTAGCACTGGCACCCTTCAGAGAATGGCCTTGTATCTGTGGTGTATTCCGATGACCATAGATCGAAGGCTAGCGGTCGAGGTTCTGAAACTACAGCGGCGGGAGCTGGGAAGGAAAAGTCAAAGGCAATACCTGCATCCGAACAAGCGGTCATGAAGGGAAGCGTGAGGAGGTCTGCTCCAAGAGATACCTCGCGTAAAATATCATGAGGAGTAGCTGGGTCGCTGAATAAAAGTCGGGGTAGATCGCCCAGTAGTTCGGTGATGAGGGAGAGAGAATCAGACTCGTACAATGCTAGACCGGAGATGTATTGCCGTAGCTCAGCTTCCAGCTCGTCCAGGTATATAGATTGTTCAGCATTGTCCAGCGGCAACACCGGGGCAAAATATGCCGTGTTTGAACGATTCTCTCCCGCCACGGCCTGGTCATACAGATGCTCTGTGGCATGCATGGTGAACGCATGCGTTCTATCTACCATCTTCCCCCGTCTCTTGATACCCGGTTTATGTCCCATCACAAGATCTGCTAGTCCTACCACGATATCTGGTTGCAACTTGTGCACTGCGTCGACATATTTCTCGGCCTCGAGTTGGTGGAATCCAACAGCCGTCAACACAGAAACCGAGTTGGGTGTATTGGTCGGGGGGCAGGCGACCGGGGGCACTCGTCGCGCACCAAGAATTAATAAGACATCCTCGGGCATACACATGAACTTGCGCAATTTTGATTCATGTGGCTCAGTCGGCACCTTGTAGAGTGGTGCTTTTTCTGGTTTCTTCTCTATGACTGATCTAAGCCCAGTGGGCATTAACGGTCAGTGTCTTTCGTGGGTAATAAATCGTGATAAGGGAAGAGAATACAATCTTCCAAGCCGACATAAAGACTGCCAATTTCAGTCTGATCTCTCATCAGATCATGCGTGATATGTGGAACGGCTCCTCGCGTGGTGAGCGGAATGTAATGCGGCGTGCTGACGGCCTTCCTGCCTGCGATAGCCAGTTTCCCCAGTCGAGGCGCCAGGACTGGAGCAGCAGCAGGACTGAGAATAGTGAAGCTGGCCATCTTGTCTGGGTCAGAGCCCATGGTGGTGATGATCTCTGTCGAGATAGAGTTTGTGGGGAGAGATAAGTCTGTTATCGAGAGAAAAGTGGAGGAGGAATCTTTGTCAACCGTCGGAGACCTTTTTTGTTCTCCGCCACGGTTGATCCATCCCACTCTCATCCATCCAGCCCATTGCTGCTCGTTGACAACAACACACTGTTTACTCGTCTTTCAACTAGCCAGAGAGCATCCCATTTAATATTTTATACCGTCTAAACTTTGCTCTCTGTGTCCGGTTTTAATCAAGATGGCAGAATCGAATAATGGCCAACGCGGGGCTCTCATCGTCGTCGAAGGCTTGGACCGAGCTGGCAAATCAAGCCAGTGCGAAATTCTACGCAACTCACTGCAGGAATCAGGCCGTTCGGTGAAATACATTCGGTTTCCAGGTATTTCTGATATTCATCTATTGCTCAGAGAGAAATCGTTCTGATTGAAATTCCTCCTAGACCGGACCACGCCTATCGGGCAGTTGATAGACGGTTACTTACGCGGCCAGTCGCAGTTGGATGACCACTCAATTCATCTTCTCTTCTCTGCTAACCGCTGGGAAATTTCCAAGAATATCGAGATGAATATTTCCCGCGGAGTCACCGTTATTGTGGATCGCTATTCATACTCCGGGGCCGTCTACTCGGCTGCAAAGGCCAACCCGAGTCTGCCGCTGGAGTGGGCGTGGCAGCCAGAAGTCGGATTACCTCGCCCTGATATCTGCCTTTTCCTCCGCATCTCTCCCGAAGAGGCTGCAAAACGCGGTGGATTTGGCGTCGAGCGATATGAGAACGAACCGATGCAGAATCGCGTGCGCGAACTGTTTCAGACTCTTTTCGACTTGCAAAAGAATGACGGGATCCATACCATCGATGCTGGAAGATCATTTGATGAGGTAACACGAGACATCTTGAAGATTGTGGAGGAGTGCATCTTGCACCTGAATACCATCGGACCTCTGAGGAAAATCGGACCTATCGCCGTTTGATGCCAAGACCTCTTTCAGCCATGGTCACTTGGTGAACTGCTGTTGATAGTTCACCCAAGAATTTCAAATTCACCGTCTTCGCTGTCTTCGATTACAACCTCGAGTCTTGGTTGTGGTAACTTCGATAACACCTTGGACGGTCCACCAGCATCAGAATCCGACTCAAAATCCAATGCCCAATTTTCATCTAGAAGGTCGTCTGGGGAGTCTTCGTCAGAAATATCTACTCCTGAGTAAACTTCTAGTCCAGATTTGACACCAGATGAATGCTGGCCAGATGGGTTATTTCCGTTGGCAATGAAGTCATCGGAAACACCAATATTTTTCTGGTCCAATCTCTTCTTCCTCACTATAACACGCATCTCTTTCTCACCACGATAACGAATACTCAACTCCTGCATCATCAACGACCATTGAATGGTTTCCTTACATGCTGGACAGACGCCATGCATCGGAACGAGCTGGTCTGGGTTTTGTGCGGCTTCCAGAAATTTGGTTGATAGACATTGTAAATGATTAATGCAGAGGCAGCTTGTATGCGGGCATACAACCATCAATTCATCCTTTTGATTGACTAGTGAGTGGCATACTTTGCAACGTAGGTCCTGTTTATCCAGAAGAGACAATGTCTTCTCCAGATAGTCATCGATTTTACTGTAGTCGGCTTTGATGTTTTGAGCACTCCCAACACAGGGATCACCCACTGTTTTCAGAGTACTTCTATCGAGGCAGTTTCCATCCAGTATGACTTTGACATGGCTCGGAATAACACCGTCCACTCGATCATTCCAGATCATCCATTCTCTATGAACGTCTGCGCAGAAGAACCGCACTTTTAAAGGCCAGCTGGAGAAGTAAGTTGATCGTAGTAAGAGGTGTAGGTCTCTCAAAACAGCCATCGTGGACCTTTTAGGAATTCGAGGCCTTCCTTTTTTCACTTTGGCCTTAGTCTTAGGGCTGGGCTGGACAGAACCCTCCCTATCTGTGGTTTCAGCAGCTGACTCGTTGTCTGTGGATGATTTGGGGGCATTTTTCGATGCAGCCTTGGAGGTAGTTTTTGAAGCTCTCTCCGATTCTTGAATGTTTTGATCGATGTGCCGTGAATCTCTCACATGTTGCCATGCCCATCTGTATGACAATTAGAAGTGAACGAAAAGACTAGAAGTACCATAGAGACAGGAAATCTCACTCGAATTGCAAGGCGGCAGTCCGGCTCATGAACCCCTCGACAATCACTACCATCTCCCATGGTTTCATATTGTCTCTTGAAGTAAACTTGGCGCCTCCTTTGGTAACGCCATTATGCTGTGCTAAACGTCTTGCAGGATTGGGGGTTGAGCCAATATATAGAGATCTGGGTTTAACCGAAGATCGAAGGAGATAGCAGCAGTAGAATGCTGGGATCGGTTTTGTATCGTCTTCCATCATGAAATACCGGCTGGGTATCCGCGAATGGTAGGGCTGGAGGCCTGTTTAAGAATCTATGAAACTGAACTGAGATCCTCAAGATGTGAATTATCCAACATTCTGGTCGTCCATGGTGATCTTGTTTGTGGATGGATTGTAAGAAGAAGGTTGGTTGTTGATTGCTGTTGTTGTCGTCAATACAGGGTGGTCACATGATTTACAAACAAACCGTCAGGCCTAGTTTTATTTTTCTCTTAGTTTTATCGACTACTTTCAGTTGCCTTAAGAAGCTATATATCTTTTAGCGAAATAATTTAAACTCCATGGTTTGATTTGCTTTATCCCAGCTCAGTCAATTGATAAAATCCACGAACCTTTGAAACCTGTTCAGATTTCAGTTTGATGTCCAAGATCCCCACCAAGTCGCTCGGACCAGGAGTGATTTTCACTGGGGTTAGGGGGTATCTGTTAGGTCCATCGATGATGATACTACACAAACAGAAAAATGAAGACAATAAAAGAAAAGCAAGAATATTTCCCAGCCAGGCTTAATTATTCAACGACTATCTATGTTCGAAGTCACTATAAGGTACTGGATATGGACGATTCCATTGGCTGCTGCAGTATGCCAACATCCTCGGACGCATGGAAGATAACAGCTTTCTACGATGTTGCAACGTTAGGAGGATAGGGATAACTAGTTATTTATCTTTCGATGACACAGAGTTTGGATATTGCATGGTAATAATAACTTAGAATAAAGTACCTAATATGGATGTCCATAATAATAGTTAATAATAAATACCCCGGAGTCCACCGTGATAATGACAGCTTAATGGAGGTCCAACCCAGGTGACCCAATGCGGAAACATGCGGTAATTTAACGAGTGCATGTGATTTGGAATCATGGCTCCAATCCAAAACCGGCCTGTATGACAAGCAGAAGAAAGATTGACCAGAAAGTCACTAAATGGGACTATCGCCAGTGATTCTCTGGTCGGATGCGGACCATGGGTTGACGTGTCACATGGGGATTGTATGATACCATCCACCGTACAAATATCTCCCATTGTTCTCGAGAGCTTTTTATCCTCGTTTTTCCCTCTCGAATAACGAGGTTCAATTTGGTTGAAATATGGCTACCACATTGGGATTCCCATACGGTATCGGTATTACCGTCTGGTAATTTGGATGAATCCAAGTCCGATTGAACCCGAGTTGGAGATGAGGGTGATGTGAACAATCGGCTTAAATCAAGATTAATATACAGAAGGCTTTTATTCCCTGTAGGAGTACTCGGTAGAAACAGGAATAATACCCATTATATCCAAAAAGCATCTATATTAAGAATGTCAATCAGTCGATATAGGTACCAGGTAGCTTTAATCATTTACATCACCGTTTGCGGGCAAGTTTCATACGCCATTTTACGATACATACCATACCGTACTGTTCGCTACCGGCTCTATCGAGTCTTGTTCTTTTCTCGCCCATTCCTACCGCGAACTTAACCAACTCCTACTGGTGAGAGCCTCAGCTGTTTTTCTCTTTCTGCTTCTCTTCTTTTTCTCTTTCTTCTTCTTCTTCTGTTCCTCCCGCCGTCCGTCCCGAATTCTCCCCACAAATCCTCCCGGGATCCTCTCGGCCTTCTTTTGCTTCTTCCTTCTGACTAACTGTTGTTACTTACCTACCCTACCCTACCTTACCTACTTACTACCTTACTACCTATTACTACACTACTACACCTACTACTAACCTATCAGACCTCCAACTCACCTCTTGATTATTCCTCCCATATCATCATCAATTTCTTTCCTTCCTCATTCTCCTCTCTTTGTTCCTTTTTCATCCCATCCTTTCCATCGCTGAACCAACTCGGAGCTGTTTTCTCCCCCTTCCTGCTTCCTCGGTCGCCCTTCTCAATGCGTTTTTCGCATCGGATGCTCGCCCCCTTCCATTCGCGATAAGCCACGCGCCGTTCTTCCTCTCCTCCCTTTTCCTCCTCAGGTCGTCGCCTTCTAAGAAATGGTGGCCCCGGCGTCTATGGGAGGGAACTCGACAGGCGTTCAGCCTCCAGCGAGCAATCAACCCACACGGTCGTCCAGCACCCACCCATCGCATTCCCATAATGTGCCCTTGAGCGCTCGACGATCTGCTCCCCTGGATCTCTCCACAGTTGAGCGGCGAGGGGGGCCCAATGCCCCTCGAGAACCCAGCAAACGAATCCGTCCCCACGGCTTGCAGGAAGCCCCGACATTCCGTCCGACGGAGGAAGAGTTCAAGGATCCCGTGGAATACATCCGCAAGATCGCTCCTGAGGGCAAGAAATATGGAATTTGCAGGGTCATTCCGCCCGAGAATTGGCAACCAACATTTGCGATTGATACTGAGGTATGCTCTGGGAGTCTTGCTCGTGGGTTTTTGTGCTTGGTTATTTTTATTCGCGTGACATTGTGTTGTTGCTTTTTTTTAGGATCTACTCGAGCGGTCTGCGTTATTGAGGTGTTTTTTTTTTTTTTTTTTCGGAGAAAAAATCGTTGATGCTGACCATAATGTGCCTATCTAGCGGTTTCACTTCAAAACCCGCCGACAGGAGCTTAACTCGGTGGAAGGAGGTATGCCCCCGCGTTCAGCTGCGTTCGCTGCCGGTGGAGCTCCGCAGCCCAGTTCTGACCTGGAACCAGGAACTCGTGCGAACTTGAACTACCTTGATCAACTAGCCAAGTTTCACAAGCAGCATGGTACCAACCTCAATCGCTTCCCCAGTGTCGACAAACGCCCGCTGGACCTCTTCAAACTCAAAAAGGCTGTCGAGGTTCGGGGTGGTTTCGATCAGGTTTGCAAAACAAAGAAGTGGGCAGAGATCGGGCGCGATCTTGGTTACAGCGGCAAGATCATGTCCTCCCTCTCGACATCACTCAAAAACTCCTACCAGAGGTGGCTTCAACCCTACGAAGAGTATCTACGTGTAGCAAAACCGGGGGTTCAGCAGCAACTGGAGCTGGAACACGGCGGTCCCTACACTCCATCTCCCCACCAGTCACCGATGGCGAAGAAACCCTCGTCGATCGACAATAATAGCACCGCACCGAATAGGCAGCAGGGAACACCCATCGTCCAACCGGCTCTCCCTCCACACATTCCTAAAGAAGTCGAGGCGACCCCCGATAAGCCAACCCCTCCGGCCGAGCCCGCCCCTCGACCGGTTGCATCTGGATTCACACCTGTAAATTCCGGTGGTTTTACTGCGGTCAATCGATCCCCATCCTTCGTGGCCGTGAATAGCAGCGGTCCCACCGTGAAACGGGAAACAGAGAATGGATCGATGACTCCTCAAAGTGTCGCCGAGCATCCCCAAAACTCAACACCCGTTCCGAATGGCAATGGAACCCACCCCATGAAGCGTGCGATTAGCCAGGACAGTGGTTCACAAACCGAGAATGGTGACACTGATGCAAATGGTCGGCGTAGTAAGCGCCTCAAGAAAGGCGGTATGTTTTCAGCAAACAGACGGTTTTCTCATTCGATTTTTCTTCGTCTAATCGTGAGTTATAGAGACAGATGGGCCGCCTCCACCGACCGTTGCTGGTTCGCACATGAGTCTCCTCCGCCCGGCTCCACCAAGGCCACGCAAGAGTGAGATCCGAAGAACTGGAGAAGTAAGCTATATACATTTTGACAGTTACTATCATACTGTGCTAACTGAGGTTCTAGAAGTGTGAAAGCTGTGGGAAGAACGAAGATTGCTCATCAATTCTTGTGTGCGATAGTTGCGAAAACGGGTATCACAAATACTGCCTTGACCCCCCTCTGACTACCCCCCCTGAATACGACTGGCACTGTCCCAAGTGTTTAGTAGGCACAGGCGAGTTCGGGTTCGAGGAAGGTGGCGTCTACTCTCTTAAGCAGTTCCAGGAGAAGGCAAGCACCTTCAAGAAGAATTATTTCGCTTCCAAGATGCCCTTTGACCCTGTTCTGAACACTCACCGGCGCGAGTCTGAGGATGATGTTGAACGCGAGTTCTGGAGATTGGTTGAGAGTCTGACGGAGACTGTCGAGGTTGAATATGGTGCCGATATCCACTCGACTACCCACGGTAGTGGATTCCCTACGGTTGAGCGAAATCCCCTTGATCCGTACTCCGTCGATCCCTGGAATTTGAACGTTCTGCCATTCCATGGAGACTCGCTGTTCCGTCATATCAAATCTGACATCTCCGGTATGACGGTTCCCTGGGTCTATGTTGGCATGTGTTTCTCAACATTCTGCTGGCACAATGAGGACCATTACGCCTATTCGGCCAACTATCAGCACTTTGGTGCTACGAAGACTTGGTACGGAATCCCAGGAGCTGATGCGGAGGCTTTCGAAGAAGCCATGCGGCAGGCAGTACCCGAACTCTTCGAGGGTCAACCCGACCTGCTGTTTCAGCTTGTCACTCTGATGCCACCAGATCAACTCCGAAAAGCCGGTGTCAATGTTTACGCAGTTGACCAAAGAGCCGGTCAATTTGTTCTCACATTTCCCCAGGCCTACCATGCTGGCTTTAACCATGGGTTCAACTTCAATGAAGCTGTCAACTTTGCGCCCGCTGACTGGGAGCCCTGGGGCGCCATGGGTGTTGATCGTCTCCAGGCTTTCCGAAGACATCCATGCTTTTCTCATGATGAATTGCTGCTGACCGCGGCTGCTCGTGATTCATCCATCACAACGGCCAAGTGGTTAGCCCCGGCGCTTCAACGAACCTGTAGCCGAGAACTGGCAGATCGTGCCGGGTTTATCAAGCGGCATCGGGAGGTAGCCCCCCACAATTGCACTGTCGGCGTGGAGAATGCCTCAACTGCAGGCGACTGCCAGCTCAAGTTCCTTATTGAGGAGAGTGATCTGCCCGAGGATGACTACCAATGTCAACACTGTAAAGCATACACCTATCTGACACAATTCCGCTGTCACAAGACTGGGAAAACAGTCTGTCTGATGCATTTGGAGACATATGATTGCTGCGGAGAACCTCTCACGCAGAGATTACTGGGACCGGATCACACATTCCGCTACCGGATTAGCGATGATTCATTGAAAGCCGTAGCGCAGAAGGTCCAGGACCGTGCCAGGATCCCGGAAGCATGGGGAGAGAAGCTCGACAAAACACTGGAGGATGATCCAAAGCCCCAACTGAAGGTCCTTCATAACCTACTTAATGAAGGTGAGAAAATCCCATACCATTTGCCCGGTCTCCAAGATCTTGCGGCCTTCGTCCAGCGCTGTGATAAGTGGGTTGAAGAAGCAACCAACTACATCACCCGGAAGCAGCAAAACCGGAGAAAAAACGAGAAGGCCTGGCGCAAGGGTAGTTCCAAGGCCGCGCAGCTGGAAGAACGTGATCGTGAAGTTCGCAGAGTAGAAAACATCTACGCCCTTCTTGCAGAGGCTGATAAACTTTCCTTCGACTGTCCACAGATGGCGGCTCTGGAAGAGAAAACCCGCGAGATCGAGAAATTCCGCCAGGACGTTAACGCTGCCCTCATGAACCCTCATATCCGATCCGTCCAGGAAGTAGAGGACCTAGTGGAGTCCAGTCGCAATTTCAACGTGGATATACCCGAGGTTGAGGGACTAGAACATATTGTCCGACAGATGAAGTGGAACAACGAAGCACGTGGCAAACGTGATAAATACCTGACCCTAAAGGAATGTCAAGAGCTCATCCTGGCCGGTGAGCAACTGGGGCTCTCAGACAACAACGATCACCTCATCCATTTCAAGGACCTCTGTCGTCACGGTGAGACTTGGGAAGCCAAAGCCAAGGAGTTAATGTCCGTAGAAGCTGTTCACTACCAACAACTGGAAGCCCTCTCCGCACAGGCAACGCGCTTTCCAGTCTCTCCTGACACGCTGGCTGCGGTAGATGCGATATTGACCAAACAACGTGAAGCACAGAAGCGAATACAGAGTTTATATGATAGGAGCAAGGATCCTGATTTTCGAAACCGCCCCAAATACAAGGAAGTGCGTGAGCTCATGGAGTCACTGGAGGAATTGAACAGTCGGCCAACCGGTGCGATTGATTTGGAGCGCGAGCAAAAACGACATGAGGATTGGATGAGAAAAGGCAAAAAGCTATTTGGGAAGGCCAACGCTCCCTTGCACATTTTAAAGGCGCACATGGAGTATGTGGAAAAGAGAAATTCATACTGTTTCGACTTGGAGGATCGCTGCCGGCCACCTGTTGAGCCTGCCTCGCGAGACAACACCCCTGATGGTCTTTTGGAGAACAGCGCCGCCACTAGCAGTATGTGGGGTGGTGGGAAATCGCGGAAGCGTGACGTTTTCTGCATTTGTCGGCATTCCGAGGCTGGGATGATGATCGAGTGTGAAGTCTGCCACGAGTGGTGAGTGCTGCTCCAGGCGGTGTTATATTAACCTTCCGTCGAGATGACTGATCAGATACAGGTATCACGGTAAATGCCTGAAGATCGCAAGGGGCAAAGTCAAGGAATTCGACAAATACACTTGTCCTATCTGCGACTGGCGTCAAAAGATTCCCCGGGATGCGGCTCGCCCAAAGATCGAAGATCTACAAGAATGGCAGGCTGAGATGATCGGCCTTCCATTTCAAGCTGACGAGGAGCAAATTTTGGACAACATTGTCAACCAGGCAATCACTTTCCGCGATTTCCTTCAAAGCTTCACTAACGCTGCTTGTACTACGACTGAGGAGGTTCCCACCTTGATTTTCTATCTGCGCAAGATCGAAGGAGCCGAGGTTCTTCTCACCTACGAAACTAATTTTTTCCGGCAGGAGATTCACAAATGGGCGCCAGTCGCCCCAGAACCTCCTCCAATCCTCGAGCAATCCCTATCGACTCGAAAGCCGCGACCAACGAAGCAGCAGAAGATCATGGCACAGCTCGGTGTCGAGCGTCCAGAGGATCTCCCACCTCACCTACGCACGAAGCCCCCAAATCTTGCCAAGCGCAAGTCGTTAGAACCTCAGACAGCTCGACCTGCATTCCTTCAGCCAGCGCCTCAGACTCCTGGCGGTAGCCATAATGCAGAAGCCTCCGGCAATGGCCCTACATTAACCCCAATGTCTGATCCTCAAAATGCTCCCTACCCTTTCTCTGCAAATTACTCCCTTCCCCCCAGCGACACTACGCCGGCCTTTGCCCCAGGTTCCTCCGCGTTCTTGCCCCATGCCGCCGTTCACTCACCCTCGTTCCCTCCACGCTCACCCTCACCCCGCCATCAAGGACTTGATGCCTCTCTCTTCAGCTCACCTCAATATAGTCGGGATCAGACTGATGGGCCTCCTGGGGTTGATGTCGACGGTAACAATCCGTTTGGCAGTAGCCCTCGACAGAACCTGGATGACGTCTTTGCCGACTTGACGAACCAAGATGTTGAGCCTGATCCTGAACCAGAACTTGAACCGGAGCCCATGGAGAACACACATGCCAATGAGGCTCTTGAGGCTCTTGATGCGAGCAACAGTGGTGAGGACTATTCAGAGCCGATACAGGGTGACGATTCCCAAGACGGCGGAGCTGGTGAGGCCGTAAACGGCCAGGCCGAAGACACCGCCGAAGGTGCTGGGTCTGATGAACTTTAAGCACTCCTTTTTTTTCACGCGTCTACACGACAATTGTTCCCTTTCAACTACGGTCAACATGTTTTTTTATCTCTTATCTCGCTTTATTTCACGATTAGATTGCGGCAGCGATGCAGTCATGTCCACTACGGACTGGAAAATTATCTCATGTGTGGGCTTTTATTCATCCGTCGATATATCGACGGGCATTCTGGCGTTTACGGGTTTTGATCTGACAGCCATCGACCTTTGTCTTTTTCTGTCATGTATGTGTTTCTTATGCTGATGAAGTTTCTCTTCCCTGAAATATCTTGCTTTTTCGTTTCTCTTCCACCAGCAACGCTCTGGGTATCATTATATATCGTGTTTGAGGGGTGGTCGTCTGTTTCTTGTTGTGTTTTTTGTTCCATGCAACTTTTTTTTCTCAAAATTTCTCTGCCAAGTTCGGTGTCTGAAACAATGGAGAGAGATCTGGTGAGCTGGACACTCTCCGCTTCTGTATGGTGTATGTTGTCTTCCCCTGATGTTTTCTTTCTACTGGGTTCTGGGGTTATCAACCCAATATACTATTCCCCTTCTCCTTGCTGCTTTATCTACGGTCGTCCTTTATATAAATCCTGCGAGACTGGTGTTTCTTTTTCTTCTCGTTGCTGTCTCAACCCAGTACCGAATGTAATACTAGTTTAAATAAGAGACTTCAGATGTACCTTTAGCAAATCCGATGATCCTTGAGGCTTTAGTCAATCTAGCCAAGTGTAGATAGTCACTTCTACTCATTTTCTGTCTCACATTTCAGGGTTACAGGATGGTCAAGATTTAGTATAGGCAACTTTTTAAATAGAATAGACGAGTAATTGAGGTTTATAAAGCAGATAAAAACAAGTTTATACACAATAATATAATACTATTAGATTCCGAGTCTACGTCCTTGTATTTAGAGATCTCCCTTGGTCTATATATATTTCTGCTAAACCATACTTGATCGTAGGTGTAGAACTGGAAAATAACTCGGCTTATAAGTATCTACTATAATTAGATATTTTATACTCTTATGCTCTAAACTATAAATATCAGTTCTATAACCAATACTCAATTCGACAAACAAGGCGATGAGTAGAAGGCAACTTGAATTGAGCGACAAGTCAGCTTGATCCGGGGGTTGCCAGTTGACTGGGTGAAGGTAGTAAAACATGGAAACAAACATAGGAAGACAAAAATATACAACAGCAGGGATTCGCTAATGGTCGCCCACCCAACTATTCACCAAGTAGGAATGTCACATTAGTACCCTACCTAGGAAATATAGGAGAACCGGAGCTTAAATACCACGTAACCTTATCCGCAATTGTTATCAAGTATTAATATGTACAGGAGAAAAACCCTTAAGCCAAAGTCATCATAAACATCCTAACCCACTCAAGGGATATATATCTATAATAGTAACCCCGGTAATCAAGCAAGCTCATGACGCTGCCGGGGCTGCGTATCAGCTGACGCCTCCACGGGAGGAATATTTTCTCTACCCGCGCCCAACTCCTTCGGATGCTGTGCTTGAGATCCTATTAGCATATCCTGCGACTGAACGGCTACTGCATGCTGTCTCGCCGCACGCTTACGGCGAAGAACGAATGCCGCAACACCCAAGACAACTAGCGCACCGCCAATTCCAACTCCCACTCCAACTCCAACCCCGATTTTAGACTTTGTGCTGGAGGATTGACCGCTGGAAGAAGAGGTCTCAGTAACAGGAGTCCAGTAACTAGACCAGGTGTTTGCCCAGCTACTTGAAGAGCCAGTAATATTATCTGTCCCTGCATTCATTGATTCAATATGCGGAGTACTAATGAGGTTAGGGCCTGGTGCTTGGGCGAGGAACCAGGTGCCAGAGCTGTTATCAGCGCCCCAGTTAACGCCGATAAAGGCGGCTTGCATGAAGGCTCTTCCGAAGACGAGGTTGGTATCGTGATGGGCGAGTGGGAGGTAGCGGGTCGGGGTATCAACAAGGGGGGCTTCAAGGGTGAGGTTAAGAAGGGCGAAGGGGACTTTGATTTCGAGTTGCTTGTTATTATCACTGTCTTTAATAAAGTTAAAGGAGAGATAGGCGGGGGATTTAACAATTATTTCATAGTTAGGGTCAGATGTGTTCCAGATATAGAGGCCCAGGGAGGTGTTATAATAGACAGGCAGATAGGCGGTAATAGCTTCACAGGTAGCGGTGGGGAGATAGAGGTATGGCTGGATAGTGTTGATTGACAGCTGAGGAGAGGAGCCAAGGCTGGTGCCGTTTGTCTGCAGCAGACCTGCCTTGGTCTTGTTTTGGAAAGAAAACGGCGAGTCTCCCTCTTCTACACCGAGAGCAACGTCATTCAATTGGATGACCAGCCCGCCATTGAGACTGCCGCCGCCCGAATAGACGGACTGGGTGCTAATCTCGCCCAGCACGCGATTTGTATCATACCCACCCAGATAGAGAGAGGGCTCAACGGGAGGATCCGTGGCCGCAGACCCAAGATGCAATCCGTATCCAATGGAAGGAATTATCGAATCCTCCCACAGCCGACTCGTGATCCACCATCCCTTGGTCTGGCTATTCCGGGGGTAGTTCAGCGTTTCAGAGGGTGCACCCAGAGACAGAAACCCAACGCTGGGCTGGTAACTGATGTTTCCAGGGTAGGTCATGGAGGCGTTGTCTATCACATACAAAGTGATATTATTCTCATATTGTTTATCGTTTTTATTGAAAATCGTCATCCTATCCAGCACAATCTGGACTTCACGTTCCCCCGGATAGCTCCACAAATAAGATTCCCAAAAGCTGGCCGAGCCATTGATCGATGAATGCGACGTGGACCGCGTGTATGTGCCGGCTTTGTCCGCATAGCAGGTTGATCCAAAGCTTGTGTTGGTGCAGAGGCTCGACGACATCACTGTACTGCCATAATTACCACCGGGATAGAGGTCGACTAGCTGAAGGTCACTGCCCAGCTGGACGGTCACGGCGTGCCAGGGGCCATCTGGGCCATACGTCGTGGAGGACCAGGTTAATGGGAAAGGATTTTGTTGAAGACTGTGCTGTGCAAAAAGCAGACAGCTAAACACCAGGAATGCCGCCATGATTAAGGTGAAGAAAGGGAAACACAAGATGGAGTGGAAAGAGAGAAAGAAAGGATCCATCAAGTCGAAGTGTGGACGCCCGGGGAGGCCAAACCTCCTCCAGGACGATTTCATGCGGCTGTACAGAATTCAATGCTTCCAATTGCACTATAGAGTAATGATTGACAGCCATTCCAGGGTCAAATGGGGCCAAATCCTTCAAGGCAATCTATAACAGCATCGATTGGATATTCAAAAGTGGAGGCCAGAGATCCCAAGACAAGGCTGCGAAATCGCGTTCAGCCTGCTTTTGGGCTTTGGGCCGATAAATTTGCCTTGTATAATCCATATTCTCGACCTGAACAGTACCACGGTGTCAATATCAAATATTCCTAGCGAAGCTGAACCAAGTCTTGATGAAGTGGAATCAAGAAGTTGGGAAGTGCGAGAAAGCAGAAAGAGGTCGATTCATAGTCCGGGGTCAGGTGATTGCCTTCCTAAAGTGGCAACGCTAACCGGAAACGGGACTTGACAGCTTCAGCATCTTTTCGATATCCAAGCCATTGATAACTCCATCATGTCTTGCAATCATTCCTCGCGCAGTCTTCTCCAATTTCTCAAACAGGCCCGTCATGCCCATCTTCAATTTATATCAGGGGCCCTACCGCGTGCTGATTCCCCTATCTACGTGGTCGGCAATCCCTCCGTTGATCTCGATTCGATGATCTCCGCAATTGTCTACGCTTATTTTGCTCATAACCGACTCCCCCTTGACTATCCCCGACCTCATGTCCCTCTTATCAATCTTTCCAATGTCCCATCTGGCCCTGAACTGCGCAGACTCAGGCCCGAATTCGTCAAAGCCCTATGGCACTGCACGAACAACCCCTTCGCCAGCGAAGGCGAGGGGTGGGATGATACGCCTGAATCAGCTGGGAAAATGCTCCACGACCATATCATCACCGTGGAAGATTTTGCGAAGCATCTTCAGCAGTTGAATGAAGCGCAGTTACGGCGAGATGCGGATGCTACGTTAGTCGACTGGAACGCCTTGACGATTCAATCATCGGACGGACAGCGGGGGAAAGGCTCTCTGAATGATCTCCCCACCGTAGACTTTTCGGTCGTGGGCTGCATCGACCATCACGTTAATGAGGACTTCCTCCCGTCCGCCGAGTCCCTACCAGCTCATCAGCCGCTGGTTGTACAACCGGCCGGTTCATGCACGTCGCTCGTGGTCAACACACTCGAATCCCTGGGCCTGTGGCAGAACAACCACACGGGGGATCCCCTGTCGCAAAAAGATGCAGGAAAACCAATACAGGAAGCCCAAGTGGCCAAACTAGCCCTGGCTGCCATCCTCATCGACACATCCAACCTCACCGATAAAAGCAAAGTCACCGAATCCGACACCAATGCCGTCTCTTTCCTTCAACCAAAGATCGACTCGTTCCCGTTTATCGAATGTAACCAGGAAACCTACTACAACCAAGTCTTCACGACAAAACAGAATAGCCTCGACCTTTTAACGGTCCATGAAATCCTCGGCCGTGACTTCAAGTGCTGGACCGAGAACTTGCCGCAATCCAAGGGAGGCAAGCCCGTCAATATCGGTTTCTGCTCTACCGTGAAGTCCATCCCGTGGATCGTGCAGAAGGCAGATGGGAATCCGCAGTCTTTCCTGGATTCTTTGTACGCTTTTTCCACCGACCAAGAGCTGGATATTGCAGTGGTTATGACCGCATTTACCTGCCCCGCCGGTGACAATGATAGTAAAGATCGATTTTGTCGAGAGTTGCTCATTTGTGCCCCCCATGGCGGGCCGGTTATCGAGGCTTTGGAGTCTTTCGTCGCTCAGGCAGCCTCTAAACTCGGCTTGGAAGATTGGGTGTCCCTTGATATCGATTTGGGTACTGATGGTAACCAAGCTGTCAAATCTACTTTGAACAACGATGCTCCAGCCTGGAAGCGCGTTTGGGTACAGACGAATGTAACCCAGAGTAGGAAACAGGTAGCTCCTTTATTAAGGGGGGCTGTGAGTGCATGCGAATGAAGGGAAGTCTTTAAATCAACATTATAGAACATAAAGAGGATTCATAAGATCATATTTATCAGTTTGTTCATTTCTTTCTCAGCTTCAGCTTCTAAAATCATATAGACAAAGAGATCTATGCTCTAGTCTGCCGCTCATAAATACAGACACCCACGCTACACTGACAAAAAGAATAAAGAAGAAAAAGGAGATAAAAAAATGATGCACAGAAAGAAGGAAGAAAAGACCCAATGACACAATGATAAAAGATTCCGGATCCGAGGAGGGTCAAAAAAACACACAAACAAAAGAAAGTCCCAATAACTCCAAACAAGTAAATTGAATCCGTTCATGTTGCCATCCACATAGGCCCATCAAAAAGAGACATATCCTGATAATGAAAAGGAAAGCATTAAACCAAGGCATGTGTATCGCTTGGTAAATTTGATGCAAATATGCAAGGTCCCAAATCCCGGCTCAATTGATGCAATGCAAGCATTAGATGAGGACAGATGCAATTGATGTCAAAGAACAAAAAAAGGGGAAAAAAAAAAGAAACATAAAAGAAAAGGCCACGCAGTTTTGCTTTTGTTCGCAAGCCGTGAGAAAATTTGAAGACAAGAAAGGAAAATAAACAAGAATAACGGAGGGCATCAGACTTGTAATAGTCGTGCATCGGATACCAAAAAGAAAATAAAGTATCGACAAGTTAGAAACATTCCCATTCACAAAAGACACACCAGCGGGCAACGCGATCGGCCAGCACCAAGCCTCTCCAGGTGCCGCGTTCGCCAATTTTGATGACGGTCTCCCAAACACTACCGTCCGCTGGAGCGTCCGAAGCAGAATCCGTGGAGCCGATCATGTGGTCTGCCTTGCGAGTCAGTCGCAGGATCTTACCCGAGGGTGACTGAATAGCCAACTTGGCGGGCTTCTCCCTTCCTGAGCCCGACCGGGACGAGATGGCTGACGTGGAGGCAGAGAATTCGTTGGAGACTGTGGATGCACTGGGACCACCGGCGGAGCTGGAGACCATGCTCAGAGCACTTGCAGGCCGGGCAAAGATAGACGGAGAAACACGCCCATTTGTACTAGATTCGCCTCCCTGCGAAGATGAAGCTGGTGAGGAGGGATGCTGGCGAACGGCAAACACGAACGTGTTATTGATGGCGAGCTTCGAGCATTGCGGTTGCATGATGTACAAGTCATGACGTTGAGCGTGAGGAGTTGGATGGCGCAGAACAAAGTCGTATGGTGGGTTGTCACCAGTTTGAATGATGGGAAGTGCCAGCGCCAGGGGATGGGGGATATCTCGACTGGAGTGCATGAGTCCCTTTTTGCCTGCATACACTTTGACCATGCCTTGTCCTTCATCGCCCGGTAGTACGGCCTTGACAGTATAGCGTTTTTGACCACAGACCCAGTCAGGCTGGACAAGAGCACGCTTGCGCACAATCTCACCACTTTCAAAGAAATCACCATCTGCATCACAGGCGAACGCGGGAGCTTCCACTTCGGCGGCGCATTCAACATCTAATGGCACCAGGAGACGGATTTGCATGACCTCCAACCCTTCGATCCGGATGATACTAGTATCATAGTCGGGGAACTGCATGTTCATTTTGAAATAGGGCGGACAGGCCGTTGGAAGAGCCAATAAGACATCTGGTGAAATGGGGGGACAAATATGTTGCTCTTCAGGATACAAGGGCACATGGGTATAGCAGATTTCCATGGGTCGCGCAAGGAAATACCAGCTTTCGGCCGTTGACGAAAGATTCGTGACATACTGATTCCTCCGAGGGTTGGTAGGGTTTGCCAACGCGCAATCTATTATACGCCATTCACCATCGACAAGGACAGCGTTCCACCAGTGATTTGGCCGAGAGAGACTGTCTAGTTCTAGCAATTCACCAGGGGGTTTGAGAAATCCTTTAATGGCTTCGGCATGTAGACCAACGGCCGCACACATCTCATTGACAAGAAAGGCAACTTCCTGGGGGCTACCACGTTTGGTCTGCAGGACCCTCTTTAAATCGACATCCATCTCCTCCTCCACAGGGTCATCCCAAGAGATCTTCTCACTGACCCACGTGAAAATCGCACGTAGTCGTTGGACATCGCTCTTGTATGGTCGACAAATGTACCCTTGAGCAAGACTCATGGGATTTGTCATCGGAGGTAGGCTGTTGACAAACCGAGCGCTTTTGTCGACAAGAGTAAGATTGGCAGAAGCGAAATTTGTGGGTTCATTGATTGGTAGTCCATCAATGCTTTCATCACCCTCAGCAGTTTCATGCAACTCTTCCACTGCGTAAATGACGGGATGGTCCATCATTTGACATCGCTCCGCCCTCTCGATTCTCTCATTTCGGCTTGGGGAGCTCGCCCGGTTCACATCACGCCGTACTTGAACCCAATCTATAGCACCGCCGCTACCAAGTCCCATTTCGCGAGCCGCGTTTGGCGTTGCATTGGGGGATGGAATCGGGGATACTGGCCGGCCCTTTGTTGGAGAATAGGATCCACCATTCTGACCTTGACCAACGGCAATACTGCTTCTAGCACTAGCTGCTCCTGTTTTTGCCGATTCGAAGATCTTTTTGAAGAATCCATGTTTTTTAGCCTTGGGAGTAGCGAGGCCACCGAGAATGCCAGCAGACTCTGCGGAATTATTCCCGGGGGAGGACCAGGGAATAGCTGATGAAGCACCTTGTCGTGAGCTGTTGTGACTCGAATGATAAGAGACGCCCGTAAGAGGTGTTTCAGGTCTCGGCACTCGCGAAACATCGCTGAAACCCCTTGAGCGAAATGTATCCATGGCTGTGTTTGGCCTTTCATTTGCCGCAGGACCTCTCCTGGCATAGCTTCCTGCACTGGTTGCACTAAACCCACCGGCTGACGGTCCGCTCATCAAACTTTGGCTGGTCCTTTCTGTACTTGCTGTCACGTTCGTGCCGTTGCTCTGTACACCGCTGGAGGAATTAGTAGTGCTTGACTTGTTGGTATATGATCGATTGAGAATATCTCCTCTTATGTCTTGTCCGGACCTCCGACCCCCCATATATGGATATCGAGCTGGGATAGAGTTATGTCTCCCATGATATGGAACGTTCTTCGGAGGCGGCGGCGGTGCCTCCTCTTCGTCGTTGTCTAAAAATTGCACATCCTCCGACCCTCTCCGATCCTCTTGCATCTGCCGTAGTCGACTTTCCATCCTCTGCACGTAATTGTTGAGCTGCGGGGGCCCATCCATATAGTGATCGTGGGTATAGATACTGTTTCTATGGGCCGGGGCTGGGACGGTGTTGTATTGATAATCTTTATCTCCATCGAATCCCAAAGATGTCAACGGTCGACGAGGGTTTTGCTTGGGTGCTGTGCCTCGAAAACTGTCATAAGCGTCGGGTGACCAAGGATTATTAAATACCGGCTCCGGTGAGGGCGATGGAGTCTCGCGAGGCATCCCCATATCTTCCAATGAAGTCATGACATCCTCCATAGCATCTCGAAGCGGTGATGGGGTGTGCCCGTTGACATCTGATCGCGCAGCTGGAGAGGGTGTCCGTGACATGGTTATATAACGATCGTTCATGTCAAAAGGTGCGGGAAGGCGCAGGTCTCGTGATGGCGGACGATTGACAGCCACCCGGTGGGGAGGAGGTGGGGGAGGTGGAGATTCTTCACGATCTTGAAGCTGAAGTGGAGAGATCTCACGAGATACGGGTCTGGACAGCGTCATGAGCTGCCTACTGGGAACCGTAGGCGAAGGTAACTCAGGCTCATACATTGGACGAGGGGAAACTGCACGGGATGTAGGCCGGGGCTGCGAGGAACTCCCTCTGATAGGTACGGGGGGTGGCATCTCGGGATCATAAAATGGATGCGGAGAAACTGCACGGGACGGGGACCGAGGCTGGGAGGTATTTTGCCTGATTGGGACGGGCGGTGGTATCTCGGGCTCATACATAGGTTGAGGAGAAGGCCCACGGGATGGAGGCCGGGTGCGAGAGGGGTTATGTCTGACAAGGGCCATTGGAGCAATCTCGGGTTCGTATGTCGGGTGAGGGGAAATTCCACGAGACGGGGGCCTGGATAGCGGGATATTCGATCTGGTTGGTACCGGCGACGACATTTCAAGCTCATATGTCGGACGGGGAGAATCCGCACGAGAGGGGGATGATCGGGGCTGTGTGGAATTGTGTCTGGCTGGCACAGGTTGCTGTACTTCAGGATCTTGGGGAGGTCGTGGAGATATCGCACGAGACGGAGGTTTTGATCGCGACGAAGGTCTGGTCAGAGAGCTGTGGTTCTTGACGGCAGTTGCGGGGGTACGCAGAGGCTTGATGCTCCGAGGCAGGGAGCCATGACGAGGGGGTGTCTGTGGAATTGAGCTGGTGGCTGGAGCTACATTGGTTGAACTGCGGGCCAGCTCAGCAGAGGCGGAGGGGGCCAGAGCTTCCTTGTGAGCCTGAAAGGGCTTCCTGAAGACCGTCTTCTGTTTCTTCGGAGCGGAGGTCGGGTTGGTGATCGGAGATGGGCTCGCTTTGATCATCTGGCTTGTGGTCTGACTCACAGGCACGAAATCTTCCCCGAGGACCTCAACAAAATTGGATGGAAAGAGTCCCGCCATGCGCCTATCTCGCCGTAACCGACCCATCCACCATTGCCCGTCGCCTGCATTCAAACACTCGATGAGATCCCCTTCCACAAAACCCAGATCCCGTTTTGTTTCTCCTCCCCATGAGTAGACAGCTCGACACCAGCACGGAAACCGTGTGGGTAGTTGAGGGGCAGCGGGCGCCATGGCGGCCGGACTGCAAGAGCTCGTGGAATGACGACCGTCGAAACCGATAGAAACCCGAACAGTGCCGCGAGAAACAAATCCAGGCCTATATCAATTGGAAAAATTGGAATAATATTGGTTTGCGGAGAGGTGGATGAATTGTAGGTATGGCTGTAATGGATGTATTGATCAGGAATGCGAGCCTTGAAGAGGCGCACGGTCGTAGCGATCGATAGATTGGATCAAGACCCGCGTAAGAATAGCGAGGGGAACATGATCGAGAAAGAACAAAAATAGAGGTGCAAAAAATTTGGGGGAAAAAAAGAAGAAACCGAAAGACGTACCCGTGCCAATATGATCAACGGCAGGGTTGAATGTCCAGGGTGAGAAGAAGCGCCAGTAAAGCGAGAGGAAGATTGAGGAGGAGGAGAGAGCGAGAGATGGCCGGCGGTGAGACCCGAATGAATCGCTGGGGATGTTTTGTTTACGTGCGGACGGCGCTTATCGATAAGCTTAATGCGCACAGTCCCGTGATCGATCTGCCCCCCCTTTTGTCTTTCGCTCTCCTCCACCCTCGGGCTGTTCATCACGAGCCCACCTCGTTCCATCTCGTACCATCTCAAGCTCATCGTTTTGGGGGTGATCTCATCAGATTACAGCTCGATAGTACTATCAGAACACCAGATGCTTTCATATTCTCCAGTTCGCCGACTTTCCTGACATCTCCATAGGGCTCGACCCATGGTTGTCTTCCGCTACCCGCACAGCTTTCCATGGACAATGAGTGAATGGGGTTCCAATCAGATTGGCCATTCGTGAACTGGCGATGGATCCTGAGACGAACAGGTGTTTCTGATTCTGAATCCGATACCGAGTCACCTTTCAAGGCGTGTCTTATTATTCAACAAATGGTACTTTAAAACCAACGAAAGTTAAGCATAATGAGAGCCTGCCCCACTATGGGTTTCATACTTTTCCCTAGGGGCACTGAACGGAAGCCACTCAACAAGCAGCGTTTACTTTTGCAATCCCCCGGTGCAGGGAGGACATTTGGCCTAATTACAATGGGACTAATGCACGCTTGAAATGAAGCGTTTCCTTTCAAATCTCAACTGCAAGTCCGACAGCCGGCCAATATTTTAAACAACAGACTGACAGCAGATTTGACTCATGATCTTTTTCTGCAGAATCCTCAGAAGCCGTGACATCTAACGGACCTTTTCTGCAACACGAGCTCACGGAAGGATTTTAATTGACTAACAATCATTCATTCAATCCCCACCGTATACGAAATTTAGCCAAGTATTGAAAAGTCCGAGAAAGTTAAATCTGTTTTAATTCAATTGATTGATTTCGATAAATTGACTCCTTGCGCTGTATAGGGATCTTGAGCATGGACTCTACCATATCCTTTGGCCCTAGATACCATTCTACGTTAATGCGTAAAGTATTCCAAATAGTTTGCGGTCGATACGATCCCATCGATTTCCTAATCCTTTCATTCGCCAAGGCTACATTCCGTACCTTACGAAGGGATTTACTGCGAAGGCCATATCATTAAAAACATGTTACCGGATGCGGATACATCCCTTGCCGAAGGCTCCCGATACTCCAGCCCCCTGCGCTTTCTGCGGTACCCCGTTACTTTCCATTGAGCAGACAAAATCAGAAGAATCAGCAAGTATTCACGAATAGGGAGTACGGGTTATAATGCTTTAGATTCAGGACACAGTCGTCACCCAGCCCTCCTGTGGCTCTGTTCCTTAAGAGAATACTATTGTAATATGGTTACTAACTTAGGCTATCGCAGTTCAAGGGTTTGAAGAAAGCAATATCCACATTGCGAACCCTTCACCATTTCCCAGGGCTGTGGGGTATGATAAAGGGCCCACAGTGTGCATAATAGTTGTCAAATTGTCAGCGCAGTGTGTGGTCTTTCAGGCTGCCGACTCTGTCAATTGACTTACTCAAGGACGACACTCTATGAGTCTGCATTCTATACGGAGCATTTCCATTATACCTTCGCTGGCGAAGCTTGGACAAAAGAGCTAAAGATATCAATGACCAATCTTTCTGCATGCATCCAGCAAATTGATATCCCTGTTGGTATCATTTCTTAACTTGTACTGGACAGCAGGAATGTGCGACACCTCTCCAGATCCCAGCCACTCTGTAAAAATTCCATTCTCAGACAAGAATTAAGCAGTGTTTCCATATTTGAACGAGTATGTCAAAAATGTTAGTGTGTGTGTTTGTGTTTTGCTGTTATCGGCACGCCAGCAAAACACCATACCAATGACGCGGAATTTTTGTTTTCATCGATGTTTCTATATGAAAAAACTGTGGAATAACTATTAAAATCTATATTAACTTCTCTTGCCCTCACATTCTGCACTAAGTTTACTTGGAATTCTATACCTTTTTGTTCTTTCGAGTTGGTCATTGAGAAGTATCGACACGCACGATCTTTACTTTGCTTTGGTGGCCGAGAACAACACCCTTCAGCAACATGGCTTTGTTGAAGAAGTCTCTCCTGGCGCTCTTTGGCGCTGGGTTACTCCCTTCAGCGTTGGCTAAATTGGTCAAGTTTGACTTGGATTTGACCTGGCAGACAGGCTCGACAAATGGCAATCCACGCGAGATGGTTTTCATGAACGGAGAGTTTCCCGGTCCTCCGTTGATCCTGGACCAATATGATGACGTCGAGGTATATCGTTACCTGCTAGATCATTCCGACTGAAGACAATTCACTGACCATGAAAAGTTTTACGTTTACAACCACTTGCCCTTCCAGGTCACTGTCCACTTTCATGGAATTGAGTACGTATCTCAGTCTTCCCGTAGTGGGCAGCCATAGCCTTGTACATGGAAGTACTAACTGTTATAGGATGCTGAACACTCCCTGGTCGGATGGAGTACCTGGGCTATCGCAGAAGCCCATCGAGCCCGGAGACTCGTTCATCTATAAATGGAAAGCTACACAATATGGAACTTACTGGTATCACTCCCATGCTCGGACGACGTTGATGGATGGACTTTATGGACCGATCTGGATCAAGTATGAACATTTGTCTTCCTCGAGTCTCGGAAATTCACTAACATGTCAACAGCCCTGCCCCCGGGACTCCAAACCCTTTCCACTTGATCTCAAATGATACCGAGGACTTGGAAGCCATGCACAAGGCAGAGAGCAACCCCAATCTTATGACTTTGTCTGATTGGTCCCACTTGACTTCAGAAGAGTTCCAGGCAATTCAGATCGACAGTGGAATGGACCTTTTGTATGTCACCTTTTGGAAAAACTTTGGACGCCTTGTTAACGGTAGATTTGCAGCTGCATGGATAGTATCCTGATCAATGGTCGAGGAAGTGTTTATTGCCCGGGAGAAGACTTCATTGCCAGCTTGGAGACCGATTATCTCAAGGGTGCAATTGACAACCAGCCATTGACAGACAAAGGGTAAGTCGCCCACAAGATATGACAATTTCCAACACAATAACTAACTCAAATGTCAGATGCTACCCTAACATTTACAAGACACAGGGTGATTTCCCCAACGATGAGTCGAAGATTCCTGCGGGAGTCAATTCTGGCTGTGTCCCAGCCGACGGGCCAAAGGAAGTCATTGAGGTCGATGCCGCTGATGGGTGGGCAAGTTTCAAATTCATCAGCGCAGCATCCCTAAAGTCACTCATTGTGTCCATTGACGAGCACCCAATGTGGATCTACGAAGTTGACGGCCATTATATCGAGCCACAGCTTGTCCACATGATGTCCATGTTCAACGGTGAACGTTATTCGGCCATGGTCAAGCTCGACAAAACACCCAAGGACTACACGATCAGAGTTCCCGACACCAACGGTGATCAGATCATCTCTGCGTTTGCAACCATGAGATATAAGGGGGGGCAAGATCTCGGGGAGTCGAAAGGCTACGTTGACTATGGCGGACAGAACACAACTGCCGACGTTATCCCACTGGATTTGAAGACCCTGTGGCCATACCCTCACATTCCCATTGCTCAACACGCCGACCAGTTGATCAACCTGACAATGGGCCGCATGAACAGCTCGTACCAGTGGACTCTCGAAGGCAGTGCACTCTACGACATTGAGGCCAATTATGACCACCCGATCCTGCATGATCTGTCAGCCCAGCAGTACGAGCCAGAACGACTTGTTATCTCAACCAAGAACGGAACTTGGGTGGATGTCCTTCTGCAACTGGGAGTATTTCCTCACACTCCCCCGATCCAAGCGCCTCATGTCATCCACAAGCATTCAAACAAGGCCTTCATCATTGGATTTGGTGTTGGGTTCTTCAACTGGACCACTGTCGATGAAGCAATCGCTGCACAGCCAGACTCTTTTGAGCTTGAGCACCCTCAGCTGAGAGACACTTTCGTATCCAACGGTCCTACTGGCCCCGCTTGGATGCTCATCAGGTATCCCGTTGTCAACCCAGGCCCTTTCTTGATGCACTGTCACATTGAGACCCACTTGGGTAATGGAATGGGTGTTGCTCTACTTGATGGCCCCGAAAGCTGGCCACAGGTGCCACCAGAGTACGCTATCTAATCGGCGCCTCTATGTAAATCCCCTTGCCTATTCTACGGGTGATGCATAATTTGTCTTACGGTGTTTTAGTCGTTCAAGCACGCCATGATTTTCTGTTGTGAATAGCTCTATCTGTTAAGAACCTAATAATTCCTCCCCGATACGCTTGGAATTGGAAGATAGTTTAATTGAAAAGCCTGCTTTCTCGTTGAGAATGGCTATCGTCATGCACTTCTGGCGCAATAATGAAGCAACCTGTAAACCATATCTGTCTGAAATAAACTTCTTCATAGTGATCCATGGTTTGTCGTAGTGACACCGTAATCTAGAACCAATCGGAGCTCTACCACTCGAACTCAGGATGTGTTGCTTATCGGAATGTAACCTTGGTCGAAGTGAAAATCCTGACAGCTCAAGCTATCCGACGGCCCTTTCTGGAAACCGAAAGTAGGGAATCATATATAATATTATGAAAATCTCGTTGTGATGTGTTGAATAAACACATTTTTAATTCCATCTGGCTCAATATCACAGTAAGTCCTGTTCATGCCGCAGTCACACTGCCTCTAAAACCTGATTCTATAAACAACATCAGTATCCCGAATCCAACTGAGTCATGACGTGTTGAAGACATCAAATTCAAAGTTTTCGCTGATACAAATGATTTGAGCTCCTAAGACCTGTTTTACATGTTTTCAAGTGCAACATAATCGATCGATCCCCAGATCGGTGTTGTGGTGGCTATTTTTAGGGCTTTTCGGAGATTTCTTTCGCTGGCATATCAAGAGGTGGCTGGAAGAATCATCTAGACAAATGTGTTCCAATTTATTCATTTCCCTTGTGTATGAGTCTCCAGTTATCTATCAATCATCAGCATATCATTGGATTTGCAAGATTAATTGTGGATGGAGTTGTAGTTGAGTCTATCCAGGTAGCCAGCACGTGATTGGCGCGCAGGAAGCCCCGGCTGCAACCGTTACTGCACGACACTCTCGATCGCTGCAACATAGCTCCATCGAGAAACCTGTCCAGTCGGTTCAGAGCCGTGTGGTTCCTAAAATTCTTTATGTCATCGAGAAGAGTCTTTCGAAGGTCGTGATGTTTCCAAATGGCTGGGAACCGAAGCCTGTCATGTCCGCAAGCGGAAGTCCTCTGAGACACGAGCTGCAGCCAAGCTCCCAATGCAGAGCCTCCCCTCGACTGATGGATTTTCTGCAAGCTTTTCTATGATACTTACACACCAAATCTAGATTTGTTTACTCAAATCTCCTGGCAGGTCCTATGTTGTCTTGGGTCCTTGACGGTAACGGTACCATTCAGCCCTGCTCACCTCCAAGGAAAATCGCCTTCCACTGACCAAAGTTTCTTCACAGAGGCATCTCGAACAACTGAAACAACTGGGAATGTGACCCTCTACATGTGGATATCCACACTTTGGCCTCGCCATTCGATGTACACATGCCAAGAGAGCACCCCTTCGGCCGCTGCCGATGTGATAACCTGCTGGAATCAGCACATGGCTCCACCTCCCAGTGGAATGGCAGCTTAATTTATAAAAGTTGTGCCTCCCGGCAAGGATGTATTGTTCAAAGAGTTTCTCCTGTCCTGGTCCAAGGTTCAAATTTCTGCGACAGTTGACTGACGAACGGCCTTCCCCCTAAGATGGAGGGAACACGTCGAGTCTATCTCTTCGGAGATCAGACAGGCGATTTCGATGCCGGTCTGCGTCGTCTGTTGCAAGCGAAGAACAACTCACTAGTAACTTCTTTCTTCCAGAGATGCTTCTATGCATTGCGCCAGGAGATCACCAAGCTTCATCCTTCACAGAGAAAGATATTCCCTCGGTTCACCAGTACAGTCGACCTGCTAGCCAGATATCGTGAATCTGGTCCTAACCCTGCCTTGGAGAGCGCATTGACATGCATCTACCAACTGGGTTGTTTTATCAAGTAAGAGACCCCAAAATGTGATTGTTCTGCGAATTTGTTCTGACAAGTGGTAGCCACTATGGAGATCTTGGCCATGCGTATCCTTCGGGCTCCGAGAGCTGCATTATTGGCCTGTGCACCGGGCTTCTGCCCTCTGCGGCTGTTAGCTCGTCGAAAACAGTCGGAGAGCTGATTCCAGCGGCGGTCGAGACTGTAGTTCTTGCTCTTCGTCTCGGGCTTTGTGTCCTCAATGTCCGGGAGCTTGTGGATTCGAGTAAATCGACTTCGCCGAGTTGGTCTACTCTCGTCACAGGGGTCCAGGAAAGTAATGCCTTGGATGTTATTAACGACTTTTGCACCCGCAAGGTGAGTTTGCATATCCATAGTATTCGTTCCCTGGGAAGAGACTTCTGACTTCGTTAGGCAATTCCTCCTTCCTCGAGGCCCTATATTAGCGCAGTAAGCGCCAATAGGCTTACCATCAGCGCTCCCCCAATGGTTCTTGATCAATTCGTTGAGGATAGCCTCTCAAAGGACCACAAGCCTGTGAGAGCACCAATCCATGGTCCGTACCATGCGCAGCATTTGTATGATGCTCGAGATATCGACCGAATCCTCGAGACTTGGCCGCAAGAAGCCTTCTCAAGCTACAAACCCCATATTCCTGTTCTTTCGAGCAACACAGGCAAGCCTATTGAGGCAAGCAGCCTACAAGCGCTTCTGAAAATTTCACTCGAGGAGATTCTCCTGCGTCAGTTGTGCTGGGACCAGGTCACAGACTCGTGCTCGTCAATTCTGAAATCAACTGGCATCGAGGAATTCAAACTAATTCCAGTGTCGAGCACTGCAACTCAGAGCTTGCACACGGCCTTGAAAAAGGCTGGAGTCTCCAACGTCGAGATTGACAACGGACCTGGAGAGATCCCCCACACTGCCGATGGTATCAATTCCTCTGGGAAATCTGAGCACTCCAAGATTGCTATTATCGGTCTGTCGGGACGGTTTCCAGAAGCTCCAAGCCCTGAAAGTTTTTGGGATGTTTTGCACAAGGGGCTCGATGTTCACCGCGAAGTACCCCCGGATCGCTGGGATGTTCATGCGCATGTTGATCCTACTGGCAAGACAAGAAACACCAGCAAAATTCCTTATGGATGCTGGATCAACGAGCCTGGCCTGTTTGATCCACGATTCTTCAACATGTCGCCCCGTGAAGCCCTTCAGGCAGACCCTGCACAGCGACTGGCTTTGCTTACAGCCTATGAAGCCCTAGAAATGGCGGGCTTCGTCCCTGACAGCACCCCGTCTACTCAGAAAGACCGGGTCGGTATTTTTTATGGAATGACTAGTGACGATTACCGTGAGATCAACAGTGGTCAAGATATCGACACCTATTTCATCCCAGGCGGCAACCGTGCTTTCACGCCAGGACGAATCAACTACTACTTCAAATTCAGCGGTCCGAGTGTCAGTGTCGACACGGCCTGCTCCTCCAGTCTTGCGGCAATCCATCTAGCTTGCAACTCCATTTGGAGAAATGACTGCGACTCGGCTTTGGCCGGTGGTGTCAATGTCTTGACAAACCCAGACAACCATGCTGGTCTCGACCGTGGTCATTTCCTGTCCACTACTGGAAACTGCAACACCTTTGACGATGCCGCTGATGGCTATTGCCGAGCAGACGGTGTGGGGACCGTTGTTTTGAAAAGATACGAGGATGCCCAGGCTGATAATGACCCCATTCTTGGAGTTATTAGTGGAGCGTATACCAACCACTCTGCGGAATCAGTGTCTATCACGCGCCCACACGTCGGAGCCCAGGCCTTCATCTTCAACAAACTTCTCAATGACTCCAATGTCGACCCCAAGGAGATCAGCTACATTGAGATGCACGGCACTGGTACACAAGCTGGAGATGCTGTCGAGATGAAATCCGTCCTTGATATCTTCGCCCCTGACTACCGCCGTGGACCAGGTCAGTCCTTGCACCTTGGTTCTGCCAAAGCAAATGTCGGACACGGCGAGTCGGCTTCTGGTGTTACTTCCCTCGTCAAAGTTCTTTTGATGATGAGAAACAACGCTATTCCCCCACACTGTGGTATCAAGACGAAGATCAACCACAATTTCCCAACAGATCTGGCGCAGCGAAATGTCCACATTGCCTTCCAACCGACTCCTTGGAACCGACCACAATCCGGAAAACGGAGAGTATTTTTGAATAACTTCTCCGCTGCCGGTGGTAACACCGCTCTGTTGTTGGAAGATGGCCCAGTTCCTGGAGAAAGGGAAACCCAAGATCCTCGATCCGTGCACACGGTGGCCATGTCCGCAAGATCACAGAGTGCTCTGAAAAACAACCTCAACGCTTTCGTGAAGTATGTCGAGGAGCAAGGAAAGTCGTTCAATGTGAACGAATCCAGCCTTCTGGCCAATTTGTCTTACACCACGACTGCCCGCCGTGTGCATCATCCATTCAGAGTCACTGCTACCGGGTCCAGTTTGAAGGAGATAAGCGAGTCTTTAATGGCCTCCGCCAACCGCGAGAATATCACCCCGGCTCCTGCTACAGCTCCTAGCATAGGATTTGTCTTTACTGGCCAGGGTGCGCAGTACACGGGAATGGGCAAACAGCTTTATGAAAACTGTTCTCAGTTCCGAACAAACATCCAACACTTGGACTGTATTGGTCTCAGCCAAGGGCTTCCTTCCATTCTTCCTTTGGTCGATGGCAGTGTCCCGGTCGAGGAATTGAGCCCCGTCGTTACTCAGGTCGGAACTACTTGCGTGCAAATGGCTCTGGCTGATTATTGGATTTCATTGGGTGTGAAGCCTTCTTTCATTCTTGGTCATAGTCTTGGAGATTACGCTGCCCTGAACACCGCAGGTGTACTGACAACAAGTGATACAATTTACCTCTGTGGTCGTCGGGCGCAGCTCCTCACAAAGCAGTGCCAAATTGGAACCCATTCCATGCTTGCTGTCAAGGCCTCGCTTGCGCAGGTCAAGCAGTTCCTCGACGATGCTGTGAGTGAGGTCGCCTGCGTCAATGGGCCTGGGGAGACTGTCATCAGCGGACTCAATGCTGCCATTGATGAACTATCCCAGAGTCTTACTGCTCAGGGTCTCAAGTCGACAAAATTGAAGGTGCCATTTGCTTTCCACTCTGCCCAAGTCGACCCCATTCTCGAGAGCTTCGAGGAGCTCTCGCAAGGCGTGAAGTTCCACAAGCCTTCGGTTCCGTTTGTCTCAGCCTTGCTGGGAGAAGTCATTACTGAGACCAACTCTGACATCCTTGGAGCCAAGTATCTGGCACGACACTGCAGAGAGACCGTCAACTTCCTTGGTGCTCTTGAAGCTACTCGACATGCCAAGCTGATGAATGACAAGACACTCTGGGTTGAGGTTGGCTCCCACACCATCTGTTCTGGAATGGTCAAGGCAACTTTGGGACCTCAGACGACTACTGTCGCATCTCTTCGCCGAGATGACAATACCTGGAAGATCCTCTCCAACAGCCTTTCTGCTCTTTACTTAGCCGGCATCGATATTCACTGGAAGGAATATCACCAGGATTTTAGCTCCAGTCACCAAGTGCTTCCGCTCCCTGCTTACAAGTGGGATCTCAAGAACTACTGGATCCCATACGCCAATAACTTCTGCCTCACAAAGGGAGCACCTGTGACTCCCGCAGTGGAAGCTGCGCCTGTGTCTCCGTACTTGACGACTGCTGCGCAGAAGATTGTTGAAACCCGTGACGAAGGAGCAACGGCTACTGTTGTTGTGCAGAATGACATTTCTGACCCCGAGTTGAGTCGGGTCATTGCTGGCCACAAGGTCAATGGCGCATCTCTTTGCCCATCAGTGAGTACGTCCCTTAATACTGACGATCCTGTCCACTCTAACCTAGCATATAGTCTCTGTACGCCGATATTGGCCAAACACTCGGAGAGTATTTGGTCGAGAAGTACAAGCCTGAGTTGAAGGGAGTCGGATATGATGTCTGCGATATGACAGTCTTCAAGCCTCTCATTGCCAAGGGTGGCGAGCAGCTCTTCCGGGTTGCCGCTACCGCGAACTGGGCCGAGAAAAACGCTTCGATACAGGTGTACTCTGTGAACTCGGATGGCAAGAAGGTTATGGACCATGCAAACTGTCTCGTCAAGTTCTTTGACTGCAGTGCCGCAGAGCTGGAGTGGAAGCGATACTCTTATCTGATCAAGAGAAGCATTGATCGACTCCATGAAAGTTCGGAAACAGGTGACGCTCACCGGATGAAGCGCGGAATGGTCTATAAGCTTTTTGCTTCGTTGGTTGACTACGATGAAAACTTTAAGTCAATGCAAGAGGTCATTCTTGACAGCGACCAGCATGAAGCGACTGCGCGTGTCAAGTTCCAGGCTCCTCCAGGCAATTTCCATCGCAACCCGTTCTGGATTGACAGTCTTGGTCATCTGTCTGGTTTCATAATGAACGCCAGTGATACGACTGATTCCAAGAACCAAGTGTTTGTCAATCACGGATGGGAGTCGATGCGTTGTTTGAAGAAGTTCTCGCCCGATGTCACTTATCGCACCTATGTGAGAATGCAGCCCTGGCAGAACACGCTTTGGTCAGGCGATGTCTACATATTCGACGGCGAAGATATTGTCGCTGTCTATGGGGGTATTAAGGTATGTTATTCTAATTATCTACGAATTATCAGGTTACTAATCTAGGATGGTAATCAGTTCCAAGCGTTGGCACGCAAGATTCTTGATACCGTTCTTCCACCTGCTGGAGGCGTCAAAGCTGCGAAGCCGACCCCCGCGCCCATCGACACCAAGAAGTCGAACGCAGGAATCGGAAAAGGTCGTCCAAATGCCCCTGTGCCTTCCAAGTCGTTTGTCAAACAAGCTTCAGCCGGACCCAGCGTGGTCGTCCGCGCCCTCAACATCCTGGCATCGGAGGTTGGAATGTCCGAGTCTGAGATGTCTGACGATCTAGTCTTTGCAGACTATGGCGTGGACTCGCTCCTCTCTCTGACAGTCACTGGTAGATACCGTGAAGAGCTGGATTTGGACATGGACTCCTCCGTATTCATGGACTACCCGACCATCAAGGACTTCAAGAAACTTGTGACCGAGATGAGTCCTTCAGAGAGCAGCGATGGATCTGGTAGCGAGCCTGACTCCGGCTTCGAGTCCAGTGCCACTCCTTCGACCGAGCTTTCGAGTGCAGGGTCCCCTGGATTGCTCTCGCCTCCTAATGAAAAGGTCATGCAGGTTGAGCAGAACGGCACCCTGCAAGAAATTCGCACCATCTTGTCTGAAGAGATTGGTGTGCCGCCCGAGGATATCACCGGAAGTGCTAATTTAAGTGAGATGGGAATGGACTCGCTTCTTTCGCTCACTGTCCTTGGTAGGATCCGGGAGACATTAGACATGGATCTACATGGAGACTTCTTCATTGACAACCAAACTCTCGATGACATTGAGACTGCACTTGACTTGAAGCCCAAGACAGCTCCTGCCCCAGCTCCAGCTCAAGAGCCAATTAGGCTTCCAGAGACCATCCAGGACATGAAACCGAAAACCGGGCCGGTCTCAGAAGTTCAACATCCCCGCGCGACGTCGATCTTGTTGCAAGGGAGCCCGAAGACAGCTACCTACTCTCTATTCCTGTTCCCCGATGGCTCTGGCTCTGCCACCTCTTATGCCACCATCCCCGGGATTTCTCCCGATGTCTGCGTGTATGGCTTGAACTGCCCGTACATGAAGACACCGGAGAACCTTAAATTCAGCCTGGATGAACTCACTGCACCTTATGTCGCAGAAATCCGTCGGCGCCAACCCCAAGGGCCATACAACTTTGGTGGATGGTCAGCAGGAGGAATTTGCGCGTATGATGCTGCGCGACAGCTCATTTTCGAAGAGGGCGAGAAGGTCGATCGCTTACTTCTCCTTGATACACCATTCCCCATTGGTCTCCAGAAGCTGCCACCTCGTCTTTACAGCTTCTTCGACTCAATCGGTCTCTTTGGTGAAGGCAAGGCGCCCCCTCCGAAATGGCTGCTTCCTCACTTCCTGGCCTTCATCGACTCCCTGGATGCATACAAGGCATCCCCCTTCCCCTTCTCTGATCCACAATTGAGCAAGAAGATCCCCAAAACCTATCTTGTCTGGGCGAAGGACGGTGTATGCTGTCAACCAGGAGACCCTCGCCCCGGTCCTCCTCCGGATGGCACTGAGGATCCAAGAGAAATGATCTGGCTCCTTAACAACCGCACCGAACTCGGTCCTAACAAATGGGACACACTGGTAGGGCCGGATAACATCGGCGGCATCACTGTCATGGAAGGAGCAAACCACTTCACCATGACACGAGGCGAGAAAGCCAAGGAGTTGGCTACATTCATTGCAAACGCCTTTACCGCTTAGGCTGTTCCTCGTTTCTCACTCTTTCACTCTTCTTTCTTATTGGAGTTTTTTTTTTTTTTTTTTTTTTCTTGTTTTCACTTCGGGGTACAGTTTTTCCATCTTTAATCATCTTCTGGTGTCTTCATTCTTATTATTGCTTTTCAAAAAGTGCTCTGCAAATGATGTTAGCACTTTTTCGTGTATCATATGATATTTCTTAAGTCTAAATAGGCTAACAACTAACTTATGGGTTAATATCTAATAATACATTCTTTTACTTGAAAGGGCTTTTCGGTAGTATGTCATTCTGTAGATATATAGATCGCAAAAGGGCCCTTCATCACTCTGGTTTCAACGGGGACTTTTCAACTACTAAAATATATCTCCATGATGCAATCCATATCGATGAGATGTAAGATACTAAATACTACTAATAAAATTGCTCAGTTTAGCTGCTACATCGTATGCAAAGAGTGTTTACGCCTTAGAGCCTTCAACAACAAATCTTCTGTGAAGAAATAATGAATTTAAACGCGCTTAATCAATGCTGGGTCACCACATAGAGAATGATATCAAAAAACAAAAGCAAATAAATCGACAAATGTTGTTTTGCAGATGAACGTAAAATCTCCAAACATGCAAGCGCCTAGTAAATGAGAAAAGGGTTCATTCCAGTGAAACTGAAAGATGGATAAATGACTTGTCTTATATCCCCAATAATTGTTGACGATATCCGACGTACATATCGGCGTTCAAAGTGACATACCAGACATGAATCTCAGTCCACTACCTCGCCCGGAATGGTTTAAACCGTTACCATTATTAATGCCAGGACTTGTTGGACGACTTGAGGCCGAGGTCAATTTAGGACTTCTAGGCTGGGTACTTGTCGAACGAGTAGATGGGCGATTTTTGCGGATTTCTCGCAATTCATCCTCCTTCTTGCGTAATAGATCATCTCGAGATGCAAGTGTGGCTTCCAGCTCAGCAACCCGGGAAAGATGTCGAGCTCCGTCGCTTTGCATGTTGAGCTCCTTTAACCGACAGGAATCACCAGCAACTTTGCGATTCAGAGCTTCATTTTCTGCTCTGAGCTGACGGATCTCGTTTCCAGATTGAGAAGCCACGTTGGAAGCGGTTTGATACTGCTCGCGAGTGTATTCACCTTGATTCTTTTCATATTCCGCCTTTTGCCGCAACCCACTATTCTCTTTAGTTAAACGACGGATTTCTTCTTGTGCAGACTCTAACTCCGCTGCAGTTCCCCCACCGTTCTTCAATGACTCTCTCGCACTCTCAAGGTCATGCCTCAATTGCGTGCGGTCATCCTTCAGTTTTGTGATTTCTTCCTTCTGTCTCTCCACCCTTTGTTCCGAGGCAAGCTTAGATTGGGAAAAGTCATCCCGCTCTTGCCGGATCTTGTGGGTTTCTTTGGTTCGACTTTCATAGCGATGCTGGAGTGATTCCAGTGCTTTCTCCTTTTCTTGAAGACGAGATAGAGCATAGTTCAAAGCTTTTTGGAGCTTGTCGATCTCAGCTGCATGTGAACTCCTCATTTGCACGATGTTTCTCTCTAGCATTTGGAGGCCACTGTCTAAAGTTTGGCTTGGAAACTTAGATGATTCTGTAAATTGACTGGCTAGCTGGGATGTGTCCATCCGCTGTCGCTTGGAGAATTGTTCGTCAGTGTCGTCGACCTGTTATTTCAATGTTAATCGCAATCATAAAGTATTGATGATAGATCATTGGAGGGGGGTGTCTTACAAATGCTCGTTTTTGAGCCGCGGTGTTCGACAAAGGCGTCTGTTCAGAATTCAAATCGAGCTGGTTTTGGAGGAAAGAGGTAGTTTCTAGTTCATCTGGAGCAACTACCTGCAGAGGCTCGATAAGAGGCAGCGGCCAGTGAGAATGAAAATTATCAGAAATGAGGCATGATAGAACCTCTTCTGCGTCTTCGTGCACGCCAAGAGCATCATCTTGAAGATCACCGACCATTTCACGAAGGCGTACGGTATACTGAACCAGCAACCGGAGGCGTTGGAGAGTAGGAAGATTGGGAAAGCAACATTCAACATGTTCACTTGTATTGGATACAAGAAGCCGAATCACAGGAAGTAGATGGCCATTTCGAGCAAACGTGGTTCGCATATGCTCTACTGAAGGGCTTTTTGCGTTAAATGACGCATCCAAAGCAATAACTGCCGATGGCGACTTGTATGTTCTAAAGACGCCATCGCTGTGTGTTGATTGTATCCCGAAGCTCAATGACCCTTTAGCCATAGACACTTCTAAGTTGGCATTGATACCACTTCCCATTTCATGACGTGGCTGGGTGTATGTAAGACCCTTGCCTAATAAGTAATGCTCAACAACTTTTTGGGTCTTTTCCCCATGAACCATGACCACCAGATGGAGATCATGGCTGTGAGCAATCTGTATGAGATAACCTAAAAATAAGAACTTTGCACTTGAATACTCAGCCCAAGCTGCTTCCTTTTCCAAGTCCGACCCAGAGTCTTTTATATGCTCAGCGACATTGAGGTCCGGATGGGTTGTAACATTGCTGAGTTGTTCTAAGGTCCTATGCATTTTTGTCACAAGAAACTCCTGCTGAGTGAATTCTGAATCAGGACTCGTATTATTTATGAATTCCTGGATATATCGCGATTCTTCTTTCAGGACTCGGTCATAGTCATCTTTAACTCGAGAATCCATCGGAAGCGGAATGGCAAACTCCGATGGGCCAAGTTGAACTGAGCCGGGGGGTGCTTCTTCGAGCTGGCTAACTGTCAATTCGCTTGGTTGGATTGTGTGTACGGAAGGATGCTGACTGTGGTCAATTTCTTTTAGCGGCTCGAGGGACTCTGGCTGTGTAGTAGCAGGATGAATTTGAGCCATAGAGTGAGCAGGCTCTTTATCAACCCTAACACTGAGTGGTTCTGCTGATTCAGGTATGGCTGCCGGTGCTGTGGAAGGCTCAATATCTCCTGCAGAAGATGGAGTTGCGCTAGCATCAACGTTTTGCAGAGTTCTTGTGGCTGAGTTGGCGCGCAGCTGGGCCCAGGCATTTCGTAATTTTTCCCTCGGAGTAGAACCTTCCACGTGGCTATATTTTGTGTCTGCCGAAGACTGGCCTTCTTTCTTTAGAGGTTTTTCATCCATCGTGGAAATAGTGACCTGGCTCGCTGAGTATTTAGGCGTTATGGGCGGTGATCGGTGGTTCGAGATTCCAGGGTCGAGATTTGATGAGCTCTGCGATCCTGCAACAACTGATTCTCGTATTTGACCTGTGTGGCGGACTGTGATGCTTGTATGGATAGAAAAGGATTCTAAAATTTGAAAGTCAGCACAAATAGGACATAAATTATGTTGAAACAACAACCTGAAGAACAACCAGGCGAATTGAGGTGTGATATTAGACTACTGAAGCCCGAATTTAGTTGCTGGAGTCCAGGCATAAGACTTGTGCTTTGGCTAACAGGAGCGCTCGGAGGACCGGACGGAGTCTCGGCTATTTCATCCACCACTCCACTTCGATCTTTCACTTCCTTTCGAGGGAATTGTTGAATTTGAGAGATTTCTTTTTCAATCGGCCTGGAAGTTTGGTTTCCGTTGGGCGTCTCAGGGTATATTGGTGGGCTGCCTGGCTTATGAAAGTAACTTGCGGCTGGGACAGGAGGGGCCGTTCGAGAGCTATCTGTTAATTGACGGTTTTCCGATTCGTCAGGTAGTTTGAATTCGGATGGTATTGGTGTCGCTGGGACGTGTTCAAAAGCAATAGTGATTTTTGACTGCTGCGCGGCGGGTGAAGCAATTCCGGGATAAGATGAAGTGCCGGAGTGCGGTAAACTGGAGACTACTTCCCCGAATCCCGATATTAGGGTCTCGTTTCCCTCTTCGTCTATCGGCGACTCGGAAACAGCTTCGAAAGGAACAAAGAGAGGGGAGGGTGATCGTCTATCTGAATGACGTGGTTCCGTTTCGCATTCCGCTTGGTCGAGATTAGGAGTGGTGGTATGGGATCCAGGTGGTGATGGTATTGGCGACAGAGGTTCAATCGGTTCACTGCTTTCCTGAACTTCCTTTTCCCTATTCTTCTTCTTCTCCTCCCAGACTTGAACCGCTAGGTCGTTTGCGTTTTCCTTTGGTTCCTGGAGCGCATGTTAGATTCCACCATATTTTGAAGTTCAAAGAAACGCCATATGGGGACATTTCATGATCGTAAACTTACCCAAGTTGGTGACCAGGGACCTTGCCAGTCAATGAAATACTGGTTTTCTGACTCGTCGAGGATGCAGTTAATAAGGTATTCGTCTTCGCCAATCTCACTACTTTCCTCTCCGTCGTCGTCTTCGTTTTCGGTTTCGTCTTCCTCGCTCGATTCAATAACGTAGTGCTGTTTCAAGATTTTCCTCCTGGATTCGTCTGCGGGTTGATGTATAGAGACAGATGAGGATATATTGCGCTTACGCCGCATCATCATGCGCGTTGACTGCGAGCGGAGATGCGGTAACCCATGATGAACAAAAGTAGAGCACGTCAGAGAAAAGGAAAGATAATTGTGAATGAGATCAGTTCTTAGGTAGGGGGTCTTTGTTTGAAATACAAACAAAGCAGCGTGAATGGCCTATAATAATGCTGTTTGTCTAAGGTGGAGTGAGTTGTGAATGATGTGAGGAGAGAGTATGGCAAGTTGGGGGGGAATGAGCTACGGGTGATCGCCGACACGTGATAAACTCTGGCTTATCAGTTGACCGACTCCACTATATTGTATTTGCAGTCTTCAAGGCGATGATAAATGAAAGGAATCTATTTCATCATTTACTATAGCTTGTTTGATATACTACATGCATGTTCTTCAGTCTATATATGCAAGTGCTTGTTGAATCTTGTCTATATATACTCCCCGTTTATCAGTTGTCCGTCTGGGCTTTTTTCCATTCATTGAAATTGTAACCAAGCTGCTCGAGGCTTTTGATTGTTCTTCGTTCTTCACCCTTCCCCACAAATGTTTTTCGAATTTCCGGGAAGATCGCTCTTAACCATCTCTCCTTCTCTCCCCAAAGATTACCTTGTTTTCCAATTCCGTCATTGCCAAGGCCGGGGCGTTTTATAGCCTCGGCTGCCCATTCATAGAGTAGATTCATATAGTCAGCATCCTGTGGATAGTGCAGGACGTGGTATGATGTCCCATCTCCCTTTTCAGCCACATTCGCATCCTCCCAGGCTTTCATTTTATCTTGGGACGGAAGAGTAAGGCGGCCAGACCAGACACGGGCGAAGACAGCCGCTTGATTCTCAGATATCGGGAATGGAATGATTCTCTGGTTCAAGGCTGGAAATACCAAAGTCGGATTGTATATGTAAAAGAGATGTTGATAAACATTCAACGTTCTGCGGCCATTCGTGATGATGGGCGGATCAAGCGACGATAGGAAGGGGAACGAGTAAAAATAGCCAGTGCAGTAAACAATGGCATCGATTTCTTCCTCTACCCTGCCATCTGCAAATCGGACAGCTCGTTGATGACTAGTCGGTGGTAGATATTCCACTATCTCAGGGAAGCATATCTTGTCCGGGGAAACAGGTCCCAGGTAGGATTCTGTTCGCTGCGAAACCAGCAATTTCCCTTTGCTTACTGTGTTGATCTGAGCGCCAATGTCAATTCCAGACGCAGAGCTTCCCACAACTAGCACCTTCTTACCCCTAAAGGATTCCGGCGAGTCAAAACACTTGGAATGGGAAATGTGCCCAGGATAGGTCTGATCCCATTCACTTATACCAGGAACATCTGGCACATAAGGAACGTCAAAATGTCCGCTGGAGACAACCACGGCATCATAAGGGTGTGTCGTTGTCTCTCCAGTTCGTAGATTCTTCGTTTCCACGTTCCAACTGCCCACAGCAGAGTTATTTTGCTTCACGTCGAGAACTTGGGTCTCCAATTGAATGAGGTCTTTCACATCCTCTGCATATTCTTCTAGATATCTCTGGACCGTGGTATGGTTGGGCAAGACCTGCGCTTCAGATGGAAAATGTTTATCGGAATATCGCATTAATTCCTTTGGGATGTTGGTATCCAAGGCTTTGTAGATAGGCGAAATGAACGTCGCATCTCTCCCCCCCTCAGACCATGAAGGCTCCTCGAGTGGCACGTTCGGGCTCAGTTGTGGCACAGGAGTCGGCACACCTTCCTTAAAGATGCCAGGGCTGTAGTTCCATATCCCTCCAACTGAGCTTCGTTTCTCGAAGACGTCGATTCTGTCAAAGCATTTCTCCGCCAGAAGATACCTATGCTGTGGTAAGTGAGGGGTAAAGGCAAGTATAGTTAATGGTTCCCATACTTGACTGCAGAAAGGCCAGATGGCCCAGCGCCAATAACGGCAATCCGGCGGACCTGCTGTACCACCGTCATTTGTATAGAGATAAAAATGGAACTGGTTATTAGGAAGTTGGGATGTTAAAATGATGGAGGATCCTGGATGATGTTCAAGAGATGCCAAGACTGGGTGCAATAACAAGGGAGATCGCGTGCTTCTCCGCAGAGGGGACAAAGGTAAGCATATCGTGCTTTGTCAATGCTTTTGTATAGTCAATGATTGTGTTATTCTCATTTTAAATCCAAAATCAAGCATTTCTGCTAATACTTAGGTTGTTGGAGCCAGAATACCGCGGATTACATGGTAATACAATAGTTATCTTGGTGAATGCATAGAATACAGGTAATATTACCCCCTATTACCACTTCATGATGCAAGTCGAGCAAACCATCATCAAACAACCCAAGGATGTCGCATTCACCGCGTCCTTCGATCCCCAACACACAAACCCTCCCAACACTGCACCCTAACCCACCACCGCAAATTCAAATGGTTTAATAGCTTGTTTATCATCCTTTCAAGATAAAAAATGCAGCACCTGTGATCAAAGAAATGTGGAAACCGCGCATCAATCAGCGGCCGCAGTAATGGACTCCAGCGACCAACCTCAAATTTCCACAGAACACCTGCGTTCGACCTTGATCCCCATCGCGCAAATTTCCCCGACAACTGAACGCCTACTTGAAAGCTCTGTCCATGCGACTGTGACACTAATATGGCCTTATTCGTCGTCAACAAAATCTATCAGCCTTTTGTTAGCTGAGCCAGACTTCCGCCTGCGACGCTCCAACGGGCAGGTGAAAGTGATTTTCCATGGGGCAGTTGCAGAAAATGTTGCAAAGTCGCAGGTCGGAATTGGAGATGAGGTTTATCTTAGCTTGGCTGGATCGAGATTGGTGAACAATGAAGCTGCAACTCAAACACCTGGGAGATTCGTTGGTTGGGATGTGCACCTCGACGATCATGTGTCCCTTGAGGTATATTACATTCAGCTATATCTGTGATTTACCTACTAACTATATTGGACTGTAGGTCTTACGAGCTTCGAAACACCTATCAACCGTGAAAATTGATCGCCCTGCCTCGCCGCTGCCGACCACCGAGGAAAAGACCGCGCCACCGGCTACACCGAGTGCTTCCCAAACTCGCCATGAAGAAATTGGTCCTGTCCCTAGCTTGGGAAGCTGGGGCTCACCGGCTTTTATACAACGGTCGCGCGCCTCATTTGGCGGTACAGCGAAGACGGCGCTCGAACCGTTCGCTGAGGAAGATGGCTTTGTCCCTGGCAAGGGTAGAAAGAAGCCTAGATTCAGCATGCAGAACAGCGACTGGCGTGTAATCGATGAGCCTGAAAGTTCCAGCGAAAGGGCAGACGCGATGGATTGGACCCGGATATTCGATGAAGAGGAAAGCCCTGAGCCAGAGGTTCACGAGGAAGACCAGACGGAAAACAACAAGGAGCGTCTAGAAACTCCCGATATCGCAGGCCCAACCTTAGAAGGAGGAGACATTTCAGGCTCCGTGGAGCCTGAGAATACCTCTGTTCCATTGAGTCATGATACACCACACACTTTCAAAGCACCTCATGGCATGGAGCGGGCTGCGAAACCCAGCGCAAAGGCATTTGACGCTGGTGAATTCCAAGTTCCTGAACTCCTACGCCATCGAACCACCAGCCAAGGAGTTTTCAATGATCCCTTTCATCTTCCAACAGACACTCCACGATTACATCCAGTCCCGTCCCCCGGACTTCCCGTTCCTTCCCCACTTGTTTCGACGTCGAATAGTCCGCATGGCTATTTCACTTCTATTCCCACTTCACAGCCTCAGGTTAATCGGCCCTTCCCGGCAGAGGTGCCGACAGAGGTAGAGGGACTTGAGCCGAGCAATAGCTCTGAAGTGCAACCGGGAACCTCACAAATACGGGCAGCCGAAAATTCTGTCATAGATAGTGAGCGAACAGACCAGGCGGTCCCTTCACTTGAGGCAGTTTCTAAAAAGCCAACAATCAACACCAACTCTGAAGCGTCTAGCTCCACCCTCATACCTAGAACTGCTGGCCCTAAGCTAGCAGCAGAAGTACAACCCGTGGGTAATAATGAATCAGCTGTGGAGGGTAAGAAGGACAAGCCCGCAATGCATGTTTCCGAGGCAGATTTTCAGATGGAAGATGGTGTAAACCACCTGGGTAACGATGTTATAGAAGTGGAAGAAATGGAAGAGCGGGGTATACAAGCGGATGGCGGTGAATCTCAAAAGAAGAATGGCTTTACGGAAGAGAGTCTTCAACAGAGGGAGGAGCTGTCTGAGGACGATGAAGACGAGTATGATGAAGATGAGGATGAAGAGGATGAAGAGGATGAAGAAGACGGCGATGAGACTAGCGATGAGGACGAAGAAGAGGATGGAGAAGATGGAGAGGAAGAAGGGAATGAGTCAGAGGACGAAGCGAGAGAGAAAACCACCGATCATGACTTCATCTCAAAGGGGCCGTGTCAGCCCAGTCAAGCAGAATTCATCGAAGATGACTCCGACGGGATCATAGAAGAGATCCCAGAGAAACAGAATGTTGCCATGGAAGGTCTCACCACAATCACCGATGCGCAATCGCCGATGGAAAGCGGCGATGACACAGACGGAGAACATGGCTATTACGTCGAAGATGAAGAAAACGTGGATGAAGAAACGGTGGATGAAGAAATTTACGATGAAGAGGAGGCCGAAGATGTTTGTCATGACGAGCAAGGTGACTATATTGAATCCGAATATGAATCGGATGAAGTCGAAGAACAGGGGCATCAGCAGAAACAGCAAAATACGCATCCAGAAATCATTGTACTGGACAGTGATAGTGAAGACGAACCTTACTCTAATACCCAGGCAAACCCGTCAAGACAGGCAAAAAAAGAGATTACCGATTTACAAAAGGTGGAATTATCTGAGTCTTCAACAGACGAAGACTCGGCATCTGAAGAAAGCGGCTCTGAGTCCGAGGTTGAAGATTGGTCTATCGTTGAAGAGGAACAGGCTGAGGAGGAACCAGTTGGGGATGAACCCGTTTGGGATGAACCAGTTAAGACCAAAGACGCTGGGCACGAGCCGACCGAGCGAGAGCAAACACGATCTGAAAATGTTGAAGACGATAGGGTCGATATTCACATGACACCGTTGAAGAGTGATGCAGTACCAAATCCTGGTCTCGATGAAGGATTGAAAGCCGGCAACGACAATGAGGTACAGGACTTACACGACCCGGGACTAAATATTCGCGAAGATTCTATCGTCGAGTCTATCCAACAAAACTACATGGACACGGAATCTGCTCCCCAGAGTATGGAAATGGCGATAGATCCCAGTCTACATCAACCCGAAGAAAGCGCAGAGGACCAACCAGACGCCAACCAAGAACAGGGAGGCCCTAGCCATCAGCCCGAAGTCAGAGAAGAGGACACACAAAATTATCCGCGGCCGAGACAAGAAGTTGATGATGCCTTGTTTCTTGACGATGCTGCCTCACCCCGATTGCAAAGCTCCACCGTTACTGTTTTCGAATCTTCGGAAATTTCACATCGTGACTTTCAATTGATAACCCCAGATACTTCGCAGGAGGTTGAGGCTGGAAAACAAACTAATACAGATCTCCCTACGAACGAGTCACCCCTCACACCTCAGCAAACACAAGAAGCATCACAACCATTGAATTCGCACGCTGGGGACCGGTTATCACCTCAAGCTCAGGTGGTTAATAAATCTGCTGCACCTACAGAGGACGGCATATCTTCAATTGAAGAGACCGATTCCCTCGTCCTCGTTTCGCTTGAGGGTCGGAATGAACATCAAGGCAACCATGTGCAAGAAAATGACCAGATCTCAACGCATTATGATGAAAAGGGACCTAAGGAGCACACAGCTCGTGATCATTCTCCCGATGGGGTTGAAGATACCCGCCAACACTTTGCAGAGCCAGATCGACATTATCCCGGTCTACGCAGCAAATTGTCCTATTTCTCCCCGCTCGCAACTCTTATTGATCATTTCAATACATTGGTCGATACCATTTCGATTGTGTGTGAAACGTCTTCAATAATCCAAGCTTCCTCGGGAAATAAAGATTACGTATTGACTGTTCAGCTTACCGATCCTTCTCTGGCTGGAACTATGGTTACCGTCCAGATTCTTCGGCCTTACAGGACAGTTCTTCCTTCCTTGACAGAAGGGGATGCTATTTTGTTGCGCAACTTCAAGGTCAAAAGCTTCAACCACTCAATGATGCTTGTTAGTGATGATACCAGTGCTTGGGCTGTCTTCGATGGCTCTGGGGATGAGGCTCGGTTAACGGGGCCGCCTGTTGAATATGGCAGCGCGGAGCTTGCCTATGCTACCGATTTACGACAGTGGTACCTGGAGAACGGAGCAGCCATGGTTGCTGATCACCAACTCCAAGCGTCAATAGAAAAAGCCAGCCGGGAAGTGACTCCTATCAGCAGTGCTGAGCCTAGCGACGCGGGTAGTATGGAATCATGGCGTGATATCCGTGGCGAGTCTTCTCTATCTACTCGAGGCTCACGGCGCAGGAAGTCTCATCGAAGAATAACTATACACGAGCTTCGGGATGGGAGAAAGTATGCCGAAGTCGGCTCGCCGTCCGATAAAGAAAGTATACATGAACTTCGGGATGGAACGGCCTATGCACATCTTTGAGTCAATTAGGTCTTGATGGAGACTGAATTCAATAACTGATGGGCGTGGGTATCGGTGTCTTTCATTACTTTATATTGTACATATTCTTATTGCTTAGAACGTTCTCTGGCGTGGTGCTTTGGGTCGGGTTATTGGGGCCCGGAAAATATACTTTTTCTCCCACCATCCGCTGAACATCAATTATATTCCCTGTTGTTCAAGATGCTTGTCTACTGACAAAATTTTCTAGTTTCTCATCTTTCTGCAATTTGTGCTTGGCATTTACTCTATATGAATATAGAAAAGACATAAACAGGCGTTTATCGAAATCTACATCTTAGAAGTTTTGTCCCCCGTCAAAAATTCTCCACTGATAGCAGCTCTAATCAGCTGGTTGGCAATGGCAGTTGGCGGCGGTAGCCTCAAGCCACCTTCCTTGTAGTCAGGGCCAGGTTTTTCGCCCAAGGGACTGACTCCAACCCTCAGCGCCTCCTCGACCTCGTGAATCTCGAACCATCTTGCATCCTCCAGCTCCGGATCATGTTCCAGGTTGATCTTTTCATGCGCGGGATCACTGACCTGAGCAATGGCCCCGATCATCAAGTTTGCCGGGTAGGGCCATGGCTGCGATGAGTGGATGACGACGCGCGAAAGCGTCACTCCTGCCTCTTCCCACACTTCTCTTCGGACGGCATCTTCAACAGACTCTGCAGGCTCGATGAATCCAGCAAGCGTCGAGTACCAGCACGGTGGGAAACGTTTCGAACGACCAAGCAGGATACGCTTGGCGTCAGTGGAAATAACGGCGACAATGATTGTGGGATCGGTACGCGGGAAAGAAAGGTTGGAAATGGTAGTACGAGTATTGCAAGCTGGTCCCTCTGTAGGTTTTCCTTCTACGAGTCGTGCGGCATCTGTTGGTGGACAAGCACGTTTTGTTCCCGAGTTGACAGAAAGCGTTCTGTTTCCGCAGGTGCCACAAAAAGTGTTACGGGTGTTCCAGTCTGCAAGGGCGCGAGACTGCGCATAGATGGCAGCTGAGAGGATGTAAGTAATCGTGATCGGTATCGTCACAAAGAAAGAACATATGCATACCTTCATCCGCAGAGAACGTCATAACAACTCTCGATTGATAAAAGCTTAGGCCTTTGGCTTCCATGGCGCCGATAACGCCCTTGGCATTTTCTTGCTGCTCATCAGATCCTTTTGGTGTCACATCCAATGCGAAATAAGGTGTGCCATTGTAGATCTTCCAGTTCAAAGCACCTTCGGTACGGCTTTCATCCAGGCCCAGGAAGATGAGAAGAGGATGCGGCTTCCGCGAGTCGTAGTTCTTAATTATATCTTCTTCGGATTGGTCAAAGATATCCTCGGGAACAAGATTCCGAACCTCCTCATAGTGCGCATAATACAATTCCGACGGAGACTTGGTTAGCGGTGCGAGATTATTCAACAACACAAAGCGTGTGGTGGGATGCTTGAGGGCAGCAGAAAGGAATGGGTGTTCGGAGCGGAGGAAAGAGAGTCGGTTCAAGGGTGAGCCTGGCTTGTTGTTCAGCAATTAAAGAGCCAGCAATAGTATATTCGATGGAATCCATACTAGAGAAGTAATTAACTGTTTCCTTGCCAAATTTTCTAGCCAACATTGATTCGGCTTGTACATGCGCTGGCATGGGAATCTGGGGAATAGTGCTCATGGCGTAGGATATATGTACAACAGCAGAGATTGTCGAAATATAAAGACCTAAATGCGAGATCTATATAAAAGAAAATATAAATTCTATAAGAGAATCTAAAAACAAAAGAAGGCAAATAGAGGATGGAAGAATTCGAATGCGAAAGAAGAGAGAGTGGGTGCTTCTTGATAACCATTAATCAGCCATCTTGCCCGAGGATTGAGAATCGCGGGGAGCGTCGGGTTACAGAACGTGACCGCAATTCCTCATCCTGCCCCTAGCACTCTCTGTAATATACAGTAATACAGTGACAGCAGAGGGGCACAAGGGGAGCTCCCCACACACGTGACCTGCATCGCCCGCATCTCCGATTCTCATCATCGTCGAGATCCAACACGACATCCAGACTGGCACTCCAGGCATTGTTTGGGGGTAGATAGACGGCTTGGTAAGTTGTTCCACCCTATATCGCGATTTATCAGGTTTCTTTCTATATTCACGGTCATCTGTTTATTTGGTTACATACTATTTACATCATGTCGGCAAAGTTCCTGTCGTATCCAAGCTTGCCCACAGCTTCAATTGATTAATTGCTTGTCAATTCCACATCGCTGACCTCTCATTCCACTAGCTCCTTTCTATAGTTTGTTACAAGAGCCGCAAGGCTTCAATTGTGTTCTGTGGAAGCGTACCCTGTCAATCAAAATGGGCCATCTAGTCACTCTTGCGACATGGTATGTGACTCATAATTCACAGCCACATACTGTTATTTGAGACTATGCTGACTCGCCGTAAATCAAGCTCCCTTAATCAATGGGCACTTGATTTTGAAGGGAATGCAAACCGCATCATCGAGAGCGTCCGCAAAGCTAAGGAAGCGGGGGCCACCCTGCGCGTTGGTCCAGAGCTAGAGATTACTGGTAAAAAAACGGAACCTGTGATGTTCATATCGCCCACGGTGGATTAACAATTCTGCTAGGATATGGCGTCCTGGATGGGTTCCTTGAGGGCGACACGTTCCTGCACTCGTGGGAAATGCTGGCTCGCATCATTGATCACCCAGACTGCCAGGACATCGTAGTTGACGTTGGAGCTCCCGTGAGACATAGGAACGTGCGCTACAACTGCCGGTGAGTTTCTTGTAACACCAATCATTCCATTTTTCGATGATCTAATTGTCTGACCGTTCAGTGTCATTTTTTTCAATCGGAAGATCATCTTGATTCGCCCCAAGATGTGGCTTGCAAATGGTTCGTACCGACTTACACCTGGGCTTATTTTAACTTATTCCATTGATACGAAAGATTTCCTACAATTGAGAATCAGTGCTGACTATTTCCTTTTGAATAGACGGAAACTACCGAGAGTTCAGACACTTTACCCCCTGGCAACGTCCCCAAGAAGTGGAGGATTACTACCTGGAACAAATTGTCGGAAAGATCACTGGCCAGTACAAGGTTCCTTTCGGAGATGCAGTTATCAGCACCCGGGATACCTGTTTAGGTCTAGAGACATGTGAAGAACTATTTACTCCAAATGGGTACAGTCCGTACGACAGAAAAGCTAGTGGAAGCTTGCTAACCAAGCCCCTTTCAGCCCTCATATCCCATACGGTCTAGCTGGTGAGTTCTCCATTAAAGCTTTTATTTCATTGATTTACCATTGCTTATACTATAAAGGCGTGGAAATCATTTCCAATTCATCAGGAAGTCACCATGAGCTCAAGAAGCTTGACACCCGTGTCAACCTCATTACACAGGCAACAAAACTGGTAACACCCCAATGTCAACTATGTGCTGAATAGGAGGCTGCTTACTTTTTATAGAGTGGAGGAATCTATCTGTATGCAAACCAGCAAGGATGCGATGGAGATCGACTGTACTACGATGGTTGTGCAATGATTGTTGTGAACGGCAACATTGTCGCCCAGGGTTCCCAGTTTTCTCTGAACGATGTAGAGGTTGTCACAGCTACTGTTGATATTGAAGATGTCTGTTACCCTATCTGTACTTCTATGTGCACTATGTATTGACATTTACCAGGTCCGAACCTATCGCTCAAGTGCAAGCCGCGGTATGCAAGCGAGCAGGCAGTCCCCATATGTTCGCCTCGACTTGGATTTCAGACTTTCTCGTCAGGATGAAGACGCCGAACCTAGTCTTCAACCTTCTGAGCCAAGGCCACCGCGGTATCACGCCCCGGAAGAAGAAATTGCTCTTGGTCCAGCTTGCTGGCTCTGGGATTACCTTCGGCGAAGTGGCGCTGCTGGGTTCTTCATCCCTCTCAGTGGCGGCATCGATAGTTGCGCTACATCCATTATTGTGCATTCCATGTGCAGAGAAGTCATAAAGGCAGTCTCGGAAGGAAATGAACAGGTGATCAAGGATGTTCGTAGACTTTGTGCGGAGCCAGAAGATTCGACCTGGCTCCCTACGAACAGTCAGGAAGTTTGCAAGTATGGTTTTATCTCTACGCAACAGTCCCGTTGTGGTCCTGAGATTCCTGTCAACGTTCGCTGACATCTCTTCAGTCGTATATTCCACACTAGCTACATGGGTACTCAAAACTCCAGCAAGGAAACCCGAGACCGAGCTTCCAACCTTGCCAGAGACATTGGATCTTATCATGTAGACTTCAACTTTGATACCGTTGTCACTGCGATCACAAACCTTTTCACTGTGATCACTAATTTCCAGCCTCGGTTCAAGGTTCATGGCGGTGGTCGAGCAGAAAACCAAGCCTTACAGAATGTGCAGGCTCGTTTAAGAATGGTTCTTTCATACTTGTTTGCTTCGTTGCTCCCGACAGTTCGACAACGCCCTGGAGGGGGCGGCCTGCTTGTGCTTGCATCATCTAATGTAGACGGTACGTGATTATCCATCTATGTTTCAATTCCCACCACTAACCAGTTTTTTAGAATGGTATGTGCGAGTGATTTTAGACCCTGGATACCCAACTTTGATCACTTCTAACACTGACTAAATTTCTTAGCTTGCGTGGCTACCTGACCAAATACGATGCCAGCAGTGCAGACGTAAGTATAAATACCTACTTCGAAAATAGCCTATACGAAAATAGCCTATACGAAGCTAGCCACCAACTAACACGAACCTAGTTGAACCCTATCGGCTCTATCAGTAAGGTTGACCTGAAGAAATTCATCGGCTGGGCCGGTGAATCGTTCAACCTACCGATTCTCGAGCAATTCTTGAGCGCCACGCCAACAGCCGAATTGGAGCCAATTACAGCCACCTATGTCCAGTCCGATGAAGCTGATATGGGCGTGACATACGCGGAACTTTCAACATTCGGATATCTGCGCAAGGTCGCTAAATTGGGACCATGGTCGATGTACGAGAAATTGCTTCACCTATGGGGCAATGAATACAGCCCTCGGGAGATTTACGAAAAGACTCGCCACTTCTTCTACAACTACTCTATCAACCGTCACAAGATGACCGTTTTGACACCTAGCTACCATGCTGAACAGTATTCGCCTGAAGATAATCGACATGATCTTCGACAGTTCTTGTGTAAGTTACCCTTAGTCCCCTTTCTTGGTCCAAGGTGGAACTAACCCTACATTACTTAGACCCATCTTTTACATGGGCATACAAGAAGATGGAAGATAGTGTTAAACTCTGGGAATCGAAGGGATGGACTGTTGGCAAAGCACAGAAGAAGAGTGTCAAGGCAGACTAAAAAAGTAGTTACGCTTTGAGGTAACAAAAGACCAAACTTATTGAGGACAAGAACAAAGTCCAATTTTCGTCGGATATTTGCATATGAAACTATTCTTGTAGATGTCTTCAGCAAGATAAGACAGCCCAGAATGCCTGCATTGGCAATTTTTGTGGTGGAATAGGAAGAAAATACCCATTCCCCGGGATTCCAAGCGAGCTAAAATCCCAGGTGAATAAGAGACAGGTAGAGAGGATGGAAAATCCAAAGGTCACAAAGCTAGAAGAGACAGTAAACGCCTATAACATAATGACGCTAAACGAGCAGTTGAAAATCAAAGAATAGAAATTCAATAATATATGGCATCACTCATTCTTCCAAAACCAACCACTTTTGTCTCCATTCTTTGCTGGTTCGTCCTGATTGGCAGAATCTGACGATTGCTGAGACGGGTTGACGACATCGACTGACTCGTTGCTTTCCTCGCGACCATCCGCAAAGCGTTTTGTTTGTACAGTTCTGGTCTTCACAGAGCCATCACCAAGCCGGATGCGCTCAGTACTCGTTCTCGTGGAGATCACTTGAGGCTGTGACACTGAGGCTTCAGATGAGGATGGGTTCAATGCAGTCTGTTGCGCTGCTACTTCTGAGACAGAGTTATTGTTTCCACCTGACGCAAGCTCTAGCCATTTTTCTGTGTCTGCATCTTCTGCGGATGTTCCTTTGCGTTTGTATTCGGCTAATTCATCCTTGTAGCGTTGTCGGTCTTCGAGGAGAAAACGTAACATGGGGCTCGCGGAGAATTCCCTAGAGAATTCACGCTCACGGGATTCAACGTCTTGAAGGAAGCGTTCATACATATCCAACTCTGTCATGGCACCGAGATCTTTCTCATCCGCGGTAGATTCCACATCTGCAATATCCTTTGGTTCTTTAACGTCACGAGAACTCTCTCGGTCATCAGATTTTCCGAACGCCATTCGGCCATTCATTATGCTAGAATTCTCATCTGCCACGGGATTCAGCTTCCATTGATCCCCCAAACTACCTCTTTTCACCAAGCCCTCTAGCCAGCCCTTTGGAGTCTCCTTCCTGCTCGCCGCTGCAGGCTCACGATCGAGCATGGGCTTTCCATTCTCAAGCCGTAAAAGGTCTTCGAAAGCCTCGCGCCACTGAGGTTCGGCTGGATCTTGACTGGAGTCCCGATCGGAAGCGCTCAGAGAGGACATAATAGAAGAGAATACCCCTCGGTTATGATGGCCACGGTTGCGCTCCAATTGAAGAGGCGAGTAAGGACTGAACATGAGGTATGTCACCGGCCAGCCTGGCATCTCTTCGTCCCACATATCAGGGAACAGAAGGTGATGCGGATGAAAGAGACGAAACGCCGAGGGCAAGTGGTCATCGAACCAGGACCTGTTGAAAAACGAATCGAGACCAAATAAATCGATAGGGCCACTGTTATGATGCCATCCATAATGATGGTGGTGAGTGTGCCATGGGCTTTCGAATTCCGACCATCGAGATCGTGAGGATGTTGATGAAGGCTTGTCGTTGTTGGATGTGGAGCCCTGTGTCTGATCTCCGGCTCCCGAGCCCGTCGGATATTCTCCCTCGCTGCCGTCACCGTTTTGCCTCTGGCGAGTATTGGGGTCATTAAATCTGTGATCGTTCGCAAAAACATCCCAGTGGCTACTTGATGGGGGGCTTGCCATCGATGGGAGCCCCATTACGGACTGAAGCATCGAGGATATCTGCTCATCGGCATAACGACGGAAAGCAACGAACGGGTTATCGTCCTCTGGACCGCGCTGCGAGTTATGATTGTTAGTAGTCTGGTTTGGTTTTGAGTCGTCCTCGCCCGCCATGTTGTAAGTGTAGAGCTTCGTGTACTGGCCAGTAGATGCAGGGATAAGTATGAAATTAAATGAAGCTGTTGTTGGCTGAGTTTTGAAAGACGAAAATGATGATGGCATTCGCCTTGAAGCTGTTGGGGATCGCCCCACTCGGATCGCAATCACCACGTGACGCTGCAAACGCTGCAAACGCTCTTCATGCTGTGTTTTCTTTTGCTTTCCGAAGATCTTTGATTCTTCATCTTCTTTTATCTGTTACAGGCATCTTCTTTGCATATTCACGTGTGTTATCTATTGCCACGTTTGCTGTCTATCCACCACTTTTTCACGGTCACTTTCCTTACTACGGAGTTTAGCTAGTCTGTTGGGGTAATGACATTAGCCACATTATTGGATCGCGACTTCAGACCCACCATAGCAATTTCCCATGAATGATTCTCTTCGTCACTAACTATTATATGCTCTAGAATGACAATGATCTCTTCAAAGACGAGATCGATCTGCAAATTGATCCCATGCTTGCTTAAAACCTGCCAAGCGAACCCACAAAGGGCGCTCCTCATCACTGACCGAATCGATAGCTAGTAGACGCATCAGTTACACTGCTCTAACGACAAAATCAGACTTGTCCAATGAGCCTTACCCATATTTCCTATCTTTAGCCAATCATCACCGGATATTAAGAACCCTTGTTCCTTGCCTTTATCGTCGAAAGGGCGACATATTCTTTCGCCGTGTGCCACTGCTCTGACCAGCTTGGACAGGTGTCCATCTTCCCGGGGATGTACAACACTAGCAGTAATAACAGTACTCCAGTCTCTTGGTGTCCGGTACTCCTTTACTTCGTTGAGGAATGGATCAGGCAAACCACACATTGTGTATATGAAAAGGATCATGCGTCCCATCCACTCCAGGAGACGACATTTGGAGCGCATATCCAGGGATGGAAGAGAGAAGATCTTTTCGAAGAAGATGGACGAATTGACGCCATGGATAAGAAAAAAGTCGAACTTGACTTCTTTCTGGGGACGTTGTGCAGCAGCGGTATAAGCGACTTAAGATAATTCACAGTTCAATCAGCATTCGCCTGGATTATACCAGAATAAATAAGGGAACCATCTTACCAATCGTGTTAGTTAATTCCGCTAGCCTCTCTTCCAACTGGTCCTCAGACACAGTATACACTGCCGCGTACTTAGCCAACTCATCTGGGGCCCGTTTCAGGACCCCAGTTCTCATCCCATCGCCGTAATGGGTAGACTCGATCAGCTTCTTATCTGCGTGCATTTCTTGGAGAATATGCGCCAGTGGCTTCTTTCCCTTTTCTTCAGTTCCTCCCGCGACCTTTTCAGCGGGCCAAAGAAACATTGACCCTATCCAGTCATTATGGATTGCCGTTTCCGCCAGAGCCTCGGCAACAATAGCTGGCTGACTGAATTCAATCCCAAATCCGAGGTGAATCCAAGGATGGAGGAGACCTGTCTTGTCAGAATATATGAAACATTTATACGGGATACATTTCCCTCGCACGTACCGGAAAACAACCTGACAAACATAGCCTCTGCACACTCATCCCCCGAAAACAAATACTCATCAAGAACGGCATTCACGCCTTTCTTGTCAATTTCCTGTTGAAAATAAGCCAGAAAATCGTGGTAATGCTCTGGCTGGCCGAAATAATTTTTAAACTCGGTTTTATCACCCAATGACTGGACTACATTCTCATTCACCGGGGGGTTGGGTCTCTGGTAGGTTTTGTTCTGGTCATACGCGGCCCTGATATCCTCTGGCGACGCACCAAGGGAATAGATTGTTAATATGTGATGAACGATATGGTCTGCAAAGAGGGTTAGTCACAATTGAAAACCAAACCAAACAGAATAAGAATAGGCCGATTGATACGCACTATGGAACCCCTGGTCGTTGAAAATGGTATGATGCTTTTCGAGATCTTCCTGTAAAACCTCACTCGCTGCCTGCGCAGCATCTGCTCTTACCCCAGTATTATATATCCCCGCGTCAGAAGTGGACAGTTGAATCTTCCGTGTTGTGGCCATTTTGTCGGGTGCAGCAGTAGAAGAAGAAAACAATCGAGCCTTGGTCGATGACGGCACAATATATCTCGTCGCAGGCCTAAAACGTACAGGCGACGAACTCCGCAAATCACCAGTACAACAACAGCCCAGACCACGAGATAGGATCTGAAAATATCTTGATGGAAATGCCCGAGTATTATTGATATTTATGATAACTCTTCTTTGAATCAGCGATGACGATGAGGATACCGGCAAAGGCATATATATACGTAAGGTAACGCGGGGGATGTGCCACTGTGTCACTATGATAGAAATGGGGTTAAATCAAAGATGGGGTATTAATAATTCAAGCTCCAGGCTTTGACTAAACTAGCTCCTAGGCTACTACTAGGCTGCGATGATCGTCTTTTTATGCTTATCGGCAGATTGAGGTCATTATTGTCACATTGTGTAGCAAAGAGGGGGTGCTTTGTAAGCTCGTCATGCTGACAGGTTTGAGATCGCACGAGGTACCTATTCGCTTAAATACGAGGTTATACGAGGTTATTGTTCTGGGTTCTTTTTTATTGCTGGCTACCATTAAATTGGATGGTATGATAATGCAGGCAGAGTCCTGTGTTGATTCCTAGTGAGGATCATAACCCAAGCCAAGTAGTGTGCAAGAAAATATGTAGTTTTTTGTTTGTATGAATTATTCTAGAATTACAAAATATCATAGCGCAGTCTCCAGAAAGCATAGCCAAGAGAAAAGGACGGATCAAAAACAACTCGAGTCATGTCCAGTCTATGCTCGATGAGTTCTATCACTTTCTGAGATCGGCTCAGGCTCACCGCATCATTTCTTCCAACCCCTTCTTTCTCTTCAAACGCTCGCGCTCCATCTTCCGGAACAGCGGGTGATGACCGACCTTGTCCTTCAGTTGCTTGTTCCGGCTCTTGTTGTATTCGATATAGGCCATGTCCTCGCCACCGGCCAGTCCACTGAGGGTAGCTGCGCTGCGCTTCACGGCCCCCTTTGCTCGGCCCTTGTTTCCGCCTGAACGGGCGTTGAAGAGGTCGTCTGTCACGTTTTCAACCTCTGCGGAGTTCTCGTTCTGAAGCATGACTTCCTGCAAGAGCTCGCGACGTTCCGATGGAGTGGCGTATGCAAGACCCTCGAGATTCTCGATGCCTTGCAAATGTGTGATGACCTTGAAGGCGTAACCTTGGTCGACCAGGAACGCTTGTCGTTTCGAGGAATAGAACATTTCATCTGTGTCCTTGGACACGAGCGAGTAGAAGAAGGCGTTGAAGCCCTCATCGTTTCGGCGCTTGGCTCTCAGAATCCGACCAAGACGCTGGGCCTCTTGACGACGAGAACCATAGTGCGACGAGATCTGGATGAGACAGGTCGCCTCAGGCAGATCCAGGGAGGTATCACCGATCTTGGATAGGAAAATAGTGTTGACCTGCTCGTTGTGCTGGAAGTTTTCAAGAATCCGCATACGCTCGTTCTGAGGAGTACCACCATAAATGTAGGCCTTGTTTAGTTTGAGGGCGTACCGCTCCAATGCATACACATTGTCGGAGAAAACAATAACCTTGTCTCCTCGCTTCTCATGGTAGTCAATCAAGAACTGACAAGCCTGGAATTTCCGGGGATTCATAATGTAGAGAAGTGCAGCCTTTCGAGACTTTTCTCTCATATACTCTGAATAGAATTCCGTAGTCATTGGGCACCACACCTCGGCACACTGGACCTTGGCGATGTGACCCTGCTCTGCAAGCTCCATCCAGTTGGCTTCATACAGCTTCGGTCCAATCAGGAAGTTCAAATCCTTAATCTTGTCATCCTCACGCAGTAGGGTGGCCGTCAGACCAAGCTTGCTCTGAGTCGCGATAGCCGACGTGACCTTACGGAACATGGATGCAGGCACAACGTGCACCTCGTCAAGAATCATAAGACCCCATTCTCGCGACTGAATCCAGTCCATCATCTTCTGTGCATCGTGGGACCGAGCTCTTGTCTGCGAAACCATGGAGTAAGTCGAAACGATGATACCCGTGGATCTGCGGAACTTTTCCTTATTATCGGACGTGAACACTGCAATGTCGCCCGGGTCAATATTTGACCATCGCAAGAATTCATTTCTCCATTGCACCACAGACATAGAACTTGTGCAGAGGATGATCGTTCCTTTCTTGATGGTACACCCGGCGGTGATACCCACCAATGTCTTTCCGGCACCACAAGGCAAAACAATAATACCACTCTTAGCTCGACCGTTACCAAACATCTTGCTCAGACTCTTTTCTTGGTAACTTCGAATTCGTGCAGCCGGCTTCAGGTCAATGTCCAATGTAGGATTGATTTCATCGTTTCGGAAATCATACTCCTCCAAAGCTGGACAACCCATGGCCTGGCAACGCGCTTTGACCGGTTCCACGGCTTCATTTGGAATTTCAAAGCTGTGGACCTGGGCTTGTTCCTCGTCATCATCGTCCTCATCACGGATAGCCATAAGAAGTTCATCCTCTTGTTTGCCACCTTGGCCATTCTCCGCTGGCTGTTGCTGCTCCATTGTTTGGTTCACTCCCGCAGCATCTTTTGTACCAGGAATGACCAGGCCTCCCATCTTCGGGGCCGCTTGCTGAATGATCCCTTCCGTTCCTTGTAATCTCTGAGGTCCGATGACTTCATCCTGTAGGAGCATCTGTAGCATCGACGGGTCGGTACTTTCCACGAAGAAGCGGTTGTGCTTCAAAACCACCTTGATCTTTCCATAAGATTTTGTAAAGTCAATGATAAACGATTTGATCGTCTCAGGAAGCGGCGTCTTCGATAATCGGTCCAGGAAGTTTATGATATCCGTCGGCTGCAGACCAACTGACACCGCGGCGTACAAACTATTTCCAGTCAACCGGTACTCGTGGAGATGGGTCGGACGGGAGAGAGGCTCGGAGATGGTGGTGAGGAAATCCTGCGCTTGAGGGGCCAACGGGGAGAAACTCTCCAGGGTAATGGTGCCTTTCAACGGGTCGATCCAAAGGGGACGATTCGCATGATCCGGCTTAAGGGGCATAGACGAAAAGTCCTTGTAGCCAAAATCTGGGTTCTGTTGTTGCACCGCGGGCGCCTTCTTGTTGCTAAAGGACTCGAGGGAGAATTTATCCACGACATCTTGGATGGAAAAGTCAGCAGCCTGATGTGGCGTCATGGATGAACTACTCGACGCTACCTTTCAGACTGTCTTCCTTGCCATCATCCTCATATTCGGAATATTCATCGCTACTGTCAACGGCATCCGGGATGGGAGTCGCCCGTTTCGACGCTCTACTAGACCGACCGCCTGGACGAAGGTCAGCCTGCTATCTATCTAATCCCAACCACAGAAACCCATACTGTCGGTAGCCTTGCGCTTAGGAGGCATATTGTATGTATTGTAAATTCTTTCTTTCAGACCACGCAAGCGAAACAACGTCTATTCCGTTCAATGGTGGCGTCAAAAGGAAATGAATGGCGGATGCTCAGGAAGGCTACCAGCGCCTCAGTCGAGCAGTATCAAATACAAGCATGCCTCGCGGAGCCGATCGAACCCAGGCAGCTTGGAAGGGAATGTCGTTGATGTCGAGGGAGATGGGATGGGAGGTCTGAGTGAGGATGAGAAAGTTGAATGAGAGATGGACGAGGCAGAAGATCATGACTGCCGGTTCTGTGGCAGCCTGAGGCATGAAGGCGGTGACAGCTGGAGCGAGGCGGTGATTGGCCAACCCCACAAGGCAGACTTTCGGCCGGTTCTTCGGCCGGTTCTTCGGCCGGTTTATTGAACTGTTGACGTAGTTCTCATTCCATCCTCACTCTTTTCTTGCCTCAAGACGAGTTGCACGAATACACAATGAATACGGTATGTCTCAAAGCCCTTTTTGTTTAGAGTATCTTGCAATTGACAATATCTGACTTGTTTTATCTAGATCCGATCAACCTGGTGAGCGGAATCCTTAGCTGGACAGAATCATACGATCTACAGATGAAAGACTCGATAGCTGACCAGGGGATGTTGACAATGACAGGATAGGCTGGGGTGCGCTGTGCGTTGGTGAGTCTCATATAGTGGACAATATTATCATCAGCTGTAAAATTGATTATATATTTACTAACTATTATCTTTACACAGCCGGCGGCGGTGCCTACTACTTTGCTAAGAAATCCATCAATGCCGATCGTGCCACGAGATATGAAGCCGAAATCAAACGCAAGGCCCAATTAGCCTCCATGGAAGCGGAACACCGACGCCAGGAAGCCGCAAAATTAGCATCCAAGGCTGCGCCCCCAACGGAAGACCCCAGCTTAAAGCGAGCGAATATGGCCCGGTTCCAAAGTGCGGCTGATGATGTTGCCTCACCTAGTATTGAAGCAAGTCACGATCCAGCTCCGACTGGTCATGAACCTGATACCGAGGCGGATCGAGTGCTGGAAAAGGGGAAGTATGAGGCTGCTCAGCCGTTCCGACCTCCAAGAGGAAACCGATTCAGTTAAGTGCTGGAGAATTTGGGATGCAAAGGGGGAATGAAGTTGGTTATGTATGAGGGGTAATACTCCGCCTATGTATATTGTTCGATGCAGAGGGTTGTTGAATCTGAAAAAAATGAAGAACAATGGACCATGTCAATCGTTTATAGACCTATTTGCATATTGAGCATACGAAAAGACCGATTTTGTCATACAATAGCTGTGTTTATTCAAGTTTATTAGTGCCATAGTAGGCATTTAATATCAATGACAAAAGAAACAGAATGATGTCAAAATCACCATATAGACTCATCAACAGAGAACACGCCTCATAGACTGAGATTTTCGGAATAGAAAGTCCCAGACCCCCACTCCATCTGATAGACAAAGGAAACTCATGCAGACCAACCCTTTGCAGAATGATATCATGGTAGAAAAAGAAAGAAAGGAGGTTTAACGCCAACAACCCCGATATGCAATGTGTGATGCGTAATGTCGCATACTCGCCGATCCGATCGAGTATAGAAGTAACGTTTCTGCGCCAATATCCCCGGAGATAAAAGAAAAACCGCAATTCGTTATCAAGTCGCGTAAGCAGAGAAAAGCAAAACCAGCCGAGATTCAACCATAGATAAGATCATGGATGCTTTTTTTCAGTGGGGTTGATCTAACGAGCATGGAAGCAAAGTGGGGGATGCGGCCTGGAAAAAGAAAACATTAGTTTTGAGATAAGACTCAGTGATGGGATGATGGGTAAAGCTTACTTGTTGTGGTTTGGAGAACCGAGGTTTCTTTCACGAGAGCTCTCCAAAGCAGGAGGGACAAAGGGGAGGACAACAGCAGAGATGAGACATGACATGGTGATGACTCGAGTGGCACGAGTGTCTGGAGCAGGACGATGGACGGAAAAGTGACGGATGGTAGGGCGGATGAGACGAGCAGACATGATGGCCATGATGAGATAGTAGAAGATATGATGGTTGGACTGTAGAAGCAGATAAACTGGTCTGGACTATAAGAATACCATCAGAGGGGTATCGCCATCTATATATAAGCTGGCGTGGAATATCGCGAGCCGCTGCAGCCTGAGAAGTGGAGTGAGTCTTTTGGATGTGGAGAGGCTGCGGGGTTTATCCCAGGTCCACCACGGAATTATGAATTCGACATCAGGCGATCAGGAGATCTTCGAGGATGCTAGAATGTAGGGATGATGGCCGATACGTCAGACGATGGCTGGATGAATGAAGGCTATCCTGAGGGCCACATTGCCGGGCTACATAGTCTAGTATTAGTTGGTCTCTGATGCTTCTCTCCAAACACCAGAAATCCAGATCGCCGGCATCTTCCTGTTCCGTCGCATCATCCGGAGATCCAATGCCGAATCACGAGGTGCAGCCAGATTTCAGTGTCATTTTGTCCCTTTGCAGAGGCACTTTGTTTAACCACACCACCCTCTCACGCCATCCACTGCCAATCCCTTCCAACAGCGGGGCTCTCAGGCACACGGGCCACGCCACCGGTAGTTGCAGTCATGATGAGGGCTGAGACTATCACCACGCTGGAGATCCTCATCCATGGATGCAGATGAAGTTTGGATGAGTCTTTAATTCTGTGCTGATGGCGGCATCGACTCATCCGAAGCAGCGGTGTGCTCTTGCAGATGCCACTTTTTAGGCGCTGCAATCTCACGATGAATCATGCCACTCATAACGAGTCAACAACAGCACCTCATCGGCCCCCGTTTGACATCATCCGCTATAAATAAATTAATAAATAGCTCCAATTCAACCACCTCAAACATCAGCCATTCCGCTGAAACTGCACAGCACTTATCTCAGACTCCATTCCATCCCCGGTGTCGGGGTCTCTTCGAGGCTAGAATGGATCTCTGGATCCACGCGTGAATCATCATCTTCTCCACGTAGATGATCTTATCTCATGGATTCCCTTTTCTTCCAGGCTATTCTATATTCACTCCAGCGCCGGTGTTGAGCTGAGCCTGAACTAGTTCCTCTGTCAGGTAGTAAGGCTTTCCAGCCCATCTGTGGAGTCTTAGATGCGGCCAATTCCCTGTTCGGTGAGCCAATCACACAGTCCAAGAGTTCGACTGTATGAGAAGATGAGAGGATGAGATGACGAAAGGAATATATTTATTCGATTGAATCGAGCTAAAATACAATATGAGGTGCTTGTTCAATCCAGCAGAAGCAGCGTGCTCAACACAATTGCAGCTGTCAGAATAGCATTGGATAGAGAGAGCAGTTGCAATAACAGAACAAATTCTATCATTTTAATCAAAAGCTGGGGAATTCCATATTTAATTGTAACTTAAACTACAAAAACTACAAATTAGCTGCATTAATCGTTGGTGTTGAATTGACACAATCAGCAAAGATCACGTGTTAGTCAAGCTCCGATCTTTATCTCCATCTCATCTCCATCTCCAACGTTTCTACTTTCTCCCACGCAAGCATGTCTTCCCATCATATTGCCATTGCAAAGGCCTCCTTCTCTGCGGGTCTTTTGCGCCCCGATCCCACCTCCGTTCCTCGCGACGAAATCACCGCGTTTCACACCTCCTTCGACAGGACGCTGTCGCATTGCTCCCCAGCAAACATCCAGGTTTGATCCGTCGAGCTCCTTTTTTTGCCTGTCGATGTCACCGGAATACTAAAGTTCTTGTCTCGTCGCCACGTGCTAGACTTGCAAATCATGGCTCCTCAACTATGTCATCTCGTCATCTAATCGGGTCGGCGTGTGGGCCAAATATCTCGTCGCCTTGTCCGGTTCCTTCACCCCGGTCGAGGATGGAAAACAGCCCACGCCGGCCGGGGCCACTCGTGTCAGCCTCTCGCCTAAGAGAAAACGGTTGCATATTCTATACCTGCTCAACGATTTGTTCCATCACACCAAATACCATCTAGACTCGACCGCCGCTTTTTCTACACTAAGTGGCTCGCTGCAGCCGTATATTGTGGAACTATTGGGGTACGCCGCATCCTACGATCGAGAAAAGCACCCCAAACACCACAGACGACTGGATGATTTGCTGGAAATTTGGGCGGATCATGGATACTATGGGGCCGACTACGTGGATAAGCTCCGGGAGGTGGTGAAGAGCTCGGCCTTGTCTGGGCCTGTCAAGACATCCATCGGGGTGGAGGAAAATAATACCGAGTCGACAAAGAAGTTCACAGGCAAAGACGCCCCGTTTATCATGCCATCAACCCATGGTGATCCTTCTACACCCTATTATGATCTCCCCGCGGGCAACCTGGTCCCCCACATCATTCCGGACTCGACAGTACCTCTCCGGCCGGATTCCATTCGACCACTGCAATTCCTGGCTGGACCAGCGGATGCCAAACTAGTGGCCGCACTCAAGACATTTATGAAAGATGTCGACCGGATATACGGACCAGGCAAGCCGGAGAAGAATGAGGAGGATGTCATCGACATTGATGACCTGGGACAAACGGTGATACGAGACGGAATTACCGGCGACATCCTCAATGGGGAAACCTACTACGGCTGGTCTCGAACATTCTGTCAACAGATGAAGAAGCGAAATCAGACCCGAGACTCGGGTGACTCTCGCCGAAGCTGGAGTCGGAGCCGGAGTCGGAGCCGGAGCCCCAGACGAAGACGCTACAGCGACAGCGCAGATAGCGACGATAGCAGACGCTCCAGATCCCGATCCCGATCTCGCAGACGAGATTATTCTCGATCGCGAAGTAGTTCCCGTCGACGCTCACGCTCCTATTCCCCACGCGGGCCGTCCCCTCCACGATCTTCTTTCCCTCCTCCTCACCAACCACAACACCAACAATACGTACCTCCACCAGGGATCCCTGTACCACCACCTGCACCTTTCAATTTCCCACCGGGTGGTGGCGCTCCACCGCATGGGTTCAATCCCAACATGGTCCCAAGTGCTGCCCCCCCACCTCCACCAAACTACCAAGGCCCCTGGCCACCACTCCCACCCCCACCGATGCCGACAATGGGCTTTCCACCAGGCATGAACCAGCCGGCATTTCCTCCCCCATTTCCAGTGCAAGGAAGTGCCTTTCCTCCAATGAATATGGGACCAGGTCATCCGGGTTATCACTTCCCACCTCCTCATTCGGGAAGTCCCGGGCCGGGTGCAGGGCACTGGCAAGGCGGGTATGGTCGTGGTTGGAGGTGATCTTATAAAATATGTATGATAATCGTATTACCTATCATAAAGAAACTATTAAATCATCTGTCTGTACCCAATTGACAACATCAATTCCTAGCCTATTTTTGACGAGAATAAAATAAAAGATACATGCCAAACCAAAAAGACCCGAGCAGAAAACCAACCCTCCAAGAAAAACACACTATCCAAAACCCCCATCCATCAACTCATCGAACCCTCAACCCTTCTTCGATGGAGATGGGGATGGAGATAGAGAAGGCGTAGCGGTAGTAGCAGCCACAGCGGCACTAGCACTCGAACTATGCTTCTTGGCGATCGCCTTGTCGAACATTTCACATGTTTTGAAGATATCCTTCTGCTGAACGTTAGTCACAATCACCATTAAGATCAAACAGATTCAACAGAATCAAAATCCAAAACAAGAATAAGGACTTACCGTAGGAGCCCCATGACAACACATAATACTCTCTTCGCAGAATTCCTCGGGATCAGAATAAGCCATTGGTTTACCTATCACATCATTAGCCATCTACAACTTTTCTCTTCTCTCCTTTCCCTTTTCAAGGCGAAACTGAAAGGGGCGGAGGGGAAACATACACTCCAACCCCAAAATCGACGAAATCTGAATCCCACCCACATAGGGTAGGATACTACCCAGTCCACCCGTGAGCTGGTCCCCAATCCCGTCGATAGACGTGCAGCACATTTTCGATTTCCCGGATGGACATGTTTCCGGTTTAGGGGTGTTTGATGGGGTGTGGACTGCGGCAGACGATGATTGGATCCGGGACGCGAGGGATGCGGGTTTGTGTTTGCTTTTCCCTGTGCGCGTGCTGGATGGGAGAAGGTGAGGTGTTGATGTGGACGGCGGCGTGGGCGTGCTGGATGGATTATACGGGGCGAAGAGCGGCTTGATGCTCGTTGGAGTTTTCTTGGGCGTGGGCGTTGGACTATACGGCGAGAAAGATGGTTTGGAGCTCTTTGATGGTGTGGGCAAATGGGTTGTTGGTGAAGGGATGCCCAACAATGGTGGAGTTGTTGTAGGTACATTCAACGTAGTGGATGTTGTTTCGTGGCCGACTGGGACAGCGGCCGCGAGAACAAAGCTGGATGCGCAGGCGAGAAGGACAGAAGGACGCATTTTGGCTGATGATGATGATAATGAATGACTGGGTAGTTTGGATAAAAGAAAGTAAACACTCAGCGAGTGTGGTGAAAAGAATGACTTGCGTTCAGTTAGTGAATTTAGAAATTCCAAGGATAAAGGGAATTAATGAGATGAAAAGACATGAGGAAACGAGATAAACCAGGAAAGGGAGAAGAGAAAGGGCACAAGGAGAGCCAACTTGAGGTTAGGGTTGACTATCTCCTTGATAGAGCATGGCTTTTGTTTACTCTAGTTCTGTCAGTTGCCAACAAGGAGCATATAGGCCGTGACTGGAATGTGAGAACAGTATGTATCAGGTTGTGGATGGATGGAATGTTCCGATCCTCGCACGAGACTTGGTCAATTTGACTACCATCCATGATGCATGACAATGTTTAATGCCATGTAGTCGATTGACACCTGCATATAAAGTCTTCCTAGACATCAATCAAGACCAATATGTAGACATAGTCATGATAGACCAGTCTTCGGCAAGTGAAACATCCCTTGGGCATTCCTCCAAGACAGTCTCGAAACCTTTTGCTGTCTGGCTTGATGATCATCAGTAAGGGATAGACTATTAAATCTTAAGTTTAGGATGTTGTTGCGGTCGACCAAGGCCTTCGTCCAAGAGAAAAGTCCACAGCTGTGGCTGGATTGATTATCGTACATATATCCGATGGCTCGAACCCGAGCCAACATAATCATAAAAGCATAACATCATAACGGGGATACAAACCATCCGAGGGAATCCAGAACACAGCAAGAGCAATACTAACACACAGAGAGAACAAGAATTATCGTACAAACGCTCCTTCGCAGAAGGCTTACACCACAGCAATCGGGCCCAGACCGTGCAACAGGTGATGATGGAGGGTAGATGGGAAGAAAAAATTGGTTGTATTGCTGTCCGAAGATGATATAGCGAACAGCCACAATCGAGAAGAATGGTGAAAGTAAATGAGTGACAAGAAGCGAAAGGTCGGACATAGACATGGGGAAGGGGCAATTTTGGTGACTTTTTTTCCTGTTTTGAAATGGATTTTGAAGCGGGGGATAGCAAGGTGAAAAGTAAAAGCGTAAAATCAAATTGCTCGAGTTAAAACCCCATGAACCGAATGAATCAGATGCCAGCAGGAATCTGAACCAGAAGGTTGATGTGCCTTGACTCTGATGAGCTCGAGGGGAAGGATATGTCCGAAAGGGGACAATATATCAAACCAAAAGATGGACACAGGATCTTTCAAAGGAGCGAAGTCAGTGACTCAGTCCAGAGACAGCACACTCATTGCCTTCAAAGCATCGATTCGCTGTCGCTAGTAATTCCAAGAAAAGCGCTCGCGCTGATAAGCCATGAAACGCCTGAAAGACGATAGAGAACGCAATGTCTCACGGGTCACTGGTCTCCTCATCAATCACCAAAAAAAAAACTCCACATGGAGGGCTGCCACCTCCTCTATAAACCGGTTGGTTGTCGACATGAAACATGAAACGTGGTCGCCAGTCGTGTATCGGGGGCGTTATATAAATATGTCAAGGCGCTAGTATGCAAAGTGGTATCGATCGGATCATATAACGTGTCAAACAACCAACATGTCGAAATGAGATGGGCGATCAAAACGCTGGCTTGGAGCCAGCAGTATTCCCGGGTGGACTGCTTTCTTCGGAGCCATAGGAGCTGGGAGGGCCTGCAGATGTGGGAGCAGCAGCCTGACGAGCCAGCACGCCGCTGGCCGAAGCACCACTGTTACCGCTGGTGTTGCTGCCACGACTGCTGCGGCTGACAGGCGAAGCACTACCTTCTTCCATCTCCATAAAGGTGGACATTCGACGCTGAGTGTATTCGAGCATGACGCGGTTGTAGTCTTCGAGCGAAGTACGGGGGTCGAGGGGTCTTGAGTTGTCGACAGCGTTGTTACCAGGAGGACGACAGCCTCCGCCGTCGGTGGGGAACATTTGAATATTTCCAGATTGTTGCATGGAGGCCATGGTGTATAGAGATGAGTCTAATGAAGCAGGGCTGTCAGTCGAAATAGTCCAACTCCATCACTCCATCTCTTCGCGAACACATTTCAGTCGACGATCCACATCGTGTAACCGAGGCACAACCCGCGGGGGGGAAATCCAAGGATGCCTGATGGGAAAGACGATGCGAGGGGAATCCTCGCCGGGAGAAGAGGACACGATGGTATTTTTGGAGTTTTCTTTTTTTTTTTTTTCCTGGCTCACCTTTAAGGAGTTAAGGGCGATCAACTAAGAAGATGCTTAGTGAAAGGGCTGAAAGTCTAAGAAGTCTATATGGAGATACGAAGGGATAGACAGGATGGGAGATGCCGGGGGGCAGAGAGCAAAAGAGAAGAAGTTTGGCTGGAAGAGGATGAAGTGAAGTCGAAGAAGACGAGGAAAGCACGAGGAGCAGCACCAGAGAAGGTATAAATCAGTGCAGTTTGGATATGAAATCACTATCAGACGAGCAGCGAACAGTTTGTCTCACCTAATGGGAAACGATATTATTATTTTTTCCGTTTTAATATTTTTTCATTTCAGTTATTTTATTTTTACAAAAAGAAAAGACTCCATAAAAACGATCAGAATCCACCGCTGCAATGGAGGGAACACCATGACATCATCTGCTGTCTGGGGATCCATCGGCGACATCATAAAGCCTCGATGCTCGCAGTCGACATCACCCCATCACTCGATCTCTCGATCCTAACATCATTAGTCGGTCAGTGTACACGGTAGTCCAAACTAACCAGGAAAATTAAATATATAAATTAATTAGAGGAAAAAGAGAAGAAAAAAAACGACAAGACAGTCAGTGGAAATGAAGTCACTCCAAGGGGGTCAACCACTGCGACTCCACCCGATGGCGTTTCCGATCGACATTTCGACTTTTTGCGCCAGAAAAGTACCAAAAGGGCTGTTATTTTTGCAAATTGGCCTGTTGTATTTTGCTTCTCCCTTTTCCCCTCTTTTCTAATTTTTTAATAATCAGAAATTTTCCATTGCTATGAAAATAATAAAATTTTTCCTGTGTCCCTGCAGATCGAGGTCTGACAGAGCTCTGATTGCTCTGTGCTGGGACAGACAGGCAGACTAGCCAAAGTCACCGGGACAGCAAAGTGGATATTCCGCGCGGAGACGAAAAAGGCTGCAGTGACCGCAGATGAGGTTGAAGCTATTCAACTAGGTGCAGAGATAGTGATGGACTAGTTCGGGTCGAGTATGTATGGACAGAGTGTGTAGGAGTAGCCTCATTATCCACAGTCTAGACACGCAGTCCAGACATATTCGGTGGTTATTGTGGCGTCATTCAAACCTACGCGACCTCCCAATCTGGCATATTCGATGTCCATCGAAGGAAATGGCAGAGAGAAAAGAAAGGGAAGAAAAAAAAAAGATGGAGCTTCGGTCGAGGTGGATTCCCCCCTCCTTGCGGAGTACATCGAGAGCCGACTGTCTAATGAGATGTAGTAGATAGACAAGGGGGGTGGGAGCTCAGCAACAGCAGCTCCAACAATGTGGATGAACAGGAGACGCTGCTGATCCAACGAGAGAGTGCGAAATGCGAAATCGCCAGTCGATGTTGGAGATGAATGCGAAGAGGTTCGGCGCTGGTGGCGATGATTTGTTCGTGCGCAGTGGAGAGTGCCTGAGGCCGTCAGCCATTGACGTCATTCTATCGAGATAGAAGTCGAAGATACCGAGTACTTCAATGTGGAAGAAGATGATAGATGGATAGTTTATTTCTACTTCTGTCTGTTGTTTAGATGTACTTTATACTATGTGCTATCCTGTACTTTTGTATATGTAGGTGGAGATGTCTTCCACTCATATCAACCTCATTCCTAACAAAATGATAGACTCGATCTGCATATTCTACGTGGATATCCAAGTACTACTCCACAGAGTAACAATCTGCAGTGGTAGCACATATCTCATCATCAGTGGATCATTCAAGAACACCACAGAACAACAAGTGGATATCGATATCGTATACATAGTACTATATATGCATCAGGTTGATCAACACCAACTAACCCCCATGCCGGAATTATATAGCATCCTCCCGTCTGCATCTGATGGTCTAGAACATAAGGTAAACCCTCCGTTGCAACACTAAAGCATAAAGACTGCCCGATGAAATCAGAGATAGACACACATACACAAAGAATGAAAATTGAAAAATACCCCCGAACAATCGTCAGCCCTCGTGGAACGTTATCATCGTCATATCATCCCATCATAATCCCTGGACATCGGACACTCGGGATACCAAGTATGGTATGGGAGTGGTTACATTGTCATTGGGGTGAACAATTTATTTCTCCACAACTAAAGGCAAGGTACAAAGTATCCAGTCGATGAATCCGTCACATCCCCTGGGAAATCTCAACCCAGAACACGACGACAACGTGGTTGGCCCACTGTCCAGCGAAGAGGGCCCTTTTGCTTGGAATGATATCACTTCTTCTTCCTCTTTCGTCCTAATATTTCGGCACTTGACAGATCATGACCATCTTAGCAGTTGGATGATGTCGAATCGACAAGAGACTGCAGCGTAACGTCATGCACTGTAGCGGAGGCTTTGGTTACATAGTACTGGCATACATCTCATCTTTCCCCCTATGCGATAGACCGCACATCGCTTCCCTTCATAGGAAATAGGAAAAGAAAGGGTCTCGTCATGTCATCTCGTTGTCCGCCCAACCTCGTGTGGCAAATACTCTGTTCATTTCTTTTTCCGTCAACGAAAATCCATCGGTCCATGGGTTTCCCTCATGATCCATTCCAGACTTGACTCTGCTTGGTTCACTCAATCCGAGACAGTGGGATAGCCACAGACACAGTGGTTGATGATATCCACTTCCATTGTTCACATGGTCGATGATAATCTCTACTCCATGTCAGCCTCTGTTTTCTCCTCATTTTTATCTTTTTGACTTGCCGTTTTCCGCTGGTCTGTTTTGCGATCGACCGACGTCTGTCCTTTTGGCAGCCCTTGGGTCTTGGGTCTTGGGTCTTGGGTCTTGGGGTCTTCAGGGTCCAGCACATCACCATGATGAGTTTCCACAGAAGCTCTCTTTTTCCGACTATTAGCTATCCTTAGTAGCTTACTTTTTTTGAGGGGAGAATTGTAGAAAATGTTTCTCATTGGCGAGAGGCTATACTACCTGGAGATACCGCAGAGAGTACCGACTCTGCGCTCGGTGCGAGGCGAGGGATGAGATATCCATGAATCCACCATGAAAAAATAACTACGCAAATCTCGCTCTTCCCATGACGTGACTATCTTTCAAGGCCGCTTTGCATTGCCTGCTTCAAAAATAAAATAAAGCAGTAAAAAAAGTAATGAAAAAAATCTAAATCCTATCAGGGAAAGGGTAGATACACTAGTACACGACACAGTTTCAATTTGGACATTATTATAATTCATGCTCATGCTCATCACACGTAACCTGCAGAGACACACAAAGTCGGTCAGGAATTATTGAAAAAAGCAATTTCCAAATGCGGAGAGGACTTGATAGCCATGGGGAGAGGAGAGGAGATATGACGTACCTTTTCTGGCGCCCTGGAAGAAGAACCGGACAACAAACACCTGCAATCCGGCCATCGACACCATCATCAGTCCCTCAATCACGCTAAAGTTGAAGATTCGACGCTCCGTGCTCCGGACAGTGCTGAAGTTGCGGTTCTCGCGCGTCCGGAAGTACTTTTGGTTCCGCGAAATCGTCGACAGCTGGGCAGACAGCTTGAAGATGGACTCCTCAAGCGCCGATGCCTGCTCGGGGCTGGCTCCTTGTTTGGAAGGCAGCTGAGCGCGTTCCTCGTGTTCAACCTGTTAACGACCAAACCATCAACGTCAGTCCATTATCACTCATAACTAAACAGGGAGCATATGTGGATAAACAGAATCATCCCCTTGCCATCACCCGTCATCATTGTAAAAAAACCGGAAAGAGAGGCCATACCGCAATCTCAAAGTCCACATATTTCTCCGCAAAGGTGGACATCTCATTGTTGAAGCAGAATTGGTACTCGCCAATGCTCTGAGCCGTGAACACAAAGTCGCCTTGTCGCTCCTTGGTATCCGACATGATCACCTTACCACCCGGACCGGTGACCGAGTAGTCAACATCGAAAGAACCTCCGGATTGCACCTAGATCCAACCATTATCAGCCATTTACTTTCCAACCATGTAAAGCCCACTCCGTAAATCACATACCGCAAAGTAAAAGGCAACCTTCGAGTTCAACTGGTCAACGTAGGTGTGGAAGCAGGCCTTCTCGTTGGCTTCGAGCTTGTAGGTGAGAGCGGTTGCCGAAACGGTCGACACCACCGTGGCCAAAAGGCCAATGACCAGAGTTGCAAAATGCATCGTAAAGCTGAACGAACGGAAGAGCGAGAGAGCCGATATCGCGACCAGGACAACTCTCCTCAAGATGTGGTTTGATCGAAGGGAAACACGCGATCTATGAATGGGTCAGGAGTTGAGGTTTCTGGACAGCTGTGTGTTCCGCCATGTTTGGTTTGTTTGCATCCGTTGCGGCCAGACCATCCACAGCTCCGTGTCAACTAACAATAAGCTACAACTATTAAACGCTACTGGAAGGATATTTAAACAATGAACAAAGAATTAGACGAATAAATGTATTGCCTTACATTACTGGCAGCTTCAGTGCTAAATAAAGCAATATCAAGCAATGTAAAGCAAGATAAGCAAATAAAACAAGCTATTTCATTCAAATTTATGGTCTTTGTCAATATACCAGTGTTGCTTAGCAGGTATACAGTATTTTCACAAGCTTCGATAGCAGTATGCCCTCCTCCATAAATGGGAACCCCCTCCAACCTAGAATGCAAGACACCACATCAACTCCACTTCTATCGAATGAAGAAAGACTCGCTTCGGTTCCAAAAGCTCCGGTTCTTATTTACATGGTCGAGACCCAGGATATCGTCTTGCTCACTCGCGATATCCGAGAGTATATCATCTAAAACAGTCGAATTAGTCTCATTCCCGTATCCCATAAAACAAAGATCAAACTTACCCTCTTCGATATAGCGCGGGCTAGAGTATAGGTTGCGAGGAACAACTGCAAATTTGATCTTCTCAAACTGCTTACCCTTGATACCGGTCCGTTTCGACAGCCTCTCCTTTGTCTGCTTGAAGATCTCTCCCTGTCACGCATTAGAAAAACGCACGCTTAGAGAAAGCAATGATGGTCCACTTACAGGCTTGACAACAAACTTGAAAGGCACGCCGTGCGGCTTGCTCGGTTCCCGGTCAAAGTTGAACGCATTGATCGTCCTTTCACCTTCCTCCATATGTGCCTCTTCTTCTGGTATTTTCTCGGCATACAACGTCGAAAACTCATTGATACCGATGATCCGAGAATCCTCCTGAAGTTCCTTGTATATCTTGCCGCTGTGGGACTCGAAGACTCTCAGGTTTTGAATGGCATCATCGTCAAGGTTTGCCTTCTTCTGCAATCCAGCCAGGAGATCGGAAACAGTTCCTTCACGGGGCACCAAGACCTCAATAACTTGCTGCCATATCCATGAGCATTCTGCTTGTTTAATATGTATGAAAAAGCTTACCTCTTTGGTGATACCCTCAGGGAGCCACGTCACTTTCAGGCATTTCTTAGACTCAAAGTCGCTCAAACTCGTCTCCAAAACCTCATACAACAGCGCATCCGGACGGTGTATGCTGTACCCGTAACCACCAATTTGACCACTCAGAATCTGGAACAATGTCTGGTTTGCCTGGTTGGGGTTCCGCTTGATAAATGCTTTCGGCTTTCCAGTGCTTGCAAGGACGGGAGCAAATCGCAAATGTGTGAAGTCCACCCCAAGATGTTCCCCAACCTTCTTTGAGAACTGATCATATGTCATTTTTCGGCTAAGAGTCAGCGTAAACTCATCACTGTCGCCACCCCTAATGGGAGCGAAAGTAATGTTTATCCTGTTCAGAAGGTAATCATAGTATTGCCTTGCGTCGGGATACAATGCGGTAGGGGGCAGCTCCGAGTCTTTGACTGTTCGCTGGAAAGCGATGATGTCGCCATCCTGGATTTCAGACTGCTGGAAGGTCTGCTTGGGTTTCATAACATCAATCATGTTGTGTTTGATTTCCTCAAAAAGCATAAACTCCGTGCCAGCAGGCCAGTTCATTTTCTCCAGTATCGTCGGTGCGAGATCGGCAACTTTCTGGTTCTTGCGGACATAGACCGGGCCAACTCCAGTCAAGGTTTGCGCTGCAGCATCAAAATGTTTCAGGAAGATAAGAACGGAGTTGTTGCTATCTGGCCATGAGACCGTTCCATCGGCGGAAAGCTCGCCAACTTCCATCCACACCCTGAACGCATTTCCTTTCGTGCCGAATCTACTGTATGCTTCTTCGACAGTCATCTCTGGATCTTTGATAACCTGGTCAGGCCGAGTAGTCTTGTTTTGTCGATTCACCATCACCCAGAACCGAATCTGGCTTCCTTGGAGACCCTTTTCTTCCGCGAGTTGTTCCGCAAACTCCCCAACCTTCTGGGCTCTAAGGATTCGGTATTGCTTGGCTAGGGCTGGGTCACCGGCTGGCAGTTCGAAGCTCGTTAGATCAAACCCATGGTGGGATTGGAAAGACTCTTCTGTCAGGACTCCGACGTTGATGTACAAGTGGGCCTCTTCTCTTTCCTTCTTCCTACGGGCAGCTTCCACGCGTTCCTCGACCAATCGTTTCTCTTTAATCTAGTCAGTAAAAAGGGTAAAGTGAAAGCAGTACGGTTCCATACCAATGTGAGAAGGAACATCGTCCTGTGTAATGGGCAGAAGAACATCATCCAGTCTCGTCTTTCGGACATAAACCAACATGTAAGCATTCATCGACCGCTTAGTAGACAATCCTCGGGTGTAAGGCTGTCGGACACCGGTCGCCCCGTTCGTAAGCTCGTATTCACCACCGTAATTCTCATCAAGAACCTCCTTGTCCGTGGCACGGGTCACTCTGTCGTCGTCAAACCGATACCAATGTCCATCTTTGGTGGGCTTCAGGAAGGCATAATAATGACCAGCATTAAAGTCACCACTGTGCACCAGTACACCATGTAATTGATAGATCCAAGATTCGGACTTGTCGGCTTCATTGGAGAGGTAAGGCGTTGCATCAAATTCCATTGGGAAAGCATGTCGGTCATTCAATTTCATCATCGCATCACGGTTAATATCGTACTCGAATCGCTTAAGGTGCAGATGAAGGACGGGCGGGAAACTTTCGAAAATGACACCCTTCTTAGCGTCTTGCAGCCCATACGGTTGGCCAGCATCGTATTTGTTTTCACCTTCAAGAGTTTCCACCTGAATGTAATCTTTGAAACTGTCATCGAGTGTCTTGTTGCCTCTTACGTTGAGCTGAATGTCCCAAAAGTCCTCCACGCGAGACGATTCATAATCAACATTGATGCAAGAAATGTAGGTTTTCGTTTTTCCAACGAATAGGTCGGGCAGGGCTTTTTCAGCGGGGGTGCCCTTCATTCTCTCCTCTAGCCGTTCCATGAGCTTTCTCGAAAGTTCCTGGACATCCTGCTGCTCGAAGATTTGCCTCGATTCCCAGCCAAAGGATGCCGTGAGCTCGGTTGTTGAGACAGAGTTCTCGCTTGTTTGCAGGTTGTTGAACAGTCGCTGAAGAGTCCAAGCACTGTTGTCCCTCGAGGCCTCGGTCTCTGTCGGAATTTCGTAAACGGCCTTGGAAACAGTTATTATCGTAGCGTAAAAAGACAGAGATGTAGGCACATACCTTTCTGAAAGAATTGGTGAAATACAGAGACTGTAGGAGAGAGTTAAGGTAGCAAGTCGCACCCTGGTTCTTCAATCCAACCATTCCGGTCTCCTTCTTTGAATCATAGCTAGAACAATCAGCATTGCGATGACTGGGGCCAAACGAGGAAAACATACTTTTGGAAGCTGTGCCAAAGCACACCAGTCGGGTCTTTCACAACACGAACATAAGCTGTGATTTTCGCCTCTTCATTCTGAACCAGGGGCGATCCTCGATCTTCCCACGACATGCTGAAAAGTCTTCGCAGTTCGCAGAATCGTGTGAAACCCCAATCCCCCTCGTCCGCGTTAAATCGGTGGGTAGCGACTAGATAGAATGAGTAAGAGTTTTATAAATTCCAGGCGTATTGATTTGCGTACCATGAGACATGTATATAGAGGGATCGTTCACATTCGATAGGACTAGGGCAAACTGCACGCAAGCGTACCAATTCTCTGGCGGGTCCTTTTCCCATGCGTGTTCCAGATAAAACGAGGCGTGCTCAACGTGGTTTCCATAGGGAAAGAACAGGATCCGCCTGTTGCGACTGTCAGAGCCGTGTCTTTCCAACGCTGTACTTAGAGCCAAGGTTATCTACCTACCATGGGGAACCCCCGCATTCGAAGACCGGCCCATGTTCCTTGCGCTTCAGATTGCGCCAACCCTGAATGTGCCATGTGTGGTGTGTCTCTTCCAGTGTCTCCAAATCCGGGTCTTTGGGGAGAATCCGCGCCATCATTGCTGCATCTATACCAAATCAAATTAGAAAGAAATCTTGAGAACGTTTGGTCGGCACGAATATCTCCACTGCAGAATCTGCGGATCCGGAGCAACTGCCCGGAGTTCTCTTTTGAAATAGCAGGTATGGGACTATCGGTTGGGTTGTAAGGGGGTGGTGGTGGTGAGGGCTCTTACGGTCGTCTGCAAGAGGCTCTGGCTCTGGCTCCTCTGAACCATCGCGGGAGACGACGACAACGTCGGTTCTGTCATTATTATTTTGATATTGCTCGTATTCATCGACGAGCATATCACTGTCCGCGACCTAGAGGAGCAAAGAATGCGAAGTTAGCAGGTTTGCTTTCGACTGACATCAGAGCCAACCCATGTCAGTTCGGCTATGGTGCGGGCAACACTCACGTTGTCCATGTAGAGAAAAAAAGTGTGTTTTCACACACTTCGATCGGAAAACACCCGCTTTGAAGTAATAGGTAAAAAAAGCGATGAGGCTAAGATAGGGAAAGAAAACGGAGTATCGGGACACGTTCTGCCAGGAAAGGAGAGAGACGGGGTAAGAAAGTCAGTAGTGAGGGTTTGCGGCGCCGGTATGAGGCAATGGGTGCCGAAAGAGAGTTCTGGGCTTGCAGCAGAAAGAATTCCAGCAGGTGAAGCTAGCGGTGGCGGAGTTGCTGTTTCGTTTGGGCGGGACACCAAAAGACCGTTAAAACCCACGGAAGAAAAAGAAGCCCTCGATTAACGGTATCCTAACTAACGACTATGCAGCTGGAGAGGGTGGGAAAGCTCTGTTAGCGGGGCATTCCTGGTTATTCTTAGGCGTATCCATGAACGATGGATTATTCGAAGACATCTGCAGCTTCTTTGTTCCCCAAGTCTGACGGTATTAATTGTTGCCTAGCTGACTGTACAACTACTTCACTGTCAAAGTGGTTATATTCTATCTTTAAATTCCATACATTCCTCATATTCAATTCAATCTGAGGATAATTTGTTCAATGTGATATCACAGTCTATCTAAGCTTGAGTAAGGCGCACTGTTTGATCATCCACACACCAAACCAAAACTGGATGTGGAGGGGAGAAGCGAAATAGCCTAGGCAGAGAGCATGATTCTGTTGATTCTCGCCAACTGTTTTATCCCTTTATAGGGCCTTTGAGATATTCTTAGTAGGCATTAACCTCTGTATCATCTCTTTTTCTATCCAGTCGCTGTAATAGAGTGTTGGAGCAAATATAGCATTATTTGATGCTATACCACAGCTCAGCAGAGCGATGAAAATCCCCCATGTTATACACGTAGATCCTCCCAATATCTCCATCAAATCAAAGCATGACACAAAGATACAATAATAAGAATTACACAAAGTGGACTGATATCGATGCCAGTCACATGCCAGGGTCTCTTTTTAAGCTTTCACCGCCCTTGCCTGCAGCTCCGTGCTTTCTCCCAGTCATGCCATGCCATCAACCACGGCAAGCAGCAGCTTCATGTCGACCTAAATGAGCGTTTTAGGCAAGCCATGTATGCTGGAAAGCCTGAAATATCTCAAGAATTGGATTGGTTTCCGGGTTGAGACCAAATTCGCCTCTGGACGGATCGAGTGTATGGCAGAGCAGTATGCTACAGAGTCATCCAGCTCGGTGCTGGCGAGCCCTGCGACGACGATGCGCCTCTAATGTCCGGTTTTACTCTGGATATTCACATAATCCGCCTCCATGGAGACCTGTTTCAGCTCTGGATGAGTATGTACCTATCGCCTCCCGGACATTCCTTCACGTATGCACGGCTAATCTTGCAATAGCTGGGTGGAACGTGACATTCGGCCCATCAGTCTTCGACAGTTGACATTTTTTGGTCGGACTTTGACAGAATCGCGACTTATCAGCTCTGCCAACTATGTGAGAACAGAATTGCCAACCAGGTTAGTCTGAAGTCATCTTTTTACCGTAGACTTTTCTCATCTAACCACTTGGGATCGTGGACAGGATTGCGCACCGTTTGCGAGATATCCAAAAACTGCCATATGTGGTGGTTGCGAACCCACACCTCTCCCTCGTATATGAACTCTACTACAAGGCATTTGAAAGGTTTCGGGTCGTGCCCGAGATCAGAACTCTGGACGACAATGATAGGTTTTGTGATGTTCTTCGCGACACGCTCAAGGATCATCTTGTGGTGATCCCTCAGTTAGCAATGGGTGTCTTAGAGTGTCGGGGTCTCGTACCACCAGATATCATGGACCACTTCATGAATACACTTTTGCGAGCGGTATGGTTGTTTGGGCGCGATCACCCAATCATTGTCAACTGACAGTCTACCAGAGAATCTCCCGCCGCGTCATCGCAGAGCAACACTTGGCTTTAACCGATACTTTCAATTCCCCGTGGCATTTCCCTGACTCCCACGACCGCACAGATGTAAATGCCGAATTTGTAGGCGAGGTTTTTCTCAAATGCAACGCCAAGGAAGTCATCGAACGGTGTGGGAAGCTTGCCCAAGACATGATGCGCCAAAGCTCTGGGTCGGATAAGATCCCCGAGATAACCGTGCAGGGCCATCTGGACGCCACCTTCCCCTATATCCTAAGCCATTTGGAATATATCATTGGCGAGCTTTTGCGCAATTCCATACAGGCTGTCGGTGAAAAATACAAGACTTCTGCCACGAAGCCGCCACCCATTGATGTGCTTATCTGCGAAGCACCACAACATGTCATTATGCGTATATCTGACCAGGGAGGAGGTGTACCTCGCGAGATCCTCCCATATCTATGGTCTTTCAATAAGGGACCCCACAGCCAAGCACGGCTTCAAAATCTAGGACAAGTACCTGCGATGGCGGCCACAATGCAAGAGCTGACGGTGCCCAAAGAGAGGAAGCGTGCGGATAAAGACACTTTCCGCGAAGACTCGCTGCACTCGTTGACCTCACGGCCCCCAAATCTTCGTCTTGGGATGGGGTTGCCTATGAGCAGGGTCTATGCTGAGTATTGGGCGGGTAGTCTGGAGCTACATAGCCTGGAAGGGTATGGTGTTGATGCGTTCCTTCAAATATCGAAGCTTGGCAACAAGAATGAGCAGGTGACCACGAGGGCTTCTATCGATGCTGTATGATTAGTACTTCATGATTCTATGAGAGACGTTAATTTGATTACTTCTCCATTGTCAATACAATATGTTTATCATGTGTTTATTATTGTGCTCCAGCCACACCCCACTACCCCATGGTTAGTTGCTGTGGCGGTGCAGATTTGATCTCAACCTATCTCAACACAATCGAAATTGGCCAATGACAATGGCCGGATCCTCGCGGGATGACGTCAGCGGAATGACATTCCGGGCTTTCCATTTCAGCCCTAATAGTCCGTATGCAATTATTTATTGCAGCTCGTGCTGCTCTCTGACCTGTCACATTCTGAGCTCTTCTCTGCGTCATATTTCATACAATTTTGGTTCCTGACGTCTAGTCTTTATTCATCCAATATCATCAAAATGAAAAACCTTCGTCTCGTTGATGACAACATTGCTGTCCATGTCTTCCTTCTCTTATTCGTGATATTTATCTTCAGCTTTCTGGGGACCTCCGTGGATCTTCGCAGACGCTCTGTCAGAATCGCAGCATAAGTAAAGAGCTTTCTACTGCTGGAAAGTAAAGTGGACAGTTCAAAATGGCAGGGACATGCTCAATACTTTGTGTGGTCATAATCACCTTGTTTTGTAAGTGATTTCTCTACAAGCCAGCCCAAAACTTGCAACCGAAATCCTTTGCTTGGTATCCATCTTCCAAATGCTAACCCCATCACCAGTGCCTCCTCTCGGTATTCTTCTCATTTCAGGCTGCAGCGCAGACTTTCTGATCAATATCCTCCTTACGATTTTAGGGTCAGTTTCAGACCCTTGCCTACTACATATTCCTTGCAAAGACATGCAGAAACTTCGCAACATCATCCCAGCCTGTTCAAAGTGCAGGTCTAGAACTTGACTAATACCTCCATAGATACTTTCCGGGCCATATCCATGCCTTCTACTTGGAATACGTCTACTATAAGCACCGCAATGCAGACTACAAAACTCCCTTGAGTCGCGATGTCCCTGGGGTGTGTTCAGAACGGATCCAGACCGGTGGACGCCCTGACCGCACCTACGACACCGTTTGATTCCTTGTTTCACGATGGAGACCTTTTTCTCTTGGTCTGACTGAGTCGGTATGGATATTGATGCACAGGCTTTTGTTATGCTTTCTTTATTTCGTCATCGTTATGACGTCCATCTCATTTGCTTTTTCTTTCGTTCCTTGGGTCAGCTGGAGTGTTTTTTACGAGCGATTTCTGATTAGTATAATTGCATTTTTTACCTTTTCCACAAGCTATATGAATCCTACAACGGAATTTAATACAATAACCCTTTTGTTCTTTAATGTCGAATCCAGAAGCAATATTCAAATTTATCTACCAAGCCCAGTCCATTCAAACAGCAGAAGCTGTCCCCTTCTGACCCTCTGAAGCCGCTGCCTCCTTGGCCGCAGCGTTCTTACTGCCCTTGACAGCCGGGAAATCAAACGGCTTACTGCTGCCCGCCTGGCCTGCCGTCCGCGGCACAGCACCAGACCCAGGACTCCACCACAAAGCGCCCACCCAAGGCTGTACATTCCAGCCCACCGACAAGGTCACATTAGAGCGCTCCGCCATCTTGCCCGTAATATCACTAATCTGGTACTTTCCTCTTTGGCCGCGGAGACGGAGAACACCCGGGGCGGCAGGCTCTTTCTTGCTCTTATTCTTCGACGATGCGGAACGCGACTTCTTGGCTGCGGAGGACTTGGCGGGGAAAAATCGCTCGCGGAGAGAGTCCCAGGAATAAGGCGACGCGGGGGCGGAGATGATAGTATCCCAAATGATAGATTCGGAGCTGGGGACGAGAGAGGATTCTTTATCGGACGAGGAGTAAGAGGCAAAGACGTAGACGAAGAGTTGTTTTGTGTTCCAGTTGAAGAGGGGGGAGAGGTCTATTTTTATTTGTTTTCTTTATCAATTGACTTGTACGGGAATATTCAAAGATGGATTGTGTGTATGCGTACCTGCGTCTAGGTCGAATCGAAATTGGGCATATTCCTCTTTCTTAGTAGAGTAGTAGTTAGGCCGTCCCTTGATGCTGTAGTTCATTCCATTCCGTTAGCTAGAAGAAACATTTCAAGAACCTTGACGTTTGTAAGGTGGGAGTAAACATACACCTGCACATTCCTAACCTCGACCTCTGTCTTCGCATTATCAGCAGGATATAAAAAGACCGAAAGCGCAGCAAAACCGGCGACGAATAAGGCCACGGTGGTGAAGAAGCCAAAGACCGCTTGCGCGCGGTTCAAGGATGAGTGCATCTTGTTTACTTTTCCCTTGTTGACATGTAAGGAAAATGAAAGGTAGTAAGAAAGAGGATTTAAAAGATCCTCAGTTGAAGAAAAGAAGGGAGGAAAACCCCCTGCGATTGTGAAGAATTGCTTTCTTTCAACTTTGGGGGAGGCTGAGATGCGCTGAGGTTCTCCAGCTCCAAAGCATGAAGCCACATGGTCCGTTTCGGATACTGTACGGTATTTACGGTATGGTAATATTGGGGGAAGCTGTGGCTAGTGGATTTTTCTTATCGATAAGCGTGGGACTATCACTAGTATTACTATCGAGTGTGGCATCATCCATTGTGACTCGTTCTTTCTCCATTCATCCATCTTTCCTGCTCGGATATCTCGATTTGGGCATTTACTTTCTGCTTCATTCTTCTGCAAGCTTCGAAATTCAGATTGAAAGGTGTATTGTCAAATCCCAATACTCAATCCCTTCAAAAGCCCCTCTTTTACCACATTGCGAAGAACGAGCACTCTCCCCAGTAGATCATCACGATAAAGCTTCATCATCATATATTCAACACATTGATCATAATGGGGGACCATGTACTCTTTTTCTACGGTAATCTGCTGCTATACCTTCACCAAATAAGCATACATATCGCCAAAGTTTTATCGTAACCATCTACCTGCCTTTCCCCTCATCTAAGCTCCCCACCTACCATTTCTACATCACACAAATCTACCAACACACCCACCCTTGCACCCACGTAAAGCTAACTCGGAAACAGGAACCCTAATGGCTCCTCAAATCCTCCACAGAGTTATCCACGGCCGTGCAGACCCCGAACCCTGGCAAAAGGCCATGCTCACCTTCAAACCAGCCATTCTCCACGGCTACCGCCGGCATCGTGTACGGGGGGCCGATTACCCAGGGATCGTACCAGTCAAAAAGACACCCAACGACAGCGGTGATGGGAGTGTTTCTGGTTCTGCGGGCGTGCAAGGTTCGCAACAGCCCAATGCTTCGGTATTGGGTACGCTTGTGTCCGGGTTGACGGATGGGGATATTCATCGGCTGGATATATTTGAGGGTTCGGAGTATGTCAAGAGTGATGTGCAGGTGCGGACGTTACAGGAATCATTGAGTGTTGGGGGTCGACAGGAGATGGGTGTGGGGAAGAATCCGGATGGGCATCTTCGGGACGTGTTGGATGCTGCTGGGGCGGAGTTTGCGGATGAAGGGGATGAGGTGCCAGCGGTGACTTATGTATATGTTGCTGGAGAGGATAGGCTGGAGGATGCAGAATGGGATTTTGAGACTTTCAAGAGGGATAAGATGGCATGGTGGGTTGGGGCCGATGAGAGTGAATGGTGATTGGAGTTCTTGGTTCTATATTTGGTTGCGTCAAAAGAATAAAACTGCAGAATAGAGTAAAGCAATTGAATACTTTTTGTCACTTGGAGATGAGATGTATGATCAATTTAGATTCAATGTTTAAATGCAAGTGAAGTGTCATTTGCACCGATATCATAACATATGAATATTTACACAGAAGTGCAACACCGAGATGAATGCAAAGCATCAAAACAAAAGAGACAAGAATGCTGCTTAGAAAGAATAACAGTGATAACCATACGCAATGCTTGGTATCTTATGCATCCACGGGCATAAAAATAACTCGCCCATACCATCCTTAACGCCTGGCCCAGGGTCATTTCCATGATCCAGTCTATAAAACAAAAGAAAAACAATAGGACAGAAAGAAACAGAACACAATATCCACAACATTCATCTTGTCATAATTGCATATCAACAAATCTTTTCCGGAGGTTTAAATCTTCTGTCTGTTCCTTGGGCTCTTGTGCACTTTCCCTCGCGCACTTGGGGGCGACGGCGTTCCAGTGATCTGAACTTCGACACGAGACTCTTTCACGGGTTCCCGAGGAACTTCAATCGCAATATCATCATCCACGACAACAGGATCGGTCATCCTGGATTTATTTCCACGCACATCTTGCCCATTTTCAAAGGACCGTGCATCGCCACCGCGGCTTAATGGTTGTTCCAATGACTTGTAGCTTCGATCTTGACTATCGGGCACCTCGATTACTTCTTGTCCGACATTTTGCTCAGCAATGTTCTTCAATGTATTCGTGGCCGTTTCTGCCAAGTCAGTTTGCGGTGCTGGCTCTGTTTTTGATGCAGGCTTTTGGATACGGTTCTTTTTCTTTTTGGGAGGTTGTTCAGGCTGGTCTGAAGTGGAACCCTTCATCTGCTCCGCAGGTAGAATGTGCGTCTCAGGGACCATGGTCTTTTGGGAATCATCTATTTTCTCTGTGCGAAACGACCCTGCGATTGAGGTTGGTTCGGATACGGGAAAGGATTGTTGCTGAGTATGATCCTCAATGCTGCTGTTGATCTGGTTGGCAAGTAGAGGTCCAAGAAGGTAATTAATGGGCTGCCTATCCGCCATGGTCTCATTCTCTTTTGCCTTTCGTGGGTCAATTTCTTCTTGTTCGTCATACAGATCGTCGAGAAAGTTGCGAAGTCGAAGTCGAAGAAGACCGGACTTTAAAGGAGGCCAGTCGGTCTCCACATTCATGTCTTTTTGAAGCATCTTCGTCACAAATAGATCTGGATCTTGAACAAACTTTTCCACATAGGCTAGTAGATACAGCCCACAGTCAGACCAGTTAGGCTGTAATGGGATTTGTCGAGCCTTCATCCCTTTGATTTCATTGGTGTCAATTTCTAACCCTCTTTTCGATTTGGCTTCCTCAGACAGATATTGTCGGAGTACTTTGATCGTAGGCGAGCGTGTTGCATCTAGTGAGTCAAAAGTGATAATAATCGGCTGTCGGGTATCATATTTCGCAGGTGGAGGCCGTTGTTTCTTCTTTTGCTTCTTTGATTTTTGCGTGCCTTTCGATTCTTTTTCCACGGATTGTTGTGCATTATCTCTAAGTCCATGGAATTTCGCAGGGGAGGACAGCAAGTTCTCCTCGTCATCAGGCCAATCTTCCCTTGAGAGGGGCACTTCAGAATTGCTACCATCAAGCTTCTGTTGGTCAAAAAGACTCATTTCAGCTAAAGATTGCCTTGCAACCTCCTCTTTAGCAGTTCCTGCATATTCATTCTGAGCCCCTTCCGCTTCTTTGGAAGAAGCGTTTTCGCCATGAGGCTCCAGCTCAGGGGTTTCTGGGATCTCTTTAATTTCAGCTTCGGGCTGAACATGAGGCTCCTTATCATCCTCTGAATGCTTTTCAAGTTCTTCACTGTCCCCAGAAACTACTTGTAATTTTGGCAAATTGCATATGATAGCAACATACCAATGCGCGGTTTCGTTGATAGGGACCACGATATAGTCATAGCTGAATATATCAACATTCCTAGTCCATTTTTGGACTCCCTCGTAGTTAATGTTGCCGCGCTTGCCTCTGGGCAGATTGGTGAGTGTGTCGAAGAAATATGAATTGAAAAAATAGACCTTCTTCGCGACTTCCTTGTTTGTCCGATCCAGATGATCTTCAAGAAAGCGAATGTAGAATCCGATGAGGTTGTCATTAAGGAATTCATTGTCTCGGAGTCGCTCACGATCTTGAGCATCCACTTCGGCCTTTTTCTTACCGAAGCGTGGATACACGAGTGGTCTGTCCCATTTATTTGGTTCAATTTTTGTACATTTGTCAAGGTCATCATTGACATCCTCATCGTCATCACACACTACCTGGGGCGGTGCGGTACGGCGCGCCGTCGATCTTGTTTCTCGTTGGGAAGGTGGTAGATCTTCAGTAAACTTTTTCACGGGGATTTCAATGCCATTACTGTTGTCTGCTCGAGAGGAATGGCTGTGAGAAGCGGAGTCTGACATCACGATAGAGCTATAAGCAGTAGCTGAAGGGTTAGTATTTTCTTGAGCATAGCTTGAAGAAATTGTGTTTTGTTTGCTTCTGTCCCTCATCTCGTCTTGAAGAGAATCACAAAGCTTTGGCCGTTTGGGCTTTTCAGTTTTCGTCTCAGCCTTTGGCTCTGGAATTTGCTCCAAAAAGCATTCAGAAGAAGAGCGCTTGGATATGTTGGAGCAGCGAGCCATTTCCCTTGCGCTTTTGTCGAAGGCACTATCCATCCAACCACTTGGCCCATGTTAGTCTCTTTGCAAACTATTCGAACGAAGAAGATTGAAACGAACCTATCTTTAGTTGACACTTTCACACTTTGATCCTGAAAGAAGGAACATAGTGTTTCCTGTTCCCTCCGAGACGATAGCTCGATATCTATATCGCCGGGCTCTGCCTCTGTTTTGGACAATCGTAACCGAATTTTGCAACTTGGATGCTGCCCTTGATATATAAGTGTGACTCTCCGGTACGGTATTCCTTGATCAACGGCCCTTCCAGCCAGTCGAATTGTTCCATCTAGGTTATTGATATGCACTTCAACACTCTTCCCATCGGACGACGACTGCTCAAAGGTCCCCCATCGAAACAAAGTTGCTTCAAACAGCAGTTGATTTTGTGGACCTTTACCGTGATTAGTTTTCTTGCGATTCTTCTTGGCTTTGCTTTGGCGAGGCGAGCTTGCGAAGTTGGTCGGCTGAATGTCGGATGGTGACGACTGCTGAGGAGCTGCCGGTTCCGCGCGCTCTCCAGCCTCGGTTCGGCCTCTGACGTTTTTATTACGAGATTCATCCAAGGTCATTGGTGCTGGCCCAACTGTTACTGCGCCTTGCAGCTCATCCGGGCTTTCATACATATCGGAGTTGCGTCGCCTCCCATCGGAAGCGACAAACTGATTTCGAAGGGGTGGGCTCTTCCTAGCGTCTCTATCGCGGGTAGATTCTTTGCGTTTCTGAATTTCGACACTTTGCAGGACTTCGTGTTTTGGTTCATGGTTGAATGTGTTAAGATCAAGCAGTTCGACGTCTTGATCTGACGCAAAGGAGCGCCTCTGCTTGGCGGCATTTTCGGTGAAGCTCTCATCATCAGGGGAAATTAAACGACGTTGTTTATTAGGACCAAGTTTGGGACTAATTTGCGATCGGTTGATTCTCATGTTGTTTTCAACCTGTCGATATTCACCTGCTATACTGGGACCGGGGCCTTTTGCTTTTTTGCCTTTTGCTGACTGGCGGCTTGGGCTCGGCGAGAAAAATGATGATATTTCCGAAGGGGGACCCGCTTGCAACATAACATCATCCTCCGATCCTTTCCCAAGAGCTGATTTTTGGTGGTCTCGTCGCCGGCGTTTATTTGGCCTTTCTGATGATTCTTCAGGATGGCTGAATCCGGGATATCTTTGAGTATTACCATGTGGTTTACCCCGTGCTCGAACTGGCCCACTGTCCCGGGATCTTTGTGTCGAGATCTTGTCTATAGGTTGAAACATCGAACCCTGCAAATATCCGATGTCAAACAGGGAAACACCAGTAAATCATGGAGATAAAACACACCTGTCCTGGCTTCTTTTTCTTCGCTCCCCCCGGTACTATTGGCACGGCACCGGGACTCGTCCTAGAGAGAAAAGAAACCGCAAGTAAGCTCCCATATGTTCCCACAATGTAACAACGAGTAGCAAGACGTACCTATAGGTAGGAAATAATCTGCTCTCATCTCGTTGATCCTTGCTACGCATCGACTTTTGGTCCCCAGATCTAGACGTCTTTCGTATCAGCTCCATTCTGATTTTATACCGCCATGCAAGGTTATATTTACAGACGACTCATTCCTAAGCTGGGTCGGGGAATGGTCTGGCGCAATAGTGGACGTACAGTTCGAGTTTGGAAGATCGGTCGAACTCCTTCGGCATGTTTTGTGTCAAACTATAAGATAAAAAGGTCAGGCTGCAGACAAGCTAGAAGGTGGGATGAGAAAGATTACGAGGATAGAACGTGAGGAGACAGGGAGAGGAAGAACGCGACAGCCAGTGGGAAATAGGCTCGTGCATTTGATTGCAATTTGGAAGCATAGAAAAAAAAAAAGAAAAAGAAAAAGAAAAATTAAATTAAAGATAGAGAGAAGAAAACAAAATAAAAGAAAAAAGAAATTCTTACTTCTGGTGGCTGAGCAATATAATCAAATTGTCCCTCCTGAGCAGCAGAAGACCCTATAGACAAAATGTCATCCCTCACACCGGACGCCTGAGTCCGTCGTACCTGGTCGGAGATAGCATGAGATGGTGGAGAAAGATGGATTGGATTGTTCTGAGGCGGAGGATCGGAGAGTTGACGATTCCAGCCGGAGAAAAAGTCTGAGAATTTCGGGAGAAGCGGCATATATTTGGATTCACCGCGAAGAGCATTGCATGGCCAAGAGGGCCAGGTCGTTTGTCATTTATTCCCCGAATTGTCAGTTAATTGATTGTTATTTGGAGGGCGTGTGGGAATTGAGAAGGTCGGAAGAGCAATCCATCATGACGGGCAGGCCAAGGCGGTCGGCCATTTTCTGCCGGCTGCGTTCATCCATCCCCTCTTTTTGCTATGACCATGAAGCTACTCCGGATTACAAACGGCCAAGAGACTAGGTGGGCGTGGAACCAGTGTCATATTAAAAAAAGAAAAGACTTTAACGCAACAAAGTCCTGGTTCGGATAGATACAGCATGGCAAAGAAACCTAACCCGAATGCGTGACGCTACATCCCCCAAAGGCTCCTTTTTCTTGCATAGTAACATCTCGCATGAAACTGAGGAAATAAAACAGGAAAGAAGATCAAAAACCAGATGCATGATAGTTCGCCCCAATGCCCCAGTCCCAAAAACACGTCCCAAGATTTTTTCGTTTTCTTTACTATACAGGGTCGTAACCAGGCTCAGATAAAGCATGTCAAGACGCCGCCGATTTTCCTTTATCTCCCGTAGTGTCGTCATTGCCCGTAGCTCTTCGTCGATCTGCTCCAAGGTGGTGGTGATGACCAGCATTTCCAGCGGCCTTCTCCTGTCGGGCTTGATCGATGGCAGATCGTTGAGCAATGCTGTCATCATGGCTCTTCCATACTATGTTGGTGTCGGCCGGAAAGGCGAGCAACCGTTTGATCGTTTCCCTGTAGCTGCATTAGCCAAATCCCCAGATCATAGCGTTCCCTTGTTTCCACTGAGAAGCTCATACCTGATCTTGATGTTTCGCCCTCCGTCAATCCGGGTCCAGACACTCAACACATCTTCCCCGCTCCGTACGCTCAGAACGGCACCACACACCTCATCACCCGCCTCTGCAAACTGATCGCCCACCATGGCCAGGAGGAGGTCCTCCCAGTACCGGTCGGCCACTCCCTTCTTCAACCGAACGACCCACTTTCCACCTCTCTTATTCGCTTCATCTTCCCATACGGGACGGATGCCTTTCTTAAAAATATGATAGTCTGAGACGGTAGGGAGGAGAGAGGGTCTCTTAAGGTGGGAGTATATAGACCAGAAACTCTCTACTGAGGATATGGATGCAAGGGCGATGGTGGACTTTTCGTAGTCGGAGTATTTCGGTGTCGGTGGGCGGTACCAGATCACCCAAGTGGACTTTAGGGAATGTTCTCTATAACCAGGAGCGGGAGCACCAAAGCCCTTGGTCTTCAGACCCTCAGTCGATGACGATAAGTCCTGGTCCGGCTCACGTTTTTCGCCGGGGGTCTTGGGGGTACCAAAGGACGCAAATGCGCCCGATCCCAGCCCGAATGCGGAGGAAGCGTGGGTGGACGGTGAGGCCACGCCGCTGGAGAGAGGGGATATTGCGTTAAAAGGATTCGAGCGACCGTGGGAGCTATCAGGACCGAAACGCTTCGATGTTTGACTGCGGGGAAGTTCGACTCTGGCGCCACCCTCTTTGCCGTCGGGCCCGGTCATGGACAGAGACAACTTGGAGGAACTGCAAGCGTAAAAAGAAACATTGATTAGTCGCATTGAAAAAAGAAAGCAAGGCTAGTCAAAGCAGTCGAACTTACTTGGCTCTGCGAGTCCACAAATTTGCGTTATCCATTGACGAGACTGCTCAAAAAAGAGCGGTCATCAGGTAGGAATCAAAAACCAGGCGGCGTGTGATGTGCACGAGGAGCAATTCAAGATAGTGGACGGGTTAGAAAAAGTAAAAGACAGGGTATCCGGGGGGGCAAAAAGGAAAAAAAAAAATTAAAGATGAAATAAGAGAGAGATCGTGATCGTGAAGAGTGCAGGTGTGGGAGGAAAAAAAAGACGTGGGACGGGTGAGGAGAGACGAGGTTATTTGCAAGAGTGAGTTAGTTGTAGTTAGTTTGTTAGAGGAGGAGAAGAACATTCAGTCATTCATTATTCATGGAATCGCAGAATAATTGGAGATCCAGTGCCCTTTTCGCCTTTCGTCGAGCTCAGCGTCTACTGCCCAATCAGCGCCCGTCCCGCTAGCCCCACCATCGCTTCTTTTTTTTTTCTTCTGCCTCCCTTTAAAAGCGTGTCTCTCCCTGTTCTCTTCTTCTTCTTTTTTTTCTTTCTCAACAAAACCCAAGACCACCAACTCAAATCATCGCTGGTGTTATTGTTCTTTTCTACAACCCTGGCGATTCCGATGAGTGTGTCGAGAACAAACCCCGCATCTAAAACCATCATCACGAGGGCTTCTTTTGAAGCTCCATGATGCGTTGATGACCTGATTGACGGAACATTCCCTTTTCTTTTCTCTCTTTTTTGCTTTTTCTGTATAGAAGATACCCAGTTCTACGCAAGACGATGTGTTGATTTGATGACAATTGCCATCGTCGCTCAAGTAAAACATAAACTAGATGGTGCGTTGATGATTTTTCTTCAACCCCCTTTCCGTCGGTCCCTTGGGCCACGTTATTCTTCTATCCCACTATCATGAAGAATCTTCGTATATTTTTTACATACTCTGGTAATCCGAGACGCTCAACCGCTTTTACTCGGGTTGTCTTGAGCATTTGCTGGTCGAGTGTGAGGTCAAAAGGCAAAATCTGATTGTCGCTACCTGTCGCAATGTCACTGGGAGCAACGTTATTGTGCTTCATCAAATACTGACATTTGTCGACTAGTAGAATGTAGTCCTCTGCTCCATATCAATGCTGCCTACTGCATATTAAACAGCTCTAGCACAACGCTAGAATGCTTTGTTTACACCCTTCAATTCCTTGCATGAACTGGTGGCTTCAAATGGCACGTGTCTTAAAGCCTTTAACTCCCGATTCCAATGCAAATACCAAGTGTGAAGTCATATTATTAAAGTGACGTGTGGAAATTGTTGAAAATACGAGTCTATACACTAAATACACCCATTCAAGAGTATTTATCTAAAAGAGTAACTCCCTTGGCAAAAGAACTGCTCCGTAATCCCCATTCATAAACCTTTTGGGCATGAGAAAAATGCAAAAAAAATTGAGGACCAGCATCGCAAGACTCCCAAAGATGCGAAGCAAGGACGGCTTGGAAACCGTCGTAAGTATTAGGTGAAAGGTAATTGAAGAAGCGATCAGCATTGTAGATCGAATAGCATCGAAACAGCAAACTGACTCATTGCTCCGAAGGCTGGAGACTGTCATCGTTGTCTTGCTTAACACGTTTGATCTCCCTCTCGCTTTGAGGGACTGACGAAGTGGCTTTCCTCTTCTCCTTGTCCTTTTGGTATTCTGCGCGACGGGCTTCCTTGTCCCTCTCTTTGCGCAGTGCCTTGGATTCGAATTCATGCCAGTCACCTTCAATGTTTTCGAGCCTGGACAAACTATTAGTGTCTATTTCATTCTGAGAGCAAAGGAATATCAAAACATACTCGATAGCCTGCTGAGGCTGTGGCTCCTCAGACGTAAAGTAAGGGTGTGTAAGGACTTCCTCAGCAGTCGGCCGTTTGGCAGGATCATAGCGGAATATTTGGGACACCATATCCAGAGCAGCCGGAGATAAAACCTCCCGGTATACATCCTCGAATATTCTTGGTTTTCGCCCACGGGGACCCATCAATTCAACCCAAGGCATCTCGACAATGTTCGGCCAGTCGGGCAACTTAGGAGTACCGAGGGAGTTGTAAAGCCTATCCAGTTGACTTATCTCACCTCCTTCTCCAGGGAAAACGGCTTTCTTCGTGAACATTTCAACGTACACGCAAGCTGCACTCCAAACATCCACCGCCGGTCCGTATCTGGTTTCACCCAAGAGAAGTTCGGGTGGCCGGTACCAGATAGTGATGACACGGTTTGTGTAATCGAGCTGGCGACTCTTGGAAAAGAATCGGGCGAGTCCAAAGTCGGCATATTTCAGTAGTCCTGTGTTGCTAATAAGAATATTGGCGGCTTTGATGTCGCGATGAAGAACGCCTCGATGGTGGAGATAGTTCAGGCCTTCAAACATCTGTTTTGCGAGATCTTTTTTGTGGGCAGCTGTGAGTGTAAAGGTTGGGTGGTTAATGAGACCCGTCAGATCATGTGAGAGATACTCAAATACCATGAAGCACTCATTCCTCTCGACCATGACCTCAAGTAAACTGACCACATTCTGGTTGCGGAGATGTTGGAGTAATTTGATTTCTCGCACAGCTGTAACGGGAAATCCATCTTTCTCGCCCTCCATTCGTATTTTCTTCAGAGCAACCTTGTTTTGGGTATAAATATGGATCGCCTTGAAGACCTTTCCATAAGTACCAGCACCAATCACCGATTCATTGCCAGGCTTTCGGAAATAGACAGAATCTGAGCTCCTGAATTCCTCGAGCAGGGTGGGACGCGGCTTTGGCCGAGTCAGGATCTTCAATTGCTTCTTAGGCTCCTTGGGCTCCTTCCATTCCTTGGGCTCCTTCCATTCCTTGGGCTCCTTCCATTCCTTGGGCTCCTTCCATTCCTTGGGCTCCTTCCATTCCTTGGGCTCCTTCCATTCCTTGGGCTCCTTCCATTCCCTAGGCTCTTTCGGCTCTGGGGAACGATCATGACGGCGACGCTCAGGACGGAAGTCATGTCTTCTGTCTCCTCTTCTTTTATCAGAACGGTGATCAAACCGACGGTCATCTCTCCGAGAATCACGTCCATCCCTGTGTTCACGAAAGCCACGATCCCGAAAGTCTCTGCGATCATGTCTGCCCCTATCTCTCTCTCGGTCACGACGGTCAAATCTATTATCAGGCTTAAACTTCGGCGGCGGGCCAGTCGACATCCTATTCCGAGGGGGTTCAACGGCCCGGGGTGGTGGCTCCCTAGCTTGCATTCTTTGTTGCAAATCTGGGACAGGTTTGGTAGCGGGTGGAGGTGCTGCCTTGGCTTTGAAAGCAAAGCTGAATTTCCCACCTTTACCCGGTGTATCGGAATTGCCTGGTTGTCGTCCAGGTGGCGGCATTTTCTGGGTATCACCATTTTCTGAACCTGGTTTTGATGTTTCATCCTCTACCTGTAAATCTTTGTTCGCAGGTCTGAAAGGATTGCCACCTTCCCCGGTGCCTGAGTACATCCTATCATCTGCACCCGATGGGGGAGGACTTTGTGATGACTGTCGGGGTGCTGTATGAGGACTATGCGGTCCACCCCGACCCCTGGGATTTGATGCAGTCCATTGGAGGTTGCTGAAGTGGCCTCTACCACGCGGTGAAGGTCCGCTGTTGTAATTCTGGGGCCCGGGGCCAGAAAACCGACGGTCTGGACCTTGATTTTGGTAATTTCCACGATAGCCAGAATGGCCACCGCGATACGACGGGCCAGAATAGGGGTGGTTGGAAGGCCCATTGTATGGGCCCTGGTTTTGATAGTATTGGCTCTGGGAGCCGCTTTGGGGGTAATTTTGTTGTCGGTATGGCGAGGAATGTCTAGATATTTCCCTTCAATATTAGACCCATCTTGAGATGTTATTTGATTGCAAACGCGAAGAGTAGCTTACCCATGTTGCCCATGATATTGAGGCTGACTACCCCATCCACCCCTTCCAGCCGAGTATGGAGAAGTCGACTGGGGAGAATCCTGATAAGAATTATTTGATGTCATATATTGTGGGGATGTCGAATATTGCCTGGTATCAACGTGTGGCCGAGATGGTCGTGAGCGGTGGTTGCCGTGAACATCAGACACCCGCATACCATGCATTGGAAACGCTTCTCGCATGTTAGCATCTCCATCTGCAGAAGCACTTGCATTGTCGGCATCAAAACTTGGAATAGGTCGGGGTGAAGAAGATCTGACAGACTCATCCACCACGGACTGGATTGGTCTAGTCGAATTCATCGTCAAGTCGCCCCTCGAGCCACGGCGGGAGTAGGTGGACAATTTTGAGGTCCGAGACTGGACAGAATTCAAAGACGGCGATCGATAAGAGAAATCTCTTCCACCAGAATCACCGGGAGGCGGGCTCTGGGACCAGCGGCGAGGAGATGCGTAAGTTTCTGGTCCACGGCCAGGAGACCTAGAGTGTCGTGGTCGTGGAGAGCTAAAGCGTCTAGTCTCGTTCCTACGGCGCTCACCCCCTCCTCGGGGCGATCCTCGACTGGCTCGACCGCGACCTGGGAAACGTCCTCGTCTTTTATGCGGAAAACCTCGGTCGGGGTCTTCTAGGTTCTTGTTGTGTCGATGGCGAGGATGACGGGGAGGGAAAGGTCGAGGCGATGGACTTCGTGTCCTTTTGCGTTTTGATGAGGGGGGAGCAGACGGAGAGTCGTCTCTTCCAAGATCTCTCTCGGGCGCTCTCTCCGCACCAAACTGCTGATGTCGCTCCACGTTGGGGGATTCTGCTGATTGTGGTAGATAAGGGTCTGTGTTCTGACTTTCCTGGAATCCTGGAAGGGGACCAGAGGAACCACGAGCTATAGAAGCACCGGGCGAAAGACCACGATGTTGCAAAGGTCCTTCGCGGCCAGGTCGGGGAAAAGCACGCGAAGGTGGCGGCGACCGTGGTGGGCGATGAGGTCCGCTTTCCTTCGGGCGCGAATGACGGTCTCTATGGCGCTGCCTGTCCCTGCCTCTGTCACGATGAGATCCTCGAGGTCTGTGTCTGTCCCGTTCTCGATGATCTCTGGTATCACTGGCGGCTCTCCACTCTTCACTCAACACTGGACTCCTACGGGACCCAGCCATGTAATCTGTTGCAACTGCATCTGGTTTGAATGAAAAAAATGAGGGGAAGGACTGCTGGTATGGGGAAGGACACGCCGACTTGGGACAACGGGAGGGTTGGGCAGGCGATGTAAGCGCAGGAGATTCCGGTGGAGCCTGTGCTTCGTCTAACCGGGCGTGTCGGCCGCGTTTCTTCGCTGAAGACTTTCGGGAAGGTTTGGTTTGGAGTGTGCGGAAGGCTGGTTTTTCCGAGCGGGAAAAGAGACCTGGAGATGAGAGAAAACGAAATCGTCAAAAAGAGATCACAAAGTCAGAAATCTTTGGGGGAGAGGGGAGTGAGGGATAAAAAGAGACCAAAACCGGGAATGCGAGGGGGATCACGCACCTCTTCTCGTGGTTTTGTGTCTAGAAGAAATCCAAGTTATGGATCATACGAAGGGTGGGAATCACCAGGACAGAATAGCGGTTCTCTACTTGGATGAAGGTTGTTGGTAAGAGCGGGAGGCAAAAAAGACAGCGGGCGAGAAGAAACAGAGCAGAAGAGCAGCGCTCGGCAACCCTTTTTATGCTCTTGCTGTATCTCGCGCCTTCAGAGACTCTACGAATGTGGCTCGAAGGGGACCTCAGAAATGATAAGCCAGAGGTGGCCGAAATGCTAGTTGACAGTCAACCAGAACCCCTTGAACTGCCAGGTCGACAGGAATTCTTCGCTTCATATATGGAGCCCCGCAATTAAACGCCTTTTCAAAGACATCTTGATAGATACCTAGGCGTTTGAGGCCGAGGACTGGCAGTATCTTGTTCTGCAGACGGATTAAATCGCCTCCCCCTCTTTCCCTGCTCCTTGACGCATCAACTTCTTTTTAGTGAGGCTGCTGCTGTTAGAACCATAACCGGCGGCTTGTTCAAATTCCGTCTTTTTTTTTTTTTTTTCGGCATTCATTTTTTGCTTTTCTTTTCAAATGGTGGCGTCCATCGCGCCTTTTGTATGCTGCCTTTCGTCGCTGGTTGCCGCAGAAATGACCCTTTCACTTCAACACATAGATCTATCTACAGAGGACAAAAGGCAAATAATGTAGACTGGTGCCCAGGAAAAAATAAAGAGTCAAGAAGCAGTCTGCCACATCTGTCAGAGGAACCACTGGGTTGTTATCTTCCGGTTTGGTCAGTGCCTTGTCGCCGTCCACGATGCAAGCTGAGCCCCCCAAGATACAGCCTGTAACCATTTGCTCGAGCTCGTAGGTTTCGAATGTGAACAGACGGCATGATCCTCGGAGCGGAAATATCCCCAGGGTTAGATGGATTCGAGAAATCAATACTCGAACTTGAAAAGTCTCCTCACTAAGATACTTGACCCACGACTGTGAAAAAAGGTGAAGCTGAAAGTCACCTATATTTACTGCAGGTATTCAGTTCTGCGCGAAGCCAAGTACCACCATCATCGGAAGGGTGCAAACGATGAGTGGCTTTGGCAAGCTTAAGCACGAGACAACACCCGGGAAATCTCTATAAATCCACAAGTCATACCCCTGGTACGATCGACACACTGGATAAATATCCATGTGCAACCCATACACCCTCATCTAGAATCTAGACTGCTCAAGAAGTATGATCCAGCCGAAGACGCAGGGAGCGTACCTAGCACAAACCCGAGAGATGAGGGCATTGCAGTTATTTGAAGGCCAGTAGGGTCCAGTGGCCAATTTGCAAAGCTAATTAGTTTCCATAGTTCCAACGCTGGCCAGAAGGTGGCAGAATAGCTTGTTTTCATGGTGTGGTCTTCGGCCGTCTACGCCGACTAACACGCCCCGCAAATGTATCTCAAGTGTTCAGGATCAGGATTTATCCAAAGCAGTCCAGGTATATCCGTGGCATCGTGGAGTGTAGGTCGAGAAACGATCGCTCGTGACGTGTGATCATGGGTGGGCGGTGGGGATTGACATGGCAGGCTTAGATTGCGCCTGTGTGGCCGTTCTGTTACCAGTCATCACGAACGATGCGGTCCCGAATGTGACTCGACAGAACGATGAATAAGAAAGAATTCCAGATTCCAGCAGAGATTCAAGCCACGGGAGCGTTGCTGATAAAAAGATCAAAGGGAGGTCTGTCGTTTCGATGTCAAGTTGAGGTTGCCGTTTGGATCCAACTCAGCCAGCCACGGAACCGGCACGGGACCACCCGAGCTGCACGTGATCTGACTGTACCCTCTCTTTCCTGCTATCATCATTTGGGATGTCTATAGTTGAGGGGATTATAGCTGCTGGGTACTGGTTCTGATGTTGAGTATAAAGGTTTGTTGCTATTAAATTCTTCTATTACTCAAACACTAGGGTATTGCCATCGCTCTACTGTTGCTCTGATACTTTTGGCATAGGAATGGTTGTTGGCATTAGTGTCAAGAGCCACGATACATTATCCATTATCATTATCCCATAACACGTTTACATCATTAAAACATTCTTTTCCCGTTTTTGGCTTTTCTCTTTTTTCTCCTCATCATAATCTGTAACACCAAGCGCATAGCACCATCAGTTACCTAAACAACTCTCCACGCAAAGTTCGAAACCAAAGCTTTAACAAACATGAGTACTGTTGAAGCATGCACACACCACTCAAATATCAATCAATCAATCAAGCTTCATAACATCCAACCAATTCAAATTCAGCTCCCTGGCGTGATTTTTCGCCTCATCCTCCCACGAGGCTTCCTGGGATACATCCCCAGTGTAGATATCAGTGTTATTCGTCGAGAACACATTGGCATACATTTGCTGGACATCGAGCTCTCTCCGAACAGCCTCTTTCAAAATCAATTCGTCAGGCCGCTGGAAAATGACCCGACTATTCGTTTTGCCGTATCCTTCATATTGGAGTAGCCCGATCTTATCAGGAGGCACACCTAGAATCCACATACCATTCTCCTGAGGCAGAGGTGTGTATCTCCAGTGAACAAATGCTTTGAGTGTTTCGAAATAAGTTTTCAGGGCAGTATTTTGAATTGCCGCCCACAGAAGTTGAAGGCTGGGCTGTGCCATGAGAAGACGTCGCATACCGCTTTGTCCGCGTCCGATAGCCCTATTGGCGAATCGCATATCAAGTCTGATGAGGAATAGATTGGCGAAGAAAATGTCATTGTCTGGCCACAGATTCTTGTTGCGAATGGTAAAGATGCGGCGTTCGTTGTCAGGCATGTCCATCAGAAACCATAGTTTCTTGATTATCGTCTGGCATCTATTTGGAAGCGCAGGGTCGATCTCGCGCAGATTCCTCATCACATCATGAACCACCTTCTCGCGGCAGCATATCATGGACAACCACTTGAGTGAAGGCGCCAGGTGGTTCCCGTCTTCAGCGCTGGATTCAGTCCTCGGAATCTCAATACAAAGTTTACGGTAGCAACGGAACGGGAATAGGCGCGCAGACCCCGGAGCCCTGGTTAGTGCCTGGCGATTGATGAAATCGGAAAGCCGTGCTTTCAAAAAATGATGGAACCCCTTTGATATGGAGAACAGATTTATAATTCCGCGTACTGGCAGGTATTCGGTAAGCTTCAAAAGCAATTCTGGGTGGTAGAGAAACGCGTTCATGAGGTCGAACTGATTTTCCGTGGGGCCTTCTACATTTCCAGGCTCGGTCCCACTCTGGAGATTTTGTGCCCCTGCAACCACGGTTGTTGCATCTTTCGAAGCATGGTCAGATGAGATACGCGAGGTCCCAGTTACAACTTGATGGCTTGAATATCTTGCATTGTTTTCACCATGACCACCGTTTGGTTGCTGGAGCCCCGTAGTCTTTTTGGGAACTTCTTTCTGGGCTTGAGAAGCATCAGTACGGCCACCACTTAATGGGCGTTGACGACTGATAGGCACGGAAGGCCTGCTTCGGTTCTGCTCGATCTCTTGCTGAATAGAAGCCCTGCCGTTGGTGACAGCCGAACTAGCCGGATATCTCAGAGACATGTCATTCCTGTAGAGAGAATACCGGTTCTGGCCAGTGTTGCTCGCATGTGCTGCTTGCGGGATCCTTCGCATCTCAGGGTTGAGACCAAAATTTATCGTTCCAGTCCTCATAGTCGTAGCAGATTGACTCGCGTTTCTATTTGAGACGGGTTCGATCTGGAAAACATATTGCCCATGTCCTTGCTGTGTTGGTCTGCGCGTTTCGGAAACACGACTGGTCGTGGTAGTTGTGGGTCTTGTTGGAGCATCATATGGCACAACGACTCTGTTGTTTGTAGAAGTTTGCCGTGTCGCTCTGCCGCCCTCGTTCATTCGATTGCTCGTTGTCATCACCGGTGGTCTAGCAGGCGGATCGAAGTTGTGGGAGGGCTGAACCGGTAGATTCGGAAATGGACGCAGTACACCATTGAACCGCGCTGGGGGTATATTGGGCACAGTGACTCCTTCATTTGTGATTTGGATTACCACAGGAGTTGCTCTTTGGTTCTCGGCGCCACGACCCCGGGCTTGAGACTGGGTATTCCGATTTCCTCTCATAGTAATCATTTGGTCAGGCGCGATCCCAGCTAAAACCTGCTGCCTGAAAAGAAAGGCTTGCAAAGCGTTTTCTGGTTCCGTAGCGCTTGGGCGTTGCTCAGCATTTCTCGGTGACACTTGTGCATGCGCAACTGCGTGTCCTTGTATCCCAATTGGATCTTGTTCAGAACGGCCACCAATTGGTTGAGCTTCATGGAGTCTCGTAGCTGTCGTCGATGCCGCTGCCAACGCATCATACCCTCTGTTATTGGTTCGATGAAGGGTGTCTATTTCGGATCGGTTGAAGGTACTCGAGGTGTTTGAGCCATTGCTGAAATCCAAGGGCGCTCTGGACAGAGAAAGCAAGATCTCAGCCGCCTCTAGTTCTGTCTGACTCGATCCCGACATGGCGAATCAACTCCCCATGGGAGGTCAGCAGACTGAGCTTCGGCGATCCTCTGATGGGGGATGGGTGTCAGCAAATCGATCAGAAACTCGAGCCTTGACAGAGTCCTCTACTGAGGAATGCGCGCGCCTTGATATAATTGAATCTTTTAAACGTTTTATGCAAATCAAAATAGAGAAATAAAGCTCGATCTTCAATATGGAAAGCCAAATTAGATGGCAACACAGGTTGGCTGCAGATATCAGCTGTAAGAATGAGAGTGAAAGAGTTGTAAGAAAGATGAAGCTTTCAGTTGGTGAAAAGATGTAATAAACAAGACCATATGAGCATAAAAATTCACGCCTGAGGAAAAAATAAATATGAAATATAAGAAAAGCCGGAGAAGTCCTTCACGCTAGTGGGGTTGGGATACAGTGAATGGTAGGCATCAGCCAAAATGAGAGCATTTAGGTGCTGTGCCATTCTCTGCTTCTGGCTAGACCATCGTTAACATGGAGCTCTCCGTTTCCTGGTAGGCCTCAATCAGCTGCGCATTGGTCTAAAACTGATCCATGAAGAAAATTCCCGATTGATTGCTGTGAGAGAATTTGGAATAGACATGCAAATATACATTGCATTTGATTATCAGACTGAAATATGCAATAACTCCCAAAGTCAAGGAGAGTGATCACAAACTGATATCAATGCTAGTGTTGAGAATAAAGCAAAGTGTTGAAACAACCTCGACACGCCACCATATAACCTGGTCTTTTTTCTGTGACTTCGAAACATCGAAACATCGACCAAAAGCCCTTGCAAATAACTGGAAAGCAGATGACTCGATCAAATAACAAAAAGTCTCCCCACAGTACAGTTCCCTGCTCCTTTTTCTATCGATTCTGACAACATCGGGCACTTCTGGGTGGAAAGACCTGGGTTTGACGGAATAACGATCGAATGTCTATACAAGTAGCATATAGTGTCAAAATATTCAAAAGAAGAGAGAAGGTTCAGAAGAATAATTAAACTCCAAGCTCGTAAACGGCTAAAAAGAATGGGAGAAAAAACAAAAGTCCACAACCCAATAACCTGTTGAAAGGTAAACCCACCGTAACTCCGAAATCGTAAATCGGCATCCAATGTTAAATAGTAACAAATATGTGTTACACAGGTTGAAAAAGTGGTATCATCATCATTATCACCTCCTGTTCAGGAGGGTCAAGAACTCCTCTCTCGTCTTTGCACTCGACCGCATGCATCCCAGCATACAGCTTGTAGTGGTGCTGCTGCTAGTTTTTTGAACGCCACGCATGACCATGCAAAGATGGGAGGATTCCATGACAACACCAACACCTCGTGGCTTCAGGACCTCCGATATAGCGAGCGCAACCTGCTTGGTGAGACGCTCTTGTACCTGAAGTCTGCGGGAGAACATTTCCGCGAGACGGGCAAGTTTCGAGAGACCAAGAACACGGCGGTCAGGAATGTATCCGATATGCATCTATTTAGGAGATATCATATCAGTGACAGTTATTCAGTTTAACCAGGAATGTCGCTTTACCTTGCCCAAGAATGGAACCATATGATGTTCACACATGGAAAACACCTCGATATCCTTGACAATGACTAGCTCATCGTGGTCCTCGTGGAATACTGCACCATTGACAAGATCCCGAACGTTCTCTTCGTAGCCTTTGGTGAAGTAAAGCATAGCCTTGGCATATCGTTCGGGGGTTTCCAGGAGTCCCTCTCTTTCAGGGTCCTCTCCGATGCATTCCAGAATAGTCCTAACAGCTCCAGCAAGCTTCTGGACTCGTTCTGCAGTCTGCTCGGGCGAGGATTCCAATCGTTCTCTCGTACCGGGACCTGACAACCCAAACGTCTTTAGAAAATTGTACTTCGTACCAGGTTCACATCATGACTTACATGGCCAACTGAGTCCATCGAAGTCAATTGGAGTGCTGAGGGTGAAGGGACTCGCAGGTCGACTGACTGTTGCCGGTGGGGTCAACGGACCACCTTCGTCTCGGGGGTCGCGTGGGGGATCACTCAAAGTAGGTCTGAGAACCTAGTCAGCAAAAGTATCGATTGAGTGTGTTGGAGAAGAAAGTACTTGGAGTCTCCGGAACCGCGGACAGGGGCAGTTGTGCCATCGGTGACATTGCTGTTGGATTGTGTCATGGTATCCGATTCGAATCCAACCGGTATGCGAGGGGCAAAAGAGGAGCGGATGGATGAGTTGAGACTATCACGTTCACGAGCGTCACGAGCACCGGTTGGGAGAGTTAGGGGAGAGCTTCCATTCAACATATGAGATGGAATGGCGGATTTCGGCTTCGGACCCAAGGGAGGGGAAGTTCCAGAACCCATTGCTTTGCAAAAGGGAGGCAATTATCGTAAGAACAGTGAGGGGATGAGATGGGACAATCAGGTGTCAATAAATGTATGTAGTTGACAGGCCAGCACCTTGATATTGGGACAGAAAAAGACAGAGAGATGGATGTTATATTTCAAACTCGAATATTCAAAGAGACCATAATTTCTGTCATGCCAAAGGAAAAAAAAAAAAAAAGAGGAGTCACCCAACGAGTAATTAATCTTTTCCTCGAGCAGACATCGGCGGGGGGCGCTAGGAGGCCCTTTCTCTTCTTTCCGCGCAAATCCTCCGATAATGTGACCGATAATGTGATTTCACCTCTCACCGCCTTCCACATGAGCCAATCACTGCTACACGATTGCTGTGCCATCCATTTTTGCGTGGAGGGGGGTTTTGGGGCCTATTTTCAACGGTCGACGTGAAATATTACTGTAATTATACAGTATTGTTACCCCCTCTGTTGGCTGGGCTAGCTTGATATTATTTGATTCCAACCAGCAGAAGTCGAGATATTTATGGACTGCATCTTTTTTATATCACGTCATGGAGATCTCCGTTTTGGATCTGCATGCTGCATGGAAGTGTCACTGGCATAAGGTATCTACCTAAGCTACCGCAGCTGAAGCCCAGCCCCGCTATGGCTGAACTGACAGCCAGTTGTACCCCAGATTAGCCATGAGAGCTGAGAAAGCTGTTCAGCTGAGCTCACTTATTGGGCATTCACTGCTTTTAGACCTGATAGCTTATCTGGATACAGGATCTATCCTTGGAGTTTAGCATTCAGGGGCCTTATGAAGTCATGGTTTATTTGTGGTGGATCCCAAGTCACACATCCATAAATATATTCCGTGTAACATGCATGCTCCTGCTTACCTGAATTCCATGGTTTTCATTATTATAAATCATGAAACAGCCAATTTGATCTATATGATGAACAACCCAGAACTATTAATCTATTAATCGATTGAATTATGCAAGGCCATTCTTCTGAAAACCATAAGAATGATGGATGTAGCACCCCATAAAGTCAAATGAAAATATTCAAGGTAGATTCGAAAGCAAACGGTAGGTTGGTACTTAAAGGCTTTTTGTAATCTCTATGGATTAAAACAATGCATGTTAAGCAATTGTTTCCAAAGGTCATCATAGATGAAAAAAAAAAAAAAAAAAAAAAAAAAAAAAAAACATCATAGACCAAGTGCCAGTGCTCCAGCCCATCACTTCTGATCTACAGCACAATTTACTAAGCCACGGAATGTAAGTCTGATTTGAATAGTAGGTATTTTTGAACTCCTTTACATCGTCTTGATTTGCAATGAAATTGAAAACAATTAATACAAGAAATGGGATTGGACCACAGGTATCGAAATTTTCAGTGGATAGAAAGACCAAATCAAGGCTCCAACTCCTCCGTCGGCACATCCTCCAAGTCCTTGCCAACAATAGCATCCGCGACCTTCCAAACTTGTAGGAGGTTGTCCTCCGCAGCAGAGCAGAGAACCCATGGGTCGTTAAGATTCCAGTTGAAGTCGGAGATCCGGTTGGTGTGACCACCGTGCATGAACAACCTGTTGAAGATATGGATTAGCAAATGCAACTCAAATTATAAACTGGATGGCACATACAGCTCAGGCGGTCCATCCTGCGCATCCTCTGGGCTTTGCTCCTCGCCAGCACGGCTAAGATCCCAGAACATGATTTTACGATCATAACTTGCACTAGCCAGTACAGATTCTTCAAACGGATGCCAAGAGAGAGAAGTAACAGAGTCACTGTGGCACTCAAGCGCGTGTAACCTAGCCTTCAAGTTACGGAGATCCCAGATGCCGATCGATTTGTCCGCTGACCCGGTGGCCAGAACAGTCTCCGCAGCTGGGTTAAAGGCAATAGCGTTGATGGCATCACGGTGCTGACCTTCGCTGGAAGCAGCCGCACGAGTTGTATCCGGTTCACGAATATCCAGAATTTGGAGGGAGATATCATCAGATACCGTTCCAATGAGCGAAGAATGAAGAGGATGGTATTGAACATCATTGACGATTGAAGAATGGTGAGTGTAGGTTCGCGACGGCCTGAGAGCCTTGTTTCCTTTTGTGTATGTAGTCAAGTCCCTGCGTCAAAGTTAGCGGACTGGAGTAATAATGATAATAGATAATAGATAATAGATAATAGACAGGAGATGTCTGCCTTACCAGAGTCTGACAGTCTTGTCCTCGCTACCCGTAACGAGATGACCTGCAGTATGCGGGCTCCAGCTAATACCAAAACCTTCCTTAGTGTGGCCAAGAAGCTCCATTTGAGGGTTGACTGTTCCTGTAGGCAGGCTTGGATGCTTTGAGCGATCCCAGATCATCACTCTTCCATCCGTGCACATGGTAGCGATCACATTAGGATTCTGCGGTTGGTACCGAGCCTTGTTGACCTCGCCCTTGTGATCAATTTTCTGCACAATGTTGAACTTGATCTCCATAGGGGCCTTTTTAGAGCTGCCGCCATACCCGCCAATCTCCCCCCGTTCTTCATCGTAATCATCCGGGTTCGGAGCAGTAGGGTTAGGGAGTTGAACATGAGCAATCTGCAAATAATTCTGCGCATCACTCGAAGTATGTGTGCCGATAAGCAGGCGATGAGTCGAATACGGTTTGTCCGGGACCCTGGATAAGTGTCAGTTTTTTATCCTTCGCTGCATAGAACTCGGCGATAAAGCGCATACTCTTGCTTATCGGGAAGCCATTGCGTCGTAAGAGTCGGCCATTCTAATGCCGTACTGAGGATCATGTCATAAAGGAATGGTGCGTTCTTCTTCCATGTTTTGTATTCTAGTCAAAGCTCTTGTCAGTCTCCAGATTACGATGAAAGCCGTAGAAAGAGAAATAAAATACCTTCATTGATCACCTTCTCCTCGGTGCGCTCTTCCTCCTGCTCTTCCTGCTCCTCGATAAAACCTACAGCGAAAGACAATGTTAGAAGGGCTGCTGGAGAGAAGAGAAACGTAGACCGCACCATCGTCGTAAGGATCCATGACGTCCTGAAAATGCGAATTGAGTGATGAAAAAGTCGTTATCCAACCGTGAACGGGGCAAAAATAGGAGACAACACAAGAAAGGGACGAGCGGGACTCGTGAGGCGAGCAAAGGCGCTGGAAAGCAAAGGGAGCAAAGCTTTGGGTAGTTAGCGGAACAGAGCTCTCTTTCACTCTCTCTTTCTCAAGTGGAAACGCGACTTTGCGGTCCAGCGCGTTAATGGGCGCCGGGGGAAACTAACCCGATATGGAAGATATGGTCTTGGCAGATGACCTCGGGCATCTCGACACCTGGTGAGGTAACCGGGAAAGAGTCACGAACAACCATCTTCATTCTTAGCCCCAAAGGCGCTCTCGTCGTCTAGATTGCTTTCTTTCCTTTAGCTTTTCTATTTGGGACATATTTATATTTTGTTGTTTCTTTGTGTCGGACTCTCTCTGAAGACTCCAAGTCTTTTTTTCTCTATACAGCCACATTGCTGTTCTTTGAATGGTTCGCCTCTGAGCTTGGGTTCTTTGAGTTACGACGACCGACGACGACGACGACGACGACGATAGCAGACGAACAAAAACGCATTGCTTCTATTTATTACCCAGACTTTCACTTCCTTGTCGATATTGATCCATCATGGGTGTTCCAAAATTCTTCCGTTGGCTGAGCGAGCGGTATCCCACGATCTCAATGTTGATCGCGGAGAACCGTATCCCCGAGTTTGACTCACTGTATCTCGATATGAACGGCATTATTCACAACTGTACACACAAGGATAGCGATTCTCCTACGTTTCGCATGACAGAGGATAAGATGTTCATTGCCATTTTCAATTACATCGAACATTTGTATGGAAAAATCAAGCCGAAGAAGCTTTTTTATATGGCAATTGACGGTGTCGCTCCTCGTGCCAAAATGAACCAACAACGTGCGCGACGATTCCGTACCGCTTTAGACGCCGAGGTTGCGAAAGAGAAAGCTGAAAAAGAAGGAATTGAAATGCCTAAAGAGGATGCGTTCGACAGCAATTGTATCACACCTGGTACTGAGTTCATGGCGAAACTAACGCAACAATTAAAATATTTCGTGAACAAGAAGGTATCCGAGGACAAGGACTGGCAAGGAGTTGAAATTGTACTTTCCGGCCATGAGGTTCCAGGAGAAGGTGAACACAAAATTATGGAATACATCCGACATGCGAAAGCACAGCCAGGATATGATGCCAATATACGTCACTGTCTTTATGGCCTTGATGCAGATTTGATTATGTTGGGCCTTCTCAGTCATGATCCCCACTTCTGTCTTCTGCGTGAAGAAGTGACTTTTGGCCGACAGGTTTCGAAGAAGCCCAAGGAACTCGAGCATCAAAATTTCTTTCTTTTGCATCTTTGCATGGTAAGAGAATACTTGGAGCTGGAGTTTCAAGAGTTGGAACAGGAGGGTGTCTTGGGTTTTCCATTTGACATGGAAAGAGTTATCGATGACTTTATTCTCATGGCTTTCTTCGTTGGAAATGATTTCTTACCTAATTTGCCTAATTTGCATATCAACGAGGGTGCCCTGGCACTAATGTTCAAGATCTACAAGGAGGTTCTGCCGAAGATGGGCGGTTACATGAATGAGCAGGGTGTCATCAACGTGGAACGGCTGGGCATGCTTGTTGAGGCCTTGAGTGATGTAGAATACCGCTTTTTCGAAGCTGAAAACTCAGACGCACAGTGGATCCGATCCAAAAAGAACGGGGAAGACGGTAGCTTGGAGCTTCAGGGAAAGCCCAAAACCCTTACAGTCACCCCGGCCCAAAAGGAAATCTTCAAGGAGGTCAAGAAATTCGTTCTGAACCGACCTGAAAAGGCGGCAGAGTCGAAACCCCTGGACCTTCCTGCTACGCTACCAGCTCGTGATCGCAAGTTTGTGGAACAACTTGCGGACGACCTTCGGCTGCCGTGGACCACTGTCCCGGACGATAATGGCGATCGATTTTTGCGTCTCACTTTCCCTATCAGCCAAACCGATGATGACGAAGAGGAAGAGGACGAAGAAGCTTCCATGGCTGTTCGTCGTATCATTCGAAGGTACGAGAACGCCAAGGTTCAGGACCTCTCTCCGGAAGAAGCCCAAAAAGCAGCGGAAAAGAAATACGAAGAGAAATTCCAGGAGTGGAAGGAAAAATACTACCAGGAAAAATTCGGATGGGGTTTGGATAATCATGAAGAAATGAGAAAATTGACCGAGAACTATGTCCAAGGTCTCCAGTGGGTATTGTTTTACTATTACAAGGGCATTGCTTCCTGGCCATGGTTCTTCAGATATCATTATGCCCCTATGATCTCCGGTTAGTCGGCCCCCCTTGCTGCTTTTTTCTTTTCTCCTTTTCATCGCTGACCAATTCTAGATGTGAAGAATGGTCTAAAGGCAGACATGAATTTCAGGCTCGGCCAACCGTTTAAGCCCTATGATCAGCTAATGGGAGTTTTGCCTGATCGGAGCAAGCGGATTGTGCCACCTGCGTATCGGGACCTGATGACGTCTCCAGATTCTCCGATCATTGATTTCTACCCTCGTGATTTCGAATTGGACATGAATGGAAAGAAGATGGAATGGGAGGCTGTTGTAAAGATTCCATTTATTGAAGAGCGTCGTCTTTTGGATGCACTTGCAACGAAAGATCACCTCCTAACACCCGAAGAGAAAGCAAGAAACGACTTTGGGGTCAGTCTCAAATTCACTTACTCTCCTGATGTTGAATATATCTACCCCTCGTCTCTTCCTGGTGTCTTCCCGGACATTCCCAGCTGCCATTGCATCGAAAATGTCTTCGATTTACCTGCTATGGATGGACTGGAGCCGCACGTTGGTTTGGTTGATGGCGCGCAGCTTGGCGCGTCAGCACTCGCTGGCTTCCCCAGTCTCAAGACTCTGCCGCATGTTGGTCAACTGGGTTTCCACGGCGTATGCGTATTCCAGCAGGAAAGCCGCAACGAGAGCCAGGTCATCACTCTTCTTGAGCCCGAAAGCAGATCAAGTAGCGAGTTAGCGAAGCAGAAGCTTGGAAAACGTGTCTTTGTGGGATACCCATTTTTGCAAGAAGCTCTCGTGGTTCGTGTTTCCGACGAACTTTTTGACTACCTGCTTCCTGAGGGAGAACAACACGCCGTCTCTGTCCCTCATACTCCGGCCCAGATTGAGCAATGGAAGAAGAAAGCGGATAAGATCGAAGGCATTTACAGCAAGAGGCTCGGTACAGTTATCGGCCCTGTTGAGGCAATGGTACATGTTCAAATGCTTAAGGGGTTGATCAAGACCGATGAGGGCGCTACAATCAAGGAATTCGCCGACATACCCGGACAAGAGACTGACTACGCTCTTCAGATGGTTGTTGATGAAGTGGAAAATCCTGATGAGCGCTTCATCGAGCGGGAGGCCCTGGCTATTGAACAGGAGTTCCCTGAAGGCTCGAGGGCTTTCTTTCTAGGGGACTTTAACTACGGCAGGCCAGTACATATCACTGGGCACGATGATGGCAAAGTGAATGGATTGATCGCTTCCGTGAAGGGGCGGGATCCAGATTTTGGGAAAGAGCGCGCGAGAGAAGCAGAGAAACTCTGTCCTTACATGCCCTCGTTTGCCATTGCACGTAGCTTGCGTTTGAACCCCCTGGTCTTGGCCAAGATTACTTCGTCATTTTCTGTCGATGTTGAAGGACAGCGCGTTAACCTGGGTCTTAACTTGAAGTTCGAAGCCAGGAAGCAGAAGGTTCTTGGTTATTCGCGCCGCGGAGATTCGGGTTGGGAATTCAGCCAGAAGGCCGTTGACCTCATTCAGCAGTATATGATCAATTTCCCAGAGTTCATTGCGGGGATTCAGCGGAACCCTCAGGGTGACAGATACCGGCCGACAGATTTCTATCCGGAGGATGTAGCACTTTTGAAGATCAAGGAAATCCGTGACTGGCTCAAATCGGTTGAGGCTAAAAACTTCGAGAGAGTTCCTCTCGAGGCCGAACAGCTCGACTCTGATATTGTCAAGATGATAGAACAGGATGCGGACAAACTCAGCCAGGGTCAACCGCAAATGCAGGCGAAGAAAATCAGGGGTGTTCCTCGAGGCGCTCTTCTCCGACCTTCAGATGTTGAGCAGCGACTCGGAAACCAGACCTTCAGGCTTGGAGACCGGGTGGTTTACGCTCAGGACTCTGGCAAGGTTCCTATTGCCACACGGGGAACTGTCGTGGGTCTCACAAGAACACCACGGGCGATTCTGCTTGACGTTGTTTTTGATGCATCTTTTATGAGTGGAACGACTCTGGGAGACAGGTGTTCGCCTTTCCGAGGCCAGACTGTCCTGGCGTCCTCAGTCCTGAACATCTCGTATCGACAGCTCACTGCCAGTACTCGGGCGGCGACCAGCCAGCAGACTCAAAGCCAGCCATCGCCTTTGACAGTTGCAGGGTACGGTGCCCCGCTTGGACCAGGTGGACAGGGCCAGCTGACAAACGCGCCCACTCCTCCACCATTGAAAAGCTCTTATCGCGGTGCTGTAAGCGGCATGGCCAATGGACGAGGAAATGGCAACCCGAGAGGCCGTGGTGGTCGTGGTGCCTTGAACGGAGGCTCGTCGCAAACCACCCTACCCTTCCGGCCACATCCAAACAGTGGAGATCAGGCAAATGGCAATTCGTCTCGTGGAAGAGGCCGAGGCCGTGGAAGTCCGCAATACACCCGAGGGGGCTATATCGCACTTGATAACAGCCACCCAGATGCGGGAATCGTTAAGAACAACCCGAACTTTCGTCCCCAGAATTATTCCCAAGTGCCCCCTCCTCAGAGCCTGGATCGACGTGGCGGACGTGGCGGCCGAGGTCGTGGAAATGGATTTAGAGGAAGGGGAGGTCAGCGGGGAAGAGGCGGTGCGGCTGCTACTCAGACCAGTGAATAGGCTGTCAGCCCTAGCTGTGTGGTCTACTCTAACTTCTTACTGTTGGTATTGAAGTTATTTTGGATTACTCGACCATTCTCTTGATTCTTATTCTTATACATAAAGAGGCGATAACTTGTTCTTTAGTCTGTCCACTGGTTTTCTGTTGCACACAATAGAATGATACTCGGATACTTGGACACTCGGATACCTCAAACTTGAATGTTGAAAATAAAGGACTTTAGTTAGTTTCTTCTTCTGCTAATGTTCGTATCGTACACTGTGTAAACTGGATAACTAGTCTGATGTTAAGGAAAACTATGCAATTTGACGACCTGATAAACAAAACCAGAGCCAGATACTACTTTGTGAATGCTGAGCCAAAGATTGTAATTCCACATGCAGAAAAAGAGAGAAAGAAACACCATAGCAAAACTTCTTCAGATATCCCAAGTACGATCAAGAAAGGGAAAACGGAATATCTATCGATGAGTGCCAGCAATAATGACTAGAGCTTAATGTCTCTCTTCTTCATAAAAACTTCGGTATACATGTTTGGCATGGTCTGTTCCCCATTACGAATGTTGATAGGCCTGTCTGTCATGCCATCCTGGAATTTGAAATCATATTCAAAAATGAGACGGCTCATGATTGCTTTTATCGTATTTGCTGCGAAGAATCGTCCGGGACACGCCTGACGTCCGAAACCAAAGTGCATATTGGTAGAGTTGATGGTCACCAGGTTGGTACTAACTCCCTTTGACGAATCCTCAGCCCAGCGAAGTCCGTCGAAGGGATATGGTTCGGGTACGACATTGGGATCGTGACACAAGGGACCTGCAGCGAAACAAATATGGGTTCCTCTGGGGAGTACAAGGCCGTTTGACAAGGCTAGGTTTTGTTTGACGATCCTGTACATGGATACTAGAAAAAAGAAGGTCGATGTCAACAATATTGCTTATCATAAAGACTGGCTTGAGCAACTCACGTTCGCTGGAGGGGTTGAAACGTTGGGACTCCTTGAGGAAACTATCAAAAAGTCGCATCTGGAGGAATTCCAAGTGAGTACCGTTCTCCCAACCGCTCTTCAAGCTCGTCTGGATTTCGTTCCTCAGAGGCTCCAGATACCCAGGCCTCGCCATGAGATCAAAAAGAACGTGAGTCATGAACATAGTGCTGGTGTGAACAGCAGCAAGGCTGATGAAGATGAGGAGGTTCTGGGCCAAAAATTCGGGTTCCTTGTCACGGCTATTATCGGCAAGGTCCATCATCCATTGCAGAAAATCGTCGGGCTTCTTGTACGAGGGGTTTCTTGCTTCCTGATTCCTGCGTGTATTGATCAATGGTACGAAGAGTTCGTCCTTGACGAAACGAAGTTGCCGTTGGAGCTTTTTGGCGCTGGGGAGGTATCTGGCCACCAGGGGACGTAGGAAACTCGGGATTGGTCGTAACATCATCACGGTGATACCGACGTTAATCGTGTAGTTAGCGGAGATATTAAGCCATTCTTCATTCCTGCAGAGCTCCTCGCCGATAATCACACGAGAAGCAGCGCGATTGATGAGGGAAAGGACCAGGTTGAATGGGTTGACAGACACCCAATTGTCTAAGCCTTTCGTATGAGCTATAGGTTCTTTAGCTGGAGGCAGGTTGGATTCTCACCTTTGCACTCGGGAAAGTCTGTTTCGAAGGAGTATTTGAGCTCGTCAAGGATTCGAGGGGTGATGCGGCCTATAGTTTACCATCAGCCTTAGGGGTCTTGGTATGTATGCATCTGTACATACCTAAAGCTGGAGTCAATCGCCTTTGGGCGGTATCGGGTGGCAAAGCGCTCTCGATTAAGACGTTGGTGTATTCTCCCAGGACATTCTAAAGGATACTGTTATTAGTTTGGACAATTGACCAACTAGAAGGTGCCTCGAAAAAGACATACCTCATACTGTGCATCAAGAGAACTCAGCTTCGAAGGCGGGAGATTCCGAAGCTCATCGACGTACTCAATGGGCAAGACAATCAGGTCTCCATCAGCTTTGAGCAATCGAAAAGGTTGGTTTTTGTACTGGGAATAGTCAGTCTGGAGGTTCCTTTTCATGGAACGACAGGATAGCAATGACCTTTCCATAACCATATTTGATCAAAGATGGGGCAACGAGGTAATAGAGTAGGCGGTTTGCAAATTTGGGTAAAAAGCGACTGTATTTCACTGTAGGCACATCCAGGGCTATCTCACCAGAGGGGAGAAGACAGTAAAGAAACAAGAGAGGCCCAACCAAAGACCAAAGTGGAAAACCCCACATTTTGACCAACTTCCCTATAATAATGATACAGCAGAAGGTCAGAATGCTTTATCCTAGTTCAATCATGGGATGGGGAAAGGAGAGGTGAACAACAGTGGGGATGAGTCAATCAACTGGGAGTTGTAGGAGAAGAAAAGAAAAGCTGATGGCATCAGGGAAAATTTTTCCTCTTTGATCAATAGAGAGAATGGGAGGCCAACCGCTGCTCAGTGAATGGCAGCTCAAATCCAAGAGTCTTACCATCGACTGTCTAGCCTGGACTTGCAGTGAATGAGTTATGATCCCTATCAACAGCAACAGTCTCTGCCATATCCTTATGCTTATAGCCAAATACGAGGCTGATCTACAAAACGGAAAAAGGGTAGGAGTCGTATCTATTTCCACGTTGATTAGTTATCTGCTGAAGCATCAGGTATTCTACCACATACTATTCAAAAAACCATAGCCATCACAAAGGACTTCATGAACTTTTTTTGCTGATCCCCTTTTTGTCTTTCCAGGTATATCACAATACAAGAAACGCCAGGCGCAAATGCAAGACAAGTAAAACCGGTTATATAGATACAAAATCAAAATCATTCAAGGCCTATCCATTCGCCTTCTCCCTCTTCTTCGTCAGCGTCAGCCATGTTCTCATCATCGCCATTTGCGGCCTCCAAGTTGGCGTTGTCAATAGCCTTCATAGCCCCGCTGTTCTTTTTGCCTGCAAGGACAGGCTTGGAAAGGAGGAATTGGAGATCGTAGAAGTTCCTTTCGGTCAGTTTCTTCAGGTTCTCCCGGATGTCATCAAGAGCACGCTGCACGGCACGGAGTTCTGTCGCAAAAGTACCTGCATTGTCCTTGAAGTACCGGCCGTGGCTGCTCAGAAGCGACTCAATCCATCGCAAGTTGAATTCAAGATGGGGAGTCTCTTCTGCGGCGTGCGCTACAAATCGTAGGAGACGGGGAAGGTAAACGGTGGGCACGGATCGGACGACGTGTGGGATGTCAGATGGAGGAATACCCTCGTACACGACGCGGATAAGCTTCGACTCGTTGAGACGGAAAGCCATGATCAATGCCTTCAAGAAGCTGTCATCACTGTCGGTCGTGACAGCCTTGGATGCTTTTCTTGCGCCCTCCAGAGTTTCAAGAATTGTCGAAGGGGTAATGTCAATATCAAGGTCGAAAGGATCGAATACAAACTCCGTATCCAAGCTGTAAATTAAAAGACCTTCGGTAGAGGCTGCGCAAAACGCACGTCCAGTGGGAGAGAAGTCGACTGACGTGACACGGACTTCAGGCCGTGTGGTACGCGATCCAGCATCGCCTCGCTTCGCACCAGGCAAGGTGCGGTCAATCCGGTCTTCAAGATCAGAGGCTTCGCCTGTCTCATCAATGAGACCCCGAGGTCCAGCCTCTGTCATGTCACGACTGTTCAAAATCTCCTGCGTTCCATCGATCGAAGTGTTGACTGAAACTGTGAATTTCTTCACCAGTGAACCAGTCTTCACATCATACAAGCAGATATACTTGCTGTTACCACCAGCCAGGATACAGCTGCCATCAGCGCTGTAAGTGATTCGGTTGAAAGACTTGGTACCCGCAGAATTGGCAGCTGTGCGACGATCGGACACCTTGCGCCCTCCCGACACATCACGACGACCGTCAATTCCACTTTGTTGGACGGCATCTTCAACGGACCAGAAAGACAGCTGGCCGTCCAGAGTTGACGCAGCGACCTGTTTACCGTCGGCTCGGAATGCCACACTTAAAACATCGGACATGAGCTGCAAAGGCTCACTAGTTTGAGACCTCCCGAAAATGCTCCAGATGCGAACTGTGTGGTCCCAACTGCCACTGACCAGGTGATTTCCATCTGCGGCGAATGCCATAGTAGAAACGGGCCCTTCATGGCCAGACAATTGATCAAGCAGCTGCCCAGTCTGGACTGACCAAATGTGGATATCGAAAGAGTCGGGGGACCCTGCACAGATCACTTCACCGCTAGGGTCGACTGCAAGCGACGAAAATGATAGTCGAGATGGTGCGGTGAAGGTTCGGAAGTTACGGTATCGAATCAGATCCCACGCTCTCACAGAGCCGTCCAACGATGCAGTAAATAAAACATTTCCTTTCTTGGCAAACTCGCATGCAGTCACACCACTAGTGTGTTCTGTAAATGTCACTATGCAGAAGCCAGACTTTACATCCCAAATCTTGACCTTTCCATCATCGGCGGCGGTGACGATTTTCTGGCCATCAGGAGAATAGACGAGCGAGTTCATAGAGTCAAGGTGACCTTGTTGCTTCAAGATGTACGACTCAGACTGCCATTCCCACACCAACAATTGACCGTGTTTCGAAGAACCGAATGCCAGCCATTCGCCGGATTTGTTGATCGTCACGTTGTCGATGGTACTTTGAGAAACACTGGTCCAGTCCAGTCAGTCGTGCATGGGAGATTATTCCATTTAAAAAAAATCATACCTCAATTGATGAATCATGTTAAACTCGGGCAGGTCGTAGAGGCCAAATAATCCATTAGAAAAGCCCACAACCAAGAGGTTTGAGCTTGGATGGAATGCAGTGCAATTGACCTTGGCGTCATTCTGCATAAAGTAATCCTTCTTGACAATTCTCCATCGGGCATCCGCAATATCTTCCATCGTATCCGGGTCTTTCTTGGTCACATACTCCCATCTGAACAAAGCTCCATCTTGACTGACAGTGTAGATCTACCAAGGACAGTTAGCGAGTGGCTGACGGACATAGTTGGGAAAAGACTAACAGATTCCTGATCGCCAGAGAAGAACGCTGCCTTCACGCCCTGTCGATGTCCTGCCAAAGTAGTCGGTTCGAACCCTTCCTCCGGATCCAAACTCCATACCCGTGCGGTCAAATCCTTGGAGGCTGTGAGGATGAATCGTGAATCGCTGGACCATTCAATGTGCTGGATGTTATCGAAATGACCGGCAAGGTCCCGGTGCAAAACAAAAGGTGCGAATTCAATTTCTCCATTGGTCTCCGTTCCGGGGGTGGATGGGGTGCGCCAAATCTGCAGTCGTCTACCCACTCCGACGGCGAAATGCCGACCAGAGGGTGAGAATGTGAGGGCGGAAACCCGTCCTTTGAAGGAAAAGTGATGGATAGCAATTCTGCGGTGGAAGTTCGTCAAGATAGCACGGCCATTCTCGTCAACGGAAAGCAAAAGATTGCCTTTAGGAGATAGGTCAAGGCGGTCGATGTTGGTGCGGTGCGCAAACGGAAGAGTATAGGAAGTATTGCTTGCGCGGAACAAGTCAGTACTCAATTGATCTTAAACAGCATTGTGAGAGGGTAAAGGAGGGAACATACTGGACGAGGTCAAAAACCGAGACCTGGTTGCCTACTGGGGAAAGCAAGCAGGTACCATCCGGCGTAAAGAGAAGATTTCCTTTGCGATAGACAGTCCCCAGTAGATTGGAGAACTAGGGACAGAGTCAGAATAAATTCTATAATTCCCAGTCAATCCGAAGTCAAAAGACACGCACCTTAAAATCCGTCTTCATTTTCACAAGCCCGCGAGCTTTTCGTCGGCTTTTTCTTTTCTGATAGCTCTGATCTCCCGCTTCAAAAAATCGTCTTCCCAAACGGGCGACGATAAGAAAGCTGATCAACGTTAATCCGAGGCCGGTTCAACTAATCCCGGATAGGCTTAGCGTCATCCGGGGCCAAAAAAGGCTCTCGCTAAGGTTTTCCATGTTTGCTTTGTTTGTTTTCTCTCCGGATACACTAGTCCCAATGAGGGAAAGGCTGTATTGGATTCAGGGGCAGCAGCGAAAGCAACAACCTGCCGTTTGACTGAGCAGAGCCAAACCCAGGTGTGAAAGGGCAAGACGACCGAACACCTTCCAACTGCTCTCCATTGATCCTTTTCCTTCTTGTCCTCTTCTCCTCATCCTTCGTTGACCTCATTTCCAGTGGTTGGCTTTGGTCCCCTCCCGTCTGCCTTATCTTCCCATTCCAATCACCACTTTCTGTCCCTCCATTTGTCTCTAGCTCTCCAACCCCTATCTCACCATGTCCACTACGGAAACTGCCACCCCCATTGGCATTGCCAATGTAAGTGATACTTGACAATGTTTGATAGAAGTTGCCTACTGACAATTGGTTTTCACAGCTCCCGAACCAGCGGTGTGTATATCCACGTCTAGTTTTGATTACGACGATGAAGAGAAATAAAGAATGGGGGTTCTAATTGAAGCTATTCAGACACAAGATCGTTGCTAAGCGGGGTGCGGCCTTCACTATTATGGTGGGTTTCTTCTGGGATCGACATGTGATGATGTAAAAAGGCCAGTGCTGATAATGGTTACTAGGTTGCTGGAGAATCGGGATTGGGAAAGACCACCTTTATCAACACCTTGTTTTCGACCACCATCAAGAACTATGCCGACCACAAGCGCCGCCACCAGAAACAGGTTGACCGAACCGTCGAGATTGAAATCACCAAGGCCGAGCTGGAGGAGAAGTTCTTCAAAGGTTCATATTACAGGATCTTATATTCTCGGATAAAGGCTGACGCTGGAATCTGTTCTATATAGTTCGTTTGACCGTTATCGATACCCCTGGCTTTGGAGACTACGTCAACAACCGCGACTCCTGGCAACCCATCATCGAGTTCCTCGACGACCAGCATGAATCGTACATGTTGCAAGAGCAGCAGCCCCGTCGTACGGACAAGATCGACATGCGTGTTCACGCCTGCTTGTACTTCATCAGACCCACCGGACACACCTTGAAGCCCCTCGACATTGAAGTTATGAAGCGATTGAGTTCTCGTGTCAACCTCATCCCTGTCGTCGCCAAGGCCGACACTCTTAGCCCCGCCGATCTGGCCCGTTACAAGCAGAGAGTAAGAAACCTATTCGGAGTTTTGTTTATGATAGTGAGGAACTGACTTGTACTTTTTTCTGTCTATTAGATCCAAGCTGTTATCGAAGCTCAGGGAATTAAGATCTACACCCCGCCAGTTGAGGAGGATGATGAGCACGCTGCTACCCACGCTCGTAGCTTGATGGCTGCCATGCCCTTCGCCGTGATTGGGTCCGAGAAGGATGTCAAGAGTAACGACGGACAGCGGGTCGTCAAGGGCCGTCAATATGCTTGGGGTGTTGCCGAAGTTGAGAACGAAGAGCACTGCGACTTCAAGAAGCTGCGCTCAATCTTGATCCGTACCCACATGCTAGACCTTATCCACACGACCGAGGAGCAGCACTACGAGGCCTACCGCGCACAGCAGATGGAAACAAGGAAATTTGGCGAAGCTCGCCCCAGAAAGCTGGACAACCCCAAGTTCAAGGAAGAGGAAGAGACCCTCCGGAAGCGCTTTACCGAGCAAGTCAAGGTCGAGGAGCAGCGTTTCCGACAGTGGGAGCAGAAGCTCATCGCCGAGAGAGACCGCCTCAACAAGGACTTGGAAGCCACTCACGCTGCGTATGTTCCCCTCCCTCGAGGCCACTCTTTGGGTAATGATCGTACTGACCAGAATACAGAATCAAATCACTCGAGCAAGAAATCGAATCGCTCCAGGGCTCTACTACTCGAAGCCACGGACGCCGTTAATTTATGTTTTTTGAACCACTGCCCGTTGGCAGTGGTTTTGAACGGAGCAGTGAAAAAAAGGAGAAGAATTGTGCATGCTCTTGACTACCATTACTCTTGTTTATTCTTTGATTACCCCATTTTTCGGCCTTACTTGCGTGCTCGGGGGGAACATATCCAGACTGGGCCTTGAGGCCTGGCCGTGCTACGCTGATTTCCTTTTCTATTCTTTTTTTCCTTTCCATTTACGCTGGTAGCTAGCGATGGTTTCTCTACATCCTTGATAATAACCCCACTTGTACTCCGTAGCGTGTCAATACAGATTTAATTAGTTGTGTCATTGTTCTTTGGTACTAGTAGATGAAATTGCAAAATGCTTGTAGCTTGTAAGAATATGGGAAGCTCCGCTCCATGGAGCGGCATGGATGGCTTGTGCTTTTTTACCTCCGCGGCCAATCTCGCTCGGGGGCATCTCCAATTCTCCATCATCGACAAATCCACCGTCCGTCGGGAAGCGCCCGCACCAATCTTTGAATCCATCTCGTGCTCAAACAACGAACTTGCTGTTATTTTCGATATTGTTGAGTTGAGGATTACCGTTGCCGTCAATGCCTGCAAAAAAAGAATTTCCTACTACACTGAGACATACCCTTAAAACACACAACGGTTAGCTTTTCCCCGCTGTCAGGAAGCTCCAACACAATCTAACAAGCTCCAGGGCCTGTAAACGCCGTCACATTCTCCAGCTATCCCGGAACTTATGTTCTCACTGGCTCCTCCGATCGCTCCGTGCACATAACTCGCGCGATTCCCAATAACGCAAACAATGGCTCCGTTGTAGAGACGACGGCTCCAATTCAGAAGTACGAGGCGCATGGGTACTCAGTGCTAGATGTCGCTGTTGCAGGGGACAACTCACGATTTGCCAGTGTAGGAGGTGATCGGCTGGTATTTCTTTGGGATGTTGAACAGGGTGGCACCATAAGAAGATGGGGCGGGCATAATGCAAGAGTTGAAGCAGTCCAATTCGCAGGGGACGGCGATGCGGTCGTTGTTTCTGGTGAGTTTGCTCCCTTCATCCTGGCAGGTTGTACAATCTCACTTATACCCCTTACAGGCAGTGCGGATACTACTATTAATCTTTGGGACACCCGATCAAACGCCCACAAGCCTATCCAAACCCTGACTGAGGCCGGCGACACTGTCTCTGCATTACACACACACATGCCTACATACTCGATTGCAAGTGGAAGCTACGATGGCCGTGTGCGCACCTACGACATTCGAATGGGCCGAACAACCGTTGATGTTCTAGCGCATCCTGTCACCAGCGTTCGCTGCTCGGCAGATGGGAATGCTCTGCTCACTTCTACGCTGGACGGAAGAATCCGGATGTTGGACCGAACTGATGGTAAACTGCTCAAGGCATTTGGCGGAGAAGAGACTTCGAAATCGGTTCTAGGGGGTTCAAAACCTGCCTATCGCAATACTGAGTTAAGGATACGGTCCGTATTTGCCAAGCGCGACGCTGTTGTTCTTAGCGGCAGTGAGTCTGAGAAGGGGGATCGATTCTCTCAGGCATCTGCGTTTGCTTGGGATGTGTTGAGTGGGGACGTCATTGCGACTATTCCTGCTGGAGAGGGGGTGAGGGCAGTGAGTTGCGTGGCATGGAACGAGAAGGAAGGCGTATGGGCTGGTGGCTGTTCCGATGGTACGATTCACTCCTTAACCTTGTTGCTCCTTTTCAGTCTGTGTGCTAATCATGAATTCTGGGATTAGGAACTGTCAAATTGTACAGCTGATGCACAACGATGGATACCTAATATATTCGCACATCCCCCGGCAACTCGATTGTCCCCGCATCTGCCACCCCCTCAATGCGTGTTTGTTTTCTCAAAGTTTGCCTTTGGAAGTAACATGCATATCCTGCTCATTGAAATCCACCTTCTGGCCTCTACTCGGCAATGATTCGTCGAGACAAAGCATTCCCGCCCTATATGCGTGTTTGGCTTATGCATTCGCCTATGATGGGAATGTGGTCGTATTTTGCGCGAGTGCCGCTCAGCACCCTGGCGTCAAATACGCAGGCGTCGCTAGGATGGTCTTGCGACGTGGACTCAAATAGGCCAGCGACCGTTATACAGACCAATCTCTTCTCTAGGAGCAGATTCCACTGTTTCGACCATCAGACCATAGTGGGGAATCTAGCCAAGATAGCACTGATGCTTCCGAGTGCAGTAACATTGTTATCAGTGACAAGCCAAGATTATTTACTAGCATTACTGTATATTAATCTAATCAAGCTACATACTACGAAAGTTGCCTTGAGAACGCTATCCTTAATTTATTCAACAGAACATTGATACGTGTTCCTATCAGAATGGATTCAAGTTTAGTACAAGACTTATCTTTCGGATTCAAGTTAGTTCTGTTCGTTCGTATCAATATATTATACTTCATGAGATGCACAGATGAATTAGTAGAAACAAGCATCGCAACTCATTGGAAGCTAGCGATTTGCATATCGCCAAAACAACCTTTTTGTCGATTCATCCAGACTCCAAGCGGTAGTATTAACAAAAAGAAAATCCCAAGCACAAAAAAGCCAATTTTGATATCTGCGTTTTTTTATCTCGAAGAAATATGTCGTAACTGTCATACTCGTTTCCAAATGAAGACGAAAACGAAAATGGAAAACATTTTTTGTGCGCCCAAAATGCAACGGGAGTGGTGCGAGCCAGCAAATCGAATGGTTATACTGACGTTATGTAGAATTAGTGGCAAGGTCTACCACCACAAACCGAATTTTGATGGATTTATTCTTTTTGCCAGGACTCCGAGATATCAGACTTGTTGCTTGAAAGCTCCGGGTCGTGGCTTTCGGCATCGAGTGCATCCACTGCACGATTGAGCTCGTGCTCGCCGACGATTATGGTTCCCGCGCGTGCGGTGCTGAGGAAGCTGATCTCTACAGCGTCCAGGGATGCGTCCAGGTCAGGCTGTAGATGATGGGTAGATGGTGTGACAGGGGTGCTAGCAGGGGGTTGCACTGGGCCGCCATAGTTACCGTTGACGGGCTTGAACGAGCTGTCAAAGTAAGAAAAGCTATCGACAGACCGAGAGAGTCTGTCTTCGTCCGGGGTGTGAGTAGCTTCGGCCAATCGACTGGCTACTCCACAGACGATACCTGTAGCTTCGAGGGGAAGTTTGCGCAAATCAAGCATGATTGGTACAAGGATATCCTCTTTAGATCCCAGGAGAAGACTAGTCTCATCATCTGGTTCTGTGCCCGATGTAGGATCACTCGAGAACCGTGGCAGAAGCCGTTGCTCCAGCAGGAGGGATGCGGCAGGGTCTGCGGCCGTTAGGGTCAACGAAAGAAAACGAGGCTTGTCCACAACCAATGCAGTAGTGAGTGCATCACGGAGGATTGATATTGAGCTAGCTTCACTGCTATAAGGATGATGAGCTGCACACTGGACTAACCGCAGCCCCTTGTCAACGGAGGGGATGATATGATTCTTCCGTAAGGAGGCAAAAGTTCGCGTCTGCAGTTCATCGACAGTCGATGGGAGTGGTGTAGCTGGCGGAGAGCCCAGGCTACTTGGAGATCGAGACCCAGGGCTGAAGCAGTTATTTTGATTCGGGTTGATATTGATAAATGCCTCAGTCGATATTTCAAACTGAAAGCCACGCTTCTCCAAAGCTTCGATGACCTGTGTTTTGGATCGGAGAGGGACAATGATATAGTCGGAGAAATACGTCGAAATGAAGAAGATGGAACTGCAAAGCTGGTCAGACATATTCTGGTTAAATTGATGCATAATAGGATTGGAACATACATCCCCGCCATTGCTAAGGGGCTGGTAAGCTCAAGCACACGCTGACCAGCGTCAAGACCTTCTCCATAGACTTGCATGGCGACGAAATCTTCCCGACTGATCGAAAGGCGGCTTTTGGTCGAGGAGTCGGCCTGAATGAACTGTTCGATCATTGGTGTGAAATACAGGTCGGCAAGTTGCCTAGGGCACATGACAGAGCACTCGACGGGTGTGATGGAGAGATTCAGAAAAGCTGGCTGAGAAGGCTTGAAACCCTCTCCAGGACCATCGTCCGTGTCTTCATTGCTTGTATCGATGGGAGATACTTCATGGAAAAGGACCTGCAGAATGGGTTTCAGGAAATACGAGTAGAGATCCAAAGGAATGTGCACCAGGGCCAGCCGGTCGTCCTGTAATTCCACCACTGTTGTCAGTGAAACAAGCCTAAGACGAGAGGATTGCATTGGCCCGCGAAAGAAAGAAATAGAGAGAAGATATCCAAAGCCGGTGGTATAGAAAAACATTGAGATGGAAGAAAATAAGAGCTCACCATGAACTGGACCTGGGCAGATATTAGGGACAAAGACTGATCCATGACTGGTGATCTTCAGTGTCTATGTTCTTGGGATGTTTGATTCCAGGCTGCCTTTCACCAAATTGAATGAATTGCTGGCGGGTCCAGTGTAGTAAAGAGGGGAGTGAGACAGTCTGAGATGAGACTTTAGGATAAGTCGTTGTAAATAAAAGCACCAAGTTTTGTGGTGAATGAGAGAAGATGTGATGGATAGAAAGGAGAAAAAGGCAATTTTGAAGATATGTGGTGTGATTGATGGACAGTTCTGGAGATATTCAAGACCAGCAAATCCAGATGGTGAATTGGAGGAAAATCACAGGATGGGCAGATCCCATTAGACAGAATGCAAAGCTTCTGCAGCAGCAATTTGTTTTTTCTTTTTCCTTTTGAGTTCTTTGATGGCACAGAATCCTCGAGCTGTCATTGTTCTGATCCGACGCCCCTTACGCCATTGCCTGAAGAAATGATGATGTCTGGAAAAGAAATTCGGAGTACGAGATGACCATGAAGCTATGATGTTAATGCTAACAATTCAATGCGTTAAACCAAGGAGAGGTTCATGGCGTCAGTTACAGCGAGAAGCACGAAAAATAAACGAAGTCCCAGAGAGGGGAGGATTCCAGAAAGGAAAAGCAGGTGACTCAGTCGACAATGCGTTGTGCTGGTCGTCCCAATGCCTTCTTCTCGACTTCTTTTGCTCTCCTCTTTCTCCAATCTCAAGAGTCGAAGAATAAAAAATAATACCAATGGGTTCGAATAAGATATCGCCACACACGACAATCACAAAAAGAAAACAAGATGCACAAAAAGAAAGGTGAAAGAAAAAAAAGAGCTTCGTTGTCACTCTCGATCCACTTTGTCTACCTTTATCTCCAACGTGCAAAAGAAACACCCCAACCCTTCCTCCCCTTGCCTTTAAATCAACCTCTTACCAAATATCTTTTGCAACTCCGATCTCTGACTCTTTGGCTTTATCTCCAGGTCCCACCCTCAACTGCTTATCAGGAGCTTGTCCCCGATCGCCACCGCGCTAGGCGCTGGTCCCAGGCAGTGCGTGCACGGTCCGATTAATTATCGCCGTTATGACTGATTATTTTTCGGCGTTGAGATCAAATGTTCATTACAACTACGTCCAGATTCAGGGTAGTTCGTCCTCCTCCCCGCACTTTCGGTGCTGCTGCAGGGTGTATCGTAGTCAGGCACCACGGTCGCTGCAGCAAACATAACTTCAAGATAATGTGGCAATAATATACTGGAGGGCAACCGTCCTGCAGGCGGATTTACAACACTGCAGACCTACCTCGGTAGGATTTACTGCCAGATAACTGGAGAGGGGTTGTCCATCTATCGCCTAGGGAAACCACTGGTTCAAGTGGAGTCGGATTCGCAGGGAGGGTTGGAGGGAAACATTCTTCACCATGTCACAAGCAGCAGCCATAGGGCAGTGTCGCAGTGATGATGATGACGATGATGATGTTTCTGCTGATGAACACGCCGCAGCTCTATGAAAGCAGGCAAACCAGAGACAAGAACCGCCTTGCGCCTCCAGAAAAACTGGCACAGCAGACAGGGCTGTGCCACATAAATTCAATTCGCCTCAGATGACAATCATAGGGGGGCTTGCAGGATGCCTCCCTCAATCTCAGACATGCCCATATATCTATATGACCTGCGCTTGGAGCGCTACAAATGAGAAAGGGTGGTCACTAGCCATCATCATACATCTCACGGACACGGCCCTCTGTGTACGCACATACCTTTACAAAATACTTCAGTTTATCTTCCACTTGACGGTTGATCTCCTGGTACATCCTAGTCTACGTCTCGCTGTCGGATATAACTGGCTAGTCTTTTGGCGCGGAGCTACTTACTAGGCTGGGAATGCGAATCATAGTACATTAAGGTATGCCGCGTGCGGACTTTGATAGTCGTGGACTCCTTGCCCTGGGAAAAGAAGGTTGGTTACACGGTGATCACACAAGTACCGCTGCTCTCTGCATTCATTCTGCTTCCGGATCTTTCCCGGCGTACTTTGTTGTATCTGCAGAAATTTCGATCCTTGGGTGTGTTGACAAAGATAGGGAAACGGAAAACGATCAAAGGGAAACTACAAGGTGGCAATGAAGAACCCCGAAGAAAAGAACGAAATCGACTTTCTTTGTTTGGCCTCGTGCTTCGTTGTCGTTGAACTCTTTTTCTTTATTTATCCACCAACCGTAATATTTTTGTTTTCTTTAGACTGTGGCAAATCTCGTCGCTTTTCGATTACCTCAAGGCCAGCAACATGACAAATAAGAGTATAATAACTAGGCTTGAGGTTGATCAGCTGCCGATTAATGTCAAGGGGAAAAGACACATCCACGGTTTAAATGTCCTGCCTAAATACACGATATAAGATACATTCAACAGGAACAATTCAAGAGAATCGAACCTTCGTCGGGATAATTGTAAACACAAACGCCCGCAATGCATGATGGAAAATCCCTGGATTTGCCCGCATTTTCAACCAGTACCCAAGAGAAAAATAAAAGAAACACAAAAAAAAAACTTGATGTCATCAAGGAAAAAAAATATATAATTTAATCGTCGTCAACTCTCGCGCGCTTTGATCCACGCTCTTCGTCATGCTGAACTTCCTGGATACCGTAGCGCTTCTGACCAGCTCCTCCAGTCACATCGGCGATCATGCTATCGATTCCAAAAGGATCAGTTGTGTCCTTTTCAAACTGGACAGGACCATCACGAGCCTGGGATACGAGTTAGCTTGTCTTGATAGAATAATATTGCGAGTTAAAAAATGATCTCACCTCGGCATCTGCGGCGCCCCGGAATCCTTCCTTCGCTTTTCCAAGAACTTCGAATCGGTTGGTCTTTTGGAGCTTGCTCATTTCTCCTTCAGCAGCCTCTTCGTTGTCTTCAAGATCAACTTGAGCACGTGGGCGATAGATGCTGTTGATAGCGTCCTGCGCAGCAAACAACGGCTTGTCGTAAGGGTTGTCTTCGTTGAACCCGGAATCCATTCCGCTCGTCTGGTTAAAAAGACGAGAATCCCACATGGATTCGGAAGACTGGGTCGGCTTGGCCAGTCCTAGGGCCACCTTCTCCGAAACATCACGGTTCTGCTCTCGGGCCATGGCCTGGATACGTCTTTCTGTACCCATACGCGATTGGCGGAGCTGTCTTTCAGCGTCCTGTCGTCGTTCACGGCGCATCCGCTCACGGTCTCGGGCGGCATCTTCGTCTTCGCTAGGGGAACCGCCCCGAGAAGAGTATGGGGATGGGCTGCGGCTGACACTGCGAGAATAAGACCTCGCGCGAGAGTCGCGTCGGCTGCTTCCTGCTCGTTCTTCGCGCGCCTTCTGGGCGAGAGCACGAAGGTGGTCCTCTTTCTGCGCCTTCTCCTTCTCTGCCAGCTTCTGCTGCATCTGTGCACGTAGTCTAACCTCCTCACGGGCATGTCTGTCCGCCGTAAACAAAGCCTCGGCAAACTGGGCGAACTTGTCGTTGATCGAGGCATCCTGCAGACCACGGCCATCGGCAGCCAGTCGCTTATCCAACGGAACCGTGTAACCCTTGGGGTTCTTCCAATTCGACACTGGTGGCGGAATCTTCCAAGCCTCCTGATCCTCCGCAGTCAGCTTCCTAGGCGGAGATTGCATGATGGGCGGAGGCGGCGATGGCGGGCCACGCGGGATCTTCTTGTGCTTGAATTTCGGGGGCTCCATCGGATCCTGCTGCCTTTCAACAATCTTCATAATACGATCATTCTTCTTATCATTGTCTCCCATCTGATTGGCAGGCGTGTATCGAACAAACGTAGGCTCCGCCCGTCGACCACCCTTGACGTTCTTGGGCTTCTGCGCCGCCACAGCCCCATCCACCAGATTCGCCAACGCATTCTTCGTTTTTTCCATCTGCGCCGCAACCTCCTCCTCGGACGGCCTATCCAGCGAAACCTCCCCCATATCAACCCGCTGCCGGAGCGGAATCAAATCCTTGAAGGAGGCATGCACGATCCGGTCGTCGCTGTGACCCCGCCGCGCAATCGCATCGTATTTAACCTTACCCTCAGCGTCGACCTGCACGGCGAGCGCATTCGAGGTAGATGCCGTTCCCTTTCGGCCCATGTCGAGGGGGTACTGTGCGACCAGAATCTCGGGGAACGCGCCACCATCGCCAAAGTCTTCGGGAGCTCGTGGTCGCCATCCTGTGCGGTTTTGATACGGTGGAGGTCCGGTTTTCTGTCAAAATAAATCAATTAGAATCACTCAGCCCCTTTCCTAAAGCTTAGTAGTGCTAAAGGACAAGAACAAAAATACTCACCCTTAGAACAATCTGCGTCTCATCAATCTGGTCGGCGCCCACGACCCGCGGACCACGGGGCTGCGCGTGTTGAGGAATCTCCTCCTCTTCGCCGGTATATTTCGGTTTTGGGAGAGACTTGAAAAGCCCCTCTGAAATGGACGTCATTTTCCAATTCTGAAAGAGGGAAAAACAAGGGAAAGAAATGTGGGAAGATGGAGATAGATGAAGATGGACTTGGGGTTGCAGATGCTTTTTCTTCTTTTGGCATTCGACGGACGGGGGCCGGGAGTGCGGGTTTGGTTTGTGTGGTGTGCCGTAGGAGCTTTTATCGACATCATCTTGTTTTTGCGGTGGTTTTTTATGCTTTTATGAACTGCGATTTGCATCAGGGCGGTTTAATTTAAAAATAGAATAAAGAGTGTAGCTATTATCCGTGGATCTGTTTATTTCTTAATTAATAAGATTTTTGCAAGTTGGACGCAGTTTGGATAAACCACGCATCTATTACCGTTACAGACATATATCTCAGAGCTTCTCCAACATCATCACACAATGCATTCAACGAGGTTTTATATATCCATCAAAGGTAGAAAGGGGTGACATCCCTTCGAGTGGTGATTATAGCTCAATAAAAAAGACAAATGAGTATAAAAGTACAATGCTAGATGTCATAAATCAAAACACCATCATCTTTAATGCGGAAGTAAATGCGATCGCATAGGGCACGTAATGCCCTCCGAATCAAGCGCCTCCACGAAATGCTCTCTTCCATGATACATATACCAGATTTTCAATTTCTTCGGGAGAAGCGGTGCCGGGTCATAGAATCCAAGGATTTGGAACTGGTCATAGTTAGCTGCTGGGGCTGTTACTGGTATGGATGTGGACAATTGTCTTACCTTGACCCTCTCTCGTGGAATCACGAGCTGGCTGCGATCCACCAACGCAGCCACGGGGATTGTGACATCGGCAACTTCATATTCCGAGGTATCCTTGACCTTGATCTTCTTTTTCGCGGCCGGGTTATACGCATATTCAGCCTTGGTAATGACCAGACCATTTTTAGCCTCCTCTTTCGCCTGCCGTCGCTGTACTTGGTCCTCCATAAGTGCGATAGCTTGCAGGCTTTCTGCCCTCTTCTTCGGGATCCACCTCTTCAACTCTCGCTGTTTTCGAGCGATTAATTGACGGCGCTTCTTTCGGTCGCGAGGGCGGATGAGTCCGAATTCCACGGCGCAGTATGCCAGCCACGGGAAGATCGTGGCAAGGGCAGCGGCGTCCGCATTCACAACCTCCAATGGACAGACTGTGATGGGAAGCCTAATCTTCTGTCCCAGTCGGCTCCATGATACCGTCATGACAAGACCGTGTCCCCCGTCAATTCCAATACCCAGTCCCATGCGCACGAAGTCGCTCACCCGCCGAACACCTTCAATGTTCCAGGCCATGGAAAGATCGTGTGTAATGGTGGTTGTGACCTCGAGTCGTACAGAACGCGGCTCGACCTCCGGCGGTAACGGATAATGGCCCTCGGAACTCCATTCAGAACGGATGGAGTCATTGGCCGTTGTGCCGGAGAAGATATTACGGGCATAGACCACCGATAGTGAGCCTCCTGCAGGAGTGGCTGCAAGATGGGATTGCCAGGACTCGGCCGCTTTGTTGATTTCACGGCTCTTGGTTTGCATCTTTCGATACTCCGCGTTTTCTTCTTCTTCTTCCTCATCTTCCTCTTCCAAAGAAGTGACATATTGAGGTTGTTGCGGATATGAGATAAAGCCGATTTGGAATTGACTGAGCTGGTTTGCAACAGAAAATGCCGATTCCACATCCATACCAAGCTCAACGATCGGGCTAAATATTTGCTGTATGATAAGTGGCCAGCCGATGGTACCGCTGTTCCAGTTGCAGAACACATGTTTCTTCATGCCGACTTGCTTTGATGTCTGTAATTCAATCATTGGCAGGCACTTGAATAGTGAATGGCTAAAGGTAGTGTTTAAGGTAGTTCTGAAGGGTCTCGTGCCAGGAATAAGCATGATTGCCTTGGAGATGGAGGTTTTGATTGCCGGAGCTGGTAAAACCAAAGCGTCGGCTGACACGACAGAGTTATTCAAGAATCGGAAAGGTCGTAATCCCAGGATACCCTTGGTGCTTGTAACATCTCCAAGGACGCGATTTACAGAAGCACCGAGGGTCAAATTGTTTGCAACAAGGATCGGCGGTATTCGAACCTGTACATCAAGTTAATAACGTATATCCAACAAGCAATCATAACCGAATGCCATGCCTTTGTTTCTTCCTCCGTTCCATCTTCAAGTAAAAGCTTAACAGCCTGTTCTCGTTGGTGTATATTTCCCGTAATACTTGCATGAATCGCCATGTCGGTCTCAGTTTCATAGGGACCATGCTTTCCAGTCTGTTTATCTCCACCCTCATCTCCCTCCTCGACATCCTCTTCCTCAACCGAATCACCAAGGAAGAGTCTCGACGTCGGAAAAGGCGCGTTGAAGGTGTAAGAAACCGCATACGAAGACGGCTGCAGAGACGGAACATGAAAGTACACCTCACTCTCCTCCTCATCAACCGTAATCATCGACGAAGCATCAATCCCCAGCGTAATAGATCCCTTCACGATATGTCAGCAACGCAACTCCATCAAACACATTCACAGCACAGCACAACACATACCCGACTCGACACCATCCCCTCCACAACCCCCCTCTCCCTTCTCTTCATAGCCTCAAGAAACCACTTCCGAAACTCCCCCGGCGTCTTCGCCCTCACCCCGACATCTTTCCGCCCCTCCCCGCCTCTCCCCATCACACCCCCAGCATTCCATTCCTCCCTCACGCCCTCGATACCCAGCAAATCATACACAACCCTCTTCCGCGGGTCAATCAGCGTCTCGTACGCATCTTGGATCCGCGCAAAGTATTCCTCCGCGACCTGGCGCAGGTGCGCGGGCTGTTTGTCCGGGTGGAAGCTCCGCGTGAGCGTGCGGTAGGCGGATCGGATATCTGCGTCTGTTGGGGCCGGGTCGCGCGGGAGGGAAAGGAGTGCGTAGTAGTCGTCTTCTTGCGGGTAGTTAAGTATCAAGCTGTATTCAGCGTCGAGGGAGGAGTCGGGTGGTGGGGGGTATGGTTCTTCTGCTGCTGCATCTCGTCGGGGATCATCTCCAACAGGAGATGGAGATGATGGGCGTTGCATTGGTTAGCTTGCTTTGTGTTTGCTGCGCTTTTTGTCCGGATAGAGCTTTGCTTTATATTGGATAAGAAATAGATATATCAGCAGTAATTCATTTTCTGCTGCTTATGCCCTAGCTGCAATAAGGAAAACAGATTGCAGGTTGCAGGGCGCAAAAGAACGCCGAGGGGGGCAGATTTTATGACGTTGGGGGAAAAAAGTTCTTGGCGGTGATAATTTATCTCCGGGTTTGCTGGATTTTTAATTCCATTTCTATTGTTTCTTCTACTCGTACAGTCTACGGTGTCTAATTTATATATTATTTTTAAAATGAATAATGTTGGCCATTGATTTTACTGATAACTCTGTATCTATTAATGCAGGATGCAGTGCTTATGTGGCCTGATCGTATTATGGCGTTTCATCTCGTACTTTGATCATTCAGACAATTTGTTAAATTATTGTAGACACAGGATATCATTAACTAATATACATATATGTACAGTACAATAGCATTGGGATCAATAATAATATATATCCCAGCCATAATCGATCATTATCCAACGTAGCAATCGTATCGCTAGATCAGCGTGTCCAAGCCGAACTAGATGAATTAATAAGATAAAACAAGAAAATATAAATCCAAATCACTCGGACCTGGGTCGTGGAACAAGATAAACGGCTGTCTAATGATCTTCTTTGAACCAGAGGATATGGTCTTCGGAAAAGGCCAAGTCGACCCCCAAGGCTCTGAAGAACCGATCCCGGGGTAGACCATACATGAGGTCTTCGTCTTCGGAACCCGGTTGACGAGGACGGTACTTTGAGACGCCGGCGCTGACTTGCCTATCCAGTGAAGGACTGTCCATGGTAAATCCGATCTTGTCCTCGAAGTTCGCCCGATGATTCAGATACTCGACCATGGCGTCGACTCGGGTTTCAATCAGGGAGACAACAGACAACGCACCGTCCCAGATACGGCCTAGATCCCGGACTGGATCCAAGCTACCTTTGATGAGGCTGATGCTCTCGGGCAGGTCGCCTATTAGGCCCCCGGCACTGACGACATCCACTGCAGACAGAATCACATAGCCCAGGAAGGGGTTCAGCATTGTCGTTTTCGGGGGTGTTGGTTCCATGGCAAGTCGTGCGGACTCGTAGTCTGAGGCATACCGATTCAAGGCGACAGACATCTGGAGGATCTCTACTGCGTGGTGTCTGGCTCGACGGACGTATTGGTCCACCGTGCCAGGTGGAAGATCCAGATATCGGACATGTCGGTTTAATTTCATCAGCGTAGCATGGTGTATCAAATGGATGGACATGAACGTATCCGCTTTCTTCGCTCGGATACTTGTCTCCAGGTTCGTGGCCGTGGATTTCAGATGGTCGGGGAGTTTTGCGGCCCACTCGTTCGACCGTTGAGCGACTGTCATATAAAATTCATCGAACAATCTGCCGTAGGTCTCGCTCGAGTTAAGGGATAATCGGAAAATATTGTGCGAAACTTCGCCCAAGAGAGAGGCGATCTCTACTAAAAATGCCATTGGACTCAGAGATGACAGGCCATCGTCCGATGACGTTTGTGCGTGGTCAAAAGTGCCTTGATAGTAGGGCACTGTCGCATACTGCTGTGCCTCATAAATCTCTTCTCGACAAGGCAGTCGGAGAAGAATCATTTGAGAAGAAATAAAGGTCGGGGATGGTGAGTGGAAACCCGAGAAGCGCTGGTACCTCGTCAGTTATAGCAACAACAAATCTTAGTTTGGAATACTCACATCCATCAAGAAAGCAACCCAGAAAGTCCGACGTCGACACTCAATCAACGCCTGGGGATGCAATCCGTACTCGCATACTCGGGTTGGCTCCACGAAAACTCCGCCCAATTCAACGTTATATCGCAGCCCGCAGACTGTTCGAACTGCTGCGCCCACAGAATCCCAGCACTCAACCGGTGCGCCTATAGCATAATACCAAAGACTCATTATAAGTCGGCTTTGGGCGAGTTGCAGGGATGGACCGTGATGGTAATGCTCCACTGCATACCGAGCCGTTCGCGAATACCTCTTGAGAGCCATTAATCGGTCTGGACGATGTGAGAAAACAGTCCCCAGGGTCATCATCCAATAAAGCAGCATCTTGTCGCTCAGCGATTTCGTCTGGCAGGATTTAAGCCACAGAAAGAACCGCCCCTTGGGGAACATGTAATGAAGACCACCATTCACATGTGTGAAGTAGCTTTCAATATAATGCATCGTTGATTCAGGGTCGGCTTCATAGGGATCCGTATTCCAGTCGTTTACGAGTGGATTTTCGTGGCCGATGTCCTTTACTTCCATCAAAATCTCTGCGTAGTCGGGTGATACATGGGCTTCATCCATGGGGCGTTTTGAGGAATCGTCAAACGCAGAGGACCCGCTCAGCCCTGGAAACCTTGTTTTGTATGATTGTTCAACGTCCATCCTTTCCTGAGCACCATCTCCGGCAAAAGGTGCAACTATTGAGCCGTCTGATATAGGGGACTGGCCGTTGGTACCCGGGAGTGATGTTGAGCTTTCTGAAGCTGGTACAGCGGAGTATATCGAACTAGAAGGGCCGGAAGGCGTATAACTGCTAGGGGAAACACCGTCTCGCGAATCGTATCGACCTGCAAGGTGAGAGGCTTTCATAGCTGTGCGATTGCCGCGAGGCCTTGAGGAAAGTCAGCTATATATGAATCCTTAAACACGATGGATTGACAACTTACGCGCTCTCGAATCTGCACTCCCTCCCAGACTTTTGACATTGGTCACATTTGGGAAGGTTTGGCTGGCACTTGATTTTCTTCTCTCTGCATGTCAAACATGCCTGTGCCAACCGCTTCCTCGGCTTTCCCGCTTTGGTGATACCCCAATTCGCGTTGACATGTACGCCATCAATGAGTTTAGGGCAATGTGTTCCATCCGCGTAGATGTAACACAAGCCCTCTCCATCAATGTACCTCTCGTCAACCACGTGGGGGCGCACCCGGGGCACCTGAGACCGAGTCGGAGTTACGATTCCCGACGTGCCCTCTGCCGAGGACATTTCTCCACGGGGTCCCTGGTCGTGAAACATGACACCATTGTATGCAAGCGGGCCATGTTGATATGATTGGATCGGCGAGCTGCCGAGCATTGCATGATGTGGTGGTGTTTCGAAATCCTGGCTATGACTGGACACGTGGGTGATTGGGGGTAGATTTCCAGACGGCCTTCGTGGAAAGGGATCCGAATGCCCTTTGACCCGGTCGTGCATAGCGCCCAGGGGTAACCTGGAGCCAAATCCAATATCATTTGGACGGAGCGAGTGTGGAGATTCACGAAACTCGGTGTTGGGCGTGGGCGACCTATAGGTCTGTGGTTGGTAAGGAGATGGTGGACTTGAATGAGACGGAGGAATCAGCAGCTGGCTAACCGAAGGGAGCTGCTTATTCCCATTCGGTTGCGGAACCGCGTCCTTGGGGTACAATCCCACTCCGGAATCGCTTCTCTCTCCCGGCTCTCGCTGGCGAGGAAACACATCCAGAAACGGTAAAGGCCCTGACGTCCGTGGGGGTGGAAGCTGGTATGGATGGGTTGTCGGCGCTGGCAAGTTAGCTGGGCGGTCTTGGTCGCGCTCCGGGGCTGAACCATCGACAGGTAACATACGGCCGAAGGGTCCAACATAGTAGTCCGACATGGTTGGCGCTGCTGATCTGGGCACTGGTATCGCTGGGTCGCTGGGCGTTCTATACTCCTGGCATAACAACATGGACGAATCTTGGACTGGTACCGTCTGAGTCGAACGAGACTTTGAATCAAGTATCCGGTGCGTCTGAAAGACCTGATGAAAACCCAATGTTTCGGAAGACGAAAAAAATGGCAAAAACTGTGGAAAGCAAAACTTTTCAGCAACTTGAATAAGACTGAAAATGTGCATTGACGGATTAAGTGAACTGGACATGGTTCCACCCACCTCTTTTGACTAGGAATATTCAGAAGAGAGCGCTGTAATAAAAGACGGTATAGATGAAACGACACGAGAAACGATTAATTCCCTCGAGTTTCAACGATAGAAAAGAAAAAGAAAAAAGAAGACCCCTCCGAATAATCTGGTTGATCCTTTTTTTTTTTTTTTTTGAAGACGAGGCTGGGGGTGAACTGTCTGCGACACGACACAACACACAGACACTCAATCGATCAACTCATATACACTGGCCGATGGGGACAAAGAAGAAGCAACGAGGAGCATCTAGAAGAACAGATTCATGGCGCAAACGACCTGGACTCTCCTTTTTCGGAATGCGTTCTCCATACCAGGGTTGCTGCAAGATCCCAGTCGATAGTCCCGAGCATCGAAGAGGGATGTCGATGAGAAAGAAAGAGGGTAGGATTCGAGCCAGGGCCACTTGGGCTCATACCCAGACCACCACCAACGCACAAATATTTACCCCGGGCGACAGTTGAAAAACCCAAACGTGGAGATGCGACACAAAGGGGGGAGGGGAGGGGAGTGAAAAAATATAAATGTATTAATAAAAAAAAAAAGAGAAAAGAGAGACGAGAAAAAGAGGGAGAGGTGATTGAATTAGTTAGTTCAACGCCGTTTGTCGACGACGGATGATCTTCAGTCAAGTAGGACAGTTGGCTACTCCCTAGACCAAGATCCAGGCGTTCGAAGTGTTAGAGAATCCACGCTCTCGATGAGGATTAGTATCGAGAGCCGTCCATCCGACGGATGACTAGGCTGTGTTGAGATTGGGGGAGAGACAAATCGCCTGCCACTAAAAGGACAGATCCTGGGCGGAAGGATAGCTAGTCTGTAGGAGGCTTAGGTGGGATGGAGTGTATGGGGGGAGGACAACGGAGGGTGTATCTACTCGGAAGTTCCGGATGATCGAGATAAGCGGACAGAAGAAGAGATGAAGGGATGGAGGGAGAGAGGGAGGAGGGAGGATGGAAGAGAGGGAGAGGAGAATGCCGGAAGAGAAGGAAAAAGAAGATATAGTGAGACAAAGAAAAGAGCGATTAATCTAATTGTCCTAAAAATTAATATAGCAGGCAAAGCTCTCCAATCCCCTCGCCGCCATCCAATCCAGGCGAATCCACGACGTTTGCACCGCTCCAGCCCCAAAGCAACAGAACCAGTGGAGGACAAGCATCTCCATCGCAAACCTAAATTATTGTCAATAGTCGATGGGATTCCACGAGATTTTGGCTGCCGGAGGGTCGTAACAGCCGTGCCCCGCATCGTCCTGATTATTAGGAATCATCTATCCTAGACTGATATCATGTATATTATGTTATACACTAGACAGTGTCTAAATGACCCCAGGTGGTAGGCAGTGTCCCTCCAGTTCTATAGAGTTTGCCCAGATGATAGCTTCGGCCGGAACTAAAACGGACAGACCCAAATCTGTATACAAGCCGGTCCTTATCGGGTTTGTGGGCAACCGGTTTAACATTCACGACGACTCCACTTCAACGGCGATGATGTACTCCTTGTCTAGGGTTGATCTGATCGGCACTGACTTATTCTCCTCATGCATACCGACACTCAAATCCCTTGATCAAACAGATGATGAGGACAGAATAGGCATCTCAACACCAGGGATTCAGCCAGATGGCCCAACACCCTCATTGGTGCGATTAACTCGAGATCCAGTTTGCCCGAGCATCTACCGAGACTCTCGGATGATCCGTACTGTGGATACAAGCAATACAATTCAACCGATGAAGAAATAACGGTTTGCAGATAGAGTACGGCACGGAATACGGGATCCCCTATCTTATTTCGGCTTTACACTGTTTGACATTCTCCTTTTTATTTTATTGATATTTTTTTTTTTTTTTTTCATTTTTTTTTTATTGCAGTTACCCCTGTCACAGGTTCACATCAAGTTCAAGCAACGGTCGGAGAACAGTCCGAGACACATGACTGTCTATACGGCCGGAGTACGGACGGATGAAGGGTTCCAACTGATCCATTTAATAATACAAAGGACCGCGAATCAGCCGTGAGCAGTTCAGCTGACAATCACACTCTGCACATTCATCGGCCCCGAGGAGTGGAGAGAAAAAGAAAGAAAGAAAGAAAAGAGGCCAGGGAAAGGATCGATCATCTTCGGTGTGCGCGACTAGGTTAAGTCCGACTGTGACAGTTCTTCTTCGGCAGATGAAAACTGACGACGTAACTCACTCTCCAGCCTCGGTTATTATTCTTACGTGCCTGAATCAGGGCGGAATTAAATGCCGTACAGAGACTAATCGTCTAACCCTCGACCTGGACTCCGTTTGCTGTAGCACTACTACATATCGACCACTGCGGGTCTCTCAAGTAATAGTTCGGAGTTAATTCTCGACCTCACCTACATAATAGGTAATAATATACTGTGTAATAATATAAATATAATTCCAAATATACCTCGTACAACTCGTTTAAACAGCAGTATAAAGTAATATGCAAAGTCGCATTCTCAATGAAATTTAATTAATTATTTATCCCGATCGACAACCCTCAGTTTCACCATCCCACAACGGCACACAAGCCCAGTGACCTGTCCAAAACAAACCACATGCTGATCCCCGATGGAACATTGGACACTAAAGCCACTTTGTATGGAGAAGCCTCGCAAGCTCAACCCAAAATATCGATTTCCAACATTTTTTCTTTTTCATTTTTTTTTCTTTCTGACCCTCTTCGGTATTTGCTTTTGTTTGCTTTTTTGCGGTTCGCGATTTGGTCTTTCTCGGTGGGGATCCACTTTGGGCCGATTGCCAACCTGGGTAATGGTCCGCGGGTTGTAGATTGGCCGATTATGGGGGTATGTGCGTTATTTCTTTTCCCGAGCCTCTTTGTTGATCAGATAATTATAATTATTTTAAGGGTGCAGGATGAATATAAAAAAAAAAAAAAATACTTTATAGGTCATATTAAAATACTCCACGAGTCAATCTACCTGCAGTTTGCAGCCGCACATAATCTATTTGTAATAACTCCTAATATTCGTTCTCTTATTCCTGAATAGGCACTGCCAACAGGAGCACGTGCTGCCTTATCAGCAATATTTCTACACCTATATTTTTTCTGTAATGAAAGTGGCATGGACAGAAAAGTAAATCAAGGTGACCTCTTCTATGGGATAAATTGGAAACCTGTCTAGTTTAATCAGGAATATCGATTGGAGCGATATACCCATAAGACACAGCATACCGTAAGCTACCTGCCCACAGCCCAAGTACCTCTTGGAGATATAAAACTTGCCAGGAATTCCTCACAATCTTTACATTTATTGCACAAGCCTGTAGATAACGAAGAAACGTGCAAGCCCAACATTGTCAGTGTAGGATTATAGGTGATATCAACTGTTGATGTTGATTCAAAAAAGCGGCATAGGAGTCCGATATTATGACTTCAATGGTTCTGGGCGAACAAGATCCATGATGGCTCATGAGTTATCTTATCTTAGATGTAAGATCATTGATATTTCATTGCGCTAAAAGTGTAAGAGCATTGGTGTTGCACAGTAGGGACATAAAAGGCTAGGGATAGATGTTAAGGGGTTACCATACTACAAAATACTACAGAAACAATTGGTAGAATCATCATATATTAGCGTAGACAGGGGTATTGCGGAAGCATTTAGTTCATTTGCTGTGCTACCTTTTTAAACGAAGAGAAACAGACTCGTATCAAACAATCCCGACCAACACCTTTTTAGTTCTCGTGCAGAGTGTTGAGGAAAGCCTTGTTAACACGCTCAGGCTTGGCGTGCTCAACACCCTTCTGGCCGAGCTTCTCCTTGGAGAAGGTGGCAGCGTAGGGGTTGAGACGGAGCATGACCTGCTTGTTGCGCAGAGGGTTCTTCTTCTGGACAACACCACGCTTGGTGCGGGCCTCACCCTTGGGAGCACGGAGAACGGACTGGATTTCAGAAGAGTTGATGAGGCGGGACAGGTCGGCGTTGGCAACCAAGTTGGAGGGAAGGAGGTAGTCCTTCTTGAGGGCCGAGGGGCTGGTAGTAGTGCCGTAGACCTGGTCGAGAGCCTCGAAGGCGGACGAGGTCCAGACGACGAAGCGACCGAGGTGACCACCAGGGGCGAGCTGGAGGAGGTTGAGGGAGAAGACGGGCGAGGTCTCAACACCGGGGATGTTGCGGAAGGCACGGACGAGCTCCTTGCCGTCAACCTCGGGGTTGTAGACAACGAGAGGTCCGCGGCGCTGGCGGAAGCGACGGTTCCTCAGCTTACCCTTACCGGCACGCATCTTCTTGGACTGCTGGACCTTGACGAGCTCGTCACCAGCACCGAGGGCCTGCAGGAGAGCGACGGCCTTCTTGGTCTTGGTGATGGCGGCACCCTCGAAAGCCTTGGACTCAACGACCAGGGGAACCTCGGGGATGTTGGCGACACGGTGACCGCGAGCGAACAGGAGAGAGGGGACGGAAGAAGCAGCGAGGGCAGAGGCGGTAGCGAAACGTCTATTTCATTGTCAGTATCACACCCTTATCTTCTCATCAAAACAGCAAATTCCATACCTCTGGCCAACGTTGACCTTCGAGTGCCACTTTCTCCAGACCTTGGTAGGAGCGAACATACGACCGGAACGGCACTGGTTACCGAAAGCAGCCTGACCAGCACGGTGAGTACCACCACCAGAGACACGGGGGATACGAGCGACAGCGCGACCTATACGAATTTTTCCATCAGTATCCGTAGCCTCCCATCTTGAAATCTCTGCTGCCAGGTTCTTCCCCCAATTGCGACGTACCAGTACCCCAGGACTCAGCGGAGGTCTGTTCACCAGCCTTCTCGCTCACGGCATAAGGCTGTCTCTTGTTCTTGGCCATACCGGTGTGCACCTGCCTATAGCACTTGTTAGCTCCATCTCCTCCCCTCCCTCATAATTTTGCGGTTTTTCAAGCATACTGGACGATGTCAGGACGGATGGGCGCGGTGAAAACAGCCGGCAGGGTGAGGGTAGCCCCGCTGGGCTTGCCATCAGCCGTGGCGATAGTGACGGTAGGGCGGGAGGCCATTGTTGTCGACGGTGAGCTGGTCGTTGTCGTCGTTCACGAAGTTGAAGATCGAGTATCTCAAAAGGCTGTCGAATTTTTCGCTTAGTCTGCCGCCGGTGGTGGGTGTGGGTAACCCTAAGCCCTGGTTGCCGTTTTGGGTCGCCGCCTCCGCCTACCTGCCGAGCGCCAAGACTTTTGTAGTTACAAGTTAGGCGTCATTGTAGGAAAACCTACAATGTACGTTATTTTTCGACATTGCGATAATTATGTTTATTATTTTTATTACTATCTTGGTCAGCTTCTTTCTTAGCATTCAGGTTAATATAAAGATGTATATTTTACATGCAATTTACCTGCTAACCCAGGGCCGCAAATCATAAGTCGCAATATCAGCCTCACGAGGCATATACTAACTCCAGTACCTATGTAAGACCATTCACGCAGTACTTGGTTTAGACACATAGGAAGAAGTAATGAGTACTCGGCGATTTCAAATCAAATGTTCCTCAAAAGCTCTGCCAGAAATAAAGCTAGTCAAGTCTATTCCATGTGTAAAAGCACATATGAAGTGATGAGTACTCTTACAATTTCAATCAAATGTTTCTCGATAAGGTAACTTCTGCTAAGGTTGAAGCTCCATCAAACCTACTCCATGTGCAAAGGTAAAGAGGTAAAGAGTCTGACCATACGATTTACAAGAGAGATAATTAAAGCAGTTTCAAAATTGGATTCATAGGTCAAGCACCTCCTAGTCAAACCGAGGAGCTGATAGATAGAAAGTCTGTAATCACAAAAAAAAACCACTGTATAATCCAAACCCCACGCTACCCATTTTTCGTGATTCCTTAAAAATGTACATGATCGAAGAGAGACAGAAAGGGAAAAAGCGCAGAGAAAACATAAAGCCGAGCCAAAACAAGGTCCTTCACCAGGCGATTGAGGTTACCTTAGAAGGGAAACGAAAGGTAAAAAGGAAATGAAGACTTGCAACATCCGAGCCAGCGGAAGACAAGTGTTCATTTATGCGCGGAAGTGGTGAACAGCGTGGCGGCGGCGGGCGCGCATCTCGTTGATCATGCGGGGCTTGAGGGCGGAAGCGCTGGTGGAGAGTTGGGAGCTCTGGCCGGGGGTGCACTTGGTGCCAGCGGCCATCTGCTGGGCAGTGGTCCACTGACCGCTGGCGCAGCGCTGGAAAGAGGTGCCTCCAATGCAGTTCCAGGTGCCCTCAGTGCTGCAAGAGCCGGACTGAGCACCGGAGCTGGAGGAGCCGGAAGAGCTGGAAGAGCTGGAAGAGCTGGAAGAGCTGGAGGAGCCGGAGGAGCTGGAGGAGCCGGAGGATTCAGAGCCAGAAGATTCGGAACCAGAAGATTCGGAGCCAGAGGACTCAGAGCCAGACGAGGCGGGGGCGGAGGAAGCGGCGGGAGCGGAAGAGGAAGCGGCACCTTCAGCGAAGGTACCAGCGTTGCCAGTAGCCTGAGAGGCAGCCTTTGTGGTGGATGAGCCAGAGCTGCTGCCGGAGCTGCCGGAGCTGCCTCCGCTGGTAGTAGCGCCCTTCTTGTTACCGGCGGCACCGAACTTAGGGGTACCAGTGCAAGCCGACTGGCCTTCAGGAAGAAGGCTCTTAGCGTCACCTAGCTTCTCCACGTACTTGCCAGGGTTGGGGAATCGGACGTCATACTCTTCCTTGGTAGTGCAGCCGTTGACGTTGGCTACAAACATGGGAGGGAAGCTTGAAGAGCGCTTCTCGACAGAAGCCTCATCGTCGGAACGCTTCGATGATCCACCGGTGACGGTGATGGGAGCACAGTTCATGTACATCTCACGGTTTCCGATACGGTTGAACCAGGTCCAGGCCAAGGTGTACTTGCCATTGTCGATGCCCTCAGGGATCTTGAACTTCAAGTCGCCGGGGACAACGGAGCTGGGGGAGTTGCCGATGTTGCCAGAGGTCTTGATGGGGCAGCCACCTTCCCAGGACTTGATAACCATCCACTCGGAGTCCTTGGTAGGCTTCAAGTCCTTAGACAAACTGATTTGACAAGAGCCACCGCCGTGAGTGGCGCTACCGACCAAGGTCAAAGACTGTTCCTCACCGACCTTGAAGTTGTTCTCGCCGTTGGCAGCGGCGTAGACACCGTTGCGCTGCTTGCAAGGGAAGTCACTGCCATCGGCCTCAAGGGGAGAGTTGTTGAGGGTGCTCTGGCCGTAAGGGTGAGGGTTCTTCATATAAAGGTGAGCGTTGACGGTGGAGGCACCGAGGAGGGCGGCAGCCAAGAAACCAGACTTGGAGAACAACATTGTGTATCGAGAGATGTGTTTGTAACAAAAAAACTGATCGACAGTTAAGGATGGGATATTCTGATCGTGCCAGACGAATCAGAAAAAAGTCTAAGAGACGGGACGTTGAAGAGCTGAGAGCAGAAAAGGCTTCTGATGATAGAATTAGCGAAAGGTCAAGAATATGATGAAGTGGAAAGGGCAGGAATTAGAGGAGATATGTATGCAGCCATGATCAAGGAACACTGATCATTGTAGGAGGCTGGATACATTGTATTCACATCCAGACAATAGCTGACAATGAGCGTGGGGCCCATTGGATTCAGCTGACAATAGGATCATAAAGGGCGATGAACAGGGGAAATAAGACAATAAGCAGAAAGCAGTAGAGAATAGACAATACCTTTGTAAGAGCAAAGAAGAGCGAGGTTGCGCGAGACAAGAGAAGCTTTTTTTTTCCGAAAAGGAACGAAGTCGGAGTCTGCCACAGGCAATACAACTGAAAGTCTAGATAGAAGAGAGAGAAAGCGAAAACAGGACTAGCCCGTGTAGCAAAAAAAACTGTCGAAAAGGAAGATTGTTGGAAGGATTGATTGAACCGCACTGCGTTGGAGAAGAAAGAAAGAGAGGATATGTCCAGAAATCGAAAGGGGTTTTATAGACTTGAAGAAGCGAAGAAACAGTGTGCAGCACACAGCATAGCCGCAGTTCAGGGTGGTGGGGTATCAGGGATGCTCTAGCTTAGTGAGGCCTACACTACCACTCTGACTACTACTCAGAATCTCATCGCGTGTGATGGATTCAGGACTCCGAATGGAAGAGGCTTTTTTCGGGCTGTTTCAAGTCCAGCTGCGCCGCTCCACTGCAAAGTCTTTTTTCTGACTGTTTCGCTGCGGGATGATGCCATTATTGGAGGATCACGAATCCCTGCCCGCTTCTGATGCAGCTGAGTGGCTGAGGCCAGCAGCCAGTCAGCATCCCGAAGCGATGGTCCCTGAGATCGTCGGTAAGACGCTAGTACCGTATGATTCAGGCCCCCATATTGTGCCTGTCAGTAGGCCATAAGAACAGGTCCATTGAGGGTAATTACGCGGTAATGGGAACGGTTCAATACACGCAAGGGCTCCGCTCTGGCGTGTCGCACCATCCGCCCAAGTGCCTGGTTCCTAAGTTTCCCTTCAACCGCATTGGCTGTCAGGCTGCAGGTTGGCGCTGAGCAAGCGGTAAGTGATTACAATAGACATTGTAGATACTACGGTGTAGACTGTAGAGAGAAGTAGAAATTAAGATGACAGGGAGAGGGGTTCGTGATGTGTTGTCAGTTGGAGTCAGGTACAGTGAGACGTGTCTAACGGTGGATAGCCAGAATCAGCCACAACAGCAGGGAGTGAATCGGATGGGTCAAAAAGTATAATTAAAAAATATAAAAAAGTTAAAATATTATCAAATTGTACTAAATATTCACCAATGCCGTCATTCCATTGGATCGACGCAAATAATCCCACAGAAATCCCGGACTTGACCGCCCAACGGAGTTCCGCGTGGGGCGATTGACGACGTCGAGAAGTTGAGAATGATGGAAAAAGCCCTGAAGGGCAAATCCACCGTGAGGCCCAATAGAGGAGGAGATCGCCTCAGACATTCCCAACAAGGTTACAGCAGGGATTTTTCTTTTTTCAGCTGCCTCGGGAAAGGGCTGTGTTGCTTAACCCTGAGTGGTGCGGCTTAGCGCTCTGTTTGTGGCGAACCAAACGCTGTGTCTCTCGGAGAATTGCTATTATTATTCGATATACAAGAAAAGAACAATATCATTCTAATTCTTACTACTATTCTTACGATATATTGATGAGGTTGGGAAACATGATTCAGATAGGCTGTCTTTTCCGCGAGCCTCCAGCCCCCGTTCCCAGCCGTGGTTCTGTGCTCTCTCCGCATCCGACCCGTTCAGTGTCAAGTCTGGTTCTCTGGACATTCATCTGATCCATCTTAGAATATCATGCCAAGCAGCGTAGCATCAAGAAAATCAGATCTCAGATGACTCGTTTCAGATATATGTAAATGCTACTCCGTACATCTGTACATCTATCTTTATTTCCGGAGTATCTTTGCCGAGCCGGTACGGAGGTCTTTCCCGTAATCTCGCTACGGCAGTTTCAATAACTCTCATACATCCGTCAAATGTCAAATGTCACCCGGAACCAATATATTGAAATTGTCATTTTAGCAATGCTTTTTGCCCCTTCTATCTTCACGATGGATTTGCTCACTAAGACCGCCCCAGCCCTATCCCCATTAGAATCACCAGGATATACCGCCCCGGAGCAGGGGCTGCAGGAATCTATCCTGCATACATCCACCCATGTCATCAAGGCTATGCACATGGCCATCTAACTCCTACCAAGCTTTTCATGGGGGGTCTACCTACGCGGGAGGCGCAGTTGCATATTCTTATCACCATTGAAGGCGATTTCCGGCTGATGAAACAATTTAATTGGTGTCATTAATCTACTAAGGTAGCATTCTATTCCTTCTGTAAGCGCTAACATGCCTAGTCGGTCTATTTAGAGCGTCAAGGTCTAAATTCTGACTGGCAGTGTTGGTTTCGCGGCTCGGCAGGGCATTTCTGTCACCTTCTGGGGTTGGTGACGGGTACAGCCTTATGGCATCTTAGTCGTGTCCGACGATCTTAATAGATAAATCACGGCTATGCCTTTGCTCTAGAGAGGGGTAGATTCCTCAAGGATTTGTAACTCCGTAGAGATGAGGTGAAGTTCACCATGCGCAGTGCTTGCATGCAACACTGACATTATCTAGCATAGCGGGCCGACCATCATATCTAGTAAGATGTATTATCTATTTTTATCGGGTTCTTGGTGTTCGATCGTATTCGATTTTTTCGAAGATCTATCACCAGTTCTGGATTGCTGTGCGATAGACCAGATGCCTTTGCACCCACTCCATACTTTTGCCTCATGGATAGATCCATTGTGGCCAGTTGATGAAACAGGTATCCTAGATCAGCACGGAGTGTTTGACTTCCTTTCTGGACAACGCCACTGTTGCATTCTGGGACACAGTGGTAGCCAGTCAGATAATGCTTCAACTATGTCTGTGTAGTTATTCGAGCCCAATCGGCGCAAAGCACCCGCTTTTGCAGCCCAAGTAAACTCCCACGGCCAGGTCGCAGACTCGGATTCATTTCTTCCCCTTCTTCTTTCCCTTGTCATTACCAGTCGCCTCCTTGGAATATCCGCCTTTCATCAAAGCATCCCGACCAACCGCATTGATGATTCGAAACCGATCCGGTCCCAGGTGAATACCCCCGTACCACCGCGTGACCACCACCACAACATCCCAAACATCCATCAACTGCATCAGATGTAACAAACGACCCCCCGCAGCCGTCTCCCCGTCATCGTCGCAGTCTTGAATAATCATCTCTGTCGACTCGTCCTTACCACTCGACGGCTTCTTCTGCCGAATCCGCCATGCACTGATATTGTGAGTCGCCGCTGCAACTTTCTTATCCGTTGAAAGCAGATAATCTAGGTATGCCTGGGCTTGCTCCAGACTGGTGACATGCGCCGCACGTCCGACAAACACCGATTTCTTCTCGTTGACAACATCCGACATGATCCATTCTGGCGGACTATCCAAGCCAAATTTATCCCGTAAAGATAGTTTCGCAATGTCCTCCGGCTTCAGGTCATTCGACGGGGCTGTCTCCTCTGTCGCATCTTCACTTTCTTTCTCATTCCCACCAATATTCAACTCCTCAAATGCCTCCACTGCCTCGTTGATAATATCAAACAGACAAACAGCACCAGGCTGATGTGTCCTCCTCACGATATCTTCCACCACATCAACGGCGATTTTACCCTCTCCGCGCGCACCTGTCGATGCCGTACCGATGACCTTTGGCGGTGTTTCAGGGTAAGACGCATCGAACCCAACAACAAAGGACAGATTCGGGTGGTTCGGGATCTGCAGCTTCACTGTACTGGCTATGGACGTGGACGATCCTGAGCTGCCCAGGTCTAAGGTGGAGTTAGAGGTTGCATTCGATGCCGGGGTGCTGTTCACCGTGACAGTGTCAGGCTCGTAGATGGCATTGACGGCTTCGATTTCCTCGGCCAGTTCAGTGTTTTGGAGCGATTCTAATGAGGATGACATTTTTTCGTCATTGGGTTTGGTGTGCGCAGTCTTCTGACTGCAGAGTCAGGGATTGTCTCCTTGTGCTGGTGTGCAAGGTATTGCAAATGGTAGAGATTGACCCCGCCGATGTCATTTTATCGGCCTGATAAATAAGGCCGATATCGCTTTCTGAACTCCAAATTTTAATTAGCATCACATAAAGAATTTTTTTCCCACGGTTGGCTTGACGTATCCACAAGTATTATCACAAATGATTCGGAGATAACACAAAAGGAAGCTCGAAATTTAAAAGTGATCGTAAATTTTCTGTTATGCATTTTACTATATAATACAATAGATGTGCTGTGTCTTTCAACAAATATTGGCCCCGTGGCTCAATGGCAGAGCATCAGTTTTCGGCACTGAAGGCTGCAGGTTCGAGTCCTGCCGTGGTCATTCAATACTTCTTCATTTCTTTTTTGTTTTTTTCTCAACACAGTTGACGTGGTCGGTTGTGTTTTCTTCTTTATTGTTTTTACTTTTTTTTGGTGTTTCATTATTGGAATAATTGATTCTTTTTTTATCTTGGTGGGGGTACTTTCTTTCATTTAATGATGAAAGTGAACTTTTTTCATCTGCATATGTAGTCGCAATATATATATACAGTATGCAGAAAATAACCAACCCAAGAATAGAAATGCGTTTTTATTCAATTCTCTTTCAACTGCATTAGTTTTTGATTAAGACCAAAAAAAAAAAAAAAAAAAACCGCAATGATGCCTAATACTAAAAAACCTACTCACCATCCATGATGTGTTTCGAGTACGCAAGCTTTTCTTTGCTTTGTTCTATAGTAAAAGGACCGTTGATTCCTACCACTTTCATGTGATCGACTAACCTAGCTCGATTTTTTCTTCTCAAAGACATGATAAGGATTAATCTAGTATTGAGTTGATGCCTAGTCTCTGCATTAGTTGCAACAGAATAAGTACTGTACGGACGGATTAAAGCACGGAGTACCGCAGGGCTATTCCGCGACCTCGCTGGAACTGTCCATGGACAGAAACATGCGCCGGCGATGTCTTAGATTTTTGTGGTTGAATCTTAATTTTGAGAGGCATTTTGGTTAAAAAAAGATGCCTGCAGATACTATGCAGAGTCTGGACTTGATCTGTCTTTATGGGCATAAATTCAAGTCATCGCAGGAGACAAATCCTAGCTTTCCACACGGGTAGATTAAACCAGGACGTCAATACAAAACTACCTAGCAAGTAAAGGACAGCATCAGCCAGTGCCTACCGACACTGGAAGACAGTGGCGTGGTCGAGTGTGTTGCAGAACACGGCGATGTGGCAAGCCTCCAAATTCTCCATGTGCAAGAGATGACCCCAAAGTGAACCATGGTAAGGGATCGACGCTTCCTTGACCGAGTTTGCCAATGCCAGGCCCTGGAATGGTATTGGCTGATGTGCCGTGGCGTAAGTCGGACATGATGGCATTGCGTGGACGGCGTGGAGGAGTGGGTGGCAATGATCGTCCGGGCGCGGATCTCCACAAACGGCCAACTATGAGTATGTTTGAGTTTATCCAGAACTTTTATGCTGTAGGAACAAAGTTAGATGTGCTGAATGAGGGTGAAGGGACGGGAACAGTTTTGAATGGGCTGGATTGAGAGATACTGACAGGGTAAATTGTCTAAGATGATGTCCTGTCATCTGCCCATGTCTAGTGCCATGTGACTCGGGTGAGCCATTTGACAAGCTTGCTGGTTGTAGTACAGCATAAATAGACTGTAAGATGATATATCTGATTGAGAGAATGAGAGCGATGAACATTCTGATCGCCACATCGAAGGAATGCCAGCGCCTGTACTCCATAGAAGGCAGGTTTTCTCCGCGCTGTGATGCCATCATGCCAGGGCATTCCGCTCTGATCGCCTTATCGACAGGAACTGGGGAAGACCCAGTGTCCCCACTCAATGAAGAAAATACATGCAGTAGTTAGCAGTTCATCTGACAATAATCTCAATCTCTCAAACGGAATCGTTCCTTTTCTTCTTCTTCCTCAAATCAAAATAAAAACCGCAGTCCAGCAATCCATGGACAGACATCTGCTTAAATAAGCAGTGCCACATGCTCCATGGCGCCCCCCGATTGGTTCCCTGTCGATCCTGCCGACACCCGAAAACGAACTGGCCTGACTTTAGAGGCTGCCATCCTTTCTTCCTTTCTTCCCTTCTTCCCTACTTCTTCACTCTTCTCCTCTCTTTATCATTGTCCTTCCAATTTCATAAAACACCAGAAAAAAAAAAATACAAAATATGTCCTTCGCTGGGCTGCGAAAAACCTCCATTTGAATTTCGCAGATCGCCCTTCGTTTCTCTAGTTTGGTCTAGATCGTTTGCCTGGGGCCCCCACCAAGTTCGGCTTCATCGGCTTCTCCATCTTCTGAGCTGTTCCTCTCTTCTTTCTTACATCTATCTATCGCTGGCTCGATAAATATAACCACCAACTTCTTCACCACATCATGTTTGGTGAAGGTCAAGGCGAAACGGTCCGGGTCTATGATGTCCCTCCTTTCCTCGATGACGAAGATCCCAATGTCGATCCCGACGCTTCCGACTTGCAACCCCAAGACGAAGAAACTGGCAGTCGTATTATCCCCGTCTGGCTACGGGAATCATCAAAGTCTTTTCGATGGGGATGGGTGCCTCTGCCTTTGCGAAAGGCCGGAAGGGCTACCGCTCAGTGGGTGAAAGGGCCCGATCCACCGCATTCGCTGCTCCTCAAGCCCTTGTTCCCAAAGTTCCAAGAACTCCCGGTCCGGTACCTGGAACATTTCTTCCCGAAGAGAAAGCATAAGATCTCACTGCTTTTGCTGCTATATATTGCTTGGTTTACGCCTTGGCTCACCGTTTTGCTGGTCTCTCGGTCTTCGGGGTACATTGAAGGATATGGGCAGCCGACTACTCTTTCGTGTGCGACGACCTACTGGTTAGTATAGTTCCCCCTGCACACGCTGCGACCGCTGACACTTTATTCACAGGGACTTTGGCAACGGATGTGGTCTAAATGGAAATGATTGTCGCCCATTTTCAGCTTCAACGATGGCTTTTCGCTGCCCTGCGAATTGCCGGGATACCAAGTTGATGGAACCTCACACGGTCGGCAATGAGACATACAACTACCAAGGACTTGTCGTCGGAGGACCTGAGTCTGAATCAACATCTCCCGCGATCTACCGAGCAGACAGTTTTGTTTGCCAGGCTGCCATTCATTCGGGTGCCATCAAGAACACTGTTGGTGGTTGTGGTGTTGTGAAACTTGAGGGTGCAGCGCACACCTTTCCCTCCGTCAAGCAGAATGGCATCCTGTCCGCGGGATTTCCATCAACCTTCCCCAAGTCCTTTAGCTTTGTCAATTTATCCTCGTCGCAGGCGACATGCCCTAACGATCCTCGATGGACGCTTCTTGGTGTCACTATTGCTGCCCTTACTCTTCTCTGGATTTTCTGCAAATCCCCGCCTGTCCTGTTCTTCAGCACCTTTTTCATTCTCTTTTCGCACGTCGGGTTGGTGTCTGACCCTCCAACGTATACTGAATTCGACGATCTTCTTTCCAGCCTACTTTCACGGATGCTTCCCGCGGCGTTTGTGGCTTATGTACTATACAAGTTCTGCGCCTATCCGCTATTGAGCCCACTCGCCTCGCCAAACTACCAGCTAACCAAGACACTCCTCTATCTGCCACCGGCTTTCTTTGGGGCGTTGAATAACTATACATTTGCAAGATTGATTCCCCTCCAGCGCCTCACGCCCCATGATATACAGCAACAGCCCGGGGCGAAGGTGGCTTTGGCCTTTGTGATCCCAATTGTTATTTCGATCATTCTGAGCCAGGCCTGGCAAATTCGGCAGGGTGGACTTATGCCACGCTACCTCAAGATTTACTGCACCATGGGCCTCATTATCTTGATCTTGCTACCCCTTCCAGGCCTTCGCCTTCGGATTCACCATTACATATTGGCCATTCTCCTCATGCCTGGGACTGCCTTCTCTACCCGCCCATCTTTGATATATCAAGGTTTACTGCTCGGTCTTTTCGTCAACGGTGTCGCCAGATGGGGTTTTGCTTCAATTATTGAAACCCCTGCGGCCCTGGGAGAGGAGGCTCCAGCTGCTGGGTCTCATGGTTGGTGGGGCGCCACATACCCCAACATCACGGACTCAGTGGAGATTGCCTTGCCCAGTTGGTCTTCAAACGAAACCTACCATGGGAACGGAAACATCACTTTCGCTCTTTGGGAGCACGAGCGCATGGAAAAACTGGGCGTGGATGGCGTATCGGTTCTTGTCAATGACGTTGAACGGTGGAGAGGATACGTTGACGAGGACAAGCGGGGCGAATTCACATGGCACCGACATGGGCATGAAGGATTCGGTGATAACGACCCTGATGATTTCGATTCTGATTTGACAGACCCGGATGATGATGAAGAGCCCGAGGATGTCTTCTTCCGTTTTGCTTTTCTGAAAGGGGCCGAGGCTGGCCAGTATGGTCGTGCTGGTGTTTGGCTCAAGGATGGGGCTTGGATCCCACCGCCTGCTCCCAAAGCATAGACTTTGCTTAAATGCTATTTGTTTTTACTGTTTAAATTAGATCTATACCCTGTGACTGAGTTACCTCAAGACACCCTTGGTATGGGTTGTTGGTATATGATGGATTTTGGGCGTTGCTGTGGAAGTGATAACTTCTGACTCTCGTTAATGATGCTATGATCTTTCGAATGGATATATGATTTACATTCTGGATACAACCTAGTCCAAGCGTACCCCGTATGCTCAACGATTACACTTATCCAGTATTATTGTACAATGAATTGAAATATATAAACCAAAGATCAAGACTATGACCAAACCGATGGATCAAACGACAGATCCCCCTCCAACAACCCCATCATATATTGATTTCCCGAGAACCAATTTCCCAATTGCGTAGTCTGCGCATACTGATTCCCACCACCACCACCTTCCATCCCATCCCCCGCCATTGTCGTCGCCGACACAACCGCCTCCCCATCCCCAGCAACCGGAGCCAAACCCAACGCAGTCAGATACGTATCGAACTCCTGACCTACCGACAAAAGAGTCTGGTCATTTTGATCCTGGTCCTTGGCTTCGACGTATAACCGGGCAACGGTGGTGAGCACGTGACAGAGATGATAGAGCTTGGCGATTGCCTCGGAGAGAGAAGAGATGGGTTGCAGGGAGGCGACGAAGTCCGTTAGCCGGATGAGGTCGGTTTGGGAGGATGTTTCGATGATGTGGCAGAAGAGGACGATGAAGGGGACGAAGGGGGCGTAGAGGATTGACCTGATGACAGCTTTATGTTAAGAGGTTGCCTTTTTTGTGTTGGGGGGGGGGGTTCCGGGGTGTATGTACCAATGCATGTAAGAGCATTTAACGACTTCGTTGCTTTCTTTCAAGATAGTCAGACAGACTTGATGGCATTCAAGCGCTTCTCGAGCTGTCTCGACACAGTCTGTGATGAAAGTACTTGGAGAGTCGGCTGGGGGAGGAATTGCTCTGTAAATGAGCGTTAAGACGGAAAGACGGCTGACTTCGTCGGATTTGATATAGAGGGCTTCCATGCTTGAATCGGTGGCGTATTTGTAACATAGTTGCTTTTTATTCGTTAGCAAGGGCGAGCAAACTTTACATTACAGATTGATGGGGGAACGACATACCCTGAACGGTTCCTGAACAGTCAATTGCATTTCAGATGCGAGTTGAGACGCATAAGAGACCCGCTGACTTTCAGGCTGAGAAAGCGCCGCAGGACTGTACAGGTGTTCGTATATTCTACCCTGGATTCCGGCCAACTTGATCCATAGATTATACATGTTTCTCCAGGGCTCGCGAATACCTTCGGCATCGAAGTCTTGCGCCAGTGAGATGTCGTAGTCCTGGAGGGTAGAGGATCGCCCAAGACGTAATGATAGGACTTTGTCGAGGGTGTATACGGACCAGAAGAGGCGGGATACGAGCTTGTCGCGTTCTGTGGATGATGCTCGATGGTAGCCGAGGGTTTGGCATAGTCGGGCCGCGGTGGATGTTAATGTCCAGGCGAATGTGGGTTTTGAGATTTCGATGGCATAGACAGCCTAAGATATGGTTAGTGACATTGGCTGACCAGTGGATGAGGAGTTGTAGCAAGTTACCCCTAAAGTAAGCGCTTCGATGTACTCCGTTCTGGCAGGCATTAGAAAGTTCAAGTTAGACAGGGCCGTTTCCAGGTTGTTGCGACAGAGATTGAGGTAGGAAGTATTTTCGTCTTTAGCCTTTTGGTCATTGGACGTGAAGCCATATTCCATCAAGACGTAATAGATCACCCCGTTGACCACGATGAAGGTAGCGTCCGAGTAATCCTCGGTGGCGAAGTAGACATCACGGCATTTTTCAATGAATCGATCCGTTGTGATAAAGGGGCAGAACCCCTGCAGAATAGACGGGTCGCTTTCTATAATTTGTCAAAAACAGAGCAAACCGCCACAGAAGACATGCTTCATACCCTTAAGAGTCCGCAACAATGACACGACAACCTCCGTTGGGGGTAGAGTCAGATTTTGTAACTTGGACCCGGGAATAGACGTCTTGTTCGGAAACCGTACTTCACGAGATGAAGAATGCGCTTGATTGTCCTGCATGTTGACAATCTGTTTGAGAGTATACAATGCCTCGTTGATCTTCGGGCTGGACGTCTGAAGCGCACCTCGCGAGACGGCCGTTTCCAGGAATTGACTGGCATATGCTGAATGCGCAGCTAGAGACGAGCTTCCCTCAAATGCAGATTCATGGTGATCAAGCGCAGTTGTACTGGAGGCATACCCGGATGCCGAGGGTGTAATCGGTTTATGATAACTGGTCTCCACAGTAGTAGGGGCAGTACTGGGGGTAGCAGCAGGCTTCAAGCCTCGGATAGCTTCTTCTATGCCCGCGAGACGTTCCTCGATGAGATCTATTTTCTGCTCACTAGATGCAGGTTAGGGCATATGAACAATGAACCAGATCCAGTGGACACAGATCCATAGCATACTATTGACTTGAGATCAAGACCCGCCGGCGGGTCTCTCGGGGCTTCTGTCCAGCACCTGTGGAGCGACAGATGGTCTGAGAGCTACGGCAGTTCGAACATGGCGAGCGTTTATCGCAGCGGATCTAAGCCATACGGAGATAGATGCTCGTTAGAGTGGTGTTCGAACAGCTGTGGCCCAGGGCCCAACACGTAACCGACGAATTGCATTGCATGATTTACCTTTCGAATACGACATTGATCGCACTACCTACTATTAGAACCAATGCATGTCATGAAATTAATCGCAGCCGCAAGAATGTTGCGCTACTCACCGCACGTCGGGTGCCAAGTGGCTGTTCTCTATCGTCGCTCTCGGCACCCTCGGCCTCCATGTCGTTCATAGTGTGTAATATATACCGATTTAGATCGCACCCAATTAGAAAATAGACCGAATGATGACGATAACCGCTGACTCTCGATGCTTGCGAAGATTCTCGTGGGAATTATTTGTTGTCGGTGGAGGAGATGTGAGGCGTCGGAACCCGCGGACTCCGAGGCCAGAAGAGGAAATTCTGCTGCCTTGCCACCTGATTTTGGCATCAACTGTCTTCATAAATTATTTGAATGAGATTTACTAAGAGTTGTCTGTATAATGGAAATCTATAATATATTTCTATAAAACGACTAACTTTTTATTCTAAAGGGTATCAAATGGAGATATATCTAGTCTATATTCCACGGATGATCATAATCATTAGAGAAGAAGTTGATCCGTCATGATAGACGAACTTCTATCTCCATGTAGGTGGCCGATTGTGCCATCACTTCTTAATTCCGATGACGGCCAGGTTCCGGGGACTTTCGCCATAATCAAAGACAGGCTCAACCCAGGCATCCTTGACACAGTCATGCTCTCGCAGGAACTGCCATCGATCAACAACAATCAGTGCTTCAACCAAGGAGGCGCTATAGGCCATCAAGGCCCAGGTCACACCGAGGTTCTTCTTTGTGTGCCAATAATCTTTCAAATAGCGATCCAAATCCTCATCGGAAATCTTCCCCATCTCAGCTTGGATCTTTTCGCCGTAGTTTGGATCACGGCTCAGCTTCTCCACCGCAGCGCGAACATATGAAGTAAAGGATGTGAATGCGGATTTTCGCAAAGAGCCAACAATGAGCGGGTTGCCTGCTGCAATCGAGCCATCAGGTTTCGTCTCCTCGTACAGATCTGTTGGGATGGCGGGTTTTTCCACGATATTTCGATCTACCAGGATGCGTTGGAGAAGGGATCGATAGAAATGACGGGTAAAGAATTCTTCACTGTCTCGCCTGCCCCAGTTGTAAGGAGCCTGCAAGGACATTGATCTTGCCGTGATGTTCAGTTTTACACCGGTCCCGCTCTCATGGGGATACTCTTCAAACCGTTTCGACATCGGGAAGCCATGAGGGTCATAGGCAGTGGCATCCGCTGACAAACGAGGATGGGCCGATCGGAGAGTAGGAATCTTGTATGTAGCAGGGCCAAGTCTTTCGGTGACAAGGTTGTAGCAGCACCCGATCATCGCGATAGCTTTGACGGATGGGTTGAGGGTTAAAGACCGAACTCCATGGTGAAGTAGATTACCACAGGAGTGCAAAGAAATAACCATGACATTTGCGTCCTTTGATTCTTCATTGCCGTTTGAAACGATGGGTTTCTCTTGATAATTGACCGCTCCAATTCTCTCTGGTGGGGATTCAACCACATCCTTGATGATAGGCTCCAAATACCCATCTTTGATGTTATGTTCGATATAGCTCATAGCTCCCGTGGGATTGCTCTGGTCTTCTTCAGATTTCGCCGAAGTTTTTTCTTGAGCCTTTGCCAACTTGGCATTGGTATCATTGCGATGGGGAGGGGAGTTCATCTCTTCCGGATCAATGTCCATATCACGGAAGACATTGATCACGGTGGAATCTTCATCCTCGCCCGAAAGATTTGTAGCAGGACTGTCAGGTACATCTTGAACCGGCTTCAATTTCTCAGCGGGTGGCTCGGGTTCTTTGCAGTTCTTGCATTTTTCTTCCTTCTTATTGTAGAGGCGAAGCTTTTTCTTCGCTAATTTCGCATGAATGTCCATGCCTTTAGCACCACTGATAAACTGGTGCTTTCGCTCAATGGCAATGATATGCCTATTGTAAGGAGGACTAGCCAGCGTCCGTCCCAGATAATTCTGACCCGACCCGAAATCAACAACGTGCGATATGGGTTCGCCTCGTTCCTGATTCACGGTTTCACAAAGGGAATCCACGTATTTCGAAAAGTGTGCCACCTCATGGTACTTTTTCACATTCATGCCCACGGAAATTTGTCTTGGAAGAGTCGGTTTTTTGGGCTCGGAGGGGGTAAAGTCCCTTCTCAGGCTCAACCGTCGAATCTGGTGAATGTAGTCCAAGAGGCCCGCCGGAGGGAAAGGGCCCCCTCTCCAGCCATTCTCCCCATTGTACCCCTCTGTTCCTTCATATTGATCTCTGAGTGGCTGAACCGCCTCTCTGAGAAGAAGGTCTAGAATATCCTGAATGTCATGCTTGTCGAAGAAAGCCCGCCATTCCGCTGGTAGAAGTGAGGCGTAAAGATCCGGATCCCTGGTCAGAAAATCGAGGACATGTACTCCACCGCACAAGTGTCGAAACAGGTCGGACGAGGTCGCAAAAGAAACGAGGGTATCAACGTAAGCATCGGAGTCCGTCCACTCGTCGGAGAGTGGGAGTGGGATTTTAGGTGGCATACGTCGTCGCGATGGATTTAGAAAAGATAGAAAGCCAGATTACTGGACGTCGAGGGTCAGATGACACCAAGAATGACTTGAAATTGGATCAGAAATGTCTCAAAAAAAGCAACAAAGATAAGGAAAAAGGGGACTGCGGGGAAGAGAGCGAGCATGGTGGAGTGAAGATCACCCAGAAATTTTTTGAGGAGGGGGGATTACGGGATTCGGTTTAGCCTCGCCTGGCGCTGGAGGACTTGGGCGCTCCACCAGCAAACCGCAGATCTAGATCACGACAACAGTTGACATCACAATCCTTCGTGCTGGCTATTTTGAAGAACACATATCCCAAGGAACGGATTACGCTGGACGACATTTGATTCGACTTCCCCATATGCAGATAACTGTCAGTCCTGAAAGGGATTAGACTCTCCCTCCGGATCCCCGGACCTGCGACACTATTGGCACTCTATCGCGAATAGTATCACGTTGAAACTGCTGATCATCTGTTAGGTTGTGATAGCAGATTGCCTCGGTGGAAAATTGACGCATACCAAGCTTCCACTAGTTCCTATTGATCCTCGATAATACCTGTTTCGGGTGCTGGCATTACCCACGTATATATAGAAAAGTCGTCGTAAGATGCGCTGGCAGCGCAGCACCGGCAGCAGGGTGGCCCGACGGTGACGATCTCGTTCAGTTCAAGCATTTTAACATTCCAAGGGGTTTGGAAAGATACACTGCCCCCTTGGACATATGCACCCCGAGCCATTTGTCAAAAAAAGTGACCAGTCAGTTTGCTTCGTTTCTGGAGAATCCCGCATCATCTTGCGTCTGCATGCCTGGATTTACAGCCAGGAGCACAGCTGACTCTTGATCAACACGTCACACCGTCTGGATCGAATACTTAAAGGTTGCATAGTTATATTACTCAGGGTGTCCCCTTACTGCTAAGCAACAGGGGATTCTGCCCAAATAAATCGCGACCGCATACAAGGCTATGTTAAATGGAGCGGATCGAGTTCGTTCTCAAGTACACCACCGGTTGAGTGACTATATCTTTGGATAGAACACATAGTAGGTTCTAGATCCAACACTTGCAATGTTCAAGAGTTCTAACAATCGTTTCGATCAGATGTTGAACCCGGCAACGAATCAAAGGCAAAGGCCTTTTGGCCATGTCGCCGATGTACTCTTCCAGATTATCATTCAGGGCGACTTATCTATGGCCCTCACACTAAGTTGTCTTAATAAGGCCACACGCGATGCCATCGAGATGCTTGAACCGCATATCTGTGGATGGTTCATCCGGTCCAACGGCATTCCTGAATTCGACCCTGTCCTAACTCTAAACCCATTCACGGGTCGCCAAATGCCACTGACGATGCATACCCTCCAAAGATTCTCCCAGCGACAGGACACAGCGCAGAAGCTAGCCCGTCGCATCGTTCCCTCTGTATGGGGCCAATTTTCCAATGACGGGGATGCGGAAATGAATATGGATGCGGAGTTACAACTTGCCCAACGTCTGGAACGGGGGCTGTACGTGCTCTTTCATTTCTCAGACATAGGTTGCGAAATGAGTGGATCGAAGCAACGAGGGAAAAAGAATCCATCCCCAGTTGTTACGGGACGGTTGCTAGCATTTACCCAGCTGCTAGACGACTATGACAAGTTCCCGGAACACAAACGACAATCGATCTCCCATGAAGAACATAGAAATCACATCTATACGGTTCTGAAATGGGGCGCAGGCGAAGCAGACATCGGACAGAGACGGTTAGAATTCCGAGGAAGCCTGGATGAGCAAACCGAGATCGATTTCCACGCCGCACTTCGAATGCTGCGGGAGCTCACAGAGCGAATGCTGTTGAGACACGGTCCTAGGGACTGGCACCGAGACGCCAAAAATGAATACAGTGTGATTTCCTGGTTTCTTCTGCAGCAGTCACCGCGTTCTCTGGCGAAGCTGTTTTTAAGCCCGGAGAAAACGTGCTGCGATATAGGAGAGAAACAGAAGGTTATGGAAAACGGAGTACGGGTCTGCTATTACTCAGATCCACTGGACGATTACTGGCAAGCTTGGAAGAATGAGCCGAATCTAGGATGCCAGGACTGCGATTGCAAGCGACGCGCCAGAAGCTGGAGCGTGAAGCCAGTGCTGATTGATGCTCGCGGGCGGGAATACAATCGTGCTGCGGAGAGGTATTTGAGGGAGATGTGGAGTCAACGGCATGTTGGTCTGCATCGCGCATTCATGACGGGGCAGTTTAGTACTATATTATAGAGTAAGATTCCATAGAGTTTTTGAAGAATAAAGTAATTACAATGTTAGTCAATCTGTTCTTTCCCGACCGTTGAAGATACTTGTCCGAATTCTTAGACTCCGCAGGCCCGACCGCCAAGCATCTGGAAGCGTCTCCGAATCCTCGATTGAAAGGCAACATCAACAACATCCAACCACGTTCAATACCCTAACCAATAGCATCTAGCCCATTCATCCTTGGATTAACATTCTTTTTTATCACAACAATACACATTTTGCAATAATGGATCCCTCAGACCCTTTCCTCCAAGTCCAAGCGTGAGCTCATCTCCCAAGGCAACCCATCCAGCCAGCAAAGCATCAAGAGCTAACCAGCTATACAACAGGGACGTCCTCTCCACCCTCCAAACTGCCAGACCCCTCTTCTCCTCGTACCTTCGTATCCGCTCTCTCACCAAATCCGCCACAAACCCCGAACTCCAACAAGCGCGCACCGAACTCGAGACCACGTTAACAGAGCTCAATGCAGACCTAGACGACCTCATCGAAAGCGTCCGCGCAATCGAACACGATCCCTACCGCTATGGCCTAGAAATAGAGGAGGTGCAGCGCCGCCGAAAACTGGTACAGGATGTCGGCGCCGAGATCGAGAATATGAGGCAGGAGTTGAAGCGCGCTGTGACGTCTGCTGCGACAGGGGCTGCTGCCGGGGCCAAGTCTCCTGGGTTACCGAACCCGGCGGATTTTGATAATCTCCTGTCGCCTTCTGCGGAGGAGGGAGGGGATGATTACTATGCTTCGATGGAGCAGCAGCGGCAGGTGGAGTTGATGCATGAGCAGGATGAGCAGTTGGATGGGGTGTTTCGGACTGTAGGGAATCTACGAGACCAGGCGAATGATATGGGGAGGGAGTTGGAGGAGCAGGCTGTTATCATTGGGGATGTGGATACGATGGCTGATCGGGTTGGAGGGAAGCTACAGAGTGGGGTGTCCAAGTTGAAGCATATCATCCGGAAGAATGAAGGTACGTTTTTTTTTTTTGGTTTACAAAGGTTGGAGTCATGCTAACTTTTACAAGATACAATATCTTCATTCTGCATTGCAACACTCATTTTCGTGCTCGTACTATTATTAATTTTGGTCATTGCTCTGTGATAAATACATGGGAAACAGATAAAGGCATGGCGTTTTGTTTTGGGGTATTTGGACAAATAGATGGAATCGCCCAATCATTAGACCTTGGTCTTCTTGCGGGGGTGCGACGACGCATCCTCCTCGTCATCCAAATCTTCAAGCTCGTCCTCGTCAATCTCGGAGAGTTCCTCAGAGAGCTCAAACGATTGCACTACTACAAGTCAGCCATTGTCACATAGCGTTTTGCAAGGGAAAACACGAACCATAGTATTTGAGAGCACTGGGCCAGAGGTCCTCAGCAAGAGAGATAGCGACCTCCTCTCCATCGGGGAAGATCTCGGCCTCTTCCAAGTCATCGGCATCGTCGTCCTCATCGTCATCGTCTTCATCATCGTCATCCTCGTCAACGGCCTCACCCTTGACGATCTTGGCCCATCTCTCTTCACCCTGCTTGGTGGCCTCCTTGGACTGCTCGGCGGTGACATCACGTCCACGGTAACCGAAGAGAGCGAAGAAGCTGATGCCAGCGGGGCTGGGGTCCTCGTCATCCTCGTCGTCATCGTTCATGGCCTCGGCCTCAGCCTCGCTGACCTTCTTGACGAGCGACTCGTACTCGGGCAGCTTCTTGCGGTCACCACCCTTCTTCTTCTCGGCCTCAGCCAAGTCACAAGCGGCATCGAGCAGACCCTTGGTGAGATCCATATCCTTCTTCCAGTTGATGCGCACGGGCTCGGAGACAAGACCCTCCCAGGTCCTGCTCTTACCCTTGGCAGACTTGGTGACCTGCTTGCGCCAGTAAAAGTCCTTGACGATCTTCTCGTTCTCGAAGAAGGGGTTCTCCTCGCCGCCGTGGAACTCCCAGGTGAGACGAATGCTGCGGGGCTCGCCCTCACCCTTCTCATTGACCTCGAAGCGCTCAACGGTCAAGTTCTTGAGAGCGGATCCCAGAACAGCGGCGTCGGTGGGGAGAATGTACTCGTCGATTTCGGCGGGGGCATTGGAGAAAACACGGATCCAAAAGTCACCCTGAACCTCGGGGTCTGTGATGATCTGGTTGCGCTTCTGGTAGAGGGGTTCCAAGATGGGAATGGACTTGCGCACTGTTATTGTTAGAAAGATCGAATGAAAAAAGCCAATGTAGAAAAAAACATACGCTGATCAACCTCAGCGCGAGTGAATTCCTCCTCCAAATGCGAGATCTTCTTCGCCGCCTCTCTGGGGATACCAGGCATCTCGAACTGCTCCAACTGTGCTTCTTCGGCAGACATGATGTGAAAAGGTGTGTATGTAGGAATTGATTTATGTACGGGTATAAAGATAAGAGGATGAAGAAAAGCAAAAAAGGAAAAAGGAGAAGGGAAGGGAAAGAGATGAAATAAGGGAAAAAAAATGGAGACTAGTAGGAAAAAAATTCAAAAACTCTGCTCTGGTCAGCTTCGCGCGCAGAAGACGAAACGAAACGATTCGATGATTCTCGACTTGTCTGCCGCTTTGGGGTCAGGTGATGTCACATGCGAATACTACAACAGACTACCACCAGGGATTTAAGATATAATATAGTATAATTAATAAGAATAGTATACAGACTATACATAAAGATTATATGTACTTCTAGTATATTGAGTGGTATCTACTAGTATACGCAGAAAACTGATCAACAGAGTAAACAACAATAATTCTTAACCATAAATAAACCCCCCCTCTTCCCCTCCAACCACTTAACTCCGTAGTTACTCCGTACTCCACCCTCTCCATATACCTCCTTAATTAACCATAAAAAAAAAAATCAAACAAAACCAAAACAAAAGAAAAAATCATCACATCACAATTGCTAGTCCGGCCTAGTCTTACTTTTTCTTTTTATGGAGTCCCTTTTAGTAAGTTAGCCCCTCTAAGCTATGGCGTAGGCCGAGTGCAGAATTTTCGCCGATCAGGCTCAGCAGTCGATGTCAGTGGCTTGGTGGAAGCACGTGCGTTTACGGCGTTTGACAGTCTTATTATGGGTATGAGTATGAGTAGGTATACCTAGAAGATGAAAGTGTTGGATCCTAGTCGATATATCCATTTCATTTCAACCATTTTATCTACCTATCTACCTATGTAACTACCTATGTTGAGTGTTAGTACTATATACCTATCACCAACATCGTAACCATCACCTAGGTACAGCACCTAACAGTAAGCTATAACGCCCCAACTATACCCAGTGAAGTCATCCAAAATCCCTCTCAAAGTATAAAAAACCCATGCAGCGAAGATCATTCGGGAAAACCCTTGAAGTTAACAACAACCAGCCAGATAACCTAAGTTTCTTTTCGCCTCTCATTGCTTTTTCCTTTGTTTGTCTTATCTTGATTTTGATTGATCATTGTGGGGGTGGGTGAGATATAGTTTAAATCGACATTCACCTACAGACTACAGTATATAAGGAGGTTAATGTTGGATAAGGGTACTTCCATATACATATTTCTTGTATATTGGGAGCTTTGAACTCTGGATTTGATTTTTTACTCGTACTTTCATGCCCCAGTTCGAGTGTTGTGTGTCTTTGGTCCCACGCATTATAGCTATCTATCTATAGCAAGTAAGCTGGATGAAGCTAACATATGCAAATTTGCAAAAAGAAGAATCAAACATAAGCAATCATCAAAGAGCCACCGATGATTAAAGTAAACGGGTTTCAAGTCTGAATACCCATGGGGAATAAAAAACCGAAGAAAGAAAATGAACAGAAAATGAACAGAAAATCAACTTTTGATGGCCGAAATCCTTGGACCGGCCACTCATTCAATGTCATGCGTCATGGGCGCTGCAAAATTCGTGACATCCGTTTTCATCCAGGATGGTGAGATAAGAAGAGTGAGGTGAGTGAGAAAAAACAGAGGGAAACAGAAAATCATTACAACTTTTTCAGAGAAGAGAAGAGAAGAGATTGGGCCATATCTTCCAAAATTTCCCCCAAAATAGAAAAAAAAAAACCCAGGCCAATTCGCCAACAATGCAAGATGAAAATGAGACATGGAGAAAAATAAATGTGGCAGCTGTGGTGGGCGCAGGTGCTGACTATCCGCGCCAACCAATCGGCGCTCGGGAACGGCACGCAACGTGCTGCTGGAAATGTCAAAGCGACAAGGTCCCCCTCACCGACCGTCCTGTGCGACCTGACGCAACAGCTGGAAGGGGAAAAAGGGTGGAAAAAAAAAAAAAAAAAATAGAAGTCAAAAAAGTTGGTGGACAGTTCATAGCATCCAGTCCAATCCGTTGGCTTCTTCTTCCACTGGGAAGACTTCACGGGCATATTCCTCCATATCTCGCCAGCCCTGCCACAAATGCCGGGCTTCGTCGGTCACTCGAAGCGAAATGACCCCTCCAGGACCTTGCATCATTCCTGCGCCGGCACCCTTGCCATTTGCCGGGCCCAACCCCTTTGGCGAACCAGCTGCAGGACGGGAGAACTCGGGTTGGGGAAAGTAAGGTGCATTGCCTTGTCCAAAGACCAGCTCCAGGGCCTCCAGCTGTTCCCGATAACCTGGAGGAATATTCACCTTGATCTCGATCTTCGGCACGTGAACATAGTTGCAGGGGCGATTTAAGGCGCGAGAGAAAGCCGCGCAGACCTGGGTGGGCGACAGGGTTTCGAATGTGAGGGCAATCCTAGTCCAGTCAGTTGGGATCAGATAGCCTAATATAGGAAAAAACGATGAAACCTACCGATGACCGTGCCATTTCTTAGGACCATCCTTGAAGATCTGAAGCAGCGCCGGCCCAACGTCATGCTCGGCATCCAACCAAGGCAAGGGAGTATCCGGGTCAAACGGCGCATGCCACTCAAAGCTCCCATCGGGCATATACTCCATCTGGAAGAGAGGGTAGGGCAGACTGGTGAAGTTGTTGTTGTAGATACCCGCATAGACAAAGGTGGCCGGGAGACCCAATTGGCGGATGTAGTTTTCCACGGTGAACTTGGGGGCCCACAGAGGGACAGGGGGCCAGGGCCCATGGACGGAGTGGTCAGGCATACTGCTGTAGATGTAATGCTGGATAGTGCCGGCGCGGTTGGCAGCGTCAGCCAATGCACGACCGATCGCGACCTCGTCGCCGGATTGTGATGTAGTGTTGATGAAAGCGAGGTTGGCGCCCTTGAAGAGTTCGTCCATCAGGGGCACATTGTCGAGCAACGGGCCTTGGAAGAGTGTGACGTTGGGTAGCTCTCTGAGCTCCTCTGCGATGAGGCCCTTGAGGGAATGGATCTGAGCGCGCACATTGTGTCCAACGGCGGAGGCAACGCGGATAAGGGAGGCGGCCTGCCGGCCGGTGGCGTTGACAACGGCGATAGTCTTCTTTGGTTGTGTCATCCGGGTAGATTGTAAGAATATGCGGGGTAGTAGTAGGAGGAGGAAGGGAGGAAGAAGAGGGGGAAGAAAGAGTAGATAAAGGAGTATCCAGTAGCCAAGTATGGGGAGGAGGGAAGATCAAGAAGAATCCGGGGGAAGAGAGAAAGAAGCAATTGGAAACAAGCAGGAAGGGACAGCTTCAAAAGGACAAAAAAGGCGCAGCAGTGGGGTAGTCTGGTGGTGGGCTGCAGCGGCGGAGGGGGAAAAGAGAGAAAAGCAGGAAGGGAAGGGAATATGTAATGGGAATCGAAGGAAGAGGCAGCGGGGCGAGCGATCTTTGTTTGATCACAACGGTCGATTGCTATTAGATAATGCCGCAATGGAGAGAAGAGATGGTGCAATGAAATAATAATCGAAAGAAAAAAAAAAAAGAAAAAAAGAAGAGCAGGAAATAATAAATGGAGTGATAAATATTCCAGACCGACACTGTTTGGGCCCAGGCGGAGAGTGGAACAGCCTGCTGCTCGTGCTCACAAGGTGGTAGGATAGAGGATAGAGGATGATGCTGATGGAGAGAAGAGAATGAGGAGGTGGAGACGATAATACCGGCCCAGTATAGTTGAGGCTATGATTTCACGTCGTGATTGATTTACAGGCGAAGAGAAAAAATAGGATGGGTAAAAAAAGACGCGAAAAAAAAAAAAAATGCGTGGATCTGAACCAAGGTTTGGTTCCGAGGATTTTGTGACCACGAGAAGATGAAGCCGCGAAATGATTTATGATGCCACAGGAGAATATATCCAGTGGATGTCGATAGACCTGCTAGACTGGATGCAGTAACTGTCTGGACTCTGGGCAATTCTGGGGTTCGCACAGTTAGAACAAAACCGCGATGGAATTGAGAATACAACCGATAAAAATTCAGAAAAAAAGCATTAAAAAATTGAATAAAACATAAAATAAAAACCAGCTCCGATTTCCATCCGATGGAGCATAGGGCTGGAGCCAATATATAAAAGTTATCAAGTAATGGGAACACAGTCTCCAACTGGTGAAGTGTCGACCGGTGGAGAGCAGATGTGATGCCAGCCAGGCGAGCAAATAAGAGCATTAGACCGGCTGCAATTCCAGCTCCAGCTGGTATGCTTTTACGTAACTTCGGCTGCACGTCGACTCGAGAGGGCCAAACGGTGTGTCTGGACTGGATCGCCGGGAGATCTTAATATTATGATTTTGATTTTATGGCTTCATGATGAGTGTATGTAGTATGTAGAAGATCATGTGTTCTGGGGAAGTACACACATGACTGTACAGCATACATAGACACAGTAGACCATCTAAAATATATAGAACAGTGTAGGTAATATACAATAAAATAATATTAATAGTAGAGTAATAATAGAATTATCTGACTGAATCATATTATAATGCAACAGTAGACCTCACGTGGCCCTCTCACCATCTCCGATTCCCTCTCTGTATATCCACCAACAACTGTCAACTTGCAATCCAAGTCAGCACAACGTGTTGGAATCAACTCATCCCAGCCCCTTCCAGCCATCCACTCACATCCACCAATCCAGCACGCCAAGCCCGACTCCAATTCATATTGCATTTGCGGTCAGTCAGACAAACAAACCACCCAGAGTCATTCCGAATTCCGATTTGGGTCTGGTGATCACTTCATTCTCAAGCCTTATCAAGGTTATTATTGCCATAGCTGCTATCCAGGTACTCAGCGTAGGAGGGGTATTGCGACGCTCTGTCTGACATTCTGACAGGGTTGATCATTGATGGTGATGGTTGACTCCTTGGCTTCGGCTACGGGTCGTCTACCCGATATCCACATGGATCAACATCTCCGCGGGAAAAAAAAAAAACAATTCACTGTCGCTAGATTGCAACATTTTGTCGGACAATGTCCTCTTTTCGACTCATGTGGTCATCCCTTCATTGGTGGGTTCATCCCTCCCATCTATTATGGCATCATCGTGCATCAATCATTCTAACATTCCATGCTATGCGGTACTTTATCAAAAATAATCAGATCATGATGGCGCTGACCCTGCCATCGCCCGCACAATTGTTCTTTCTGATCCATACTCCTCCTCCATCTCCCGCTCACTGATCTCCCTCGGTCCAATCCCAGCCAACCCCCAGATTCCAGGTCTCCGTCGCGCAAGAAGCTCCGCCGCGGGCCGTTCCTCCGAGTGCAGATGCGCTCCCGACTTGCGCAGAAGAAGGACGTGCTCCGATAGACCTGCGTTGGCCGCCAGGAACAGTGGGGTCCGTCCGGCACGGTTGCGAATATGCACGGATCCACCCTGGAGAAGTAGAAATCGAAGGATAGCAATCGAGGGCGATGATGCCGCCAGGTGCTGCTCGAGTTAGCGGTCAAACCTTTTCAGTAGTGGTGCCATGGGGTACTTACAATAGGCGTGTTGCCAGAGTAGTCCTCGTCGTTAAAAATCCAGTAGTGCTCCAATTTTACGATATCCTGTACTCGCTCCAGATCTCCATGTGCGATGGCATATCCGAGAATAGTGAGGGTCTGGACCCGCTCGGGAAGCGCTCCGTCGGGGTGACTGAAGAGAGGCTGAGAGGTCTCGGTCAATTCGCCCCGAAGCGAGATGGACATGTCCTTCGCAACCGATTCCGGTGTAGCATCGGGAAGGGCAAGTAGATATGCCATCTTCGTCAGTGCTGCCTCGGTGGTCATGTCGAGACCAGCAACCACACCAGCTCGGGAGAGGCTCATACCCGTGGCATACACCGGGCTAACACTGCCAGTCAAACCTAATAAAGTCAGCAAGCAGCCATAATAAATCCAGGAAAATACCTACACTGTGTGACATTGACAATCACGATTCCTCTCTTAATAGCGGCCGCAAACACATTGGTCATGGCATTATCTTGACCGTGCGGTGCGTTTCCAGCTCCAAACGTCTCCAAAACCAAACCACGCAGTCCCTCGAGTTTCAACACAGCATCCACCATTTCGGGCTTGATACCGGGGAAAATACGCAGACATGCCACATGAGTCGTGTCGAGGTTCGTTTGGATACTGAAATGTTGGATGTTTTTGGGTCGGTTCACCAACTCCCAGTTCACGTTGGTGCGCATCGATGTCGTCACTGCCAGCGGTGCGCAGTTGGGAGAGTTAAAAGCCGAAAAGTCGCTTGCTGCCACCTTGATGGATCGGTTTCCGCGGAATAGTTTGTTGTCGAAGAATAGACACACTTCGGGAATCATAAAGTGGCCAGCCACCACCAGCGATCCAAGCAGATTGTCGGTTGCATCAGTCTGAAGCTGGAGCATGGGGGATTGTGATCCTGTCAGAATGACCGGCTTGCCCAGATTTTGCAGCATGAAACTCAGTGCCGAGCAGGTATAAGCCAAACTGTCTGTGCCGTGGAGCACTACGAATCCATCAAACAGGGTGTAATTTCGCTCGACTGTTCGCGCAATCTGAGCCCAACCCTTGGCGTCAATGGAGCTACTGTCAAGCAGTTCCTCGAATTCGAAAACGGTGTATCGTACTCGTCGGCCGTAGGCCGTTTGAGGCGTGCGCAGGCTCTTATGGCCTTTGCGCTCGCCGTCTCCATTCACGACCACATCCATTGAGACGCTATGAGAGCCATCGTTGAATGTAGGAACTCGAGCCAAACAGGCATCTTGGAACCCGCGAGCTGGCACATAACCCGATGGCGAAGGTCGCATACAAATGGTTCCTCCTGTCATAATAATCAGCACCCTGGACTCAGGGATTGTGCTGTCCGACTCCTGCTCAAGCAGTTCGGGGATGGTAGCTTCCGAAAGTGCCATGGTGACGATTTTCTAAAGGCTGTTATAATATAAACTGATTTTCTTGTCGCAAATGCAAGGTGATGTTGCCAAGTCTGATTTTTTTCGAGACGATAACAGCACTGCGGGGGAAAAAAGCTTGAAGACACTCTTGATATCGACCCCGATAAAGGCTTGAAGATTTCTAATTTTTATTTGATAACCCTGTAGTTGAACAAAACGAGCGATGAAGCGAGCGATCCAATCGAGATGACGATATTAACGAGGCATAATTTCCCCAACTGTGAAATTTAGCACAGAGCAAGAAACCATCACTTTATTATGATGAACCTTCTGTGAGCTTCTCCAAACCCAGCGGTCGATTCTCCGGTCAACGGCCGTCCTAATTACGTACAGTTGGGGTCGTGGATGAATCGCCGCTAAAAGTGCGAGGTTTTCGGCCGCACAATCTGGGTGTCGATGGGGCCGCCAACTTTAAAAGCAACTCTCCACCAAAAGATAAACGGCTTGGAGTCGGGCAAACATGGGAAGGGAGACAGTGGCGAGGTGCAGTGACACGAGCGTCAGCTTCTGCTTGTCGTGGGATTCGATGGGAAAAAGCAGACTCTGACAGCAACAATTAGAATTTGCACGGCGCACTGTCAAACAGCGACAAGACCAGGTTTGATACTCACTGTCCGCCAATGAGATCGCTTCAAATTACGCGATCAATTCGACGAAGTTTAAGAGGAATGAAATGTTTTCGAAATGGCAGAGGGTCCTCAAAATATTGATTATAGATGTCTGCCAGCTTATTTGACCTTTCTGTAGACAAATCTGGTGGATATACCGTATCAAGTGCCTTCACAGCATGGTCTGATAAGAAAAGTTGGAGAATGCGAGTAGGTCAGAAGAGAAGGACATCAGAGAAGAAAGTAGGGTGTTAGACAAACAGCAGTTGCTGTCGACTGCCTGGCGTAATCATCCGTATCAGGCATAGCCAGTCAGTCATGTGGCTGCTGGTGGACAGCTTCATCTCTCCTTCCTGGCAACATCAACAAACTGCCAGACTTGACCATCGAGCCCTCTTCATCGCAGCACCTGCTATCTTTCTGCGAATCGTTTCTAATTGGTTCATCGTGTTTCAGCTTGATAGTTTCTATTTAGCATCAATGTCCCAATCTTGCCGGCTGGCTAGACCATCTATTCGAAGAAACACGAGCAGGAAGACCGCTACAGAATCGACCAGATGCAAACCGTCTACTTCATGCATACTTAGATTTATTGAAAATGCTTGAACGCTTTGGTCAATTTGTCACCAACTATGCTTCAGGGTATCATCTATATACAGCTTCCATCATCCCGAGTCTCGTGAGTTCTGGCACCCGCTCATTGCCAGCAATGTTTTTCAAGTTTCAGACAAAAACTTATGCAAAATGTTCAAAATAATACAGGAGAAATGAAACCAAGGCACCTCCCAGTTCAAAGTTCGACCTTACTCGGAGCTTGTGACTTCCTCCTCGTAGCTGCGACTTCTTTGGAATGAGCGTCTTCCACGAGCGAACCAGTCGATGATAATGATGAAGACGACAACACCGTACACGGCAGAGACATAGTTCATATCTGTCAGAGTTAGCATTAATCATCAAAGTGAAATGGCAGGAAAACTTACTGCTTGTCTTGACCGGCATGGTGGATGGGAAAGAATACATGATCATGCAGAAAATGGTCCAGCACAAGGTCACGATGTTGGCGAAAAGACCCAGCTTTCCGAGCCAGAATGGACCGTGCTGGATGTTGTTGCGGCCACGGTGCCAGAGACAGAGGATGGGCAGGGTGTACGAAACGTACAGAAGAGTGATACAGGCTGTCACCATACTGTTGAAGGCAGTGGAAGATCCAAGGTAGAGGAGACCAAGGAGACCGACAATCACAGAGCTAACGACGTGAGAGACCAGGGGAACATCCAGAGTGTGGTTGACCTGCGACACCCACTGGTGTCCGGGAACACCGCGGTCACGAGCGAAAGCCCAGACAAGACGCGATTGCCAGGTGTGGCAGGCAATCAGACATCCCATCCCAGTCACCAACAGCAGTGTCTCCAAAACGATAGCACCGGCTTTATTTTGCAGGGCCTGGTAGTAGAGCTCCAAAATTGGGACGCCAGTGGAGGTGTTCAACAGCGAGTTCAGATCCTTCAAACTGAAGAACATGGCAAGGCAGTAGAACCAAGAGGTGGTGAAACCGATAGCAACAGTAGCCATGATGGCGATAGGGATGTTTCTCTCCGGCTGAGGCACCTCCTCGGCCAAGTGGGTGGCGGAGTCCAAACAGGCGAAGATCCAGTTGGGATTGATCAGACCGACAATGAAGGCGATTCCATCGGACTTCCAGCCAGTCGAGTTGACGAAGTGACCGAACACATAGGATGCACTTGCATGGGGGCGAGCGCAGGCAGGAACCGCGATCAGGATCACAACGAAGGAGACCAGCGAGATGTAAAGAGTGGCCTTTGCAACTGCAGGTAACGATTTACCAACGCAGTTGAAGAGGAAGCAGAAAAAGTTGATGAGTTCATATGCAACCACAGTGTGCCACGGCTCGATAACACTATTGACTGTCAGCACTACAGATACCAACGCGACCACAACGGCCAAGAGGATCGGGTTGTCGAGTCATACAAATCAGGATGACCCAGCTGCCACATTCCCACACCAGCGGACCCAAGACTGAGAGCGACACTGGCGCAGGCAAAAATGGCACCCGCGTATCCAAACCAACCGGTCAGGTAGGAGATAAAGCGGGCGTATTTCCTGGGGGCGAGTTCATTGGTCCAGAAATATTGTCCACCAGCGTTCGGCATGGCACTGGCAAGCTCCGACAGCGAAGAGGCAACACAAAGTGAAATAAAGGTAATCCAGAGAAGACCGTAAACGATAAGGACAGTTCCTCCAGAGCTGATACCGGTGATCAAAGAGGCTGAGATACCGAACCATGAGTTGGACATACAAAATGCAATACCAATGAGAGAAATCACGTTGAAATTGCGCTTCAAGTCCTGGGTGTAACCCATCTCAGCCAACTTCGACGCATCGGTGTTCTCAGCTCCGGAGGCATTCTCGTTGCTGTTTGTGGGCCTCACGCTGGCCTTCTTCTCTATATCGAGCTCAGCCATTGTGCCAGACAAATGAAAGAGGTCAGTGAGATATGACGAAATGCAAGTTTAAAAAGGGTATTGGTGCAAGGGCAACACGGCAAGTCGCTCGGCGGATATTGGGACCGGATCGAAGGTGCTGCACGGAAATCGCGAGGGACAACTCTAAAAAAAAGACGTGAATAGGGCCTAATATTCGATCAAGACCACTGTCGCATAGGGGCTTTGATTGCTTTCGAGACCACCGGGGGATAGGTTCGTGATTCGGATTGCTGCTGCTGGACAGAGTGCTGCTGTTGGCAAACGAAGCTGCAAATGGGTGTCGATGATAGTCGCCGAACGGATTGGAATCAAGTGGCGCAAACGGATTGATATCTTCGACCTGGCGATACGGCGATACACACAAGGATACGGAAGTAGCGGAAGCAATCAGTTTTACAGAATTCAATCTGCGTTTTGTTTTTTGTTCTCGAGTTATCAACAGAATCGGATTGGCGATGAGATGAGGGGCTGCGAGTTTTCGACAGCCACCAGAGAACAAATGAGAAAGCTTGAGCGTAACAACTCAAGTTGACGAAGAGAGGTGAGGGGGGTTAGAGAGATGGAGAGAAAATGGGGAAATGGAAGAGATGAAAGTGAGGTGGACGAACAGGGTACGGGGTACGACGAGATGGAGGTGAGTATTTAACATACGCGACCTTTTTTTTTTTTTTCATTATTATCCCCCCCTCTGCTTTGTCTTGTCTCTCTTACATTGGCAGAAAAGGGTCTCCACCAGGATCAATTTGATAACCTGATTCCTGCTTCCATTTCGCCCTCAGACCGGCAACCTACGGTTTCACTGCGGAAAACTAAACTCGACAAAGTTATGCACGCGAGGTCAACGGGATCGGTTGACTCCGATTCGGCCTTCATCCGCTTCCTATCGTCATCAGCGGGGCTCAACCATCGATACCGGCGGCGAACTAACCAGCATCAGGTTAGACCCTACCGAATCTGGTGCTACTCTACGCAGCTGTTTCTTCCGGCCTTCTCATGGCATCGTTTGAGACGCTTAGCCGTCCAAAGGGCTGTGCTTTGGATATGAGTGGCCGTTGGTCTGCTTACTACTCAGCGGCCACGATCTATGTTGATCCTTACTCCAGAAAGTGTCCCGCTGAAAAGTTTTGACCTTCGCTCGTCCAATAATGCAACCTTAATGCACATGGCCATTGTGTTTTCTTTCTCGACATTTTTCTAGAAAAACGTCATAAGGCACGCGTTGAAAAGATACTTATCCGGTTTTGAGCCATTGGTTAGGGGCTTTTAATCTGCGTGGTGGTTAGAGTCGGGCCGGTGGACACTCTTAATAACAGTGCTCCCCTGCAAGAAAAATTTGATGCTGCAAGCCCCTGCACGAGGCTGCAATTTAGCGTGACCACTATTGTTATCTTCCACGACCAGCGGCGATCGCAGAGATCAGCATCAACCGTCAAGTTCAACAGTCAAGCAAAAGCAGATCAGAAGTTCAGAGGTCAGAGCTACGGGGGAGAAAGATACAGCGCCCTTGACACTACATGCTACGTCATTAAGAAAACTACGAGGAATGGAGTGAGGCAATTTACGGGTACTACGGTAGTGTTTGTTTCTGTGCTTCTTTCTTTGGCGTACCGTCAAATCTTTTCTAGAAACCCGCAGTAGTGTGTTGGGTTTAGCCCGATGCTGGTGGAGTTCATTTCCATCTGAGCATTGTGATTTGCACATTGACCACGGCGGACGAGAAGAGATGAGAAACAGTTACTAAGAGACTTTCACCGGTCTGCCTATGAAACTCGCGGCATTTTTGTCGCACTATTGCTCAAACCAATAACGCTTTGATGCTACCAACCATCGTTCCTCCAACTTGGATGCCTAAAGACCCATACAAAACAGAGAACGACTTTGTCCACCGTCTGTACCACACGATGCTAGGTTTTTAGTTGCCAACCGATGCCTTCATCCTATTCAGTCTACAACGACAATGATATCATTTTCAGCCATATCCTTGCTGTGAACCTTTTATGAAGTCAGATGCTCTCAAACTCTCGGTCTCAGACTGTCAGCCTAGGTCCGTCGGAGTTCGCCCGGCGATTCTACCCAGTAACTGTTTCCGCCCCTAAGAAAGCTAAGGAGCTTGGCCATGTGTTGTCCACGTTATGGAGAATCAGGTCGTTACCCCTTCTGGACGAGCCAGCGTGCTTAATCTTTTTGTTAAAGAGGACGATCAGAATATCGGAAACAAAAAAGCCCTCACTGATGAGATCTGGCAGATTTGGCATCTTCCTCCCGAGCACTCAGCTGCCACTTGCTTCTGAAGAATTTTACAGCATCAGCCAGTATCACCAGTATCGCCAGAATCACCTTGAATCAGGTACCTTTGTAGTCAATAATCTAAATATCCAGATAGGACGACCCCAAACTCAAAGGATTAGCGCTAGCCTTGTCGTTGGCGTTACCATCATACGACGGGACGGCACGGTTCCGGAGTCGACGCCTCAGGAATCATTTTCCCGCGGGGGAATAGCGTGGATCTTTACTCCAACAACGTCGATGATAACTTTGATTGTCGACGCTGCTTCCCTTTACCATATCGGGCAATGGTATTCCTGTCAGATGACAGCAGGATCGGGGACCGATTAACTGTATCGGGAATATTTCTTGGTACGCATTGGCGCAGTGTGGCGTTGTCTTATATTGCTGGATGTTTTGACTACATCTATAAACTGATGACGTCTAGATCTACTAATTCGGGCCTTTGTCTTCAAACCTACGATAAGATATTTGTCCTATCTTGAGATAGTGACATTCCCTATCGAAGATTATCGCTGATGACCCTGGTTATCGTTTCAAGGCAGGTGATAATGTGAAGTGTTATGGTCGCCTGATCAGCCTATTCTCTTTTCCGAGCTCATAATTTCCCCTGGTGGGATTATTATCCGAAAGCTTATATTGGAATTTGCGATGCGGTTTATGATCTTTGGACTATTATCTTGCTGTCGACTGCTATTGCCGTCAATAATGACAAAACAATATTGTTGGAAGGACGACATGATCAAGAAGCTTTGCTTTGGTGACCTCACTATCGGAAGGTGCCGACTGATCTACTTGATCTCGAAAATATCTGAGCCAAGTGACTTGGCCATGCGGCGGCAGGAAAACTGTGCTGATTGAGAACAATTAATCAATTCAAAAATTCTCTACAAGTCGATGGCCTTTGACCCTCTTTAGGGACTACTGATGAAAATCTTCCTCGGCTCAAGTGAATCCTATCTGGAGCATTTGACGCATTGAGTCGCATGGAAACAGAGACTATATTAGATCACTAAATTGAATAAAACAGAACCTTTATTCAGCCAATCAGAGCTCGCCGCTCGTCAGTTTTCACCTCCTAACCACAGCGCTAGCTTCGCCGTACACAATCTCATACCCCTATTCCATCATTATGCTGAATACCCTCTTCTTGATTATCTCATTCTATACAGGCCTCACTGACTTTGCTGTCTCTAGATACAGATATACTCCTATCTTGAAAGCCATGGCTACCTCTGTCTGCCTCTACTCCCACCTCTACCCCCACGTTGCTGTGCCTGCCCTTTGCCACGGCCACCTTGCTGGTGCCTATTTTCTTGTTCAGGATTCAGTTCCTACGAACACCAGCTGGACTATCACAGTCTCTAATATAATTGTCTTTGGTCCACAGGAGGAAGATTTCCACGCCGATAAAGGCGCAGGTACCGGAAATAAAATGAATTACAGGTCCCTGTCTATCAGCCGAGTCCGTGGTTATGCGCATGAAGCTCGTATCAATTCAAAATGAAAACCACTTGATAATCTTGGTAGGGAATATGAGTCAATCCATTAGTTTCATAAACAACAGTTCATTGATCCCTCAATTCCATTTCCAACTCTGTTTTCTATCAATAGGATCTGTCAAGCAATCTGACAAGCGACCCCTTCGGCGATTCCATTCAATGATCCTGTTCAGCAACTCCATGAGTGATTCCATGCAGTAACTCTGCCAGTGACTTTTTCAAAAACGTCTCATGCTAAAATATCTTGCTAGTATTATCACACTTCCCCTTCCAGTGTAGCCCATATACCTATAGTGACCAATCCAAGTTATTCAAATGCTTGATTTATTTTATGTCGGTCCGATACTGGAAGGTTCCAAGGTATTAAAATGAAAGAGCATCCCCCTCAGCCATTCTGCTTATACCATAGTATCTACATAAGCCAATCAACAATTGTTTGTATATTTGCTGTCAGCTGCAAGATTCCCTCAATACTCTAAATTTCCCTCCTTAATTGTTCCCCCACGGCCTGTGCCGCCTTCCTAATCATCATATCAAAGCCACCAAACGGCTCCTGGAAGAGTTGGAATGCCTGGCTAGATCCTAGATCTGAATGATCAGAAAGCTGCCTCTGCATCATAAGGATGATTCTTGAGAGTAGTACAGGCTCCATGTCTCGTCAAAGGGCGTCTGCTCGCTGCGATATAACCAAGGATCCAGTAACAGCCACTGTAGTCCAAATATATCGTGAATTAGCTGGCGGGCCATATCCTGCTAATGAAAATTGCCAGGTATGGTTTGGGTTCTCGCGTTTGCTCTTCTGAAGAGACTAACCAAGCCATCCAAAGATATTGATGCATATATATGGGATGGGATTACCATTCCAAAGGCAACTTTGTGGCCTGTAACCTGACCACCTTCACAGGATATGCTTTGAAAGACATTTAAGTCATGCGTCTCACATGACTATGGGAAAGGCAGTCTTTGGAATCAATCAGTGTTGCATGATTAAGGCACTCTAGGTCACAGGAGTCAAGTTGTCAAAGTGTAGATTTGAAAGCAGGCAAGGGAATAGAAGCGAGTAGAAGTAGTACTACCTTTGAGGAGCTGGGGTTATATATAGGAAGTTATTTTGAATAGTCTGAAGAAGGGATGTCATGGCCTGAAGCTAGCTGGATGTCTGATAATATGATTGTCTTCAACTTATCTTACTAGCAGTTTATTCCAGCTACTATCTCAAGAACTTAGGTTCTCTTAGCAGGCTTGAAGTTTAGACATAGATGATAGACGTTCATTTTGCTTCCCTCTTACTATATACATTTGCCTCTTCCACACCAGGTTCTCCTCTCATAAAAGCATGCTTGCTTTGCAAACCCTGCGATGTGGCCGTCGCCAAATCCCAGCCATCAATCTCAGATCCTGTAGGAGTTTTACGTTGATCTCTATCCATTCTCGCTTTCCTGCCACGATGTATCGATTTCCATTACAACGCGAATCAGTGCTTTTTGATAATACACAGCAGAATGGTGGCTACTCTTGTGATGCTGTAGCATTATCAAAAGATGGACTAGTGTTTCCTGCGCTTTCAAACTCTATGTGAGTGAATTCAGAATTTTTTTTGCGCTAGCTATTGATTCATTTGCGGCTTCACATGGCACTAGATTCAGGCCAAACACAATGTTGATGCAGGAGCTTCTTCGTAATGACTATGATCATTATGATGAGGAAGTGAAATCTGGGCGGTGCCCGTCAAATCCCCACGTACTTTGTGTTGCAAGAGATAAGAGCCAATAATACTGCATACTTTCTGTTTGGGGTTAACACTCCCAGGGACTATAATATCTCCTTCTCTGATACTGTTTCGCGAGGAATCCTTTCAATGCTCACTTCGACCCGCACATACAATGGGATTAGCAGGTAGGTAAATCATGAAAATTACCAGTTCTGCGACCTGACTCATATTTCAGAGTTTAACAAGACGCTTGATAGCTTTTACTTGACAAAAGCAAGTTTCACAAACGCAGAAGAATGGATGGAAAATAATGAATTCCATGATGCATTCGCAGACTCTGCAAGAAGACTGGATTCATGTATGAGCTCTACTGTAAGCTGATTTTAGTTTAGCATGATCAGGCAGTGCCTTCCAAAGCCTCACGAGACAATCCGTGAACTACTTCAAGTTAGACAGGGGAAGTACTTTTTTCTCTCAATTTGTGGCTTACCTTTCTATCTGTAGGAAGATCCTCGATTTGTGCACTGTGATTTATGTTTTTTGCATGTGCAGATTTAGTGAGCTTTGATAATATGATTTTAGTATATTATAGAAAACTTCGTGGTATGTCCAAAGAAGGAAAGGGCACTAAGTTGCAGTAGTGGGAAGAATTTCCCCACGGGCAGGTGGCAGGTTCCCCTCTTTCCACAGCCGGCGCTAATGCATGCACCCCCTGTCTACCATACCTGATTTGCAGATGGCGGCATATGCCAAGGGTTTCTTCCTACCCCATCTGCTTAACACGTATCACTTAATAACATGTAGGTAGGTGCCTGGGTTGTTCACTCCTAGAGCCTTGCGCATCACACTCAACCCTGGCTTGGTTTTCCTAGACAGGTCACTTAGCATATATATTGCTCCTCACATTATATATATAGGAAGTGTGAATGAAGTAGTGAGACTAACCATGTAGCCTCTCTGGTTATGATGCCAGTTGTAGAGAGTGCGAGGAAGAAATTGTATAATATATGGAATAGAACACTCTCCACCACTGCCCTGATTAAAGCTTAAGATATCTTTGGCAGTCACTTCCAGCCAAGAGGCACTTCTGCCCAATTGGATAATGTGTATGAGCAGACGCTTTCCCAAAATATATGAACAGTGACGCCAGAGCGCGACATGCTGGCTCTGGCCCTTCCAGCGGTATCTTGCGCATTCCAATGAGATGGAGGCTCTTTGCTTGCGTGATGGCTCAAATGCTATCATTCTGGGGGCACAACCCTCGTCAAGAAGGTAACCCTAAGACCCATGTTGAGATTTATAATTCCTTTGATGCATTTACAAGATGATATTACAGTCTGAAGACAGGGGTGAATGGTTAATTTGACGCGGAGTTTATATTGACACCTATTTTCAGCAAAGGCAATAATCCGGTGGACGATTGTTTCTGGCTATTGTACACCATTTCCCGGAGAGCAGCACAACCACACCAAAAGACTGACAGATTCCATCGCACCATCAGCCAATCTGACCTCTTGTCAAACGGCAACGCCGGTTTTAAGCCGCCATGAAGAACTTCCAGGTGGCATCCGGAGCCAGCGGATTGCCAACACCAAGAGGGGCAGCATCGTGGCCTCCATCGTAAGCAATGAATGAAGCTGGCTTGGAGCATCCATGAAAGTCTGTTTGAACAGAACTGTGGCTCCCAGACTGGGGCTTGCCGATGTTCGCTTGCTGGCACCCATTATTCTTCGCAAACTGATTTACCAGATCGACACCCCCATCGAATGGCAGAACAGGATCGTTAATCCCATGGATTCCGAGATACGCGATCGGATCGTTGCCCCCATCACACCCACTGATCACTCCACCGCTCAACACGCTCACGGCCTTGAACTCCTTTGCGCGCGCACAAGCAAGCGCGTAGCTCATTCCACCGCCCCAGCTGAACCCAGTCGAGAAGCGAGAGCTCTGGTCCACACAGAGGTCAGCCTCGACCTGCTCGATGACGGAATCGATAAAGGTCAAGTCTTCGCCGTTGGTGTTGGCCCAGCCGGCATTCCTGCCATTGGGGGCTACCAGGATTGCGCTGCCCTGCGCGCGGGATTCAAGGCCGTACCAGGGTTCAACGCTTTTGCCGTCGACGACGGAGTACATGTTTCCGCCGCGCCAGTGGAGGCCGAGGACGAGGTGATGCGGCTTGGATGGGTCGTAGTTCTCGGGTATCTTGAGGATGTACTCGCGGCCATTGATGTTGTGGACTCCGTTGGCGAGGTTGGGCTGTTTGCCGCAGCCTGAGGAATTGGCGGCGTGGACGGAGGTCAGGGCGCTGAGGCCCAGGACGATAGGGAGGAAGCCGAATTGGACCATTGTCACTGGTGAACAGACAATATCAGAGATTGTAGAAAGCTTTGGTCAAGTGGGTAGACGGTATGGTTCTCGCTGCGCAAGTGAAAATGTTGAGAATGCGAGAGTGAAATCCACGGCCCTTTTCCTGTATTTATAGCTTGCGCTGGTTGCGTTGAGGGTTTAATCCCTCGAAGATCTCTTCCCTTAGAAGAACGGGGTGTTGATGATGTTCTTTCAGGGAAGGATGGTTTCGACGTCCACGAATCGTGCACCTCCTGGAACTGGCCGGAGACATGGGAAGGTGACCGTCCTGTCTAAGACCCTGGTCGGAGAAGGGGATATCTGTTGCAGGTTGATAACCCTACGGGGTCAAAGGATTGCCAAGACATGGGAGTAGCAAATGCTACACCACTCGTGTGCGGCATAGGAGTGAGGGAGCAGTCATATTCGCTGGATTAGCAGCCGTCGACAGTAGAGCTTCCCAATATCTGGAATGTTTCTACATGTGGGGCGAGAGTGCAGAAACTCCTGCTCAGGCTATTCTCCTTCCCTGCCTGACGCACTCTGTAACAATGTCTGTGACAGCGATCAGTTGATTTAGCCTAAAAATTCGTAGATCAAAGAAATGCCGAGGCTTCGCCGGCAATTGGAGTGTGCCGCACACTGCCGGATTCATTCATCCCAGCCCTCACCGTTACCTGATCGGGTAGTGTCCACTTGGACCCTTGTGGGCCTGGCACGTAATGGGTAAGGATTTGCAAGGTGCGTAGATTAAACTAGGTTAGGTCGACTGTTAGGGTTCACGGGCCGATGTAACCTAATACGCTTGCCAATCAACCTATTAGATATGTTTTACTGTGGCTTTCATTGGATTATAGTATGGTGTGAAACTTCCCGTACATATAAAAGACTCGGATAATCGTCCCTACCATGACTAAGGTATTATCAATCGAGCCTTCATCCACCATGTCCCTATCCGTAATAAGACCAGTTACAGATTGACTAAAGACCAAGACAGAATTAAGGGCCAGTGTCCAGATCGAGTAACTGAGCGGTTCGAGACGGTTCGAGACCCAAGAGGCTGGCAACTGAAGTAGGCTAGCTCTACGCCTTGGCAGTGTGGGCATGTTTCTGGTATAGAGATGCCCTTCAATGTTCAGATGAAGTCTGGATGGAATCACGGAATGTCTCAGACGGCAATAATGTGCAGTTGCCAAAAGTCAAGTTGCGTCTGTCATACGATGTAGCTCAGAGTATATATAGAGACAAGAAATGCCTTTCTTGATGACTTCAAGTCACTGCGTGTCTACCTTTTCCATTCGTTTTTACCATTGTATTCTTGCTTTGGGCTGGTCCCTCATTCATTCTCTACAAAATCAATCAACCTTTTCAACTTCAAAATGAAGCTCTCTCTTCTCGTTGCCGCGGCCATCGCGCCCCTGGTCTCCGCCCACTACTTCTTCGACACCCTCATCATCGACGGCCAGGAAACCTCGCCCAACCAATACGTCCGCTCCAACACCCGGCCCCAGAAATACAACCCGACCAAATGGGTCAACACCCGCGACGACATGACCCCCGACGTGCCCGACTTTCGCTGCAACAAGGGCGCCTTCACCTTTGCTGGCCAAACCGGCACCGCAGAGGTCAAGGCCGGCTCCAAGCTTGCCCTCAAGCTGGGTGTGGGTGCTACCATGAAGCATCCCGGTCCTGCTCTGGTGTACATGTCCAAGGCTCCCAGTGCCGCCAAGGAATACGAGGGCGATGGCAAGTGGTTCAAGATCCACGAGGAGAGCGTCTGCGACAAGAACAAGGACTTTACCACGGATGCCTGGTGTACGTGGGATAAGGATCGTGTCGAGTTTACAATTCCTGCGGATCTGCCGGATGGAGAGTATCTGATTCGGCCGGAGCATATCGGTATGTTCATCTTCTATACCAATTGGGTAAAGGATACTAATTTCCGGAATAGGCGTGCACGGCGCTCACGTTGGAGAGGCCGAGTTCTACAACACGTAAGTCCACCTTTCACCTGTATTCTCCCATTCTAGCAGACTGATTACTGGCTCAGCTGTGCGCAAGTCAAGGTTGTCGGCGGCGGCAATGGAACTCCCGGCCCTACTGTCGAGTTCCCCGGCGCTTACAAGAAAAATGACCCCTCGTTCAACTTCAGCATCTGGAATGGCTACAAGGACTATCCCATGCCTGGTCCGGAGGTTTGGACTGGGTCGGGCTCTGGCAGCTCTTCCAAAGTGGCTGACACTACTGCTTCCTATCAGGGAAATGTGGGCACTTGCAGCAACAATTTCCATGTTCGTGAGCATGCTCGTGATTTTAGCTACTAAAGCGATGGGGAAGACTTTTCCGGTTCTGTTGTTGAGGCTTTGGGGCAGGATTGATCTAAAGGTGTAGCTGGTGGTCTGTTGAAAAGTCTATATCCTATACTGAGCTAGAAGATGACTATGTCATCTAAAACTTGTAATAGTGAATTGAAGGCCTATATTAGACTGATTAAATGTTCTTATTACTTATTTTTCTCATGCACCATTATGCCACATTACAAACCATAAGTGATCAGGAGAAACTAGGAATGGAAAGTACCTATAAAATATAAATATGGATTTCAAGTGTGTTAAACTGGGTACTATAAAAGCATTCCTCAAGTGGAAGTGATCAGGGGTTAATAATAATAATTAAGATAAACAGTTAATTTATCTCTATAGTTGGTGATTATAGGTAAAGATATCTTCTTCTCTAATAGGGCTAACTATAAATAACCTCCATCAATTTCTCCCTCTCCGTATCCTCATCCACCATACCCCGGAACACTCCATTCCGCACCTCCATCAAATCCCTCGGATGTCCGAATTCCACCGCCGCCCCATTATCCAAGACGAGAATGCGATCGAAATCCGCAATCGTACTGAGCCGATGCGCAATGACAAGCAGCGTAGACGAGTCCCGACCAAACTGGGCGCGCAACGCCTCCTGGATCTGCGCATCGGTCGTGTGGTCCACGGCGGAGGTGGCCTCGTCCAGCATGAGGATTTTGGGGTTGGCGACGATGGCGCGGGCAAGGCAGAGGAGTTGGCGCTGGCCTTGGGAGAAGTTCAATCCGCCTTGGGAGACGGGAGTTTCGAGATAGTCCACGGGGGGTGAAGGGGTGGATCCGTCGTCGCTGGGTGAAGGTGAATACGGCTGTTCGGGGATAAAGCGAGCTTGCGACAGGGCGGCGAGGAGGTCGCTATCGTCGACTTCGTCAAAGGGATCGAGGTTGGAGCGGATGGTGCCGGAGAATAAGACGGGGTTTTGCGGGATGATGGCGAGTCGACTGCGGAGGTGAGCCAGCTTCACCTTTGAGATGTCGATGCCGTCAATGAGGATCTGGCCCTCGCTGGCTTCTAGGAATCGGAATAGGGCGAGAGCAAGCGAGGATTTGCCTGCTCCGGTGCGGCCGACGATGCCAATGCGTTGACTCCCCTCGACGACAAAGTTGAGGCCCCGGAGAACGGGGGGTAGGCTGGGGGCGTATTTCACCGTCAGATCGGTCACTTCGACGCGACCGTTTGTGGGCCAGGCTGCGGGCGGGTCGATTCCGTCGTAGATTTCGGGTTCGATGTCTGAATATTCCAGCACGCGGTCGACGGCGTTCATTCCGAGCTCGACATTGGTGTAGGACCGGATACAGGGAGTCATGGCGCCTGTCAGTTGGACGGCAAAGCTGATCGTGAAACCGGCGGTGGCGGCATCGATCTTCCCCTGCGTCGTGATCAGGAGAGCAACGCAGGACGCAAAGATGGCTCCGATCATACTCACGCGGAGGCCAAGCCATCGGGTGAGGAGCCATTGGGTCCAGAAGGCGCGGGCATGACGGTCGATGCGGTCCTGCATCGCGTGAATGTAGAGGTCTGATTTTCCATAGGCGCGGATCGTCCAGAGTCCGGTGAGAGAGGTGTTGATCTGCTCGTAGACGGGGCTGCGACTGATATTCTCGATGCGCTTGATCTCTCGGGAGGCGATGAGGTATTGCCGGGCATAGAAGACCCAGCAGAACGCAAGAGGGATGGCGAAGATGATCAGGAGACGATTGACGAATAAGCCAGCCACCACAATACTCACGCAGACCATGCCCGTGTTCAACATGAGCGTCAGATCGGCACACAGTCTGGAATCGACCTGGTTGAAGTCGGCGGAGAATCGATTCAGAATCTGGCCGAGAGGAACGGTGTCCAGCCAGCGCAGCGGTGCTCGCAAGACGGCCTGCAGGCATTCTTGGAAGAGAGATTCGGATGCTTGGAGGGTGGCCAGGAAGACGAAACAGACCTGCAAGGAGCCCATGATCCATTCACAGGCGGCGATGGCGATGTAGACCCCAAGGTAGAACTTCAGGCTGGGATCGATGGTGCTTTGGGAGGCCGCGGTGCCTTGGCTACTCCAGATGCGTAGCCACCAGTTCTGTTCGATTAGCAGATGCAGACCAAAGGAGTGGGAATGCTTACTCGACCGAGGGTCAGCGCGGTGTATGAAAGATAGCCCAATACCAGCAACCCCCATCGATGCCAGCTGCCACTCGCGGAGATATACTGCTGGAAGAGTTGCAGGACCGAGGTGCTTGTTCTTCCCCTTTCCTTTCGAACAAAAGCCTGTGCTTCATGCTGGCTTTCAGGTCTACTTTCTGCGCTTCGAGGTCGATCCGAATCTGGCTGTTTCTTTGCCACTGGTGAAGGTTCCTCTTCATCTACACACTGCGAATTCAACACGGCCTCCAGGACCGCATTATCCTGCAGATCAGTCGGTTTCCCAGCAAACTCCACCATGCCATTCTGCAGGTGAACAATATACCCAGCATCAGGCAGACAGATCCCGACATGATGCGTGGCCAGGATGCGAGTTCGTCCTGTAGCCAGAGGCCCGGTCAGGGCATGCTTATACAGATGCTGCGCGGTATGCACATCGACCGCGCTGAAGATATCATCCAGAATGAGAATCCCGGCCCGAGAATACAGCGCTCGGGCAAGGGAGATTCGAGCTTTCTGCCCACCGCTCAGGTTGACTCCGTTGGGTCCGATCTCGGTGCGTTCTCCGTCTGGAAAGATTTCCAAATCGGCGAGGAGAGCGCAGGCGTGCAGAACTTGCTTGTAGCGCTCTGCGTGGACGGGGAGCCCGAACAGGATATTCTCTTTCACGGTTGCGGCTTCAATCCACGGTAGTTGGGCGACATAGCCAACGGCCGAGTCGACAATCCACCGCTCGCTTGTGGTGGATGCACCCCAGACGTCGTCGTGATGGGGCTGAACGGGAGCCTTGACTTCTCCGTGCAGAATGTCGCATTCCCCAAGAGTGGCAGCAAGTAGCAGGCTCTTCCCTGAACCTGTCCGGCCGGAAATGATGCTCAGCTCGCCGCGGGGAAAGTCTAGATTCAGCTCTCGCAGAGTCCAAGGAAGGTGATCTTTGGTGGCAGTTCCAAACCACGCAACTGCGGCATTGTAGAAGCCAATGTCGGTCGATGGAGTGAGGTTGGGCTGTTTTTCAGGCGCCATGAAGAACTCGTCCAGACGACGCATACTTCCCAGAGCGTCCAGCATATTGGACAGTAACTCCGGTATCATGCCCAGGGATATTTGAATGGTAGCCAGCACGGAAATGGCGGTAAAAGCAACGGATGATGTCAAGCCATTGTGGCGGATGGCATAGATCCCCAGCGAGCCAATGGCCAGCAGGATCGGGCCCAGCAGGTATAGCGACATGGTGGTTGCGTTCCACGCAAACACCCGGCGTTGCGCCGCCAGTTCGTCCCTGCGCAGCTCGTGGATCTTCCTCTCCCACTTGCTTTCCAGGGCGGCGAATTTGACTTGCCGAATGCCCTGCAGCACCTCGGAGAGGATGGCCATCTTGCCATCTCGGGCTCCCATCAGGTCTCCGCCGGCGGCGGCATATTTCCTCCCACACAAGACGATCAACGGCGTCAGAATGACCAGATTGGCAATGCCCGTCAGCAGACTCTGCCACCCGAGGAGATTATTCAACAGCACACAGGCCACGACCAGCTTCAACGGCGCCAGCAGCAGGTTAAAGCAGAAGGTGGCAAACGTGGCAACGCGCTGGCCATCCACGGCGACCAAGTTGATGGCATTCTGCGTGTCTGCGTCTTTCTCTCCATCTGCGGTGGTCTTTGGGCTGCTGGAGCCAGTTAACCGCATCGCTTTGTTGAAGACGATGATGGAGATCTGCTCGTACACGCGCACCGAGATCTTGTTCCACGCCACCCAACACAGCCAATTCTCCATAAAGGCCGAGAGCATCATGGAAACCCCGAGCGCGACCACGATCACCAGCATTTCTGCGATTTGCAACCCATGCTCGCTTCGTTCGAGGAAACGCAGGATCGCCAGCAGCGACAGGTTGGGCGAAAAGGCCACCACAGCCTGGATGAGACACAGCACGAACTCCAACAGGAGGTAGTGTCGATGTGCGCGCAGCAGAACCTTCCACATCGGGGCCTGAATGGCGGCTGTGGGAGCTGCATTCCGTTGGACGTTCTCCTTGGCCTGGGAAAACGATCTCTGCAGATTTTCTGCTCGGCTGGCATGGTCCAGCTCGGGCAGTTGATCCACGTCGACGTCTTTTCCTCTGCCTACAAGGATCATCACTGTCGCTGCCCAGCTGAAGGTGATGCGTCCGAGGAAAGAGGTCGAGTTTTCCCGATCGACCACGGTGCCATTCCGACAGACATCCGGACGGCGGGGGAGAAGCAGACCCAAGAGGGAGGTGAGAATCAAGCAACCGCATTCTACAGCCATCAAAATGTCATGTACAGAGCTGGTCGGTGTCTGTCGTTGGAAGAAGAATGTGCTGATTGCAATCCAACCATTGGCACTGATCTGTAATCCAAGCGAGAAACGAGCAATCGCGTGCGGTTCCAGCAGCAGAGCAACGCTCTGGACCACCAAGAGAATCTAACGCCATCAGCAATGTTCCTAAACTTGGTATAATATGCATCCTACCAAAATCCCAAGATGAATCCATCCATCCTGTGTCGGGGCGACAATCGCCCGTGCGAGAGCAACACCACCCGTCCCAACGAGGATGACAGCAATGGCAATCCGATGCCTCCACCGAGTGACAGCCTGGACCGCATCTGCTGCCGCTTCACCATCTCGATCCGTATAGAAATTGGTCGCAAATTGATCTTTTGCGTGAGAGAGCCGACCGAGACAGCGGACAAGACTCGATATGGCTGGCAGAGCGAGTAGAAAGGCCAGCACCAATGCAGAGACGTTGACCATCAGCAAGGAATGGGGTGAATCCAGCATAGTGCGAGTGTCTTCATCTGACATTGAATTGTCAAAATCAAGGATTCAGATGGTGATTTCTGAGCTGAACTTCAATCGATCGCTTCGTCTGAGCAGGTGGGTCTGAGATCTGGTAATATATATATTACAGTGTATTACAATGTACTATAGTGTAATATACACAGCTGATCTGTAGAATTTGTCCAGTGGATTGGTGGAGTTCAAATACGAAGATTAAATTATAACTAACTAGATTTGGTCAATGTGCGAATATCCTCGGCTGAGAAAAGCAACGATATTCATGGATGCGGCCCGCTGTATTCGACAGATTCTCTCTTCTGTAAACACTCTTCATCTTCCATCTTCAAACAGTGTCATAGAGCCATCAGACAACATGCAACCACCATCCAATCGCCTTCAATCAACCTATCTTTCTCCCGATGGAGAGGACTATTTCCCAGTCCCCCCAGAAGGGCTGGACGTGGATCTCCACAATGCCAACTGTGACCGGTATCAAGGCCCGCTGGAGAACCGCTGTGGTCCATGGCCACACGGCTCCGTCAAGTCTCTCTGTCCACACCAACTCTTGATGGCCAAGGAGCATCACGACCAAGGGGCCAAGTTACATGAGGCTTTGGCTCTGGCCATTGAGGATATCATCGAGCGGTGGTGGACGGATGAGGAAGCACGACTGCCCCAGCGGATGCCGTTGGAGCCCCAGGAAGAGGACCTTTTGCGGGTGAGTTGTCTATCTACATACATCCATAGTACCTGCTGACCAAATACCAGTGGATGGATCAAAATCCATCGTTGATCCCCCCGTATCGAGAATGCCAAGGGTCCTGGAGACCAGACTTTCTCTTGGAAAACGGGGAGGAGGCTGATGCAATGGAGAGCTTTCGCATCTGCGAAATCAACGGCCGATTCTGCTGGAATGGCTATGTGCAGACTGCCTTGGCCCAAGAGGGGGTGGAAGTGTTCAATCTCGACAAAAAGAGGCTACAACACGGCGCAGAGCCGGAAGCGGTATGTGATGCGATTGCTCTGTGCTCTATTCCGCATTGCTAATATTCCTTAGATCCTCGGTGGACTGTTGGGGCTTTTCAACCATAATCTCCCGCTGCATCTCCTTAAAGGCGAGGAACGTGGAATGGATATCCACATGTTTGTGAGCTTCATGGAGGAGCGTCTGGGTGTCCGGCCCCGGCTGATCACCCCCCCCGAGCTGCGCTTGATCCCGGACAGCGAGAGCAAGACCGGCTATAAATTGTGCTGTCTTGCTGGTCCGCAAACTCCGGCTGATCGGATATTCACCCTTGATTCTGGCGAGGCCGTCGAGGAGATCCACCAGGTTGGCCTGGAGTTGCACCAGCGGGAATTCCGGGTCCTCTCGCCCGAGATGATGAAGGAGCTCAGCGTGCGCGGCTTCAACGACATGCGGACCATCCTGCTCACTCATGATAAGAGAATGTTGGGAATCGTCCTGCAGGAGCTGGGTGCGTTGGTCGCCCGAAAGGTCATCTCCCCCGAAGGCGCAGCGAGACTGGAAAACGGCATCACGCCTACCATCCTTCCCGGGTCTGTAGAGCTCGACAGCCTCATCGGCCGCTCCACCGCATCACCGCAGCTCAAGGACGGTTACATTCTGAAGCCGGTTCGGAGCGGCAAAGGCGCAGGCATCCTCTTTGGCGACCAGCTCAGCCACGCCGATTGGCAGGCCAAGCTGGAGGAGCTGACGTGCCCGCAGCTCCAGCCCGGCAGGACGGTCTACGTCGTGCAGCGCAAGATCGATCAGCTATACTATGACATTATTATTGGAAGGACCGGAACGCCAACAGCCTGTCATATTGTCGGGACGTACCATGCGGTCAATGGCGAATTCCTGGGGCTGGGAGGCTGGCGATGCAGTCCAGGAAGACTATGTGCAGTGGCTGACGGAGCGACCTGGACCTGTTCCGTGCGATCAGCCGAATAATGGCTTTTTGCTAGTATAGATACACTAATACATCCATTGCTTACATAGTAAAATTACAAAGTACATCCTAGTGCAATACTAGTTCGCAGCTGAAGATGACAGACCCACAGTTCGGCTGAAGAACTGAACAAGACCCACAGCAGATTCAACTCATCTGCTGTGCTCGAGGAGTCAAATGGGAAACTCTCCGTCTCTTGATAGTTGATAGATTCTTGAATTGACGGACATGAAAGAGCAGCCCCCACCTTCGAGCTATCCCCCTCGGGGTAGCAAACTTAACCTATTCTTCTCTTTCTGCTCGATCCTTCTCTGCCTATCGTTCTATCAACATCTCCCCCGCTTCATCCCACTTTGCCAACGCCAGCATCAATCAGCACCCTTCAACCTCGAACAACTGCTGCTCTCTGTCCCTAGCCCAGCCAAAGCCCGTCAATGGAGCTCCTACTACTCCTCTGAGCCCCATTTCGCCGGCCAGTGCCTCCCCAACGGCCTCTGGACGCAGGCAAAATGGGAGGAGTTTGGCGTCGACACAACCTCTCTCCACTCCTATCCTCTTCCATCCCCCATTCCGATGCCCGTGTCTTCTCGGCTGGCTCTTCTCAACCAGGCCAACGGACAGGTGCTGTATGAGGCTGCATTGACTGAAAATGTCACCGATGTCAACCCTCTCACGGGCGAGAGAGTGGCATTTCCCCCATTCGTCTCCTTTTCTCCGAGTTACAACGCCACTGCCTCCGTGGTCTACGCCAATCACGGCACGCTCGAGGATTTCGAGGATCTGGCCCGGGCCAACGTCAGTGTTGCGGGGAAGCTCGCTATTGTCAAATTCAACATGCTGGCGGAAAGCCTCTACGACATCTCTCAGCAGACGGGGGTTGCGGGGTGGGTTCTCTATATGGACCCCCAGTTTGATGGGGAAATCACCGAGCAGAATGGCTATCTGCCTTATCCCCAGGGTCCGGCTCGGGCTCCAACCAGTGTTTCTCAGCGAAGTAGGGTGCAATCCCGTAAGATTCTATTTTGTCTTTTTCTTTTTCTTATGCTTGTGTTATTTGTCTTGCTAACTTTGGCCAGGCAAGGGTAATCCGCCGGTTCCTTTCATGATCATTTCGTTTGCGGATGCAGTTCCGATCTTGAAAGCCCTGAACGGGATTGGGCCGAGAGCGGATGACTTGGGCGTGAGATGGCAGGGCGGGCAGCTGGGACACCGTGGCGTGGAATATAATATCGGTCCTTCGTCCGCCGGTGTGGTATTGAATATGCAAAACGAAATAAAAGACACCCAAGCGACTCTGTATACCGTGATTGGGGAGATCCAAGGAGTAATCACAGACGAGGTCGTGATCATCGGCAACCACCGTGATGCGTGGGCATCAGGCGCCGGTGATCCCGGCAGCGGCTCTGCCTGCTTGAATGAGGTTATCCGCAGCTTTGGCCAGGCCGTCCAGCACGGCTGGCAACCTCTCCGGACTCTTGTTTTCATCAGCTGGGATGGCAATGAGCCCGGCTTGCTGGGATCCACAAACTGGGTGAAGGAAAATCTCCCCTGGTTATTTAACCAGACAGTCGCCTACATAGAAACCGTTATGGCCGTCTCCGGCCATGACCTCGATATTAGATTCAGTCCATTACTGGCTCCGCTTGTGCGTGATGTGACGGGCCAGATTCAATCTCCCAACCAGAGTATCCCCGGCCAGACGGTGCTGGATGTCTGGGGCGGCGTGTTGCAGCGAGAAGGTGGCGGGGATGCCAATCCATTTGTACAAAAGACCATCACGTCCGGCCAGTTTGGCTTTAAACGAGGGCCTCAGGACGCTGTCTGGCACAAGCATTCCGGCTTCGACACGGTCCAGTGGATGGATAGATTTGGGGATCCGACCTGGCAATACCACGTTACCGCTACCCAGATCTGGGCGCTGCTCGCGGCTCGACTGGCCGATAGCCCGGTCTATCCATTCAGCGTCACTGAATATGCAGTCTCGTTGCACCGGTACGTCGCTAATATCCAAAAGCTGGCGGATGAGAAGAGTTTCCACTTTGATTTCCATCCGCTGCACCAGGCTCTCGCACGCCTTCATACCATTGCGCTGCAGTTCGACGCAGAGGCAGACATTCTCAGGAAAGACCACGCTTGTAAATCGCGATCGAACGACCTCGCCACCAAAACACAAGCCATCAATACCAAATACCGCCTGTTTGAACGCCAATTCTACTTGGAGGATGACGTGGGCGATCCAGACCACAATCATGTCGTTTTCAACCTCATCTCACGGGGCAAGGAATTTCAGGCCGAGCTGCCAGACCTATGGAACGCGGTTGAAGAGAGGAATGTGACTGAGACAGAGGTAGGTCTCTATCCGAATATATGGATAATACTAACAGTGGCAGAAATGGCACAACATTGTCAGGTCGAAAGTGGAGGATGCCACCGCTTATCTGCAATCATAATGCGATCATTAGACTAATGAACGATGAGTTTGACCGGTGTGGCCGTAAGAACCGTTATATCAACTACATTAAACAGATCGCTTTATATTTGTCAACGGCTCAATCGTCCTCTGAAGCGTTTGCTTCAGAAACGGAACCAAATCCGTCCCACCTGTGCCTAAAAATAACCTCTTTTCCTTTTCCTGTCTCCAACGCCCCGCCGTTTGCTGCACCGGCCTCTGAAAATTCCCCTTTCGAGACTGCGAGATGATATACTTGGCGACGATCTGCAGATGCCTCCCTCGTAATGCCCCCAACATCTCCAGACAGCCCGCATATGCCACGTACACATCCGGATGGGAGTGCTGCCTCGCCTGCGCAAAATCCCTGATATTCGCGACCCTGGCCACGTCTTGGAGGAATAATCGATGCGGGCCGGGCATATACTCTCTCATTTCGCGGATGAAGGCGCCCTCGCCACCGGTATGTTCGATTCCAAGGACAATATCGAAGAACTGAATCAGCGAGCTCTGCGCATTGCTTCCCCCGCGGTACGACCGCAGCTCCGTGTCCCGTCGTCCATCGTTAAACGTAAACGTAATCCCATCTGGACGACCAAACTGCTCCATACTCTTGGTACCAGCCAGGAAAGGACGGAGTTGGTGGTAGAAGACGGCGGGATCGCAGCGCTCGTACATTCTGTCAAGCAGGGTGCCGATTTCTGCTACTTTCTCACGGACGAAGAGCAGGGATTCCAGCACGGTGTGGTCGTCGCCGGACCGGACGGCCTCGATGGCGCGTAACATTACTGGGATGACGGGTGCGCCGTGAGCTTCGATTGCGACGGAGACGAGGTAGAACCATTCTTCATCGGGGGTTCCGGTGAAGGAGGTGATGGACATGAGGGCGTCGAGGTGGTGCGTGGGCTCATCGCGGCTGGGGGTGTAGTTCCATAGACAGACGGCGGCGAAAGTGGCGATGGGCGGGAGCTGCAGATACTCGCAGACGTCGAATAGGGGGATGGAGATGCAGGGGGGGATATTCTATGGCCAGTCAGAAAAGACCCCAGTACAAGTTATCCTGCTTCGACGTACTGTCCGCGGCTCTCCTCCCCACATATACCCATGTAACAGAAAAGCAAGACACACATACGCTCGTCTCCATTCACGGACACCCCTCAGCCGAGACGTACTCAGAACCGGTAACCGGTCAATCTGATCCTGAAGGCCATGATGCAGCAGTGGGATGTCGGCCACCAGATCTTCCCAGGGCGCATAGTAGTCATCCGGGAGTCGTTCCAGCGGGGTCTCGGTGGGCAGAAATCCCCATTCCGGGGAGAGGCCGTAGTCGGCTGGATTGGGGATGGGAAACGGATGCATGGGATCGTGTCAAACCGCCTGCGGTTGAAATGTCTGAGAAAGAGGGAATGGACGAGAAATTCGAGGTCGAACCATTGGTTGTATACTTATTTATTCCACCGGGCTCGGACGCTCTACCGTGTTGGTCTGGACGATCGGTCGTGCTTTTGGGAGATCTTGGTTGAGAGCTATGGTGGAGCTGCCGAGGAGTTCAATGATGGCGTGAGTGTAATGCTGACCTTTCGTTTCGATTGCTCATTCTTTCCTGACTCTGGCCGTGTTGTGATGGATCTGCATGGCTGGATCTAGTGCCAAGAGCTGAAGGGAGCTTCGCGACCAATCAAATCAACATATACTGCAGTTCCTGGTTTTGTTGTTACAATACTAGCTGTAAATACAAGCTGTAAATACGGTTATGCAGCCAAGTGGACCGACAAGGTTCGTTCATCGCTGAACTTGGTCGAAGACAACAAAATGACACGGCCGAATGAATCAAAACCGGATATGTTTACGTACAATGAGCGAGTCCTAACATTCGGGCTGAATTTCTGCATCGCTCGAGGTTTCAGCTCTTATTAGAAGCTGCATCATGGTTACTTGGTATATCTTGCTATGTTCCCAACGTAGAATACATCATGCAGCGATGCTTCCGTCGACTTCATATGGTCAGCAGGCTGGCTAAACAGCCCAGTATATCGATGCATGCCCACAGTTCCATACCGTGCCGTTCCAGGCCCGACGCACGCCTCTCAAAGAACAGACATCAACGCCGTCAATCACATTCTCGAAAATGAAGGAATTCTGCATGTGCAGCTCAGCTTCTTAGATGACAAGAGCGCTAATGGACGGTGGTTACAGACTCACAATGAAGTGAAAGATCCCAATATGCATCTGCGACGGGTTGGAATGTATGGGAATTGACTAATTCTCCACAGCTGCGTCTGTGATCATGTAGTCCATGTGTACAAAGCGCTATAGAATAATGTTGTCGATGATTGGGCACTTTCCAGATGAACACTCTGATTCAGGGATCTGAATGGCAGGAGTTGTTGCTGAAGGTCTTGTCGACTTATATGTGATCGTGATTCAGCTGTGGTATATTCAAATTGGGCCTCAAGATAATTTCTTGTTTATTAAGATACCTAATGCAATAATTAGAGCCATTTAGAGTATATATAGAGTAAATGGCATAGATCCCTTGAAAAGAAGTGAATCCTGGTTTGCAGTTCTGTGTTTATATGCTCGGTTGATCTACCTCAGTGTCACTTTAACGGCCACACTTTTAAAATCCACTTTGAAAAGAAAACCCAAGACTGTTCTAGGAACTATCTACACGTCTACCCAATATCGACAGCAAGTCCGGATACCAGGCACGATCCGACCACTGGTTGATCTGCTTGTCCCTGGTAGTCCAGCCACCGAGTGCCGAGGCCTTCCATTCCGGCTGTACAAGTACTTCTATGCACTCCTCTCTCTCGGCGCGGATGGCACAATCCAAGGCCGTTCTATCCAAAAGACCGGCCTCACTTGCTAGCCGGCAGCTTTTATCGCTTTCTAGCAATAGTCGGACCATCTCCCTTGCTAGCTCGACGCGTGGATTGTGAACGGCAACGTGTAGAGCAGTATGCCGATGCTGATTCGTAGCGTGTAAATCGATATTTGGAGACGTCAGCAGTTGACAGACTTTGTCAGTTGAAGATCCAAGAACGGCGTGGTGCAGGACGATGTCGCGATTATGCTCGAGCAGACCGTCGGGAATCTCAGGATCGGCACCCTCGCTGAGGAGAAGTTTGACCCATGTGTATTCGGAGAAGTCAATCGCATAAAGCAGTGGCGTTCTCCCCTCGTCGCTAACGGAATTCAACAAGGCGCGATTATGACGCAGAATAGCGGGAAGAATCTCTGCTGGGCAGTGCGTCACGGCCATATGAAGCTCTGTGAGACCGCGACATTTGTGGCGGCCCAGCTGGAGATCCGGAAACTCAAGCAGTCTCTCCACGGTATCTCGATCGCGTCTAGATGACGTTCTAGGGTGCATGGCGACCATAAACGGAGTACGGCCTTCTTGGTCAGCGTGATTCAAACCGGATCGGCCGCCATTTCTGAGAAGATAAAGGATGGTTCTGGAATCGGAAAGGCAGGCCGCAAAGTGCAAGGGTAGGAAGCCTTCTGTTGTTGGGGTCAAAATCACTTTGGGTTGTTGAGATAGCACCTCGGCTCTCTCCAACATCATGTCTAAAGCCAAGTCGCTGTCAAATGGCCCTCTCTCCACGGCCCACATCAATGGACTCCTCCTCGAATTGTCAAGAGCACACATGTCTGCCCCCTCCGCGATGAGACGCTTGATGAAGCTGATATTCCACGGGGTTCTGCACAGGAAATGGAGAAGCGTCACACCATCACGATCCGCAGTGTGAAACAAGTGTTGCTGGCCGGTGTTTACGCACCAAGCAAGCAGGATGGAAAAGGTGTTTTCTTGATAGCTCTGAGCAGACAAAGACAGCACCGTTTGGCCTTCGTTGTTAAGTGTCTCCACATCTGCGCCATACTGCAGCAGAACCTCGACCACTGCCGCATGACCACTCATCGCCGCAGCTGCCAGTGGAGTCAAGCCATGCGCATCTTTGGATTCGATGTTGGCGCCCTTCTCTAGGAGCAGCTGCACTGCTTTCTCATGGCCCATTATACTCGCCCACGCAAGTGGTGTTTGGCCATACTCTGGCTCCGTCAGCTCTATTCGGGCCCCCTTCTCCAGAAGCAGGGAAATCATCCTCTCATTCCCGTCTGTAGCTGCGCGCAATAACGGTGTCTCGCCCTTTTCATCGTGGAGATTCACATCTGCGCCTTTGCTAAGCAGCAGCTTCACTATCGGTTCATGGCTTCTCCAGACTGCCCATGTGAGTGGTGTCCCTCCATATCCAATCCCCCCCGCCAGTGCTTGGACTACCCACGAGCATTCGAAATCAGGGATGATCCCAAGGCCATAGTCCTTTAGTACCTTGATGGTATCCCACCGATATTCAACCCCCGGAAAGGCTTCATCTTCCCTCAAGGACGAGATTTCATTGGCCAGTACCTTGACTGCGTCTCCTATGCTCGGGTCCCAAAGATTGGTGTCCCAAAACACCTTGGTATCGATTTCTTTCTTTTGACTATTAGCACATGCCTATTACTTGACAGGCAAGCTGACTTACAATGAATGGCTCAAAAACCTGGTTCCGATTTTTTGCAATACTCACTATGGCACACAGATGCGAGCACGTTTGGCCAAGCCGCAACGTATCGTCAAAGTCGAAGAAGGAACAAATCAGCAACACTAACTCTGCTGGGAGATTTTGCAGGCTGGCCATTATATTCTGGGTTAGTTTGCTTTTTTCTGGAAAATATCAGCAACGGATTTGCATTGTGTATTGATGAGAGTTGGGTTTCTGCTGTGGATCATTCCCCGTTTATATGCCCGATCGACGCTCAGCCTCAGATGTATCCAAATTGCATCAGCCAAAGGCGGCCACATGTCTGCAGACAACATGATTCGGCCTTCAGTCATGGGCACCCCACATCTCTTATGGCTGCTTTGAAGTATAAAAAGTATACTATTTTTTCTCACGGATAGCATCAAAAATAAGTAATAAACACTGAAAATACGTGGCTATACAAGGCGTTCATAGAGGATTTTAGACAAATTTAAAAGGTCAACTAGGTAAGAAGCCTATAGGTACTATGATACAGATTACAGTAACACGATTGATTATATCTTAGACATTTTTTTAGCCTTTCTTTAAGAACCAGCCTATTAGTATTCTTTATATCTTTGCTTGTCCACTATTCAATACCTACCTTTGCATTGATATTTCTTACCTAGTAGGCAGCTTATCTATTCAGAGTTTCTGACAATTTACAACTATTACAGGTGTGGGAATTTTAAACAGTACCATAGAGAGCCTCTTGATGAGATAAGAATATAGTTAAGCATAGTAAATTTGTCTTCGGAGAGGATGAATGATCGCGGAGTACATATTATCTGTCTTACGTTGGTTAGTGCGGAAGGATGCATAATTGGCACGGTTACTACCAACATTGGAGCGAGGTTCTTCGCCATGTTCCTGTTTGTTCCATCCCTTCCTCCATCTATAATTCTCTATTAACAAAATAGAATGCCCATGGGCACCGATCAGAGTACCAAATAACCCTCGTCTGGTTCGCAAATTCCTTCCCTAGACTGCTGGTGCAACGATCCGCGGCTATCAACGGCTAATATGACCGGAAACACGGCCTTGATATATAGGAGTTAGTTACATGTGGCCGTATTCGTGGGGGCTGCAGTATATTCCTTGTGGGAGTGCGATGGCTGTTGTCACGGCGCTGGTGGCGGTTTTGGCGCCGATTATTAGGAGTGTGCATGTGAGGATGAACCAGAGGCTTGAGAGGAAGGATGGAGAGGGTGGATATATTTTGTAGATAGATGGTATGCGGCTACGGAGTATTGTGGGTATTTGTGAGTGGTATTTCTATGTGATGCTGCCATTGATAGGATCAATATACGTAACTTATACAGTATAGAAGCCCCAAATCCAGTTGACCCGATAAAGAAACAATTTGCTTCCTCTCCTTTCATTCTCCCTGTCTTACATTCCATCATTTTCTGTGATAAAACACCCCTCAAAGCTGCCACCACTATATGCCTCAAATATCTACACGATGAATCTTTCAACAAATAGGCAGTTTTAGATTGATCTTATTGATATCAGAAACTTTTAACTATACTTCAAATTCAGACGGGCTTGATGCAGCCTGAAGTAACCTACCTTCCAGTATCTTCCACTGATTTCCTTATGAGTTCGGCCACCTCTAACGATGGCCGTGTGACGCGTGCTGACCAGGCGTCGCGCGTATCCCTGTCGTTCGCAGAACACAAGGCTGTGGGCGCGGGGTAGATGATCAAGCCATTCGTTTTCATTCATTTCATCAACCTTTCTTCTTTTTTCATCTCTAGACGTGGAGTGTAAAACTTATCATCGGCCTTATATCCGTGGTAAGCAAGCGATAGGGGAGATTTAGCAAGAGCGATGAAGTTGAGTATGTTATCGAGAGCGTCAGGTAAGTCATTTTGGCATAGTATCTGTCGCTCTGTTAAACCTCTCTAGGGCCAGTGGAAGTTGGATTTCGTTGTGAGGGTTCCGGTTATGAGGTAAGCTCCATAGATCTCATTTCAAACACGTTGAAGGTGGCCCATTCTGATAGTCCGTTTTCTTTCGTCTTTAGGACTCTAGCCATTACCAGGTAGCTGCCCAGTTGAACAATAACGAGTCCGTTATCGATGAGATCGTCCATGCAATGAACAAGTTGAATATTAATCATGATGAAATGTCGGAGGTTGATGATTTCATGGATGTGGATGTTACGGATGAAGAGCCCCAATCTGACCATGATGGAGATATCGGTATAGATTCTGTTCGAGATGCCAAAGAGAACGGCCAAGGACCGGAGAAGAAGGCTATTTTTCATGTCCATACCAAGAACACGGCAGACGGTATTGAATTTAATTTCAGCATCCTACCTAGCAAAGGATTCCAGGAATTACCTGAAGGTTTTACCGTATTCCTCCTAAATGGATTCATGGCTTCTCGAGGATGAGAAATGTGTAGGGATTAGACTTCCTATTTCACTTATGGGTTGCAATTATGGAAGAAGGGATCGAGAAGGATCAATGGGATCTTTGGAAGAGCTGAGGAGCGTTGCTCCGTCTTTTATGAATACCTTTTCTTTTCTTTTCTTTTCTTTTCTTTGTTTTTTTTCGTCTGGTGTTTCTGTTGTTGTCTCTTATGCTGTGTTTCACTTTTCTATTCATTTACAGGTGACTCAACCTGTGGGGAAATCTGGGGAGAAAAACATTGAAGGATGGTAAGGGGGTCAGAAAAAAAGTCCCTAGTTTTTATTTGGATTGTTTTAGTCTCTTATGTGATATCTTTCGGGTTGTTGTTACTTTCATTTGCAATTCATTTGGTTCGTCTGGTGACTTTAAAGTAAAATTAATCATCACTTCAACTAATTACTGTCCTTGGAAAGCCAATGCACACAAGATAGTCTATTTTGAGCTATCTCACCTTACATCATGTTGAATCGATTTAGAAAAGAATCACCGCAAGATGACTTCACCTTTCCAGAATATTTAAACTTGATAGAATACCTATTTACAGAGCAATCAACTGATAGAAATAATCCATAAATAACAAAAAATAAAAAGGTTTCTCGGTACAGACACTTCATCTATATCAGGGCACTGAACCCAGGTAGCTTCCTGGTCAGGTACAGGCTGAAATTCATGCCAAACTAGAAAGACTCCCATTCTCATATTCTTGAATCTTGCCAGAGTTATTGGGTGAATACAACTTGTGATATATGATATCACCAGAGCGCGTAAATCCTCAAACAACCAGATAAATATGGAAATACAATAGAGCAACCTTGCTATCGTTCCCCATCCTCCAAACCGTTGATGATCAGATGGACCCGATCAAGAGTAGACTGCGCTCTCTCAGCCTTATTAAACAACGCGTCCCTGATTTCCGGAAACTGTGCGCCTTCAGGAACATTGCCCTCGTCCGCGTGAAAGGCACGAAAATCACTGGTGATATTTCCCACTTCCTCATTCATCATTTGTTTACGGGTTTCGTGCATTTCATGGACGAAAGGCAGGCGGTCGGCTTCGAGGTCTGTAATCACCTGTGTGAAAATATCGGAGGTGGTGACGTGAACATGCATATGTCTCTTTCGTCTGACATCAGATCCACTACCTAGTAAGAGGTGAGTTATTGAAAAGCCAGGAAGTATATAGAATGGCTTGTTCTTGTACATACCGGATTCACCGTTGCATCGCCCGTATACAGGCCGCATTTGGCGCGCTATATACGAACTATCGTGGCCGTAGAGGGCATCCCGGATCATTTTGCTGGCATGTACTTAGTATAGAATAATCCGGGTGTACCTTATGGTGAATACCTCAGTCCTTCCAGCAGGCTTTCCAAAGACCGCTGAATATTAACCATGATTGTAGCCTCCCAGGCGCCCATATTGTCGATCAGGTTTCCAAGTGCTATCGGGGCAAGTGCAAGCTGGTCTAGAAAAGTCAGTCACACCGTTTCTATACGCTTGGTGAGATTGTTGTGGATACCGTTCAATCGCTCAACAGCCTCTCGGAATGTTCTTCTCACAATACCGCGCAGGGAATGGGCCTGCACGCGAACCCAGGCCTTTGTGGACTCCCACTCTTGCTCAATGTCATTCCTCATGGCTTCTAATAATTCATCATTCCAACAGCGATACCCAGCAGCCTGTGTTGAATGGGTACCGTAACGTCGACAGAAGGCAGCATAGGTGGTATGGTGCAACTGCATCCAATCAATCCCCCTATCTTATACGCGAATGGAAAAGGAATCTTACCCCCGCCCAGTCTTGGCTTGCTTCTACTGCACTGTTCTTCCATCTAATACGCCGTTCCTCTGTCACAGTGGATAGTTTAATCATCATGGTTCAGTCCCAGTCCATGTCATATTCACTCACGGGTTGTATGGGAAATGTTATCGTTGAACTGCTCTTCAAATCGTTGCCGGAAAGTTCGAAACTCCGAGCCGGGTAGAAGAAACCGCTGGCTCATGTTAGTGGGCCAGTTTTCTTTGATGAATGCTATAGTCTATACTTCTCGAAACATGCTCTCGATCTCTTGAAGCGATTGCTGAAGAGCCCTCGCTCTCTCCGCATCAACCTGGTCTGAGCCAGCAAGAGCCCATTGTCTTATCGATCCCACAAGAGCTGGGACGCGATGCTGGAGGAAAGTCGCCGTGAACCGGAACTGAGCTTCGGCGGGAACAAGCTGGCAATATCTACGGAGCTGGCGGATGCCACTGAGCTCGATGTAAGTATCTGCGTCTCTCAAGCCGCTCTCCCGGTGTTTCGAATACAGTTTATTGCTGACGCAAAACACTCGGACACCCTTATGATCTCGTGTTAGTTTGTCTGTCACCTTCCGGTTTCGGGATTCGATCAAGAATCGGTCAAGTCTAAGATGTATTAGCATAAACATGCTCTGATTGTTAACGCGGCACATAGGATAGGGTTAGGACCGACTCGAGCTCTGCATTTGCCACATTTTCCCTGGATATATCTATCTTAGCAATCCTAGTTTAGATTCAGTATCCTCCGAGAGAAACTCACGATAGTTGCAGGAGTTCATTCCCACCGACTGTCCCTCTTCGCAGTCTCCCAAGCCTTTTATTAAGACTTTTGACCCTGTTCTGCAGGGTTTCAATCTGGGCCGCAAGATCTCTATGTGTGCGTATCATTTCGTTGGGTTCTACCTCCTGGACCCGGTTAATAAGTTTCATATAAACATGCTCGCAGCTGACGCACTTCAGAACGTGTACAGACTATCCGAAAAGGTTGATCTTTATGACATCGCCTTTTGGTCTCTTGGATGCTCTGGTCTGTGATGCATCTGGAGATGGTTGTCACAAGAAACACCTCGTCGCAGGAGTGCTTCAGGTATCTTTCCGTTGCCCGGACTCTGGCAAAATTCAAATCTCGGAATCCTATGCGGAAAGGTCAGGAGAGAGGGTTTGTAGAATGCAGTGAGACAAACCAGGTAGATCGGCCAGTACCAATCCCGTCCTCAGAATGGGCGATCGAAGATATACCCTGACGAACCAGTTAGAACTGATATTCTAGATACCTATAGTCGATATCAAGGGGGGCGATACTTGATCAGTTTGATAAATGGCCAGATTGCCACTTCACCTTCCTCATGGGGGTCCATTGTTAGCATATCAAGATGGGTTCGGCACTCCTCCAGACTCATAGGGCTTATGCTGTACGACAGGGCTGTCCCTCCGGGCCGACGCCTGAATGAACTAGCTGACCATTGGTGTAGCCTGTCCAGGATGTTCGGCAGAGCACCATTATTTTCGTTTGCCAGAAACTCCACCGTCAGCTCCGGCTGGTCTCGAAACATGGAGCTCAACGAGCTCCATGCTCTGGTTGATAGGTCTCGAACACGCTGCTGCTCCTCTGGGGTTGTCACTTCACGGAATGAGTCAGTGTGATACATTCTAAACGACTGGAGAAGTTCTTCGAGCAGCTCCTTGACCTCATCGGTGTTCATGTAATCAACCTCGATGGTATACCGATTTGGATGCAGCGCATCGACATTTCGAAACTCAGTGACAACAGAGGTACAGGCCGCACCATCACCGCTCTTGGATCCGAGTTACCAGAGATGAGTGTTTGATATTTCACTCAAGATAGTGATGGAGAACTTACCGATCGGGCCAGGTCAATATCAAGTAAGGAATTGATCAGTCTGCTCTTCCCAACGCCCGAGTCCCCAATAAACCCTACCGTTCGGGTTTCCGGACATTCAAGCTCATCCAGCGCGCGAACCTTCTCGTACAGACTGGCCAGATTAGAGCTGGGATCATTGGCGAGAGGGCATTGCCTCATTTCTTGGCGAAAACCGGTCAAATGTTGCTTTACCTCCCCCAGAGCTGCTTGCAGGTCGGCATTGTATATTTTTGCCCGGGGCAATCGTTCGTGCCGCACATCATACAGCGACGACTCGTCACTGTCCGATCCATCGCTATCAACATCACTCATGGCATCATTGTCTTGTGACGAGCCATCCCCAAATGCGCGAGAAGAATGCCGCGCAGCAGGCTCAGGTGTGGCATCGAACATCGCTCTATAGGTTGATGGAAATGGAGACGCAGCTGGTGACAACGCCATACTCTCAGCTGGGTTATTAGATCGCGGTGTAGCAGGGGTTCCAGGCAAAAGACGGGGACTGTTTTCCAATTCCAAAGCCTGCAAGATTCTCTCGAGGTTTGAGCCAGGGTCACCATCGTCTGCGTCGGACTCTGACGGCGTCCGCACGCCTCTTGTGGACGAGGCTGTATCGTTGTCGACCACTTCCACAGACGGAACAGGAGGGCTGAAGCTGGATTCTGGCGAGTAGGAGCTGCGAAACGTGAAGGTGAAGGGGAAGGGTTGTTCTTGTCGCATATCTACTTAGAGGTGATAACTATTCTATTGCTTCTTAGTGGAGGAGAAAAAAAGAAAGGAAGTCTAGTGACACGTGGAGGGGGTTTAAATAAAAAACCACTGTGCCATCATGCAGTGCAATGCACTCCTCTATCTATGTGGGGGCCATTATCCTATGGTGCTAACAGGCCTGCTTGGTAATGAAACATTAATCCTTGTCAGATCGTCCGTTTGACTTCCAACCAACATTAAGTCTGGCTTTGTCTAGGGCTAATAGGTCTATGTTCCCCAGACTGAACACCTTGAATCTATTGTCAACATCAAAAGGTTTGTTGTATATATAGAAACTGACTTCCAACAATTGATAGTAGAAACTTCAATTGACCATGAATATTTTCGCCCATGTGTTTGCGCTGTCTGCGAGGCTGTGGGCGCTAAAGCTGCAGGGGGGCTGCAAGTTGACTGCGCCGCTGGAAATGGACCGTTCGTACTTTGCACTTTGAGTGATCCCGGCCAATATCACCTTTACCCCTCCATATCCCAGCCATCCCGCCCTAGGCCTTGGTAGAAAGCAGAGACGGCTCTGTGGTGGATACTAAATTTGACCTTGTGTATAGGAGCAGCACCAATCCTATCTATCTCCTAACCGCCAACTCTGCTAGTTCACAGCCCCTGTGATGTTGCCATACTGGTGGAGAAGAACAGAAGATAGTCTTCTATTACAGGTTGGACACGCTCATTTTACAATGAAGGAGAGTATATATTAAGTATAGGAATGGAGTATTTAAATGAATCTCCAGGGGGGATAACATGAAATTCCTTTCTAGTCTTATTGGACCAAGAACTTTATATATATATATATAGTGAGTACCTTGTCTAACCTGGATATTTTTTACTTCCTATTACATCTCTTTATTTAAGGATTCAACCTCTCTAATATAAGCCGGTGTCTCCACTGCAATGAACTATTAACAAAATCCATTTTCTGTAACTAAACCTCATGATATCACATTTACCAAACATGTGACAACCTCGCGATAGCCACGTGCCTGGCTGACGAACCGCCATGTTTGGTTTGTTTGTTTCTTTACTAGCTGTCTCAAGTCAGCAGACGCTTTCAGTACTCACATAATAAATCCATACGTGACAAGCCTCGGATTAATGGATGTGTTTGTCAGGAATCATCCTGTGAGATATACCGGATACCACTCATTTGTTCAATTAGGGTCCTCAATTCAGTTCCATTCTGATTATATCATGTTTATATACATCGAATTGACAACAAAATTATCGTTGCCCATCAGTGGCAGGGTTTAAACACAGGGCACTGATTCATCAACGGGGCATTATAAACATTTAAAATCTCATATTTAACCAGATTAGTTAGTCTCCCCCCCAACAACAAAAAAAAAAAAAAAAAAAAATCAACGCTGTATGCTCCATTTTAATCTTGACATGTAAATTCTGTCTCTGTCATGCTTGCATCTCATATAATGGATGCAAGGCCTTCAGTCATTATCCTCCCCTTCTTCTGATCCATCCTCGGTCTCGATATTGGCAAAGGCAGAGGCGATATTGATCTGTTCTGAGGCGAGGACCCGTTGCTCTTGACTATTACCCCACCGCGCCTCATACTTCATATTATACCCGTCAATGATCATAACCAGCTGGTATTCTACTCGGTAGTGTAGTTGCCCGTGCGTACCTTCCGGCATGATGGGTTGGATGTGGCCATCTGTGCGCAGGAATGTCATGTCTACTACGATCTTGCCAGCCTCTTTAGCCCCTGGTGGTCATTTAAAGTCAGAAAGGACACTGTGTAACTAACGGGAGCAATTGCAGACTGCGAATCCCACCTTTATTATTCTTATGGCCCTTCCTGTAATGGCTCTCGCGGCGTTTGTCAGAGACGAACAGTTTCTCCTCGCAAATAAACCTTTGGTTTGGCTGGGCGGAAAAGGTGAAGATTGAAGTTATAGTATGTTCGGAAAATGGAGGGACTTGGTCACCCTACAGCCGTGCATTCGTGAATTCCGGTCAGCACAGCATTATATCCTCCATTCTGATAGAGGGCACTGACCTTCTTGACGATCCAGAATATAGTGTTTTTGACATATAGGTCCCCGTCATTGGGGTCCACCTTTAATGGTTTGCTATGTTTGTGAGCGTCGATCATTTCGGGAGCCCATGGTTCGGTGCGTTGAAAACCGTAGCTGGACTGGATGACTCTTGTAGGCCCGTCCTCTCTATTCAAAGCGCGGAGAACCCCGCCAAAGGCGACTGCAGTCTCGCTGTTGATGGTTAGTTAGCCTTGTTCAATTATTTCGAGGCATAGTCCACCCTGGGCTAAGGATAGTTGAACTCACGGCATTTCTTGACATAGGAGGTCGATTAGATGACCGGTCTCCCGAGATCGCTTGTGTAAATGCTTCTTCAGGTAACGATTGAGGGAGGGTGAGGCGGAAAACCCGCCAATCAGTAAGACTTTCTGATATGTGTATCAGCGCCGACGAGATGGAAAAAGGGATATAAGCATCGAGATACCTTGACGAGAATCCCCTGCCTATCTGCCAATTCGATTTGGCGGAGCATCAGGTCTAAAATTCCTTTCAAAAGATCACCGAAGATGTACCGAAGGTCACCACTATACATATATTAGTTCATGCTGCTATCCAGTAGGATGAGGCTTTACCGGTCCAGGTTCAAACGCCAAGGGTCGAACTTTTTCTCCTCATTCGACTGCAAGCCATGGATGAAGAAGCTGGTGCCCTGAAAGTTGGGGTTCATGATGTCGAAAGCTCGCTTGTCACTTTCAAACTGATTGACTAGGGCCCCGATGATGCCCTCGATCGTGATGCCTTTCTGTCCACCTCCTGTGTCAACGTTCAGGTACGTTTCTCCCTCCAACCGTTGGCGCAGCAGTTGTTCGAATCTTTCATTGAGAAAGCTGGATCCGCATAAAACACCTGCAGACTAGATGAGCATGACCACTACATTGGGGCATCACATACCCTCTGGTCTCACAGCCTCTCTTTCCATCCGCAAGGGCTCAGTGTCTTTTAATTTGTAGGTAACAGCATCGACTGTTCCCCCCCCGGCATCCAGAATCAGTATCGTATCGCCAACCTACTTTTGTCAGAGCGCATGGACTACGGTTGCAGATAGATATACCTGGATGTCTTGTTGTTTCGATGTCAAAACACGAGCAGCGGCAGCCTCTGGTTCCGACACAATGTAGAGGTTTTCCACGCTGTGCGAAAGGACTTTGCCAAAACCGGATCGACAGCTGGCCTCCCGGAGAGCACTTTCCATCCTGCGACATGCGCGTCGTTTCCAAGCCACGGGCACGCAAAGGACAAACTCGACCGAGTCGCCGTTCTTGAAACCGCGAAGTCGACAGAGCTCGTCCTTGGTGTGCTTGAGCAGGAGGATCAAATAGTCCACAATGAAGTCGGTTCCGCTCCGGATCGTCCCTCGTTTCTGAAGGTCCAGCACAACCTCGTGCAGCTCTTTCCGGAGGTGCCGGGTGTACTCGCTCTTGTCCAACAGCAGCTTGGAGCGAGTGACCCGCTGGAACCTCTTTCGATCGGCGTCGGGGTCTTTGAAATGCTTTTGCACCCCGTACCCCCAGTAGTCCGGGCCCTGGTACGCCGGGCCGGTTTCATTGGTATCACCCGCCATTTCATCCGTGAGGTCTGGCCCAGCATGCTCCTCGTCCTCATTGTTGGATTCGAGAACCCGCCGACTTCTCAATTTGAAGCAGGATCGGCTGCCTTGAATTGGTTTGGGTTTTAGGTTGGGTTTGAAGTAGCAACTTTCTGTCGGGACTTCCGCTCGGTGGCCCCAAACTCCGTTTTCACAGCCGGGATAGTTGGAGATACACGCGATGTCGTCCAGTTCGACCTGTGCCTTTTTCCCACCGGGCCGAAGGACGGTATACGCAACTGACGAGAAGGTGGTTCCGAAGTCGACTGCCACGATGAAATGGTTGGGTTGTCTGTCGTTGTCGAGGTCCATCGACTCTGACGACGGCGGTCTTGGGCTCGTTGGTGGTGTCTCGGATTCATCCATAATATCATCATCGAAGAAATCATTCGAGTAGGCCCTGTCCATCGAGTAGGCCCTAACGAAGTTGTGATGCATACTGGGATTGACTTTGTCGATTTTATTCCAATATTGCTTATGCTTGATCCTATCAAAACCAAAAGTACGGAGGACAGTAGACGAACAGAATATTAAACTGTTTCTCTCCCTGATCAGCCTTGCCTTCCACCTATCAAGGCAACAAGGACTTTGTCGCGAGGCTGTGCTATTCCCATCATGTCTAGCAGGGGTTGGCTGCAGTAGTGCCGGGCAACAGCGGCCCCTCCCCTGCAACGATTGGTGCTGATGTGCCCTTTTGCCAGGAGATCCAGGAACTAAGCCTTAGCATCTGTATCTACCGCCCAAATAGGCAATGACCTGCTGGCAAGTGATTTGAAGGACTTTTGCGGCGCAGCAGCCTTTCGCGGCGCAAGTTTCCCACAAGAACCCAACCAAGGCCGGATAACAACGCGTCTACTCAACACCTGTAGAGCTCACCGCAACATGGCACGAGAGAAAATCGCCCAGACAGAGAGAGCCGAATGGAAACCCCGGGAAGAAAAGGAACTCCTCGCTTGGCTAGACTACAACGTGCAGAGACACGGCTACAACTCCTTTACCGAGTCCGTCTCAGGACATCTCCGTCGAGAGTGCAATGTGCACTACTCGACGGAGCAGTGTACAAGAAAGTTATACTGGTTCTGGAAGCATTTCGGAAACGATGAAGCGAAAAAGGTGTCTGCTTTGCACCAACGGGGATCAAAGTGTCTCGGGTACCTCCCCCAGGAAACAAAGGATTTCGTTTTTGGGAGATTGATTCAGCTTGGCGACCGTGAATTCAATTCCGTGCGACGCTTGAGGAGCGCTTCTCAAATCAGCGATACGGCTGCTTCGAGCAATGTTCGCGGCCAATCGTCGAGGTTGCCAGTGCCCTCTATTGTCATTCCATGCAAGAAGACCCTCGACGTAGAGTCGGACACGAGGATTCGGAAAAGGCAACGATTTCTCCGTCAGGTAGTCGTCGACTCGCAGAGATATGCTCAGAACGTGCTAGTACTAATTGTCACAGAGATACCATTCTTCGAGGGGTGACTCCGAAGATTCCACCTCGGAAGCAATGAACGACTGTTCTTCTATTTCCGCTCAAGAGAACGCAGCCGCCAGTAATGATGAAGATGACCCTTCTGGCGCAGGCATTGAAGCGGATGCTATGATCATGGTTCCTGCGCCTTCCGGTACAGAAGATGTCAATAGTAAGGGAGGAACGGAGCCAATCCCAACTCCAACCATTGAAATGGAAAGTCTCCCCGAGCTGGAAGCATTGAAAAAGCAAGTGCAGCAGATGAGCAAGCTGCAGAGCGAAAGCGATTTGCGTATAGAATTTTTGAGTTCGCGCCTTCGACTGGCTGACGATCGCCACAGAGAAGATCAAGCACGACTTGACTGCGTCAAAAGGACGGAGATGGCCGGGGGCGGGCCTGACGACCGGCTTGAGGCCCAGGAAAAGAAAATCGCGATACTTCAAGAGAGACTCATCAAAGCCAGAGACCTTGGCCGGTTTACTCGGCTCACGTCTCCTGAAGAAATCCGGTCATGGAAACCACAGCAAATCCGCGAGACAATGGATTCAGTCGGCTACTGGATGAAGCAGCTACTGTTTGGTCATAAAAACATTCATGTTTTTGACCCTCGCAATATCAACATAGATGAAGGCCTCGCAGCGCTTGTAAGAAGGAGTCTCGGGATGGGCCCACAGACACCAGTGACAGTGAACACTGTACCTATTCCTTTATCAAAGCTAAGCCTACAGGCAATCATCCGTGCTCTTACTGCAGCTGCCATCTGTGAATGGGTCTTCGAGGAAGATCTTCATGAGTCCGTAATAACGGGATCAATCTTGCTAGATGAATACAGAGCTCATCTTAGAACAAGAGGTTGTCATCCTAACCCCATTTCCTTTCTACGAACCCAACGTTTCGGGTGGATTAGCTGACAAGAACAAGATGGACGAACCGCCCTCCGGAATCTAGATTTTGCCGCCCACCAGTCCCTTTTGAACGGAGCATTATTCCAGGACCATGTACTCCCTCGGCGGGCTGAGAGGCTCGCCTGCCGACTATCAAAAGTCCTCTGCCCATTGTTTACAGACGAGAAGGGCAAAGTGAGAGACCAAATGGTAGCATGCGGTACTCCGTCCATTGACCTCTTCGCTACATGGGGGGCGGACGAGAAGACCTGGAAGGCCACAAGAGATAAAATCATCCAAATATTCCATCGGGCATTGAACATCAAATGTCAGTTCGTAACTCGCAGTTATCGATTTGAAGCGGTTCTCCATCCCCCTCAAACACGCTTCGAGCCGGAGCAGATGAAGGCAGAGACAATACAGGGCGGCGTGTTGCAGGCTGATGGCTCTTCCATGCAGCAAAACTTGGAGGTTAGGCTCTGTTTACTACCGGCTCTCTATGCTTTACGGCATGACTCTACGCAGGTGGTGTATCGAAACTTCGTTCAGCGTGATGCTCATGAGAGGCGGGATTCAGAGCAGCTCACGAAAGCAGTTGTGGCTGTGGAACCGGCATAAAGAAATACTATATATCCGACGTTGTCTATATACCATATTACATACCAGAGGTTTTACATTTCCCACGGCGAATCCTCAGATAATCTCCCGGACAAAATTTCTATCCAACGCAGAATCCCAATCTGATCAACATCTGACAAAGGATGACCGTCGTTCCCCCTTTCAGCTCCCGTGACGTAGATATTCTGTGCGGCGCAGACCTCGGACAACCTTTGACCTAGCCGAGGAAGGTCTGTCAAGGGCACGTCATCTAGTATCATAAGACAGAAGGCAGGAGAGTCCGCGCTCCACGACAAAGGCTTTTTGATGAGCACCGCGCCCGTCCGGTCCATTTTCCGCGTTGGCACCGAGCAGCGTTTAAGTTCGGCGGGGGCGGCGAAGCCGTCTGAGACTGTCTCTTGTTTTGAAGAGGTAGGGTTTGACGTTTGCTTGTATGTTAGCTTCTTTTCGAGGTCGAAGAGGGGGCTATTTTCATTTTCATTTAGAGGCTGGAAGACCACGGAGGGGGGATTGGTCCCCGCTGGCGAGGGCGAGGGCTCTGTGGCTAGACGGAGATACGCGGCTGAAAGGGCACCGGCAAGGGAGGCACTGCCCGAGAAGCAGCGTAGGGCACGCAGGTTTTCAGTCTCGAGGGTGATGCTGGGCATGAGGCCCGGACTCAGATATGATGGCCTACCATGATGTCCGGCCATCTGCATCAGCGCCAAAACGGCAAATCGAGAAGCCGCAATACAGTGGATTTCCCGGATGATCTGCCAGTCTTCTCGGAGGTAGGTGTGGAAAAGCACCCTGGCACGAACGGGGAAGTCGCCAAGCGCCGTCGGCTTGTGAGCTCGCCCTGTCCACGCTGTCTCTAGTTGGTAGACTGCGTTCATGGTCACTGTGATACTTTGGTCGTCGTCGAGTAGCTCGAGCAAGTCCTCACAGGTCGTGGGTGGCCCTGGCTCTGACCTGCTCAGCGATTCCAGGATTTTGATAATCTGTGATGGATCTTCTGGGATCGAGAGGATGTGGAATGAGAACAGAATCAGGTTTGAGTGGCGGATCGTAGCATGTTGTTTCCACGGCACCGGATTACCTTCCGCCTGGGAGAATTGCAAGCAACGATAATCCCCCTCGCAGAGGGCTTTATCGGAGCTTCCATCAGATTCTTCATATGGGAGGCTATAGGGATTAGTGAGGATGGAACCTAAGGAAGGATCAAGAGACAAGCTATGCGTTCGTCTGGTGATGGAGTTGAGATTCCGCGCCGTGGAATCATCAGGCTGCGATGTGGAGAGCGCCATGTTAGTGAAATCGAAGCTGTCCCGGTAAGCAGATGCAGGCGTCTCATCGCGCAGGATATCATCACGGCCGCTAAGACAGCGGAGGATGTTTGGCCGGAAGATATCTCGCGCCCAGTCACATATATAATCGGCTATCAGCAGCAGTTGGAGTGTACTATCCAATGACAGCATGCAGCCATGCCATATGTCGATGATTCTCTGCAGTGTAGTTAGCAGATATCAATAGTGTTTTTTCCCCTCTTCTTTGATAAACATACGTATTTGGCCCCATCAACAATGCATGCATAGACTCGCCATTCATCGCCTTGGTTCGCCATAAACCACACCAGCGGACTTATCGGGACATTGCGCACTGTCTGCAAATCCAGTTGCAGCTTGAGCAGCGTTCTGATGGGAAATGCGCTCTGCCTTTCCACGGACTGGAACCCCGGGCTGCCTTTCTCCGACTTGGCTTCGATGATGAGGAATGGGTACGACAGGTGGCCGTCCTTGAAGGGGCTGTGTCGCAGTACCTCGGGGTCCGGTAGAAGTTGTTTGAGAACTCGGGTATGCTCTAGACCGAATATTCGATCTGGCTGTCGCTCTCTAACGCCTCGTTGCGATAAGAGTTGGTCTTCTGGGTGATGCAAGACAGTGGTCTGTAATCGATCGGAAAACAAGAGACCAGAACCTGGATCAAGGCTGTCTCGCGAGTGTCAGGTACATTTCATTGAGTAAAGAGATAGATAATTACATATCGGCTGCCATCCTTTCATCAGTACTGCAGATGCAGGGTTCTCGTATCGCGCGTCTTCTCCGCAGGTATTCGCTCGCCGTCGCCCAGTCCGTTGGCGTGGCCTGGAAATCCGCCTCCCAGAAGCGCTTGCGACAGGTGCGACTGAAATTGTAACCAGCAACTTTAGCCATTCCAATGCACCACTTACTACGTCTTGGTTAATCTCACCACACGACTTCAGCGTTGAATTGAGCGGTTACAAAACTCTCCGTGGACGACCTCCACGTCGCTTCGTTGACCATCTGCCGACGACACCGATATGCCTCATTGCGAAGCTCCCAGGCTCTTCGCTTGACCTGCGCGATGTTGGGCAAGACGGTCAATCGATCGGCGAGTCGCCCGTCCTTTCCGTAGTCGTCGTATGTTTCGCGTGCAATCTGGTGGATCTTCTCGAGATTCTCCCGGTATCTGGCCGGCCAGTCACGAGGGGGAATTGGGCCATCGAATGAGATGTTGTATTCCTCCATCAGGCGCAGCTGGTCTTCGGGTGAGAGTGTTTTCTTCTTCTCGCGGGGCGGCATTGCGAAATATGAAGCCACTGGGTGATTTCTCGTGTCTTGGTTGTGGGGTATAGAAAGGAGGGGCAAGAAATGCTAGACTGGCATGGGAGTGCTGTTTATATAGCCTGTTGTGATACACAGCCCCACATGTTTATCAGAGTGTCTGTCGGCCTGGGGGCGTGGAGATAAAGGCTGATTCAGCCTTGTTCAGCCACTAGTGATATAGACACTGGGGGGTTTGTAGACTGGGGATGAGAACTGTAATCTATCTTGCGACTGACAACTTACTTGCTCGTCTGTATCTAAGGTATACCATACTTAATATAGAAACTATAGGAAATATTATAGATCTCTTCTATTGCTATTTGGGACATTGATCGGATACTTTTGGTTTTGAACGTTGGCAAAGCTTTTTCAAAGTATTTTAATGATAGTTCCCTCGCCAGTCATTGCTACGTCGGTTAACTAAACACATATGTCTCTTGGATTTCAGGCCCTGGCATATTTAAGAATTGATTGAGCTATCAGTAATGTGAGGAGCAATCTCTCAGTAACCCAACAGTTGACGTAGCGGGCACCAGCCACTTTAGACCTTGAAGTAGCAGTAGTAAATTATACAGGTGCAGATCACCATGCTCTCTCTTCCCATCAACTTAGTCCAGCTCTGTCGCCCATTTGGAGTCTGTGAATGACATACGGATAAACCTCAGATCAATGGGTGTGTTTGCTATACGTGAGATATACCGGACACCACTTTCATTTGTCTAATTGAAGTCCTTAATTCAGTTCCATTCTGATTATATGCTTATATAAATACTTTGGATCTAAACACCTATCTATGAAATTTGCTACAATGGCTTAAGGGCCATATCATCGAGTGACTGTAGCACATCGTCTGGTGTACTTGTCTTTCTGAAGCTGTGTTTCCATGGTCAATGGAGTTGGTGGTCATTGAACTTGAGTTGGTAAGCTCTTCCAGATAGGTATGTACATTAGGAAAGTAAGTATCGACGCGACATGCGCATTGTAATTCGGTCAAGAAGCATAACTTAACATACAAATATCAAGTTATAGAAATTGTAGTATGATGTGAGCCCACGTTGCTGTAAAACAAAGAACAAGTAGATTTGCATGAAGATCGTCAGTAATACTCCTAGCACTAATGCCTTGAAGCGGTGTTTCCAACGAGGAATACAAGCATAAAATGATATCCTAATGCACGACTCAGTTAGGTGCATAAATATCCCCTGTAGGGAGTTTGTTGTAAGTATAGAGAAGTTCAACCAGATAGTTCCCCCAATAAGTACCCCAATAAGAATCAGGAAGAAAAGTATCGTGCAAATGTGTATGGATATATTTTTGACGCAGCGAGTACAGAAACTCCGTTCAGGGTGCGATGCAGCTTGACAGGCACGGTGTTGTAGCCATTTTACCTTGAACAGTTGAATTTGCCCAACCTCCGTCGTCGTTCGTCCTGCTACCAGGCCAGAACTAGTAGAGGAACTGTCGCAACAGCACATTATTCAGATCTGGGTGAGAACTTTGATTGGTAGCTTTTTCTCCATTCTGACGCAGCCTTATGAAAAGCGCGATTTTGCCAAGCATTTGTATTATATATGGATCTAGTTAATTTGGTACAAATAAAAGCACTCTATACACGAAGCAAAAACCATGTAGATAGGTGAAGGAATGCGAGAATTAGAAAGCCAGCAGCATCGATGCTCAAGTCATGCGCATTTATGTGCAACGGAAGCTCTCAGCCAGAGTGATATTGCCGCCAATGTATTCAATCTGGGAAGGATACGGGCACAGGTTACGGTGAAGACCATTTCCAAGCGATGGGTATTCCACGGGCAAGGTGTCCGGCGCGGTGCCATTTTCGACCCAGCGCTGGAGGGCCTTGATGACGGTGGTCGGCTGGCCGCCGAGGCCCCCGGCGCAGTGACCCAGACCCGGCGACTCGAAGAAGCGCCAGAAGTCTTCAATGTCGGGGAAGAGCGCCTGCGCCTTGTTGTAGAGGTATTCGGTACCCTTGGTGGGTATACTGGGATCGGCCTGTGCGCGGTGGGTTAGTCACGGTCGTCAAAGAAGAAGAACAGAGGAAAGAGACGTACCATGCCATGGTAGGTGAGGAGCTTGCCTCCAGCATTTTTGAAAGCATGCAAGTTCGCATCGTCTGCGTTCCAGGAGCTGCCATACTCTGAAGTGATGAGGTTGAAAAACTCCTGGTACTCCTCGTGGCTCATGCCGCTGGTGTTGAAGCTGACATTCCGAGCGACGAAGAGATTGAACCACTCATCCTTTACGGCGGTGGTCGATGAGCTGTTGTATCCTGGCTGAACACCAAAGGTACTGCCAATGTCAGACCCTGGGTTGTATCCATACCAGAGCTGGCGGCCATCAGTGGCGTGCGCGCCTGACCAGGCGGCATCAGCGATGAGCGCGGCGCCCTGACTGAGCGCAATCGTGCGGTTCAAGGAGTCACAGGTAAAGGTTTTGTTCACAGCAGTGTAGGGGTCGTAGTTACAGGCAGTCATGTTGGAGATGAGCCCATCCACCACACCATCCAGGGGATCACAGTGGCTGATGGCCTCGCTGGTCAGGAAGTCCAGTTCACAGACCAGCGGGTTGACATTGTGCCAGACGCGCATCAAGAGGGGATAGTAGAGCGAGGAGGTAAACTTGGTGAAGGATTGGGCCGGGGCTGAGGCGGCAATGCCGTCGTATGCAGTGGGATAGCGCTCGGCGATCATCATGCCCTGCCGGCCACCCTGCGAGCAACCGCTCCAGTACGAGTACTCGGGGCCACGGCCGTAGAAGCTGTTCACCAGGCTTTTCCCAATGATGGCTTGGTCATTGTAGGCACGGGATCCAAAGTTTTCCACCGCCACCCAATCAACATTTCCCGGGCTGGTGAGTGCCCATTCCTCGGGTCCTGTCGTGTCCTTACCCAGTCCAGCATCGGTCGTGGTCGTGGCAAAGCCCTCCCCCAATGCGCCTCCCATGAAGAACTCGGACAGCACAAACCGGCCAGCAGCCCATCCGCCCCCTCCTGTGGCCTGCAGGCGGCCGTTCCAGTTCGCCGGCTCGGGAAGCCAGGTCTCGACGGTGATGTTATCCTCGTAGCCGGGATGGGTGTACTTCACGGTGATGTTGCAGAACTTGGCATTGTCTAGGCCAACAGTGCCTCCGTTGTAGTTGAAGCTGTACGGGATGTAGTCGGTGTAATTGGTGACCCAAGTCGCCGAAAGAGAAAGAATGTCAGCTCCGTACAAGGCCGGGGTCTGAATGGCCGCCGGCGAGCAAATTGAAAAGTTCGTCATGGCCACTAAAATGAGAGCCAAAGATATGAGAAGAAAGGGAGGAATGAAGTGAGTGTTGAAAAATTCTCAGGGTTTGAGTGATCCTTTTATACCTCAATTTTCTGGCCGAGAGTACAGTACATACCATTCTTTTTTGTTAATATAGATGACGGACTATTCCCAAATTGGAAGTTCGGATTCGGGTTTGGCATTGCCCCATTTAAGGCTGAACAGGGCCCCACTTGGGGTGTTCTGGAAAACAAACTAGCACTACAGGACCCGAGGAATTAGATATGCCTTCACACCTGTGATTAGATATTTTTACGTGGGGCTCGGGGATATGTCGGTGTTGGATCCCCCTATACTGACGGTATCGTCCTGGCTTACAGAGAGGAGTACTCAAAACGAGTATTATTCAAGAAGAAAATTTGGATTGACCCATAATAAAGACTAATATAATTCTTAGTTTTGCAGTCAAATTGAGGGCATTATAACCCTACCAGAAGACATCTCACTTCTATCACTTAGTTGTGTAATGGAGTTGAAAGCAGCTCTGCTTCTTCATCTCTATCTACTTCTTCATCGCTTTCCACATCATTCATCCAGTTGTGTAGTGACTGCCAGTCTGTCTCTGCTGTCTCTGCTAGCAAACTTTCTGCTTGATATATGGTCTCAGATTCAACAGTACCCTCAACATCATCGCTAATTGGCGCAGCACTCCCTTTACTTACTTTCAGCGCTTTATCTTCTTTAAGTGCCTCTTGCTGACTCCCCTATGATTTAATAATAGGTAAGAAGGGAAAAGGGTCCATTTCTTTTATTAGTAGTAATAACACATAACCTAAGTAGGTAAAGGGTGAGTAGAAGAAAAAGATACAACAGCATATAGATAGTGGTGAGGGTGCATCAGCTAACCTAGGCGCCAGTCTTAGAATCGCTCTCTCTATATAAGGTAGGTTGCCATATCACCATCCTAATTTTCATTATCCACAGCCCACTGATTTTTTAGTATATTAATTTCAACAATGATATCAGTGCTATGCTATACATACAGAATGAAGATGTAGCCAAGTGTTGACTATGAAAGAGCGCTAGACTAAATAGATATCTGGACATCCCTAGTAGCCTATACTAGTCATTTCATCAAGTTATTAGATACCTGAGAATTATACAAGAATCTGACTGGGGAGTTACAAAATAACGCACTCCCTACAGAGCCTAAACAATAATCCAAACATGCAAACCCAAGCTGTATTTTGATGTACTATTATGCCGCTTGTAAAAATACAACCATGCAAAACTAATGACACCATCAAACATATCAACACACTTCAAAATGTCATGAAACCTAGAGTCCTGGCACTGTAAAATCATTATTCAAAGGTAACCTATAAGGGAAACCACCATTGCAACTGAGCCACCAGCCTCTGTATTGCATTTGAAATGGCACTTTTTATAACCTCAATGTCTTAACAATAAAGCATCCAGAGGCGATATAATCCAAAATATATCTTGATATAGCAGTATGCTCATTTTCTTGAGCTTTATTGGAGTACCTGATTCTGCTGTGGTATATAGTACAGCCCTTTGAATCTCCAGTAGAGTCCGACAAAAAAGTTTTCGAAAAACCTAGAAAAAAGGATATTCAGTACTGTAAGTGATAGCCAAGGTATTTATCTACTATTTGAACATAATACGTATTGGTAGTTGAGATATTAAGGTTATAAAAGTGTCATTTTGTATGCAATACACAGGCTGGCAGCTCAATTGCAATGACGGTTCACTTACTTAGAGGTCACGTTATGGTGGTCAAAGATGTTTTAGGCAGAGACTCTCAACAGCGCCCACCTGTGAGATTACTTAAGTAATGATATGCAATACTGTGGGGACTTCTGCCTAAACTGTAGTACCAATGTAGATCACTGCTGTGAAAGGTCTGATTAAATTTCAGCTATTGACTCCCCTCTAAATCTAGGACAACCTGTCGCGGCGTATGGCCAGTGACTCCACAGGCCGTTGAGAAGGTAAAGTGGTGACTTTGCTTTGTCCTAATAGCGTTCTTTTATACGAGCCAGGATCATGATACCGCAAAGCTTCTAGCTCGTTCTCAATCGCTGATGGCGGGTAACGCAAGGGATTGGGGCCCTGTTGAGTGATTCAGAAATTCTTTTACTGGTAATATCGCCAGTCGAGACTGTTCTTCATATAATTCACAGACCTTGCCTGTGCTTGCTGAATATTGCGAAGTATGGGAGGGTCTGAAGATCAAAATAACGATGATCATCAAACTGACTAACTTGATTAGATTTGACCTCGTATTTCATTAATAATATGACGGCCGAATCCTATACAAAAGGACGTCTTCCCTATCCCATTGATTCATCCTCGCATTCACACTTCTCAAGAACATTGACCATGGCACCTCCTGAAATCCATTCAACCTTCTCCGTCACTTCGGGCGGCCTCTGCTTTGGAAACCTCACCGAAATCTGTAAAGGGGCATCCACCACGATCCAAGCATTTCCCAACGTCAGACCGAAAGTCAGCGGAACCGTCAAAGCCCACAAGATCGAGTACAATGTGGCAGCGGAAAACGGAACCTGGAATGTCTACCAGCTAATCGACCGGGAACTACGCTGCATTTCCGGATGGTTTGTCTGCCATTCTACCATCGTCGATGACCCTGGCCAGGAAATGAACAAGATTCTCCGAGTTTCCGGCTCCCCCTACGAAGCAGAAAGTGGAAGCAAGATGAACAACGACAAAACAGCTGCAGAGGGAATCTTTGTCATTAATCGATATGATTGGATCAGAAATTTCGATAACATTGACATCAATGATCCCAATGATGATAAAAACGATTCCCCGTCTCAAGAACACCCCTTTGAGACGAGCATGTATGGAAGCGCGGCCGGCCTCGTCGACTACGGCCAGGCCAAATCCCAAGTGGACGCATGGCGAGCACAGAACCCTCAACCAGCTAGAGATGCCATCGTCGCCGACGGCGGAATCTGGATGATCATTCCGCACGGTGAGTACCATTTCAGTCGCTTTGGATTTAATGAAGCCCACACCGCGGCTCGGTCTTTTCTCTTCTTCACAACAAACACATATTTCACCCAAACTTCGTTCCGCGGCGAAGATCAGGAAACATTCCGTAAGAAAGAATCCCACGAGGAATGTTTTGCCAGACGTCTCCGTGAGGGATACGACTTTTCTGGGATTGAAGAGCTGAATGAACGATGTGGTCCTCTTCCTCAGGAGGAGGTTAACGCGGGGATTCTGCGGTTGTTTCCTTTACGACCTCCTGAGGAGGGGTGGCTGGGTCCATATAACAAGAGAGAACACTTGTTTATTCCTGAGGAGTATGTGTTTTTGCTCCATCAGCGGCCGGTTGTGCATTACCCGCCATCGCTGAGGGAGTACGTGCGAACTGATCGGCCGGCGTGGGGAGTGCGGTTTGTCGAGCAATGGGAGGAGCAGGTTTACGATCTTATCAATGAAATGACTCTAAGCTATCTGGAGAGGGTTGTTTTGGGAGTTCTCCGCCCCCGGATGACATTGTCAGCGGGATTGGAGTCATCAACTGCAAATGCAGCTGCGTCGTTTGCGGTGGCTCTGTTCCCCCGTCACCAGGATCAAAAGCGCAGGGGGACAAATGATTTTATGCTGTATGAATACTTTCTGCATGCGTCTCCGATGGAGGGGTTTGAGGTTGCGGGAGTGGTGGAAAGGATAGTAGCGTTTTTCAATTCGCGGCTAGGGAGGGATGAAACCAAGGTGGGAGAAGGGGAAAAAGAGATAATGGAGAAGTTAGCTGGTGTGATGATTCTTTTAGTGATGTTCTTGCTGGATTTCTCCGGTCAGTGTGCCCGGACCTGTCATCGGGATGCAATCGTGCCGTCGGATGTTCGCGTGGTGTCAGCGGGCGACGATGGGATGTTCAAAATGTTCCAGTACTCGAGGGTGTTCTGGGCAGGCCGACCCAATTAGATTTTCTCATGGTCAGATTTTTCTTTCTCCCTCTGAGATATATGTACATTTCAACTGTGTGACCAACCCAAAGCAGATTGGCAAGATCTTTATAGTCCTTCGATGAGAGCGACTCAAAAAAGCCTGTTCGGGACAGGGGGCGTTTCGACATGGGACCGTGCTAGATGCAGCGGTTTTTTTTTTTTTTTTTTTTTTTTTTTTGAAAAGAATAGTCTCTGGATATTTCTTTAAAGGCATATGAAGTTTGCATATCAAGCGAGAATTCCACCGTCTAAGCCCATGTTTGGTGGAATTAATAGCCGGATTGTTTATGGCTGGATCAGACATAATTATGTCAACTGTTGTTGTGATGACAGTTACCAAGTAAATACATAAGTAGGTGTTGGATTTGGCATTCCAAAATACTCGTGGGAAGGGTCAAACCTCATCCACTTCTGGGGACTAGATTGTAAATATACTTCTACCTTCATCTGTGGCGATTGAAACTGCAGTGTCAGATTTATCGACGGAAATTACCAGTAGCATCTTTTGCTGCATCCATGTTTAGCATTTTCGTATTTGGTGAATTGGATACAACTGAAATCATGGTCCATCTTCCTTTAAAGGTTCACGATCCTTTATTTTTCAGTTATCCTCCCTGTCGAGACTAAGAAAGTTCATGACCTGATAAAGTCGACCAGATCTTTGTTGACTTGGTCAACATTGATGTTGTGAATAGCGTGAGAGCCTCCTTTGTAAACCTTCAAAGTGCCTTGAGGCAGCAGTTTTGCTGACTTGAGTCCGGATGCCTCGATAGGAACAACCTGGTCATCATCCCCATGCAGAACCAGCACCGGAATATCGATCTTCTTCAGATCTTCCGTGAAATCCGTTTCCGAGAAATCCTTAATCGAGTCGTACGCGGACTTGAAGCTGGTGTTCATCCCCTGCTGCCACCAGCTACGGATTTGCCCTTCGCTTTTCTGTGCATCGGGCCGATTGAATCCAAAGAACGGCCCACTAGGAACATCCAAGAAAAACTGCGCGCGGTCCTTCCGCATGGCCTCTCGGAAAGAATCGAAAACAGACTTATCAGTCCCCTCGGTGTTGGCACTGGTCTTTACCATCAGAGGGGGCACGGCACCGACCAGAACGGCCTTCTTGAAACGGCTTGTGCCATGTTTTCCTAGGTAGTGGGTAACCTCTCCTCCGCCGTGCGAGTGGCCAACCATCACTGCATCTTTGATCTTCAGGTGGGCAAAAAGCTCCTCGAGGTCATCGACAAAGGTATCCATGTTGTTCCCGTGCCAGGTCTGAGTAGATCGACCATGACCACGTCGGTCGTGCGCAATCACACGGTATCCGTGATCAGCTAGAAACATCATTTGATTTTCCCAATTGTCACTGCTCAAGGGCCACCCGTGGGAGAAGGTGACCATGGCCCCTCCGCGGTTGCCCCAGTCCTTGTAGTAAAGCTCGGCTCCATCTCGAAGCTTCAAATATGGCATGATTGTTCGCAGAGGTGCTCGGATATATTGAGTATCTCAACTTCAAGACGTTCTTTGCAAAAGGGTATTGCAAAGGGATGTGCGAAGGGTCGTGTAAGTTGGTTTGTTTACAGCCGTAATATAGTCAGCTCAAGTAAGTCATGACGTCATTCCGCCAGTGCTGAGAAGAAGTGAGGTTGTTCATTACCCATGCCACCGTTCCATTCAACCCTCTCTCTATCTTCAACTACGGATGTTCTGTTACCGGTTTGTTGCATGGATTGTAAGGATGAAATAATGATGTAAGTGATCTGCTTAACCGTGTAACCTACTCGCCAATTGGCCCAATCCTTTTATTAGTGGGAATTCGGATTAGCCATATTTTCCTTTTCCTTTACGTTTCTACTTGTCTTTTTTCAGCATTGTGAAAGGAAATGCTGTCTCCCAATATATCATCTTACTCAGAGCCATCAGCATACCGGGTGTCGGAATTACCCCAGCCGCGTCTCATCGACACGAAAGATGTGATCATCAAAGTGTATGCGGCTAGCATCAATCCAATTGACGTCAAAAGAGCCGCTGGGGCTCTAAAACTTGCGGTAAAGGATCCGTGAGTATAGTCGATTTTAATTGCTCTCATTGGTATTGACCAAATCAGCTTGATAGGAAGAATAAAAGAATCTTAGATAACCTTAGATGATAGATAAGATAGCCTTAGGTACTCTGTCTATTTATATATTTATTGACATGGGTAGTGCTAAGAGTCTTAACCCACCTTAGTACTATTATCCTTACCTAGATTAGCCTAGTCACCCCACTCACCTATAATATTTTATATTAGGTTCACCTATTTATCCAGATAACCTATACTCACCCTAAGGGATCAATCATGCTGCTTTTGACTACTAAGGCTTAGGGAACTATTCATCGCCTTTATTCCTGTGGCTTAAGTACGGCTGAGCGGACGGGAAGCCCTGTTTTCTACACCCTGTGGTTGTATGTACTAGACAATGAAAAATGATGAAATATATAGAAACATCACCATAGATAGTAGCATTGGTCGTCTATCACCATACTATATATTTTCAAACCCCCGACACGTGATGGATCATCATTAGTATGACAAGCATATTCCAACTGATCTCTCCTTTCTTATCTTTCCATTTCATTAAAAAGAAAACACTATACTAATAAAAAAAGTCATTAATTTTGACAGAGAACCATGCCAGGTTATCAACACAAAGGCATGGATTGGCGAGATCGTTATAATCCTTCGATGGGAGCGACTCAATACAGTCTGTTCGGGATGGGACTGTGCTAGATGCAGCAGTCTATTTGAAAAGAAGTTGCTCATGCTGTTCTGCGGCAAAGGCCCAATAGAGCTGGAAAACTGTTCAAGGTGCTCTAGATATCTGGTAGGATTGCCTTGCGAGTCACTTTCGCCAAGCTGTTCTGTCCTTGTTACTAGGCAAAGTCCTCATCAAGAGCAGGGTGAGCCATCTAAGGAAACAACAGCTCCGTAGAAGTGCAACAGCAGAAGAAAGGAGAAGGATAGAGACAAGGACTGCGTGAACGGAAACGTCTTGTACTTGCAGCGGGGAATTACTCCCTTGGCTGTGATGTATAAAGCTTTTCAAGACCTTCTTTCTGGCTCCGTGGTGGGTTTTGTCTAGAGTCATAAACCCGAGCTACTCTATTGCGAGTCAGTGCATGTCGAAGGGCCACTCACAATGAGGACTCGCATACAGATCTTTTTTTTTTAAGAGCAAGGGTACTAGTAGTGCTTTTAGTAGAGGTGGGATTAAGCGCCAAACACGACCCACAGTTGACTGCGCCACGGGGTTGGCTTTTAATATCTTTTGAGAATGGCCCCGTTCTCCACATGTACAGGGTTCATAGGATGATCGCCATTTCCCCTCTTGACGGTGCCGCTTTTCTGGAGATACCTTAAGATACCACCCCCCGTCAGATCTGATCCCTCAGCAGATATTCATACAACATGGCCGGAAAACTCCTCAACCTCCAACAAGCCATCGCCATCCACCCACAACACGTCCCATCCGAAGCCACCACCATATACATCAAACATCACAGCAGAAGCGCATCCCGAGGCGACTTCACCGTCTCAACATGTCCCCACAAACTCACCACCCCAGAAACCAAACTCTTCTCCATGGCTAGTATTCTCGCATCCTGGCGCCAGCGTCGTTCTGTCCGCGATGCCTCTGATCAGCCACTTTACGATCTACGACGCGAAGCGACGGGAGTCACATGGAGTGCGTATCTACCAGGTCAGGAAGAACACCCCGTCGTCACGATTGCGCCGCGGTTGTCGTGGTTGAAGGACAAAATGGACGTGTATGTCAAGAACGCGGCGGGCGATGGACAGGAAGTCCTGCTGGAAGTGCGAGGGCAGGATGTGTGGAAGATTATGACTCATGTGTTTGTCGATGGGGCCTTGGTGATGGTTATTCGGAGATTGGATTTTATGTCTGCGTATATCCCTGTGAAGGGGTTTGAGTGGAAGATAGAAGTGGCGGGGGGGTTGGACCTTTCACTAGTAAGTCAAGTTCATGGAAGATAGATATTGTCTCTGATACGTGCTAGGTACTATTGATTATCTCTGTCATGGCGGATATCATGTATTACAGCAGTCCCGAGTCGTCGTACAAGGGCAGCAATCAGCAGGACAACTAAAAGAGATTATGCCAATACATATTCTTGAGCTTGGTAGGCAGCTCATAAACACCACCAAGTGTACTATCTAGACTGTCTCTATCGGCATGAATTGATTTTTATGATTTGCCAACATATGACCCCTGCGCCCCTGGGTACCGATACAACGGACTACAATGTATCAGCAAAGACACCATCATCTGCCCACCCTTTCTGGTTCTCCGTAATAACGTATGCTTGCACGTCAACGACCCAAGTGTCCACCCGGAACCTCCTTTAACAGAAAAGAGTGCGTCGGAAACAAACCTTCCTGTCCGCCGAGCAGAGAATTCAACGGTGAATCTTGCTCCGCTATCAAAGCCTCCTTCTGTCCCTTGGAACTGTGTAAGATGGTAGATGGTGTGTAGCGGAAGAACCTTCCGCCCGCCCCAGACCCAGTGGAACAGATATGTAAGTTGACATCGGCCCCGGACTGTCCGGAAGGAACTGTCTTTGATGGCAAAACCAGTGTTTTGGATTTGATAGATGGTTGTTCGGACATTCAGTGGTATCGGGCCTTGGATGCGTCGCTGGTTTCTACCTCTACGGCCGCTTCCTGTCCCACCCATAGCAGGGCAGACGCCAGCGCCAGAAGAGTTATGTCCAGATACGGGGCTGATGCTGGAACAGATGTCGATGTTACACAGCGGGGCCTGATAGATGCTGACGGGAAGATTGGGGGGGGGGGTTTGCCGAGTAACTGGAATTGAAGTCTTAAGTGTACCACTCTACTGCTGCTTTGAAGTTGGGAGCTGAAATTACGATGGAAAGCCGATTCTATTATCTCAGTAGAGGGTCTGTTGAGATTATCCTGTTCGACTAAAACGGTGACCACCATGATGAATGCTCATGTAATTAATATTTCAACCGGGTCTACCTAGCCTACATCGGAGTACGCTATAAGTTGTATTTTATATAATAGAATTACTCGCGGTTATAATTACGTTTTCCCCTGCAGCTAAAAAGTGTGGGGATCTTATATATAATGAAAATTGTCATTTCTTCACATTTCTTCCCCGAGCAGTCGACAATTATACTATACTGCTAACTATCTGGCATGATGTGGAAAAGGCTGATATCAACAACTTACGCCCAGAAAAACTGACATAGAAGATCATAGGGGATGACCAGAGAAAACCCTAAAGGACTGCCCTTATCAGTAAGTCACATGACACAGATAAAAGTGTGAAGAGAAGTGGGTCAAGATTCAGAATGGCCAGTAAAAGAGATTTGTTTACCTGAATCACATGTAGTATAAGTAAATACCTGTACAGATTGCAGCCTGCAGAGTGTAGCTCCATCATCCTTGTAATTATCTATGCAGACATTCAAGATTTGCAGCCCATGAACCCATGATCTCACTCACTCGCTTAATGTTATCAAAGTTAGATACTAGTAGAGCTGACTCTGTTTATTGGCTATAGCACCCCACATCACAGCAGCGATGATCTCCACAGTGTAGCTGAAGAGAGCGGAGAGAGATGCCCATGTTTCCAGCTGAGTTTTTCCTCGCAAAAAGCCAAGTAACTGCACATACTGGCTGGATAGCTCTCATGTCTGTTTAATGACCTGCAGGTGCAGAAAAAAGCAACCAACAGGCCAAAGAAATCGGCCATGACGCTGCCTCAAGTGAACGATGAACTGCAGCCAAGCGGTGGAGCTGGCTTGCAGGAATATGCCACTTGTTGTGATAAAATCCAATCCATCGTAATCGACTTAGATCCGGGGTTGGAAACCCGCGGATTTTGTGATACACATGAGCTCAGTATCACTGCGCTTGTTCAGGTGGCCTGGGGAGCGGTCCTTCGCTCCTATACAGCCTCAAACATTATCTGCTTTGGATACATCACACCCGGACATATCGGTGATACCAATAGCCAGGTCTGTGTGGTGGACATGGCCAACAATGTCTCCGTCTTGGAACATCTTCAGCAAGGCACCCGGGGCTCTTTTTGGACTAACTCCGAAGAGGCGATGCAAAGCTTCGATACGGTCATAATGCATGATACGACCGTTGAGAAGTCGAACGGCATGCATTACTACCAGACATCGAGAGTAAGCGAATATTGCTAATGTCTAATGTCCGCTTCTGACTGATGGAGACAGTGAAGATTGTAGTCGAGATCCACCTGAACGGAGACGGAATCATAGCCTCACTGAACTACCACTCGTCGGCATTTGAACAAGCCAATTACATGGCCAATGCGTTCAGCCACGCAGTGTCGCAAATGATGAGTAAACCTGAAAAGGGCGTGAGTAGCTTGGATTTGTGCAGCCGACACGACCTCGATCAAATCGCCCAGTGGAATAGGGAAGCGCCCCCGAAGTCAAACGACTGCGTCAACATCGTCATATCACGCCAATGCTTTGAGCATCCTGACGACGTGGCTGTCACCTCGTGGGATGGCGAATTCACATACAACGAGCTGGATCGACTTTCAACAACCGTGGCAATCCGCCTTGCTGCCAGTGGAGTCCGCCCAGAATCATTTGTTCCGCTTTGCTTCGAGAAATCCAAGTGGGCAATTGTTGCAATACTCGGGGTGATCAAGAGCGGTGGTGCCTATGTACTTTTAGACCCGGCATATCCTCTCGACCGTATCCGCAGTATATGCCAGACCGTCGACGCGGAGCTCGTGATGGCCTCGACCGAAAATAGTAGGATTATGGAGGAGCTCGCACCACTGGTAATCACGGTCGGACAGGAAATATTCAGCTGGCCACAAGCTCAAGATGATGGAACAGGGAGTATCAGCACACAACTAACACCCCAGAATGCCTTATACGCCGTCTTCACGTCAGGATCGACCGGAGTGCCAAAAGGCGTTGTCATTGAACATGCGGCCTTCTGCGCGGCGGCCAAGGCGAACAAAACGGCTTTATCACTCGATCGTAATTCAAAGGTGCTGCAATTTGCCAGCTTCGCTTACGATGTAGCGAATCGAGATATCTTGTTTACGTTAATGTTCGGTGGCACTATCTGTCTGCCGTCAGATTCGGATCGCGGCAACGACATCGCTTCATTCATTAATCGATCTGCTGTAAACTGGGCCAGTCTTAGCCCATCTGTTGTTGGTCTGATAGCACCGGAGAGTGTGCCAACCTTGCGATGTTTACTTTTAGGTGGTGAATCGATGACATCAGCAAATGTTGCTTTATGGGCTGGCAAGGTTCACCTGATGAATGCTTATGGTCCGTGCGAATGTGCGGCCGTCAGCTCTCTACAATCCAAGATAGAGGTTGGTTCAGACCACAGAAATATAGGCCGGGGCATTGGGCCTGCTCTTTGGATAGTCGACATGGACAACCCAAACCAGCTGCTGCCGATCGGAGCGACCGGAGAGCTGGTCATAGAAAGTTCCTCTGTTGGGCGGGGGTATATAAACGACCAAGTAGGAACTTCATCGTCATTCCTGGAGTCGACCGCTTGGCTGTCCCAGGTACGCTCTGCCGGGTCAACACGACGCCTATATAGAACTGGAGATTTGGCGCGGTACAATACAAACGGTACGCTCAATTTCCTTGGTCGCAAGGACAGCCAGATCAAGATACACGGTCAGAGGGTGGAGCTGACAGAGGTGGAATACCGCATGCGGTGTGCACTCGCTGAACTTCGCATTCAAACCAACAATGTAACTGTAGGCCTCCTCCACGGCCGGAGGCTAGCGGCATTCATCAATATTTCTGTTCCAGACGATGGACAGAATGATGATATCTTTATTCGGGATGATCGGGCAGTGCCATATTTGCGACCGATAGAAGAGCGGCTTTCAAAGGTTTTACCGCGACATATGATCCCGTCGATCGTTATCCCAACCCGGAAAATGCCACTGAATATGTCAGGGAAAAAAGATAGAAAGCGACTTCTCTTTCTTGCGTCAAAGCTCTCCCCAAGTGAAATCAAAATATTCTACGGAGGCTCGTCATCGAGCGAAGCCCCAGCTAACGAGATTGAGAAACGGTTGCATCTGCTGTGGGCAAAGATACTCCATCGAGCACCACAAAGCATAGGCCGACATGACAGCTTTTTCCGGTGTGGCGGCGATTCTATTGCGGGAATGAAGCTGGTGACAGCAGCGCGAGAAGAAGGCATCGATTTGACTGTGGCAGAGTTATTCGCCTACCCAAAGCTGTCGGACCTTGCACTGATCGTGCGTCAAGTAATAAAAAGTGATAGACCGGACATACGCCCCTTCGGCCTTGTCGCAGATAAGGACCTGGATAAAGTCAGAAGGCTAGTAATCGAACAATGCGAGATCGACGGGGGCCAGATTGAAGATATCTATCCATGCACCGCGATGCAAGAAGGCTTGATCGCCTTAACAGCAAAGGATCAGCGCATGCACATTTTGCAGTCGGTGTACAAATTGCCCCGTCACGTTGATATAACCAGGTTTCAATTTGCGTGGGGGTTGGTCATTGAGAAGAATCCTATTCTGCGGACACGAATCATCCAATCCGTTGCTCTAGGGACGTTCCAAGCTGTTATCAAAGGGAATATGCTCTGTCAATATCACAGTGATCTGGACAAGTACCTGGACCAAGATTGTTCTACTCCAATGCGGATTGGCCAACCACTAATACGCCTGGCGATCACCAGAAAAGCCAAGTCTGATGAGCACAGTTTTGTTCTCACCATGCATCATGCAATCTTCGATGGCTGATCGTTACCATTGGTGCTCAAACAACTGGAATCCGCGTATTTAGGTGGCAATCCATTGCCATACCGAAGGTTCAGCTCATTTGTTGACCACGTTATACAGTCTCACCATGATAGTGCAGACTTTTGGCGTTCAGAGTTTACGGCTATTGATGCCGTCCCTTTTCCATCTTTGCCTTCCATGGCGTATGTGCCGCGCACAACAAGAATCGTCACACGTGAAATCGCATTAGAACCAAGACAAGTAGGGGAGGGCGACGAATTCACCATTTCCACAAAGCTGCGTCTTGCATGGGCAATTATACTCTCACTCCACACCAATCGTAAGGATGTCATCTTTGGCGTGACGAGTTCTGGACGGAGTGCTCCGGTAGAAGGAGTAGAGCAGATGACTGGTCCAACTATTACTACTGTACCACTTCGTGTTCAACTGCAGCATGATCAGTTAGTCAAGGACGCACTTAGCGATCTTCAAGCTCGTTCTGCTGGCATGATCCGATTTGAGCAGTTTGGATTGCAGAACATTAGCCGTCTTGGGAAGGAGGCTGAAGCTGCCTGTCAATTTCAAAGCTTGCTGGTTGTCCACCCCGCTGAGAATGATAGCAATACTATACTAAAAGACGGGCAAACCACTGCAGATGAATCAAAATATAACAGCTATGCAATCATGCTTTCGTGTCATCTGGATGTTGATTATGTGAATGTGAAAGCGGTTTTTGATGAAAATGTTGTGACCGAGTTGCAGATGAGGCGAATCCTCGATACCCTCGCCAGCACCACCAAGAAAATACACTCCAACATGTCCGATACCATGGCGGAGATCAGCACGATTAGTCCAGAGGATATAACACAGCTTGAAAGGTGGAATAGCAGTGTCCCAAAAGCAGAGGAGTGTTGTGTCCACGAAGTCATCAACAAGCACTTTATGACTCGACCAGAAGCACCAGCAATTTGCGCTTGGGATGGAGAGCTTACGTACAGAGAACTTGATATATTATCATCCAAGTTGGCAAGACACTTAACCAGTCTCGGCGTGGGCCCAGAAGTGATTGTGTCTCTTTGCTTTGAGAAGAGTAAATGGACAACCGTCGCTATTCTTAGTGTCGTGAAGGCAGGCGGCGCATTCTTACTACTGGACCCATCACATCCATCCACACGCCTTGAAAAGATCTGTGCAAGTGCTGGAGCCACCATTGTCTTGTGTTCCGCACAAAATACTGCCAAGGCAGCTGGGCTGGCAGCCACCGTGGTCCCTGTTAGTGACGATGAGATTGCATGGCACGGAATGGAGGGTAATTGGAGGAGCTCTATAGTTCAGCCACACAACGCTCTATATGTAGTGTTTACATCTGGTAGCACAGGGGAGCCAAAAGGGGTGGTGATCGAGCACCGTGCGTTCTGCACCGGGTCATTGCACCATTCCAAAGCACTCTGTTTGACCTCTGAATCCAGGGTCTTCCAATTCTCATCCTACGCATTCGATGTCAGCATTGCAGATACACTGAGCACACTGCTTAATGGAGGATGTCTCTGTGTACCGTCCGAGACTGATCGTGGCGGGTTAATCGAAAACGCAATCAATAAGCTACATGCTAACTGGGCTGATCTCACCCCGTCAGTCGCTAGAATCCTGCGCCCTGATGACATCCCTGGTCTAAAGACGGTAATCCATGGTGGTGAAAAAAGAAATGCGTCCGATATCCGTATGTGGGAAGGGCATGCCAAAGTCTTCAACCTTTATGGTCCCGCAGAGTGCTCAGTGGTGTCAACGGTGCAGTCGTGTTCTGATGGTGATGCGAACAATATTGGCTTCGCTACAGGATCGGCGTGCTGGGTTGTCGACCAATCAGACCATACGCGACTGGTTCCTATTGGTGTGGTTGGAGAGTTATTGATCGAAGGGCCAATCGTCGGTCGAGGGTATATAAATCAACCGCAAAAGTCAGAAGAGGCGTTTATACAAAGTCCTCCGTGGCTAGCTCATTTTCGACAGGATAATGACCGATTGTACAAGACAGGAGACCTTGTGCAGTACAACGACGATGGCTCCCTCCAGGTGGTTGGCCGCAAGGACACACAGATCAAAATTAACGGCCAACGTATTGAGCTGGGTGAGATAGAGCATCATGTTCACCGCTGCTTTCCCGGAGCACGACAGACATTGGTGGAAGTGGTAGTACCTGTCGATGAAAATGCCAGACCACTGCTGGTAGCATTTATCCTGGTTCAAGACGCTGGGACCGATGCGCATGGCCAAGGAAGCGCACTAGAGTCCAGCCTTTTTGCTGGAGTAAGCGAAGAGTTTCAATCAGCGACTTTGAAAACAGGCTCGGAGCTCAATGAATGCTTACCTAGCTATATGGTGCCGAGAATATTCGTGCCCCTCAGATACTTGCCCATGTCAGGAACAGGCAAAACAGACCGTCGAGCAATAAGGACATACGCCTCGCAGCTCACGCGGATGCAGCTAGAAGCGTACACGGTTGATGACTCGGTAGAAAAAAGAGCACCAACTACCGAGACCGAGATGCTGCTTCAGGGGATCATAGCCGAGGTCATTGGCATGGAGGTGGATAGGATTGGGATGGATGACAGTTTCTTTCGTCTGGGAGGGGACTCAATCACAGCGATGAAGTTGGTGGGACACGCACGTGACCATGGCCTTTTGTTTACTGTGCCAGACGTGTTCCTCCACCCCAAACTGTCAGACCTCGCCCTGACTGCCCAGCGGATTTCTCATGATGATTTTCAAGAAACTATCCAGCCTTTCTCCCTCTTTGAAGAGGGAGCAGTCCGGAAGCATGTCCGTGAGACAGCAACGAAACAATGCGCTGTCTCCATGGCCGAAATCGATGACATATATCCTTGCACAGCGATGCAAGAAGGCCTGATGGCACTGACAGCGATGAGGCCTGGCGCATATATGGGCCAATATACCTTCAACTTCCCCAGCAGTGTTGGTATCGACGACTTCCAGAGAGCATGGGAGGCAGTCTATCAGGCAAACCCCATTCTACGGACCCGAATTGTGCATGTCGAAGGACACGGCATGTTTCAGGTCGTTGTAAGAGAGAGGATAAGCTGGGAGCTGCACGATTCGCCCATGGAGGCTCAGTTGGGCGGGCGTCTAGTACGGCTTTGTTTTTCAGAGGAGGCAGATGGCTTTCAGTTTATCATGACGCTGCATCATGCCCTTTATGATGGCTTGTCTCTTCTTTCAATCTTGAAGCAGGTCGAGCAGGCTTACAACGGCCATACGCTCCCAGCTCGACCATTCACCCCCTTTATCAAATATATCGAACATTTAGACACTGAAACCGCGGACAGCTTCTGGCGGTTGGAGCTTTCAGACCTCAACGCCGTCCCTTTTCCGACACTACCCTCTGCGACATACAAACCAGCGCCCACCACGACTATGCTGCATATTATACCTCATTTGCCATCCGGTAGCGATAAAGACACTACTCTGTCAACGACAGTACGACTGGCGTGGGCGTTGGTTTTGGCCCAATACACTGCGTCGGATGATGTAGTCTTTGGAGCTACCATCAGTGGACGCAGTGCACCCGTCACTGGTATCGATACAATCACAGGGCCAGCCATCACAACAGTCCCTCTGCGAATCCGCACTCAAGGCAATGTTGTGGTTGAGCAAGCGCTGCAGGCGATTCAGAGCAAAGCAATGGCAATGATTCCATTCGAACAAATCGGGCTGCAGAGGATTGGCCGCCTAGGAGCTGAGCCGGCCACTGCATGTCGCTTTCAGAGCTTATTGGTGATGCAGACAGACCAGGAAGAACATAGTCTAAATCTCCTTGGGCAGCGTGCACAACACCCCTATAACCAGGAGGAATTTTATACATATGCACTTACTGTACTTTGTGAACCAAGCGCTGGGTCTCTGAATCTACGGGCAGTGTTTGATGAGAAGGTTCTTCCTGAGGGGCAGATAAAGTTAATACTGTCCCAATTCGCTCATTTCATACAGCAGATAAGCAGCCATCCAAGGCGGACTATGCATGAGATTGACCTCATCAGCCCCGAAGATCTGACACTACTGGGTAAATGGAACAAGAACCAACCAGTGCGATCTAAAACCACAGCAGACACATTGATCTCTCGAAAATTCATGTCCCAACCAGAGGCAGATGCTGTTCACGCATGGGATGGAAACCTGACATATCGTGAACTGGACGAATAAACCTCGCATTTGGCAATGCGTCTACGAAGGCTAGGCGTGGCGCCAGGGACAGATACATTTATTCCCCTCTGCTTCGAAAAATCAAAGTGGACTACAGTGGCAATGCTTGCAACCGTCAAGGCCGGAGCAGCATTTGTTCTCTTGGATCCGTCGCATCCGCCCAAGCGCCTTCAGGATATATGTCGTGAAGTGGGGGCATCAATCATAATTTCTTCGACATTGCAAACTGGGTTGAGCGCAGATCTCGCAGCTACTGTTGTCCCACTGCCATTTGTTGATACTACGTGCCATACTGTGGATGGAACCGGACCAGACACTGGAAAGATTCAATCAAAGAATGCTTTATACGCAGTCTTTACATCGGGTTCCACTGGCCGACCGAAAGGAATCATCATCGAACACGAGTCATTCTGCACAGGCGCAGAGGCACAGATAAAATCTCTGAAACTTGACTGTACATCGAGGGTTTTCCAATTTGCTTCATATGCCTTTGATGTGAGTATCGCGGATAATCTGACTACATTAATAGCCGGAGGCTGTGTTTGCGTTCCAAGCGAAGCCGAACGTCACAATGATATTCCAGGAGCCATGACCCGGCTACAGGTGAATAGTGCCCCGCTAACCCCCTCTGTTGCGAGGCTCCTGGTCCCAGAGAAGACAAAATTAAAGAGGCTTATGTTAGCGGGCGAACCAATGTCGCCAGCGGACATTGAAGCATGGGCTGCAAAGACACAGCTGGTGAATATGTACGGGCCTGCAGAATGCTCTGTTTTCTCCACCATTCAACCAAGGATTAACCCGGGATCTGATCCCAGGAATATCGGGCATGCTATTGGATCTGTATCCTGGATTGTCAAGAAAGATGACCATCGTAAGCTGGTACCAATTGGTGCTGTTGGTGAGCTGGTCATTCAGGGTCCTATTGTTGGGCGCGGATACATCAACAATAAAGAAAAGACGGCAGATGTCTTTTTTGATAATCCACCATGGGCAACGACGAGCAGTGACCGATTCTATAAAACAGGCGATCTGGTGCGATATGCACTGGACGGTTCGATCAGCTATATTGGCAGGAAAGACACACAGATAAAGATCAGCGGGCAGCGGATGGAGCTCGGCGAAATCGAGCATCATGTATGTCGCCAATTCAAAGGAGCACAAGACGTGGTGGTCGAGGCTGTGATCAGACAGAGCCATGAACATCCAATTCTGATGGCCTTTATCTGGTGCGGTCCGAGCGAACAAGAACAAAGCCTTGCATTTACAGGACCTTCCCAACAATTCAAAGCAGAGGCACACCGGGTCGAATCAGCATTGCACGAGGTCCTTCCGGCCTATATGATTCCGAATGTGTTTATCCCTTTGTCCCAAATCCCGTTGTCACTGTCAGGGAAGGTCAACAGGCGTTATATAAGCGAGCAGGCTGCGCAGATGGACTTGCAGATATACAACTCCCCGGATATGGAAAAAGAGAAGCCATCAACAAATGCAGAACGCGCTCTGCAGCAAGCCTGGGCAAAGATCCTCAACATCGATCCTGATCATATTGGTGTTGAGGATAGTTTCTTCCGTCTTGGTGGGGATTCTATCACTGCAATGCAGGTATCAGCACAGTTAAGGGCTACGGCAGGAGTCTCTGTTGCTGTTTCGGACATCTTTCTTTACAAAACCATCTCACGAATAGCCCAGCATATGCAGTCGGATGATAGATGTCTATTTCCAGACATTCAAGACGCAGAATCTGTCAATCAGCCGACGGATGTCAAATTTGAGCTTTCGCCCATCCAGCAAATGCTTTTCGAGTATGCACCACAGGGGCATAACCACTTCAATCAGAGTTTCTTTCTTCGAGTGGTACGTGGTGCAAAGATTGAAGCTGCTGAAATGGCACAGGCGCTCGATTCGATTGTTGCGCATCATTCAATGCTACGGGCACGATTTAGTCACGAAGAAGGCAGATGGGCTCAACGCATAATATCGAACGACAAGAATAGCTATCATTTTAATCAACACAAACTGCCGTCTTGGTCCGAAGTGAATAGTACTGTGGCCACAAGCCAGAGCAGCCTGGATATCCAACGTGGGCCTGTATTCCGGGTTGACCTGATGACAGTGGGGATTGAGAAAGAGCAGTATGTGTCGTTGGTAGCTCATCACTTGGTCGTTGATCTTGTATCGTGGCGAATCATTCTCGGCGATTTAGAGGAGCTGCTTTCATCGCAGAGTTCATCAATTTCTCAACATCCTTCACTTTCATTCCAGCGATGGTGCCGTCTACAGGAGGACTACAGCCGTGATAATCTACTCCCTAAAACGGCGTTGCCATTCACCGTCCCTCATCCACCGGAGGATTATTGGGGAGTTGCCGATAAGTGTAACACGTACAGTGAAGCAGTACAGGAAGAGTTCACTATCGAGGGCAGCGTCACAGAGACGCTATTCGGTGCTGCCAATCATGCCATGAACACACAGCCAGTCGAGATCTTCCAAGCGGCAATTCTTTATTCATTCATCCAGACCTTTCAAGATCGATCTCCGCCTGCGATCTTTAGCGAGGGGCATGGCCGTGAGGCATGGGATGCAGCTCTCGACATTTCCCGAACGGTGGGATGGTTTACCACCATGTTTCCGATATTCATAGCAGGCAGCAATCAGTCTGATCTTTTCGATATTATACGCCGGACAAAAGATGCTCGCAGGAAGATAGAAAGCAATGGGTGGGCTTACTTTGCCTCGCGCTACCTCAATCCTGAGGGAAAGAAAGCTTTCAGTAATCACTTCCCGATTGAAATACTGTTCAACTATTTGGGTCTCTATCAACAGCTGGAACGGCCCGGTGCGGTGCTCCAACAAGCAAACAAGCAGGCCATAGAAGATTCAGATATAGCATCCGACGTCCCGCGGTTCTCGTTGATTGAGGTTTCTGTATCGGTTGTTGGTGGTCGTCTTCGATTCAATTTCATCTATAACCGATACATGAAGCACCAGGACACTATCCGCAATTGGATTGCCAAATGTGAAGACACACTCAGAGAGGCTGCGGAGACGTTGCTACACTCCAAACAACAATACACACTTACTGATTTCCGGCTGTTGCCTCTCACATATACTACCTTGGAACAGTTCATCGAGCAAACATTACCAGGGCTCGGTCTCTCGGCCGCGCAGGTAGAAGACGCGTATCCATGCTCTCCCATGCAGCAGGGTATTCTCCTGGGTCAGAGCTTAGATGCAGAGCACTATCGGACACGCTTATTCTGGAGGGCAAGTTCATGCGACAGCAGACCTGTTGACCTTGAGCATCTGATGCGTGCGTGGAAGAGAGTGGTGCAGTATCATCCGATTCTGCGCACGATGCTTGTACAGAATATATCGCAACCAGGCATGTTTGATCAAGTTGTGTTGAAGGAGGTTGATCCGGATGTATACGTGTCAGATAAGGATGAGGGCCCCCATACCGCATCGTATGGTCATGAAAGAGGGCTACTGCCGTATATCCTTACACTATACCCCGGGAAGAACAATGTACAGTGCGAGCTGGAAATCAATCATGCACTCATTGATGGTACGTCGACGTCATTGTTGAGGCGCGATTTGGCACTGGCATATGATGGAAAGCTTCCGGCCCGACATGGTCCACTTTACAGTGACTATATTGCGTACCTCGGGAGTGTATCTGCAGATCCAGCACGGGCATACTGGAAGGAATATTTGAATGGGGCTTACCAGTGCAACTTCCCCAACCTAAATAGCGGAAGTGAAGCCACAAGTTCCAGCTCACTACATTCACTGAATGTCGATTTAAGTCTTGACCTGCGCAAGCTGCACGAATTCAACGAAACCCACGAATTGACTCTCTCAAACCTGTTTCAGGTAGTATGGGGCGTCGTCCTGCAGTGCTACACGGGCTCGGACACGGTTTGCTTCGGGTATCTAGCATCGTGTCGAGATATACCTGTGGCAGGGGCTGAGGATACTATTGGGCCGTTTATCAATATGCTCGTCTGTCGCATGGATTTGGAAAAGCACACGCCGATTCTAAGCGCATTGCAGAAGAACCAAGCAGATTATGCAAAGAGTTTGACTCATCAGCATTGCTCGCTAGCTGATATTCTGCGATCCTCATCAGCCTCCCCAGGCCAGCCCCTTTTTAATACTGCCATGTCTTTGCAGAGAGATACCGGGAAATCTGGCGATGGGCAGTCGAGCATTCGTGTTGATCATGTCCGGGGAGAGGACCCAACCGAGGTAAGCCATCAATTCCATACGCTTGTAAGATCTCGCTTGTAAGATCTGTTATACTGACGTTGAAAGTTTGATATAACACTGCATGTTACTGTCAAAGGCAGTGGGGTGGCCGTATCCTTCAACTACTGGAGTTCCGTCCTATCAGATATACAGGCAAAGCAAGTGGCCAACACATTCTCTCAAATTGTATCCGAGATTGTCGCCAGGCCCAGTGATTCAGTTGGGGACTTGGATATAATAAGTCAGCAAGACACAGCACAGATACAGCAGTGGATTCAAAAAGCTCCTGAGGAAATTAACAGTTGCGTTCATGATTTGATCCACCAGCGCTGTCTGGCACAAAAGCACTCCCCGGCTGTTTGCGCGTGGGATGGCAATTTATCATATGGGGAACTAGATCAATTATCATCCAAACTGGCGGTCCACCTCACGAATCTGGGGATGAGACCAGGTGATTTTATATTGCTATGCTTTGAAAAGTCGAGATGGACGACAGTTGCGATACTCGCAGTGATGAAGGCAGGTGCGGCCTTTATACTACTCGACCCATCTCATCCCCTACAGCGGCTACAAGGAATGTGCGAGGATGTTCAAGCAAACCTCATAGTGGCCTCTACACAAACTCATGCAATGGCAGCGAGTATTACAAACATGGTCATTGTAATCGACGAGGACGGCAGCAAGGCATGGCAAGAAAATGAGGGGGACTGGACGCCGGGATTTGTCGATCCAAAGACTCCAGCCTATGTGGCATACACGTCTGGGTCGACAGGAAAGCCAAAGGGAGCAATTATCCCGCATACAGCACTTACTACCAGCGCAAGCGCGCAGAGCACAGCCTTTTCCCTCAACCCCAAGTCGCGAGTCTTGCAGTTTGCATCGTACGCATTTGACATTAGTATTGCCGACAATCTGACGACATTACTGGCCGGGGCGTGTGTGTGCGTGCCCTCTGAGAGAGATCGGAAGAGTGATCTAGTCAAAGCAGCGAATGATTTACAGATCAACTGGGCCAACCTCACACCATCACTTGTGAGAATCCTGAATCCCAGCGACCTTCCTACATTGAAGACGTTGGTGCTTGCCGGTGAAGCAATGCAGCAGATAGACGTTTTGGTTTGGGCACCGCATGTGCGCGTGATAAATGCATACGGACCGGTCGAATGCTCAATCATCTCCACTGTTCAGTCTGAGATCCGTGCTGGCCCTGGAGAAGATCCAAGCAATATCGGATATCCTATTGGGTCAAACGCTTGGATTGTCGACAAAAATAACCATCACCGACTAGCACCTATTGGCGCAGTGGGCGAGCTCATTATCCACGGTCCTATCGTGGGCGATGGATACATCAACAAGCGCAATGCAGCATTCATCAGCACTCCAAAATGGGCTAGTCAATTCAAGTTGGAGGCTGGAGACCGGATGTATAAAACAGGCGACTTGGTGCGATACTCATTGTCGGATGGATCTATCTCCTACGTCGGCCGCAAGGATACTCAGGTTAAGGTTCGTGGGCAGCGGATTGAACTCGGTGAGATTGAGCATCACATACGCCAAGCCTTCCCTTCTGCGTCGGATGTCGTTGCAGGTGTTGTCAAACTTGCTGAACACCAAAGTCACCCAATGCTGATTGCCTTTATATGGTGTGGTCAACAAAATACAGCTTCTGACAGGATGTTCGAGGCACCGACTTCGGAATTCCTGTCTGAAGCTCTCCAGGCAGAGTCGGTGCTGCATGATTCCCTCCCAGTGTACATGGTTCCGAATGCCTTTATCCCTCTAACTCGAGTCCCTTTGACGCCATCTGGGAAGGTTGATCGACGTTATTTGCATGAGAAGGCCGCAGCAATCTCTCGGGATGAAATGCAGTCATATAATCCATCAAGATCAGCAAAGCACGAGCAGAAGCCATTGTCAGAGACGGAAAGAACACTCCAGCAGATCTGGGCACAGATCCTGAACATGGAGGCTGGCCAGATCGGGGTTGAAGATAGCTTCTTCAGGCTTGGTGGTGACTCCATCACTGCGATGCAAATGTCTGCCCGATTGAAAGCAGCTGGATTTTCAACAACTGTTGCGGAGATTTTGCGGTGGAAGACTATCTCTCGGCTTGCGCAGCAAATGCGGTTTGAAGATAAACCGATAGCCCCCGTTATGGTGGATGAACAGATTGGCGTTTCGTTCGAACTCTCGCCTATACAGCGGATGTTCTTCGAGCATGCTTCTTCTGGGTATAACCACTTTAACCAGAGCTTTTTCCTCCGTTGTACCAGGAACATTGCAATATCTGATCTCAACAAGGCGCTGAATTTAATCTTTGCGCGACATTCGATGCTGAGGGCAACCTTCCATCAGACTGATGGGAAATGGACTCAAGTCGTTCAGCAAAATGAGAAAGGATGTTACAAGCTTTTGGGGCACACTCTCAACACTGTCGATGAAGTAAAGGATATGATCTCGAAACACCAAAAGAGTCTCGATATAACAACAGGACCGGTGTTCAGAGTTGACCTGATCAACATGACAGACACTCAATACATTTCCCTCATCGCCCATCATCTTGTTATTGATCTGGTGTCCTGGCGGATCATCTTGGCAGACTTGGAAGAACTCTTAGTCGAGGGTTCTTTGTCAGGGCTACAGACCATATCGTTCCAGTCATGGTGCAAGATACAGGCAGAGTACAGCCACTGCCATCTGTCGCCCGCAAAGGCGTTACCGTTTGACATTCTGCCAATGCCATCTGATTACTGGGGATCGGAAATCCATCAGAATACACATGCGGATGTCTTGCATTGTGGTTTCTCACTTGACAAAAAGGTCACGGATACTGTATTTGGTGATGCTAATAATGCATTTGGAACTCAGCCGGTTGATATCTTTCAGTCTGCTTTGCTTCTTTCTTTTATCCAGACCTTCACTGATAGGCCAGCTCCTACTATCTTCAACGAAGGACACGGCCGAGAACCATGGGATGCTGGAATCGATCTGACCAGAACCGTTGGCTGGTTCACGACAATCTGGCCTACACATGTGCAAACGGACAATCAAACCAACCATACCATTCCCGAAATCCTCCGTCGGGTGAAAGATGCCCGAATGGCTGTCCCAGGGAATGGGTGGTCATATTTCGTTTCTAGGTATCTGAACCCAGAGGGTAAGAAGGCATTTGGGAACCATATGCCGATGGAGATTATCTTTAATTACCTTGGTCTCTATCAGCAGCTCGAAAGGTCTGGTTCTTTGCTAGAAAGTACAACGTGGATGGATAGCGATGAAGTATCGCCCCATATCAACCGATTTTCATTGATTGAGGTCTCTGTATTTGTCCAAGAGGGGTCCTTGAACCTCAGATGTGCTTATAACCGACATATGCGACATCAGAATGCGATCTGCCAGTGGATCTCTGCCTGTCAGCAATCCCTCGAGGAGGCAGCCGAGATACTACCTCAAATGGAAAGAGGGTACACATTACAAGACTTTCCGCTGCTGAGTCTGACATATACCAGGTTAGACAATCTAATTGAACGAGTCAAGAAGCAGGAACCAAGTGCTGTGGCAGCAGATATTGAGGACGCTTTCCCGTGTTCTCCAATGCAGCAGCTGATGCTGCGCAGTCAAAAAAGAAGAGCGGGTTACTATGCACCAAGTCAAATATACGAGCTTAAATTGAGAGACTCTGGATCTGTGGATATTGGCAAATTTGAGACAGCCTGGCAGGTGTTGTTCGATCGCCACGCGGCTCTACGAACTGTATTTGTTCGCGGAGATCAAGACGACCATCAAGTCGTCCTCAAGTCTGCAACGGCCAGAATTCGGACGATTTCTTGTGACGATGACGCTCATGCAGCTCTTCGTGCCCAGTCACCCCCTGATTATTGTAAAGGAGGTTTGCTTCATCAGCTCACTGTGTCCCAAACCATGTCTGGACAAGTGTTCATTAAGATTGACATCAGTCATGCCATTACTGATGCGGCATCACTGTCAATTCTCTTCCACGAGTGGTGTCTTGCGTATGAGGACCAGCTGCCGAATAGTATCACCCCACTGTACAGCACTTACATAGCAGGCCTTCTCAGGACCTCGACTGTCGACACTCAATACTGGAAGGAATATCTCACCAACATGCCACCGTGCTTTTTCCCAGTTGCGAACAGTTCCAGTCAGGATCCTGGACAATTGCGGCGCGTGGATGTTGGCATCGACCTTGATCTAGCGAGCAGAATGCACGACTTCTGCCAGGGCCATGATACCACCGTCCCAGCGCTGATTAAAGCCGTGTGGGCGGTGATCCTTCATAAATTTGTGAAACATACTAGCAACTCAGTATGCTTCGGCTATCTCACATCAGGGCGACACGAGTCAATAGTCAACATTGAAAACATTGTCGGTGCTCTGGTTAACCTCCTCGTCTGTCGAATCCACATTGAGGGGAAGACTAGCTACAGAAGTATACTATCTGCCATGCAAGAGGATTACCACAACTCACTCCCCCGACATGCAGGTGCGATCCGCGCCATGGACGTGCTGGGATTGAGCCCACCATCACATCATATCTTCAACACGCTGGTTAATCATCGCAAGCACAATGAGATGCAGCCTGGTGGTATTTCATTTGAGTGTGTTTCTGGGGAGGATGCCATGGAGGTAAGCATTATTGTTGAGTTACCAGGTTCTTTTGCTAACGCGATACAGTTTGATATAGTATTGCAGGTTGACGAACGTGGGAGAAATGTGAGTGTGTGTATTGATTATTGGGATGGCCGGGTTCCAGATGAGGTGGCTGGGGAGATTGCCGTTGCTTTTAATGCGACTGTGGTGCGGTTTATGGATGATTTTGAATGATAGGTTAGATGTGCTGTAGTTGGAAATAGTTGATACTAGATGGGAGGTTTTACACAGGAATAACGTGGTCAATGCATTTCAGCATTTCATGTTCATAGACATGAAACAGAGTTAAGATCGATTTGATCTTGACCCATAATTTCGAATGCTGTGTCCCACATTTGATCATAATATATACATTTTCATCATAATATATCAAATATATACAGTTCCTAATAATATATTAAATTAATATATTAACATATAAAGAAAGGTAGTATAGGGGCTAAATATATATATTATGATATGTCATCTACAGAATTTGCTACTACGCACTATAAAGATCTTTTAGCCTGCGTGTTCATGACGAATTAACCCAGCGACTAAACTTCATATTGTGATGCATGGAAATTAAAATGGCCTTATTCACATAATATGACTAGGCCTCATTCATCAATAAAGTACTAGAACGCATGATAGGCTCTTGATCAGCTGGCTTTCCTTCCCGGATTCTATTGGATGACGTGCAAACTGAAGATGTACGTTACGTCAGGGTGACAGGCCACATGGTTCATGCCGACATGCTAACATAATAGAAGTCTTGACAAGTCAGTTATAGTTAAAAGCTAAATAATATTAATAGCGCTAGTGCAAGCATATTGGCGTATATCTCATCCACCACTCCTTGAGTAGATCTGGCTAGATCTATTTCGACCCAAGGGCGTCCATCAATAATACGAACCAAAGGCTGTTGATTATCTAACAAGGGAATGTTTCTATAAGATGGTCAATGACTTTTGGCGATGCTATATTATATTCCTTGCCTGGTAATTCTTCTGACAATTTAGCTCGACGCAAAGGGAACAACAAGATTGCTTGAGTGGTATGGCTGATAGCACTGCTATTCCACCATTTAGAAAATGCCATGAGCTCGTCCCAGAGGAGTCTGATGGAGCATCTATTCCAGACGCCCCCCTTCTTCGACCTAACATCTATGAGGTTGATGAATTTCTCGCCGCAGAATTGGACGCGACGCTGCTCAATAAACTGGGTTCATATTTGGATTTCGTTGCGACAAGATCCGGCACGCATATAGACTCGCTGAGCAGCCATATCACCAAAGGTCGCAAGATCAAAATCACAGAGGATCCCGGTCTTCACCTTATCTGGTACTATGATGTTCTGTTCCTCAAGCCTATCCCACATTTTCTTCTTAATCACCGCTTTTGGAGCAAATACCTATCACCAAGACAGCCGCCACCCAACGATGCGCTCTCAGACTCCTGCAAGTCCGCGCTAGGGTTTCTTCGTACCTACAGGTATCTTATAAAACATGAGTCGGATTTCACAACTGCGGTGGAGAAACACCTGATCCCGACGGATGTCAAGTTCAAAAGCTTCCAACTCTTCATTGACAATTTCCAACCCCTCGCCGACAGTGTAGTGGCTCCACGATACCATTACGGCCAGATGCGCCTGAGCCGTTTGAACGTTGCCGTCTGGTTGTTTCCCCCGCGTCGATGGTACTATCATCGGCTTGATTGGCAAATGGGCCAATATTTTGCTCGCTGGGCACCTCCGTTGCTTTTCATTTGGGCATCAACAAACCTGGTCTTGTCTTCTTTCTCACTTGTGCGGAGTAGTCGCGGCAAGGACACCTGGCCTTCACTTGTGACCACAAGCTGGGTCTTTGCACTGGTGGTACTTTTTGCTATCGGTTTCACGGTTGCCACTCTGTTAATAGTGATAGTGTGGGTCTATGGAAAGCAGCTCGCATTTGCCATTCAAACAGCCTGGAAGCACCACCGAGATGTTCGGAGCCAGAAGGAGGCAGCAAATGATACAGCCAAGGAGGAGGGATGAGGAGGAATATGATGCTGTGTCCCATGAACTGAGTAATATATCAGGGTCTCACAGGTATGTCATATTGCCATTACCAATCATCTACACCAGCTTATGTGTATCTGCTGCGTCCACTGACTTCCTGAACGCAACTTCTAGCGGGCTATCTGTATTTTAAATACTATAGTTGAATTAAACTTCTCTAGGACAACGAATCGATAAATTTATGCACATCTTGTCTAGTAGAATAGATCGATATTTTGAGCGGGTGGAAGTTCCCTTGTGTAATTGACTACGTCAACCAGGGACGCACAAGGAAAGTATTTTAGAACTTAAATTTTGCGGTCTGTCGGAGTCTAGATGAGTCTTAGTCTCTGTGGCAGGTGACTGTTGACCCTTATTAAGAACATGACTGCAGAAAGCTGTGTTGAGCTCTGCACTGAAGTATTCATATATACTTGACCAATCTAGGCATGCAGTAAATCGATAATATATGTACTATGGACATCAGTACTTACTATCACGAGTCAGACCTATGGGTGATCCTGCTTGCAGTTGCCGAGCACCATGGCTTCTATTACCAGGTAGTTATTATTAGTCTTGCTATCACTCGGTCTTACCCTAGGATATTTTTGGAACAAGCATCTCCCGAGATATCCTGGAGGTCATGTTTGACCCGAACATTTCATGTGCTCATGTTTTGGATCCTCGTGGCTTGGTGCTTATTACTTTCCCCTTTACATGTTTTCATATCAGTGCCTTCTTTACTAGCCGGCTTCTCTAGAACCTTTGATTATGCACCGCATCGGGGGTCCGATGTGGTCTACGACCCTGGAAATACCACGATTGTGGAGTGAGCCTTAGCTTCTGTTATCCTGTATAGGAGCCAACCTGACAACCGAAATTTGTAGTGTGTATGCTATCCACGGCCTCGGCTCGGATCCAGCGTCGACATGGACTAATTCACAAAACGGTACTAATGTCTCTTGGCTGAAGGACCTACTACCCAAGGTCCCTGGTCTTACCAATATCAAGGTCACGATGGTTAACCATCAAAGCCATTGGAGTGAGGATGCTGCCAATATGCAATTTGAAGATCATGCACGGACACTCTTGGATGAGATTGAGCGAGTAAGGCATGATGAAGGGGCTGAATGTCGACCGATCATATTTATCGCACACAGCTTTGGTGGTCTACTCTTGGAACAGGTACTTTTTTTCATTATTTCCTATTGATCCTCGCACCCAAAGAATTTCCATCACTAACCTCAGAAATAGTTACTAGTAGACGCAAAGAACCGGTCCAGTGAAGTCTCAACCAACACAAGGGCAATATTATTCCTCGGCGTCCCTCATATGGGTGCACAGGCTTCGATAGTCGGACTTTTAATATCCTGCACCGCTTATTGGCGTGGCTCATCATCGAGCCTGTTGGAATACGTGTCACCGGGTAGTTTGGCCATCAGTCGCCTTGAATCTTCTTTTTCCGATGCCTATATAAGCAGTCAGCCAGACCCGCCTTATATATGCGACTTCATGGAGACACGGTCTGAAAGGATAGGAAATCTCTTCTGGGGTCCAGTAAGGTCTCCCTAGTGGAATCATAAAATTACTAGAGAAGTAGAGCTGATATGAGCTAGATTGTGCCTGGAAGTTCTAGTGATCCGCACCATGGCGAGGTAGTATATCTCGATGCTGACCATCGCGGAATGAACAAATTTGCTTCCGCTGATGACCCCAACTTTATAAAATTTAAGACGAAATTTACCAGGGCATTCATAAAGGCTTTGAAACATGGTATGTGGCTTGAGACCCAATCCCCCCCCCGACTTGCAAGGCTCCTTTAGGGAAAGACACTCTAAACATACTACTATATGAGCCTGGGTAAGCTGATATGGAGAAAAGCCAAAGTTACTTCGATTCCTTTTAGCCGGGACACGAAGTTCACCGACCGCCAAGATATCTTACTTGAACTTGATGACAAACTAAAGAGAAGTCAGCTTGCCTCTCTTGCGGGGATCGATGGCGTTGGGTACATTCCCTTCACTACGTGTTGAGAGCCTTTGCTAAGCTCAGGTCCAGGAAAACTCATACTGCCATAGAATATGCCCACCGATTTCAGGAGCGGCATCCGTGTGCTGATATCTTCTGGGTTCAAGCAGGCACAAAAGACATGATTGAGAAAGGATGTCATGATATTGCAATGTCTCTAGATTTACCAGTTGATAATCCTGAAGGGCTAAGTATCTTCTCGCGCGTGAGCTCCGCGCTTAATGATAACAGAGAAGGGCATTGGCTTCTAATTTTCGATGGTCTGGATGATCTAAACTTGCTCTATGGCCCCAATGGCATTGCCAATATGCCGCACAGTGCCAAAGGTTACACTCTACTTACCACACGAGATAGGAGAGTGGGTCTCAGGCTCACGGGGATTCATGATACAATATCTGTCTCACCAATGGGGCTGGAGGATGCAAGGGAGCTGATGACAGTTCTATTGCATGAAAAGCCAGGCTTGGATGATAATGGCACAATGGATCAAATTATAAATGCCCTGCAAGGCTTGCCATTTCATATTTCCCAGGCGGCGGCCTATATTGCAAAAAGACAAGATTCCCTTGGACACTATTTGCGAATACTTAGCAATCCCACGGAGACAACGGAGTTGATCGATCAAAGCTACAATAATACTGACCTCCTCCCAAGGCCTGAAAACGCGGTTACTATGCCGTGGAAGATTACATATGATTTCATCAGACGAGAAAGCCCCAGAGCAGCGGATATATTATGTCTCATGGCCACTTTGGATGCTCAGTCTATACCTATTCAGCTACTTCAGAGACACGGTGAAAGCCTTGTTGCGTTTGATAAAGAGACAGGCCTTTTGAAGTCGTTCTTCTTGATTACATCAAACGCAAAAGGAGACAGTCTAGGTATGAATCGGTTACAGCAGCTGTCCATCCAACATTGGCTGGAGCTACAGAATGCCCTCGATGAATGGAAGGAAAAAGCAATGGATGAAGTTCTTCGTTTGTGCGCCCATTTGACGGGCCGCAAGCAATACGAATGCTTGGAAACAGTGTACCCTCATATTCAACTTCTACTGGCGTATGACTTCCGCACTCACAGTAGCAGGATCAAGGTTGGATATCTTCTCATCTTGAAATCGGAATATGACACGTCAAGAGGTCGATTCGCTCTTGCGAACGAGCAACTGGAAAGATCCGTTGGCATATGGAAAACGAGCTGCAGTGACCGCAACCACTATGCCATACGAGGCTTACAGCTTCAAGGAAGGGCTCTCGCGTTCCAGAATCGAATGGACGAGGCAGAAGCTGCAATTAGAGCGGCTTTTTGCGCGTTTGGCCAGATATACGGGCCAGATGATAGCAACACCCTAAGCGCCCTGATGGACCTGGGAAGTGTACTCAAGTATAAACAGTTGGATGAAGCGGAACACATATATTCCACGATATTCTACTTAACTTCGGGAAGGATGATTGAAAACCAGGCCTATGATCTAGAGGCCAAGCATAATCTCGGCGTGATTGCGGAAACTCGAGGAAACCATTCCGAGGCAGAGCGTATCCTGCGAGAAACCCTCCACTTAAAGCAGCAAAGATACGATCCTAAGAGCGAGTTTATCTTTCGGACCATGAATATGCTCGCTATTGTTCTACAGAATCAGGGCAAAGTTCCAGAAGCAGAATCCTTGTTCCGAGAGACGCTCCGTCTAAGAGAGGAAGTCCTTGGGATCGCAGACAAAGACACAATGTACACCCTGGAGATACTGGTAAAGCTTCTAGCGAGATCAGAGAAGTTTGAAGAAATGGTTGATTTTGCATTTCAACGTGCCGAGCGACTAAAAATGGTCCACGGAGTCAGGAACAGGGACACATTGGACGCGTTTAACGATTTTGAGGTAGCGTCATTCCAACAAGGAAAATACAACGATGCTATCGCTTCGATTGAAAGGACCCTTCCAGTCCGAATAGACTTACTAGGGCCAAATGATCCTGATACACTGATGAGCAAAGTTAACTATGCCGTCTCACAGTGTGGGCAAGGGAGAAAGCGTGAGGGACTCAATTTGTTGCGGGATGTTTTAGAAACACGCAAAAGCCTTTATGGATTGGAGGACCCCAGAACTCTCAAGACGCAAGAAAAGCTTCAAATCGCCGCCGATGGAATTTGTCGGGAGATTTTCACTCCTTCTGTGAGGGTGAGGACGACGTATCCGACCACCGATGCCGACCCAACCATCATGGTAGAACTTTGTCCGTCAGATTGACGGCAGTGTTTTACCTGTTGGCTTCTATGCAGGGTGCACTGATATTGTTGAAATGCTGGCAAAAATTCACCGGAAAACTAGGTTAAAAAGTAAATAATACATTGAACCATTACTTTAAAATATAGGTCAAGATTTCTCTTCCGATAGTGTATCATTTTCGATGGGAGTTGTATCTTCTGATCAAGGTTTCTCGATAGCACATGCTGATCTTTTGCAATATAAGGATGGTGACGTGTTCAGTTCTTGTTTGAATTCTGCAGATGATGCTCATGTTGATGGGTATGTGTTTCTGTATCTTTAGGCAATATGCGTAATCCCGTAATTGGGTGGTCCTAGGCAGCAAATGAATGTTCGAAATCATGACCCTTCGAGATTTATATCCCCTGAAGAGGGTGACTGATGGAGAGAGGTTTAGAAGGAATAGGTGGTTAAATAGAAGCAACGTTAGAGTTGCTTCACTTGTAGTGAATGCTGCCTATATATACCAGCTGCCTAAGAACTGCTTATATTCATTTTATTGATGCAGGCAGTCACCTGTTATATTAACTGACTCGACTTGGCAATCTAGAATATTCATCTTTTCTCCTCAACATCTACCTCCCCTACTTCTAGCATCTATATCCATAACAGTAAGTCCATCCCAACATCACACATCTACATTAACTCACATACACTAGATTACCATCAAAATGCACCTCCCCTACCTAACCCTCGTCCTCCTCGCAAGCCTCTCCACCGCCTCCGTCCTCCCAGATAGGAACATAACAATCTCCTCCAGACAAGCAGAAATCTGCGATACCTGCCAGCCAAATGCAGCTGGGTATGTCATCGACGCCGCCCTGGAAGAAGAGCCCGCCATAACCCGACAAAAGAAATGCAAACCGCTCAATGCGAAGTGCAAAAAGACGAAACAGTGCTGTATGGGCGTTTGTCGGCGAGCCATGCTCTTCAAGTATTGCGTGCGGCCGGAGAGAAAGGGGAAGAAGAAGTTTGAGGTTTGGCAGGGGGGTTCTCTGGAGAGTGACGATGGCGTTGATGATGAGGAAGAGGATGCAGGGGATGACACTCAGGTTGAGTGAGTATTCACTTTTATGTTGACTGATGTATTATCTTGCTTACATCTGTATTTGAATATGTGTCTTCCGTTTGTTGGATTGCTATTTGTACTGTTATCACTTTATAGAGCATATTTAATACAGCTCCATGTCTTATTCAAATCCATAGTCCTCAGCTACACTTCTCATCAGCCCTCTCAAACTCAACAACAGGCCTATTCCCCACCCCCAAGTGCACAATAACATCTATAATTATCAGCATCCCCATCAGTAAAAGAAACAGAAAACATACCATCCCCAAACTGCGGCCACCCCAACCCATCCAACCCACACACTGGATCCTTAATAAACCGCCCCCAAGCTTCCCTCATAACCCCCTTCAACTCGCTCTCCCCCCTAGACTCAGCAAGCCCCGAAATATTCTCTGACGCACCGAAAAGCATATGAAAATCTACACCATGATACGCTCCACTTCCCGGATAGAGCCGCGTATTCGCCCAGTCGGCGTGGTACTCGAATCTCCACACGGGGACGTGAAAGTGCGCGCGGTGCGAGGCTTGGATGTTGGATGGACAGTAGAAGGTGTCCGTGTTGAATGATTCCCACTGCGACGGGGGGAGGGTGACGCCGGCGGCGTAGGTGGTTACTTTGTAGAAGCCGGCTTCGTTGGAGGTGTGGCCGACCAAATAGGGCTGTAGGATTAGTATAGATGGATGAGGATGGAGGAGGGGGCGTACTATCCGAGCAAACTTGCCCTGAGACGAGAGCTGAGTATAGTTGGCAAAGACAGTAACGTTGTCGATGGTAGGCTGAAACGCCGGTGCCTTTCTCGCCGGATTATCACCAGCCACTTTCACCTTTGCAGCAGCGTTGATGATGTCCGTCGCATTCTGCCTCTTCATACAAGACAGCACATCTTCCTCACTCCCTCTCCCACATCCCAATATCTCCGAAGCATCATACCAATGCCTCGCTGCCTCCTCAGGACTACTGATCGGGAAGCTGAGCGCAGTTCCAGAATGCGAAATGAGACCTTTGACGATCGGATCGTCCGCATACGCATACGCCCAGTAGTCGACTGACGTACCGCCAACAGATTGTCCAGATACAACGATTCGATCGGGATCACCGCCGAAAGATCTGATATTCCGCTTCACCCACTCCACTGCCAACCGCTGATCCAGTAAACCAGGGTTGGGCGGGTGGTTGGGAATACCCGGGAAACCAAAGATATTGAAGCGGTAGTTGACAGTCACGACGATGATGTCCTGTGCGTCGGCAAAGTAGCCACCGTAGTAGAAGGTTGTATTTGATGAGCCTCGTGTCCATCCTTCATCGTCAGTATCATATCATAAATAATAAAAAGGAGACATACTCCCACCGTAGAAATGCACATAAACCGGCTTCAGCGCCGACGAAGGCTTAGCCCAGATATTCAGAGTCAGGCAATCCTCGCTCTGCGTGTTATTATTAACATACGAGAATTCGTCGAAGATGCGATCAAACTGGGCTGTTTTGTTGGGATAGGCCACTTGGCCATAAGAGGGATACAAACAGTCGCTGTTTATTAGCATACTGTATACATAGTGTGTATAACTCACCATCCCTACACGTTAGCATGTCTATAATATAATATAGGATACTTACATATTTATCAGCAACAGACGAATTGGTCCTGTTCAACTCAACCGGCGGGGCAAATCGCAACTTTCCCACGGGCGGCTGCGCGTACGGAATCCCCAGCCATTCGAGCACAGCTGGGCTTTTGGACGCATAGTGGCCGGTTATTTCGCCATTGGATGTTAGAGCCTGCTGTGCTATACCGAAAGGAAGGAAGAAGAGGTAAAAGAGCCGCATGCTGAAAAACTGGAGTGAAGATGGAATGAAGATGCGGGGTCTGAATAAATAAACAACAGGAGCCAAGATATGCAGCCAAGAAATAGTGTTGCATTTATCGCATTATATATATTATAGATCTATTACATCCCATTAATTGACTCCCACAAATTCACAATCGACGCTTCATCCAGCAAGGCATCAATTACATCATCGCTAATATTTATCCCCTCCTGTTCGACTGACGGTACCTCTGGACCAACCTGCCGAATACCCTCTAAGAACAGCCCACGGAAAATAGACGCACTCGGGTACGCCTGCTGCATCTGCTCCAGCACCATCATGCAGAGATCGAGTTTATTCAATCCCAGTCTGCGGGAGAGTGTGTCGGGGGATTTACTGTTGAGTAAATGGACGTGCATGACTGGGACGAGGAGGGGTGGTCTATCATGCATGTTAACGACTGTGTTCAGTAAGTGGGATAGGATAGCTCACGTCATAGGCCCAGCGTAGTCGATCAACTTCTCCCGAGCAAGATTATCCAAGATTGCATTGGATTGAAGCGCAGCAGCGTCCATTTTCCGGCGGATGTTGAGCTGCCACGATTCTTGTTGTGTGATGGGGAGGTCATCCGGTGCTTTGGTGATGAAGCGGCGGTAGAATGTGATCAGGAAGGCTCTACATTATTAGACTGGGTTATATAAAATAAGGAAATGGGGTACTCACTGATAATGCAGCTGCAGATGGTAGATGGAGAACGTTACAAGCTGAGTCTGCTGGCCGTCATGATCCGGTACCTCAAACGCCAGCATCTCCTCTTCCAGAGCTTTGACCTGCGATAGGGACGGCGCAGGCCCTGATGGCTGATAACACAATGTCAAAACCTCCCCTAGCAACCCACTCAGCTGTATCATCTTCACCCACGGCTCTGCCAGCATCTGCATATCGCTGGGGATATACATATCCGCAATCTGACTTGGAACATCCAAATCAAACAGCATATCCTCCGCCGAAACCATCATCGTATCACAATCATTCAGATTGATGCGCAGTGGCCGCCCCATAGTCAAACTAAGCCAGCGATCACGGAAAAAGCACGTCCACCAGAGCCGTCGCCACAGCTTTTTCTGGTGGTCTGGGATAGAGTAATTGGAGAGGGCAGACGCAGAGCAGCGATGGAGGCCCATTGTCTGGCAGAGGGAGATGGCGTGGCCGGTCCAGAGCCAGGGGAGAGTGTGCATGTCTGTTTCTGAGTGGAAGAAGCCGAGGAGAAGGGCGGATTGGAGGAGGACGGTTTGGTTTTGTTCGTTGGTGTTGTGGTAGAGGCACTGTTTGTTAGATATAGTCATTTTATATGGGTGGTTATGGAGGTACCTTGGCCCGACAATGCATGTCGTCTTTCATCGCAATCCGCGATGTATACCCCTCCATCTGCCATGTCGCAACAGGAACAAACTACGGAATCAGCAGGCATCCATCAAAGGAGAGATAGACATACATTCGCAGCAACCGAAAACATACTCCATATCAGCAACAGATTCGACTGACTTCCATCCGGAAACGACTTGAGTGTAGCCGTCACATCGACCACCGGCATCATCGGATGCACATGGTGGAAATACGCCCGAAGCAGCTCATAGCACGTATCACTTCTAGGCAGATTAAACACCCCTTTATACTGCAGCCACTCGCGGTCTTGGTCGGACAGAGCCGTGGCTGTTTTTGATGGGATCATGATATGTCGAGGGACGGGTTGCTGGGACGGAGAGCAGAGGTCGAGGACTGCACCGAAGCCGGGTGTGTCGCCTGTATTATGGTATATTAGAATAGAATGCATTGATGATGACTGTGTAGAGACAAACCGGTGTAGAATGGCGCCTGGTCATTTCCCCTGCTATTTGCCCTGCTGCGTCCGAGAACCGTATTTGCTATCTCGGCCCCTGTGCGTTCTTCTTCTGGACGTAGACAGTTGTCTGTAGTCTCCAATTGACTCATGCTGTTCACAGCAGATGGATAAGCATGCACTTCTACCGGCTGAGGTGCGTTTCGGAAGTCCTCGGAAGGGGATGGATGCAGAGCCTGACCAGCTGGCAACGACGGTGATGGCTGCGGCGAGGCAATCCGCGACACTCGCTGGCTGGTAGAATAGTCAGTCTCATCCTCATAATTATTACGATGTCGTGCTTACGGCGCCTTTGCTGGAGGAATCACGCATTCCTGGCCATCCTGCGTACAGCCAATACAGGGTACGCCAGTGACCATTAAACTGCAGCGTACCTTGCGACGTCTGCAGTGCTGACAAGCAACAGTAGAACGATGGCGCCGAGAGGACATTATATTAGCTCGATTGATTAAATTAAATTGGTTGCAGGGATGAAGAATGACGATCCTCGGGTTCCCGAGACAGTTTTATCGGTGGCGACGGGCCGAGGAAGTACCGAGGTTCAGTCATCCGACAATAAGACAAAAGTTAACTACACAATAGCAATGCCTGTAAAAGCACGGTAATCATCCGAGTAAACCCTCTCCTTGTTCCCATCCAGACTGCAGCGGTAGATATTCCCGCCCAGATCCGTCACGTATACATGCCCATTTGGTACATCCAATTTCAACCCAATTGCCTCTTTGAAATGTCTGCAAAGAGTACTCTGAGTATCCAAAAGAAGCCCAGAATCACCCAGCTGGATTTTATTCAGTGAATTGCCGTACGGGATCTCGCCTCGGTCGGTCCAGTATAGCATCCGAGAGTTCTCGTCCACTTCCAGATCAATCGGTTCGGGTAGATCGGATAGGACGCATTTTATCTCTTGTCTTTTTCCATTGCCCGCAATAGGAGCACCGAAAATGCGCCCCTTCCCACCCTTTGAAGGCCCCTTTTGTGTCCAGAAGAACAGACCCAGAGTAGGGGCGACGGCGATGCCAACGCACCAGTTCAAGACGTCATCCGTGCTGTTGTCAATCAACACTTCCAAGTTGCTTCCATCGAAACTGCACCGGTAGATTCTGGCGCCTTCACGATCGGCAAAGTAGACTTTCTTCGCCACAGCATCCAGAGCCAGTTGTTTCGGGGTGTTGATGACTCCAGGCGCAACGAGCGTCTCAATGCTGCTGCCGTCTAGGTTGGCCGAGTATACAGCTCCATCATTCTTTCCAGGGACTCCCATGCACGTCCAGAACATGCGGCCACTGGCTTTGTCAACAGCCAGTCCATCAGGAAGAGCTTGTTTAGACACGAGAGATCGCGTGATCTTGCCACTAGTGGTCATTTCGAGAATCTCGCCAGACTCCAACCCAGGGCTGGCTGCTGATAGACCAAGATCCAGCACGATGATTTTGTCCTCAGAGTGACCATTGGATGTCTCTGAAGAGGGATAAAGACCACCCTTGGGGGACTTGTTTCCCAGCTTGCCATGGTCGAGGTATTCCGCCTTGAGAAAATCGACAGTCTTTTCAGATGGCAGACCCCGTTCTTGAATATAGTGTCTTTCGATAAACGCAACCGTATCCAGACCAACCTCTATACAAACAATTAGCACCGAACCCAGTAAAGTAAAAAAAATAACATACTATCCATAGTCCGGCAAGGCGGAATCCTCCCCTCCACGAAATTCTCCATCCACATCGCATCAATCTCCTCCGGCGCCGATACCCCCTCAGCGAGGATATTCATTACCTCACGCTTGATGGCCGCCCAGAGACGATTGAAAATGAACCCCGTCGACTCCCGTCTCGCCACATACGGCGATGTACCGGCTTCTCGACACTTCTCCACGAGAAAGGGGAAGATGGAGACATCCGTATATCCGTCCGTCATGAGCTCGACCATCATCGACTCGGGAGGCATGTAGTAGTGCATATTGAGGATGCGGGATTTCGTAGTCTCAGATACTACACCACCCAACATCTCGGACGACTTGTACGAAGACGAGTTCGAGGCGAGGATACAGTCCTCTGGTGCGAGTTTCTCGAGGTCAGCGAATGTGGTCGTCTTGAGGGAGAGGATCTCAGGCACGGCCTCGATGACCAGCCATGCCTTCGCCACTGCTTCAGGGAGGTGTTCGAAGGTGGTGACTTTGCCTGGCGTTTTGCGGGTTTTCTGTGCATAGGACACGACGTTCGTGGCGACGTAGTCTGTTGCTGCGGCGCGCTGGTCTGCGCTGGGATCGCGGACGTGGACGGTGTACCCTGCTGAGGCCCAGATGCAGGCTGTATACTTAGTATAGGAGAATGAGGATGGGAATGAGGGAGGAGTTACCGATGCGTCGTCCGAGTACGCCAGCTCCGAGTACTGCGACTGGGCGAGTAGAGTAGTTCTGGGGTGGGTTCCAGGAAGACATTTTCATATATGAGTTGAATAGATAGAATGGAATAGTTGTATACAAGCGTGTTGTGTTGATGTATTCTTCTACTGTCTGTAAGGCCTTTTATATCTACACCGACTACACACATAGTGTTCATTTGTTCCATCCGATAAAGTCCATCTCTTCGTCTGAGCTCGGTAGGCTGCCGTGATATCCGTGGATTGTATACTGATTGCCCGAGTGTCATTCCCAGGTATGTGGATGTAGATCCTGTACCCACTTACCTCGGAGATCCACACCTCGGAGACACAACAACTATGATAATAAATATACAAGGACACAGTATCTACTACGATCCTCTCAGAATCTACTCACTCATCCATCGCGACACTATCCAACATGGCAAACAAAGTCTACACCCTCAACGAGATCAAATCTCACAACACCAAACAAGACCTCTGGGTCGTCATCCACGGAAAGGGTACGCTCACACATCGCACTCCTATATCCAATCCAAGCTAATAAAAATAAAACAGTCTATGACATAACCAAATACACCCGCGACCATCCTGGCGGCGCAGATGTCCTCGTCGACGTCGCCGGCACAGACGCCACCGCGGCCTACGAAGACGTAGGCCATTCCGAAGACGCAGACGCAATCCTACAGACGTTTTGCGTTGGAACGGTCAGCGATGCGGGGGATTATACTCGTCCGAAGGCTGTGCGTGTGATTCAGGATACGGCAGAGAATGAGACCCGAAAGGGAGATGCGGGATCTGGTTGGGTGGGATATACAATCGGGACTGGGGCTCTGGGAGCGTCGGTTGTTTATGTTGTCTCGAGATGGGGGCACATATTCACGGTGCCTGCTATTCTACCCTCTGGGATTCTCAAAGGAGGCTTCTCGACTGGCTTCATCGCAGCCAGCTTGATATCCACTGCCATCGGGACCAAACTCGCAAAGCAGCTGTCAAAATTCACGCAAATCGAGTCCGGTTTCACCAAGTACCCTGCGTCCAAACCATCATCCCTCGTCAAGCACAATCCCCATCTCGAAGAAGGCTTCCTCGACGCAAAGGAATACAAATCCCTCCCGCTGATCCAAAAAGACACTCTCGCTCCAAACGTCTACCGCTTCGTCTTTCAACTCCCCAATGAAAACGATGTCATCGGCCTCCCAATCGGTCAGCACGTCGCTATCAAAGCTACAGTCGACAACCAATCCATCAGCAGGTCGTACACGCCGACCTCGAATAACCTCGACCGCGGCAGATTGGAGCTTGTCATAAAATGCTACCCTGACGGCCTGCTCACGGGAAAGTACCTATCCACCCTGCAGATCGGCGAGAAAGTCCAATTCCGCGGCCCCAAGGGCGCAATGAAATACCACAACGGCCTCTGCAAGAGGATCGGAATGATCGCCGGCGGAACAGGAATCACACCCATGTACCAACTCATCCGGGCAATTTGCGAAGACGACACAGACACTACTGAGATCAGCCTGATCTACGCGAACCGCACGGAGGAGGATATCCTCCTTCGCGATGAGCTGGAGACATTCGCGAAAAGGTACCCCCATAATGTGAAGATATGGTATATGCTCGATCAACCCTCGGAGAACTGGGCGTATGGAAAGGGGTATGTCACGCAGGCGGTTATGGGGGAGAAATTGCCTGGTGCGTCGGCTGATACGAAGATCATGCTGTGTGGACCGCCGGGGATGGTGAATGCGGCGAAAAAGGGGCTAGTTGGGCTGGGCTTTGAAGCGTCAGGGAGTGTGTCGAAGATGACGGACCAGATTTTCTGTTTTTAGTGTTTGGTGTTTGGTATTTTGTTTTGTATTGATAGAGATAGAATAGAGTGTATTGCTTGTATCGTATATCTAGTGTTGTTTTTCTATATGTGGTGTAATGTGTAGTGGATATCATCAGACCTCTTCTTCGCCCCAAGAAAATTACCAGCGGTAGTCCAACAAGATCACAATAATTACTCTTTTTTTGACTGCCGTTGCGTCATGACATTGATAGTAATATTACTAGTATCTACAAGTGTGCCTACTCTGTAATCCAGCAGTATGCTGGCGGGTAGTGTAATGGTAGGCACTTCCTCGGCGATCACCTCTAGATAGATTGTTGTTGGACAATGAGAGTAAAGGTGCTCTCTCACTAAAATAAATAATAGCCATCTTTAGGTGGTTGTGCAATGGTAAAATTGCCAAGGTATTGGCTTGCCTGTGTCTATCTCCAAGGTATGGTAGAGGGGCCTAACTATAAGCATAGATGGGAGGGGAAATTAGATAATTGGCGTGCACTGACGCATCTGAGGATATGAAGAGGATACTAGAAACCACTGAACCAGCTTGCATTATTTATTAAGTGTCTTTTGGAATTAGGGGAGCACCCGCTGCGTGACATAATTCATCTTGGTATGTATAATTACTGAGGGAAGAGGAGTTGGGCCTTGATTGCGGTCACGGGATATGTCTCGAACAAAAAAATGTATCTAGATAGGTGGCCAATCCCAGCCAGTCATTAGGGATCTGCCGCCAATCGGCCGAATGGCTGACAGATGCGGGAATAACAGGTCTACTACTACTACTACTAGTCCAGTAGTATTCTAAGTCGGTAAAATTCCACAACACCTAAGCGTGGCCTTCCGTACTCCCACTACCGAGGTGACTACCGCCACTGAAGTCGACGAGATTCGTCATCCATCCCGATCACCATCCCTCGGTATCGGTGAGAAGCCAAAAATAAAGTATCCCGAGGGAGCGGAAAGGTTTAATTCTCCGAACCAATCGGAATGCAGTATATTGGCAGGCCCACCCACCGAGGTATGAAGTGGAGATGAAGTCGGCACGGCATGCCGAAGATAGCCCCAAGGGACTGTATGAGTGCAGTTGGCAGATTTATAAATGTAGGGAAATGGCAGGAAGAAATCGTCAACCAGAACAGCAACAATCAATATGCCAACTCAGCAGTTCCATCTTCTCGGGGAGGAGCCCTCCTCCGCCAAACAGATTGATGTCTCCGTCAAAACTCTCGTCGATCTGAAAGACTTGATTGCGGCGCATTTTGCCATCGTCGAGCCTAGCGGTAAGCCATATCTCCTCTATAATAGAGGCCTACTGACAGTAAAGGCATCGGCTTCCAATCCCAAAACACCATCCTCCACGACATCCCGTCCATCACGTCCACTGCCTCCCCCGTGGCAATCACCATCGACGGCCACGCAGTCCGCGATGCCCCCGGTCCCCCCGGCCTCCCCTATGTGGGTAACTATCTCGAAGTCTACCCCGACCACCTGGGTAACCACCAGCGTCTCTTCGATCAATACGGACCATTGATCAAAACGACAAACATGGGACGCGTGACATACCAAACCAACGACCCGGTCCTGTCTGCCATCGCTTTCGCCGAGTCTGACTTTTTCACGAAATACATCAACCCCGCGCATCCGTTATACGCACTCAAACAGCCCTCGGCGGGTATCTTTCTCGGCGACACTGACACGCCCGAGTGGAAGGTGACGCACAAGTTCCTCCCGCCTGCACTCGGCCCAAAGGCAGTGCGGCACTATACGCCCACCATGCAGACGACCGTCGAAGATGCCTTCACTGTCTTCGACGCCTTCGATGAGAAAAACGAAGCCTGGAACGTGTACCAGTACATGCTGAAACTGGGCTCGCAAGCCGTGGGCAAAATCACCCTCGGCATTGACTTTCAGCATTTCTCGGCCCCGGACACGCCGCTGCATGAGATGGTGCATGATATTGCGGAGTTGCTTTCGTTGAATAAAAAGGTTACCTCTCGGGGTGATTGGTATGGGAAGCTGCCGTTTGGGGAGCCGGCGCGGTTGAAGCAGGTGAACAAGAAGATTGTGGAGATGGTGGGGGAGTCGATACGGCGGGCTGAGCGTGGTGGTGTGACGGATCTGCCATTGCAGGACGCGGCGCTGGAGGCGTCGAATATGGTTGGTATGTTACTTCATACTACCTGGATCATATTTCAAGATGAGTTGAAAAGCTAATGAAGTAGACTATGCCATCCGCGCAACCGATAACAAAGGCGACAAACTCCCCAAATCCAACCTTGTCTGGTCACTCGTCGTCGCGACAGCCGCCGGCTTCACGACCACCAGCTCGCTCCTCTCATGGTTGATCTACGGGCTCGTCACGTACCCAGGCATGCAGGACAGACTCCTCCAAGAACTCATCGACCACGGCATCGACGAGAATACCACCATCACCGCCGACCTCACCGACCGCCTCACCTTCCTGGACAAGTACATCAAAGAAACCCAACGCAGGCACAACCCATCCTACCAGCCCGGCCGCACAGCAAAGATCGATACCATCCTGCCAGGTGGCTACAAGATCCCCAAGGACTCGGTGCTCATTCCCGCCTTACACCACATCCACAATAACCCCAATCTATGGGATAACCCGCATCAATTCAGCCCTGATAGATGGGATACTGAGGAAGTGAAGAACAGGCATAAAGCTGCGTATATCCCCTTCGCGATGGGTCCGAGAATGTGTATCGGGTTCAATTTCGCACTGCAGGAGATCAAAGTGTTCCTGCCGAAGCTGATCTATCGGTATAAGTTTATCAGAGAGGGAGATGGGACGGTGGAGTATGATCCGATGTTCCAGTTGATCAGGCCGAATAATTTGTATGTCAGGGCCGAGAGAAGGGTGAAGTGGCCGTCTAAGAGTGACCTTTGAGGCTGTGCTTGACCATCATTATTATTACGCTGTTTAGAAGAAGACAGATAGTCTATCCTATATATAACTGAGTTTTTGTCCAATATTTTCTGAAACAAGATGGTCTCCAGACGACAGTAAAGCCCCCAACGGATAAATCCATCGCAAAGACCAGAGAAAGATACAAACCTCCTGCCCTCCCTTCCATCTGCCCTCGCGCTCTAACACTTCCTCTCCCGATGAACTTCCTGCCGAACTAAATGAGGTGCATTTACTTTCGGAGGTGTGCTAGGAGTGTGGGTATGCGGTTGATGGGATGCCGTTTCGGATTGTTCAGTATGGGAATGAGAAGGCGGCGTTGCGTAGGAGGGTATAGGATCAGAACATTTATTCATCGATAAGCAGAAAATAAAAAGATAGTATCAGACAGTAAATTAGAAATTATCATCGAGATTAAAATAAAAATCCCTCTATCCGAGAGCAGGTCATGTGCTCTCACCGTCCGCGTGACTCATCCATTTTTCATCAACAATAATTTAACGTCAACACAACAACAAACATTTTTCCAAATCATTCAAGATGTCTCAATCACCATCAATAGTGATAGTCCCAGGTGCATGGCACTGTCCCCAGCACTATACCCGCCTCATCAATGGCCTCAACAAAGCCAACTACGATGCCGTCGCCGTAGCTACGCCATCGTACAACTCCAGCCCTCCCCATGCCAGCTGGGACCAAGACGCGCAGGCCGTGCGTGATGTTATTTTAGAGAAACTCGAAAAAGGGCAAGATGTCATTGCTGTCGGTCATTCCTTTGGCGGCGTTGTCATGTCGGAGGCTGTGAAAGGGTTGGGCAAGAAAGCGCGCACTGAACAAGGTCTGTCTGGAGGTGTTATCAGGCTTGTTTATATGTGCGCGATGGTGTTACCCAAAGGCCAGACTCATCTTGGGCAGATGAAGCCGCAAAGTCCCGAGGAGGAGGAGCTGGAGCGACAGCGTCAGGAGATGGCAGAGAAGCATGGTGGGATGCAACTTACAGAGGTATGCACATATATCAAACCTCATTTGGATTATAGTAGCTAAGCGAATCAGGATGGAGCAATAATCCTCCCCAAAGACATCATTCGTGATGTCTTCTACAACCGCTGCGATCCAAACGACGTGCAAGAAGCCTTGGATCTTTTAGGCTCGTTTCCACCAGGCCCAATGGCGGTGCCGGCGACATACACGGCCTATCTCGAGATCCCGAGTACATATATCGTGTGCGACAACGACAATGCATTGCCGGCAGTAGTGCAAGAGAGAATCATTGCCGAGGGCAAGGGTGCATTCGATGTGGAGCGATGCGAAGAGGGCCATTCGCCGTTTTTAAGTAATCCGGAGTTTATCGTGGATTGCATTCGCAAGGCTGCGGGGGATATCCAAAATAGATAGTGACAAGCTGATATCTTATCAACCATCTCCACTCAATGACAGAACACAACTGAAGCATCCTAATTGATCATAAACTGAAAAGACGATGAAATAGCCTCGATGAGGTGATTGTGGGCCCGGACAACATCCGCTGTCAATACGTGCTTTGATCCTGGCAGCACGTCAGGCGGAGATGTCAACAACACTCTTAAACAGATGGTTTCACAAAGGACATGAATATGTTTCTATCTGAAATATTAGAAAATGGCCGATTCAAAAAATAACATACGCAGCGCAGAAAGCAGCGTCGAAGATGACAAAAACAACCTGCACTATGCCAGTCGAGGCGAGATACTCGGCGACAACTCGGAGGAGATCACAGGATATGATTCGGAATGGATGCGCGCCAGAACGTCTCTGACTGCTGAAGAAGAGAAGAAGCTCCTGCGTCGGATGGATTGGCATATCATGCCTCTATGCGCGATCATGTTTCTGTTGAAGAATATTGATTCGGAGAATGTGTCCAATGCGAAGATTATGAATAAAGGAACAGACCGGAACATCCTGACTGAGTTGGGGATGACTTCGAACGAGTATAGTCTCGTTACTGTTCTATACTACGTCAGTATCTCATCAATGGCATGCGGATTAATACTGATCGTGTAGATTCCGTATATTGTGGCTGAAACACCGTCGAATCTGCTCATCAAGCGAATGCTTCCGTCACGATGGCAGTCTCGCATTCTGGTTGGTTTGTCTTCTCATATTCTGTCCTTTTCTAATAAAAGCAGGTTAGTTGGGGATTGGCGCTTGCATGCCATACTGCCGTCACCTCGAAGCAAGGACTCTATACAGCCCGTTTCTTTTTAGGATTGGTAAGACATCTAATACATACCGTTTATTGGATACTAACCTGAACAGTTTGAAGCCGGCCTCTTCCCTGGAGTGATCCTGCAGCTGTGCTATTGGTATCGACCAGATGAAATGTCACTTCGATTACTCTATTTCTGTAAGTCTCTTACTCCTCTAGAATACTCCATCTAACAAAAGCAGACATTCTGGGCAACTTTTCCGGAATCATCAGCGGTGTTCTGGCATACGCCTTTGACACTGTCTCTGGCTCTCACGGTCTGTCGGGCTGGCAATGGCTGTTTCTCACTGAAGGCATCATCACCATTGCTTTTGGGTTTTCGCTCATCTTCATTTTTCCAGACTGTATGTCTCCTTATCCTACTGGATATAGTATATACTAACTTATGACAGTCCCTCCACAGGCAAAGTGGTTGACAGACAAAGAAAAAGCCTTCATCCAAGCACGACTCCCTCGAAATGCACCTCGCGCTCACGAAGTCAACTTTAACTTCAAGGAAATTGTGAATTCCCTCAGAGATAGCCGTCTGTGGCTATTCACTCTTATCTGGGCATTCTTCACCGTCGGAACCCATGGACTGAGATTCTATCAACCTACCGTCATCGCAAATCTTGGCTTCACGTACGTATCCCACCTACTCACCATATATAAAAACTAACCAAAAAGTGGCATCGCAACAACCCAACTCCTCAACATCCCCACCTCCATCCTCACAGTCCTCTGTATCGCCGTCTTTGGTCTCTGCGCCGACAACCCCCGTCTCCCCCGCCCACTTTACCCCCTATCCTTCCTCGTCGTCATCCTCGCCTGCTACGGCGTGCTATACAGCTACCCCTCCAACGGCGCCGTCTACGCAGTGACCGTCATTGCCAACGCCCTCGGTAGCGCCTGGTACCCGCTGATGTGGCCGTGGCGGGTACAGACAACATCCAGCGCGACCGGCTCCGCCTTCTCCATCGGCTTTGTGAATAGCTACGGCCAGATTGGAGGTGCGATTGGTCCACAGATTTTCCGGAGTGAGTATGCGCCGAAATACACGGTGCCGTTTGCGGTGACGATGGGGTTGATTGCAGGGTGTATACTTTTGACCCTGGGGACGTGGTGGGTGACAAGGGGGACGGAACGGTCAACGAGGAGGTTGAAGTTGGCGAGGTTGGAGGCGATGAAGAGGGGCGAGGCTGTGTTGGAGGATGTGGTTGATGAGGATAGGCGTAGATAGTATATTCTACAATGGATCATATACCTGGTCAACTTTATACCAGGGGACCGTACCCATCTGGTTTCTTTTTGCCCAATTTGGTAACATTTATTGAACCTGCAAAATTCTTCTTACTTTAATATTTAACCAAAAATGATATATTCTCATTTTATCGTCCATGACGAGTCCCGAAGATCGCAATGGCGGCAATACAGTTTGTTGATCGATTTGGGGGGCATCCAACTAGTTCAGCACACCCCTTCCGGCTATAAAACAACATTTCTGCAGAAATGATCCGATGTAATTTTGATTCTATAGTCAAGTAATGATATCAAAATGCATTAGTCCCTTCTCGTCGCGTTGTTGACTGATGTTGTGAGGTTCAAGGTTTAGGGATTATATTTTTATACGTGTATATTTAGCATTAATAGCAATTATCAGGTTTATATATTTAGCCTACTTGATACAGACAGTATACTACTGAAGTTAGATAGTCCCTAGGACTCATTCCACAGCCACAAAACCTCCTCCCTCCGGAGAATCCAGGTATGACTATTCCACTGCCTCATATACTCTGTGAAACGCCCCTCGAACAAATACCGCTCATAGTTGCGGACGATAGCCTCTCCATCTGGTCCACCCGCAGCCATAAACATATCCCGTACATGACCATCTCCGTATGCTGCCCCACGGATACTTCCTCCATAGCATGCTTGAGCCCGACATGCCTGCCAGAGGGGATCTGTGGCATCCAACCCCTGTCCTAGATCGATCCATCGCGTCACCATCACAGCCGGATCTCGTGCGTAGTTTCGCACCTCGATTTGAAAGTCGAGATTGCAGGTCTGACAGTGGAACATACTGGACACAGTTTTCTGTTTCGATGTCAAATCATGGTGTTCCAGGAACTCGTGCAGGAGTGGGGTCATTTTAATATCAGATAGCAACACATCCACACACACGTTTACAAAGTCCAGACCCCATACATCTGGACGATGCTTGCGACGATGAGGATCTGGATAGTTGAACAGCACCCAGCTCTGCACCTGCAGGACAAAAGTGGCCTCTCCAGTGGATGTCTGGCAGATGCGAGGCTCAACCGCCACCATCGTGGTGCATCCCTCGAACCCCGCGTTAATCTCCAGATAAGCCAGAGACAGCGGGTTGAGTCCATGCTTAGGTCCACGACGGTACCTCCTCATCGCCGCCTTCAGAGGTGCTTGAACCGATAAAAGCACCGCTGGTAATTCACATGCACGTCAAAGTATTTGGGCGACAGCCATAGCCGATGCCCCTTTTGCTGGCACAAGATGCTACCGTGTTGGGCCCAGTACTCGGCTCGCTGGTCTCGTCGCCGCTTGGGCGGGGGATGCAAGCGTTCGCAACACATACACTCATCCAGCCCGGTGTCTTTTTTTAACCCCCAGAGAAAGGATCTCGGCAGGGACCTCTCATCGCGGAGTCGGATCCATGCTCCGGTCCCGAGTTTGGCGTGGAGGGCTTGGTTGATGAGAGGGAGGTTTGCCTGTTCAGTTATGTCAAGGTTTTTTTCGATGAGGAGGAGGATTTCTGTGGGGAGACCTGCGAGGCTGGCTTGTTTGATATCGGCAGTTGACATGGTTTCGATCTGGTTGAATCTGCTTGTATCTTGAATATCTTAATTTGTGACTGTGAATGAGAGGGTGGATTTCATCTTGCGTTGTTTAATAAAAAGCGTTGCAAATTAGGGTTAAATCAGGCATTGTTTCTAGGTATGCTGTATATCATAGATTACGTAGCGTTGGTACTAGTCCAGATCTAATCCACAGGCAGACAGCATGTATAACTGACATCACTTAGTGAACAGACCATTATATAAATACGGATAAGCTTTGACCATGTAAAAGCCAAGATTAGATTAAACTCAGACTAGCGCTTGTCTACATGTGGGATATCTCCCTTCTGCAGACTATATTAATCGTTTGAATATTTTCCTAGATGACGAGGTGTAAATACGAGGTAAATTCTACTTCTACATTTTCAAACCAACACCAACACTAGAACACGATATGTATTCCTCAACTATTCTTGCCTCCATCCTAGCCGGTGCATCGTTACTTGGCCAAGTAACCGCAAACGAAACGTCCAATTATACCCTTGACCGTATGTCTGCCTCCATAACCGTATACACAATCACTAACACCCCTCTACAGCAACTGGACTGGCCCATGCTCCCTCTTCGGCTTCGGCGACGGCGAATGTCTAAACGTTGAGTTCTGGGATACCCTTGGCTCTATCGGTCCTGATCCTAGTATGTACGCATGCTGATTTAGCGAGCAAAATAACTGATATTATTTTTAGATCTGGTATGCTCTATGTTTGTGGAGCCTGGAAACTGCTACAACCCAGTTGGAAATCTCAACTCGGGGGATTTGTGTACCCTGGTATCGCGGATTTGCAGACCTGGCAGGATGGGCAGACAGGGAAGCCGGCGGGGTATTGGTTTAATAATGCCCAGTCGGTGCAGTGTTTGTATAATTAGTAGGATAGGGAGAAGTAGGGTTGGATGGTCTTGGCTTGTGTGTTGATGTTGTTATTGTATTTGTTAATGTCCTAGCGGAAAGAAGGCAGAGCCATCCATCTATGATGATGACCCTAACGAACGACCTTAATGCTACGCCTCCCCCCTCCCATTGGGTAAAGGACGGACTAGTGGGCTACCTTTTAAAATTGAGTGATTTTACTAGTTCTTTATACCTGTTCTCAATGGTCAGTTAAATTGGAGATGTGGTCACTGGAATTCCACTGAGCCTTTCTGTCTAGATAGAGTTCCAAAAAAATAGTTTCCTACAACTACTGTCCGATTCAGAGTGTTGCGAGGCAAAAAGAACAGGCCCGAGCCGCGGATCGAACGCGGGACCTCTCGCAGATATGCTTGGGTTGTTAGAACTCATTGAGCTCTCCCTAAGCGAGAATCATACCACTAGACCACCCGGGCTGTAATCACGTGTTTGGCCTTTGCTGTAGCGGCATTATTAATGTTCATCAGAGGACTATGAAAAATAATATCGGCACTGCCAATCGGAAAGTTGCATGCGAAAATTTCTAGTCTAGTCTATAAAGAAAACATATGTACCATCTAACTCATACCGTTCGTGAGCTGGACCAACTGCACGTAAAGCCCCTTGGTCTTGATTCTCCAAGACTTCCCCCAGTACAAAGTCGGGATGATGAACGCAATCGAAACAAAATCAATCACCGCCAGCGCAATGTACGTGTTTTGGGTCCCGGATTCGTCCAGCCACAACGAACACACAAAGGTGAAGATACAAGCCAGGGTATTGTTGATGATCGAGACCCCCACCATGCCCTGGATGACGATCTCCGGGTATGCATCCATCAAGTACGACATGGCTGTGTCGCCGATCGATCCCCAGCCGAAACCAATGCAGGCGAGACCCCCGTATACGACCCAGGCTGGCCATTCGCCGCCTTTGGCTGCACCGACGCCAAACATGATTAGACCGACGGGGGAGACAAAGAGGGTGATGAAGAGGAGCCAGAGTCTGTACTCGGGCTCGTATAGACCGTTGTTCTTCTTGGCGATCCGGAGAACATGCATGTCAGATAGGACGCCGGACATGATGCATCCCAGGACTGCACCGATCAAAGTGGCCACGTTCATGATCGCCACACCGGTTTCAGTATAATTCCATGGCGGATCGTAGAAGAAGGTATCTTGTGTGGTGAGGAAGAATGACATGTACGCATCTTGCAAACCCCACAAGATACCAGACAACCACACAGCAGGCAACGTAAAGACCTTGAAGTAGACAAGGAAGCGCTTGATATACTGCCTGACGCCAAAGCCCTCGATAAACGAAGACGGAGTAATGATGGCAATCCTCTTGTGGTACGGCAGCAGCTTCTCTTGCTTATCGGTAGCCTCAACATCGTCGGTATCGTCTCTGCCGTCGCCAAGATCACTACTATTGATCCTGAGGCCATCGGGGCCTTTCTCCTTGGAGTGCGACACGCCCGAGTCAACATTTCCAGAATTATTGGACTCGTACAACGGGAAGTGCTTTGGTCTGTCAAACACCGTTTCCTCACACGCAAAGATAATCACGATGAGCGTCGCACCGCTGACGATGGCCCCCCACCAGCCGACCCATCTGAATCCCTGGGACTCGGCAATCAAATGCGCAATCAAAGGGCCGAGAAAGGAGCCCACAGAGGTGGCCATAATGTAGATGGTCAAGACGGAACCAAGCTGATGCTGAAAGAAAATATCCGCCAGGGACTGCTGCACTTGGGCTTCGGCACAGGCCTCCGACATGCCCACAAAAGCCTGCGACCAAATTGTATCCGCGGTCCGTTTGGACAAAGCAAACCAAACGGAGCCTAAAGTGCCCGACAAGATACAAATAATGTACGTGATTCTTCTGCCGTACAGAGACGAAGCGGGCGCGAAGAAAATACACGACCAGCCGATGAAAAGGAACAGCACACCAGCCCCCGTGTTCATCGAATCATAGGAAATCCCATACACCTCGTTCAACGAGTCCTGGGCAGCACCAGCATCATTGGAGATGGCTGCTGTGAGTGCTGTGATGAAAGACACAAGGATAAAATGCCATGTCTTTCTCGCCGAAGACCAATTGAGCGGATCATTGGGAGAATCAGAAGGTTGCGGGAGCAGGACAACGCCCTTGCTGGTCTTTTTTATAGGTCGTCCTGATTCATTGTTGGATGCATCTTCGCTGACTGCTAAGATGCTGGTTGTACCGGGGATATAGTCTTCGGAGAAATAATTGCCCCCCATCCAAAATTATTTGCGCCAAGATAATTTTTATATAAATGAGCAAAAATTGAGAAAATGGGGGGTCAATAACAGAGTTTGACAACGTCCAAGGCGCAGAAAAACGTGGTGATGCAGCGGGAGGGGTACTGCCGGACAGGAACGCAAAATTTTCAACCAATCCTTGCAATCGATGTCACATGATTCGATCTTATCTCTTGGCGGTCTTAGCTTTCGGCCCGAAACGCACATACACTATGACGTACAGTATACTGTATTGTATGTATATTAAAGAAACATCGAGTATTTAAACAATAGCACTGATTTCATAATTGATAACCATTATTGATAATTATATTAAATATACCAAAAGCTCAGCTGGGATCATCACCAACCCCAAATTTGACAAGAACCATAATAGATAGCATGGGAAGCTGTCCTATATATGTTCACTGATGACCAGTCACCATGACAAAAAGACCAGACACATGCCTGCTTTCTTTCTGTGGGTAAATTATGGTTAAAGAGAAGACAGGTAAGTACGTTATAAAAAGTTGGCATAAGCGGGATTCATCAGCTGGCATCACTGCCATATCTGGTCAGAGCAATATCTGGATGGTGAGTATAAATGGCTACCATGCTCGTATTGAATAGTCCAGACAGTTTTAGGCTTAGCGCACTGGCATCTAAACTGAGATCTGAAAATGAGCGCGTTCTACTGTGTCATCCACTTCTTTTGTTCACTGGCTGTAAATACTGATGACCCAGCACCTGCTGTCGTCATTGATATTGAGTATGTATCCTTTGGATTCTTTCAACATCCACTTTAACAGGCCCAGCTCGGGGATAGTCAAGGCTGGCTTGGCGGGGGATGATGGCCCATCTCATGTCTTTCGTACGTATGCGTTGCTCTTTTGAAATTACGCACTGATGCTCGTAGCAACGATCATCGCCCGTCCAAAGTCATATACAAGGTGCCAGTCAAATAAACGCAAGCGGACTCACGAGCAAGCACTATGTCAGCCATGAGGCACTGAAAAGCCAGCACCAACTCAACATTTCCCATCCCATCAAACAAGGAATCATCCGGGACTGGCACGAGATGGAAGAGATCTGGCGTCGTACATTTTTAGAACTGAAGGTCAACCCAGAAGAGCACAATGTCCTGATGACCGAGGCACCTGAGAGCTATAAGAACGGCCAGGAGGCGATGGTCCAGAAGCTGTTTGACGTGTTCAAGGTACCTGCTGTGGCTATCATCGATACAGCTTCACTGGCCCTGTTTGCACTAGGCGCACCACTGGTGTAGTCCTTGATTGTGGCGCAGGTGGGACACGGGCAACGCCACTACGAAGGGTACCCAGTGACAGTCGCAGTAACGCGTTGTGGGCAGACCGAATATAATCCAGGCTTCCATGAAGGAGTCTGTGAATCGATCCAGAAAACCGACTTTGGTCTCAGAAAAACGCTCTATCAAAGCATTGTCTTGGTATGTCATTATCAACACCCTCGTCACAATATAAACACTGACAAGCTCAGTCTGGTGGAAATACCATCCATGAAAACTTGAGGGGCCGGCTGCAAGAGGATCTTTCGGATAGGCTACCAGGCTATATGAAAGTCCGGGTGGTTGCGCCTCATGAGCGCAGATATGCCGCGTGGATTGGAGGGTCGATTTTGGCCGCTATGCCTACTTTTGAGCAGAAGCTGATCACCAGGGAGGGATATGCTGAGGTTGGGGCTAGTATTGTGCATCAGATGTACTAGCCTGATCGTCGTCTTAGCATTTCTGATCTAGTATTTCTTTACAAGCAGTATTGGCCAAGTGTTGGTGACTTGCGTTCTGAAGTACACACTGCTAAAATTGCAGATAAATATATATATAGCTCATTTGCATATCCGCTATTGTCTTATAAAATTGGGAAAAATTGGATTCAAGGCTGTTTATGGTACTTTTACGAGGCATGACAGAATAATTTTAACGCTATAATATGTAAAAGCAGCTGACACTATTCTATATTCATCTATACTTAATACTCTAATTTACATAACCTCTACTACCGAGGCATCTAACCGAGAAGAGTTCCGCCCGATTTATTCTCCAAGAAGCTATACTGCCGCCCCTTAAAGCCATATGACCCAAGCGACGGATCGCAGTATTTTATATTGATCATCGATTTCGGTTTGTTTGACGTCTTCCTTGCACAGACCATGTGTTTGTATTTTTAGCCGCCCATCAAGCGGGGTAGAGAACTAACATTTGAGTGGGCGTCAATATTTAGAAAAGCAAAAACAGCCATTCTACAAGGCTCGAAGTGGTTCTTCGATCAACACCCTTGTCAGTTTCTCCACCATGCCAACTCATCGCGTCCAGTTGCGAGAGAAAAAGTTTTCCCTCCCTCACTCCTCACACAACCCAGTCCAGAGGGATAACAAGCGGTTTACGGAATGATGAAGTCCAAAAATCCATTCAAGCGGGCATTCGAAAAGGTGTTCAATCGAAAATCAACCCTAGAAGAGGGAAAAGAGATCGATGCCTCGGTCGCGTCGACGGAGACCCTTACAGACGCGCACAGTGTGAAAAAATTAGATCGCGTTGAGAGCACACTCGAAGACAGGAGTGAAGTAGAGAAAGACGAACCGCTCTGGGAGCGTGCCTACAGGCATATTGATGCAGAACTGAGGGAGAAATATGAGGCGTTACTGTCGGAAGAAGGAAAGCAAAAAGGTGAGTTGTCCTGAACGCGTTCCGCTTGGTGACTCTGTATTGAAACGTGTCATTAGGAGAGAATGCCCAATCTGTTCCTCGTCGAGAGCAACTGAATGTGATAATCGAGAGCAGCCTACAGCAGATGGATAGCAAGGACAAGGGAGGACTCAAGGACGGCATAGCAAAGGTTACAGAATGCACGCAAGCGGTCAAGGGCTTTGTCGACACAGCCGTCAAAGCATCACCAGAGGCATGCTTAGTCTGGGCTGGTGTCTGTGTTGTTCTCTCTTTGTTGACAAATCCCAAGACAGCCTCAGAGGCCAACAAGGCCGGTCTCAACTACGTGACATCTCGGTTGTGCTATTACCTTGAACTGGAGCATCTTTTTTGGTCGAGTGATAGTCGAAAAGAGCACCTTGTTGTCTTGGAACGCAAATTCTTGGATAACTGGGTTGAACTCTACCAGAGGATGTTGGAATTCCAGTTGCAGAGCATCATCCGATTGCGAGATCATCGGCACCTTGCAAAGGACATATTCCTCCTGCAGGACTGGCAGGGAATGGTCACCAATATCAAGGAGCAAGAGGCTATTATGGACAAGGATATGAAACAGATCAGAGCTGCGTTATCTGGAGAAAGTCTGCATGAGATCGAGAAGAATTCCGCCGGTATCCTTGAAGCCGTCAATAAATTGCAGCAGTCCACAGAAGAGAACACTAATATTTCCAAGAAAAACCTGGAAGTCCAGCAGGACATACGGGACGAACTTACTGACCATGGAAAAAAGTGTCTGCAGTTATTTCGTCTGGCCAGCGAAGATAGAGATGACACCTATGAATGGTATAAGAACAAGGTTGAGAACCGACTGGAAGGGACTTGCAATTGGTTTTTGTCCCAAGCCCACTACACGAACTGGCTGAAGCAGGATAGTGGGCTTTTAATGGTTTCTGCCGATCCAGGATGTGGCAAATCTGTTTTGGCAAAGCACCTGGTTGACAGCAGATTTGATGCAGAGCAACCTTCAGCTACCATTTGCTATTTCTTTTTCAAGGACCAGATCCAGAGTACGCAGAGACAGGCACTGTGCGCGCTCTTACACCAAATGTTGTCTCACAAGCCGTCTCTTATCAAGCATGCTCTCCCTGGGTACAAGGAAAACGGCACAAAGCTCATCAATCTGTTAAACGAGCTCTGGAATGTTTTTGCGAAAGTGGCCACAGACCCGACGATGGGCCCTATAATCTTCGTTCTGGATGCAATCGACGAATGCAAGCCGTCAGAGCGAAGGGGCCTTATCAGTGAACTAAAGGACCGCCTTCTAGGGCAAATGGGAGACAATCAAGTGAAACTGTTTCTCACCACGAGACCCTACAAGAATGTGATGTCCAATTTTCAGGACCTCATCAGCCAATATCCGGAAATTCGGATTTCAGGCGAGAATCATTCAGAGGACATTGCAAAAGAAGTGAATATCGTCATCCGGCACCGGGTGCAGGAGCTGCGCCGAACAGAGGGATTGGACGAAAAAAAGACAGCTCACTTGGAGAAACAATTGTTAAATCAACCACAACGTACCTATCTGTGGGTGCATCTGGTTTTTGAAAACTGGCTGGAGGAAGGTCTGGACGACGACACCAATGGAATTGACAAGATAATCGCCAACCCACCATTAACCGTCTATCAAGCATATGAAGAAATCCTCAGCAAGTCCAAGAACAAGCCGTTGGCTCGCATGGTTTTTTGCATCATGATAGCTTCATATCGGCCGTTGAACTTGCGAGAACTGAACATAGCAGTACATCTTAGGTCATCTGGAGTACTTTGCGATCTTGATAGTGATGAACAGTTTGAAATAGCGTTACGAAACTGGTGTGGCTTGTTGGTATCCATAAATGACAAGAAAGTCTACTTTCTTCATCAAACGGCTCGCGAATACCTGGTGCGAATCGGGCTTAGTGGTTGCCAACCCCGCCCGGATGGGCCGATCAGTGAAACGGAAGCACACTCCGCTCTGGCATTGAGTTGTATCAATTATCTCGACTTGCCTGATTACGTGGAGGATGATAGCAGGACAATTTCCAGCCAGGAAAATTTGGTAGACGGCTGGAGTGAAAGAGTCTCCGGGTTTGCTGAGTATGCCTCGGTTAATTGGATGACACACTTCCACGATGCATCCTTGGATAAGAATGAAGATCTGATGGCGAGGATAGAGACGATCTGCGACCCACAGAAAGAAATCGTTAACCGCTGGATCTCTATATACTCTCGTCAAACAAAGTGGGCAAAGGAAGGTTTCTCGACAGAAGGACTTGATACCTTGTGGATAGCATCGTTCGTGGGGGCCACTGAGCTGGTGAAAAAGATCCTGCACGAAGGACATGCCAATCATGATGGTATAACCGATGAATATCGTTGTAATGCTCTAATTATTGCAGCTGGAAAAGGCCACGATCTTATTGTCGGGCTGCTGGTTGATGCAGATCAAATAAATGTCAACAGTCGAGACAATGAGGGGAGAACTGCTCTATATTGGTCTACAACGTATGACCATCAAAGTATCGTTGAGCGACTGCTTGCCGTGGACACAATAGACGTCAATATCGCCACCAAGGAAGGGAATACCCCTTTAATGATGGCCGCCAGGGATGGCCATTCAACGATTGTGCAGCTTCTACTAAAGAACCCAAATATTGAAGCAGAAATGTGCGACGAAGATGGAACGACAGCGCTGCATTGGGCTGCAATGTTCAACCATGCAGATGTTGCACAGATGCTTATCTCTTTACCGGTAGAAGTAAACGTGCCAGATCACGACGGAAGGACACCACTGCTGTGGGCTGCCCAGGAAGGGCATGAGAGTGTTGTTAGTCTGCTCCTTACAAATGAAAATGTTATCCATGAGGCCAAATCCGTCGATGGAGATACAGCAATAGGCCTGGCCGCGCTCAACGGCCATGCGAGTATTGTCAACATGTTGCTTGCAGTTCCAGTCAATGCAGATACACAAGATATTGATGGATACACACCCCTCATCGCGGCTACTATGAAGGGACATGTGTCTATTGTTCAACTCCTCCTAGAGAAAGGAAAGGTGAATGTTAACGCAAGAAGCAGGGATGGAAGCACAGCTCTTAATTATGCCGCATTTTTTGGCCATGAGTTGATCGCAGAGACAATACTTACATTCGGCCTTCCACTCGATGCAGATATTCCTGACTATTATGGGGTCACACCACTCATGGAAGCTAGTAGGAAAGGATATGAGGGTATTGTTAAGTTACTTCTTGAGAAGGGCAAGGTATATCCGAGTTGGGAGGATCATAAAAGCATGACTGCATTGTCATATGCATTTGAGGAAGGTCATGAGGAAATTGTCAAACTGCTGCGGGGCTTTGGGCCAGTCGATAAGTAGAATGTGCATCCCTTGCTATTTTGTTAAACTCTTCAATATCAAGAATCCGTTCCCAGTCATAGGGAGTAGTCTATCCTGTATTCAAGTTATGAACTTGGTTGTATAAAAATATGTGGGGACCTCTCCATCATATTGAGAATCAACCAGATGATGAAACCGCTGGTTCTTGAATAGCTTCAAACAACTGCTTGACCATAGCTAGAATCCAATACAGTAGACCTATCAACGGAGAAGCCAAGGACAGCACGGGAACGTAAATTTCAAGCTTAGTGTATTTACTATATGCTCATAGTTCGAAATATTGGAAATTACAACTGATTGGGGTGACTAAAGATGGCCTGCGAAGCTGAATTGGCTGGTGGGTATATGTGGGATATATCAGATTCTACAAGGGTAACATGATGTTTCGAGTACATAATGCTAAAATCAACTCAAGAATGACTCTGGCCAAGGCAAGAGAACATCATGAGGAGTTCTGTCATAAAAGAACAACCCATTAATCAATATCTTAACAGCCAACTGCGGTACCCCATCTACCTCTTCTGATGGACACAGTATTTTCTCATAACTTCAAGACAGGGTAACAGAATATATGCACTTCAAGCAGTACAAACTCACTCCATCCCCCATCTCTCAAGAACCTGTACCATCTTGGTATTGGATTCTCTGGCAGCCAGGTCCGAAGCCAATTGACCATTATGATCTCGAGCCGTGGGATCCGCGCCATTGTCCAACAGCAAAGAAACCACATTGATATCCAACTCATTCAGTCGCTTTTGTGGCATAGAGGCCATCTCATGCAAAACGGTCCTTCCGTCGCTAGACGTCAATCCAACGTCTGCTCCACGTTCTAGGAGCATTGTGGTCACCAGAAGATGAGGCTTCCGATCCGAATCCACAGCAATGGCTTCGATCAGGGGTGTACGGCCATTCTTCGTTTGTGAATTTACATCTGCACCGTGTTGCATTAACATGTCCAGAATAGGACAGTCTCCTGCACGCGCAGCTTGATGTAGAGGTGTGATACCCATATCGTCTCGCATGGAAATATCTGCCCCTGCCTTGATCAGGAGGCGGAAAATTTCCAGCCCTCCATGGGATGGCATACCACAGCTGTATGCAGGTCCATGAAATGACGTTAGGTAAACGGCCAGACGCGTCTGGTAAGAAAATGTAGAACATTCCGGTCATAGTCATTGGACGATGAAGTCGTCTCAGCACCATGATCCAGCAACATTTCCACAATCTCTGGAGAACAAAACTCTACAGCGGTGCAAAGAACAGGATCGCCATAGCCCGACACCCTAGCCTTGATATTCGCATGGTATGATGATAAAAGATCTGATACAAGTTCGGTGTTGTTTGCATCGACAGCGATTAAGAGTGCAGTGCGACCTAATATGGGTTGTCTTCTGGCCAGCCGTTTGTTCGCGTGCGGGGTAGATTGGTGTCAACGTCCATTCCATCATGGATGTATTGTCGGACAGTTTCGACGTGCCCATTATGAACAGCAGTCAGGAATGCGAGTTTTTCCTGCTCTGAATGCATTGCCATGGATAATAATCGAAGCTGGTTTCTAATTTATCTTCCCCAAAATGACAAGGATCAAGAGGTGTGGTCAGAAGTGACCTTGCATGAGTATTTTCTAGCTTCATATAACATGACTTGGGGGTGCTGTCGTTAGTCGGTTACTACACAGCCAGTCACTTGGCTGCCCGCGATGATAAGATGGGGAGTATCTGGGCTGTAGTATCTTTCTGCGGGTTTAGTTAGTTCATGTACGCATTTTTATTGATTAGATGTAAAATCAGAAATAATATGTGATAAAGGGAGAAATAGCGATGGGATCAGTAACTAACGATGAACAAAATATTATCAATTTGATAGGATCCTAATTAATTAACATCTCATAAAACCTCATGAATCCCTAGAGCAAACTTGAAACCAAGCCGTGATACCGAATTCACCTGTTCCCCTCTGCGCGTGTTTGATATTCTTGGTTGGCACCACGACTATTGTTAGGACTGCCAGTCTTGGTGTCATTTCCGCCCCTTAGCCAGAAATATGCCACTACTGGGACAGCCGCGCAGACAGCAATGATGGCTCTAAAGGACGATGTTACTAACATAAAGCCAGACTGATATCCATGACAACTTACTTTCGCTGACCGCCGGGTTCTTTCTCATTCAGCTTGTCGCCGATGCTGTAGTATCGTCGGGGAACAGACTGATAGGACTGAAGACGAGCGGCTCCCGACCGCAACAACCGGCTGTACTGTGGAAACATTATTGGATTGCGTAAAATATGGGATGTATTGAATGAATATGCATATTAGAAGAAAAAAAAAAAAAAGGTAAGAAAGGGGTGCCTTCCTGCTACTTTATGTTTGATAGCTTTCCGCTTGTGGGAGAATAATATGTCATGCATATGTAATCAAGCTGCCCTGTAAACTTTGCCACCATATACCACAAGTGACCGGTTTTAGAACTGGGAAACCTTTGATTATTCAGCCTTCGCTGATCATGTTCATTTATCATTGACTCTTCATTTAAGGATCCTCATGTATTGTTCAGCTCTCTAAAAAACTAAGACAACCAGTCCTTATTTATTGTTACATTCTCTATTGTATCACAAAGTTCCACAGCGTAAGTCACCCAATATATAGACAGGTTGCTTAAATAAATGTCTGTGGACAAGCTGTTGTACAATTAAATCATATGACGTCAATGACGCTATGACTGATGATTAAGGTACGTGGAGATGTAGCTGCCACCCTAGCTCGCCCAAAGTCAAAAGCAAGTGGCGATATCCTATCCCAAAACAACTTTACTGAGATGTATGTGCTTATTATAGTAACAAGCGAGCCCATACGAAACGAGCAGGAGCTTGCATTGGGACTAGGTGATAAAATTGTTCTATAAAGGCCCGTATGCATCAAGCTATTTGGATTTTGATTGGGGGAAGAAATGGGGTATTATCAACGGTGAAAGCCCTGTGAGAACATCGAATTTCAGCAAATCCATTTCTGAACCTACATATATATATCCTATGTCCCAAGTATCTCGCAGTTCGCCAGGAGTGGAGGTTGAGATGCAATATTCCAGGCCAGGAATTGAATAGAGACCACCGTAGCAATTCGAGTGGATGATTAGATGTTTCTTTTAGAAAATTTGCTGGAGATAGCTTCAAATTACAGACAATACTATGGCATATGGAAAATCGAAATTATCATTACCGGCAGCATGACGCATTCCAGACAAGGCAAGCAGGCTAGATTGGGCACGTTCAAGAACTGGTCACTCTATTTCACTGTCTAATGAGCAATATATTTTAAAAGTAAAATCAGCCACTGATTAGGTCATGGAAACGATATCAAATAGTAGGCATGATAGTAGGCGACTGTAAGTAAAATGACCGGTATATGACTAGGTGACTTGGATGGATTACCTCATTCAGCTTGTACATCCACCAGTCGAGTCCTCGTCCCCCGAAAACCCACCCAGACCACTAACAGGATACTTCACCTAGGAAAATGGATACAAGGTGCAGTATTTGTTGTGGATGGGTCGATGTTGAAAGGTACATGTTGATATTCACTGAACGGCCAGAATGGCACGGTCGCCAGAGGTCGGCGATCTGCAGCATCGAAACATTCCGGAATCTGTACTTCAAGACTCCGTGGCTGTGGAGTACATTTGTTAGATGCAGTACGTACTGTAGCCATATCCAAAAGAAACAAAAGGAGAGGCAGTCAGCTTACCGAATTCAGTTGTCGACAACGGCACCCAGACAGCCGGAGACTCACAGTCACGGTTTCAAGTCTCTGGAGTAGCCCAAGTTGGGGATTGGATGCGGTCCAGCAGGCCGGGCATATCGATGCCGTCGGATACAGACGTCGTCTTCGTCGGTAGACCTCCCCCAAAGAACCGCGAGGAGGTTCTTCATGTGCCTGTGGTTCCCTGGAGATTGGGTCTAGAATCCGTTGAACTTCAACAGTACTGCTATAATTATTGCCCTTTGGCCACTCAAGTGCATGCTCGTTGCTGGGATTTAGCGCAGCGTGTTTTTGGGTCGTCATTTATCGAACAAGACATGGATATCTGGTTAGAAGCAGCTCGGCAGCAATTCCACGCTTTCGTAAACCACGCCCCTGAGTCAGAGAGCAATCAATATTCAAACGCTTTGATGCGCCTCCATATCATCAACAGAGAGATTATTGACGATTTTCGACATAACCCTCTCAAGTATGCTCAGGAGAGTGTGGATAGATATATCCAGGAAATCGGATATAACCTGCCTCATGATCCCATAAACATTAGTGAGCTGCGTGACTTGATAGACAAAGCCATTGAGATCGAAAGAGAAGACAAAGCAGAAGAAGTATGTCCGGCAGGCGTTGGCTTACCACCCGAGGTCAAGATGATGATCCTTGATTGTTTGGATACGATGGATATCCGCAATTCCTTATCCGTGTTTCACTGGAGACTTCCAAGTGGGTATTGGTGCACGCGGTTTGCAAAGGAGATTGTCTTTGAATATGAGGACCTCGAAAATACCAATTTGAACTGGGGATATCTTTGTCTGGGAGTGGCGGATCTCCTCGAGACATCGCATGGACTGCGCCATCGGAAACGCACGTTGGGCAATCTGAACGAGATCAAAAAGATATTTGAAGAGAAAAAGAAGCAGAAAAGGCAGTCAGATGGGGGGCTGTGAGGATGTTTAGTGTTGATATCTTGGCGTGTTGTTTACGTTTGCTCCCTCCTTCCTTTTCGGTACATTTCTCTCTCTCGCTCTTTTTACCCTCCTTTGCTTTTCTCCTTTGTTTTTATTCATTTCTCTCCTCACTCCCCCCTTCTCTAGCAATAGCAAATTTTCAACAATCTTTACGCCCCCCTTTCATAAAACGAAGCTTCTTTTCAAGATGAACAATGCCCGGCCCCAACTCGTTCTTCCCGATCCTCCCCGTCCAGTATTTCAACCTCGACAAGCTCTTCACCCCGCCACAGTGCCTATGCAAATTGTGGCCCCCATGGCTCTCACCATACCAGCTCATCCCAATGTCGCCGGTAACCCGTGGGAACCCCGAAACGCAAGTAGACCCCTCAATCTGAAAGTATTTAGCTAACCTACTTTCATCTCAGTACCTTGAAATTCCAGGGATCGATATCGACCTGGCTTTCCTCGACCGGCACGACCTGGAGTTCTCGGTAAGGAGCGCGTGGCTTGGCATACTGGACAACTATTATACCCGGAACCACAGGTATACCCATGATGTCGAGGCACGTAACAAGGAAGGCTATTCGGACATCTTGGTTCGCCATTGGCAACAAATTCCCCATCCCTTTGCCCAGAGGCCACCCCCTTTTCTGATCATACAGTGCAAAAGGGTTTCTTATGAAGGCCGAAATTCCGAATGGTTTGGAGCAAAGGACCAGCTTCAAAACTACTTCAGGGCCATATACGATAGGTATAACCCTACCAACCCAGCTGGCGGAGGCCCTATACCGAGACACATCTATGGCGCAATTGCTATCGGTCGATTCGTTCGATTCTACTGGTACAATACTCGTACTAGAAGGCTCAACATGCTCGAGCCCAGGCCAGAAACCACTCGATGGCATGTTATCGACGAATCCCATTATGTTCATCACGTTTTGGATTTCATACGTAACAACCACTAAAGCAGGTATTCGAGTTGCTTAAGACTCGGTCAAGAATGCCCTTCTGGGTCCCGAGTTTCGATGCAGTGAATCCTTCACTCCTCAGGCAGACCATGCAGTGTATCTTACACTCATCGGTCAGACTACGCAGTGTATTTTGTACTCTTCAGTCAGACTATGCAGTGTACCACACACTCTTCAGTCACTCAAGCGACGAGCTCGCACCTTAACGTGGTGCTTGGGTTTAGTAACCGGGATCTTTCCTGGCGAAGCTAAGACGAGCTCTTTCAAACAGTATAGAAGATAGTATCAAGAAGTAGCCGAGTACTACCCCCATGCGACTCCCATTAGCTCACATAGTTGTTATCACTCCGTAGCTATCTTAGATTCCTCCATTGACTGGAAGCTCGAGTCTAAGTATTTGATTCGTAACAATAATGTCAATATGCAGCATAATGGAGAACTGTCTAATCCATCTCCGTTTGTCGCATGAACATTTGCATTTCATTTTGGTTTTCGAGGATTAGCTACGCGGCACTCTCGTGCTCTTCCTTGCTGTGTTAAATTTAAAGAGAATCTAGAATACAATACTGTATGTAAAGAGATTTTGGAGAGCTCTGGGTGATTATATGAAAACCTGCACAAAAAGACCTAGAATAAACACTCTATATGGTAAGCTAATCAGGGCTACAGCTCGGATACCTATTATAGAGAGCAACCGTTCGTGCTCTTCTATGGCCTGTCTTCAAGCCTGTCCTTTATCGAAGCTGCAGGATTTAGTGAGGACAGCACAAACATTTTCCTCTATTTATCCTATGTTAAAAAGTACCTGTCTGTATTCCTTTGCATTCGATGGAGCACCCCCAAAGTAAAACCCAGATACAGGCCAAAGAACTGGCCGCAGAAAGAGGCAAGTTCAATTGCGTTCTCACTAAGCAAGGAGGAATCTGCCAGGTCGCACAGATATACCCAGTCAACCCTCATTCAACCCGAGCCTACCACGGACTTCGAAAGCTGTATTCCTGACTTCTGGAAGACGCTGGAGCTTTTCTGTGGCAAGGATCAGCTGGAGAAATGGCGCAGTCAGATTTATCCGGAAGAAAGAAGTGGAATTCATAATCGCATTTGCGTCAGCGACGATACCCATGCCTTGTGGTCAAACGGGCCGTTTGCCCTGCGTCTTGTATCCAGAGATGAAGATACTCATATAATAACTGTTCAGTTCGTCTGGCACCCAACGCCCTCTCATAGCCACTTTGACTATATCAACATTCTTCATCAGCCTGGCTCATCTCGGCGTCTTTATGGAGCTTAGAGCGGTTTCCAAACTATCCTTGTCATGAATCAAAACCTGATTTTACTGTAATGGGGGCTTTTTTTCGTTTTCACTACGCATAATCAACAGACACCCCCACTTCAAGCTTCAAGAAGCCTGATATGCAGTGGTATATCCATTGAATTGCTTTCATGTCGGGCGTGTCTACAACATATGATGATCACGAGGAAACTTTATTGATTTGTTTTTAAAGAAACAACTACTTCTTGTCGTCCGCCTCTCCCAACTTCGCAATCCTCGCCATGGCCTCCTTCATCCGTGCATCCCATTTGGCGCGCTTCCCCATGTTTTCCGAAATCGTCTTATCGGCCTTTTCGATGTCAGCCGCAAGAGCGGCCACTTCTGCGGTCTAGAAACATTCTTAGCATATTGATATACAAGAAAGATATCAGTTTTGCTTACCAGTTCGTTTTTTGAGAGTTCTTCGATGTTTTTACGGCGCCTTTGGTGTCCCGGGCGGTCCTTGCGACGGTCCTGGCGGCCGCGGCCCCGTCGGCCTTCATTGACATGCAAATTGATAATGGCCTGTTATGCTTTAGTGAGTGCCATCAATACACCATAACAAGAACTCACCATTGCACTGCGAGGACGGGGGTGGGAGGGAAAGAAATTTTGTTTTTTGTCTGTCAGTTCAAGGGAATCCTGCTTGTACTTATGATAATGAGACAGTCTAGATCACACTCTGTATATAATATACCTGATTTGTTTGATCTACGAAAAAATACGCCAGGCTCTATTCACTGTTCAGCTATCCATACATTAGACATGAGGGTCAGAACAGATCAATGTTCAGACCCTGTATTCGTCGGTATCAGGATTGTCTGATCTGTTTGATCCGGTAACAATCGGATCAGGCAGATCAGATCAAGCCCTGATTCCACTGGTCCTACGCTTAATACAGTTTTACGTTCGCTTATCCATCGAAATGATATTGATATTTTCCCAGCAATCCCACGACTGCATCCATCCAAGCATCCCCGGTATCCAGACCATCTAAGTAGACAAATAACTTTTTCCTGCCCGTACTCCATCCCAAAGAAACTTCCCACCCAGCCCAGCCATCCTATCCAATCAACTCAACAGCCTTATCCCACAGCCCATCATATGCTTCATATGTATTCAAATTACTCAAATATATATGGCACGAGATGCTCTTCAGCTGTCTCACGAGTGTCGATATCTCCACGTTCGAAGGAATGTCGTATACCATGGTCGACAGATGAGCCAGATCCAGCTCCTTAACCTTGTCGAACAAGTTCGACGACCAGGTGGTTTGGAATTCCGAGTACGGGGACTCGAAAATAACCGTGACATCTGAGATATCGATGTAGGCAACGTCCGCCATTGTTCCTGGGTTCATCACCGACTGAAAAGTTAGTATTGTGTAGTGGAATCAGGAGGGGGACTTACATAGTGATTGGGACCCAAACCGGTGCTGTTCCGGATTGTCGACACCAGATCCTTGTAGTACGCCACCTTGTTCGCGTCGAACTCTGATGGAGTCTCGTCAAGAAAGATGCCATGCACAGCGAATGACGGGTTTCCAATTGTAGGCCATCCAGCGTATGTTGTAATATCCGCCTTTACCTCCAAGATGTTCCTCTGGCCCTCCTGTGTCCGCACGTAGCCGATGACCAGGATATTGCTGAACGCGTTCAGTCGCGGAACTGCAGCAAGCCAACCCTCGCTAGGAGGAATCGATCCAGGCCCGTTCTCCGGATTGATGATCACCGTGAAGTTTACATTGCCGTGCGAAGAAACCCTATCAAAATCAATGTTAGCATGCTCCAACTCATATCGTGACTGATCAAACTTACAGCTTCTCGAGAGGCGTCCAGCCACCATCCGAGGGATCGACATAATACGGGATTATGAAGTCCTGTTTCAAGTTTATTCCCAAAGCCGAGTCAGTAAGATCACGAGTGATCCTAGACACCGAGGCAAGACCAAGCGCGCTATTATATCCAGCAGGGATAGTCAGCACATTGACTGGGAGGAGGAATACCCAGGACAACAAAAGAATGATATTGAAGATCATGATGACGGTTGGATAAGATGATGAAGATGAGCGAAGTAGAAAGGTAAGAAATGTAGAGAGATAGAAGGTAAAGAGGCAGAGAGACGGATAGTTTCAATGGTAAAGAAGGGAATCAGAGAAGAGCAGAAATCTCACATTATTTATATTCAAAGCCAAAACACTTGCCGTGAAGCCATTCGGGGCTCTCCAGTATATTCGACGGAGGTTGCCAGCGCTGCCGTCCAAAAGTGGACCCAGGTCGATATTCACCGTAGTGTAGCCAGTGAATGGGGTTCAGGTGACGGTTGACTCCTCTGACATGCGGAGGAACCCGACGAGAGAGTCCGGATTGACATTTTATATAGGTATATTAGAGATATATAAAGATATAAAAAGAGTATGATGGAGGAAGAGAATTGTAGGATCCAGGGCGGCGATGAGGGGGTTGATATAGACATCCCGATAAAGAAACGGCTGGTGTCTGCTTAGATCTGCGAATAAAGGATAGATTATCAATTAAGGCTCTAGAATCCAATGGCAATCATTGCTGTTTGTAGTGACATTCGTGAAGGACATAAAGAGTGGCTGAATGGTTAGAAGATTGCTTCTCTGACAAGGAAAGGGCAAACAGATATAGACCGGATACCCTCGCAGGGCCAAACATGCAATATAGCCACTCCAGCTCAAAGAGTACTCAACAAAAAACAATCTATCCGCACAGAGCTTTGGTTCCTTTAATCGAAGTGGAATACATGATCCCCTTGAAAAATCCAAGAAGATTCGCGTACAAACACAACTTCTACGACCGTCGCCACGATGAGAGAAGGTAAGAGGACCTTCTAAAAAGAACTCTCTATTATTGGTACCTAGATGATTGAACAAGATAGCTTTGTGGCTTTCTTATTGTTCCTTAGCTTGACAGGGCTAAGCTTGATATATATTCCGCTTTCCCTTTGATTATGGCACACAGACCACGGCGATAGTAATGAACCTTTGCAGCCACTTGACCATACATTCATGGTGGATATATCAATGCCAATGAGAATAAACTCCAGAAATTCCCTATATTTGATAGATCATATGTTTGAAAAAGCCATAAACCATCAGTGAGTTGGTACGGGAGGAGATGGCGAACATCAGCCAATACCCCACTACACATCCAACTCCAGCCAGCCTTTCTATTCGCTTTGACAAAGTGGCGGTGAGAGATTTATGTATAAATAAGTAATAATAATATGTGAGTCTGATTATTATTCCCCTATCACCAGCCAAACATTCAGCCACCGGGCTGGTCCGTCGACTTGGATCCCCACTGTTCGTCGCCAGCGGAGAACTCCCCGCTTTGACAGGCTGCATCGGGCAAAGATCGACTACTGGGGAGTGATTTCCGTGTTTGACCTGCCAATCAACGCATCATAATGGACCAAGAGATGAAAGCTCAGCTGAAGGCTCATTCAGCTGGACATCCTGCAGAAAACCCAAAGTGAAGCCCAAGTGATGGGTGGCATTATTTAACCCCTCCCCTTCGACTTCTCCCGGAAACTGCAAACCATCACCCTAGCGGCATTCGCATTCTCTGGTCATCATGTCTGGCATCCGGTTCGATGTCCATCTCTTTGACGCTAGTGACGAAAAGTCTAAAAGGACAAACTGTGTTCCACTGAAGGAGTTTGATGTCGGCAAGGCGAAGCTGTCAGAGGTGCGATCGGCTTTGATTGACAATGGCGGGCTTGACGCCAGCAAGTATGTGTTCCTTCCCTCTGATAGTGTTTGGGATCGTCACTGACCGGTGCAGGGCTGGCTTCTCGTTCTGCTCGTCGTCTGGGGCGTTGGTGAGCGATGCTACGTTGTTTGCTGACTATCTGGAGATTCTTGGTGAAGGCTCTGAGGTTTTTCAATCCACTCTGTGTATGACAGTCATTACTAATCCCAATCAGGATGACGAGGAGGTGGAAAAGGAGAAGAAAGAAACACCGGATGAGAAAGAAGAAACAATAAACAAGAAAAAGAAAACCGCAAGCAAGGCGATCTATAACATCTACATCTTTCTGAAGGCCAAAAAGGCCCGAGAAGATCTGGCTAAGGAGGCCAAGGAGCTGAGGAAGGAGCTGAATCTGAAGCTGAGTGTACGACTCTTCTGGATGAATATGGGAAGACCGCTGACACTCGCAGGACAAACCTGAATTGCTGAAAGCATCGCTGGAGCAGCTGGAGAGCTCCTTTGCCAAAGCAGACTGGCTAGCAAAGGCCAACAAGACCACGACGTGAGAGCACTACTTTCTTGTTACTTGGCAAACGTACTGACAGCAATGCAGTAATCCAGCCGAAATGTCCGAGCAAGAATGGAGTGCAGTCATTCGCAACAACAGTCTCACCAGTGCGTCCAGACTGGTGTTCTCCAACCTAGGAAGAGAACCAGATGGCACCCAGAAGGTCAGGTTCCGGCGGATCGAGCGAGCACCGTACAGTGGTATGTGGAAAGACCTGGAATTGCAGCAGTTTCTGTCTCTCTAAAATGACCAGCATTTGTCCTCAAACCGAGAAAGTTCCAGCCTCACGAAATCGGCGATACGGACATCAAAGTCGAGCAGCAATTCTACATTCCTCGTTTCGTCGTCACCGATGACTCGTATGTGGATGTGTTTGAAACCAAAACGTCCGTGGCAACCGAGATGGCTCGCAGTTCCTTTTCCTCGAGGGAGGCTGAACTATCCATGTATGTTTTCTTCGTTTAATATGGATCTCTTTTAACATATCACAGCGAAGGAGGGGCTTTTGGCGTCAGTGCTGCTGCCAGTGGTGGGTTTTCAAAGAATCAGAGTGATGCGCTGAGCACGACAAACACTGCGGACAGCAGTACAATGAACGTCACCTACAATGTACAGACACAGACATCCTGATGGTTTCAACAGCTAACTGTTGCAGTTCCCGAGGGTGGTCATGCATCTGGATCAGCATAGTCTGGATCTGTCCGAAGAATGTAGCAATGACCTCGCCGGGGTCCGTGACGTCAATTCTTTGCTTGCTTTTCACCATAAATATGGTGAGTAGAACTGCGGCTTCTGCTCTTCAACTATTGACACTGACTGAACAGGCCACTTTTTCGCTACTCGCGTCGAGCTCGGCGGAAGACTCTTTTCTTCCGAGAAGCTCAGCGTGCTGGGAGCATCCAGCCAGTCTGAAGCAGCCAAGGCAATGAAGATCGCGGCCAACCTATCCTTCTCGTCCAAATATGCGTCTGGAAGTGCCAGGTACGGACAGGAAGATCAAGAGAATACATCGGGTGCAAGCTCCGACCGGAGCATGCAGAAATCAATCTCCTGGCAGGCTCAGGGTGGCGATACCCTGCTTTGCAATAAGTAAGTGATGCACCATGGGGAAGCCCAGTCCATAGTAACCAACTGTCTAGCCCACCGGAATGGTGTCCCACCGTTGCGCCCGCGCACAACTGGCGAGTGATCAAGGTATGTACACCCATCTGTCTGTATTGATGTATACGGCTAATTCCTGCAGCAAGAAGATATCATTCCCCTGGGCGAGTTTATGGGCCTAATTCCCGGATACGAAGACGTGCCCACGCGATTCGCCAGACTGACCGAAGTCACCAGGAGAAAGGAAAAAGTCGGCTTCCATCTCAGGCTTGCTGAGTCTAGTCCCATCAAATATCTGTCTCTCGTCCACGCATGGGCGATCCGTATGCTTAATCCTCTACGCTTGTACCCCTATATAGACTAACATTTCCAGACGACGAGGTATCAAAGCTTTACAAAGCACAGGCGGCCGAAGGCTTCGAACGAGGAGAAATACAACCGCCAGCTCATCTTATCAGGTATAAATTAAACGATAACAAAATGCTGCTGGTCCAAGATGGGTTCATGGCAAGTGTGATTCAAAACATTTACGACAACGGCGAGCCCGGCCTCAGCTTTGAGCCAGACGGCGACCAGAATGTATTTGAAATTGAGGTGGAGACGGTGCTGAACCAGGCCCCTACTGTATGCTTCTTCCTCCCGACACCAGGTTGAGACCACTATTGACAGCGCGGTGCAGATCCGATATCAAAGACGGTACCGCATCTTCAATCTCAAGCGTGGCTTGTGGCTACGAGCGGTGACCATCCCCTCCAGAGGGCAGGAGATCACCCTCCTCACTGCTAGCTATGAAGGCGAGGCGACTCTGTTTGAATTCCGCGACGGAGACAGAGAGGGCCCCGTCCACAACGGGGATAACTGCCAGGTGATTGTATACGGCGCAGACGGACGAAGCAAGGGATGGTTGGGATATTCGCTTCGGGACGAGAAGAATGAAAACATGGTCAAGGATTCTGTGTCGATTGGAGCGTTGCCGTTGTCTTCTCCGATCAGCAAGCGCATTCCGTCCCTGATTTTCGAGACGGTGGACCTGGGTGAGTCCACCGTTCGTGAAAAGGAGGGAAAAGGTAAAGACGATACCCCAGAGAAGGAGGGCAAAGGTAAAGAGTACCTTTTGCCAAGTGCGGTCGGTAGAAACGAACTTGCTATAAAATGAAACGAGTATCGCATTTTCATGGCGGTACCGAACTTGAACTTGTTCGGTATTTACTGAAACGTTGATTGTCAGTTATTTGTTACGTATTTAGCCTTTAAACCGTTTTGTTCCTCGTATTCTGACTATAAAAGCCATATTCCTTTAGGTTGAACTATCGTACTAGCCTACAGGAAACTAGCAAGAGTAAAAAGGACCAGTAGAAACAGGGTGGCTACTCATGGGTCCTCGGTATATCATTGAATAGGCAGCTTTATCACTTTTTTGAGGTTACTTGGATTCATAGTCTGCTCTTCCTTTGGTTATAGCGCGTAGACTGTTGAATATAATTCTAAGGTCAGATAGGGGCGCGCGTAGTCTTTTTGGCCTGATGGTTATTCTAACATAGACTATAGCGTCGTCACGAGGCTTCGTATCCACTCAGACATACATTCATGGAAATATCAATTCCAACCAGAAGGGCTTTATAAGCCTCTGAAATATCGCAAAATGGGTGTAAAAAGTTTCAAAACACCAAGTGATTACGTGATCCTCCTTGGCTTGGTAATCAACTCCGCCTCACACGGTGGCAACATCACCAGCTCAAGCCTGCAGTTTCCCATCGCAACGCGATAAAGTCAATAAAGAAGCAAAGAATGGCAAGTCATCTTGCTAAAGAAAGGAAACGTGCCGCCGATCGCGAAGCTCAGCGACAAAACCGAGCCCGAACAAAGGCCTACATCACGCATCTGGAAAAAACAGTCCAAGACCTTTCAGGACAAGGGCAAGACCAACTGGGCCAGCGGTTGATTGGACAGCAAGAAAGAATCAGCCAATTGGAAGAAACACTGCAGAAGATAGATCATTTGATTCATGGGAATGGTGCGACAGATTCCCATCTGCTATCGTCTGGCTCTAGTCAAACACGCGGGGTTGATATCGTCACCGAACAAGCTTCTGCCCAGCCGCCCCCAAATGACTTCTTTGGGATAGACCTCGTCTGCTCTGATCGCGAGAGGAATTTCCTTGAAGTAATAGGAAGCGCATTTACCATGGTCCAAGGCTGTTCCTCGTTGGTCTTAGGGCCGCTGGCTGCGATGCCCGCCTGCGATGATGACTTTTGCATACGCGCCGTTGTAGACGGCTGGAAGTCCGTAACGACCAAGTACCATGCTGATGTGGTCTGGAGGCTTCTCCAAGCGGTCGATGAGGGACTATTCTATCGCAGCAGTCCCGTCACGAGAATTGCTTTGCTGCGCATTATGAGGGCCATGCTACTGGTTGGTGTCTGATTCATACTGTCCATTTCCGTTACTCACGTCCTAAAGCAACGAATGGATGTTCTTCGTGAGCCTTGTGGGATTCCAGATTACATGCTGGCCAGGTATGCATTATTGTATCTCGAATACGCCACTAGCTAACGGAACTCCAGTCCCATTCAAAATGGCACTCTCCACCAACCATTCCTAGACTTTGTCCCATGGTAAGCCAGAGATCTGAGACTCTATATTCACTACTGATCGACAGGCCTCATGTTCGAGACCACTGGATTCAAAGCGGAATCGGATACGGATCAGAAAGCTGCGCAGCCTTGTTTGCCACCAGGTTTCGCTTCCAGTGGCCGTTTGACCTACGAGATGTTTTTCGGAGAACAGTTTCTACCGACCAGTTGTCGTTTTCCCATGAATTTCAGAGTCGATACGATGATGTCAACAGCTGGAAACTCGACGTAGACGAAGATTCGAAGCGCTGGGAAGAGACATATTCTACGCTTGCGCTACCAATTGAGGAGACATTGGAGCTATTTCACCACCAAAACACAGGTTCATTTACCTTGAATCTTTGAATGTATTGCCATTTGTTGAAACACGAGCTATTTCAATTCTCCAACGTGCACACAGAGACATTCTGATCGCCTTGCCTACTTATTTCTCCAGAAACTTAGGGGTCTCTCGGCCGGCTGGGGGATTCTTGATGAACTCGCTCAGCTCGGTGCGAAAAGTGCTCTCCCATTCCCCACCATACAAGGGCGTCCATCCCAGCTTGCGGGCAAGAGCAGCTTTAGTACGACAGCTGAAAAAGTTATCCAATTAGTCATGTCCACAAATATTACGCGGGGGCAAACAAACTTGGATGCAAACGCAAGCTCGGCACTAGAGGCACTGCCATAGAGCCATTTATCAGCTGCCTCCTGGACAGTAATTCGCTTCACTTCCCGCGTTGGAAAGACCCCCATCTCATGGCCTGTGTGGGCCAAACTCTCGGCAAATTCACGGTACGAATGCTCGCCCGTTTCGCAGAAATAAATCCCCTTCCGACCAGACGGAATCGTCACATTTGCGCAAATATTCCGCAGCAAGGTCAGATGCAGACCCGCCAAATCCCTGATATGGACATGGCTCCAGACCGTCTTCCCCTCGGCAACGACACTGCAGATTCCAGTCTTCAGCGCATCCGCAATCATGGCAGGCAGCTGCATGGAGTAGCGGTTGAAAGGCCCCGTGCCGAGCCCGAAGATGGTCGGCGCCATGACAATATACGTCGTCACACCGAGTGCCGCGCTGGTCTCGACCACGGCGATATCCGTCGTCCGTTGGATGTAGACTTCGCGAGACTCGCGATACTTTTCAAATGAGAAAATGTCTTCCTCGTCGGAGAATACATGCGGATCAATGTACCCCTCCGAATAAGGGCGATCGCTCAAGTTAGACGTCCCGGACATTTGAATATAATGCACGGGCTGGTTGGTTCTTGTGCGGCGTGCTCCTTGGCCTGTGATGAGCGCTTTTGCAGACGGTGTATGCCAGCCCGCTCCGGCATGGATGATGACTACCACGAGTTAGCTGGTGCTATAGAATTGGAATACTCGCATACTGTCAAACTCCTCGCCCAGCTTTTCCAGCACCTCCCGCTCATCGAAGCTGGAGAATAACAGGGGCGTAACCCCGAGGTTCTTCACAGTGGTAGCTTGTGCTTCGTTTCGCACGAGTGCTGAGATCTGGAGCTGCTTAGCCCAGATATCTTCGCTTTCGAGAATAGCGGACAAAACGGTGCCTCCTCTGATGTAGTCAGTTAGCTCGGCCTATGCATGGTTCAGACATGGGATTCGTACATGTACCCGGAGACACCGGTGATAAGCAATGAACGGGATGCCATGGTAGGATTAAGAAAGCTATTAAATAAAGGCGCAATAGAACTATGAGTCTTAAAAGAATAATGGCATTTAGTGTCTTTATATAAATTCATTTCGTGGTTAGTAATATACTACAAACCCTGCGACGTCGAATATATGACTCGCAGCCCCACTTTTGAGTCAACCTGTCGAGTCAGGCTCCACTATTTAAGCTCGTCCAATCAACGCGGCCTATAGATACTACCCATCCAATCAGGAGCGCAGAATTGTCTTCTTGTTGCTCTGCCCTGTTGAACGCGGTGTTGGAGAAATGTGCAGGCTGCTGGGTATTGTTTATTATGGCTGCTGGTGACTTATCCTGGGAACTGTAGACAGCAATATGGCTATTAATCCAGCAGGGTAGCAGCTTGGTTGAACATGTGGTAGATATACATATTTTAAGTTTATTTCACACGCAGATTCTAAATCTGGGACATGATATCATAGATCTGGATTTTAAATATTATTACTCAATATAATATCTACTTTTTCTGGTGATATCCAAAGACACAACAGAGTATACGTTGGGCTACATAATTTTCCAACGAGGCGATGAATACGACAAGCCAAGGATAATAGCGCTTATTCCGCCAAGGAGCGTATTCGCCCGTCGGGCCGAACGAACTCAGCCTCAGACGACACAGCATCATAACGATCCCCCTGCCTTCCAGAGAAGAAAAATCAAAAGTGAGGCTCTTTGACAAATACGCGCTAATTTTCCGATGGTTGGTGATACGACACCCATGGATCTGCAGAGCGGGTTCAGGCTGCGGAGAACACACGAGAAATCCAGACGTGGGTGTCTGAGATGTAAGCACCAGCGGAAGAAGGTAGGCAGTGGCTTTATGTTTTGACTTTACAGAAGTCTGATTGTATTAGTGTGATGAGTTGAGGCCGAGTTGCTCTAGATGCACCAAGCGGGCGTATCCATGTCGGTATCAGGGCGTGTCGGAGCAGGAGTCGCCCCGTCCAGCCATAAGTCCGGGTGTTGTAGGTTCAGCGTCGAATACCAGTTCCTCATCTGGACAGCCTGCTTTGAGGTATAATACAGAAGAAAGCTTCATATCTAGTCAAAATGGTACTCTCGACGCGACAGAACTCAGTCTCCTAGCCCACTACCTCACACACACCAGCCAAACAATCCCATTCGACCATCTCGATCTCTACGCTCTGTCGGTTGGCGTTCCGAATCTCGCATTCAACTGCAACTTTGTCATGGCATCCCTGCTCGCCCTGGCAGCTGCATGCAAGTGCCACGATATTGCAAAGCAAGCCCCATCGCCACTAGACCACCAGACCGTATCGTCCATTAAAGAACTACTGGCGCTTGCGGAGCGCCACCACACGGCTTCCCTGCGCCACGTCCAAGCAGCCATGCAGAACTCGGGCTCCTACGATTCCGTGCTCGCCACTGCGGCATTGATGGTCTTGTATGCCTCAGCCAGTCACTCCATCCGAGTCCATCTCGCGGCTACCGCGAAAGACTGCGGGCGGCGACTGCCTAGTGAGGTTCTTCCGCAGCATTCGCAGTGGATCTCATTTACAAGGGCGGCTCATACTGCGTCTACAGCTGTTTTGAAAGATATGGTCGATCAGGATCAGGAGTGCACTGCCACTACCCCGGATGTAGATACCAGAATACCGGGGGCGGTGTTATCGCCACAAGACGGTCCGTCTGAGAGCACGAAGAAGCTGTTTCTCCCTCTAGTAGAGTCTACGTATCGTCGAGCTCTGGAGAGCCTGCGTAGGAGGGGTGAATCTACAGTGTCTAGTTGTGACTCCATCCAGCTGCACGCATCGTTGGCAACTATTTCCGTACTTGAAAAATGTGCCTCAGCAGCTTTGTCCACAGACAGTAACCGCGTCGAGCCCCCCAACCAGCCCAGATTATTTACTGAATCATCTAACGTCACCCCATGGGTAGCAAGATACATGATCAGTGTCACGTCAATGGAGTCACCGCAGGCCCTTCGACGAATCATCATGTCATTCCTGAACAAAGCACCGGCCGAGTATCTCAGCCTCGTGCAGTCTGTTCTCGATGCACCTAGTGAGGAAGAATGCCTCGATGCGACAAACTTCCTAGCCATGGACATTTTTGCGCATTGGTTAGTACTAGTCATGCTATTGGATGGTGTGTGGTGGATTGGCGATATTGGACAGTGGGAACTAGGGCAAGTGGTGGCGTTCATGAAGAGTCGGACTGGGGAAAGGTGGTGGCCTGGGAGTATGTACTTGGTGAAGCGGGAGCTGCATTTACAATAGATTTTTCATACTATTGTATATCTTCAATTAAAAGTACTTTCTGGTGCGTGTGGGGATACGCTGCAGGGCTGAGGCGGCGTATTACAAATACGCTCGAGCGTATAGCGTATAGGGTCCAATATGGCAGCGAATACGAGATAAAGTATAACTTTGCTCATCGATCATCAAAGGTGGCTGAGGCTGAGAATTATTTGGAATATACATCTAATGGTTGTATAATATAGATATATAAAGAGACAATTGTTTACCTAGAAACTACCATCAACAATTCAGACAACAATTCAGTATACTATTTCCACAGATCCAAGTCTACGCCATGCTCGCTCAATCCATCATCACCGTGCTTCTTGCCTTTGCTCTCCCAGCAATGGCTGCACCTCAACCGATAAGCAAACGCTCAACTGAACTGAGCTTGACAGCTCAACTCCGACTCGCAGACACGTAAGTCTATTGGCCCCACGATGTAGAGTAAATAACTAACCCATTCAGCGCCGTTGATCGCTATAAGCTCCTCCCAAACGACACAGACTTTGTCTTTGATTTCAACAATGCAACTGATCTTCCAGTCGCCAACAGCCAGACTTTTCCAGCGCTCGTTGGCACTGGTGCTTCATTTAGTATTTCCCAGCTCCCAGGTACGCACACATACTCACTAATTCTCAAATCCACACTAACGATATCAACAGCATGCAGCATGACCTTCCTCCACCTCCACCCCCGCGCAACCGAGCTCTTCGCCCTAACCTCCGGCCACATCATCTCCGAAATGGTCCCTGAAGCCAACGTCCTCAACGCTCAAGGCTCTCAACGCGTTATCCACGCAGACCTCCACCCAGGTATGGTAACCATCTACCCCGCAGGCTCGTTCCACACACAGGTGAACCCAGACTGTGAGGCAGCAAACTTTACAGCTAGTTTCACGTCCGAGGAGTTTGCCGTGGGGTTGGTTGCTGAGGAGACTTTTTCACTGAGTGATGGGGTTCTTGCGCGGACGTTTGGGGGGAGTTTTGCCGGGCAGGATATTGAGAAGGTGAGGGGGGCTATTCCGAGTAGTATGCTGATTAGGGTGGAGGAGTGTTTGAGAAAGTGCGGTATTAAGAAGAGGGAGGTTTAAGTGGGTTGGTGTGAGTCTGGGATGTTGTGTTGATGGCTCGGGGTGCATAGATTGATAGACTGATGCAGTTTAGCTGGCTTATTTATGTGATTCATTGCGTTTAACAAGGAATATTTCCCGTCGATATAACTTTCTCATCTACCAGATTGACCTCAATTGTAGCCGAGGGACAAGGATATAATAGAACTCATTTCATCCATCATCCGACATTGGATAGCTTGGTCAAGATTGAACCTGATATAAATATATAAGGTTGTGTAGTCACGCCAAGGTCCACATGTAGAAAGGTACATTTTACTTCACCGCATTCCAAATTCGAAATCTGGGGAAATATGATATCATGAATCTGGGTTTCGGATAATGTTCCGTTTAATATGATATTTCCCCGTACTCTTTCTCGTCATATCTTGACTATGGCCTTCTCCTCTTCCTTTGGGAGGAGGTATCACCTTGCGATACTTTTAATTGCCCGCGCATCTTTTCAGGTCCAAATCCAAATATATGCTGCCAAATCAACGTGATATTTCTTGTATAATACTCTGTCCTGGGGTTGGCCAATCATATCCATCAAAGAACCCGTTTCTCCCTTGCTTAAGGTTTACCCCACAATCTGTATTCTAGATACTATGGTATAAAGTATAATCCCATTATCAACTTATGGTTCTGTTGTACTTGATTCATTAATACCTAGATGAGGTACAGATTATAGCAGTTACGATTCAGACGATAGTCTTCTATTTTGATTTTCTTGTTTAACAGTTTCCTTCCCAAAAGCGTTACTGCTACAGCGTACTTATTTTATATATTATAAACAGTTCATCAGCATCTCTTGACCCCCACCACTTATCTCACCCAACTCCTGAACAATAAGTCATTCCCCGTCTGTTTGAGAACATTGTTTGGTGGAGGCGATACAGGAGGCCGACCACCTCTTGTTGCAATCATCGTACGCACGGTAGTGGTAACTATATCCATATTTGCCACCAGCGGATCTGTCTCGTGACAGTTGGTCATGATGGCCCGGAAGATCCTCTCACCCATGGTAATGATATCGCGTGCATTGCCCCAGCCATCGAGTTTTGATAGAGAGGTCAATAGATCGTAAAGCGCTGTGCTGCTTCGCAACTTGGGGTTTCGAGGGGTGCGGTATCGACACCATGTTGACGGAGTGTGTTGATGAGCAGCTGGGTACACGCTACACCATCCATGTTTTCAAATGTCATGATTCGCTTGAACCGACTCCGCAGGCCGGGATTGGAGCTCAAAAGGGCTTCCATTCCAGGCCCGTGCCCGGCAAGAATAATCACCAGGCTGTTCTGGAATCGGGCGCTCGTCAACGCACCAACCAGTTCGCCAATGGCGTCTGTGGCAAACTCACGGCCACTAGCAGATTGATCATAGAGTCGATATGCCTCATCGATGAAGAGGACCTTTCCCACGGCCTTTTCAAAAAGGGCCAGCGTTTTCGGTCCAGTTTGTCCAACATACGACCCGATCATATCGGTCACTGGACACTCTACCACTTCGGTGCTGGACAGAATGCCCATGTGGTAGAAGATCCGGCCCATTTTCCTGGCGGTGGTTGTTTTGCCGGTCCCTTGGTCAAATCAGTATTGTTGACCGCTGCAGCTATTTTTCAATGCCAAGAATTAGATGGACGTACCTGGAGGTCCCTTGAATATATAATGAAAGGGAATGTAGTCTCGTGCGTCTATATTGCGCAGGAAACAATTCCTGGCCACTTTTGTATCTTCAAGCAACTGGGATATGATTGGGTTACACCCAACAACGCCCTCAAAAAGCCTCTGGCATTCTTCTTCTGCGTTTAATGCGCGATCCCAGTCCGTGGGAAAGTCTTGCGCCTCGAGCTGATTCCGATCAATGCTGCTATTAGACAGGTATCGCTCTGCCAATGATACTTGCGCAGATTGAATTACTTCTTCCACATAAGCTGCATTCCCAAACTGGGGGGAGGTGATGGCATGCCGAAACAACATTGATGCAGCCAATCTCGCATCGTAAGAGGCCGATACGTGGTATTCTTCCAGCTTGAGGGTCAGAATACGTTCCAATGCTGTGATTGAATATGGCTGGAAGTGAAACGCCGAGGACAGTTGAAACCGTCGTGAAAGACCGGGATTTACATTCCGGAACATTTCCTCCATTTCATTCTTATACCCAATCAGTAGGACACACTGGTTGGCTCTTCCATTTCCTGGAACGCAACCGAAAATGGTGTCAATGATGCCGTATCGGAAACTGTCGACTTTGTCTTTCGATCCCATCCAGAGCATGTGAGCATTGTCTATAATAAAGACATTTCCTTCTGCTGACTTGATGGCTTCTCGGGTGTGTTTTTCGGAATCACCGATATACTGCCCAAGAAGGTCTGCTGGTGTTTCTCAATCACTGCATACAAGCTTTTTATTAGCTTCCTAGAAAAAAAAAGAAAAAAAAGGGGAGTGCCAACCACCAAGTGCTTTCTACTTACCTTTCCCTTCGCTCAGCAAGCCCAAGTCAACCAGAATCTGGCCATATAGCTTCGCTACCGTCGTCTTGCCTGTCCCGGGGAGGCCCAGGAAAACGCCATTGAGGTTGATTGGAAGCAATAATTGGCCTTGGTCATCTCGTTCAAAATTGTCTCGCAGAAGATGATGCAAACGACGCACCCTCTCCTTCACATCTTCTAGCCCGACCATCCGTTGCAACTTTTCCCAAGCTGTACTCTTCACCAGACGGTCTTCCGTATCAGGCCCAGAGAGATCGTCTTGACTGAGGAAGTACGGGTCTATCTGACAGGTCCCATTCTTGTCCTGTGCGAGTCGACGTCGAGCTCTCTCTAGAATAGCGGACAATTCGGCACGCAAGCCCAAGATATTACCACATCCACTTTCGGTGTTCTTGCGGCATACATGTCTAGCAACCCATCGCATCAAGGGGCCATCGAATCCACCCTCCACTTGCATTTTTCCATCAAAGTCTCGATTGATGGTGGTCTGCAGGATTTCCAGCATCTCGTCTGGGGTGTACGGTATTCGTGACCCTCGAGTCGATATACAGTATGGGTGGCAACGCTGCGCCACTGGCGGAGCTGGTGGCTGAAGGCAAGCGGGCTTTGCCGAAGGGAAACCTCATTCTTATCCCGTGAGGCACATTCACATGGACCAATATGGCTATGTCATCTAGGGCTGGAAAAGGAGTTTGCGGGTCGGCTACATACTTATGGGAAGGCAATAGCAGGCGGCGGTAGGTTATTCTACCCTTTAGATTGATGCTGATAATGCACTAGGCATCATACTTGTAACAGCATGGTGAAGGGATACCTCGTCAGCTACGCATGAAACTTCATGGTCACGACTGTCCCATCCTTCACCTTCTTTGCCACGATCCAGGCAGCTACTGTAGTCATGAGAGACGAGGAGGCCAACCTGAAGATTACACCCTTGCAGCAAAGAGAATCCACTAACTTATCCAAATCCAGCGTCGCAAACAACTCCAAGACCGAGTCCACCACTTCTATCATGTCCTCCAGCATCATCCGCAATGGGAATAAATCCAGCAGTTAGGTGCGCTGAGTATTCCCACCGTGGCTCAATACACGGAGTGCGGTATCTCGTTATTCTCAAGGCCAAGGAGCCAGTCCGTATTATGAACTGGGCACAGAAGCAAGCAGACCCATCTCTAGCCATGGTTCGGGGGCGATTGGGCTGACTTACTTGGCCCGATATAGACCATTCCATGCCTGGCCATTGGCAGTACTACACTCAATACTAATTCTTTGAATATATATGAAGTAGAAAATCACGATAGAATCCATTCAAAGAACGTAGTTGAACTTGTCCAGCATACTCTAGTTATAGAAGCCCATGTCTCATGTAATCCGAGCAAACCTCAACGGAGTCCTCTTTGAACCCTTAAAGGCTCCAAGACGAATTCCCCTGAGCAATGCTGACTCTGGTCGAGGTAGCAGCGTTGTCTGCACACATACTCATGACGCCGTCTTGGATAGCTTGGTCTCGCTCTTCCTCGAAATTGCCCGCAACAAACTCCTTCACGGCTTTTTCTGTCTCTTCGTATTCCTTTGCGAATTGGTCTTCGGGGACTGGGCTAGAATTCTCGGGAATGTGGACTACAGCCGCCGAGACAATGGAGCCCAGTGTTTGGAGAAGAGGGTTGTAAATAAGAAAGAGCTCTTTAACGTGGGTGGCAAAGGCCTGTTTTGTATGCGCATCGCCAATGACACCCTTGAGGATGGTCTGCTCAGCCTCTGAGGGATATTTGGACCCTGCCTCCAGGTCTTTTTCAATCAACTTCAGAAGAAATTCCGATGGGGTGTCCTGGTTGGTTGATCCAGTGAGACTTTGTGCGCTTTCTTTCTGTTTCGGCTGAGATGACTTACAGCGGACGATAAAGGCCCCAAAATTTCAGTTTCAATGCCAATAGACCCGTAAGGGATGCTCAAGTATAAAACTGCAATTTCGATCAGAGCCGTGTTCCCATTTTCAAGGACATTGGCGTATCCAGGCACCCTTTGTAAGCGAGAACAAGCAGGTACTTTGGTGTCAGGTCCTGCACCGCCGAAGCAGGGGTCCGAGGATGCCTGGGAATACACAATCAGCGAGTTGGCGAGACTCTCAGCGACTCTCGCCGTAGCATCGGCCATGTCAGGATAGTTGTCGGTAAAGAATGCGGTGATCCCGGCGCGGAAACCGGCATCCCGAGTTAATGTCTCCCGTGAGAACAGGGAGAAGTACTGCGCAGACACGTTTCTTGCCCTTGCAATCCGTTGATACTCATCCTCGCTCATGACATCGACTTTCGTTGCTGGCCGGCGGATTTCGGCCACTCGCGAGGCCTGGGCGACATCGAACCTGTCCCATGCCGCGTCGATTTTCTCCTGGCGGTCGTTGATTTAGCCGATTTGCGCCTTGCGACTCATCTTGATCGAAGCTGAGGAAGATAAAGAGGAAGATGAATGAAAAGAAGATGTCTTGAGTTACCGAAAGAGATTTCTGGTGTTGAGAATATGGGATTGTTCCCCGGTTAAATATTCAAAACCGCCACCGTCATCATAGCAAGGAAATCCAGCTGACAGGATTGCAGCTGAGCACAAGCTGCATATGGCCATTGATGCGTTGACACGTTGACTCCTGTTGTAAAGTCTACAGACTTTGCATTACGTACATACATGCACGATGATATAGGTATTCAATATTTCAACACCCAACATTTCCGCTGAGTCATTCTGATTGGTCCATCAGATGAGGGGCTTTCATCGTTTGCATATTGCTTTTCTCGCTTGGGTTGTCTCGATCACGAATATTTGTCAAGAACATACATCCCATGACACGAGTGACCTACTTTGACGGCCCCACAAACAACACTGATCTTGGAAGCATCAACCGTAAAGAAGAAACTGGCGGGAACAGTGGCTGGCTACCGGGGGTTTGACCCCGTTCAGATCTGCATCTGCTGGAAAAGCAATTATGCTGCGGTGTGATGGTCTGGAGTTATGCAGGGTGATTCAGCTATACCAGAGATCTATCATCATCAGCCAAACGACGCTGTCCGGCCTGATCCGGCATTCGGTGTATCTTTTGCATAACTCGGCACTAAGCTCAGTCTAAATACCAGATGCTGATATTTATGTCATAAAGTAGTCAGCTCAGGCAGCATGGGGTAAAGTAATGTCAATTTATCCATCCGATCAATAGCTATGAGAACAGAGGCACTGATAGAATTGTACGTAGTGTTTGCAAATCCTATATATATAACGCTATCTCGATGGGCATTTCTACGGAGCTTGGGCCACTGAGTAATAATTTAAATTGACTGAAGTATCCCATCACTAATCTGCGAAACATCATCTTCGCTTAGATCATCCTAAGCAGGAGGCAAAGGGTTCTTGCCAGTTGCTCCAACTGAAGAGTTGTTGACCTTTCCATACAACCATTCAGTGATACCAGCGACATTCGTTCCGCCCTGGTAGTAAACCCGCAGCTCGGGAACATTCGACCAGGCAATAGCCGCGATCTCCGTGCCCAAGATAGTCGAGCCGGCCATCTTGCCCGCGTACGTCTTGCCCGGTGCATCCCAGCACCACTGCCAGAACGAACCGTCCGAGTTGGCCCAGTACAGACGGAGGTTGATACCCTTGGAAACGTCCCAGTAGAAGCAGGTGACGTCGAATCCGGCCTGGATGGGGACCTTGGAGACGATGACTTGGTTCATGTCCCACCAGCCCTTGTCGCTCCTGTAGCATTTCTGCACGATGTTTTGGTTGTCTTCTTGGATGTAGACTCTGCTTTGGGTTAGTCTGTCATCCTGGTGTAATAGATGCGAGATGACACATACCGGATATTATCCTCCCACTTGGTGGCAGCGATGGTGGAGCCTGGCAGTGCTTTGCCCAAGATATCGCCTGCTGTCCATCCACCAGAGGCTAATTGAACGCATCAGTCATCCATATTCAAGTCAAGAGATTATCCGACATACATGTCCACTTCCACTCCTGGATCTCATCGTTCGTATTCTGCACAAACAGGTGGATAGTCTCCTCCGGCACCTTGTCCGTCAAGTAGACGGCTGCCAGCTTAGAGTACGGTGCCGCCTGCACATTGTAATACCCGATATCACCATTTCCCCAAGCCCAAGCGGGATTGTAGGACCGCTGGCGCAAGAAGTTCAACGAGGAAAGATAGAACACGTGTGTCTGACTGCTTAGTTTTGTCTTCGATAGGGCGGGCTGCTGGCAGTGCTTACCTCTCTCAATTTATCGGTACAGGCAGCCAGCGGGGTGCCGTGTTTGGCAAAGGCAATGGTATCGCCAACTTGGCCACCCTTCCAGCTGCCTTCGTACTGGGTCTCGCGGATTCGGGCATGCGGATCCTGGAAGTAAACACGAAGTCTGGAGTTATCGTTGACGGCTGCGATAGCAGTGCCTGAAGTATGTTAGAAGAAGAGCTTGAGAGGATAAGGTACGCACGGAACTGGATTTCAGAAGCCATGGTTGTTGTCGATTGGAGGTGGGTAGTCAGATAATTGAAAGATTTGTTTCTGTGTCTGTCTCTTTCAAATCTGGCGGGATTGAGACCCCTGTATATAGCCCCAGTCGACCTCCTAACCACTTCATTCTCGGCTATTCAGCCTACACCGACATCCGCTGCCTGATGGCTGGTAGAATGCGTAGCGAGCTGAGCATTCCAAGGATGACATCATGCGCTCGCAGGATATTGATTACGTGAATACGTTCACTATGAGGGAATTACCCTCGGATCGGCTGGTATGAGATTGAGCTGAAACCTGCCACCAAGTCTAGACTGGTATGGAGTATGCGTGATTGGATATTAGACAAAGTTTTTTATGCTAAAGGTGACACTGCATGAAAGTTGATCAATCGGAAGCTAGAGGGAATATCCGAGAGGGTGGCAGATTCACAGATCAAGAGGGGTTGAAAAAAAGCAATTTGAAGAAACTCGCAGCTGCCACGTATATTTCTGGCGGGTTGAAGGCATTGATGGCTGCAAGTAAAAGCGGGGAATCGTCAGCCAGCCACAATAATCCCCGCAATATATTCGATTGTTTACTCTATTTGAGCGAATAGCTTTTACTATGTACAAATTGGTAGATCTGATATATTATTGTTACGGGGCTTCTACTCAGCAGTATAGTCGTATAGCAGCAATGTAAAACTATCATAATGTCAAACTTTTTTCTCTACAAAGGTACTTGAATAGTATTTGATGCTATCAATATCACATTATACCTGCATTGTTGCTGCATTAGTCTACCCTGTCTTGTGCATGATCATTAATTTACTAATCATATCATCATTTGTACTACACTTAACCCAGAACAAGACTTTGTTTATAAACTGATTGAATATATTCTAGTAAAAGATTCTTCACATGGGCAGGGATCCTTAACAAATACCAGTTTACTAAGTGGTGGTGTGTCAAAAAATTTCCTCTCATCCCCCATTTTAGTAATATCGTAGCCAGACTTTGTGGGTTTCAAAAAATGAATTAAATGCGTAGTTTTCAATCATTTCAATTTATCAAAGTATATATCACTGAGTAAAATTAGTCAGATATAATTTATTTGTTTGAAAATGTGGAATTAGTATGCCATTCTATGGTGAATCGATCTGAATGGTTCACTGAATTTACCACTCAACCACAAAGGGTTCAAGTTGACTGATCGATTGATCATTCAACGATAAATATATACATATTTAGTCATATACTGGGCGTAGCCCATGACATAAGGCAAGATAATATTTAAACTCTCAAATCCTATAGAACATGCCAGGATTCATAACATTCCTAATATCAATAGCACTACTAGCTACGGAAACTATAATTCTGTTATTAAAGGTAAGAATGACAATACTTTTAGTGCTCCAGGTGAAATTATATGTCTCTCGCCAGTTTTCAAACCCCGCAAGCGCCGGCATGGGTACTCATTCAATGGCAAGATCTGACCTATGACAGTAGACTAAAGTAGATTAAGACAGAGATCAGCCCCATGATTTCATTCATCTGTTTACATTTTGGCATCATAAATGAGTAACAAGATATTCGAATGCCTAGGACTGCTATTATGGCAGGTAAGAGGGGGTTCTTTGTTGTTTCTTTGCGGCAATTAATATCCTAGCAGAGTGAAGGCGGAGCCATACAATCCCATCAACTCCTGAATTTTACCATTACATAACCATGAAAGACTACCAGAAATGTCTGGATATTCCTTTTAGTCTCGCGTTATTTTTTGGTTAACAGATCCTAACTACGTTCCCTAACACTGACCTCCCTAGAGGTATAAGGACGGGCTAAACTATGGTATGTATTAAAAACTCTAGAAGATATATAGAGATAACTACCTTACAGATAAGTAGAAGAGACCCACTATTAATAGTAGATTGGAGTTTTTTTTTTGGTAGATATTTTGAGCCGTTACCCGTATTCAAAGCCTAGCCCTCTAGAAAATAGTCCCTTACTATTTTACTGTCCCATCTATAGGAGTTTTCAGGTGGTGCACTACCACTGCATCACACTGACAGCGCAGCTAAGAGGGGTGAAATTGGTGAAAATGTGGTACGAACCTTGTGTATATCATGAGAACTAATTGCGGGGATGCTCTTAACCCTATTCTCCCAACCACCAGGAGTTATTAGTTGTGATGCTGAATCTATTTCAAATCCAGCTGATATGGCTCTATTCATTAATTGAGAGAAAATTAGAGAAAGGCTATTTTACCAGCTGTCGACCGAGCCACGTGATGAAAATATATATATATATATATATATATATTGGGTACTCGCGTACAACTAAAGACCCAAGTGCCTGATAGGGTCATAGCAAGTCTGCTATTATTTATTATTTATCTTTGTTTTGAATATATATACAACGAGAAAATATATACTGTGTGCTGGTGATCCTCCATTTATTATTTTGTTGCTGTGACCGTACATGTACTTGTAGAAAATCTAATATATAAGCAGAACAGAAAATCAACGCTTAAATCGACCAATACACCAATAGGATATGATTACAGACCCAACTGTGCAGCCGGAGTCACAAATTGTCGTGCATCCCAGCGCACTCTCCGCAGATGTCTCTTCGGATCCCGAACTTCATTCCTAGCATGCAACCAGCGTCCATTATCCATGAGGATAATCGATCCGCGCGGCATCAAGTCCGGCGTGAGATTGAGAATCTGCTGTTTCGCAGCGGGACCTAGCAGGACGCTCTTCAGCTCTGCCAACGCCTTCGCTGCCTCATCACATAAAGGCGTGACGATGTCCTCTCGGAACCGGAGCTGCGTCGCCTTGCCATTGGGATTCGTGGCGAGGAGATTCCCCACGATGTCCGTTTCTCCTTGATTCTTGATGAACTCAGGTGGAACCCTGATTCGATAATTTGGTGTGAACAGCCACTCCCTCGCGAACGGGGACAGCAGCGTCAGGAGATGATCGACATTCAGCACAGACAACGTACCCCCGCCACACGTATCCGGTTGTAGAACCTGCAACGCGAAGAACCGCGGCGGCTCGCTCTCATAACTACAGTCTGTATGCCAGGGGAACTCCTCCATTGTCTCGGACCGCGCTTGGTGGTTATTACTTTGGAAGGAGTCGGGCGAGGGCCGGATATCCCACATCCAGCCGCGGTCGGCGCTGTGGGTGAGTGGGAGGCCGTGGGAGTGGTGCTTGTGCAGGTTTAGGAGGAGCTCCTGAATATAGCTGCTTTTGTCGTCTGCGAAGGCGAGTTGGATGTGGAGGATGCCATCGTCTTGGAGGAAGCGGTTAACGGAGGCGAGGTGGGTGGTTTGCGAGGCGTGGGATGGGTTTGGGACGGTGAGACGGGGAATGGTTGACGTTGATATGAATCGAGAGTCTGTTTGTTAGCAATGAGTGCAATTGAATGTGTGTATACATACTGGATGGTCGAGCCAGTCTGGCTGTACACAGAGGACGTAATAATCGCTGCATGATGGCCTGTTCAAAGTTTGGGTCGAGAGAGAAGAAACTCCGGTTCGGCCAAGCAGATATCGATCTATATTAGAAAGCTTCCCCCCACCGATCCCAGCTGGCCATCAGCTCGATTTCCCCATCGTCGATTGTTCCTGTTGCCATAACGTAATTAGTTGCGTCTGCTAGCCATGGTGGCTCCACAGTCCCGCAGACTGCGGGTCCATGTACGCGCTAGTAACGCCATGCACCAATCAGGCCCAGTTCCAGGATCGCGTGTTTGTTCCTGAGTGGGTCTCGGCCGCTTTTCAGCTCAGCTCGGCTTCAGCTCGATGAGATTTTTCATGAGCTGTGTTGATCATTACTTGTTGTCACTGCGCTGGTTACTCTAGTTACATTGTGATGCCGCCCAGACTGCGCAGTATCCGGATTCTGATTCTCTACTCCTCCACTGAACAAATCCAAGCACCACCTCGACTCAGCGCACATATTCTCCCCGGACCACTTCTCCACAGCCCAAGGCCAAGAAACTTGCCATGCATCATCATGAATGTGCCAATGAAGGGGAAGTGCTGCACGCCGTCGCTCTCGTGAAGAAATACCTTGTACAGATTATGTTCGACCCGCTGTTGTACGACATACGTAGTCATTCCCGCGACGAGGCGGGGATTGCGCATCGGTTCCAGTTTCGCCAGCCATTCTTCTTGACTGAGCTGGTCGCCGAAGAGGATGCCTGCTCCTTTTCCGCTGCGGACCGGTTTGAGGATGTACGCATTTTTGAGGGTTTCTGATTTGCGGGATTGAGTGATGAAGTCTGTCAATTGCGGTGAACCGGGGAGGGTGGTGGGTACGATGCCTCTGTTGAGAATGGCCGCTTGCTCGGTGGTGAGGACATTGCGGGCGACAAGGTTATCAAGTTCCTGGAGGACAATGCCTAACAGTCTCTTGTCGTGGACGAGGAGGATACTGCGCATGTCACTGAAGCAGCGCAGACTGAGTTGCTGGAGCATCTCCGCCGACATAGCCGCCAGCTCTCGCTGGTGCAGTTCCAGTCCGATCTGGTGGACTTCCTCCAGAGTCTCACCGGCGGCATTGGTGATTGTGTTTTGTGGGTTATCCTGTGCCAGACAGTATAGTCTGTATCCACCAGGCGATTGAGGCGACTCGATTAACCGTAAATCAGCGGGATGAACGAATCGCGGCTTGATCCCGATGGATTCTGCATAGTAAGTGTACAAGTGAATGTCGTAGCCGTATTCTTCGCCTTTGCAGAGATGAAGTGGTAGATCCCTGTTATACAGACTATTCAGTCCATTTTTCATCTATTCAGTTAGCTTGGGCATCCTCTATCTTGAAGATTCAAACGCACAATCTCCGGATCCGTCACTCCTTTGACTCCATTCCGCCCAACCCCCATATCCAGCAATGCCTGCTGCCCAATTGCCGTAAGCATAAACCCATTCCAGCAGAAGCGCGCATTGATCTCGCAGATGCGGTAGTTCTCAATGCCACCCTCGACTGCTGGTTCAAGCAGCATATCTGGACGCCATGACCCCGCACGGGTTTCGAACGGACTGATCACATCGGTTGGCTGGGAGTCAAGCCACTGTACAATCATAATTAGCCAGATCATTTTAACAAGACAAAGAAAGAAAGACATACACGTAGCAAATCCTCCTCAAACGGCTCAATCGGCATACGCTCCGGGAAGCGCGCCTCGGTATCCTTCCACCATCTGTTGACGATGTCGATAATCGCTGCTGACAACGCCTCACTCAGAACTTCCACCTGCTGCTTGTGTCTGGGCGTCACGAGAACCGGATGCGGGGAACATGTCTGGTAGATATCGCCAGTCCAGGTGTGCGGGGGACTGCAATTGAGCATGTTTGCGTGGAGGGTTTCAATGAGGGACTGGCGGGTAGTCGGGTCGCTGTCGGTGGGGTGGACATATTGCTCGCCCTGCTTGGAGGGGAGGATGATGGTGTGGAGATTTGACGATGGTTTTTTCATTTTGAGCTATATGGTAAATGTGATTGATTGACAGACAGAGTAAGAGATGAGAATTGGGGATATTAATATGACATTGCATTTTTTTTTTTTTTTCTTCCCCTCATCTGCATGTGAGATGCCGAGGCGCTAACAACATCTGCCTTTCCTAGCGTGTTGTTGTTTGTCCTTCTTCTACCCGATTGGGGCTGTGGGTCAGGGGAAAAGATGATCGCCACGAGCTGAATGGCGAGTCTGGACCAGCACCAAGTCCGGATTCCAATTGGATCTATCACACGGTGATACTCATCTTGAAGCTATTCCTGCAGCTTTGGTCACTATTCAATTCAACTGAGACATAGAAAGACAGTGGCTGGCTGCAGGGCATGCTGTGATTCGCGCACTAGAGTGGGATGGATCGCAGCTGAAGAAAGCTGTATCAAATACCGTACCGTACTAGTAGCGCCTGCAGCCGATCAATGGTTCTTCATCTTGCAGCCAGTCTAGCCAGCTATGGCTAGCGCGGAACTGCAGCTATTTTCCTATATAGGACCACTTTTTCTGATCCGAAGCCCCTCATTGCCAGTTCTGTTCTTCCACCTTGAATATCGCCATCATGGTTGCTGATTACTACCCCCTTTCCGATGTCCTGGCCGTCGCCAGTGTTCATCCCTTCTACTCTGACACCACCTATCCCCCAACTCGCGAGGAATTGCCCTCAGTCCTGGCCAATGCGCGGGAGTCAACAAATGGCCTTGAACTGTCCAAGTTTCCCTTGACGGAAAAAGATAAACTGTACAAGCAGATTGCGCGACTCACGAATGATAAAGACCCCCGCAATGGATACCGACAAGGTACCTACATCAGCACAACCGGCGGAGGCTCAGGAGGACAGCCGATGGTCTTTGCGACTGATTCGATTGAGAATCGCCAGCAACGGGCTGTGTTTGGTTCGCTTTTGCGCGCATGCGACATTCTCGGCCCGGGAGACTGGATGTTGACGATGCACGTGTGTGGCTATCTCTACAGGTGTGTCTGCTGATTGGCTGTATAATGCATCGCTAATAATGACAGGGCACTCGACCTTATGACCGAGGTCTTTGAAGCTTCTGGCGCCACTGTCCTCTGCGCAGGAGGTGACATGGAGCTCGAGAAGATCGTCAAGTGCCTCATCGAGTACCGCGTCAACGCCATTGCCGGCGACGCAGGCCAGTTGGTCCAGCTGGTGCGGTACATCACCACGCTGCCAGAGGAGAAAAAGCAGATGATCCAGATCGACAAAGCTCTCTACACATCCGAGCCCATGACGCCCGCCCAGCGCAGCTTTCTGAAGTCCGTCTTTCCCAGCATCGCCCTGACATCGGTGATCGGCAGCGCAGAGGCAGGCACATGGGGTGCCTCGACGGCCGAGCTGACCGAGAGCGCAATGGAGAAAAACTACGCAGACTTCATCTTCGACAATCGCCTCATGCACCTCGAGGTTCTCCCTACTTCCATCATCAACAACACAGAAAACCTCGCCAGCCAGCCCCAGCCCATTCCAGACGGCGAAAAAGGTCTCCTGGTCCAGACCTCTCTCCAGCGCCTCCGCAACCCGCTCGTCCGCTACGTCTGCGGCGATCTTGCCTCCCTCCACCCTCTCCCCGAGTCGATCTCCTCCCGCCTCTCCCCTGAAGACGCGGCGCACTACCGCATCGCGCGCGTCTACGGCCGCGACCGCCAAATCAGCTTCGATTGGTACGGCGAGTACTACGAATTCCAACAAGCCCAGGCCGTCATGCAGACCGAGTCGTGGGGCATCCTGCAGTACCAGATCATCCGGCGGTATCCGGACAACGATACCAGCCATCTGGAAGTGGTGCTGGAGGTACGTGTGCTGCGAGACTCCGGGCCGGGCAAGCTCGACGAGGAGAAATTGACGCACGCGATACGCACCTTTTTCAAGGTATACCCGAACAACAGCGACTTGTTTGTGCTGAAGTATCTGCCTGATTATAGTGGCTTTTTGCGGAGTACGACGGGGAGGAAGGTGATGAATTTTGTCGATTTGACTGGGCAGAAATAATGCAGAGACGTAGCACGAGCAGTGCTTTAGCTGGCCATCACCTCAGGTGAAGTCACAAAACTAAAATAGGAAATATCACTTGACCTGCCAAGAAATTACTTTTTTCTCCAGAGCTTTTCTGTATATTTCATACAAAAACATCACTGTATTTTAGAACTAGTTGAGAGCGAAGCCTGGGCCCACTTTCAGTTATGTACTGTGCAGCTGAGTAGAGTAGATGGTCAGAACCAGGGTACTCGACGGGATCAGCCGAGATCGGTCCGACAGAATACACCATCTCCACAGAACACAGAGGCGAAGCAGATCTCTGCTGTGTTGGGGCTTCTGTTGAGAAATAAATACAGGCAAACAACACACAGTCCTGCATTCAAATCCCGGCTGGTCACTCGGCTGAAAAGGTGTTTGTTTCCTTGGCCAATCCCCTCTTTCTGCATTGTTAGACCACAGTCACTTGGCCATTGCGGCGTTGGGGGTGTCTGTGTGCCGTTGCGTAAGTCGGCAATCCATGACTTGAGATATAGGGATGATGGGAACTAATAATGTCCAGCGATGGGTCCTAGTGTGGAAGAAGCGCCGAGTCCGGAAGAAGGACTGCACTTTCTGAACAAGACCAAAGCAGCCTACATTATCTTTGAGACGGATACTTTCAACATGGCAATCTGTTTCTATATTTTTTTTCTCTTCTGCAGGGCTATATCGGTAGACCGTTAGAGCCACCATGTCTTTGTAGCACAGCATATCAGAAAGCATACCATTCTTAGACTCCAATCCCTCCGATATGCATCGACCTTGCTGTTATTGACTTCTTATCTAAATGTTTTCTATATTAATTTTCATGATTTTGAGGTGACTGCATGGGCGTGGCTGCTTGCCTGTATCGCTGATCTTAGATATCATGAGTATGGAGTGCATAATAAATAGATAACCCAATCAGGAAATAGACCAGGCTGGTGGCCCAATGTTGGGCGACTTAACATATCCACTTATTGCATGGTAGGCCAGCCGGCTTGCGTGATCTGCATTCAGCTGACAACCCCGCTGTCCAGCTCAGACCAACCCACTTTATGACGTTGAAAGCTGAACTCTCAGCTCAGCTTGGGAAGAACAGACTATTCTCTACCGTCTAATTATAAATACCCTTCTCGTACCCCCTCAATCCTCCATCTTCGTTCAACTCACTCCCACTTCTTCCTCCTATCTACCAAACACAGCCCACCAAAGCCAACCCTTCAAAATGCCTTTCATTGAAATTCCCGCGTATGTCCTCTTCATCAATAACCCCCATCTCTATAAGACTAATAGAATATCCCAGGCCCAGGCTCTACGAGGACCTCATCAACAGACCCCAGCCCACCCTCGTTTATTTCTTCGACGGATCAGCTGGACGTACTGGTGAATACCAAATCTTGGAATCAGGAAACCACCCCGGTAGCCAGCTTGAGACATTCTTTGTTGATGTTGCCCTATTCCCCGTTCCAGACGGTCCGAAGGAGGTGCCTGTGACGATTCTCTTCCGCGAAGGCCAACAGTTGGGTACTGCCGTGCAAGGAGACATTCCTACATTCTTCAAGCTTCTTCAGCAAGCTGAACAAGAGTCTTGAAATTATGAAGCGACAGCCTTGTCGTGAATGATGTATTTAGATGACTGGGTTGGCCTGAGTATTATTGAAGATCGAGTTTTATTTTTTATATTTATTCAGTATTTTCCCGGAGTGGAAATGTGGCTGGCCTCAGCTGAGCCTCGCTTCAGGTGAGAGCTGAACGTAACCCCGCCAGCCCCGCCATGAGCTAGCCAGTACCGTATCTAAGATCGATTTCAGCTGCCCCACTCGCAGCCTCAGCCGCGTGGTACGCTACATCATTGGCTGTACAATCCATAAATGTGGGTCATGGCCAACCTTATTAATTATTGGAATGTTCCAGGCTGTTTATTGGGCAGCTAGTATTTATTCATCTATGATTATAGATAGATCGAAGTAAACATCACACTGGACTATCCTGGTAATCATTTTCATCCACGACCACACCCCCTTCATCTGTATAGCGACTGTGCGTTGGATATTGCTGTTGTCTGTCTATATCATCTAGTCGAACGTGTCGACGGAGGATGTAGCGGTTAATCATGTACGGGAGCTCTTTGGATAGCCGATACCGGACGAGTTTTCTAGTAGACAGTTTGAATATTGAAGAGATCTCCTCGAGAGAATGCTGCTTGGTTTCTCTGATGACGAGAAAAGACGCGCAGAAGAGAATGGCATGCATGAGCCTGTTTAGTCCGAGTTAGGAGAATGCGGTATGTACTTGAGGGAAGGGGCTTACGCAAAAGCATGCAGCAGCTTCGTTGAGGAACTTCCTACTGCTAGGGGAAGGATAAGCATGATTTTCGCCAGATTCTGACAGACATGATAAATGGAGAAGGTAAATGCCATGCCGATTTCTAATCATCGTCAGCCAAATAATCCTCCATGGGAAAAGAGTTTATATTACCTCGATGGTAGATCGGAAAGACCTTGGCCGCATACGAGAGGAACAGAAAGCCCGCCCCGATTGACGAAAGGCTAATTAGAAAACAACCGGAAACGAGCACCATCATCATCTGGCTGTGCCGCGAGGGAAAGAACAGTCGCATCCAGATGAGCAGACAGATTAGCCCTGATAGACTGATGAAAATCGCGCGACGGCGTCCGAGTATATCGATCATCGCCAGGCCGAGCATTGTAGCCATGAAGATGGCAAGGTGGACGTATACGGGCATGATCGGCGCCGGAACGACATATCCATCTGTGAAGATATTTATGAAAAGCGCGATGAGTTGCTCAAATGATCCGACCAGCAGTCCTGTCCCAGATAGTGTGGCTGTTATGATGGTGATGGATGATGCTATCGTAGCTCTTCTAATGCGTGGAACGGTGATGAGCTGGACTAGTTTTGTGTGAAACCTCTTTCTCCCAAACTTCCCCTCTTCCGTGCTAATATGGGACTGTATTTGCCACAGATCCTGAGCAGCGAGGATTTCAACACCGCGAAGATGAAGTAGAGATTCATATGCTTTATCCATCTGCCAGTGGGATACATACCATCGAGGCGACTCGGGGAAGAACCAGACTAGCATCGGGAGAATGGCAGATAGGATGGGATAGCAGACGTTGAGAAACGATGCAATGGATGGAGCCGCAGTCTCACAAGCGGAAGTTAGTCCTGAAAAGAAGAATCCGACATAAGTGGCACTATTTCGTCAGATTGTAGCAGCAGAGGAAGGTAGGTCAACATACATAGAGCAGAGCCGAAGCATCTTTTCACGGCTCATTGTTGGACTGCTTTCTGCCAGATAGACTGGAATCGTGCATGCCTGGAGTCCCACGCCAAATGCGAGAAGGACGCGGAAGATTAACAGTTGCTGCCAGCGAAGACCAACAGTCTCGCCGACAGAATCGATAAAGGTGAGAATGAAGCTGAGGAAGACAGCTCCTCGACGACCGATTGAATGGTTGACGATGTAGGTACTCCAGCAGCCGGCTAGTGCAATGAGACTGTTGATAAATGAGCGCTGGTCAGAGCACTCTTAGTATCTATGTATTCTTACCATTCAACCAGAAATATCATGGGTAATTTCTCCTCGTTGGCAGGTTTTGTCTGGAGTAGTCGATCGGACACTCGGAGATAGGAATGGGGAAGGGCCAACGAGAACATATTCCACCCACTGCCATGTCAGCTCATTCAATCATATATCATATACAGAGACTCTCTCACGCCAGAAATCCAAATCCACAACAGCCATACACAACCTGAGACAAACCAGAATGGCGGTGCCAATTCTTCGACTTCTCATTGCCGATGATGACCAGTTCATCGCGGGTGAGTCCATCGACACGATCAATATCTACATTGGATGCAAGCAGAGCGCCTTTTCGAATCGTGTCTCTTGCGTAGTCCAGGTTGTGTCTGGTTGTGAATTCGTCTGCTTCTAGGAGGATCTGTCGCTCGCGGTGATCATCTGGGCCGTGGGATGTCCATTCTGGTTGATGGTGAGCGGATCTAAGCTCATCGTGGTATATTGTGAGATGGATTCCTCCTCGGCTGTCGTGCTGAATCTCTCTTGACATTGTCAATCATGTAAAGTGAGGATATGGAGGGAATGGAATTCTCGAGGGAAATGAAACAATATGGCTGACTGCGCGATGTCACCAGTGCAGATACGAGGCTGCGCCCGGGTGACAGCCTTGTGATTGCGTAGCCCTTGACTGGAGATGAGGGGTACTCGTGCAGATGCGTTGTTCAAAAAAGCAAATTGGTCAGCGAGGCTGAGTCCTTCTGGATTCTTCCAAGGATAATGCTGCCTGCTTCATTCAACCTCTCCCATCTTGTATCTCTATCTCGACTGATGGTACATGATTCCGCCGCTGTGACAATGGCTGTCGATCACCTGTTTTATCTGTTGCTCGTGCCTGGATGGTATATCGCCCACTCTGTTCGATCAGCAACTGAAGACAAAAGAATTGCCACTCAAACTGCTCGCGAGGCGCTACTCTCGCCTCTATCCAAGTCTGTCCGTCTATACTGACATCAACCCGCACAATCTCTTCTTCTCCCCACGCACGCCCCCAAACCTCGACATACCCAGGACAAAACACCCCTCCCGGACAAGGCCTTACAATTATCGAATTCGGCTCTACCTTCCAAACAGGTCTTTTCCTTACACCAGCCACATCCCCCGGATCCAGCTCGTTGTAAAAGACCGTCGTGAACGGGCCGGGCGATCTCCCCTCCTGCACAGACAGCCGACACAGCCATTTAGTCGAATTCGTCCCAAACCACCCCGGCACGACGAGTCTCACCGGTCCTCCTCGCTCTTTGCCTAAAGGCTGCCCGTTCATCGCATACGCGACCAGAACTTCTGGTGATAGGGCTTTCTCCATCGGTAGGTCTTTCTGGTACCTATCTGCACTGACACCAGCGAACGTCCCTGAATCCAGCCCGTCAGACCACACAAAGGATCCTCGCGTGTCTGGTCGTGCGATGGCGAGTAGATCCTTCAGCGGAACGCCCGTCCAGACGACATTCCCAATCCTCCACACATTCTTCGTTGGAGCGACCAGTGGACTCCCATAGCACTCATGGAAGGAGATGACTGAGGTAGATGGCATCTGCCGTAACTGGTCCAGATTTATAGAGAAAGGCCGCTCGACGAGTCCATCCACTGCCAGTGTCCAGCGACTGGAATCTACCACGGCAGCGCCCATGTGGATTGTTTGGAATAAACATGTTTCGGGCGTGAGATTATCTTCGAGTTGGTGGGGTTTGGGTGGGTGGCGGATGAAGAAGCCTTTTGGCTGGATGTCGACTAGAGACTGGCGGGAGTCTGGGATATTCCTGCGATCGATGAAATTGACAGAGTGTAGATCAGCCATGGTATATTATAGAAAAATGAGATGAATGATAATTCCGAGTCTGACGTGCATATAAGATTTCAGATCAGATGATCCGCATTACCCGCAATATCCGTGCGCCTTCTGAGAACATATCCACATTCCTAATAAAATCACAGAAGAAATTGCAGTAATTCATCAATTCATCAATATTAATCAACATGGGTGGCCTATCTGCACGAGGGAATGCTTTTGTTACACGGAAACCAGCCTTCCTCGACGTCTTGAGCAATCTGTGGGATCCAAAGTCCAATCCAGATGGAATTGTCAATCTCGGTCTTGCTGAGAATGTAGGGATACCCACCTTTAATAATATTCACGCTAATATCTATAGACACTCATGCACGATGAAATGGAGCGATTCATCAACACAAATGTAGGTCATCCTCCACAATCACAATAAACCTTCTAACCAACTTCCAGTCACAAATCAATGCACACGCATTAACATACGGAGATGGCTTCAGCGGCTCCCTCCGTCTCAAAAAAGCCATTTGCCATTTCCTCAACACCCGATTCTCTCCCATCACTGCCCTCTCTCCGTCTCATCTGACCATCACCTCCGGCGTCAGCAATGCACTCGAGTGCTGCGCCTGGGCTTTAGCTGACATTGGCGACTGCTTTCTCGTTGGACGTCCGTATTTCAATGCATTCAAGACGACATTTGGGACTCGACCAGGGTAGGTCTTTTACAAGTCAGACCTGGACAAAGTTGACCTATGTTTCTAGAGTTAACCTCGTCGAGGTGGCGTTTGCAGAAACCGACCCATTTAGCATGGCTGCGGTGCATATGTATGAGAAGGCATATACGGAAGCAATCAGCAAAGGGCTTCGCGTCAAAGCACTTCTCTTGTGTTCGCCACATAATCCACTGGGTTTTACCACCATCCCATCTATCTATATAGACCAATATTAACGATTTCAGGACGCTGCTACCCCGCAAACATCCTCAGAGAGTATATGAAGTTCTGTGCCAGAAATGGGCTCCATCTGATCTGCGATGAGATCTATGCTCTGTCCGTCTGGGATAATCCCCGTCTACCTGATGCCCCGGGGTTTACGTCGATTCTGGCTATGGATGCTGCGGACGTGATGGATCCCAGCAGAGTTCATGTTGTATGGGGGTTGAGTAAGGTAAGCTTCTGGTCTTGAGTCAGATGGATGTGACTGATTTTGCAGGACTTTGGCGCAACGGGATTGAGAATAGGTTGTCTGGTTAGCCAGGCAAATAAGCATATTTTGGATGCTGCGGATGGTATTTCGTAAGTTATTTTACAAATACTCAACATCATCCACTGACTATGATCAGTCTATACAACTTCCCCTCCAGCCTCGCAGATCAGCTGGCTACATCCCTCCTTTTCAACGACGATTTCACATCATCCTACATAACCACCAATAGGTCCCGCCTGGCAGACAGCTACCATTTCGCAACGGATTTCCTCCGCCGTCATGATATCCCCTATGTCGAGTGTAATGCGGCATTCTTCGTTTGGATGAACCTTGGGGTGAAAATGAAAGATTGCACAACTACTGATGCGGATATACTAGCACGGCTGAGAAAAGAAAAAGTGTATATCGCCCCTGGGTCGGTGTATGGTGCTGAAGAGTCAGGGTGGTTTCGGATGGTGTTTGCGCATCCGCGAAGTGTGTTGGAGGAGGGGTTGAGGAGGATGGTGAAGGCTGTTGAGGCGTAGGTTTTCAATTGTATTATAGATTAAACATGCTTGATTATAGGTTATGGTATATTGAATAATCAACCAGTCAAATGCGGCAATCACAACTGGCAGGTAGAAAGATAGGTGCCCCTTTATGTATACGTGGACAAATCATATCAGCATCTCCGAGGCCTACACAGCCAATAATATCCCATGATGCTTGGAATATATCATACATGTACATTGAACTTTGTCAACTGTACAACATCATCTGTGATAAACCCAATTTCAGCTACTTCCAGCTCAACTTATATATATTATATCGCATCATGATATCCTTACCAAACGATGCTGGTTCTATACAGCAGAATTACGACCTGATGCAGGAATTCACCAAAGCCCTCGAAGACAATCCAGCAGCCGACCTGCTAGAGCTCATCCCAGGCTCTTACATGAGAAGTCACCAGAATGCGTACCTGAGAAGCCTCAAATCGGACGCGGCCTCAACCATCGAACTTTAAATGAACTCCGAATAGAACTTCGCGATGACCCCGAAGTTGACCTGCTGTCTGCTTTCCCGACAAATTACTATACTCGCTCTTTGAGGTTGGCAAGTAAAACGAAGGAAAAAGCCGAGCTTGAGATAGAGAAACCGCTGCCTCCCCCGGACTTTCGTAAGTGGCTTGATATCGGAGACTCGGTTGAGATTGTGTTTCCGTTGTCTGATGCCGTGAATGCCATGATGGGCCAGTATGGTGATATTTCAGCAGAATCACTGCGAACGATACTCTGGAGCGCTCCGAAACTATGGGAAAATCCCTTAAGGGGCGTTGTCGTCAAGTGCAGTGATAGTCTGGTTGCTAAAGTGGTCACCTCAAGTGGTGACTATACGGAATACACAGCCTTGCGGTACCTTGCTGGGAAGGCACCTAATATTCCTATCCCCCGATCCATGGGTTGATCAGATTCGGGCCGTTTATCGTTATATTCATGTCTTATATCCCGGATATGACGTTAAAAGAGGCGTGGCCGAATCTGTCACTTGAGGGGAAGTTAGCTGTGCAAAAAGAGCTGGATGCTATCTTCTCCAGACTGAGAAGTATCCGGAAAGAAGCATTTGATGGAGTACAAAGACACAATATACCCGTCACCACAGCCGAGCAACTCGACAACGCCAAACGCTCTACTCTCCACCATGGAAGCACTACATATCTCAGCTTCCTCCGCTCGTTCCCTACCGAGTCTGTTCAGGACTTGGTCTTCACCCATGGCGATATCAGACAGGATAACATCATTGTCAGGATGAGGATTCTACGGATCGTACTCGATGCACATTACGCATTGGCTGGTTGACACGTATCGTTCGGATATGACAGATATCACGCCGTTTATCAAGGGATCGTGGCTTTTATCAGCAGACTTTACGGACGATAAAGTATTGCCAGAAGTACAAAGGCTTGAATGGGCTGCTTGAAGTTCTATCTAAGAGGAATGTGGTGGTTGATAGCATGTATAAAGACCCCGGACCGGGTTTAGAGTTTATCCCGAATAGACCGCTTCCAAGGTCTCTGGGTGACCTCAGTCAACAAAATCCCCTTACTCTCAATGCTTTTTAGACTCCATATTGATAAAATAATAATTCCATGAAAATTAATCACGGTGATCGCCTTTTTAGTTGAACCGATAATCTCAACACCTATAATGTACTCAGTCACCTGTCCAACTCTATCTACTGCAAGGAGCTCTTTATCAAGATATATGTCATCTCATGCTCCTGGGTATATTCTCCAAGGCGCCCTTTGGAGCTACCGCATTCTGAAACCTGTCAAGGGAGATGACACGCACATCTCCAATGTCTATAAAGCTGAGGTTGTTTTACATGAGAACGCCCCTAAAGCTTCTCATGCTCCTCAAGCTCCAAAATGGTTCGTTATTTTACAGTAATTATATACAGACTAAGACTAACTCTGCCACCCAGGGCTCTTATCAAAGCAGCTTCGCCTAGTGATGCAACTACAATACAGAATATGGACCGTGAATGTCAGACTTATCGCCTTCCTGGTGTTGTCTCAGCGGAGTGCTTCCGGAAACTGTATGATGTGATTGATGACAGCACCATTGCTTTGGAATGGCTGGACACCACTCTTGCAGAGGTGAAATACCAGCCTAACAGGTGCACCTACTCCCTTATCAAAACAGTCTTAAAAGCAGCATTAACCAGTTGTGTTGTTCTGGAGGGCCACCAATGTGTCAATACAGGTAAAGTACCTGGTCTTGAAGAGTTGGCATCCACTGATTACCCCAGACTATAAACCCGCTAATATCCTACTGTCCGGCATTTATACTGGCCATGTTACCGCTAAAGTTGGGGACTTGGGACTCGGTGAGCACTTATTAACAGACGAGACACGGATTTACTAACACGCTTATAGTAGTTCCCGTCGGTAATCTTTTCAACGCCCAGCCATATGCCATGCGCGCCCCTGAAGTCTTCCTAGGCCAAGCATGTACTGAGCCATCGCAGGTCTGGGCAGTTGCCGCGATGTTGCTTTGCTGGATCAAGCCTGATGTCTTAGGGGTGTGGGACTGCCCTCATTATTTGGTTAACGAGGCTTGGTGCATGGCAAAAATTAAGCGGCTTTTTCCCGAATGGAATATTCCGACTCCTGATACGGTTGAGGGCCACTGCCTTAAAGCCGCAGTAGGTTCTGCCGAACGTTTTACTTAAATGGTGCCAGACCTGCAAGCTATCTTACCTTTCTACGAGGAGACACAAAAGGTGGAGATTGTGCAGCAGTTAAGGACTCTTCTTCATTTCATGTTGGTAGTTGATCCGGACAAAAGGCCCTCTGCCTCGTCTGTGCTGGCATCGAGGGAATTTCAAGCATTTGAAGAGCTCGTGGGCGTATAACTTAATCGGAAGAATGTCACACATAGCAGATTTATTAACAAGTCACCAAGCGCATTGATTATCAAGCTGGACTAACACAGTTCCAGATCCCACATACTATATATGTCGTCATTCCAATCAGTATATGAATTAGCTTGAATCCACGATTCCCAGTCAATGATGTAGCTATAGCAGCAAGATATTGTAAGCTTGATGAACGAAGAGTCATCCAGAACTATAGGCACTTACCATATCCCTTTCTCTTCATTCCATATGAGATTCTGGGCACGATGATCCAGGTTCAGGAAATTAAGATTAAGACACTCACTGGAGAAAGGCATAAGATACTACTATCAAGTAGGCATTGCAGAGAACTCACATGTATGATGTTTTGAAAGCTGTTTGAAGTTTTTGCTTGTGGTCGTCGTTTAGGCTGTCAACCCACCATGGTGAGAGTGTTTTCCCCTCAAGTCTCTCCATTACAGTGTAATCTAGAAACCCGCCAGGGACCAAGTCATTGCACGACTGGGTTTCATGCTTCCAACCTCGAAGTTTCGGGGTGCAGAAACATTCAGCCTTGGACAGGATGTCAAGAGCTTTGATTTCTCGCGAGCTTTGACCACGTTGATCCGGTTCAGCTTGTGAAGCCCTCCGTTCGGGGGAGTGGTATCTTGACCCTTCATAAGGGATCCTAAATATTAGTTAGATAGACAGTATGCTTGTCAGGAAAGGTGAACTGTACTGCATCCGGACTTTCATGATAGCCTCAGTTGAATTCTTCATGTCTTCGCAGACGAAGATACAACATGACTGAGAGTAAAACTTACTCTTTTCGAAATCATCTTGCGTCCAGCGTGTTTCATGCTCCCCAAGCTTTTGAACAATCTTCCACGAGGTGGAATTTTCGCATTCGATAATTTGTCCAATCCAGTTCTGTTCAAACCAACAGATTGAATCACTGTAATCACTGTACACGTCCATGATAACATGCCTTATAAACTATGAGAGTAACTTCTACTGTGCAAGTGGCTTTAGGTCTTTATATAAACAGCCTGTAGGTTGGGTGTTAACAATGGATCAACATTTCCGAACTCCCTGCATAACCACAATAGCCTTATTGGCCAGTTGGCCACAGACCGCATCACGCCCAGCCCCTGGAGCCTAAACTGAGGCCTGGGGCCTAAGCTATGTGCATTTATGGGCATCCCCGCACTTAAGTAGTTCTGATTTCATCCCTTTCCTCTGGCTGTTCCTTTAACTGTCGAATAATTTCTGCCTAATATTTGTTTCAACAGTCAACATGGGCGACGCCGCACCAACACTACCCAACAATAGCGCGGCACAATGGAACAGAGATCTGATGCTCGAATTCCAGGCTGCATTACAGAGAAATCCAGCGGCAGACCTGATGTCAATGTTCCCTGACTCATATATTCAAGATCATCGAAACGCTCAATACCGTCAAGTATCTTACGCAGCGAGCATTAATTTGAGGGTATTAGATGATCTCTACGACACTCTGAAGGACGAACCCGAAGTAAATCTGCTATCTGCATTCCCAAAAAACTATACTCGCAGGCTCACAATGGCGACTGGACCAAAGGTTGTGCCAAAACAAGAGCCTGAGACAACAGGTCCTCCCGAGTTCCGAACACGTCTTGATTATGCAGAGACTGCTGCAGTTGTTTATCCATTGTCCGATGTGGTCAAGGCTTTGCTTGCTTCAAAAGGATGGCTGAATAACACGTCAGAAAGCGCAGACAAATCGCTTATCTCATCCTTGAAGAAACTCCTTTGGGATTCAACAAAGCTCTGGGAGAGCACCGTCAGAGGCGTGGTGGTCCAGTGCAACGAGGACATTGTTGCCAAAGTCATCACAGGAAACGGGGATTATACCGAGTACACAAGCATGCAATATCTCAAGAGGGAAGTGCCCGATATTCCTGCTCCCAGGCCCCGTGGACTGATAGCATTCGGTCCTTTTCGCGTCATATTTATGACATACATTCCAGGCACAACTTTAGCCCAGGCATGGCCTAGCCTGCTACATGAAGACAAGCTCTCGATACAACGGCAGCTGAATGATACTTTCTATCGCCTGAGAACTCTTCAACAGGATGACGGTAAAGTACTTGGTGGAGTTCATGGAGAAGGGGTCAAGGCACCTCATGTCGACGAATGCGCTCTATTTAAAGGCATCACAACAACTAAGGAGTACACCGACCTGCAATTTTCTGCTCGTCACCATGGCAGCACCACTTATATTAGCCTCCTCTGCGCGTTCCTTGAACATGACAAGTCGACTTTGATGAATAAGTCAGTGTTCACCCACGGTGATGTCAGACCTGATAATATCATGGTGAAACAGGATCCCAGTTCCAGCGGACAATATGTTGTTACTGGGATCATTGACTGGGAGGACAGTGGTTTCTATCCATTTTACTATGAATGCACCACATTAACATATACTATGAATCTGGTAAATGAAGATGACTGGTATCTTTATCTGCCCGAGAGCATCTCACCGTTGGAGTTCCCTGTGCGTTGGCTGGTTGATCGACTTTGGCTGATTCATCTCAGGACTACATAGGTCTTGATACCATAATATAGAAAGTGTGATGCAATGAATAGTTCTGACGTTTTCCATATTAATATCATGCGTCATCTTGGCGAGCGAGTAGTGGCCTTATGCCTTGACTTGGCTGAATAGTGAACTTAGAGACACTTCAGCCGTATTAGGAGCGTTTTCTCTTCGAATGAGTAGTAGCAGGAGATCCAAGCAACGCTGATCATCCTAGGAAGGGCAACAGGGTGAACCACCTGGGTATGTTGTAGGGATAGACAAAGGCAGGACTGAGAACGACTTTGGGTGCTCTACACTTGAATGCTGTCTAAGATAGAGGGCCTATGTCACGGTATACGCAGCAGAGCTCAGAGGACTAGTCCTAACACTGCAGATAGTATTCAATAAACTGACAGCATTCTGCCTAGGCAGAAATGCGAATAAGAGTAAGGACGTGGTGGAGTAGGGGACAAGGTCCTTCATGATTGCAAGTTTGGTGGTCGTCGTTATTTTATCACGTGATCCCAATTTAACAGTTACTCCAAAGCTGCACGGCCACTCCAGCTGTTATCTCAAGAGTCTTACTAACATCACTTTCATAACTATGCTTAACTCCTGCATCATCCCCTTCAGGCATGATCATCACCCACCATGAGTCTGTAACCCCGCCTCCTCGTACACTAGTGGGGGCTGCGCCTCCTAGGCAGCAGCCTATATAAACGACAACAGTTTATCGATGCCAGATTGTCAGGTATTCTAAGTCTGTCTTATCATTGGACAGATAACCGCAACTACCAATTAAACATTGAAATCATAGTACTATAGAACACACCAGCATAAAAGTTCAAGTCAACTTCGCCTGAGTATCCTCAGCCACTCTATCCACATTTCTTATCCCTCTCGTAGCCGATTCCATCGCCTCCTTGGTCATAAAGTACGGCCTCGAGTATCCCCATGGCTCAGCGTGCGCTGCCACTGCAGCCCGGCCGTATGGAGCATCACGCCCTGGATTTACCAATCAGTTCAGGTAACAATAAAAAGACGGGGATGAATACAGTTCTTGTAGTATTCAGCACCACACTCCGCTAGCGCCTGATTCCAATGCATAAACTCCTCTTTGAGCAGAGTGTGTAGTTTCGCGTAGATGCTCATGTCTTTGTCCACTTTTGCTGTTGGGTCAAGGATCCAAACGCCCCCATCCAAGTCCCAGCCGAAAATCACCTCGTGCGAGATTTTGGGTGCTTTCTTCAGTAATGAGAGGAGTTTAACCTCGGTGTTATTCCAGAATTTGAAGTTGTCGTTGTCATCGCCGTTGGCGGTGCTAAAGGCTTCACTGAAGTTGTTGGATAGGTTCGTTCGCCAGGATTGGTAGCCGGGGGGTTCCACTGTGTCGTGGGGGGGATCGTTGTAGTGGTCTGTCATGTTATCTTGTCAAATATAAGTATGGCTGGTCCTTGAGATGGTAAAAAATAAAAGTAAAAATAAAAGTTGATGGAGGAGGATGGAACGAGGATGGTTTATACCCGCGATTGACATTGCATGTGACCATGGCTACTAAAACGGGGCAACCATCCAACCAATAAGACTATACTATAGTTTGCCTATCAGGATCTCTAGAGAGCCAACGGAATACAGGTAAAGCCAACAAAGAGTGGCAATAAAGACGGCCCCCGCAAATCTATACCTTTTAAGTATGGTCATCGCAATATGTAAACTTTACATTCCCTGAAACGAAATCAAGCCATACAATTAAGTTACAAAATCAAAAATCAATGTCAAAGATAGCAGAAACAACACGAAAAAAAAGAACATCCACAACCACCCCAAAGACCTAAATCTTCATGGCAAAGTCCAGATTACATGCCATCAAACTTGACGGACATAAGACGGCCCTGATTGCTCTGGTCCACACCGGGCGTACCAGTGTACTTGTAGTCAACCGGGATGCAGTTTCCCTTGGGCACGGGCTTTCCATTCTTGTCGTGCAGGCCTTCTTTTTCGAAAATTCGATCGATCCGGTACGTTTCATCGCAGCCGGGCTTAGAGAGATAAGGTCAGTCACCGTGTTTACCAGGGGACAATAAAGCGCAACATACCTTGGAGTAGGCAGTCATCTTACGTCGCCAGACGAGGCCGGTTCCTCGACCCAGCCAGATGCTGTCGGTGCGGGCGTCGATGCTGATACATTTTCCCTTTTTGATATCAATGGCGTGCTCGATGCGGCCTTTCTCGCCGTCTTTGTAGTCGCCGGAACTATTACTGTGTTAGTTACTCTAGAGAGGACTGATGGATGGAGGTTGTATAATCACTTACCATTCCAGACCTTGATACTGATCCAACTTGGAACGAGCCAATGCATCAATGCCCTGGAAAAGAAGGGCGAAGGAGAAGAGGAAAGTGAAGAAAGAGGAGAGCTGCATTTTGAACTGCCCTGAACAAGATCAAAGGATTGATTGATTGATATTGGAGAAGTTTTTTGCTGCTTTAGTATTCTGATGAAGTGATTGATGATACTGAGTCTTTGTCGAGAGAAACACAAGGCCCTTTATAACATCTCTACTTCCCCATTTCCTCTGATGGCTATCCTCGATTCTGCCTTGTTGCTATTCCTGTCCATACTCTTAGGAGAAAGAAGAGATGATAGTCGAGGCGTTCTTGGATAGCAATCTAGATTCCTTCAATTCATCCTTTGGCCCTGTATAGACCAACAGTATGCAGCAAAATAATTTGATATTCATGTCAGATTGCATCAAAAGGACGATCCATCCTAATGCCATCCCGCGCGGCCTGATGGTTCCTATGTGATTATCTCGGTTTGTCGCCTGACAATTAACTGCGATCGTCTGTACAGCCGCCGCAGATCGGTCTATAGAATTGCTGTCAGTATTCCTATCTGCCAATGATTAATCTTCATGACCCTATTGTTAATTTTGGGGGCGAGGTTATTTGTATAGCTGCTGCAGGGGTTTTTATCCACCAATGGATAATTTTCATAACTCTATTATCCGGGTTGTTGTATATCCGCTGCAGATCAATCTATAGAGTTGCTGCGGTCATCCTCATTTACCAATGAATAACTCCATGACCCTGTTGTAAAAGTTGGGGGCGAGTTTTATCTGTATAACTGGGCGGGGATCTTATTCACCAATGGATAATTTTCATAACTCTGTTATCAGTGGTAGGGCGGGTTGTCGTATAGCCACTGCAGATCAAACTATAAATTTACTGTAAGGATCGTCATCTACCAATGCGTCATTTCCCCAGACAGACCCTGTTTTCACATGGGGGCCGGAACGTCTCTATAGCCCCTGCATCAACATGCAGGGGTTCTCTTTTAGCCACGAGTAACCCTCCAGACCCTGAGAAGGAATCGGAAACACCCCGGTGACGAAATGCTTGGATATCCTTGTTCAAACGCCCGTGGTCGGTTGGTTGACAGATCATGTCGACAACAGGCGTTGGATGTGGTGTGATATGAGGGCGGAATTACTCCATACAGCTGCTGCAGGGATTCACATCGACCAATGGATATTTTCCATCGTCCTGTTGTTATGTTGGAGCGGGATTGTCTGTATAGTCCCAGCTCGGATTCACATTTCGAAATGAATCCTTCGCACCACCCTGAAGCTTTGCATAGCCCTCATTGCCATTTCTTTAGATAGCAACACAAAGCAAGCATCCCTTTTCGAGGGATAATCATCACGATCTCGAACATACACAGCCATCGTAGCATGATATCAACGCTGATCGAAGGAATGACCAGTCTCTCCGTGCAAGTCGAGCGGACATCTATCCCCAAACTCTGAACATATAAGAGCCATGGGATTGGACTCGATCGAACGGCATTCTTAAGTCGATAACTCTCTCTTTTCTCCCTACATCTATTAGTATTTCTTCCAATAATCTCATCAGACTCTGAAAATGTGGTTGTTACTCCCCCTTCTCGCATCTTCTTCGCTCTTCGCCAGTAGCGCCCAAGCCGTGACTGCGCAAGCTTTCTTCTTCACTGATTGCAACTCATTCCGCGACAATGGTAAATGCACGAACCTAGCAGAAAATACCTGCTGCTCTTTCAGGCCTAGTCCGGGTCTACCCTCAGGCGCTAGGGATCGGAGTTATGACGGAAGTACCCAGTCTGTGAAGTGGACGAGCCTTCGCCGGTGCCTGGCTCTCAACTGGCATTATCCCCACACCAGTGATCCTTCTGGGCCTGGCCACGAGGGATACAATTGTGGTGGACGTGTCCGGATGTCAGAGGCTACGGGAGAACACCCGCCAAGCTCGGTGTGTTCGTCACACGGGGGCAGAGGAGGAAGGCATGATGGTGCTCAGTGGTTCGTGGCATTTCCCTTGCTTTTTATTCTTTGGTGGTCTTGTTTGGTTAACTTATAGGCGTTTCGAACAGGCATGATGCTCTCCAGGCAGCCTTGTCAAGCGGAGCAAGCATCAATCCAAACGCGGGAGGTGTTCACTGCGGTAGAACCCATGAATATAGTGGAAGCGACATCAGCCAAGAAGTCCAAGACCTCGCCACTAGCCTGCACCTGAGTTCGTCGTCCAGATCATCCTTCAGTCAGAAGTTATTCGGTTCCATGAGCAGCAAAAAGCGTGATAGACAGTCGCAGCGTGAAGACAAAGTGGCCATCCAAAATGCCATCGGCGCTGCGCTCGGACGAAAGTGTGCCGGAACCATGTTTGCAACACACTATGGTTGGACTCCAGGAACCGGTGTCTGGGTGTTGGATGGATCGGAAGAGAGCCATGCCCGTATGGACAATGTGTCTCAGTCCGCTGACACTCCGATGACATGGAACATGCAATTGAAACTTGCCGGTGCCAAGTACTATGACCACTGTATGTCCAGGCAGACTCCATCAATTAATTGAAAACACTCAGCTAACAATCGCAGGGGCGGAGCATCCGGCGACAGCAGACAGCATGCTGGATCAGGGATACATCTTCACTCACGAAGAAATTGCTTTGGCCAAAGCAAAGAGGTCTAACAATGAAGATCCACCAACCGAGGATAGCTTCGCTTGGCCTGAAAATGAGTCTGAAGATACCACTTCCGAGCACGTCGAGCGGTCAGTGAGCGAAGAAGCAGTCACGGATAGTTTCGCCGGTCTCCCAGAACAGGATTATGACGAGGAAGACGACGAGAGTTTGACTCAACGAGACATTGACGCATCTATCGAGGATAGCTTCGCTGGTCTCCCAGAACAGGACTATGATGACAACGACGACGAGGGCTTGAGTCAACGAGACGTCGACACATCCGTGGTGGATAGCTTCGCCGGTCTCCCAGAACAAGATGACGATGAGGACGACGGGAGTTTGGCTCAACGAGACATCGACGCATCTGTGGAGGATAGCTTTGCTGGTCTTCCGGAACAGGATTATGATGACGACGACGAGGAGGGCTTGGCTCAACGAGACATCGACGCATCTGTGGAGGATAGCTTCGCTGGTCTCCCAGAGCAAGATGACGAAGAGGAGAGTGAATAAAGGGACAGTGGAATTTGCTTTCTTGTGCTTAACTGGATTTAGAGATGGAATTCTGTAGGCTGGCTTTGTTTCTGTTTATGTGATGTTCTTTGCTTATTGCCAACTTCTTGTTTGATCTTTCTATTTTAAGTTTTGATAAGTTTCCTCTCTGTTTGCATTATCTGAGAACATTATCTTACCATCATCTTCAATAATGAAAGTTTCTAATAGTTATCCTAAAGAGAAAGCTATAGTTAGTAAAGGGTGATGAAAAATGACTAACTAACTACCTTGAGGGTTTCCACATCATCACACACTTCCTGATCAAAAGAAATCAACACAGTCAATAGATAAAAGCTAGAGAGGGCATCGTAAACTCTGGAACTGTATTAGCAAGCCAAGTATCTTAAAATGCTGAGTGGCAAACCATGAGGCCAGATCGATACTTCAAAAATAATCGATTCCAAATCTTATTCTTCGATCTCCAAGTCCCCTGGGACACCGGAAAGCGTCATCCCGAGCGTCGTCATGCCTAATTCCATAGCAGCACAGTAACTTGGCGAAGTCGATTCATAAATAAAGATGTGTACCAGCCTAGCTCGGTTTAGATGATATTGAGTCCATGTAGTCTTTGTTAGAAGTCATAAATAAATATGTCGAGGCTCTGTTGTTGAACTTTGAGCGTCGAACCGAGCTCGCATGGTTTCAGTCAGTCATCCGAGTAATAGCCCCTTTCTGCCATAAAATCAACCGTAGGATCATTATGGAGTTCTGAGGTGGTATATCCTTGTTTAATGGGTTGCCTAATTTCAATGGCCCATCATAGGTAATTTTTTTGAAAGTCATTCACGCTTTGAGGTGATTCGAGGAATAACCCCCCAGGATCAGGCGGGCAATCGTGGAGTAATATCGCTCCATGTTTGGCGCATGTCATGCGATGTCAGATATTCAGATATTCATTCAAAACTATGTTCTCTTTTTTGAACCAGTGGCAACTTATGTTACATATTGAGGGTTTGGTCTACCATGCACTTGTAGTGAAACAGTTGCTTCTCGACAACTAGTGCGGATGATAGGATATATTCGATAACTCCAGCGGCTATATACCACGTTAATTTAGATTTTTATTGTATGTTTTTGTCTTTGTAATGCTTCGCATGGTAACTTTTTTTCCTGATGAAAATTATTATCATTCTGTATTATGCGGTGTTGGTAGAGTGAGCGAGCAGAAAAGCGACACAGCCAAGAACTGTATGGTGGTTTGATTGGGTCGGCCATAACCTGTGTGGATAGTATATCTAGTCTCCCCGAACATAACTAGATATTTTTATGAAGGCTGAATCGGGAGACAAAACTGCCGTCCGAGATACGACTGATTTGTCCACGTGTGGTGGGGGCGTAGAACTAGTGCTTATGCCTTGTGATGTAGTTTATATAGGGCAAGATACCCCTCAGTGTGCATCAAATACTCGGCGTAGAATCATTGAATTGCCCTATACAATGTCTGGCACCGACTACATCATCATCGGCGGCGGTCTTGCCGGCTGCGCACTCGCCGGTCGATTGTACGAGAAGGACAGCTCTCTTCAGATCCTCATCATCGAAGCGGGTTCGAATGTGGTCGATCATCCGCTCACGAGCTCCCCTCTCGCTTGCTTCGGGGCCCATTATTCTCCACTAGATTGGGCGTATACCACCGTCCCTCAGACTAATCTCGATGGACGCCAATGCTATAACAGCGCCGGGAAAGCGCTGGGGGGCAGCTCCGCGACAAACTACGGGACATGGACACGTGGTAATGCGGTCGACTATGACCTCTGGGCTAAGATAGTGGGCGACGAGAGCTGGAGTTATGAAGGGCTTCTGCCATACTTTAAGAAAACTGAGACGCACTTCAACCCAAATGTCGATCGAAGTGTTCATGGCGTTAATGGTCCGATTCATAATGCCTCTGTCTCGTCTAGCAGTTCTGAGCGCAATTATCCGTTGAAAGAACCGGTGAAGAATGCCTGGGCCAGATTGGGAGTAAATCATATCAAGGACGGAAATGCAGGATCGCCGATGGGCTTAACTGAATTGGTGGAGAATTGGCGGGGAGGGCAACGTCAACTGTCCAGCGAGGCTTATGGCATCTCTTCCAAGCCTGGAATTTCGGTTCTTACAGAGACGATGGTGGGGCGTGTTCTTGTCGAAGAGCGTGATGGCAAAATAGTAGCCACCGGAGTGGAGGTGGCAGACGGCCAGAAATTCTTCGCCTCGAAAGAAGTCATTGTTTCAGCTGGGGCGTATCGTACGCCTCAGATCTTGATGCTCTCCGGTATTGGACCGGCTGAAGAGCTCGCCAAACATGATATCCCGCTGGTCTTGGATTCTCCTCAGGTCGGCCGCAACTTGCACGATCACTTTTCCTTCAATCAGTGGTGGAAGCTTCGGCACCCAGAAGCTGGTTTATCGATCGGTACTCCGTTATGGAATAGCCCAGCATATGGACTTGGACTTCCCTGTGATTGGAATGTCACGATCCAAACACCACACAATGAGCTGGTTCAAGCACTGAAGGCGGACGGCCAGACAACGGATCTCGAGAGCCATCCGTATCTGGCTCCGGACTTCTGCCACTCAGAAACCATCGTGGTGTATGCTCCCGCCGGGGCAATGATTGCCGGCGTTGACATCCCCATGGATGGCACACACATTGCCACCGCGGTGCTGGGGATGGTTCCGACTTCTCGGGGCCACATCACGCTGGCGTCTAACGATCCAATGACCCCACCCCTTATTGACCCGAACTACTACGCCACCGAAGTCGATCGTGCTGTGCTTCGAGCTGGTATCCGACAAGTCACGAGACTTCTTACCGACACGCCTGAGGGGAAGGAAATTGTTGAATGTGAAGTTCCACGTCCTGGGTGTGAACCTTTCCGGGCCGATTCCACAGACGAGGAGATCGATTCTGTAGTGAAACGTGGAGGCAACACTTTCTATCATCCAGCAGGGTCAGCAGCGATGGGCAAGGTCGTGGATACAAACCTACGGGTGAAGGGCGTCGAGAGACTGAGGGTAGTGGATGCCAGTGTTTTGCCTTTGTCTGTGACTGGTCACTATCAGGCAGTCGTGTATGCCATTGCTGAGAAGGCGGCGGACCTTATATCAGCTAGGTAGTCATGTTCATTAGTTCTTTTTCATTCGTCGAATATGTCGAATTGATTTGTTTTTCTCACGACTTCCTGGAGATCTTAGGTGGTCAGGTGATATCCCAAATAGGCCAGTTCTGATGCCTGTTCGCAGCCTCAGGCTTCAAGGCTGGAAACCATCAAACATCGCGTTTTTGAGTGATTTCTGGCGTGTAGATACAAAAAGAAAGAATAAATACATGGCTGTCAGACCGCATGTCTGTGGCTTGTTGATTGACTTTTAGCTCTGCCAGAAGGAAGTCAGCAGAGCCCTCGTGGCATTCACTGCCCTATACCGATATCCTTTCTTCTTTCTGTTCCCCTGTCTCTCGGCGCTATATTCAACCATACCCTCCTCTCTTTAAAAACACAACCGCTTGATTTGGCTCGCGAAGACACCGCAATGTCTCCTTTTCATCGACTCGAATAGCCAAGACGCTACGGGCTTCAGTCTGGGCGTAATTACAGAAACTCTTGACCATCCCAGCGATTTTTCTCGGCGCTCCAACGGGATTTGTCACGGCATTCATGGATTCTGGAGTCACTGTCGAGGATACATCCAAACCCTCCAAACACAGCGTTAATGCTGTGTAACCTGCCAAAGGAGGTATGTGCCTGGTCCTTGTCAATTAAGGGGCAACAATCTAACTTGTGTATGGCATTTTCAGCCACCGTTAAACTATCCGAGAATAGATATCACCCCGCCATCTTTTCCCCTCCAAATACTAACCGCGATCGAGGTTTTCTGGGGAATTGTTGAAAAAATATATCGGAAGAATGATGTTGGCGATCGGCGGTCATGTCAGGAACCGCGACATGAACAGTATGATCTACGGCTGCATTTGCATACAGAGACATGTGGTATGGGTTCCAAGCTGCACATATTGTTATACTTGCCCACGAGGCTGTTTTTCTTTTCGGTGGGTTTGACAGCCATGTCACCCACAAGGACAAGGTGTCGAGCACCACCCCACCAGAGAATGGCACACTCAACAGGTCGGATCTCGAAAATACTTCGGTCAAGATCTTTTCGCGGTCAACCGCGATGTTACTATTCTGGTACTTTAGGCAAGCTGTCTTGGCAAATATGCTTAGAGTAGCTGAGCCACCGTTGGAACATGAGTCATGACGTTCTGACAAGAACATACTAGACTGGCGGCCCCAGCGGGCGGAAAAGATGGTATGCGAGTTGAACACACGGTTGCATGGGCTCTCGGGGTACACAATATCAGGGAACACAAGGAAGAGTCGAGGGTATGGGTCGTAGTCTGAAGATACTATTGCTTGAGAATCATCCCGGCGTGGCTGATGCTGATTGTGGGAATATGGTTGATATATATATTGTCCGCTGCTAAATTATATACATCTGGCAGCCTACACAGCCTTGAAATTCGATATTATTTTTAGGAAATAGATCAGCGAGATATTGCTTCGTAACGAATGCAACCTTGATACTCTAATTAACCCAATATACACTACACTACTACTTTCGTCAGACTCGATGAACTTGTGATACCTGTTGCAGTAATTCTGAGCATATCATGCCTGTCATCTTATGCAGAATATATGCAGGGCAACTGCGGCCAACGTAGAAAGTAGAGAATGAGATATGTAGCGAGATCACGTCGATCGGTCTCAAATTGAAAGCAGAGGATCGGAAGCAAAACGGTGGACGATTCAGTTGACATTCCGGGGTTTCAACCTTCAGCATCCTAGTGCGACAGTCTCAACCTGTCAGATCTACTATCCAGGCATCTGGATTGATGAGAGGTTGAAACTGCTGATCTATCTTGGCTATCTGGCTAATGTACCTCCGCATTTGGGATTTTGTGATGATCTAGGATGGTGTCGCCAAGAACATCGTCAATCTCCAAGCAGTCGACGACTGATAGCCAGAATATCACGAATCCAACGCAATAAACGAGCGACTGCTAACGGTGCTTGTCTGAATCAAGCTTCTGGAGGGAATTGTTGGCTGTTTGGGAGAAGTTGCTGGTCCACAGTTCGTGCCATACAATCTGAGACAAATTTCCATGAATAGTAGGACCATTGCATATCGGAGTCAGATCCTGGGAGATCCTGTCAGCTGACGGGCGATGTTTCAGTTATTCTGGATATCATCTGGAATAGTAACGATAGTCGATATTCCATCTCATATATCGACTATCCAAGGTACTGGGGAATATCCAATATCAAATATCAGGACTGATGTGCAGATATATTCCGCACAAGCAGTCAAACAGGGGCATCCCTGCCTGTTAAATGGTATTCCGTGATGTCATTTAGTTTCAGATTTCCCCCTGACCCTGTGGATCACACCGTCCAATAATATTCGACCCTTCCAGCCACTAATGCGGGGACAGACTCAATAGTCGGGCGCTAGAGGCCGCTAGTCAGGAACAGGCGGATGTCTGACTCGCCAGTGACCGTTTCAAACCTGCGCCGCTGCAGGGATCCGCAACCCCTGGCTGAACCTTGTTCTTATCGGCGCCACTGATAGGGTGGAAATTGTGATTTCTGAAGAAATAAAGAAATGCGGTGGGCGTTTGCTGCAATCTGATTCGACTCCTTTTTTTTTTTTTTTTTTTTTTCCCTCCCTGTCCTTGTTCTTTGTTTCCAACTTGATGTGTGCTGACAGGGACTGCATAACACTTAGAAGCGACCGCTATTATGGAAGTCAAGCCAACAGTTGGGGTCCATTGGGCAGGCACCAGAGACACCACTGCAACACAAGACGGCCAAAGCAACACTGCCTCCTTGGCCAGGGAAATTGAAAGAGCCGCGTGGATTCCGAGTGGCTCTGGTTCCGTGGCACGAGACGCCGGCGAACCCTTCGCGGCTCCTCTTGGACCCTGTCATTTCCTTTGATATCCAGGGGAACAACCACCATTTTGGCTTCAATAGAAGGCTCGCTGTGTAGCTAGGTTAAATTATAATAATTTCGCAAAGCGATCCGAGTCGCACTAGCATCGGATTCAGGAGAAGGAAAAAAGATCGCATTTCTGGGATATCAAATTTCGCCAAACGCCCTGTTAGGCCTCGCTCTAGTCCCGATTGGGCCCTCGTGGCTCCTCCCCGACTTTCCCTCCGCCGCCCATCAGAATCATTAATTATCCTCCTTTTCTCCTCCCCCCCCCCAAAGACGGTCTCAACGTCTTTGCCACTCTTTCCATCCTTTTCGCTGCTTCTTGCAGTTCGTCAGTCGTTCGTTTTATATTGAGTGCTTCGTTTCTTTCTTCGCCCCTCTTTTTCGGAGGGTCCCTTTCTCGCGCATCCTTTGGTACAAACAAGGTAGGACGAAAAAATTGCCCCTCCCCCAAGTCTCACTCGCCCTCCGTCCCTGGATTCCACGATGGTGTAGCCACATCCCATTATTCCCATTATTTCAATGCCCTCCTGTCCACCATGCATTCCAGTCGCGAGAGAAAGGTATTGATCGACGTCTAGGACAATCGCCACTTCGATCTTGTTTCAATCAACTGCCAACTCCAAAGAAGGGTATGTCGATGTTGTCTCATTTGTCTGTTGTCGCGCCCACCCCCAACACTGTCAACCCCATCCCTACTTCCCTTCAACACTGCTCCTTCAACTGCCTCGTGTGAAAACCAAGTGGCAAGTTAAAGCCATCTGCAATGCAAGGGGCCTCCCTCACCTAATCGGAGAGAAAAACCCAGCAAGCCACAACATACGTTCTTCCAGATCGGAGTGATCGTTATCTGACTAGCCTCTCGCCTCCTTTTTGTTTTCTTGCGCCTGTTCCAGACCCGACGTCGACTGTTTTTGTTTTCTGCTTCATATCATGCGTGGTGGTCGCTGAACTAACCTCTCACTCAGCATTGACGATTTCAACTATTGACACTCCTTTGGTCTTTTTTTACTTCTCACGCTCCTTTTGCTGCACCTTTTTTGTTGATTTACGATCCTGGTGACGTTTGTCGTTCATTTATAAAACACGCAAACAAACAGCCCACTTGTCGCTTCTTTTGACTACAAAGACACGAAACTTTCGGATCGCTTCTTTTGATATCGGATTGCAACCATGACTCGAACTCTGCGACCCGATATTGGCCTGGTGGCAGGTCTCGCCGCGTTTGCTGGTGTCGCTGATGCCTTCTGGCGTCTGCCCTGCCGTGGACGCAGTGGTGTTGCCAGACTTGACCCCCTGATGGACCCCGGTGAAGTGTCGTACCACGCCCACGCGGTCCATGGATCAGGCAGTGAGCTCAACTCCTTTCCAAGTGTTCTTGGTGCAAGACTAAATCTCATTTGATAGACTTTGGCATGTCTTCTACCGCATCCATTTTGAAGGACTCCGACTGCACCTCGTGTGCTGTGACCCAGGACAAGTCCGCCTACTGGGCCCCCGCTCTGTACTTCATGCACTCCAACGGTACTGCTGAGATCGTTGAGGAGGTGGGCGGTATGCTTGCGTGAGTAAACCAAGCCAATTCTCTCCGTTGCGCATGTGCTAATAAGATTCTGGAACTCAGTTACTACCTCTTGTACGGAGACAACGTCCAGGCTTTCCCCGAAGGTTTCCGTATGATTGCCGGTGACCCCTTCCAGCGTAACTTCACCTGGCCGATCCCCGATCCCCCCAAGTCCGAATGGACCGGTGCCCAGGCTTCGCAAGCCGCCTTGAAGCAGAAGGCTCTCGGATTCAACTGCTTGAACTACAACAAGGCCGCCGAAGCCTCCCTTGGCCGTCACTTCTTGCCCAGCAAGGATTACCTCGACCAGCACTGCACCGACGGTGTTCGATTCGAAATCATGTTCCCCTCGTGCTGGAACGGCAAGGACGTAGACTCCGACGACCACGCATCTCACGTGGCCTACCCCTCCCAGGTCATGGACGGAACCTGCCCCGAAGGTTTCGAGAAGCGTGTCGTTTCCTTGTTCTTCGAGACTATTTGGAACACCTATGCCTTCAAGGACCAGAAGGGCGAGTTCGTCCTCTCCCACGGTGATCCCACCGGATTCGGTTACCACGCAGACTTCATGCACGGTTGGGACCAGGACACTTTGGAACAGGCCGTGAAGCAGTGCACCAACCCCAGTGGTGAGATCCAGGATTGCCCTATCTTCGATATCCAGAGCGACAGCAAGCAGCAGAAGTGTCAATTCGAGGTCCCTGAAGTCCTCAAGAACGAGCCCGTTCTCCTGAACGAAGAAGGTCTCCCCGGTGGTGTTGCAATTGGATACGGACCTGCCTACGCTTTCCCCATCTCCTACACCACTTCTTCGTCTGCTGCCCCCTCGTCCACCAACGCCCCCGGTCTTTCTCTGTCTCTTGGACTCTCCCTCGACCTTGGAGGCCTGTTTGCCGAATCGACTACGTCTACCACCTCTTCGCAGCCTACCAGCTCCGCTCAGCCCACCAGCTCCGCTCAGCCTACCACCTCTGCTGAGGCTACCAGCTCTGCGGAGGCTACTAGCACTCCCACCCCCACCCCGACCACCACTCCTACCCCGACTACTACTCCCACTCCTACTTGGACCCCTACTCCTACTACCTCCTACATCGAAGGTCCCGTCAATGAGGAGATTGTCTACGTTGAGCAGGAGATCGTTGTCATGGTGGATGACGAGAGCCACCCAGTTGCGACATCTGCTGGTGCAGCCAAGACCATGTCTACCGCGGAGACCACCATCACCCAGACCGTTTCCACCGTCGTTAGCACCCCCACCGAGCAACCTGTAAAACGGGACCAGGCCACTGGTCATGCTCACAAGCGTCATCACCACGGTCACAAGAGAAGAAGCGGCTTCTAAACTCGTCCCGGTGGCTAGTCACCTAGGAGGTCAGCGAGAAACCTGTACCTTCTTCTCAACGTCCTCCGCCTTCATGAACGGTATATAGCCATTTTAACTTTCGACGATCAGCCTCACGCATCACTCGATCAAGTATAAATCCCTCGGGCCTTGGCACGGGCTCCTCTTTTTTCGCCTCGATTTTTCTTCGACATGGATATCACTTTTGATTGATTGATTTTTTTCTCTTCTATTTGTGGATGTCTATCTTTATAAATCTTTTCTGTACATTTTATTCCTTATCCGCTTCTTTGTCCCTGAGGGAATACGTGAAGCTGAAGACCCTATCTTGGTCTTCTCTTGATGGGAACTGAGATGGGATCTGTTAGATAGCCAATCGATATGACCTGGTCCGTCCGGTCTCATATGTTTGAATCTCTACGAAGTTTATGCATTGTTTTTAAGTTCTTGACTTCTTGCTCGGGTCGCTGGTCGACTCGACATTATCGTGTATTTTACATGTTGGAAATGAAGCATTTCAACTGCACCTTTCCTAGAAGTAGTATGTTTAGAACCTCGCAGGAGACAGCATCAAGTTAGTAGTATCTTGGTACAAGTATCCTCGGTAAGACCTATACACGGGTCATGTCCCAGTCTGTTCCTGATGCGGTATACTGACAGCGTTGACAGCAACAGAAACAGACATCTTATTCCTGACTTCTTTTCCACGTCAGGATTATTTATATCACTTTCAATGGATTTACTAGTACCTCAGATCTCTATTTTCATTTATTTATTTATATATATATATATTTCGGGGCTTTTTTACATCCCAAGATATCATTGAGCTGGGGCGATGTTCCTTTCTAACCAAACCTTGGCTGTGCTCTTGACTTCCATTCACTCGTCGATCTCTTCCACCCACTCTTTTTCTTGTTTCACCTGCTTTGGATTTCGACTTACAATTTTTCCCCCTCGATTCTTTGTTCCCATCAACATCTCATTCTCGATACTGCTCTTTGCCATCGCAAATTCACTATTCTATCTCTTTTGCCCCCATCACGCGACACAGCGAGCCCTCATCCGTCTCGTCAGGGAGGGCACCCGGCCCAGAAAACCTCTCGACGACTCCTGTCGTCTTTAATTATTTCGAATCAAAATGCCCAGCAATTCTTTTGAGAAGTCGGGTAAGACTCTCATTGCCAAACATAATTCCAGCAGTTAACCAACATAAAGAAGAATCCAGCGACGAGGAGATTGATGACACAGCCCAAAATGGAATCACCCAGAAAATGAACATTTGGAAAAGTGATGTGAAGGACTGGGGGTCAAAAGACGCATTTCATGAATTTTACCAAAACTGGTAAGCTTCTGAGCTTTGAAATATGGCTTTTTTGTTTTTTTAAAAAAAATCCAACGGTGCTAACATTGGAGAAAAGGAAGCAAGCCATCATAGACACTTTCGACTTAAAGGAGCGTTTCAAAGCGACATACGAGGAGGATAAAACAGCCATCAAGATCATTGTCGCTGCTCCGGATAATACTCCCCGAAAGCCTTCATATCTGGGATTCATTCGGTTTATGAAGATCACAGGTGAAGTTGCTTTGGTCAGCGCCAGTGCTACGTTGGAACTCAACTGTTTTCAGCTGGGGACAACGCCGAGAAACACAGGGAAGAATCTTGCTGGATCGCATGGCGAAGGAATCGAGCTTGCAACAATGGCCATGACTGGTTTCGGCTACGAGGTGCGCATCCAAGCCAGCAACTGTGATTGGTGTTTTGCTTCTTTCGAGTCACAATTACACTGCATCATCAACCCATCCGAAGCCGAAGACCGCCCTCCCGCGAGACCCCGTAGAACCCTAGCAGGATTCGGAAACCGCATAGTGTCTGATGTCGCCATTACTATTGGTGGAGGGCTCCGCAAGGTGGAACGCTTCGAGTTTCTTCGGTGGTTGGGTGTCTCACTTGACATTGTTGGGTTTGGGCAGCCTTTAAGTTTAGTCGAGACCCCAAACGGAGATCTGATCTTAGACCATAATTTCGCTAACAAGGTTTATATGAATGGCACCCTACTTCCAGTGTTCGGCGAAAAAACTGGTCCATTTGATTATGGGTACAATATCACCCGGGGAACGTGGAGTACAGATCGAGGGCAATTTGAGAACGACAAAGAGGCGGCCCGGTCCCTTTGTTCTGTCTGGGAAGCGGCCATCGAGCAGAACCAGGAAGCTCTTCTTCCGAAGTATGTGGGCTTACTTCGGAACAGGCCGGAGGCTCCTGATATCAGATGTGCAGATCGGCTTCTGGAATTGGTCACAGCTAAGAAGATATGGGAACACCTACTATCCGAGGCTGGGGGGAGAGAGTTCTACTACCTGGATAAGCCGAATAAAGTAACGTCGAAAGATATCAAAATCATCCATGACAGTCTCAAGAAGAAACCCGTCCGTATTGCTGATATTCTTTGGAATCTTCTCCGTCGATGGTCCCTGATACGGACACCTGAAGAAGAGTGCATTCAGCAATTCAGAAATTCGCCTGAATGGTTACATCCAGGTTTGGAGTTCTCTGATACCATTCAACAAGCCCTCAAGGCCTCCCTAGCAATGCACAAAGCTACAGAAGGCATAGAAGTCATGTTTGTCGACTGCAGGCACCGTAACATCGACACATATTTTGAGCCCATGTCCAAATTGCTGAAGGTCAACAAGAGATGGCTTGAGTTTGATGCAATTCATCAAAAGCATCCGTGCCGTATCTCTAAAATGGATGCCGAAGAGACCAAGGACAATTCATTTTTCTGTGACCACATTGTCGAATGTCTGTATGAGGTTGCGATGAGACAGATACTTCGGCGTTTGCCAGACACAGTGATCAATGCTGAAGACTTCAATAACAACTATAATGAGTTGAGAGAAAAAATACGACAGATGCCCCGTCAAATTGCCATCGTGCACTGCCTGAGATCTGGGCAGACAAAAGTCTGCTGGGAAGATAGAGAGACCGATACCTTTTCACAGTATTACGGGGATAAAACGCAATATCACGTAGTACTTCACGATGAGGCATGCTGGGAGTCAGTGAAAAACAAGACTCTGCATGAATATAGTTAGTTTCATCCCCGGAATCCATTTATTTAATACTCATGCTAACCATGCAAAGGTGATCCTATGATGGGAGATAATACGCCATGTGGTTGTAAACAGAAATTTGTACCACAACGCAAAAAAGTGGCAATATTTGATGGCCTTTATCCGGCACAGCGTTATGTTCCAATGGTCGCTTATAATGAAAAAGGTACCTTCTATGGATTTCCGCTAAAACTTGTCCGGCCAGTAAGGGCACCGAGTCTCATTCCCGAAAGATCAGTCTCCCCTTTCAGTGGTGAATCCGAAGGTACTATGGATGTTAAGAGTGAACAAGTGGAATCAACACCCGAAGAGGAGAAGCATTGGGAATTCTGGCACAAGGAGGAATTTCCCAGGATTTTCAGTCTGTGCACACCTCGTGGTGAACATGGCGTGAGTTGTCCATCTGATAAGCCACGAGACAGGACTAACAAGTTCCAGACAACCTATACTCGCCCCCTAGCAGCGTTTGCAAGTCAAAGGCTCAACTGGATGTTCAAAGGAGGACAGTATGTCAGCGTGACCATGAAATCCCAATTTGTACCAGTGGATTCCTGCCGCCATATCCTCCGCATACACGGCATCTATTCAGCGAACAAGTCTGGCAGCCAGGAAGGGAAGATTTTAGCTACCCAGTACTCGTTTCTGCGCAGGAGTCCGATTTTCATGCTGGAAAATGCCCTGAAAGGACATCCAGAGATTGATGAAAAAGAGCTCTTGCTCCACTTCAATGATGTCGATTTCATGGGACAGAAGAATGACGCCAGCTTGATTCCTATCGAAAATATTACTGACGTGGATTTTGTTAGGATGGATCTGCTTGGTCCTGCTGAAGCCGTACAGTATACTGTGGATGTCACCGAGGGTAAGTGCATCTACTGCTTAAAAGAGACAGAAGCTGACATTTGAAAGGTCTTCTGAACTCTGGCCTCTTTTGTCGATTCGCGATCAAATGCGGAGGGTCTCCCGACTCGGCGTGCCTGATGCCCGTCACACATGATCTTCTACCATTCTCAAAGCACTGGGATACCCCAGAGTATTCCTCCAGCTCGCGGCTCGAGGTCTTCGATTTTTCTCCTGGTGTTCTGGGTCTGGCAGAGGGCTTTCGTCAATCCGGCTGTGCTGTTCGTGCTGGATTTGGATTTGATCCAGTGTCGGATCTCACATGGAAGGTTGGTGCACTTTATAAAATTCTTTCGAACCACAGAGCTAACATCTTCAAGGTACGATATCCGGCTACGGTAGTCTATGACGGACCTTTGGATAGTATTTTATCCGACTTCAACTCCCTGAGGCTGAATGCACCGCTATCTGGGGCACAGGGCGTGCCAAAGATCGCAATACTCTCAATCCCTGACAAAGGAATCGAGGCAAGAAGCAAGCAAATACGAGAGGATATCAAAATTTTGGAAAACATTAATTCGATTCTTGGTCTATACCCCGAGAAGATGAGTGCATTGGTTTTTACATTTCCTGATTGGATATTCCACGAGGATGCATTTTTCCAATTCCTCAAGGGGATGTACGACCTGCTTCAGGGTCGATATTCGATCCATCTCAAGAAGGTCTCGTTGTCGCAGTATGGCTTGCCTCAGGATCGGACGGTTATAGTTTTTGTTGCGACATCATTCTGTTCTCCCATTCAATGGGAAGATGTGTTTGACAAGAATGTTCCAACCGATCTGAAACTTCCCCGGGAGTGTATTGGGAGTCTACGGTTCCAGAACGCCCGGGGAGTTGAAGATAGTGGAAAGAAGTCTTTTATTTGCAAGTATCCAGACGCGGAAGTCAATATCTACAATCATCAAACTGGAAGACAGGCTACGGATTCGCAAATTCTGGATATGGACTCGGTGATCGACATGCGAAATGGACCATGTTTGATTCAACATTCTGGTAAGTAAGCAGCCACTGATGAAAGCGACGAGGCTGATCATAAATAGATGGTGGTGGCTTGCTCACTGTGCGAGAGCTTGCCCGGATCCAGGGTTTCGACGATGATTTTGTTTTTTATGGCACGATTGAGAGACAATACGAAGAGGTGATGCAGGCATTTCCACCAACCATCGCGAAGAGATTGGCCGATACGATTCTAGATAGCATCAAAGAATTTGGCAGTTTAGGCGAGGCGGACGAGAGCCATAGGGCGCAGAAGCGACGGAGGGGCGAGTGAACAGTGGAGGTGGAACATGCATTAGCGGATCCTTTGGTGGATGGAATTTATGTTGTGAATTGGACCAGGCAATCTATCACATCCTTGGGTTGCATGCTGTAACTATCTTCAGTTAGGCATCGCGATACTCGTATCCGTGATGTGAATCATGGCCAATCAAGAGGGCGGCTGGGAATAGGTGCATGCAGATGCCCGCATGTCTCAGACATTCGGATCCTACAATCTGGAAGACTTTTTGACCGCTCTTATAAATTGGCTATTCCGTTTGCTTCTGATTTTATTGATGTTGTTACTTACTCCATCAGTCCATAATAATAATAATCAACATGTTGTTTCTCCAACTTCTTCTTCCCCTGCTGGTCTCGGCCATCCCGCAACAAACACCATCGCCCACAGTAACTGGCTTCATCTCGATAACATCACCCCCACCATCATCAACAATTACCCCGTCTCCCAGTCTGCACTGCACAAATGGATCAACTGTCACAGTCACCCATGACTGCACAATGGGCTTCCCGGTAACCTACTGCCACAGCCCGGAACCCCCGATTGCCTGCCCAACTGGCTCTTTTCCATCCGTCTGGCACCCGGGACACTGCATTACCGCGTCGACCTGCTATCCACTAGACGCATCATGGATCCAAACGAAATGCTCAAATGGAGGTATTCCATACACCACAAAAACGCTATACGCAGGGACATTAGCAGGCGGCGAATCCACCGTCATCAGCGGTACGTACAGCCCCAAGCAAGCATCAAGCAATAGTACTAATTTCTACAGCCGTCTCCTGCTCCTGCGCCCAAAACCAATGGTATAGCCAGACGATCCTCCCTGATTCGAACAGCGTGGACGTCTTCTGCATGCCGTCGAGCGCGTGTCCGACGGGGATGAGCACGTCTGTCCAGACAAACACGTACTGCGCCACGGCATCGGCGGGTGCATGCTCTGATATCCCGCTGACGACGGGGTTCTGTAAATGCGAGAATGCGAATGCGACGCCGGTGTATCCGGATGGCGATGGGGCTGTGGCGACGGGGTGTGAATTGTAATTCTGTAGATATGATTGATAGATAGTGATGAATGGTAGGGAATGAGTAATTATGATTATGACGATCTTTGTGAATGGAGATGGTGTAGTGATTCACTTTGTAGGGAGTATATATACCTTTATCTCGTCTGGTTTCTTCTTTTCTTCTCTTCTCTATACATCTCGTCTTCTATATTTATATCTATATATACAAAACCTTTTCCACCTCGATGGCTTGACCCTTCTATATATCAACTACATCCATTCCACAACAACGACTTGTCGATGCAATAGCCCCGCCCACCACTCATGTCGTGCATCGTGAAATTGCTTCGCAGTAAGTCTTCCAACCCATCGACTACTTGTACTAATCGACTCAGAATGGTATCAAAAAGAAGAGGTATAATAACTCTGCTTCGGTCATCATCAGCGGGACGAGTCGTTAGTTTATCTTTCTCGTTGATGGCCTATACTGGCTTGGTTTATAGACCAGCCTGGAGTTTTTGTCAGATGTGACTGCCGTTTATAATATCTCTCTTGATATAAGATCTCTCGTGAGTAATTGATCTTTTCGATGCCTAGACCTGGAACTAAATAATGGTATACAGACCGAGGGATTTCTTGCCTGCATCCTTCATTTTGCCATCGAATTCAAGTCTGGGTTTCTGGCGGCAATACATGCGTCTCCTTATTGCGAAGGCAAGATACATTCCAATATTTTGTACAACAATTGCTGATCCTCGTCTTTCTAGCCTCTGTCTAGATACAAAAAGGGTTTATCCTGGACTATGATCGCCGAGTCGAATGCATCCTTCCCATGGTTACGCCGCTACGGTCAGACCAGAGATAATGACCTGTGCAATGTCTGACCTGCAAATCCTGCGTTTCAAGATCGAGGACATTTGCGAAACACAGGCCCTCATCGAATGCAAGACTAGTTCAATCACTGCAAGATTGCTGTCTGCAGTCATTGAGTCGATCTCAGTCATTTCTTACACTACCCACTTTCAGACACGTTGAACCTTGAAGAAATTTCACAACGATACAAATCTGCCCGGGCATATTGCATATTGGATGGATACCGTCTCCTGGTGTCCCAAGACAACCGTGGGTTTCATCAATACCATATCTGTCTTCTCTGGCTAATATTACAACTTCTAACAGGGCCCCAAATCGTACCAAGCCTGAACCTCTGGCTGTCTATCGCAAAGGCTAGCTGAACAAAAGCCACTTCCTGAACCCTGTCCCGCTTCTAGACACGTATTATACTGGACCGATCAAGGCTATCTGTGAAGTTCCTTGTATCAGCATTCTTGTTCAAGTTAAAAACTGAACTGGAGTTGAAGAGGGGCAACAGAAAACAGCTTGTCGATATTGCAACAGCCATGAACCATCTCGACTTTGGGTCGCCGTGACGCGAGGAGAGACAAACCATCTATCATTCATAGTAAGTGTCCCGTCCAACAAGGGAACTCTACTGATATTGCCTCCTGCAGTATATACATACATTGGAAAACGACCTCGAAACGGCGGTGAACTGAAGACGCCGTGGACGAAGGCGCCCCGGTTGCTCGCTTTCATCCAGAAAATCTGTTGCCTTGGTACTTTGTTAATGGCCCAAGGCCTCCAGCACAATGTGTGGAGTCTGTATGTCTACATCCCTCTCTCCTAACACTTGACTAACATCTATCTTTGCAACAGACACGAACCCCCCCCCCCCCCCCCCCCCAATGATGTCGCGGTGGGTATTTACAACCAATCAGTTACCAGATGCCATCATCGAACGGCCTACTTCTCATCCTCCCGTGCGTTCGATTACTTCGCTGCCTCTTTGTTGGTTGAGTGTGTTGGTGTTGATATAGGCCAGATTGCACCATATATCATCAATATAAACTTCAAAGAGTCAGATGTCTCAGGATTTCACCACGCGACAATCGCGAGTCTATCTGTCTTCTTTTTAATATTGACTAACATGAACCACAGGTACTAGAGGTGGGGCATTGTTCCCAATCGCTCTGGGTGCTGGACACAAATATGAAGTTCCGACCGAACAAGCTCTGGTAAGTCTACACCATCATCCTTAGTTTCTCTTCTGACAAGAATAGTATATCAAATGAACGCTACCCCAGCAAAACCTCACTGCAAAGATACAATCGGCAAAACGCGGCAGAAGCAGCATCGGGTATGAAAGCAACAGTATTCATCGAATACGAGATCCAGAGGATTTCGTGATCGAGAAATGGCAGTTAGTACCGCATCGGTTCACCCAAAGCGAAAAGGTTGACCCGACAATTCCTTGCCAGAGGAAAGGTGATCTTGACTACCGATGAAGACTGGGAATGTCAGCGAGAACGCGTGCTGCGGGGACTGGAGATGCCCATATCCTTCACTATCGTCTATCAATCATGTCCGGCAGGATGAACTCCCATCTGCACTGAACTTCTCGAAAACCTGATTTGTTTCTCTCTGGCTGCACATACAGTCTATATAAAAGAGTTTTCGCCCACAAGCCACCAGAGAGAAACTCGAGGGGTAAAGGGTGAGAGTCAAGTTCTGGTGGTTACACCTTTGGCCTTATCGCGATGTATGCATTTCCCATCTCTTCTGATATGGCCCTTCTTATGACCCATGGCATTTAGATTGACCAAATCGAAATCCACCAAGATGAATGTATCCTAGATATTAATCATGAACACACAACACCCCTGGTACACCTTCCGAATCTCGAGTTTGATGGAATCATGGAGCGTCTTAATATGAGACCCCAGTATCCGGTCGAATGAAGGCTAGGACGGGAATACCTGTTTCCTATATCATCAGGTGTGTGAGTCACTTTGTCAATGTATGTATACTAACCGATGAGTTCGGTGCCTTACAGCTATCTTGAGCATGAAAGCTGTGCTTCACTATGGAACCTGACAGAGGCACCCAGATGGGACTCTCATCACAGAGGATGGCCACCATACCATCGCAGATATCGCCCGCATGCATCCCTCACAGGTGGTGACTTACACTGGACCATTTGGAGCAAAAGAGCCAGATCGTGCAAATCCTAAATTGATTGTGCCTCCGCGGCATAAGTCCAATTGCCGACGCACTTCTTGGGTGTTTAGAGTGGACTGATCCTGCTGTTATTGCATTCAGCCCTGGCCGTGGTGAAGCCTGGAAGCACATTGAACACGCCCGGGGTCTTTCTCTTGCGGCTACCTATGCTGCTAAAGCAATCCTGGGTAAGTTGTTTCTAATTTAATTGATCGAAGTACTGACTCAGGAGTACAGACAGACACTGTTTGATGATACAATTTGAATATTTCAGATATGCAGTAACAACCATCCACCCACTGAGCGATATCTGGCTATACGAACATCGCCATCACATATAACAATCAAAAACGTACCGTAACACAGATAGACACGCAAGAAACCAGCGGCGGCCGCGTTTTGCTTTTTAGAGAAATCTTGGGGCGTGATGTGAGTGTTCTATACTTGTTATCCACATTGATGCCAACATCTACACAGGATGAATCTATTCAATCCAATTCCTTACACCGCAGCCAACAAAACGGACGTGGACGCAGTAGTCCCGGCATGCCATTCTGGACAGTTGAACACCATCTGGGACACGTAACTTTTGGCTGGTTTATATGGGCTACGATTTTCGTGACACAGTGCAAAGGATACATGTTCCATGTCACTCGATTCGACTCCAGCATGATGAGAAGCAGCGCACATCATCCCAGATTGTTCTGGCCTGCACTACATGTCTTTCTGTCAACACGGGCGCTGAGGTTCATGTCGGTCTACATCCCATCACGAAAATTATCCTATCTATCTCATTTTCGCGTCCTTGATTTGGGGTCTCATTATATGTCTCACATTTCAGCAATGTCGATCCAGTCACGAAAAATACTATACGGAAGCGCAAACCCGCAACACAGCTCGTCCATGCCATGACGCGTACGTTCTGGTCGATCAGAAATGGTATCACGCACCGATAATTGCTCTTCTGAGGGCATTCTACTCATACCGTCAACCCATGGCAGTGCAAGATTGAGATGTCAATACAATCCGGGCCATCGTCGAGGTGAACGCCTGTCCACTATGTCGTTGAACCTGACCTCCAGTACGATATCTGACGGTATTATCCACAAACTAACCGATTTCGACTGAATGCCAGGGGACCTCATCCCGAATGCCAGATCAGAATGGGTCCTCGACCACGTGATCCTTTGGGGTCTGAGCCCAGGTGATGCGTAAGAAACGCAGCACTGCATTCTGGGAACCGATGGCAGCAAGATACGACCATTGCTGGCATCGGGAGGAAAATGTCCCAATCTTGACGCTGAGATCATTCAATACCTCAAATTCCAAGACGCTGTGCTCTCTGAAGCCAAAAAGAAGCAGGTGTTCGAAGGCTGTTCATCAGCACCATCGGCGGCGCAAACCAACGTGAGGGCAGTCAATCTTGGTCGAAACGTGCCCAAGTAGAGGTTATCAAATACCTTCTTGCGGAGCTATATCGATTTCAGGATGAGCATGGTTATCGGATTAGCCCAGAGGACGTAATGATCATCAGTCCCCACAAAGATCAGCAACGATTGATCTAACAGCAGATCACGATGCTTAGATGGACAGTCAGTTGGGTTCCGCTCTCACGAGGTCCAGGAGTATATTGGCAAGGTGGTGGCCGATCAGGAATCTCTCAACGGTATCGAACAGTTTGCAGAGATACATTCGCTTTTTTAAGGATTACTTTAGGCCCCAATTCAGCTTGGTGCCTTCTGCTATGGCTGGGATTCAATGCCAAGAAGACCAATGGCCGAATGATCGTTGGGTTGAACCACTGGAGATCACACATTTCGAGTCTTCCCTGGCTGTCAGGCCGTCTTAGCGTGCTGGCTTTGATAATGCGGGATACACCGCAAAGGTCGATGGCGTTCTCTGGAATACATGGAGTTGTTGAGACTGCTGGATTGCTCTACCAACAACACCATCGTCAACACCATAACCTGCGCCATTTGGTACGTATAATGCTTTGGATGTCGCGACATACAATTCCACTATTAATTTCATATCCCTATTACAGCAAAAGTACCTGTTATTACTCGCTCCCACGGCCCTGCCGGCCCCGTCGTTCCCGTCGTTCCCGTCGTCCTGGCCGTGGTGGAAATTGCGGTGGAAATCGTGGCTGAAGCCGCGGAAAGCGCGGCAGCTCCTCTGCTGGTCGACTCCATAACACTGATTCGGAGGATGTTCAATAGTCCTGCTGTACTGTACATCTATAGCAGCAAGTTGGCAATGGTCCAACTCCCGCTGCCAAATCCGAATGAATTGACATCCAATCCAGATTCCATTTCTGTCATGGGCCAGAATTAAATCGAAAGCATTAAGTGCGGTGCACGAGCATACAATCAGCTGTTGTGTCGAAGCCAACTCTGTCAAACGAGCGAATTTTGGGCATACCGTGGTGCCGAAACGACTTGAAAGTTTCACATGTCAAAACCCGGATAAACGCCGCAGTTTCAACGATATATGCAAGGAAAGCTACACCATACATGAACTCGAAACAATTGGTATATGAAACAGCATCGCTGCGGATCACGATTCGGTGATGAACCCATACAAGACAGATACCGGTGTGTTATTATCTGGGTTTTTCCCGTATGCGCTTCCATCCTGCCGCTAAATGCGAGTATTGTGCTAGGTTCGGAAAACCGTGCGTGTCCGTGCCGGTTCATTTGCGTGCCGTGGTGGTTATTGCCGGGGAAAATTTGGTATGAAATTAGAATGTATAAAAAAAAAGCGAGGATCGTGGCGCAATTGCATACAGCTCATTCATTCCTGCCCTAGATTCTGTTCCTCCGCCATCTAGATATGAGGTATCCAAGACCAACCTGTGAACGGAATTATGATTCCGAATGGAATAGCCACCTGCTTGACAATGATCATCTTAGATATGGCTTCTTCACCATATGCAACGAAAGAAGTGGTTATCGCGCCGTTGCCATGCCGCCTGGACCAAGCAGAGCAGATATTTCCCAGGTCCCGTTGAAATCGATGTACCAAGCAGATGCAGAATCAAAACCTTTCATTTCCGGAGCATCCTCATCTTTCAGCCGAAAGTGGCTCGATATCCAACGAAATGATCCCGGTCCTGACACTAATTTCGAAAAGAACGATAGATCGACTCAAAGTCTGGGACCTGACAGTTCTCCTTGGTTTGTGGTATCTGAGAACGAGACACTTACAACCAGCTTCGTGCCGCGATGAAAAGTATTGTTTATCGATACATTACTACACTATGGAGAGCTGGACAATTCTTCGAGGATGGATTCGTCCATTACTCGGATCAATCACCGTCAAATAATGCAATACCGTTTGCTTTGCCCGAGACTTTCAATGAGATCTTTTTAGCCTTCAAGAGAACACCTGAAGACAGAAGCATCTGGCCAAGGTGACGCTGGCAAAGGCTTGCCAAGAAGTGATCAACCAATGGGAAGAAGACAGAGTTTAGGGATATCCACAGCCGTTGCTGATTTGTCAAATAGATACAACTTCCATCATCTGCGCGGCGATACAGTTCCACTGGCAGCATTCTGGACTTTTTTGCAGCTCTGCAAAGTGGTGGTTCAATAGCTCATGTGGTCCGTTTCCTGTTTTGACGCCATCCAGAGACAAAGTTCAGAAATACAAGCACCACTCCATGCATTACTCGGATTATTCGATGCTGGGGCAGCCTTGGATAGGCTATGGCTTGCCTGAAAGAGCTTCATCCAACTGTCTATGTGGTGGTGTAAACCCGTTTCCAAAGCCACCAATTCGGAATCATACAGCAAATGCTGGAGGAAGATCATCCTTCTAGAAGTTCTCCTCTGCCGGGTGAGGAATGTGCATCACATACCAGAACTGGCGTTTCGGATGTGTCTAGCTATTGGTGAAAAATGCAACAACTGCCTGTATCTACACAAGCTCCTTCGCTGGCATAACAGATGCCACGCAGATGCCGATTGCCCGGTTTGGCTCCTGGCGATGTGGACAAGGAACTTACAGTGGCTTCTAAGGAATGGGAAGGACATATCTGTCTCCTTGTGGTCATGTGTCACAACCATCCATGGGCTAGGCCCACTGGCAGAGGCAATTCTGTCAACGGTCCTATACGGACCTGGAAGTTCGTGTAGAAGTCGAAACTCTCCTGGGCAGAAACAGAGAGAGGGCGTGGAACCACATTTTTATGTGGAGATCAATGGTGCTCAAAAGGATCACATACCACTTCCGCCTCTGACTGCAGATTGAGCGTTCGATCTGCAAAGACCAATCCTGTCAAAGCCCAATCCAAAGATTCATGGGTGGGCTGACAGAAGAGAAACAGCAGGTCTTTAGATAGAAACAATACCAATAGCACCACCAGGCACTCAGTTGATGAACCTCACAAGAGAGGCTCAGATGATATGTCGCCATCAACCAGATCCCAACACGCGAACCCTTTCAAGAGAGCACATCCGCATACCTGGCCTGTGCAATGTTGGATACAATGATTATCATTTTACTCGTCACTGCATTCCGTTGGCTTCTTTTCACGCCATCTTCTTTACTCTGTCTCACATCTTAGTCGTCTAGTGGGTTGCCAATGAAGTATTAATAAATAACTTCAATTTCATCGGAGCATTCATCTTTCCCTATATCCGGTAGCTTCGATCGCTCTCATGGTATTTCATAAAACATGTTATATAATTTCTGTGTGATAGTAATCAAAAAGATTACTCTGTTCTAATCCCATCCGGATGTTATACAAAGCATACCTACTAAAGCCCCATTTTGAATCCGGATTCAAAATGAAACACAATCATACCACTGCCAATCCACCGCGTAGTCATCCATGATAACCCCAGCACCTTCCCAATCCGGTAACCCAACCACGCATAACATTCACTTCTCTTCTTCCTCCAACAAACCCAAAGTCCCTGTGGTGCAGCGATAACAGTCTCTGCACTTACAGATGGTGCTCTGGGTTCGAATCCCGACTTCGTCTCGATTGGATATCAAAAAGATATTAGATCGTGGCGTTGGCTCTGGTTTATTTGGAATATTTTATTTTTGTGTTGTTGATGTCGATGTTCTTGTGTGGTGGTGTATTTCTATGTGGCTGGTAGTAGGGACTAGCCTCGGGCAGTAAATCTATAGATTAAATACACTTTCCCCCATCCACCACCATCTCCGTCCCATTCACAAAGCTTCCCTCATCACTCGCCAAATACAAACACATATTCGCAATATCATCTGGATCCGTCAGTCTCCCCAACGGCACATTCCCGATAAACTTGGCCCGGTTCTCAGGCGTGTCTTCCATTCCGGTAAACATGCTGAACAGACCGGTTCCGGAGAGGAGGGGGCACACCGTGTTGACGCGGATGTTGTGCGGGCCGTATTCGGCTGCGAGGCCTTTTGTTGCCTGTCACATCCTTATATCAGTATGTATTGTTTATTTGGGAGGGGAGGGCATACATTGGATACTGCGCCTTTGGAGGCGTTATACCAGACTAAGCCAGGACGAGGTCTGTTTGCGCCTGTTGAGGAGATGTTGATCATTGACCCTCCGTCGCCTTGTTCGATCAGTCGCCCCATTATTGCCTTTGCACCGTGGAAGATGCCTTTGACGTTGACATTGAACACTCTCTCCCACTCTGCTTCTGTTACTTCCAACGTAGGCTTCAACCATCAGCATCCATCATCAAACAGTCCCCAATATAGCTCAAGCTCACCTTATTCCGATACGTCGTCCCCGCGTTATTAACCAAAACATCCAGTCTCCCAAACTTTGCGAAGGCCAAATCAACAACACCCTTCCAATCCTCGGCCTTCGTGACGTCCATCTTCTGGAATACGAGATTCGCGGGGTTCTGCGACGCAACCACCTCCCCTCCTTCGGCATTGATGTCGGTTAGGATGACTTTTGCGCCTTCTTGTCCGAAGCGCCGGGCGATTGCTGCGCCGAAGCCTGAGCCTCCGCCTGAGTTTGTTAGTATTGGCTTGAATGGAGTTGGTGAGGGGAGTACCGGTGACGATGGCTACTTTGCCTTGGAGGCGGGTTCCTTGGGTTTGGGTCATGTTGGTTGTAGCTGAGATATTATTGTATGAATTGATTGGAAAGATAGGTTGAAGATAGATGAAATAAAGAAAATGATGTCAGGAAGTACCTAGTACCTAGGAGTATCCGAAAAGAGGGGTTAATGCGGAGAAGCCGGTAGGAAAGCCGAAGTGATCTGCTCAGCGATATTAATAAGAATTAATAAGTATTCTATCTTCTAATCTCTACCGGCTATTCCATCTGTGTTTATTTTATTCTATTCAGGATAGTTAATAGTGGTACAATAACTGACTGGCTAGTGCAGGGAAACGGAGACAAGTCCGCCCTGTCTTTCATCATCTATAAATAACCTCGGAGTATATACAAAGAAAACAGCAGTAACACTGAACGAAAGAAATCCTCCGTACCAAACCCCGAAAACACCGATATTCATTATTCTTCATGTTCAAATCAATTCGCCTCCCAATACTCGATAAAGAAAAGTCACCCACTAGTAGTGAAGCTATCCTTTACGGAGTGATTCCGCATACGAACTATCCCAACTATCCTATTCAGGTACTAGTAGGTATACTAAGGTACATCCCTGTAGGCTGGTTTATTATCAATTAGGCAGTCATGTTTGAAATGATGATTTTTGAGAAAATCGGTGCTGCCAATTTATCGTGATAGATCACATTGCTGTACAAAGAAATGCTGACTGGTTTTGGCGTGGTCTAGGTTTCATAGTCGCATACTGACTCGAGCATAAAGATGTGTGTCAATATTATACCTGTGTAAAATTAATATCAAGTCTTCATTATCTAATATCCCTCATCGTTTAAATACACGTTACTTAATAATACATATAATACACTAGGTAGGAAATGTCAAATTGATCGACATTCGCTAACAGCGGCCCCACGAGGCGTTATTAAGGTTTGTATGATGTATTTGTTATGGTATTATATGTATCGTCTATATGCACATTCTCTGTCTAGGTATTTTATGTTTATCCAAATCTCCGTGTGTCGATCTCTCGCGTGATATATGTGTTAGATAATCGTTGGAATATCTTACCAGGTGTGGTTGAGGATCGATGAGTAAATCTGCGGGTAAGAAGGTAGTTTATTGATCCTCTGGAATTCCGGAATAGAACGTATTAGGCATACACATTAACAAATGGAATTAGCTACCCTCCTCCCTAAGGTACTCCCCAGCATAGCTAGGTGCTATCTCGTCGTAACAGAATGCGAAACATCTACCGTCTTCATAATCCCCATCCCATCAAACCCGCCCCCATTCGAACTATGCTCATTCCTCTCCTGCCCGTTAATGGTTGTCTCGATCTTCGGCTCCCCCTGCGCATTCTGTACTAGGATCTCCTGGTCCGAGCCGTTCTCGATATAGCTCATCTGGTGCCGGCTTTTGTCGGTGCGGGAGGTGTTGTTGCGCATCTTGCTGAGTTCGTGCTGCGAGCTGTGCGTTGCTTTGTTCGAGGAGTATTCGTGGTAGGCGCGGATGAAGAGCGCAGAGAGGGCGGGGAGGCACGCGCAGATTACCCCGATGGCGATTTCGGCGTTTCTGTCATGATTAGTATAGTTATAGATATATGGGAGGCATGGAGGGAGAATACCCAAACATGTTCACCCGCATAAAATCCATCGTCGAATCCTTCGAGTCGGCATTCACCACAATCAGCACCAACCGGATAATACTACTCGCAACGGCGAGACCGCCCGCCCCCAGAATCGCCATGACCCTCATCTTCCGTCTCATGGGCATCTGCAACCCCAGCGTCAACGGCAGCGGCAGCACCAAGATGATCGTATCGCTGACAACGCTAATCACCGCGTCGGCGAGAATGATGGCGGACTGGTTCATGCAGGAGCCGTCGGACTCGGGAACCCAGAACTTGGAGATGGGGTCGCAGATGCGGATTTTGACAATCACCGCGGGGATGTAGTAGGCCAGCATGACGGCCATGAAGATGTAGATGAAGATGACGGCTTTGCGGTAGGGCTGGAAGACGCGGGCCATGATCCAGAGGAGGGAGACTTTGGTTAGGTAGGCGGTTGGGCCGTACATGACCATTGTTACGTAGACGGTCTTTCATTAGCTGGCTGTCATCGGGAGGTTGTAGATGGAGGTACCTTGGAAAAAGGAATCTGGGATGATTTGGGGACGTCAACAAAGTGTAGTCCTCCGCCATAGTGTCCCACTATACGTTTGTTAGAAGAGATTGCGATAGAGCAGAAGGATGCATACTGATCAGCGCAATCACAGAGTAGCACACTCCAAGAAACTATCCTTGTCAGTATTGCCCTATAATACACTCAACCAAGCCATACCCAAGCACCGCAACACGTCCCTGGCTAGTCAGTAAAGAAACAAGCACCTCAACGATAAGAACTCACAATCCTCCCTGCCAAAACCCTGCGTGATGAACACCCTCGTAAAGCACCGCAGCCCAAAAAAGATGGTCATCATCACAATACACAGTGCCTGACACGCTTTATTCCAGTTCTGCACTGTCCGGTCAATCTGGCCATCTCGTTCGAATAACTCCATCTTGACGGTGCAGACAAACACACACAAGCAGCACGAGTAACAAACCCGAGTCTCTGGGAGGGCCCACGTTATGTATAAAAAAGACCCAGAATAGGAGGCCCGTCACACCAAGAGCCCCATCGCTACGTAGTAATCTACATAAAGAAATGGACAGATTAAGCTAACTTCCATCCAACTTCCTTTGTCTCGTCTTGGATGTGGCCGCTTTGCACTCCTGAAACATTTCCCGACTGGACGTGCCGTAATCTATCGAGGGACTGATTGGCGAACGGTGGGAACAGGGATGGTCCCCAGTCCATGGACGCGAGTTGATCCGTGTTTTCTTATAGGCTGGCTGGGCTTGGTGGCGTTTCTTGGTTCTCGGCGTTAGTGACATGTTCCGTCTCGAGTACCTGGGAGTTGAATAGAGAGTCTAGCACCACTAGCACTGTAGCTTTTAGGTTGGAAATCGGGTATTCTAGGCCTTGTTTCATTTAGTAGAACTCAGTATAAGATTCAGACACCGTCAACGCTTTCTGATCCTATACACCGGAACGAACCTTATCCGGAAATGTCTGACACGAGCCGTCTGTCTGGCTGGTAGCAAGATACGTGAAGATCGACAGACAAGTCGAGTCTACATTTTGAGCAATTCATGTGAGTATGCAGCAGGCAGCATGGGTTCTGCCCATCACCTCGCATTAATCTATCCATCCACAATACAATACAATACACAATACGCTGTCATACAGGTGGAACCGCCCACCCGGCCCCGCCAGCCCTGGAGAAAGTGGATCCTCTCCGCGCACGGTCTCCCCATCAAGTTTTTCCCTCTTCCCTGCCTTATTTTCTTTTTGCCTTTTGCTGCCAGGAACTTTGAGGTTAGACTTTAAGTTTCACTACGGTAGCTTTCGAACTAGCTTGTTCCGGGCTGCCAAGCTGTATGCTAGTTAAACCCAATTGCGGCTTTTCCTTTGTTCTGAGTTTTTGGCAGATGGGAGAGGTAGGTTTGGAGGAATGAGGTAGTTGATTCCATGGTTTGAAGTGAGAGTAAAGATTGTTAGGGGCTATTGCGTTAGGGTGTAGGGGAGGAATCGAAATGCGAAATTATGGTTTCTGTTTAATGGGCTGTGGACCAGGGAAAAGACGGGACTATTTAGGTATTATTAACAACTCCACTCTTAGAAAAAGTAATAATAATATAGGTGCTATGTACACTACTACATACACGTGCTCAGAGCAAGTCAATCCAACGTGCACGTCCAATTACAAGGATATCCTACCGATGTGGCTGTCGGCGATGCACGAATTGCAGATGCGGATCGTCTGGGTCATTGCTTGTTACCCTCCACCGGTGACCCTTGCTGGTCCTGCTTCGGCGAGTTATCGGATTTCCATACTTTAATCTATGCATCGTGCTATCTCGTGCTATCTATCAAAAGATCGCCATCACGTTTGGAGGCGAGGATACGCCACCTGGCATGTTCAGCGGCACGGACGTAACGAAGAAGCTCCATCGTTGGAGTTCCTGGCATGTCCGGGCCAGAGCTTCTAGATCGAAGAGTTCGCCTGGTTCTTATTAATCGGTGTTTGAGATGTAAGGTCTAGTCCTTTGATGCTTACCGATTGGCATGCCCCATCCTGCTAGTACGTATTCGTGGAGGAAGAGGTCGGGAGATTGTGGTGGGTATACCTATCTTTGTTAATCATCGTCATCAATATTACTATAATAATATTGTCCTACCTCCCAGCTGATAGCGTCACTTGCAATGGCTGCAAATCCAGTGTCCCACAGCCAGCGCAGAACGTCCACGCTGGCCTCAACGCCCGCGTGTTCCGGACTGGGATTGTCCGAGTATGCGCGTTTCTGCTCGTCCGTCATGACGGTATCCCATTCCTTGGTAACACCGACACGTACGAACAGAATGTCACCTTTCTGGAAGGTAATGTTGCATTCTCGGGCTATTTCCAGGATGTCTGTGAGTCGTACTTGATGGGTGGAAAAGGTGGTGTATGTTATGCCTTTTTTTTCAGCCCATGTTGCGTAGTCGATTAGGACTCCTCGGCCTGTACATATAAGTAGTTGAGATAGTGACACAGAGTAGGCGATGTATACCTGCAATACCATCCTGCGCCCAATGCTGCGTCCCAATCCGATCATTTCCTGCTTCATTAATCTCCTCCACCGTCGTTCCACCGTAGAACACCCGCTCACTCTGCCCCGGCACCGTCTGCGAGAAATGACGCAATCCATCCCACTGGCTACTCTGCTGCGGATTCATTGTGTAGATATCGTCAAATGCCACCCCGCCCAGCAGAGGCACAATCTGATGGTGACATGGTTGGCGGTTGAGATTGGGATAATCCAGCTTGGTCAACTCCCAGCCCATGGTGACGCGACGGCCAGTTTTGATCTCGGACGAGGCCGCTTTGGCCACCACGTCTGGGGTGAGGATGGCCAGTTTTCCGAGCCCTTCTTCATGGCTGCCTGGTGTACCGACCCAGACTTGTTTGGGGTTGGGGAGTTGGTCGAAGGGGGTGTCGAAGGGTGACATTTTGTGATAGATGGATAGATATAGAATAGAGAGAATGAAGAGAGATGGTATATATATTCTTACTGTACTTGAATAAATCAGGCGATCAATGACATTTACCTAATTTCGGACACGGGGTGGATAAGTCTCGGCTAATGTAGTGTCTGTCAACAGCGCATCAACACGAGCATTGGCACATGCTGGACAGTCATAATGTTTGCTTCCAATGACGCTATTAACGCGATATCGATAGTACTTTTGCCTATCGATGCCTCTATCTCTCTATCTTTCTTTCTTTTGCCATCATAAGCACTATTATTGTTTGCTTGTTAAGAATGTAGAATAAATAAAATAAAACAAGCCGGCCTGTCACGCCCTCCCATTGGCTGCGGCCCCTCCACTGCCCGCCCATCCGTACTAGCGGATACCCTAGCGCCGTTACCGTACCGTACGGCCAGCGTCGAGCATGGGCCTTGTCTCTCTTTGATTCGGCGACAATGAACTTTGTTCTCCCGTTTGGGGCGTCTGCAGCTGCCGGTGGAGCGGCTGTTATACATGTGCTGTCGGAGCTGGAGGGGATTTTTCGTTAGGCTGGCTCTGGCTGTTCTGCTCTCTGTGTTTCTTCGTTTCTTTTTCATCCCTTCTTCCAGGTTCCTTATATCTGCAGGACATCAGATACTTCTTCATGTACTGAGTTGCACAGCATCTCATATCCCTTTCCTACCCTCAATTGAAGCCTGGATTGGCTAGACACAGCTAACATGGGAAGTTTCGGGTCCCAGACCAGCAACTACAACAGGCTGGTGACCGTCTTTGTGGCTATCGGGTCGATGGTGAGTCTTCCTCAATCTATCTGTCCTCTACCTACCAATCCTACCAGTCTAACTGTTTACCTTAGACCTACGGCTACTGCTCCTCCATCATCTCAAGCACAATCGGTCAGCCAGGATGGTATGCCTACTTTAATCTCCCCGGAAAGACCGAACCAGGCTACGACACAATCACAACCCCCGTTATCTCGACTGCAAATGGCGTCTTCAGTGCTGGAGGAGCGGTCGGGACGCTGCTCATGATGTGGTCGTGTGAATTCTTCGGCCGAAAGGCGAATATCCAGCTCGGCGCATTCTTTTCTCTGTTCGGGGGTGCGCTGCAGTCGGGTTCGAACTCGCTTGAGTATGTCTGCTGTCCATATTTTCGAAACTAGTCTAATATCAGTATAGAATGTTCCAAGCCGGTCGATTCATCTGCGGTCTCGGAATCGGTATCCTCGTCACCGTCTGCCCCATGTACCTGTCCGAAATGTCGAGTGCGTTCCGTCGCGGCTGGCTCGTCGGTCACCACGCCATCTTTCTTGTGTTCGGATATATGCTGGCCGGTTGGGTCGGGTACGCCTGTTACTATGCAAAAGGGTCATTGGCTGGGTTTGGCTGGCGATTCCCGCTTGCGCTGCAGTGTCTTCCCGCGCTGGTCTTACTCATTGGGTCGCCATGGCTGCCTCGCTCGCCGCGTTGGTTGATTTCCAAGGGCAAGCTTGACGAAGCGCAGCTTGTTCTGGAGAAGTTGCGACAGTCGCCTGATGACCCCGGGAATCTGGTTGCGAAGGAGGAGTTCTTTCAGACGAAGGAGCAAATTCGGCTGGAGGCGGAGAGATTGGCGACGTACGGGAATGTGTGGATGGCGGTTTTCAAGAGGAAGACGTATCGGAAGAGAATGGCGATTGGGTTTTTGACTCAGTGGGGAGCGGAGTTTGGTGGGCCTTTGATCATTGTGAGTTGTTCTGCTTGAGATATGGTCTGGTGCTAATAAGTCTAGAATAACTATGCGGTTATTCTGTACGGTAATCTAGGCATGGAGGGTGGTATGCCATTGCTTTTGAGTGCGATTTGGTTGACGACAGCTGGTGAGTTATCAAAAGTCTTGCATATTATTTATAATTGATACTAACGTTCCAGGCCTCATCTACAACCCCCTCGGTGCCTGGCTCCACGACAAAGTCAACTCCCGCCGTCGCATGTACATCACCGGTTTCGTTGGAATCATCATCACCACCTCGTGTCTGGCTGCCATGACTGCCGAGTACGCGGGTACCAAGAATCAAGTCGGAAACGGATTCGGCATCTTGTTTATGTATCTGTATTTGGCTTTCCAGGGGTGAGTCTACAGTCTGCGGAATTTGATACGATGCTGACTTTATCTTAGTACATTCTGCGATACGACCATGTACTTGTACGTTTCTGAAATATTCCCGACGGAGATTCGACCGATTGGAATGGGCTTTTCGCTTTTTGGACAGTTTGCTGGTGAGTTATCTTACTTCTTTATAAGTGATAGTAACTAACGTGCTGTACAGCCACTTTGATTCTCCTTCAAACCGCCCCAATGGGCTTCGCCAACGTGCAGTGGAAATACTACCTCGTCATCATCTGCTGGTCTGTTTTCTTCATCCCAGGTACGCATCTCCTCTACCCGCCATTTACATCCACTAACAAACCCAGTAATCTACTTCTTCTTCCCCGAAACCGCACGTCTCACCCTCGAGGAAATCGCAAAGAACTTTGGCGACGAAGTCGCTGTCCACGTCACCGATGCTACGGATGAGGAGAAAGCGAAGCTGGAACGTCATCTCGCTGATGGCTCTTCCACCGAGGGTCCTACGCAGGTGGCTGAATCACCTAATGTGGTTGGTGAGGAGACGCCGAAGAATGATCTACCTACGTCTATTTAGGCCATAGATGGATTGCTGGTTACTATATATATGTGGAGGAGGTTTGATTCTCCTGTTTGATGCTAATGTATAACTATTCTTGACTGGTCATTGCTACTATTTATTTCTGCTTCGGGGATAGATGGCTTTGGCATTTATACTGTACGGTTTGTTTGGGCTTGTTGATTGGAAGTTTTCATTTCATTCTTTTACTTTATGTGATTATTTTCTATGCTGTTATTCCCCCTTGTCACTGATGCTGATGTCTTTATATGAACTTTCTTTGAAGCGTGCTTGTTATAAATATAAATATCTCTCTGATAGATCGATCCATTTAGATCCCTATCCAACTTCCCTCCATTACTCTTCTCATCCTAAAAAGACTAAGTTAGAATGTAAAACATCCAAAATACAAGCGGAGATATTCCAGAATATCCGCGAATTTTCTCCGCTCCATGAATTTTGATGTCATTACTACCCACGTCTGCACCGTGGATGGGATTGATTTTCGAGAACCGAAACCAAAACCCATTCGTGTATATTAATTCGCTGTGATGCAAGATATACCCACATGGTTCGGTTATCTGGTATATAGCCTATATCGTAGTTTGATGGAATAGAAGTAAATTACTGTGTAGACAATAGGGTTTGTGGTTTACGTGATGGATATTGAAGGTCAGGACTATTTATATATTTGGTTTATGATCGCGAGGCATTAGACAATCCTATCCATCGTTCTTGTAATTGGTATGCAGCATTGGCATATATTCCACGTACGATGATTAAAGTATCGATCCCACCTCGTATTCATCAATAGACAAGCAATAATCGCCATAACTATCCCTCACCAACCATGGAAACCACCATCAACCCGGCAAATCTCATATCCAGTGATCGACAAACACTCCCCTCCTTCCCTTCCCTTCCCTCCATCTTGGCCTAAAGTGCAAAGCCCGACGAAAGCTAAAGCACAGGTACACACCGAGACAGAAATAGAAAGGAGTCGCGACCAGCTAGGTTCCAAAATTGAAATTTTGATTTTGTGAACATCCTTCTTTCTACAAGCTTTAGCTACGGCTGCAACATGGACTGTCCAATCTCCGCTTTGTGTTTTGGCTTCGGCCAAATCCCGAGAGGCGCCTTGGCCATGTTGGCTGGAATGTCACTGTGTACCCCTGTCATCATAATCCCCTCACGCGGAGATAGACCGCGCGCTGAGGGGGGGGGATAGGAGGCTCTAACTACTTTGCATAGTGCATAGTGCATAAGCTGAATTAGATGCGACTGATTTGTTTCGGGGTTGTTTGTGGGTTACTGGGTTGATCAATGCCATGCCAGTGTCTAATTGATCGAATAACGGCAATGGAAAACTTCGGTTCCATTCTGGCTGCGGTGAATGTGCCCGTCTCACGAGGAGGGGTTGATGCCATATTCGGATGCTGCAGGGTCAATCTGGCGGGGACCGTATGGCTATATTGAGCTGAAGTTATTGAGGGTAGTAGGTATCCTCCGTTGCGCTGATAACCTACCCTGATGCGCTGGCTGAGTTAATTCAGGGACTGAGTTTGTTAGTCTGACACTGACACGTATGTTGACGCTGGGTCTTCCGGTGGGAGTGCTCATCAGTCAACGGGCATATGGATGAGTGAGATCATCTAGACCTGCAATAGTTTCCACCAATATTGAGTTCTTGGTACTACGGTGATAAAGCTTTGCCCTGGACGATCATCCGGATGAAACACCACTCAAGGGCATAAGCCACGTATGCAAGCGAGGAGGTTGGACATACGTATGCTCAACGCTGCCATGAACCTTAAGCTTTGTCTGAATGCCGAGGGCGGATGAACCCTAGGCCTCTAGGCCAATAAGGTAGAAGTTTCCAGCAGTCAGACTCTAGCGGCAGAGGTTTGATTTTCGAGAACAGTTCAGACTTTGATCCATGGAAGTTAAACCTCCGAAACCACGGGTCTTGTAGTTTGCCAGTGTACGGAGTAACTCATGTTCCTCTCTCTCAGGAAGACGATGCGATTCCCATGATCTGCATGAGGGTGCGCAAATCATGCGGTTTTGGTTGTCAGAATTGACACGAGGACGCTGACAATCACGCACGGTCGCGGATCATCCACACATGGAGACGGGCGCCATGATTATGGGAGGTTAGCGGGCTTGTTGCCTTCAGGGGGTATTGGCCGGGGACTGGGCACTTGGCAAGCAGATAATGAGTAGGATCAAAGATGGCTGTGAGGACTCAGGAGCAGTGAAGAGGAGGGTCTATCCGACTTCCGACTCAACAGCCAATACCCCATCGTAATCTAATCCATCAGCCAAGGAAAAGAAATCCTCTCGAATGGCAGCACAGAGGGAAGAAACCCTTTTTAGCCAAGTCCAGGTGGGAAGTGCACATCAGGCCTGGTCACTTGGCAACTGAATAGCGAAAATTGTCTCCAGCCTCTCCTGGCCTTCTCTAGCCGCTGTGAATCCTGCGATCATCCTCATTTAGCATCATATTAATGGGGACGAGCAACTGGTCGGGACGAAATGGGCGGGCCGTGTGGGGGGAAATAGGAGTGGCGACCTGACGATGAGGGAGGAATTAGGAAATTCCCATGTGAAGAGGACGGTGAAGGGCGGAAAAAAGAGCAGATTTCAGACCTGGAGAAGGGTGAGTGATTTTCTGGAAGCAGATCTAAAGCTATACAGAGTAAGAGGCCGTGTGAGAGGGATGATGGGATGGGATCGGGGAGGAGTCGAAGGGGGGCAAAAACAGGAGGCCATGATCGCCCTTAGTGGTTGATCTGGCTGTCCACTAACCCTCGGTTAAATGTTGACCAGGAGCAGATAGTTAGCTAGCTGCTGAACTGAAGGAATGCGAATACTGGTCGATAGAGTCATCTGTCATAATCATGATTTAATCGTCCAGCGTGGGCGACTTCGTCTGGCTGAACACCAAATGATCGCTGGATTTGCCCCAGTGCGACTCCATAATAATCCGCCCGAAAACCTGCCGACCGGCGAATCCGCAATTTTTAGTTTTTCGCTGTTCAACGAAAAGAAAAAAAAAAGACTCAAAGAGAGACAGAAGGAAAGGGAAGACAAATACAAATAGTGCCCCACCATAAATTATTATTATTATTATTATTATTATTACTATTACTATTATTACTATTATTCTGTTGCTGCTGTGAATTGTTTCGCTGTTTTCTTTTCCGATCGCTGATCGACAGTCTGGTTCATCCTCCGCCCTCGTGGGTATTTCGATCCACGCTCTTCTGCTGCTCGGCTCCGTTCGACCTCAATCCATTCCTTTTTCTTTTTCTTCCCTCTTGCCGTCATTCTTTCTCTTCTTTCACTCTTTTCATCTTTCCAATCCCTCTCTATCTCTGGCATCGGTTTCAATGTCCGTCTTGCCTGCTTAACCTTCATGTCTCTACCCCACACTCCTTCCAGTGATTCCCATCCCGTCTCCCCATGGAGATTCGCACGGTCGTCTGCGCGCCAGTAAATCCTCCCTCCTCTTCTTCCGCCCCCTCTTCCGCTCAACCAGCTGCTCCTCCCTCTGCTCCTGCTGCTCCCGAACCAAAGAAGCGCGTGCGGCGATGGCATCACCGCGGGTTTACCGGGTGTTCCACCTGCCGCCGACGCCATGTCCGCTGCGATGAAGCCTCCCCCTCGTGCAAGAATTGCACTCGCTTAGGACTCGAATGTGATGGAACGCAAGGCCGGATGACGTTTAAGGTGTACGGGCCATCGCAAAATCAGCAGGAACCCGCGTCCAAAGCTCCCAAAAAACGTGGCAAGAAATCCGAACAGCCTCCCGCGACGCCCAAAACCGTTATCAAAAAAGAGGAGGCCGCAGATGAGGATGAAGGGTACGATTCGCTCGTGGTGTCGCCCACTACGGTTTCCGGTTCGCCGCCGACGAAATTTCGCTTTCAGGAACCGCTCTCTCCGGCTCAGATGATGTCTACGTCGTTAACGTGTGTTGATGGCCGCTATTATACGCATTTCATTGACCAAGTCGCCACCCTCCTTCTCATCTACGATAATTCTACCAATGTTAATCCCTACCGACGATATTTCCCCGAAATGGCACATTCCTCGCCCTCAATGGCCAACGCTATGCAGGCACTCGGCGCATTGCATTTATCAAACACATCCCGAGGACAGCAGCGTATCACGCACTTTCAACACGCCATGGGCAAGTATGGCGAGGTTGTCAAGTCCTTCCGAACACGATACACCGATCCCGCACAACTAGGAGTGTCGGACTTTGCCACTTGCTTATTATTATCCCTTTTCGAGGTATGTATCTGAATATTGCGATTTGTGCCACTTGACTAACAAATTAGATGATGGATTCCCAAAACCACAACTGGGCCGTTCACCTTAAAGGAGCTCGCGAAATTTATCGGATTATCTTTCCCTCAGCCGAGGGCGAAGCCAAAGGTGCTGCCGAAAATGACCACCCTCTCCGACATTTCCTCGTTTCTCTTCTTTCCTATCTCGATGTTGCGGGCGCATGTGCTACAAGTGATGGCACGGTTGTCGAAGGCAGCTACTGGAGGTCTCTCAGTGGTGGCTGGGAGTATAACATGGGTATACCGAGTCTCAGCTCAGAAAAACCCGAAAACGACAGCCTTTTAGTTGAACTCCGACAGACCTGGTCTCTATTGATGGAGATTCAAGCATCGATCAGCGCATTTGGAAAGGCCAAGCAGCAGCCCTGGATGTCGTATCAGCAGCACGACATGGTCTATGGCAGTCTTTTAAGTCGTTTGGTCAAATGGCGAGCCAATGCACCCGAATGTATTCAAATTCTGGGTGGATTGGATGATGAGAGCCTTTCAAAATACCCGTACCCGGACGTGCTGGAATACGCGGGATGTATCGAGTCATATGAAAAAGCCACGACCATCTATCTACACAAAGTGGCGGCGGCGGGACGTCCTGATCGGCAAACCGAGGGGCCTTTACTCCAGATGCTCGCTTCACGGATTCTCGCACTGATCCACAAGTGTGCCAACGATGTTGGACAGTTGGCTTTTCTGTGGCCTCTATATACTGCGGGCCGGGTGACACGAGATCCCAACCAGCAGGGCTATGTGCGACAGACCATGACATCCCTGCAACGATACGGGTTCAAGGTAAGGTTTCTTGGCGAGGAATCTGGAATATTTGCTAATGGTAACAGAATGTCGACAGAGGTCTGGAAGATCTGGAGAAAGTATGGTTCAAACGACGTGCATTCCCCGAAGGATGGGTTGATACGATGGACGAACTCCGGTCGGCTGTTCTCATTCCTTAATCGATCACTCTACGCTTGAACGATTCATCTATACCATATACTCGACATACTGGCAGCGCCGGGGCTGGACCCTTCGATGTCACTGGGACATCTAATATTATATAGTTTACAAAAGCCTGGATATGTTACCACGGAACTAATGGGCATATCCAGGCTGTTATTTAGTCTGGGAAGGATTAGGATGCACATATTACCGTGATTATTTGCATATAGATAATAGACTACCATTACCTGCTTCTTCATGATTCTCACTTCTGATAGCCCAACACTAGATGATTTCATGGCCAGGCTCAATATGACATCAGGATCAACAGTTCCCATCATACTATACACTTGATGGGGCATGTTGTGCATCGATCCTGAGCACGCGGTCAGTTTCCGAAAGCAGACGACACCTGAGGCATCACAGTGGGTAAAATCTTGAGTCTAGACAATCCCACTTAGAAATCAACGAATCAACCAACACCGCAGAAGAACAAGATGCTAACAGAACGAATATCCCTAATTCTCCTAGCCCTGCTACTGAGTACGTATGAAGCCCTACTAACTAGTAGGGAATACGAAGCAATGGGTCCTCGACTGTCAATAATAATCGCATCCCCACCGACCGCAAATTTTCCCACTGGCCCACTCCACCGCTGCAGGTGATGGTTTCATTATGAGTTCAAAGCGGATCAACCCAGTGGCCTGACCGGACTACTATCCAGGGCTGAACGAGTTATCCAGTGAGCTCAGCTGAGCAGGCAAAAGCGACGCAAGGAACAAGAACAAATCAGCAACGCCTCGTGGGGTTTCGCGAAATAAACTCCTCGATGCCAAGTTTGGACGATGGCCTTTTTCTTCTTTGCGACCCACGGACAACCCGACCGACATCCACTGCGGATGATGAGTTCACCGTTATCCAGTCACTAGAGGTACGGACCAGACAGCTCCGGATTCGATATCCATTGCTTTTTGGCTTTTGGCTTTTGGATTCTGCTAATAGGATTGTTGTTCTTGATCAGATTAGGAATTATTCGTTGTTCTGGTCGGGAATCGCTTTGTTTCTTCCACGCTGAAACCCCTCGCACGGGCGCATCTCTCATACACGCCATCAGAAGGAATCCTGGTGGGGAGGGCAGGATTCAAGACAGGTTCAGCGTCTCCTCCGACGGGGTTATCAAACTTAATCAATCCGTTGAGAGAAGGATCGGCCTTTTTCGTTTTTTTTTTTTCTTTCTCTTTTTTCCCTTCCTTTTTTTTGTGTTTGGGATTTTGGATTTTTGGGTTCTTCTCTGTCGTTGGAACGTCAGCGATCTTGTCAAATTCTAAACGATCGTCAGTCTGGTCTGGTCTGCTGCAGACGATGGCTCCAGTATCTGAGCAGCATCCCGAACTCCTTGTCGACCATAATCCGCTGCAGGTCGATGGGGAAGGGGAGGACATTAGAAGCGAAACAGAGAGCAAGGATGATGCGGCTTTACTGGTGCGTGTTATTATTTTCGATGTCGATATTGGCACTGATATTGATATGGGGTTTCTTTTCTTATCATGATGCATGCTAACCGTGTTTCAACAGAAAACTATGGGCTATAAGCCAGTAAGTCGCGAAATGACCGAGGCATGAAGGAATTAACGGCTTACGCAGTGCAGGTCCTGCATCGAACCTATTCGTTAATCGAGAACTTCTCGACCACTTTTGGTAAGCTGCGCTACTAAAAAAAGGTTCCAGTTATGCTTTTTCTTTGTTCCAGAATTCTAATCTGTTGATCGACAGCCGCTCTGTACTTTGTCGGTGGAGTGCGTGTCACTTTCAGTACCGGTATTGCAGCGGGAGGTAACTTGGCCTACTGGTAAGTTGGATGTAGATTCCATGCGATTGCTTGCATTGCTATCGGAAGCTCACTGTTGCCAAGGACGAGTTACTTGGTCACCGTCGTGTTCACCTTCATCACTGCTGCTGTCGTTGCCGAAGTATGCTCTGCCTCGCCGTCGGCGGGTTCCATCTATCTGTGGGCTGCTGAAGCTGGTGGTCCTCGATTTGGAAGACTGCTTGGGTTCATTGTCGCGTGGTGGAGTACCACGGCCTGGACGACTTTCTGTGCTAGCAACACTCAGTCTGCGGCTAACTATATGCTCTCGGTAAGAGGATAGATTCTCGTGTCCAATGTTCATGGCTGATATGATGTAGGAATTGACCGTGTTTAATGTCGACTTCCCTCAAGACACAACCAGCGTCAAGTTCCGTGCTGTGCAATGGATTGTTACTGAGATCCTGCTGGCACTGGCCGCTTTGCTGAATTTCATGCCGCGTATGTAGTCCTCGATTTCCATTGCTTGGGTATTGGCTGACTTGCCACAGCAAAATATTTCAAATGGGTCTTTTACTTCTCGTCCGCGATCGTCATGCTGGACTTTATCCTGAATGTCATCTGGCTTCCCATCGGCACGGCCAACACTTGGGGATTCCGGACTGCGGAAGAAGCTTTCATGTCGACGTATAATGGTACCGGTGCTCCGCCTGGTTGGAACTGGTGTTTGTCCTACCTCGCGACGGCTGGTATTCTGATCGGATTCGATGCCTCTGGTCATGTCGCTGAAGAGACCAAGAATGCTTCTGTCACGGCGGCTCGTGGTATCTTTTGGAGTACGGTTGCGAGTGGGATCGGAGGGTTTGCTACCATCATTCTCTTCTTGTTTTGTGCGGTATGTTAGCTGGTGGTTGGTTTGTTGTGCATCTGCTGATTTCTTCCAGCCCGATCCAGACACGCTCTTTTCGTTCGGCTCGCCTCAACCGTTTGTTCCTCTCTATGCCGTTGTGCTTGGAAAGGGTGGTCACATTTTCATGAACATTATTTGTGTCGTCGCACTGTGGCTGGTAAGTTTCATTTTCTGTTCTGTAAATACTTCAGCTAACCATTCAGAACACGGCCATCGCAATCATCGCTGCTTCTCGCTTAGTCTTCGCAGTCGCCCGTGATGGAGTCCTCCCCTTCTCGGGCTGGGTATCCAAGGTGAACAACGGCCAGCCTCGGAACGCCGTCATTGTGGTCTGGGCCGTTGGTGCCATCATCACCTGCACTCTTCTGCCCTCCGACGTGGCTTTCACTTCCCTCGTCTCTGCCGCCGGTGTACCCAGTGCAGCCGCGTATGGCGTGATCTGCCTAGCTCGACTCCTCTGCACCCCGAAACGATTCCCCAAACCACAATGGAGTCTTGGGCGCTGGAGCAAGCCGTTCCAGTTCATTGGCGTCTTCTGGAACGGATGGGTTGTTGCCATCTTATTCTCTCCTTACGAGTGGCCGGTCACCGGAGCGAACTTGAACTGTATGTCCTTTTCTCTTGTTTAATCATTTGGTGACATGACTAACGATATTAGATGCCCCGATTATCATGGCGTCTGTGACTATCTTCGCTTTGATTTCGTACTTTGTGATGCCTGAGGAGAACTGGCTGCCGAAGAACCGCATTTCGCATTTCATTGACAGCAAGGGAGCTGCACAGGAGACGGTGAATGAGGTTAGTCCGTCCGAAGGAGAGGCTACTGGTGGTGCATCGCACAGTTGATGAAGGTGTGGAGATTTGATAGATTCGTCACCCTTTATAATAGAAGTACCCTTAATATGTAGCATATAAAGATAGAGCCAGTGGTTTTTTGATCATTTTGGCACTGTCGTTTGGAACGAAGGATATACCCAGAGATAGTGTTGAGGGGAATTAAATGAGAACGCGAGTTCAATTGGTTTCATGTTGCATCGTTTGGTGTTGGGTTGCAGTAAGTAATCGATGCTGTGTTACCAACGGAGAATTATCGATAGACATTATCAGCTTGATAAACTGGTGGCATAAATTATGCGAGATAGAATACAAGAATGTTAAATTAAAAATAAAATAATATAAAAAGTGGAAAAGCCACGTCCTGATGCTGATCCATGGGCCAAGATCGCCATCTTCTCCATGATTTTCTCCCCCGCGTTTTCCCCCTCATCCACTCTTCCACTTGGCAGGAGACATCTCATCCAGCTATCATCGATCCGGAAGAAGATCGACCCATCTGCCTTGCTTCCATCCCCCAGTCTGTACTTTTGCGGTCTTATAACTTTATATTGCATGGCATGCATGGTTTCCTCTTCCAAGCGACTGCCGAACCCCCTCCTCCCTTGCTGAGTCTGTGGCCGGTTAAACGTCCATTCCCCTCATCCAGAGCCAGCTAGCAGGGTTGCACTGTCTGCTCTTACTCACCATCTGTCACTGCGCTGTTCTTCGCTTCTTCCCTCTTTCTTGTCCCCCTCTTTTTGCTTCTTTGTTTCTACACCCTCTGTCATCTGCTTCTGATGTGGTACAGACATTCCTCCTGCCCATGTGGGATTCCTGAGAATTCGTGGGCGCGAAGCGAAGGACTTAAACATTCTTGTTCTTCTTTCGCTCTAAGTGCTTCTGTACTAACCCAGGTTAAACAATGAATGTATCATTGTCCCTGCGGTCGGCGCTGGGGCCGTGTCGAGCGGTTTCCAGCGTTCGCGCAGGGAGGTCACTTCTCCCTCTGAAACACTCTGGTATGCTCGATCTCTCAGGCCTCTCCAACCATGCTAATAGCTCTTCCACAAACCAGTCACTCAAGCCCGTCACCTTCCATATCTAGCTTCCCATCCACACGGCCATCGCGAACTACCCTCCCTCCCACAATGGTCCCCAATCACCAAGCGAACAGCAACGACTTCATCCTCCCCCGAACCACCCGTCCCAGTCCTTCCTTACTCCGCATTAACCGTCGGCGTACCCCGCGAGACATACCCCAACGAACGCCGCGTAGCAATAACACCCCAGAATGTCGCCGTGCTTCTCAAGAAAGGCTTCTCGCGTGTTCTCGTCGAACGAGGCGCAGGGGAACAAGCACAGCTGCTCGACCCCGCATACGAACAAGCCGGTGCTACCCTGGTTACTCGAGAAACGATATATTCGGAGAGTAACATTGTCCTGAAAGTCCGTGGTCCGAGAATGGAAGGTCCCGTGAATGAGATGGAGGGTCTCCGTCAGGGCACGACTGTGATTTCGTTCTTGTATCCGGCGCAGAATAGAAGGCTTGTTGAGGGACTTGCTGAGCGCGGTGTTACGGCGTTCGCTATGGATATGATTCCGAGGATTTCGAGGGCTCAGACTTTTGATGCGCTTAGGTATGTTGCATACACTCTAGCGGGAATGTGGGTGTATTAACTTGTGCAGCTCTATGGCCAATATTGCTGGGTATAAGGCTGTTTTGGAGGCGTCGAATCATTTTGGTCGTTTCTTGACTGGTCAGGTTACTGCTGCTGGGTAAGTTGAGATATGCATTCCTAATGCGCATTTTGCTAATATTTTTTGTTATTTAGAAAGGTTCGCTATTCATTTTGCTCAGGTTGGAACTACTGCTTATAATGATAATTCCAGATCCCTCCCGCCAAAGTGCTGGTTATTGGAGCCGGTGTAGCTGGTTTGAGTGCTATTGCTTCGGTATGTATCAGAGTTCATCTGACTTGCTATTTTTCACCAACATTTTGTTTCTAGGCCCGTCGTCTAGGCGCCATCGTCCGTGGCTTTGATACTCGTTCTGCAGCTCGCGAGCAGGTCCAATCTCTCGGTGCCGAATTCATCGAGGTAGACATCCAGGAAGATGGCTCCGGTCAGGGAGGCTACGCCAAAGAAATGTCCAAGGAGTTCATTGATGCCGAGATGAAGCTTTTTATGGAACAGTGCCGTGAAGTGGACATTGTGATTACGACTGCTTTAATCCCGGGAAAGCCTGCGCCTAAGCTCATTACCAAGGAGGTGAATATTGCTTTTATGAATCTTGTGTCATGGTGTTGATATTCTCTAGATGATTGCTGCGATGAAACCTGGTTCTGTCATTGTCGACCTTGCGGCCGAGGCTGGCGGTAATTGCGAAGCAACTGTGCCTGGGCAACTGTCCACCCACAACGATGTCACTGTTATTGGTTTGTTCAGTCAAGTACAATGGTCTATCATATAGGAACTGACAAATTCCAGGATATACGGATCTCCCGTCTCGTCTGCCTACTCAATCATCTACATTGTATTCCAACAATATCACCAAGTACCTCCTATCCATGGCACCTCAAGACAAGTCTTTCGGGGTAAACCTGTCTGATGAAGTCGTCCGTGGTTCCATCGTCACACATAATGGAGAAATTCTACCCCCGGCACCCCGACCCGCACCTCCACCAGCACCAAAGCCAGCCGTTCCAACCGGTGCAGCAGCAAAGGAAGAAGCAAAACTAGCTCTAACGCCGTGGCAGAAGGCTACCCGCGATGTGACGAGCGTGACTGCCGGTATGGGATCTGCTCTTGCCTTGGGCAAAGCTACTAGCCCATTGTTCATGGGTAATATGCTTACCTTTGGGCTTGCGGGTTTGGTGGGATATCGTGCTGTATGGGGTGTTGCGCCAGCTCTTCACTCTCCGCTGATGAGTGTTACCAACGCTATCTCCGGTGGGCTTAGTCCATCTCCAATCAACAATTGATTAGGCTGACGTGCTTTTTAATTCTAGGTATGGTCGGTATTGGTGGTTTCTTCATCATGGGTGGAGGATATCTGCCCAGCACAATCCCAGAGGCTCTCGGAGCGGTATCGGTACTTTTGGCATTTGGAAACATCTCTGGAGGATTCGTGATCACCAAACGCATGCTGGACATGTTTAAACGTGGGTATTACTCCATATCCATCAGGTATATCTGCTAAATACGTAATACAGGCGCAACTGATCCTCCGGAATACCCATGGTTGTATGCTATCCCGGCTGCTCTGTTTGGCGGTGGCTTCGCCGTTGCTGCTAGTACCGGAATGGCTGGGCTGGTTCAAGCAGGGTACCTTGTCAGTAGTCTATTGTGTATTGGTGAGCATTTCACAAAAGGCTGGTTTTTATTCTGCTAAACACGTGGATCAGGATCGATCTCCGGCCTTGCCTCGCAGCAAACAGCTCGACGGGGAAACATCCTGGGCATACTAGGAGTCGGGTCTGGAATTATCGCTTCTCTCGCGGCTGCAGGGTTTTCTCCTGAAGTGTTGACTCAATTCGGCGTAGTTGCCGGTATTGGTTCACTCGTCGGTAGGTGTGCATTTGTCTTATCTTCTAGGATAGTTCTGATATCCGTGTAGGAGCTGTGATCGGCCGTCGGATTACTGCAACTGATCTTCCTCAAACTGTCGCTGCTCTTCACTCGGTTGTGGGACTTGCTGCTGTCTTCACCAGTATTGGTAGTGTGCTTACTGAAGTTGCCGACATCTCGACATTGCATATGGTGACGGGATATCTGGGTGTTCTCATCGGTGAGCTGAGAAGGCATCCGTTTACATAGCAAAGCTAACAAAGCAGGTGGTATCACATTCACAGGCTCTGTCGTGGCCTTTAGGAAACTCGCAGGTCGGATGTCCTCCAAGCCTAAGGTCATCCCCGGAAAACACGTCGTCAATTCAACCCTACTCGGAACAAACATGGCGACTATGGGCGCATTCCTTACCATGGCCCCTGGTTCTCCAGCAATTGCGGCGACATGTCTAGGGGCAAGTACTGCCCTAAGCTTTTTGAAGGGTTACACGACGACTGCAGCTATTGGTGGGGCTGATATGCGTGAGTGCATTCTATCCCGGCGTCGAATTTATCTGACTCGATATAGCTGTTGTCATTACGGTTCTAAATGCCTATTCTGGATTTGCCTTGGTTGCCGAGGGACTGATGCTCGACAATCCTCTCCTTACCAGCGTCGGCTCTTTGATCGGCGTTAGCGGCTCAATTCTATCATACATCATGGTGAGTACCTAATCCTCATTCTGGGAGATGTAAACTAATCGCAGCAGTGCGTCGCTATGAATCGGTCTCTAACCAACGTCCTATTTGGAGGAGTCGCAGCTCCACAAGGAGTCCAGAAGAAAGTCGAAGGCGAAGTCAAGCAAGTAACAATCGACGATACAGTTGATGCATTATCAAATGCAGAAAACGTCATCATCGTACGCATAACCTCCTATAAACGGAAGAAATACATCCAACTAACGACATCCTCTAGATCGTCGGTTACGGAATGGCCGTTGCAAAGGCTCAGTACGCCCTAGCTGAAATAACAACCATGTTGCGTGCTAGAGGCGTCAATGTTCGATTCGCCATTCACCCCGTTGCAGGAAGAATGCCTGGACAATGTAATGTTCTTCTCGCTGAGGCTTCAGTTCCGTATGATGGTAAGTCCATCTCCTAAATACTCAATTTATATCTCATCAAGCTAACCAAATCACTTCAAGTCGTCCTGGAAATGGACGAAATCAACGACGACTTCCCCGACACAGACGTCACTCTCGTCATTGGCGCAAATGATACAGTCAACCCCAGTGCCCTTGAGCCAGACTCTTCCATCTCAGGCATGCCTGTCCTCCACGCGTGGAAGAGTAAGGAAGTAATCGTCATGAAGCGTGGGATGTCAAGTGGATATGGTATGTGATAATATCACTAAAAACACACTATCATCAGTTATGCTAACTATTCTCACAGCTGACGTCGAAAACCCAATGTTCTTCATGCCCGGAACGAGAATGTTGTTCGGCGATGCCAAGACCTCTTGTGATGGTAAGTTCTGTCGCGTCAACAAGTAGTTGGGAGTTCGAGGCTAATATTCCTTTGCGTCCAGCTATCAAATCTGGCTTGGAAGGTCGTAAATAGAGAAATAGTTTGAAGATCTCGTTTTGCATCGTTGATTTTATGCCCCTTTTATTTGCCGTTGAAGTTTTAAGGCTGGACTGTCCCACCTTCTATAGTTCAATCGATTCGACATCAATGCAGCAATGGAGTTGAACTGGAATATCTATAGTGTTAGGTAGAAGATACGTTTAGCTCATCCAGTCATCACATCATTTTTCTACGGTTGTTTGATGCTTCACCCTTCCGGTATCCAGCATTGCATATTTCATCCATATGGTTAGGAATAAACAAGAAAAAGTGAGGACTATAATCACAGCCTGTTGGGAAACCTCCCAGGACCTCATGTCATTAAGATAACAATAAAACAGGTATCAATATATGACATGTATAAGTGAAAAAGAAGATGAAATGAAATGAGTATAGAACACACGCCCACCACTTTGTACAATTCCCAAAAAGAAAATATCAAGAAAATAAATAAAAGTATACGCCCCCATCGCAAATCATGCTAGGAAAAATCATGAAAAAGACAGACAAAGTATTTCCCACATATTTCAGTTCACTCAACCCCATAAAGGCGGGTGAATGTACTCTGCCGCCCGGTCGAGAATATTCGGGATAGTCCATTCACCGCTTGTCGAGCTTTCTGGTGTTGGAGGGGGCAAGGAACTGATACTGGGAGTCATGGAGGAGCTCACTGGGGGGGCTAGGTTGTTCATTGTTGTCGAGCTGACGGCTGTGTTCATGTATGGTGACGCCGCGGTGCTGCTGGGGAATCGGGCGCCCTGGTTGCTGAATGCAAATTCGAGTTTCTCTAGCGCACGGAGGGTCTTTGTCAGGGGCTTGGCCCATTGGGTTTGTGTGTCGGCTACCACTGCCGGGGATGTGGCGTTCATCGCGGCCGGGCTGGTACCCGTGGAAGGGATCATGTTGAAGGCGGCGGCTTGGTCTGATGGCATGGTGGACATGCCTGGGGCCGGGGTTGTCATGGCGGCTGCGGATGTGTCGCTGCTTTCAAAGGCGCACTCTATGTTGGCACGCTCGGCGATGATCATTTTTAGTTGTTGGAGTAGGGTCCAGAAACGTGGCTCTGATTTGGATTCTTCAACTACGGCCAGGAGGAATATCGAGCTGATTGCTCGTTGTAAAGCGATCCAGGAACGCGCTGCGTGCGAGCTGACGCTGTGCATTTCGACGTATGCCTCTACTGTCGTCATCAGGTTGCTAACGCAGTCAGCACGCATACTGACAATCGTGGGATCGTTGAGATCGGCTGAAGACTTGAGCGCTGGCCGGCAGAGCTCGGACGAAAAGTAGGATGAGTGTAGTTTCAAGACGACCAGCTCGAGGTACTCCGTCGATGTGACACAGTATTTGCGATCACGCAAGTAAGGCTTTGCTTCGATCATGATCTGCTGGATTCTATCCTTGTATGTTTGGATGGTCTTGGAGCTCATTTGCGAGTGGGGACTGAGCATCCGGCCACGGACAACGTCCAGAGCCAAGGCAATGACCCGGCAGAGGGTCTCGAAATAAGTGAGTTCGCCGGGTTTCGACCCTTCCAGATAGGCAATTTCGGGTTGGCTGACTGCCGTTGTCGACGGTCTATCATAAGACAGAGAGAAATGGCTATCTTGCCACGCCATGGACCACCTGTCGAGCATTAGCCTCTCAACCTCCCACTCAGATTAAATCAGGGAAATCGTACCAGACATGGCGTCTACGGTATCGTTCCGTAGCCGAAAATCGACTTGATTCGACATGCAAACCAAGTGCCAAACCCATTCGAAGCGTCATACCTATGTTTGTTAGACACATACTTAGAGTAGTGAACTGTCGTACGTACCAAGCAAAACGTAAGATATGCCTGGATTCATGTTGTATGACAATACGTTTCCAATAACTAGGAGTGTCTGGATGGCTTCGATGGTAGGTTGAGATAAGAAGTTCGTCATCCGCAAGCATTGATACGAGCAGCACACTATTTCAATCAGTAAACTTACCATCGCAGTTTGAAAAATAAAAACATACCATAGACTTGAGAAGTCAATTCTCTTTCCTTGCTGGGCAAATCAGACGATTGACAACCAGAAGCCAGCACGGCAAACAGTAAGCCCAAATAGGCTATTGTCACGCCGAATGGTCTTTGTGCTGAGTCGGCGTCTGCTCGGTACATTCCTCCCATAGATGCTCGACTCTGCAACAAAAGATCAAGATTCATTTCAAATTGGTTGACGTCCTCGAGAACCGGATAAATCGCTCCTGCGATATCTCGGTAGTAAACGAAGAACCTATCGCAATATCAGCACACTATTGCTCCGCACAAAAATGAAAGAGAAACGGACTCCTTGCACTGCTGGTCTATTGGAAGAGCGCTGCAGACTGCACTGACGTCAAAAGTCGACATGTCCGACGACCACAAATCGACAAATGGGTACGTCGCAGACTCATTATCAAGACCCAACTTTGGCAGTATGCCGCCCTCCAACAAGGCCTGTAGCTGGTCGGACCCAGACTTATTGTTCAATATATATGCGAGCACAGATCGTGACCCCAGATGAACAGTTCCTTCTCCCAGAGTATTGGCAGCATGGATACCTTCGCGCTCAGGGGATGCGCCCTTGGACCGGCTACTTGCATCACCGCTCTGCACGCTGCCTGTTTCCACTGCAGAGCCAGTTCCCTCTTCAGCTTTATCCAACCCAACACGCAAGGTGGAAATAGTCTTCTCCATTTCCTTCAGTCTGTTTCGGACATTATCCCATTCATCTCGAGCAATCGACACGCGAGCACCAGGCCCAGGCCCAGACCCAAGGCCAAGCCCATTATTTCGACTCATGCCCGGCTCCTGCTTCATCCGTATCGGCTGTTCACCATTAGGTGCCGTCGCTGCCAGATTCTCCGCTCCGCCAGAGGCAGCAACCCCGTCAACGGGGCTTTCGCGAAACGACTGCGAAGTCGAAGCAGCAGCCATGGTGCGCTTTTTCGCGGGACGCTCGTAGGAACAAAGGTTGGCATGGTCGCGCTTCACACACCCGTCGCATGGAAGGTTCCGATCGCATTTGACCTTTCGCGCATGGCACGGATAGCAGGCCTTGGGTTCCCGCGCTTTTCGTTTGGTGCGGATGATCGCGTCGACTTGGGATTGCGGGAGTTCGGAGATGGACCTGGATGCCGCCGTCCCATCGGAGCCGGCTACGGGCGGCGAAAACGACATGGGCGATTGATATGGAGACGTCATGAGGTTATACTGTGGGTAAAATGTCGTGTATCGTAGATTCCCTTATATAGGAATCGGGGTGGTTAACCTTAAGGGTTCGCAGTTAACTAATGAGATCGGAGAACATGGAGACGGGAAGTCGGATGCGGTGCGGAGGCGGCTCGACAACTGGTGCCCTTACAGCGAGGATAGAAGCATATGCATCTCTCCATCAATTATCACGCTGAAGCAACGTCACAAACAGTCGAATTTTATGGTGTTTTGCTTGCGCTGGATCTCGATTGCTTGAAAAGCTCCGGACAGTCGCAGAAACTCGGATACGGTGACTAAGCAAGGTAAGTCATCAGCACGTGACTCGGAGCGGGGCAGCCGCATTCGGAATGCGGAAGCCCTAAGCCCTAATTTGATATGACGTAACCATATTTATACTTCTGTTAATTATGGTAAGCAGGCAGTAAGTAGGGAAACGTGGAAAGGACAAGTACAGATGATGATTTAGACACTTTGAAGCTTCAAATCATAGTGGTAATTATGTATGATTATTTTTCTATTAATCTATGGATATAAATGGACATATTCTATCCGCAAATGCAATGCTGGTCATAATCGCCTCATAACTCCCAGCCTTTTTTCATAGCCGTGCAAAAATAAATCATGAACTTGAAACAAAGAAAACAAATATACAGGATATTAGTATATTATACAATATTCGCATTAATCAGACAGCCGTCCCGTTGTTGGTGATTTTAAACCTTCTCCCCCTTCTCTTCATCGTCGCTGAAGGCAAAGCGGGAGAACCGGCGGATGGACGCTCCCTTGAAGTAGAAGACGTAGGGGATAGCACAGCAAGCCAGGGCAAGGAATGCAAGCAATGAGCTTGCCCATTGATAGCCGAGTCGGTCGTACATCTGTTCAGTGAAGAGGACTGTTGATGCACCCCACATTGATCGCAGGAATGTCTTTGCAGCAAGGGCAGATGCTGCTTGGTGTTGATAAGTATCCACTACAGAAATGTCAGCAAATGCCACATCATGTATGAGATTGAATAGAGAGGTTGAAGAGGAACGTACCAAGGTAGTTGTTTGCCGAGTTATAGAGGAAAATAAAGCCGAATCCAACTGGCCAGCCTCCAATAGCAGGGCCGAACCAGTGAAGCCTCGGGTAGGATGTCCAGGCAAAGATAAACAAACCAACTGGAATAAACCAGCAGGACCACATCATTGGGATCAATCGCATTTCAGCTGGAGGCTTTCCACCGAACTTGGCTGAGATCTTGAGATAATGGTTGTTGACGAAAGGGGCACAAGCGGCGCTCATCACGACACCAATAGCGAGAGGGATGAACATAAGACCGGTGGAACCAGCACTCCATCCTTTTCCAGCTTGGTATACAATTGGGTACCTATTGGTATCAAGTTAATACCACATCTCAATGCACTGTATGGGAATGGTTGACTTACGCGACGAAGAACATGTACAGCAAACCATAGAGAACCGACATGTAGAGAGCAATGAACAGAACAATGGGTTCCAGAAACAGGAGTTGGAATGGTCGAAGGAGAACGAGTCGGAGTTTATCACCGAGAGGGCGGGGATCGAGCTCAGTTTCAGTCACATATTTGGAGTCGTTCTCGGATTTCCTTAGCTTTTCTGCCCTTCTCTTCAGAAGGGTTGGTGCGTATGTCTCGGGAACAGTGAGAGTGATCAAGCACCAAGCCACGCCGGCCAAAATCAGCTGCAGCCAGTAGAGCCATCTCCAACCGCAAGCATCACCGAGAAAACCACCAGCAAGAGGACCAATTGCCGGGCCAATGAAAGGTGCAGCAGAAAAGGCGGCCATCGGGACACCTCTTTCTTCGTTCTTCCACAGGTCGGCCAAGGTGCCACCAACCAAGGTCATTGGAGCACTGAATGCAATACCGTCGATCAATCGGCAAACGATGAGAGTCCCGATGTTCTTGGCCACAGCACAAGGGATGACGAAGATAACCGCCACGCCAAGAGTAATACCATAAACTAGTCTGCGTCCAACCATTTCAGACATAGGAGCAAAGACCATAGGACCTGGGATCGATTAGCAGGGAACTTAGGGGCTGTTTGAAGATGCTAACATACCAACACCAAAACCGATGACAAATACTGTGACTGGAATTAATGTAACCTCCCTGGAGACAAGAAAGTCCTCGGCAACACCTTCAAGGTCGGCTGTGATGACACTGCTGCAAAATGCAACGACGAAACAGGTAAAGGCCACAACCATGGTACAGTACCATTTGAATGCCTTTGACCAGTTCTTTGGATTCTCGGGATCATCAATCGTGAAGGTCACCAGCTTCCAGTCTTCCATCTTACCAGTGGCCGAAGATCGAACTGGCTTGATGATCTCCCCCGCAGCCGTCTCAGTGGTGTACTCTTCCAGGTTGGCATCGTTGGTAACTTGGCGGTAAGGTAGGTCAAGGGGATCAGTCTGCCCGGGCGGGGAACCAGCAGAGAAGGTCCTCGAGGCATTGGGGAGCGAGCTATCGTGGTTGTTTGTCGCCTGCATCTTTGGTATCTAGGCACGGAAGACGATTGTTGATACAACTTGTGTTGAAAAGAACCCAATCCCTGGAGGGTCCCAGCTGGTTCTTATAGCCCAACATCCTTTCTGCTGGATACATCATTAAGGTTGGGCCCGTGGGTAAGACAGGATAATGCGGCATGCTGTTTAGAGATATCAAGCTGATAACATCGAAATGAAGATGCGAAACATGGCAATGACGGCATCGCGGCCCGGGTCTCCTTCGGCGGTTGTTCGGTTGCCTTATATGGTAGGTGTCACGCTAACCGCATATGGTAATATGTCTCGAAAAGCTCCAGCTGCTTAACGCAACTTCTTTTGTCTCATTTGTAGAATGCTCGTTTTTGTCGTTGAAAGAGGTTAAGGGGTACTACTGCTCCACTCTCTTGTATGACTGTGCAATCTGTGCTTGTGAATGGTTTCTTCGGAAACACGCACTTTCAGTTGCATCTACAGTAGCATTCTGTCATTCTGAAGGCTTATTCAAAGGATTATTGAAAGCTGAATCCATTCCAGCTAATATGATGACAGCTAAATTAGGTCAAATTAGCATACTAAGACTAATATAGACTTAGATCTTATTAAGTAACTTTAAAGGATATACTAGATGGAGTACTAAATAGGTTAGTCTAAAGAGCTCCTTCATTTATAAGATATTATTATAAGAGTAAGACTAAAAGGTATCCTATAGTAACTTAGGTTAATTAATTATAAAGAATTAAATACATGTATGTGAATGAGTGGCCTTATATATCCTGTCCTTCCTATTTTTCTGTGGGACGCGTCCCATCCTATGATAGGAAAGGTCCTACAGTAGAGCAGGTCATATCCGCCGATAGGTCCTTGCGCGCCTATCGTACGGCTCCTCCTTTCCTGATTGAAAACAGTGTAGCAAGCATCAGTCACAAAACACAACAGCAATTCAGGACGCGAAACTTGAGCCTTACTCAAAATGGCTGTATCCAACCTCTAGGGCCTTATCTAGCTCTTCAGGGCCTGGCTATACATTGGCATTCCTCTAGTATCTGTACCTCCGGAATACGCCTTGCCTCAGGCGTATGTCGGTTCAAGAAGTTTCCAGGGAATTTTTTTTCCCCCTTAGTCATGACCAGACCGAGGGCTTCTTTCTGATCCACTCAGAGTTGTTCTTCTCAACCTCATCGACCAACCAAGTTGCAATATCTGCTCTTTGGGTTTTTATCACCCAACCATCCTTTCCGACATATCCAACTTTAGGTGTTTGCGGTGCACCATTGCTCAAGAACCCCAACCGGAAGATAGTCCAATCCAATCCATCTTTCGTAGCCTCTGTTTCAAAGATCTTCCCAACGCCGACGATCTCCTTATAGACAGAATTGGCAATTATCCGAATCAAAGCGACACCTAAGAAAGCGATGATTGAGAATCCGTCATGCTCATCAGGAATACTCGAAGTACCCATTGCAAGGATTCGTTTGACTTCCCATCGCTTCATTAAGGAAAAAATCAACTGATAGGCGTCTGTAAAGGGGTTGCCAGCAACATTCCCAGTACTAGGGCCAAGTAGTGATACGATGGCATCTTGGCCTTCGACTGCTTTGGATAATGCTTCTGCCTCGGTCAGGTCCCCACGAATTATCTGTATAGAATATGTTCAGCAAGTGCATACTATCCAGGGACAGCTAACTTACTCTGACGTTTGGGTTACTGGAAATACTCGCGGGGAGTTTAGAAGGATTGCGAGCGTATATAGTGACGGTATGATTATGTTCCAATGCTGTGTGAACTGTCAAGATACCCGTGGGGCCTGTAGCACCCAGAATGAGAATCTTCTTGCAATTTCTTCCAGACATGCTGAGATGATAGCGTTAAGAGAGCAGGATGAGGAGAAAGGGCACCTTGCTTATATAGGCCCCAGACTCCTGATTCTAAGATTTGTAACATCCGCTGGTATACAGCGGCATTCTAAAATGCCCGAGTCTTGACACAACAGCACCCGCTCAAAGCCCCGCACATGTCCGCTTAACCCCCCGCTCGCAGACCGCTTCAAGCTCCGCTCAGGTCCGCACCTTCTAACTTCGCATCCGCATCACAGCTTTATTCCGAGAATGGCTCCGCAGTGGTAGCTTTGCCAATAACGATGCAATTAGGGCCAGGAAAAAGTACGGCTAAAAGGTCCTGTCTGCGGTGCAGAAGCCAAAAGCGAAGATGCGACAGAGCGTTCCCCAAATGCTCGCTTTGCATGCGGTAAAAAAACCCAACCCTTTCCCCAGCACTGCATCGCATATTGCATAAGACTCACGTGTTGCAGTCTTCAGCAGGATTGCAAGTATGTCGGATCAACGCCACCTGGGTCTACGAGGGACTTGTCAGAACCCAAGCCTGGACTTGCAGCCGGTCTGGCACCCCAGGATGTAAAGGCAGACATCGAAAATAATCTATCTGGTTTCAGTCCAGCAGAAATTGCCGCCAACTACCTCTCACAATTACATCCATGGTTTCCAATAATTTCAGAATCGAAGATATCCAATGGTATTTCAACCACATGGAAAGACGCTACGGTGGAACGCACCCTTTTGTATTTCACTATGCTTCTTTTGATTTCCGAGCCCGAAGGTGAACAAGATAACGAGATCCTTTCTCCAAAGTTACAGTTGGCCTACCTCTTTTGTAAACGCTGGACTGTGTTATTGGAAGCGGCCGGGTCGAACTCTTTAGACCTGATACGCTCGAGACTTGTTCTTACCTTGTTCGAAGTTGGGCATGGCTTATATCCAGCCGCTCACATCTCATTCGGTGCTGTTCTTGGGGCTGTGGAAGCATTCAATGATCACAGTGAGTACAACGCCTCTATAACGAGTTCTTCCGATGAAGGAATAGAGGAAGAATATGTGGTCACTAGCGCACTCGCGATCATCGATAGGTTGGTCATAGCCATTGACTGTTCTTCAAGCTGTACAGTTTGATTATAGATTGCAGCAGATTACGAGAGCTCTAACATTCAATCAAGATTCATGACAGCTGAGAAAAAGCAAGGGCCTTCGCTCACAAGAGGAAAAGCGCTGTTCTGCCGACTTTCTCCAGTCTACCCACATTCTACCATCGCTCGATCTAGTTCGAATCAAGCATTCTCACGACCATTCGAAGCATCATCCTTGATGGAGAAAGTTCAAATCGCTCTGAATGAGCCGACTAGGCGGCAGTCATTTAATATAGAGGAAATGGCGGTCATTGTGCAAACATTAAAATCATTCGAGGCAGTTCTGTTACAAGAGATACCAGAAAAGGGAGCACTCTACTCTGGTGCCCTTGTCCTTTGTGAAATGTGAGCTCTTCCTATTACGTTTTATCATCACATTAACGATCATTAGAGGGCTCGTTCATGCATACGATGCCGGTACAAAAGTAGATCCCAGCGACGTTGATACGACTCATTGCCGAGCAGGAGCACGGAATGCCCTAGATCGTTTACTCGAGGCCAAATTGACAATGGCTCAACCGTATCTAGAGGGGGACGAAGATATTGATTTCAAGATTCTTCCACCATTCTTGACATATCTGGTATACAAATGTGCAGCCACGGTGACCGAAAGGCTTCGCGTTGGCGATGAGTCTCTATTTAATTTTAAGGTTTTGAAATGTCTCAGAGATTTTCTGGCACTATTAAGTCAAAGATGGCTTGCAGGCAGTAAGTCTTCCTAAGAGAATATTGGGTGATCCAGTGCTAAATAGGAGCAGGACGATACTTGAGGCTGCTTGATGAAGATACCACCCCTCGCATGATGAAATCGATACAATGAGTACAGGCAAAAATTAGGATTCAATTTCACTTGCTGTACTTCTAGGGGGCTAATCATGACGTGGACTGTTGATGCCATACTAGACAGGAAACCAAGTTACAAGTAAATTTTTATTCTTATTCTTATTTTATTTTATTATTTTTTTTTATATATATATAATTTACTTGCTGGATAAGGATTGATCATCTCGAGCTGGTCCTGACTGCCGGGTTAGCCCATATGGATGGGTCGCTTGAGCTCTGATATTATAGAGCACAAGTAACAAAGCATGGATGATTGATATGGAGCATGATTGAGGGCAGCAAAAATGAGAGATTTCCTTGCCCCTTTCGCCACTCGAATTTGCAACGGCATAGTCAGTGGGTTCGATATATTCAATCACTATCGATGAAAGCAATGAATCCCGTCAAATTTCATCATCCTACAGAAAATTTCTCAATTTACTTCTTGGCAAATAAAGTTGACGATCAAATAGTCTGGATCATTTCAGCTGCGGAATGAGGTCGGAGCGTATTACCCGATATGGCAAGATCCCTCGCCCTCATCATTCCTGTTCCTGCCGTTGCTGCAGCCACATCCATGTTTGATTTTGAGCTCTAGAATTTGCCAAGAAGCCAAAATTCCGTTTGAAGGTGCTTGTGGATGTTTGGTCTCGTATGATAGGCCATTATTTGTTGGTGGGTGGTAAATGTGTCAGTTGACCTTGCTGATCTACTGAAGTGCGCAACTGTCAGTCAATTTATATCAACAACATATCAACCATCCACTTTACACATCGTGTCTCAATTAAAAGGTAAGCATAGCGGAGTCAAAAAATGGCTTTGAGAACGATATATGTCAATTATGTCCTCCCTGTGGTATACAATTCTGGTTGGAGACTAGGAAACTGGACAAAATTTCGCCATCAAATATATATCGTCCTTGGGCCATCCGATACAGAGGGGATATCCTCTGAAGGAATCACTTTGAATTCTCAGTATACACCAGCACTACCCAGGTAACATCGAAATGATTATTCTTCAATAATGTACTCTATGAGCAGAAAATATTTTTCTGAAAAGTCGAAACATCAAAATCTCGGTGTCTGAGAAATAGAAAGGGATGAGTTCTTCCGAGTCCTCACGTGACTGATAACAAAATCGATAAGCCGGATGCGGACTAGCGCGGGGTGCGTTTTCCCGCTCCGCCAAAAAAGAACCGCCGCCCATATTTTTACGCCACGGCGACGAACGAGCAGCAGCAGCAGCAGCAGCAGCAGTTTGTTCGACTGACCGGTTCAAGGTGTGTCTCAGACACGCCGATTCCTTTCTGGACAAGAGCCGAACCGTTGGCTTCTTTGAAATCTCGTGATCCAATCCTATACCCCTCCTCCCCCTCTTGACTCATTCTCTCCGATCTCCCCACCGAAGAAAAAAATAAGTGCCGTTGTGCCCCTTCACAATGGCCGCCTCCGCCCCCTCCGATACCACATACTTGGCCGTCCCAGGCTCTGTTGCTTTCTCCCGTTCGCGTGGTCAAGCAATTGCTGCTAGCATTGGTGCCCAGGATGTTCGGGCCCAGTGGATTCACTATGTCCACACCTCTCAACCGCTGGATACCTCTAAGCAGGGTGTCTTAGAACAACTCCTCAGATATGGCGACATCACCGACGTGCCTGCATCATTCAGCACTGAAGATGGCGCATTCGATGTCTTCTACATTTTCCCCCGAACCGGAACCATCTCTCCTTGGTCTTCCCAGGCCACCGGTATCTCGCACGTCTGTGGCCTCCGCAACCATGTGAAGCGAATTGAGCGTGGAATGAAGATTTCGTGTTTGCGCAACAGCTCGGAAGAATACAAGCCTGGCTACCAGGACATCCTTCACGACCGGATGACACAGGTCTTCAGCCAGGAGGAGCCTGACCTGCACCTCATGTTTTCCGAACACTCCCCCCAGCCTCTCGAAACCATTCGCCTCCACGGCAGCGACAAGTCCCCCAAGGAGACTCTGCAAGAAGCAAACAAGCGTTTGGGTCTGGCTCTGGAGGAATCGGAAATCGACTACCTTGCACAGGCCTATGGCCCTGACGGCCCCCTTGCTCGCGACCCTACCGATGTCGAGTTGTTCATGTTTGCCCAGGTTAACTCTGAGCACTGCCGTCACAAGCAGTTCAACGCCGCTTGGGTGATTGATGGAACACCCATGCCAAACAGTCTTTTTGGTATGATCCGAAACACACACAAGACCCACCCCGAGTACACCGTCAGCGCCTACAGCGACAATGCCGCTGTGCTGGAGGGTGACCATGCCGCTTTCTGGGCCCCCGATTCCTTCACTGGAGAATGGAACCACATCAAGGAGCTCGTTCACTTCTTGGCCAAGGTTGAAACCCACAACCACCCCACTGCAGTCTCTCCGTACCCCGGTGCAGCAACTGGCTCTGGTGGAGAGATCCGTGATGAGGGTGCTGTCGGACGCGGTTCGAGACCCAAGGCTGGTCTGGCCGGTTACTGTGTCTCAGACCTCTTGATTCCTGGCTTGAAGCAGCCCTGGGAACTTGATGTCGGAAAGCCCAACCACATCGCTAGCAGTCTGGATATCATGTTGGAGGCCCCCATCGGTAGTGCCGCCTTTAACAACGAGTTTGGACGCCCATGCACCGGAGGTTACTTCCGTACCCTACTCACCGAGATTGATGTTGGAAATGGCCAAACCGAACTCAGAGGTTACCACAAGCCCATCATGATTGCTGGTGGTGTCGGAACAGTCCGACCTCAGCATGCCATTAAGAAACCGGACGCTGTCAAGCCTGGCGCTTACCTGGTCGTCCTCGGTGGTCCTGCAATGCTGATTGGATTGGGTGGCGGTGCTGCATCCAGTATCACTTCTGGTGAAGGATCTGCAGACTTGGACTTTGCCAGTGTGCAGAGAGGTAACGCTGAAGTCCAGCGAAGAGCCCAGGAAGTTATCAACGCATGTGTGGCTATGGGCAACAACAACCCCATCAAGTTCATTCATGATGTTGGTGCAGGTGGTCTTTCCAACGCACTTCCTGAATTGATCCACGACTCTGGACTGGGCGCCACATTTGAACTCCGCGAAGTCGACAATGCTGACCGGAGTATGAGCCCCATGCAGATTTGGTGCTGTGAAGCTCAGGAGCGCTATGTTATGGCGGTTGGCGAGGACAGCATGAACAAGTTCACTGCTATCGCCCAGCGTGAGCGCTGCGGTTTCTCTGTCGTGGGCCGTGGAGCTGGAGGATCCGATGAGGAGAAGAGACTCATTCTCCTCGACAGAGAATCTAAGGAATACCCCAAGCCTATTGACCTTCCCTTGTCGGTTCTCTTTGGAAAGCCCCCTAAGATGACCCGGACTGTGGACTCGCGCAAGTTGACCTTGCCTGCGGTGGATGCTAGTCTCACTAAATATCTGCCTTCGCTTGCCGGAAACCACCATGAGCTTATTGGCGAGGCTGCCAAGAGAGTTTTGTCTCTCCCAGCAGTTGGCTCTAAGTCCTTCCTGATCACTATCGGTGACAGAACCGTCGGAGGTCTTACTGCTCGCGACCAGATGGTTGGCCCATGGCAGACTCCTGTGTCTAACGTCTCGGTCACCGCCACCTCCCTGCTCCAGGGAGTTAAGACTGGTGAGGCTATGGCTATGGGTGAGAAGCCCAACCTTGCTTTGATTTCTGCAGGCGCCTCTGCCCGCATGGCAGTTGCTGAGTCGCTCATGAACATCGCTGCTTCCGATCTGGTTGACCGTCTGAGCCGTGTCAAGTTGTCTGCCAACTGGATGTCCGCTAGCAGCCACCCTGGAGAGGGTGCCGCTCTCTACGAGGCAGTGGAGGCCATTGGTATGGACCTCTGCCCTAAGCTTGGTATCAGCATTCCCGTCGGAAAGGACTCTATGTCCATGAAGATGAAGTGGACCGACGAAGCCTCCAAGGAGGCCAAGGAGGTCACTGCTCCCATGTCTCTGGTCATCTCTGCTTTTGCTCCTGTTTCCGACTTCCGCAAGACCTGGACTCCCGCACTGCGCCGTGTTGAGGACGTTGGCGAGACAGTCCTCATGTTTGTTGACCTTTCCTTCGGCCGCAAGACACTGGGTGGCTCTGCTCTTGCCCAGGTTTTCAACCAGGTTGGTGACGAGTGCCCTGATGTCCGGAACGTCTCAATCTTCAAGGACTTCTTCGACGCTACACAACAGTTGCAAGAGGCCGGAATTGTTCTGGCCTACCACGACCGATCTGACGGTGGTTTGTTCACTACTCTTGCTGAAATGATGTTTGCCGGACGATGCGGTGTTGAAGTCAGCCTTGACACCATTTGCTCTTCTTCCAACACCCAGAATGTTGTCGAAACCCTCTTCACTGAGGAATTGGGAGCTGTCTTCCAGGTCCGCAAGGAACATGAGATGCAGTTCCGCTCTTGCTTCGCCACCTGCGGCCCGCCTGCTGGTTTGATCTTCAAGATCGGTCGTGTCTCTGAGCAGCCCAAGCAGAACCTTACCATCTACCGCGGAGCCACCCAGGTTTACCGTAACAGCCGCGCCAGCATGCAACAGACCTGGGCAAGCACCTCGTACAACATGCAGAAGATCCGTGACAATCCTGCCTGCGCTGAGCAGGAGTTTGCCAACATTGCCGATGACAACAATGCTGGTCTGTCATGGAACCCCACCTTCGACCCCAAGGACCGGGCCATGCCTTTCCTCTCCAGCCTCACCTCGATGTCTCCTTTCAGCAACAAGCCTCGTGTTGCCATTCTCCGTGAGCAAGGTGTCAACAGTCAGGCTGAGATGGCCTTTGCCTTCAACGTCGCTGGCTTCTCTGCTGTTGATGTCCACATGACTGACGTCATTGCTGGCCGCGTTTCGCTTGCCAGCTTTGTCGGTCTTGCTGCCTGTGGTGGTTTCTCGTACGGTGATGTCCTTGGTGCCGGTCAAGGTTGGGCCAAGTCCGTCCTCCTCCACGAGAACACCCGCAAGGAATTCCAGTCCTTCTTCGAGCGTCCCGACACCTTCGCCTTGGGTGTTTGCAACGGTTGTCAATTCCTGTCCCGTCTCAAGGAATTGATCCCTGGAGCCCAGGGCTGGCCCAGCTTCGAGCGCAACACCAGCGAGCAGTACGAAGGTCGTGTGGCCATGGTCCGCATCTCCGACCCCAACCCTTCGAAGCCCAGTGTTTTCCTCCACGGCATGGACGGCTCCTCGTTCCCCATCGCTGTGGCTCACGGAGAAGGTCGTGCCTCCTTCGCCCCATCCTCCAACGTCACCGCTGAGTCGTTCGTTCGCGACGGCCTCGCACCCGTCCAGTACGTCGACAACGACAACCTCGAGCCAACCATGAAGTACCCCTTCAACCCCAACGGCAGTCCCGAGGGTATTGCCGGTATTCGCAGCCCCGACGGCCGTGTCCTGGCCATCATGCCTCACCCCGAGCGTACCGTCATGGGTGGAATCGCCAGCTACCTGCCTCCCGATGCCGAGAAGTGGGGAGACGTTGGCCCATGGGGTCGTGTGTTCTTCAGCGCCAGAAGATGGGTGGGTTAGGATGTTTAAAAGAAAAGTTGGACATGAGAATTTGTGCTTCGGGTTTATTTTGTTTCTTCTGTTTATATTTGAGCGGTGTGCCATGACAGGGAAAATTCAAAACAGAAACTGATGGTTTACGTTGTTGATGATTTATCTGATATATATGGTATCTTTTTTTTTTTTTTTTTCTATTACTTTTTCTTTTCTTTTTGGTGATGATAGAAAACCATGAGAATGTTTATACTTGTTTACTAGTAAAGCTCTGAGTTTCTATTTCAAATCTCAAGTAGTTTTATGTGGTTTTATTATCTTATTGGTAGCAAGACATCCAAGACCTTCATATCTTGTCTATAGATGTAAAACATGAAGGGAAACCATCAGTATAGCATACAAGCACAATAGCAACCGCATACCGTTTAGTCCAATCCAACCATCATCATCATAATATCATAACAGTGCCATCGGCAAAATTAGTCTCAAGGCATGAAAGAAGCCATTACCTTCTCCACTCCAACTTGTCCGCTAAGATCTCCCAGCTTAATTTCCCATCAACGCGACCCACGCGCTTCAAGCCAGCCGCTAGTGCAGAAACAAGCTGGTCGAATTCATTCTTGACATTACGCAAACGGTGCGCGTATGGCGCTTCGTAGAAGGAGATGCCAGTCGTGTTACCCGGGTCTGAAGCAGCGTCTTCTTCATCCATGTCTTCATCTTCGTCTTCGTCGGTTTGGTCTTCGTCGTCGGAGACGTGGGCATACTTTTTCCGGGGAGTGCGGGACGGGGTTCTGTGTTTGTTTGGGGTGCGGGTTATGTGGTCGAAATGATCTTGGCCGTGGTGTGTGGCTTGAATGTCTGCGAAGTGGACGCAAAGATCTAGGAGGTTGATGATTGCATTATGGAGGGGGAGGAATTGATTTGACAGCAGACATTGGTTTTCCAGGGAGGTCATATGGGCATAGTGGTCTGCTATCATGGCGTCGACATCGTGAGAAGATGAGATGGCTTTGCGCATTGACTCGGTGGTTGTTGAGATGACGAGTTCTGTCATGTGGCCGTAGATAACGTCAACGAACCATAGCATGGTGTGTTGTATGACATAGCCCAGGGTGTCATGGTTTCCATCACGTTCGCTTTCGGAGTACTGAAGTCGTTGTTTGACTATGGCGTATTTGGCCCGGCGGATTTGCATCAGGAATGTCGAGATGCGCTGGTAGGTGGAAATGGCATCTTTGGTGATGATGTTTGCGACAGGCCATGGTAGGACATAATCAAATGATAGAGCTTGGAGGATCTTGACAGACCGGCCGAGTTCTAGGTCGCGAGATGGAGCCTTAGATGATCGCACGATGAGTCTGGATGGGTCGATGAAGGGCAGGATGCTGAATGTACTCTGTGCCAGTTCGGTGAGTAAAAACCTGTCATTCCAGGCGCCTCTTCCTCGGTCGATCAGATCGAAAATTTTACTATCAATAGTCCCTAGAACGCTGATATCCTTACAAAGGTAAATGTGCTCTAAAGCCTGCAGGGATATCCACAACCCGCACCTCTCATCAAGTTCTTTTCGCAGCAGGTCTGAAGTAACAGAATGGCTTGCAGTTATCAATTTCTCAAAAGCGGACTCCAGTAATACGGAGAATGGAAGACAAAGAGAAGCTGAAGTATCCTTGGGGTATAGATCTTCAAACCTCAATTTAATCTTCTTCAAATTGTCTGCATTTCCGGCAAGGACATCCAAGTGTCGCAGGAAAACCATGCTTTTACCGGTTGTGAAGACCTTGTGAGCAACAGGTTGCAGGAATTTGGGAGTAGTCAAAAGACTTGAAGCCTCATCCAGTGTGTACCAGTCATGCCAAAGGGTACGTAGATCACTGTTTTTACTAGTGTCGCGGATGAAAAAAGTTTCATCTACCGAGTCCAGCCGCCCAGTTTCCATCCACTGCCTGAGCGGGCGTGCGTATGTTTCAAAACAGGAAAAGAATAATTCAGCTAGGTATCGGAATTCATTATCATCGCCAGTAGCTTGCATCATGCAAACTAGGTCATATAGCAAATCAAGGCATTGCATGGGCCGACTGGGATCACTGCGCTTGAGGCTAGAAACAAGATCCGCCAATAATAATGGCAATTTTGACTCGTGTCTGATATCTTCAAGCAATTGCAGTAAGCTTATGGATATGGTTAGTTTTTGTGAAATGTATCGTGATTGCATGTTTGACAACGAAGTGTCAAACGTAGAGAGACACGCTTCAATCCCTCGATGAAAGGTCTGCATATAGGGTATGGACTGTTGAATTTTGGTGAACCCTCTCAAGGTATCTAATTTGGTCCCTATCAAGCTAAAGGAACGTAATAATGACGAGAGGGCCTCGTTTGACGAATGCGTAAGTGCATATCTCTGATCCACCTTAACACCATCGTCAAGGCGCCAGGATAGAGATGTAGGAAGACCTTGTAGCATAAATATTGTTTCTCGTATGATCTGAAGTTCTGTGATGGGGAGAGAAGGTAGTTCTCCAGGTTGGGGAAGAACCGAGGTGTTTTCGTCTTTCCAGAATTGAACAGCTTTTATTGAAGCGATCAGATTCTCATCTTCTCCGGAAAAGAGAAGCTCCTCTGGGATCACGTAGTCCTCTTCAGGGCCTGTAGGACTTCGAGGAAAAGTCCGAGGCACAGATGTTTCACTGGGTAGTGACGAAACATCGTCATCGGAAGATTCAGCACCATAATCTACATCTTGCCAAATTTCATCGTCATTATATGCAGACTCCGAGGCATCCAGCTCTGTCCAAGAAAGCGACTTCTCAGCTTCTGGGGGCTTCAGCGCCTCGAGTCGGTCTACTCGTGAAAGTTGAGCAGGACGATCCGACAGCTGTATGAGCAGCGATAAAATCTCCGGGAACCACGAACTCCGGTGATTTTCCAGCTCATTCAAGCGAGAACGAAGCGCATCTGCGAGTTCATCTTTGTTTAGGACCTGGAATTTCTCCTGTAGGCCTTCGAGCTGTCTTGCAACAGCGAACTGGTCCGTACGTCCATGCTGTCCAGACTTGAACGACTCTTCCACACGACGCTTTAGGCTGTTAAAACGCGATGGGTCCTGGAAGACGTTAGCAGCCCTACAAGCTTCTCAAATGGGTAAGAAACAAATGCCTTTCTATCCGAGGTATTTGCTACGGTGACGATTAGCTCGTCTGTCAGCGCGCTAGTATTAGCCGCGAGGGCCATGATGGGCGTGCGAGGGAGTCAGCTTCAGGGACGATGACAATCCGATGACTCTCCATTGTCCATTCCAAGCTAGCTATCGTCGTGAATGCAGCCTCGGTTGAGCATCCGTGGTTACGCGGCCGTCTATTTTTTTTTGCGCCTTGCGGGAGGTTGACGTGTTGCTTGTTGCCACGCTAGAGCGAACTGGGAAAGGCGGCGGCAAGCGAGTCGCTCTCCTGCGGCGGAGAAAGACGAACCGCTGGCCTCTCATCAATCCAGAAGAGTAATCGATCTTCTGCTCTCTCACTTCGTTGCTATCCCCAATCTTGCAAGATGGCTATCGCAAGACCCATTCGGATGCTGGGTGCAGCATGCATCATCCTTGTTCTATTTCTCGTCTTCCAGGTTAACAAGAGTCCTACGCCTCTCATTGGCAATAAGGGGTCCAAGCTGGCTGGGGGCATGAAGTCGGATCCTCTCCTTGAGCGTGCGCTTGTCCCTTTATCTTTCATTATCTCATTGGTTTTGGGTAGCATACTGACTGAATTTCTTTCTCTATAGCGACTGAAGAACCTGAGGGCTACTTATGGCGAGCCGAAGAGAACGACTATGCTCCGGACAGCACCAACTCCGCCCGTACAAATGCAGCGCTCATCTCCCTTGTCCGAAATGAAGAGCTGGACGAGCTCATTCCAACCATGCGCGACCTGGAGCGAACCTGGAACAGCAAGTTCAACTACCCATGGATCTTCTTCAATGACAAGCAATTCACCGAGGAGTTCAAGCGGCGAACACAGGCGGAAACTAAGGCAAAGTGCATTTATGGTATGGTTACCCTACATGCGACAGTTGGAAAGGAGATAATCTGACCCTTGGTCTAGAGCAAGTGCCCAAGGAACACTGGGACGTCCCCGACTGGTTCAACGAGGAGCTCTTCAAGGAGTCTGCGGAAATTCTGAAGGAAAAGAACATTCAGTACAGCGATAAACTGTCTTACCACCAGATGTGCCGATGGAACAGTGGCATGTTCTACAAGCACCCAGCTCTGCAGAAGTACCGTTACTACTGGCGCGTTGAGCCCAAGGTCAAGTTCTTCTGCGACGTCGACTATGATGTTTTCCGGTTTATGGAGGATCGCAACGTCACCTACGGTTTCACTATCAACCTTTTCGATGCCCCTGAGAGTATCCCCACTCTCTGGCCAGAGACCGAGAAATTCATCGCCGCGAACCCCACTTACGTATCGAAGAACAACATGATGGAATGGTTGACCGATGACAAGCTCCGCCCCGAGCACACTCGTAACGCCAATGGATACTCCACCTGCCACTTCTGGTCCAACTTTGAGATTGCCGACATGGAGTTCTTCAGAGGCGAGAAATATTCCGCATACTTCGACCACTTGGATCGCGCCGGTGGCTTTTTCTACGAGAGATGGGGTGACGCTCCTGTCCACTCTATTGCCCTCGGTCTGTTTGAGGATGCTGCCAAGGTTCACTGGTAGGTTTATCAATAATGTCGAAAATTGCTTCATCGCGACTAACACTTTTCTCCTTCAGGTTCCGCGACATTGGATACAATCACATTCCTTATCTCAATTGCCCCAACTCTCCCAAGTGCAAGGGCTGCACCCCTGGCAAGTTCTACGATGGCGAGTCCTGGCTGGCCAAGGAAGACTGCCGCCCCAACTACTTCAAGTTTGTCGGAACCCATTAATCCATTCGCTGCGAAATCCCATTTGCTTCCGGATATACATACATAAACAACAAACAACTAGGCATGGTGCCTACATTCTGCATTCTGCATTCGATGAGGCTACATTAGCATTCTATTACGAAAGGAAAACCCATCACGGTAACGAATCCCAGTGTGCGATTGACACGACTGGCTCGTTCTTCTTTCCCAATTCACATACCCAGCATTCACGACAAATTAAGTGTTCAAAAACAGTTTTTAGAACATGCGGCGGCGTTCCAGGGAAGGGGGGGCTGGTTTTTTAACTCATCTTTTCTCCATTTTGATGTATTTTTTCGTTGTTTTAATACTTTGGCATATTTATACTGCTAGCCCGTGTTGATGCTACCTTGGGGATCGCTGGACCGGCCTTCATTGTATCTATATCTATTTTCATGCTGTTTTGAAAAATGTTTATTTAAAGTCTGAGGTCATTATGCTCTGTGATATTATAACATTAGTGTTCATCATTGGCATGACAGCTTATATAGGCATTATCAGAATGAAACAATCGATTGAAAAGACAGCAGTGAATCTAATAATCAGTCTTATCAAAGACTGAAAAGATTTAAAACAATAAGAACAACCCCATGTTTTTTCACTATCTTCAATGATACAGAGTACAGGTAAATGCTGATCAGATTTATAATAGCACTGGTATAGAAAAAGGCAAGCGTGCACCTCCATTCGTTTTTCCCCCTTTGATGGCTTCGGCTTCGGCTCCGGTCCGGTCGAAGATGGATAATCAAACATCAAACGATTATACCGGGAACCTCTTCCAACTGCATTTCTAGAAGTATGTATACAGCTTTTCCTATGTTATTTGACTATCGAAAAGGCGGGTTTATTTCCGGGCGACGGTAGGACTGGGTGAGCACGTTTATTCCTCGTTGGGGTAGAGCTCTTCCCGGAGAGCGACACCAAGCTCCTGGCGCAGACCCTCGAGGCTCTCGAGGTATTGCTTGTACTGCTCCTGGGTCTCAACCTTGGCCTTGATACCTATCGGAAGAAGAGGGGTGAGTTTCTGTCGTGAATGAGAAGCATGACAAGAATCATGCCGATATGAGAGGCGGAGAGGCTGTACCTTCAAAGACACGGACGGCGGTAGGGTAGTCGTTGACACGACGGGCAGCCTTCAGGGCAGCGGAGAGGACCTCAACGGAGGGGACAAGGTCGTAGGCGAAGCAGTTGTTGAGGTTACGCTAGAAGAAAGGCATCATCAGCATCATGCATACCGAACGGTTGATCTACCAATGACAGAGCTGGTATTTATCAAGTCGAAAGTCTTGATAAATGCAGCAGAGGGATGTCCCCTAAGTGCGATTGAGGTCGGCTCAGCTTACCTGGAGCTCGAAAACATCCTGGACACCGTCGAATTCCTTCTCGAATCTGTCATATGAAGATCAGCAAGGGTATTTCTCGATGGAATTGGGCCTTGGCGAGGCCATTGGGACGAGGGAACGGTTTCGGGAACGGGGTTCCCTGCGATCGATTTCGTTCCCTCCATGACTCCGACGGCCACCGCTATACGACCCAATGGCCTCCCCCATTGGCAATGACATACCTGGCAGAGAATTCCTCATATGTCTCATCCTCGTGGTGACCAGAGAAGCGCATGGGGGTGGTACCGAAGTTGGCGCGGTTGACACGCAGAGCAACCGGGGTCTGCAACCGAGACCGGGGCAATTGGGAAGCTCTGAAGAAGCTGGAAGGGCGAACGGCGCGGGTCGCGACACGGAAGATGGAAGTCGAGGACATTGTGAGGGGAGTGGAATGGACAGACGGACGAATTGGAGGACTGTGGGGGGAGGAGAGGAGAGGACGGGCAAAGGTGTTGACGAAGTCGAAGTCGAGAGGAACAGCCCGGCTGCGCTAGGATTTTGCGGGTGGTGTGAGGTGGTAGATGCCTCAGGCGGCTAGGCCACAGATAACCAAGTCACCAATGCGGCTCCCGTCGACGCCCGAAATTAGTGCCTGAGGTGTCGACCAGGCAGGATTCAGGCAGTCAGCTGTCATGATTTCTATTTACTGGCTGTGATTGGCTAGAGCATAGTCAAGCAGATGTTGGAATTTGATTGGCCATTATGCAATTGTCTGCCAGGTGCTTTCTGCTATTCAACCGAGGCATTTCTACGATTATGTAGATTTGATTTCTTTCACTTTTGAATTGTCTCAATATTGAGTTCGATCATACCCGTACAAAGTCTGGATATATACTAGGCCACTCGGGGTGTTTATGGTTTAATCCGAGATACGGATATTTCTCGACCATTTACACTGGAAATGCAAGAAGAACGGATTAAGAAGATAATTGTAGCGGTCAAGAAGCGATGGGATGCAATAATCAATAAAACGATCAATAGAGTTCTATATTGCAGGAACATTCAGCATCTGATATCAAATTCCTGATATGTCTGAAGAAGATTCTGGAAATGATAGTCGTCGGTGAAATATATAGAAAGGTACCTAGTGACTGTGTCTGAAATCATATTGTCAACTGATCTTTCGTGTAGATACCCTTGCTGACGTTGTGTATGCCATCATCTATACCGACACATGCCACGACATCCAATGGTGTTGAATGACTGTTGAATGACTGTTGAATGCCTTGATGAGGAAGTCTAAATATGCAATTTGATATGTCCCATTCGTCAAAGCTAATTTGTTCCTGCATCTTGACTATTTGATATTAAATTCTCATGATGAGCCACACTCAGTGGACGAGACGCAAGGGGCAGATAGAAAATATGCTGAACGGCTGCATTGATACAATGGTCTACTATACTATTTGTTACACAATAAACAACATGATTAACGATATCATATCTGCAACAAGTGGTAGTATCGAGACGATTGCCAGTCACACAAGAGCCGTATTCCAGTCGAAGCAACATCATCTTCGGGTTTTGATGTAACCTCATATACCATGATATGATACCAACCCCTCTATACTCTAGATGACACAATCGAGAGAGTGTCTGCGCCGGGGATTTTCCTATTCGGATTCCCCGCGTTGTGGAATGTCTCTGCCGTCTGATTTTCGAGTATTCCGACGGAAATTATGATGATCCTTCATGGATCGATCAAATGAAAATGTCCAATGAAATGCAACTGACTCAATAATGAGAGCTGACCGGTTCCAACGCTGATGCTGTCCTACAATTGAGGTTTCCTGCTGCCCCACCCGTAGATCTCCAGATGTAGTAGCATGTCGGCATGAATAATTGGCCTTGAGGCTTGTCAGAACTCTGAAACTTGGCGGATGAACTTAAATTGCATGTAGACCCGGGCTCAACTGCCTCCAAGCGATCCGAATCATCCAGGCTGGTTGACTTTTGTTGAGCGTTCCTTGATCCTTTGCAGGAATCTCCGTTGTGCTCCATTGTGGCATCGAATCTGCCAAAAGCCCAAAAATTGTCGGTCTTGGCATGTGGGATTCATGTGATTGTGCCCGTCCCAAGTCCATCTCCCGTGCTGCGATTCTGTGCATATAACATCAATTCGACAGCCTCCCTTGCGGCTTGATCAAAGCACTCAACTTCTCTTGATTTCTTCCCCTCATACATAAGCCTCAACCGTCTCTCTCGATCAGACCAGTCGACAAGTCGATTCAAACAAGACCAGAAACTGGCTTCGATCCACAGCCACTAGTGAAATCTCCCCCTTTTGCACTGACCCGAGGCCACGCTATCCCCCTTTTGGACCGGACGCGCCCGGAGTTGGAAAAAAAAAGAACAACTTTACCAACATCTCAGCGGCCTCTCGTCATCTCCACTTCATCTCCCCAGCCGATCTCTCTTTAATTCTTCATTTCCCCTTTTTCTTCTTCTTTCCTTCCTTTCTTTTTTTCTTTCCCATCCTTCGTTCAGTCTTTACTTTCTTTTCTGTCGTGCTTGCCGACAGTCTGCTTGCGGAATCCCTGAATCAGCACTTGCCTAGGGTCCGTTCACCTCAACGTTTTCAAACCCTCCGAGTGTTGTCCTATTTAGGGGACTATAAATCGCTTCGCTCGAACTTTTTTTTTTTTCGATCCTGTGAACCTAACACTCCCTCACCATGGCGCTCGAATTCATCCAGAACAATGTGTCCGTTCCGTCAATTGATCGGCCGTTTGGCATCCACCTATGGCCCTTCTTCGACAAGGCTTTTGAGCTGGTCGTTGGCTACCCAGCCAGCGAATTCCAGTTCGTCGAGGGTGTCACGCCCATGTCGACTTTCAAGGAGACCGCCATCGCGCTCGTTATCTACTACATCATCATCTTCGGTGGCCGTGAGGTGATGAAGTTCTTCCAGCCGCTCAAGCTCAACACTCTGTTCATGATCCACAACTTCTACTTGACCGCGATCAGCGGAACTCTCTTGGTTCTGTTCATGGAGCAGCTCATCCCCACCGTCTGGAGACATGGTATCTACTTCACCATCTGTGAGCACGATGGTGGATGGACTCAGCCCCTCATCGTTTTGTACTACGTGAGTCCTATTTCCTCGGATGCCTAGAGAATACGCCGAGAAGCTGACATGTGAATAGCTCAACTACCTGACCAAGTACCTCGAATTGATCGACACCGCCTTCCTGTTCCTAAAGAAGAAGCCCCTGACCTTCCTCCACACCTATCACCACGGTGCCACCGCTCTTCTTTGCTACACTCAGCTCATTGGTTTGACCGCGGTGCAATGGGTTGTCATTGACCTCAACCTCTTTGTCCACGTTGTGATGTACTGGTACTACTTCCAGAGCGCCCGTGGCGTCCGCATCTGGTGGAAGCAGTGGATCACCCGTCTCCAGATCTTGCAGTTCATCATTGGCCTCGGTAAGTTGAATCGGCCCTGTTGGCAAAAAGCGTTGCTAATCAGACCCAGGATTCATCTACTTCGCGTCCTACACCTACTTCACCTCCACCTACTTCCAGTGGATGCCAAACATGGGCAAGTGCGCCGGAGAGGAATTCGCTGCCTTCTCTGGAATGGCCATCATCAGCTCTTACCTCTTCCTTTTCATCTCCTTCTACATCGCGACCTACCAGAAGGCCGCCAAGGGCAACCGCCCCCGCCGCAACACTGGCAAGCAGGCTGTCATTGACATGCGCAACTTTGAAATCCCCGGCAACGCCGAGACCAACGGTGCTGCTGTGTCTAGCGGCCGCTCCAACGGTCCCACGACCCGCTCTCGCAAGGCATAAATACCTCAACAGATCGCGTGAAGTAACCGGTACTCCTTGATTCGTCTCACGTATCAGAGAACCCACCACACCCGAATACTCCGCGACGCTACATCTCCGTTATCCCACAACTAATTTGACATCCACTGATGATATGATGGCAACTTGGATGCGATTTCTGCTTAGCTTCCGGGCACAGAAACTAGTGAACGTGTGGTAATCTTCTATCTTATATTTTACCTCTTTTCTGGAGTTTGAGTATTTTATTACTGTTTAATGAATGACCCTTATGATACTGGTCGTGATGGCGTCGCGACCAGCGTATGCATGTCGCAGCGTCGTTTTGCATCGGGAGGGCGCAAAGCAAGCTCGTGGTGGGAAAATGAGATTGATTCGGGGTTTTCTTCTTAGGATCTGTCTAAGCGATAGATTCCTGTTTGTATTTTACACTTTTCTTCATTTGTGTTTATTTATGGGCTGCCGGTTGCAGGCCACGTGTGTTGATTTATGTTAGTCAAGTATTATAGACGCAATAAACGTAAATGTAATCTGAGTATGAGTTTTCATCATTCTCCTTTATAAAGTCATAATTATCTTCACTTTTTTTGTTGAACTTTAATGCCATATTTCCTACACAGCTATCCTAAAGAATATGATGAGGTTAGGTATGGTTATTGTTGCAGTTCTATAATCGGAGTGGATATATATGAAAGGCGGGGTATTCAATAGATTAAAGATAAGGTAGTATGTAAAACACATACCTACCTACTTAGGTGGCTATGGAACAACAGAAGTAGACCTGAATTATAACTGTTGTCTTGGGAATATATGATAGCTGTTATATGACCACCTTCTCATAGAATCATGTAGTATGACAATGCATCCTGTAGATGATAATGAGAAACCTTCCATAGAAGTGTAGGTATGTATATCTAGACTACTTAGCGCTGGATATAGTTACAGATATAGAGTATTCAGGACATGCCTGTCTGATGCGGCCTTGATGTATTTGATATGTGCGGTATAGACAACTACATCATCTGTTAGCCATGAATGATGGATGATAAGTTAATAGTAATGCTATGGCTATTATTTAACTAAGCAACTTATGCTCTAGTTGGAGATTGCAGAGGTGTTTATCTAGCGAAAGTGCTTAGTTTTGATGTTGGGTATATATAACTGGTTTTTATTTTAGTGATATATTGTCTATCCCGTTTGGAAAACCCAGTAGATGAGGGCTTTGTGCTAGCCAGATATTGCCAGAATGCAGAGTCGCAGAGTCTAGCAAGTGTAATTTGATATTTTGGATTCCGATATATAACCCCAGTCTAGAATAGACGAAGCCAGTTATCAAATATCAAGCAAGTCGGTCATTTAGAGACAAGAAATGAACTCTTCAACCAGCAGTCAGCATTACTTCTCTGGATTTGAAGCGTATGGCAGTTCAGCTGGGACAGGTTATAGCAGTAAATCACTGTACAGGAGAGAATAACTACGTCGAGTGCCCTGATTGTACTCAACCTACGCGAAGGGAAGAAGTTCCTGACTTGGGGTCCCTGGTTAACTGTCCAAGTTAAAACAGATATTTCTGGTGATTTATGTCTTTGAAATATCGAGTACAATGATTTGCGGATGTTGGGACTCATTCTACATTCCGTAATTGCTTTTGCCCCTAAGAGGTAAGTATAGATAGATAATAAGCCATAGTCTGTGGGCCGCTTCAAACAATAGGACATAGTAGATCATAATAGCATCGATGGTGATAGTCACTCCTTCCCTTTCGAGGAGCAACGTCATACCAACGCACCTACCTCCTGCCTCAGGATACACTTCCAGCCTGACAACTCAGGCAAACGGCCCTATCCCAAGCAACTGATAGCCCATCGAAGGATAGAATCCCCCAAGAAACCCAGAACGAGCTGACAGGCTAGTTCCTTGGGGCTATGAGGAGCCCCAAAGGGACTCTCCCAATACCGACAAAGCCCTGGGTTCGAATCTGGGCTTCTGCGGCGTGGGATCCGTTGCAAAAAACTGGGTAGTACTGGTTTTTCGGAGCCCCCATGAGGCTAGATTGGTCAGCTTTTTTTGCTTTTTTGATTTACTTGTTTGATGGATGAGATGATTATTTTCTTGGTATTTTTTTGATACATTCAGAGGTCTGGTCTAGATTGGATAGACTTACGAAGATGTTGAGCTGGGCAAGGCGGTGCCCGGGGCAAAAGATAAGCCCCTTGGATTATGGTGTCATACTGCTTCGTCCAGAATATCACCTATTGCCACTGTATCGATCACATTAGACTGTCAATGGCGAGTATCACATCCACACTGCCTTGTCAACACTTCGGTGGAGCATCAGAGGCGGATGATCGGCGACGTTTCTGGTGGAGCGGAAATGGTATGCTGTGATTGGTGAATTCTTCAGCTGTCAGCGTAGGGCTTGGCCCTGAGGTGAGAAGCAACTGAGAGTAACAATAGAATCAGAGTCAGATTGAGTGTAAGACTGCAGTGAAAATTCTGTAACATGAGCAGTTTTATATGAAGAAGAGGGTGGTCAGCGATGTTGGCTGTGTCGTTTGATGTTTTGGATCTGGTTGATGTGAATGCGCGAGTCAGTTGCTGGCTGACGGGCTTATATTGTAAGCTTAGTTGAGAGTCTGCGCATCTTTGCCATTGAGGGAATTATACTTCAAGAATCAGTTTCAAGAAGAACAATTGATTTATTGCTGGTTATCAAGTGACCTCCATGCCCGTGTTTGATATTCCGTTAGTCATGATATACAATAAACCCACCTATTAATAGCCAAATATATATTAATCCTAAACACTCAATATACCGGATCAAACAGCCGGACGTAAACCGGACCCGAGATAGACATACACCCTAGTAGTTATAGCCGAATTGTAGAGTCTGTAGTAGAATCGGACGCTCCGGATAGCCGTTGAAAATCTCTTCACCTTCATCCGCGAGTAAGTGGATTCCGACTGGGATCACTATACATCAATCACATTACTTATAGCTTCGGGACTAACAGCCGTTGAGCTAGACATGCTACCCTGGTCGAGAAACAGCCCATTGTTGCATTGGCCTGTCTCCGCTGAGTATGCAGGCACAGAAACCGTTATGGAGGGGTAAGAAGAAGAGTAGATAAAAGTGAGATGGATTGTGTCATTGACAGGGAGAAAGAGGGGTTGATATCCCCTCATTCATTGTATCTCTACCCATCCTATATAGGAGACGTGAAGAATCTACCCCCTTGACAGGGAAAGTATGAAGGATGGAAGGATTCAAGAATCTAGAGAGCCTGTCACAGTGGGGCGAGGGAGAGGAAAATTCCCCGATAGGCTATAGCTTATTGCGCTTTATTACTCGACTGGGGCAAAGTTGAGGATGTTATGACGGTGAGTGGTGATGATTGCTGATCGGTGGAGAAGAGGAGATGGGTTAGTTTAACGTCCAGCCCACTTTTTCTTTAGGCCTGAGAAATCCTGATTTTTGTTCATGTTTGACACTATTTTAGTTTGGAGTTTTGGATATGACAGGCCCTGGGAGATTACAGTTGGTTGCTACTAGGATGGGAACAGGATTATCGATGAAGCAATTATAATTATATCCAGTCAGAGGAGGGCTACAGAATCTGGGGAAGTCAGTCTGTATGTCTATGCAGTAAACGTATGATGCTGTACTTGATGCATATACAGTTATACACCCAGGCTAAAATTAATCCATGGCTGGATGACAGCAAATACAGAAGCGATGAATCCTCCTGCCGATCATTTGGTCTGTTTCTGGCCACGCAAGGAGATGAAGCAATAATCATGTAGCCGGATATAGCATTATGTTTATTTATCACCGAGTACGTAGACTCTGTACTCTGTGCTCTCTGTACTCTCACCCAAGAATATCTTTGAGTTTCTGTCACCTAAACTCTACCATATATTAGTGAACTGTACTGTACTCTGTAGTATGTACTCTGTATACAGTAAACGTGGACGATCTGGTGTCTCACACTGCAACGTACCTGCAGCCCAACACCAACCGGCCGCTTTTTCTCATCCCGCATCGTCCATCAGATCCATCTCAATGCATGAGGAGATCATCGCTTCTTCCCAGCCTCTTCCTTTTACGGTCATCCTCGCAGGTTGCATTTCTCTCCAGTCTCCAACTTGAACAGACTATCTACTTCTTCCCCGAAGATCGTCCGATTCCACAATCGCACTCCACGTATGTCGCTCTGGGGAATCTCTGTCCCTCTCCAGTCTCCATATTTGGTATTCTTGGTTAACTCACTGCAAGGACTCCCTGCAGGGAGGTCTAACTATCCCTATTGTCTGTCAAAAACTCTCCCATTCGCTCACAGACCAGAAAAAGGGGGGAAGGATGAGATTTCCCCACGAATAATTATTATGCGATCTCTCGGAATGCTCGGACAATTAATTCACTTCTCAGGGGAAAGAAAAGAACGAAGAAGAACACCAAGTGGGAGGATGGTTCAGGGCCTGTTTTGGTGTGTTTGAGTTAGACGTGCTCCACCGCGCTGGAGCAGCGGCTAGCTTAGCACTGCTCTTAGCTGATGACCCCCTGGAGTCGCAGTGTTACAGATCAGAAAATGCTCGAGTCGTGATGTGATGTTTTCCGATATGGACTATTTCGGGGTTATCTTTTTGAGTTTGCTCTGTGCAGTTTCATCTGGACTGTGCGCGTGATGGCTTCTTACTTTTTTTATCGTCTAGCAGCAGCATCATCATCCTCACCCTGAACCCCTCATGATACGTCTGATATAAGGACCGCCACCACCATCATCGACAATAATAAGGCCACACTGACACATAGTCTCGCCATAAGCGATGATGGCCCTCAACAGGAAAAACATGACGATAATGCTGTCCCCACTGTGCCGACTGTTTAGTGGGTCAAGCCTTTGTTGAGCGGCCGACTGCTACCGAGTCATCGTAGTATCATCAAAACATTAATCTATCACCAGAGACAGTCTATCTGCTCGTTCCTTGGCGACATCCATTAATTAATGTTTTAGCGATGTTTTCCCGTTACTCTCCCGGGTTGTTTACTAGTTACTACAGTCTACAATAATACGATTGATCGATGCCGTGTCAAGCACTTTGGCTTCGACGTGCAGAACACTCAATCTAAATGCTGCCGCTATCCTGCTAAGATACGCTGAAGAGACGCTATTTTGAATCCCTGGCGATGCACTGGCCTCCATCAGCGACAGCTCACGTTGATACGTCGACTCGCTCTCCAACTCTACACCGTATGGAGTGCGTTGTCGATCGGCGCTGATGCCCCGTGGCGTTGTACTTCATTGCCTGCGGACGCCATCCGATAATTCAGAATAAAAAGCAAAAAAGCAAAAAAAAAAAAAAAAAAAAAACAACGAAATGATAATCATGACCCCATAGTAACAGTCAGCCCATCTGTACGATACATGCAAGGGTCGTTTCCCTTTTCCCTGATGTCCTGAGGCGACGGTCCACTTTCTTACCGTGATCCTGCAGGAGGCGGAACCCACAGTTCACATCAGGCAAGGATGCAAAAGCGAAAACGTAAGCGTTGGATGAAGCTCACCCTGGGCAAGCAAAAATGTACACTTTCACACGTGTGCACGGCTATTCATTTTTGCTTTTTTCTTTTTTCTTTTTCACTGTGGATCAGCCTCGAAATGGTCCGTTCTTCTCCGGCGGTTACGATCTGATGGCATCGAGGGCGGATCCTCCTGGTTCAGAAACATCCCCCCCCAGGACAGATCCACTCCTGTAGAGCATGCCAACCCGTGTGGGACAGACAGACAGGAGAAGGAGGGCAGAATATATCCTGACTGTACCCGGTTTTATATTTGGTGGATGTCTCTTTCGACCTCTGCTTCTGCTCTTCTCCCGAGTTTCGCTCTGCATTCGTTCGTTTTTGACGCTTCACACTCATTCCCTCTTTTTGATATTAACTAACATTCCAATTGCTTCTTTCTTTCTTACCTTCCTTACTCAATTGAGGCAGGCCTTATTGTTCCGGATTTCTAGTGCTTCACTATCATCCGTTCCATCATCACCAGTCGACATGTACGACACGGCAGGGTCTTTGGACCTCCATTGCATGAAACAGCAGAACCTGCCACGACGATATGAATCCGAGGAAGAAGACATCTCTGAGCCTGAGCTTGGGCAAGACCATGCCTATTCGCCCGTCGAGCCCCAGCGAGCAGCTGGCTCGTTCGACTCGGACCTGAGCGCCGACGACCTGTCCAACATCGACCCGGAATCAGACGTAGAGAGTATCGAAGTTCCCCGGCTCCTGTCTCCCTACCCCTCGACTACCAACAAAGAATCACGCCCGGTGTCGATGGATACAGTCAAGCGAAGCAGCATGGCCGATTCGCTCATCTTCGACCACGATGAAGACTTCATCATCGAGCTCCCTTCTCCCGGCTCGACTCCGCCAATCCCGTCACCCTTCATCCTTCAGCCTCGTGTGTATGTGCCTCCGGCGACTCCGCGACCAGAGAGACCTCAATCTCCACGGTCGCCTTCGACTGCTTCGGTCGTGTCGTCGGATGAAGAATCCGATGTCATGGTGGCGGAACAGGTCGTCTACCTGGAGCCAATTAGCAAGCCAAGTATCGTTGTCATTAGCCCTTCTACAGTAGGACCATCTTCACCGGATGAATCTACAGAGGAGAATAAGCTGTGCGAATTAAATCAAACCGACGCATGCCAGTTCCCCGAGGAGAAGGATGACGAAGTCCACTCTCTCCGACAGTCTATCGATTCGGTTACTTCTTGCTACGACGAGCCGGAGCAGCTACAGGAAAAGCAAGAGGCACCGATTGGCCTAAGAGAGACCTCACCACCAAGCCTGCGGTTCAGCGCCACCGCTCAGAACTTGTCTCAGGTTCCCGAATTACATCAGCTTATCCCCGGTCGAACACGGTCCAAGTCCTTCTCACGCCCATGGACCGCCATTTCTGAAAAGGCCAAGTCTCGATTTCCAACTGACTCGATCCGACGGCCCCCTTCGATGCGAAACATCAGCACGACTAGCTTGCCGTTCTGGAATTCGCGCACAGCATCCCCCAGCGAGGAATCTCACACCCGCTCCTTCTCCTTCTCTCCCACCTCCATGTCCCACCCTGAAACGCGGCTGAGCGGTACATCTTCGCGTACATCGAGCCCGAATCCATACCAGCAGGTATCGATCTACAATCGGGACCGATCGGCCAGTACTGCCAGTATCCCCGCAAACTGCTCGCCCTTGCGGACCCATGCCGCCAAGCACTCGACGGCTTCTAGTTTCTACTCAACCAGTGGTTTCCAAGTGGAATCGAACATTTCCTGCAATAGCCTTGATTCTCAGGAGAATGCTACAGACCCTCGAAAGAAGGGCTACCGACGAAGCAAACAACTCAAGAAGGAGGAAAAGCCCGGGCGAAGAAGCTTCATGGGACTTCGAATTGGAGGGAAACGAAAGTCCACCAACAAGCTTTACACCACATGATTTCAAGCCCGACCTGTTGACGACAAATTTCCAGCAACGATTCATATACCAAACTTTACGATCCTGCACAGTTTAACTCGTTTTTGTTTGTTTGCAAAGTGATTTATGAATTTGCTGCATTCGATCCAACTTGCTTGCTTGACCTTGTCTTCCGGATACCATTGACTGCTTAGCGCTTCTGTCGACTATTTGCCTATCGTTCTACTGGCGCTTGAATTTTCGTTCCTTTTTTCTTGTTACTTGTTTCTTGGTTACTTTTCTATGTGGTTTCACGGATTGTGGGTCTTTATTCTCTACTTTTCTCATACTCGATCTGGATCGTTTGCATTCTGTTTGTACTATAATTTGGGATATTGGGCTTTTTACTCTTGTTACCCCTGGATGGATGAATTTTTTTTCTTTTTGCTTATCGTTTGATCAACCCCTGATCTGATCCGGGGTTGATGTTGATTGAAATGAAACAATTATTTCAATTTATATGCTATACCGAGGCTGACTCTTCCTTTTAATCCTCCGTATATTGAATTATATTAATTATCAGCTATCTATTATATACCCCGATAACTGCGGAGTTTGCGCGATTTCACCGAAAATAGATTACTTACCTACAGGCTACAGCTGATAGATCCACCAATATATTGGCCCTCCATCTATCATCTGGGTACGTAGTTAGGTAGCTAGGTAGCACCCACAGATCAGTCAACTATTCGAAGCGCTCACTCAAGAACCCGCTCAGACATACTACATAACTGGACAGGACTGAGCAAGCAAGTGGACCGTCCCAAACATATTCAAATTCCCCATGGTTCCCAAGTTCGTCATCACCTCAGCCAAGCCAATGGACCCGACCCCTGTTCTTGATCGGATAAGTATGTCAATGCCAATGTTAATGAAGTGGGAATTGCAAATCTTGAAACAAACTAGAACTCATCTTGCCACTTGGTCTTAGCTGGCTAGTCTAGCTACTTAGCTAATTAGGTAGGTAGACAGTAGTAGTGGTGTGGATGAGCCGTGTTTCAGCTTCTTCCGGAGGATTCGATTATCTCCACTATAGATGGAACGGACCACAGCTTGAGCTAAGGTTTTGGGTTGGGGGTGTGGATACGGAGTTGGGATCGCGGCTTGACTCGTGAACTGGTTAGTGTCTTAGTTGCGTTTGTTAGTGTGTTTGGGGTGGGTTATCAATCTATGTTGGGAGGATTGATGGGATATATTTGGATTGGGTTTGGAAGTTTGGTCTGATTGTTGTTTGGCTCTTGGAATGGATGAATGGTGCCTAGGTTCGTAATAGATGGTGATAAGTGGATGGTGAGATGGATGGTGATGCCCTATTTAATTGCCCTAAGCCCTATATCAAATGACACTTGAACTTTGGTGACCATGGTTCGGTATCATGTGATGTCTCAAATAGGCAATCGTCGATGATAAACCTCTTCACAACGTATTCAGTTCTACCTAACTACCTCTCTGTCTGACAATTGACTGGAAACAGGAAGAGAACAATGCCTGTACCTTTGTACACAGGCTACACCCAGGTCGTGGCACAGCCAATTCGGCCATCGTCTGGATCAGGATCGGAAGAATGCCACGCCTGCGGCGAGCGATTCGAGACTCGCAGACAGATGTGGGCATCTCGCAGTATATCGAGGCGGCCGTGAATGCCACGAACATCATGATGTGAGTAGTTCTTCGCTTGAACAGCCTATGTTGGATGATTGTATCATTCCCTGACAATATGGACTTCAACCAGCATCCCTATAACTATGTTCCTTGACACTTTCCATTAGCAGAATTACTATGCAAACGGATGCAGACCCATGAATTTCAGTCCATCCAAAAATCAGCCGTTTACAGATTGATAGATCATCGTCAAACACCGCTTTCCCCCAAGGGAACCGGGAACCCACGACCGGCCCTCGCAATTGACTGTGAAATGGTCGAAGTCACCGGCAAAAGAAGCGAAGTTGTGCGACTTTCCGTGGTCGACTTTCTAACTGGCGTTGAAATTATCAACAAATATGTCATGCCCGATGGAAAGGTCACAAACTGGCGCTCATGGGTTAGTGGTGTCGATGAGAATACCCTCAAGAATACACCCAAGCATGAAATATTGGATGGCTGGGAATCAGCCCGTGCAGAGTTGTGGAAATGCATGGACGGAGATACTATCCTTGTTGGCCATGCGCTGAACTACGACCTGGACGCCCTGAGAATGGTGCACCACTCTATCGTTGATTCGGCCATTCTTGCTCAAAAGGCGATTTCTCCGGGCTGCAAAAAGTCAGTGGGACTCAAGAACCTGTGTCATAGCCTTCTTGGGAAGAACATCCAAGCTACGAAGTTTGGACACAGTTCACTTGAGGATGCTTTGGCTGCTCGGGAGGTCGTGCTATGCATCCTCCAGCATCCGGACTCGCTTCAGGAATGGGCATCACAACAGTGAACAAACTATTGTGCCATATATGAAATCATATTTTGATAAAGCTTGCTATATATCAGCTAAATTATCGAAAGATTGCACTCGTAGAACTTCATATACTGAGTGAATATCATTTCTTCATCAAGCCTTCTCATCTGCCCATTCATCAAATTGCCTTATTGTCACTTTCCACCAGTCACATTCACAATTCAGCTGTCTATATAAGCCACTCCTATCTTCATCCTGATCCTGATCTTCCATCTTACCAATCTCCATCCTCTTGCGAAGATCCTTTTCTCCAGCATAATCCTCGCCCCAGGACGAGGCCCAAACAGGAAGAAGCCCAAATACCTTGTCTCAACGTATGCTCGTGGTCCTGAAGGTACCACTCCTGGAGGCCATTCTATCTTCCCAAGGGAAGATGGGTACTTGCCAAAGGTAGTAGAATCGAACCATAACATTGATAATGCTGTCTCAATACATGACAGTCTCGGCTTCCACACGATGGATCCACGAAGAGAAAGAGTCTCTTCGTCCATTCCCCAAGCACCACCCGGAATTTCATTGAAACCCCTAAGGAAGGCGGTTTCCCTTTGGGATATCCACAAACGTGGCTGCCTATCTGAAGCAGACAAGTCTACATTTATTTACGACCCAACATCTTCAACAAAGAATACAGCTGTCTTCGGGAACGAGACAAAAAAGAACCAAGAAGCGAATTCACCAATTCGCTCTTTCAAATGGTGGTATTCCCATGTCTTTCCATGCCATAGATCGGATATACTAACATCGACCAGTTATCCTTGTGGTGGCTGATTCTGCTCGCCTGGGACGCATATCAAATCCATCTTGCATCCAGCACAACTTCTGCAGACCGAGAATTCCCCCAGTGGAACGAAATCATCATCGCCAACTCGAAGCCTCTTCAACAAGCTCTTTTTTCGAACCTGTCAAGGGGCAACCAAACAACCCACACCAAAAGTGAATACGAAACCCTTTTATTGAGAAGATAATCTGGTCACAGCTCCTTACCCGGCCAGAAATCTTCAACAACAAAAAAGTAGAATGAAGGGAACAAATATCTGCGAAAAAACGCGAGCTGGAGATGCATCCTCCTCTAATAACCACCAAAAAATGAATCACATTCGTGAGCCCAGTTGGCGCATCCAATTTTATCGCTTTCTACAAAAACATTCCACACGGCCCAAAATGCCAACGGCATATGAAATTGTTTCGGTCAAGGAGAAACAACAACACCGCGGAAAAATGTGCCTTGACACCGGTCAAGTCGAAACGCAAAAGCAGGACCGAGCCTTCCTAGGTGTCATGGCATCTTTCTCGATAGACGTCTGACTTTAGACATGAGAAATTGGCCAATCTGCTTTCCATGTCTGTATGGCGTACTTTGTTTAGATCACCTGTTGGGTTGACAACTGGTCTTTTATAGAAGGTGATCATTGTTCGTATTGGTTATTGATGAGATGAGGTATACATTGAGATATCGAATATAGCATGTCATTATAGCATTGAATCAATCATTGCTGTCAATCATCAGAGCCATACAAAAATCCATTAAAAGTGTACATACCTCGCACGAGAATAATAATAAGCATAGAAATCCAAAATAGCACGATAATACAACATCACTAGAGATCAACCATGAGCGATTTTCTCTAACCGTTGCACGTCTATACGAATTAGCAAGCCATAGCAATCCGACAATCGTAAGTTAACATACTGTTCGAATCCAACTCACTCCCCCTGGAATTTATACATCGCGAAACCAGCGATCTCGACTCCTCATCCCCTCCACATGGACATTGATCATCGAGACAGTATTCGATGTTTTCCATTCCGAGGAAGCATTGTTGCTGTTTCGTTAGTTTATACTATATTATAAGCTATCGTTTTGTATGTGATGGTGTATGTACGTACTAGACACGGACTCACGCCGGGAATGGCGGCCGTCATGGCGATGAATGTGGTTAGGGGGATGAAGACTGTTAGTTTCATCATGGTGGGGATGGGATTTTGATTATCGGCTTGGGGAATGGATATGATCGGTGATGCTGAGATTGTGGATTGGATTGGATTGGATTGGATTGGTTATATAGAGTGTGTAGAGTAGGTAGGTGCCCAAGGAGCTTGGGTAGAGGAAGTGATTAGTGGATGGGATACCGCTATATGACCAGTCTTACGCAATAATTCTGCAATGAGAGTGGAATTATAGTCAATAAATCATGCAATTAGGTCTCTTGATTTAATTACTCCGTACATTCATATCCATACTATTCATATCCATGAATCTCATGCTCGATCAGACTATACAGAATTTACAGACGAGCAACCACCCTCCTGAATCCATCCAACACCTCCTCACTACCCCGTTCACCACTTCTCACCGCACCCTCCATGTATCCCTTCCACTCGGCCGCCGTCTCGGTGCCGACGAAATGCACATCTCCGACTGGTTCGCGGAGAGCGTCGCCCGCGATACTCAACACCCCAGGCGGCAGAGCAGGGCAGGGACAGCCCTCCCCGGAAAACTTTTCCATGCTCCACTCGTGGCCGACGCTTTGGATGAATTCTGCGCGGGGCAGGGCGGGATCGCCGTAGATGTCGCCGAGTTGGGCGAGGAGGGCGTCTTCGCGGTCCTTTGGTGTGGGGAGGGCGGACCAGGCTCGGCCGGCGTCGCCGGCGAGGAAGGAGGTGAGGACATATTTCTTGTCGTTGGGGCTGCTGGTATCGCGGAAGACGGAGACGGGGCCGTGGAAGGACTGGGCGAGGCCGCAGAATCCACGCTCAACCCACCAGGGGGAGCGGAAGACGAGCATGACTTTTGTGTAGTAGCCGTAGCGGAAGCTGTCGGTGAGGAGTTTCTTCTTTGGCGGGAGGGGAGGGTTGAAGGTGATGGTTTTGAGGACGGGGGTTGGGACGCTGCTGATGACTTTGCGGGCGCGAATGGTTCGGCCGGCGGATTCGATGAGGATGTTCTGCGAGCTGAGCTGGTGGATGGACGTGACGGGGTGGTTGAGACGGAGGGTGGATGGGGGGAGGGCTGCAGCGAGGGTGGTGGCGAAGATCTGGGTTCCCTGGCGCACGCGAAGGTATTGAGCGCCGTGTTTCCCGTCGGATCGCATCTGGAGTAATCCACCACCAGACTTGCAGTAGTTGAGGAAGTAGAGGGCGGAGAGATCCTGGGGTTCGTGGCCCAGCATGGCGCGGGTCCAGACGGAGGCGTTGGCGATGGCGGCTTCGCTGGCTCCTTTGCGTTGGAGATAGGCCAGGAAGGTGAGCGAGTCGAGCTCCACGTCGACCGGACGGCTGCAGTCGACCTTTTGGCAGTCGGCCTCGACCTCGTCGCGGAGACGCTCCATCTCCTGCTGGATCTGGGCGGTGATCTTGGGAGTGGTGCCGTAGGGGAAGACGATGCGCTGCTTGTCTTCTCGCTGGAGGATGCCATTGCCCACGATGTTCTGCTCGATGAGCTCTGCCCCGGCTCTGCGGGCGAGGGCAATCATGCGAGACTGGTTGGTGTCGTTGATCCAGGCGGCTCCCAGATCGACGACGCCATTGTCTTCGAGGGGCTGGGACCAAGTTCGTCCTCCGACGCGGTCTCTGGCTTCAAGGATGATGCAGGAATGACCAGACTGGAGGATCTTCTCAGCAGCCGTGAGACCAGACAGTCCAGCACCGATCACAACGACATCGGTTTCCTCAACGGCCGAAGCAGGAGTGAGACTGCGGGTCAGACGAGGGGGAATCTCGACGACAGCGTCAATTTCAAACAGCCATCCTGGAACAGCCAGCTGAGATACAGGAACCAGCGTGATGGCCGGACGGTGCGAGCCGAGGAACTTCTGCAGCGGACGAGTATGAGCACGGTTGGCGGGGTTATAGTGGACAATGTAGAGATTGAGCTTGACAATGTCGCGGACAGAGGCACCAGCAGCGGTGTTGATGCGGTGAAGGTTCAAGAGAGCAAGATGGATTTGGGAGACATAGTCCGAAGGGGGATTCTGGATGGCGCCCGCTTGGCCCGCGATATGAAGCTGGCTTCCGGAGATGACGCCAGGAGCGTAGTAGGCAGAGGAGGTGTTGTGGAGGTCAATTGAGCGCATTTTGATACAGACGATGATGACGATGATGATAGGATAAGTGATGAATTAAATGAATTAATCATGACAGTTCATCTACTATATTTATATCTGATTTATCATCTCCAGGTCTATCTCGATGCGTTGTCGGTGGGGAAACTTACTCCGGGATGACTTGCCCTTTTTTTGACTTTCTCGGTTAACTTCCTCTTCCGCTTTCACATATTCTGATCTATCATCTATCATTTGATTGAAGGTGAAATAATGAATAATGAATGGATCATTACAGCTTGCTCATTTCATTTATCGCCAAATACTCCTTTTGAATTTCCTCCACCCTCATTACCCCAGCCAACGCCATGGTGCGGCTAAACTCTCGCTCCAGAATATTCATCACTGCTTCCACGCCTTCCTGTCCCTTGTATGCCAATCCCCACAGCACAGGCCTTCCAACCAGCACAAAGTCAGCCCCCAGAGCCAATGCCTTAAACACATCGCTGCCCTTGCGTATGCCTCCATCCAACAAGACTGGAATGCGCTTCTGCACTGCTTCTGAAATGGCAGGTAACACGGCGATCGTGGAGGGAACGCAGTCCAACTGTCGTCCGCCGTGATTGGAAACGATAATGGCATCGACACCGTGCTCGACTGCGAGATTTGCATCGGCTGGCGTCATGATGCCTTTCAGGATGATTTTCATCGATGTTGTCTGTCGGAGAAACCGAATCGTTGATTCCCACGTTAACGAGGAGCTGTGCATTGTGTCCCCTGCGTTGCGCAGGATCTCGTCTGCTTCCCGTGCTGATCGCGCGTCCATCAAGAGACGGTTGAATGTTGGTTTTCCTTTTTCCTTTTTGTTCAGATTCGCCAATTGAAGGCCAGGTGGTAGGACGAGAGGGGTTTTGCGCTCGTTTAGTCGGTTTCCCAGGACTGGCGTGTCGACTGTCAAGACGAGAGCTTTATATCCTGCCGCTGTAAAAGTGAGACATGTTCCATTCATCGGTTTAAGATACTCACATTCAGCCCTCTTAATCAACGGAACAGACTTGGACAAATCCGTCGTGAGATAGATCTGAAACCAAAACGACGGATTGCCCGCGTCAATGACGTCCTCCAACGACGTCGTCGACTGCGAAGACAGAGTCAGATTCAACCCCATAGCAACCGCTGCTTTGGCCATGCCCAGCTCGCCCTCTGGACTGGCGAGGCGCTGCATGGCACTCGGGGCGATGCCGATGGGAAGAGGATACTTGATGCCAAAGAGGTCTGTGGATGGATTGACATGCGACACGTTGCGGAGGACACGGGGGAGAATGAGCCATCTAATCATTAGCATACAATCATATCATTAAAAGGATAAGAACATACCGGTTGAAGTCATGTCTGTTTCTTTCCAACGTGTTTTGATCGTCAGCACCGCCGGCGTAGAATTCGTAGATATTCCGAGGGAGTTTCTTTTTGGCGATGGCTTCGATTTCGTCGACGGTGATAGGATCGGCCATTTTGAATGAATCGAGTAATTATGAATTAATTTGAAGATAATAGAGACAATGTATACACTGTAGATGGAATATATAATGACGATGCCTTCCTTGATCCGGGATGACTTGCCTTGTTGCCAACCACGTTGCATATATAGCCTTACAACTCACCACATCGACCATATCATATTATACCAACAGATTTGAAATAAAGAAACAACAAAACAAAACAAAATGACTCTCCACGATCCCACCCTTTTAATCGGCAAAAACTACATCGACGGAAAGTGGCAGTCCTCCCTCTCCAACGCCACTTTTGATGTGACTGGTAAACAATCCCCCATCTTCACCCCACTCCTCCATCAACAACACAACACTAAGATAAAGAAATAACAACAGACCCATCAACAAACAAACCCATCACCTCCTGCCCCGAATCCACACCGCAAGATCTTGAGCTCGCCATCCAGGCCGCCGCAAAGGCCTTTACAACCTGGAAGCAAACCACCGGCCGAGAACGGTCGCGTCTTCTCCGCCGGTTTCACGACTTGGTTATTGCGAATAAGGAGGATATCGCGACGCTCATCTCGTGGGAGAATGGAAAGGCTTCGGCGGATGCGAAGGGCGAGGTTCTCTTTGCTGCGAGCTTTCTCGAGTGGTATGCTGAAGAGGCTGTGAGGATTTATGGGGATGTCGTGCCGCATAGTAATGGCAGTCGGGTACAGGTGATTAAACAGCCTGTTGGGGTTTGTGGGATGATTACTCCGTATGTCTGATATCTTCTGATTCATCTGATTTGATGCTCATTTAATAGATGGAACTATCCCGCTGGAATGATCACCCGCAAAATTGGCCCTGCCCTCGCAGCTGGATGCACTGTCGTGGTCAAATCGGATGGCAACACGCCCTTGACCGCGAATGCCCTTGTTGTTCTCGCCGAACGAGCCGGCATCCCCAACGGCGTGATCAACATAGTGACCGCACTCGAAAACACCCCTCTCCTGGGGTTGAAAATGTGCCAATCGCCCATTATCCGCAAACTCTCGTTCACGGGGTCAACTCGCGTGGGCAAGATCCTGGCCGAGCAGAGCGGGAGTTTGCTGAAGAAGCTCAGCTTGGAACTCGGCGGAAATGCATCGTTTATCATATTCGACGATGCGGATATCGATAATGCTGTGGCCGGGTTGATTGCGAGTAAATTCAAGGGAAGTGGTCAGACGTGTGTTTCTGCCAACCGTGTCTACGTACAGAGTGACATCTACGATGTGTTTCTGGAGAAGTTGGTTCGCAAAGTGCGAGACTTTAAAGTCGGTCCTGGATTGGATGCGCAGTCTACGATGGGCCCATTGATCGGGCCTAATGCTGTCGTTAAAGCCGTCGAGCATATCCAGGATGCCGTACAGAAGGGTGCGGAGATTGTGCACGGAGGTCAATCTCGTGGAGGCAATTTCATCGAGCCGACTATCCTCAAGAATGCCAATGACACGATGAAAATCACGACAGAGGAGACCTTTGCGCCGGTCGTGGCGTTGTTCCGATTCAGCACTGAAGAGGAGGCGTTGAAGCGTGCGAATGACTGCGACGTTGGCCTGGCTTCGTATATCTTCACGACGAATATCGATCGGGCGAATCGTGTCTCTGAGAATTTGGAGACGGGAATGGTGGCTATCAATACCGGTGTCATTTCCGATGCTGCTGCTCCGTAAGTTTTCCCTTCTGATATTATAGATGATTGCTAATTGTGTAGATTTGGAGGAGTCAAGCATTCTGGATTGGGTAGGGAAGGAGGAGTTTATGGTATTCAGGAATATCTTGATTTGAAGACAATTGTGACCGTCAAGGCGAATCTGTAGTTTATTTAAATTAGATGCGTGAATGAAGCCATTCAACTATACATTTCTACTCTGCGTACAACGTTGCACTTTGTAAAGAATACACAGACTAATCCAGAATAAACTGAGCTATGACATGTCAATAATAACCAATGACCATTCATCTACTATCCCATAAATATTCCTAACACTTTCCTGCAGTTAATTGCCCAATTGGGCATGCGGGGAGACTTTCCTTGACTTACGATAAGCAATCATGGATTCACATGAAGATGGATTTTAAATATCGCCTGTTGACACCAGTTATAGTCGCTCTTATTATTCTATTCAATTATTCTCAATTGACCCTCTAATTGACTATCTCATCATGGCCAACCGCCCTGAACAACTTGATGCTTCGATCCTCACTATTTCCGACTTGGCCAAAGCAGGCGAGAAACGACTGCCGGTGATTGTTCGAGGTATTAACAACACTACAACTGAATGAATTATGCTAATTTAATATATCGTAGACTATTTCAACCAAGGAGCCGGTGATCTCGTAACGTATGTTCAATCCCAACTACCCAAAAACCAATCTAATAAAATAATCCACAGATTAAAAGACAACGAAGCCGCCTTCACCCGCTACAAACTGCGCCCCCTCGTCCTCAAAGACGTCGACTCCCTCGACATCTCCACGACCCTCTTCGGCCAGAAAATCCCCTTCCCACTCGGCTTCGCCCCCTCTGCCGCACACCGTCTCGCACACCCAGACGGCGAGCTCGCGACGTCCAGAGCGGCGGCGAAAAATGGGATCCCGATGGCGCTGTCTTCGTGGTCGACGACGAGTGTCGAGGATGTGAGGGCGCAGGGTGCGGGTGCGGGGAATCCGTATGCGATGCAGATTTCGTTTTTTAGGGATGTCAACATTACCAAGTCTATTATTGAGAGGGCGGAGAGTGAGTCCTACTCCTGCACCCATCTACAACCCCTTGTATTTTGTTTCTGAGTGAAATATTAACATGGTATAGAGGCCGGCTACAAAGCCCTCTTCGTCAGCGTCGACCTCCCCGTCCTGGGCGCCCGCCACAACGAATCCCGCAATAACTTCTCCTTCCCTTCATATCTCGAATTCCCGAATCTCTTTAGTAATGGAGAAAAGGGGCTGAAGCAGACATACGAAAATGGGTACGATCCGTCGATTACCTGGGATAAGACGATTCCGTGGTTGCGAGCGAATACTAAGATGGAGATTTGGTTGAAGGGGGGTGAGTTATCTTTACTTGATTTGATTTGATTATGTTTTACTTGAGGATTTAATATTAATGATGGTAGTGTATACACCCCACGACGTCCAAAAAGCAATCGACTACAAAGTCGACGGCGTCATCATCTCCAACCACGGCGGAAGACAACTAGACGGCGTCCCCGCGACCCTGGATGCCCTGCGTGAATGCGCACCCGTCGCGAAAGGCAAGATCCCCCTCGCCATCGATGGCGGGATTCGGTCGGGGGCGGACCTCTTCAAGGCGCTGGCGTTGGGCGCGAGTGTGTGTTTTGTCGGGAGGATTCCGATTTGGGGGCTTGCTGTGAGTTTTACTTTACTTTTTTGGTGGTGATGGGATTAGCTGACGGTGATGTGATGGCAATAGTATAACGGTGAGGATGGGGTGGATTTGGCAGTGAAGATTCTTTTGGATGAATTCCGTCGGACGATGATGTTTATGGGGTATGTTGTCTGTTCTATTCTATTCGTTGGTGGAGATGCTAATCATTGTAGATGTCGTACGATTGAGGATATTCAAAAGACGCATCTTTCGGTTCTGAGGAGCGATGGGCTACTTTGCAAGCTGTGATAGATGGATAGTTGAATACTTAACGATTTATGTTCATATTCATAAATTGCTAAAGAATACACACAATTGATAATAAAAAGATGAATGGAAAAAGGAAATAAAGAAGATACAGAGAAATGTCCAATACAAGATCACTCACTCCCATAAAGCCTTTAGCCACTTCCATTTCGAAGTCTCTACACTCTCCCCTAAATCCTCCATCTCCTCTACTTCCAAGGCATGCACTTCATCCATTCCAGAAATAAGATCAATCTCTTCAGGCCGATGCATCCATTTATCTCCCCAATGCACCAGGCGATGGGCGATGTAAATGACCAAAAAGACAAATAGTCCAATGTACGAGGTCAGGAATGACGACGCAGAAAAGTGTCCTGGGAAGAACACCCCGAATCCATTGCACAGAAGCAAGATTGGAAATACCAAGGTCGCCAGCCAGATCAAATACGGCTGCATCCGTGATTGATATGGGCGAATTGGCTGCGTGGTGGTAGCTTGAGCTTTGCAAGCTTTGCGGAACCGGTGGAAAACGATACAGCAGCAGGTCCAGGAGATAAAACCAGCCGTGTTGGTGATGTTGATGAACCATGTGAACACAACGCTTGCGCCAGCGCTACAATTCATATAAGCCAGTAGACCAAAGAGGGAGCAGGTGAGGACCGAGTAGTATGGTACTCCCCACCGGTTACAACGCGTAAAGATAGCTGGGGCATTGCCAGCCACGGCAAGCGAGAACAGTGACCGGCTGGACATGTAGAGGTAAGAGTTCCCTGAAGACCAGGCCGAGGTGATGATCACCGCGTTGACCACACTGTCTAGACCTTTGATCCCGGCATTCTTGATCGCAATGACAAAAGGCGATGCAGCGGCGTTAGTCCCATCTGTCAGTCCGGATGCATTGCTCGGGCAGATTACACCAATAGCCAGGACACCGCCAACGTAGAAGATAAGAAGTCGGTAAAAGTATTGTTTGGCGGCTCGTGGGAGGTTCTTGCGTGGATGCTTCATCTCACCCGATGCGATAACCAGCAGCTCCGGGGCAAAGTTGAAAGAAAAGACCGAAAAGCACAGAACATATAGATACGCACAGAACCGTCCAGTTGCCCCGCTGGCTCGATACTCATTCATCGCGCCAGGATCCTTCCAGTAATGAAACCCTAGCCGTTGATGACCAGGCCCACCGCCCCAGAACAGGATAAATGACATCAACAGCAAGCCAATGATCAGAAATACCTTTAGCGAGGCGAACCAGAACTCGGTCTCTCCGTACACTTTGACCGGGAAGAAGTTCAGTGCGACAATGGTGACCAACATGATGGTAATCCATACAGCAATGGGCACCGTATTCGGCCAGTAGCTAATAACCAACACTCCCGCTGTTATCTCATAGGCGAAGATAATGCCAAACGAATACCAATACAGCCAGCCCATTGCGAATCCGAGACTGGGCGACACGAAACGGCTGCCAAAGTAGGCCATCGAGCAGCCTCGGACGGGCAGGTAGGTGTTGATCTCCGTGGTCGCTGTGATGATGCCATATACAAGGACACAGATGCTGCAATATGCTGCCAGAAGCATTGCCGGGCCTGCAACGGCGAGGGCTTCCCCTGTACCAACGAAGAGACCAGTCCCGATGGTCCCACCGATAGCCATCATCTGCGCATGCCGAGACTTGATGCCACGCTTTGTGTTGATGGCATTCATCTCACCGGCTTGGCTTTCCACGAATGGTTTATCCTGGCTCAACTCCATCTTGAGTGGATTGCCTAGGGATGACTTATCGGTTTCTTCCATAATAGCAGGGAGATGCAATCAGAAGAAAGGGTAGAAATAAATGATATATAAGGAAATCGAGACCAGTAGTCCCATACTGCTGAAAGAAGTCGGCATGGCTATTATTTTATGCCCAATGCATGAGATAAAGCCATCCGATATCTTCCTCTTTCTCAGCCTATGGCTGATAGTAGGCGTCATATTAGTGTTTCACCAAACGCCCATCACTGATAGCTGTACTGTCCCCGGATTGACAGACATACAACGTCCCGCATGTCATTGATAGATCGTCAAAGTCAGATTGGGTTCCGCGACACATGATTCGTCGTGGCAGTCGTACTTCAGGATAGGCAAGTCTCCGCTGATACTAGACCCACTGGCCTTCCGAGATACGAATGCAAGGCAAGTGACTCGATGGCTTGCCTTGTGATTTGATACAGCTTTGCCACTCTGGCGAGGAAGGTCATCGCGAGCATAGGGTGCGATCGACTATATCTCCCCTCCACCCCACCTGAAGCACAGAATTGCGATCGTGCCACATCCCTGACAAGCCGATCTATCTTTTCTTCGTTGATAAGAACATTCACAATGTCTTCTACAATTACCATGACAGCACAGGAGGAAAAGCCTGAGGGCCAACAGACCGTTCAGAAAGCAGAGCCATCTGCCATCCAAGCCATCTCTCAGGGCGTTTGCCTTCCTGGTGTCCCCTCATTCACATCCATGGAAAAGAAGCGTCGATGGATGCTGGAACACATGGCCGGGGCGTTCCGGGTGTTTGCTCGCAAGGGCTTCTCCGAGGGCATGAGTGGGCATATCTCCTTAAGGGATCCAGAACATCCAGACTGCTTCTGGACAAACCCGTTCGTTTTCCTTTCCCTATTCAGTAACCTGAAAGGTTGAACTAACTGTACATAGCCTAGGGCTGCATTTTAGCTTGATCAAAGTATCAGACTTGATTCTCTTGAATCATGTAGGCCAGCCGGTAGGAGGAAATATGTCTCGTCCTGCTAATGCAGCGGGCTTCCAAATCCATGGCGTCCTCCATAAATTATATCCTCACGTCAATGCGGCATGCCACACTCACTCCAAGTATGGCAAGGCATGGTCAACATTTGCCAAGCCTCTAGACATGATCAACCAAGACGTGACCATGTTCCATAACGAGGCGCAGGCCGTGTATCCAGAATTTGGAGGCGTGGTACTTGAAGAAGAAGAAAGTCATCGACTAGGAAACTCACTTGGGCCCAATGGCAAACTTCTCATTCTTCGTAACCACGGACTGTTGACCGTTGGGCAGACAGTGGATGAAGCGGCATATTTGTTCACGCTTGCTGAGAAAAGCTGCGAGATCCAGCTCCAGGTTGATGCTGCCGCCGCAGGGGGGCTGGAGAAGAAGATTATTGAGCCAGACGCTGCCGCATACACTTTTAAAATGACCAGTGACCCGGTATGTTTTTTGATCGACCTTCCTACTGTCCGGTCTAACAAGCATATAGGAGGCGCTTTATCACGAATTCCAACCGGATTATGAAGCCGAACTTGAGTTATCAAACGGTGGCTTCCTGCGTTGATTTGAGAAAGACAGAGGGCCCAAGACTTATGGCTTCATGTATTTATCGTTTCATGATTATGATGATTTGATTGAAATCGTTACGCGTAAAAAAGAGTCAAGTTCTTTTCTCGTACCAGATCAGGCCAGTTAGCGCTCATGCCGTGCGTCGGTTGCCGCTGCCGTTCCCAAACCTGGTGAGCAATTTGACTAGCCAATTCAAACGTCCCCAGCCCTGTTCTCTGGGATGATGCCTCGAACCATGCAGAAAACCAATCCTGCAGAGTAGGGTCAAGTGCTTCACAGCCCGCGATGAAGGCTATCCACGCAAATGTGGCTGCGTGTCGAACTGCGGGGTCCCCAGTACGATCACATTGCACCAGCTCGTCTTGAACTTGCCGTACCTTATCCTGCAGCATTGCTGCATCCATGTCATATATACGGCGGTAAAAGAATATCAGCAGCGCCTTGTGAAATGCGCAAAGCATGTGTTGTATGAGTTCTTGGTTTGCCTGCTTCAACTTCTGCGTCTCCAGATCCGCTACGGAATCCACGGTGGGTAACGGAGGAGACTTCCAAGTGCGGATGTAATTCTCCAGGCTGCGTGCACGAGTCGAGAATTGTTTAATGGTGAGGGTACTTGAGCTACTTCCCGACTCAGAAAGATCCTTTTCATTGGCAAGTCGGGTCACCTGGGAGAGCAAGAAAAAGAAAGACTCGGGAATACCGTAAATGATGGGATACATTGTCGGATCCCAACGCCCAGGAAGCTCAAGATGAAGATCATTTTCACCCTGACTCTGATCTTTCAACTCATTCATTCGCTGATCAAGTCGGCCTTCCCACTGTCGCAGGCGAAAGGAGCGATTAGTTGTCACCGAGACCATTGTGGCCGGTGTTGTTTGATCCGCATCGGTATCGGAAGCCGTTATGGGGGAGACAGATGTGCTCTCGTGAAATATACGCAGGTATACGTAGCAGTGATGTAGCAGACGAACCTTGCGTGACTTGGTTGTTTTAGGAAGGCCGTGTGAATGAATCCAACTTTCGCAGTCCAGCAAGCAGCTACGGATACGTTCCTGGCTCCCCTGGTATACCTGAAAAAAAATTAGCAGTGTGATATGCGAATGGACAGGGGGGGGGTTACTAACAGAAACTGTATGCATACACAGCAGAGCAATCAACAAGTCTTTGTACTTGACCTTCTTTACCATGGCGGAGGCATCTTGCAACGCCAGTTTCAAATATGTTTGTGCTTGCATCGTATACCCTTCCGCCTTTTGCTGCCAATATTTATACGAGCCATAAGGCGCAGATATTCGCAAGGCGAACGCGCTGGTGGCCAGGATAGCATAGAGAGTACACAACGGAGCATTCCCAGGCCATTCGCCCATAGTCATTTGAGCCAAAGAATTCATGGCGCTAGATAAGTGAATAATATGCCAAATAGTCTTTTTATTGGACACGGGGGAGAACATGGTGATCACCGTGTTCTTGTAATAGGATAAAAGGAATGGGGCATCTTTAGGGGCGAGATTTTGTAACGGTGTCACAGATGATGGGACCTCTGGAGAGGAGATAAATGTTTCTCTGCCGATACTGGATGGCAAGCCGAAAACATCATCCGAATAATCCTGGGCATGGGATAGAGTGGCACTGAAAAAGTTGTTGGCGTGTAAATCAACAGCGGCATTGACATCCCAGAACAGAGATTCCATCAAAGGATCTCCATTGAAGACATCTTCCAAATCCATGTGTAATTCACTATCAATTGGTGGAGGTGGACATGGAGAGCTCTCAACCGGCATCTCATTTTCAACCGGTCCGTGTTGTTCAGGGATCAGCCGAAACGCACCAAAAGGACCACGAAGAGTAGTAAAACTGGCCCTTGTGTCCTCCTCTGGCTCTTGGCACTCTTCGTCAACCAGCATCAGAAGGTGATTCAGTTGGTCTGGCTCTGCACTGTCCGTGAGCTCCTCACTCATCTTCTGTCGCATGCTTTCCGTGAACAGCGGACGACGACATCGCGAGCCATGATCGTCATTGACATCAAAAGTTAAGCGTATCTCGTACCCCTCGCACACCAGATCCTGATTACGACAGACCTGGCAGGTGGGACGGGCCTCATCGCACTTGGTATGTCGACTGCGACATGTTCGACAACCACCTAGCGAACGGGTTCGTGGCGCCGCCTGGACAGGTGCTTTTGCCAGAATGCGGGGAACTGAGGGCGATTCGACGGATGCTGGATGGACTGATGTCATTCTATCGATAAAAGGACATGTGCTGGAATGATATCCTCGAGGGAGATAGAGAAAGAAAGGAAGATAAAGCAGAGGAAGGCCATGGTTGGTATTTATGATGAACAAGGCAAGTCACGCCGTGGGTTGTCGATGGATTAGCGGGGTCGATAACTGATAAGCGATAAGCCCTGGCGATATGAATTATAAGTAGGTAAGCGTTTGCTGCGACATCGTCATTGCTGCACATCACCTTTGAAGCTGAATATTCTATCCGAAATGATTGAAAAAGCAAACGTTCTTCTCGTCGGCTGTGGAGGAATCGGCACTATTGCTGCCCTGAACCTCGAACTGGGAGCCAAAGCGACCGTCACGGCTGTCCTCCGCTCCAACTACGAGCATGTCAAAGCGAACGGCTTCTCTATCAAGTCTGTCGATCATGGACAGGTGGAAGGATTTAGACCATCAATCAGTGAGTATTTCAGAGATGCTACAATGAATAATTCTGACTTGTCCAGTGCGGAACACAATGCCCGACGTTGCAAAGGAACAGCTCCCACCATACAAATATATCATCTGCACCACCAAAAACATCCCCGATGTTAGCCCAACGGTCGCAGAAATAATCAAACCAGCAGTCACACCCGGACACTCAATTATCGTTCTCATGCAAAATGGCTTGAATATTGAAAAACCTATTTTCTCCGCATTTCCAGACAACATCGTTCTATCGGGCGTCAGCTTCTGCGGCTCCCATCAAATAGGGCTAGGACAGATCGTCCACGAAGACGACGACGAACTATATGTCGGTGCATTCCGCAACCCTTCCCAGGACCCAGCAGTTGAAGACAAAGCGGCCGCAGAATTTGTGGAAATCTACGGAGCTGGTGGTAAATGCAAGCCCGAGCATAACCCTAATGTGGGCTTCAGCCGGTGGCGCAAACTGCTGTACAACGCTTGTCTAAACTCACTATGTGCCGTCACTGACCTGGATACGGGTCGGATTCAAATGGCTGACGGTGCGGTTGAGAATCTGGTAAGACCAGCCATGGAGGAGATTCGCAGCGCTGCAAAGGCATGTGGCCATGATTTGCCGGCTGAGCTGGTCGATTTCATGATCACAATGGATCCTATCACTATGTATAACCCCCCAAGTATGCAGGTGGATCTGCGAAATGTAAGTTGTCCTTGTATTCCGGAGCTGCTTCAGAAATTAATTGTCGATATAGGGGAGATTTTGCGAATATGAAAATATCTGTGGTGAACCATTAAAGGAGGCTCGCGCTAGAGGAGTGCCGATGCCAACGCTCACCGTCGTTTATTACTTGTTGAAGGCTATTCAATGGCGAACAAAGGAGAAGAAGGGACTTATTCCCATTCCAGCTCCAGAGGATCACACGGTTCAAAAGTAAGACCTGAGCTGAGGATAATAAATCAATGAAATCATGTAATAGAAGCTTTCAAATTTAGCATGAATGACTCCATCCGCTAGATATGAAGATAAGTCTATTCTAAGGTATCTACCTTTCTCAAATAATTGCCGGTTTCAGCTCCCCGATGCACTCTCCAAACCCGACACCAGACGATTCACTCCCAACCACCCCTGTCATCCGGATAACGTCGCCGTCCTGCAAGAACACTCTCGTGGAGCCATCGGAAAGTTTCAAGGGAACTTTTCCACCGTCGGTAACCTCAAGTAAGCAGCCGTAAGACCCCTCCTGAGAACCGCTGACGGTCCCCGTTCCCAGTATATCTCCTGTCTGTAGATTGCAACCGGTGCTGGAAAGATGTGCGCACATCTGTCGACCACTCCAATATAGATCTTGAGCTTGAGACTCGCTTACCACGGTATTATTGCTACCATCCTGGAGCTCGACCTTCAGATCAATGGCATAATTTGGAGATTCTGTCTCTTGTAGATGGATTGATGGTGTCACTTTGGATTTCGGGCCGGGTGCTTTGAACGGCTCCAGGGCATCAAGGGTTATGACCCATGGCGAAATGCTAGTTCCAAACGCCTTTGAATTTAATGGGCCTAGAGGAATCATCTCCAAGCCTTGAATATCACGGGCTATACATTTGTTAGTTAGAGCTACACGAGGAATAGAATAAAAAAGAACTTACAGCTCCAGTCGTTCAATATCACCAAACCAAAGATATGCTCGTCTGCGTCTTTGGCATGCAGTCTCTGATGTCGAGGGACTGGTTTCCCTACAATCACACCAATCTCCAACTCGTAGTCCATCGCCTGCGAAGGGCCAAAGATAACGTGTTTGTCCTCCGTCGACGCAGATGGGTCATAGAAATGGCCCGAAGGACGTGCAATTGGCGTTCCTGAGACAGAGATGGTACCGGCACGACCACCATAACCGATAGGAAAGTGGAAGAATCCCGGGGGTGGTTTTTCGTTGTTGAGGATTGCTCTACCAGCGTTTCTTATGTGATCGAGACTGCAAGAGAAGTCTGCAACTGTTAGCTTCTGTTATGCGTCAGAGATAGGAAACGAGGACATACCCGTAAACGATGGAATGGAGACGGGAAGATGCAACTGAACCGCTGTAATATTTTCTGTGCTATTCGAAGGAAGTCCCTCTGCTCCTGACTGTCTCAGAGCTGATTGTAGCGTCTCTCGAACCTCGCGGTGAATTGATTTAGATAACGCTGCATAGTCGTTCAGGGTAGAGTTATCAAAAACCCCACCGGGAAGGTCTTGGACTTGTGCAAAGAGACCTGATTGCTGTAGCACACCCAGGAAAATGACTGTGTTGTTGAGTCGAGTGACACACTGTTGTGAGTGTTGCTGTGACGATGCGACTCCAAAAGGGAGGTTCTCGATGGAGAAATGGTGGCTATACTCTGGGGATGTCATAGTGGGTTGTTGGGTTGCTTCTTTTGTGATTGAGGAATAAAGCCGAACTATCTCGTAGCAGATTGTGATTGTTCTTATCTGCTGCAGTCAGTGGTGTTTCTGCGTTGGGGTTGTCTGTTGGGATGTGGGTTTGCTTCTGTCCACATTCCGATGTCCCCTGCTTCTTCTCTCTTCCCCTCCACCTCCTCCAAAGGCGATCATTACCCCTCCATTCCTGTATATCTATCAAATTTCATCAATCGGGATCGGAGTTATCGGGAAATGGACACCGGTTGATGCCAAATACCTCCCACCCGTTGTTTTTGATGACAAACTCGACATGCCGACGATGGCGCCTTTCCGTCTTCCTTTACGGCGAGTTCTTGAAAGTACCCCTGAATATTTCGATCTCTGGGAAGATTCCACAGCATAACGCTCGCCTCGACTATCACAAAATTCATAGTCAGATACGAGGATGTCGGGCTGTGCCCAACGGCTCACGTGCACACCTTTGTGTAACCGGCTTGCACCGGGCTGATGAGGGATTTTCGATATCACAACAACAGTCCTAACTGTATACTCGTGGGAAGGTACACTTTGCCCAGAGATACAACAGCATCCAATATTTCCGAGGCGTCGTAAATATTGCAATCTCCAAGGACCAGGGTTGACCATAATACGAAAGATGATGGTTCTCGTACAACTAAACCCATCGCTCAATTTATCTGGCGGGTATTTTCAACTCATCATTCCCTGTAAGACCACTTGTGAGATTTCTGGATAGATTACAAACCCCTCCTTTGTGTGAGTGGAGTCAGCATAGAAGGCCAGGCTGACGGAGGCCTTACCTCCAGCTTCCAGTTAAACACCACACAGATACGAGCAGTTTCCAACCTTCACTACTCGACTACTTGCAATACCTAGTTCATATACTTTCATTGTACTCCGTATTCTCGGCGGGGAAAAAAAAAATCTGCCACGAAAAAACACAGCACTGAACGACAAAAGCGTGGACAAAATGTCTTCGGTCTCTTCGATCCGCCAATACAGAGTGGGCGTCATTCTATTCGAAGGAGCAGACATCCTCGACTTTGCGGCTCCCATTGAGATTTTGTCTCATGCATCGCGTAACCGAAACCCTGATGACCCTGATCGTATCTTCAATATCGAAACCATCGCTCGTACACGTGCTATTTCAGCAAAGGGTCCCCTAGCTATCCAAGCCGACGTCCTCTTGGATGACGTCTTTCACAATATAGGAGAGTACGATATTTTGGTCGTCCCAGGATCCTCGCCGTCAATTGTCAAGACGTTAATTGGCTCGAATTCGCCTGAACTTGATCTGATTCGGAAGTTCGCCACACTGCCTCTCACTGCGCAAGGTGAACCACGAGTTCTCTTTTCAGTGTGCACTGGTGCTATCCTGCTTGGAGCTGCAGGGGTCTTACTTGGGGTCACGGTAACCACTCACCACAAAGCCTTCGATTGGCTTCGCGATGTCTGCTTCCAAGGAAATGAAGACAGGATGCCGCCCCCGGAGATCATCCACAAACGCTATGTGGACGGGGGACTCATGAGAAATGGTACAGTGAGGCTTTTGACAGCTGGTGGTGTCAGTTGTGGGCTAGATGCAAGTCTCTTTCTTGTCAGTCAGCTCACTACGCCTGATATGGCAGCCTTTGTGGCTCGTGTTGTCGAGTATGATTGGAAGCAACCTACTGAATGATGATCAAGAGAAGCCTCAGCAGGTGGGATCTAGGGCACAGTACCAAAGCATCTCTTCATTGAGCTCCTAGCAATAGTTTTAGCTCTTCTATTTTTTTTTTGGATATAGCAAATCAGACCATCACTTCTCTCGCATACTCTTTTCTGAGATACGATATGGGTACTGTGACATCCCCATCGAAGCCTCTGGATTAATTACCAACATACAGTACTTTCAGCTTCCTGACTCAGACAACTCTACCTATACTAGGTTTCTCCTTGAACTTTACTGTGATCTATAAACAGATATCACGAATGATGTTCTGTCTTACGATGGGGCTCACAATCAGACATCACACCCTCATCCCATGTGATCATTGATATTATGAACCAGGCCACAGTGGATCTTGAGAACGCGGTTTCAGGACATGATGCCTAGAATGACGATCTTGTACCTCCGAATAAGGCTCTGGCCGCACAACGTGGGCATTGATTTCGTGCAACATCGCTCACCTACAGCACCAATCGCTGATCTGAGACCATTGCCCCGATTCATAAAATCGATTTTTATAGGCGAAGGAGCCAATATAGTGCCTCAATGCATCTGCAAAGATAGTCATTGTCGGTGGATCTGTCCTTCATATTCGTATTGCCGATCAATGCCAAAGCCCTCGGCATCAATGAGTGTGCATACTCTGATTGAGAGAGCATCTAGACTTGGTGTGCATTGACGTCAGGTTACAGCCATTCACGATGGACACACACGCAGCTGAGTCTCTGCACACTTGTTTCTGATATCCCTTGTTCGATGGGTATAGCTGACGTGGAGGATGATGCTTTCGGAATGTACCTTGGGGTATATAAAGCCTCGAGCACTTCCACCTCAAGCCAGACCAAAGATTTATCCCTCAAAGCAAAGCAAGTTTTGAATTGCATCTTCATTGAATATATTTCTTTTATATATACACATATTTTTGTATTTTTCATTTCCACATTGCTAGAACACCCTTCCATCCGCCAACATGATCGCCATTGTTCCGAATGCGGACCAGACTCCACTCTCAAACACTGACACCACTCATAACAACAACGTGGGGCATTCGTACAATGCAGTCCCCTTTCCCGAGAAAGGAATGAACTTTGAGGCAACCGAGATTGCTTCATCCTCGGATTCTGATGAATCCTCGGACGACCACGCTGCCGAACACCATGCTTCCTCCTCGGAGGGCGAATCTGTCCCTTCGGTGAATCACGAAGCCGAGTCAATGGGCTCATATACTAGTACAGAGGCTATCGAAGAAAACCCCATTGTACCTCTTGTTGCAGTTGTTGATGTGCAAGATTCCACTCCCGAAGATGCCAATCAGCCCACCGAAGATGGAGATATCCCCATTTCAGACCAGGGTGCTTCATATCATGAGATCAAGGACAGTACGATACTCCATTCCGATGAGTCTCTTCAAGTCACTCCAGAAGAGCACACCGGAGTGACTTCCAAGTCTGAAGCAACTGCCGTCAGAATTCTCAAGATCATCGAAAGCTATGGAGTGAACTTTGAGAAAACCGGCGAGTCCTGGAAGGGACTGGACTCATTTATTCCCACTGTTTTGGATCAAGTGGGGAAACAAGAGCCAGTCAGAATGATTCTACCAGCTTTTCCATTTAAGTCTCCAAATGCCCGAGACAAAGTTTTGGGAAAACTCCCTGATCTAGGAGAGGAGCTGGCACTTTTCCATCTGAACGGACTCTGTGAGAATATTGGCAGCATCTATGAGCCTGGTGCAAACGTCTACATCAGCTCGGACGGACTTGTATACAATGGTAAGAATGCAATTAAATTGATAATAAATGTTTGAATCTGGTGCTAACTGTCCTAGATATTCTGGGCGTCCCTGATGAGACAGTCTGGGATTACGGAGAAGCCTTACGAAAGATGGCAATCGAAAAGGAACTCCACCATGTCAAGTTCATTCGACTTTTCGAGCTCCTTGATCACCCCTGGATTCCGCAAAGTAATGAAGAAACAGCCAAATATTTCTATCTAGCTCATGCACAATGTCTTCGAAGAGAACTCATGTTCCGCTTCGGAGACCCGACCTTTGATGCCGATACTGCCATCCGAACAGACAATGACACCTGCCTAACATATCGGGGGTACATCAAGTTCTTGACCAAGGACCTGGCCCACCAGGAAGACACCCAGTTTACTTCAAAACGTGCCAGAGCCGCTCACATCGGCCGGACAGCGCGAAGTATGATTGTTCGGGGAAAGATGTTTGCGGCTGCCATCAAGACAAACCGCAGCGACTATGTTCGACTGTCCATCCATGAATCTGCTGGAGAAAAGAAACTGTCCATCTCGTTGGTTCCCCAAATTCGAGGATCCTTGGGATATACCCCATGGCACTCGTCTATTGCTGTTCGTTTGGACGGAACATATCGCACCGTTCACGCAGAGGATGTTCGAGAAACACATGACTTGATCTATAAAAACGGTCGGCCATATCATTTCCGCGAGCGATCAGAACTGTTCGACTGGATGGCAGATGGTTTGTGTGTCAAGTTTGAACATCTCTACCCTTGCGGCCTGATCATCCGGCCGGGAGATATTGACGATGCCCGTCCACGCCCGTCAATTCGAGATTTGCCCATGCAAAAAGTTCGACATCTTTCGAACGGCTTATCTCCCATCGTTCTACGTGGGTTCGCAGAAACCCTCCAGGAAGACCTTTATCTCGATAAAGCCTCAGAAATGGGCGTTGTCCTCCCATGGAGTTTCGGTGTCATCCAAAAGGTGCGCGACGCAGGACGCTCAGATAAACTGGGCAACAACGTCACCTCCAACGAGGCAATGCCGATGCACTTCGACGGCATGTTCAAGTTTGAAGAGCAACTCGACCCGGAAACCGGGGAGGTAAAGCGTGTCCAGAAACCTCCCGGTTACCAATACTTTACCTGCCCGGCGACGGCGCCCAAGGGGAGCGGATACACGCTTTTTGCCAGCTCCCGACTTGCTTTCCGATACTTGCCTCTTCCGTGGACGGTGGAGAGGCTCCAGAAAGTTACCTGGGCCATGGAAAATGATGGGTTCTGGGATGCGAAGCTCAAGAATTTGCCGTTGCTTGTGATGCATCCTGTTTCTGGCTTGCCGTGTCTGCGTTGGCATCAACCGTGGGATTTGACCAAGACCAAGTTCTCGACGTGTGATGTAACCATCGAGAATGATGACCAAAGTCTCATGTCTGTCATTGACAGCCTGACATATGACCACCGTGTCTGTCTTCGTTTCTCGTGGGAGAAGGGAGATCTACTTGTCAATGACAACACGGCCATGCTTCATACTCGAACGGGGTATAAGACGGACTGTGATCGCGAACTCTGGCGAATTCATTTTGATTAGATTAGTGATCTTTTTCTATTCTTCAAATTTCGGGTCAATTCTCTCTTTCTACGATTGTATTTTCACTTTGGCTTCATTTGTCTCATTGTCTTTCGTTTCACATATATTATTATTTGAAGAAACTCATGTCTCGTGACGCCTCAATAAGTCCAATCAACATTTATATATACTTCGCTCTATATTTCAAATGGCCCGAAACAATTGTCACTATATCATGGCTTGATAGTTGCTCGATGACTGTGACTTATGCAATGGACAGCTAGGTATATAGGAGCCTGCGCCAGTCCAAGTCCCTGATATCATGGAGTTTGGAGACCCTCCAACAGAACCTTGTATGTGGCAGAGACACTGCATGCTCTGCACGTTCGAGGTGTCCAATATTTCCAGGAAATCGGGACTACTCATCCCTGGTGGCTGTGGGCTCGAAGCACCCATGCCAGGCATGGTTTGGGGAAGTGGCATATCTATATAGTGTATCAGTAAGTGTGGCGAATTTTGAAAGTGAATGGAATGCTATCTTACCAGGGCCTAAGCCATCAAGGTTGGTTGGAGGGCACTGGGACTGAATATTGAAAGAGTCCGAGAACAGTAATGGGTCTAAGCATGTCGAATTAAATGTTCTCGGCGTCGCAAGTGATGGATCGGGACTCAGGGTATTTGGTGGAGTCATAGAGGTATTGAAAGAGTTGAACAGGGTAGAAGATAGTTGCGAGTTGGTATCATACTCGCTTGCACAACTAGTGTTGAATGAGCCAAGGGAGGATGATGGAGTCGACGTTATGGCAGGGGCATGTCCCATGGGGTTGTTGCACGAAGAGCAAATATTTGATGAGGATGGTGACGAGGAATGTGAATGCGAATGGGAGTGGGAGTGAGATGGGTGAGATAGATGAGATGAATGAATGGGAATGTGACTGTCGAAGAACGGTGGGGAGCCTCTTTCGAGATCGAATGTGGTTGTATAACCATTCGACAATGGACCTGGTTGGTCCCATCCATTCATGTTTGCCACGGCTCTCAGTTCGCTGGCGACAACAAGCTCCTGTAGTCTTGCCATTCTCTCTCGGATCTTGCGGCCTGGTACTCGGTGAGAATCTGGGGATGGGGAGACGTATTGGGGATATAGACTAACGGTGGTTTCTCTGAGAAAGTCGGTTCTGCAGGCGTCGTCTCTCTATTGGGTCCTGCTTTCTGTCAGGGGATTCTTGTCTCTCGCGAGTAGATTTGGTCCGCATGTTGAATGATGAATGTGGTTGTCTGGTGGCCAGGCACTTATGCAAAGAGCCGTGGTGATTGCTTCCTTTTTTGTATCTGCCTACAGTCTCCATAAAAGTCAATTTTAACTCGTTTGCAGCATGGGAAAAAAAAAACAAAAACAAAAACAAAAACATCAAGCAGGGGAACAGGGCCAACCTGGAAGGAAGCGACTGCACTTTTTAAACGATATGTCCTCTTCCACGAGAGACAGGTCAAACTCGGTCTTCGATGGTCTCAGAATACGCCGTAGGTTGTACAACACAGACCAAGTAGTCACAGTCAAATTTCGATTGTTAGTGGTTACAATCAGCCTCCTCTGGAGACTCTCGCTTTTAAGACCATGGAGAAAGAGGCTGAGTTTCCCCGCCCACCATATTGAAGATCATCAGGCTGCGTATGCGATCCCAGACTGTAATATTCGATTCGCTCGCCAAGCAACCAATTACGTTGTCTGAAAAGGCTGGAGGGGGTAAGACCGAAAGGGATCTCGAGTCAAGATCCCAGCTAGAAGGCGAACGATTTGATCCATAGGGAAGGTGCGAACAGGCCCTGGTACCTCGAGACTTGGGTTGATGTTGCAGTTTCTTCTATCTCTACTGAATGTCCTGCATGTAGCATATTTTTTGTTATTCCACTAGACAGTTTTTATTGATGATCAACAGCCATGCGAGCTTTTAGTGATCCAGAGGTGCATGTTGACACTTTCGTTTGGTTGGTCCGTGGATATAGTAACACGCACACATCATCGTAAGGTCTAAGCCAGGCCATCGGGCAGGCTTTTTAGGCCTCCACTCAACCGAATAATCCAAAAAGAATTATAACAAAAATAGAACGGTTCCTGATGGCAGGCTTGGGGATGGCTTGGATATGGAGTTCCGGTAGATCTTCCAAGTCGGCTTTGTATAGCTTAGAAGTATTGGCCACACGTTTCCCCACTCGACCAGCCAAAATTAACATCAAGCCCTCTTGGATCGATATGATAGGCTTTATGTATGCAGGTGGAATTGAAATATACCCAGCCCAATTGTTGCGGGTATCTAGTATTATCTGATCGCGTGGATCAACGCATGGAAGCACAACAGACTGTAAATGATTTTGACCTGAAAATCCCCACTTTATGTGTTTATTCGATAAATGTGACTGTAAATGTGTAAATGGCATCATTTCACGGCGATCTGCGGGCGATATCTCAATTTATCGGTTCTTCGGTGAAGTCCTGATTACGGTTATGGGAAATCGCTATCCTGGGAAATAAAGACTTGGATTTCCGATTCGGTCATTTCATTGCATTTTATACACGTTCATTAGTAGGGGTTAATGGTGACGTTAGGTAAGGCTGGCTGGTTGCATAAGCCGTATGCCCAACTAGGTATTTTTGTTGATACCAATATGTTGGAGAATATGGCGATCATTACTCAATACTCAACTTATGCCGTTACAAAGCTGCATGCAATTCTTCTGCAGTCAGACCTGTTGGCACCAAACGTGAACTGGGAGGGCCTCAAGGATACTGCGGAAAACCCTATCGGCCGTATTCGATTCTTGACATGCCAGGGTGTGTTGACCCGTCGAAAAGTGCGGTGGGGATGAACCAAGGCTGCATCCAAGACAAGTCAGCAACAATTTTTTTTGGAACACCTGAGGGGTAAGAACAGGTAACACCATACCGTATGGTCGAGGGGCACGAATAACCTGGCTAAGAAAGCCAACGGGCTCGAATCTGCCGTCAGCATGAAAATTCCAGGACAGTCTTGAGCAACAACGCACTGCGAGCGTCAAACGTCATAGAGTTTTTTTGGAGTCGGTTCATGCAGACATAGCCCTCTGTCATACGGTGATAAAAAGAGAACGGGATAGAATGGCAGTGTTGGAGCGATGGAGGTCGGAACTCTTGTTTTTGGGGTGGCGTAAGATTGAAGCTAGGAACCCCGGAGCAGGTGACAAAAGAGGGTAGCAGTGAATGTCACGGGACAGAAGTACTCGAGCAGTCTGGAAGCAAGCAGATACAAACCACCATCCAGAGGTGCATTCCATCACAGCAAGGATGGCACTCGATAGCACCTGGTTGTCTTGCTAATGATTCCCAACCCGCCTAGCGTCAGCATGAGACCACTCGTATTGCTGGGCCAGGCAGCCATTTTCAGTGGCTTCATATTCTGTGCGACACCCTCTGCTCTTCTATGATCTGATTCTTTCTTGCTCTTAATCCACTGAAAGCTGATGCATTTCTCATTCGTTCTGGATTCGGATCCTGTCTGGCCGAGATAAGAGGATCTCCAGCAATCAACCATGGACAGTATCGTTCGCACCGTGGGAAATCTGCTTCCCTATCACATGCTGTCCTATGGGACTCTGCTGGGAACAGAATTTTATCAAGTGCGATCACCCAGTAGAAATCATGTTTGAATTGCAACTGACTCTAGTGTTCTCCTCCAGAGCTTCGTCAATACCAAGCTGTGCTATAAGCACCTTCCCATGCGAGAATTCATCACTCTGCAGAAACGTATATTCCCAGTCTACTTTAATTGTCAACTCGGGCTCGTCATCTTGACTGCCCTCACACGCCCCCCTTATAGCGTCGTCTCTTTGGCAAAGAACCTGTGGGACGCAGCCCCTTTGGTGATTATTGTTGTCACCGGTGCCCTCAATCGGTTTGTCTATGGTCCCCGCACCACGAAAGCCACATTTGTCAGGCGAGCGCTTCAAGGTACGTAATTCTGCGGCTCATGCTGCGTCCCTTGCTTTGTTTCTGTCGGGGGAGTCTCGGATTTGACCGTATTGGACTCGCAGAGAGCTCCAATAATGAAACCGGCACATCCGGCTCAGACCCCTCCAAGCTGCAGCAGGCCAATCGCGCTTTCTCTTTCAACCATGCTATGACAATCCATCTTAATGCGATATCGGTGGTTGCTACCGTCTGGTATGCTTTCTCACTGTCATCAAGTATCTCTTCAGGGCTGTAGAGAGAGTATGTGTATGGAAAAGCGATGACTTCAAAGTCTTCTTTTAGCGGTCTACATACACCTAAAGCATATAATAACCACATTGTCTAATGTGACGTATATATATCCCCTCTATATATCTGCTTCATGCTTGTTTTGTAGAATATTTCCTTACTTAGTTGGGAATTCCTGTTTGGTGACCCCACACAGTACGGTTACCGAATTGGGCTATCCAGTGACATCGACACCAACACGTCGCGCCCTTCCTCCACCCATCCTTCACCCTTCATCAATACATTTTTCGATTTTCTAGCACACTTCAAGCGATTGCATACAGTGTCATTCCCTGTCAAAGCATCTATAATCACGTCAACATCTAGCAAATGGAAGAATCTAGAGTCGAGATGGACCAAGCCAAGAGGTTTGAGGCATTTATGCCACAGGCAGACTGTGGGATCTCTGGTTTGCTCACTTTCGTAACATGGGGCAATACTTTTGAATCGAAAATACGTCAAGCCAATTCGCTAAGTATCTACTAGGGTGAAAGGAAGAGATGCTAAATTATTTGGACTATCGGACAGAGTAAACGACAGAGGACATAGATCCTCCTCACCCATGAATCTGACCTACTTCCATGGCTGGGCCGTTTTCATATGCAAACAATACCAACCCGGTTTTTTGCCCTCAATCCCAATGGATTGGAGCATCTGATCCAAAGACCTGGGATTAAACCCTGGTGAAACAGCCCTAAAGGAGCTTTGATTGACTGTTGACCCTCAGGTACTGAGCAAGTACATAAGCCACATTTACATGTACCATAAGCCAGGTCTTCACCTCGGATAACGAAGCCCGATTACTGTGAGAAGTATCGAATAATACGTCTGAGGTGAGTGAAACGAGATCCTAGATGTTATGTGATATGGATGAAATACTCACTTTGGTATCTCTTTACAGACATACTGTTATTTTCTCAACTTTTTTCATGTTGTGTACCTTACCACGGCATTTCTGGTTGCAAGAAACTTGCTACAGGTTCTAGCGATGAACGCCTATATCAATATTGTGGCAATTTGATCCAAGACAATTAATTAATACAGGTCATAAAATGCGGTCTAATCCGACATTACTATATTCTTGTCCCACATCCGGGATATGAACCCTGTGTGACAGTACTAACCAATGTTGTGGAGGTATACAACCTGCCTGGATACCGCGGCATGAAGATATTTTGTACCACCGCCCTTGTGACATTTGCCTCGTGTCAGACAATGCTGTGAAACAGATCTCAGCTAAGTCTGAGACAACAGAAACTTTCCATTACGTTGAGATAGCTTCCATGGTATGGCAAGATGAAACTGCAGTATGCCTGGGTCCTACAAACTACGGTACGCGTTTGGTTTGCATAAAAGTACATCCAAGGCTTGCTGCTCACATCTCTGTTTCGCCAAGAGTTCCTATTTACAAAATTGCACTTGTATACTTTGGTGGCTTCGATGCCAGACTGGCTAAATAGTAGATTTCATTGCCACGCAATCTGCCTCCATAATTTCATAACAGCCTCAATAACATATCACCATCGATTCCAAGATCCAGATCACGCCAACTCAACCTCAGGGATCCCCAGCGCAAGCACAGTCCGTTCATACACCCAGACCCCCAAGTATATACTTGAACTACCATGCCTTGCTGACGCCCAGTGATATCGACAATTTTCATTTGGTCAAAACACGATGCAATCATATCACCTATTTCTGTAAATACGAATTTACCTGGATTTCTAATACACCTCTTTCATTGAGGCTGAAAGTATATCACCCCAAACTCTCCGAGCACTCACGTATATGATCCGCGATGGACGACTCATTGGTGTAAGTCTACCATACTACCAACTCTTCAGAAAAAAGGACAGTCACTACAATGTTGCTGGCTTTCGTTAAGGCATTCTCCATTCTCATCATTTCTTTTCTCTATTGGTACCTCCATGTCCCCTGGAATTTCCCTAAGCTCCCACGTATACCCTTCTACGTTTCTATCCTTGGACTATGGAGTGACATGGGCCAAGATGAAATCTACGAGCGATGGTTGAGGAAACCACTCGAGAAGCACGGTGCAGTCATTATCTGGTTTGGAGGAAGATGGAGTATTCTCGCAATCCGCTCTGATCTACTTACTGATATGTTCCGCAATGACGATGTGTACACCAAGGCGGGGAGTCAGCTCAGAACTCCCTGGAGTGTGATTGCAACTTTGGTGGGAGATAACATCATCACTGCACATGGAGATACATGGAGGCTATATACCTCGATCATGAAGCCCGGGATGCAAAAGAAAACATTTGATACCCAGCCAACATTGAATAAATCACGAAGATTTGTGGATAAGCTGTTGGAGCAGCAGAAGGATGCTGGAAATGGGACTAGTATATTGGTTAATTCGTACGTGCAAAGGTACTGTGTGGATGTTATGGGGGAGAACTTTCTGGATCTGGACTTTCAGGTTTGTCAACTACCAGTTTACTTTGATCTAGTTCCGATACTAATTATGGTCAAATAGTCATTGGAAAAGCCAGAAGGTTCGGTACTTTTGGAAGCTATCCAGTCCACCATCAAACGAACCATATTCAGACCATTATTCTTCAACTTCCCACACCTGGACATGTTCCCCTGGCTCTTTAGCTCGCGAAAGGAAGCGTATCGCATCATGCACGAGTTTGATGATACCCTCTATCATACAGTCCGGGATAATCTTGACAGGCGACGAGAAAGGGGGCAAAATACCGTCGACATGGTGGCTCACATGCTAGAAGAAGCGTACAATGATGGCAGAATCACAGAGAAGCAGTTCCGGGATAATCTCAAGATTACATTCCTAACCGCCCACGAGAACGCCCAGCAGCTGATGAACTCGACATTCTGGGTGTTAGGGAAGGAGAAAGTATGTCTATCAGTCAAACTCTCCAAAGCTCTGTGGGCATTCTAACAACAAAAGACCATCCAAGATCGACTCCGCGCCGAAATCCTTCAAACCAACACCACCATCCCAACAGCGGACATCGTCAACCGTCTCCCTTTTCTAACATCCACCCTCTTTGAGCTCCTCCGCCTCTACCCGCCCGTCTCCCAGCTCATAAATCGAGTAACTCTCCGTCCCGCCGTTCTGGGCGGTGAAATTCCCATTCCAGCACGCACCTTCGTGGGCTGGAACGCCCGCGGCGTACACATCAACCCAGCAAACTGGGGAGAAGACGCAGGCGAGTTTCGTCCCCAACGCTGGGGAAAGACCGTCGAGGAGATGCATGCGAAATTCAGACGGGAGACAGTGCGGGGGACATATATCCCGTTTAATGCGCATACGAGAAAGTGTCTCGGGCAAGGTTTTGTGCTGTTGCAGATGAAGATTCTGCTGTTTGAGTTGCTGAGACGGGTGGAATGGACGGTTGACCCGTCTTATAAGCTGAAGCTGACTTCTGTAAGTTCGGTTTTCTTTCGTATATGATATTAAAGCTGTTGCTGACTTTTTCAGGGAGGAATTTTTGCTCCGTTGGGGTGTAGAGTGATTCTGAAAGGGTTGGAATGATGAAACATGCTTGATTTTATTGTGAAACCATTGACTGTGATGTCGTACTGTTTGTGTTCTTCGTTATATAGGAAGTTTCCGTTGCTGATTATCAAGTTCACTTTGGACTGTCATATGTAGTTGAAGTGTCATGTAGATGCACCAATGATAAACTTATCATGTCGCACTCTAAGCCATGCAACTTTATGTAGGACTGCGATGGGTAGGACAGATTTAAGACCACAGCATTAAGTTTATGTATGCATTAAAAAAGTGGATCCGGTAAATCTACTATGATAAGCAGATGATCAAATATCAGTTGTATTCCAGGCTTGCATTACTATTTTATTACCCAGGTACTAGTAAATCAAATCCTAACAGCAGCATCATTATCTCATAATAATTCATCCCATGAAAATTTAAGCAGCAACCTCCCTCCTCTTGGTGACAGCAAACATGTTCAGAGGCTTCGTGCTGAAAGCACCGTTGTAGTTGTCTCCCTCCATGCTGAAAGTGTAGTTCTTGTCGGCCAACTCAAAGTCCACATCCTTGATGAGAGTGGCCAGGGTGTGGAATGACCAGTCCCAGGCGTACTGCTTGCCGAAGCACTCACGCTTGCCGTTACCGAAGCCCTTCTTGACACCCTTGGGGAGGGCGTCGAACTTCTCGCCAACCATGCGCTCGGGCTTGAAGGCTTCGGGGTCCTCGAAGACTTCGGGATCGCGGTTGACGGCGGACAGGATGGCGATCATGGCCTGTTTTGCGGGGATCTCGTATTCGCCGCCGCCGAGGAGAACGGGGCCTTCGGTGGAGGGGAGGGGCTCGATGTTGAAACCCGGAGCGGTGGCGGAGAGACGGAAGGATTCGCGGAGGATGGCCTCGCAGTAGGGTAATTGGGAGAGGTGAGAGTATTCAATTGGGGTGGTGGGGCCACCGACGACGGAGTCGAGCTCCTCGCGGGCGCGGGTGATCTCTTGAGGGTTCTTGGCGAGGTAGTAGATGGCAAAGGTGAGGAGGTTGGGGGCAGTGGCACTGCCGATGAAGATGTTGATGATCTCGTCGATGACTCGGCTGTCTGGGAGGGACTCGCCGGTCTCGGGGTCCTTGCCGTGGAGCAATGCGTGGAGCATGTCCTTCTTGTCGGTGGGGTTGGCGCGACGGTGGGCGATGACGTCGGCACAGTAGTCACGGCAGATGCGGATGTTCTTGTCGAAACTGCGGTTGTAGAAGAGCCAGTTGACGAGACGAAGTCGGTTGGGACGACGAACAGACTCAAAGGTTGTGTCTGACATGGCCTTGATCACAGCAGGCTCGGCTCCGTTGATGCAGTCAACGCGCTGGTTGAAGAAGCAAAGCATGTTGGCAGCGTGGTTGAGTCGGTCCAGGTCATTGGAGACGTTGACGCGCTGCTTGGTGCCATCGCCGCCAGTCCATTTCTTGATCAACTCAACCACAGTCTCCTGCATGCCGCCACACTCCCGCTCGACAGCTTGGGGGGTCACCAGGGGGTGCATGATACGATGCGCGATGCCCCAGCTTTCTTCATGGGCGTACGCGGTGAAAAGACTGTCGTGGACGAGCTGGCGGACCTCGACGATCGGGCCTTTAACGCATTTTTGGAAACGCGTCTCATCGCAAATTTCCTCGAGGAGCTTGGCGCTTGTGACGAAGACGAGCTGGTTTCCCAGAATCTTGACCTTGAAAATGGGGCCTGCAATGGTAAGTTGATGCCTGCGACGATGCGGTTCGAGCTACTTACGGTATTGCGCAGCTAGCTTGTTCAAAGAACCCCATACGTTGCTGGGATCGAGGTCGCGGATATTCCCGAGAATAGGAAGCCCTGGGGGCTGAGGAATGGGCGAAGACATGATGTGTGAATTTGACTCAACAAGGGAGAAAGATGCTGAGAGAAAGAGAAAGGGGGAAAAAAAGAATCCTCAAGCTCAGCTGAAAAGCGACACGGCGAAGACCGATTTAAATTGAAATCTGCACCAGCCACAGCGTCATCCAGCAGCAAGCTGTGTCGCACGGGTAGAGCTATCAATAATCAACCGACTTCTCGTTCGCTGTCTCTTTTCTCCACAATGGGCCTATCCATATCCCTTTCTGGACTTGCTCTCAAAGTCGGGCTTCTTAGGTGGCTCCAGGGAGGAGTCTTGCAGCAATCCATTAGCTTTACCATCGTCGTGAGTGGCTAGCAGTATCCAGCCGGAGATGGCCTAGGATACTCCCAGCCGTCTGCAGATCCAAGTCCAACCCGCCAGAGATCGCGGTCAGCTGAGTTCGCATCTTCAATTCGACGAGGATCGGGTTTTGGTGTACTCCACATGGTGGTGATCGTCGCGGTTTCCGCCAATGAAGTGCATCAAAATGACAGCTGAAGGTGTAAAGCACAGTCTAATCACGGTAGTGTTGATTAGCCAAAGCGGCGATCGGGGAGTTCTTCAGGTCGTGAACTGGTCCTTGCGTGTGGCCTCTGGATTTTCGGGGTGGTTGTATGGCCTTTAGCCTTGTGGGTGATCCCCCCTCATTTTGTCCCAGTGGCAGTCAAGAGGTAGAGTTATCTGACTCTTATCCTCCTTGTTCTTATTTTCCAGTCACTCTCACATGTCGTCGTGCTTTAATTAAACCATCACAGCCAGAGCTGAGTTGGTCGATTTCGCTTTCCACATGGGCCCCATAGCCCTAAACCCTAGCCTTGCAGTAGTCCCGTGATAGTGGCTCGCCCGATCCGGATTTGTTTGTTTCTTATGAATTACCAGGATGTGATATGAGGGTTATTCAAGGCAGAATTTGGTTATCACTACGGGTTATATCGAAGCTGTTCTTGTTATTATTAAATATGAATGCCATGGAGCCGCCATGTCTCCTCTACAAATGCATGTCGTGTGTCTGCTGCACCTCCTCATCAGGCAATGGTACGATCTGCGTCATACACACCGCCAAAATCCCAAGTCCGATTCAGTAGGCCAGCTGCTAGGCCCTTAGCTCGGTTCATATACCAGAAACATCCCATCCCCGACCAGCAAATGGTCCCTGCAGTATTGCCATCCTGGATAAGTAGGCTTCCTAGGGCGTGATTCAGCTATACTCCTTGCAGGAAACCAAAGGGATATAAGACCTTCTCGTGCAGCCAAGAGTCCTTCGGCTGCCGCCGAGCCTCCCACGAGCTGGGCGGAAGAGAAGTTCCGCTGTCTCAGGTTTGAGAAGCGTCGGTTGTTCCTGGAGTAGATCGGATAAAAGAGTGATAAAGTCTTGGGCCGAACTATGAAGTCCATTACAGCCTTGCTCCTGAATGAGATCATCCATGCGGAAATTCGAGACTATCATCTTGGAATCAAATGGCCAGGGAGCGAGTTTGCCCTCTGCATCCCGGGTTCTGCAATCAACTAGATGACGGTAGATATCAGGTCGTCGATGGATGAATAATGTAGTCGATGTCAGTCCAAGAGAGTGGCAGATGTGCTTTTGCAGGTACTCCTTAAAGGGCATTCCCCCATTCATCAGAATCCCTATGGCGTCAAAGTTGGCACCATATTTCTACCATTCACCCGATTAGTACACCAGTGGCATATTGAACGTTATCACATCTGGTCCGTATTTGGATAAAGCCTCTCCCTGGGACTCGCCAGGCTGTGAGACTAGGTTGACAATGTCATACCCAATCCCACTGGTATGAGACAACATATGCCGTATAGTGATCGCGCGAGCTGCAGGAGTATATCTGTCGTTCGTTTTGCCGAGTCAAGACTGATGGCAAGCTGATATTTGAACTCGGACAGATATTCAGCAACGGGTTCACCGAGTCCAATCTGACCCCGTTTAATGCACTAGCATAGCAATGCAAGTGAAACTATTCGTGCACGAGGCTAGGCGAAAGACACCTCCGTTTCTGTCCATCGCGTGTGCATGATTCTCTCCATCCTCTATCGACGCAAGCCCCCATGTTCTATCGATTAAAGCACATTACCTTGTGATATACAACTCAGAGTCAAATTTAATGAACCAGGTACTCCGTATATCTCATCAAAATGGGTAGAAACAAACCTCTTTGGTTCACCGCGATCAACACCGCGTCCGGGAGTTTATCGGGAAGATCATGTAAGGTCCCATCGAAGGAGGTGCTTGATGCAGTAGATGTGAGGAATCGAAGACCTAGAGACTTAGGAAGCCCTTGTAATTGACTCAGTCGTAGTGACGATACACCGCGGAGAACACTGCGGAGAAACATGGCAGAGGCTGGAAGACGAACATCTACTGTGCCTTCTCCGTCAGAGTCATGATTCACAAACCGAACGGTGTAGCACTGTAGCTGGCCTTGAGCAACTACACGAAAAAGACAGATCACATTGCTGCTATTTTCGTGGGGTTGCTGCATATACGGCATGTCCAATAGACATGATCTAAAAGCCCATTCCCATAGCGTAGAGGATACAGACAGTTTTCATTCTTGGCGTATTCCTTAAATACTCATGCAGATTGGCGAGCGGGGTAGTCGCACGAGGTCGAAGCAGTGGCAAATGCAATAATTCCTGATGTTCGACTAACTAGTCTTGCGATGTATCAAATCCTGTCTGCATTTGGAAGATGATGGCGGTAGCGTGAAAACCTGATTATCAGCATCAGTCCTCTTTAAGAAGTAGTAGTACGAAGCAAGACTGAATATCACCATAGATCGACCTTGTTTCAGGGCATCGAGGATCGCAATTAGCTGTCGTTTCAGGCTTGTATAAACTTACCGTGACCACGGTTAACCGTTCGGTGGATCAAACGCCACCATGTAGCAACGGTTCGAGTGTTGCGTGGCAAACATTCTGTATTCTGGAAAGAAAGGTTATGGAAATTTCATAGAATAATGTATTCAAAAATTAAATGCTCATTTGGTATCAAAAAAAAAGTGGACATAAGAGTCCCAAAAGACGCCTGTACAATCCCGCAGGACCCTTTTCCTTTCCCCAAAACGCCAGAATAAACCAACAGCCACCCAAAAATTAGTTTATGTCATCAATACAAGCTGACACCTGTCGTAAAGTCGAGCATTTGCTCGCTTTCCAGCAGCACAAATGATTCGTATCGTAATCCTCGTTCTTGCAGGGCGTTGTTCGAATATAGCGGCACACTGCTGTTGTAGACACTCGCATATCCATCAAAGAGTGCCCGCCAGTAGCATGCTTCGGCTGCCTTGGTTAGGTATCGCTCGCGGAACGTTTGGACGCTGTTGGTGGCAATGCGCTCGGCAAGTTGAGGGTTGGAAACTAAGGGGTCCAGCTTCTCTTCCAAGTCGCTGAAATCTCGCTCGACCTCGACGTAGTTCTGATTCGGCCCTTGGGGAACGAGAAGGTAGTGGTGGTGTTGGATGTATTGAAGTTTATGGGCAACGATGACCGACTTGCACGCTTGACGATATTTTAGAGAGGCAGAGTAGGACCGACCTATATAGGCAAAATTGTTAGTCACGGTCCCTAGCGGGTGTGCAGGAAACTGATCGTCTTACCTTCGACATGGGCAATAAACATGTATTTGCAATGGTCTTCCATGCTCATAACGTTGGTCTTATCCTGCCAGTCCACCTGCTTCACATCGCCCCAAGTCTGGTCCCGGGCGGCCTCCATCAAGGCGCGCCGCAGCTTGGGAGCAAAACTGGGCTTTCCACGCCAAACCAGCTTGTTCTCCTTTTCATTCCAGGGAAGGTCGGATCGCTTGACCTTCTCAACGACTTGGTCGTACGGTCCGATCGGGTTCTGATTGTTATCCCAGGCCCAAAATCCAAAATCAGGCATGAGCCAGACTGCTTGCTCGGCTGCAGTTCGGGCGAACACCCACACAGGGTGATCAGAACTCGTGACATCCTCCACTTTATCCTCTACCGAGAAAACAAACTCGAAGTTGCGTCGGGAGGCTCGATCCACGTCAGCGACCAGCGCGCGATGAATTGAGCTTAGAACAGCCAGGATCTTTCTTCGGTGATCCGGGCCTTTTGCACGCGAGGCAATGATATGGAGCTCGCCGTCGTAGATAAAAACGCGCGCCATGCCAGGTTGGAGAGTGATGGCGTCCAAGTCCTCCGTAGCGAGGGCGCCCTGCGACCGCCAGTAATCCACGCCACGGGAGACGTCTTCAAATAGGCCGGGAAATGCAGCACTGCACTGATTCGGGTCGAGACCTTCATTTCGAGAATCGCGATCGTACTGGAATTTCCAGTGGGATGAGGGGGTAAGTTGTGTGAGCAAACTGGAGCTCTGCGAACAGGAGAGACAGCTCGAGCATTCGAAGGTGGTGGAGGTTTCGCAGGCACAATGTCCGGCGGGGATTAATTGTGTCAAGAGCGGGTGTATATAATCTCTATCCGAGTTCATGCCATACCAAATGACAATAATGCAGCTAACGGTCAGAGTAGAGACAATGGATAGCAAAAGTAGCACCACGCCGTAGCGTGGGCGGGAACAGCTCGAAATCAGCGCCATCGCAATTGCGAAGACGCGCAGTTTTCATCAACCCTAAAGGATTGATTCATGCTGAGAAAATAGAAGCAAGAGAGAAGGAAGAAGAAGAGAAGAAAAGAAAAGAGGGAGCAGACGAAGAAAGTAAGACGTGGAGAAGAAATTGCGACTGTCAGGGGACAGGCAGAGCGGTTCGAGACCCCCCAGCCCCAGCGGCCCCAGAAGTGAGAGTGACAGACACGCAACGGGGGGAGAGCAGCCAGCAACCGCCAATAATACGGAGTCTGCCCGTCATCGTCATCTTTTTCTCTTTTTTTTTAGAGTTATTTAGTCATTTCTTTTCGCTTTTTTCTCTTCCTCTTCTTTCCCCTTCCACGTTTCGCCCATTTGCCCTTTTTTGCCTTTCCCCAGTGACGGGAAAGAATGCCAGCGATCCTTGGGACCATAGCGCCCGAAACACCACCAGAGCCACACTCGGGACAGGGACAATCTTTCCCAGAACGTCAATGATAGACAAGCCTTTCGTGGATCTTCTGACGAAAGGTTGCTGGCGTGACGCTCCGTCCCTGATGGCTTAGGCCTTGGCAGATTCTGTTCCTTCGACTCAGCCTTAGAGATGACGGGCAGATTCGGCCAACTTGGCGAATAAAACATCCGCATCATCGACTGGGGAGTAAACCAAGGCTCAGCCTTGATGACTTCATTTCGATATACTGTAGGAGTGTCGCCATGGCTAACTTTAGAATTTTGGAAGCCTAGGGGTATCCCATGGTCCCGATCAGGGGGGGGCAGCGATTTTCCTTCCAGAGCGAACGGGTAGCGTAATCTTTTCGCTAGGAGAATACTAATCCTGTGCGTTTGAATTGCTGATCACTAGGGAGGGGACGAAAGCTATGACGACGTGGATGGCAGATGTGGACGGGTGAAGCTGGTGGAGCAGGACGATCCCCAGGTTAAGATGGCGGTTGAGTCTGGCAGGCTGGCACACTTCCTGTCAACGTTTTTGGCCACCACGAAGATCACGGCAATTAAACAGGAATTTCGACTTACTTTGCCTTCGGGGTTTCTATCTTTTGATCGAAGTGCAGCATGTGAAGCGACTCAGGAGAGTTGGCCAAGTTGCCGTCTTACGGGCCTAAGCGGGGTTGACAACGGCAATCACGAGCCTCAAATGGGGACACAAGCTGGACAAATTGGACAAAGAAGAGCCAACGATATCGAAGCTCGTTTATCGCAGTCTTTGTTGGAGGGGCTGCGATAGAGAAAGGAGCACACTGAAAGAAATGGATTTTGGTTGATTTCAATATCAAAGAGAAAATGCTGGAAAAATATTTGTACCACTTCCAACAGCCCCAGCATTGAAGAAAAAATGCACATCCCGGACATTCGCTATTTCTTCAAGCCTCTGGGCGTCAGACTGGTGAGATCTCATATCTCATTACGTTTCATGGTTGTGATGGCTAATGTACGGTCTCTACAGCTCAGGTACGTTGTCAACTCGAAGTCTTAATTTATACAGTGATCAGAAACTCGAGATACGGAGCCCATCTACGTTTCCAACGAAGATGGCTATCACACCTTTTCATGGCCGGTATGATGGCGTGGAAGACCCGAATGACTACCTGGATCAAATCTGGCTGGAAATCCAAACTCACCATTGCGATCTTGATAATGGAAACAGAGCAAGTCGCATACTCTTTCGACAGAACTTTCAAGGGCTGCACGTTGGTACTCAAGCCTCCCCACTAGTGTGAAAGAAAATTGGGATATGCTGCGGAAAGAATTTAGAATTCGATTCGAGAAACCGCAAAGGCCCAGCTTGCCAACGGCTAAGTTACGAAATCAGATTTCCGCGTTGATCCAGGGCCCTTTTGAGCGCAACTGGAAGTATCTGGAGCGTTGCAAAGACCTCTGGATTCAAGTTCCCGCCCATAGCTCTGACTACTCTCGTTTTGGTCTGATGGTTGCCCAGGGGCTTCGTGATGAGCAACCGAAGCAATCTGTTCTCCTTGAAATGAATCGCCGACACAGTTATACCCTGACCCATATTATAATTGCCATATGGCGATACCATGACATACACGTTCCTACTACTGTCGCTGGACCCCGTATGTTCGAATCCCAGATGCTCGAACCATTTTTCGGCCAGGTCATACCTGGACCTCCAGATATGACAGATGGTTCCGTCAAAAGCATCCACGATACAATGCTTCAATTCATCAGAGCCACCAGTCAACCAAATCTATTGCCTGATACTGGCCAGGATTGAACCCAACAGTAGATGTCCTGTCTTGGCCAATGATTTCACTGTGTTGAGACCGTTCCAATATCAGTCGCACTACGGAGCATCCTAGTCTTAGTCTCTTTCTTTTGACGATCAATGCACACTTACAGGCTCCCCCCAAACAAACAAGATTTCTGCTACAAACCAAAAAGGAAAAAGAAAAAGTTGGCATTCCCGCAAGCCTTGATTTTCGGGATGGATGATATCCCCTGTCCTCAAGCTAACCCTTAGTGACTCCTATTGAACCGTTAAGGTTGTTCAACCGATACTACGGCTGCTAGCTCTAGCTAGCTTTTCCTATGGACCGCTACACATGCTGGATGGAGTTGGATTTACATACACGGACGCACATGCAAAATTGTACGGGCTACAAGCCTACAAAAGTAAAGACTTAGTTAAGGAGAATAGATAAATTAATATGAAAATCGTCGTTCGGGATCTGATTACTCGCGGCAGACTAGGAGGATTATTGCAAGTCAAAATATTCTTATTTTGGATTCTCCATTTTTGTTGCTATCTTTGGCTCTGAAAGTCTCAGTTCCTCGCTCAACCTGTAACTATGGACGACGGATAATGGGGAACCTCGTATAGTTATATTAATCAATACAAACTATCATTGAGCACTTTCTTTGTCACGGTTTGTCTTATTTGTTGTTTCTTTCTGCTGCTCTTGACTGCTCGCGGAGAGTCAAATGGATCGATCTGCTCCTTATTTTTTGCGGGTCTTGAGAAAAAAAAAAGGGGGAACTAAAAGACCTTTTTTTCTCCGGGCATACCCCGAAATTGAGATCGATTGGAAGAACGACAGGTCACATTATGTTATTATTGCAAGAGATGGATAAGTAATAACAAAACAAATGAAAAGAAATAATAATACAAGATTTTAAGAGTGCAAAGTGCAAGGGAGGAGGGAAGATCTTTCAATTTACGTCCGGGATGAACGAAGTGCTAGCTCGTTATTTGAATGTCATTTAGACAGAGTCAACTATATCACTCTATAATACAGTCATTGGAATAGTATCTTCTACTATCATCAATCATCAAGTCTTCATAAGTTATTCCAAGCTATTGAAATAAGCTGTTGATAGTCTCATGTCATATTCTACCATACTCCACCTTCAACAGCACATCCCTTAGTTAATTATCCAGTTATTAGTATGTACACATGGAACACCCTAGCTAAAAAACATCCACTCATCCCCATATTCAAACGTCTTCCGTCTCCTCTTCCCCTGGTACACATCACTGACCTCCTGCGGTCCCTCAGCAGAAACCAAATACCCATCTTGACAAGACGTAAAGGAGACTCTGGGTTGCTGAGAATAGAAGCTGTCGAACTTTGGGCTCAGAGCGTCACGTAGACTCTTTACGTGGCCTCCGGGGTGGAGTTTCTGCCAGGGTTCGCGGCAGGTGTCTTCTTTGCATGATTTTATGATCATCATGAGCGTGTCGAGGCGGTTGAGGAGTTGGGTTAGGGGGCGGTTGCCAATTTTGTATTCTTCGTATCGAGAGGGATGGGCGGCTATGTTGGTTACTTGATAGGGGTCGGTCTTGGGAGTGTTAGTTTTGCATATAGGACTTTGAGAAGTGAGGGGGGGGAGTACAGTTAGATCGTAAAGTTCTCGTTCATTTGTACACCAGACAGAGTAGTAGAGATTGTAGTTTTCGCTGACGATGCGTAGACCTTTGTAGGTGTTGTTGTGATAGACGCCTACGTTGAATTTGGTGTCGTTGCGAGTGATCTTGCGGTATCCATTGATTCCTTCGGGGAGATTCTGTTCTCATCAGTTCTTTTGTTTTCCGTAGATTTATGATGTTCAGACTCACGATTCCCCAATACTCAACTCCCACATGCTCCGTACTGGCATCCAAATCCTCCTCTTTCGTTAAAGGAATCGGTTTCCCATCCAATCCCTCTGTCGTAGTCCCAGCTAAGGAAAGGAATGTTGGTGCCAGGTCTGTATGGCTGGTGACTGCATCAAAGACTTGGTTTTCTGGAATACCAGGACCACGGATGAAGAGTGGGATGTTGATATCAGTGTCTGGGATGTCAGTCTATACACTCAGAGACTCATCAAGAGAACATACCATATCCGCATTCCTTTCCTGGAAGCATCCGACGTTGGCCAATATGATACCCATTATCAGTCGAATAGATGATGTACGTATTATTGAGAAGACCTTCTTTCTCTAGTCGACTCACTAAACCTCCCACCATCTCATCGACAGCCTGCAAAGCACGAAGTCGACATTGCTGATACTCATCGTGATACGCAATCACACTATCATTCAACGCGGGCAGGTTCTTAATCCAGCTCACACCTCCGTCAATCGCAGTATTGAAACTCTCATCACGAGGAATATAGTAATCCTTAAAGAGACCCGCATGACGAGCTGCATATTCCGGCTGGGACTGGTAAAAGATGTTCGTACTCGGATCAAGACTGCCGTTGGAGTGAGGCGCGATGGGAGCAACAGTCAACATCCACGGTCGATCAGAATGAGAGATTGCTTCATCCAAGAAGCCATGTGCCTTTTTCTCCATCACGTCCGTGATATACTGGCCCTTGTAGCTGACAGGTTCGGCCCCATTGCGCGTCATCATGCCATTGTAGTACTGGTACGTGTACGGATCGAGTGTGAATTCCGAGCCATTGAATCCCCTCGGCGGGGGACTGTCGTAGTTATCCACGTTTTGATAATTCCATAGTTTGCCCACGTAGTACGTGTTGTATCCTGCGTCCTGCATCCACAGAGGTAGGTAGTTGTCGTTCCACCCTTCCTTGACTACCTGGGGATATCCTCCGTAGGGCGGGGAGACATCAGTGACGTTGGTGTTATGGGGCATGCGGCCTGTCCAGATGTTGGCTCGAGATGGACAGCAGATGGCCACGGTGCAGAAGTGTTTGGGATAGGTGACGCCTTTGCTGATTATGGACTCGTGCAGTTGCGGCATGAAGTCGATGCTGCCCATGTGTTTGTCCTGGTCGTCGGTGAGGATGAAGAGGATGTTAGGCTTGGAAGCCAGGGCTAGCCTGGATAGGAGCAGGGCCCCGAGTGTGAGCTTCATGTTGTCTGGTTATCTGAGTGCATTTCATCATGGATGGATTTGAAGTCGTTTATATTTCTTCCAAGGAGCCTCTGTACCCCGCAGTTTGTTCTTCTCCTCCCGTCTGTGCCGGTGCGGAATCCTTCCTATAACCATCATTTCGGTAGTTAGATTGACTCGCTTAGATCTTTTTGAGTATTCTGATCGAAAATCGAAGGCACTGAAAAACATTTGCCGATGAAAGTGTGGGGGTGGGGACGCTATACAATGTCCTCATGTTGGATTGGATATCATCGCCTTATATGCAGGGGAATATGGAGATTATTGGCGGGGGTAAAAATGCCGAGTTATGCAAATGCGGGGTTTTGGCGATGACTTCGGCTGTGGATTTGCCGACCCTTTGATGAGGTTATTCAGGGCACCTAGCAAAGTATACTTCCATTATGTCCTTATCCAGGTAATAGAAGGTATAATATATGTAGTTATAGCACTTGCTGCTATCTCAAGTTCATAAAAATGGATTAAACTTATAGAGACCGGTGAATCATCCAATCAGATCATGTTGATTCAGTATACAAAGCACTCTAATCCTACAGAACAATAATTAAACGCCTCAGTTTCAGTCATATCAATCCCCATTTCTCTGCCAAAAGGTCAAAATGATCAAAGATAAAAGATACGCCGTTGGTGTGATTCAACCTCCCAATGGATATCCCATAGCTGAAAGTCAAAAGCCGTAGTAGAAACGCCACGTCCAATGCACCCAATGATATCAAGATAAAAAACACATTAATAATAATCCAATGTTTACTGTCGCATATTACTCCGCGGTGCTCGTGATCCTCGACTGCGACCTCCTGCCGGTGCGGGCGTTTCGTTGAATTCCATCTCAGGGCTGGCCCCAGGTCGTCGTCGCTGCCGTCCACCTCGAACTCGACCCAGCGCATTTCGCAAGAGGCCATCAGCTTCGTCATCCAGCTCCATCTCTACCTTCTCTTCCAATGTCTCTGGTTCCGCCTCTGCAGTCGATACCTCGACGTGTGGAACTTCGTCTGTCCATTCCTTAGCATACCGCTCCGCTGTCGCCCCACGACGTCTAGCTCTTTCTTCGGACGCATATTTCCCCTTTCCTTTATCACGTGATCTGTCCGAGCCCCGGCTGCTGGCTGCCTTTGCCGGCTCTTCGGGCATTGCTTTCTCCTTTTCGTGATTTTCTAGGGCCCAAATCTCCAATGCACGGGAAAGAAGAGTGCCTGCAATACCAGCACCACCGGCAGCATCACCGCCACCACTAGCCCCTAGAACACGGACCGCCTCATGGAGGGACGTTACCGCTTCCATTGTGCGCCCAAGCTCCAGCAATACCAAGCCACGGGACGTGTGAAGGGACCCAATCAAACCTCGATCCTCATAACCTCCAACGCCTGATGAAGCGACCCCGGAAGCACCAGCGCCACTACCACCTAGAAACGGGCTATAACCCAAGCTCGCACCTCCAGCTCCAATCCGAAGACATTCGTCAAACTCTATCAGAGACTCTGTAAAACGCCCTGTGCGGCGCAATGCATGGCCCAGATTTGCCCGCGTGGCCACCCAGGCACCTGGCTCACAGTGAAGAGTAGAAGCCAAAGCGAGCGATTGACGGAACAACTCCACAGCACCTTCGAGATGGTTCTGATGGTACAGCACCACACCGAGCTCGTTTATCACCAGAGGGTCGCCGCCTAATGCAGGTAACCCGCCGCTTGGGTTAGTAGGAATAGTTGGGACGGTCCCAGAAGGAGAACCTGTCGACATAGCATAAGCGGCGCACAGGTATTCATGAGATAGCGACATGTTATTCAGGGCCAGATGTTGCATTCCAAGGAATAGCTGGGGCAAGTGGCTGCCCTGGAACAGTCGAGCCGCAGTGCTGTACGCGGCAATGGCTTGATCATGCTCTCCTTCAGCAGCAAAGGTGTGAGCAAATCCAATCCACGCAGGTGCTGAATGCGGATCCAGCAACGATGCTTTAGAGAAGAATCGCCGTGCCTCTGCAATTTTGGAAACCGATAGATAATAAACTCCAATAGCAAGATAAGTATATGACTCCTCAGGAGCATGGTCAGCCAATGTGTGAGACAGAAGAAACAACGCATTGGTAGCCCCTGTTTCGTATAAACACGCCAGGTGTAAGGGATAAACAGCCGGAGAGTGGCCCAAGTGGTTTTGAGCCGGGATATGGGCCGAGGCTGCCGTTGCCGACGTGTTGGACGAGTTGGAACTCGACAGAACCGACGAAGTCAGCTCGAGGGCTTCAGCAAAACGGCACTGCGTGTAAAGAGCTTCTGCCCGCGACAGCAGTATATCAGGGTTTTGTGCGAGGTTGTAATGGGTCGACAAAGTCTCGGTTGCTTCTGAAAGAATAGCAGGCGACGAGTATTTAGACAAACGAGTGGTGTACAACATCTTGGTAAAATGAGCGGCTTCCTGGGCGGTAGACGGGTCGGGGGAAGTAATGGAGTCAAAGTCGAGAGATTCCAGAAACTCCAGTTCCTCCGTCGGTGACATGAGCGAGTTCTTCATCAACTGATCAAAGGCTTCAAAACATTGAACGTCTATGCGCACGGCATCCTTGTAGCAGTCACGAGCACGGTCAAAAGCGTTCTGCTTTGCGAAACAGAGACCTCGTAAATAGCACATGGCGGCTTCGAATCGAACATTATTGGCATCTTCCTTGTCTCGCTCCTCGCCGCGCGAAGAGGTTGTCTTGCCATTGCGCAGAGTGACATGGCTTCCATTGACATGCTGCAGTTTCCGACGGCTGTTATTGTTGCGAATCAAGTGGGTGGGATTATGATCACCGAGCACTGACAGTGCTTGTTCGAATTGGTTCTGTTTAATGTAGCAGTGGGCAGCCAAGTAGCGACAAGCGGTGCTTCGCGAGATGAGGTCTTTGCGGGATAGAAGGGCCAAAGCTCGCGTGTAGTTGTTGTTGGAGAAGTGGACTTGGGCCAGCCAAAAGGCATCCGAATCGCTATCTATTTTGAACAAATTGCGTTAGTCTGTGTACCTGTCACTATGATCGTCGTTTCAACCAAGCACCCACTGGTCAACGCAAGGACTTTGTCGCCAATGTAAATGGCCGCATCGTGCTGGCCTCGGTTCAACGCATCCTGACGCCAGGAGCGCAAAAACTTCTCCATGGCCGGTTTGATGAGAATGGAGAGGTGGAGAAAAGGTCAGAGGTTCGGCGGTCACGATAATCGCAAAGAGGCATGAGGAGGGGCGGAGAGCGGCGGCGAGAAAAACAAAGAAGCCTCCACCCTCCAACAGGCTCCAGACGAGGGGTAGTTTGTTTTTTCTGGGAAAGTCGGAGAAAAAAAGTCTCCAGCTGACTGTATAGCTTGTTTTTCGCCCAAAATCTCAGAGTGAGAAGGAGCAAGGAAGGTGAGGACGGTGTCGCGATGGTTATTTGTGTTGCTGCCGAAAAGCGCGTCGAGGTGGTCCGTGCAGATTGCCCGATTGGGTATCTTCTGTATGCTGCTGGACGTTCAACATTTGTATATCTTATTTTTTCAGAGGAGCTGGTGATAGTCATCATTCTGATTGGAGTCAGTGAGGCTCAGATACTATGCTTTATAGCTGGGGATGTTGTGCTGCTTTCTTGAATATTAGACCGAAATATATATCTACAAAGCGCCTATAGCTGCAAAAAGGATTTCAACACATACAATAGATAGCTCATTTCTCTATCAAAAGATAGAGAATCTAGCTTCGAATACTCAACTATATTTAACGAAATACTTTAAAGCATCAAATCTGTTGTGTGAATCGAAAGTAAACCCATCCATACATCAAAATGACGATCACGTGATCATATCGCTATCGCCGCCGCCTCAACTCCAACTTTCGAGCATCTCTTATCAACCATCAGATCAACAATACTTCTCATCCCACGCCACCATGTCTGAGAGAAAGGTACGTCCTGATGGATAATACCCGTCGCATACATCATACTCATACTTTTCTAGGTCTTGACCAAGTACTACCCCCCGGATTTCGATCCCTCGGCCATTACGCGGACGCCGAAGCACCTTCGCCAGAAGGGTCCGAAGGTCATCACCGTCCGTTTGATGGCCCCATTCTCTATGAAATGTACACAATGTGGTATGTATAATGCTGGCACGTTATTGCTTTTACCCAAACTAACGACATGAAAGGTGAATATATCTATCGAGGCCGCAAGTTCAACGCGCGCAAAGAAACAACCGAAGAAAAGTACCTCAACATCTCCATCTACCGTTTCTACATTCGCTGCACTCGCTGTAGTGGTGAGATTACCTTCAAGACAGACCCTAAGAAGTAAGTTGATACCTTTTGTGAGGACTGGGAGATGTGCCATGCAGAGCATGGCAAATCGTTTTTATCTGCCCCGTTCAAACAACCACAAGGCCCTTTTCTAATATTTACCTCTATCTAGTATGGACTACACCTGTGAAAAGGGTGCAAAGCGTAACTTCGAACCGTGGCGCGATCCCAAAGCCGAAAACTACAACGAGACCCAGGATGAGACGCTGGATCGACTGGAACGGGAGGAAAATGAAGAGAAGGAACAACAGGAGCGGGATAAGATGGCAGAGCTGGAAGAGAAAATGCTCGACTCCAAGCGGGAGATGGCAATTGCGGATGCGCTCGATGAGATCCGCACGCGCAATGCCAGGATTGAGCGAAATGAAGGTCTTGGGGACGAAGCCACTATCGCCGCACTTCCAGAAGAGGTGGACCAGGAGCGACTGAAGGCTGAGAAGGAAGATGAAGAGGCCGCGCGAAGGGCGTTTATGACGTCCTCTGGGGAGAAGGTGAAGAGGATTGTCGAAGACGAGGCAGTTGATTCTAGTGCCCCAGAGAAAAAGCAGACTGATATGCCGCCCCCCTCATTTACAAGGACCAAGAAGCCTAAGAAGCCGCTTGTGAATAAACTGGGCATCAAAAAGAAGCCTTCCTTGGTGTAGAGGCAGCCCTTAACGATCAAACGATGGGTTATTGATGCCCGAAGGTTTTGGGCAACTGGCGTTCTGGTCTACTGGGTATGCATCATTAGCGAATTTATTGGTATCAGTTACAAAGCTACGATACGAAGCAGATCTTGAAAATTTGTAAATATTATCTATAGTACATTAAACTAAAACAAAATCTGTTAATTTGATAAAACAAAGCACAAAGCAAAACATCTTTTCCAGCCATGAATGGCGTGCAGAATGTAAAAGTGAAAAGAAAACAAATCGTAATCATGTCCGAGGGAAAATGCCCCAATGCGCCACGCTAGAATCAAAAGCCGAGCAAAATACCCATTATGCCTTTTCAGCTTGTCAAGCCTACACGATCTCACAACCAAGAGGTCACCAGCCTCAAAAAGGAACAAAACGCCGAACACAGTGCAAAGATAATACAAGATCAGAGCGGGTAACCAATGCTTCAGTCTCAAAGGTATGGCATCCATAACGCATCACAGGACGCCAAGTGCTGAGGATTGACGGCCTTAGAGATGAGATCAATGGTCGTCTGGTTCGCAGGAAGGTTGCCTTCAGGGGGACTGGCAAGGCTGACTGCCCGATTGACAATGACTTCGCTGTTGTTGTACACCAAGTCGCGAAGTTGCGGCACTGGCAGGGAACCCCGATGGTGCGCCGTTGCCCAGAACATCATTTCATCCCGAACGAAGATGCTGAGTTGCTGCTCAAGTTCGTGCCGCGGCTCGGTCAGGCAACGAGAGATTGCCATCAACGCACAGGCGAAAAGACCCTCAGTTGCGATTGGGCCCAGGAGCGTCTGGATGTTGGGCGTGAATCGGAAAGGAACTTGCTCTGGGTTGTAGAAGAATGCCTTAGCCGGGTTGATTGTCGGAATTAGCTCAGAGCCCCAGATGTCGCCCGTGGACCGCGAAACCATGATCTTGTTGGGATACCGATTGCCCATGTGCATCACGTAAGTCATGAACGCGATGGCAGCATACTGGTAGGCAAACTGCCGGCGAAAGAGCCAGAAGTCCGCAAAGTTGGGATAAGTCTGTTGGAAGTAGTCCAAGATTACGGTGCTGGGAACCCATTTTTCTTGAATGGCCGTCAGGATTTCAGTGCGCAGAACTTGCTGTTGATCATGCGTGCGCTGGGAGATGTCAGTGATGTTGAGTAGTAGTGGTGAAAGGGGAATGCTTACGTTCTGTTTCGTTTCGGCCAATGATCTCATCTTGTCCATAGTGAAAAGCACTGGTTCATCCTTGTTGATTCCGACTCTTCGGCAGTAATCCTCAAAGATACCTTGCATCGAGATATACGATGGATCGTCGCGCACCAAGCGAATATGAGGAGCCAATGGTACCATAAGCGGGAGGTGGAAGTAGAGATTCCGTCTCCGGCTTTCCTTGCGTTTGCCTAACAGTCCGTTGAAGATGCGGAAAAGCTGCAAGATGCGCTCTTCGCGACGGCAGTGACGAGCTGCCGGATGTTGCACAGCAAAAGGGTGTACGCTGCCATCATGGCCACGGATCTTGAGACGACGATGGCAAACCCCGATACCGCGCACCAAATCAATATCTGGCAGGAAGCGATCAATACGAACGAAGTCCTGGTTCTTGTCCTTGTGCAGCAGGTATTGCCCTGGAACCTCAACTTCATCAAATTTAAGGAATCTGAATTCGCTAAGGTGTGGCGAGTAGGTCTCCAAGAATTGAGATTGAGGTCGGCGGTCGAGCTTTTCCTCGAACTTGTCACGCCAGCGACGCAATTTCTGGATGTACTCATGCATGGTTGGTTTCTTCACCACGAAATCAGCCTCGAAAGACTTGCGGATATGCGAAGGAAGAATAGTCTCGGCGAAACGCGTGATATTAGCTTCTGTCGCTGCCGGCAGCTTGAAATCTTGCGCATAAGAGCCTGGCATGCGGCCAACGTACGCCAAACCATCATTGAGAAGCGCAACAATGAGGCGATACGCATCTTCATCAGGAGGACATTTAAAGTTTTTGTGGATCTGATCGACCATGGTCTCCATGGATAGGGCAAGCAATGGGAAAGCTGTTTTGAGACCAGACATAATTTCGTCCGAATACTCCCATGGCTTCTTGAGAGGCTCCTTCTCCGACTCTGCTGGAGAATTCTGGTTCTGTGGTGTGCCATTTTGACCAGGAACCTGTAGATTATTACCCTGCTGCGGGGTCTGGGACTGCTGCATCTGCATTGGACCTTGAACTTGCCCAGGAAGCTGAGGCTGACCTGGAACAGGAGGCTGGCCTTGGCCTTGAGCGGGCGACTGTTGAACTTGGCCTTGATTTTGGATTTGACCTTGACTGAATTTCTGGGCCTGAGCCTGCTGATTGACTTGAGGGCTACTTTGGTTCTGGCCATTGGCAGCCTGGCCATTTTGAGCAGCACCTTCGGAATTAGCCTGTGGTGGTTTGTTGTGGGGTGAAGCTTGCTGCTGTTGCTGCCTGGCACGGTTCAACTTCTCTTGCTTTTGATCATGCTGTTTCTTGATGCTGAGCATATCTTCTCTGTTTGTACGAAGCAAGAAGAACAAAGCCTGAGGGTATAACTTGGCGATCTTGACCAGAACAGCCTTGCAGAGGCGCGCTTCGCGATGCGACAAGCTGGTGAGAAGCTGGGGTATGAACGTAATCCAATACCAAACTGGCGTGTCTCCCTTGAAGTTCTCGAAAGCACTAGCAACCCGTCCTTCCTCATTGTCCAAGCTAAGAAGCCAGAGGATACGACTGAGAAGTTTTCGGGACTTCGCATTCTTGTAGAGACCAGCAGCCTCCAGGTAACAGCTGACTGCGTTGCTTGCCAGCTCGTAATCTGCTGGCTCGGTCTTGAAGCGTTGATCACTGTACTGTCCCCACTCAGACCAGGCCTTCGCGAGTCTCAGGTCATAATAGAGAGCAACTCCAAACGCCTCATTGGCATCATTGACGTGGTTCAACTTGGCTAAGAACATACCCTTAAGGGTGTAGAACTCTGCTTTCTGCTGCGCACCGAAATAGTTGAGGTTGGTGTTGTTAATGACGTCCAAACCACTGTTGAGCTCCTTCGGGTTCTGGTAATGGCACTTGGCTTGTTCCCGCAGCTTCAAGAATGCCTCTTGGATCTCGATATTTGGAAGTGTATAGATGCGACTTAACTGGTTGATACACACTTCAGGCATTTGGTGCTTACGAGCCACGTGAGCAAAGCGGTTGATGATCCATGCTGTCTCGTGGTAGCCACGGTAGGCATAAGAGTTACTGGCCACATTGTTGGTCTGGGGTGGCAGTAAGCTCAGATACGTGGCGTTGATCAGCTGGAAGATATGCTGACGCCATGTAACGAGATCTTGCCAGGCATTGATGTCGTCCCAAAGGTTTGGAAGGCGATCTCGCCAGGTTCCGAGCAAAAGCTTCAACTCGGCTGACTTCGTATCCAGGTTGCGCTCATTAGTCTGCGACAAGCTTGCACATATATGGCTTGCATCATGAAGTTCGACCAGAAGCTGGAAATGCTGCAAAATAGGAATGTGGGCGTTTGTGATTCTCTTAGGTAGCTGAAGCCACTTGCGAATAGACAGTTGAATAGATTCGTCGCAAACCCCGTTGAACTCTTGAATGTTCTCTTTCTTGATGTGGAACTGGAGAAGCGACATGAAGGCTTGGAAGAATGTGCGCCGGGGCGTTGGAGCGTCAGAAACAGACTTGATCAGAGACTCGAGCTGCTCCCGGTTTCCTTCGCTCTGCCAGTTTTCAATGTTTCTCCAAGCAGCTTCGAGAAGGAGGTCGTTCAAATTCTCGTGTTTGGCGAAATCACTGAGGATCTCCCATTGCTGAAGCTTCTGGGCACAGATCAACCAATGATCCTCCCACAGGTAGTATTCGCCTTGCGAGAACGGCATGGCTCCGGAGCGAGCTTTGATTTGAGCATTCTCGTAGAGTTGCTGTGACTTATCCCACATCCCTTGTTGTTCGTACGAAAGTGCAGCATTGGTCTCGACAAATTTGCAACGGCGGCGCCAAGTACCATAGAAGAAGTCATCCTCCTGCAGCCCCGCGTAAACCTCAACCAAAGCGTCAAGATTACTTTCACGAACAGTGGGAGTATCAATGAGAGGGCTAATGGCTGTTTCTTCCAAGTATGATGCAGCGGTATACCAAGCGTCGTAAGTGCGACTAAGATACTTCATGACATGCGGGGGAATCTTGAATCGTGGCCCAGCCCGGACTGCACCCTCGAGTAAAGCCTGGACGACGTTTGGTCTCTTGTCAAGCTGTCTCTGATGGTATTCGCGTGTAATCAAAGTCACCATTCCCTTCTCCAAGTCAATGCGATCTTCTCTAGACAAGGTTGACCAAAGGGTAGTAAACAGTGTAGTCCACAGCTTGTAAGCGACATTGGGGTCGGTGTGTTGAAGTTGACAAAGCGGTTCCACCAAATCGCGAACCTTGACATCACCAATTTCGGACACAAAACGCTTGCGATCAGATATGAAAGATTCCAGCTGACTGTCAACCATGATATCATTTTTCCTCGGATCCTTTTCGGCACCGTCAAAGAGGAATGACAAGGGGAAAAGGGTGAAATCATCCTGATGCAGTCGAGCAGTTGTTGTCATGTCGATACATCCTAGCATCAAGTGAGAAGCTTGAGACAGCCAGAAAGAATCAGCAAGTGTGTCCCAGTTTTGACAGGTCAGCACATAGCTAAGGCGAGAGCTTGCCAAGCGTGTCAGACTTCGGTCAAAGATATTCATGAAACGGTTGCGCATTTCAACATCTTGAGCCCTAGTGCCGATCAAGAATGCATGTTCCAATCTAACGGTCAACTCGGTCCTAGTGATCTTCGAGTCTTCATAGATCCTAATGACAAGGTCCAAGAACTTCTTCAGCATGGTTTGGTCGGTGCGAGACTCGAAGAGCAGCATCTTGTGCAGAACGGCAGTCTTCTCTTTCAGTGTAGGCCAAGACTCTGTAGAGTGGAAGATCCAGGTCTCAACCATGCCTAAAACTTTGCTGCAAAGCTTGATGTTGTGTGACCTCTCTACAAGTTGTGCGAGGACACTGAGGAATGGACGCCTTTGTTCTCCCAAATGAGACATGCGCACAGAGATTAACTCAATGGTCTTGAAGATCAGATCGACCCCAATTTCGAACTCCTGCTGATCTGGCACTCCTTCACCAGGCTTCGTGCCTGGTTGATATTGACCCTGGTTCGCCGTAGAGGCAGCAACATGGTCTTTGGCGAGCTTTTGAGAGAATGCCTTCATGACCTGAGGAATGTGTGCATCCATCTCGGCAGGCTTGTTCTTGGAAAGCGTCCACAAGGTGTTCAAACTAGACACATGATTGTTGGCGGAGAGTGTCTCTGTTGCAATTGCCGACAGATACGTCACAAATTCAGACGGAGAATGTTCAACATCCATTCCATCTTCCTCTTCAGGCTGGTCATCAGGAAGGGCATTGAGAACACGTCTGATCGGCGGTGGCAACTTCGGTGAAATCTCCACTTCATCCTCCAAGCCATGTAGACAGTCTTGAATCTCCGGGTTTTCTGAACGCAAAGGTTTTTCGAAGAGTTTTTGGATTAATGGCAGGCGAGCTGCGATCCAATCATCCGGTTTTGCCGCCAAGAGAACGCGCAGAACTTGTAAAGTGTTGACCATGCTGGTAGTGTGCTTCTCGTCAGGTTTGTCGGCCTTCTCTCCCGCAAGAATAGGCTCTGTAGCCTTCTGATAGAGTTCAATATCGATGTCACCCCAGTACTCTGGAGATAAAAGATTTCTGAGCAAATGTACAGCCTTTTTAACCATATCACCAGTGGGTACAGGGTTCTGTGTCTTGGACGAAGCAAGCTCACGGATTCGAGCGGCCGGAACGGGGAAGCGTTCAGCGATAGTCGTGATAAACGTGATCAGATATTTCGTCAACGCCGCTCGGAGATCAGCAGGAACCATGTAGTCAGAACGTTCGCGGACACTGGGAGGCGCAAGGGCTGGTGAAGAGCCCGCGGTTCCCTGGGCTTCATCCAGCTTACGCTTCCTTGCATTCGGTGATTCGAGAACACCGTTGGGAGTGGCACTACTGTTCTTGGCTCTCTTTTCCTCCCAGTACCAAATGAGACTAATGAGGTTGAGGGCCAGCTTTTTGCTCTCATTAGATGAGTTGGGAGGCGCCGCGATTTTAATCAACGAAGGCACGATGAGGGGAACAAAGTGTTCTCTCGACTCATAAAAGAGATCTGGGTGCCGCACAAGGAATTGGAAGATACTCATAACCTGCTGCAAGTTTGCGGTCTCCTCTGCCAGAATTCGTCGAGGCCATTTTGCCCACAGCGGATATCTTGCGTCTGCCATTTGATTGTTGCTTGTGGACAAGATTCGAGTCGGCAGAACTGGTGCTAGAACATCAAGTGCCTGGGTGACCAAGGCTTTGCCCTCATTCTGGTGCGCTCGTAACAGGGCAACGTAAACCTGGATCACAATTTTGAATGGAGTCTCGTAATGGGCAATGAAGTAGCTGATGAGAACGTATGCACCGTACTTGTTTATTATGTCTTCAAGCCGGATGTAATTCCAAGCAAACTTGATGATGTCTTTGCGTGAATCCTGAACTGTTTGGTGATGGTACTTGATCAGCAATGCGGATAACTGGAGAAGTTCCATGCGTGAATGGTCAACTCCAGCTTGGTTTGATTCCTCGCTCGGGTCAGCCAATTGAGGCTTCCATAGACGACTCTGAATAGATTCTGTCATGCTCCGGTCCATGAGCTTCGGGCTATTGGGTGGACTATTCCAGGTGCTCTGAACATCCATTGCAAAGATGGGATTAACCAAGTGACGGAAGGCATATGTCTTCATCTTTTGCGAACACGAACGCTGGCCGTAGAGATCAAGGCAGCGCATTATGACAGAACGCCGGTAGTCGATGGATTCATTCGTAATGATATGTCTGTAAATGAACCTGGGGAACGCAAGCGTACGCTTCAGCTCATCTGCAGACAGGCCATCGATGACGTCGAAAAGGAAGTCCAAATCATGGACTGACTCGGCCAGATAGACGGTGAAGACATCCATCAACTGATCCTCCCCTTGTTCAACACGTAAGCGCTCATTTGCTGGAAGTTTGTCGTTGCGCAATTTCTTCTCCAAATCGCGTCCAGCTTGTAGAAGCTTGTTCCGCAAAGCCATATGGGATACCAGCCAGCGCTTAGTTGACGGATATGAGCAGATTGAGTGAACCACGTAGATTCCATTTATCGCGGCCGTGTTTGTGCCATCCGTTGATTCATGTCCAAATGCAGCAGATGTAAACCCTTCGGTATCCGCGACCACTGCCGAACGAAGTGCCTCACTTTCAGGGTCCGCAAGCATCTGTCCAAAGAAACGTCCAAATCTCTCGTCCTTGAAACGAGCATGGAAAAATGACAGACTTTCTTTTGGATAGCGGTTAAGATACTTGACCAGAGGCTTCCTGAACGGGCTGTTCGAAGTTCTGCGGAGCTTGTCTTCGAGATCCAAAACTTTATTTACGAGATGCTCCATGAAAGAGGTCGCAGCAGGAGGCAGAAGGTGGAAAATGTTGAAAATAGCAGCCACAATCTTCATCGGCGGGCTCTGTTCGACAAGGCTGAAGGAAACCTTTTGCAAAACAGCATCGTCTGCGATAACCTTCATATGCTCCAGAAGACGAGCCCCAATCTCGACCTTGAAATAATTAGTGAGAAGGGTGAGGAGGCGGGCAAGGCCATCAAGACCGGCAACGCTGAGACGTTTAGGGTCTTGCAGGTTCATGAGAATAGGGCGAAGACCGTTCTGCAGCAAATCCTTTGGAAGCTTGTTAGTCTGTGTGAGAACATCCCTCAAACCAGCATTAGCCGCTTCGATGACCTCTGACGAACGCGAGTAGAGCGATTTGAAGAACACAGAAATAATACGAGCACGGCTAGTGTTTTGTGGAGTATTGGCAAACTCGGGGAAACTCATTGCCATGGACAAGAGACGGAGACATGCCACACGCAGGTTCACGATCATCTCCGCGTTCTTGAATTCGTTAGGCTTTGATGCGAGGGACTCATCGTCTGCATCCGCAAGAGCAAGAGATTCCAGCATTAGTCGGTTGAGCGGGTCATTGAAGGTGACGATGTTGTTATGAAGGCTCAAACAGAAAGTAATAGCGTCGATAAACCCGATCTGAGTGGGAAACGGCAAGGCTCGAAGGGGCTTGTTAAATATTGACTGCAGAAGGCGATCCTTTACAGGGAAGATGAGTTCATGAACTTCGCAGCCAAGTACCTCAGCAATGGTTGTAAAGCTCCGACGAGAGGCCTCCCGGACGAATTTGTTCATGTGCGAGAGCTCATAGACGAAGAACCCGCAGAGAGAGTACAGACGGCTCTTTTCATTCTTCAAGTCATCCTTGGAAGCATTCTTGCTGCATCTCCGCAAAATCAAATCCAAGGTATCCTGTGCCCGTGCCCGTGTGCTGGCCGGAAGATCGGCTGGGGTGTCCTTAATGACATACATCAAAGCTCGAACAAACTCAGTTTGTTTCTCAAATAGCCAGGTGTCGCCCAGGTCCAATTCAGTAGCGAAGAGGTGAATACCCAAGCTACCTCCTGCTTTGGTAAACCATTCTTCGCTGTGGCAACTATGGCAGAAGACACGGCCGATATGCTGGAAGAATGGCAGCTTCGAACCTTTGTCGGGTGTTCCAAAAATGATAGCGGCAGCTTCCTTCATGACCTTCATAGCTGCTTGTGCTCCATCACGCACACCAGCATCGTCGGAAGAAAGACATTCAACAACGGCTTCCGCAAGAACTCTTGAGTCGAGATAGACGGGGCCCTCTCCGCTGGAGACATCGAACGGCTTACGGGTGTGTCGTGCTTGGGCGAGGGCGCGTCCAACTTCCACGATAGCTAAGTGTTTGCACACATCAGCCACAAAAGCTGTCGCACTTTGCTCAAGCGCCGGAAGCGTGGTAGCAAATATACAAGCTTTCAAAAGCTTCTTTAGCAACCCTTCTTGCATTAATTTCTTGGGAATGGAGCTTGATCGCTCAGACTTTTCCAGGATATCGGCCATAGCACCTGTTTTACCCTCGGAGAGATCATTGGCATGGAGACGAAGCAGTTGAGCCAGATCATCAGGAAGATTCTCGTAGCCAATGGAAAGTTTCAACTGCGAAGTGATCATGCGGTAGGCCTGCTGCTTGTAGTATGAATCAGAGGCTTTTGATGCGGGCGTCTTGGGGACCTCCATCAGCTTGCCAATGGCCAGATCAATGCCTATTTCGATAGGGAAAGGCCGTTTCTCGCTAGGCCCAATCAGCTTGATGTCAAAACTGGGACTGTCATCAGAGAACTGCTCGAACGAGATGTCAGGGGGGTGGTTGAGGAATTTCCTATTGCGACCGCCAAGCTTGCCCAGGATTCTCATTGTAGTATGCGCATGGAAATGGTTATAAGGATGCGGTCGGAGATGGTCCCAGAGAGCGGTCATTAATTCATCCATGATTGGGGACATTATCGGGTCTAGATAGTCGGCAGTGAGGTTGTCCACACACAACTCGAGCGTTCGAAGACCTTGTCCCACAAGATCTGAGTCTGCACGCAAAGCAACAACAATAGGACGCATAAGGTAGCTCAGGTGCGGCAAGAGATGGCTCAGGCGAGCAGGAACAGTAAGCGTGAGCTCAACATATAGATCACGCTCCTGAGGTCTCCGGGAAGCCATCAAGAGGTTATTGAATGTTTCCAGTAGCATCTCCAGAAGCGGCAAAATCTCCTTGTAAAGAAGCTCGAATCGACCACCGCCAATACTGCGAAAGAGTGAGCGCAGGAGAAGGAAGTAGTTCATGGGTTCCTCGGCAGTAACAGAGAGCTCGATACACTTCGTGACGATCTTAGTGACATGAGGATGTAAAACCTGCTCATTTTGAACGGAGAAGAGAGTTACGGCCATGAAAGAGAGCTTGAACATTCTCAGGAGAATCTTCGCCTTGGTCATGTCAGAGGTGCCGACTTCATCGATACGCTCCATGAGATACTGGAGAACCATGCCAGAGAACGCCGGAGAGGTAGCTTCACTAGCCAAAAAGAACTGAGGCAAGTGAAGCAAAGCGCCATGTTCAAACATAAGCTCATGCAAGTAGGGTATCTCCGAATGGAACACTTCATGAAATGTGGCTGTATCGATGCAGTGGAATACCGTTCCGAAGCTCTCTAGGAGTTCCTTCTCTTCCCGTGACATCGGTGCAGTGTATTGACTAGCGAGAAAATCAAACGGGGAAGAATAGTTAACTTCTGGGGGTGACTGATCCACGCCATAGTATCGGAATACACGCGCGCCCTCATGGAACAGCTTTTTGATCACCCTCACTTCCTCTGCGTTATAGCCGTATGAAACTTCTGACCAGTTGATTGGAACGCTGTTGGGGTCTATTTGGATATGATCGGGGTTACAATTCTTCAGTTGGTGGAAGATGTTCTTCAGTCCATTTATCAGGTTCTTGAAAAGGAAGATGTTGTCCGACACTGGGTCACCACCACGGTCACGAGGATTTGAAGTTTTGATAGGCGATGCAGAAAAGATGTCAATTTCGTCCCAGTCTGGGGGTTGGTCCTTGTCCGCGAGGTAGTTATCGGGAAAGGGCTCGGTATCCTTTTTAGTAGCTTTGAATGCCTTCGATACCTTCACGGCATTATTGAACTGGTGGTTCATAGACGCAAACTTGTCGCCAATCGCATCTAAAATCATTATTAAGAAATAACGAGCCTCGCGTTTGTCGTCTAGCTTGGATATCTTTTCTGCCATATTCAGGAGTAGCTTCGCACTCATTGTCTGGAAACTGGTACCAGGGAAGTCATCGTGTAGGTTTTTTGTGTATACCTCAACCGTGCGTCGAATCTGATCACGAGTAAGGTGATCTCGGACATGGTGAATCAAGTCAGCAAGCATACTGTAGGCGAGAGGTCTCATTGTTTCATAAACCGTGAGACCATCACCAATCAAGGTTCTTTCATCAAGGAGCTCGTCGATCTTTTCAAGGAAGATCTTTCGGTAGTTGAAGTTGATAATATGGCGAATTGCGACCAGGAGCTCCTTCCTAGCACTAGACTTCTCCCTGGGACAGTCTTGGAGAAGGCGCACCACCACCGATGGGAGAGTCGGCAGGAAGTCCTGCAGCTGATGGGCGTACATTCGTAAAAGATAAGCCAAGAAACTCATGGTCTTCACTTGTGCTGTAATGAATTCGCCGAAAGCAGCTCGGTTCTTGATCTCTCTACAAACACCAGTGAATATTGTCCCTTGGGCAGCAGCATCTGTGTGCGCCTTTTCCTGCGGCTTGGCTTGAAGAAGCAAAATACTCTTTATTAGAGGGACGAACAGCTTCACATTAGCAGAAACTGATGTGCGGTGTGTTTGAAAAATGGAGACGACAATGATCGGGCACTCGGCGAGAACCTTGAATGATTGCATACCCTTGAGCAGGATATTACTTGATTGTTGATCCGGCCCAAGGTCCGACACAGATGTAGCAGGTGAGCTTGGTCGCGGGGACTGAAAGTTCTGAATTGCTGCCGGTGTCGAGGGCATTCCTGACGGAGTAGCTTGACTAGGGGTGTCGAATGTGTCACGAACAACCTGTTCCATGGTCTGGAACATTTCCTGGATGAGTTCAAGAAACGGTTGTACCCTTCCTGCCGTTGCCTTCGCCTGATTTCGTTCCAAATCCATAATAGTCTTCATGCAAAGAACAGCGTTTTCTTCGTTTTCGATGCGCACAAGGTCCATCAGTAAGTCGACCATATCGCCTGCGTACGGCTCTACATCCGGGGAAGCCATTGGGAGCCGGTGGAGGGTCTCAAGAACACAATTTCGCAATTTCTAATGGATTGAGAAGAGGAATTATTAGTTCTATGCCTCAACATTCACGGGCGACCTTGGCCGTATTGCCTTCGGGGTAAATCATGAACACACCTGCTCAAAGGACAAGTTCGTAAAGACCGGGTCCCCCTTCAATATATTCTTGAACACCGGCCATAGCTTCGACAAAAAGATTGGGTAGCTCGCGCCGGAGCATAGTGGTTCAATGTTGTCTCGCAACTCGACTGCGACATTGGCCCGCACTTTGATGTCTAATAAGAGAATATATTAGCTCGCGCAAAGCTAGTAAGAGAGCATAAACCCCAGCATTGTTTTCTTCGTAGCATATATTCCCCAAGACCCTGTTGAGACAAACATACCAAGCTTCTCATCGCCCAGTTTGTTGGCGTAGATATCGATATTGCGCTCCATGGCTGCGATTGAATCCCTCCGGAGGAGTTCCTGACACGTTTAAACGGGATTAAATTAACGCCAGGCCGAAAGGCCGGCCAGAATTCGAGAAAGGCAGCACAGTCTGCTCTGGTGATCGTAATTCACATGCGGGATAACGACGGAGGAGGCTATATCTGTATCCGCCCGGTAGTGGGAAAAAGGTGAATCGGAGGGAGCAAAGGAACGGGATCGTCAAGTCATTAATCTCCCTCGCTGTAACGAAAGGGTAAGAGGGAAAAGGAAAGGAAGGAAAGAAATGAGTGGATTATGGAGGGACCCAGAAACAGCGGGGGAGGAGGAGGGCCAAAGATGAGATAGAAGAGTGAAATGCGCGCGGACTCACGCCTGCAAAGCGACAGACCAGAAAGCAGCAGAAACGCGGGTATCGCAGAGACCCCGAACGGGAAACTAGGCCCAAAAAGGCAATTTCGGCAGTTCGTTTCTCCTAGCCGGTAGGCGCGCGTCAGTCGCGCCGAGATGTCCCCCTTTAGCCAATCATGGTGTGGTATGGCTAATTCACACGCGAGCACGCTCAAGGTTTAAGGTACCATTGCACAAGATACAGGAACATGTCTATAAATCATTCTGGTTCAGGGCTATGCCGTAGGTACTTCATGTTTTAAAGATCAAAATAGTTCATCGAAATCTTCATCGATGCAGGGAAACGCCATTCGCACCCGTTTTCCATACCCGAACACAGTTCTAATAGTCCAACTCGAATGTCCGCTCACAAATCACGGGCCTGACAAGCCTCGCGCGGAGAGAAGAATATTGAAGGGCATGTACACAAAAAAAATAGAAGTGAAAAAAGAAACTCATATAGCGAAAAAGAAGAACACAGGGGGGGGACTTTGATCGATGAAAAGAAATCAAATCGAAACAATTACACATCATCGCAGCTCGTAGTCGCTATGCCATCATTGCAGAGAATCAACGGACAGAATACACCATCAAACTCGCAAATCGATCGTCACTTGGTGGAATTGCTTCGTGACAGAACCGATATGGTCACACCTGAGCCCGACCGACGTCGTGGTCGAATCTCGCTACCGCTACCACTTCGTCGCCTTCGAGGACCATCAATGGAGCCGCGGCGACGTCTCTGGAGCAAACGGACGTTTCAACGTTAGAATCACGCTGGCTGTAAATAGTAATGCGCAACTTAGCAAAATACAAAACACGAAAAAGGGGGTACACAGAGGATCCTCTCGAGGAACAATAGTATGTATATCATGAACCAGACATCCAGGCATGAAAATTTCAGGCAAACTATTGGGAAAGTGGTGGACTAACCGAAGTTGGCAATCGCTCCTTGGGTGAGCGCGACTCATCCTCCAGCTTGAGAGCATTAAGGCGGTTCTGGTTGTCTTGTGTGAGGGCATCGACGTCGTCTGAAACATCTGCAGCGGGTGGTGCAGGAGCCGGAACCCCGTTTCTCCTATCCTTAGCCTGCTCGGCGAGCTTGGTCCACCGGTCTTGTCGAGCCTGTTCCCGCTCCTCTGCGCTATTCTGTCGTTCATTATATTCATGGGAACATTCATCGAAGAGCTGGGGGTTGATCTCCATGAACATTTTCATGGCATTGTAGACCATGCTATGGATTGTCCTGTGATGAAAGGATTAGAAATTTGTCGGGAGATGCATGCAGGTCAGAAACCTACCTATTCCAGTGGCCTTTAGAGTTCTCATATAATGGTGTAAACATAATTGGTAGGATTGTTTCCACATTGTCGCTAACCAAGTTACAGAAATACTCGTTGTTCCAGAAATAGAGGGCACGTTCAGCGACCTGCGTAGCATGAGGTTAGCAGATTTCATGTTAGATAATAGGGTACTACAAACCTGGAAATGAGGGCTGGCAACGGATTTGGCCAGCTGGTTGAACAACGGTTCTTGAACCTTTGCGAATTCGGCAGGATCCATAACCTCGAAGATATCCTCCACTTCATTCAAATACATGACCTCTTTAGTGCTATTCACCTTGGGCCAGTAGCGCAGTAATCCACAAACGACCTGTTTCCCGTTAGACCACTGTTTGTTTAGGGGAAGAAGGGAGGGCTAGTCATATCGTACATCTTCAGTCAAAGTGGAGTCCTTTTCGAGGAATTGAACGATACAATAGGCCAGTTGCGGGTGATACATGCTGAGACTCTTTACTTTGTGCAGAGGAATCAATACTCTGGTCAAGAAAAGTTTATGCTCCTCCTTGAGAGGCAATGCGAAACCATTAATGATCGATCCCAAAATCTCCAACAGCTCTGCGATTCCATTGAATCGCTCTGTCTCGTAGACGAATTGGAAGAAAACATTATTAATAGATCGGCGAATATATGACCGCAAATTCAAGAACTTTCCGTAGATCCGGTGAAGGGTAGTCTTGAGGAAATCGCGTTCCCGAGGGTCTTCGGAGTCGAACAACTCCAACAGCTATATTGTGTTAACGCTTAGACCTATATTCGCAATTACCAAGAGGGAATTACCTGGAGAACAAAGTGGTGATCGATATAGGCCTTGGCGATGTTGGTGTTGAAGTCTTGGCTTTCTATAAATCTCAAGAAGAATTCATAGACAACCTGGATATGGGGCCAGGCCACTTCCAACACCGGCTCGTCCTCTTCAGGATCAAATGCCTCGCCTTGGGGGGTGACAGGAGGCGGGATGGGACGGAAAAGGTTCTTGGCGAACATCTCGACGACACGGGGGTACATAGGTTCGGTAATGACTGAACGATTATTGGCGACGTAGTCCAGGAGCTCGTGGAGTGCCAGTCTCTTGATCTCCTTGGACTTCATGTCAGCGGTGGGATCGTTGAAGTCGAAAATAATGTTGCACTGGTCGATCTTCTGCATGAAAAGCTCCTGGCGCCGGTTAGGCGGTACTTCATGGAAGCCCGGGAGCTTCTCGAGCTCCCTCTGGCGCTGGTCGGAGATGTCGAATCGCGAAGAGTGCTGACGCTTTGGAGTTCGGATCCCCTCTGACATATCCTTTGGCGTGGTTTGAAGACGATCGAAAACATGGGATTTCCTTGGTGGAGCCAGGTCTCCGGGCATTGTCTCAGCGGCGCCGGGAGGGGGAACATGCTGCAAAGACAATTATGGTCAACACTCGGCACTCACTCACGGCAGCGGGCCGCCATCGCAGTTCAATCGGCTCAGGATAAGGACGCTTACCGGTGCGCTCGGGCTGATCACCACACTGGGGGCCCCTCCCTGTTTAGTCGGGGTTCCTGGACCGTTATTCACAGGCTGACCAGCCATGCCTGCTCCCTGCGGGATATAATGCGGACCAGCGCCCGGGGGGTACACTCCCGCCTGCGCCGCATTGTCCGGCGACTTTCTTGCATCATTTACCGATGTAGTCGACGAAGTCGGGGTACCTTGGTTAGGCGACGCGGATTGTTGGCCTTGGTGGATTCCGAGGTTGGCCTGGTTCTGGGACGACGAGTTGGAATCTTTCTTCTTCGAGGACTTGTTTGCATCTTTTGCCCTCGACAACTGCTCATGCTAGGCAGGTTAGCTCGAATAAGTGAGATGAGAGAAGTTGACCCTATCATCTCGTTCTCCCCCAAAAAAAGTCCCAGGCGGGGAGGGGTGAACAAGAAGCAGGAGACGTGGAGGCAAGACGACAAGGTAAACTCACCACTCTCTGTCTGAAGCCCTTCATTGTAACGAGTATGCGAACAGCCACATGTACTCGGCCGAGGTTCTCGATGCCAGTGCAGCAGGATGCCGCACACTAGCAGGAGGGGTTGAGGTTGGGCGACGGGGAGGCAGTAGTTCAGGAGGGCCACGACGGGATTTGTTTATATCGGCCTGGGATGATGACCACATGAGCGTTCCCAACCACCACAAAGTAAACAGCGGGAATGTCCGAATCCGATCGAAGAATCACAAGCCACTTCGTGGAGAGCCACCAGGTAGACTTGTTTCGAGAAGCGAATGAACGGGGGGTGGAATGGAAATAGCGCCAGCACAACGGCTCTCGGGGAGGCGGTAGGTCCAAGGGACAAGCGGACCCAAAGGGTGCAACAGGGAGGAGAAGGACCGGGTTCCAACGCAGTGAGGAAGAGGGAACGATTGCTGTAGAACTTACCACAGGCAGACGGTGACAATTGGAGAACAGGAGGGGGAGAGGTAAAGCGCTCTCTCTCTCTTTGGCGCAGACACAGCTGTATGGAGTAAGTCGGTCTGGTCGTTGCTTTACAGAGGATCGTCTCCGTGTCGCTTAGCGGCTGGCTGGGAAGCGGGGGTGCAAGAGCCCCGAGGTGTGAGGCTCACGGTCGCAGTCGACGCGATGGTTGATTCGTAGATGTAAAAATGAGATGGTGTTCTTATTATATGAGACAAAAAAAAGGTACAGTTAGGGAAAAAAGGGCGATGATGTCGAGAAATGGATAGGGTTCGAGGTTCAGAGGGCCAGTCTGGCTGTGGCTGAGTTGCCAGTGCGCTCAGGCGTTAGAAGAGGCGGCACACACAGCAACATGGATATCTGCTGTCGAACTACGATGTTGGAAGGAAGTAAAGGTGGATAGAGGTGTTTTTTTATAAATTACAGAATATCTACTACAGATTGTCCTAAAATATCGCTCCGTATGGTCATTCCTCTCTATTTGAGTCTTTTTGGTGGTTTTTTTGGCTGTGTGTTGGGTCACATGACCTTAGGAATTCTTCTCCACGGACAGCCAAAGACAATTCAAGTACGCAACAGAGATGATTGAAGTCATGAGATATTGCAGAACTAAGACGACTTGGATGTCTTGATTGGTGCCATATTTGAGAGAGATAAGATTGATGGATTGACGTGTGTTGAATGCTATAGTATCGATATCGGATTAGATGGATATATATTCACTTCAACATCATCTTTAAATCACAACCTCAACTGGCAATCTAATATTCGAACCCAAGTCAGCCGTCCAAATGGAGCAACGTCCAACAAGGACAGCACCGTTCTATCCCATCCCTTCTCGACATGTTGTCAGTGTCGAGCATCCGGCTATCATCCAAAATGTCGACAAGGCCATTGACACCCTGCAGGGTAACGCAGGCATCGCAAGTGTGAGTCTCACTACCCGTCGTATATGGACTCTATCTAACGTGAATAGATCATGAACCCCCCCAAAGCTGATACCCCAGCCAATCTTATAATCCGACCTGAAGATATCATGTCAAGGCCTCTCCAATCGACAAGTTCTCATTCCAACAACATCCTTCTGAAAGTCACTGTGCCTAGACGTACGGGTAGAAAACGCAAGAAGGGATCGAATGAGCCGTTTGCTGATGATTCAACGGTCCCTGAGAACCAACCACAAAGCGCAAAGGATCTTCTGCGAAGCTTGCGTGATAATCTGGGAAGGTACCAGGTCGAACCGGTGGGAATGGTAAACCGAACGCATGTGTTTCGAGGTAGGCTGTGTGCTTGGCTTTGTGTGAATATTCTCTAACTGTCGTGATAGGAATGCCGGACTTTGTGTTTTCTACCTCTGGTAGTGAATTCACCAATCGATTCCGAGACCAGATTCTCTCTTTTGACTGTAAGAGATGCTATAATCATCACGGTGTGAAGACATGCTGATGAAACCCAGACCAGAAGATGAAACAATTCGACCTCGACATGAGCAAAGGTGCCATATCAAATGTCGATATCATTCCACCCCCATCCTTCAGCCATGGCGATGTCCCATTCGGCTACTTGTACGCACCCCAAACATCAATATCTACACCAGACCAATATACTAACTCCACCAAAGCTACCGTCAAAACCCTACAGTCCGCCAGTCAATGGATACATCCGGCAACATCACCACAGTCAACACCCAACGAGCCGCCAAGATCCTCACCCATCTCGTCCCCGGCGACATTCACATCGTCCCGTCCAAACCCCGCGACAACTGCCCCCCAATCGACACCCTCGACCAACACCTCCAGGACACCATCGCCGTCGTGGAAGCCCTCTTCGAATCCCGTCCTGCCTGGACCCGCCGCGGCCTCCGCAACTCCCTCACCACTCTCGAACACCGCACCGCCCTCCGCCACGCCCTCCCCTACGTAGGCTACGTCTTTCGCTCCGGCCCCTGGCGCGACGCCATCGTCAAATTCGGCCATGACCCCCGTACCTCCCCCGCCTACCGCGGCTACCAAACCCTCATGTTCCGCCTCCTCCCCCGCGAACCGGAACTCGCCCGCGACGGCGGCTCCGGAAGACGACATACCCTCCCCCGTCTCCCTGAAGCTGAACCAATAGACCCTACCTTCACCTCTGCTACCTCCACCGCCGTCGTCCCCGGCGACTCCCACCTCTTCACCGGCCAACTCCCTCTCCCCCGTGACGGCCGAATGTGGATGTTCTGCGACATCACAGACCCCCTCCTCCACAGCCTCCTCTTCCCAGAGTCAGACTCTTCCTCTTCTACCACCACCACCCCGTCTCACCTTCGTTCAACCTGCGACACCGTAACAGATGGCTGGTACCAAAACGGCACAATCGCCAAAGTAAAAACCATCATGCGCGCAAAAATCCAATCCCTCTCTGACGGCCGCATGCCCGACGACGCCGAATACGCCCGTATCCTCGCCTTCCCCGACCAGGCCAGATTCGAGGACTTCCTGGCGGATTTCTGGGTCGAGGCGGACTCGGGGGCTACGCCGAGAGAGTTGCAGTTGGCGACGGAGGTGAGGGCGATGATTAAGAATGCGCCGGAGTGGAAGGCGCGGATCAATGCGGCGGGGATGGATAAGGAGGGAACCGGGACGAGTCAGGAGAAAGCTGCGGGTGCTGCGGCGTCGACTGGGAAGAGGGTTCAGTGGAAAGATGAGGTTGAGGAGAGTGAGGGTGAAGAGGAGGCGATTGAGCAGGCGGAGATGTTGGAGGCTGAGGCTGCGGCTGCTGCGGCGGCGGTGGATGCTCGGGAAAATGAAAATGAAAATCAAAATGAAGAGAATGATCAAGACGACCAGGATGATCAGGATGAGCAAGATGATTTAGATGAAGATGGAGATGTTGATATGGATGAGGGTTCAGTTTCAAGGCATTGATTGTATTGATTCTAGCTACTAAATGGCACGCCAAAAAATAATGAATCGAGATCAAAGTCAATTCATTCTATGTACATCGTAATTGAAAATGATCAGTCATGGCACTCTTGAACTCATTAAGGTATAACGTTAATTCGAACCAAGGAAAACTAAGATAGAGTCGAGGTGAGGGAACAAGACGGTGTGGACAGGATTGTAAAGGATGAGAGTAGGAATAAAACTGTAGATAGGCGTCAATGAATAGGTCGGGACACACAAGGAAATGCATCAAGAAAGGTCGAATAGAGTGGTAATAGAAAAAGTCGAATGGGTATCCAGAATAATGGTATGCAGTTTCCTCCAAAGGATTTCAAAACGCCGTCAAAAAGTCAGACAATTTAGATCGACAGGCGTAAGGTCGAAGCAAATTAACACCAAACAAGAGGATTTTTCTTGAAATGAAACGCCGGAAGTGATTAAACAAAGGAGAGTGATGGGTAGGTAGAGATTAAAGACCCAAAGGTTCAGTCTGAGTGGAAGTGGCCTCCGACTGCTCTTCCGCAGCACTCCCGCTTTCCCAGATCTCGATCTCTGCCTCGGACGGATTCTCCTTGGATGGCTCGTCGGTAGACGTGGCTGGGGTTGTCGCCTCCAAGATAGAAGAGATAGATGAGACACTGGAGAGCTTTGAGCTGCGAGAGGGCTGGGTGGAGCGCGGCAAGCTAGGAGCAGGGGCCTTCTTTGGCTCTGGTGTGTTCTCGGCGTCGTCATCGTACACAACTTCATACGAGAAAGCATGGCAGTCGGCACCATAGTAGTCAGAGGCGTTGAGCTCACCAAGCGGAGAACGAGACTCCTCCATCATGGGACCCTTGCGGGCAGCGGCGGCGGTTGACTCCTGTTGAGGAGAGGCGGGGAGGCTGAGACCCAGGTCTGCAGGAGGGATGTTCTCCTTGCCGCGGCTAGTATTCTCCACATTGGTCTCGTCGTCACTGATGTCAAGCACACCGGTAGAGTGTTGCATGAGGTTGGTCATCTCCTCCTGTTCCGAGTCGACATGGATCTCAAAAGCCCATGACGCAGGGGCCTTGGAGCTGGGCTGCTTGGACTTGCCATTAGACAGCGCGGTTGCAATGGAGAACGGACGGCTGACTGTCTTTTTGCCTGTGGGTTCGGAGCGGTTCTTGGAGATGTTGGAGCGACGAGCAAAGGGCTTGCAGGACTGTGACTTTGACTTTGGAGAGCGACCGGCGGGCTTCAGAGCGGTCGTCGACTTGGGGGTGGATGGAGGAGCGCTGATCGGAGCAGAGGGAGTGCGGGGAGCGACGATGGGTTCGACAGTCGCCAATGCCTTGCGAGAGGCCTTGATGGGCTTGGAGCTGCCCTTGACAGGCCCATCCTCGTCGGAGCCACGCTTCCGCTTGGTGGAGAGGTTGAGGGTCGGGTCGACGTTTTCCGTATCGATTTCTCCGAGAGGACGTCTCTTACCAGTGATCGAAGCACCTATTGGAGTCAGAATCGTGATTTAATCGAATGAGGAGAAAGACATACCATTCTGTTGATTCTTGACGTTCAGCTTTGTCTTGAGCAGAGACCGCATACGCGGGGCATCCAAACTAGCAAAAGGCTGACGCATGGTAGCAGGAGTCATGGTGAGAGCCGCCATCGTGAGACGGAGTCGACCTGATCCGTTGAGTTGGAGATGTGAAGACAAAGACGAGTTGAGATGCGTCGAGATGGTTTGTTTTGGTAACGCGGTGTGGGGTTGAGATGATTGGCGGTCTAGAGCGGATCGTGGACAAAGAGACTGTTGGACACGAGACTGACGATCCCGAGATTAAATGACGGATCAATAGATCAGTCGAGTTTATGATCTCTAGAAAGAGAGTGAAGGGATTCGAAAGGACTCTGTCTGTAGAGGGGACAGAGGGAGAAAGGGGAGAGTGGATCACTACAACAGAAGGACAGACTGATCGGATCCCAGCGACCAGAAGAGACTATCGAAGCTGAAGAGAAGAGGGGATAGAATGGGATGGGATGAAGAAGAGAAACGGAAGGAAGAGGTGAAGCTATGTAGATATACGCAGACCGCGAGATGAAGATGAATAATTACAGCTGGAGGAGGCAAGGGCAGGGCGAATTCCCATTTAAAAACGGAGGGCAGGACAAGGGAAAGCAGGACGAGAGCGCAAGAATGAACAGAGCATCCACGACTCTCGAAACATGCAGTTGATGCGGTTTCAAAAAGTATGTTGCGATGCGGATGATCGCTGCTGGGAGGCTCGAATATGTATCCTTTTCCGGTCTGGTCGGCATAATCCAAGGAGCGCGTCGCTTCGTGTTGGATCGTGAAGCATTCTATGCAAGGCGCGTGTCTGCAGCAACCGTCCGTCGCCCCGGCCACTTATTGGGCGTGACTCGGGATCTCCAGGGTGGCGACGTGCAGGAATCGTCATTAATTTCTGATGGTCCATTCCAAAAGAAGCCAGAAAGCGTTGGACTAAGTCAAGACAATCTCATTGATGCTGTTCATGTTGGCGCTGAAGTGAGGGGTTCGCGTTTGTATGTATGTACGGTACGGAGTATTGATATTACATCTACAGACACTTCTGACCTGTTGGATATGGAAATAAAGTAGATGAAAAGGAGAGATAATCATCATCAACCATTCTAGAGAACTCTATCCAGAATTATTGATCTGGAGGCAATAGTATGGAGTGGTGGTGGTTGTTTCATAAAATACCGTCCATCCCTACAACGCGTCTTCAACCTCATCTCCAACACGACTCCATCTCGCACTAAAGCCAACCCGAAATAGATCTCAGATATCGCGTCACTTGCAGACTTCCCCTCATCGGCTCCATTCTCCATCTTCCAAGGCTTCCACCACATTAAGCTTACACAGCTCGGATGTCGCCTGTTTCACCCCCCTTTCTTGAGCGGTATAGCCTCTAGACCCGACCATTTGTAGAACTGACATCACCAAGATAAGATCATAAGAATAGGTTGAGACTCCGTTTCGGGACACTGTCAGCTGGACAACATGAAGCATGTTTTATCCCCAGCCTGTGGTTTCATTGGGATTCTACGATGATGAAACAGACTGGCGTGGTGGGATTGGCGCTGGTTGGTGGGATACGCGCCACTGCGATTCTATTTTCATCATCTATCGAGTGTCTGTCTAGATGGGTAATTGACTTTGGATGAAGATCATGGGATGATCTGATGGGATAGAACTCGACTGTCATCTGGCGTTGAGAATGTGTTGCCTTGATTCTTCACGACTTCACGACTCATCCCTCCAGGACGATTAAAGGCATCATCCCATTCCATTCTTCACGTCATATAAGACACGATCCGTTCAGCCCCTCGAGGCACGCTTTCAATGACTCTGGATTGATCATTGTGGCTAGGATACTCTATTCTTAATCTTAATTAATATACAGTTTTATCTTCTACCCCATGGTTAGATCTCATCCTCCCATGGAATGCTGTCCATCGCCCCCTGTCGCTCAACTCCTCGTGCCGCGGCTTGAGTCGCGATCCCCATTGCCCGATCCATCACCTTTTGATATCTCTCGCCCTTTTCTTCTTGGGTTACATCCTGTCCGGCCTTGCCGTTTGCCCGTCGCTGTTCGCGCCATCGCGCCACCTCAACGGCATACGCGCCCACAAAAGTATCTCCAGCGGCAGTCGTGTCGAGCACTTTGCTCACCTTTGCCGCTGGAATCTCGTTGGTAAATCGGTTCACGCCATCAGCAGGGCCAGATGTTCCCGCATCCGTAGCACTGTACCAGACGCCCTTGGATCCCAATGTGATGAGGACGTAGGTCACGCCTAGCTGGTGGAAATACCGAGCCACCTTTTCCTTGCCAGGTTGCCCCTCCGCACCAGGAACGACCTTTAGGAGCTGCTCCGTTGGTGGGGTCATCAGTTCGGTTTCCGTCTCGTTCATGATGAAATGGTCCACGGCTTTGTAGACATCTTCTGGTAGTCCTCCCGGCGGTGCAGGGGCAGGGTTGAATATGACATCCGGCCCAGCCTCAATTCCCCGTTGCCCTTCCGCCCGGTTCTTCTCCTTCCATGCCTTGATATCTCGAAGTGTCCCGATGATCGTGTCGATGGGAATCTCACCCTGCATAACAATCACATCTGGCACTGGAGCTAAAAGTGCCATCCCCAGTACCACCGGAGTAGGTTGCATACCGGTATAGTTCGCTCCGGGAGAGAAAACAATCCGGTTCTCTCCTCCAGCAGACGAGTCAACGACAATCACCGCCACACCCGTGTATGCATCCTTGATGATCTGAACACGAGAAGTATCCACACCCGATTTCTCCAACGTCGGCTTCAGCAGGGCATCAAAGTGACCGTCCAAAGCTCCCACCGCACCCACCATCTCGACCGTAACAGGGTTTGTAGAGGTAGACGTGCCAGATGCGGATGGCTGGGATCGCGACATGCGACCACATGCGACGGCTTGGTTGGCGCCTTTTCCACCGGCGCTGGTGAAATACGACGAGGCAGTGATGGTCTCTCCAGCTTCAGGGAAACGAGGAGTCACTGAGACCATGTCGGCATTGAGAGAGCCAACGACGCGGATTAAGGGTGCCATTGTTGTGTGTAGCTCTTGCAATCGCGGGGTATGTGCGGGGAGGGTGAATTTGTCAATTGAGGCCACAAACAGGACTCTTTTGGTCTTGTTTTGGCTGACACTTTTCTGTCCTTTGGGGGAATGAAAGAGAAAGTGACTAGATTGAGGGATGTAGGATCAGATTTATTGTGCTTGACTGGCAGAAGTGGTTATGATGAAATGAAATCCGGGCAATTGGTGGGGTTCGGTGGGGAGTCAGCCGAGTGGATCCTCAGCGCATACAGTCGGATGGACTTGACTATAACGGTTACTCTATTTACAGTTGGCGAGGATGAAGATGTTGTAATAAGTAGATGTTGTGGCTTATGGATACTCTAGTATGCATGACTTATATGGCAGAAAATTTGGGGTCATACAACAGGATCTGCGGATTATATGTGTACAAGTATCAAGTAGCCAAAGTGTGGACTCCGTAGTATACAGCACATCGTAGTACTCTTACTGAGTATGTTTAATTATATATTGCCATTATAATGTCTCGTCCTGATCGATTTAGCCAAGATAGCCTTTAAGGCAAAGAGGGTGAACTGGGCAATGGTGAATGGTGTTATTGCTATTTGTATAGGAGCACCTTTCACGGCTTCAAGATGCTGCCCTAAGCCATTGAGAACGATTATGTTACACCAGGAAGCCGATCCAGGAGCTGCTGATACTAATGGGTCAACTAAAAGTGTTATTTTGAGATTCAAGACATAAAATAAAGACAATATGCAATATAGTCGAGCGAAGGATGGGATGGTTTCAGATATGGACATTCAACTTTCGTCTTCCATAGACACGCATTCACAATCACAGAGTAAAAGAAATGAATATAATTCATGCATATAGTATATTTATGAGTAGTATATCATGAGCAAGCTGATCAAAAGAAGCCGTAATGCTATTGACATGTCCCGTAGCACAAGTGCCTACCGTCGTTCGACCACCTCGAGCCACGCTTTCCTATTCTGGTATGACCAAAACATCTTCCCCTCTACACCTCGTCGAATCTGCAACTCATTGACTACAATATCTACTACCAGCAACTGTGAGTCACTGAGAGATCAATCTCATAGAGATCTATCGACACAGAATGAACAATTCTTTCAATATGTCGGGATTTCCATTCATTGAGAACTTCGGGGAGATATCATGGCTCTTTGAGGACCAAGATGGATTTATATTCGACTTTCAGGGCCTCTCCGAGCTTATGGGACAGGCTCAATCATACGAACCGGGACCCTCATCGAGAAATAAGAGAAGACGATCGGACTTTGACTTTGACGATGAAGATGAGACCATTTGGTGGCATAACCAGCTCAGCAAGAGACGAAGGAGGAGCAATAGAACAAGCAATATGGAGCAAGAAGGCGACAAAAAATTCTATGCCATCGACAATATCCACTTCTGGGGCGACGTTACGATCAGAGAAGCCGAGGAGGCGGCCGACTTTGCGTTTGACGTACACGAAACCAGCCTTTTCCCAGGGACGAATCCAAAGAACTACGTGTTTTGGGTCGACGGATCAGGAGCTGGAGGGGCTGGAGTGGTATACCGGGAGCCATCAAAATCATCAAGATGGGTCGAATATGGGGTTCAAATCCCCTATGGATACAGCTCGGGGATGGCTGAAGTGGTAGCAGTTGCGGCAGGTTTTCAAGTTGCCATAGATTTTGTGAAAACGCTGGAATCGGCAGGGACCCGAACAGTAACTATATTCACCGACTCGCAGGGAACATTATCCATGTTTAAATCGTTTTCAGAATCCATGGAAAGTACGCCGGAGTTGCTCACGGCCCTTGATTATTCCCGCGAACTACAGAAAATGGGCGTCCACGTTCATCTACATTGGGTCCCCAAAAGGGCCAAACTGCCGGGGCATGGGATGGCGGATAAGATGGCCCGGAGGGCAGCCGATTTTAACAGAGTTAGACGAGGATCTCTGTCAGATGTAGTAGTGTCGTGGGGTTGGATGAAAAGAAGGGCAAAGGAGAATCCTTTGGATTTGTCAGAAGAGCAAAGTATCACCGAGCCGGAACTCTTGGTCGTGGCATCGAATGCCTTTGATCATACTCTGGACTATATTGAGCTATAGGCCAGACATTCAATGGGTCAGAGTTCAATGTCCTCGGGCACACCAACACATGAAAGCCGTCGAGCTGTTACGAAAGAGATGAGACAGTGGCAAAATGCAGCAAGAACGAAGCTCAAGCAATGTACGGAGTGAAATGGAGGTATGCCCTACGTTTATAGCGTGTTTGATGAATACAGCATGACATTATGGTAATATTTTCCAATTCTAAGATAAGTGGACGAACCCAAAACACGCCGTACACCATTCAATCCCGCTTGCCCAAGCTTCAAACTGACAGAAACACACACCCCAGACCAGGCAATACATGCAATCTCCCAACGGTAGAGATAATCAGAAATCAAATGCCCATAGCACATACATGGTATATGTAAGCGTCATGTCGTCAAAACGAAAACAAAAGAACAAATCAAACTCCATGGCGGTATACTTGTGATCCTCCAGACCGGATCTGTATAGTATCTCTCCGCTGGAGAACCAGCAGCGAGCGGTTAAGAGCCTGCTCGGTGTATCCTCGTCCTTCGACGAATTCACGTCGTAAAGTGGCCAGACTTGTGCTCCAGCCGATGGGAAGTCGGCGCTTCAGCTCGTCTTCGATCTTGTTAACCTCCTCCATCATTTCCTTGCTGCCCTGGCCCTCGCCCTGGGTAACTGCGTCCATGGTCGAGGCCAAGAAGAGGCGGATGGCTTCGTCGACGTGCGCCTCTGTGGCGATCGGCGACAAGGATAGTTTGGCCAGGGACTCTGTGATACGGACAATAGCTTCTAGTTGACGGACGGTGATGGGAATGGATGAACGGGTATTAGCGTCCATTTCGGCGCGGTGCACTTGCTTTCGGATGGAAACAAAGTGCGATGAAAGCTTCTCGGCAGCTTCTGGGGAGAGGCGGGGGGCACAGCGACTGTAAATTACGTTAGCACAAATGCATCTTCTCACTGAGTGGACTAAAACTTACGTTCGGCAGTAACTGATGTACCGCTTCATCTTTTCCACTGGAACCTCTGCCTCGACCTGCTCTTCAATACCTCTACCACCCATATGCACGCCCATGACGTGCCGAGCGATGCTCTCGTCACGACCACGCTCGTGGTCATCGCGAACGATGAAGATCATATCAAAACGTGACAGGATAGTAGTCTGGAAATCAATGTTCTCTCCAGGAGTCTTCAAGTCATCGTATCGACCAAAGATAGGGTTGGCGGCCGCCAGGACGGATGTTCTCGAGTTGAGAATGGTGGTGATACCGGCCTTGGCAATGGATATGGTTTGTTGTTCCATAGCTTCGTGGATGGCGACTCGGTCCTCGTCCCTCATCTTGTCGAACTCATCAATACACACCACACCACCATCGGCAAGAACCATTGCACCTCCTTCCAAGTAGAATTCGCGAGTTGCATGGTCACGCTGAACAGAAGCGGTCAAACCGGCTGCCGAGGAACCTTTACCGGAAGTGTAGATGGCGATTGGGGACACCTTTTCGGTAAATTTCAACAGCTGAGACTTTGCTGTACCGGGGTCACCAAGAAGCAGCACGTTAATATCACCACGAAGCTTCATCCCGTCAGGAAGAATCTTTTTGGAACCACCCATCAACAGACAGACAATGGCTTTTTTGATATCCAGGTTTCCGTAAATGGACGGGGCGATACTCCGGGCAACCGCTTCGTACAGGTCGGGCCGACGGCTCAATTCCAAAAACTCCTGCTCTTCTTCGTCGGAGAAAATGGCGGCACCCTTGACAGTGTGATCGAGGTCGGTGCTAATTCCAACTGCTCGCAAATAGGGGTTACGGATGGCTACTGCAGCGTCCTTCTTCCCGCCTTTAGCCTGGTAGATGGAGAAAATACCCATCACTGAGCAACGAGAACCGGGAACCACGCGGTTGGCCAAGTACCGGTCTGCCGAGATGAGAACATGGCGGGGAAGTTCTCCCACAGGGACCTGATCGGGGGCTTCTTGGAGTTTGAGAACCTGCTGATCCACGAATTGACACTTCTCGTGAGATACCACATAAGGATCCAATGGGCACTGTTCACCGGGTACATCTCCAGGCTGCTGCTCACGGCCACAGCGTCTGGGCAATGACAAGCCTGAGAAACCACCATCAACCCGGATATTGTCACTGTGATCACAACTCTTGCATCGAATATGCACAAGCGTTGCTTTGGATGAAATTGTCGATGCACCAATCACAATTCCAGGGATACGAACGAGATGAGAGATGTTGGTTGCATTGAGGTCACGGATAGAGATGTGAGAGGCGGAAGAGTGAAGGAGGAGTTGGTGTGTTGGCAGCACAATGTCTCTTTGCGAAGGAAAGACAATTCTTTGGGTGCATTGTTGAAGAGCAGCTTCGAACTGAAAATCAAAATGATTAGCAAAATATTTTACAGATTTTGGCAGATATGATGACCCACCAGAGGAATGATATCCGCGGGCTCAGTGGTGAGCTTGTGTGCCAACTCCTCATTATAGGAAATCAAGTGTGCAATGTCAATATCGCAGAAAAACTGTTTCACAAGGGCATTCTGTCGGAGCTGGTCTCTATAACCCAGGGTTAGCATCGGATTCAACCATCATAGTCCTTGAAGTCGTTTTGCGAGGAGTAACCCACCGATAAATAAATGCATTATCCAGCTGAAATTCCAACACAAACTCCCGCAATCGGGCTTGGATCTGTGTGCGAGACTCTTCAGCGCCATCTGTACTGGGCGCAAGAACGCTCAGAGTATAAGGAGTGCGTCTGTCCATTGCGAAGACGGCAAAGGGGGTGAATAGCGAGGGGTTCGTGGTTGTTGGAGATCACCGCCTGTGGAGGAGAAAATGCGAACAACTTTTGCTTGGGGAGAAACACGATGGGAACGCGTCGCGTAAGGAGTGTTGCCCACGCGTTAAGTGGTTTTGGCCTCAGGCAGCCGAGGGGTGCTTGCCCTCGTGCCTCAGGCCCTCAGACGGAAGAATAAATGCTCCGAATTCCCCATTCGGATTAGGCTCCGCGGCCTTTGGGCCTTGCACCTTACCCAATTGGGGTGAGCTTTCATGCTGCCAAAGAGCAACCCCATGTTTGACGGTGCCTGAGCGACGTTGCAGCTTCATTCGAATTTCGTCGGTGTTTTCTTCCTTATCTATTGCTTTGCGCTGCAGGTATCCGGAGCCTAGTGGTGGAAGCGATTGGTACGCGGTCGCCGATCTCCGCTTTGAGGCTATACAGCTGTCCTCTGTCATGTTTAGATAACGAACAACCATACGATTAATACAGTGGCCGCCGGAGTCGAGGCTTTCGACTTGAACGAGATGTCCGCGAGCCCGCGAAAGTCGATCGATAGTCTTGCCTCAGGCGCATCTACGCCTTCGTTATCACACCACTCGTTTAATTTGGACTCCCCCCGGGTTCCGCCCCAAAGAGCCCCCCTGAGGCGAGGGTCGACAGCCAGTTCGGTAGCTAGCATTGGGGGCGTTCTTGATTCGTCTCACCACCATGGATCGATAGCAGAATCGGGGCAGAATGGTTCGTGGCATTACAATGGCGTGGGCGATTGTCTGGGCTGTGTACTGATGGTTATTAGCAATTTCTACCCTCCTTCAATCTCCGATTGTCCGTACAGGACTGGTCCCCCATACCGCCGTATCGTCTACCGGATATAAACTTCCGACCTCTCGAGATATTCCCCCAGTTACGTTAACGAATATTCCTCATGTCGAGGGAAAGGTCTTTCAGCCGTATCTGTCGCAGGTCGGGTCGTTGTACGATGTATTCCAGCTGGCAAAAGAAACTCCGGATCAGGATTCGCAACTGGCGCGGGGAAACAAGTCCGCTTCCAGGCAGGAGGATAACGAATCTCTAAAACCAAGGTCAAGGGAACGTCGTCCATCAGTGATGTCAACCAGCTCCCGTGCATCCTCACCATACGACAGTAAGGGTAGGAGACGGTCATCCGCTGGACGAGGGCGAGGCCCCGCGGTTACCCCACTATCTACCATCCCACCGGTCTATTTCGACGATGCCTTTCACCTTGAGAACCCTCGAACATTTGATGTTGTATCAGAGAAATCAGAGGTAGTCAGGCCGCCAAATGAAGGTGGGGCAGAGCCAGCTCCTACTGGAAGAAAGGCGCTTGCTACAAATGCCATCTTACAGGAGAAGCTTTCTTGGTACATGGACACAGTGGAAATCCATCTCATTTCATCTATTTCGACTGCATCCAAGTCTTTCTTTACAGCACTAGGATCACTGCGTGAGTTGCACTCAGAGGCTGCTGATTCCGTAAAAAGAATACAGGTCCTGCGGAAAGACTTGCAGAAGATTGATCGAGAAATGGCTCTGGGTGGTCTTAAGATAGTCAATCTACGACGCCGACGAGAGAACATCCGAATGCTCGCTGATGCAGTATCCCAGCTTCGAGACGTGGTTGAATCAGTTGCTCGGTGTGAGGAATTGGTCGAGAGGGGTGAGATTGACGAAGCTGCGGATAGTCTAGAGGAGGTTGAGAAACTGATGGCTGGGGAGCATACGGTTGAGCATCCTGGCGAGGGCGAAGAGCAAGAACACCCGAGAAAGCCGGTCGATCTACGACGACTGAAGGCCCTTGAGGGCGCCTCAGATGACCTTGGACAACTACGATATCGGATCGGTACGGGCTATGAGAACCAGTTCTTGAATGACTTGCTGGGGGACTTGAGGCAACACGTCGAAAACGCTCCATCGGACGTTACAATACAGCGATGGGGCTTCTCGTTTCAAAGACAACGTGGGACTCCGCGTCCTGGTGCTGCCACATCCCCTGCATATATGACCTTTGACGATCAATTGAGGTCAAGGTTGTTCCAGCAACTCACTGGTCTCGCGCGTGCAAACCATACGACTCCTGCGGCAACCTCCTTTAAGACAGCGGTGCTTCGGGAGATGAAAGCTCTTATTCGCAAACAAATGCCTAGCTCCAGTGACGATGATAATGAGTCCATGGTTTCGGTATCCACCCACAGGTCTCAGCAGCTGAGCCAGCAAGAGAAGTCATCAATTCTTGCCCGTAACCTCCGTGCTCTAGACTCAGGTGATGCGTACAACATGTTGGTTCGAGTTTACACTGGAGTCAGTGAGTCACTCCGGAGACTCAGTGTTCAAGTCAAGGTGCTTCTTGACATCGCAAGTGGCTTGGAGACTCCCCCGCCAACTAAGGGCTCAAACCCGGCGAACAAGAGCAATGGAACAAGGTCCAGATCAGAAAGTGGCGCAGCAGCTGCCCAGGAAGAAATATTACAAGTTCTGGATATGTCTAGCCTGCTTGGACAAGCGGTAGATATTGCACAGTCTCAGATAACCAAGGTGCTCAAGGTGCGATCCGAGCAGACATCCCAGTTATCAAAGGAAGACTTCTTGAAGTACTTCACACTTAACCGGCTATTTGCCGATGAATGTGAAGCTATCTCAGGAAGAGGTGGCACAGCTCTGAAGACAGTCGTTGGAAACCAAATTCGAGACTTTATCAACAAATTCAGTGAGAAACAAAGGCACAGCCTTGTCGAAGTGATGGACTCGGACAGATGGGACGCAAGAGATTTCGATGAAGCTGATGTGGCTATCCTTACAAGGATCCTCGATGCAAGCACAAGGGACATCGAAGCTTGGGTAGATGCCTCAAAGATTTGGCTCTCGGATAAGAGCCAAGAGGGTACATCGAATTCGTCAGGTGCCAATGGCACCGGAAAAGACAAGGTGCGGACTGCAGTTATCGACGAGCAGAAGTACATACTTTCGCAGTCTGCAGTGGCAATGATGAGAAGCATCCAAGACTTCCAGTTCCTCATGGCCAATATTCCCAATATGATCCAGGACATTGCGCCTAGCCTACTGGAGTCGCTGAAATTGTTCAACTCCCGGTCTTCCCAACTCATTCTTGGTGCTGGAGCCACAAGAAGTGCTGGCTTAAAGAACATCACCACGAAGCACCTTGCCCTTTCCTCGCAAGCTTTGAGCTTTATAATTGCATTGGTTCCATACATCCGGGAATTCGTCCGTCGCCATGCGTCGTCTAGTCCTTTGATGGGCGAATTTGACAAGGTGAAGCGACTGTACCAAGAACATCAATCTGGAATCCATGAAAAGTTGGTCGACATTATGGGCTCACGATCTGCCGTGCATGTCAATACAATGAAGAAGATCGACTGGGATTCGACCGCGGGATCGAATAACGTGAACACATACATGGAGACCTTGACAAAGGAAACCGGCACGCTGCATCGTGTTTTGAGCAAGCATCTTCCAGACATGACTGTCCTGATGATCATGGGCCCAGTCTTTAACAGCTACCGGGAGCAGTGGACCAAAGCGTTTGAAGCAGCACCTGTCAAGTCTCAAACTGGAAAGCAGAGGTAAGCTATTTCATCCACAAATTTTTTTTTTTTTTTCTTTCGGCACAGAATCATAATAATAATTTTCTTCAGGATGCAACGAGACGTCGAGTACTTTCACAGCAAGATGAGCAAGATAGACGGCTCTGGGAATATCGGCGAACGCCTTCTTGAGCTGGTCAAAGGAAAGACCATCGCGGCAGAGGCCAAGGAGCAGGCCTCCGGCAAAGCCTCGTCGTCATCGGATTCGACAGAAAAAAGCGACGGGGCATGAATGGTGATGAGTTGACTGTTTTATACATTTTCATCGCATAGGTACCCTTGGATTTGCACCTAGATTTCCTAGGACTGTACATAAGATGAGCGAGTTCTTTCATTTTCCTGGGCGTCTAGCGCCAGCATTTTATTATTGATTTTATACCTGCAGAGTCATCAATTATAATTAGACTCATGTCCTACTTGAACGAACCAATTGAGTAGTCGACAATATGTAGAAAGCAAAGTGGAAAGTTTTAGATCATTTATTCATTTTTTTATTATTCGACTCCCGCAGGTAAAACGAGTAGCCTTGAATGCAAATTACCGGCCACATATTATTACATATCATGGACACATAGCATATCATAGCATGGCAAATGAACCAACACCCAGATGCCAATTAAGAGAGACGATGCAAACCCGAAAACACCGTGAAACCGAAACCATCATGCGAATTTAAACGCCCTGAGCACCAGTTCCCTTGTTCTCACCCAGGGTCTTGGGCTCATGGCCACCCTTTCCGCTGGGGTGTCCGGCGCTACCCTGGGCGCTGTGCTCACCACCGGACTTAGTAGCGGCGTCGGGGAGTTCAGCGACCTTGTTGAGGCGGTTCAGGTGGTTATTCTGATCGAGTTGTTAGCGGGTTTGCTTGGGAGTTGGAATCACAAATGGGATACGTACTTCGGGGTTGGTGCCGTGGACTTGGTTCTGGCCTGCCTCGATGGCATTGTCGCTCTGGGGGACACCGTTGTCGTACTCTGCGCCGCGAGGCATTGTGATTGATTGGGTAGAGATGAGGGAAAAGTCTTTGAAGATAACTAAAACGCCGAAAAATGTTAGCCAAAATCAACTATAAGCTTGATTCCAAGTTCGAAGCATACCTGAGTCTGTATACTCCTTAGGAGCTAGATTTTAATAGCTGAATTGATTTAGAAGTTTTTGTCTGAAAAGTCAAACGACGAAGAATCTTCACCCCTATATATCCTTCATGTCCGGGTCTGATGAACGCATCGATTTGGAAATCTTGGTCCTGCATCCAGAGACGTTGACAGCATTGTGAGGTCATTGTGGGGAAAGAGGGCAGCGGATGACTTCATCTGCGCCAGAACTCAAGGTACGAGATTCACTGAACTTGGAAGGGACAACAATCGATCAGACATGGTGAGACTTATCAGAGAGATCGTAGAGGGGATGACATATGTAGATGATTTGAGGAACATGCTGGAGGAGTCGTGGTCGTTCTATGTAGATCTTCTAGTGTTTACTAGTGGTCGTGAAGCTAAAGTGGGATAAGAAAGACAAACGCAGCAAAAGAGACAAACAGTGAAATAGAGCAAACAGCGCAAACAGAACAAACAGCCATCAGCCCTTCTGATGCATCAAATCGATCAACATCCAGCATTCGTTTTATCTGCAAGTCTTTTGACTCATTTTGCAAGGTGTCAAAATAGAATAATGTCAAACATATCTTGAGTCTAGTTGAATACAACGCTTTTTATATAAACATTTGACAACCTCATCTACAACTGTGATTTCTTGTAAACCGGAATAGACCAGTATATCATAGAAACATCATCATCATGTCCACAATGAAAGCGATCGTCATCCACAAAGCAGGCCCTCCAAATGTCCTCAAACTCGCCCAACAACCCATTCCACACCCTGGACCAGGCGAGGTCCTAATCCGCGTTAAAGCCTTTGGACTCAACCGTTCAGAGATGTTCACTCGCCAGGGCCATTCGCCCGTCCAGTTCCCCCGGATCCTAGGCATCGAAGCTGTAGGGATCGTCGATAAGGCACCGGGTCTGGAACATGAATTTCCCCGCGGGAGTACCGTTGCCACTGCCATGGGTGGCATGGGACGGGCTTTTGATGGTGGGTATGCTGAGTATACCTGCGTGCCAGCGAAACAGGTGCAGGTTGTCAAGACCAGTCTATCGTGGGAGGTCCTGGGTGCGCTACCTGAGATGCTACAGACGGCGTGGGGGTCGGTAGTGAAATCACTGTCTCTTAAACCTGGAGAGAGGTTATTGATTCGGGGAGGGACAACCTCTGTTGGACTCGCGGCGGCGGGTATTGCCAAAATCCACGGCGCCTTTGTTGCATCAACAACACGAAGGAAGGAACGTGAGGGAATGTTGCGAGAAAACGGGGCAGACGAGGTCTTCATCGACGATGGGGACATTGCGAAGCAGATTCGCGACTCCTCAGGGAATTACTTCGACAAGGTTCTCGAGCTTGTGGGCACCGTGACACTGGCTGATTCATTACAGTGCGTGAAGAAAGGGGGTACTCTGTCCATGGCGGGTATCGTGGGCAATGAGTGGCATTTGAAGAATGTCAATCCGATGGAGCTGATCCCATCCGAGACAAAGTTGACGGTGTATTCTGGTGGCAGTGAGGAATTTGCGAATATGCCCTTGGATGCGTTGGTGAATCTCGTGGAAACAGGCACGTTAAATATCAAAATTGGGCGTGTCTTCAAGATGGAGGAGATTGTGGAAGCCCATCAATGCATGGAGGAGGATAAAGCGGAGGGAAAGATTGTGGTGATACCCTAGCCTAATGCCAACTAATGTCTATTCGATACAGCGAGTTTCTGATTATTTTCTATTCAATTTACTAAGGGGTTGCCTTGCATGACAGAATTTTTTTGTATTGTTTTAGAATTTCTTTCAAAATAGCCATGTAACATCCGCATGACCCCCCGAGACAGTGTAGACCTAAGCTCAGAACCCGAAACACAGACAAATCACTGTAAGATTGACAAGAGACTGATATAAAAAGATTATCCCGTTTGTGCGTGCTGCAAAGAAAAAGAAGAAACCGTCTTGCCTAAATCGAGTGTGGCCAATGTCAAATCGATCGAGTGTTGTTTGCTGCTTGCCGAAAATGGATTTTCTTTCACGGCAAATGTCCACCTAAATCAAATTTGTTAGAGAGCGCCTACTTCGACCGAATGCATCTGAGGATTTTCGAAAGCGTTGCGCTGTCATGCCGGTGTCAAAAATGAGGTCGAGGAATACGGCGTCGCGGTCTTCGATAACAAGTACGGTCTCGACGAAGCCGTCCACAGATTTCTCGGGTTCATTCACATGGGATTCTGGTGAGGAAGTATCGGTGGTTGCATATGAGCTGCGGCTATAGCTTGAAGATCCTGCATCGAAATCAATATCTTCGTCGTTGAAATCCAGACAGCCAACTTCCCAATCAAAGCCAGACTCAGACGCTGGTTTTTCGTCTTCAGCAACGGGCATCAGGTATTCCGAGATCGAACCGTCATCGCTGACGGATGGCGTCACTGGATCTGGGTTCATGACAGTGAGACGACTGCGCTTGTTTGAACGCTCACCTCGAAGATAATCGGTTTTCATGTGAGTAGACACAGCTTCAGGGAGTATGGTACTGGCGAGAGACGTGGCGTAGCAAGTAACCTCCTTAGAAGTTGGCTGACGGTTCCATAGCTTCTTCAGAAGTTTCTTCGGATTCTGGACAAGGGAGTTGGAAAATGAGTGGTGAGTCCACGTGGAGAGGCCTCCCATGCGTTTTGCGGTCTCAGAGAATGACATCGTGGAGAATGGGTGCACTTGAGTTGGGAGGGTCAGGTAATGGTAGAGTTGTAAAGACAGAAGGTGTCGACGGATGATCAAAAGAACTTGGGGGTGAGAAGGGGTTAATATAATTCTCTGCTTGTGTAGAGCATCCCCAGAATTTGGAATTGAGTTCTTTCGTAGACCCCTGCCATGACATCAAGGCCAAGGGCTATATACAATGGGATTGTCGAGCTGTCTCTGAGAACAATTATGACTCGTTGTACTGGATCTGGTCAAAGGGTCAAGGCAGAGTAGTTTCTTTGACTTTGAGAAGCTTTGAATTGGTGGATATTGTTCTGAAACGTAAATATATCATGTGGCGCCATGTAAAGGTGTCTGGTGATCATGATCAATGAAGTATACAGGAGATCATCCTGGATATGGACAACCAGGTAGAATATGTTCATTGTACTTTGATTCCAAGGGCATGTGGAGCCGTTGGGCCTCACAATGGCATATGAATTATCATCAAGAGTTTGACGTGGGCACTGATAAGGAAAGAGAGACATCTTCAATTTAGACAAGAAAAAACAACATGATTGTTGTGCTTTGATAAATCAGCGACATGAAATCGAGAATTTGATTATCTGGCTTGGAATTGGTGCTACAGAGGGCGGCAGTAACTAGAGAAACACGATAACAATGTTAAATGTAGATTTCAGAAAGTTTTATCCAAGCGAGCAAAAATTTACATCATCCGGCGGTTTTGTCTAGACGTAGTTTCCGTAGAAGCCTCTGGAAGTTAAGCGTGGCAGATCCATTCTTGGTTGTTGATTGTATGTAAATCAACTGGGCTGTCTGCACCTGAACGATGGCATGACATGACAGCTAGCTGAGGGAGCTTTGGTAAACTAGCGGCAAAGGTTAATCTCAGAAACGCGTGCAATTTGAGCAGGGAGCACAGAGATGTGACAGAGTCACAGAAGAGCTTCAGCTGTGTACAGATGATATACACAAAATTTAGGGATCCTCGACGCTTGCGCAGCCAAGCTACATACATCCGTAAAACGGTTTAGTGCCCACCAGGGAATTGAAATAGACAAGAATCTTTTCTTGTGTTTGCCTCTTCGTTTTGAAGGTGCCGAGATTCCCCTAAATCCGAGTCTATGTCAAGTGTATGGAGAACAAAGGCCAGACTCAGTGCGATCGGTGGTCCAAAAGGCAAAAATACCCGTTGTCAGTAATGATCCAGTGGATGAGGGGATTCCGTGTTCCTAAAAATTGAAGCTCCAAATGGAAGATCGTGGACAGGGGAAATGGCGTTGAACAAAACCCCAGCTCCTATATTTGTAGAACGGTCCAGCCCGAGGGGATCGAGCGCGACACGACATGCGAGGGGCGGAAAAAACCCAACCACTCGTATTTGTTCCATTTTCTTGCAGGATTAGGGTTGAAATAAATAATGCAAACCCATTTATATCTCGGCAATTGGATAGGTTATTGCTTGGGAAATTTGGTTGAATGGCATAAGCAAGAAGAAAACAGGTTCGGCGCTGCCCGAGATGAAACGGATGCACGTCAACTCGGGATGCCTAGGCGCTGGGGTCGTTTGGGGAACGACTTCAGGTGAGCAAAAAAGGACTAGATTACCCCCGGATCAAGGAAAGGTTTAGACCCCATGGTGTTCATGGCTCATGCTGCCAGTTCTGAAGCGTTCCGTGTAAACGCATAACCGTGTTGTCGCAACCGGATGATGATTTAGCGACGGCGTAAACGCACTGTTGAAGAGATTTCATAATGTAAGTAAACACAGTATATCTAGAGTGATAGTAAGAAGCCGCACGAGATAGAAGATCACCCAGATTTGATGATTGCCATGGATAGAATTGTGGTGATATTGTCGGGACACACGGATCACCTGTGGATCGCGGGCCTTCAGTTACATTAGCACGATTTGCAAGGTAGTGGTAGCGCCCCAGGGAGGACGAACGCAGAAGAGTACCTGTCATTTCTGAATTAACAAAACACCAAGCTGGCATTCTGGAGAGAATTAATTGAGTCGAAGAAGGCGATGATAATTGACTTCCTGTCGAGAGAGAAGACAAAGCGAAGAGACAAACAAGACAAACACAGAATCACATGCATGGCGTGCTCCATGACGTAATGCGCGTCCAGCTTTCCCCAGATCGTTTTTGCTCCATTGAAAACGGAAATGTTGTAGATGGACTTGATTCTTATCGCAACAAGTGTGGTAGAATGCAGGAGATTTGACTATTCTAACTTCTGGGTCGAATCCGGTTCCTGAATGGCGGTAATGGAGGTACGATCGAGTCTACAGCTCGACTGCGAGGGCATTTGAGACAACAACAGCCTGCGACTCGCAGCATCGCTTATCAAAAGCTCTCTCTAGAACATCAACTGAACTGAATACACCGTATTAAAACAGCACTACACAGTAGACAGCATGAATTGCCATAACCGACGCCAAAATCCTCTAAATGAGCAAATGGAGCTAAGGACCGTAAGATGGATGCATCCTAGTCCGTACTACCTCCGGTTCCCTGTTTGGAGCTCTCTTCCACCTGAGCCATCCCCCCCATTCTCCCCACGCTGCAAAACACCAGAATCTCTCAGGAAATGTACAGAATAAATCAGAGAGACAGTTAAAACATCGACTCAGATTCTATCTTCTTCTTCTCGACATCCCCTGCTGAAAAGCTGCCAGGGATTCAGTTCCTGAAAGTGAAACAGAGCTCTCTATCCTGCTTCCCAACCTTTCCCGCACTGATCTCCCCCCGCCACCACCCGGACTCACCCCCCGCACCCTCCTCCAGTCCCTCCAGACCAGACAGAAACTCTGACAAGATCGACACGAGTGCAAGCGCAGGATTTATTCTCCCCCGCTGTCCTGGGGATTAGTTTTATTTCCTGTTCTGCTCCCAGCTCTGTTCTGCCTCTGTTTTCCTCTCGTGCTGGTTAACTCTTTACACCTGCATCACATTATCCCCCCCTTTCAGGTCGACAAGCAATATGGCAAGTGAGGAGAATGGCGGCGAGCCTATCAAGAGAGATGTTCGCAACCACATGCTGTTTGAGGTAGCAACTGAAGTTGCGAACCGCGTGGGAGGCATTTACTCTGTGCTCAAATCCAAAGCGCCTGTAACGACCGCGGAATATGGCGATCGCTACACCCTCATCGGGCCCTTGAACAGGGCTTCTGCGGCTGTTGAAGTCGAAGAACTGACTCCGTCCAACCCGCGTCTGGTTGAGACAATGAAGTCAATGCAGGAGCGGGGTATTGAGATTGTCTACGGTCGCTGGCTCATTGAAGGCGCGCCCCGAGTGCTCCTCATCAATACAGGAACTGGGTACAAGTACCTTGACGAGTGGAAAGGCGACTTGTGGAATACATCGGGAATTCCATCGCCCTCTACTGATCATGAGACCAATGAAGCCATTGTGTTTGGGTATTTGGTGGCATGGTTTTTGGGTGAGGTATGAATTCTGTCCTGCGAAAGCAAATCCATTAGCGACCCAGGGGTTTATACTGACAGACCGATACAGTTCATTGCCCACGAACGACGATTGGCGGTTGTCGCTCATTTCCACGAGTGGCTTGCCGGTGTCGCTTTACCTTTGACCAAGAAGCGCCATATGGATTTGACAACCATCTTCACAACCCATGCCACCCTGCTCGGTCGGTATCTCTGCGCCGGATCCGTTGACTTTTATAACCATCTGCAATACTTTGATGTGGACGCAGAGGCGGGAAAACGGGGAATTTATCACCGGTACTGCATCGAGCGAGCCGCAGCACACTCGGCAGATGTCTTTACCACAGTATCGCACATCACCGCGTTTGAGAGTGAGCATTTGCTCAAGCGGAAGCCAGATGGAGTGCTGCCCAACGGGCTGAACGTCAAGAAATTCTCCGCGGTGCACGAGTTCCAAAACCTGCATTCGCAGGCAAAGGAGAAGATCAATGACTTTGTCCGTGGTCATTTTTACGGTCACAATGATTTCGACCTCGACAACACCCTTTATCTTTTCACCGCTGGTCGGTATGAATTCCGAAACAAGGGTGTTGACATGTTCATCGAGGGATTGGCCCGTCTGAACCACCGTCTCAAGACCAGCGGATCCAAGACAACTGTTGTAGCGTTCATCATCATGCCTGGCCAGACATCATCGCTCACTGTCGAAGCTCTCAAGGGACAGGCTGTTGTGAAGTCACTGCGAGACACGGTGGAGATGGTTGAAAAAAGCATCGGAAAGCGAATGTATGAGCGTTGCCTGTCCTGGAAGGAAGGCGATAACATGCCGGATGAGAAAGACCTGATCGATAGTCAAGATCGTGTGCTGCTGCGCCGTAGACTCTTTGCCATGAAACGACACAACCTCCCCCCCATTGTCACCCATAATATGGTCAATGATTCCGAAGACCCGATTTTGAACCAGATCCGTCGCGTTCAACTTTTTAACCATTCATCGGACCGTGTCAAGGTTGTCTTCCATCCTGAATTCCTCAACTCATCCAACCCAGTGCTGCCTCTGGACTACGATGACTTTGTCCGTGGCACCCACTTGGGAGTTTTCCCATCGTACTATGAGCCATGGGGATACACCCCTGCTGAGTGTACAGTGATGGGAGTTCCCAGTATCACCACTAACCTCTCAGGCTTTGGGTGTTACATGGAGGAACTCATCGAAAACTCGTCTGATTACGGCATCTATATCGTGGATCGTCGGATGAAGGGTGTGGATGACTCGGTCAATCAGCTTGCCGACTTCATGTATAACTTTGCGCTGAAGAGTCGACGACAACGGATTAACCAACGTAACCGTACGGAGCGGTTGAGCGATCTTTTGGACTGGAAGCGCATGGGCCTGGAATATGTCAAAGCCCGTCAGCTGGCCTTGAGAAGAGGTATTTGCATAATTCTCAATCTTTTTGTGCCCACAACTGACCACAACTGTACTTGACAGCCTATCCTTCGTCATTTGAAGGCGCAGAAGATTACTTTGATATCATCGGAGGAACAGAGCAGAAGATAAGCCGGCCATTGTCTGTGCCTGGATCCCCACGGGATCGTAGTGGTTTAATGACGCCGGGAGACTTTGCATCGCTCCAAGAAACCCGGGAAGGCTTGAGCACTGAAGATTATTTTGCATGGCGATTGCCGTAGGTTAAAAAAAATCCCCAAAGAGTAGAGAAGAAGGTCAATACTAATCGGAGATCAATTTAGAACCAGCGAGGAAGAAGAACCAGAAGACCATTTCTTCCCACTGACTCTTCGCACGAAGAAGACATCTGATCGACCCTCCTCTCCGTTGGACAGCATATCGGTGAATCAGAATGGTGGGCGTTGATCGACAGCTATACCTAGCCTATATACCAAGAGGGACCCCACTGCACACAACACTGATGACTTCAAATTCCCAAGTTTTCGCCGTGCTGGTTTCTCATTGTGCGATCTTTTTCTTTCTTTCCTTTTCATTTATTTCCTCTCTTTTATCGAATTTCTTGTCAGATGCCCTCACCACAGCATTGTCTACCTCACTGTGGACTCTAATTCTTGAGCATTGATGCCATGTCTTTCTAATCTGATGCTTTTCCAGTTGTTGCTTTTTACTATGTTGATTTGTTGACTTTTGATCGTTTGCCCTTCTCCAGCCTGACTGTATTACGCTTCTTTTCTTTCCCATTCTTTGGCTGCATCCAGGTAGTTAGTTCCAGCATTGGTTGATTATCATTGCCAATTCTTATGACCAGTCCTATTTGAAACGACATGATTGTGTAAGACCAGGTGGGGAGCTTTAGTGATTGAGGGGTTGATCATCTCGTAATTATGGAGAGAGCTCTCCGGCTTGCCACGGGCGCAGCTTCATCTCAACGGGCGAGAACACATCATCGCCAGCCAGGAAGCCATATTTTCGGTCGGATGCTTAGTCCTGATTATAATATCCATCATCGCTTCATCATCTCCCCGGTGTCGGAGTGCTGTTGTCCGGCTTCAAGACAGCAACAAACCTTGAGGGCTGGTCTTCTCCAATGAGGCCGTCCGATGCTTTTCGTAGCCCACCGGGATAGACCCTGCGACGCCTCAACAGGATGGCCTCAACGAACATCCTGATTCTTCCTGCTTCCTGGCGTTCCGGTGAGCGACTTTCGTGTGCTTTTCATTTGCGGTGGTGGGGCAGAGTCGGCAGAGTTGATCCCCGCTTCTCGCCCTGCTATTTCTACCCCTCCTCTCCCCTCTCTTCTTGCTCTCTTCTTGCTTTCTTCCATCACTCTTCTTTCTCATCAATTCCATCGCCTTTTTTGTGTGATATCGTCTGGTACGACTCACCATGTAGCCGCGCAGGCTGGAGGGTCTTTTCGCTATGGGTTCCCAAGGGTCAAGGTATTGTAATAGTATAACCAAACACTCAATGCCACATGCATGACAGGTGTTCGATTTGGAACTTTGTCTGGTACTCTGTCTTCACTGTTCTGTATTCTGCCATCGGTGATGTCTTTGGTAGAACCAGAATGAAGACAGCCTGGATGCGGTCTAGTCGTTCTGAGATTATACTGTCACAACTTGATCTAGATAATTCTAGCGAAAGGACATGCGTGGCGCTGATTGTCCCCATCCCTCTTGTTCTTATCAAGACGAGGGGGATTGAGGTCTGCGTTGATTGCTGACTCGTTCTAGACAATTGCAAATTGCCTTGTACCTGAACTCTTGCCAAAATGTCCACTGACAAGATTACTTTCCTCACCAACTGGTACGGCTTTTGCAATTTAGTTATATGGTTTGTTTGTCCTTGTTAGAATCTGGTGCTAAAGCGGGTGTTTTTAAAGGCACGCTACGCCATACCACGCCCCCCTGTACCTTGCTCAGTCCAAGGGTTACTTCAAGGAAGAGGGCCTCAAGGTTGCTCTTCTGGAGCCCAATGACCCTTCCGATGTCACCGAGATCATTGGAAGCGGCAAGGTCGACATGGGCTTCAAGGCCATGATCCACACTCTTGCTGTGCGTGTCTTCAATCACTTAACATAGACTCAGTTCTGACAAAGTACAGGCCAAAGCCCGTAACTTCCCCGTTACCTCGATTGGCTCCCTCCTCGATGAGCCTTTCACCGGTGTTGTTTACCTCAAGTCCAGCGGTATCACCGAGGACTTCCGCTCCCTGAAGGGCAAGAGAATCGGATACGTCGGAGAGTTCGGCAAGGTTAGTGATTGGTGCCCTGAGATATGTTGGACTCAAGCTAATACATTCGGTATGCAGATCCAGATCGACGAGCTCACCAAGTACTACGGTATGAGCACCGATGACTACACCGCTGTCCGCTGCGGAATGAACGTCACCAAGGCCATCATCCGCGGTGAGATCGACGCCGGTATTGGTCTCGAGAACGTGCAGATGGTTGAGCTTGCCGAGTGGTTGGCCGAGCAGAACCGCCCTCGCTCTGACGTCCAGATGCTCCGTATCGACCAGCTCGCTGAGCTGGGATGCTGCTGCTTCTGCTCCATCCTGTACATTGCCAACGACTCCTTCTTGGCCGCCAACCCCGAGAAGGTCAAGAAGTTCATGACTGCCGTCAAGCGTGCCACTGACTACGTTATCTCTGAGCCCGCCAAGGCTTACGAGGAGTACATTGACGTCAAGCCTATCATGGGCACTCCCGTCAACCGTAAGATCTTCGAGCGCTCTTACGCCTACTTCAGCAGCGACCTCAAGAACGTCACCCGTGACTGGCAGAAGGTCACCAACTACGGCAAGCGTCTTGGTATCCTCGACGAGAGCTTCGTCTCCAACTACACCAACGACTACCTCAGCTGGGAGTTGGAGGGTGACTCCGCCGACCCCACTGGTGACCAGAAGCGCATGGCCAAGCTCCAGGAGGAGATCGCCGCCAAGGGTGGTTTCCAGCGTCTGGCCACTTGCTGCGCTTAAATGTTGATTATTTGATGATTGATGAAGCGAATCGAAGCCAAGTTGCTGTCGATACACTCTTTAGTCGAGCAGATATGAATATGAATCTTGGCTTTGAACAATCGTTCCTAAGTAACCGTAGATTTAACTGCTGAAGATATAGTAATAGTTCAGAGCTTGTAGAATCACTGAAGTGCCCTTATGCGACACTCCCATAAGCCTTCCTCTTTCTCAAAAGAACCACCCCACCCCCAAACCGTGCCATTCGCATCACATCCGTCGACCCCGACATAACAGGACCATCACCAATCCCGACAGTCTGCCACCCGGTTATCAGTGTTGGTATGGCCCAGCCGATTCCATTTACATAATTCGTCGTGAGAGCGATGCCTATGTTTCTTATTGTTGGTGTGCGTGACATCTTCGGTTGATGTTTTGGTTTTATTGTTGGATATTTTGGCATGATCTTATATTATTTCACCCCAATGACAATGAGAAGTCCAGAAGACCATCTTGATGCCTTTTCAATTCCACAGGAAAGAGTGGTACCCACCCTTGCACTCATTAGCCAAAACGCGGCCCTTTTAATGATTTGGCAGCCTTGCAAAGCAGTTCTTATCGTCAATGCATGTATGCTTGTAGTATTTTCAAGTGAAGAAATTGATCTTCGAACTATATGTTACACAAATACAATCTGGGCAATGGTCAGGGCCTCACTGATAAGTAAAACCCGAATCGCTATTATTTACTTTTTAGGAAAAAAATCATTTCATCGCTCATCCTGGCTATAATAGCCATCCTGGTCGTGTGAATTGGACGCAGACGCACCACCAGGGGGTTTGTTCAAGAGAGAAAATTCCCCTCCATGTCCCAATTCATCATCACTCAGGCCCTCCTCGTCACCGTTGAAGTCGACAAGACCCCAACGGCCGCGGTCTCGGTCAACTCCTCTTCGCTTAGTGCGAGCTGCAATGCAACACCTTGCTGCCCAAATGGCAATACCCAACGCGGTAGCAGTAGCGAAACCTACGATGAAGAAGATCAATGGGCGGAAATCATACTGCGACGGGACCTCCACGGGTTTCGTGACGGCAATTTCCTCGGCGGCATTCCACTCGAGCAATCGTGACGAACCCAAGACGTGGCCTTCGGAGTCGAGGGCGAGGGCACGGATATATCTACTCATGGCGTCCGTCGGGATGGAGATGATAGTTTCGAATCCGCTTTTAGGGACAGAGGCAAGAAAGACGTACTTTTTGTTATTCTTGGTGCTGGCATCGTCGCCGTCAATGTTGACATATTCTTGGTCAGAACCTTGGAGGACCCAAGTGGCGATTTCGGTGGCTCCGTTCCAGCTGACGGCGGCTTCATAGCCGGATAGGCCGATGTTGGGACGAGTCTTGGGTAATCCAACCCAGTGTTGTTTGAAGACACGCGAGGAGAGGAGATTGCCAGTGTTGAAGTTCAATTCTGGGCCAAAATGGACGTCGCAGAGTACACTGCCTTCGCCGTTAAACTCTGTCCAGGCAGCTGCCGAGCCATAGCCGATGAGGACGTTGCCGCTGTCAAGAACTTGCATGGACCCGTGCTCCTGGCTGCTGATGCCTCGGGGACTCCAGTACGTATTTCGGACCCAAACGGTCATCTGTCCCTCGTCGATGCCGAGGTAGAGACCGCGGCTTGGGTTTTGAGCATCTCCTGGGCCGCGAGATGCGTTGTCGAAGAGGGTGATGGCATTGCCGCCATCGGCGAAGCGGGCATGGTTTTGCCAGTTGATATTCGTAGCAGTACCGCCCGAGAGATCTGTGAACATGTTTTCTTTGCCGCCTAGTTTCCAGATGACGTTGCCAGTACGCCAGTCAATGTAGACGAGTGAGTTGGTGTAGCGGAGCGAGACGAGATAGTTTCCTCTCAAGTCTTTGTCGACGCTGCTGATGTGGAAAGCATCCCATGGACGGGCTGGCTCATCGCCCGTGTCTTCACGGGGCCGGACTACTTCATTCAGACTGAGATGGTCCGAAGCTCGCCATTCAAACAGGAGAGCTCCAGTCTCGATGTCGACTTCTTGGATCAAACTATCCCAGATCCAGCCGTTTTCAACCCCATCGACAGCCCGTAAATCGATGGGCTTGGAGTCATAAACGGTGAATAATGCCGTTCCCTCTAGGGTGATTAGAAAATCATTCAGATCCGCGACATGACCATTGGCAGCACTGATGGTGTAGGCTTTTTCATAAGATGAATCTAACTGTATGACGGGTCAGGCGAGAGCGATTGAGAGAGCTCTTTTTTCTTCCTGCTACTTACCATGTAATAAAGACCTTCTCCATGGCCGGCAACATCATCCTTGCCAGTCCACAAAGTCAAATAATCCTTTCCTTTGAATTGATAGACATTCAAATTATACGTAGGACCAAAATAAGGATACGCCGTCCAGACTAAATGGCCATTCTGGTCGAGAATCACCGGGCCAGGATTCCACGTGCCACCCTGGCGAGGCGTGAGGAAGGTGTACTGCCCATCATCACAAAAAGGGTGGTGCTCGAAATAATTCACCGATAGGCCCAGAACAGGCGTGGAGCGAAATGTCTCATGCGGCCAGGAACCGAAGGCTCCGGTCTCATATAGCTCCGACTGAAAATAGGGGCCAAAATCACCCCGCGATGCAGGAACTAGTGCAGCCGCCAGGAAGATGGACAGCAGACGGCCATACATGGCTTCAAGATGACATCGAGGACGAGGATGAGGTGAGGAGGATCATACTGCTGAAGACGATGGAAAATGATGGTGAAAAGGAGAGCTGCAAGCACGCGACACTCGGCGCCCCAGTTTGTTCGACGTTAGCGACTAGTCCGTATTGGCACTCCACCACGCATGCTGATTGGCCATCGCCAGTCTCCGGATTCTTGTATCGATAGAGTGGCAGTTGGAGAATTACATAGTAGTATTATTCTTATCGCATTCGAGAAGAGATCTATCCGATCTGGTTGTGCTGGAAATAATACAAAACAGGTGGAATGCGGGTTGAGTTGCCAGCAATCAATCTGGGAAATTGTCATCGTCGGTGGAGAAACACAGCCTTATTGAGCATCCCAAACGAAATAAGAATCAGTTTCAATCTCTATTGAACTGTAAAGGTACCAGGGGCTGAGTAGTTGTTTTGTATGAGTCTTTATTAGTATGTATGATACCAGATAGGCGGTTTACGCTCTGTCTGTCATATGTTCTGTTTACAACACACGCCAATTACTAAGAACATGCAAAACGCTGCTCTACTAAATACCCAATGCTTGATAAAAAGGGAGGAGCCAGTGAAATAGTCTAGCACGTGGCGTCTATTAACTTACCTTATTGAGAGGCAAGCTTTCCTTGATCTTCCAAAACAAAAATAACTTCTTTTTGGCGCTTCCTGTCTTCCAAGTCCACCGTAGTTGGTGTTTGTTTTTACCCCGCGACAAGTAATCCTCTTTTTCCTGCTTTCTTATATTGAATTCAGATCACAACCATGGGACACCCTCCAGCCAGCATTTTAAACTATTACCAGGAGGTCAGTAGTATGCATCATATATATGTGTGTGTATGAAATCCCTCATCTTACCAGCAAAATCCCAGAATCCCAATGGCACTCCTATTGCATATTTGGCCAAGATCATGGCCGACCGATCAAAGGTCACCTTCACAGACTCTCTCTGTGAACAAGACAGAACCATAGTTCCAATCGATCAGATTGAATCCGCAATAGACTCGACTTTTGGTAAATATCTGGGCAGCAAAATAGTGCGATTATCCGATTCCACCATTCTGAAACTTGGCTGGAGAGTAACGATGGGCGAAGCAGAAGCATTGATCCTCATTGCTGCAAAAACAAACGTGCCTGTGCCCAAAGTCATCAGCGCATACACCGTTGGGGATATAGGTTTCATCCTGATGAGCAAGATCGACGGTAAAACGCTCGCTTCATGCATGAAAACCATGTCTTCTGAGGAAATGCAAGTGATTGTGCGCCAACTCAAATCCTACGTCCAGGAATGGCGTCAACTGGGCAGTTCTTTCTTGGGCTCGGTAAATGGCGGGCCATGCCGGGACATCCTCTTCCGGCATCCGTGGGATTACAAATCAACAAAGACATACGGGCCCTTTTATTCCTTTAAACAGTACAAACTGGGTGTTGTGGAGGCCCTTCGTCTATCAAGGCCAGAGGGGATCTGGTACGACGAAGAGGAAATACTGAAGGAGAAGATCCTGTCGTTTGGGGATGAACGGTTGCCGAACCTGGGAGTTATGACCCATGGAGACCTACACGCGGGAAATATCATCGTCAAGGACGGGTTGATTGCTGGAATCGTTGATTGGGGTGAGGCTGGGTACAGTCTCGCAGAGAGGGAGTTCTTTGCTGCTAGGCGGATTGCTACGGGCAAAGAGTGGGTTGATATCATCCATTCTTCCATTCCCTACTTTCCAGAAGAACACAAGATGATGGAGGAGGTTGATCTGTCAATGATGCGCTACTCTCCTGTATAATAACATTCACCTCTCATTTAATGGGAACCAGTAGTCATCCTCAACATCTGCTTTGATGTCATCAGATTCCTTGCCAATCCTTGAATTCCAAATATCTGCCGTTCCGTCTGGGACGAGCTCTTCCACTTCCAGTGCGACCAACGCGTCTACCACCCAATTCTGGCAATTTTCCTTTCCACCCCTTGGTGCCGGCTCCTGTGCCAGTATTGAAGCCACCTTGGAGCGCTCCGCTGAATTGAGGTTTCTTAATTTGCACAGGCCAAACGCAGTCTGGGATTCCAAATCGTGTGGGATCCGAGGCTCGAATTGGAATATATTGAGTCGCACATCAATCACCCTAACATGGAGGAGCTCGCCCTCCATTTCCCCTGGAATATGGATGCAGAATCCCCAGTGGGCAGGCTCGGAGATACCTGAGCCAAAGATTGCTATAGAGAGTTGAAAGCTCATGTCGTAAGGTTGGGTATTGGTTTTGCTAAGTCACGAGAGGTATTTATCCAATGCTGCTGTGAGATCATAAGATGAACATGAGTAAGACTATCCATCTTGTATTGGGGCAACGTACAAGGACTGTATATATATATTGAATGTATATAGTTTGTGTTCGATTTTCTGGTAAATAAGAGAATGATTTGCTTTGGTGTAGTATTTAATCAGGTAGGATGAATGAGGACTATCTCTCTATTTTATATTGAACAAAGACCTTTCATTATCTAAAATAAAATTCTAAGAATATAGAATATTCTTAAAGATCAGCAGTGATGGCCGCCAGCTAAGCGCCTTGTTCTGGTATACAATGGCCATTGTAATCAAAGCGGCTAGAAGGCAGTTGTGATTTATTTTCTCTATGTTTTGGCTGGTATGTAAGATCATACATTAACAGAAGCTAATCAGCTAGCTGCCGCCACGGCGCCTGATAGATGGAGAGAAAAGGTACCGGCGCCCTGTATCCCTCTTGATTTGAAATAATTGCGTCCGAGTAAAGCGGAACCAAATTCCTATGCGCTTACAGTAGCCAACAGTTTAGACACCTGGCGCTGTTAAGGTAATTAGTGGACAGCATATCTAAACTAGTTTCTTCCTGAAAGATGGCTGGAATCAGTCCCTGGCAGAGAAAGGATAAAAAGGGTGCCTCCTGCAACCTTTCGCCCTAGATCCACTGGCATGACAAGTGGTGCGGCTGCCTCTGAAGAATGACCATGTCAGCCCAAATGCTCTGAGATGATGATGGAGGGACGTTTCTGTCACTGGTGGCGTTTCAAAGCCAGGCGAACGTGGTGGAAGTGTTGTTGTAGAAACCTCGCATAGATTTGAACTATCCGCTAAAATAGAATAAGAGCGGAAAGCTCATCCAAGAAAGTCCATTGGACTGTTTGCCGCCGAGCCTCGCGTGAACCTGCAGTGGAATAGAACGCCATACGCCACCCTTCCAGGACAGATAGAAGGCCATTGTGTTCTCCGCCTGTGTCGAATTCGATCGTCATGCATGAAGCACATCGTATCTCCCCAGCGGCAATGTAGCTTCATCTACATGGTTCGAACACTCTCTGCCCCCGTAACCTCCTTGATACAATCCAGGATATCCTGAATCGGACGAGAAATAGTATCTCTGCTTGTGGAAATGAAAGATCCAGAGTCTCCAGGTTCTTCAAATTTCCCTTCACGACTGGTCATTGCATGTTTCACGGTGACATTGAGGCCCATGGAATACACACTACCCCACTGACTACGAGCCAATACAAAGAAAGGCGCCTAGCCATTTGAATCATTCAAGGTCGGCGCTTTGAATAAAAGATCCAATCAAATCTATTTCTATCCAACCCTCGCACTTTGCTAATTCTAGAATTTACCGTGCCGGCGATGTGCAGCAGTGTGGTGAGGATACAACCCTTTGCAAAACCGGTGTCCGCATCTTATGCCCTCTTCGATTCCCATACAAGAATATAGGTCCTGTTAACTCTCTAAGTTGACTAGAATCAAGGGTCTGAAAGATAAGTTTAGTAAGCTTAGATAGCCATCCAGAACTGCTTAGCACTCACTACTAGGAGTTGAGTTCGAGGTGGCTTTTGCGCCTCGACTTGTCGAGTCACGGTGGTATTTTTGACCTTTCTAGATAAACATTCTAGTACTTTTTAACTTAAAGTTAACAATATTACCAAAATAATGAGTTTTTCATCAAGTTAAGTTCTAAAAAGTACTAAGGTACTACCTATCACTAACTCGACTCGTGTTGATATGATATCTATCTATCATAGAGGATAATATTCTTCTATACAGATCAGTTCTATTAGTCAGCCTTATTAAGCCTTAAGGGCCGAACCAGCCTAAATAGAGACAAATGGTAATATTAGAATATTATGGGCTTAGTTGGACGGTCGGTCGGCCATAGTGGCGGTGTTGCTGTCACAGCCCTCCATCGCCAGTGGGACAAATCCTGAAGCCGACTCTGAACTAGCAGCGTTAGAACAGTTCCTTCGTGTTGACCAGTTAATATAGCCAATAAGCATCAATTATTATCAACTGTTTTGTGGCAATTATTGGGCTCTACATCCTGCGACCCTGTCATCCTTTAAAGCCTGCGGCTGTGTTTCAGAGCTGTCTGCCTCAATGCTATTTGTATCTGTGAGATGGAATCCAAGAACATAAATACTAAGCATGGCAGCAATAAACTAATCTCAATTGTCATCTACCAATTACCAATTCATTACCATTCATCACTGGCTATTCTCATACAGAATACACCAACATGTCTGTGTCTACTACATCTGCTACAGATCGCTACGAGCGCCGCTTCTGGATCCACTCTCTCATCTTGAGAACGCTGGCTCTCATCTTCAACATCGTTGCTATCGTCCTCATTGCAGTGGTGACTCCCAACATAGACATCTATATCTTTGTATGTCTCCTCCTGGATTCGATTGAGCCCAGCTAACCCCCTTCAGTTCATCTGCGTAGCAATCTGGTCGTTGGTGGAAGAAATCCTTCTCATCTGCAAACGCACAAACCACCACGTCATCAATTTTGTTTTTGATGGACTCTCCGCCCTCGTTCTCTTTTCCCTTGGAGCTATCGCTGTGGTTGGAGAATTACTCCTCAAGAAACCTTTGGCGTTGGTCGCTGCTATCTTGGCCCTAGTATCTGCGTATGTCCTCCAAACTCCCTATAGAGCTATACGCTGGTACTGATGGATACGTTGTAGAATTTTCCATATTATCTTGTTCATTCGATCATGCCAACAGCTCAGGAGAGAGAGTGCGGAGGCCAAGAGGGGTAACTGGAAACCCATCGAGTCCGAGAAGACCATCGCGTATGCTTAGGTGGGATGAGATTGATTATTTTGCGTTCGTATCAAGCGTTCGAGCGATTCTTTGGTTTTTATAATGCATTTCATCTGGTGTTGAAGAGAATATGATACCCGGGTTATGTTCTTGTGCTTGCCGATGCAAGAGGCAATGTCGTCTATTGTGAAATATATTTCTGCTATCAGATCCTGCAGAGAACTCACATGCTATTCTATAGGAGTATTGATTCTTGATAAGTTAGTCATGTAGATCCTAAGATAAACGAATGATTGCAAACCAGAATGGGAATAGGCAAGGAATCCGCCCATGGTAGTATCGCTAGCGATGATGGAACCAAACTTTATATCCATGCAGCAAGAGGGGCGAGTGTCGGCTCTTCATGGCGTGTCTAATGCATGGAAGAGATAAAGGTTTGAAGGTCAAGTTGTTGTGCGAAGGATGGCCTCAGGCCGTAAGCGTCCCGTGACTTTATGGAATCACCTCTTCTGGATCTGTCTTTCTCTCTCTCTCTTTGTTTTCCAATGACTTGACAGAATCAATTCCATCCAGATCATTGCTGCTGGTACATGTTCGGCGTTTCAGGGCTGCAGGCTGTTTCAAGCTAATCATGCAGGATACTATATAGATGAACTGCATGTGATTTCCTCCAATGCTACCCTGTACGGATATTTGCCGTCTTTTCCCACACTATCTGATGCGATTAAATTTCTCAATGCTGATTGCTCAGATTATACTCAGATTCAGTGGTTGTTATCCCACCTTCGAGGCCCGCGTGTCTTTACAGCACGACAGTCATCATCATTGCATAAATGACTGCCATCTAACCAGCTTCCCTGATGGCTCGCTTCTATTATCCCTCCACGGATGATCCGGTGTGAGGAAGATTTCTGACTTAAGACAAGCCCGACACTCAGCTTCCCCTCTGATCTGCGCAGCAATGCAACACACCTAATTTGTCTCGCGGTAGGTTTTCGTGTGTACCCTCCATGGCTTATGCAGGATACTACTCAACTTCTGGCACAACGCCCAGCATGCATGATTATCGGAATCACGGCCAAGCCGCTGATAATCGAACACCCGCTAACCATGTGTTGCAGATATGGATAACGCCATCTTCACAGGGTGCCATAGTCCGACATATAAGAGGAGGGGAATACGCGGCAAAGACTTAGCCAGATGACTCCTCATCTCCTGAATCGCCCGACCTATGTGGTAAATAACCAAATTGATCTTTGGTGTTTAATATGGAAGTCTAAAGAGCTGTCAGCCCTGTGGCATATTCCATATCGCACTCCTAATTCATCATCCAAGGACTAGAGACAATTGATTTAGGAACCAGGCCATTATGGACAATTGGCCAGAGCCAAACTATACTGACCCCGCTACGCATGGACAGGGAATTGTCATCGCCAACATCATCTTTGGTGTGCTGGTCTTGGTTTCCATAGTTCTCCGTGTGTATTCGAGGGTGAGAATCACATCTAGCTTTGGTGTAGATGATATATTCATCCTTTTTGCAACAGTGAGCGCGATGACAGCTATTCTTACTCGCCAGATCGTGTTGATACTAATAGGTATACAGGCAGTCGCTTTGACAATGTATGTGGTCATGTCAGTCGGATCAGCACGATACGGATGGAATCGCCATGTTTGGGATATTCCCAGACTAGATATTTCCACAACAAAGAAACTGAACCTTGCATTTCAAGTGACATTTTCCCTGTCTTCTGGGTTGACGAAATTGTCACTACTGTGCTTCTGCAGACGTCTCTTTGGAAACACTGGAAAGCTCGCCTTCAATTTTCACTATATAATACTTACAGGAACCATATTCCTTGTCTCCGCCTGTCTTGTAGGGTTTATCCTGATCCTTCTTCTTCAGTGCCGGTGAGGCTTCGTTTCTGAATTTTCCACTGTTCCTAAACTGACATTGCCTTAGACCGTTAAAAGCATACTGGGACTCAAAACCGGCATACCACCACAATTGTCTCGATGGAGCAGAATTCATCTTTACGGCCAGTATCCTCAATACTGTGACCGATTTTCTTTGCACCTTGATCCCGATGACCTTGGTTTGGAAGTTACACATGAATTTGCGTCAGAAAATTGCTGTAGCTTACGTCTTTGGGCTCGGGATACTCATTAATATCGCCGGTGCCGTTCGTATCTATTATTATTATCAGTCGACGCAGATCACAGATGGGGACATGACATGGGTCGGCTATCCGACATATATATGTTCGACTATTGAGATAGGCCTTGGTTTGGTAAGCCGTTTTACACTTACAGTACCTCTTATTAGAAACACTCCTGAGACTGATGAATATATCAGATTGTGACTTCGGCTCCAGCATTACGCCCTCTAGTCAGCCACTACTTACCACGCCTTATGTCAGAAACTAGCTACAGGCGAGGGGATTCTCGAACCAGACCAACAAATTCGAGATCAACAACACGACCGGGAAATCAATCTGGCAGGTTTGGATCTAGATCGTACTTAGCCCCAGATCATCCTGTACCTTTAGTCAACACTCAACTTTACAAAGGCCCTCGAGCGTTCGATGGTATCAGGGTTACTCAAACGGTTGAATTGACGGCTTTTTATCAAAATACTGAGCAGAACAGTTTCTGTGGCCATTATGAGGGAAGACCTCAATAATCGCATCTCGACAACTCGGGCAGTGATGGAACATAGGTATATCTATTCCAAATTTATGACAATAAATCCTCAAATATTTCTGGTGTATCCTCGGCATATCTAAACCCGAAATATCACCAGGCTAAACCCCGCAAATGAGGAGAAGGCTGCTACTCTAGAATAGTCCTATGTCTTGTTCTTGATGACACCTCTCAGAGCCATCCCAGGCAAAGAAAATGATTATCCTTTGAGTAACAGCTATTCGTGGGATTAGTATTGAATTTGAATCCCGGAATTTCTGGACATCAGCACCTCGACTCTGGTCCAGTGGAGGCCTCGACTATTCTCTAAGGCCACTTTTATTCAAAAGAACCGACTTATTCCTGCTGGATATCTCATTGAAGCTCAACATAATTCTAAATCATCGCCCAAAGGTGCCGACGAGTACCAATGTTCAAGCTTTTGCACCTTCTCGGACCCCTATTACTTGCTTTCTCCTTATTTGAAAGACACTTTGTCATTGCAGCAGAATTACCACGGCCCATCGATCGCAAGAAAGTAGTTTCTCGCTTCAATCCTACGCGCAATGCCAGCTCAAATACTACCCCTATGCAGGTGGGAAACGGGAACTTTGCATTCGGAGCAGATATAACAGGACTGCAAACATTCTTGCCTTTCAACATTCTCTCCTCATGGGGATGGCATAATTCGTCTTTACCCACTACTTTTGGCGAGACCTCGCCGTCAGACTATACAGGGCTTGACTGGTGGACACATGGGAGACTGGTCAATTACGCGATACCAAACGAACAGGAGCCGGAAATCTCGCAATGGCTCATTGCGAACCCGCATCGAATTAATTTGGGAAGGATTGGGTTTGTGTTCCTCGGGGATGATTGGAATATCACCGAGCATGATCTGACTGATAAATTTCAAGAGTTGGATATCCAGCAGGGCAGGTTGGAATCCAGATTTTCGATAAATGGAACCGCCACAACGGTATGGACATGGGTCGATCCAGCGTTCGATACGGTGGCTATCCGAGTGCAGTCTGAATTGCTCTCTCAGCAAAATATCGCCTTATTCTTTGACTACCCTTACGCTACGGACAAGAAGAAATTCGAAGCCCCATTTGTGGGAGATTGGGCGGCAGTCTCTAATCATACGACCGAGTTGTTCTTTGGAGAGGGAGAGGAAGAAGCTCAAACAAAGCATAAAATGGACAATACGACCTACTTTACCGCATTGCATTGGAATGGCAACGCATCAATCACTAGGAACGTCAACTCCCACCGGTACATCTTACAGCCAGACTTCAGTCCCACTGGCGAGTTTGAAATCACAGCGACCTTCTCAAGTGAGATGATGCCTCAAGAACCATCTGATGTCACTTCAGTCAGCTCCAGCTCCAAGAAATGGTGGAAAGACTACTGGGAAACCGGATCCTTTATCGACTTAACCACTACTGGAAACACAACAGCCATTGAAATCCAACGACGTATAATCCTCTCGCAGTACCTGTTAGCAGTCAACGAAGCCGGCGATGACCCCCCACAAGAGTCAGGCCTCGTTAACAACGGCTGGTATGGCAAGTTTCACATGGAAATGTATCTCTGGCACTCGGCACATTGGATACCCTGGGGAAGATACCCGCTACTCGAACGTAGTATAGGCGTATACGAACGGTTTCTATCATCTTCAATAGACCGAGCCAAAGAGCAAGGCTATGACGGCGCTAGATGGGGCAAAATGAGTGACCCCAGTGGAAGATCAGCACCAGGCGAGATTAATTCTCTGCTGATATGGCAGCAGCCGCATATTTTTTATTTTGCAGAAATGGAGTATAAGTTTACCTGTGATGATGCGCAGAAAAGGAAATCAATTCTATCAAAATGGGACAACATACTCAGCGCATCTGCGGATTTCATGGCTTCGTTTGCATTCTGGAATACGTCAACGGGGGTCTATGATCTCGGCCCACCTATGTATCCTGCATCAGAGAATACACCACCAAACAGTACCATCAACCCTACTTTTGAGCTTGCATATTGGCGGTTTGGTCTGGAAACCGCCATAGCCTGGAAAGAGCACCAGGGCAAGCCAGCGCCGTCATCATGGAAGCACGTCGTCGATCATCTCGCACCATTGCCCAGAGTGGCAATAGCCAGCGGGCTGGACGATGAGCTCGTGACCACATACACCCTCTACGAAGGCATACCTGACATGTGGACGGATCCAGAAACTGTCACCGATCACCCGATGCTCGCTGCCATCTACGGGCTCTTGCCCGCCTCGAGAGCAGTGAGCCGATCAATCGCTGTTGCGACCGCTGAGCAGGTTGCCCGGGTTTGGAATTTCACCGACTGTTGGGGTTGGGACTTTCCGATGTTGGCGTTGAATGCGGCCCAGGTAGGGGATGTCGATGCGGCGATGCGATACCTGGTGGACGAGAACCTTGCGTTTGATGACGTGGGAATGCCTGTAGGGCCGGGAGATAAGGCGCCTACGCCATATTTCCCGGCGAGTGCGGGACTCTTGTTTGCTGTGGGAATGTTAGCTGGGGGATGGATTGGGGGTGAGGCATCTGATGTGGGACAAGGTGGTCGGTTTCAACGGTTAGTGCCTGGGTTTCCGGCCGAATGGGAGGTAGATGTGGAAGGGTTTGAAAGAATGCTGTGAAACGTCGGAGAGCTCTCGGAATTGGGATCCAGTGTTCGTATTGGTCAAAACATTAATGCATGACAGTATATACAGTCATGTTATGTGCGTTATTCTGTTACTCTATAGGCTATCTAGCGGGGGGTATTTGCGTAAAAAGAATATGCGCAAAGTCGCTGGCATAACAAAAAAAACCCAGGACTGAGAGAAGGGTAATTCCCTTCTCAGCAAAGCCTGTTTATAATTATCTATTTGCTGCGCTTGTAGATTTTGGACAGGAAAGCCTCAAAGACTCCCTTCTTCAGGCCCTGGCTCTCATCCAATGCGCCGATCTTGGTCCGGATCTCTCCAACAACCTTCTCTTCGTAGTCCTGGTAGACCTTCTCCAGGTTGAGCTCACGGTAGATGACCTTGACCTTGGCTTCTAGTTCATCGTCCTTGCGGCCGTAAGCGGCGTCGAGAGTCTTGCGTTGCTCCGCACTGGCGAGCTGCAGAGCCTGGTTGATGATCCACGAGCACTTGTTGTCCTTGATATCGGTACCGATCTTGCCAATGACGGCCGGGTCACCGTAGGCGTCGAGGTAGTCATCCTGGACCTGGAAGTACTGGCCCAGGGGAATGAGGATGTCGTGGGTCTGTTTGAGGTTCTCAGGGGTGGCGAGCTGCAGGTAGTGCAGAGCCAATGCGACGGGGAGGTAGAAGCTGTAGTAAGCGGTCTTGTAGGTGACAATGAACATGTACTTCTCCATGGAGAAGTTGTCCAGGTCGACATGGTCCTCGGGGGCAGTGATCAGGTCGCACAGCTGGCCCAGCTCTGTCTGCCAAGCGGTCTCGTGGAACAGCTCAACAAGATCAATGTAGGCGGGATGGGAGCGGAAGTGCTTCTTAAGGATAACATAGATTCCGGATTCGAGCATGAAGGCATCGTTGATGGCGATCAGGCCGACTCCCTGGTGACGGTACCAGCAGGGCTGACCACGACGAGTGATCGAGCTGTCCATGATATCATCGCTGACCAGGAAGAAGGCCTGGAGAAGCTCGGTCAACCATCCCAAAGTGCTGAGGTGCTTGAACTGCTCGTCGGTCAGGGGCTTCTGGAGGAGTGCGAGACCGGTGTCGGGCACGGAGAGACCACGGTTGAGCTTTCCACCGGGGACATTGACATGGAGGGCCTAAAAATGAAGCCAATTAGTATATTGATTGTTTCTGCAGTAGAGGTAACCTACGTTGTTAAACCACTCCAGGGCATTGTCGGGCAAGTTGTATTTCTTTGCGTGGTCCAGGAGGTCCTGGGCCAAGGAGGGGAAAACCGCCTCGAAATCGGCACGCTGAGTAGTAGTCATTGTGGGAGACTGTCGATGATGAAGACAGAGAAGAGAAGCCCGGATCAACACCAGGAACAAGGAGAATATAAATAGGGCACTCGGACAATCCTAGCAGGATACCAACACAATCCTCGTGCTGCAACGGGGTGCACAGGCGGAGTGGGAGGGGCCCCCGCCTGTTGTTTGCCGTGTTTGCTTCGTTTGCTTATCGCCCAAAGTGGCAGTTTGTCGACGGCATCATCATCGTCCGTCGCAGGATCACCGCAGCTCCGTTATTGATCCCAAATTGACATCGCAACTGGCGATATCGGCTCCTTTTATCCTTCCTGCTTAATCCGTTGCCTATCCTGGTCTGATCATTTGATTGCGGCCGTCTTGAGCAGCGAGGTGCTCCCATTGCCGACCAATCCCCACCTTCACCTTGATTTGAAGTCGCGTCCAGCTTATATCAGAAAACGAGACAATCGCGTTTTATATTCCTTTTGGCGTATCCCTGCAGCTGACAGTCCCATGATTGGGCCTGGAATATGAGATCATCGCCCAATACGCCATAATCAAACCGGAAACATCTGCAGACTTTCTAGCGCGACCCACGTATCGACCTTCCGAGACTTAGAGCTGGAATCTTGTGATTGGAATCGCACGAGTGTGAAATAATCGGTCACAATGGCAGCGAATTTTACAGAGGATAATATCAAAGAGCTGAAATATCGGCTGGAGGATGCCGCGATAAAGTGCTCGGAGCGCTGTCTCTACCAGTCTGCGAAATGGTAAGCTCGACAATGCATGCTGGTCTCCGTGAGCTGACAACAGTCGCAATATAGGGCCGCGGAAATGCTCGATACCCTCCTACCAATTGATCAATATGACACCGATCCCGACTCCCCGATGGACCTTGCAGATGCCCCGCCTGCTCCAAGCCCTTATCTCCGAGTCCAAGATCCCCTCGAAGCTTCATTGGAAGCACAAGAAGCCCACAAATACTTACTGGCAAAGTCCTACTTCGACACTCGGGAATATGATCGCTGCGCTGCCGTTTTTCTCCCTCCAACCGTACCTCCTGTTCCACTCTCGACCACGTCCCCAAACCCGAAGTCACGACACTCATTGACACCGCAAAAAGGGAAGGCCAAAGCGTCACCTTTTGCTGGAGTGAAGGAACACAGCGGCTCTAGGAATCCTTACCCTAAGATCAGTCAAAAATCGCTATTTCTCGCCCTGTATTCCAAGTACCTAGCAGGAGAGAAGCGAAAGGATGAGGAGACGGAGATGGTATTAGGGCCAGCGGACGGGGGAATGACAGTCAACCGAGCACTTCCTGATCTGGCACGAGGCCTGGAGGGGTGGTTAACAGAGCGACGAGAGAAGGGACTAGAAGACCGTGGACAGGGATGGCTAGAATATCTCTATGGTGTCATTCTTCTCAAGGGACGAAATGAAGAAGAGGCCAAGAAGTGGCTTATACGAAGTGTTCATTTGAACCCGTTCCATTGGGGTGCCTGGCAAGAGCTGAATGACTTGCTCGCGAGCACAGAAGACGTGCGTGTTTCCCTGACTTGGCCCCACTGATAACTAATTGCTGGGCAGTTGAAACAAGTTGTCGACCTCCTCCCGCAAAATATCATGACCCTCATATTTCACGTTTATTGCAGCCAAGAGCTATACCAGGCCACCGAGGATACCTACCAGGCTCTGTCGGAGCTTGAAACTATATTCCCCACCAGTGCATTCCTCAAGACACAGAGGGCGCTACTTTATTACCATTCAAAAGGTATTTCATTCTACAATGACCGCTTTGCAATACTGACCAACTTGATTGCAGATTTTGAAGAAGCATCCCATATATTTACCGAAATCCTCATTACTTCCCCACACCGTTTAGACAGTCTTGACCATTACTCGAATATTCTCTATGTTATGGGTGCACGTCCGCAACTTGCCTTTGTCGCCCAGGTGGCTACTGCCACTGATAAATTCCGTCCAGAAACATGCTGTGTGGTTGGGAACTACTACTCCCTCAAGTCTGAGCACGAAAAAGCAGTGATGTACTTTCGACGAGCTCTGACGCTCGACCGGAACTTCCTCTCTGCCTGGACACTCATGGGGCACGAGTACATTGAGATGAAGAATACGCACGCAGCGATTGAGTCATACCGCCGTGCTGTCGATGTTAATCACAAAGACTACCGCGCCTGGTATGGTTTAGGTCAGGCATACGAAGTACTGGACATGTCGTTTTACGCCTTATTCTATTACCAACGTGCGGCAGCATTGCGGCCTTATGACCCCAAGATGTGGCAAGCAGTGGGATCGTGCTACGCCAAGATGGGACGCATAGACCAGAGTATTAAGGCGCTGAAGCGGGCCCTGGTCGCGGGCTCCTACTACGCCGAAGATGCATCACAAGTCGGGGGAATGGACGGGCCAGGGCGGAAGATTCTCGACCCAGAGACACTCCACCAAATTGCCACACTTCACGAACGCCTCGGGGATGAAGACGAGGCAGCCGCGTACATGGAACTCACCTTGCAACAAGAATCCGGCCAAGTTGCACAGGAAGAGGAACCAGTCTCTTCGGACGAGGACGACGACCAATCAGGAAGCGAAACTCAAAACCGCACACGTCGCAAGCGACAGTCTTCGGTGGAAACCAAAAACGAGGAAGAAGAGGATGGATGGCATGGAACCGGTGTGACAGCAACGACATCCAAGGCGAGATTATGGCTTGCCCGTTGGTCCCTGCGCAATGGAGACCTTGAACGGGCCGATCAATTGGCGGGAGAGCTGTGTCAAGATGGAGTGGAAGTGGAGGAGGCCAAAGCATTGATGAGAGATGTACGGGCAAGGAGAGAGGGGGATGAGTAGTGCATGACTTTGTTTCTCTTTCAATTCGATAAATCATGGGCTAGCGAGGCGTTCTATTATGGATGAACAGTCTGTATGATCAGGTTTAATAAAAGCATAACCATTTCTGAATTATCTACACATGGACTCTCACGGGCCTCGAAGTGGCCACCAACAGTATTCACTCCATCGAGATGATATCACTACTATGATATCCCAAGCATAAAAAGTCTTTATCTGGTTCGGCTCTTCGGTCTGAATGGCTTTATCCCTGCATCTTCAATCACAATCACATCGATGCTATTTTTGCTTATTTCCAAGGGAGCCAGTTAGGGCGGATCTAGAGAAAATAGTCTGGGCAGTGGATGCCACCAACTCTCATTCTGTCTACCCAACATTTTATGGTTTGTAGGGCCAGCTGAAGTGTCACGGTCGTACAGCAGATATAGTCCAGTCAAGCATTTTTGTCATTCGTGCTTAATCTCTAGCGTCCAGGATGATAATCTGCCGATCGACAGATCTTCACCATAGATAGGAGCTTGCTTTTGAAATTGAGTCTTGTTTTGGGGTTTCGAGTTCAACCATTCCAGGCTTGATTTGATTTTTATGAGTTTAGAGTAGGGGACGAGGTGAAGATATAAAGCCAGCTGCTGGTCACCTCATCGGTGCATCTTCTTCCATCATCTTTATCATCTTCTTCGTCTTCACTACACTATTATCCAGCCAATCTAATCTAATCAACATGCGTCTTTTCTCCGTCGCCATTGCCTCGCTGTCTCTGCTGGGCGCTGCTGCAGCCCTGCCTACTGACGACGGTCCATTGGTAACACCATCTCTCAACATCTTAGATTCATCCTGCTAATATATCCCAGGACTGCTACGGCAGCTGTCTCATCAATGGAACCGTAACCACCCCATCCCTATCCTCTATATGAACCCACTGACTTGTGCAAAGGCACCCCCCGCATGCGTCGACCAATGCTGGAATCCCTTCCAGAAGAGGGTAAGCAATATCCATCTCCAGTCAACTGTATCCAGACTAACCATGCCATAGAACTGCTTCACCCAGTGCCTTGAGCGTGGAGAGGTAATGCTTTGAAAATCTTATGAGGATGAATAGTTGCTAATATATACAGAGCTGGGACACCTGCGCGGACCAATGCAACAACTAGAGCAGATCAGTCATGCTCTTTACAAATCGGCTGTGCTTGATATGAGTTATTGGGGGATACCATGGATATGAGATATGTAATTGCGAGTGATTTACCTGTTATTAATTGAATAAACAAGTTTAAAGTGACTTCATCTGAAGACCCACCATGGCGATCTCCAGCTGAGCTGTGTATTTTGCTTTTTCTGCTCAACAAACTCTCGATTCGATACTTACATGTGGTCTATACACGTAGTACCTCCACAGGAATCAATCTCTGCCGGGTGTTGTTGCTGCCCTGTCTACCGATAACATCCCATCTGATTCGAGATAAGTACCTGTACCTAGTAAATAATATGGGCTGTCTTTCATCTCTAACCCATGGAGAGTTTATTAGAGCTTAATTACCAGTGATAGAGGGAGTGAGTATCTCATTAATACATCATGTCTCTACTAGATGGTGTTGAGGGTATGCTGGCCCTAGTATCAGGTTTTGCTATGATGTATTCGAGAGCAAGTAGGATATAATTCAACGGGATATATTATACAGATACACAAAGAGTTTTCAAAAATCAATATTGACCAGCAAAATGAACCAAAGGTTCAATCGAAATGAACTCTCCCAACGAGGTCAACTCGTCTTTTTCAAATATAATCGCGACTTTTGGCGCGCCTGTCTTTTTTGAACCATCGTCAACCCAGTCCACGTTCTTTTGATTATTGCTTTCCCATGGTTTGCAGGGAATTTCACCGGTAGTCTCATTTGTAGACCCCGATTCCTCAGGGCTCCATGAGATACAGGCATAGAAATATTCTTTCCCAATACTCTCCCACGTAGAACGTAAGCAGAGCCTGAGGTCGTCCTTGTCTACTTCCAGATTCAAGAAGTTTGCATCGAGGAAAAATATCTTCCCTCTGGAAGGCAAGTTTGGAGCCTTGTGTATAAGTTTGTTGCTGAACTCAACAAGTTCTGCACCAAGTAACCCCTTACCACTTTCAATCAGAACAAGACCCAAGGCCATGTCCTGAGAGACCGCAAAGGGATTAGAGTTCTTGAGATCCGTTCGAGTCTCCTGCGAGACTAGTTTTTGGAAGAAAACATCGATTTCATGTGTAAACTCCACATCCAAATGGGAAGTGCATTGTTTCTCGGGCAGAATAGCATGGTTGATATAGAATGGAACTACTTCCAAGGGCGACTTGGCTGATGTTTGAGAAGATTTGGATATAACGGATGCCCCATTTGCAACCCCAGTCCTATCTACACAGCGTTTCCTGGTCTTAAGCGGACTAACCGCTGCATTCACCGGTTTTGGTGTATTGAAATTCTGGGTCAGTGGATTCGACTGTGCGGTTTTTAAAGATGGATCATCAAGCTTTCGTTTTCGAGAGTTGGGCTGTGAAGATAAATTGTCATTTTCAGCCAGGAAATTCCCATCGGGGTAAGATTCATCGGACGATGATACCGATTCTGCCGTTTTGTCAACATAGATATCGATGTTATTTTTGGCAACGTTGGTGTCTTTTCGCAACTGGGGCCTTTCCGCTGAACCTTCCTGTGTAGAGTCCAGACCTGATTGACTATTTCTTGGGCTATTCGGCCATGTGGAGCGTTTGACTGGGCTGAGTGCTGGTCTGGAGGATGTACTAGTTGTAGATACAACACTTTGTGATCGTTGGACAATATACTGTGCAGATCCAGTCCCCTGTTTCAAACGCTTAGTCCATTCCTCATGTTCCTGGACATCCTCGCCAGGCACTGATCGGGCGCTTTCAGCCAGAAGCTGCAGCTCTGATAATGAAACCGCGTCTTCAAACGTCCTATCCCAATGGGTTTTTTGGATCCGAGGGAATCGAAGGGTATAGATTCGAGATCCCGAGCGTTTCTCGAATCCACTTCCAAGCATCTCAACGACAAAGGGAGTCTTAAATATGACATCTGCATGTGGGATAGTTGACTGTCCGTATTCCACACAAAAACCATAACCTGACTCGGGACCGCAGGCTCTGAACTCGCCGAATTGGTTGAGTATTTGCATGTTTCGCTCACTCATGCAATTTCGATCGATCACATCAACCACTCGAAACTTGGGTGTTGCGTTGAATTGACACACAGCCTGCTTATTGTCGAGACATCCGATGAAGAAGTGTGTCCATAATAGCTTGCGGATCTTCTTCAACGCAGTAGCATCTCGAGCCTCGTATTTTGCACCAACCAGTGCAAGATCCACTGTATCTCCTAATCCTGGTATATAGTCCTTCTTCAGCTTTATCCAGCGGCCGTATGCGCCTCTTGTCTCCGTAGAAAGAATCGGGAAATATGGATCGTCGCATCCTTTCAACACAAATCCTTCCCATCGTTCTTCAACGCCTTTAGCAAATATACTCTCGAGCCTAACCTGACCGTCGAAACGGGAGAAATCTATGATTCTCTGCTCGGCAATATCAGCATGACCATCTATAACCTGTACCGCATCTTTTAGTAGTAGTCGCCTTTCCCTATGTGGTTTTCTCAGACAGACATCATCGTCAAGGACCAGAATGTCGAAGAGCACAATCATCAAATGCTCGTAAGGTTGTGGCCTGGCTATAGTCAGACATGTCCTGGTCTCACTTTATATGCTTCACTCACGGAGAATCATGGTCTGTTCCAATAAAGACACCAGACCGAGAGATGAACTTGCGCAACTTGTGAAAGTCTGCTATCTTTCCGTGTTTGCTACTCCAAACAAGCAGCTCGCCCTCTACTATACAACGACGAGAAAATCTACACTCGGACGTTCCTATTCTCAAGGCCTGCTTGAGGATATGATGGACTCCCGATCTATCTGCCGTTGAATCCTTGCCACTTTTTGAGAATATCTGGATGGAGTTCGGATGCTTGGTCAGGTCGATGTGTATCTGGCAGTATTCGCCATCATACTTTCTCTCCATACTCATTCGGCGACGGTCCACCATTCGACAGCAGTGTTTGATACTGCGAGCTTTATAGTACTCCGGCCGCCCAATCTTAATACCAACCTCAGGATCCAAATACTGTAAGGCCTTGGTACTCAGATCTTTGGCCAGACCAGGCTCTGGCTGGGCTGGGAAGAAATTTATTGGTTCGGAAGCCAGTGTTTTCAACGCAGATTCGAACGAGTCCTGGAAAAGCAAAAGCTGAGGAAGCAAAAAATGCAAGCTCTTCATCGTGAACCTTTGCGGCAAGACTACTGGAAAGTAGCTTTTGAGTATCATTCGAGTAAGCCATTTAGCATCTCTGCTACTCAGGCGTAGATATAAAGGACCCAAAGCGCCCTCCACGTCAACTGCCGTACGCTGTCTGCGTACCTGCGGCCCAGAGAACCTACATCGCGAGGCGATATTATTCAAGGCCACATCGATCTCCTCTACTGTGACTTCTCTACCGCGTGGAATGTCATTCTCGGCCTGCCGCATCACATTCTCCACGCATTCGCCTAGATCAACTCCTCCGGAATGGCGCCAGCGCTCAAGCTCCTGCCTCCGTGAAGAGCCCAACAGCAGACATCGACCAATTACCCTTTCTAGGGAAGTGTCCTGCAGCCAGTATACTCTGTCGGTTCTCTTTTCCGGAAACAAGCACGAGAGAAGGGCTAGTTGGTCCGTGTCTTTGCTATGTATTCGCTTGCCATGCTGCGTAAACCACCGGGCTACAGCCCGTGTGTCCAAATTTTTGTTCCTTGCCGCCGTGGACGCTTTTTCAATCCGGTTATTCTCGAGGGTCGAGAGGAGTTCACACAGGTAGGTGAAATTGAACCCCATATGGCAATTTTGGCCTCCAAGCCACGGCTCAAATGGGTTACTGGGCTATGGGCCGTGTCGCGGGGCTAGAAAAGACAAATTAAACATGATATAGCAGACTCGAAACAGAATACATCCCACGATAGGATTTGAGAGATTAGGACGAGCGAGTGAGGGAAGTGACGCGAAACCCTAGGGAAGCGTGTCCATGGATCGCGAAAACACGTGATCTAAAGTGCCGATGAGATATTGCACACTACAACCAGAGGACTTCAACTTTGGATGCAATAGCAGATAATATGATCGTACGGATGATGGTAGTCTTAATAGAATACATGAGGACATGGCCACAGCGGCCATGATCTAACAGATCGTCATCCCCAGCCTAGAATAACCCAACCAGCAACATAATCCTATGGAAATGATAACATTGACACCCGCCAAACTCCAAGCTTTTCAATAATGAAGAGGAAACTGCAGAATATGATAGTTGGGAATATAAGACAAAGGTCGAAAAATAAATCAGAGGATGCCCTGTTTTTGGAGACTAGAAAGAGTTGGAAATTAGTATAATCATTCTAGAGTTGGGAAGTGTCAAGACATACTCCAGGTATATTCTCTCCGGCATAACATTTCCCTCCGCGTCCTCCATTTGTACGACGTTGTCGGTATGGTCCCGATCCTTCTTGCGGTCTTGTTCGAGTTTCTCCCATAGCCTGATGGCATCGTCGATCCGAGTGATCTCGCGGAAGAGGTTGGTATTCGACGTGATACCCAGACATTTCAAGCCAAAGATATGAAGAGCCTCAGAAAAGTGTTTGTCGAAAGCGCGACGGCCCATGTACACAAAGTTACCGCAGATTTCACAGGTATATTCAACACCCAAGCCGTGAAGCTTGTAAAGCCAGTATGGAATGGGTTTGCCATCCCAAGCCAACGGCAATTTAAGAGGGTTGTAGATTCGCTCATCTCCTTCATCATCAGAGGGCTCGTTGCCGCGACCATCGGCACCAAGACTTTCGGGCTCAGCCAGCAAAGCTTCAAGCTCCATCTGGCGTTCTCGCTCCGTCATACCCTGTCTGCGTTCCACATTGATCCGCGTTGCTTGACGTTCGGATTGGAGAGCTTGCGCTAGTGATCGAATCCGGTGCTCACGCTCTGCCACGGCACGTTCCTTCAAGCGATAAGCTGCAGACTGAACGCCTCCAGCAGGGGGTGCCGAGGTTTCGTTCGAACCAGCGGCCTTACGGGCCTCGGCGGCCCGAATGTGCTTCTTACCAGTCAAGTGATTCTTGTAAACGTTCTCGTTCTTGAATTCCTTTTCACAATCCGCACACCAGGTACCCTCGCCTGTTCCCTCGGTTTTAGGCCCTTGCGCACCGTTCTCGGCTTTCTCTTCTGTCCACCCTGGGACTTCACCTGCTGCCCATTGCTTCTCAAATTCTTCATCAAAGCTGGCGAATAGCATATCCAGATCTTGCAATGGCTTCGTCCTTTTAATGAAGCCTTCCAGGTATGTTGCAAGCTCCCCAACGTATTTGAAATATTTGTCGGAGAGCTTGTTGTTCCGCTTGATCAGAAGTTGCGGCGGGGTAAAGGAATCGAATATGTCCAGATATTGGACATATGTTAATCTTTTCACGCCGGGGAGGTTGAGATAATCTTCGTGAAGTGTCGTCAGATCCAAGTACTGCCCAAAGCCCTCCTCACCCGTAAACATGTTGTCAATCTCCATTCCAACGATTTCGCCTTCCCCGGGCTGACGGCGCTTGTAGGCGCGCTCGAGATTCTCAACAGGCTCATTTGGGTATCGCTTGTGAAAATCTTTGATGTCATCCAGCTGCTTGTAGAACTCCTCGAACTGTTCGCCGGTGGAAATGGACTGAAGTTCCTGTTCTCGTAACCCGTCGGCATCCTTGTAAATATCGAGTAACCGCTTTGATTGGTCTTCAATCCGCGTCAGGAAATGGGCAATCTCATGGTCGCGAGCCAGGCGTTCTCGGATCTAGACAGTAACTGGTAATTAGCAAACAACGATGATGAGCAAAAGGCTCAATCAGGACGACTTACGTTGCGAGGTTCGTCGGCCACGCGATCCGCAATAGCGTGCTCCAGCCGCTCGAGATCCTCGTGGGCAAATCTCTGATCTTCGAGCACCATCTTGAAGACAAAAGCGAAGCAAAAAAACGACCGTCTGTGGACGTGGTGATGATTCAATTAATGAACGTCGTCGGGCAGGTTCGCGGTGCTCAAGAGCTTTGCGGCGAGGATTCATCACGTGATCTCCGCGGTGGCACCTCGCCAGAAGTCTCGCGGACAAGCTCCTCCATCTCGCAACGACACCGAGTCAGCATTCATCCAGTGAATTGAGATACCCTTTTCTATTGTTGCAGCGGAGTGGGATTATTCATCATGGCGGACGGTATTGACAGACGTGCTGATGGTATGGCCTGGAAATGCCCGTGAAAATGTGTGTAGGCTAACAGGCGCAAATTTAGACAAGATGGAGTTCAACACCTCCAAGGAGGTCACAGTTGCTCCTACCTTCGAGGATATGCACTTGAAGGAGAGCTTGCTCCGTGGTGTCTACGCATACGGTTACGAATCCCCATCTGCGGTCCAATCCCGTGCGATTGTGCAAATCTGCAAAGGTCGCGACACCATCGCCCAGGCGCAGTCCGGTACCGGTAAAACGGCTACATTCTCGATCAGTATTCTCCAGGTTATCGATACCGTGGTTCGTGAAAGTCAAGGTAGGATAGCCTGGTAAAGGTCTTGGTGAATTTTCCAATTAACATTTCGCAGCTCTTGTGCTTTCCCCGACTCGCGAACTTGCGACACAGATTCAATCCGTTATCATGGCCCTCGGTGACTACATGAACGTTCAGTGCCACGCTTGTATTGGAGGAACAAACATTGGTGAAGATATTCGAAAGTTGGACTATGGTCAACATGTTGTGTCGGGTACACCAGGCCGAGTTGCGGACATGATCCGCAGACGCCATTTGCGCACACGGCACATCAAGATGCTGGTTCTCGATGAAGCCGACGAGCTTTTGAACCGAGGATTCCGCGAACAGATCTACGACGTTTACCGTTACCTTCCTCCTGCCACCCAAGTTGTCGTGGTTTCCGCTACCCTCCCGTACGACGTTCTTGATATGACCACCAAGTTCATGACTGATCCAGTGCGCGTCCTGGTCAAGCGTGATGAATTGACTTTGGAAGGCATTAAGCAATACTTCATTGCTGTGGAGAAGGAAGAGTGGAAATTCGATACCCTTTGCGATCTTTACGACACCTTGACCATCACCCAGGCCGTTATCTTCTGCAACACCCGCCGCAAGGTCGACTGGCTCACCGACAAGATGCGTGAGGCCAACTTTACTGTCTCTAGCATGCACGGTGAGATGCCTCAGAAGGAGCGTGACAGCATTATGCAGGATTTCCGACAGGGTAACTCTCGTGTGCTCATCTCCACCGACGTGTGGGCCCGTGGTATCGATGTTCAGCAAGTGTCCTTGGTCATTAACTACGATCTGCCTACCAACCGTGAGAACTACATCCACCGTATCGGACGAAGTGGTCGTTTCGGCCGTAAGGGTGTTGCCATCAACTTTGTCACCAGCGATGATGTCCGCATTCTCCGTGACATCGAACTTTACTACTCCACACAGATCGATGAGATGCCTATGAACGGTAAGCCACTAATTATCTGTATCTATTTTGGTATACCTCACTAACAACCCCTCCAGTTGCTGATCTTCTCTCGTAATCCACCACTTCCTCTGACTGATTATGCAATTTTCTCCCGCTTCTCTATGACTTCAATTTATAGCAATCGAGATACTCTTTTTTTGGGCAATGCCTAGGGCTAACAGGGCGCAATACTGTCATTTACGAAGATGCTAAAAACAAAAGCTACGTATGAACATGTTGAATTCAGATCCTACTCTGTAGCCGGGACCGAAAGGATAAAGAAAAGAGGCTGAACTATCGCGTGGAGGAAAGGGAAATACCACCAGACTGGTGAGTTGCTCATCCATCCTCATATCTTCCTTCCCTTCCAGCGGTATAATCTGACAGACGTCCTTGTTTTGCAGTAATCTATGAACTACATACAAAACTTCCTCTCAGTCACCCCCTTCGATTGCATGTTCTAGGATTTGATTTGCTGTCTTTCTACTTCTGACTTATCAGAAAATGCTTTGGATTCTCATTTTTTTTTTGGAGTTTGAAACGTGTTTCGGGGTTGATTCTTCTTTTTATTTATAAACATTGTTCGGGAAGTCGTCATTTTCTCTACCTTCACAACGATCTGATCACAAAATCTATCCTGTTTTTTCTCTTTCTATGTGGGCCCAAGATCTAAAACAGACTAGAAAGAATAGGAAAGTAGAGATGTAGATAACTTGAGCTAACCATATATGTATCAAGTTCACGGATTGTCTGACGCCTGGTTCTGATTCTAGTACCTACCCCGATTGAAAAACATGTAAAAATGGCACAGCCTGATGAATTCCTCCACGAGGAACCGAACAAACAATAAGAGACAAATGAAAATAATGACGGATGATGCTTTCACTCCGTCGAATTAAATCTTGCCTCCCGACACCACACCAGGACACCCGAGTTACCAAAGCCCAAAGCAGGATGAAATAGAATAAAAAAAGGATGGTGCCCTGTCAATGAAAGGAGAAGAATATACGAATGTGCAAAAGTCCGAAGAAAAATCCTCCATGAGGCCACAAAAAGATAAATGCTTATAAAGCGGATGCAAGCATGTTGTAAGACCAAAAATGGCAGTGTCTGATGCCTCTTGGAATGAATCTTGGAAAACTAGCGGACATGCATGCATATGAAGGGCGAAGGAGGAAATAAGGGAGAAAATCAATTATTCCCAGTCCAAAAGCTCCAGGTACGTCACTTGACCTTGATGCAAAAATTGCTGTTGAAGAAAAAATTTAACCGAGAAAAGAAGCTGTCAAGCTGGTTGAGGGGAAATTCATTCATAGAAGCTCGATGTTGATCGTAAAGCGCTGGTACGTGTAAGGCCATTTGAGGACACTGCTCTGCGTTTTCCTGCTGCAGCACTATGTGGTGTAGCACAATCCGGTGTCCAACTGAGGGTTTGTTAGTAAAATTTCAACCACTGCCCATCGAGGAAAAAGGCAATCTTACATTCTCACCAAGCAGTCATCCCCTGCAGAAGCAAACATGCCTGGGTTTGTGGGGTTCCACGAGATCGAGTTCACGCAACCAGAAATGTGCCCGTCCAAAGTCTCGACAAGAGTCCCATTTTCTTTGTGCCATACGTAAACACGTGAATCTTGATAAAAAGTTAGTAACGGAAATGGAAAAGAGCCTGAAAAAAAGAAAAAAATACCTTCACTTCCACTGACAACAAAGTTTTCAGCAGCGCCACCGAAGGTACTTCTGATAACAAAATGGCCTTGCTTCTGTCCTTCGAAACGGCGGACAATGTCCGTGGTGTCAATGTCGATAAGCTGAATCTCACCCTCCGACAGATTCACGAGCATGTGACGCGAATCTCTGCTCATAGCAACCGAGGTGGGTTTGCTGGACATTGGAAGACAATACTCCTCTTCGTGTGTGATGAAATTGTACACATGAATCTTCTCCTTGACATCTGCCGCAATCAGTCGTCGTCCGTCTGGGGTGATGGCACAGTCTTGAACGCGGAAGCCTCCAGGCCAAATATGAAGAGCCTGGCCTCGCATACTCCAATGGCAAAGCTGGGAGTTTGTGTCTAGAGAAGCCGTGACGAACGACTCGCCATCTGCAGCCCAGGCGGCTGCTGTAACTGGCTCACGATGGTGGTTGATTGTTAAGAGGCAACGCCCAGTCTAAGTTGAACAGGGTAAGTATAAGTAGGCTTTCCATAATTTTCTTAAGATAATTTCATACCTCAACGCTCCATACACGAGCCTTCTTGTCTTGGGAGCAGGTAATCAGTTTGGAATCGTCTGGACTCCAACTGACATGGGCAACACCATCATCGTGCTCTACCAGCTTATGTAGCACAGCGAAAGTAGTCGTATCGTAGATATTTACACCACGATCCCGGCCAGCCGTGACTAACTTTGTGCCATCATGTGAAAATTCGCAGTACCAGACCTCATCTGAGTGTTGACTCAACTCGATACTTGTTCGAAGTGGGAAATCGCTTCGTTTGCATAGATGATCTGAATACAACGAAGGTGGAACTGCAGTGTTGTGATATAGACAGTTGTTGATCTGGTTTTGCTTGACGTGATCTAATAATACGGCGAGACGATGGTCTGGAATCATTACAGACGGCGATATGGATTCTATCGAATGATTAGCAACCGATTACCATTTGTGAGAGCAGGTTAGTGCAAACGTACTCGAAAGTTCAGATAGTAAACGTTCCCGGGACGAGCTAATAGGGCCGTCCCATCCAGCTTGCTCGTGAAGATGTTCTGTTGGGCACATAAGAAGGCTATTTGAAGTCAGTGGGTTTCAATCAAACATTGAAATACTATCAGTGGTGGCAAAATCTTACCTAGAAAGGGCATGCAGTCGAGCAATATCATAATTCAAAGGTGTCAGTTCTTGACGAAGCACCATCAACGCTGCTCCAAGATTCCGAGCTTCCAGCAGCTCGAGGAACTTCTGCTGTCGCAGATAAAAGAGCATTTCGTTCTTCTCTGCGTTTGCCCCCAATGCTAATTTTTCCCTGCTCGGTGTCTTTTCGCCATTGTTATTATCATTGGTATAGAACGACTGGACCAAGATGCGTTCAGCCTCGACCCATCGTCCATCCAACACTGCATTCCTGAATGTGGCAACGCCCGAGCTTTCGAGCTGATAACCGCTTTCCCTGGTCAACTGTGATGCTGCCCCACTGTAACCTAGCTCGTACAGACTCTGGATGAGAATCCTCGTTACTTCCTCTCTATCATGGCCAAAGTATGACGGAGAATTATCCGACGATCTCGAGGAGCCATTTGATTCTCCGTTGGAAACGTATGTTGGCTGACCGTTTAGCGGATGGGACAACCCCTCTTTCCTTGACGGAGATGAGGTGGAACCATTTGACGCCTGGGAGAAGCCATTTAAATTTAACGCTCCGTCAGGCCGCATATTTGCCAGGCGCCTGCGCTTGGGGGACGGCGAATGGCCCTCTGGACGGGCGTGTGACTGGATCGTGCTCTGTTCCTGAGAAGCGGACTCGCTTCCCGTTCGATCTCCCCCCTCACTTGTATCCTCGGGTGTATCGGGTGTACTGCGACGACGTCGACGGCGATTCAACGACAGAGGCAAGCTTTCGTCTGCACCAGCTGTGCTAGAGTCACCAGTATCGCTGTCCAGCGGGAAAGGTGATGGATTTCGGTCTGTAGTGGAAGAACTTCCCTGTGGAGCGAGATGGAGAGGAGGCCAGGAACGGTATTCGGGAGCAGCCCAAGGGGGGTTGTGGGAAGAAGGATTGCGTGCCAGGTCGAAGAAGTTCAGATCTGCCGTTCCGCCTGGCTCTGTAGAAGAACCAGGTGAGCAGACCTCAATCAGAGGTGGGTCACTGATACTCGACGATAATGGGCGGGAGCTCCGTCCACGTGCTGGAGCTTGTCAAAGACCCGTACGGCCGTCTGTTCGTTTATTTTATTGGAGATAAGTTTATAATCGTCACGATGGAGCGAAGGAATCGAGGGTTCCCCCGTGAGATAGAGTGGAAGAAGATGGACCGGGCGGAGGTCTTATCGGATTCGGATTCGAGAGAAGTTCGGGGAACGAGCGTCTGCTTAGTCGGGCGATGACGAACGACAAGAAGGAGGACGGATTTTAAACGAGAAACCAGCTGATCGGAAATAATGAAGCTGGTCGAACATGAGAAACCCCGTGGAGAGCTGAAGGGAGCGGCAAGACGGAGGGCGTCGAAGCTGGAGGAGAGGAAGTTGAGGTTGTAGCAACGGCGGCTCGCCTTTAAGCTCCGTGGGGCGATGGCAGGTCACGACGGCAGACGATGAGATCCACCAGTTTGTTGGAAGAATGAGTGGATATTTCGGTTTGGCAAGGTACGAGTATTAATTCGAGTAATTTTATTGATTCTAATCAAACCCCTGGAGCTGTTGAAAAAGCAAGTACTTTACCTACATACATGGGTGTCTACGTAACTATTCGTAGAGATCGAGTCATCCCACCACTTTTACTTCATATAGCAGTATCCTTATGAAATGGCAGCAAAATACTCCAGATCTGGCTATAAAAGCATCATCTGAACCGTTAATAGCAGCTGACATATGGAAAAAACTCGCGCTCAGGCTGAAGGTAGGGATGCTCTGTTATAGGCTGAAGATCGCATACTGGACCAAGCGAATATCATCATATCATCTGGAACGGTTGGATCAGCTGCACCTGTGCCCCGTCTTATCTTTGCGTCAGTCCTCCTGATACTCTCTTCTCCTAGTATTATTTATTACACCACTCCTCAGCTAGACGACCTCATTTATTTATGTTGCAATTGTGATACTGTAGTGGGGAACAGAAAGAAAGGGATGCTGATCACTTCATCATCAGAGCCACCGCCATTCTTATCGAGTCACTACATGCAGCTATCTGCCCCGCATTCGGTATGTATCATTTTTTGATGCCAACAGTCTAAATAAATACGTGGTGCTCAGCACCAAGATATTAAATAGCTCGTTCTTTCATGCCTCTTATTTCTAAGGTGGTGTGAGGGGAATGCGATGAAGGGAGACACAGCTCAGTGCGACGGTGGGGATGGCAGGCCATTTGGTGCCATTGAAGTCATACCAGGTGGACATCTGCAAGGCACGATTGCAGTCTGACCATCGATACCCAAAGGACTATTCTGAATTAAATGCGATAATTCATTTCTGGTATTTGGAAGATTTAGCGACCATTAATGTTGGGTGTTGTTCTAGACATAGATTGTTAATGGTTGACTCTTGTAGCAGATAGTATACAACATTGTGCTATCAGAGTAACAACATCATGACGTTTATTTCCAATCATTTCCTTTGGAATATCCCTTTTTTTAATCACACTCAATCTACGGATTATTTGATCACATCAGAATCCACCAATATGATATGACCATTCCAGCCCAATATATAGCTAGAAAGACGGCACCAAATCTAGAAAACACCACAAAACTGTATACAAATTCCAGCATCGTATACAACATTCAAGAAAAAACACTTTCTCTCATATTTGCAGCCTTCCAGAATTATCCCTTGAAAGATGGCAAAACATCATCGAGCTCATCCTCTCCACTGACGACATAATGATGCTGCCACCATGATAGCCGTAGCGCCCCGAAAATAGCCACCGTCGCTTATAAAAAAGAGTGTAACATCTTCTCTATCATCTTCTTTTTTTTATCCTATCTTTCTATCCATACAAGAATATATTATTAAATCTTCATCAATCCAAAATATCTCAAACTGTCAAGATGGGCTGCGATTGTGGATCAAACTGTGCCTGCAATGGTGCCCAGGGCTGCACCTGTAACAACAACTGCGCTTGCAAAGGCTGCGGAGTATGTACCTACTGAACTCTCCTACAAAACTGGTGAAATTCCGGTATAAAGGATGGATATGATGGCTAATCTGCACTCTGTTGTATAGAAGTAACCTGTTTACCAATTACTCCACACGAATCCCGAATCGATTTGGAACGAAGGATGGGCATGATAATGTATCTCAGATAATATGGGGTTATGAATACCCAATGTACAGATAATATGAAAACCAAAATGTATTGTGAAAATGTCCATGATAAGACCGTTAGAAGAAACCAGTTACACCTTCACTTGGAGAAGCAGTCTATTTAGATCAAGGAGTCGTAGGCCGGAAATCATTCCGTAACCCAACATAGTGGCCACAATAGTAGCACCGAAAATTCCAATGTGCGCCAGGTATTCGATACCAGGCTTACTAGTTGTGGATACCCTTCGTTTTCCTAAGCGTGTAGTCCGAGTCAAGAAGGGAACGTATTTGAATTCAAAGAGGGTTTCTCTCCCAAGTCCCTCCTTGTTTGTAATGATATCGTAGTATTGTTTGCGTCGAACCTGTAGTATAGTGAGTAAGATGTATCACGAAAGATCCATGGTGTATAGAAACCCATACCGCAATGAAATATTGATCTGCCAAAGAAACCAGTGGAATTGTGTAGGAAATGACCATGACGAAAAAGCAGTACCCATATACGAGGGCCTGATAGTACACATTAGGTCGCGGAATGCCAAGTGCGTCGGAGAGTTCTTGACCATTGAGCTGCCTGGTCATCGCCTCCATAAACCCTTTTGAAGCATAGGAAGGTGCAGTGTTTTCAAGGCTGAGAATGATGTTCATTGCAAGAACTTTGCCGATTTCCGTTGGCTCTATCTCAGATACAAGAAGAGACTCCATCGTGGCTCGTGATCTGGCTCTGGTCGAAAATGGCTCGGTTGGTGTTCCCATATAATAACCGATCAACCTCCATAAAGCGATGTAATCATCGACCTCCTGGTCCCGGAGCCAGATTCCCTGGCGAGGAAGCCCCAGCCAGATCACCGACGTTGAAAATGTGTTGATAGTTGCGATACAATCTAGATCATTGACTGGAATGCCGAACTTCTCCACCTCGTAGTATTCAGACTTCTGTCGAGTAAGGCTCAATATCCTCTGTCGAACCGTCGCATGCAGCAATCGCACTCGAACCGAGGAGATATGGCCAGGACCGCCTGGTTTGAGAGACTCCACAGAGTCGGTGACTTGGAGGACATGCTGTAGAGTTTCCAACATTCTACGCCGTGCAACATCTGCAGAGAAACCACCCGTACGGGCCAGAGTTTCTACAACACGTCCAGATCCCCTGTCAATATAAATCAGTTATAGCCCACAGGGATATGCACTGGTCAGAAGACGAACATGCCACCTAATAGGCTTTCGAAGTTGAGCTGTAAGCAAATATTAATATCCGATAGAGTTGATTTTGTCGATACAAGCCATATGCTCACCACATTCAGGATTGGCAATCCATATCGATAGAACACATCCTGTCCTCTTTTGATCTGCTCCCAATCGACCCATTCCGGAATAGTGTTGATTTGGGCCCAGAGTTCGGTAAGCTTCGGATCATCACACGAATGGTCTCTCAACAAAGAATACAGGTCTCTTCTAGGAGGCTTGGTCTTTGCCCCTTCACTTGAACCCGAATCCTGACGAGAGATGTTCTTAGAGGGAGATGAAATCCCATCGAGCCGTTGCAGACATTCATCTGCGAGACTGTCATATGTAAATATCAAAGGGCGCAACTCATCTGCAGATCGATGATAATCGGTCCAGTCGAATGTATAACCCCAGCAGCTACGCTTAATACCAGTCTTGCTCAACTGAGTCGTGTCCATGATCTTTGGATACGAACGCTCTCGATTCAAATCAACACAACGGAAAGATTTGAAGAAACCGACAACTGGGAAGTAGAAGGAAAGTATAGTTTCATGATCCTTATCCATGGTATGAGAAGCGTTTATAATGCCTTCATTGACCACGGGATCCAACGAGCATAGACATGAGAAGCAATTCTAGCAAGTAGCAGCCGATATGGCATCCGGTTTCCATGGATCGAGGCAGCCTCCTACTCCGCAGCATGTGAACATGGAGAAAGCGAAGCATGGCTGAAGAGGAAGACAGTTCCTGTGCGGGGAAACCCAGAATGCTTTTGAATATCAAGTTCATTGCGCATCGAACAGCCAATACAAGTCTTCATCATGACTTTATGGATGCATAATATTATGCATATGACAGATGTGGATGTTACCCAGTTAGTGCTAATAGATGGATATGATGGAATTGACATGTGTTGTTAGTGCGGTGGCTCATCAGCCTTTTTTGATCGTCGACCTGTCAGTTTTATTTCCGAAGAAGTTCATTTTGCGAATAATGAGTGTCCATGTGATGGTGTTGCAAATTAGAATACCCCCCTGAATAAAAGTTGGTGATGTCGACCATCGGCCAGTACTGAAGGGCGCCAGTACCCCTCCTAATAACATAGGCAACATCTCATAAAACAGCCGATCAAAAGCACAGTCCAGTAGCCCACACGGAGTATTAGATCGTCAATAGTACTGGTATGATTGATAGTTTGGTAGTGCCACCCTGAACAAAGTGGACAAAGACAAGGCCTAAGATAACCCGCCCCCCAAGCACGGCTGAGTTAGTGAACTTTGCAAGCACGTTGACTGAAGGAAATCCCCAAACACAGTCAATTCAGCCCATAAACTTCATTCGATAAGCTGTAATCGATTAAATCCACAGCGGATGCTAGGTTTAGGAGTCAATCGACTCAAAACACGCCCTTCCCTGCTGGACTTGGTTGCCAGTCGCGGCGTTGTTGATCTGTCCTTCGGTTCGAGGTCGTCATCACCGCCCGGCGGACTAGACAACCTGCCACCGCTCCCCGACTCGCCCACCTTGACGTCCCCCAGCAGCAGCTCGAGCAGCAGCAGCATCGAGCATCACCCCTCTTTGCCTTCCCCGTCTACACAACCCCGCCCTACACCTATTATGGCTCCTTCGAAGACTGGCGACGACCACCAAAATGGCTCCGTCTTCTCCGTCTCCGGTCCTGTCGTCGTGGCCGAGCATATGATCGGCTGTGCTATGTACGAGCTGGTAAGGAGCTGGGATTCCATCGCTATGGACAAGGAATTTTTCTAACTCTCCTGTGATTCTTAGTGCCGAGTCGGACATGATAAGCTTGTTGGTGAAGTTATTCGTATTGAAGGAGATAAGGCCACTATCCAGGTCTACGAAGAAACAGGTACGATGTTACGAGCGGCGATCTCAAGAGGCAACTATATCTAACCTACACTCGTTCGCCCAATATAGATGGCTTGACTGTTGGTGACCCTGTCGCCAGGACAGGAAAGCCCCTCTCCGTCGAGCTTGGCCCCGGTCTTATGGAAACGATTTACGACGGTATTCAACGACCCCTCAAGGAAATCGCCGGTCAGTCCGGAAGCATTTACATTCCCCGTGGTATTACCGTCAATGCGCTGGACCGCACGAAGAAATGGGATTTCACTCCTGGCAAGTTCAAAGTTGGCGATCACATCACTGGAGGTGACGTCTGGGGTAGCGTTTTCGAGAACAGCTTGGTAAACGACCACAAGATTCTGCTTCCCCCTCGTGCAAAGGGTACCATCACTCGGATCGCAGAAGCGGGTAGCTACACAGTTGAGGAGAAGTTGCTGGAAATCGAGTTCAATGGCCAAAAGTCCGAGCATGGTATGATGCACGCTTGGCCTGTCCGTGTGCCTAGACCCGTCAACGACAAACTGCCATCCGACCAGCCCTTCGTTGTCGGCCAGAGAGTGTTGGACTCTTTATTCCCTAGTGTGCAGGGTGGTACTGTTTGTATCCCTGGTGCTTTCGGATGCGGCAAGACTGTCATCTCGCAGAGTGTGTCCAAGTTCTCCAACAGTGATATCATTGTCTACGTCGGATGTGGTGAGCGTGGTAATGAGATGGCCGAAGTCTTGATGGACTTCCCCGAGGTATACCTATCCCATCAAACCGCAAGCGCATTTCCCCCTTGCTAATATGAAAATCCTATTTAGCTTTCTATCGAAGTTGAAGGTCGCAAAGAGCCTATCATGAAGCGTACATGTCTGATCGCCAACACATCCAACATGCCCGTCGCCGCTCGTGAAGCCTCCATTTACACCGGTATCACTATCGCCGAATACTTCCGTGACCAGGGCAAGGACGTGGCCATGATGGCGGATTCCAGTTCTCGTTGGGCCGAGGCTCTTCGTGAAATTTCCGGTCGTCTAGGAGAGATGCCTGCAGACCAAGGTTTCCCTGCTTACCTGGGTGCCAAGCTTGCTTCTTTCTACGAACGTGCTGGAAAGAGTACCGCCCTGGGAAGCCCCGAGAGAAATGGTAGTGTCAGTATTGTCGGTGCTGTCAGTCCCCCGGGTGGTGATTTCTCCGACCCTGTCACTAGCAGTACACTTGGTATCGTCCAAGTGTTCTGGGGTCTCGACAAGAAACTGGCCCAGCGAAAGCACTTCCCCTCCATCAACACATCGATCTCCTACAGTAAATACACCACAGTACTCGACAAGTACTACGAGAAAGACCACCCTGAATTCCCGCGCTTGCGAGACCAGGTCAGAGAACTGCTGACCAAGTCCGAAGATTTGGATCAGGTCGTGCAGCTGGTCGGTAAATCCGCTCTGGGTGACTCGGATAAGATTATTCTCGATGTGGCTGCTATGGTCAAGGATGACTTCCTTCAGCAGAACGGTTACAGTGACTATGACCAGTTCTGCCCCTTGTGGAAGACCGAGTACATGATGAAGGCTTTCATGGGCTTCCACGATGAGGCCCAGAAGGCTGTTGCCCAAGGCCAAAACTGGGCTAAGGTCCGTGAGGCAACTGCTGATATCCAAACTTCCTTGCGGAGCATGAAGTTCGAGGTCCCCGAGAACGAGGCCGAAGTGTCCGAGAAGGTAAGTCTTTGAAACTCTAATACATCCTGTCGATGCGTCTACTAACAAATCCCTGCAGTATGAGAAGGTCCTCCAGTCCATGACCGAGCGATTTGCCTCGGTGTCGGACGAGTAAAAGAGAAGGAAGTACGATGTTGGACTGAACGGGCATTGTTTTCGGTTGACGGCCTGTAGCATAGCAAATTCCCATTTGTAGTTATTCCAGTTTATCTAGTTTCTCTGCGTTCCACGAGCCAATGTTCATCATATTTGATTGGGTTCTTTTTGCAACGGTCAGGCAGCAGCACTGTTTATTGCCCTCTCGGGTGGCCAAAACCACATGACGCGTCCACGCTGGACGTCATGGCTTCTTTCGTACAATTCCATAGTAAATCAACTTAAATTGTATCTAATAACCGTCAGTTCTATACTGCCTATAGCTTCTTTTGCCACTGGAATCCAGCCGTGGGTGTTGTGTGGATGTGCCGTCGGTCGGCCTCATATCAGATCTCAATCGGAAGCGAAACTCTACACTTGGCCGCAACTTCGACGCCTCTCCTCCGTCTATCTCCCGCCCTTTGTTTCAACCACCACCTTTACACCCCCGAGACACAGACAAGGGCTTCTTGAATTCTTGTTATTTATCTTTGATACTCCTGTTTTAATACCTTCATTTGAGTGAATTCATCCTGTTCTCATTGCCGGCCATGGCCAGCCCAACTAGCTTCTCGTGCGCATACCCCCTGCTCCCCTCATGGCCAAGCTTTAGGGCCCCATACTGACTTGATGATGTTCGCAGGATTAACGTGAACGATCCCAGCTTGATCTCGCTGGTTAACAAATTGCAAGATGTCTTCTCGACAGTCGGGGTAAGTGTGTCATGAAGCTCGTGGAACTTAATCCAGCCAGCAGAGCCCCCCGCAGACTGACACCGCCATTCTATTGCAGGTCCAAAACCCCATTGATTTGCCCCAGATTGCTGTCGTTGGATCGCAGTCTAGCGGAAAGAGTTCGGTTTTAGAAAACATTGTCGGCAGAGACTTGTAAGTGTTTGGTGTGGCGTTGTTGTTGTCCCGTTGTCTATCTCGTCGCCGTTAGCTGACCAGGGGCTACCTCATCGATATAGCCTTCCTCGTGGTTCAGGAATTGTTACTCGGAGACCCCTCGTTCTGCAACTCATCAACAAGCCCGCACAGTCGCAACCGAATGGCAAAAGCGAAGCGTTGGATACAACCGATAAGGAGGCGAATTTGGACGAATACGGCGAGTTCCTGCACATCCCCGGCCAGAAGTTCCACGATTTCAATAAGATTCGCGAGGAGATTGTGAGGGAAACCGAGTCCAAGGTCGGTCGCAATGCCGGTATCTCGCCTATTCCTATCAACTTGCGAATCTACTCGCCGAATGTCCTCACCCTCACGCTGGTCGATTTGCCCGGTTTGACCAAGGTCCCTGTCGGTGACCAGCCGAAGGATATCGAGAAGCAGATCAGGGATATGGTTTTGAAGTACATCGGCAAGCCTAATGCGATTATTCTTGCTGTGACTTCCGCCAACCAGGATCTTGCCAACTCGGATGGATTAAAGCTTGCGCGCGAGGTAGACCCGGAAGGTCAGCGTACCATTGGTGTCTTGACCAAGGTCGATCTTATGGACGAGGGAACGGATGTTGTGGATATTCTTGCGGGCAGGATTATTCCATTGCGTTTGGGTTATGTGCCGGTCGTCAACCGTGGTCAGCGCGATATCGAGAACAAGCGGCCGATTGCCTCCGCGCTGGAGAATGAGAAAAACTTCTTCGAAGGTCACAGAGCTTATCGGAATAAGGCATCGTACTGCGGAACTCCATACCTCGCTCGGAAACTCAACTTGGTTTGTATATGTGGTCCCACGCTGAGAAAGCTCTCTAACACCTGCTAGATCCTTATGATGCACATTAAGCAAACGCTACCTGACATCAAGGCCCGGATTTCCTCATCTCTCTCGAAATACTCGACGGAGCTCGCGCAGCTCGGTGATTCGATTCTCGGAAACAGCTCGAACATTATCATGAACATTATCACAGAATTCAGCAATGAGTACCGCACAGTGTTGGAGGGAAACAACACGGAGCTGTCTAGTATCGAACTGTCTGGTGGTGCTCGTATCAGCTTTGTGTTCCATGAGCTGTACTCGAATGGTATCAAGGCGGTCGACCCGTTTGACGCGACAAAGGATATGGACATCAGAACCATGCTCTACAACTCTTCCGGTCCCTCGCCTGCGCTGTTCGTTGGAACCACCGCTTTTGAGCTGATTGTCACACAGCAGATCAAGAAGCTTGAAGACCCCAGTTTGAAGTGTGTTTCTTTGATCTACGATGAGCTCGTCCGCATTCTGGGCCAGCTCTTGAACAAGCAGTTGTTCCGGAGATACCCCATGCTGAAGGAGAAGTTCCATGCTGTTGTCATTTCTTTCTTCAAGAAGTGCATGGAGCCTACTAACAAGCTCGTCCGGGATTTGATCGCTATGGAAGCATGCTATATCAACACCGGCCACCCTGATTTCATCAACGGACAACGCGTAAGTTTGTTCCTGCCATTTGTTGGGTAATCTCTAACCAAAATTCTAGGCTATGGCTATCGTCAACGAGCGCCAGGCTAGCAGCAAGCCGGTCCAGGTTGACCCTAAGACGGGCAAGCCTCTCCCTGGCCGCGCGGGCAGCCCCTCTCTGGACACCACCGGAACCGAATCTGGTGGTTCCGGATTCTTTGGCAGCTTCTGGGCCTCGAAGAACAAGAAGAAGATGGCTGCTATGGAGGCTCCCCCACCGATCCTCAAGGCCTCGACTACTTTGTCTGAGCGCGAAACCACCGAGGTGGAGGTTATCAGTAAGTGAACTTCCGAGTTAGGTTGAGAGACGGTTGACTAACAACACAACCAGAGCTGCTCGTTACTTCTTACTACAACATTGTCAAGCGGACTCTGATCGACATGGTCCCGAAGGCTGTCATGTACAACCTTGTTCAGTATGTATACGCTTATTAACTAGCAGAATCTTGCTAACTATCTTCTAGATTCACCAAGGACAAGATGCAGCGTGAGCTGCTCGAGATGATGTACCGCAGCGCCGAGCTTGACGACCTGCTGAAGGAGAGCGACTACACCGTCCGTCGGCGGAAGGAATGCCAGCAGATGGTGGAGAGTCTCTCCCGCGCCAGCGAGATTGTCAGCCAGGTCCAGTAATTGGGGCCGCCGGTTTGATCCATCCCGCTTTCGTCCCTGCTGTTCCTGCTGGTGGTTGACTGGTCTTTTTGGGTCTGTTCGTGTATCTGCTTCGGAGTTACGCTTGATGATTTTCTTCCTGATGCCAGACTGCGAGTCCCATACCACTACATTACATGTTCTTTTCCGATGTCAAGTTGCTAAGAGATTCCACATGACGACTTTGTATCGCCTAATGATTTTTTCCGTTGAGACTGGTTTTTTTGTCTTCTAGAATTCAAAACACATCTCTTTTTTCTATATTTAGGTGATATCATTATGCTAGCAGATTACGAATTCCATTCCAGTGACTGAAACTTCGACAGACCTGAAACTGTGGCCTCGCGTAACCAGACCGTAAAATACACGTAACTTTGGTACCAGGTACAGGATTGAATTAGGCTTAGTGCATCATCTCACGTGGTGTGCACGTGCCAGTGTTCCCCTCAACTAGCGTCTTTTGCCAGAGCCAATGAGCGTTCACATCTGTAAACATAGAAGTATATCCTGGGGATGGGCTGTATACAGCTTCAAAGACTGTCCTCCTCCTTGGTTTTGAAGATATAGGTGTAGACAGGCGTATTTTAAAGCGTCATATGATCCCAAAATGTGCTCAACAGTGAATGAGGAGGGGTAGCTAGCCTGTATTCCTCTCTCTTCCCTCCTCCCTCTTCCTCTTCTTCTTCCTTCTGTCTTTCTCTTTCTCCCATCCCCTTTCCTCTCTTCCTTACGATGACAGAGCCTTACATCTACAGGAAGTTTGTCTTTGCCGTTTTTCTTGGACTCTTGTTTTTGATCTCTATCATCAATCTCGTCAGGCTTTTCAAAGCGGTTTTTCTCTAGGCGTTGAGTCGAGCTCCCTCGAAGACCTCTTCCACGGTAAGAACACGCATGACGAGACTCTAATATCCTCAAGACTAACTTATCCATCCAGCAAACCAGAATCCCAACATCTCTCTTTCTCTTCTTCTCCAGCAGAATACCAAAGTAGTGGTCAGGATAACATGTGCCACTACATCATCTTCCACTCTATCCCATCTGCCTGCCTGGCCAGTCCTCGCCATGTCATCGACACGAAAATCTACTTTGTTTGCGACATAATCGCCAATGACCCCGACGCCAACAAGGAACACTGTGACGCTGAAGACTGCGAGTCGATTGGCGAAATGGGTTCGTCCAGGGTTATCTCTGATTGCTCTGGTTGCGTTGCCAGGGTTGTCGAGGAGTCGGTTCTGGAGTCTGTTATGATGGTATGTTTTCTTCCCTCTTCTATCCTTGGATGTGTTGAATTATTGGCTAACGGGTTGGTTTTCTAGATCGCGGGAAGTGCCTTTTAATGGCTTCTTCTTTCTGCCTCTGAAGGGTTAGATTTCAAGTTGATATCTGTTTTTTTTTTTTTTTTCTTTTCATTGAGAAGTGGTGACGGATTTGACTCGAATATCTCTTCGTTGGGATTCATGATTTTCTTTTTCTCTTCGGTCTTCTTGCATGCCTTGATCTTTTCGATCCAAGAGCTTCTTATTTCTGTGATACCAAGCATGGCCATCAGACGTTTCCATAGGACGGAACAGTCAATCAACCAGATAATGAATTAATGCATCCAAAACTCTTTTCCCAGAATTCTTCTAATAAGGTATTCAAGCCGCGCTATGTCTATACGTATAATGCCACCCCTCCTTGGCAATATCCTCTCTAACCCGATAATTCGCCTCTGCAATCTTCAGCAGCCCCATATCCATATCGACGACCTTGATATCTTCCTCATTTCCCATCTTACCAACGGGGCCCACAATAGGCATCGTCACGCGGGATAGGCCGAGGAATTTATCAGCCGGCCCAGCGGCGTTGACGAAGATGATACCACAGGTGTTTTCGTAGCAGCGGGCTGTGAGGGTTGATTCAAGGAAGAGGGCCTCGCAGTCTGGGTTGTGCGCTAGGGCTTCGGGGGAGGCGTCGTGTTTTGTCCCTGTTTTTCTGTCAGTTTTATTTGCAAATAAAGAAGGAAAAGAGACATACAATAAGTAGGCGCAATAATAATCTCTGCGCCCTTGGAAATCAACTCCCGAAAAGCCTCAGGAAAGGCCAAATCCCAACAAATCAACAAACCGACTTTACCCAAGGGCGTGTCGAAAACCTCATGCGGTTCCAGACCCGACGAGGTAAGATGCGGGCGTTCAGGGTGCCAGATATTCTTCTTCCGGTAGGATCCCAGAATCTCGCCCGTATTTGAGATGAAGTAGGCTGTGTTATACAAATGGACTACTTCATTGCCGTTCTCATCGACTTTGACGTGTCGTTCGACGATTGTACCAGGCACAATGCAGATATTGCGCTCTAGTGCCATGAGTCGGTAGACGGTGAGATATCTTTCGTACTCTGCTGCTTGGAGAACGTAGGTGGGGTTTGTTGGATCGAAGCCATTGAGGTGGTATCTTTGTTTCAATCAGCCTAGCTGCCTTGTATAATGTTTGGGAGTGCGATGTATGCTCACTCTGGCAGTACAACTAGTTCAGCACCCTGGGCTTTGGCCTCTATGATGAAGTCGCCTGCTTTTTTGTGGTTCATTACTATGTCGAGGTCCTGTTTTCGGTTGGCTCAGCTTTTGAATATTCTGAGATAGACGGAGCACATCGGCGACTGTTGAGGGCAACATACCTTGATATGCCATTGGCACAATGCAACTCGGTGAGTAGGGGCCATTTTTATATAGTATATAAGTGTTTGAAGAAAGTGAGGTTGATGCAAAATCGAAATCGATGGTATAGTCACGATTAAATATGTCAGGCTGGATAGCTGATGGATTATGAGAGGTCGGTTTCGCCGAGTTGGAGGAGAGTTGGAGTCATCGAAAGCTGAAGTGGGCAACCGGTGGGTCCCGCCCACGGGGTCAGTGAGACCCCGCGTTGGAGTTGTTGATAGGAGAGCACGTATAGTTTACTGGAGTGGAGTTGTAAGTCATTAGCATTAGTATTATCTTATAGGAACTATCGTATCTATTCTAATCAAAAAGCCAATCATGGTCCAACAATCGTAAAGGTAGTATATATATCATGAACATCCTCTCATATACCAACGACACTTATGCCATAGAGCCAACCATGGCAAAGTCCGGTTTCTTGCTGACACGATATACCAACCTGTCTGTCCAAAAATGGGAGAAAACTGCGTGGATTGTCGGAATACCTCCAAAGATGGTACCCGCAATTGGAAAGCAGATGCGTTCCAGGAGATGCGTCGTATGCCACCAGGTACGTTGGGAAAAGCCAGTGTCTGTCAGATTGGCCTGTAGCATATCCTTTCTTCGTGATTGCAGACAGACTGTATACCACCGCTCGTACAGTGCCAGGCAGACGTTCATCCAGATGAAGGAAGATGTGCGAAGCAGTCCAGTGAACCAGAACGTCCATGTCATAGATGGGTGTAGTAGCTCTGGAGGAGTCATGAGGGAATATATCAACGAGAACACCATAAGGATCATCAGATGGCAAGGGAGAAAGTGCGCCTCCCACATAAGGTGCAGTAAGGCAAAGTGTCGCGGTCGTAGAAATAGACACCGGCTGTGGAGGCGAAGATAGCTCATTGTCCGGCGTGCTGCAAATCCCGAGTCCAATGCTCCCCACATGTGTCGCAACGCCTGTCTGTACCGGGCAAAGCAGGTATCCAGTGTCCGTCTCCAGCCTTGACCAGTATCGCTGGAGACATTGCACTGGCTGGCTGGTATAAATATGTTACGGGAAACGACATTCCCTGCTGTCTCAAAGTAGCACTTGAGTAGCATGTGCATATCCTCGCCAATAGCAGTGGGGTCACTATCCCAGCCACCAACCTTTTCAGCCAAAGATAAGGGTAAGGAGTATACAGATGTTGGTATAGAGATAGGTGCGCCGGGGTACATTGTCGACAAGCCCGCAAAGCCCCATAGCAAATCAGCACATCGTACCAATATCGGGCTCTCATTAGAGTTGCGGTCAAATATGATCGGACAGCAGTAGACCGTGCGGTCTGCCTCGGTGGTATGTATATAATGAAGACGACGGATCTCGGTAAAGTAGTCCTGCCATAGATGCGTATCGGCTGATAGAGTTAGCACTGATCAGTAAAGCGTGATAACATCGACTCACCATCTATCACTGTGATGATCACATTACACGCGCCTGTATTGAGGTCCGCGCGATGCACTTCGACAATGTGGCGAGCGGCAAAAGCAACATTGGAACTTTTCCCTGCAATCTCCCCTTGTAGATTCGCTGGATGGAATGTACTTCGAATTTGGAGGAAGGATTTCTCGAATGCCAATATCAACTTTGCGGCCTTTTCGGCGGCTCCAGATTCTTTCTGTTCCATTGCAAGGTATATCTATCGTTGTCAGCCTTGTGGTGTTTAATCTTATGCTCTAAGACATACCTCATACTGCGTACTCGCTCTTGGATGACTTGCGAGAACATCCAGAGTGGTTTTCAGCGTACCAATATCTTCACCATAATTCGGCAGAATGATAGCATGAACAACCTCCTCCAGCTCATCAATGCTGTCAACTGACGAATAGGGCATTTTAAAAACCGCAGGATCCGGGAATTTCTGCGTCGGGGTAGATGGACTATCGACATAGTCACCTCCATCAGCCTCAGAAGGCGTGCGAGAGGTCTGCCAGATCCTTCTCTTCAATGCAAGCTTCGTCTCCTTGGTGACGTTGAAGAGTGACCATGACAAGCGGACAGTGAACCCAAATCCATTAATATGGATGAGGATGGTGTAGATCATGAATATCTTCTGCCCGATGTTGATGGGGGAGGGCTTGTCTCCGGACGGCTTGTCTGTCGATGGTGGGAAAAAGTCCTTCCATGGCGAGAGAGAGGCTGCGTCTGTGAAGGTGAGCAAAAGGAGTAGCAGCAGTGCGATGATGCTGAAGCCAGGAAGACAGCGAGAAAACCACCGAAGCATTTTCTTAGACAGGCTCAGGAGCGAAGCTGCAGGAGTCGACACGGAAGAATACAGGGGAGAAGAAGTGTCGATTGAGGAGGGGGGATCTCGTTAAGAAAAGAGTGGGAGAAGAGGAAAGGAGGCACGTTGTCCCAAACAGGAAACCCCACGAGAACCAACCACCAACCTGGATGCACCAGTGAGAGGAGATGAAAAGACGGCATGGGAAGGTCATTTGCCAGACCAACGCCATAATAAGATCTCGTGGAGATTTGGATCATGGGAAACGGTTAGTTTAATTAGATTGAACCACCAAGAGCGGATGATCTGCTCTATCCTATAAAGTAGGTACAAGACCATTGAAGGCAACCTCAAAATAAGAGCTCATGTATTTGCCCAGGACCAGCTAGAAATGGGTCTTAGAGTTTAGTTTGGATATTAGTTTGATGAAGCGAAGCTTAGATAGCATCTCATTGCGATGGTCACTGATATAACAACACTGTATGACCAGAGTACTGGATGTGCGTATACTGTGGATATACCCTCATATTGTTCTCATGATATGGAGACTGCAGAATGTTAGAAATTATCGCATATAAAAATCAACAATCAAGAAAGATGAAGATATAGTCATTTTATGGCTTCTGATTGGCTCAAACGAGGGCTGCTTACCTAAGTAAAAAAGGATGATCACACTTTTTGTCAACCAATCAGAGTCCTATAATCAGCGCATGGATTCCGCTCCTGACCAATCATATCCGCATATCACAACCTGTGGCTCAACGACTGCTCGACATCGTCACATCTTTTTCCCTGCATGAAACACTCAAAAGAGACCATGTGCGAATGCAACGATGCTAAACCATCCCGAGGTCATCAATCTACGCTCAGTCCTATTCTCTTTAGGTCGTCCATGCGATAATCCCATCTGACCGACTGGCTGTCCCATCCGTCCCCCACCAGGCCATAGCTCTCCCTCTCGTTTTTGGCGGGTTTGCGAGGATTGAGCGCCCAATAGCCCCAGCTCGCATCGACCTCCTCCAGAAATTGCACCAGGTGCCTCCAATAATTCAAATCGCCAGCGTCGGGTTTATCAGGAGTGCCCATCTCCCCAACCCAGACGGGAGCCGTGTCCTCGGCAAGCAGATACTCCCAGTTCTCCTGCATGGCCCTTACAAAACTCTTATATTTCCGTTTCGAAAAGGGTAGCAGGGAGCCCCATCCCGACCAGGCATAGACATGGGCCGAGTAGACTACTCGGGCAGGGATGCTGAGTTGAACAGGCCGCTTCTTTACCCCGGAGAGGTCGTTTGCGGATGAAACGCCTTCGACAATCATCAACCAATTTGGGTTGAGACGCAACAGTCGCTCCAATGCCCTTTCTGCTGCTGCTGCCCATGAGTGCCAGTGCATGGTACCCCAGACGCCACGGACCTCATTACGAAGGTCCGCACCGAGAACCAGTTCATTTTTTGCCAAGGGATACATGACCGTTTCCCAGTGCTCAATCCATTCTTCTTCAGTTTGGCTAACGCGACAGAGCAAGCGTCCCCCAAGCCAGTCATTTGACCATCCTCCATCGCAGAGATTTGCACCGCAGCACCAAGTGGCCTGAGTGATGTGGTTGTTCACAATTACCAATAAGCCTGCAGCAGTCAACCCTTCCACCACGGCGGTAAACACATCTAGGGCTCTTGCACATTCACCGCTAGAGTACTCGGTATCTGGAACCAAGTCGAGGTTTGCAGACAGCAGCGACCGATCGATGCAAGGATTCGTCTTCACCATTTCATCGGAATACGGCAGACGCACACTGTTGAAACCCATTCCACGAATGAGGGTTGCAATATCGTCACGATGCTGCACGTCGAGTCCTGATGCGATAAACTTGACATCGCTCGCTCCGTACCAGTTGACACTGGTAAGTTTCACCCTTGCGCCCTGGGAATCAACAATGTAGCGACCTTTAGTGCGAAATGGTGGGATAAATCGGGTGCTGCTGTTTTGGCTCTCGGAAGGTACAAAATGCCCTGTTGAGTTCATGCAGTCGTGACCTGAAGTGGAATGTGCCTCTAATGGATTGTCGGCCAGTCGTAGTCCTGATTGCGCTCCATCTCTTCGGCTGAGTTGTTTCAACGTAAAAAGAAAGAAAATCGATGCCGCAAAGATCAGAGAGAGTAGCCCTATTTGCCTTTTTCTTTTGCGTATGATCATTTGCGTCGCCATGGTTTATCCTGCTTTTCTCTATCAGGTTAAGGTCGAATAGTTCAACCTCTGTCTCTTATTTTACAGCAATTATCATTCACTGTGCGAGAGGGGATGAAAATTATGTCACGATGATCCGGACTTTCCGTCAGCACGGAGGGCATATCCGAGTTACTCGTATTGGCATAGGCGAAACCATATCCAGATGGACTGCCGTGATGACCAAGATTAGGCAAAAAACAAGGATATACAGAGTCACAGAGCAGATCTCAAGTATCACAAACACATCCAGACGAACCAAAGTTGCAAGATCCAGACAGACCAGCATGACATGTCATATCAGATTCAACGGGGATTCGATTCATCACACCGCAATGACCGCATAAAAAAAGCAGAGTTTAGGAGAATGGGATCTGAGCTGAAATTACATTTAGGCTGCATCGTTCATGTCGATCAATCGGAAAAGAAACCATTGTTGCACTGCATATTGGGCAGCATCTGTGTTACGCTTGCTATCAGGTCAAGACTTTTAGGGCTATCTAGCCAGTCAGGTATGGAATGCTAGATAGGATAAGGAAGATAACATCTGAGATGGATGGAGGAATTGTCGAGGGTTATCTGAAGATCTGCTTAGATGCAGTGATAAGTGCATACAGTAGTCTTGTGTGAACTGTTCATATACTCGAAAGTATTTTGTATACTTAATTTGATTCTATTTATATAGAAATGGGCTAGAATAATCCATATCATGTAGTGATAGAATAATTGGACAATTAGACAATGTCATGTGCCGTGTCTGATGAACTGGAGTATTAACATACGAATGAGCATACAATTGATAGATCTAGAATGACAGCACAGATCTTTCTTCAAAATATGCTGTTAGTCTATTAAGGTAATTGCCTATATAACTGAACTGCATTAAGATCCATAGATCTAAGTTGAGGTGCGGGTAAGCAATGACCCATAACGCCAAGCCTCATAGTAAGCTGCCAATAAGACTGCAGTCGCAAGGATGCCAGTTGATAGTATCTGAACATTGATAGATAAATAGGTAGACAATTGATTGGCTGTTATTCACTGCTGCTGCTATCACATTATCTGCAAGGATTCCCTCATCATCCTGGGAAATGCCATCAGCGTCCGATCTGCCCATTCTTCCAGGCCCGGACCGACCGTCTTTGGTGTGTTGGGATCTGAGCTGCAATGCAATGCACGCAGCTGCATGTGGAAAAAGCAAAGAATCCAAAAATTGTATCTTCCATTTTATCTGTCATTCTATCTGTCATTCTGTCAGTCACTCAATGATGTGGCTTAATTTTAAATTTGCCAGGACCCAGATAATCCCATCTGAAACTTCTGGCAAAAGACAAGCTAATCCTCAAGCACGACAGAAGGATTGTCGATCAGAAAAGGAGGCTGTCACATACCGTATATTACCAGTATTTTGCGCCACACCTGACCGGTGTATGTAATATTACCGACACATTGAAACCCCTCCCCTCTGATTGGCTGGCTGCGTCTCAGGCCCACCATTTCTTCAGGCATCCAAGATTCTGGCTGCTAAGAATAATGCTGCTAAGAGACTAACAGTGCTAAGACTGAGGTAGCACATTGTCCTTACAGATAGTCAATGCAGACATCCACAGCTTTCTTGGTTGTCGAAACAATCAGTAAATAGGGGCATCGTTCCTACTTAACCCAGTCCAGCTGGACTCGCAGCGATCAGCAGTGGTGCTGAAGCTGAATTTTCCTCTCTCTCCGTTTGCACGCTGCGTCCGGTCGCAGCGGTACCGTACAGTATGTAACTCGTAGAATTTCCCATCTCGTATTGTTATTTTCCCTCGATCTTCAACTCCAGTGAGGGATTTCTTCCTCTTTCTCACACCTTGACGAGCTTTTCTTCTTTAGCGCTTCTGCTTTTTGCCCTTCGGTGTCTATTTTTTTTTTAAAAAATCTCTTATTTTGGCCCAACTCTTTTTATTCTCCGATTCTTTTCTCTTTCTTTCCTTCCTGCGTGCTCGCACTTTTTCCCAGTCCTCTTCTTTGATCTTCCCCGTTCACCATGACATTGCACTCTCAAAACCGCTCCGTCTTGTTCAAACGTCGGTTTTCTCTGACTTTCAGCTAACAGCGGTCGAGTTGGCCGTTTTATTATTATTTCTTTTTACAAGATTCCTCCTTGCGCAGCTATTGGAGATCGGCAATCGCAGACCTCGTGCGCCGCATCATTGTCGCGTGGCGGGTGGTTGATCATCGTCCTCGACTTCTAGAATTTCTTCTGCCGTACAACCCCTCTTCGAAATTCCCCGAAAAAACAAAAGACAAACCCGGTACATTTAACTCGACAGAAGCGCAAAAAAAAAGAAAAGAAAAGAAAAGAAAAGCAAGACGGCCTTACGCCGTCCCGTGGGATCAAGTCAAAATGTACTCTGCTTTTTTGCGACGGATGGCCAAGGTCACGGCCCGTATTCCGTACTTGAAGGAATTGAGCATGAATTTCATTCTTATCCATTATACCTACATCATCTGCGTGAGCATGATTACTTCCATCATCATCTATCCCGGGAGTAAACTGGCTTATATCGATGCGCTTTTCTTTTCCGCGGGAGCGGCCACCCAGAGTGGTCTCAACACAGTGGATTTGAATCTGCTCCAGACCTACCAGCAGGTCATTTTATATTTCGTCTCCATGCTTACGACCCCGATCTTCATCAATACCGTCCTCGTTTTCATCCGTCTCTATTGGTTCGAAAAGCGGTTTCAGCATGTGGTACGAGACGCCCGAGCTCTACGCCAAACCCGCACCCGAGCCCGCACCGTCACCGCCGATAAAGATGGGCAGGATTACAACATGGAGGAGATGGGCGTTGGCAGGCGGCCGATTGCCGTCATGCGGGACGGGTCTCATCCGGACAAGATCTCGGAGGAGACAAACTCGGCCCCAGAGTCCCCCAAGGCGAAGCCCCAGAATGGGGACCAAACCGATGAATCGGGGAGCGGCGCGGAGCCCAAGCCAGGGTTGGGTTCTAACTTGGGCCTGGGTGGTTTACGCGTGCCGACGCAGCTGAGCCCTGAACATCACATTGCGTTCTTGGAAAATCAGAGAAGAAACAAAGGAGCTTTGCGTATCCCAAGTCCTCGCGAATACGACCGGGGTGGTGTCCCCGAGGTGCTGGAAGAAGAGGGGGGTGAGGAACTTACCAAGAAACCGAGTAATCAGACCGATGATCAGCGTCCGGATTCAGAGGACTCCAGCAATGTCGGACCACTTGATGGCCCTCATATTACGATTAACGAGCCGGACATGGGGCGGACCAAGACGAGGAACACGACCTTTCCCCGGATGGATACTCGTCCAACTGTGCGCGAGACCAGAGACGCGAACGATGAGCCTTCGTTTCTCGGCCGTTCAAGAACAAGGAGAAACACGGTTAACAGCATTTTCCGATCTCTGACTCAAGAAAGAGACCGTCCTACTCTTCCCTATCTCAGTTGGGATGCCACCGTTGGCCGAAACTCCAATTTCGTCGATCTGACGGAGGAGCAGAGAGATGAGTTGGGAGGTATTGAGTATCGCGCTTTGAAGACACTGGCTGTTGTCTTGATGTCCTACTACGTTTTCTTCCACCTCCTTGGAATCGTCTGCTTAGTCCCTTGGATTATGACTACGCACTGGGGAAATGTGGTCACAGGAGATGGTCAAGGACGTCCTTGGTGGGGAATTTTCACGGCCGGCTCTTCGTTCAACGATGTTGGATTCACTTTAACCCCGGACTCGATGATGTCTTTCCAAGAAGCCGTATTCCCTCTGCTTCTGATGACCTTCCTCATCATCATTGGCAACACTGGGTTTCCTTGTATGCTTCGGTTGATCATTTGGGCTGCCTCTAAGATAGCAACAGAAGACAGTCCTCTTTGGGAGGAGTTGAAGTTTCTGCTGGACCATCCCCGTCGATGCTTTACGCTTCTCTTTCCTCGAAATGCGACCTGGTGGCTGTTTGCGATTCTCATTGCGCTGAACGGAATTGACCTGATCTTCTTCATCATCTTGGATGTGAGAATTCTCCCACTTCATTTTCTGCAAACAAGACTGACAGTGTCCAGATCAACGATCCAACCGTCACTAATCTACCCCCTGGAATCCGTGTTTTATGTGGTCTCTTCCAGGCCGCAGCTACGCGAACCGCAGGATTCTCAGTCGTGAGCTTGTCAGATCTCCACCCTGCAGTTCAAGTATCCTACCTCATCATGATGTACATCTCCGTCTTCCCCATCGCCATCTCCATGCGACGAACAAACGTCTATGAAGAAAAGAGTCTGGGCGTCTACCCAATCCCCGAGGAAGAAGAAGAAGCCGAAGAAAACGCCAACGCCCCCAGTTATATCGGCGCCCACTTGCGCAAACAACTCAGTTTCGACCTGTGGTACGTCTTCCTCGGCCTCTTCATCATCGCCATCGTCGAAGGCGGCCGTCTCCAAAACAAAGACCAATACTCCTTCCAACTCTGGCCTGTCCTCTTCGAAGTCGTCTCCGCCTACGGCACCGTCGGCCTCTCCCTCGGCTACCCAGGCGTCAACGCCTCCTTCGTCTCCGAATTTCAAGTCATCTCCAAACTCGTCATCATCGCCATGCAAGTCCGCGGCCGCCATCGCGGTCTCCCATACACCCTCGATCGTGCCATCCTCCTCCCCTCCGAAGCCCTGAACCAAAAGGAAGTCGCAGACGCAGAAAAGCGCATGCGCCGTCGCGCTTCAAACCTCTCCACCATCCCTTCCACAGACATGGAGCGGCAATCGACGAACCCGCGCTCTGAAACCGGCGCTACCTCGGGGCTGGAACCTCGCGACCGTGCCAATTCCGGGATGAATGCCGACTCGGTGCTGCGTCGTCAATCGACTCGCCGGTCTCAGCGGTAGTGGTAGATATGTGGTGGCTATGTCAGTTATTCGCATTTTATGTATCTATAGAAAAGGTGGTATTTATTTGTCTGTCTGTTAGCGTCTGCAATCTATATCCTAGCGTGTTTGCTTGATCACTCATCTATACCATAACAATCTATAAAACATGTAGTACAGTAGTATGATGCTGAAATAACATCAGCTGTCACTCTTAGCTTCGCATAGATCGACACTTCCATGTGGAGCATCCCGGTAGAGGATTTATCCATACCTGCCAGCGAATGTGAATATTGCAGCTTCCCATCATACACTCATTCAATATAACTGACATTAATAGATGTTTGTTCGGGCATGGTTGAGTATCGTTTTTGGACTTCTATGGGAAGCCTTCTTTAATCTGCAGAATCTACGCTTCACGGTACTTCGGTGGAAAAGATTCCATAAGCCTGTATCTAACTAATCCACAAGCAAGTCAGCCACCTGGGTAACTATATAATCATCAATCTATAACGGTATCATCAATCTATAGCCATTACCATTAAGCTCATCCAGAGCTGTCCCATACCCAGCCAAAAAGAACGCCAAAGCAAACACTACGTAAAATCCTCATATAAAATCAAAACGCTTGATAAACCTTGAAACTCTTAAACTCCCAATACGCCTGCGTGAAGTTCTGGGGGTGGTTTGCGACAAAATCCTCGCATTTTCCGGGGCAGTTGTACAGCTCTGTATAGAGTTGGGGCTGTGCACCAAGCTGTCCGCATAGATCGATGTTGGCAATGATACTTTGGTTGTTGAAATGAGACGGGATGTCGCAATTTGTGTTGGGAAAGTCGGCCAGCGCAGTTCCCCATGTCGACGGGTCAGGGGTAGCACTTGAATTTGTAATGTCGTCTGGAATAGAGTTTCGGGGGAAGAACCACGCCCGGATACCAGCGAGACGTAGTTCCAAAGCGTAGACCTGTAAAGTTAGAAAGAGTTGTTTTTTCCCGGATAGTACTTACACCTCCGTGATTGTCGTTCAATTCCTCGCCATAGGTATCTGGTGCGCCCTGTACACCGCAGCCCGCGTTGCTGTTGGTACTGTTGTCGCAAGTGAGAAATTCGGCAAATCCTGTCTGTTTCCGCCTTACTTTCATATTACAGCCAGGCGTGGAGTGCAAAGTGACTGCATTGCCCTCTGTGCCTCTGTTATTAGCTTCCAGGATATCGATTTCACCATTCTTGGGCCAGTTATATCCATCTGTGAGCCACAAGGCCGGCCAGGTACCACAGCCGTAGGGTGTATGAAGAATATCGAAAATGAAAAGACCAGTATCGTAGTTGTGCTTTGACTCAATGCGGACAGATCGCCTGCCAGTCGACGCGTTCTTCTCGGAGGTGTCGACCTTGAGAACCACGGACGAATCAGAGGCATATGTTAGGTTGAGATTCTGTGCTGTCTGTCGATCGACATAACTACACCATAAGTCAGAAAATGCCTAGAAACACAAATGTATGAGCACATACTGCACAAATCCATTGGTAGGGTCCTCGCTGGAAAAGTAATCGAATTGATCAAAAAATGACGTTCCGGAATAAGTGTCGACCAGCTTGTAATTGAGCGGTATGTAGTCAGGATAGCGACGAGCTCTGGTACCCTCGACAGCCCCGACAATCACAGCAATGATCACGACGATTATCCCGATACCGGTAACTACCTTTGTTCGACGGGACCATCCCCGTGGGTTGTACCAAGGCAAGGGCACTTGGTCTTCATCTTCTTGTTTGACTGACGGGGGAGGAGATGCAGGGTAGCCGTTGTGCATAGCGGATGCGGTGAGCTAGAAACGAATGTAGATAGTAAACGAGTGTATATGCGATGAAAGAATAGAGCAGATGAAAGAATGAGCTGCGCTGGAACGAGAAACGATGGAGGGGAAAGACAGAAAGCAACGCAAGGAGAGGGGAAGAAGGAGATAAACAACAGTCCTTGCCTGCTGTGTGCATTATGTAATCGGACGTTGACAGTTACTATTACTTGCATTACTTTCTATTGATGAATAGAGAATTATATAAATATGATATCAATATTATCGATATCAATATATTAATATGAATAATTATAGATCATATTATACCAAGTGGAGATGTGGACCTACTAGTGCTTAGTGTCCACTGCTTAATTATGCTTATTCCAGGTGAATTTATGATATCTTATAATATGATATTGAATATTATATTTAATATCAAGTGAATCAAACTATTTCTCATCTATTTAATCCCACTTCTCTTGGTCTCGAATCTCTGACCATTCCAATACACGGCCATACAGCACAGCCACTCTTAACTGTGATTTAGTCATACCCTGTAATGCATGTCTCATCTACTTGATTGTTCAATGATGCCTCATCTGTCTATCCACAGAAAGAGGTCAATCCGCGGATGAATCTGGACAAGCTTTGTGGCATTATATGACACTGCCATACCACGAACCAAGCGCAAATGACCTTCAAATGGGGATACTGGACAAAGAATCGGACGCAACTCTCCGCTCTCTTTCCTATCCCTGTTGGTAATGCAGAAGATGTGTTTGTCGATGCATCCATGATGCTGATTGCTGATTGAATAGAAATTATCGTCTTTGCCAGAGTATCTTGTCTCTACTTATATCCAATGCATCGCCATCGGTTCAGTCTTCACCCCAACTTGATTATATATACGGATGTCACCATAATGTTCTTCCTTCCTCTACTGCCAGAGCAAAAGACCTCAACCAATCTTTGTGAGTTGTTACCTTCTCTTCGAATGGACAACACTGACAACTCCTTTTCCAGATACTTATATTTCAGCAAAGAAACTTCTTTCGGAAATTCCAAATCTAGTAAGCATTTAGATGTCACCTCCTGCTACATTGGCTAATATTTCCGTGTCGATCAGATCCAAATCATCGCATGCGACTCAATATAGATAAAGCCCGGAGAAGACATCAAAACGGTGGATAGATCAATCAACTCCGGTGGTCATGGCACCTCCCAGCACTGCAGCTACACACATCACTCTTCGCGCCCCTCCGGGGTGCAGGTTTGATGGATCACATTTTAGAGAGCAGCATTAGATGGACGCAGCCATTGATGACTTCATTAGCTCCGTCTTCTATGACGGTCAATTAACCACTGCCACGCAGCACCTCCTCCAACTGGAGGACGTGTTTGGCTCAATCTAACGCTCTATCAACTTCCCGCTCTTCCGTCAACCACGACCATTGATTTTCATGAACGTCGCTGACGGTGCCGATGAGAATAAGCCCCGGAGCAGATCCTCTATGAACCCTCTCCACTGTGTTGTGATCTACAGCCTTACCTTTCACCTGCTGCACGATGCCCACCCTACATCCGGCATCACTCGCCATTCTCACTCAGACCATTCCAGACGTATCTATGCCTGTTGATAGGAAGACCGACAGAAAGGGACTTTTGCCTTCTTGATTCTACTCAAGAACATGGCACAGCAGACATTCCCGGTGAGCCTTTGAGACTGGTTTTTTTATTATCATGGATTGTTAGGAGATATACTGACCTCTTTCTGATAGTCAAGAGGTTGCTCACATATACCCAAGCTCTATATGTACACAGTACCAACCTCCACCAATATATCATACACATCAACGATGATAGAATGGGTGAGTTACATTCATTCATACTGCGAGAATATACTTCTAACAAGCCCAAGCCAAAGGTAAATTACAGAAAAGAAGTCACAGGCGAGGCTGTCCATGTGCGAGACAGATACCTCGATTCTACTCTGTACCATACCCCAGAAGTTCCTGCAGAGAACTCAGTCTTCGAAGAGAAGCGATTTAGTCTCCTTTGAAGCACCGATTCACAGTCGTAAAGGGGCTGCCTGGGAAATTCAGTACGACTTCCATCAGGCTCTGACCTCTCTGGCAATATTTGCATCGGCACAAGCTGCATGTGATGCACTGGAAATATTTCTGCTTTTACCAGAAAGTCTGCCATACTGGGACATGGATACTCGCTTGTACTGTGGCCCAACACTACAAGATGGAATATACAAGCTATCGATTCATGACGATAGATCGTACCGCCCAATGGATATCCCAACAAACCGTGATGCCAAATGGCCAGATGTCGTCTGTTTCTCTGCCTCATCAGATGAAAGTAAGTTATAGCTCCCTTCATAGCATTGTCTAGCTGGCTAACATGATAGGATTGCTTTTCATCTATGCACCGTAATTTGGTCTATAACCTGGTTGCCTGCCTCCTCCACGACACTCAGCTGCCGAAATCCTCTCTTGCGATCCTAACTCTAAGACATAAGTAACATAATGCAAAGTGTACCAGGAGATGGGATCTATCAACAGGCTCGGCAAGTGGCAAGAGCGACAACTCGGGATCAGAATCTTCTCGCGGGGAAGAAGCAGGGATACATTGCGAGAATGCATTGAAAGAACTTGTGGACGTGGTGATTGTGAGGGAGAATGGTCGACTCAATGGGACCTGGTCACTCGAAATGTTTGGATCGCCATTGCCCTGCAAACCCATCGGTCTAACGGTTCTCTAGGAACCCAGCACGTTTGAGCATACGTCTTCTAGTGGGAACGAGTACCGGCAGTCGATTTGACATCGGGCACAGGGAAGTCAGCCTCTTCAGCGAGTACAAGTCACTTTCTGATCCAAAGTCACGTTATTTTCACGCATCGGACAGCTTGGGAAGCAAAAGGTGTGGATTCTCACCCGGGACGTGCAGCTTGCCAGGGCGTTGAATTCTCTGATACCCAGAGGATTAAACTCATCGATATCTTTAGTCCTCTCATCTCGCCTGTGTTCACCGTATTTAATTGGGGGAAGTGGTAGAAAGCCTCCCAAGCCAACTGGCTCACTGACATTGACGAGTCAATCGTCAATGCATCGATGATCACCTTCATCGATGCGATTGTCTCGGTGATTCCCGTTAGCACACCCAACCACGAGTGGAGATAGCACGTTATACTCTTACACTAAAACCTATGCATCTTTGGTAAGTGATTTCACTTGCTATCTTTACTTTTTCCCCTTAACGAACTATTTTCAGATAATGGGAATCTTTCACAAGCAATCCCAAAGTCGAGCATATCATGCGATAACGTCTGCTTCATGAAGATCCTTTTGGGTAGCCTGAGCGAATCGATATTGAGTTCAGTGCCAGAATTCTACGAAATACAGAAATAACGTCCCCAAATGTTCATAATCCTCTATTGTACATGTGTACCTATCTCTGATTTGCTTTGATCTTGCAGAATGATTCTACAAAACAACCCGAAGGTCTCGAGTCAGGAAATGCCATCCGACAAGCTACTAACGAAAAGGTACTCCTGGATAATCCTTCGAATATGAATTGCCAACGAGTAAAGGGGCTGACCAGCTGTCTTAGTATCATCTGTCGACATCTGATTCTCTCATGCGTCTTAGCTTCGTGATCTACAGCAAACAAACGCAATTTCCGGAGCTTCTGACTCTATTCGATTCTATCAAAAGTCGGTGAAGTTGAAAGTGAATCAGGGGTTTTCCTCTGCCATCTTGGCGAATATAGACCCTCATTATAAGTACTGGATCCTTTTCGTTGACTTTAATTCTTCTGCCATCTCTATATATACTTTTTTTTATATACTTTATATATACGACCATACATGACTTCGACATCATGACCTGCTGAAATATAATCAGCCCCAATACGGGCTTTCTCAAAATGGAAATCACAGACCGGGAAGAAGGGGATTAGTGCGATGTTTGTATGAATCCCCATTCTTTCATTGGACGATGCTAATAAACCAGCGAGGATTATGTGAATACTTCGATAATAAGCTTTGCCTCGGCACTCGTCAGGAACTACTAGGATACAACCAAACACAATACGGAATCCTTGAGGTGAAGCCATTCGTGATACATGGTATATTTATGTTGCGAATGTTAGTTAGTATCGTTCAACGCTCGATGAATCAATGCTGATTCTCTTTGGGACAGCTCACACGATTTATGGACGACTTTCGCTGTCGATACGGCTTCTACACTCCCCACGGGATCTGGAAGCTCCAGGTCTTCGCGTCGTTGTCTCCTCTTCATATCCTCATACTATCAATGGTATTCTCGAAATCCCTTCCAAAGCATGCCAATTGTTGGAACCCGGTGTTCATGGCAGATACATGGATCAGATTTGCCTGTTTCACTTACGGATCTCAAAATGTTGATCGGTTGTGTTTCGCTCCTGGAAAATGTTCGACTATAAAAACTACGGGGTTTATATATATCACTCGTGAGTCAATATCTCTGCCATACTGACTGTAAGCTAACATCCGTAAGGCACCGATTGTATTAACTTATTCTACTTTGGTTGAAAACTTCCGTCAATGGAAACAGTATCTCGACACAAAAGATACAACCTGCCAAATTCAAGACATGGATGCAGTTTCTGTGCCCAGCTCAGAGGTAAGCAGCTATTCAACTATATTTCCGAAACTTTGCTGATGCTATACAGCCTCGACAATGTCATTACTATGCCAATGAACGCTGCGACCCTTGCACGTCGGGATTGGTTGCCAACAATGGCCATCTTTGATGAGACCTCATTTTTTGAGACCCTGAGATACAAATAGTATTCACTACCTACCTTGCCAGCTATCAATCGTGTCATGCTAGTCGGAGACGATAATCAATTCGTCCCGCCTCGGTCACTCCAAGTATCCACCACCAGTGAACTCTTGGCCTGTATTTATCCTTTTCGGACTTGCACTAGGTATGTCTTACGATTATTCATTTCGGTAGTTCATACTCATCTCTTACAGGTCAACTAGCCATGTATATGGACGACCTCGCTTGTCGCTATGGGTTCATATCAAATGACAATGAATCGAAGCAAAATGACACCACGCAGTGGGCGCTTGAATTTTCCGTCAACTCTGGCAATGGTAAGACATCATCCTTATGCGTAACTATTCCCAAGCTCATACCCGAACAGCTCCTTTTACCATGCCTCGAACGCGGATATCTCGACGCTCAACTGGAGATGTCAACATACTTTCGAAACTCTCGATTTTACCGCTGGTCATTAACCTTCGCAATGCTCTAATTGGTCTACTTCAACTTGGTACGCAAGGACAGGGCTATACACAATATTTGATGTTGGGATGTTCCTCGAAAACGGCCCAGACAGGGCGCCATAATGTATCAGAAACAGAACCGCTGCGAGCCCTCCCTAATACTCCCTCCACTTCCCGGACGATTGTCCTGTCATCTTAGTCTACCTGGTGGGCAACAATGCAGCTTACTCAGTACCCTCACCACCTCGCCTAGGGCCACAGTTGCTATATTCATCGTTTCAGGTATGATATCTTCAGTCGCCTACCCCACTCATGCTTTTGGTGTAAACTCCAGCATCATCGAGGTTCTTGATACGGCTAACAAGGCTCCTAGGCGGAGTATCGTGATGATGCATTACGCGGGACATGCCTTCAAAAATAACCTCAACGAGCTGGCTTTCGCTGACCCGAATGGCAAGCAAACTCGTTCACCTCGAAGCTGTTCATGGAAACGAGACCTCGTGCCCAGAACGGTGGCAAAACTCTTGAAATTGCTAACCTCCTTGAGGCTGTCAAGTAATCATCCCAGCTAAAAGGCCCAGCTATGCAGCCATTTGATAACACACATACGGATACGGCCATCGCATTCTCATCTCTTTTCTTTTTGCTCTTGTATAGAGCGTCTGTCAAATGTAACAGATAGCCGCGATGAAACGTCCTATTGCAAGCGGTACATACAGGTATTCTACAGTACGTGAGAATCAGATAGCATCCCCATCACGATCCATCGAAGAGATTATATCTTGCACCCAATATACTTAAAGAATGACCAGGTCAAATTCTTTGGCCCTGATTGGAGAATACGTAATCCGTCCACGGAGCTCTTCGCAAATATTGCGATAACAAGGATCGTCATTCGTTTAATCCAGTATCCTAGATTTTGTCCATGCGAAAAAAAGAAGACTTCTTCATATCTACAAGTGATACCTATCTTCAGCTATAGTGGAGAAAGTGGAACTACAAAGTGGATCAATAATCGGATTCTTATTTCTTCGGATATTATTCGTCCATTAGTCTTATTTCTAGGTTACTGCTTAATTATGCTTATGCTTATTTGTTTTCATGACTCGTTAAGATTGATTACGATGATCTTATTCCTGTAGTAGCCAAGGTGGACGTGACGTGTATGTGCTTGATTGATTAATTACTAGACTGGGTAGTCACTTGTAGTCTTTCTGTCTGTACACTGTTCCAACTGAGCTGGAAACATGAGTTTTGGATATTTGCAATAGACACGATAATCCTCCTGTTGCTGTGTGGAGGTGGTATAATACCGAACGAAATGCAGTAGCCAAGATGACTGAAATACTTGGGATAGCAGAAAGAAAAAGGAAATTCAAATATCACATTAAAAAGTACGAAAAGAAAAGAAGAAAAAAACAGAATCGTGCCAGAAAAGCAAGAAGGGATCAGTAAAAGAATCAAACAACCCGAGAGAAACGTATGGCCAAAATTGGCAACCAACACCAGTGTGCTAAAGTAGGACACAACTGAAAGGGAAAAGAAAAGAAAAGAAAATGCTTCAAATATGCAATGCGAGAGTCGTTATCGTGAAAATAAAACAAAAGGAACGGGTGATATCTCAGTCTACAGATTCCGGAGTAGACTGCCTTCGGCAAATGGGCTGACGGGGGAAAGGTCCAGCATGGGCTTCATTGCGTTGCGGTCGCCTGTGGCTATTCCATGGCCTGTAGGTTGTCCTTGGATTGTAGTCGCCTTGGTGGATCGTGAGAGGAGACTGTTTGGTACGAACGGGCCATCAGGTAGTGGGATGGCATCGGGAGAAACTGGCGACGGGGGAGCATTATTGACGCTGCGAGCGGTGTTTGAGCGTTGGCGACTCCGTTGTGGTATTGGCGGTGCTTCCGAGACCGATGGTCGTCGCCAGGTGGTTGATGGTGGGATTGCAATGGAATTTGGTGCGAGATCCGGCCCGGTGGCCGCATCAATCAAAGGCATTCCGGGTTCAACGGCGACGCCTCGACCTTTGCGGGCATGCTGTGGTGGCTCTTGGTATTTAGGCGTCAGGTCAACAAGGGGCTGGTGTTTGTTGATCGACTGCGATCGACTGACAGTCCCACCCATATCTGGGGGTTGTGCGGAAGTCATCGTGTTGGATCGACTGTGAGGTTGGCTTGAAGGGCCACTGAATTGGCGGCGCGAACTTATGCCCCTGACCAGACCTTGCGGAGTGAGCGGTTCGTTTGCTCTCTTTTCCTCCTCATCCCTTTCCTGCATAGCACGTCGACGCATTGAGTAGGTCCGACCCAGAAGACTCGTGGGTTCGAAAGGAGTTTCATCATTTACCGGTGCTCCTGACCCAGCCACGTTGGTGTTGATGGACAGAGACTTGGGGTAAGCCGATGGGGGAGGCGCGTGTTCACGCGTACTCTTCTTCCGGGCAAACAGCTCTTTCGCTCTGGACGACTTGCTCTGCTCCCTGGAGATGGGCGATACTGGCTCGCTGTTGGAGAAATCTGAAGCGTTCAGGTCCACCAATGGCTTGATAGGGACTGGCTGGTATGTGTTGGAGTCAGACGAAACTCGGTCGGATTCTACCGGTGAGTCCTCCTTGCCTGCCCCCAGTCTAGTCACTAGATACCAACTGCGCCATGTCTGAACTGCTCTGTAAAACCCGTCGGCCGTTACCTTGTCATTGGTGCAGAAGAAGTGGGCATAGTTCTCTGTCGACACGAACATGGTGGACTTTTGCTGGCTTTTCACGGCGTAGCAGATTTTCCTCGGGGGTTTGATGTTGTTTGATAAGGCGGCGGCCGTAGGTGAGTAAATGTCAAAATCAGTCAAATGGCAGGCATTCGTTTGCTCTTGTCCATTTGGTTTCTTGGATACTGTCACTTGTCCATCTGCACGTAAGGTAACGAAGCGTTTATCCCACTTCTTGGGCCGCTGCGAGTAGTAGATATGGAACGTCACGTCTACAGGTGATTCGGCCGAGATACTTTGAATATCGAGTTGGTTCATAGCATCGAAGCTTGCCGGAGGGACAATGATCAAAGAATTCTCTTCGTCGTGCATCCACGAGTTCATGACATCCCGGATATATTCGTATCTTCGTAAAGGCCGTTCCAAGTCCAATTGAGAGAAGGACTCGATCGCGATAAAAGTCTGCGGGTCAATCCCGCCAGCTAGGTAGCTTGAGGCGAGGAAGAGCAGATCTTGAACACTTGTAGCGGGCGTGACAGGGAGATTGAGAGACGATCTCTTGTAGTGAACAAGCACCGTCCGCTCACCGGCATTCACCGCTGATAAAGGCGCATCCATTCGAATAATCGAGGGTCCAGTAGGAGGTTCCACGGGTTTCTGTGTGGGCTCTTCATTTTTAGGACTTGATCGCGACATTTTGATCCTATCCTTTAATGAAATTCGTTTCGATTCGTTTTTGGAAGATCGCCGACTCGGTCGATCTTCAGCGGGCAAAGGATTCCTGTCGTCAAGAATCACGCGGGGACTTCTCTCTCGCATCGTAGCCTTCCGAGATGTTATCACTGCTTTTGACATCTTACTTCCTCCCGTCAACCGATCCATGGCGCTTCGTCTGTGCTTTTCCCTGGTAGCCTCGTCGTCTTCTGTCGGTGCTGCCTTGCCCACATCTCCGCTGTAGAATCTCCCTCCTTTGGGTTCAGCATTTGCAGCCTTCCTCGGACTACCAGAAGCTGCAGCTTTTCCTGCCATCGACTCCTGCTGCGGGCTCGGATACCCTTCCCGCGCAAGCGATTGCTCCACAGACGCAGGAAGCGGGGATTGAGTAGGCGAAGCAGGAGACGAAGTCGCAGTTGGCGCTCTGTTACGCCGATATCGCGACATGCTCTTTGAGATTGTCGGGCTCGGCCCAGTAATACTCCCAGGCCCTGGGCTATTCTGCAGAGCCTGCGGGGACGTAACCGGGGGCACAGGTACAGAAGGAGCCGAGGTATCAAGTTGTTGTAGTTTCTTCGCGGCTTTTCTTACGGATCGATAGCGCGAGAATTTGACGGGTGCCTGAGTTTGGCTGTCGATGCCCACTGGCTCGTGTGACTGCGACTGCGACTCCATGGCTGTGTTTGTGTTGGGTGGGTTGCTTTGCTTGTTGTTGTTTTCTTCTATCTTGATCTCCGTCGAGTCATAGACCGCATCATACCCAGCGCAATCAATCCTCGAGAAGTACGAGATCAATTCCTTCAGTAGATGAAGGAAAAGAGGTTCAATTGAGGGATGTCTGCACTGTCAAGGGAATTTTTTGGTCGCTCTGTTCGTCGCTCTGAAACAGCGCTAAAGCAACAGGAACGAGTCCGACAAAGGCCGACGGTTTGATACGAACGAAAGAAAGGGAATAAAAGAGATGAAAGAAAGAACCAGGCAGTCGAGGATTCACTGTGCGTTACAGCAGATATTCAGCAGCAAAAGCCACCAGCTAAAAGGGGGGAAGCAGCGAAATAAAGGCAGACAGGCAAAAGAAGAAGAAAAGACCATCCCAAAGGGCTGGCCAATTGCGGAGAATTAGTGGCAACCGCCGGTGGTCTGTTCGGTGGGCCCTTTTTCTTTGCGATATTATTTTCTTTTTTTTTTTTCTTTTTCTTGGGCGACAGATTATTGCAATCGGGTGCGAACATGCAGCAGCCCAACAGACGTAAGGGGGACGCTGGAATCAAAATTCAAAATCGTGCTCCAGTGCTAAAAAACTAGTTGGTCTTGGACGTGATTGCAGCTGCAGCAAAAGTTGGGAGAAATCTTGATTTACGCCGGTTCTAATTTCCGAGATCTCTATTTATACTCACCACCAGGAGGAAGAGGGGGCATTTGGGAGAATTACTGAATTATCCTGAGAGAATCAGGAGGACTAAAACAGGGAAATAACAAACTAAGAAAAAAAAGGGCATCTCATGAGTGACTTGGTCTGATATTCGATTCAATAGTTTGGCTGCAATCGGACACGGTCGATGATCGACAGAAATCCAAATCGAGGTGCGGATGATTGACAGTCTATCGCTTCAATTATTGTGCTGCACAAAGCTCTTGTTTAGCTCATTTAATTCATTAAATAACTCTTTGCACTCTCAGTATTTGATTTGACCTGTCTTTTTGAAGTAGCCTGTATGCTATATTATGCAATACATTTTTTCTATTATCACACCATGCATCGTTGGATTCCATGGAGAAAAAAATAAAATAAAAAATATACAGCCCCTGCAAGTCCAAGTCCAGTCTCAAATGTTCCATCGTATGACCGTCTCAAGACCCTGCTTATTTTTTGTACGCGCCCAGGTTCTTTCGCCTACAGTCTGGGGTTAGCATTCCAGCAGTCGATCCCAATCGATTTCACTTACCACCATGCAACAAAGTCCTGGGTGCTAACGTCAATCCCAAGCTCCTTCAACGCCTCGGTGGACAGGTGTGTATCGTATGGTCGCTGAACAGACGCATTCGGGTCGTTTCCTTGCTTGTTCCTCTCCATCCCTGCCAGCGACAGTCCAAGCACCTCCGCCAGTTTCTCAGACATCTCGTACTTTGTCATCCGATCCTCTGAGGAGAACTGGAGAATCTTGGGCAGTTCTTTGATTCGTCGCTTCTCCTTGACGTACTTGATCACAATGTCCCGGCAGACCCGTGCCACATCCTCAGTGTTGGTCGGGTACCGCAGGGACCAATCGTCCATCTTGACGCCTGCATTCTCATCCTGTGCCTTCCACACTGCATCGACCAAGGTATTCACCGCACTCTCTGAGTTGCTCTTCGCGGAGCCGTACAACACGGGGACACGCAGAACAACGCCCAACCCAGTATCCCGGGTAGCTTCTAGAACCGCCAACTCACCATCGCGCTTCAACTGGCCATACAGGTTGGGGGGCCTCGTCTCCGCATCCACTTGGTAAGGTGCATCCCCCTCTGTACCCGGGAAGACGTAGTCTGTAGAGATGTAGATGAGGAGTGCGCCGGTAGCGTTGGTTTCTTCCGCAAGGGCCCGGGTGGCGTCCACGTTCACTCGTCGAGCTGCTTCGGGGTCTTTGTCGCAGAGATCCGGCGAACGGTTCGCGGCACCTAAAACGCATCAATTAGAAAGGTTGTCGTAGGACGTTGGCTCATGTGTCATGACGTACAGTGGATAACAATCTGAGGCCTGCATTCATTTCAGTCAGCAGCGATGAACATATCCAATGGCACAATTCCAATTGACCAAGCCACTTACTTCACCTCGAACATAATCCGCTTGACATCCTCGGGGTTCTCCAAGTCCGCCTTGAGAATCGTAGGCGGGGTAGCTCTCGAAAAGCCCTGGCCGACCACAAGGCAGCCAGAGTGCTTGAAGGTGTTAAAGACCTGCCGGCCAAGAAGACCAGTGGCCCCAGTAACAAGGACGTAGGATGACATTTTTTGAAGATAATTCAGCAAGGTACTTTGTGATGGACAGACGTTCGATCCGGATTGACGACGTTAAAAGGACGAGCCGTGGCGGGGCACGTTCATGACGTAACGGCCACACCCACTTTGATATTGGCCATATCGAGTTGGTAAATCGGTGAAGCTGGAATGCGTTGGTGTTTGTGATCGTGTATTTTCTGGATGCGAGAGCTTGATCTCGAGTTCTCTATGATGTATGATTGAGATCTGGTCTGTCGATCAAGAACATGAACAAGTCTTCCTGCCAATCAGGATTATCCAACAGAGAAGTATTTACTTGTATTATGTTAGATGTCTTTATCTTTTCCTGCGGCAAGTCACTCCTCCAGTTGCTTCATTTAATGATCTTCATGGGTGGATCTCGTATTTTGATGCTGTCGAGAATATATACAACCACACCATTAATTAGCACTATTCTATTCTCGACCACAACAATTACTAAAAACTAGTTCTTTACATAAAGGAATAATTAAAGTAGTACTGTGATACCTACCTAATTGAAAAAAGAGACATATTCTAGTATTCAAGTAGTTGGGGTGTGCCTAGTAGCGATCGCAGTGCAAATTCCTCGGATTAAAATCCGCACCATCCCCATCCCAAATTTAAAGAATCATTTTGTATCGACAAATATTGCTCCTCTTGCCTTTGCTTCTCTTCAATGCTTCCATAATTCCATTCCATCTTCCGTACAAGCATAGAATCCGTCGGGATCGGAAGTCCGACCGGAACCCTTACTCCGTACAGACCGATAAAAACCTATCGGTGAGCTTTTTGGCATAATTTTGTATGCCGTGTTGACCTCTCTTTTTCCCTCCTCTATTGCCCACCACCACATCATGTCCAGCGCCAGAAGTATTTCCACCGCCCTCCGACGGGCTCGAGTCCCCAGACCCCGCTGTTATTTACGGCCTCTTGCCCCCTGCGTCCCCTCGGTGGCGGCCGCGCGCACATTCAGTGTCACCTCCGCTGCCCGTACCGATGCGACCAAAGAGATCAAATACACCACCCACGCCTACCCCAACCTGAAGCGGGACCCCAAGTTCGCTGAGATCGCCGAGGATGATGTGAAATACTTCCAGGAGCTGCTGGGCGCCCAATCCGCGGTGATTGATGGTGTGACGACCGATGCAGCGGATGACATCGAACCCTTCAACAGCGACTGGATGCGCAAGTACCGTGGCCACACGCGGTTGGTCCTGAAGCCCCAGACCAAGGAGGAGGTCAGCAAGGCGCTGAAATACTGTAACGAGAAGAAGCTGGCTGTCGTCCCGCAGGGAGGTAACACCGGATTGGTGGGTGGCTCTGTGCCGGTGTTCGATGAGATCGTTATCAACACCTCGCGCATGAACAAGATCCGCTCTTTCGATGAGGCATCCGGTGTGCTGGTGGCGGATGCTGGTGTTATCCTCGAGGTGGCCGATCAGCACCTGGCTCAGAAGGACCACTTGTTCCCGTTGGACTTGGGCGCGAAGGGCTCGTGCCATATTGGAGGAAATGTTGCGACCAACGCTGGTGGTCTCCGTCTGCTCCGCTATGGAAGTCTTCACGGAAATGTGCTGGGTCTTGAGGCTGTTTTGGCGGATGGAACTATTGTCGACTCGCTCTCGACTCTGCGGAAGAACAACACCGGTTACGACCTTAAGCAGCTCTTCATCGGCTCCGAAGGTACCATTGGTATTATCACCGGTGTTTCCATCTTGTGCCCTCCTCGTCCCAAGGCCGTCAATGTAGCCTACTTTGGTCTGGAGAGCTACGACCAGGTTCGCCAGGCTTTCAAGGAGGCCAAGGGTCAGCTCTCTGAGATCCTTTCTGCTTTCGAGCTGATGGACGGTCGCAGTCAGAGACTGGTCCACGAGTCTACTGGTAACAAGTACCCCCTGGAGGGTGAATACCCCTTCTACTGTGTGGTTGAGACCAGCGGCTCCAACGCCGAACACGACATGGCCAAGTTGGAGGGCTTCTTGGAGCACATCATGAGCGAGGGCATCGTCGCCGATGGTGTTTTGGCTCAGGACGAAACCCAATTCCACTCCATCTGGCGCTGGCGTGAGGGTATCACCGAGGCTCTGAGCCACTTGGGTGGTACCTACAAGTACGATGTCTCCATTCCCCTCCCCGAATTGTACCAGCTGGTGGATGACTGCCGTGAGCGTCTCACCCAGCTCGGATTCGTCGGTGACGATGACTCGTTCCCCGTCCGTGCTGTTGTCGGATACGGCCACATGGGTGACTCCAACCTGCACTTGAACGTGTCGGTGCGCCAATACAACAAGGAGGTCGAGAAGGCCATTGAGCCCTGGGTGTACGAATGGATCCAGAAGCGCAGCGGAAGTATCAGTGCTGAGCATGGTCTGGGTATTGCCAAGAAGGAGTTTATCGGCTACAGCCAAAATGACACCATGTTGAAGCTGATGAAGCAGTTGAAGGACTTGTACGATCCGGTAAGTATTCTATCCGAAGATATTGAATTTTCATGGCTAACGAGGCACTTAGAACGGAATCTTGAACCCTTACAAGTATATTTAGATTGCACGTCATGTACTTTTATTCCAGGAGTTTTCAAAAAATATACCATTGAATTGTTCGAACGCTAGCTTCACCTTGGGTCAGTTTTGTAGTATCCGTGGTTTGTAGCAGCCACTCCGTAAGAGAATGCACTGGACATTAATGACGTGGAATATCCCAACCATCAAGCTTTCAGTCTCTTACTCCCACCTCTGTCTCCGCTACGGAGTAAAATGGCTTCAGGCACCGCATATCGCTGGAGTCACCCGGCTAGGGATGTTCTCAATTTATACCGTGATCCATGGGATTCCAAGGCCCCAAGGAAGTTGTATAAAGCTCCTCGCAACAGAGTGAAAGCCAGGAAACTGCTATCTACACCTCTGGTGAGCCAGCTTCCAGTCGAAATACTCCATCAGATTCTTTTCGAGCTCGATCTACTCAGTCTGGGGATGCTGCGTCGAGTCAACACGATAACAAGACGCCTGGTAGAATCCTTCCCCGCGTACCATCTACTGAGAAAGCACGCCTCGGACACGCTGCGTGTCATGGACGCTACCAAGTGCACTTCACATTTCCCAATTCGCTGGCTAGACGAAGAGTTCTGCCACCCCTGGTGCCGAAAATGCGGCGACTTTGGTCCCTTTATTTACCTCCCCACCATCTCGCGCTCGTGCTTTCAATGCAGTCTTTCTCATCGCGAGTATCGAGTGGCAGCGGTGCCTAATCTCGTATTCCACTTCGGGCTCTCTGAGACACATATCAAGTCTTTGCCGATTATCTACGCTCTCCGCGCGGGCAAAAAGCGCCGGAGACGGTTTGTCGATGTTACCCAGGCTAAAGATTTGGGGAAACGGGTTCATGGAGGATTGGAGAATATGAGGGAAAGTTTCCAGGAGCGGTTGAAGGCATATGACAAGAAGTATGAACTGGAACTCGAGAAGTATCAGAAAAGAGCGGGTGACAGGGCTGGTCGACCCCGTCTTTGCCAACCGTCTTATCTGCGACGGGTCAGCAAATATATGTCCAAGTATTGGAGGCTGAAGGCGACAACTTCATTTCCATACTGGAATCGCCAGACAAGCACCTTGGAACCGGGCGCTTACTGTCGAGCTTGTACCTACCGCTGGGAGGAGGAGGAGGAGGAGGAGGAAGACGGTTCGGTTTTGGATTCTCAACCCCAGATAAAAAAGGACTATGATCGAGCATTTTTGGAGGCGGACTTGCCTCAGCACTTCCTACATTGTCCGGCAGTGAAGGAGAATTACAATTTCCAGAAAAAAAAGAGGTGGTGCGATCACCATAAGAGGGCTGGGACTGATTTCATAGTTAGTGCTAATAGTTCAGGGAGAAAGGGCTAATATGAAGGAAAGTTGTCGAATTATGGAACGGGAATATGATCTAGATATCATCTAGAGAGATGTCAAAGAACAATCGCCGGTCCCACTTTGATGACTGTTGTGATGCTGTACCTTGGATCAGCTTTGTAGTATCCATGGTTGGTAGCTGTCATGCTGTTACAAGGAGTACTCCATACTGACTCAGCCGTATAGACGGGTATAGAGTCTATATCCATATTCTATCCCTACTCATAGCAAGGGCACAATATATCAAATATTATCAGCAGCTGACACTCCCTTCAAGAAGCAAGGACGTTTCTGCCCCAGGCACTGACAGTGGGGAGCCCGCTCCACTGGCTGCCTCAGGCCGCCCGTTGCCATGCGCTACCGCCTGTTGTTGACCGCGGCACCATCCAGAGATTATTGCTGGACTGGGACTAGCGAAAAGTAATTGTCCCATCCACCTTCCCTTCAGCTTCAGCTCTGCTGCCCAAGGTCGATTTGCTCGTCGTCTTCAGCTAAGCTAAAAGTGTCTTGCCGGACAGGATAGGAGAGCTAGCTGGTTGCGCGCGGGTGTGTCCATCTTGTGCTGTGTCGTTTTTCTCTCCCATTTTTCTCTTTTCTTTTTTGTGACTTGTTCCATTGAGCCACCCCCGAGCCCCCCCCTGGGCTGCTGCTGCTGCTGCTGCGACTTGACCCGCAGTTTGACCGCAACCATGGAAAACGATATGGCGAGTCATTATCAGATGATGGAGGAGTTGGGAAGTGAGTTTTCGCCAATTGCAATGATATATGCAGTTTTCAATTGCATCAAAGAAAGGACGTATGGCTAATTGGATTGGGCGGGGGGATTTTCCCCTGGATTCTTTATGATTAGGTGGAAGTTTCGGAATCGTGTACAAAGCCATTGAAAAGTTTACCGGGGAAATCGTTGCGATTAAACACGTATGTTGTGCGACCGATACTGCAGTTCCCATCGTCTTCTTTGTTAGGACTCAAATTGACCGTGGCGGCGCTTGTTTTTATCTTAGATTGATCTCGAATCGAGCGAAGACGATATCCAGGAAATTCAGCAGGAGATCTCCGTCCTGGCTACATGTGATAGCCCTTATGTGACGCAATACAAAGCGAGTTTTCTGCGGGGACACAAGTTATGGATTGTCATGGAATATCTGGGAGGAGGGTCTTGCCTCGATCTGGTAATGAAAATGTTATCTGTCTGGAAACCTGGGTTTGTGCTAATGGGATATATATTATAGCTCAAACCCGGTATGTTCAACGAAGCGCATGTGGCCATCATTTGCCAGCAGCTGCTGCAGGGTATGGACTACTTGCACAGCGAAGGAAAAATCCACCGCGACATCAAAGCTGCCAACGTGCTCCTGTCACATACGGGCAAGGTGAAGCTTGCGGATTTTGGAGTTGCTGCGCAGCTCATCAATATCAAATCCCAGCGCAACACTTTCGTCGGAACACCCTTCTGGATGGCGCCCGAGGTGATTCAGCAGGCTGGATACGATTACAAGGCGGATATTTGGTCGCTGGGAATTACCGCCATCGAGATGATCAACGGAGAACCGCCTCACGCGAGCACGCATCCGATGAAGGTCCTCTTTTTGATTCCAAAGGAGCCTGCCCCGATCCTCCAAGGAGACCAGTACAGCAACACATTTAAGGACTTCATCGCACAATGTTTGATCAAAGACCCGGATAGGAGACCTAGCGCCAAGGAACTGTTGAGACACAAGTTCATCCGTAATGCCGGAAAGACCGAGGCTTTGCAGGAACTCATTCACCGGAAGCAAGACTGGGATGCTGGCAGAGGTGTCAAGCAAAACGTCAAGTACTATGCGGAATCTCTGTGAGTACTATTGAGAGCCATCGCGAAGAACATTTACTGACAGTCTCAGCAACACAATCACAAAGCCTGAAGATGATGATGATGGATGGGTATTCGATACAGTCAAAGCACCTACCATGAAGGTCTCGAAAGAAGAGGATGATATCCTTATCGACGAAGATGCGCAGGAATACTGGGATGAAAACTCGGAAATGATGGAAAACCTACACATCTCCAACCCTCCAATGCCAAAGCACGCCCCGAACTCGACCGTCCGACGAACACCAATGGCCGACCGAAGTCCTTCTATCCGGCGACCCAATGCGAAGAGAAGATCGAGTGGCATGAAACAGCCACTGGGCGTAGACCTGAGTTTTGGCAATAGCCCGTCAACAGTTCGCCAATTCCGCCGTGTGTCAGACAAGATCCCCTCTGATGCTTCTTACACCACGCCGCAATACCCGCCCGGCCTCGATGAGAATTCCAGTCCCAAGACGCTCTTCTCGGAACCAAACAGTAAGGAAGCACAATTGGGTCGTCGAGCATACAGCAAAGCTGTAGGAATGTCCTGCCAGGAAGTTCTTGGCACAACAGGAGACCAAGAAAAAAGAGAAGTCATCTCACGATTGGCTGAGGCCTGGAGCGATCTGGAAATGGTCGACCCGGAAGGTCTATACCATATCATCCGGACCATGAACGAAAAAATTATGGGGTAAGTAATGTTATTCTCCTATCCTACAACGGCTTTTGCTAATTAAATTCCCGTGTCAGCGATCCAAAATTATCAGGCCTCGTCCCGCAAGCTCCACCACCCGAATCCCCACAAAGGCCGCGGCTTGTCCTGGCACAGAACAACCCACACCTCAAAAGCCACCGGCGGCGCCAGTCCACCGCAGCACCAGAGCCTAGCTTGCCCCCGGCCCAGCTGTCTAACCTCCCGGGGCAAGAAGTGCCGGGGATGGAGCACACCAAACAACTGTCGGATGTGCTGTACGGGCGCTGGTCTGAAGGCCTTCGTAATCGTTGGCCCGGACTCTAGAAACGACATGTTCATCCTCATTCCTCTGGGCTCTCCTGAGCTCATTACTTTCGCTGTATAAAAGGTTCCGGCGTATGAATAATGCTTGGTATATTTCGGTTCTACCTTTCCCTTCTTTTTAATTCCCCTGGTCAGGGGTTAATTGTTATTGTCGACTTCTGTCGCTCATTTTGGGGCTAGCTGCTGGTCGACGACACCCATGATTGAGGACTGATCTCTGCAGGGACTATGATGATCCCTCTGGAGAAGTGCAGGTCCACAGAAAGATATTCGACAGCTAGTCTCCCTTTCTCTCTTTGTTTGTGATTTTATTGGAAGCCGGCACTGGAGTTTGGGATTTCTGGTACGGTATTTTCTTGTTTTATTTGATTTGGACTGAACTTGTGATTATTGAGGACTATCTGGCTGGGTTAGGATGTTGGTGTAACTTCTTTTTCTCTTTCTTCATTTCTGATAAATATGTTTCTCTCTTGGGTTCTGGTTTTATGCTTTGCACGAAGATCCCATACTGTGATATAAATCCTGTTGGATTCTGTATTCGACTTTTGTATTTAGCTGTGCTTTGAGTTTGCACTTGTCTCTGGATATAATATGCAAGGTATCGACTGTCTTTATTGTAAATAACCCCGATCAATAACAACATGAGGGACAGTCAAAGATGCCTTTTTATATTTAATATTAAATATATTGAATTTCAGAGCTTCTTAATTTATCTAAGAGTACCCGTCGAAATGGCCTTTTATGAAGCCTCAACAATCCTTTATGAGGATTGCATGTTGAATCTACTCAGCATCAGCCCCAACGAAGATCTACATTATTCTTTGTTTGTTTTGATGTCTTCTTGGCCAAATGAGACAGTCAATAATCATAAGAGAGACATGTTCCAGAGTTATTGGACATGATATTAATATCGTTAACGCACAGGTTGGGTAGTGATAGTCCTTGCGACCTGCAGCTGCAATCGACAAACTGCAGATGCAGAATCAATCTCGGAAATATCTCCTCGTCCCAACGACTAATCAAATGGTCACACGATACGATCTGCCAGCAATCAAATATTCCTCGAGGCGGTCATTTTTGATTCCCTCGTGGGCCCCTGAAAGTTGAAACGAGGCCGGCGATGCTCCAGGCGGAAGGGATGCGCGCTTTTGACCCGCCGCCGGCTGAGAGAGTCAGGGAGGTCGAGGACAATAATAATAATCTCTTTTTACGTAGTCACTTAATTTCCCTTCTTTCTTTTTCTTCCTCTCTCTTCGTCCTTTCATCGATTGTTTTTGTCTTCGTTTTTTTCCCTTCTATTCCCCTTGGATATCATGAGATTCTTGTTTGTCTTTGCTTCCCTTCTATAGTCCACATTCTTTTTGAGAGCCTCAAGGCTGGCCCGCCATCATGGAGGATTCCCCGGGAACGGGCGATGCGGGAGCTGTACCACAGCCACAGCAGCAGCATAAGAAGCCACTCGAACCATCACCACCTCTGGCTGATCGTGAACAAATTCGACTGAAACGATCTTCTCTCCCTCCTCGTCCGAATGGTGCTGCTCGCCACGCCAAACGCTTGACCCTCAACTTCCCCATCAACATTCCCCCGGCCGACCTCAGTGGCATCACCACCCCCGGATCCATGACCCCTGTCACGCAGTCCTCCGTTCAGCAGTCCCCTGCCCTCCCCCTCGGCACACATATACCGTTGGAAGGGTCAGATGATAGCAATGAGATTCTCACGGCTATTGCGTCACAAGAGCGAAAGGTCCTTGAGCTTCGTGAGGAGCTCCAACGTGCAGAAACGGAGCTTTCCACACTAAAGAAGCAGTGGGCGTCGTCGGAGAAGACTCGGAAACGGACAGAAATCAACCACCATGCCGAACCGTTGATTCCTTTGAGATCTCCCGAGCAGCATAGCAGCGAGAGCCAGCATCACAGAGAACGCAGTGGGGGTACCAGCATTGATAGCCCGTCGTCGGTGGTCCAGTCACGAATGAGTCGGGAGCTGGAGAGACGGAGCAGTGTTCGTGCTGCAGCGACAGCGGGCACGAAGATATCGGCGAATGGACGACGAGTGTTTCAGGGCTCTCATACTCGGACGCTGTCGTTGCTTTCTCCTGTTGCGGGTTCTGGCAAGCCGTTTGAGTCTGGGTCGGCTACAGAGGATGATCGGATTTCTCGACCTCCTCGGTCTGCAACGCTGCCGTCGCTCGAACGTACTACGAGTAATAATCTTCGCATGGCTGTTGATGCATCTGATCCTACGGAGGAACTCATGTCACAGTGGCGGAAGACAATGCCGCCGCCCTCTCGAGAGGCTCTCATGCGCACTGGAAAACAAATGGCTTCGGATTTGAGGGAGGGTCTATGGACGTTCTTGGAGGATATCAGACAGGCTACTGTGGGAGAAGAGGGAATCAATGCGACCGAATCGAGGGGGGTAACGCCATCGGGACGGAATCGGAATTCCAGCTCGACATCGCGAAGCAGAGACCGATTGTCGGTGGGAGGAAAGTCCTCTCGATCGCCGTCGTCTACACGAGGCAGGGGGGCAGAGGCGAGAAAATCTGGTAAAGACACTAAATCGGCAGACATAGATCTGTCGTTTTGGACTGAATTCGGCATTGATCCTCCTGGGCAGAAGTCCCCGACTCCTCGCGGAGCCTCAAATACCCCAAGCGGGCCGAACGAAGCAACCGACTCAGACCACCTCGAGGTTGAAGACAACTGGGATGACTGGGACACGCCCCAGCCGAAAAAGACGCAGCATACTCCTTCCTCGAGCCGCTCAACATTGGAATCGAAGCATGACCAGTCCCCGATGACGCAGACCAGCAGTCCCCGCACAAGCACTAGGTAGGTTTTGCTCTCCCTCTTGGTCTTTTTCTTTGATGCTATGCTCGTTTTTCTAGCAGTGTTCCGCTGACTGCGAATAGCTTCGGAGACTGGAACACAGCCAACAATGAGATTCCTGACCCCAGCGTATCTGATGGCATTCCTTGGCCGGCAATCACCAAGATGGCACCTTCAAACCTCACCAAAACGGCTTCAAACCTGATGGCCGAATGGGAACGAAGTCTCTCCCCATCTCTGAGCGGTCCCAATTCTCCGATCCTCGACAAAGACGACAAGAAAGACTAAAGCAATTTTCTTTCTTTAGACATAAAGATCCCTTCCACATTCTCATCAAGACGTGTTGTATATACATGGACATACGTGATCATTTCCCCCTCTTGAGATGATACGTTTGATTTTGTTATTGGCGGACTGGTCTGTCAAGATCTTGAGTATGAGACAAGTACGGAATAACGCAGGGCTATGATTGTTGACCTGAATACCCTTACGACGAAAGCGTTAATGTTTCTCTTCTCTTATTCATTTTTTTTTTTTTCCTTCTATCTTCTCTATTTATATTCACATTTTGTTTTACATATTATGTCGCTTCTTCTGTCGGATTTGTGTCTGATCTGACCCTTTTGGATACGTTTGTACTGTAGACTAGTGGAATTGATACGATTATTGATATTGATTTGACAATAAGTATTATATCTAGAATGAATTCTTTAAGACCAAATAGCCCAACTCAATTAATATCATTGCTTTATTTCTCTAAAAGCCATTTAACCAGTTATGAGACCGAGAGTATATCAACATATCACGTGTAGTCCTGCACTACTGGTCTCTCCGACTACCGTAAAAATAAATTTGCGTTTGTCGCCATCTCCGCAAAAAGTCCGGGGATTGTTATCGTCGACTCTACCACGTTGTCTCCATCGTGTTGATTCCTTCCCTTTATCCTGCGATTAGCGGAGCCTCTTCCCAGGGTAACTGATTACTTTGGATTGCTTTTATACCACGGAAAACCACCCGATTGTTAGATACCCACATCCCGAAGCTACTTCAGGATGAGCTTTCCAGGAATGACTCCGCCCGTCGGCGGCATGGGAGGTGGCATGGGAGGCAATAACATGCAAGGAATGAGCGAGCAGGAGCAAGCGATGGTGAAAATGGTGAGTTCGATGAATACATAAGGGTCTTCTACCACCGTGTTCGGACCATACTGACTACGAGGATAGATGACCGGCGCAATGGAATCGTGTCCCGTCAAGACCGTCATGGCAGGAGGTATGGGTTTCGCCCTTGGTGGTGCTTTTGGTCTTTTCATGGCTAGTGTAAGTTATCTTCGTTGGTCTGTGGTTTAAGATGTTCAGGGAACTAACTGTCGGCTTAGATGTCCTACGATTCCTCGTTCACCCCGCAAGGCCGCGCGATTGCCGATCTCCCCTGGAAGGAACAAGTCCGTCGCGGATTCAAGGACATGGGTTCTCGTTCGTTCTCGTCGGCCAAGAACTTTGGTATTGTCGGTGCCTTGTACTCCGGTACGGAGTGCTGCATTGAGGGTCTCCGCGCGAAGAACGATCTCACAAACAGTGTCGCCGCGGGATGTATCACTGGTGGAATCCTGGGCGCGAATGCTGGTCCTCAGGCTGCGGCCGTGGGCTGTGCTGGCTTTGCGGCCTTCAGTGCGGCTATCGATGCCTATATGAGAATGCCCGGGGAGTCCGATTAAGCTGGATGGGGTTAATGGAAACAGACAGATATTTCTGGCTGGAATTCTTTGAGTTCAGGCTTTTCTGTCGTGTTTCGCTGTCAACATTATTGTATACATTGGGATGGCGCATGGGCGATTTGGGATAGATTTGACGAGCATTGCGGGCGTTTCTTGGACTGCTTTACTGCGCTTTTACTGTTGGTTCATATCTGTCTGTCTTTCTGCTGTTGTTGGCTTAACTGCCACCTACAGTGTGCTTGACTTTCTGATTTCGTGGGAGGGACCTGCTTTTTGCCTGCTTTGATGCATGGTGAAGGCATTCATACCCACCACCTTGTTTTGGTCTTGTTGATGTATGAGACTCACAACTCATCTGTATAATATTCGGTGCTCAGTGTATAGATACTGGATATAGACTCTCCGATCTAAGTCGATGCCTTACTGCTAGTTAGGTATTGATATGTGTTATCTAATTGGATTCATTCACGTGGCAATGTTTGTTTAATTGATTTGCACGAAGCATACGTCTTGCATCTGTATACTTACGACGACCATTTCGGCCTCGACAATAAGTAAATAATGTCTTTGTAAATTAAAAGTGTAACAAGACTGTCAATTGCTATGAGACAATAGATTTTAATGGAATCAAAGCAAAACAGGCGCCACTTGTGTATATCCAGCTATCGAGCGCCCCATGACGTAACCAGTATATATATCTTGCCCACCCCGAACTGGTAAATTGGTTTGATTATTTTATACAACAAATTTGATATCAAAATGAGCTGCACAGTATGTCCGTATCGTAAATAAACCGACTGCCTGTCGTGCTAACACAATGAAGCAAGTCGACTATTCCGTATCAAAACCGTTGAACCGAGAGCCATCCAAGAAGAAGCTCGTCGCTAGGTATCTATCTTCACCTCTCCACCTATTCCAGCACATCCAGGTGCCTCTAACATCCTAACAAGCTTCATAACACCCTCCGACATAAGCTACGACCGAAACCACGGCCCAATCCCACACATAAACGCAGAATCCCACACCGTCCGCATCGACGGCCAAGTCTCCACCCCTCTATCCCTATCTATACATGAGCTTCAGACCGAATCCCCGCAACACGAGGTAATATGTGCGCTCGAGTGTGCAGGGAACCGGCGACATACGATGCGGACGATGTTGAAGGAGGTAGAGGGCATCGATTGGGGGGATTGTGCGGTTATGAATTGTAAATGGAGGGGCCCGAGATTGAGGGATGTGCTGATGAGGGCTGGAGTTGAAGAGGAGGATGAGACAGGGAAAGGGAGACATGTGGCTTTTGGGTGTTATCAGGTTCAGTGTCAGGATGATGATTGGTTTGGGGGGAGTATTCCGTTAGAGAGGTGTTTGGGGGTTGAGGGGGAGGTTATTCTTGCGTTGGAGGTGAATTCATCCTCCTCTTCTTTGTATTTGTATGTTGATGGTGATACTGATTTCAGATGCTCATCAGATGAACGATGCCCCCCTCACCCCCAACCACGGTTATCCAGTCCGCGTTGTCCTCCCCGGCGTCGCAGGCGCAAGATGGGTAAAATGGCTCGACAGAATCACAGTCCAAGACACCGAGTCATCAAACTGGTACCAGCAACACGACTATAAGATCCTTCCCCCAGACGCCGTGGACGCAGTCTCCGCGGAGAAATACTGGGCGCAGACACCAGCTATGTACAACACACCCATAAACTCCGTCGTCGCGGTCCCGGAGGACGATGAGACGATTTGGTTGTATCATCGGGGCACGGTGGAGGTGAAGGGGTATGCGGTTCCTGGGGGGATGGATGGGCCTGTTACGCAGGTTCAGGTATCGACAGATGAAGGGGAGACATGGGTTGATGCGAAGATTGAGCCTGGATTTGAATCTGGGAAGGAGATGAAATGGGGGTGGGTTCTGTGGAAGGTAGAGCTTTGTATGTCCAAGGGGACGGCGAGGGAGGTGATTAGTCGGGCTTTTGATGCTGGGGGGAATGTGCAGCAGGAGCATTCGGTGTGGAATCTGAGGGGGGTGGGATATAATGGGTATGGGAGGGCGAGGAATATAACCATTCTGTAGGATGGAAAAAGTGTATGTGAACTAGCATGGTGTTTAGCTGACGACAAATATCAAAAATAGTCTATTCAGTCATAATACAGGTCTAAGGCAACACGATGTACTTTTCCAAGTGCTTGGGAATAGCCCCCCGCAGGTTCTTGCTCTGGAGCCACTTGTCAGAGAACAGACGGTCTGCGTATCGGTGCGCTCCATCACAGAGAATGGTCACCACGGTGTTACCCTTGCCCAGCTTCTCCGCGACCTCCTTAGCAGCCACCACGTTGAGCGCAGAGCTAGCACCTAAGTAGAGACCCTCCTCTTCCAAGCAACGGTAGACCATCTCAATGGACTTCTCGTCGCTGATGTTCAGTGATCCGTCGATCAGATCAATGTCGGGCTGGAGGTTGTCTGTGACACGGCCCTGACCAATGCCCTCGGTGATACTGCCACCGGAGCGTTCAGTAAGCTTTCCTCCACTCTGGATGTAGCTGTGCAGAACACTGCCCGGGGGATCTGCGAGGAAGCTCTTCACCCGTCCGTCACTGGCAGTCTTGAGGTAGCGCGTGATACCAGCCAGCGTACCTCCGGTTCCAGTGGCGCAAGTGAATGCGTCGATCTTGCCCTCAGTCTGAGCCCAGATCTCAGGGCCAGTGGTGTCAATGTGTGCCTGGCGGTTGGCAATGTTGTCGAATTGGTTTGTCCAGACTGCATTCTCAAGCGACTCGGCATGGCGGCGGGCCTGGTGGTTGTAGTTTTGTGGGTTGTCAAAGGCCACCGCAGGCACGGGGTAGACCTCGGCACCCAACAGACGCAACAAGTCGATCTTGCCCTGCGATTGTGTGTTGGGCATGTAGATGACAAGCTTGTAGCCCTTGGACCGGCAGACATGTGCCAGACCAATACCAGTGTTACCAGCCGTACCCTCCACGATAGTACCACCGGGGCGGATGAGACCCTTCTCCTCGGCGTCCTTGACGACGAACAGCGCAGCTCGGTCCTTCACACTGCCTCCGGGGTTCTGGAATTCGGCTTTACCAAGAACATTGCAGCCGGTCTCCTCAGAGAGGCGCTTCATGCGGATCAGAGGGGTGTTTCCGATGGCTGTAGTCGGGAATCGTCAGATCCAATTGCTTCATAGACCGTATGAGTTGTTAATTGCGCATACCTTCTGTCAGGCCATTGACCACGCCTTGGGCTTGGGATACCCTCACCCCATAGGCAGTCGAACCCTCCGCTGCACGGAGAGCAGTTGTGCCAAATCGACGAATACTCTGTCGAAACATTATGTCCAGGCCTCCCAAGAGATCGCAGTTGGAGAAGGGAGAAAGCCAACCTCCGATGGTCTCCGCAATCTCAAGACCGATTGTCGGCGTTAGTCAGCTGTAGATCACGTGGCATATGGCGTGATTGAGCAGAACTGGGGCAATTGAGGGATAATCAGTGCAGTTTTGGGCATTTTATCACCGGTGATCTAATCGGCCAGATATATGAACTAGAATAAATGAGGAATAGAATGGATAGAACCACAAGTGTCGAAGTTATGAGAGGTTCTTCACAATGTATGTCCAATTGCGGATGTCATCAAACCACGTGCCGCAAACCCTAGCCCTTATCTTATTGTTTCCCGTTTGGGCTGTTTGTTTATCCTGCAGTCCCGTGACCCGGCATTATCGCAACATCCAGCCCAGTCCATTCAATTGAACGACGAACAACGGACGACACCACCAGCGTTTTCAGCCCAGACACGCGGGGTGATATGATACAGCGCACAGAGAGCAATAGATGACGCTTTTATGAGATGATTATTGACGCTGTTTGAAGTTCGACTTAACGATTGCTCGATAAGATACAGATTTACCCCTCAATAACGACCCAGCATGCCTGCTCGAGTCGCCGCCCGTTCGAATTCTGCGACAACACGCAGGTCGTCGGCCCAGCCTTCAGCATCGGGAAGAGCTGGATCTGCGACACCCGCCGCAGTTATTATTCCCGATGAACCGCCTTTGCCTGAAACGTCGCCGAACCTGCGTCGCGATGTTTGTTTGATTTTCGCCGATGCCCAGCGCTCGACAACCGGACACAGAAAATTAGTAGTACGACTCCGAAAACTTCAAGAATTCAGCTGTGGAATCGCCCAGAAGAAATCGAAAAAGGACAACAAAGAGAAGGATTCTCAGGAGGAGGTCGTGATCCCTAATGAAGAAACGTTCCCGGAGACGGAGTTCAACGTGGAAGTTGGCCGGTGTTTGCTGCGCATTCTGCCCATTAAGAAGTCAGAGCCCGTCGGCGATCGAATTTTGCGCTTCCTTGGTACCTTCTTGACGCATGCATCGGAAAAGGATGCCGAGATTTTTGGTTCCATCGACGACGATGGAATGCAGACTGTTGGGGAGACTCCGACTTCGCGTTTGGCAACCAGGTTGACCGCTCTGGTTGTACCCCTGCTCGCAGCAAAGGACAAGACAGTTCGTTTCCGTGCCACACAGATTGTTGCGCACGTTGTAAATTCCCTCGACGCTATTGACGACGATTTGTATCACACTGTCCGGCAGGGTCTTTTGAAGCGCATCAGAGACAAGGAGCCAGCTGTGAGAGTCCAGGCAGTGCTCGGATTAGGTCGATTGGCCGGAAATGAAGAAGAAGATGATGAAAATGATACTACAGCCCTTCTGGAAAAATTAATCGAGATCATGCAGAATGATACGAGCGCTGAAGTTCGAAAGACCCTCCTGACCAACTTACCTCTTGCGCAGATCACTCTACCATATCTTCTTGAACGAGCCCGCGATCTTGACCCAGCCACGCGACGAGCACTATACTCACGCCTGCTTCCTACCTTGGGCGATTTCCGACACCTATCCCTATCTATGAGAGAAAAACTCCTTCGATGGGGACTGCGCGATCGAGATGAGAGTGTTAGAAAGGCGACCGGAAAACTGTTCTTTGATCGTTGGGTTGAGGATTGCGCTGGCAATAGTAATGAGTCTGAAGAAGGTCCCGTTGGTCGAACCGCCCCAAACATCCCAGCGCTCTTGGAGTTACTGGAGCGAATTGATGTAGTCAACTCCGGAATGGAATCTGGTATTGCCCACGAGGCTATGCGCAGCTTCTGGGAAGGTCGTGCGGATTACCGGGAAGCTGTTGTTTTTGACGAGCCCTTCTGGGAAAATCTTACAGGGGAGTCAGCATTCCTCATACGCTCTTTCAATGATTTCTGTCGCGTGGAACATGATGGGAAATATGACAGCCTCGTTGAGGAAAAGATGCCTGAAGTGACTGCTCTCGCCTTTTTCCTGCAGAAATACACCGCACTGCTCTTGGAGAGGAAGAAAATCGCTAAAGATACCAGCGATGCAAACGACGAAGACTCCGTGGAACATGAATTTGTTGTCGAGCAGCTGCTACATATAGCTATCACTCTCGACTACAGTGATGAAGTTGGACGACGAAAGATGTTTACTCTACTGCGAGAGTTCCTAGCTGTTCCAGAGCTACCTGAAGAATGCACCAAGCTTACCATTGAGACATTGAGATGTGTCTGTGGCCCGGACGCCGCAGCGGAAAGCGAATTTTGTAGTGTCGTCCTGGAAGCCATTGCCGAAGTCCACGACACTATCACTACGGAGGACAGCTTCGTGTCCGCAAGATCGGAGATTAGTGACGACACAAGTAGCCGTCACCGGTCAGAGACCCCAGGAGATGCCGAGTCCGAGGCCTCCTTTAACAAGGAAGAGGCCAAGGCCAAGATTATCAAGGAGATCGTGGTGAACATGAAGTGTTTGCACATCGCTCTGTGCATGTTGCAAAATGTCGAGGGCAACTTGCAACAGAATATGAACTTGGTGACCATGTTGAACAACCTTGTTGTCCCTGCTGTTCGCAGTCACGAAGCTCCCATCAGAGAGCGGGGCTTGGAATGTTTGGGGCTTTGTTGTTTACTGGACAAGGTGGGTTAATATCTTATCCTCCATATCAGTTGATTCAATCTGCTAACGGTTCTTTCCAATTCAGACGCTAGCCGAAGAAAACATGACCCTCTTTATCCACTGTTATAGCAAAGGACACGAGGCCTTGCAAGTGACCGCTCTGCAAATCCTGTGTGATATGGTTACGACACATCCTTCGCTTCTCACACCCGTAACCCAGTCCGATGGGGAGACTGTGACGCCACCAATCTTCCACAAACCGCTTTTGAAGGTTTTCGCAAGATCACTCAAGGCCAGCTCCCCGAACACTGTGCAGTCTGCTGCTGCCAGTGCACTATCGAAGCTGTTGCTTACCAACGCCTTTACACCTTCTGGATCGAAAGTGCCTCCAGCTATCGAAGAACTTAACCAGACTGCTGTTGAGACTTTGTTACAGTCCCTTGTGCAGTCCTTCTTCCACCCTCGCACCCGGGAGAACCCGGCCCTTAGACAAGCCTTGGCATACTTTTTCCCTGTTTACTGCCACTCCCGGTTGGCCAACACCCATCATATGCGCCGAGTGGCCGTGCCCGTCGTTCGGAACGTTATGGACGCGGCAGAGGAGTACTATTCTCTTGAGGCGGAAGAGGACAGTGACGGGGAAATTGATGAGACTGTCGGCCAGAAGGAACTCAAGGCTTTAATGAGCGGTGTTCTAGGCATGCTTTCCGAGTGGACTGATGAGCGACGGGTCGTGGGGTTGGGCGGAGAAAGAGTCCTGGCAGGTGGCACAGCCAGCTCCAATGCTTGTGGCTTTGTACATCTGGCACTGGTGAGGGACATCTTGGAACGGGTCCTGGGCATCAGCAGTGCCAGCAACCGGTGCTCAAAGGATGAGAAGAAGCTACTCTTTTCTCTCATGAGTAAGCTGTATATCACAACCCCAACTGTTCCCGCACGAGCTGGATCCCGGAACCCTGAAAGTGAGGATCCGTTCCGAAATAGTGTCCGAAGCGCCCAAGCTGTCGACATTGATCCGGAGAATACTAGTCTTGCTCAGGAAGTGAAGGAGCTTCTGGACCAGGCTATAGAGGATGGCATAGCTACTGAGGCCTCCAGCCGGAACGCCCTGGTAAAGGTGAAGAACGTGGTCCTTAAGCTCCTGGCGGTTGCTCGAGGCTCGCGACCTCCTAGCGTCAGACCACGCGAAGGAACCGAAGAGCCCGAGAGCGATGCCATGAGTGTTCGTTCTGGCAGCGTCAAGCCTTCGATCGAGCATATCTCGAGTCGTCGTATGGTGTCTGTGGAACCGAGCATCATGGAAGAAGATGAAAATGAGGACAGTCGGACGACGATTATTAAAACCGAAATTCCCGAGGAATCAGAACCTGAGGAGTAATGCACTTTTTCGCTTGGCGTTGGTGGATGGGTGGACAGTTTTGGATAACGGTTGACGGGATTTGACGGTCATTGTGTATATGATGCTTTCTTTGGTTATGCTTCTACAGTGGATAGTATTGTTAATACTTTGCTATAACGATCCAATAGTATAAATGCCTAGATATCCGAGTTACACAGTGTGAACTGGATAGTTACATGTGGGTTATACCATGCAGTAACTCATCGAGTGGTTGCTATTAGGACTGGCAACTGCCCCATCATCTGACTGACCACCTGGGTACTCAATCTTTCTGCTGTCAGTTGTATAATACCACGTGACCACGGACTGACTCAGCATCACTAATCTGGCTAGCGCCACGCCTTTGTCAGGTGGGTCCCCTTCGCAGTGAAAAGCACCGCTGCTAAAACTGTTAGTGGTGGAGATGCCTTCGGATGCGAGGCCGGATCCAAGGAACAACGAGATAGCCAGACAGGAACCCCTTTCAGATTTTTTTGAAGTTCTTTTTCCTGCTGAGTGTGTGAGCACGAGGAGGACGGATGCTTGGATGAGTTGATGTTTATATGGGAATTGACTTTGGATGGTTCTGGCCAGTATTGATACCATCCCGTACAGCGCCATACATCAATACATGGGATACACATACATACAGCGACATGAGGCACGCCGGAGGACTCCTGAATTGCCTCCGACTGTTAGTTATTAATACTGCTCTTATTCAACATGGGAAATAGATAGAACAGCTTGAATCGAGTGAGATTAAATGAATTAATCACTCGCAAACAAGCGGAATAAATTGCTTGTCTCACAGGCAGGAAGAATTAAAGAGCAAGCGACAGGGATCTGGCCGTTGGAGAGAGAGTAGAGAGAGGAGTTGTTCGTCGGTCGTAATCTGTATTTCTCGTCCTGCCTGTCTGGCACTCAACAAACCACCATGTTGGATGGGGATAATTATTATCGCCTTTTCCAAACGATAATTATAGACCTGTCTTTTTAACGATAATATCAGATCATATTCGATCGGTTGGTTCCAGTTTGGGCCTGTGTGTCTACGTAGTTTCCCCTCAGAAACCCGAAACTTTTCTTTAATCTCGACGCTCCACCACCAACGAACCTCGTCCTTCTCATTCCTTCTCTCTCCCGACCTGGCCTTGGGGGACTTTTTTCTTTTTCCTTCTACCTCTTCTTTCCCCCTCCTCCTCCGCTTGTCTTTTCTCCTTCCTTTCTTTTCCCCTCCCTCTTCTTTTTTTCTTCCTTTTTTGCCTTGCTTCTCGATTCACGACATTCTCCTTGTCGTGAGCCGTGTGTCTCTTGCTCGCCTTGCAGAGACACTTTTTTTTCTCCGTCCCGTCCCTCACCCCCCTGCCGCCGCAACCCCCCAGTTGGTGAGCGAAACAACGAGACAATCGAAGAAGAGATGGCAGCCGTTTCAGCACCCACTCCGAAGCTGGATCGCTACATTGTCATCCATGTTGCTACGACCTGCGATGAACATGGCGTCTACGTCACTAAGGATTCGGCAGAGGTGATCGAATTGGGATGGATGTTGTTGGATACGAAAACCTGCGAAGAGGTGGGCATTCCATTCCCTGATAATCTGAATTTAAGACTTTCATGTTTTACCTTTGTCCCCTCCCCTCGTGGGGGTGTGTGCTTAGGCCCGCTACATACCAAGAAGAACAACACTCCCATTTCGCCGCTTATCGCTGACTTTGTGTGTTATTAGTTGCACCGGGAAAGTGTCCTTGTCAAACCTGTCAACACCCCGATCACGCCTCTCTGCAGTAAGTGCATCAACATCTTCAATCTCTCCCCCGGATGTATCGGTCTGCTGGTTCAATGGCTGACGGTCTCCGACAGCGAGCTTGACCACTCTGACATGGGAGCACGTCCGCTCGGCAGGTACCTTCCGCGATGCCATCAACCGTTTCGACGCCTTTGCCCAAGAACACCTTCTCAGCAAGAACCTCGAGTTCGCCTTTGTGACCTTGGACTCGTGGGATCTCCGTGTTCAACTGCCTCGAGAGGCCAGAGACAAGGCCGTCGTTCTCCCCCCGTACCTCCAGCACTCGCGTACTTTTGACCTTCGCACCGAGTATCAAAGATGGCAAACCCACCACCCCGAGTCGCTGCCTTTTGGCCCTAGCTCCCTCTCCAACATCTGCGCCGCTCTCGAAGTCGAACCCGTCCAGTCCTCCGCTCCTATTAAACACAACCTTCCCTTCCACTTGCAGGCATTGGCCCCCGCCTCTCCTCGACGGGCCATGGAGGAATCCATCACACTCGCTCGTGTGCTCCGAGGTCTGATCCGCAAGTCCCAACCCCCGCATGAGCACCCGGAGATCTTGACCCGTCCCATGGATGCCAGAGCCGACGTTCGTGCTTTCTTGACGGAACGCAGCAAGGTGCTTCACCTGAGCGGTCTCCCGCACGATACCACTCAGTCGGAATTGGAGAGCTGGTTCACTCAGTTTGGTGGCCGCCCGATCGCTTTTTGGACTCTGCGTACTCCGGACCAGCACAAGCCCACTGGAACTGGCTTTGCTGTGTTCTCATCCCATGAAGAGGTATGCAAATGCTTTCATTTTCTCCATGGTTATTGTCTATACTGACTTGCTCTCCAGGCTGCTGAAAGCCTCTGCATGAACGGCCGTGCGCTCAATGAGAAGGCCATCGAGGTCTCTCCCTCTTCCAGCCGCGTTCTTGACCGTGCCGCGGAGATCCTCACTCCTTTCCCTCCCTCTAAGAACCGCCCCAGACCTGGTGACTGGACCTGCCCGTCCTGCGGATTCTCCAACTTCCAGCGCCGTACGGCTTGCTTCCGCTGTTCGTTCCCTGCCATGGCTGCGGCCCCCGACCCGATGGGATATGGAGCCTATGGCTACGGCCCGCCGTCTATGATGCCTCCTCACATGGGCCACGGTGGTCACGGAATGGGCCACTCTCGTGGCATGGGAGGCAACGGTGGTGTTGTTCCTTTCCGTGCTGGTGACTGGAAGTGTGGTTCGGAAGGATGTGGCTACCATAACTTCGCCAAGAACATCAACTGCCTGCGTTGCGGTGCTCCTCGCTCTGGAGCAGCCGTTGTTGCCGACTCGGCCTTCCCGTCCCCCATGGACCCTCCCTCTGGTTTTGGCATGGGCCCCAACTCCATGACCAGCACCCCGGCCCCGGCTCCTTTCGCATCGACTGCCGGTGGTTTCGGTGGTTTCAGCCAGCAGTTTGGCGGTCCCCCTAACAACTACGCCCTGCCCTCCGGTTTGGGTAGCGCTCCGGGAGCGTACCCCCCGATGGGCCAGATGAACGCTGGATATGGGTCGACAAACACTTCCCACTCGGCTGCTGCTTCCTTTGCGAACCCCGCCACGCAGGCTGCCTTTACCGGAGCCGATCACGGTACATCCAGTGCCTCGAACGGTGCTTTCTACGGCAACGATGGATCTAGCGATCCCTTTGCTTTCCTTTCGACAGGTCTCGGTGGATTGACCGTGTCCGATGATGGCCACCCTCGCCGCAACGGCGCCGGAGCTAACAAGTCTCCCGCAGCATAAATCGGGGAAGACAAAATCAACACAAACAAAAAACAGGCATGGTAATAAAACAGGGAGGTGTTTTTTTTTGACTTTTGGTCTCCCCGTATTTGGTTGTCAATATGAAGGTATCGCTTGTGGGTATATGTGACGGTCGATATTCGTTGAATGCGTGTTTGTATAAGGAATTCTGGTGCATCTGGTTGGGAGGAGCAGGCCGGTAGCGTGTCGTCGTTTCAATCAGGGATTTTTTTTTACCTCGTCTCGCAGTCATTCCGTCCGTCCTTTTTTTCGGCATGTTTTACTATTCCGTCTTTGAAAGCGATGTTTGAGGGCTTGGACAGCCCTCCTGGGACAGCAAAAGGCAGGTGGTACGGGCGCTTTCTACGTCGATTCTCCCATTGGTTTTGTTTTTATCTTTTGTTTTTCATTTTTTCTTCTCTTCATTTCTTTATTCCCCCCTTGGTGGGCATGTTTGCACATTCAATTTGATCTTAAGATCTGTCATTTTTCGTTTTACTTTGACATTCGGGCACGGTAGACCGGATTGTCGAAGTTCAGCATGTCGTGGCATTGCATTCTAGATATTTTTTGTTTTCCGATGTTTATCACTGCGCTGTTCTGCAATAGGAATCACTGGAGAATCACGGTCTGTTGATCAGGGATGGGATACAATGGAATGGACTTTGTTGGAGGTGTTGGGGGATCACTTTTGAGCCTGCAAAAATTTCAAGCAACAACAGATCATTTGGGACATATGCGAGGCACACGGAGCAGGAGCTGGGGAATTGCGCGAAGATTATTTTTGAATGTCCATAATTTCCTTTCATCTTGTTTTTTACTTGGTATTCTTGTGTGCTTCTTTTTTTCTTTCCTCGCACAGAACAAAAAGCTGGTGTTTTCTTTCTCAAGCGGTACAGACGCATACACAGTACATTGTTTTCAGCAATTGTCTTGTACATGATTACGAAGGGCCACCAGCATATGATATCGATGGTGTGGATTTCGTCGGATGTTGTTGGGATGCATGACTTCGGCCAACTTGAGCTGTTGTTTTTTGCCCTGTCCTTTCTCCCTCTGCTCTGTCTCCTGTCGCTGTATGCGATTGCTTTCTAGCGGATGGCTTCTTGTTTGTCTTCTGGGTTGCACTGGGTCATCGGTCAGGGTTGAAGTGCAGGATTTGGACAGCGGTGTCTCGCATTTATTGACCCACGGAGCTCGGCTCTGGTCCCTCATCTTTTTCTCGTTGTATCCATTTGATGTAGCACTTTTTATGTGTTTTATTCATTCTGTGGTAGTTTCTAGAAGAGTGGATAAATGTGCATTTCATTGTTACTGACTCCGTCTCAGCTGCGATGTCAATATCAATATCGATTGATCACCAAATTGGAAAGAAGATTATTTGCACAACTCTGATGCTTCTGATTGCTGTCATAATTAACAGAAATCCGTTTAATTCTATTTAATTCGATCGTAGGAACTGTAGGTTGGGCATCGTTGTGTATGAAATAGCCGCGCGCTAGCGCTTGGGAGCTCTGGAGGCAACCGCGGGACTCGCGTCCACCTCCAACCGGCGGCATCCCGTCATCGTCTAGGACGGATATCTCAATCCCCAGCACTTGTTCAGTCACGTACCACGCATTGTTTCACTGTGGTTTCTTGTTTTTAATCGTTAATTTCCATCATATCTATCTTTCCCCCGTTGATAGCATCACCCCTCGCCCGTAATGTCCGGATACGACCGAGCTCTTTCAGGTAAGACAGCTAAGCTACCTTAGTTACCTGGACCGTCATTGATGAGGAGAAAACATCTTATTCTAACACTTCACAGTATTCAGGTATGCGGATTATACGATTTACAGCTCTAGCTGCAGCTATCTAACCAACCTTCCAGCCCTGATGGGCACGTCTTCCAGGTGGAATATGCCATGGAGGCTGTCAAGAGAGGTACACACTCAGCCATCGCTCATCCCACCAAACCAATAGAGCTGCCAATAATAACACATTTATGAAAAATCCAGGAACCTGCGCTGTCGGCGTAAAAGGCAAAGATGTCGTCGTGCTCGGCTGCGAGAAACGCTCCGCTCTCAAACTCCAAGATACCCGCATCACCCCCTCCAAGATCGCCCTGGTGGACAACCACGTCACCCTCGCTTTTGCTGGGTTGAACGCCGATGCCCGCATTCTCATCGACAAGGCCCGTCTAGAAGCCCAGTCGCACCGGTTGACTGTTGAAGACCCCGTCAGCATCGAATACATCACCAAGTACATCGCCAGTGTGCAGCAGAGATATACCCAGAGTGGTGGTGTTAGACCCTTTGGAATTAGTACTTTGGTTGTTGGCTTTGACCCGAACGATGATGTGCCCAGGCTATACTTGACTGAGCCTTCTGGTATTTATTCTGCTTGGTATGTTGTTGTCTGGTTGCAGTGAAAGTGGGGTTGGTGGATGAATGGTGACTAACGGGGTTGTTTGGAAATATAGGAAAGCAAATGCCATCGGCCGTTCCAGCAAGACCGTCCGCGAGTTCCTCGAGCGCAACCACCAGGAAGAGATGGACCGGGAGCAGACGATTCAGCTCACCATCAAGTCGCTGTTGGAGGTGGTGCAGACGGGCGCCAAGAACATCGAGGTGGCCATCATGGGCCCCGGAAAGACGATCGAGATGCTGCCGGATGACCAGATCGAGGCCTACGTCAAGAGCATAGAGACCGAGAAGCAGGAGGAGGCTGCTAAGAAGAAGACTGGCCGCGGTGGCACCACAACTGCTGCCATCCTAACACGACCTGGTGGCGAATAGATTGGGGATACTAGAATTACGTGAAGCTATCATGAGACTTGATTTTTCTTAATTTCTTCCAATTATTTATGCAAAAGCGTCGTCTTTCGACAAAGGAGAAAAAACAACAACTTTTCTCTCTCTTTTTCTTTGTTCTACCAGATGATACAGCCGCTGGATATCTATCTAATAAGGGCTTCGGGATTGGGGTGGATATACAAAGTCGGTACGAAGTAGCCGGGGGGGTTAGCCGGATGAAGAGCAAGGAAGGCATCAGATCGTAATCATCGTAAAACAGTCGGCGACTCAATCTAACCCAACCGGTCGGAGATATCATTGCCCAGGGAGAAGATGGTCCGCTCCTGGTCAGCACGCACACGCTCATCCTTGAGCATTCTATTGCCATTAGTATGTGTCTGGCGGAGGTTGAAGAAAGGCATATGTACCTCGAGTCCTTGCGCGCATCCTCACCCTCAACCTGCAAAGCGGGCATAGGTGTCTTTGCCTCAATCACGTAGTGGTTGTCACAGTGAGGGCAGTATTCGTCACTGTAGATTCATTAGTAACGGTTCCAGGGGAATTGATAAAGGGGTGTATATACCAGTCCTCGAATTCGGCGGCATCCTTGCGGAAACACTTTTTGCATTTCTTACAGGCAAAGACCTATCATATCCCCAGTATGAGCCAACTTTGTTCTGTATCTTAGAGGGCGTATGGAGTAGTGATGGGCGATAGGAGAAAAGGCGGGGTGTTGTACCATTTCAGTGGTTTTGGTGAGAGAGTGGGCTTCTTGTTCCTGGTGGCATTCGGCGCAGTCGAACCATTTTCGGCCTTTTTCATTAAGAAGAATATATTAGTTTGGCTTGTATGGAACGAGCTTAAGATAGCACTTACAGCAGGGGGATCGAATCGACACTTGGGCGTTGAGGATGTGTTTGCTGCGGGGTGATGAGATTAGTTTTTGTTGAAATGGGAAAAAAGAAGAGCAGGCGAATATGACGAGTTCTAGGAGGAGTCACGTACCACATGATTATGATAGATAGGAACTGATCAGTCTTTTTTTTCTGTCCTGTTTCTCCAGATGAAGCTGAAACGGGGGCTCTTTTTTTGTTTCGTTGGAGATCGACGGCGATGGAATTTCGGGGCGGAAGAAGCTAAAAATAATCCACGGGCTTGGCTGATGATGAGGCTCACAGAGCAGTCAGTATGAGGAGGAATGGGGAATGCGTTCTATTGCAGTTCTTATTTGATATTATCCTGATTTATTGATGCGGTCGATATAAGCCTGTGCTACTCAGTCCGCTTCTGCAGGTACCAATAAATAATCCCTCGTCTCCGTTCATCCTCAGGAGTTCTTCTGGACTTACGCATCACGGAGCTATTATTAACTATTGACATTGACAGCATCTCCGTTCCACTCTCTGTCTCTCCCTCTTTCTCGCCTCCCGCCCATCTTCATCTTCACCTTCTCCTCCCCTCTCCTCCCCCCTGACTATCGTGATAATCTCTCCCGTCCTCTCTTCAGATGATCAGTTGACTCTCCTTCTCTCATCTCTATCTACACTGTCTCGTGGCTTATAATTCCGCCTGACCGCTTCCGCCTAAACTGCCTTTACCCCCCCGAACCTCCGCCCCTCGTTATTATTATTATTGTCGTCTTCTCCGCAACTCTTTTGCATTGTTCTCCATCTCCACCCCAGACTTCCTATGCAGCGGAGTCTTCATTATAATTTCAATTGAAGGGTCTATGATCCATCTCTTTGATCGATAATCTTTAATTTGTTCGTTGTGGTCATGGAGGGAACCGGCAAGAATAAGGACACGGATAATGCTCCCATTGTATGCGCCTCCCATCCCCTCCTTTCTTCCACAAAATGTATTCCTGCTCACATTTATCTTTAGAGACCTGTGTCCTCCCTCCTCTCACACTTCGAAGGCCTTGCCCACCGTCGATCCCCCTCCGCGGCTCCGAGCACCCCCCGCGACTCGGTTTCATTCTTAAAGTCCTCCGAAACTGGCGACGACACCCGCTCCTCCTCTCGTGCCTCTCTCGACCTGTCCCGTCCCCGGTCGCCTTGGGGCCAGGCAGCAGAATCGCAAAATGGCCAAAGCCTCGAACACTCGAATGGCGATGCCCCGCCGCGACCCAGCCCGCTGCCCGGTCGACGTCATGATAGACCCATGTCCATAAACTTGCGCTCCTCGCCGCAACTGGGGCCTACTTTAACGGTGGATTCGCCTCGATCACCGCCGCACGGGTTTGACCCTGTTCCGGAGCAGGGCGATGATATCAGGTTCTCCCGGAGCCCGCCAAATGCGTCACGCGAGTCGTTGCCTGCGGGAGCTGTTCCCCAGGTACCCGCCAACCGGCCGACAACGCCTAACTTTCCATTGCCTGTTCCCGCCGAACAAAAGGTTAGGCACTTGTCGCCGGGAAGTTCGAATTCTATTTCTCTTCCACGAGAGGGCTCGGATCGGAAAACAAAGAGCGTTTCGTTGCCTCCGCCTGTCAACCGCGCCGACAAGCCGAAGATCCCCATGAAACCACCAGCCTTGGTGAAACAAGATACAGGGTCGCTCGCTCCCAGACAGCCACCTTCGTCAGACGAGGCGGTTTCGCCGTTTAATACGCCGCCGAGTAGTCCTGAGAAGCCATCGCCGAGCCAACGGCCTACGGCGAGAGCATCGGTGCTCGGACGCTCGTCTTCTCGTTCTGCGGAGCCCCCTGTTCGCCGCTCAATGGATGAAAGGAGATCGCCAGTTCCAGCTCCACGACCGACGCAAGATCCGCGCGAACTTGGCTTCTCCCGGAGACGGGCGATGCCAGAGCCCACGCGTGATACGAAGCCGCTGATGGTGCAGATTCCCCAGGCTCAGTCTTTACCATCCCAGGAGCCAATGTCTGGTGTCTCTATATCTTCCCAGAAACTTCAAACAATCAGCGATAGCCCGTATGATCGGCCAGGTCTACCACCTCGCCATCCTTCAGTTCGCAGAAGTGGTGTCTCTCCATCTAGACAACGATATGCCGATGGCCCTGCGAATTCGATAGCGAGCCCCAGACATGAGCAAGCATCGCAAGTACCCTCAGGAATCCAGACCCCTCGGATTCAACCTCCTCAGATGCAGCGACAGCCATCGTTTTCTCGAGAAAATAAACCGCCACCAACACCGTCATACGAACGCGCCCCGCCGCCTCCAACGCCATCGACATACGAACGACCAATTCCACCTACACCTACTCATGAACGACCACCTCCCACATCATCTTATGATAGAGCACCGCCACCTCTCCCAGAGATAGAGACAGATGAACAAAACATGGACGAGCCAGCTATCTCCCGGACCGATTATCCTGACTCGTCCAATGCCAGTAGGCGACCTCCAGTAATTAAAACTGGACCTAACGAGATCTGGACGAGATATGATACTCGGCTCATGGATGTTTGTGGGAAGTATGTGTGTACGACTGGGTACTTGACCCGAGTTTGGGATCTTACGACGGGTGAACAGATCATGAGCCTGAGTCATGGAGAGACTGTCAAAAGTTTGTCTCTCGCATTCAAGCCCGGGAAAGGACTGGAAGATGAGGGGCAGCGACTCTGGCTGGGTATGAGCTCTGGAGATCTTCACGAAGTCGATATTTCTACTCGGTCGATTATAACATCAAGATCTTACCCTTCACGGCGCGAGGTTGTTAAAATTCTCCGACACAAGAAGGAAATGTGGACAGTAGATGATGAGGGTCGTTTGCTTGTATGGCCGCCGGATGAAACTGGAACACCGAACCTCCAGTATAGTTACCATAATCCTTACGACCGCGTTGCACGGAACCAGACATTCTCCATGGTTGTTAAGGATAAACTTTGGCTGGCTGCTGGCAAAGAAGTGCATGTCTATCGCCCGAATGCACGTGATGATACTTCTTTCAAGGTCCTCAAAAGACCTCTTGGGCTGCAGCACTCCGGGGATGTAACTTCCGGTGCATACACTTCCAAGGATGGCGGCCGAGTATACCTGGGCCATGCGGACGGCAAGGTCACCGTTTATTCCGCAGTGGACTATGCATGCCTGGCGGTCATCAATGTAAGCGTTTACAAGATCAATTGCCTTGGTATTGTTGGCGATTATCTGTGGGCGGCTTACAAGACCGGTATGATCTATGTATATGACACGACCACGAACCCGTGGACTGTGAAGAAGGATTGGCGGGCACACGATAGCCCGGTTTGTAGCTTTTTACTGGACACCAGCAGTGTGTGGACCATGAATCGTCTGCAAGTTACCTCCCTAGGAACCGACAATTGTATCCGTCTTTGGGATGGTATGTTGGAGGATGATTGGTTGGGTAAGTTACTAGACTCTCTCACTGTTACCTTACATTGCTCTTTCAGATTTATACTAACATCCAATAGAAATGCGGATGCAGCACAGAGACGTGGAGTGGTGTAAATTCCGTGAGATCCACACTGTTATTATGACGTGGAATGCCGGTGCTTCAACCCCAGGCAGCGTTCGTACGTCAAACTTCATCCAAGATGCAATTCATCCAGAGAACCCGCCCGAGGTTTTGGTGTTTGGATTCCAGGAGCTTGTTGATTTGGAGAACAAGAAAATCACAGCCAGTAAGTGTATTTCTTGATTGCATACCCGTCTCGCGCTAATGGTATTTTCAGAGAGCCTGCTTATGAGCAGCAAAAAGAAGGAAAAGAAGGAACATGGCGAGAAGGAGCATATGAGTCGCCAGTACCGAGTGTGGATTGAGCACCTTACTCAATGCATCAACGACTGTATGCCACTTGAAGAGTCCTACGTCCTGCTGCACACATCAAATATGGTTGGCCTTTTCACCTGTATCTTTGTCAAACACAAGGAGCGCCATAGAATCAAGAACGTCAACGCTGCTGAAGTGAAGCGAGGAATGGGTGGATTGCATGGAAATAAGGTAAGTTCCGCATACGATTAAACCCCACAACTTCTAACTTTTCAGGGTGCTCTCCTTCTTCGTTTTGTGCTCGATGACAGTTCTCTCTGCTTCGTGAATTGCCATCTAGCAGCCGGACAGACTCAAACAGCACACCGTAATAACGATATTGCGGCAATTCTAGAGGCCGAGCCTTTCCCGGCCGAAAACAACCTTCTGGCCCGTTCGGATAACTTTGTGAGCGGCGGAGACGGGTCAATGATCATGGACCACGAGGTTTGTATCTTAAACGGCGACTTCAACTACCGCATCGACTCAATTCCTCGGAACGTTATCATCGACGCGGTCAAAAACAACAATCTACCCAAGCTGCTAGAGCGCGATCAATTGCTTGCATCGAAACGGAAGAACCCAGGTTTCCGTCTCCGGGCCTTCAATGAGGCCCCGATTTTGTTTGCCCCAACTTACAAATACGATGTCGGGACAGATAATTATGACTCGAGTGAAAAGAAGCGCTCTCCTGCATGGTGTGACCGGGTACTCTACCGGGGCTTGGGACGAATCAAGCAATTAGAGTACCGACGACATGAAGTTCGAGCGTCAGACCACCGACCCGTGAGCGCATCATTCAAGGTCCGTATCAAGACCGTGGCGCCTCAAGAACGAGCCGTGGCCTGGGAGAAATGCCAACAGGAATTCCAAAAGGAAAAGCGGAGGTTGGCCTCAGATGCCAGGTGAGATATTTTTCACTTTCTACGTTTATAACTCATACTAATATAATTTCAGCATCGAATACCTTATCAACGTCCTCGGGACAGATCCGAATCAAGCACGAGCATTAATCCTAGGAAACGGCCAGTAATAAATTTACACCTATTCTACATTTCCTGCATTAATTTTCAAAACACCCATCCCGTTGGCCCGCGAAGCAAAGCATAAAAGTTGAATGTGATATTTTGGAAGGCGAAAGGGAAAAGAACACGAAACCCCCGAGCCGAACTAAGAGAGCGAGCGAGAAAGAGAAGAGAATCCGCTAAGCGCAAAGTGGTGATGTGTACGACTAACGATTTCACGATAGACATGTATCATGAGTTGAAACTGGGTGGTTAGATATTTCAACAACTGGGCTGCCTGCCTTGTCTGGTTTGGAGAAGATTTTTTAATTTTCTTTTTTGATGTTTAGAGAAACAAGCAAGAGCGAGGGGAAGAAGAGAGATGATGGTTAGTTGCATTCTAATTGATAATGCATGAGCTTGCTTTTTTTACACTTTGTACATACAGTGTCTGAGAATTGTTTATATGGAATTGGCTATCTGTTCGAATGCTGTATACATGACGTACAAGTGATGCTGGGGCAATATCTGAAGTAATAAATACGCCACTTTACACCTATATACAAGACAGCGATATCCAAACCAGAAGCAACACGGCAAGAAAAAAGAAAAACCACCATGACCGTCCAAACAATCGCCCTCTTCGGCGCAACAGGCCAAATCGGCACCGCCATCCTCCGCGCTCTCCTCAGCTCCGAGTCCCAATTCCGCATTCTGCAAATCATCCCCCCAGGCGCAGAAGCCCGAGCGCACCGAGCCCCGAATCTGGACACGAAAGTCATTAATCTGTCACTGGTTACGGTGGGTGATCTCTCGCACGTCTTGCAGGGCGTGGATGTAGTGATTAGTGCGTTGAATGGGAAGGCGTTGGAGGCGCAGGCGGTCATTCAGGATGCGGCGTGGGATGCGCGCGTGAAGAGGTTCTATCCGAGTGAGTATGGGATGCATCATATTTATCGGAAGCCGGGGGATACGTATGGGTATCTTCATCCTGTATGTTTCTTTCTTTCCCACCCCGGGACAGGGGGTAATATCTAGCCCTAACCGGAAGCTGATGAAATGTAGATCTGGAACATCAAAGCCAAATGCAACGAGCAAGTCGTCCGCCACCCAGCCATCAGCTCAGGCGAAATGACCTATACGATAATCGGCTGCGGCGACATATTCAACCAACCGCGCGAGAAAGTGTGGTGCCCGTGGACGCAAACCGACGTAAACGAATACACGCTCCCGATCGTCGGCAACCCCGAGGCCAAAATCGACTTTACGCATCTTGACGATCTAGGCCGGTTCGTGGTGAAGACGATTCACCATCCAGAGTCGAGTGAGAATACCACCGTCAACTTTGTCAGTGATCATATCAGTTATAGTGAGATTGCGGGATTGTTGGAGAAGTATTCTGGGAAGCGGGTGTGGAAGAATGTTATGGCTGCTGAGACGGCGCATCATGTTCTTAAGAATCCGGATGATGCGCCGGTGGAGTTGAAGAGTGCTCCGAGTGCTTTTCCGGTAGATTTCTGGTTTCTGGTGAGAGGGGTGCAGGGCGAGGGTCGGTTTTGGAGGCCGAAGGGGGGAATACATAATTCGTGTTTTCCCGAGGTGGACGTGAAGACGTTTGAGAAGTTTTTCCGTGAGATTTTTGGCGATTATTATATCTAGTCTTTTAGTTTATCAATTCTGTTCGACGGTTGTTCATGATTTATAGTACTCATTGCATTAATGGTTAAATCTATAAGCACTTCAACCTGTAATTAGTATGCACTTCATGGGCAGGAATCAGGCACATATGTAGACTAACCTCTCTCAGCACGGAGGTCCGCTCTGCATACCCAAGCGAATGGTCAACGGATTTAGGAGTCAACCCAACATCCTGGTAAATGACTAGTAGGTCGAAGAATTTCCCCGCTCCGGAGAGTTGTACTATATAAGCATGCGAGGAACCGTCTGCGCAGCCTTAGCTATGTGTCATCCGTATTATATGAACGAAGAAGCCTCTTTGAGATGTTGAACAATCTGCCAGTACGGACAGCACTGCTGTCTCTACTTCCTGTCACGAATGCCCTCGTCAGACCTAACGGTGTGGTATGTTCCTAATTATTTCGCTGGTCGGATCGAGTAGATGATCTGAGACATATTAGGGAAGATTGCCTGCCCTGGGCTGGAACTCATGGAATGCCTTTGGATGTGATATCAATGCTACCAAAATCTTGACTGCAGCCAATGAGCTGGTGAACTTAGGTCTAAAGGATCTAGGATATGAATATGTCAACAGTCAGTACTTTCAATCTGCAACCCTGTCTAATACAACCCTTGACTGATGTAAATAGTTGACGACTGCTGGTCTATCAAAAACGGACGAAACACCACCACGAATCGCATCATACCGGACCCAGAAAAGTTTCCTGATGGAATCGCGGGTGTCGTCAGTGAGATTCACGATCTTGGCTTGAAAGTCGGTATTTATAGTAGTATGTCTTTCGTTCCAAGTTCATAGTATGCGTATTGCATTTATCTGACCTTGACAGGCGCCGGAACAGAAACCTGTGCTGGATATCCAGCCAGTCTTGGATATGAGGAAATCGATGCTCAGACTTTCGCTGAATGGGGAATTGATTGTAAGGCGACCCTATGGATGAGATGGATTTAGCTAACTGCAACCTGTCAGACCTCAAATACGACAACTGTGGAGTACCCACGAACTGGACGGATCAGTATACTGCTTGTGTACCTGATTCAACCAACTCGCAAACCTATCCCAATGGTACTTGTCCAGACCTCGAGAACCCTGCACCAGAAGGGTACGACTGGAGCACATCCAAGACGGCCTATCGATATGAGAAGATGCGCGATGCGCTGCTAAGCGTCAATAGGACTATCCTATACTCGCTGTGTGAATGGGGCCAAGCCGACGTCAATCAATGGGGAAATGAGACGGGCAGTTCCTGGAGAATGTCAGGGGATATCACGCGTAAGTCCCAACACTAATCGTTCTGGACAGCTTATCTGACGACAAGCAGCATACTGGAGTCGTATATCAGACATCGCCAACGAAAACTCCTTCATGATGAACTATGTCGACTTCTGGGGCCACCCAGACCCTGACATGCTAGAGGTTGGAAACGGGAATCTGACTCTTGCAGAGAATAGGGCACACTTTGCTCTCTGGGCGATCGTGAAGTCACCTTTGATTATAGGCACAGCTGTAAGATTTCGGTTTCCTAGTCCGAGAATGTGAAGTGTAAGCTTTAGACTGACAGATGATGCAGTTGGACTCGATTGACCCAGCTCACCTTGCTATCCTCTCCAACAAATACCTTCTCGCATTCCATCAAGATCCTATTATTGGTCGTCCTGCATACCCGTACAAATGGGGCTATAATCCAAGATATCCACTGGAACTCTTCGCCATCAGGCTCCATGGCAAATAGCTGCTCTAAGAGTTTCGGTTGCTATTTCAGTCTGTCCTTCTTCAAGAATCGGTTATGGGTATTCTATCGAAGGAAGAACAGATGCTCTGTTGCAAAATTCCAGCCTAGAGAACGAAAGACCAGAGAGTAACCTGATATCTGGTGCATCTAATGAATATTAGACAAAAAGACAGTTCCCAAAAGAGATGGGCAAAAGAGTGATAGTGACAAGAAAGTGATAGGAAGAGAAAGTTGTCAGAAAATAGTGAAGATACCAACGTCGCTTCATATTTGGTCACGACGAAGCAGTGAATAGGCCTTGTCAGTCCGGTCTACTGAGCGGGCACCAGATAGCCCGGTTCCCGAAAGATCTTTATGATTCTGTTACCCTGATAATACATGTATCCTTCCCACTAAAGAAACAGTAGACCAACTCGACACAAAGTGGGTTCCTCGTGACAACAAGCCTAAAAACTTTCCTCCTCATCCTCCAAGTCCCGAATCTTGTAAGCCCCTTCTCGCCTGACTTGTTTCGATGCAATCACCAATAAAAGCTCTTTAAGAGGTCGTTATGCTCATACCATTATTCCTCGACCAGCGCCAACAGCATATTTTTGGGCAGGTATTGCCTAGAAGTTTCCAAAGACGGCTTTCCCATTCCATCACAAAGACGTATCCGTTATGCTGTCAGGGACGGCGTGAACCTACAGGCAACATAGAAAGTAAAATAGCGTGCAGCCTGATGAAAGGTGGTCAAGAACAGGTAGTTTGGGTTGCTGTCACTCTGACTCTGGTCCTAGAAATCCGACTAGGAGATCTTCCGTTTGGTGCTTGTTCGTTGGATTCTCGGTAGGCGTTGCTCAGAACTCTGGATTGAATAATCCCCGGACCTCTGACGTTTCTTTGTCACTATCATGCTGAGATTCAAGAGGTTAAAACGAGGTACTTGTGTAATGAGGTAGGATTCCTGTTGCAAAGTTACAGAACTGAGAATGTTGGGCTGTTGGGGATGGGCTTACTTGGTGTTAGATAGACACATGCTAGGTAGCAATTTCCTAATCAGCAACTACTCCAAAGACCACTTCTATAGAAGATAAATTTACTCTCTTAAAAGAAGCATGTGGATATAAGAAAGTAAAGTTCCAGTATGACAGAGATCTGTTGGGTATGGTTATTTGGAGAGATATAAAGAGAGCTTAGGAAAAGCAGAATCCGGTTCAACTTCATTCGATATCAAATGTTTTTGAAAGGAAAAAATCACATGGCATTCACCAGTGATTTTGACAATTCACAAAACAGACAGAGTGAATATCCCAAGTCTTTATTTTGACACCTGCCAGACCTTTTCTTTCATCCTTCCTCTCCCATAGCAGCCTAATCAGTGTCTGTTCTCTTTATTCTACTTCCTTACAGCTAAGAATCTCCATTTTGGTCATCTAATAGCCTCATCCCCTCTTCTTGGATATTCTTTCGCACAGGCATGACAGCTCTCTAGCAGAAAGAAACATGGACTCTGACGACGAAGACTACCATCTAGATCAACTCTTCACGATGCAACACGATTACAAAGCAGACCTGACTGGGGCTATCTCCTCGTAAGTACACCAGGAAACGAGATGGTATTCGTCGTCTGGTCTAATTGAATCAAATCGAATAGAATCCGCAGAAGTGGGAAATACAGCGACTTGACGATCTTGTGTGGCGAAAAATCCTTCCCGGTTCACAAGGCGATTGTGTGTTCGCAATCAGGCTTTTTTGATAAAGCGTGTGGCTCGGGATTCTCTGTAAGATGAAGGCATTGGGATATGATTCTTTCTGATACTAATGGTTCTCTTTGCTTAGGAATCGTTCTCCGGCAAGGTCGAGCTTCAGGATCATCAGCTGGTAGTTCAGGCGATGGTCGATTACCTCTACACTGGTCATTACCAGCCCTCTCGGTTTGGCGACTATCCACCCTCGGCTCTGCCTCATAACGCGGGGGAGCTAGACGCCCAAGGTATGAAGTATTCTGATGACAAGATGGAACACAGTTTCTGACAGAAAGCAGAACGGTTTTGGCACCAGGATGTCTGGATGGATATCAATCTCTACGTCCTCGCAGACCGTCTCCTGATTGGAGGGCTGAAGCAGCTGTCCCAGAGAAACTTCAAGGCCAATATGCAGTGCCTGCCATCTGCTAACGCATCCAAATCTGATAGATTATACCATATCGTCTCGCTGATTTACGAACCAGCTCTCTCCCCCGACGTCGCTTTGCGAGATGTGGTGGCTAACGTGGTTGTTGATGAGCTCAGGAGCTATCATGGTGCAGTGCTTAATAAATTGATGGAGAAGATGCCCAAGTTCATGTACGACTTCACGGTCAAGTTGGTGAAGCAGCATGTTGACCTTACTATCACTGGTAATGCTTCTGGATGGTCTATTAGTCCGAACGATTGGTATTAGGCTATCTGCCTGGGCCTTTTGGTCTTTGAATAGGAGAGGAGAGGTTTTCTAGTTGAATAGGGCATTTCTTTTCATCACATAATACAATATTCATGATTATTGACATAAATACACAGTATCCTGATCCAATATACTCTCTAGAAGAAACTTCCACCCATATTTTTCTTGTTCCAAACGAGCCCTAATCGGACTTTATGACTAGAGTCTTCCTGACCTAATCAATCAGAACTGCAGTCATATAGGCCGCATTGTATTCAAGCTGGCTATCATTAGGCTTATACCACCAAAACGTGCCTATATTCTCGAGAACTACTTCACCACAGATGATGTCTATATTCCATCCTCTAACACCCTTTGTGTCTGCCTAAATCTATCACATCAACAAGGCCAAAGCCTCATTCCAAAGATCTAGCAGGTAGAGCTAACAACAAGTTCACCCTATATAGCTTTACTTTCTACTATTCAATATAGACATTTACTTTTCTATTAAAAGTTATAGATGTGGAAGGTTGAACATCGTTCCATTGGTGACACAAATTTATACACACACACATACACACATGAGTAAGATAAGTCAAATCTTCCATCTCTAACAAAATAACAAAACATCCCCAGTACATGATATATACGTATATGGTACATGATTGATTCAGTACCATTCTTCTCCAAAGTAATGGCCACGATTAAACAACATGGCCAAGGACATTGCCGAGTCGATTCTTAACAAATCAGACTGTAACAGATCAGTCTGTATCGAATTGATCTCTTCCAATTCGTTGGTCTCCTCCAATAAATTTCCAGGCGTGTATGGTGTCGACTCACGCCAGTGTGTGTTCTTATGATTGAACATCAACACATGTTCCTGCAGCTCAGTCTTGTTCTCGTATATGCACTGAGAGAACCACGAGCTATGAGGGCAGAACTGGTTGTTGTACCGGAACATGCCCTTGCTGAAAGCCCGTGACGTGCGGAAGTAAATACGGCCGTGGTCCTTGTGGTCGACCTTCACGGGTACTCTGCAGGAAGGGCACAACTCGCATTGTCTGCGCTGAATGTTTGCGAGAGATGCCCGGCGCAAGCCGAAGTTGATGTCGTAGTCGATTCTTGTCATGTCGACGAGGCGCTGGAGGACGTTTGCTCTGCGACAGCAGCTGAAGGGGACTGTTGCCCGCAGCTTGGGGCTGTGCATGATGATGGCCGGCATCGAGTAGTTGGTGTTGACGTAGACCTCGCTTTTGTCGATGCTCAGGCCCAGGGTGACGGTCATGTCGATGGACCACCACTCCTGGCTATGCTGGCATGTATGCGAGAATCTGACGCCGTCTGTAGTCCAGCCCAACATGGGGCGGTTGACGCCGGTCTTAAGCTGGGTGAATAACTTCCACAGCTTCCGGGATGTGAGTCTGTAGCAGGGACAGAGGTCGATGTACCCCGCTGACATTCCCAGTCCGCATTTTCGCTCGTGAGCTGGTTTGTCCAGCTCTGCGGAGGGGAATTCCTTGTGAGGATGGAGGCTGCTGCAGTCGGCGCAGCAGCGCCATTTATCATCCTCGAGCAGGAGGAGCAGCGCCCAACGGTGGGTACAGAACAGGCTCCACGGATCGAGGGTTTTGGTGTGGTAAAATGTGTTGCTATCCTGCAACTTCTTAGACTTTTGCAGTTTGTTGTCTGCGTTGATGGTCTGCAGAAGAAGCTTGCAGGTCAGGGCCAGCGAGACCTGCGAAGCGGGAGAGAGGAAATAGGTGATTCCTTCGATGAGATCGGCTGGTAATCGAAGGAGAGGAGGGCGAGATTGGTATGAAGATGAGGAGTGGAAGGATGTAGAAGATGAGTTGGAGGGGGATTTTCCCTCTTTCTTGCAGGAAGACTGAATCTTCTCTTTGCAGAAAGAGAAGACCTTTTTATAACCACGAGGCATGATGAATGGCATGGTTTTTAACGAGTGTCTTTGATGGTTGTTGCTGTATATATGAAGGATCAGAGAGATGAAAGATGGATGAAGATGCCAGGATGAAGTTCAAACTGGGAGGGCTTTTTATACTGGTAGTTAATTGTTGTAGGTAGCCATCGTCTGCCTAAAGTTATCACCATGATGACCATAATGCTCGTCATGATTATCTGTAGAGTTGTATAGCCGTTGGCAGGCAGTTGCGTTGACAATAGCAGTCAACAACAGTGGCATTTCCGCCTGCAATCCCTTCGGATGCCTATATTCAATTTTATGGCATAGTAAGAAGCTTTATAAAAAATAATATAGTTTGGAATTATACCGGACGATAATAAAGATGGAGTGTTGATTTCGATCTAGATGACGCTGACGATGCCATATATACAACCACACAAAGACTACTAGATATTATAATAAAGAAATAAGCCAAAGTATAGATTGAAATGATAAAAAAGACTTTGATAAAGTCTTTCATCGATAGAATGCAGTGCATGTATGAATTCCATGCGGGCAGTCATTATGACATGTTATAGTGAATCGGACAAACAGGCACCACAACTTGATCAGGATAATATGCAGAATATTATATCTATATTATATTAGATTTATATCATATAAATAGCCATCTCGAATTTCAATCAATATTAAATATAGACTGTTTACTTGCGTATATCAGATATACATCAGTGGCGATGGACCACGGTTATTATCAAGTCATGGCATCATCGAGTCCTGAATCCCCAACTAAATCTATTTATTTATTCAACTCGTAAATATAGCTTCTCTTTGATATATCATATTCTATATCCAAACCATCCTTATCACCATCTCCTTTCTGTACTGTTTACACATCTCCCAGTCCGTCCATGTAACCTTTCCCACTGAAACCGTCACAATCCCGATAAGACGCACAACGACGAGAAATAATATAAAACCCACAATCCAATTCAAAATTCCCTTTCTCCTTTTCTTCAAAATCATGAGAACATGTATTCTCGCCCCTCAATACGCCAGCATCTCCGGCCACCTCAACATGTCCACGTCCATGGCTCGTCGGGATATCGATACCGACACCTCCTCCCGTATACCATTATAGGGCTTTGCATGGTTCTCGGGCTATACCAGCTGGCTCTGGGCCGCTATGGTTCGAAATTATCTATCCTGGATGAGTTTCGCGCTGGGGGTGACGGTTATCGAGTGGAATTGGTCTTTGCGGCTACACGTCGCAGTAATATGTCCTGGGTGGGCGAGAATCTGCCTGGGTGGAGGTGGAATATTTATCGGGTTGATGATGAGAAGGCTGAGTTGACGGTGCCGGTAAATAAGGGGAATGAAGCGATGGTTTATTTGACGTTAGTTATGGATTGAATTTTTCTTGCTCACTGGATGGTGTTATTGACAGAAGCAGATATCTCATCGATAGATATTCAACTCTACCTGAGATGGCGGTGTTTATGCATGATGGCCGTTATCAATGGCACAACGATAATCCTCTCTACGGTCTGTCTGCCTTTCACCCTTTTATCTCATCCCAAGATCCTACTGATAATATTTTGAGACTCCGTCATTTCTATCCAAAACCTCAACTTCACCTTTGTCAAATCCACCGGTTACGTCAATCTTCGCTGCAGTAATATCCTCGGATGTCCCGCCGAGCTCGAACCAGCCCGATATCTCCGCGAGAGACCAAATGACTTCGACCATCCGACGGCGATGGAGTTCCCGAATAGTTTCATGGAGCTGTTCCCAGGGAGGAGCGTTCCTGAGAAAGTGGGCACGCCGTGTTGTAGCCAGTTTGCTGTGTCGAGGGAGGTGATTCTCCGGAGACCGGTGGAGGAGTATATTCGGTATAGGGAGTGGTTGGTGAAGACGGATTTGCCATCGGATATTACGGGGAGAATTTTTGAGTATTTGTGGCATAGTATGTCTCCTTTTGATGGTGTGTATGTGACGCTGACGCGGTATAGTGATATTTGGGAAACCGGCTCAGAGCTGTCCTGATGAGCGGGCCTGTTATTGTCAGACATACGGACTTTGCAAGCTGAGCGAGGAGGAGGTGGGCGAGCAGTGGACATGGCGTGGTTTGGATCTACCAGAGAACTGGCCGGATGAGATGGATTAATTTGACGTTGTTAGTATTGCCTCATTATATAATTTACATAGCACATCAGTATACGGAGTAGTGTTATCAATCTTCATCTTCGGATTTCAAAATGTTCCCGTTATCATCCATCAATTCACTGTCGTCGTCCATGCCGGCCCATTTGGGCTTTCCATCTAGTACTTCCATTACTCGTCGACAGTAGTAGATATGACAACTATTCTGGTCAGTCGACAGCGCCACATCGTGAACAGAGCAGACGTACATTGGTTCAAACGCCCTCCGCCATGCTGAATGCTCCTCGTCCGAATCCCCGATTGTAATCAACTCTGGAAATACCAAGCACATATTGCGTCCTTCGTCCATGATGGGGCTTTTGCAAAAAGAACAAGATACCTTGGTGGGAGCTTCATACTCTTTCGTCCGGTGAGAGGAGGAATAGAACGTAAGGCCCTCAGCACCCTTGACAAAACATATGTCGGGCTTGCAGAAGACCGCAGACCATTGAAACGGCGCACCTGCATGCATCAATATCTGCACCTTTGGCACTTTGGTAAATCAGAAACCCACCATGCATAACCTGACACCCATGGCAATGACAGTATTTGGCAATCAACGGCTTCTCCTGCCTTATCTTGTACGTGACCTGACCACATTGACAGCTTCCACTCCATTTGGCTTCTCCAAATTCATCAGGGCTTTGTATCTGATACGGCGGGCGATGCTTCCACTGTTCAAAGTCAATGGCTTGTTCGGGAGCGATGTCGGTGACGGCCGGCTTAGTAGGGAAGTGCCCTTTCTTTCCAGGTTCGGTTTTGTCCATTTTTAGATGCCGCGTGGGGGATTCTGCCTTTCAGATATCCCAATCGATCGTCTCAAGTTGCATATGCATAAAATGTCTTGGATGGAAATCTCCAGGCATGACACTGTCAGGACGGGAATAGCATCAATGACCCCATGATGTCATGGGGATGTCAACAGACCCAATTTCAGACACACAACCTTATATCCATCGACCCATTTTATTATCGTTTTATGGGATTCAGTAGACGATCAAACGGATGCGAATCCAGGTTTCAGCAACCATAAAAACGGGCATCCAAGACATTCTGAAAGGGGCCAATAATAGCAACTGTCAAAGGGCTGATCTCTGCAAGATGCGTAACCTGCTTTTTCCTTTGAAGTCGATGATCACCCCTGGGACACAATGGATTATCATTGCACCTCCCAACATTGGACAGTGGCTCTCTCCGATTCTCCAGCTTTCTCTCCACTTGGTTCCCGGACGGAGGTTGAAAGGTTGTCCGATGAAACACCCGCACACGCGTTGCAACGCCCCTTATCTTTGCCACGTCGCAGCGATGGCTGGTGGAAGAATTGCCCTTCAGGGGGTGTTTGTTATTATTCTTCTTTGAAAAGTACCTGCATCTTTTTGTGGGAGCAAAGGTCCAATTGTAAGGCTGAGAGGGACAGGATGATCCGAATGGGGAAACAAAGCGATCGGCAGGCGGTTGGGAGGAATAAATAGAAATAATCTGGTCACATTATTTTGGAGGCACACTGCCAGCATCCCCAGCCAAGAAAATAGTCCCTGGATGTGATTGACCGGTCAGAAGAGAAAGCATCAGCATAAAATTAGTGTCTGTTCTTGAATGGTGATGATGTCTTCTGGTCGATCAAATAAATGGACCCTGAACTGGTCTGAACGGCGGGTGCATGCATTATTATTCTTACAGGCCTTTTTTTTCCCTTCTTAGTCCTCCCCTGCTGTTCATTATCTTCCTTCTCTTTTCTCCCCCTCCCTCCCCCTCCACTTCCCATCGCAATTCAATGCCTTTCTCCCTCTCCAGGCTTTTTCAATAGCGACCTGGATCATCATGGGTTTCTTCAGCCGGTTTCGAAAGCGCTCCAAATCTCAGAGCCGTGCGGGGAACGCAGTCACTTATGACAATCTCCACATCGACAAGCAGAATGGCGTTCCTCCTTTGCCTATCCGTGTGGTCGGTCGGGATCTGACCAAAGACCTGCCTCGACATGTGCTGGCGCGCATCTTCACTTTTGTCTGTCCTCATACGGCGGATGACAGCTACAACACTTCCGAGGAGTCCATGACCGAGGATGGCTGCATGCTCTGTGACATGCGCGATCTGGCACACTCTGCGTTGGTGTGTAAGCGCTGGTTTACAGAGGCTCGGAATTTACTGTGAGAATGCCATCTGAATGAATTGATCTTTTTGTTTGGTTTTGCTAATCTGGTATTCTCCTTAGTTACACCCATATTCGTATCGATCCGGTTCATTACTGCGAACGCGAAGTCGAATTGGCCGCCAAGCGAAAACGCCGCTCCTTTTTTGATCGCAATGGCGACCCTATCGATGCGCCGCAAGTCCGTTTAAACCTTCTAATGCAAGCTGTTCGACAATCGCAGGGCCTGGGAAACCTGGTTCTGTCCCTCCGTATGCCGTATATGACCCGAGAGGCCAACAAGGCCGAAATCGCACGGACCGTCTCCGTCTTACCCAATCTTCGATATGTGGACTTGCCATCCGGAATATCCCATGACGATGCATCTTGTATTCCTCTGAAACAGGAGCTGATGGCACGATGTCCGGATCTCCGTCGGACAAGCTATCGCCACGGCTCTGAGGGGAGCTTTGCACAACTGCCCGGATCTCACCTCTGGATGAACCTGGAGGTCTTGGAATTGGCTGGACTACAGCTTGAGCCCAATATTCTTCGGTTTTCTCTGGCGTCTTTCCCAAAACTTCGTGAATTAACTTTGGACGACCTTGAGTGGCTTGACGATTCCTGCTTTATCCCCTCTACGTCTCTGCCAGCGTTTCCAGCCGTCCAACGGCTAACCCTTCGAGATACCCCTAACGTTACGGCAAGCGGGCTTGCCGCGTTTTTGGCTCTTCCAGCTAATCGAAATGCTTTGCAGCATCTAATTCTCTCGTCTACAGGGGTTGTCCCGTCGGCCCTGCATCAGATTCTCGCTATCGCGCCGAGACTCCTTGAGCTCTCAATCGTCCAAGAGGTTGCCCGCTCGTTTCCGGCAGAAAAGGTGCCACCACTGGCATCAAGGTCACTTACTATGCTACATTATGAGATTACTTCCAACACCAGTCCCCGCGGCCTGATCCCAGCCGCAAACTCATACTATACCTATTTGATTTCCTCGCTTATGTCCAACTCTCTCCCTACCCTACGCGACCTCTATGTCCGTGATGCGACCTTCCCGGAAACACTTTTGCTTGCGCCTCCCCCGCGACTATTTGGAGGCGGCGAAAAGGGGCCCGAGTTTTCCATGGGTGGTCTGTCGCAACCACTCAATGTATATAGTAAAGGCCTGGACGAACTGGAGTGGAACTTTACTCCGTATGAACCAATCTCGACGCGGGGTCGTCGGGATAGCACTACACGGCCGGTTAGTTTCCACGAGGCACAGTTGAGTCGGTCCTGGGGCGGTGATGCGAGAAAGAGTGTGTTGGTAGGCAACGGCTTCGGCGGGTTCCTTGCTGTGCCTGTAGAAGAAGAGCGTCCCAAGAGCAGTGGGGGATGGAGACGAGAAAGCCGAGGGGATCTATGGCGATGATGAAAGTCTATATCTTAGGCAGGAGAATTTCAATATCTGTCAATTTTTGGGTATCAATCATGATTAATGGAATAATGATAATGTACACCGTTTTTGCATAATGATTCAGCCATGTTTTATCAAGGGTGAGTTGAAACAACAACATGAATTGGAAGACAGCAGGATATAGATGCGAGAAAAAGCAAACTGAGACATCCACTTCCCATTACCCACCCTGTGGATCTGTCCGGACGATTAGATCGTAAAGAAACGGTTTCTCGAATATTCTGGAGGCGCCAATCAATGAAAAGAGCATGCCTCGTCCGGCATGCACTCGTCATGCCCTTTTGGGCAATGGTCGACTCCGCTCCCACGTCCATCCCACGCTCTTCTTTACAACCCCCTCGTGTTCTGCAGGTTTATCAACAGTTCATGTACTAGGATAATTTCTAAGTCGTTTTTAGAAATCCATTTTCCTTTGTTGGATGTGATCGTCGGCGAAGTTTAGCGGGGCAATCCGATTTGACACTGAGACGACTTCACCATGTCACCTTTTTATTCCTACTTAGGAAATACGTGATGGCATTCCCACGTTCATCTGCTGTGGCTGAGTCTGTTCTAAAAACATTGAACCCCCCCCCCGATGGTTGGCTCTTAGAGCAGAGGGCGAATCATTATGCGAGCTGAAATAGGCCAACTACTCCAATTAAAACATGAGAATCTGCAACCAATCCACCCTTGCGGGAGCCCTGGCAGCCAGCCATGCTGCAGCTGTCACGCAGATATCCGACAGCGACATGACCGATCTCCTCAAAAAGGGCGGCGTCGAACTCGCAGATCGATTGAGAAGGATGGTGCGAAAATCGATGGTATCGAGGCTGGGTATGACTAGTGAGTCTGGGTCTTTACCTCTTCCACCTTCTTAACTCTATGATAGCCTACAATTACTCCAGCGACGGGGAAAGAGTCATAATAATCCATTCTAAAGATGAAACAACATGTGGGCACCATCTCGGGCCCCTCTTTCCGCCCACAGCGACTACCACAACGTCGCCTGGGCCGATATCCAAAACACCCTCAACACAGCCCAGATCCAAGCCCGGCGACGCCAAAGACCCCAATGGCGTCAGGAGCAACGACCACCACAAGGTATATGTAGCCTGGTCGAACCATGCGCACTTTGACACCAGCAACACGGGGTGGAATGATCCAGCCAGCCGGTCGTTGGATCGTGCGTTCCGTAGTCAGTATTGGTGGCACTATGTTAGTCAGAAGACTATGTTAGTTCTTGGTTTTGGTTTGTTATTCTGATTTGAGTGATTTCAAGAGATTGTACGTTCGACCTGATAATTCGACGGATGCTGGAAAGGCGCTTGGGAGTGCGGATTAGGGACATGCTAGTAGTAATCCTCCTCTTATTCATGAGCAAGCTTTGCTTCGTGAGGTTGGGGATATATATAATTTAACTGTACTGTAGTATACAAGTACAAATATCAACATATACATGACAGCGAAAGTGGCTGTCTGTTTCTTATTACCTATATTTATGAGTCCTACTCTCTGTATACTTCAAGTGTTGATGTTATTCGCATCTGCAAACAATCCAACCAAATGACGTCGACGCCCCAAAGTCTGCCGCTTCCCCACCAGAGATAATCCAGGACAGCCAGACCAAGCAACTTCATCACTTTACCAAACATCTATCTAGAGCTGATCACAGACTGTAAGTTCTCCGATCCAGTTGAATTCATCCAAAAATCCAACATTTGCAGCAATTGCACTGCATCCCCCTCACCTTCCCCCCTCATCCTCTATCCCACCAACCCCGCAGCACAAAAAATCAAAAATAAAACAAAACACCAACTAACAACAACCCAGCTCCCATCCTCCTCCCCAACACTTCCTCCAAAAAATAAAGAAAATAACCAGCAAAAATGTCCTGGCACCAAAAGACCTTCACCCTCCCCCCGCGCGCTCGCGGCTGCTACCTAATCACCGACCACGTCCTCGAGCAGATCCCCGAACTCCGCAACTACAAAGTCGGCATGCTCAACCTGTTCGTGCAACACACTAGCTGCGCGCTCTCGCTGAACGAGAACTGGGACGACGATGTCCAGGCTGATATGGCCGATGCCATGGAGCGGATCGCGCCGTATGATAAGAGGGGGAACTTGTATAGACATTCTGCTGAAGGGGAGGATGATATGCCGGTTTGTTTTCCCCAGCCTTACAGCCTTACTCATGTGAGTTGTGTGGGAAAGGTGTACTAACTAATTGGTTTCATGGTTAGGCACATATCAAGTCCGCACTGATCGGTGCTTCGGTCAACATTCCCATTTCTAACGGTCGATTGGCAACGGGTACTTGGCAGGGTATTTGGTACATGGAGTTCCGGGCTAGTCGACACACCCGGAAGGTTGTTGCCACGATTCAGGGTGAAAAGGCATGACTTGATGGTGATGATAATGCTTCATGGGGGCGTTTGTGATGATTGTAGACGTATACGGCATATTCCTATAAAAAGGGGGCTGTTCTAGTTAATTGGTTGGTTGGTGAGGTGCCCATTCGAGGTAGCAGGAGATGTATGTATCTTTGGACATGATATTACTACAGAGAATATACGGAGTTGGGTCGTCAAGTTCCTCCCAAACTGGATAACCATCTGGCCAGGCTCTTCGATGTAGTATATAATAATACTTATAAAAATAGCTTTAAGCTATTGATATAGTTCTGTAATAGAAGGTTATATTATTTAGATAAATTGTAAGGTTAAGTGACTAGTACGGGTATTCTTCAAATCTAAAATTCCATAGAGTCCTCGCCGAATCATCAAACCCATATCCTTTAGAACTGGTAGCCCCAATATGCTGCAGTAAAGACGGGACCACCGCCCAGCGTGTCCAGCCCTCATTATCTGCGATCTTCTCCACCATCATGTCTACCAGCCAGTCGGTCGTCAGGTCTGTCCGCGCAAGAAAGTCGAGTATAATAGAACGAGGAAACACGAGGCCCTGCGAGCAGCATCCGTATCTGTTCATCTCATGGACGCCGGGGGACATGGGCCACACTGTCTGTTTTCCCGCCATAAAATGGAGCGCAATAGCAGCGGGGATGAACACACAGGATATGATCCAAATCGTGCTGGCTGGAAACGTCTTCAGCTCGTGCTTGAATACTCTTTTGGCGGCTACCATCGTCACTGTAAGCAATGCCCAGATTGCAAACGACCAAGCCAAATATATTGGCCACTCCTCCGAATTCCAGCCAAGGAGGTCATCGGCATAGAAGAGTCGCAGGTACATCCATCTCTCATTCGCGGTTCGTTCTTTGACGATATCGAGGGCCTGTAAGGCGGGCGCGATCCAGCCCTTCACCGCTAACGTATCGTCCTCGATCATCGCCACATACTCCGCGCCAGTATCGTAACAGTCCTGCATCAGATGCGTATAGTCGTGAATAGTTTTGTTTCGATACCAACCACCGTCCTCCCAGTTCTTGATACGCTCAAAGTCGGGATCGTCTTGTCCGTACGTCAGTACGCGGTCTGGCAACGTCTCAACCCACTTCTCTGAATAAATTGGATGTTCCCATGGCTCTGAGTTACCGATGAGAAGGTTTAGAAAGATGCTATTTCTCTCCGCCTCGGTCAGGCCGGCCAGAAGGGATGCCAATGTCAAGCCTACATATTGCTCTCCCCTCCGACGGACAGTTGCTATTCCTACGCATATCGTAGGGATCCAGTTTTCCGACCTCGCCGGTTGATTAATAGCACTGGCATTGAGTAAAAATCCCTCCGCCTCTGCAATTCTTGTTGACGAATATCGCCGCTCGTAGGCCCGAAGGGGGTCAAAGAAATAGGATGTGGGATCACGATAGCTGGCGAAATAATAGTAGCAGAGGGAGAAAAGATAGAGGAGGGAGAAGGTACAAAATAAGAGGCTGGTGGTCGACAGGGAGAGTCTGCCAAAGTGAAAACGGTGCAAGAAATCAGCCATGCCAACTTCGAGTCGTTTGAGCGGAAGACATATGGGAGAGACGACTGGTCGGCGCGCAATAACGAGGACAACAGGGTTCAAAGAAGCAGATATCTGGCTCGTATGAACAAAACACAGGAGTGTCGAAGATAGAGAATTATGTTATACATGTCATCGATAGGGGGGTGGTTCCGGGTATAAAGGGGAGGATTGGCGCTGGGATAGTACTCTGTATCTAGGGCTCCTGTGGGTCGTTTTCTTTGTCCATCTTCTTTGTCCTAAGAGTGGAGAAGAATGAGCAAAAGTGGCCAATGAAAGGGTGCAGGAGTCAGGTGACCAGCTGATCTCCCGTCGGGATCTTCCTGGAGATCCAATCTTTCCATCTTCAATCAGTTTTACATCTGGTTTTACATCTTGACCAACGGCGTAACGAGTCTCTAGTTGCCCTCGACTGCTTCAGCGCGCATCTCCCTGAACACTTTCCAAACGAGATCACAGAGAGATGGATTTACTGATCGATCGTCTGGGACATGGTGCTTCCTTCCCAAGAGGAAGTGAAAAAGAGAAGAAAGCCCGCGGAACCAACAAAATCAAACCACTTGCAGTGAGATGAGACAAGGGACAGCCTTTCCCAGAGGCTTAGTTGGTGATGTCTAGACTCTGTCTGTGACAGATTGCGGCTCAGGGGAAGGGAAAATGAAACAATGAAGTACCCGAGCCTTGTCGTGAAAGAAACTTCCTGTCAAAGCTTCCAGATGGAGTACGAAGGCAGGATATTCCTCAACATAAAGATCTGGAATAAGATCCAGATTGGGCGTGTGAGGGTGTCTCGGAAATGGTAATAGTCATTACGGACTTCCAAAGCTCTGGAAATTCGGTGGTAACCTGTCTGGGTGCTTTGTCTGTCAACATGGACAATATAATATTGACCAGAGTCGCCCAGACTGGATTGGCGAACGGGGAGAGAAAACTTCCAGCTAAGATATTCCTTTGAATCATCATCTCTTCTTCGTCCGTTTCTTGGGTACTCCCTTCCCATATTCCACCTGAATCACGTTGTCTTCGGTCAATCTTTGTCCTCTCTCTCCTTGGGCTGACTGTTGGCGAGAATGTGGATACCTCGTGATGTGTTTAAAAAGAATAGAAGCGATGCCAGCGCTCGCAGCAGGCTCGGCGATGAACTTGAAGAGCCAAAAGCCATCATCACCGAATCAGTACTCACAGCACTGCGACGCTGTACCTGCCACCTTGTCACTATCCTGGTCACCATCACAACCATAACCTTGGACCTGAATGGCGTTTACTTGGGCTCCGATCTAATGTCGCCGGTGAGGTCCGAGACTATCAACCTCATGTTCCTCCAGTTGGCTGCCAAAGCCCACGAAATCATGATTGTGTCTAGTCTTGGCCTTATCGTTCTACAATTCGTCCGATTCGAGCTGCTTTTTGGAGATGGGCTGCCTCTCGGCCTGGTAGGCTCTGGCTTGACCTTCAATAACTTCGAGTTCTTCTTTAAAAAAGAATTCTATGGCACTTTGAAATATGTCGGTGGTCATGGCAATAAACCCAGAAAGGTGATGTTTGTCATGGTCGTCGTCGTGGCCGGACTCACGGCTACATTGGCTGGACCCGCAAGTGCGGTACTACTCGTGCCCAAATCCCAGAACTGGGCCGCTGGAGGCACTCGTTTTTATCTGAATGGATCGGAGAGTGAATTTTGGCCAGCGGACTTGTCGGGAGACTTGTCGGAGCTTCGGCTATTTTGCAAATGCAACGACTCTACTCGTCTGGGAATCTGTCCGGCGGGTGGGTTTCACTCCCTGTGGGAGCACTGGGGAACTGTGAATTCCACCGATTTTCGCTCGCAGAATGTTCGCTCATATGCGAAGAATCTCGCTGGCTCTAACTTCTACTGGCCGGTATCCAGCCCCTCGTCTCAAGTCCCTCCTCTCTATGCGGTAGGAAACAGCAAAAAGGCCGACACTGATGCAACCACGCTCATCCAGCCACATGCAGCAGCTGTGGTGATATTGCAAAGGCTCGCGACCGACTGGTGGAAGGCTTTGACATCGCAAAGAGGCACGTCTCCCGATCAAGTTGATGACCGGATTGTTTCTGCCAATGTCAGAAGTGGGATTAGCGTCGTTAGCTGCGCAAAGCCGCAGGAGCTGCTGGACTCAGACAATTCCGTGAACTTCTCATCCATCGATGGTCGATTCAACTTCGCCCAAAGCTTGCCATTTGCCATACACAGTCTCAACAATACTGCTGTCAACCACTTACGATTTCAATGGGTTTATCTGCCAACTCAATTTGGCGCAGCTAGTATTGGGGGAGTGTTTGAGACACCATGGGAATTTAAGAAGGCCTCCAGAGTTGTGGTCGACTGTACGGTTCAGGCTGGATGGGTCCCGACGACGGTGTTCACCGACAAATACACTTTCTGGACTGGGTGGTACCCATGGAACATTCAATATGGCGACCGCACGCCTGCATGGTCCGCCACGTCACAGGCTGCTAGCAATGGCCGAATATCTCTTGGGGATGACTGGCTGAATCTCCTGACACCCCCGACAACCTCTCCTGGTATTGGCTCTTGGCGACCATCCACGATTGAGAGTATTTTCCTGAATGCTGGCCTGGGCTCCTCTCCGAATACAGCTACGGCGGGCTGGCTTGATCAGGGGTCTGGAAGTCAAGACAAGCTTGCTCTCGTTGAAGCCATTATTTGCAGTGTGATTGTGAATGGTCTCAGCCGTACCAGAAGTTATCGAGCGTTTAATACTTCAGGGGCAAGCTCCCAGTGGCCGCTAGCAAATTACATCCTTTTACTGACTTTGAGAAACGAGTCCTAGGGAATAAGCTTGCTTTGGAAACTCCCGCCGTCAGCCCCGAGAACCTCACAACGATTGAGGCAAGCATGCAAATAAGCGGTTTCTCATTCAAAGGCTCTCTGGCAGCATATCTTGCCATGACAGTCCTCCTCACTCACCTCCTCATGGCTACCGCCCACATTATATACGTTATCCGTAGCAGACACACTTCACGCAGCTGGGGCTCAGTTGCGGAGCTAATCGCTCTGTCGCAAAACTCCCAGCCATCGTTCGATGCATTAGCCAACACCAGCGGCGGAATCGAGAGCCGCAGAACCTTTTTGCAGATGGCAAAAATTAGAGTGAAGAAGACTCCCAACTTGCCAAACCATGAACATCATGAACATGCTGAATTGTTGTTCGAGAGCTCCACCTTTCCTGATTACCAGCGGAATGCCTCTGAACACGAGCTGGACGAGCTACGCAATGAATGGCCGCGTCATGCTGCGACGTGGCCTCTGAATATACCCGAAATCCCAGCACATCCTGATTTGAATGCTTCGAGTATGTTGACTTCTACAGAGAGGTTTGTCGGTAGCAGGGAAGCAACGGACATCATTCGGCCCAACCGACGATATGGATGAATTCTTATACATGCTGGTGAGGTGATCGTATATTCTGAACATCGTGGCTGAAAGAATTGCTTATTTGCTTATGGAGTGCCAATATATTTAGACAACAAAACATAACATTTATAGTAAAATGGACTGAATTATCTAGCCCTTAGTATCATAGATTTTATACTAGTAGTATATACTATAAAGATCACATGACCATCATAGGTCTGATGTCACCGAGGTCAGGTAAACAAATCAGAAGCTAAGGTTAATAATGAGCTAATCTTCACTTGTCCATTTGAAATCATGTGACTGTAATTTCACGTGATGCGATAAACATTTTGACAAAGGAGATGGTGGATTTGGTCTAGTAATTGGCTCTCAATAAGTAATCAAAAACTACTACTGTAGGTAATAGAATCATGCCACAGTTATACTATCACATTGGTTATCCTTGGCCTAATAACAGATCTATTGATCTGGTACAAATCTGTACATGCAACCCAATCAAAGGGCGGAAAACAATAAAAACAGGTCGTCAACGCCAACAAAAGAAATCAAAAGGTCTCTTTTTACCGCTGCTCAAATCCACCTTCAGTGACAGGCTTGCTGTTCACCTCGGCAGGGTCGCCAGTCGGCTCGAGGGGGTAGCTGGTGGCGGGCAGGGACTGGAGGTACGCGCGGTGCTGCTCGTGGGCCTATTTTAAAGTTAGCTTGTTCTATCTCCGAGGCAATCTTTCAGGAAATACATACAAAAGGGTTACCACAGTAGCCGCAGGTAGCAATCTCGGGCTTGTCGGTGTTGATGAAGATTTTAGGGTGACCCAATGGACCACCGCCACCGTCACAGCTGACGACTCTCTTCTTTGTCCAGCTGACTGGTTGCTTGTGGATGAGCTCAATGGCAGCGTAAGGTTGGGGCTGTAAAAAGTCATATGTCAGCCCAGTTATTTCAATAGTACATCTCCACTTTTGGCCATATAATTTTCATTTCCACCGATTGAAACATTCCTCCTAGCCAATTGAAAACCAGCGTGATATACGCACCTGCATTTCCATGATAGTCTGCTCGAATCGAGGACCGGTCATAGCCTTCTCTCTCGGCTGCTGGCTGGCGGCCCATGTGTTGGCGCGGTTGGGGGCTTGCAGCTGGCGGTTGCGCTCGCCCACCTCGGGCTCTTCCTTCAAAGGGGCATCCCAGGCGCCCATCGAGTCGACAGGAGTAGCATTGGTAGCGGAGACATTAGGCTTGTGCGTAGGAGGGGTCGGGTCGTTGGGTTGCATGCGGTTCTCCGAGAAACGAGGGACGCTCGACGAGTAGCTGGCTCTGGCGACAAAGCGCGGAGACCAGGTGGTGGAGAAAGCCGCGATGCGGCTGCGAGCAGAGGACAGCATGCTGGGCAACTGAGGTCCCTGAATTGGCAAAAGCACAAAGCGTGGATGGCGGGTGAGGGCGGAGGAAAGACGAAGTCGGGATGGAAGGGCGAGGTTTGCGGGAGCTCGCGCGGCCGCTTGTTAGGCCAATCGGCTGCGCTCCTGCGGCTCCTGCGGCTGCCGCTCGTGCATTTCCATTTTCCTTCCGCTTTCTGTTTTTAATCTTTGCTCGTCGACTGGTTGTATCAGCAGCAGTTTAGATAGAGGCGCGAAGATTTTTTTTCAGCTCAATTATATCATATTCGGTGCTCTGTCTACTACACACGGCCTTGCGTCATGCCTTCCTCCTCGCCTGCTGGCTCAAAGCCAGAGAAGACCATGTCTTCGCGGCTACTCACAATGAAAGTACGTTAGAATACATACAATCAGTTAATTTTGGATTGCTGCCCTTTGTTTTAGATCGGGCTAACATTTAATACTACAGTTTATGCAACGCGCGGCTGCTGCTAATGCTAAAGATTCTTCGCAAGCGCAATCCACCGAAACCTCCAACTCCCCCACTCCGAAACGACAGAGACTTTCAGTCGGCCACGATAGCCCTCCCGCCCAGCAATCATCAGACCTAGAAGCTATTTCGGCCGCGCTGGCTGCGGAGGAGGAAAAGCGGAGAGAAGCTGTCAGTCGTCAAGCCGCGGAGGCCGGTGAATCAGAATGGGTGCTCGATTATTCCGGTTTTGGGGAACAGCAGGCAACACAGCCGTTGGTTGTCGCGGCAGGCTCCCTGGATGCGGACGATGATGCGGATATGCTGTACAGTGGGCGACAGTCTTACGGAAACTTCAAACCCAAGAAGAAGGCACAGGTATGTCTTTTGCGACTGCGCGGGGAAATTATGCTAACAACTACTAGACACAAACCGTGTCGAAGAATAATGATGGAGAGGAAGATGAAGACGAAGATGAGGAAGATGAGGACGAGGATGGAGATGAAGATGGAGGAAACAGAAACAAGAACACAAAAATGGACGTCCTCGCCATGATCAACAAAGAGAAGAAGGCAGCGAACAAGAAAGGAAAATTCAAACCGCAGGCCGAGAGACCCAGACTATCTCAGCTCACCAGCTTATCGGGTACTCGCCAGGGTGCTGTGGGAGGAGGTGGTGGTAATAAGTCTCAGAAGAAACGCAAGCATAAATAAATTGCAGGCCCCTAAGAGTGATCAAGGTCTTGTTATTCTATGTTACAAGGCCAATGGGGATTAATGATAGTATCACATTATTCATAGGCAAGCCATATGCTTCCTGTGCTCGCTTATCTTTCAGGTGATCGACTTAGCTGGTTTTCACAACTTCTTCTTGGCAAGTCCTGGGCTTTTGCAAAGGGAAAAAGGCCAAATCCAGCAAACAAAACAATCTTCATCCACTTGTTGGTGTCACCATTGCGGGCCTTCTGGAACAATCGCTGCCTGGATATTCTGGATATTTGACTCTTCAGGCATGACACTTCCACCCATCAATATATCGCCTGACCCGATCTCGATCTTGTCACACACAATTGCTGAATCTCGATCCTTTGTTATAGAGTTTCCTCGTCTCCTGTAGGCGTGGACCTTCATAATATCGGATGCTGGGGGTTTGGACTGCGAGGGCTGCCCGACTTCAAGCCGTACACTTTCTACTGGCTTTGGGGCGATGTGTGGACTTGAGTGCCTGTCATTCTCAAAGGGAAATGCTGATGTCGGCTGTTTCAGGATTCCCCGCGGATGAGGATTATTGTCATGGTGATGCTTAGAGCCTTCGCTGAGGACTGTCTGCAGCTTAGAGCCTTCGAATCCAATTGAATAACGCTTCGGTCCTGATTTGTGTTCAATTATGGCTTTGGTTCCTGGAGTAATGACGTCCCTCTATTTCAGCCGAGCTCAACTCATCTGACGGATCGAACATACCTGGCTCACTTGCTGCTGGTGCAGATTCCATGATAATAGACCTACTTAAAGTGGTACCCATCGGCCGAACGCTCAGTGGAATAGATGAACGGGCCTCAGGTCCCAGTGATGAAATCCGAACCAATCGAGGCCTTTCTGTCTCCAGGCCTTCAATAATCAAATGGCGTTTTACACTTCCACATGGGCAAGACATTGCTAGGGGATGTTTAAGATATTGGCAAAGTTCTTTCTCTCTGGGGTTGGGTTTAGGAATCTAAGATGAAAAGCAATTGAGTTTCCAGAAAGATTTCAGTGAGATAAGAGAACCTTTGAACGTAGTCATGTGCACCCTATCTTTCTTTGTCCCAGCAGTAAGAACACTGGTCAAGTAATGTCATTGTCTTAACGTTTTTCTTCGATAGAATAAGCAAACATCGGTATCCTCCCATATGGCTGAGCGATAGGCAAGAGTATCTTTATAGAAAAACTTGACCTTGATTCTATCTTTCAGAGTTCATTCACTGCTGATGTTCACACCATCTTTTCTCCCTTATCTCACATGAGTGATTGTCAACTAGGCATATTATTGAAGGGATGTCATATGAAACGCCAGAATAACCTGATTCTAATGCCAAATGTACTGAACCATCTGATGTCACCATATATAAATACACAAAACAATAGCTATGGCCCTAACATGAAGAAGCTCATAGCTTCGCCTTCTCCTCCTTCTCTTTCTTTGCCCAACTCTTCTGCGTCAAGAAATTGACTGCCATATTCCATACCACAATACCCACACCCAACGGAGGCGCCAATAGCAGCATCCACGCCCACCATCGAGGGCTCGCCGCTGCGATCGTCTTCATCGCACTGCGCACCTCTTTCTCCAAATCAGCCTTATCCCCATCATTCCACACTATAACTCCCCGCGCGGTCTTCGTCCCCCGGAACTCGGCCTTTTCAACCTTCCCCTTGACATCGCCCTGACTGCGCACCCGGTTCTCTGCATCTTCAGCAGAGAGGTGCGGATCGCGCGCTCGTAACCGCGCCATTTGCACCTCCGGATCCGTCACGCCTACCACAACTACACTCCCGCAGATGAGATCCATCCCACTCTCGAATAACAGTGGCACGTCGAGGACGACCGCCCACGACCCGGTGAGATAACGATAAATCAAAGCCTTGTATACCTCCCACCGAACAGCGGGATGAACGATCTTGTTAAGGATCATGCGGTCGCGTTTCCGTTCCTCGGTGGTGCCGAAGACGCGACGGCCCAGCGCGGGCCGGTTGAGTGGCCGCCCTGCGGTGTAGTTCTTGCTTATGGGGTCATCGGCTGGGAGGAGGAGATCGGGCGTGCTGGGCCCGAAGTAGTTGACGATTGCCTTGTAGCCGGGGGTGCCGGGTTCGACGACTTTGCGGGCGAGGAGGTCGGTGTCGATGATGGGGAGGGAGTAAGGGGGGGATGAGAGGATGGAGGAGACGGTTGATTTGCCCGTTGCTATTGAGCCAGTTAAGCCGATGATTAACATTTTCGCTGCTTGTGTGTTCTGTTCGTCTTCGTTTGGTTGTCTGGAGGTTGAAGTGAGGATTGAGGTTTGATAGCTATCACGGGGTTCTCAGCGCCTGCGCTGGTCGGGGAGCGGGAATTGAGACCAGGATTCCTTGACCAGGTACGGCTGATTGAAATCGGAGCTGAGGTTAGAAATTTGAATAGGTGGTTGTAATGGCAATGATCGATTCAGTGGTTGTTGGCACGGAGTAGATTGATAAAAGTTGGACGAATTTCGAATGCGGGGGGAGCTTCTTCAGCCTCGGCTCCACACCGTAACTGTATGGGATATGACATCCGAATCCAGCACGATTGGGAGTCATCTATGATATTTACAGCGCTAAGGACTAGATATAGTTACTGTTGGCATTTATAAAGTAAAAGCCATATCATAATTGATTCGAAAAACAGCTATTGTACATATTCTCAAGCCTCGATGGCATCCATGTGGGTATGCAAGAGACCAGCCCTCGATACCCCCTCATCAATATAAATGATACTGTACATCAATTTCTCTGCTGATTTAATATAGTGTTACTCCTTTCATCCTGTACAACTGAGCTTCACATATGTCGGTTGCACCGTAAGCAAGATTGCAGCGTCGCTATCCTAGATTTCTCAAGAATTCAAGTGGGAAGCGAAATGTCCATGCTATTCTGTCGATCCAGCAACAGCAAGCGATGAATTGTTCACTTTCCATGTCACTGCAACTGGCTGGTAGCCATACACCTCGCGATCTTATACTGAGGGCGAGTGTATGGCTCATCATCCTTAATCTTGTTGAGCAGTACTTAGGCGCAGTGCTTCCCCTTACGCCGGCGCTTTGGGACACGGGCTGAGATACAATCCCCGGGATATATGACGTTGGCCGTAGACCTCATCTGTGGCGAGCAGAGTATCTACGTCAACATCGCCATCGACGGATGGAAGGGATGCAACTATTTGGCAATTGGAAAATAATCCCAATCATCAGACCTCAGGAAGCCCTTTGGTCGGATCCTGTTCCTGGCCCTTCCAGCCAACATATGGCCATCCCTTTGGTAATGACGAATATGGTGGAAGCGAATAGCGGTTTTCGCATGATCCATCGCTTGTACAAGTGAGATCACATAATCCGAATACTTTGCAGTAACATACTTCAGCCTTGGGGCAGTGGACGGGTTCTTTCCCGAAGATCACTAAACGATAGCTTGTTAGCGGGGACATGTGTTTTTCAAACAATCCTCTTTTAAGGAGAATACATACTGTGCCATGAGTACTCCATGATCCGTCCACTGAGATCATCCGGAAGTGACGTCTCAGACAACCATTCCCTGAAATGCTCATAGTCCTTTTTAGAGCGCTCGAGGACCTTGTCCCGCGTGACTCCAAACTGTGCGCAGCATGAAACTCCAACTTCCTCGGGAACATCGGCTCCTGGAAAGAGTTCCATGAAACCTGTCTTGAAATATTCACCAGCATGGACGTTCTCGCGATGGGTGTCGGAGTGCGGATGGATTTCCACCGGGCATCCAAGAGCCCAGGTGCAGCGGAGATTGACATAGCCTTGTCTCTGGAGGTATGGGACTTGGAAACGGGAAAGCATGGGGACACCGTCGTAGTATGGGTCGTCATTATGCCATTGGAATCGCTGGGAGTGGATGAAGAGCATCGTTTCAGGGAGTTTGTGGTAGTTGTCGATGATGTATCTAATAACCCAATAGTTAGCATATAACAAATCACCTGTAACCCAGATATCATCGCTCACGTCAAATACACCATAGACTCCCTGCCCTTATTCTTCTTCACTGTCAACTCCGCGCTCTTGTCATCCACGACATAGATACTCTTGTGCCATTCCGGGAAATGCTCAAACAACCATGACGTATCATCGCTCTTCATACTAGCGACGACCATATCCTTTTGTATCGTTTTCGTCTTTTGCGGCGCGGTAACTTGCCCAGGCTGCTTGTCGCGACTCGGCGATTCCACTTTCACCGCAGTGTTTTCGTGGGGAACTGTAGCCGCATGTTTTTCTCCGCTGGAGCCCTTCGCAAAGAACAAGAAGTAAAGGCCGCAAATTATGAATATGGTGATTATGATGGCCTTTTCGCGATTGCGCCGGCGGGGGCCCTGAGAGAATAGCATGGCTGGTGGGGATGGCACGAGACGAGCTGTAGACTGGTACTAATAGATACTTTTTCGGAGATTATTTAACGAGTAATTAGTTTAATATCGAGAGTGCATGAACATAAATCATGCCCGCATGTTGAACAACTTGGGGCGTGGGGGGTTGTGCAAGGGAGCTTGAGGTTTGGTTCGGAGGACGCGTGTAGGCGGGAGCTTTGGATGATGAAGCTTCGACTTGGCGAAGACTGGAGTTAGGTATTTTTGTGAGCCGCTGTATAATCTGCAGGTCCACGCCGCAATTTGGGAGCAGACAAAATCGAATCGCAAAAAGGATACGACTGATAGTAGCAGAATTTAATCCGGAGATTTCGAATGGTTTGACCCCCGTATTTTCAGGGTACAGGTGGCAGAAGCCGTGGTGGATCAACAGTGGAGCTGCCCTAAGAGTATATTTCAAGTGCGCACCAGACAATAATGGATAATTTATCCTTTGGTCATTGGAAGGATTTCTTCTGCTATTTAATGGGATATCGGCATAAATTTGTTTTACATGTGTTTCTTCGTCTCGTTGCTCAGTTACATTTGTCAATGGCAACAATATACCAGTGATGAGCAGACACGCTGACCCCGGATGCTCCTGCATTTCCACCTGTTGAGTTCACTCCCTGGATCACATCAATATCCGAAGATTTCACGGTCTCTTCGTCCCCACTTGTTATCCAGTACTCCGGGCTGGTGTGACTGAATCCAAAGGAGGCCGGTGGAACCTTGGGGACAACATCATTGGTATGCGTCGTGCGGTAGCTGGTGCCCTGGGAAGTGATGTATTTGGCAAGCTCTTCATTTCCAACTCGAGGAGAACCGTAGGTATACTTGAACAGGGTCGTTAGTTTACTATGTGATGATAGGAAAGCACACATCACTCACCAAGTCGATTTCATAGCCTGCCTTTCGCAGAGCCGTGGCACCCAGCGTAGCGACAGCAGCTCCGAAGCTGTGTCCAGTAAAGACCAGTTTATAGTCAGAATGTTTGTCTTTAGCCGACTTGACGTTCGAGGTGATCGAATCGGCAACCGATTCCCACGATTTCCAGAAGCCACCGTGAGCCTTGCAGTCATCGCAAATATCGCTGAGGCTGGTTGTTCCAAAGTCCAAATTGGCAACCCATGTCTCGACAGAGGTCGTTCCCCGGAAAGAGACGACAATCAGCTTGTTCGTCGAATCCTCTGCGATGAAGCCTGCAACGTCTCCATACTCGTGGTCCCTATCACAATAGCAACACCATTAGCCTCTATTTTCCAATTGCCAGAAAGTAATTAACATACTCATCGAACTCATCAATGGTATTGGTGCTGGCCTTCTCAACCGTTGGACAATTTCCCACAGCACAGGTCACAGCCGTACCGGTTGAATTGATATTATTCGGACAGTACGCAGCGGCAGAGTATTCCGCAAACAATGTCAACTGTTGCAAGACATCCGAAGAGACATCCGCAGAACCATCTGTTACTTGAAATTAGAACTGAGACCATTACAAAACACGAATTCCATACCTCGAGCTACCAGTCCAGCTGGAGCAGCAACAGTCAACGCAGCCAAGGCTGAAGCAGCCCAAACACGTCCAAGGCGGAACATCGCGGGATATTGCAAGAAGGTATCAACGATGATGCAGGTTTGGGGCCTTGCAACAGTTTAAAAGAAAAGCTCTACTTGCCACTCCTTCGAAACCCTCACATCAGCCCTTGATTGGGGAGACCGTGCAATATATACGGCTCCCCTCAGCCACGACCTCAGCCCCGATAATACGAGAACATGGTTTTTTTCTGGCCCATAAGCGGGGTTGTGTCGTAGTCAGAAGTAAGCCGTTTGAGATCCGCATCCTCAAAGCAGGCAAGCGGATAGATGTCACGCCATTATCTTGAGCTGTTCCAAAAGTGACCAAATCCCCGATCTAATCCCTCTCTAACCTTCCCAAAAAGAGACTTTTGTACCTGAAGAGAGGGGTTAATATAGAAACGATCGACAGGCGGGGGAACCTGTGTTTCTTCAGGCCCCGCCACCATTATTGGCCCCATGGCTCAATGGATTAACCAAGGACCAAAGGTTGATACCCGTGGGATGACGATGGGTAGTGTATGTAACTCTAACTTGCTTTTTTTTTTGGTATTGATTAGCGCTCGTGTCATTCACGCGGAAGAAAGGAAAGAGAAGAGGCGGAGAATTTTACCCCAGCGGTGACAGAGAGGATCTTAGATCAGCACATGATAGGACAGGGCAAGACACAACAGGTGACTGCCAAGTTTCTCCCATGTTTCTCCCCAGGAACTCCGTCGGTCGTGAAGCCATGGCTATCCCGAGAACAATCTATGTGACTTTCTTGGATTACACGCTAATCAAGGGCATTCCGTGGGATTCACATGTGAAACAGGAAGTCAGCGCCGGTTCCCAGTGTCACCATCGTTAACCTGAGGAGTGAGGACGAACGGAACCGTTATTTCCTTGCCGATCTCGGTGGAATTTTCGAGTCTAAATCTGATGGACTGTGCCAACTGTCTGCTCGAAGGTTCGAGGATAGATGAGCTATGGAGCAGTCCAGTGTACTAATTAGTCAATCTCCGAAGATAAGATCTCGACGACCCACAGTGTCCTTCAACACTTGAAACACCGGGAACTGTCAACTGAGAACATGTCAGAAAGGTCAGAGTTATGTTGGTATCCTAATCTGCATTTCTCTCTATCTTTCTTAGGAAAAAATCCTTGGCTGACACAGCGTTTCACGTTTAGGAAAAGTGCGCCTTGCGTGGCCGGGCGATCCCTGTCGTATCGCTGCTAGCCACGCTACGTCGCCTTGTTCCAGCTGGACAAAAAATGTCACCTTGAAGATGAATCAATTTCGACATTTTCAAACCCTTGTCCGGCAAAATCAAAATTTTATGCTTACCTCTCAATCCTGAGGAGAAGCAGATTCGCCTCATAACCATTCTTCCAAGCAAAAATGACCAGAGCCCAATCTAATGTCAGCTCCATATTGCGTCACTAACGACTTCCCCCAGATTAGAGGCATTTTCTTATGGCTGGGGGGATCAAAGTAATAAAGAGGAAATCTTCGTCAACGATGAATCGTTCTTTGCTGTCGCAACCTCGAAGCAGCCTTGCACAGAGAAAGATTATCGTAGCACATCTTGATAAACGTGGTCAGTGTCTAGCTTCGTGTCTGTGCAAGAGGCTTCAGTTCACAAGAGAGGCTTGCTCAAAACTGTCAAATTACGTACCACTACGAATCTGTTAAGCATACTATTGGGTTCAACACACGACCGCAATGCCAGCGAGTCTCGGGCTCTATATGGCATTTATTCTGCTGCTCAGGACGCATACGCGCCTAATTATATCAAACCAACTGAAACAGTTATGCTCGAATCTGCTGCTTTCGTCATACTCAACGAACAGGGAGACTCCAGCTTTAGTTACTTTGTACTTCATGAGTTCGCCTTCGGATGCTTTGCTTCCATCGTGGGTACCAGGCATTACTGACCTCCGCGTTGTACAAAATTTTTTGCCTAGTCACACAGTATCAAAGCTCTTCGTGTACGAGATCCTCGATACGCGATCAGTATCACAAAAGATCTCAGAATACTGCGAATTTGCGGGCGATTTGTTGGAGACTGTCAAGTTCTCTTCCATTTCAATAAAGACCCTTATGATCGATGTCCGTCTATAGAGCAATTTCTGGAGCATGTAAGGGGCGAAGAGGGACAGACCCACCTATCAGCCCTTGACAATCACCGTATCTACGAGTTTTCTTTAACCTTCTTTGGCCGGAATACGATAGCCAGAGATCTCAGCAAAGACCACATTTGAAATGGCAGTCTTTTCATAGAGGGGAGAGATTACTCTGAGGAGGGTGCAAAGTGTTACCAAATGCTATGGAATAAACTGTACGATCTGGCTGCGAAGATCGTCATACTCATAACGAGTCCAAGCGCGACTCTATTTGGAATTGTACCAAATGAAGTTCAGGATGGTGATGTGGTGGTTATGCCTGTTCATGCAGAATATCCATGGGTCTTGCGAAGGATACCTGCCAATGAAAACCAACATGGCACATACTATCAATTGATCGATTTGGTGTTTATTGAGACTATCGAGAGCTATGGAAGAGCTCAGCTGACAATCCTTTTGTCGAGGGCATCAGAAAAACAGCTCGTTGTTGAGTTTCTCATTCAATAATATCTTTCGTCCCAGTCTCAATCATCCATGTCTATACTAATCAAAGTTGCGAGATCACTATTTATAACCGCTGGCCTGATTCCCGGTGTGTATCCTTAAATAAGATCAAGCAAGAGATGGATGCTGTTTAATCTCATGTAATTATATCCATTTACTCTGCCTTGATAAATGTGTAGAGATTCTCATCACTGAATCGCCCTTTTTACTGTAGGCACTTCTCAAATACATACCGACCTCAACCCTTTAAATGAAGCAAGATCATAATAGAATAAATAAAAAAAAGACAAAAAGAGGTATGTTCGCTCCTCGAAACGCCGATCATACAAAATAATTTGATCATGCATCTGCCTGAAAAAATTTTGGAAAAAAACAAGCAAAGAAAGTAAATGGGTTAGGTGGATTCAATGCTGGTCAATCGTTAGTCTTTTGGCACTGCATAGAAGAATGATAGTAAAGGATACTTACTACGTCATTGCCAGAGCCCCTGCCAAACATTTGATTTCGCCGGGGGGGCATGAATAAATTCCTTTCGCTCACTGCATACTACTATCACCCCCGTTCTCCTCACCTTCCGCTTTGACGTCTGCCATCCCCGCGTCCTGGTCATCTCCGCCTTCAGCAAGCACCTTGGTTCGGGGAAGTTGACCTTCGGGCAAGGGTGTTCCTGGGGTTGCCGCAACGACATTGTCATTCTCATCCACGAACTCAAAGTTGTATCTGGACAGAAGATGCGGGATAGCGGAGAGTTGGGGGCCGTAACGAGCCGTGTTGTCGTACAATTCAAACAAAGGCACAGCGAGAAGCTTCATGTTCTTTGGAACAGAGAGAACCTCTATTATATCATACCGGTTAATATAGTCTCTTGTTTATGGTTGGCAATGCGTAATCAGACTCACTCTTCTTGGGCAACTGGATGAAGTACAACTTCTTGCACTCCTTAGGCCGAGTCACATGTCCGGGGAGGAAAGGGTACATGAAAGTCTCGAAATTCGGTCGCCACCATTGCGCGAGAGTATCCCCAATTTCCCAGTCCTCATTGACGCCCTCGCCGGAGAACTGCGAGCCGACAGGTGCAAGACGCTCGTTTAGTCGCTTCTTGAATCCCTCGACCTCGTCGTCTTCGAAATGGAGATAGTCTCCGGGTCTGTAAAACAGCGTATTAGATGCATCCAAGGAGTATTCCACTAGCGATAACCCAAGATACGCACAGCTTAAAGAACGCGTTTGCGATTTGAAGCATCAACACGTGCGGGTGGTTGTGTTCATGGCAGACGAGCACACCCTCGCAGGTACGTCTCATTCCATACTGCTCATAGTGCTCTTCGAGACGCTTTAGACGGGCCAACACCGAAGGGTCTTCTTCCGGTTGCGTTTCCTTGGTGCCGAATGTATAGTTGGAGAGGGGATATAGACGGATGGTCTCCGGTTGCTGTGCGGAGAAATTCTTGGGGAGGATAGGTCTGTATCGGGAAAATAAGAACGTCAGTCAGTATGAAAATGAGAAAGAGGAGTAACATTATCAAGAGCAAGCTTCAAAAGTCGCTACAGAAAGCAGACTCGGCCAGAGGTACGTACGGGCGGGAGCTATGCATCGCTGGTCCTGTAGTAGTCGACATCTTGGTCGCTATTTTTCTCTTAAAAAGGAATATGACACGATGCGAAGTTGTGCTGCTATGGGATGAAAGAAGAACACAATTGAGTGCTGGAGCGTTGAGGTGCTTCGTCGCAACGTGATGCTGCTGTATTCATCGACGCCTGTTGTTATGGGCATCCAGAGCTGCGACTCGCGAAAACATTCAACCGTGGCCCGAGACGTCCCCATCTCCGCTGTTTGGTCGCCTCGTCATCTTCCCATATCCAATCCCCAATTTCAACAATCTATCTTCTAAAAGGCATCTCTTGGATAATAATGTTTTTCTTTGCTGATAGTACCTCTACACGACATTACAGTTCGTTACTGGCTAGCAGAATACAGCTATTTACATCATCGTACCACTGCCAAAGATTCAATAACAGGCTGAGGGTATCAGCATGGCCCCATTATACACCAGAACTAGCAACATTATATACGCTCTCCTTCAACATGCCAATGACCGCTAAATATATCAAGGAAAGCAAATGAATAGGCCTCTTTCCATCCTAATCAACCACGGTGCTGCGTGTCAGCCTGTGAATCCTGCAATTCTACCACTGATGATCCATGCAGCTCATGATGCTGTGTCAGTTTATTATCTTTCACAGCCTGTGGTATGTTTGCCAGTTCCACAATCGGCGGCTGGCGCCAGCTTTGGGCCTGACCATGGTTTTGACCCTGGGTTTGATACTCCAGGGGTTGCACAGGCGACTGGACTGGGGCTTTCTGTCGCCGACGAGACAGAAAGAACCATAGCATCAGGCCACAGATCACGGCAACTCCCGCAACACCCCCAACTACGCCCCCGACAATCTTGCCCACGTCAATGTGGTTGCTGCCAGAGGATCCAGAGGAAGAGTCACTATCATCCCCAGATCCAGTACACCCGTCAATGCTATAGTAAACCCAAGAGCTGTTATAGCATTTATATCTTTCAGCCACTTCGACCACTGTAGCAGAACAGGGCTCATCGGTAATGGTATCAGATGCGTAGATGGTAACTATGACACGCACACACAATTAGACATAACCCTTACTTTTTCTTACAGGAGCCAAGGAAATGCCTACCTGCACAGCCAGTATTCAATTTAGTCACTTGAAAACTACTCATGTTGCCATTGCTGCGCAGCTCAGAACACAGCCCTTCGGTATGCCCATCTGGGCCATCGATGGATCTGTATGAGTGCTGGCAGCTGTCATCGGTGAAGGTCAAAAGAGTAGAATCAGCTGACACAGTTGCGATCAAATGCAAGAGAAAAAGGAGAATGAATGTAGTTGATGTAAGGCAGTAGTCATGGTGGAACAGCGGGAAACTTTTCCAGGTCATCGTAATGAGTGATGATGGACAAAAGAACAAACACGCATCTGCAGGGTAAAAAAAGTCGATGCATTTTGGCAGGTTTGCCCATGGCTAAGGCCATCTGTTTATCATAACTATTCCGAAAGGGGGGTAATAATCAGCAGAGACTTCAGCTTCAGCTTTTCCAGCCTAAGGTGCAGTAGGTAAGACACTGCCAACCACTCCCATCCACTTTGATGCTTGTCTGCATATTAAGTTGGCGAGAGATCTGCAAACTCCACCAATAGAGGCATTTTGACTAATTCTTTCGAGACCTTCGAGCCGAACGGACCCCAACTATTGCAGCAAGCGAAGTCAGCCAAGACGCCTTTTCCCTGCAGATCCGCCAGAATTTATCATATCACGGGCTGATGGAAGTATACCAAAACGGCCTGGTCCGTCAGTCAAAATCGTGCTTACTGCCGAGGAGGGAAGGCGGATCATTTGTCTATCGACACGAATTGCCTCATTGGCGTTGACTGTTGGGGCTGGACGCTGGCGCCCTTCGCCTATCTGCCCTGATCTGGTCTAGCCCTATCCACACGCTTCTCTCTACCCAACGCCTTCCCTCAATAGCTTCATGGATTTTATGCATAATAACTAACTATTACTTAACAGTTGCGCTACCTTTCGTGCTCTGGCTGGGCCCTGTACATCACCGTCACAGCTCGTCCAGCCTCATTTCGTGTCTTCTCATCCACCTCTTCACAGTCACGGATGACTTCAAACCGTTCCCTCCAAAGATCCCACCGTTGAGGGCAGAGGCCTTTGGTCCCTTTATATCTGCGTCTCAGCTTGTTCCCCTCCTTCTTGCCCAACTTCCACAACGGCCCACCGTCTGTGGCATAGACTTCTTCATCCCGTCCATACATAACCTTTGCCCCGTGGACCATCCATTCAGCCGCAGCAGCAACCTTGAAAGATAAATCCGTGACGATGGTTGGATCGTGAGAGACCAGATCGGGACTTCCTCGGATGGGAATCATCGCACCCTCAAGGGCATCCGTGAATACCCAGATGGCATATACTTCCAGACCAAGAAGACGTAGACCAAGGACCCGAGCAGCAAAAGCTTGCAAGTTGACGAATCTTCGTTTCTCGTCGGGTTTCATTTTTTCCCATTTGATGTTGTCTTGTTATCGTCAATTGGCATCAACATTGTGGAAGAAGTCAATTGTTGCACTCACACAGCCGCATCTCTCGTAAAGCAGCACCGAATATCGGGAGCTCTTTCCACAGTTGATATTCTCTCCATAACTTGAGTTCAACAGTCCTGGGTGGTAGATTGGCCAAGGATTCAACAATAGCTGCTAGTCTATCTTGCTGAACACTGTCGTGAGGCAATTGCTGGGCGAAGCTATATAACGTCTCCCAGAAGCACCAGAAAAAGCCTTCAGGGTCTCTCTTCGTATCATCATCATTTGTCACCCATTCCAACAATATGGCATCTATTGCGAGGGCAGCATCATTTGCTGCGGCGCTGTCTGTGGACTGGATGGTATTGTTGACAACGTCAAGGACTTTTACTGTGAAATCAGGAGGATCGTCATCCTCGAGAACGAGACGGAATGAATCCATATATTGACAATCTGGAGATGGTTTCTTCCACAAAGAAAGAGAAATCAGGGGATTGAGGGGGCATTGAGGATATCGTTTTTGCCTCAACACGAGGCTAATGACCCAAAGACCACAGCCTCACGTGGTAGGTGAATAAGCAAATGCTTATTATTCACAATGTATACGAACAAGACTCTTGAAGCTTTTTTAATTCCACGTCGATCACTTATATATAGCCAATTTCCGGCCCCAAAAGCACCACAGACCACTTTGATTCGTCAATACCGACTGAATATCTCTGCAGGGCTTCCAAACTAATGCATCTCACATCAGATTGTTTCACTTCACCTCAAATCAAGCCTACAAGACGAACGACAGATCGGGTATGCCTTAGACTGATTCCAAATTTTCGTGCCTGGAAGACGCATTGCTTTCCCTTTCTGATATATTGAGGCCCCCAAGAAAGCTTCACCTAGCTGAGAACCACAACGAAACAGGAATTTCACCTTGTTGATCAGGCGCTCAACCGGTTCATGTGGTCTATGGGAACATAGGATGTCTATTATCAACATCGTCAGGGGAGAGAAACAATTGCGATGATATCGAGTCAGACGACGAGTATATAAAACAGATCAACACCCTCACGAACAGTCCATCAACCCACACAATTCAATCAATATCTTCACTATCACCTTAATCCAAATCAACTCAGCCAAAATGGTTTCCATCAAAGCCGTTCTCGTCGCCGCCCTCACGGCTACCACTACCATGGCAACTCCAACACCCCCCTCAAGCAACATTATCAGCCAGGTCAGTCTCCTCATCATCATCTAAACCTCCCTTAAAACCAACTAACCCATGAAAACGTATATAGAACTACATCTGCGCAAAAGGCCAATTCAACAACGGCACCGTACTCGGCCACATCCCCCAATCCAAAGTCAACGCCGAATACAACGAAGCTGGAACCAAAACTGGTGCAAGCGGCTACCCCAAGAAGTTCGAGAACAAGGACAAGCTCCACCTCGCGCCGGGCTGTGGCACTGATGCCGGACTCTGGGAATTGCCTGTGCTGGATGGGGGCAAGCCGTATGACTACAACAAGACGGATGCCAACCCTGGTCTGATGCGGGTTTACTATACCACGGAGTTGCGGTTCTGTGGAATTGGAGTTGAGGGGGATGCGGACAAGGCTGATCCCGATCATCTTTGCAGGGTTGAGTGCCCCAACTGCTTGCAGAGCGCACCACCTCAGTAAATGGGATGGTGGGAGTATTTTCTTCTATCTTTGAAGAGTTGATGCGTGTGTTCTGTTTGTTACTAGAAGTATTATTCTTTCAACAAGAATGAACAGTTGTATTTTTTTTTTTTTTTTTTTTTTGAATTATCATTATCACAGGCCCTCTTTCTATGGTCGCCACCTGCTTTGTACACGACATCTCCCCATTATGAATTAAAAGGAAGACTTCTATTGGATCTTCTTTACCGTCACATAACATCCAGGAATGAATCTAGAAAAATCGGCCATACCCTAAACCCCAACTTCAAACCTGCCAACCTACTTACTCCTCATGCCTCGTAAACAACCAAAACAAAACCAGATGCATAACATGAATAGATCCTGTCCCAATAGTTCATTCAGATATCATATGTTGACGTGAAACAAATCCATTAGAGTTTGGCGTCAAAGTCCTCGAATTTAGTGAGATCCGTAACTGGGCTGGGCCCGGCACTCACAGAGAGGCGGGACTTGAAGTCGGTGACATTGGTGATGTACTGGGGCTCCTTGGGCTTCTCGACACCGTTCACGCCATTGGCCTTGTCTTCCACAGGCACCTCGGTGTTCACATGGTCGCCCGCTTGCGCATTCAAATGAACGGACATCTTGCCACGAGTCGAAGAAGCCGGGTCAGCAAATTGGTTGTAGAACTTGACGAGGTCGGACTTGGTCAACGCTCTAACGTTGGCAGCATCGGACTCATTCTGAGTAAAGTCAAAGTACTCTGAGCTAACGTGAGTCGAAAGACGCGAAGTCTCAGAAGACAAATTCTTCAGCTTCTCTAGTCTCTTGTTGATAACACTTCGTTTATGGCCCTCAAACTCCTCGTCAGACATCTTTTCCAAAGACTTTCCAAAACCACTCAAGAAAGCATCAATGCGAGACTCCAGGTACTTGGCGTTGCGCTCGCTCTGAATGATGACTCGGTAACCCATAGTCGTGGCGGAGTAGCGCGCGCCACTCCAGACGACATAACCCAGCTGCTCCTTGCTGCGAAGCTGATCGAATGCGGGCTCCTCGGTCATCTGAGCGAATAGCAACAGCTTCGACCGGAGTGCCTTGTCGGTCATGCTGCCAATGAACAGATAATACTCAATACAGTGGTTGATGTTTGCAGGGTCCTGGAGCGTTCTCTCAAAAATGTAGTTACTTCCTGGTGGCAGAATCATGTTACGTCTCACGATCCACTGGGACTGGGGCAAAGGACGACTTTTCAGGATTGTCTCCACGGAGTCTGTCATTCGGAGCGCATCCTCTTTGTAGAGGTTTCCGTGAGCTAAAACCTCAATGTGAGTCTGTTGCAGAAGCTGGGGGAAGAAAGTGGAAATGTCTTCGGCTTCAATATGTTCCAATTCTGCCGCGTACTGTTCGTTGATCCACGCTCGCTCCGCGGTCAGATACCTGGTGTAGTCACCAACCTGGTAGAACGGCTGTTGGTACTCGGCATTTCGGTATCCCCGCGACAGACGCTCCTTGATAATGTGGAAACGGTCTGGGTTGACAACCAAATCACGCATGCTTGTCAAGACCTTGTCCAAAAGCACAGACATTTTGTCGTTGTACCCGCCAACCGAGATATCCAGGCCGAAAATACTGGAAGCGAGGTTGTAATCCAAGCCTGCAAGCTCGGCATCATATGAGTACTCAACCAAAGCATCCCTAACAAGCTCACAGTAAATATTCGCTTTAACTTGATTGGCAGGAGTTGCCCAAGCCAAGGGGTTTCGAAGGGTAACGTGAACGGTAGCTTTGGGTACCCAAAAGCGGTCGTCCTTTTTGAACCAGAGACGGACTTTATCATCATGGCGAATAAGCTTCGGTGTCTTGGCCGGCTCCGAAACCTCTTTCTTCTCCACCGAGAGCCTGGTCGGAACGAACTCGTTCTTGTGCGGCATGTGGAGACCAGACATTCTACTCTCCGGAGTGGTCGCCAATGACTTGTTAATTTCGGCCATGAAGTCTTCGGGGACCTTCTGGACCTTGTATTCAGTTCCATACCATTTCTCCTTGGAATCCCAATCTCCGGGGTAGTCCTGCGCCACGGTTATGATTCTAAAATTGTCGGCCCGGAAGTATGACAAAGCCTTCTTGATCAACTCGGGGTCAAACTTTCTCAGAGAGGAGGAGCTGAGCAACCATTCTCTGGGGTATGGTTTCTGCATGACACTGCTTGTGGAACTGGTGAATCGACTAGCCGGAGACTTTTGCTTGAATCGGAAATCAACATCCGCAATGTCCTTCATCTCATCAAAAATCCACTGCTCCGGCTCTCTCTCCTTGATCATGGCGATGTATTCAAAAATCACCTTGGCGACTTCACGGTGCTGCTTCAATCCCTCTTGTGTCAGACGAACAGAGACGGTGAAAAAGGCAGATCCGGGGCAAACAGGCATGACACCAGCGGACAGAGCATTTGCCCAACCCTTTGCTTTGATATAAGCTAGGATACTGCCCGGTCCCTCGTGACCAATAAGGTGGCTGATATACCGGCTTGGCTGGGTGTCATAGTGGAACTCTTCATCCAGGAATGGGAAGTAGATGTCCATAGACCGGGTGTCCATCACTGGCTTTGCAAAAATTTGGATACACATGTCTTCTGCTGACCAGGGCTGGACGTCATCCCAGCGGTTCTGTGGCAGATCCTTGTTCTTCACATCAGCAAACAACTCTCCCACCCAGCTTTCCAGCTGATCCAAGGACTCTCTTCCAAGAACGACCAATTTCATCCGGTTGGCCGAATAGTGCTTCTCGTAGAATTTGATAAATTCATTACGGATATCCAAGCCACGCTTCTGCGGCTCTTCTTTAAGAGTCTGGAGATTACCAGTAGAGAAGTGATGGTAAGGATGAGAAGGGCTTGAGAGAGACTTGTTCAACTGCATCAGACGCCACAAGTCACTCTGGAGGTTCTTCTTGTTTTCTGAATCCACCGCTCGCAATTCACGGTCCAATGTTGATTCCAAGAATAGGGGAGACACAAAAAACTGTGCAAACCGATCAAGGGCACCGTAGAGAGGAGATACAGCGCCATTTGATTGGGCGTCATCGCCCGAGGCGGAAGTGGCAGACACCTCAAAGAAGTAGTTTGTCTCTGTGGCAGCTGTGTATGCATTGGAAGAACCCGAGTGGGATGCTAGAAACTGGTTATAGGCATTTTCTTTGGGGTACTGTTCAGAAGATTTTTGTTAGTTGGTTTATCCTTTCCCGAGCTGGGTTGGAAGGCGGTTCTAGAAGGATGGTAACCAATCCGAATTCACGTACCTTGTTGGTTCCCATGAACAGCAAATGCTCTACTGCATGAGCCATTCCCGGCATGTCATCCTCGTCTGAAAAGTTTCCGACATTGACGTTGACTGCCGCGCTAGCCTTGTCTGTATCAGCATCGTGAACCAAGAGCGCTTCCAGCTTGTTCTCGAGACGGATGACACGGTATGATCGATCATCGAGCTCTGGCTTCTCCAGACGCTCGGCGAGGCGTTCAATCGAGCCCATGTTCGCAACACCTGCAGAGAAAGAGATACGAGAAGACTGGGAGAAGGAACGACAGGTCGACAAGCCTGAAAGCAAACAAAACCGAGACGGGAGAGGTCGTGGCAAAGCGGAAAAATGAGGGGCGATCGCCGCAGAAACGCCTGAAGGGACTAACGAGCGAAGAGCTGGGATATACAGGTGACCTCTGGTGTTCCACAGGCGGAGAGGTGCAGAGGACCTTGGAGGCATCCAGAGAATGAGGGTTGCCCAAGGAAAAAGCCGCTGTTCCGCGATGGCGGTCACGCAAGGACAATGCGGCCAAGAAGGAAGGGAAAATGATACACGTCAGTGAGCAGGCAGATCTGCAGAGGAGGGAATGAGATGGAAGTAGGGAGAAGAGAGAAAGACACACAATGGCCACCGTTATCTCTTTGAGGCTCGGGGATTAGTGATAATCCCGATAGTTTGGGGACCAAGTGGGAGGATCGCCGTGGAGGCGGTGAGCATCTGCCTCGGGTGGGGAAGGCGGTGAGATTGCGTGATATGCAGCTGGCGAGAGTGGCTTTTGCATCATTCCAGCTGGAAATCATCTCTTCTCTCATCATCGGCCAGGGAGTCGTGGGAAAGCAAGGGGAGAGGTTTATCAATAGGCTGATTGGTCACACGGTGAGGGTTTCAACTGACTCCGGTGATAGGAACAGGCACACATGCAGTACGACAAGGTAGATACAGCCCCCGACGGTTTGAAATCAAATTGGCATTGTCAATTCTACAGGGCTCAGATACGGTCCTTATCCTCATCAGTCAAATCAGTGGTAAATCCGAGAGTTGATAAAGAATCAATCCGGGGATCCAATGCCTGCATCCCCGCCTCGGAAGCCGAGCCGACATGGCAATGACTACAGAGATTCTATCAAGTCTCAGGCATAATTCTCACAATTTAACCATCACAATTAAACCAGAAGTACGATCTTTCGTTATTGATAATTACCAGCTCTTTTCTCAGACACTCTTATGGTTGAAGTGCCAAAAGAAGGGCGTGGTCAATTGACTTCGGGATCATCTCCCGAATCAATGAGGGGGACCACAAATTAAATATCATCAACTGCTGTCCCATATCAGCATTAAAACTAGTACAACTTCCATTTACACATTCACCATGGATATAGCTGAGTCTCTTGAAAATGCCACCCACACGGAGGCCATCAGATGTGTCGACATGCACACAACCGGCGAGCCAACCCGAATCGTCTACTCGGGTTTCCCTCCGCTATATGGAACTCTCCTCGAACAACGCGACCAAGCAACACAAAAGTACGACCACATCCGTAAGCGGGTTATGCTTGAGCCTCGCGGACACGATGGCATGTATGGGGCGATTATCCGGCCAAAAACAGAGCTGGTTCAATCTGGGGATGCCCATGTTGGGACACTCTTCATCCACAATGAAGGATTCTCTACCATGTGTGGACATGCAACAATCGGTCTTGGACGATTCTTTGTGGATACGCATGACCCGAACGTCTTTCCCTATCGCGATCAACTGAAACTCGATGTCGCGACACAAACAGTCAATGTCAATATCCATGCCCCGTGTGGACTGATACGAGTGACGGTTCCTACCACGGCAGACGGGCGTAAATCTGACCCTTCGCGCCCGGTCACATTCCTATCAACGCCTGCATTTGCAACAGCTATTCAAGTGAGGATTCCCATCCCTCATGAAATCCGATGGCCAGCGTTGGGATCCAACAAGCAGTCTATCACCTTGGATGTCAGCTATGGCGGTGCATTCTATGCCATTGTAGATGCCAAAGAACTTGGCTTCTTAAGCGGCTTGAATAATGTGGACTTGGACGTCATGACATCTTGTGCCCAGAAACTGAAGCCATACCTGATGACAAGACCTGAGATCATATCCGCCGTCCAACACCCCGAGGACAAGCGTCTGTCTTTCTTATATTCAGTGATGGTTGTGGATTCTGAAATCGGATCGAAGCCGAACAACGTCACCGGAGCAGAAACTGGACTCTGTTACTTTGCTGAGAGCCAGATTGACCGATCACCAACAGGTTCGTGTGTCACGGCTCGAATGGCATTGGCCCATGCAAAGGGCTTGCGGCCTGCTGGTCAACGCTGGGCATATAATTCTCTGGTATCCAACCACTTTGGGGAGGGCTCATTCAGTGCCGAGATCGTCGAGGACTTGAAGGATTCTGTGGTTGTACAGGTCGAGGGGCAGGCGTTTTACACGGGGACGTCTATTTTTGTTGTGGAAGAGGGAGATGCAACATCTTCCAGTGGTTTCACGATGAAGGACGTAGTATAAAGGATCTCGAAGTATTTCCAGTGCATATTGATGGACCCGAAGTACATAGGTAGCTGACTTGAAGCAGAAAACAACAAAGCATTCATTGACATATTATATTTTATCCAAGAGCAAGACATAGCTTCATTAACAAATAAAACATTACCATCCCATCCCCATCCATATTCAACAATCAACAATCCACCTAACATCCACTCGCACAAACCGTCAGGACAATATCCTCCTTCTCCCCACAATTCCTAACCTGACTTCCCCCAGGCGAAACCCCATTCGGCCAGCAAAGGGTACCACACCCTTCATCAACAGGCTTGATAACAACCGCACTCCCGGAGAACGGGTCTCCAAAGACATCCGAAATGTCATACCACACGTTGTTTCCGTCCAGCGTATACGCATACGTCAACTGCGGGCTACCATCGTACAGCCCGTTCTCGGTGGTGGTCACCTTCAGCGAGATACCGCCCGAGGCGTCGTCATGGTGGAAGGCTTCGGTGAAGTTGGCGCCAGGCTGGATGGTTTGCTTGGGACCGACTGAGCCGCCAACGGACCAGAGGTAGATGGGGTCTTTGCAGTTGTTGGCAACGACGGCGTTGCCAACTGCGGCTGCCAGAGGGGCGAGGGCGAGGGGGAGGGAGAGGAGGGTTGTGAGATGCATTTTGATTGATTGTGTAGATTGAATTGAAAGAGTTGGGATGATGTTCTTGTAGATAGATAGATAGTTGATGAACTGAGTTGTTTCTGGAAATGATATTCAACCTGGGAAATCAACCATTCTTATATACCTTTTCTCTGATCCATTTTTAGCCCTTTTCATCCATCTCTCAACATCCCATAACTATCTCATGTACTTACATCCAGTACCAGACACAAATCAGGCAACCCTTCATCCAAGACATTGCCATCTCCTAAATCCGGATAACAACTCACCCAAGAACTAACTAACCAAAAAACCAACTTTTCCAGCTTCCATCGCCAAATCACTCATGCATGTCTCGAATCGGATATCGGATCATGGCCTTCTATTCGAAGAAGAGACCGATATCCGCATCATGCCAAGGATGTATAGACTTAAACGACCTAGGTAGCTATACCAAGTAACCACGGAGTAACTAGTGTACTCAGGCGAAAGAGGATCCTGTTGAAGATAACCGACGTATCCGGTAAAAGTGAGACATTGTTACATTTGGCCTGATCCATAGGATCACTTAACACTTTTGAACTGTATATTGAGAATTCAGGATTCAGGAATAGATTATTATCCACCTTTTCTCCGACTTGGTGGGATGGGATTGGTGATGTCTCGGATGGGGCGTTGAAATGGATCTTAGATGGAAGGGAAATTGGGCTCGTATTTTGATTAAAATTTATTATTAGTACAGTGCACCAGTCTAGTTGATGGCAAGTGACAACTGATTGTGATGCTGGAGAACCCGGATTTGGGATGTTGTCATCTGATTATTGACGTCAGTTGTGTTCGGAACAGTGGTTTTCTTTTCTATCTATTTCTTTGTTTATTTTGCTCTGTATATTGATTGATTTAATTAGAACGATCCCATGATTTCAGCCACTTCAGGGACGAATCGATCATCCCAGCGGGGAAATCATGAATCAATAATGCAATGCAACGCCACTAATCGCCAATTGCGGAGAAGGCGTGCGGATGTGGCGGAGAAATGCCGAAGAGACCATGGATGGAGTTCAATACTTGGAGTCATATAAGGCATTCAATAATAATAATTCTTCGCTATGTAGTGGCTGTGGTAGTATTCTCACAAATAATATCAACTTTGTCTAAAAGAAAAGAAATCAGGTAAGAATCCATTTCAAAGTACAGGAGTCAGTCCCGGTTAGTTGGCTTCTTTTCTCGGTGACCGGCTTTTGCTCTTGCTCTTCTCGTCTTGTTCTTCTTCTTCATCATTCTCTGGCTCCGGATCTGCTCGTGCCGCGATCCACTCGAATACCTCGTCCTTGTGGTGCATAAGCATCTCACTGAGTCCTGCCTTGGGGGACTGAAGAAGATGCCCGTAGCGTTTTGACGGCTTCCGTCGTGTTTCGACGTTGTTCCAAACGCCGTGGGTATGGGAAACAAAGACCAGAGAGTTCTATCCGGGTGTGTTAATTCCTGAACCATGTCAATAGTATTCAAAGGTTAAACTTACCTCCTTATACCATCTTGAGAGCCAATATTGGGTGTGCGAGGCGATCGCACGAACTGGGTTCTCGGCAACGAATGAGATGACTCCATTCACTCGTTTGTATAATGTGTCTTCTATAATTAATAGCCATTATTTGAAGGTTCAGGGCAAGACCTACCCCGGTTGATCAGGAGGTTCGCAACCCCATAAAATGCATTGCCTATCCCGACGAAGAAGATCTCGGTGGCTTCGTTGGGCCTAGAACAGCCATTTAGTTCCATGTCGCATATTGGATAACCATACTAGCTTTGACTTACTCGATATAATTGTCCCACAGGTATCCAGCCAGTTCCTCGGTAGCAGTGGGCCGATTTTCGTCTTCATCTTCGTATCCCGTCGACTTTGAAGTGTTAGAAGGCAAAATGGTATCAATTCACAGAAATACTCACAGGCTCAGTAGTGACATGTTTAGGTATGTTGACATCAATAACGGCGTAACCCTTTCCGATTGCCCAAGCGATATAGTCCTTTGCGATATCAGCCTTATCCTCGTTAGCGTCTGACACAAAGTCCGGTTTTACGAGCCACGTACAAGCCAACAGTTGTGAGCCTCTAGCTTATTCGTAACTGGATGCGGTAGACCCATGATTTCCGGACTGCATAGAAATTAGTGAAAATCCCGATGTCCTGCTCAAGGGAAATACCGACGGGTCATGGAAGATAACAAGAAGAGGCACGGATTCATGATAGTTGGACCTGCATAACACGGTCAGTAGCAATCATTAATCCGAATTCTTTTGTCCATACGTCGCCAAAACTTGGTTTTCAAATGATTTGGAAATGGCAGTCCGGTATATGTAAAGTGATGTGAGCTTGTAGTTTTCGTAAAGCTGTTTAGACTGATAACCGCGGATTACATCTGACTCATTTTTAGTTTCTGCCATGCAGGAATCTGATTCAACAACATACCATGAAGCCTTTCGGTCCAAAGTCCGCCGTCTTGCGGTCCTTTGGGATACATACAACGCCAATAGCGAGACTGGATCATCATGACACGCCGTACGGCAGAAGTAGCAACTTCCGATGGTGAGGTCGACAAAAGACGGTCAGGCGGTTCTCCCATAAGTGTTTTTGTAACTGCAAGTGCAGACTTTGAGATGGACCTGAAATTGTAGCCTCCCTACCATTGTAGTGTTAGAGCAATACAAAACAATAAGATGGTAGCGTATTCAAACCTCCAGGCAAACAGCGACCTTGCCTTTGGCAAGTGTCATAAGCATATGTGTCATGTGGGCGTAGCAAGCTGGCGTTACAAAACAACCTCCAAGCTCGTCACCGACTGCCGCATCGAATCCGGATGCAACTATATCATGTCAATTTCCATCGCAGTTGTGCAGTGGGGTATAAATGCTTACCGATCACCAAATCAGGATCAAACTCTTGGGCAATGGGCATGACAACCTGTTGGAAGGCATACATGTAGTCGCCATCTCCCATTCCCTGGCTATCCCATGGAATGTTCACATTTCTGTGTCCCCAAATCAGTAACTGATGCTAGGTCTCAATGCTACTGCAAATTACCTTCCAACTCCAGGACCAGCACCACAATGATCCCAGTTGCCCTCGTCACCCCCAGGATAAAACTTCCCATCTTGGTGGACATGGAGAGAGATGTACAAGACGTTGGGGTCATCGTAGAATGCCTTCTGAATTCCATTTCCTGTGACGTGTGAGTAGTTGCTTCGACTGGAAGGAGTATACTTTTTATTCACCATGATGAACATCCCTGAGCTAGTTAGCTATTTCCCAGGCTGGTAAAAAGGAGTAAGACCTACCAATCCAGGATCAAGATCTTTCGGCAGCTGTCCCCTAATTGCCTCTGACATACTCGTGCTGCAACAGAAACATTGTTGAACAGACAGAAACCCATAGTCTTGTCGTGTTCTGCGTGGTGCCCCGGCGGTCGAATAACAGCAATGGCGTTCTTCACTTTCCGCGTCGCGACAGCAAGGCATGTTTCAATCGCTCCTCCGACTGATAGTATTGAGGACGCAAATGTTAATTTATTAAAGTAAATCGAGTCACGGGTATGCTCCAAAGCAATAAGCTCATCATCGGACATATCTATAGCACCAGTTAGGGGATTGTCCATATACTCGAAGCAGACGACTTGAATGATTCTTTGATTTACCTTTAGTGCTCTCTACAAATGCAAAATGGTCTGTCGTATGAACAAGAGAGATTTCTGCTTCGGTGGCATTGCGAGCATCGATTCTCTTCAGAGGATGAGCAACGAGCGGTCTTGAGGACTCTACATCATCAACGAGTCCCGCTCGGCATAGCTCTTTGTAGATGAAATAAATTCTTCTTGGATCTTCTGGATGGACATCTGCTGTTGGCCGCACTTCGCAGTGATAACGCATCTGGACATCATAGCAGATTCCTGATTGAAGAAATGCAAGTGGAAGACCTGCATGTGCTGGTTCGTCCTCAGACCAATCTGAGTTCTCCTCAACAATGCTATCTCGTTTCTCAAGGGACTCGGAAGTAGCATCACCAGACTCCCCGGACATGACCAGACTCTTAGGTGGCGACACACCTTGTTGGTCCGGCACCCCAGGCGCCACAGGTGTCTCTTCAGGTTGAGGCCGTGGACTAGGTGGACGAGGCGGCAGTGGCAGTCTCATCTGAGGCCCAAAGAGAGATGGAGCGAGCAGCGGATCTGACCCCCCATTGATCTGTCCTGAGGCAGGTGGTTTGCTGGGGCTGCCAACTGGTAACTCACGAGAGGCAGGAGGGTTGGGATATTGGGAGCCCGCCTCTCCCATGACGGTATCTTCATCCTCCTCCATAGCCATTGGAGAGTAATCTCAATCAAGTCGTTTTGCCTTCAGGTCACCTTCGCTGCAATATTTGGTGATGCTAGTATTTCATGGCCGAATTCGTGGTCTTGATCAGATGCTCGTCCACCAAGACCTTGAGGCCGTTTCCAAAAACGACAAGAAGACAGAAAAAAAATAAAACTGACAGAAAAAAAAAAAAAAAAAAAAAGAAATTCAAATCATAAACGAGGATAACAGAGGGTATCTTAAAAGTTGTTGAAAACCACAGCACGTAGTGGAGACTGGATGTATCGGGAGCCCAGAAGCTTGGGACAAAGAAAGAGTAGTGCAGATGATGGGCTTATGAGTTCGACAAACACGAAAAGGGGAAACCAGATATATCACAAATGGCCCCGAGTCATCAATCCACAACTACTACAAGTGGCTCTGGGGACGGCAATCACCGGAACGCGCGCATCAGTCAAGGCGTTCTGGTCCAGGAGAGTCTTGGTTCATGAAGCTCTCCAAGGCGTGGTTCACCTAGCTTCCAGTGCACGTGACTGTCGTGGTCGCATATGCCCAACGAAGCGTGATGCAATATGTTGATAAAGATACAGATGCAGATGGTTATAACATACAATAAGATGTCGGAGAAAATGGGACGAATGTTCAACGGTTGACAGAGGGCAAAGATGGATGTTAAGGTTGCGGTTTTAATCGATCTATTCGTCTATCCAAGTTGGCGCATTCCGAGAGTTCGCCGCGTTACGCCGTGGCCTATCACAGGCACCGCTTTAGGGATGATTCCAGTTGTTCCAAGACTACTTTCTGAACTGGACTATACAGACGAATATTGGATTCACAGGATCTATTTACATTTACTGCTCATTGATAATCCAGGAAATATTTGAACTTGAATCTTATGTCATTTCATTAAAATACGTCATCATATGTTTTGTCCTCCGAGAAAAGCTCCTGGAATCAGTAGTCCATATTCACTGTTCTAGTGAATCACGGCTGACCCACTAGGAACCTTCACTCAAAGGAGGCTTTTCATCGAAATGCTCCGTCCTGATTCCTACTGGCCATCAACACCAGAGATGTAGGCTAGAGTAATTGTTAGCATGCGTACAATACTTGGTCAGAATAATCGGTGTCTTACAGATCAGGTCGATAACACGGCGGGAGTAACCCCACTCGTTGTCGTACCACGAGACCAACTTGATGAAGTTGGCGTTGAGGGCGATACCAGCCTTGGCATCGAAGATGGAGGAGTGGTTGTCACCGTTCAAGTCAGTGGAGACAATGTCGTCCTCAGTGTAGCCAAGGATGCCTAGATGAACGAGTTAGCAAATAGTTTGATATACATTAATACCAAGGAATTAACTCACCCTTGAGCTCGCCCTCGGAGGCGGCCTTGATGACCTGCTTGATCTCATCGTAGGTAGCACCCTTCTCGATGCGGCAAGTCAAGTCGACAACGGAAACGTTGGAGGTGGGCACACGCATGGCCATACCAGTGAGCTTGCCGTTAAGGGCAGGGATGACCTTGCCGACAGCCTTGGCGGCACCAGTGGAGCTGGGGATGATGTTCTGGGCAGCGGTACGGCCACCTCTCCAGTCCTTAGCGGAGGGAGCGTCAACAACCTTCTGGGTGGCAGTGTAGGAGTGGACGGTGGTCATGAGACCCTCAACAATGTTGTACTTGTCGTGGATAACCTTGGCGAGGGGAGCAAGGCAGTTGGTGGTGCAGGAAGCGTTGGAGAGGACGTTGATGTCGGTCTTGTAGGAGGTGTTGTTGACACCCATGACGAACATGGGGGCGTCAGCAGAGGGAGCGGAGATGACGACCTTCTTGGCACCACCCTTCAAGTGGGCGGAGGCCTTCTCGGTGGTGGTGAAGACACCGGTGGACTCGACGATGTAGGAAGCGCCGACGGAGCCCCAGGGGATAGCAGCGGGGTCACGCTCAGCGAAGAAGCGGATCTTCTTGCCGTTGACAACGAGGTCCTGGCCAGCGACCTCAATGGTACCCTGGAACTTGCCGTGGGTGCTGTCGTAGCGGAGCATGTAGGCCTGTGGATCATCTTCAGTTAGCCTCATGCATCCTGTATCACTCGTAGGAGCTTAGGCTGGGTTGGCAACGTACAGCGTACTCGAGCTCGATGAAGGGGTCGTTGACGGCAACAACGTCGACATCATCGCGGGAGATGCTATCTTTTTGTTAATATGGATACTTCAAACATTGCCAACCAATAGGTATAAGCCGGTTTCCAACTGTCTGGATGGTTTGACACCTATGGCTGAAGCTTGGGTTGAGGGCATCACTCACGCGTTACGGAAGACCTGTATGGCTTGTTAGCATGAATAATTCGAGATCTAAGAGAGCAAGAAGGAACTCACAATTCTTCCAATACGACCGAAGCCGTTGATTCCAACCTTGGGGCCGACCATTTTGAATGAGTCTGTTGGCGGGGTAGCTGTTAGTCAAGAGAAGAGCTGAAGGGAGAAGAGCAATTGGAATGAAGAACAAGAAGGTTCAAGCAAAGGAGGGAGCAAAGGAGACCTACTTATAGTGTTTGGAGAAGAAAGGATAGATGGAAAGTGAGGACAGTGGTGGTGATGGAGGAAAGAAAGAGAAGAAAGAGAAGAGAGCAGCGGGGGAGGGGAAGTAGAAAAAGGCCGCGATGTTGACTGACTAGTTCTGACGCAACGACCAGATCACTGGTTTTTTCCCTCGTTTTTTTCTTCTTTCTGCTGGGGCAACCCCTCCCCCCTTCCAGTCAAATGCGCACACCGGGCGGACTGACGGGGCAAAACAGTGTTTGGAGAAGCATATCGAACGGTCGTAGCTGGGGTTCCCGACTTGCGCCGCTGAACAGCTCTCCAGCAGCCTTTTCCGGTTTCATACACCGGGCAAAGCAGGAGATTCACGATATTTGGCACTCCTGCCCGTCCTCGGCAGCTGCCGGCCTGGCCAATAACCACGCCGGACGCCCTGTCTCCCCGGGCTCGATCTCTAGAATCTTTTGCCAGGGAGTCGGGATCGTCTTTGCTATACATAATTACCTAGGCTACACTTGGAACGGTTATCGTGCTCTTCACATTCGCACGACAATCCGGAGAAACACACAGGGGGTGCATGATGTAATAGAAACCGCCCTCAGCAACATCCCACCATGGGCCATGAAGGAGGGGCTTTTCATTGTCCGGCCATCCCGCTTTCGTGTCTGGCTTCCGGAACAATAATAGTCCCGCAACTGCCCCTCCATGGATTTGAAAGGGGCTGGACCGATTGGGGAATCTCCTCCATCAAAGAAGCTGGGCTGCTTGTGCAGTTGCACTCCGTACTCCAGAAACATTCACCGGCTGCCAGATGCCCAGATCACGCGCTGGGTCTGATTTTTTTTTCTGGGTCTTGGATTCTGATGGATCAACTGGTTCTGCATAAATAAGCAAATTATCAGAGGTTATTTGTTTTGATGGGATCCCCCAGTCTCCAATAGTGTTGGTGGGTTTACCACTGGTACATGGGGGGAATTCCATGGCATCTGCATGCAGACGCATCGCTATATCATTGTGAAACGTCACCCTACGCCGCTGTCGCTTGCTTCTATTCTTATTAGGTACCCCGATACCAGCGATGATAAATCGAATACTACTGCGACCACTACTTGCGCATTATTTACTGGAACCTGGCCGCAGGTGCATACATGCTCAATAGTGCATCGGGCTGAGCCATCCGCCCTGTGCACTGTTGCTTATTCTCACCGCGTCTCATCCCACCATCTTGATATGGCAAATCCTGGACGCCTCATGATCGACCACCACCTCCCGGTGACTCAGTATGGACTACGGAGAGTACTTTTCGCCTCATCTTGATTTGTAACGCATCTCGGCTACATAACACCTAAAGGCAACAATCAATCAGCGAAAATGAATCATCCCATGTTTCGACGACTGCCTTGCATCAATTGATTCCGCTCATGATTTTACAGTCACGCCTATTATCGATAACACCAATGATTATCTCACGGGCGTTGAAACCTCAAATATAGGTACGATGAATATAAGCGTTATTATAACATTATCGAAAACTATTCTCAAAATGCGGCCTGTTTTTCTTTCAGCAAACGGCACGAACAGAGGTATAATATAAACCTGGGTTTAATTAATCCCAGGATACTCCTGTTTTCTATAAATACAGAGAAAGAGCAAGCCCCTTGCGATTCTCCAACCCAATGTCGTTGATGCGTCGCGTTTACTCCTCCTTGACACCGCCCCGGTAGTTCTTCTCCGCGTTCTGGATCGAAGCCTTGTCGCTCTTGACCTGTCCCTGGGACATGAAACTGTTGGCGGCCTTGAATGGTCGCTGGAGGTCACCGGTAGCGGGCTTGCCCCAGACGTGAATCTTGACCAGGTTGGACTCAAGGGCGGTCTTGAGAGGGATGATAGACTGGATCAGAAGGGGGTTGGTGTACTGGAAGTACAGGTGCATCACACCCATCATGCCAACACCCATCAGCTGGCCCTTCATCAGGGTGCGCAGCTGTCCCTTGTCGTAGTCCATGACGGTGGTAGTCACAGGACGGGGCTCCTCGCCGGTGCCCATTGGTGCGGGCTCAACGTACTTGAGGGTACTCATGTCTAATCATCCGCAGTTAGCGATTGTAAGACACATTTATATTTGATTTCCATACCCTTCTTGCTCGTGATCTTCGATTGCGTGAAGAGGTAGAGACCGAGGATGATCACGTTGGACAAGATGTACAAGCAACGCACAATAAGCAGAACGTCGGGGTTTTCAAAGGGGACCTTCTTCGCCAGCTGCATCATCACAAGGATGATGCCCAGGTTTGTTCTATACGGAAGCCATTATCAGCAATGAACAATAGTCGCTGTATCATTTGCGTGGTTGCCTCCGCAGTCGCGAGACCAAATAAATAACACGGTCATGATGATACTTACACTTGAGGAGACACCATTTTGAATAGTAGTGTGGAGAAGCCCTTGTAGTACGGAGAAGTAATCAAAGCGCAACGAAGGCCTGAATTGAAGAGCAACGGAGGAAGCGCGCACAAGGACAGAATCTTTTCGTTGCTCGATCTGCGGAGATGGAAGCGCCCCGGGCAAGTCGGACAGCTGTCCAGAATGGCAGAAAGGCGTGGAAGCATCACGTGAGGGAAAACCCTTCTGTAGTGGCTGGGCTGTGGCTGGAGAAGAGATAACGGGTAACTGTGGCGCATGGGCACCCCAGCTGTTTGTGGCCTCAGGCAGCAAGATCACCTGCTTCGTCATGTAACGGGACTAAACATGATGCTCGCCGTTCTACGACTTCCTGTCAAACGCAGATGATGCTTAACATGCAGGGAAAGCAACGCTCTATTGCCGCTTTCTACAGCTTCAGACTGACTGCTCAGCAATAGACATGCCCAGGGCTCACTATTATATTGACTTATCCAATAAACTTTGGAGATACAAACGGTCAAATGGCGGCCATACCTGGAGCAATGTCGTCAACCATGGCGAAGAGTCTCAGCACTACGCTTTAACCACGCGGGCTTACTATTTATTTTTACTCATAAACTAACTATCCGTCTTCAGACTATCTCTGCAAGAAAGAAACTAACAATTTACCTGCTTTGTGCCACTGACTCACCGACAGAAGTCGCTTTCTTCGAGGCAACACTGTGGTCGGGTGGGAGCTGTGGTGGCTCCGAATCGGGACTAGCGTCGCTCCACGTTCGACGCCCGTCTTTAGCGACGAGGATGGCTTTGGCATTTCTAACTTCTTCATCCATCAACAACGCGCGTGTCTACGGTATCTCGGATCGCTTCAACGTCCACCCTCACACCCCATCACCTTTAAAACTCGTTTGACGCGACATTTTCATCACCGCGACCCCAAATCTCAACACTTTTCAATATGCCCGGTGGAAAAGGAAAGTCTATCGGTGGAAAGGGTGGCTCCAAGGACGCTGCGGGGAAAACTCAGAAGTCCCACAGTGCAAAAGCCGGCCTGCAGGTCAGTATAATGCCTTCATCCTCTTCTGTCTGTTTATCGCCTGTGTCGCTTGTATCTTCATCTTCCCCACATCCTAGCGGAATGACCCACGTTTTACGATGGAGTGCGACATCATTTTAGACAATAACGCGTCAAATTCGAGTTATCAATGGTGGTGGCCACTTTCGTCCTTCTAGGAATCTGGTCTTTTGGCTCATCCGCGCCACCGTTGATTCGTTTTGAAGCGAGCCCCTCATACCCATACGACGTGCAGACGATGGCTTTTGGTGGCACAGGACTAGGCTGACAAGTATTCATCAAATAGTTCCCCTGCGGTCGTGTTAAGCGTTTCTTGAAGAACAACACGCAAAATAAGATGCGCGTTGGTGCGAAAGGTATGCTGATATCCCTTTCGAAGTGGTCAATTTCCCTCGGCTTCCGCTAACCGTTTATCTGTTCACAGCCGCCGTCTATGTCACTGCTGTCCTTGAATACTTGACTGCCGAAGTTCTCGAACTCGCCGGTAACGCTGCCAAGGACCTCAAGGTCAAGCGTATCACACCTCGCCACCTGCAACTTGCGATCCGTGGAGATGAGGAGTTGGACACTCTTATCCGCGCCACCATCGCTTTTGGTGGTGTCTTGCCCCGTATCAACCGAGCACTGCTGCTCAAGGTTGAGCAAAAGAAGGGCAAGAAGGCCGATGCTTAAATATAAAAAACACTGCAGATACCCAACGAATATGGCGTTTGATATTGATGATGAATGAAAAAGGTCTGGAATACATGTCTCCTGCAGCAACGTGTTGAGCTGGATCTGCAACCCGGGTATCTCGGAAGACCCTTCTCTGCGCTTTCCCAACGCCAATTCCCTCGTCCACCAAACCGCCGGGAGAGATACCATGCCATGCCAAGACCTAGCAGGGTAGGATCTCCGGCACCCTGACCCGTTGTCAACTGTTCTTTATTACGGCGCTGCAGTCTGACATGCGTTCTTTGTCTTTTATTCCCCGGTAGTTGTTTTTTCTGTTTGTCCATTCACAACTGTTCGTCTCGACTTGCCAGGGCGCTGTCATGGGAAGGGGAAATTTTCGGTAGTGGGAAATGTTTTTTTCTTTTGATTTTTCGAACCATTCCTTTTAATCGATCCGATGGTGTTGAGTGCGTTTTATCCCCTTTATGTTTATTCTTATCTCATGGAATTGTACCAGTAGTTTTGTCATATTTATATCAAAAATATAACTACATTAAATTTTACTGCTTCATCTTTCTTCGCCTTGATCAAATTAGTACCTTGGGATTGACCGGGTATTCCGCCATTAGGGCAGTCATGCATATACACCCTGGTCATAGTAGCACCCCTATTGTTCACTATCCACCCCGCTACACTGAAAGAACTGGTGGATAAAATTTCCTACTCAACTCAAGCCTTGTAGTCCTGAATACGAAGGAGTGATTTCTGTCCATGATAGACTGACGGACATTTTTGGATACCACCCATGAAATGATGCGATAGTAGACGGGCTATCCATACTTACATCCCAGTTTACAACACATACCTACGAAAACCACTATAATCTGCCGAATTACAGTAAAAAAGCATACAATAAATCAAAGTCTGTCTTAAGTCTTAAAATATTTATCCCTAGTCTGGTAGGGCATAAAGGATGAAAAAAAGAGTAAATAATAATAAAACATACATTGATTTGAGAAAGATAAAAAAAAAAGGAAAAGAAAATAATCATAAGAGCAAATAATAAAAAGAATTACCTCAAACGTTTGGAACAACCCGGGAATATAAAAGGGGGAAGCCCAATTTCAATCGAAATGAATGGAAAAATGGAAGATGGAAATGTGATGAATTGAGCATGCCGACTTCGGGTGATGGAAACAGAGACGAGTATGACGGGTGATGTGATGGATGATTTATGCTTGTCTTTTTTGATTTTTTTTTTGTTCTTTTTCTGTGGCGCGGCAGGGGAAAAGGGAACGTACCGAAGTCATGGATTTCAATTATTGGTAAACAGTTCCATATCCTGGCATACATACCGGAGAGTTTTATCGGAGGAATGGAAAAGATGAACAGACAGTCGCAGCATAATTTCCATTTGTTGTCCAGGCATAAATGCAGGTATGAAACTGAATCCAATAATATGGAGGCCAGATGTTATAAAAAAGAGGAGAGAAGATAAATAAAAAAATAAAAAGAAATAAAATAAAAAAAATAGCCCAGGAACAATCACATCTTTGACATGTCGATAATTCAGCAAATCCACCCGGCAGACTCGGATTCCATGAAACAATTAGGGGAGAGTACAGCGTAAATGGTGGGAAATCGGACACAAACATTAAACGATGCAAATCGCCCCATATACAAAATGGACAAAACAATAATGCAAATGCTGGTATGTCATCTCTTGGCCATGGTAACAAGACATCGGATATTCTTTTTGTCGTTCTTCGTATTCTTTCTTTTGGTGCAAATTTTTTAGAAAATTTTCGTTGCTTTCTTTCCCGCCAGACACAAAACTGAATCAGAATAAAAAGGCATGTTGCTGCATGCAAGGCGCCCGCGTCTCAAATCTTCAAATCTTTCTGTAGTTTATCATTTTGAGTTTTCGTATGTTGCGAGCAAAAGAGGAAAAATAAAAGAATCCGTTCAAACAGCGTGTCCGTTGGGCTGCCCCAAAATAACGTCTAAACTTGGCTAGATCAGAGAAAAAAGTTTTTTTTTGTTCTCTTGTGGAGTGTCATCTCGTCATCCCTCATCGAATCGTAAGCCAGTAATCGCAAAACAAATAAGGATCAGGCCTCGTGATATAAGAGTCGTAGTCGTCTTGCGGCAAAGCAGTATGACAACAAGTTCCGCCGTTTTTCATCTCCCATCGCAAAAAAAAACAATTTGTAGTGTTTTTTTTTTTACTCGACAATTATCTCCACCCCGGAATTGGTGCGCAATTCATCACTTCCACGTGACTGATGATGTCCGTTCTGACGTCGAAATCCCGAGCCCTTCTCGGGGGCCGGGCCTCGGGGCTGCCGAATGGGCATCCGCTCCTGCGATTGACCGTCAAATCCAATTCCGATAGATCGGTTGCTGCCGATAGGACCAGCGCTGGAAGGTTGGTTTTCCTGCTCCCAAGAGAACATACCCCTCAATCTCCGAGGACTCGCATTAGGTCCACCAATTCCCGTGCCCAGAGACAGGCCACTCAAGCTGTTGACCAAAAGGCTATCATCCCTCTGCATGCCAAGGGAAGATCCGGACGGCGCGGGCGTCAAGGTAGGAGTGTTGGAAGCGCCGCTGGTGGCACCGTCATAGTGCTGGAGGCGGGCACCGTTGGACTGAAGGGCGGCGGGGAAACTCGCGGAAGAAGGCACAGGCGATGGGGTGTAGGAGCGCAAGTCTGCAAATGACTTAGCTGCTCTCAGGTTCTGGGTGTTCCCAAAGTTACCCGGGGAGTCTAGAACGCCTAAAAATCCCGAGGCCTGGTTGCGAAGGGTGTTGTAGGGACCAGGGCCTTCGTTACGGGCTTCGCTAAAGTCAATCGTCGCGGCACGGTTCAGTCCGCGGCGGCCAGTGTCGGGCTGCACTGCTGGTGGAATGGCAGACAACGGAGGGCTCACATTGGTGCCAGGTGCAACCTTGAACACCTGGACCTGTCGCTGGTCACCAGAACCACGAGAAGCGTGACCGAGACCCATGTTGTGGGCAAGAGTGTGGACAGTACGACGCTGAACCGGGGACAGGTTGGGAGGGAAAAGCACAGAGTCGCGAGCCGTATCCTCCTTGAACAGCAGCAGTTGGGAGTAATACGAAAGCGTCTGGCTGTCATTCAAATCGACTTCTTGAGGAGCGTCTGTTCGTTAGTAAAGGATTCAATACTCCCAAAAGGCCATCTCAAACTCACCTAGTTTCTGACCACGCTGCGAAACGGGCGATGGGGAAGTCGCCGGGATATGGGAAGTTAGCGACGACATGGAGCTCTGGGTCTGGAGCTGAGTGTTGGGCATGGGTCTGTGCTGCTCCTCCAGCTGGCCCCGACGCTCCCTCTTTTCCCGCTCAATGCGTTCGCGCTCCTGGAGCGGGAGCATCTTCTTGTATTCCACCCTCAGCTTGCGGCCCTGAAGCTCAAAGTGGTTGAGCACCTCGATCACAGTAGCGGTTTCCTCGGCAGACGTGAAGTTGGCAAAAGCCAAGCCCCGGAAAACTCCATTGTCGAAGTGGTAGTTGAACGCGTAGGGCAAGGGAAGGTTCAGCTCGGTCATCAGCTGCACCAATTGCTCCTTCTTGACGGCAAAGGGAATGTTCTTGATGACAATAGCCGTGGGGATCAGCTCATCGTCGACCTCCGAATGACCGGTAGTTTCCGGACGCATCGTACTCCCTTGCAGGGGGCCGGGTCCGAGATTGGAAAAGGGACTGGTAATACCAGGCTGCTGGTCGAGCCAGGTCTGAAGATGAGAAATTAGCATGAATACCAAGATAATTGACGCCATTTTCTGAAGGAATGGATAAAACATACTGTAGGCAGACCAGCCCGACCACTCCGAGTGTTGGTCTTCAAACTGGCAGAAGCCGACCGAATACCTCCCAGGGCCTGAGCGTTGGCAAATCCATTGGGGTTCCAGGTCTGCGAGCCGGGCAGATCATAAGCGTAGTTGTTATTGTGCAACGAGGGGTTCAACCGTTCGAGACGGCCCGTGTCGTAACGGGCCATTGGGTCCTCGTAGAGATTGACGGGCATGGGGCCGTACGCGTCGAACTGTCGCGAAGGTTGACGGTGCAAAGGCTGCTGGTGACGCTGGGAGCCAGGGGAACGCGCAGAAGGGTTGTCGTGATACATATCCTGCGATTGTTGATAACTCATGGCGGCTGAGAAGCGAGAATTCCCAGTAGACGATCAAAAGTCCCGTGGAATGTGGGCACTGAAATCCACCACAAAACAGTCCTAGTCAAGTAGATCCCGATAAAGCCTGGACGGACTACTCAAACATAGGAGCGACCGAACAGGCGAGAATGGCAAGAGGGATAGAGAGCAGAAGTGGAGGACGCGAAGTCGGGGGTGACGAATTGTGCGGGAATTCGACGACCGGGGGAAAAAGGCTCTAACCACTCCGATCGGGGGGCGGTCGATGTGTCTCTTCAAGGATGAAGAGCAGGGAAGAAAAAATAAAACAAGTCGTAATAAAAGACGCACACACAAAAACCAAAACAAACTAAACCGCTCACTGCTGCGGAATCAATTTCGTCGTGACGGTCGGGGTCATCAATGAATCAGGCGTGTCTTCTGCGTAAAAGAATTCCCTTTTTCTCTTTTTTTTTTTCCCGTGGTTTTTCCTCCCGAGTATTGGCAGAGGGCGAGAGAAAAACGACAGTCAAAGGAAAAAAAAGAAACAAGACAAGAAAGAAAAAAAGAAGTGCCAGAACCCGGAGCACTAACCACCGGTTACAGGCTCGATAATGTCCAGGATATGGGGGAGGAGAGGAGGAGGGGGGAGAGGGAGGAGAGGAAAGGAGGATAAGTTTAGGATGGATGGGATTATTGGAGAGAAAAAAGCAAAAAAAACACGCGGGCTCAACGGCAGCAGAAAAACCGGCGGAAGACGGCGACCGCTCAAGATCCGCCACAACAATCACAATCGTGATAGAGTGATCAAGTGATGACAGAAAAAGAAAAAGAAATTATGATAATAATTAGGATAGAAAATAGATGATGAGGTGGTGTAGTGATGTGGTGGTGAAGAATGACGGGAAGATCGAAGGAACCACAGGATGACAGTCGATTCCAAGATCTATGAGATAGATAGAGTAGAATCGATGAATAGATAGGGTAGAATAGATAGAGTAGAGTAAAATAGATAGACAGATAGGCCTATCTTTTTATCTTATTCTCAGTCTCCGAGGATTAAGGAGATTGAGTCAATAGCAGCAATAGTGCAATGGTGAATAGTGGATGGAGGAGAAAGAAGAGCAATCAAAAGACATAATCCAGTGGCAAAAGAAGAGAAGAGAGCAGTGGATTTAATAGTTGTAGGAAGAGAGGAGCATCGTTTTATTTGATTATTTTCTTCTTTTGCCCCTGGACCCTCTCGATGGGTTCATATTTAGAAGAGAGAATAGGTACGGAGTTGATAATAATAATACTTTTCTGAACTACAACCAGTCAATTTATTGTTGTTATTATTATCAGTTATATTTAGACTCTCTGATCTAGACATAGCCATGCCTCAGTCTATCTACATTATGCAGTACTATACTCTATACTCTACAGATACAACCTACAGTCTATACTACTACTACCCCTCCAAAGAATATCTTCCATGGCTTCTGGAAGATCAACCCCCGTTTCGGTCCTTGTCGGGCCATTCCCCGTCCATCGTCTCCATCGTTGATCACTTTGCTGGTTATTCTGTCAGCTTGACTTGAACTGTCCGTCGTGAGGGCTGCTCCTTCTAAGCTCCCAACGCGTCATTAGAGTCTCTACTAGACAGTGGGTTGGATCCGCCTGTGGGTATCTCTCAATTCTCGTCAGTCCTCACTACTCAGTAGAGCAGAGAGCTTTCAGACTTTCAGTGCGGTAGGTGAAACTTGAAAAGAGGAGACCTGTCTATCCAGTATCCACTGACACGAGCTGCTGCTTTTTTTTCCCCTGGCCGGGCATGCACCGTGCTCCTGGGATTTGGTCGAGGATCGGGTCGAGGGTAGTTTAGTAGTCATGACGATCCTCGCTGGCAGGAGACATCGGCAAACTCTGTTGTTGTTCTATCTGTCCCGGAGGTGAGGATGACTCCATTCTCGTACAGCTCGCTCTACGATCTCTACTACTACAGATATGTACAACTACAACTACAGAGACACAGTATACAAAGTAACAAGCATACAGCACACAGAGTATCCAGACAGCAAGAAGATCATCTATTTGACGCACCAGACTCCCTCATACCTCCGTGCACGCAATAGTCCCTAGTCTGAGCATTGCCCCTTTTCCGACCATGGAGAACCGTTAAGCCGGAAAGGCGAGATAGGAGTGGGAAGAGGGGAAGGGAAATTATTGATCAATCATCTCCATCATCGCCCGGACTAGTCGATGACTCCGTTGACCTCCGTTCTAGAGGCTGTAAATCACCAGGGCGGGAGGGAGGATCCGCTGCTAATCAGTACACAGTTACCGTACTCTTACTCTGTACACTGTAATAGTAGTACTTATGAACTCCCGGATCATACAGATACGGAGTATTCTGTAGACTCTCCGTCCCCAGAATAAAATAATATAATAATAAAAAATAATACGAAGAATACTGATCAACTGTTGGGGCGCCGCGGCATTGCTTCCGGTGGTCCTTTTGGGGCGATCCCAGGCATGACGCTAAATTAATTAAAATCCGCCCAGTTTTGGCTGATAGAACATTCTTAGTCTGCTTCCATGAGGACGATATTAATTATTTGATGGAGTCTGTGGGAAGAAGGGAAAAAAAAAAAATAGGGGTATTTGCGTCTCGTGGAGAGAGTGAGATTAGGCAAGGCCATTTCGACTCACTGGATGTAGTATTTGTAATATTCTAGACAGTAAAGATACTCAATCACAGTGGCAAGATCCTTCATGCCCAACTGCAAGCCACTGTATCATCAAATTGCCACTGTAAAAGAAAGAAAAAGAGCAAGAAAAGAAAATCCTCACAGCAGAAACCGACTTTTGTTCGCTGATTCGTCCATCCAATTTCAACCCCCCGAAATAGGTAGTTATGCGAGGGGGCCCCGGGGTCTCGTGGAGTATCAGATTTTTCGAACCCTTTTGGATTCTGGAGTCTGTATGGTCTCTCTGCCTCATGCAGGTGCTTGAACTGCATGCTGCACCTCTCCGAGTTGGGAATTGTTATTATTACAGACCTATTAGTTAGTGAGGTTAGTGAAGTGGTCTCCGGCAGTTCAGCTGGTCGCTTAAGCAAAAAGGTCGATTTAGTGTGGGACGTGGGTTGTGATTCGATCTCATCGAGGATTTGCAAACTATGCAGGATTTGCTTTTTTTTTTTTTCTGTTTTATTATTTATTATTATTTCCTGTTACATGTTTCAGTTCTGTGATCTGATTAGTTAGAATGAGTTCAGATAATTATCCAGGGGTAAAAGTACGGGCAAATCAAGTCAGGTACACATTCCAGTCAAATGCCATTGTGATCCGTGTAACATAGATAATCTGCATCCAACCATTTCTGATTTCAAGCATTTATGTATGTTCAGGCAACCAAGTAAGGGTGAAATGAGAGCTGTGGTGTGCATTGCAGTTGACTTGGCTCCGGATCATTTGTGTGTTGCCCGGAGTATATCATCTGTACCTGTCAACGGAAATTAATATCACTACAGTAGGTATATTTATGAATATAATATGCCTGAAACTCATAATGTATGTTAATAGGTTTCTGCAACTAGAATTTACATTAGTTCACTGCATAAGCAGCATTAGCATTAACATTACCAACAATATATATCAGACACCATACAATCTCATCTTCTATGAAAATAACTACTAACTACTACCATAACTACTAGGTAATTCACAGGAAGTAAATGCCTACCAATAACAACCAATCCCAGCTACCTGGAAAGCTAAGTAAAAAGGAGGCATCCAACAAATGCCCGACAACTACCATCCATCCCAAATTTCCGGCTTTCTTTCGGCATTTGTCGTCGAAAATAAATCAAGAAAAAAGGCCATCGTCTTGATGCCTGGACGAATGTGGGTCAGAATTATCGAAACTATCAGACTCTGATTATTACACAATGAGCGGGAGAGGCTGTTAGGTTAGATCCATGTCTACCGAACTATCAGCCCAAACAAGTAGGTATAGATTAGGTACCTATAATCGCTGCACGAATGAAAATGTAATCGACAAGAACCACTGAGGGACGGGACGAGAACTTCCCCTTACCAATTTCCAGATGCTCAAAAACGTGGCGAATCTGGTTGACAGGAGCTAAGATCCTAGTTAGACTGGAGTTGGTTTGTAGACAAAGAAAGCCTGGCTGTGGTTGTGCTTCCCCGGACCAATCACGGTTGATCCGAGGTTGACTGTTAGTAGGTAGCTTCGCAAGATATTCTGTGATGATGTAACAGGTTTTATGATAGTTAACTATTCAAAGAATGAGTGTAAATAGACGAGTCGAGACTCTTAAAGTAAAGCAAATTCACCCGGGTATATATAAGGAGAAAATAGTATCATCCATATTCCCAGGATACATCAAATCAAGTAGACCAAATTAGAAAACATAACCAACCAACATATCTATCCTCCCATCCATAGACTTATTCATCTTCCATCATTAAGCATAAGCATAAGCGTAGCACAGGCATAGCACAGCACAGACAGCACAGCATAGCATAGCCATCACTTAATTCTAACCTACAACCAAGCAAGCACCGTCAAACCCACAATCGCGGCCAGGGAAGACACCTTGGGAACGGAAGATCCCGGTGCTGCGTTATCGGTAGTCTGGGAGTTATCAGACGAAGTCGACGAGCCGGGGTTGCCGTTGCTGCTGGGAGAACCGGAAGAGTTAGCGAGGCCCGTAGAGGTGGAGGTTGAAGTGATCGTGGTGGATGCGCCAGTCGAGGTGGTGACGGCGGTGGCTGTGACCAGGGCTGATGGGTTGAAGCTGGTGGTGGTGAAGGAGCAGGAGGTGAGCATATCGTACGCATCTGGCCTGGTTAGCTGAGTTGAGGTGAATGGATATAGAGTTGGTTTACCATTGTCATTGTCATGGTCGTGGTCGTGGTCATCATCGTGGTCATGGTCATTATCATTGTCGTTGTCGTTGTCGTTGTCGTGGTCACGGTCATTGTCGTTGTCGTTGTCCCGGTCGTTGTCTCGGTCGTTATCCCGGTCATTGTCACGGCGATGCTGATGATCGTGGCTGGTTCCATTCCTAGTTCCATTGTTGTACTGGGAAATGCAAGCAGCACACGAAGGAACCACCATCTTCGCCTGGCTCCAGTCACAGATGCACTTCATCTGAACACTGTCCTTGTCGTGTTCGTTGTCACACTTGTGGCTGTAGTCGACCAGCTGGCCGCAGACACTCCAGCATTGGCTGGGGACATCGTCACGGTCGAGGGTTTTGGCCATGGCAACGTTGCTCATGAGCATGAGGCCGGCAATAGCGAGGAATCCTTGGATATGCATTTTGGTTGGAGAAGTAAAAGGTAAGAAGTGAAGATATTAGTTTGACTGAATGCGATTGCGATTGCGATGCAGTTGTTGATGATGATGATGAAAAGAAATCTCAAGCTGGATATCCTCACGTATTTATAACCTCCTCCTCATCTAGAATTTCTAAATTTACTTTTCCTTCTATCATCTTCAAGTCCACCCATTCTTGACTCGTCTCGTCTGCGCCGAGAACTCACCGTCACAATATTGCGGGAAGCATACATGGGATCGACACCATCCATCACCAATCCCAACACCACGAACGAAGTTGCCTGGAAAGAGACCTCTCCAAGTTGCATTCATCGGCAACTGAATTGGGTAATTCTGGTATGGGACATTCCTTTTTTGTCCGAGTGGATATGGACCCTGTGCTAATGGTGGTTGATCATTTGATAATGGGTAGAGACGGTGAGCTGCAGAAGCAATCATCATACTGGTACAGATTAGGAAAACTAAGCAATGTAAGTGGAGTTTGCATTATCGTGTCGTATAGGTAGCAATGCTTGGTATTATTTAATTTTTGTTGATTGTAGCTATTCGGATGTTTATTTTGGTACTTGCATTGATGCTGTATATCTACCAGGTATGAAGTATCAACATCAGTACTCCGTAGTATCAATTCAATATAATTCCATTTACTCTATAACAGCATTCTGATATAGATAATAACATCAATTTCATCATGAGCAGACTCAATTGATTCTGTTGACTTCAATCTCAGTCCAACTAGCGATAACCGAAAGTCTGCACAGCCTCCCCGCCATGCGCTATCCTATATATAGACCACCAGAAGAGTGTTTATTATTTAGATCGTCCAGAAACCAGCAAAAGAGCCAGTGGGAAACAGGCAAAATATGTTTGCCTTGAGATATGGAGAAAACAGCATCGGTGCCGAGATGTTAGTTTATTTCTTAAGTTATGGTTAAGGGTCCTCCATCCTCGACTAGTGACTAACATGCATGGTGTCGGCTGTGATCATGCGTCTTTTTCTTTTCTTTTCTTTTGCTTCATATTTGGTTCCAGATAGGAATTAATGTCGGTTGCCTGTTCCTGGTGTTTATTATTAGATTGTTTGGGGATATGTTTGAATGGATGTTATGGTGGGCTCTTAGGTCACGATGAGGTCAAGGTTGTCTTGATTGGGTCGGAATCGATCGACTCCGCACTTCGACCTCTTTGGATCTCATCTTCAATTCATCCTCTCGAATAACCTCGAATAACTACAGATTCAGTTACTCATATCGATGGCTCGAGCCGCGGTTGGGAAAATGTCCTGGGAAAAATACGCCCTGCGGCCCGTCCAGGATGCATCTCCGGTCACGCTTCCGGTCTTCATCTACGGCACTGCATGGAAGAAAGACCAGACGGCAGATTTAGTGCATCAAGCTCTTCAGGCTGGTTTCCGTGCAGTGGATACAGCCGCCCAGCCGAAGCATTATCGCGAAGACTTGGTGGGTGAAGGGATCCGCAGAGCCATTCACGATGGGACTGTCCGACGTGAAGATCTCCATGTGAGTTGTGTTGAGTTGTGTTGGGCTTTTCTAATTTTAGGAAAATGCTCAATGTAACCCCCATCTAATCCATGTCATGCATGTCTTGGCTAATTCATGTGTTCAGCTTCAAACCAAGTTCACCTCTGTTCAAGGGCAGAGTCCTGATAACATGCCATATGATCCCACGGCGTCGGTGGCGGACCAAGTCCACGCCTCGATCAACTCGTCATTTAAGCACCTCCGTCCGTCTGATGACCCGGAGAGTGCAAAGGATGCATACATCGACATGCTTATCCTGCATTCTCCTTTGTTGACCATGGCTAAGACTATAGAGGCCTGGCGGGCATTTGAGACTTATGTCCCTCACCGGATTCGCAATCTAGGCATTTCCAACTGCACCTTGCCTGTTCTTAAAGAACTATTCTCCCAGGTCACAGTGAAACCAGCCGTTGTGCAGAATCGTTTCTATGAAGGGACGCAGTTTGATGTCCCATTGCGTGGTTTCTGTCGTGACAACGATATTATCTATGAGAGCTTTTGGACTCTGACAGCCAACCCGGAGTTAGTTCGGAGTGATTCGGTCCAGTCCCTTGCTGGCCATGCAGGCATCAGTCCTGCTGCTGCCTTGTACTCTCTTGTTTTGGGCCTGAAGCAAACCACGATCTTGAATGGGACGACAAACAGCGATCGTATGGCTGCGGACTTGGCTTCCATTAAGAAAGTAGAGCGACTGGCCAAGGAACAGCCGGACTGGTGGGAGAAGATACTTGCTAGCTTTCAAGAGCTCATTGGCGATCGTATATAGATATTCTGAATATCAACATATCCTCAACAAATCAATTCCTATGAATGTAGTTAAATATAAAAAGAGTCAATCATTGAAAATGGTTTGATAGGACCCGCTGACTCATCCCTCTGGCCAATCAGCAGCCGCGACAGACATTGACCTCATCCTCGCCGCCAAAATGACACTGGATTAATTCCAAGTCTTGCTTGGTTTCGCTTTTTCCCTCCAACGCGCCATCCAGAGGAGTCGGGCTCAGATCCTGTTTTTCATCCACAAACTTCCCTTTTTCTGCTTTTCTTTTGTGGATAGACTGCGTTTGCGCTCCCTTCGCTTGGCATTTATCCACGTCTCTTCTTCATCCACACTGCCCGAAAGGGCCTTTTTTTTGGATGCTCTTTGCTACAGCCACTCGCCTCGCACGCCTCAACGCCTGAGGGGCAATTGGCTGCAGCGACGTTTTTCTCCCCCCAGACAAGTATCTTCCGTGATATAATCAGCGGAAATCACCTTCGAGTCTTCGTCATCTATCGCGTTCGCTTTTTTTGCGATAGCGTCTGTCGCGCCTGTCGCGTCTCCGCCATCGAAAGCCTTCGTTCCATCAACAAGCAAAAGCCGCTTTTTGTCGGCTGTCGAGCCTTCTGGGGGTGTTTTCTAGGTGTGACCGCTTGGAGCTTTCGCTATCGAAACGACGTTTACGACCTGGTTTGTTGTGATATATTTGGGATTTTTTTTTCTTTGTCGATAATTTGTGCCGCCATACGCTTTCCGATTACGATTACCCCCCATACACATACACGCTCGCCTCTCAACGACGATCAAAAAGTGATCATCCTTCTTCCCGCCCGGTCTCAGAACTTCAGCCTCGTTTGCTTTTGATCTAGCGCCGCAACGGAACTGCGTGGTCTTCATCCAAGTCGCTATTCTACCTCCCCCGACCGACCCGAGGCTCAAGTCGTTTGCGATGAGTCCTCAAGGAATAACCCGCAAAAGACCCGCCCCGGGCACATCGCCTGTCGTTAACCCTCAACTGGGTCCGATCTCCAACTACTCTTCCAACAACGGCTCCCAGCTATCAAACGATCAATTTCTGCAATGGGGCCAGAATCCAGCAGCCTCCGCCGCTGTCAACCCCTCATCTTTTCCCGACCCTAATGCTTATAACACCGCCGCTTATTCGACAAACGCTCAGGATGGTCCTGCGACCACCGCGACAGCCTCCGGTCAGCTTGCACGCAGACAACCGGGTAACCAGCTGATTAGCCGAAATCGTGGGTATGAACAACCGCCGGCACCCGTGGTAGAACAAGGTGGTTCTGGGGAAGGTGGATGGACGGAAAGCTTGGAGGAACTTTACCAGCGGGCAGCGGTTGCGAAGAGAGAATCACAAGCCAAGAGGAAACAAATACCCCCGTTCGTCCAGAAATTGAGCAGGTAGGTTTTCTATATTGGGCATTTTAAAGGGAATAAATGGCTGATGACTGATGATGATTCCAGTTTTCTAGATGAGTCAAAAAATACCGAGTTAATACGATGGTCTGACGATGGGAATTCGTTCATTGTTCTCGATGAAGATGAATTCGCAAAAACACTCATCCCGGAACTCTTCAAACACAACAACTACGCTTCCTTTGTCCGTCAATTGAATATGTATGGGTTTCATAAGAAGGTTGGACTTTCCGACAACTCGATGCGCGCGAGCGAGCGAAAGAACAAAAGCCCCAGCGAATACGCAAATCCATACTTTAAACGCGGTCATCCCGATTTGCTGTGGTTGATTCAGAAACCGAAGAACGCAGTGGGTCAGGGAAGTAAAGGTGGAAAAGGCAATGCTGTGCGCGTGAAGACGGAGGATATTGATGATGAAGGCGACGAGTATGGGGAAGACAGCTCGAATGCACCTCGAGACGACCGTGGTCGCGCTCGTAGTCAACTATCCCTGATTACCGGAGGTAGTGTTGTGCCAAACGATCAACTTTCAGGCGTCTATCGGGAATTACAAGCCATTCGCCAACAACAGCAGATTATCTCCAACACCATCACAAAACTGCGGAGAGAGCATGAACAACTCTACGCTCAAGCTGCTAATTTCCAGGAACAACATACTCGCCATGAGAATTCTATCAACGCAATCCTTACCTTCTTAGCGACAGTCTACAACCGGAGTCTACAGGGGCAGGAGGGACCGCAGAATCTTGCCAACTCGTTTGCTGGTGTTATTTCGCAAGATCAAGGGAATGTTGTCGATGTGGGCGATGAATACTCTCTTCTGGGGAGTTTGAACAGCCCTGCCGCACAAAGGTCGATGAAGAAACAACCACTACTACTAAAAGCGCCACCCGCTCCCGATAGTCGTGCTTCAACGGTCTCCCCCGCTATGAATGCATATGATGCACCACCCCGAAAACATGCCCGGCAAGCAAGTGCTTCCCAACCTGGTCACGTTGAAGAAGTTTTCGATAATAGCCCTCGACAAAAGAACGTCCCACCACCGCCGCCGCCGCAGAACCAGGAATATCCTAGTCAGCGAGACATCATGTCGGTGATTCAAAATTCCAATGCGCAAAACGGACTTGCGACAAGTTTCGCCGATTTTCCCAATGTCTTGTCGTCTCTTGAGACATCCGGCGGTAATGTCCCACTCACCCCGAACCAACGCGCTGATATGCTCCGACTCATGGCCAATGAAACGAATACGGCAGACCCTAATACCTCTTCTTCAAACAATAACGCTCTCATTACGCCAACACCACCACCTATGCCGCAAAACTATTCGGGTCGTCTTGCCAACACCCGGCAAGAGATCGACAACTTGGTGAAGATGCAAGCGGAACAAGATCGTTCCGTTCAGAACTTGACCAACCTTTTACAGCCGCTCAGTCCGACGGGGAACATCCCCGGCGTTGGGCATGATAATGGAAACGTGCCCCCTCCCCCACTTGACCTAGACCAGATATTCAGCAACGACTACTTCACCGATCTCGGAGAACTCGAAGAAAATAAAGCCAACCTGGCTTTTGGCGATTCAACGAACGCTGCACCAGGGACAGGCTCGCACGATCAAGGAATCAACAATGCGGATGACATGAAAGACGCCAATGACCTCTTTGATTTCGACCATATCCCCACAGACGGTGATTTATTTGATGGCACAAATCAACAAACCCCGGGGTACTTTAACAACTTTGACGGCGCAGGCTATGGAACCAGCACTGTCAACCCTAACCTCGGATCCGAAGCAAAAACCCCCGTAAAGAACAACAATAACAACCTCGACTCCGGCCGGATAGTTGAAACGCTCACAGACAGCGAAACAACCAGCCCCAGCAATACCGTCGATGATATCCCACAATACGGCGGCTCGGTAGCGGGCGATTCTCAGGGAGGTAAGGGAACCGGTGGTGGCGTAAAGCGGCGCAAGAAGGCTTGATTTGACTTTGCATCATCCATCTTTATCCACTCTCTTTTTTATTTTAAGACATCTTACTAACTGGGATGTGAGGGAAGAAAAAGAGAAGAACATGAAACGTGGACATGCACCGGATGGACTTGGAGTTCAAGATCAGAATCATAAGCGCTTCCATCGTTAAATAATTTTCTTTTTTTGTGACCCTTTTTTCCTTTTCAAAAACAACCCTATTATTTTTTTTACTACAGACGAGAGAAACCAAAACTATGGAGGAGTCGGATATACAGCAGCAACAGCAACAACGACTGCAAATATTTTTTATCAAGTTTCTTCCCGCTTCTTTAAAGTAATCTGGTTTTTCTTCGTTTCGGAGGATATGTTTCTGTGTGTGGATGACGAGATGAGTGGAGATGAGATGGAGAGGTTAACGAGAGGACATGAGATACGATCAAAATGGGAGCAATTTTTGTTTATATTTATGCTAAACAAGACTTTTTTTTGGTTTTATTTTATATTTTCTTTTCATCCTCGTTTTCTTATCGTTTATGGATATTGATTTTGGATTGATTGAATAAAGTACATATTCAAGACTGAGATTGAGATTCGACTTGCAACTTGCATATGCTTGCGTCTGCTTGTTACTTGTTACTATATATGACGTGCATAACAGATTGCATACATTACATATTCTCAAGAATGGATATTTTATCTTGATTCCAAGTTCTCTATAACGTAGATTTGGATTTCATCTGGTTATATCAACCTCATTTTCGAAATATATATGACCAACTTAATCAATCAGTCAGTCAATCATTTCCTCTTCTCCCGATCCCACTCCTTCTCCCCAACCCGTTCACGCTTTCGGTCCCGTTCACGATCTCTTTCCAGTCCCCTCCGTCGACCACCACCGACAATCTCCTTCTCACGTTCCCGCGGGTCAATGACGACCAATGAATCTGCATCGTCGGGGTGTTCGCGTTTCCATTTGAGATCTTTGCCCAGGGTATCTTTTCCGAAGCGGAGTTCGTGCGATAGCCAGTTCTCGTCACCTTGGTCGTTGGTGGCGGCGCCAGAAGCGGAATTGTCGCCTGTGGCTGAGGCGTTGGGGTCATCCCATGATTGGCACGATTGGCAGTTTGCGATGAAGTGGAGGTCGCAGAGTTGGGCTTCTTCGTCCTCTTGTTCTGGGGCTGGGTTGGTTGGTTTGCTGTCGTTGCTGTTGTTGTTTTTACTATTGGTAGTGGTTGAAGTGGAGGGTTTTGTGTCTGCGTTTTCGAGTTTGGCTTTGAAGGCGTTGAACATCTTCAAGGCGTCATCTTCGGTTGAGCTGCTGAAGCCTGTTATGCCGTTTGCATTGTTGGCTTTTCCTGCTGTGCGTTTGCGTCCTCGGATGGCGGTTTCGGGGATCATGGCTTCCAGGGCGGATTTCTTGGATCCGGTATCTGCTGGGCCTGTGGTGACGTTGCGTCGCATTGAGGCTTTGAGGGATTCGATTTGTTCGTTTGTTCGTGACAGCTTGGATGGTTTTGCCGAGGAGGATGGTTCTGGTGAGCGCACAGGAGATTCGGGATCAGGCAATGGGATCTGAGCTGCTGGGTCTGGGCTCTTGGGACGGTGTTTGCGCTCCACGGAAGGAGCTCGTTCTGGGGAGGGAGAGCGGGGTCGTTTTCGAGTTTGGGAGTCGGGCTTTTTGATGGTTTCCGGTGCCTTTTGGGGTGCTCCATTCGACATGTCAATATCGGTGTCGGTGACGAGGTTGGGGTTGAACTTGGGCTTGGCTGGTCGTATGGGCATATCCTCGTCGCCTTCGTCACCTCCAAAACTCAGCAATGTCTTGCCGCCCTTGGCATTCTTCTTCTTCTTTTTTGGAGCCGGCTTCTCGTCTGTTTTGGTTGCTGTCGCCGTGATTTGTCTCTTCTTGAGCTTCCCTGCGAGGGGTCCCAGTTCTCCAAGTTCGCAAGACGTCACTTTCACCGGGTACACAGGCCGCTCAGTACCCTCGATACGTTCTGCCTCCGCGATCTTCAAAACATTATAGATACTGTCGCCCTCAATCCGCCCAAACATGGTGCACTGCCCGTTCAACTCGCGCTCCGTGTTCGCCAACGTGATGAAGAATTGACTCCCGTACGTGCCATCCTCGCTCTTCGCCATCCCAACCAACCCACGTCGGTTGAAGCGTAATCGACTGTGAAGTTCATCTCGCAGGACAACTTTTTCATTGGGGTCACGGGCTTCCGGATCGTATTCGAATTCGGGGTACTCGTAGATGGAAGTTCCGCCTGATCCTGTACCTGTCGGGTCACCACCCTGAATGATGAAATCGGGGTCAATTCGGTGGAAGATGGTTCCGGCGTAGTAGTTGTCCATGCAATGTTGGAGGAAGTTCTTGCATGTTAGGGGCGTTTGGTTTGCGAAAAGGGCGATGTGAATAGGGCCGAACGTCGTGTTGAGCGTGGCGGATGCGGTAGCCGCTGGTTCGGTGGTGTAGTGTGAGGACATTATGAATGTGGTAGGCGTGGATATATGAGAATCGGGTCGTTTTCTTTCGATATATCCGGTGATGGGTTGCGGTTAAAGACACCGGAGGAGCTTGCGCTTCCGCGGAAGCTGTCAAGGTGTCGAGAGGACAGGGGTTGGTGTCTTGAATGTTTTAGCTGGACATAATCACAATCACAGAGCGATATTTTTGATTCAAACGGCGAACGGAGACATCACCCGGGAGTCGTGGGGAGAGCTGGAGAGCAATGAAAATAAAGATGGCGGAAGTCGAAGTCGGCCAAGTTGAAGCTTTCGGGGAAACTTTCAGTCGCGGTCACGTCATGTCACACGCCGTATTATTGCAGTAAACATTCACCATTTGGCCATATTCCACGAATATATTTTGTATAAAGAATGTTTATCTGCTAGACATGGGCATATTGATATTGCTACAGGTAGAATGCTTGAGAAAACATGATTTGTTTCAAACAATAAGTAATCCCCCAGCGTCAGACATTGAAATCGGAGTATACAAAGTAAAAACCATATCTGGGTCCATCCTGATTAGTATCTTAACGGTTGCTCTTGTTCTCAATAGATATTTCATATATAGACAGTAGTATATACAGTATATAAACATGCTTGGTCATGATAATATGTCCCAGATAAAATGCATCCAGCACATGACATTGCATGCAACTTTTAGATCCATCAATATACATCATTTATACATTATTACCACCCAAAGTCAAAAGGGTCTGGCAGGCCATACACATCACTATAGCATTGGTATGTATCGGGACAGCTACACGCAAATGTTAGCACCTTTCAGTTTCCTGGCAGACACGGACAAACTCACTAGACGGGATCCTGCCCGAATATAATATGCCACATGTATTCCATAACTCGTCCACTAACATCATCCGCCAGCTCAGTCTCCATGACCCATCGATGGTACATTTCATAGTCGCTCAAAGGGCGCTGCAAGACCTGCTTTTTCGACACGGCAAACTGAGCGCAGCAAGGTGTTGCAATGACCTCAGGGACTTCGGTGCCGTTGAAAAATAGGTTCCATGCTTCTGGGAATGCATGTTCTGTCCAGCGCCCTTCATCTGGAGGGTCACGGAATGGTCGGACTTCATCCGGGCAGCCAGGACTAGAAGTGCAGCGGAGATTGGCGTAGCCGTTGCGCTGGACGAATTCTGTCTGCAACATGTTGACGGTCTGGGGGTTGCTGTGCTCATCGAATTCGGTGTGCCAGGCTTGGGGAAAACCATCGCGATGGCTATGAAGGAAAACTATCGTGGAGGGGAGCCTATCGTAATGATCGATTATATACTGCAGGTATACATTGGCTTCCCTTCCCTTGTTTTTGACCACATGCAACGGTGCAGTTGGATCATCCACAATATAGATCGCATGATCCCAGCTAAAACAAGATATTTGTATGAGCCAACTCATTCTTTTCCCTGCAGATTTGGATAAGAAAAAAGTACTCACTCTGGTAAATCATCGATTACCCAGTCCGTGTTTTGGTCCTTCAATCTTCCTACAACCACAACCTGATCTTTTGTCTTTGTCTTTTCAGAAATGGGCTGACTGCCGGGCAATGCTTGCCCATCTTGCTCTGTTTTCTCAGGCGAGGATAGTTGTTCTGTTTCTGACTCGGGAGCTGCACTGGCTGGTGAGGTGGATGGTTGACTGCCGGTAGAACTAGTCTCAGAGCTCCCCTTTCCTTGCGTACTAGTCACCAGGTTGCGATACTGCTGCCACTGCGACTCGATGATGTCCAAGTGGCCTTTGAACCATAGCGCCGTGAAGATCAGCAGGACCGCCACGCCAACACGTAGGGGCGTCTTCATCATCTCACATGGATGGATCGCTAAAGATGAAAATATAAAATTCTCTTGCTTTAAATATAAGAAAATTAAAATGAAAAATAGAGAAGGTTGCAATTGGGTGTCGTTAACGTCATCGACCTAGGTTGATTCCGGCCCGCGAAGTAACCGCAATGAAAAGCAGAGAAGATAAGGTCAATGCAAGCGCAAGAAGCAGACGACACCATTATTATTAGTTTAAGTAATAAATGGCACTAATCAGGAACCAACCTAGAACTGTGACTATGCAGTGGGGCTGATGCTTGTATGGATGCGCACACATGCCTGTATCCTGACACATCGTGTAAACTCCAGAATTACTTTCCGCGAAAATAAGGAGGATGTGCTCATATACTTGGTGACGACTCGTCAGGTTCCACGCGTGCGACTATCTCAGCACAACCTCATGGGTTGCCATTGGCTGAAGACCCGGGAAGGCCACGATCAAAGAGAGGAGATCGACAGTACTATAAGATAATGTGGCCAGTAAGAAGGCTGACGGTTCGGGCGTGGAGCAGTGGTGAACTTCTCAACAAATGAAAAGTGCCTGGGAAGTTGGGATCACTCAAGCAATTAATTCAGTTTCCTGTCACACCACGAGGTTTAAACATAGATTACCCCTGGGCCTGCGATGGAAAAAGTATGTATCCCATATAAGTAAAAACCTCATAAAGAGCGCTGTGTACAATATCAAGACCGCGCTCGGTCATCGCCCGCTGAAACACTTGATTTTGGAGTGGGGGGATCCGTCCATCAGCACTTAGTGTTTGTATCTATGCATGTCAACGCGTCACTGACTTGGGGTCATTTAGGCTATTCCGGCCCCCATTTTTTGTCGTGAACCTATCAATGATATGGCAAATTTTATATGACCAAGGCTGTCCCAGCTCAATTTAAGACCCTCGTCATCTCATATCAGCCCTCATGAGAATCTAGTATAGGCTTATTTATTCTGTTGAATTGTGTGTCAGAAGCCAGAACCCTGTTAGATGGGTACTCGAACTTGCCTGTAGAGGGTCAACCGACACTGTCCTCAATATTCCGGCCTAGGCCTCTGATTCTAAACATCCTGTCATTTGTGTCCTTCTATATTCGCCTTTCCTGAAATGTAATGCGCATATCCGTTACACGGCTGGATGATATGATTGATTGCCATTTGGGTACTTGGACTAGTTGGTCGTGACTAAAATCCTGTTATATCAGGCTTATAATCACTTTGATGGGCAACCATGAATGCGCATCTTCAGTATCCGGCAATCAGTCTGTGTTGACGGATGGAGAGAAAGTCGAGTCTAGGTTGAAGAGGGGAAAGAAGATCCTCTGCCTAAACAAGTGACTTGTCTACCGGTAGCACGTGTTTACCTACCTACTTTGTACAGAGGCACGTGGGCTAGGCACTTTATGTCTTACTTTTCTTCTGACCACCACTACTCATGGCACGCTACTTAAAAATATCGCCCCTTTCCATCCCTGATTTCTTGCCATCGAGGTTTATCCAACTCCAAACTCCATTGTCTCGTCCACTATTCACCTGTCTACCTCAGAAGCTAAGGCTTTTCTCGTCTACACGGCTGGGCTCAGCCTCTTCTTACTCAACAGCAGGAATATCGCGCGATGAACATGCTACAAGCGACCATCATTTCCAGTATAACTGGATTGATGGCGCCGAGTCTCTGGAAAGGTACAATCCCGGTGGGTATCATCCCATCGTGATTGCCGAACACCGGACCCAGGTCTCTGTCACAGGTTGCGTAGATGGCTCGCGTCCGTCAAAATACATTTGGACGTGCTGAACAAGCGATACCGCATCGTGGACAAGCTGGGTTTTGGAGGTCATTCGACTGTTTGGCTTGCTCGAGACACTCACCTGGAGAACTATGTTGCTCTCAAAGTCGGCATAGCGGACTCGATTTCCCACGAGACTAAGAGTCTACGAGCTCTTTCGGCGCCAAAGCCATCTTCACTATCATTTGAACATCAAGGACGCACCTCAATCCCCTTTCCCCTAGACGAATTTGAGCTGCATGGTCCCAATGGAGTACATCGATGCTACACGATGAGCCCCGCACAATGTAATCTCAATGAGGCTTCTTATAGCCGTCTATTCCCTCTTGATGTTACGCGAGCACTCGCTGGCGGACTGACAATGGCCATTGCATATATACATTCACAAGGCTTCGTTCATGGAGGTTTGTCGTTGCAAGTTTGATTGCTTGAATCTATCATCTAATCTCTGTCTAGATGTCCATCTCAGCAATGTCTTAGTTAAGCTTCCATAAACCTTCAATCAATTGTCAATTGAGCAACTATATGAAGAATACGGCACACCTGAGACAGTCCCTATTACACAGCGCAATGGGGAACCGCTTCCACCCAACGTCCCAACAGAGGCAGTAATACCACTCTGGCTCGGAAAGTACGCAGGAGAGTTCTCTCTATCAGACACACAAGTGCTTCTTAGTGATTTTGGGGAGGCATTTGCCCCAGCCTTGGAGCTTCGCCGTGGAGAAGACTGCCACGCACCACTACCCATGCGGGCCCCAGAAGCCCGATTCGAGCCAAATACCCCGCTGTCATATCCATCAGATATATGGAGTCTGGCCGTAGCGATCTGGGAAATTATTGGTATGAAGGCTATTTTCAACAGCGAATTAGTGACTGCAGATGAGATTGTCTCTTCGCAAATCGATGTATTGGGTCCCATGCCTTCGGGCTGGTGGAAGAACTGGAAGGAACGTAGTAAGTTCTTTGATGAGGTTGGACGCCCAAATGAGGGTCGGTATGTATGGCCTTCGATTGACGAGGCATTTGAGGAAGGTGTGCAGAAGTATCGACGGAAGCTTGGAATGGGTGTGTTTGGTAAGGAGGAAGCAGGTGCCATTTTGGAGTTGATGCGCTGGATGTTGGAATTTCAGCCAGAGAAGCGACCAACGGCTCAGGATGTTCTCGAGTCGGAGTGGATGGTCAAATGGGCATTGCCTGACTTTGGGCGGAGTTTGCAGGTAAAGTAGGCGGCTGAACTATGATCAATTCAGGTATTTGGATATTAGTCTAGTATTTTATGGGGGCAGATTCGGGTTCCTGTAGGATTTGAATAGCTCTTTTTATTAAATTAATATCTCGACAACATGCTTTGCGTGCTTCATCCTCATAATTTCATGTTAAGCAGTAACCCATGACCCTCTCCATTCGTGAACGTCAAGACATCCCATCGTTTCAATTAAGCTAGCTTCGTCTCAAACTTCTGGAAGATCTATCTTTTTTAAGTTAGACCTTTGAAACATCCTCTGCCTCCGTGACAATAGACACTTCTTCCTTGGGGGGAGCAACGTTCCTCTTCTTTGTAATTCTAAACCCACCCACAAAGAAGAAAATAGCCTGGAGTCCAAGAATCACCGCAAGTGTCACCATGGCACCGACAACACCCGCCACAGCCTTCGACATACCACCCGATTTCGACGACACAGAATCCGCATTGGCAGACGAGTCCGAGCCGGAGCTGGAGCTGGAGGCCGAGGCACATTCGCCATCAGTGTTACCGCAAACTTGGCACCACTCATCCTTGGAGGTGACGGCGATTTTGTTCGTCTGGTCGACGAAGTCAGACCAGGGGATTGTGGTGCTGGATTGGCCGTAAAGGGGGTACTCTGTGGGGGTGGATGTTCCGGTGATGGTTCCGTTGTGGAAGAGGAATCGCACGCTGATCTCAGATGTCGAAGGGAACTCGTCGGATGTTGAATTGGTTACGAGTTCCCAGGTCATGGAGGAGGCGTAATCTGGGATTCCTGTGAAAGCAACGTCGACAGAAGGCAGTTGGGCCAGACCAAAGTATGAGAGGAAGGTTGCGTAGGCACCAAACTCGACGTTCAGCTTTGTTTTGGCCTTGGAAGTGATGGTTTTGTTGAGACCTTTGAGGACGGATGCGGCTAGGGTAGATCCTGCGATTGCGCGGATAGTCTCTGATTCATTGTATGCCAGGTTGTATTCGTGGCTGTTTGCCAGCACCAACAACTGATGTCTGACATCGGAAGTCAGCAGTTCCGATGATGGGATGTCGCTGGTCGAGTTGTGGATCCATCCAACGTTAAGGTAGTCGAAGATGGTGTAGGCATTCTTGAAGGTCATTTTGGACTCTGTGAAAGTTGAGTTCAGCACCGGGGAGAGCGATCCGTAAAAGTCTTTGGTAGAGTCAAGCAGCGAGTTGTATAGCGAGGATGTATAGTAGTTGTTGCTGCTGACCACTGCCTTTGAGCAACCAGTAGCATCCTGGAGCCAGGTGTTGTCCTCGCTACCAGCATTCGTATCGGTGATTTCGAGGGGAATGAGCTGGTAACCGTTCAACGGTGCTGAAACCGAGCTTCCATTACCCAGGGTCTGGCTAGCAGATGTTCCAACTGGGGGATAGACACCCTGCAGGAAGCCAGTGGCAGAGTTCTGAAGAACTTTATCGGATGGAGCAGATGCAGTGATCTGGTTTTGGTCGACAATCTCCTCGCTGATACCGGCAATCTGCAGCGATGAGGTTGAGGAAATGTATCGGTCATGATAGTAGCTTCCAGCAAGGTAAACCTCCTGGTATCCAAGGTCGGTGAGCTGGGTGTCGGAAAGGACCTTAGGAGTCCTGTCACCATGGCGAGCAAAGATAAAGGCACCCAGGACCTTCTCCGCGGAGGCCATTGGCATGGCCATCAGGGCCAACACAAGACTGGAAGACTGCAAAGAGACCCGCATTGTGAGAAGGACGGAGCCAGTTAAAGGCAGGATATTTTGAAAGAATCTGCGGTAATTCAAGGGCAAAACTGAGCAGAAAAAAAGAATTCACCAGTGCACTAGAGTAGTTATATGTGCTGTAGTGAAAAACAACCCGCGGAGAAGAGTGTTATCATGATGACTTTTGCATCTCCAAGGCGGGGTCTGCAGGCCATCCAACGCCAAGGACGTCTATAGCAAAAAACATGGCCGATAGAGGAAGCGAGTCCCGTGGTACTGCAGAAGCTTGCCTGGTCTTTGCAACTGCAGGGACCGGAATTGCCTGAAACGTCTGGACGGCGCGGGGGAATCGCCAGGATTGATATTGGGGATGGAAACCATTAGCTAATGTGTATGTGATAACGATTGGGTTTCGTTTGGAGGGCTTGAGTCCGCGGATCTTGGCCAAAGCATCGTGAATGCCGCAGTCGGAGAATTCCGGTGAGAACATGAGACGTCCTCGAAAAGATTTAATCTCAGTGGAATGTGTATCAGGTCTGATAAGATTAAGCAGTGACTTTATCTTGTGGTACGCAGCACGACATATCTATTTTCTACGTAGGGTGGAGAGAAGATATTCTCCGTTGATGCTGATTTTCAGGGACTTCCCCACCTGCGGGGGCGCGGAGTGAATGCCTGGGGGTTCTATCTGAGTGGAAGCAAATGAAAGATAACGATAAAATGGACAAGGAAAAAAAGCAAATAATATCTCGAGCTAAAAAGTCGAATTCCCAGTACCGTTTTGCTAAAGAAGCAACTTGAACACGATTTCAGAAAAATAAAAATAAAAAAGATATTGGCGCTGCCCGGAATCGAACCGGGGCTGGCACGGCCACAACGTGACGTCATACCACTAGACCACAGCACCTGTTTTCACGTGATAGCATCAATATTTAAGAGATTGTTAGGGCAGACCATACAATCCAGACCAAAAAAGAGACGATCACTTCCATGTGATCACTTCCTACTCGTGTGCTTTGTAGCCTGGGACCAATTCGTCCTCAACGGATTCTGAAAAAAGGATAGCAAAGCCAAAAATAAAAAAGAATAACAAAAGATTAATCTCCGGTACGGGGAATCGAACCCCGGGCTGCTCGGTGAAAACGAGCGATGTTAACCACTACACCATGCCGGATTAAGATGCAATTTCGTTCAGATATTGACCTCTTGTTCCAAAACAAAGGTTTTGTTGTCCTCATCGTGTAGCCCTAATGCTTAGAGGAGTGATGGGCGAAGTGAATGGAACTTTTTAATGCGTTCTGGTCGAATCAGATACTTAGTGATTATAGAATTCTATTTCCAAAGCATCACTAATCCAATTCCACTGGTATTTACTCCCTTGTAGCAATTAATCTGACGTTTATGACATTATTCTGCGGTTATATATTTAGGTTTGCATGTAGGATATTATTCCCAATGCTCACCTGCGTAAGCGTCATTCATCCAATACAATAATGGAAGTATGCAGGAATAAACATAGATTCTATAGAACGAGAATACACAACGGCGACAATGGCACACATACAGGCCGCGCCAAACAAAGAGTCAACTCTCCCGGCTGTCTGCCTAGGCATACGTTGTTGGGGATAAGAAGAGGATCCAATAGAAGCCAAGCAACAATCGCTCGTATTATATTACCGCAGCGTTACAACACTGGCCTCCACTTAGAATGAACAAAGGTAATAGAGACATAAGTACGTATCGATGCTTTTCAAGTAAATGACAAAGATCGAGGACTAATAAGGTATCGCTAACATAAATGCAAAATAGAAGTTTATCGCTTATCCCCCATCAGCTCGCACCCATTTCGTACAACACCGACTAATCCTCCTGTCTGCATCACCTCCGATCCTCCCCCAGATAATCTCCACTCAATCTCAGCAAGACCCTCCAGCCAGGTAACTCTCGTCTGGGCAGGGACCTCGAGCTGCTGCAGCTGATCCCCAAGAGCTGACAGAATATCGGCTAGGGCAAGACCTTTGTTCATCTTAAGCGTATTGACGGTATTAAGACATGATGTGACGTCGCTGGTGGAGAGAAGAGTAGCCATGATTTCCTGGATATCTGATGGGTGAGGGGCAGCAATGCAGTCGTAAATCGTCTCGTTGGTAATCATTTCCGGCTCTGGAGATGGCTGGTCCTTAGGAGCATTCTTCATAGGAAGGGGTTTACCTGAGGTCAGAGTTAGTAACTAAATTCCAAGAACCGAAAAGATAAATGGTCACTTACTGCTTGCATGACAGGCCTGTAGTACGTTCAGGGCACGACGCATATCACCCTTGCTCAGTGTCACCAAGCTATCGACCGCCTCTGGTTGTATATTCACTTGCTCCTTCTCAACCACATGGTCAACCAAGACCCTAATGTCGGCTTCCTTCAAAGGACTGAATCTAAACCGGGTACACCGGGAAAGAAGAGCGGGCGACAGTTTGTGAGTATAGTTGGCAATGATGCAGAATCTTGTGTTGGCGGTGTATCGCTCCATGATTCGACGCAGGGCCATCTGTGCAGTAGATGTCATGGCGTCTGCTTCATCGAGGACGATCAACTTAAACGCCCCGAGTGCGGAGCCGCTAGGTGTTGTCGAGGGTGCCATTGAGAAAATTTGCTTTGTGCCTAGAGCAAGGTGAGCTTATTGTTCGCTTTCCATAGGGCCTTCACATGTACGAACTGGCAAAAGTCTTGATCTGTTCCCGAACGACATCAATACCTCTGTCGTCACTTGCATTGAGCTCAAGCACCATTTGTCGCATATTCTTGCTGCCGTATATCCGCCTTGCGAGCGCAAGAATTGTAGATGTTTTACCAGTTCCAGGGGGGCCGTAGAGAAGGAGATGAGGCAATCGCTATTGCAAGTCTGAGCAGTTATTCAATTTCAAAGTATGGGTGAGCACGTACGTTCATGTCAACGAATTTGTTAATCGTAGCTAGGATATCCTGGTGTCCGGAGACATCGTCGAGGGTATTTGGGCGATATTTTTCCACCCTAGAAAGTCAGCTTGATATCTCAAAGTATACCGGAGAAAGCACTCACCAAGGAAGATTATCTTGAGCTCCAACTGGTAAATCGGCAGCAGTCCTCTTAGCTTTTCCATTCGCATTGTCCGAACTGAACTGAACCGCGTCCTTGGGAGCGTCCACGTCCATCTCATCCTCGTAGTCCGACATTATGAAAAGCGACGAAAAAAGGAATACAAAGGAAAAGGTAATTTCAACTCAAGCGGAATGCTCAATTAGTTCAGATAGCGATATTGCAGTGCGCAGAATCGAATGATGAAAGTCGACGCGTCGAAAACCTCCACCGCGTAAAGAGGTTCGGCGCCGGAAAATCATGTGGAAGCAGCCTGATGGTGATGACATGCGAACCTCCGTTGTCTGGCAGCACCGCCAACGTTGTCCATCTCCGCCGTTGTTTTTGTTCGACAATCGTCGTTAGACAGGCTCTAGAGGGGTTGAATACTATCACAATACTCAATCAAAATGCCGGTATGCAGACTTCACCTGATATACCCCTCCGTCTGGGATTTCCCCTATTCGGCCTCGCTGACGTCGTCCTAGGCATACCACTCCATCTTCCTTGAGGACCGGGATGTCCCCGTACTAGGTATGCCGAAAGCTCCTCTCTCTGCGCCTTCCATACAGAATACAACACCATGTTGAAGGAAATGCGATAGAACCCAGCAACTGACCTTGATACCACCTACTTTCTCACCAGGCAACTTCCCAATCCTCCCCCTCCGCACCCGCACTCGCGGCCCCGCATACACACTCCCCCCGCTACCTGCCAACACCACCGACCTCGACGTGCCCCCAGACAGCGAGTCCTACGACTGTGTGGATGAAATCCTATCTCTTTTCCGCGCCAATGTTCTGTTCCGTAACTTTGAAATCAATGGTCCCGCCGACCGCATGCTCATCTATGGAACCTTGTTTATCAGCGAGTGCCTGGGGAAGGTCAAGCCGACAATGACATCTCGTGATGCAGAGAAGGTAGACGACCAGGTCCCATAATGGTTTGCTTCGGAAATCGATGAGGCTAATGGGATTAATCTGTTAGGCCCTGATCAATGCTGCGCTCGACCATTTCGCCATCCCGGGTGACGCATCTTTCCCGCTCAACCAAGCCTTCGAGCCCCCACGGGATCGTCAAGATGCAGAGACATTGAGGCAGTATGTGCAATATGAAAGTTCGATTGATGCAAATACCGGTGCTGATTAGTGTTCCCGTTTCCAGATACATCTCCCAAGTGCGGCAGGAGACTGCCATTCGGTTGCATGCTAGATTATACCCTGGCGGTGTTGGTCCCTCGAAGGTAAGTTCCAGCAAATTTATTTATACATTCCAATGGAATTTATGTCTAATGTGATAATGCAGTGGTGGCTCAGCTTCGCGAAGAGGAAGTTCATGGGAAAGAGCTTTTAGATGATATAGAGGTGGTGCTTTTTGGTTGGTCATCAAGTTCAGCGTATGAAAGAGAAACCTTTTCAGCTTATTTCCCGCTTCGTTTATGGGGTATTGTGGCATGATCCGGTATCCTGTCCAGGCCAATGCTGGAGGAAATTGGCTGGCGCAAACTACCGAGAGTAAGTAGCAGTTGTTTTCGAATGGTCTCAATGCCTAGTCTACCAATGCGACAGCACCAGGCCAGACGTCATGTCTATAGTTTATCCTTTACTTTTGTCTGTACTCCAATGATTGGTTTGATGTTATGCCTTGTCTGAGTATTCTCAAAACTTGTTCATTGTCACATGAGATTATGCAAAGAAACATCATATGGCGTATCTCCATCCATGGTTGACCGCTTGGATCTAGTTTTACATGAGTTGAAATCGAGATCTCGGAAAGAATGAAAAGGGAAACGTAATATATCCTGGGAAGAGACATTTGGTTATGCCTTCATCTCAACATCCACACCACTGCCGCTGGCCGTGCTTGCAGCTTGCTGTGTAGGCTCAACCTTTCTCTTCTTCCTACTCGGATTTCCGGCGGCTTGGACATTGTTTTGAGAGGGGAAAACTCGGATCGCATGGAATATATAGCCCTCAGCACAGCCACGTCCGGTCATCATCGGATGCGTGCGCCCAGGGAGTACCTGCCAGGGGCGTATACGGGAAGTCTCAAGTGTAGGCGCGAGCAATAATGATGGATCGACGGGGAAGTCTTTTTCCAGCTCGGCTAGAGCCAGGACACTCGGGCTCTCCCGACTTTGTTCCTCAGACTGTTCCGACTCCTGCCGTCTCTGCTCCTCGATTTCTCGCCTGCGGGTGATGTAGGCTGTTCGTCTGGGGGTTGAGTATAGATCGATCAACTCGGTTAGGGGCTCGACTGTCGGAGAGTAGATGACGACCGGGGCTGAGCCAGCAAGCAATGGGATACCATGCTTCATTACACTAGCGGGCTCCATCAGAGTTGCCACAACTAGACCATCGAAGTCGCCTGCTCGTGTTTCGTTGACGACCTTTTGAACTCGAGCCCACCTATTGCGCTTGCGGTGGTACATACTGCGCTTGCTGGACTTATAGGTAGCCAGTTCTTCGTCGGGGATAATAGAGGGTTCGTTGGAGTAGATAGCGTCTGCTTCTGGATCAATGAGTTGCATCCAGGATACTGACTTCAGGTGGGCGAAGAGAGGGTGTGATTCGTCTGGATTATCTTGGTCGTAGCCGAAGTACTTAAGTAGAGATAGATTGGGTTGTGTGTTGGCATGAAGGACGGTAATGGTGTTCTCTGATGCGGACATTTGGTGGTGACGCCGACGTTTGGCAGTAGCACCTTGTGATTCCTCTGCTCCACCAGGCACACCTGTCTCTTCCTCATATTCCCCATCATGGGGGTATAGGATGCCCATTCTTTCTGCCATTGCCGCAATTACTAACCCTCCTGTTTCATCGACAACCAGGTAGCGACCGTTGGGCCTTGATGATAAAGCCTGCTCCACTGAAGTATTTCCGGCATGATGGACATTGCCCCAGCACCCAACGAGGCCGATATGCTCATCGCGCATTTCCATGGTTTTCCCGGCATCCTTCTCTTCCAACATATAGTTTGTAAGGAGGCTGACATCCATTGGGAGGACGGTGAATCGCTTCATGTACTTCTTCCGTTTGCGCAGCGTGTATTTGGCAAGCGAGAATGCGGTTTTCTGGTCCAGGGCGGAATGAGATTCCAGCAATTTGGCGATAAGCTCTCTGCCTGCACCACCAGACTCCCTTTTGAGCGCTTCGATCTCTTCGAGTGTCATCTTCTGAGTGGAATTGTCGTCAACAGTCTCGCGATTCGTGCGCATCGGGGCTTCATCGCCATCCATATCCAGCTCCTCGCCCTCTCCATCTGCCTCTCCCGAGCCCTCGGTTATTAAACTTTCCGCATGAAGCTCTGCTGCTGGAATGATGCGCAATTGACTACCCTCGCCGGGAGTTTCGAGAATTTCGAATGTCAGGTAAAACGGACGACCGATGATCTGGTTTGCGTTGAAACTTCCATATTTTCCTAGGGAAATAATCCTGACAGGATATTTAGTAATTAGAACAAATGAAAGGACATGTAGAGACCAAGGACAAATGTTACAAGCAGCTTGAATACATACGTATTGGGTTCAAGTTTGGTGATCTTCGTCGTATCAGATGGCAGTCGCAAAGCGACGAATTGATTAGGACGGACAAAAGAATGCATTGTGCTCCCTATGACCCAAGGAGAAATTATAGTGAGTATTGGACTAGCGCATAGCACTAATTTATGTCGACTGAAGGATAAGGCAAATGAAAATTACCCCCGGTCGAGCAACTGATTCTATTCAACAGCCCTCAATTGCATCGATAAATCGTCTTTTTTTCTTTTCCGATGGATAGCGCACGGACCAGACGAAGCTTTTGATCCCGCGTTAGTCCCAAAGCAGCACGGAGCCGGAGCTATATTAATCCCAACAGTAACGTCATTCACACATGACTGTGGCTGGTGCCAAGTGGAGGGTATGTGGCGCAGCCAAGCGTGGGGTTACCTTATAGTACGTAAAATACACAGCCCTGTCACTACAGGTGCCGTGTTTGATGGTAATCGGGCGTACAACTTCTCCTCACCGCCGAAGCCACTCCGTTATCGACGATAGCAGTACTTAGGTACTCTTCTAGCCAGTAAAGAATCTGGGTGCCTGCTATCATTTTCTCTTTAATTTGCAATCAGGTTTTAGCTCTCAAATCCTTTCTCTTTCTCAAAGTGCCTTCTGGGGCAAAGCATGGATTTCGTCCTATATATTGCTTAGTGCTACCATCTCTGCTGCTAAGCCTTGCATATCGCCCACTCCGCAATCATCGGCGGCGTTACGTATACATTTCTGATTGATCCCAACAGTCAAGGCCCCCAGGGTCTTTACCATGGCCTCTGATTATTGACGCTTATTGTCTGTTCATGCATCGGGCGTTTTCCAGCCGCCTATGAAGTTACACCATTGCTTGCTTCAAAGCTATCAGTGAGCATTCACATGCTGCGCCCTTGAATTGAATCGGGGCGCCTCTACAACTTATTCCTTTTAAATACGGCTATTTCAGGCTCAAATTCGCCTTCATGGTCTTGCGAAAACAACCTCCACCTCGTCTTGATTATTCTAGCAAATGGCATGGTCGTATTGAACCTCGTTCTCAGACCTCACCGACCGCTAAATCCGCGTCATCCGCCTCCCCCAAACGCCTGACCCGTCCTAGGCGAGCTCAAAGCTCACCACAGCCTCGTCGCATCCCATCAGTGGAATCGATATTTTCCCCAGATCTAAATACATCGCCAGCGTTTGACCTAATGCCTTTAGAACAGGCGCAGAGGTCCCCGGTGGCGACCTCTTCCAGCGAGCCCTCGAATCCGTGGGCGGATGAATTGGTGGAAATACCAGACCAAGGGCACCAAGGATATTCCGGACCAAGGTCACCGCAAACCCATTACGGCTCCCATGGAGAACATACGGATGGAAAGATGGAAAACCGGGTACCTCCCATTCTTGTGGCTGGGACGCAGCGCAGGATGGCCTCGAATGACTGGCAATCGAGCCCAGGCGTCGACGATAGTTCTGAATGGGAACACTTAGGATCGTCGCCGGTCCAGCTGCAATCTAATAATCCGTTCCTTAAATCTAGACAGCCTGAACAAAACCCATGGGGAAACAGTCAGCTCCAACCTCCACACGGAGCCTATGGTTCGAGAGCAGCTTCTCTGACCCGGGAGGATGCAAGCGATCGCACAAGCCAGAGTATGTCCACCATTTACCTGTTCTTACCCTGCAATTTGATACTTATACCTTTTAGATGAGGGCTATATTCCTATGACAGCTCGCCTGTCTCTTCTCGACGAACCAACGCCGGAGTCTCCATGGGCTGATGAACGCCCCAGGTCCGCCATGCAGCCTCCTGAAGTACCCATTGATCAACAATTTGTCCATGGCCAAGAATCTCGGACGTCTCAAAATCCAAATTCCGGTCAAATTCCAATGAAGGTATATTTGGCCGATGGTCAGGTTTATGACGGAAATCCCGGCGCTTCTGCTGCTCCTTTTCAAGCGCCGCAATCCACTTTTCATGATAGCCAATATGACTATCCGCCACAATATGACCAGAACCACCTTGGCCATGAAAGATTGAGCCCAGGGGAAGGAATTCACACGCCTTCTGCCACTACTTCCAGCGCCACCACCCAGTCATCACATGAACTCATAGATTTTGATGACACCCCTAAACAAGGGGCGCCGAATGACACAAGCAGAGCTGCATCGTCTGTATATGATACCGACGTGAATATGCAGGCTGGACCCCAGGGACAATTACAAAATGCACCATTAGACACTGCTGCACCGACTGCTGCACCGACTGCTGCACCGCCCGTCCCTCAGCGTACTAATGTTCCGGGCCCCAGTACGGAGCAGCGTTCGTCACAGCCAACACCCAGTGTCCAGAATTCTGAGGTCGACGCCAATCGAATTAATGATGAGAGGTCTGAAACATACTCGATCCGCCACATAAACTGGACTGATGCCACCGGGAAATTACGTGAGTCTCCAGTACTGGTTCAAAGTAAAAACGGACCGTGCCCTTTGCTAGCATTAGTCAACGCACTTGTGCTGCGTGCGAGTCAGGACAGCCAGCCCCCTATTGTCAAGGCTTTGCAAACCAGAGAACAGATATCTCTGGGGCTTCTGATCGAGGCAATGTTTGATGAACTGATCACATGCCTGGGCCCTGATGATGACTTCCCGGATATTGAAGCTCTCAGTAAATTTTTGACAATGCTGCATACGGGCATGAATGTGAATCCACGACTCACACTGGTATGATACCTGCCTTATCTAGTGCTGGAATTTCTGCTGACTTCTACTAGGAATCTGAAAATGCCGTTGGCTCTTTTTACCAGACGAGTGATATCCGCCTTTACGGTACCTTTGGCGTGTCGCTGGTGCATGGCTGGGTTGCGCCTCCCTTGACCGAACCTCATGCTGCACTGGTGCGGGTGGCTCAATATCACGAAGATGTTCAGATGCTGCATTTCCGCAAGGAGGAGCTCGAGGACCGGGTTTTCCGAGGGGGGTCGCTCACGCCAGAAGAGGAGCAAGTCATGGACGATATTCATACCGTCCAACGATTTGTCGACATCGAGAATCCCACGCAACTGAGCACATTCGGGCTAGATCATCTTACAAAAACATTGGCTCCAGGATCCGTATCGATTCTATTCCGCAATGACCATTTCTCTACCCTTTACAAACACCCGCAATCGCATAAACTCTATACACTGGTTACAGATGCCGGCTATTCCAGTCATGCTGAGGTTGTTTGGGAGTGCCTTGTCGATGTGAACGGTACTGACGCTGAATTCTCTGCGGGCGACTTCCGCCCTGTAAGCCATACTCCGCCTGGAGCTTCCGGCCCAGCTGGTCCACGAGGATCAAGCAATCGCCAGGTTCACGATGCTGCCTCAAGTGAGCAGAATACAACCTTGACACCACAAGAACAGGCCGATGCGGATTATGCCTATGCCCTTTCCCTCCAATTCCAGGAAGAAGAAAGAGAAAACAACGGGAATAACCGAACTAGGAATCGACCTGCTTCTACGCCCCACTTGCCCTCAGGCCAGCCCCAGGCACTGCGCGGCGATCATAATCGATCCTCGAGTGTAATGAACAGTGGTGGTCGATTCGAGGGACGACGTTCGTCCGGACCTGATGAAGGTCCTCCACCCTCATATGAACAGGCATCTACGAGTCCGGTGTATCACACGCCCCAAAGAACCCCCGCGGACTTATCTCGAGAAAATCGCCATTCAAGGAACGTTTACGGACGGCGACCGCTACCCTCTGCTGTGACAGCAGGACTCCCGGAGCGGCCCAAAGACCGGAACAAAGACTGTGTGGTCATGTAAGGCTTACGTCTTTAGCATTCTCCGGGGCGCGGCTTGCTAAATATTCATTATTGAAACAATCGGTGGCTTTCTTTTTAGTTTTCAGCTTTTTCTTTTCTTCGCAACTATGTTTCTTGTTTCCTTTGCTTTGGCGGATTTTTTGATGACTGGATGACACGATGCTATGTACTTTATATAGATACCAACAGGAAAGACTATTAATGATATGTTGTCTCAACTAGCTGTCCACTCAAACCTCAAATTAGAGACTAATCAATTGATCAGACAGGATTCACGGCAATGAAGGATGATGTACTGCAGCCTGTAGCACTATTGTCAACAAAATCCGGTTTAATCCCAGCTTTTGATCCTGGCAAAGTTGATTAGGCTGGTGAATCGGTGACTTTTTATTAGTCATCAATACGGATAGCAAGATAAAGTAGAATGGAGCATGATGTCAAAATTAAATGCTTGCTGGAACCAAACAATAGATCATGGCTATATCTATATACAATGCCAATCGATCATGAGAAGCAATTCAACGCAGCATTACGGAAATCTTCGAGCAATCCCCTCCATCGACATTCACCTTTAGTCCATCTGAAGTAACATTTCCTTGCTTGTCATTCAACGTGTATGACTCGACGGCCAAAGGCAAAGCAACAACACCTCGAGTACCCTCCGGTGCACAGATATCAATCGCGATATTCTTCTTAGAAGCAAACTTCCAACTACCACGGATTACACCTTGGGGAGTCGGCACCCGGCCTTTAGCCCATGATAATCCGAGATTAAGCACAGAGGGTCGGAACGCCCATTGTTCAAACCCGGGTGTTGTGGGCTGGATACCGAGTACGTACTCAGTGAATACATATGTAGGGGCCGCGCCCCAGGGGTGCGCGTGAGACGTGTAAAGATCCAGACCCGGTCGACCATCTGGGTAAAGATACTCCCATGCTGCCCCAGTGTAGTATTCATCCTGGTTTATCATTGCAGCCCAAAGGTGATTTAGAAGGACGTCGATTGCTTCTGCGGTGGCGTTGTTGGGGGTGGAGCTAGAGCGGCTGTGTTGTAAGAGTGCCTCGAGGAGAAACCCGGAGAGGTTGGGAGATAGTTGGGTTTCTGGGCCGCTGGAGGTGGAGGTTGAAGTCTTGTATCCGATTCCTAGTCGTAGAGAGGAAAGGGCAGCGATGGATTGTTGGGCCTGGGTGTGGTTGGCTACCCCGGCGAGAATGGCAAAGGCGGTTCCGGTCAAAGAGGATCCGTTCATAGAGGGCAGGCTTTCACCGTAGGTGCCTAGATGAGTGCTCCATAGCTGGCGGTTGATTGCGTCGGACATATTATTTGCAGTGGTAGTCCAGTTTGAGGCTGTTTGAGAATCTCCTACAGCTTTGGCGAGTTCCGCCATGTTTTGGAGAGTGTAGACGAACAAAGCCGAGGGAGCAGTGCCATTGCCTGAACCGACAAAGAAAGTACCGGGAAGGGAGAGAGAAGCAAGACCAGAAGCATCATCAATCAGTGGGAGAAGTGCCTCGACTCCCTTCTTTGCCTGTGACCAGTGCTGGTGCAGAAATGCATCATCGGCAAAGTCAATATAGTAACCAGCAAAGGCGTTGAGGAACAGCATCTGGTAATCGAGGATACCGAAGGATTCGTACTCCATTGTGTATTTCGCCGCCTGGCCCATCTCTGGCGACATGGAGAAGAATCCCTCATATGGACCAGATGAAGCCTGTCGTGCCAGGTTAAAGGCCAGAGTTCCGTTGATGAAGTCCTGGCGATATGTACTCGCAGAAATGACACGATATGTGTGCGTAAAGTCGCCAGACCATACTAATCGATCCCGTTTGGCTCCATCTAAACAAACAGGATGAGTGTTGGGCATGGCGCCGAATTCTTCCAGCACCGAGTTAGAAGTCATGGGGTTCTGATACAACTGGGTTCCATTCTGCGCATATACCGTGACGTTTCTGACAAACGCCTCCTGATCCTGGTATGGTCCAAAGGCCCAGGTGCCGCCTGTAAGGCTGGGAGGACCTCCGATAGAAGCAGTGCGTGTTTGCAAACCGGCCAGCGACACGAAGACTGCTGGGTGATCATTTATTGAAACAGAGTAACCGGTCTGGTTGATGGTAGTTGTGATCTGATACCAGTCCCCTTCTGTGATGTTGAATGAGAGAGGGAAATACACGGAAGCGCCTGTTGGCAGCGTTGTCTGATTGACCAAGTTGTATCCGTATCCCACCACGAGCGTGTTTGGAGGTACCAGAGTGCGATTGGTGTTAAGAAAAGTCGAGCCTGGTAGATACTCGCTTGTGAGGACAAAATAGGGACCATATCCACTGACTCCGGAAGCAACCTTCCAGCCAGTTCCTCCTCGAACAATCTTGGAGTGGAAGACCATGGTATAATTGGAATACGATGCACCCGCAACCGACGGGGCCGGCTGTTGGCCACGAAGAAAAACACCATCTTTGGTGACTTCCCAGGTCGAAGGCGCTGCCCCGCTAGCAATGCAGGCTTGCTGCACCGTACGGGGACCCAAGGCCCAGAGTTCGTTATAGTGAGAGTTGGAGGATTCGAAATATCCGGGCAGAGCGTCTACATCAGTTCGATCATTACCGGATCGAATGCCAGTACGGCAAATCTTGACGTTTCCTTGGCCGAGCAACCGCAATCTCTGCCAACGAAGTCCACCTTGGATAAAGAAGGATTGCACACGACCCGGTTCGGTGACATTGAAGGTTTCGACGCGGAAAGTGTTGGCCAGCGCGTTGGAGAAGGTCCAGGGGCCGTCCGCAAAGGGCAGTTCTAAAGCATTCTTAGTCTCTGAATATTTGGCCTCGATCTGGACAGGGTCTGCAATTGACTGGACATTGAAGATGGGGAACCCGCCCACTTCGGTGCCATAATCGAAGGTCACGACTGCATTGGAGGAGGAGAGAGTGATGCAGGAGGAGCTCGACGCATTGGCAGCGTAGTCCTTTAAGCTAGACGCTGTTTGGTAGCGTTGGGGATACACGATGGTCTCCCTGTGATAGAACAAGGTCAATTGAAGATATTTCCAGATTTCAATGGCAGCGACACATACCGTTGTGCCGTCGTGATGGTCGATGCCACCCAAATCCCCCACAGCCACGCCGAGTGATTCCACAAAGATCGCATCCTGACTCCTGCAAGTCAATCCAGTCGGTCAGAGGAAACTGATGAGTGAGAGTGGGGATTAGCAGCATTTAAGAGCGATTCAGTCCATCTTCACATCGGGAGGAACCGAACAGCATCAAAAACACCCCACACTTCCGGATGCCCCTTGGCCTGGTGACATTGGGACAGGATGGTGTTTGGACGTCGCAACATCTTCTCCACCACGTGTGGATAGGTCCCGCACGGTGGCCTGCCTGGTTGAAGTGATGATCGTCTGCGGAGGAGTCGATGAAACTGGTTTGCCTGGTCTTTTCCGGCTGTGAGTGAGAGGGTGAAGATATCTCGGGGTATTGCAAGGCGAGCCTCGGATAATCCGAGTTAATTAACCAGCCGTCCAGCGCATGTCCATGGTTTTGGCTACTGGCCTATGGTGCCTGAGACATAATTAAAATATTGAGAAATAAGAATTGAGAGTTGAGAATTGAGTTCCAATTGTCTTGGCTTGCTGAATGGGAATAATTGTCGAAATGAAAAATGCTGTCCGGGTTGAATGACTGCCCACTTCCCGACGTGGGCAGGAATCAAACACCCAAGTCTCTACAGAATACATTTGTTTATTTTAAATCCCATGAAAAGTAAATTCTTGAGTCATAAAGGTTTCATTAATTCTGTCATTCAAAAGTCGATCAGGACTTTTATATAGATAGAGCATTAGTGGTCATAATAGATCGTTTTAGCAATCCCAGCATTAGTATAAAGTCTTCGGCTCCCACAACGGAAGATTGGGATCATATTTATCCCAAACAATCTTATTCTTCTCGTCAAGATGCGCCCCTTCATCAGTGATGGGGATATCTGGGTGTGTCTCCATCACTTCATGGTGACTCATCCCCCACTTGTCGCGGGGAATCCACAATGTCGGGGTCTTAGCTGTAATGCAGGGTTCAAAATAAGCATTCAATCTTTCCTCCTCCGAGTATTTGATTTCCACGTGGTCCCGACGGACTTTGCTGCGTAATGCGGCATAATCCCGGTAGAGATTAGGGTGGAACCATTTCCACACCTTCTCTATTTTGGATCCCTTCCTGTTGAAGGAGACCTGAGGATCTTGTTTAGACTGCAGGAATTCTTCTTCAGTGTCGAGGGACCGAGGAAGAAAGGAGTTCAGTGGAGCGAGAGCTTCGTTGAGAGACATGTGAGCCAGCACAGTGAGGATAGTGAATAATATCATGATTATAAGAGGTCCGACGGCTCCACGGATGGCGAAAAGACCAATCATGCATATGTTGGCTAGATAGATGCCCGTCAAAAAATGTTGCAAGGCTCGAGGGTAGACGAGGCCTTTTGTATCCACTTCAATGTCGTATACGAATAGGAAGTTGTATCGATACGCTTGGTATACCAGGAAGAAACCAAAAGAGGCGAACCCCAAAATCAGAGGAGCGATGCAAGAATATGTCAGTGCTGGTGATTATGTATTAGCTGGTCTGCTGCCCAGAGAAAAAGGAGGAGCAAAGTGAACCCTACCGATCACGCCCATGTTTGTGAACAGAGGAAACACGTTTCCCCAACTAATTCCACCAAGTATAGCCCAACGTTGGTATATGTGCCGAGGGGAGCGATCGAAGAAGGTAGCAATGAACTTGAACACCAGCGCACCACCCACCTGCACGAGCGCCATGGAGCTTGTTGCCAGCCCCTGCAGAAGAAAATAGGAAATGTAGAAATTGGTCGCCTTCGGCAGGTTTTGAGCCAGGAGGTCCTTGGCCGACAAAGGGTCCTTAACAATTTGGGCAGTGGCAGCAGACGCTGCGGAAGTCAGTGTGGTCACCAAAAACACCTGAACAACTTGAAAGCAGAAATGTGCGCTTTGGGTGAAAAGCTCCACGCGAGCCAAGGAGGGAACGCCAGCACTTCTGGCAAGAACTAAACAGCAAGCCATTAGCAAAATCCAAGCCCTATAACAAGAGGATATATACCTCGACAAATGATGGGGACTAAAGACATCAGAAGCACAAGAGCGGCTGAAGGCAGCAATCCGGCTATCGTTCCTTTAATTGCCTCGGGGAGTTTGTCGATAAAACTCAGGAATGGGAGGATGCTAGTAAGGTAGGTAATGTTGGAAATGGTCCCGACAATGGCCGCCGGAATCGACCAAAAGATAACCAATGCAGCAATACCGCCCTTAACCAAAAATTTGCGCACAATTCGCTGCCACCAGCTGAGATTCAACGCACCCCAGACAACCTCCTTTGGGGAAATCCCAATGAAACGGGGTGTCATATGAAGTGGTTGGTGGTGGGACAAGGTTTGAAGAGCAATCTGCGCGTCAGATTGCGATTCAAATTCAATGAACACAGCAGACAAAAGTTTGACATCCCGGTTCTGATGTTTTATTTGCTCCGAGTCGACTTCCTCCGATACCTCTGTCAGCCGAGCCCGTAGCCAACGGATAGAGTCGACTTTCTTTCCAAACAATCCAATGCGGTGAGTTGGTCGTCGAACCCTGTAAGACCACGCTGAACCTGCCTCAGTATCCATTGAGAGATCCGAGGGAATTCGCCCTTTGTTAAGTACTTTTAGTCTAGCAGAATTTGCATTGCGAATCAGTTTGGTCTCGGCACGCTCCAATCGGTAGGCCAGAGTGTCTCTCTCTTTGACCTTCTTCTGTAGCTTTTTGCAATCGGAAGTGATCCAAATTCGGCGGATAGAATTGCCAAAAACCTGATGCAGTCTCTCTTCATTCTTGTAGTCCTCCGGTACAGACATGAACAGCACGGTTCTTGCAGAGATCCGTTCCACACACGCGGGAGAATTAAGGTAAGTCTGTCGTAAATTGGCATAGAATATGCTCTCCCGTACAACGACATAGAAGACGAATGCTGCGAAGAAAATGAGTCAGCGTGCTACCACTAATGACCAGATTTGACCCACTGAAGTAGACACACGCCATGATGGCATGAGAATAATATCGCATCGGATTTTTCACGTTACTAAAACTCAGAGCGTCCAACTGAGTATTTCCTTCGCCTCCGGTAATGTGGATAGGGAGCAAAACGGGCCATGTGATCAGACATCCAATGAAAGTTGTAGCACAGAGCACTCTCAAAAAGCGAAGAAAGAGATATCCATCCATCGAGGAATGGTGAAGTACATGGGAGTCGGAAATTTTGAAGAACTCCCCGAACCAGTTGACAAAGCCCGAAGGTAGCTGTGGAGTCCGTTCACTGTGATGCTTTAAGTATAAAGATCCTCTAACAGTAATGGAAAAAGAAAAAAGAGAACAACATACTGTTTATGTAAAGACGGCAAATGACTTCTGGGAGCATACCACCGAATCTGGGTTCGTCGACAGATCAAGAAGAGCCCAAACCAGAACGCTGCAACAACCAGGGCGGGAAGAAGTGTGCTCAAAAACGCAGTCAGCGAGGTTGAGTTGTTAACTCCCAGGTTACCTAGGGCGTCGGAGGTATTAGTAGATGCATTGCCCCGAGATGAGCCAACGTTGGGGTCATTGCTCGGATCCTGTCAGTTGCAATGTCAGTATTCATGTTTTGAGAGTGGGTTAGTTATTCAGAGATTCATTTCCGTACAAGCATGTCCGTACGCTTGGCCATAAGGCCATACAACACCGAGTCGACCATGGCGTATGGAAGCGAGCAGACTTGTGGTCCTCTCTACTTGCGACTGGGGAAAAAGGTTGCCCAAGGCCCAAGGGGCTGTCAGATTATAACTAGTATCTCTGAGAAGACAAAAGTCTGCTTGCCATATTTCTGGATCGGCCCGCTCCCCACTCGCAAGTCTGGAAGGCATGGCGCAGTACTGAGTATGGCTAAAGCGTGTTCGACCTGTCATTCGACGTGCTCAGTGCTGGCGCACATAGTTACATACTCCATGGCTTCATCGAGTATGTCCGCACTTCAGCTCAAACCTTACAGTGATTTCCATTGGTGGGTCGACTACGTCCAAATGTTCAGGATAGGTCTAAGACCCGTTGTTTATCTCGTTTTCTCTGACTAAACCCTCGTGATTCGTCTATCACAGTGGATAACCGATCCATAGAATGCCCGTGTCAGGTTGTCAGCTTTGGTTCGTCCAAATGCGTGCTGATCAGGGGGAGGCAAGAGCCAGTAAAGGACAAGGAAAATCGGGGAGACTGGAGAGAAACCCGTCCCCGTGGATCACGCATAGGATCGGCTCCGAGAAGAACACCATACGTGAACTAGTGACCCATCGCGTCGACGGCGGGTGGACTGGTTCCTAACTTGGATGTAGTGCCGCCGATCAATGCGCTACGTCTTCCACAGGAATGCATTTGGAGAACACCTCATCCCATATGAAAATCTGGATATATCCCTGCTATGTAGCATAACAAATACCATTCTAAGCATGATGCATATCGGCGAATCGTTTAGGCTGGTGGGATGTTCTTGGTTTGACAAAGACTGGCGAGGATCTTGACAGGGACGAGGGACCAGCTGGAATAATCCTCAATTCTCTAAAAGCAATAATTCTCCATTAGCGCCCTCTGCACGTCCAAAATGACACAATGTCACAATCCCACTCACTCGGTTCAACACTGAACGCACAAACGCTAAGAAAGGTCAAAACTCGATGGCTGGACTAACACCGGCCTTTTCGATGATTGGATGTAATTAGATTCTTTTTTTTTTTCTGGCGTGTGGTTCTCGTCAATCTTCCCAACCTTGCTTCTCCACGATGCTGATGACCTCTCAGAGTGCGTGAAATCTAATCGTCACGGCACTTGTTTTTTTCTATCCAAGTGCCAAATTGTAAACCGTGCTACGCTGTAAATCTCTGACATGGTTTGAATGCCATATCAACGCAAGGGATAAAACTTTGCCCCGAGGACTTTTTTTGGCCTCGATGTGGTATCATGCGAGTGCTAAGGAGAGCGACTCGTAGAGAATGCTGAGGTGGTAGATTGCAACATCAAGAAAAGTGTCGAATCCTGAAACGATTTTGGGCATCCATGAAAAGTCCGAGGGTTTGTCTTCAAGCCTCCAACCCCCAAAGCTCAAACGAGTGGCCTGGCCTTTCCTTTCTGTTTAGTCTGGTGTGATTCGTTTTGGAATGTGTTTGAGGTGCAGGTAGCCTGCAGATGAGGGGAAACTCGAGTCCAATGGGTCATCATCATTCTTCTGGGTAATTTGTACGAAGGACCTGTTCCCTATTCAGAAGGGAATGCAATGGCTCAAATCTGGTTGGTAATAATATGACGGCCATGGTGGTGATAGGACGAAGGATGCTTGGGACAAGGGAGAAAAGCGCTGCTTCTTGCAGTTGCAGGCCGAGTTCTGGATGTCTTGTGACTTGCTCAATTAAGCCCCTCCTGATTCGCTGCATAGTGACACCATAACAGCTCTAGGTTTTCTTTTCTTCTATTTTTTTTTTTTTATCTGATCGCTTTCCGAAGATATGGTAAGACATGGATATCCCTACTAGTTATGATAATGACCTTCACGATATCTGTTCGTATAGCCAACTAATATTCCATCAGTCCAGTACACCATTCTTCCCGCAGCACTGTTATATATGTACCCATGGCTATTCTCCCACCTTCAATGGCATTGTTGCTCTGATTCCACAGCTAAATCGATATTTTCAAGATAAATTCCCGGGCGCTGCTTGTCCTTGGGCAGACAAATATTCAAGGGTTATTTCAGTCCGATGCGAGGCACGACGACGTGTACTTCGTAGGAGTTTTAAATTGTCTTGGATGCACGTAGCCTAAAGCAATCACTTGTCTCTGATATAACAACAGTGCAACCGACATAGGACTACGTACCCAAACATTCCTGCAGTGCCATCTCATGCAACACATGGCCAGCCTTACGTTCATCGTACAAATATTTGAGTAGAAAGGCTTGCGGTGTCCACTGCAGTAAGATGTTTCTTTGTCCTGCAGCTTGAGTGGTCTGGATGATTCCATTGATCCCATTCGACGTATGCTTGTTCCACCAATTTTGATTGTGTTACCTCCACAATTTCGGGTAGCTCCATGTCTGGATCTGAAATATGAGGGATTAAAATAAGTGATTCGATTATCTTGTCGTGATTTCGCGAAGGGTACTATTGTTTTATCAGTACAAGGTTGGATCTATATTTGTCGACATGAGGAGAATTCGAAGCGTCTCAACACCACCAGGGTTTATCAAAACCAAACAAACTGAGTCAACGAATAGAACATATATAGTAGTCTACCTTAATCAATTTAAACATATATGTATCGCCAACCTGTTTCAGCAATTGCATAATCCCAGTGATATCATGCCCAGAGGCTGGGGTCAGGCGGTAAACAAAGGCAGTATACAGACAAGAGACAGTCGATGCAACAATTTCCCGAACAACCATGGCGAACCAGCTTGCACTACTGTCCAATCTACTGGAATAATGTCTCTTGAACCTGAGGGCCAACAGAAGGATAAGCAAGGAACCACACCCGACCCTCCAGAATCTTCCGCAGCTCTGTCCAAATTAGAATCGAAACAGCCGTTCCCCCCTCTTTCCGAGGATGACCTTGCGACCACCACACAAGATGCGCAGGACAACAGCTACCCAGAGGATGATGAGCAAGACATCACATCACCGATATATGGGGACGTTGAGGTAGAAGACGATGCCGATTTTCAATCGCACTATTCGTTGGAAAACCAATCGCTTTCGGACGCCCATTCGGACTCCGAAGAACAATCTCCAGAAGATAATATCGCTATACATCATCCTTTTCGACAGTCTTCGAGCTCACTCCACGGACCGAATGCATTCGCCCCGCCGTTCTACAATCGCCCCCCAACACCTTTACCACCTTCCCCTTCGTTGACATCTCTCCTTCGACCTCCTTTCTCTACTACCACATCTCGTCCCACAACCCCTGACAGTTCAGATGTCGAAACGCCCAACGACACCGAGGCAGCTGTTGCAAAGTCAGCACGTCGTGCGACGACGGTGCCTCGCGCGAGCCCGAAAGTACCGACGTATGAATACTATGGATTTGTTTTATACCTCGCATCTTCATTGGCATTTTGTGAGTAGAACTCGGATGACTGTAGACGGAGTCATCGGCTAATCTTGACACCCTCTCTACACAGTGATTTACATACTATGGTCATATTTACCATCTCCATTTTTACATCAACTCGGCATCTATTACTATCCGAATCGTTGGTGGTCGCTGGCCTTTCCTTCGTGGCTGGTCATGTCCATTATCTACATATTTGTCGCTCTGGCATCCTACAACACCGGATACTTGACACTGCCAATGAATAGCATTGAGAATGTCGTGGATGAGGTTGCAAATGTAGCTGTCATTGATGGCAAAGGCCGACGGCGACCCGGAGGTGCTACCAGGATGAAACCAGGTGCAACTTCTTATCAAATAATGGGACCGCAAAACCGCAAAGTCAACTGGAAGGATATCTGGAGTGAAGGTACAGATGCCGTGATGGATATCCCAGTAGGAGGTGTGTGCGAAGTGTTGTATGGGCCAGAAAGAGACGACGAAGAGGTGTCTGAACATCCACATGGGTTTGTAGGCAGTCAGAGATCATCTCGTACAGAAGATATCTAGATAAATGGCCAGTGGTCCCAAAGTCTCTATGCTACTGTACTGTGGATTTCCAAGCATCGATTTCGTCTAAAAAGTGTTGAAAATCGACCAATCAGAATAGCGGACCATATTGCCTTTATCTGTTATCACCACGTGATGTGGCAAGCCTTCTTCCCCATCTGCGTATCGATAACACGATCCCTTGGGCTGTATCGAAATCCCGCGAATTCCGAGGAGTATTGGGGCGAAGCAACGATCTATAAACAGCAAGAAAAAGATCTGTCCACTGGATTTGGAAGAAATGGCGACCGACCGGCCTTCAACTCCTCCGCAGTCCGAGGCTGGGAAGCCCGGCGAACTTCCTCGAGGCCCTCTTACACCGGAACAGTTGCGGAGAATTGTAAGTATAGATAGATCTGCCATGGGACTTCGAACTTGATATATCTTATCTGATATGAACCGCATAGGAAGTCAACCGCATGAAGGCTAAAGCCATCCGAGAACAACGTGAGGCAGAGGAGGCAAAGAAGTCGACAGCCTCGAATGTTCCCAACACCACGCAAAATGCAAAAGGCGTCAAGCGGTCATACGGCTCGATGACAGCCTCCGACACACCTTCTACGGTTCGAGATGGTCGCGCCAACACTTCGAATCGACCCCTGGATGCAATCAAACCCGCCCGTAATTTCACCAAATATGTCGAATACGATTTCAGTAAGATGACGGATACGAAGGGAGGGTTTTTGACTGAAGAGGACGATCCATTCAACAAGGCACTTCACGTGCGAGATGGGAAAGCGGAGCAGAAACCGGCGAATATGACACAAAAGGAATGGGAGCGGCAACAATTACTTCAGGCCCTTCGTCGAGATCGTGCAGGGCCCTTTGAGCCGGGGCTTAGCGTGCTTGATGACGCTAGCAAGCAGAAAAAGTGTCGTGAATGCGGGCGCCTGGAGATTGATTGGAAGTGGGAGGAGATGCTACATTGTTGCGTCTGCAACACCTGCAAAGAAAAATATCCGGAGAAGTACAGCTTGCTTACCAAGACTGAAGCAAAGGAGGACTACCTCTTGACAGACCGTGAGTGAAAGAGAAAAATGAACGTTTATTGGCCCAATCCATACTAACGTGTCCTCTTCCACAGCCGAACTTCGAGATGAAGAGCTACTACCGCACCTTGAACGCCCAAACCCACACAAGTCGACATGGAATAACATGATGCTTTATCTGCGTTACCAGGTCGAAGAGTATGCGTTTTCACCGAAGAAATGGGGTTCTGCGGAGGCTTTAGACGCCGAGTTTGAACGACGCGAGAATGATAAAAAGCGACGGCGCGAAGCCAAGTTCAAGACAAAACTTCAGGATCTTAAAAAACGCACCAGGGTTGATGCATATCGGCGGAACCGCCAAGGCGCTGCAGGAGGCCAATTTGGCGATGATTTGGGAGGCGGAAGACATGTTCATCAATGGGGCAGGTCCATCGAAAATCCAGAAACTGGAATTGGAGTCAAGAAGTGCGTGGACTGTGGAATGGAAGTGGAAGAACTAGAATTTTGACAGATCCTGCTTGTCCTGTCCTGTACAATACCCTGTAGTGTTACTTTTGACGAGCCCATGACTGAATACGATCAACATGAATATAGACAGCAGATATCATCAGCTGACAGGGTCAATTAACCCATAAGATGGAGTAACAAAGTAGTGTCATTATTTTGTAAAAGCATAGTGGAATCAGTGTAAGTGACCCATCACCGTTGTCGATCCTTGGCGACTATTTCTGCTTCCATTTATCCAGCGCGCCCTGCAACAACTGCATATTTAGTGACGATCGCTGCCTGTCTTCAAACGAATGAAAAGACCGGGATAAATTATTCTACTCATCATTTTTTACCCCAAGTTCTCTCCATCCAACCCACGAGGTCAACCCAAACGGGTTCCCGCGTTCCTAGGCGCTTAAAGCGGCTAGACCATTCGGCGCCTGTAGGAACCAACCACAACCCAGCGGCAGCGGTGCCTTTCCCCGACCTCAGCGAGGAGAACGCGCGCCAGCTTCCAGTCCGATTCTCTCGGCTCGACCAGGAGTATCTCTGACCGTCTCCTTTTCCTCCGTGGATCGGATTGCTACGCCTTTCTTGTTCTCCCCGCTGTTTATATCGGTGTTGACACGGCCTGGGATACTTGTTTCCTGCCATCGACGTCCGCCCTGACTCGCTTACTTACATCAACAAACCAAACAAGTTCGGACACGAAGTTAAAACCACCCAAAGCTCTCTCCAGACTCGGCATTCCTCCTCCGTCCCTCCCTCCCCCCAAAACATTGCGGGTTGGAGTGCCCTGGCGCTTCGCAGCCTCTTTGTTGCTACAAGTTGTTTCGCGTGTTGATTTCGCATGGCTTGGCAATCTCCCTCGGCCATGGCTGGGGGTGGAGGCTTTCCCGGGGCCGCGGGTGATGGAAGTTCCAATGGCGGACACCCCCAAGGGACAGAATATACGTTGCAAGGTGGGTGATTATGAGGGTATTAAAACTGTTTTTCGGAGCTTACAGCGTTTGTGATCCAGGGGTGATGCGATTTCTGCAGACCGAATGGCACCGACACGAACGAGACCGCAACGCATGGGAAATTGAGCGCGCGGAAATGAAGTCCCGTATCGGCAGACTGGAGGGTGATGTTCGAACAAGCAAGCGCTTGCATGAATCGCTCGGAAAGCATGTTCGGTTGCTCGAAGCCGCGCTGAAGAAGGAGCGTGAGAAGGTCAAGAAGCTCAGCAATAACGAGAAGGTCGAGGATTTGAGAGACCCCAAGGAAATTGCCCGCGAGAGCATGAACGCATTGAAATGTATGGCATATTTTCTGTCCGTTTACAAACTATCCCAGATTTCGCTGACCTTATCTAGCTCAACGTCCAAAGCCGCTTATGGACGCCCACGACGAAAACCAACCCGAGTTCCAGCAGGAAGATGAACGCGATAAGTCTCGCTTATATTTGTCCAAATGCTCGCAGGAGGTATCCTATCATGTAATTCCGACGGCGAACCCTCACCCCGAGTTGAGCGACCCGGATCTTTCGAATCACATTTTCGGAAACCAGCAGCTGTCTCAGCAAAGCCTTGAAGAAGCATACATCCACCAGCAGCGACAGAAGCAGCAACAGCAACAGCAGCATCAACAACAGCATCAACAACAGCATCAACAACAGCATCAACAACAGCAACAACAACATCAACAACAACAACAGACAAACCACATGATGGCACGAGAGGTAGCACTTCAGAACCACCAGCCTGTTGTGACCCACTATGCTGAAAACCCCAATATGTCTCGCGCACAAAATCAATTTGGTCATCCTTCTGCGCCCAGGGATGTCTTGGAACGGAGACCAATTGAAATACAGCAAGCCCCTGTGACTGCGATGGAAAATAGAAGGCATATTCTTGACAATGGCATGGTGGACGAGCGTGGCCTTCCCCTGACCCAGTCATTTGATGCCTATACCGCACAGGTGGCTGTCAAGGAGATACCCAAACCTGAACAGGTGGAAGAATGCTCGGACGATACCGATGGTTGGAATTTTGACGAGCCAGCCGGCCCAGAATCAGCTTCCGAACAAATCCCGCCTCACCGACCAGATACCGACGCCTTCCCGAACGCCAACTTCGTTCGCTCGAAATCGCCGTCAAAGGGCGGCTCGCTTTCGCACCGGAGGAAGAGCTCTGGCTCAAAACGGAAGAGCGATAGTGCCGATAATGCTACCGCAGCAACAGGACAAAAGCAAGATCCTGTGTTCAAGGTGCGATTTGCACTCCGAGGACATTTGGACGTTATTCGTTCCGTGATTTTCACAGGAGGTGGCAGCCCCTCGGAACCAGAAATCTGCACATGTAGTGACGATGGAACAATTAAAAGATGGATCATTCCTGCGACCTTTGGTAACTTTGGTCCTCACGGTGCTGGTTCAAGTAATGACTTGGATATTACGAGCTATTTCACCCACCGTGGGCATGTTGGTGCGGTGACCGCGCTGGCTGCGTGCTCCCCGTCCCAGAACTTCTCCAATGGTGGTCGTACCCTGGGCGATGGTTGGGTATTTTCTGGTGGACAAGATGCTAGTGTGCGCGTTTGGGAACGAGGCAGGGTTGATCCCAAAGCCACCTTGGATGGACATACAGATGCTGTCTGGGGTCTTTGCGTTCTTCCTGGAACCGCAGGGTCCGTGTTTGGAGACTCCAGTGGATCGTATGGAGGGCCTGACCGGGTATTACTGGCATCTGGCGGTGCCGATGGCAGAATATTAATCTGGGCCGTCAGTGCACCTCCTCTGCTCTCATCGCCTCAAGCAGGCAATCGACGGGCTGGCGGCAGCCGACGGGCCAATTCGATTTCATCTGGTTCCAACTTCCCATCTTCACCACAACCTAGCGTGGCAACTACAACGCCGTTCCACTATACACTTGTTCATCAAATCATCCGAAACGAATCTCCCTCGCCGACCTGCATTAGTCCATTGTCTCTTGCCGGAGTCAACTTTGTTGTTTCCTACTCTGATGCCTCGATTCTTGTCTACGACACAAGGACAGGGGAGGAGGTTGTGGGAATGGCAAGCTTAGAGACATACGATGGTACATCGTCTACTGGTGTTAACTCCGTTGTTGCAACCACCGTTGGGTTCGATGGCTCTGCCAATCTAGATCCCAGTCGGACGATGGCGGAGGAAGAAGTGGTACACGGCGCGACTGGTTCGAGTGGTGTAGAGGGCGTGATCATTAGTGGACACGAAGACAGATATATTCGGTTCTTTGACGCTAATAGTGGTATGTATCCTTGATGCTTCTGACTGGAATCCTTGACTAACATTTGTGCCTGCTGTAGGTCAATGTACTTATACAATGCTGGCCCACCCGTCTGCGATTGCCTCCCTCTCGCTCTCTCCAGATGGGCGTGAGCTAGTCTCCGCTGGCCACGATGCCAGCCTGCGGTTTTGGAATCTCGAAAAAAGAAGCTGCACCCAGGAAATCACCAGTCACAGGCTGATGCGTGGTGAGGGCGTGTGTGACGCCATCTGGAGCCGTGACGGCCGTTGGGTCGTTAGCGGAGGCGGCGATGGAGTTGTTAAAGTCTTTTCGCGGTGATGAAATTTCCGACCTCTGATGTATGATCTTTTTTCTTCTTTTATATCGTCAACCGATAATTTACGCCGCTGTTCTTTGGTCGCATGAAATGGATGAGCGATTGGTCAGTTCTTGAGCATTTGCAATGGTGTCAAATTCCCTGCCCGGCACATGTTCCTTTCTACTCCTGTGGTTCTAGCTTTCTATTATTGATAATCCGCCATTTGTCCCCTTTGATTCCTTTTGCAATGATTGTGTTATCTGCCCCATGTCCTTTTCCTTCTACCCCTCTTGCATTCCCCAACGCTTTTGTCGTCCCGTTTGTCCTTTTTGGCACATGGGAATCTTTCATGTGAAATGATGAAGGGATGCAAGCCCAGTTATATTCAACGCCCTGCATCCTGATATCCCTGCCCGTTGTGCATATCCTCCGCTTCTCTTTTGCCCGAGTCTTTCCAACCTGTCTCTTGACCTCTTACCACTCGACCTTTTTCTCATGGGAACGAATTCTGGAAGACGGCGTATGGTTGTGTCTTCATTTTGTGGCCAACTGACTTGACGTGTTCCCATGTCCATCTTGCATCCTTATGTTTGTGACTTGATTTTGACTTCTGCTCGTATATGTTTGTGTATAACAAATTTTTCTCAACCTTTCTTCTTTTTTGTCACAACATTTAGCTGTCTTATTATTTGACCCAGGAGTTCACGGTGGAGGCGGAAGACCACTTGTGGCTGAGAAGGTACCAAGATACAATAGAGAACAATAGGAACCGCCAATTGGGCAGTGGAAACCTCAACTTGAATGTCTATCTTTGTAACTAAATATATGTATGATTATCGAGTGGCCGTAAACTGCAAATAACTGATGGAAGGAAGGCTTAAGGAGAATGGTATCATAGTCAATAAATGTTATCACAATGGAACTAGATATATAAGTTCTCATCGACTCGAACTCCAAGCGCTCTTGAACAATGTCCGCAGCTTCTTTGCCTCATCATTATCCTTAATCCTCTGTTCCAAATAGCCTTCCAGATCATCCCAGAACGCTTCAGTCTCCAAGACCTCCTGCCCACTGGGCCCTACCGCAGGCTTAGGGGGGGTCACATTTTCCTTTTGTCCCTCCTCCGCTGGTGATGCTTCAACGGCTTGAGCACCTCCAATGATCATAACCCCGAACTCAACCGCTTTGCCACCGGCAAGCATATCCGGTTCATCAGCGAGGATCTCCGCAATAGTCTTGCCTGTGATGGGCTTGCGCTTATACAGAATCTTGATCTTATCCAAAGAGATCTTATTGCCTTGTCCGTCAGCCACACGGCCATGTACGGCATCCTTGAGGTCTTGAACAGAGGTAGTAGATAGAGGTGCATTGGGGATGGTGAAGTCGAGAGTTGGATTGCGGGCGGATTTCAATAAGACCGTTATCGATTTCGAGGAGCCAGGTGCGATGGTGGGCTTGACCTTTTTGGGCATCTGAGGGTGGGGTGCTTGAAGGCGGGGGAGAAAGTACTGCAGTGAATTTGAGATTAGCATCTTATCAGACATCGAGGGCGAATCCACATACCGGAATGCGCAGTGCGATTCGTTCAGGATCGAACACATGGTCAGCGCGGAGCTTAACGGGCCGCGAGTCAAGCGAAGAGAGGAAGGATTTGGTGAAGGCGAGTTCCGACATGTTGAATATAATCAATAGAAATATGTACGGAGGTGTCCAAGGCGCACTGAGCGAAGAGTGGTTTCACAAGTGGGATAGTGATCGTGGGGAAGATGCTCACTGTCATCTGGCATTACCAAATCGGGCCTTGGTGAAGTCAAACTAACCAAACAAGGATTTCTGCCTCAGGCTTGCGCACGAGATGCACATTGCACACCGCCTCCCGATAAAAGTTTTGCCAAGCTCCACCGCCCGGCGCGGAAAAAAGAGAAAAAAAAAAGTTTAGATTTTCCACTCGATGTGATAAGAAGAACCAACCAACTTCTATACAAAATTATCATTTATCACAATGGGAAAGGGTCGTCGTATGAAGAAGCAGGGCCCTCCAGCCCCATTGGATGAGTCCAAGATCAGAGCGCTTAAGCAGCAAAAGGCAGGCAATGCAGGTTCTAAAGCAGAATCGGGCAAGAAGCGGAGAAGGGCTGAGGTGGATGAGGAGGACACGGTGAAGGATGTGCCCAAGAAGAAGGTCAACGGCGTTGCCAATGGCAAGGAAACAAAGAGCTTGGGTGCCGCGAACCAGAAGAAGGGCGACAAGTCTAAGAGCAAGCCCGCAGAGAAGCCGAAATTTATGGAATCGGACGATGAAGAAATGTCGGATGACGATGACGAAGAAATGGTAGACGACGAATTTGGTGATCTGGAAGGTGTTAGCGATGGTTCAATGGACAGCCAAGATGAAAACGCCTCGGATTGGGAAGATGATGACTCGGTTATGGACTCTGACGAGGAAGACCATCCCCGGGAAGCGATGTTCTCCGACGACGACGATTCCGACGCAGAAGAGAAGCTGACAGCGGCAAACATTGAGGGATTGTCGCGGAAGCTGGACGAAGCTAAAGAGCTGGAGGATGAAGAGGCAGAACAGGAATTGCAGGAGGCGGCCATGCAGACCAACATTGCTGGTGACCGACCGGATGTGTTCACAGATGGTCAAGGACAGCCAGGCCTGGCCCCCGATTTGCAACTGCTCCGAACCCGGATCACAGACACCATTCGTATCTTGGGAGACCTGAAGACACTAGGACAGGCCGACAAGTCGCGTGCCGATTACGTTGAGCTCTTGTTGAGCGATATCTGCACATACTACGGATACACACCGTTCCTTGCAGAGAAGCTGTTCAACCTTTTCACCCCTATGGAAGCATTCGCTTTCTTCGAGGCTAACGAAACCCCGCGTCCCGTTGTCATCCGTACCAATACCTTGCGCACCAACAGAAGATCTCTCGCCCAGGCCCTTATCAACCGTGGTGTTGTACTCGAGCCCGTCGGAAAATGGTCTAAGGTTGGTCTTCAAGTTTTCGAGTCGGCTGTTCCCCTTGGTGCCACTCCGGAATACCTGGCCGGTCACTACATTCTCCAAGCCGCATCTTCCTTCCTCCCCGTCATGGCATTGGCACCTCAGGCCGACGAGCGGGTTCTTGATATGGCATCTGCTCCCGGTGGTAAAACTACCTACATCTCTGCACTGATGCGCAACACCGGTTGCGTGATCGCAAACGATGCCAGCAAGCCTCGTGCCAAGGGTCTTATCGGTAACATCCACCGTCTCGGCTGCAAGAACACAATCGTGACCCATCTCGACGCCCGTACAGCGTTCCCCAAGGCTCTTGGTGGATTCGACAGAGTGTTGCTGGATGCCCCCTGTACCGGTACTGGTGTCATTTCCAAGGACCCTGGTGTGAAGACATCCAAGAACGAGCGTGACTTCCTCGCCATCCCGCACATGCAGCGTCAACTTCTGCTGGCGGCCATCGACTCGGTTGACCACACTTCCAAGACTGGTGGTTACGTTGTGTACTCGACCTGTAGTGTGACAGTGGAGGAAAACGAGGCTGTTGTGCAGTACATTCTGCGCAAGCGCCCTAATGTCAAGATCGTCGACACTGGCCTTGGCGACTTCGGAAGCGAAGGTTTCACAAACTACATGGGCAAGAAATTCGACCCTAAGATGACCATGACCCGTCGCTACTTCCCCCACCGAGAGAACGTCGACGGTTTCTTCGTCTGCAAGCTGAAGAAGACTGGCCCCAGCCCAGCTGATAAGGCGGCCACCGACGGTGCTGCCTCTGGCAACGTTTCCGCTAAGACCGCCAACTCTACCCCCTCAGCCGACACTGACGACGAGTCTATCGACAAGACCCCCATAGCTGACGATGAAGGTGCCGTCCCTGGAGACGACGGCACATTCGGGCCTTTCGAAGATGACGAGGAGGACCGAGAACGTATCGCAAAGGCAGAGCGCAACCGCCTCCGTCGCAAGGGTCTCAACCCCAAGGGAGTTCTGAACAAGCCTAAGAAGGTTAAGTCTTCGGAGACCACCACCACCACCACCCCGGAGCAGGACAAGCAAGTCGAGAAGAAGACAAAGCCTGAAGAAAAAGAAAAGAAGCCAACCAAGGACACTAAGTCCACCCTGGCACCTAAGGGCGAGAAGAAGACCACGACAACAAAGAAGACCCCCGAAGAGCCTAAGGGAGGTGAAGAACCCCCCAAGAAGAAGAAGAAGCAGGCCGATAGCCCCGGGAAGAAGGCTAAGAAGGCCTCCAAGTGATCTCTCTAATGTTACCCTTATTGTATATTTCCTTTTTTTTCTTTCTTTTTCTCTCTCTATCTTCTGTTTGTTTGAACAAAAAGCATACTTTTGGTTTGGGGCGGCGCATTACGATTATCATTCACCCCTTGTGGATTTAAAGTAGATAGCTGTGGTGGTAAATTTAACTAGATACCATTTGCCATATTCCTCTCATTATGATTTCTCAGGTAGTTGCAAGATTTGAAGCCCTGATTTTTGCCATGCTATACTCGCGAAATTCTATTCGGGTTGACTAGGATTTAAATCAACTTTCGCATGCTGAATTCCATCTATCACCACTCCGTGGCATGGTATATCAAATCTAGATAAATCAATATCTTGTCGCTTCTTCTGATCAATAAAAAACACAATCACCAGACCCAAGTGTGCTGAATAACTTCCGAAGGGTATGTTCTGCTCTCCAAACCGGAAAAGCCAAACAAAAAACAAAGATAGGGAGAAAAAAAAAAACAAAAGAAAAATAACACGCCTTCTAAACAATGGCTCAAGTCCGGTAGATCTTAACCACGCTAATGATACTCTTTCGACAGATTGGGCAAATATCAACCTGGCGTGCGCATGTAACGCAGGCACAGACGTGACCACAGTCGTAGAACAGCGCGTCTTGCTCTTCACCGTAACAGATCTGGCAAAGGTCCATCTCTTCGTCTGCCACCTCCCAGTAGCTGATACCCTTGCCATGACGCTTGCCGTCTTTGTAGCCACCGACGTACTTGTTGCCTGTCTTGCGCTCGAGGAAGGTGCCTTGACCATGGCGCTGGTCTTCAAACCAATCACCGTCATATGTGTCACCCGATGGGTAGTCCATCAGCCCTTTTCCATGACGACGGCCGAAGACGAAGTCTCCTTCGTAGATGGCAGCTGTATCTGATACATGCTTGCCCTTGCCATGGAAGTAGCCCTTCTTGAATTCTCCACTGTAATAGTCTCCAGCGAAGGTTGCTTCAATCGTCTTGAATCCAGTAAAGGCTTGGGTGGGATGCTTCCGCGACTCGGCAGACAAGTACTGTACCAAACGGTCAGGGTTGGCAATCAAGCCAGCCTCGTTGAGTGCAGCCCGTCTAAAATGAATTAGTATGTTTTTATTTACAAGAGGAGATCATGTACTCACCTTTCTTTGGTTAACCTGTCCCCTACGATGAAGCACGCACCATCTGGGACAAACATCTCGAAGGTTTCACCTGGTGACATCGTAGTAACCGTTGTACCATCGATCCGCTGCCAGATCAAGAAATCCTTATCAACGGACCATTTTAGGTGCTGCCGAAGAGCGGGTTTGATTGTCTCCTCCTTGCGAGAGAAAAATGAACCAACTGTCCGCAGTGCTTGGTTTTCAACGTCGAAGACCTGAATGAAGTAGTAGACATGGTTCACGGGCAACGGATTTTCAGGTTCTGCTGGCTCTTCCTGAACGGCAGATTCGGGCTCAGGCGTGCTTGACTCCTCTTCATTCTGAGTTGTGCTTTCAGCAGGCTCAGGCTCAGGCTCAGGCTCAGGTGCAGCTTGACCTGTCATTTCGGTATCCAATTCCTGGATATCATTGGCGATAATTGCTGCAATGACAGCATCGTTTTCAGAGCTTTCAACATTGGCATTATCGCTAAGAGAGCTAGAATCAGTAGGCTCAGTTGCATTTGCTGGGTTACTTTCGTCGGTGCCGTTAGACATAGGCTGATCATCAGCGGCAGGTGTTGATTCTTCGTGGTTTTCTGGCTCGGCATTAGGCAAATTACCAGACGAACTTGGCTGATTGCTATCAGCTTCAGGAACGGATTGTCTTTCGTCAGAAGACTCTGAGCCTTCTCGTTCGACAATAGCCTCCTCTGGCTTGTTCTGGGATATATTGGTCTCGCGTGGATCCGACATAGCAAAGTACTTCGCGTCCTCTGTGGATGTGTTAGCAAGATATTTCAAGGTAGATAAAGAAACGATGCTCCTTACCATCTGAGACGATCTGCATCCAGAAACGTGCGACCTTCAAGGGAAGATCTAGCTTGCTGTTTAGATCACAGACCCGGCTAAATGCCAGGGTTGGCCCAAACTGATCACGAGTATGTCCAACCTGCCATAGGCGAACGTTTTCGGGCGAGGGTTTCTCAGAGTCCGTGGACTTCCACAAAGCGATCTTTTTACGGAGCTCGACGATATTCGAAGAACGGGGCACATCCAGATACATCACGCTGTTGGCCGACTTGGCTTGTGACATAAGATCATAGGTGTCAAACAGACTCCCCAGTTGATCATACTGGGGAAGTGAGTATACCTCAACTTGGATGTCCTGGTCTGTCTTCGGAACAGGATATGTACCATTTGAATAGTATTCCTTGAGAGGCTCTGGAGCATCCCACTGGCCCTGGGGACCAGGTAAGAATTCGCCAACAACATCCTTTCGAATGTACATGGCGACGACAGCAACATCATGCCCAGTTTTATGATCTGGGGCTTGAGACGCATCCAAACCAACATGGGGCCCGAGAGCAGTTTTATGTGTCAAGCATTCAACACGATTGTCACTGCCATCGTCAAACGCCAACCATCTGGAGCCAGGTCCACCCGGGCGAAGGATACTGAAAAATTTGCCCGAAGTGCGCCTACCACGGTGAACGACGTAGCCATACAGAACATAGTTTCCGCACTGCTCGTTCACTGTCCACTGCGTCAGGTCCAGTTCCTCGTCTAGTTCCACTCGGTCATAGATCAACCGCCACTGTCGAGCTACCTTGTCAAGTTTCTGGCGGTTCAGTTCCACGTTGAGAACGGGTGGCAAAGCCCAGCGCCCTGGTTTGGCGCCCAGGTACCAATCAAGAGCTTCCCGCATGGTCTTAGCCTGATCAGCAGGCACGCAAATGCGAGAGTTGAAGTCACTAGGGAGGGTGTTGATGTCGCTCAACTGCATGGCATCGAGTGGGAGGGAAGGACTGTCAAAGAGCTTGGCAAACTCCTTCGCAGCGCCTGTTCCCGCAAGTTCCAGCTCAAGTGTACGGCGAAGTCGTTCCCAGAATTCGGAAACATCGCTCGAATATTCATGCAAGTTGCGCAGTGTGGACGTGATCACATCTGTGTCAACATACTGGAGCGACTTGCCGCGGCAGCGCAGCTGCCAGAGGAATCTCTGCAATGCGTCACACACTGGCTTAGGTTTGACATCAGGGTTGCTAAGATGTTCGAGCACATCGACGCCTTGGATGATTTTGCAAAATGGTGCAATGTGCAGCCAAGTAGCCAAGCCAGCCACTTCAGCGCTGTGGTTAATGACCGAATCACCAAGGGGCCGGTAGCCTGTCAAGCCTAGGCTATCCCAGGTTGGTTCGGAGTCGCTGGCGTGCCACCACAGCGAGCGTGTAGGGTCGTCAAAAATGCGAATGTACGCATCGAAAGCCAGTGTGTCATTGCGGAGGAGCGCCTGGCGCTGGCCCCGTTGGCGACGGTGAATCTGGTCCCACGGGCCGTGGAAGTTGGTCCAGCCCCAGTCAAGGTTGTGAGGGTTGAATTGGTGACAAGAAGACTGCATCCACCCGGTTCGAGGCTCGTCGGGATTGTACAGTATCACACCAATCTGGGCAGAAACTCGCCAGGAGTCGTTAGTCGTGGCCTCCGTATTGGCGGCAGGGGGATACTGCGACTTGAAGTTCTCAAGCCAGGTTGCAGTGTCCTCGGTTGCTCCAAACTTCATGTCCAGATCGGGTGCGGAATCGTCCAGCGCACCGTCGGGAGCGCCCTTAAGCACCTTGAATTCGGTATCAGGCAGCGTCTTCTCGCAAGTGGGCATGGTTGTAGAACATTCAATGTAGACGCTCAACGAACTGACATTGTTACCACGGGGGAAGAACTTGATGGTCCACCAGTAACCACCAATGTAAGCGGGTGGAGAGCGCATTATCTTGGAGCGGTTGGGATTTTCCTTATTGCCTCGGACACCCTTAATCTTCCAGGTTAACCGGGCCTTCTCAGAAGGGCGATACTCTGGGTCATCTAGTTCGGGATGGAAGTTCTTTTCCCAGTATTTATCTGCCATCCAGTCAGCCTTCCATCATTTTCACCATCTGTTTCTTTCCCGCTTTATATCATAGATCTTGATGCGTGATCAGAACTCACATTCATAGGCACTGTAATCTCCATCTGCTGCTGATTCGATGTCCTTTAACTCTGCCTCATCTGGAACCGACTTGTCCTCCTCAATCTCAGCCCAGTATGCCTCTTCAAGCTCTGATGGTGCAGGTGGGGCGGACTCAGATTCTGTTGATGGTGTTTCTCCCTCGTTTGGAGAATCTTGTGGAGGGGGCTCATTTGAGGCATTGTTGTGTTCTTGTGGCTCGGAGGGGACAGGTTCATCGGTAGAGGGGACGGTCGTATCGTTTGTTTGATCTGTATTTTCAGGAGTCTCATTCGATTCTTCTGGGGTATTAATAGTGACTGTGCTTTCTCTGTCTGCTGGAGGAGGTAAAGGAGCATCGACACTGAGGGTGATGGGCGGAGGCAGCTGTTCCACCGTGACAGAAGTGTCGACTCTGGTGTCCATTTTGAACAGGAGAGAGGATAAAATAATGAAAAACGAAGAAGAATAAGCCAAGAAGCTTGAAGAAGAAGAAGCAACAAGTGCAAAGAGCAGAAAAGCGTGAAAAAAAAAAAAAAAAAAAAGGGTACAACAGAGATAAATAAATCTAGATAAGCGATAGAACAGTTGCGTCCAGCAAAAGTGAGAGGAAGAGTAAGGGAATAAATATGTGCAGGACAAGGCAGAAAATATATAAAGAAACCAAGATTGATGCCTTGTAAGAAAGTTGACTCACTCCTTTGGAGAGGAAGCAAGGCCAACGATGATGATCGTGGGGGGAAGAGGGCAAAGGAATCTAGATTCCCCGATAAGACAAGGCAGAAATGCTTATCGGAAGCAGTGGATTTGGAGATTCTGGGGAAGATACGATCGCGAGGAAGGATGGGGAAGACGAGAAGGTGTGAGAGGTTAAAAAAGAGGATGGAGATGCTGGCAAAGAGAAAAGAAGAAAAAGAAGAAAAAGAAAGAGGGAAAAGGATGAGAAAAAAAAAAAAAAAGGGCAGAAAGAAAGGTTCTCGACCAACGAAGCGCCAGAATGAGGCGGCGATGCAGCCTCAACGAAATACCAGAAGAACCAAACGAACAACGCACACCGCTGGTTCCGCCGATGTTAGGCAGGAATCCGCAGTCCAAACGACCAGGGGATCTTGTTCTATGGTTGCTGCTGGGATAATTAATTATCTACCGCTACATGACTGACTTACAGGAAGACTTGCTTTTCTCCCCAGTTATTTGGGCAAGCGATCCACTCGTGGAGATCCTAACTGCCAACTTTAATTCATAGGCACTGTTCCATGTGGTATGCACATCTGGTGGCAAAGCGAACAATCTCAATGAATTATCTTCACTTTTCTGGACTCAGGAACCACTCCCTTCCCCGTATATCCGCACAGTGGCAATTCGGATCCATCACTTCAACAATACTCGTCTTAAGAGGCGTTGGTAGCACGAATCGGCGCCATCCCCTCGATCCATGGGTGCTTCCACCAATCCCCAACTTCGCCATCTTTTTTCTATCCGCCAAAGCCAATCTTTCGACTTTTGCCTCCTGGTCCGATTCTTCCGACCATTTCCTCCTCTCCCCAACGCGTGTAGAGCCTTTCCCGCTGGATTTCCCGCTCGATGAACCGGGTCTCCGCCGCGACCAATCATTTGGGTTTCTTCTGGCCCCGACCTGACCGCCACGCCCATTGGTTCTGGGCTTGTGGTTAACGCCTTCTAAGGGGAAAAATATTTGCGTACATCGTTTTGCCACTGCGTGGCTCATCAGGGGTCGTAAATCCTTTGAGGGCGGGGCAGGTCCATGAAGGGAAAGGAAAGTAGATATAGGTGCTACATGCGACCATCGAGAATCAAATGTGAACCGGTGAGGTTATTACAAGACCACTGACGAGTACGAAACAGACAAAAGTTTCAATCAGTTGTGGGATTCCGTTGCCTGGTTTGATGAGGACGATTCGGCTCGTGCAAATGAGGCGGCAACCATGAGGGGAAAGACAACCGTTGCTTCAGCGTAAACCTTGACTGCGTTCGCGTCCGCCTTGATCTTTCCCCAGCTCACAGCCTCGTCCGGACGGGCTCCAGCGTCACTGCCGTCAAACTCTTGCGCCGTATTCACATATACTGCGTGCTCTGCTCCGTTTCGCATCAGACACGCGTTGGCAATGTGGTGTTTAATTATCCCGCCTCCGAGAATGATCATTCCCGCGCGGGCGGCCCGCACGGCCATCGTGTTGATACGGCGCACATCGTCAACGATATCGACCCGCAGCCGCTGTGGGGAGGAACGATAGGTGTGGAAGTAGAGCATATCGCCCAGAGAGCCGTCTGTCAGAGCGGGGCAGAAGATAGGAATGTTGTTGCGAGCCGCCCAGTAAAGCACCGAGTCTTCGTTGTTGATCTCTCGACCCAACCGTTCTGTGATGCGACTTGGTGTCCAGTGCAGTTCATCCTCCTCGTCACCTGTCTCGAGTGCCTTTTTCTTTGCGGCTTCCTGCTCCTCCAGCATCTTATCCAGAATGGGAACCAACCAGTCTTCGAAGGAACAATAGTTGCTATTCGGGACGAGCAGATTGCCGATACGATTGAGGCCTTTCGCGCGAAGTCCTGCTCCTGGTGCGGTGAATGAGCCCATGTAGGTGGGTGCCAGACATTTGATCAAATCTTCTTCCACTCCTCCGGCTGTGGTAACGATGGCGGAAACATGACGATGCTTAACAAGATAGCGAAGGGTGTCTCGGAGTCCGGACGATATCAGATTTGAGGTGTAACCAAGGAAAATGGTGGTTTTCTCTCCTGTTTCAGGGTGACGGTATGCGCGCTGTTGATGAGAAAGTCAGCTACCTCAAGCGGCAGGTGGCCACGAGGTGAATTGGATGAAGCAATAAAAATAAAGAAAACACACCATATCATTCAAAATACGGGTAGCCTCCCCGACAGCGCTTGCTTGAAAACCCATATGGCTCATGTTATCTACCATCTCTGCGACAGTAATATCGCGGCCTTGGAAGTGATCAAAGTCGACCCCGCGGACCTGGTGAGTCCCTTCAGGAACCGGCTCAGAGGCGACAAGGACGGCATTGGTAGCAGAAGAAGGAGCTGCCCCTCCAGGCACTGTTGGATTTGGTGTAGCCATAATTTCTAAAATGATAAAGAATAGAGAAAGCGTGGAATAGTGGTATTATAATTTGAATGGTGATTCGGTGTAGGGCGGGGAATTTGTCTTTTTTCTTTTTTCTTTTTTTTTTCTTTTGGCGGGGAAGACGACGATGTGTGCCTCAGGCTACAATACCTAAATTAGCCCATGCGACATGCAGACCATCGTTCGCTGCCTCAGGCACTCACGTTGCATGGTCTGGCCTAAGGCATTCCAAAAGTTATTTTTGAGTTTCCCCCAAACAATCCATCGACCAATGACAGGCCCGCATCGGATTCTATCTTTCCACTCCTCCTTGTCCCTCTTTCTGCGATCCTTTCTTCCTCTCCTGCTCGTCTCTCAAACCATCCATTTTTTGTTCATTACCTACCTATCTTCCTACAGGCCGGTTCCTGACTACTTTTCGGCCGAGTTCTGAGTGACTGGGACGCTTCAAAGATCCAGGAAAGCTCAGATCTTGGTTCCCTCTCAAGCATATTCGTTTTGCATGCAATCTGAGGATACCATCGAGACCGAGTCAATTTTGTCTTGCTGCCTGACTGCACACTCCTTGCAGTCAACAGCATAAGTCCATCTGCCTGACGGCTTTCATCCATTGAAGAAGTGCGGGGATTTCCTACTCGAAGCTTCTTTATCTTTCTTTGATTTTCGACTTCATTGACTGTAGCCACGTCGAGGTGACGGTTGGTCACAGGGTTGTCAGGGACACATCATCTCCGTCCATCTGATTAGGTACCTAGCATCGGTACTCGGGACTATCGGGTCAAATCATATCAGTTTGTTCCTTCTAGCCGACAGAACAGCATCTCAAAATCGTTGACCCCGATTTCTCTTTCATCCCGTCTTTCTTGTCGTTCGTCGCATCTGAAACATCTTCGAGTGGCTGCTGCCAAGCATCTTCAAATTCGAAAAGACGCTGTTCCATTTTCGAATTCCCACTTTACCATATTAGGCTCTAGCGGCATTAGTCCATATTATATAAGCACAGCCCTGGTGGCCTGTGCTTTCCGTCACGCTTGAAGATCACGTGTTCCCCACCGCTCGGCCGCCTGTCTGGTCTCTTTAGCGCCTCTTCTCCAAATTCCAATTCGACCTCCCTTCCCCCGGCTCTTCTAACCCGAACCTGCTGCAGGGGAACTGCCAGGTTGCTTCGTTTGACCTTTATTTAGCATGACTTGGTGATGTCTTCTCGATACCCTCCTTTGTCTGGGTTCAATTCCCGCGATCGTTCCCCCCAGCGCTTCGGTGACCGTCGACCTCCCGTCGGCCCCCGTGGCGCTGATGATGCTATTCCACCCCCTCTTGGTAGAGAGCCGCCCCGTGGACCCAAGGCCTTGATAGACCCTCCGAGAGGGGGTCCGTTTGGTGGTCGAGGTCGGGGTTATCCAGGCCGCAGTGACTTTCGCGATAGGGACCGTGATTTACGAGATCGAGATCGAGATCGCGACCGAGACTTCCGTGATATTCGAGATGGACCTCCTCCATTTCGCCGTGATATTGATCGAGACTGGGGCCGTCGCGACCGTGATTTCGACCCCAGAGATTCGCGCGTCGGTTTTGGTCGCGGCCGCTCCCGCTCCCCTCCCCGCGACTTTCGCGACTTGAGAGAACCGTTAGGACGGGACCCTGACCTGGTTCGCATGCGACGAGGCTCTCGAGATAGCTTACTCTCTGCCTCATCAAATGCACCCGACGGCCCACCCTTAGGAGTTGGCCACCACCCCCGTAGTGGTCCAATTCGTGGCCGTGGCCGTGGTGACTGGGAGGGTGGACGGGGCCGGGGTCGTGTTCCTTACCTAGATGATCGCGATTCGTTTCGTCGTCGAAGTCGTTCTCGGGATGGAAGATGGGATCGTGACCGTGAGCGGGATCGTGAAAGGGATCGCGAGAGAGAAAGAGACCGAGACCGAATTATGATCGATCGCGAACGGGAAAGGGACCGAATTATAGATCGCGAACGTGAGCGTGAGCGGGATCTAGACCGACGCGACCGCGAGAGAGAGCGCGAAATAGATCGACGTGAGCGCTTTGACCGTCGGGATGAATTAGACAGACGTTTCGAACGTGATGACCGTGATCGACCAACTGATCATTGGAAGAGGGATCGCCCTCCTAGTCGAACCGAGACTCGAATGCCTCCTAACTCCAATCCAAACTCCATACCACATCCTCCTCCGCCGGCTGCACCACCTGCTCCTACTCTCTCCGAAAGAATTCCCGATCATCCGGCTCCAGAGCAGACACGCAAGCCATCTGTATCAGAAGCCCGTCGCGAAGCAGAACGCCCCGACCCCCTCCCGCCTCGTCCGGAACCTGTCAAGGATTTTGCCCCGCCAGTCAAGCGCTCGCCGCCACCGTCTGCTCCCCAGGTACCTGCATTTGGGTCTGTTAATGCTCCTATCCCTGGTCTGCCCGCAGAAAAGCCTGCAGCCGAGGCAGCCCCGAGCGGCCCGACAGCCGTAAGGGTGGACAAAGATCGAAATGAACACCCCCCACCGCGCGCTTCCATGCAACCACCCACCGGGCCAAAAGCCGATCGTGCACCACCACAGCAGCCACTAGAGCAGCGAGTCAGACGTGATGAGAGCGCTGAAGGCTTCACTAAACAGGACACCACACCACGAGCCCCAAAATCACATCCCGGGCCACCAGTCAGTGCACGAAAACAAACGCCAGACCTTTCACCGCCTACAGCGCCAGCAGCGATGGCCAGCAGGGACTCTGTAACAGGACATGTAGAACCATTGTCGGGTAGTAAACCTACGCCCCCCGTTACATCGCCTGTGTTTGGGAGAAGAGAGCCACCTCCAGCTCGTCAGACTTCTCCCGGCCCACAAACGTCCCCTCGTACTCAGTTGTCAAGCATTCCTACAGGCCCTCGGGCTCTTCAACAGCGACCGGCTGCTCCACGAGGGCCACCGAAAGGCAGCAAACAATGGGTCCGTCCTGGTTATTCCCGGCCCCCTTCTGGTCCTAATTCGACTCCTCATAAGCGTGACTCTATTGATGGAAAAGAACAGGCGGTTTTCACCAGCGAAGAATCGCGACGAGAGCCACCCAGGTTTCTTGACCACAAGGACGAAGAGGACGACGACGACGACGAGATAGAGGCGGGTGAGATTGTGAGCCCTCATGAGCCAGAGGAACCACCCGTACTAGCCGAACCCCCCAAACAAATATCTCCTCCCCGTGATCCTAGCCCTGTGCGAATTCCCACAGAGAAAGTGGCTTCCCCAAAGCGAGAAAACGAAGGCGTTGAAAGCCAGAGTAAAACGCTTATACCAGACTTCGGTCAGTCGACTGACGAAGACGAGGACGAGAATGTGGTTTTCACCCAGGACTACCTTGAAGAAAGAAAGCAAATCTTCGAGAAGGACATGGAAGCATTACGGGCAGAGATGCCTCTCTCACCTTTGGAGGATCCGAGTATCATCAGCCTACTGATGAAAATCCAGATGCTGGGAATGATTGCCAACGATGTTCCCGCTGAGGCTACTCCAGAGCAACCGACTCCGGAGCAGCCGCCGCCTGTAGAGGTTCCCAAGATACCAAGCAAAGATCTAGACATCACGCTCGTATCTAAACCAGACAAGGAGCCCGAGGAGGACCAGGAACCCTCAGCCAAAGTAATCATTGAGTCACTTCCGGCGGCCGAGCTCACTTCCGTCGAAGCCTTACCATTTCTCAACTCAGGCCCGCCCACGCCTTTATCCGACCTAGAAGTTTACCAAGAGAATGCATCCAACCACGAGGGTTTCAAAGAAACATTCCTTGCTGAAATGATGAAGCGGCGAAAGGAGATTTCCCAAAAGAATGCATCACTCCGGGATGATTACATGTCCTATTACAAGCCCTGGCGACTGAATATTTGGGAACTGGATCACGCGAAAGAAAAGAAATCAGCTACACCAGTCCCCACTCCGCCCCCTCCACCGCCTGTGCTTCCACCACCTGCTACGACCGCCGAAGGAAGACGGTACAAGGGTAACAGCGAGTTGGATTTCCAGAACGCGCTCAGAGCATCGGAGATTTCAGCCCAGGAAGAACTAGAACGACGTCGAGGGAAAAAGATCACTGCCCGACCTGATCTCGGGCGAGAAGCAGTTATTCCGGATATGCTTGAGCCAGAAGAGGTCAAGGCGACCATATACAAAGACATGAACAACATTATTGACCCTACTAAGGCCATGGATGTCTTTGGATTTGAGCCGCCGACTAACGATTTCAGCCCCGAGGAACATGCGATATTCACTAATGCCTTTATGACGTACCCCAAGAAATGGGGAAAGATTGCAGAGTCTTTGCCTGGGCGGGACTTCCAGCAATGCATAATTCATTATTATCTTACCAAAGAAGAAATCAAATACAAGGCAAAGCTGAACAAACGTTGGAGTCGCCGTGGCCGCGCTCGAAGATCTGCTCGGCCCAAGTCCAATGCCCTTATGGCCGACCTGGGTGTTGTGAAGCCCGACTATGAAGGCGAGGAGGAACCCCCTGCGGTGACGGATACTGGCCGACCGAAGCGCGCCGCTGCTCCCACCTTTGGAGATTCATCGGCAGATGCGGACAATGCTGTCAATGGCCGCCGAGGTAATCCTTCTAAGGACGGTGAACCGCCAGAGAAACCCGTTGGCCGTCGTGGAGGCCGGGGTGGCGGAGGTGCCCGTGGTGGACGTGGAAGAGGAAAAGCAGCTCAGCAACAACCTACACCATCACAAATGTCACCAGCAGAACAACAACAGATACCTAATATGGCTGTACCAGTCTCAGCCCCGGCAACTCCTGTCCCAAAGACAGAGGTCGAACCTACTTTGGATGGTACAAACGAGACAATGGTGGTACGACCTCAGGAACAACCTGAAAGACAACAGAACGAATCTGTTCCACGCGCAAAGGCTGGGCGTGGACGTGCCAAAGAAGGCATGTATGTCTTCGAATCAACGGAGACAGACGCTCCAACGCCCCCCAAGCAAGCTGAAGCTGGCGGCTATGGATCACAGCATCCATCAAGCTATTGGTCTGTGCCGGAACAACGCGATTTCAAGCTACTATTGGCACATTTTGGTCGAGACTTCGAGGGTATCTCGAACTTTATGAAGACCAAAACTACCGTCATGGTAAGATATACACCTCCCCTGCTTACTCCCTGGACCGAACAAAAGCTAACCCGGTCGATGATGTAGGTCAAGAACTACTTCCAAAGACGTGTCGATTCAGGCCAGAAAGATTTCGAAGATATTGTTGTGGAAACGGAAGACAAGAAAGCACGCGGTGAACCCACAGGGCCGTTGCCTGTGCCCAGTGTTGCCCCCAAGCGGCGATATGAAGCGACACCATCTTCAATTATGCATCCTCGACCCCTTGCTCCGCATACTGATGTCGTCGTTGAGCCAGAGGAGAGTCGGTTTGCTGGTAAGGGTAAGCCTGTTGGCCTCTCGCCTCAGCCAATGCCCCTGCACGCCCGGGCTCCGTCTGAGAAGGACCGCAACATGGCCAGGTATCCACCTCTTGCCCAAGCCACCAGCAGTGCGCCTATGCCTTCTACGACGCTTCTCAGCGAAGACCCGTCTAGAGCGATCCGTTCTCATGTGGGAATACAGCAGCGCATGCCAGGCCCACGTATGGGGTATTTCACTGAGGATAGACGAGAACAACCAGCGACAGTGCTCCCTCACACAACGCCTCGAGCCCAGGAAGCCCAGATTTCAGCACGCCAAACGCCTATTGCGGTGCCGGAAATGTCACGCATGGAGCCTCTTCATGCGCAGAGTCTCCGCCCATCAAATGTTGATATGCATGGGTCGCCATTACTTTCGGCGCAAACTGGAGTGCCCCCGCCGCAGCAGACATACATGCAGTCTCAGCCGCAACCTCCACTCATATCAGCGTCTCATTCTCGTAATTCGAGTTTGACAAAACCCCCCAGCTCGCCGGCGCAAGCAGTGCAGAGACTGGAACCAGAGATCTCGCCCATTAGACGTGAATCGATTAGCCAAAGACCATTCTACACGCTTCCTGGTCAGCATGTTGGTATTTCACAGCCACCCGTCTTGTCGCCGCCAAAGGAGCTTTCTCGACCAAGCTCCACTCCGGCCGAGCCAGCCGAGGCGCCTCGTCAGGTACCCGCTAAGCGGTCCAATATTATGAGCATATTGAATGATGAGCCGGAGGAACCGCAACCAAGAAAGCGCCTTGCCACTGAGCAGTCATCAGCTACCCCCGGCCCTAGCAATGTATCTCCGACGCGACCTGTGTATTCGGGAATGCACATGTTGTTACAGCAAGCGGCCCCGTCACGTCAAGAGGAGCCACTTATGTCCAGCTCACAGCAGAAGAGCTCCTCTTATGCCCAACAAAGCCAATACATGGCACAGTCCCGCGCATATTCCGACTACCAACCTTACCAACCGGCTCCAGGAGGTTCTGGTGCACCGTCGAGTAACGACTGGATGGCTCGGTTTGATCCTAGAGGACAGCAGCAGCAACCCCCGCCGCAACAACCACAGCCTCAGCATCTTAATGGCCGTGCAGCTACTGCGCTTGGCCCACAACCTCCGTACTCTCCATATGCCTCAGCTCAACAGCAGCCTGGGCCGTCATTGTCGAATCTTACCGCACCCTCGCCTGCCCCGACGCCTTCGCCGGCTCCTGCTCAACGGTCGGGATATCCCACGTCTGTCTTTGCACAGCCATCGGCCTCACACGCGCCAGCGACTGTGGTTAGTTCCCGCGACATGCCCTCGCAAAGCCAAGTTTACCGCCAGACTGTCGGGTCACCACCAACGCGGAACAGCAGCATTGCATATGGCACGCGACAAGGACCACCGACACCAATTCAGTCCCCAGCCAATTTGCTCAGCATTGCATCTCGGCAGCCATCAGCTACTGCATCTTATACTTCCTCGGCCCAGGCAACGCCGGCCCAGAGCCATATGCCTGCTTCCCACCACCCTGGCGGCCATCAAACGTATCAACAGCATGTTCAAACCATGGTCAATGGGGCGCATCAGCAGCAGCCGCATCGTTCGGCTATTGGATTGACGGGTGCACAATACGGACACAGCACGCCACCGCCGGGAGCCCAGGGATCTCGGGGGACAACTTTGCCTGGACCGGCCCAGTCATTGAGCATGGGGCGTTCATATACACCCCCAGCAGTTCTGCATCCTAACCCAGCAGGTGGAATGAGCTACGTGGCCAGCGGTCCTTCTTCAGTTGTTGGGTCTGTCCATCCTCTTCATCAGCGACACCCTACAGGATCACTGAGTGAAGCGGCACCGACCCCAGGCCACCACCGAGTTTACAGTCAAGGGTCCAATACAGGGCCGCTTCCCGGGCCATTGACCCCACAACATCCCCCGCGATGATATACGGTAAAACAGCAACGCATTGTTTGAGTTCCGCTTGTACATATCCATATGGTACAGACACAACTAGTTCTGTATTCTAATACTTTCTCTTGCTCGAGTTTCTTACATTTTGTTCAACTTTTCCGTTCGCTATTGAAAATGGGATGCGTCTCATTGATGATTGATGTACAGTAGACGACTCAATGGATGGATATATTCAATCAATATTACTGCTATCTATCTGAATCTTAAACATTAAGGCAGCAGCGAATCGAGGAATGTGTTTACCTGAAATGTTCCGCTAAGGCAGCCACATACTTTTTTTTTTGGCCCCCCCGTTGAGCCATGAGAACATTACAGCAATGCGGGGAGGATCTTTACTGCATCCGGTCTAGTGCATCTATCCAGCCAATCATTTGTAGTGCTCGGGGCCTGCAAGGCTATTTTTATACACGAGAAAGGCTTAGCCTGGTCGAACCTTCTGCAAGGCCGGCAGTGTTTATAGCACAGCCTGGTTGCGGTTCATAAAGCTCGCCTTTCTCATATTTCTTTATTTTATTTTTCAGATTATCATATTATTTCAGATTCTATCTTTTTTTCTACCACGATATCAGGTTGAAGAATCATATACATACAATCATGAATCAATATAACTACACACCCAATGACCTAGAACAAGGCCACGGCGGATATGGTAACTACAAAACCACCATGACAACAACCACCACGATACCAACTAACAACCAACCCCAGAAATGCAACCCAGCAACACAACCACCATCCTCAACAAATGCCGCACCCTCAACGACCAAATCTCCAGCCTCCGGCAAAAGCGCGAAACCCAACTCCACCTCTCCCAACAGGCCCTCCTCGACTCCAGCAGCAGCGCCGAGGATCAACATGCCCGTCAGAACCTCGACTACGCCCAGTCCGACATCACAGCCTCGTTCCGTCGCATTCGCGTCACGGTGAATGAGCTCAAGAACATGACGCCTGCGGACCATCGCGTCCGGACGCAGATGGATACCGTGCGGAGAAATCTCGAGAGGGAGATTGCTGAGTTTTATAAGATGCAGCGCGAGTTTGATGGCAAGTTGCGTGACCAGGTGAGGAGGCGATATGAGATTTCCAATCCGGATGCGTCGCCCGAGGAGGTCGATTCGGGAGTGCAGAATGTGTTGATGGGGCAGGAGCAGATCTTCCAGGTATGTCTTTTTCTCGAGGATCTCGTATAAAAGAAAAGATAACTGACATGGTTATTCAGGTCCAAGGAGCACGATCACGACAGGCAAAGGACGCCCAGGCAGCCGTCATGGAGAGATCAGCAGCGATCCGCCAGATCGAGCAGGACTTAATCGCGCTCGCTGAGCTATCGCAAGAAGTCGCTGAGATGGTCAAGATCCAAGAACCCGTCGTGGAGGCTATCAACATGAATGCGGACCAAACAGCAGAGAACACAAAACAGGCCAACGAGAAGCTCGATGGTGCGATAGTCAGTGCGCGCAGTGCCAGGAAATACAAGTGGTATATCCTCTTTGTTTGCAGTAAGTGTATCTATATAACATATGGCTGGGTGAGAGTCAATTGGCTAATTTGTTTCTAGTCCTCATTATTGCCATTGTGGTTGCAGTGCCTGTTGGATATTGTTTCGCGACTGAATCATGTGGAACGAAATCTAAATAGAATTAAGATGGGATACGATGTGGTTTAATCTGTCAAATGGGTTATGATATTTGATGACATCATTCGACTTGATGTGTATATAGTTCTTTAAGTCCATACGCCTAATGTTAATGCGATACCAAAATGTGGATTCATACAACAGCTTCAATTGATTGATGCAAGAAAGTAAAGCCGGCTATTGATGCAATAGTTGCTCAATATTGCATAGTCGATATGCAAATGCTATCTATATCAAAAACTCCGTTTCCCAATGCCTTATTATAATACATATGCACAGATATATATACAAGCCAGTTCTCTAAATCGCATTATTTGCGCATGAGAAACTAGCTTTCGATCCATCTTTATGGATCGCCAATCCGGACACCCACAGGCCCAGAGCACACTGCGAAAAGAGATTAGCCAGGATTCAGTTTTCAGGAAACGTGGAACTTACGATGGTGATACCAACACCGAGAACGCCGACATTGACGATGGTGAGGCAAGTCTTTCTCGTCGAGGAAAAGTAGTTGCCCTTGTTCAGGTAGAGCCAGAAAATTCCACCAAAGCCGACTGAATTATTCATTAGCATTTTGTATTTATCTGGAAGGTGTAAATGAGACTTACAAGAGAACCAACTTGCGAAAAGCGCGCTCTTTCAGAAAAAATAGGTCAGTTTTGGAATGGAGAAAAAGGAGGGTGTCTCAACATACAACCAAGCTAAGCAAGTTGTTGAACACTGGAATGGCCTCGGCAATAACCCAAGCAATGATCCAGAAAGTCAGGTTCAGGCCGAACCAAGTCGAAGTTGCCTTGAAACTGCGCTTGTGCATGGTATCCGATCCACGGAAGATGCGGACATAGACATTCTTAACAGCGATATGACCGTTGACGACACCTCCGATGACAATCTTGGAAATAAAAGTTAGTATACCAGAGCCGCGCTTTGGACTGGGTTGAACGTACTGTCGGGATAGCAATGCCGTATGCAACCTTTCGGAGAACAGGACCGGTAGAGCCCAGAGCAGGCGAAGCTACGCCCTGCCCCGCATATCGGTAGATAACGATGGAAGCAACGGTGTAAAAGACGATTTCGAAGCCCTGCAACATGGCAACTGCCTTGGGGAAGTCGCGGGGATTTTTCATTTCAGCGATGACACCGAAAAACGCGGCATGACCACCTGTGTAGATATATTAGCTGGAGCTCTCATATTGAATGACAAGAGGTCTACTCACAGTACGCGAAAACGATGTTGGTGACAGCAGTGAAGCCGTTGACAAAGCTCGTCTGCCGGAAAATATCGATCTTTCCGTCGCCAGGACGTTCGACTCCGACTCCGATCATCGTGATGAAGACGGCGGTAAAGATACTGAGGAAAGAAGTCGCCGCAAGCCACGAGATATTCTTCATCGTCCTTGGCAAAGCACAAACCAGAGACACAACCATGCCAATCACTCCAAACACGACGGTGCATGTCCCGTGGTCAGTCAGAGTGTTCATCATGACCGTCCAGGTGAGCAGATGACTGCCTGCGGCGAAGATGAAGAAAACAAATTGCGCAACGCCAAAAATCTCACGGCCCAAGGGACCGAAAACCACGCCGGCAGCATCAGCCATGCTGTGGACGGAAGGATACCGTTGCCTGAATTGACCAATAACATATCCGGTGTAGGTGGTGATAAGACCAAGGACGATGATCAGAATAATTCCGGGGACGAGTCCAATCGTAGCAAGCGTTGCGGGGATGGAGAGGACGCCGACTGAGACGGTTTCTGCGACCATGACTGCATGATGTTAGAAAACAGAAGCCCAAATCGATTTATTGTAAGTAAGAGTCATACGAGTTCCGCATTGCCTGTTGAGTCAAAAATCAGTATTAATCCTATCATGCGATCTGACCAGGACAACATACCACCACTCCAATGTCTTGTACTGCACTTCCGCTGTCTCCTCCGACCCAAAAGGATCAAAGGCTTCAGGAACCTCCTCCTTGAGATCCTTCACGTCGTAGTTCCATTGATTCTCGTTGGCACCCACTTCAGAAAGCCCCATCTCAACATTGGCATCATATTTTGGTTGTTGGGCGCTCATTGTGTCTGATATCCCCGGATTCGATCCCAAGCAGTCGTTCCGATCGTTGACAAGGCGATTGAAAGGAAGAATAAAGAACAAAGAAGGTTTTTCTCGGATGCTCGAGGCACAGCGAAATGGCGGGTACTAGTGTTTTGCCCCAGATCCGAAATCCATCCAAACTTCGCAAGGCACGCGGTGAACTGGATTCTATTATTTAACGAAACCCGCCACCGACAAATCAAAAATCTCGCATGTCAAATTATGCCGAGCCCATGTGGGATTCTTGTCGCAAATTACTCATAGGTGCTCCGAGATCGGGCGTCTCCACTGTCAAAATCTGACTCGGTGACATTCACGAGCTGCAACTCCGGAGAACGGTTAATACTCCGGACATTGCTGTTTCAGACTTCGAACTACTCCACGGGGCGCACACTAACATAGCCAACGCGTTCAAGGACTCACCGGCAAAATAGCTTAATTTGATTCTGCTCACCGAGACTTCTATTCCTCCCCGCGAAAAAAACTAGGAGAATTGGTCATTTCTGTCAAGTGGCAATATCGAAATCTGCTCGGCCCGACCGATTTCGGCAGCCTCGGCCAGGGTCCGCTGCAACGCCCCCCAAATTTAACCTTAATGCATCTCGTGGTGATGGCTTGCAGCGGCATGAAGCTGTCTTCTAGAATCTCGGAATTCGGACTTTTGTGATTAACTTTTTAATAGAACCATCTGGATTGTCTGTTTTTGCTTTTGCTGTTTGTTCCCCCTCCGCCCCCCAATATTTGGTGAAGGGCTGAGGAATGTGGGAATATTCCTATGGAATAGACTTACTTCGAACTTGATCGATATAATCCAGGCGAGAACTCCAGAGCAGTATACACTGAACAACATTTCAGCTGAAATGGTACAGCCATGGTACTTGTTGATTCCATACTTTCTAGTAGGAATTGTTTTTATAGTTCCCTAGAGCCAGAGCAAAAAGGCTCGACGCTACAATGTATTTGCGGAGGACTTGTCGATGGATTCGCAGAATGCCTCTTAATTTAGATGTCTCCTTCAGTTGACATGGAACAACAGAAGCATCAATATTTCGAAATCGACAAATGAAGGCTTACTTTTGCTGCGAACATCAAATCGCCGTATTTCATTGATCCAATGTGGTGCGAAGATAATTGACAATGTTGACGAGCACAACCAACAGCAAATGGCCAATATAAAATAGAAAGAATAGTTAAGATACGTGATTTGAATTTCTGTCGTGAATCATGAACGAACGCCCCATAAATTGAGAGCATCGACGAGCTCCACTATGCTCACAGCTTAATGGTGGTATCATGGGGCATGGGGTACGATGTGTAGATCAGGGAAATAGACTCGAACGTCTGACATATCCTTACCCTTTCAGCATAGGCACAGGCCACAGGGGGATGTCATCTGCAAGATCTGCTCCACACTTTACCCATAATTTTCGGCCACATGTATGTGCATTGCATGGGGAAGATAAGATGGTAGGACGTAGGGCGTAGTCTGCTAGCAATGGGCATTTGGCAGTTTCCGCAGCTGGCCGCTTCTAGCCGGTCCACTTTCGATTGGGGTAGGTTTAACTCCTTTAGGATATGAAAATCAAAGATTGGAGACAATAATCGCCATTTAGGAAATCAATATTCATATATTGTTGCGTTGCCGTTGACGCAAAGGCTGGGAGCCTGTTTTAGTGAAGCGTATCATGCGATTTCCAAATCCGAGTTCAAGGGCGTTCAATGAACCGTTCCATTATGACTTGTAGATCACTGTTTAAACTTAGCGGATAGAGCGAAGAGCCAGCAACACGAGACAAGGGGATTTATCTTTCATTCAAGTGCGTGTAGCGTCATCGTACAAGGACCATCGGGCCGAAATATCGAAGCATATCATGCGCAAGGCACTGACGAGGACACTAGTTGGTGAAATAACCAATAAGCAGCCAGGAGCATCCAGGGACTGAGGTGTAGTGTATATGAAAACAGGAGAATATTGGTTTAGGAATATCTTTCAAATTGTATCCTCTAGAACCGACATGGTGTCTGGTGCGAGAAGCCATATATGTAGTGCCACACCGAAATGTTTTCTCGCCGGAAAATGTTGTTGGTTGACTTGATCATTTCCGACTTAAACGTTGGCTTATCAAACAGGTTTGCTGGTCTGCGATGTTGCAATGTTGCATGATCATGGTGTGCCCTATCCAACGCCGGGAGACACAAAAAAGTGCCCACAGTAGCCAGGAATGGCAATATTCGCACGCGGGCCTTTGCAGGCGGATTTAGTGGTTGTAATAGACTTCAAAATCCTGTTTTTTTCCGGGAGAGCGAGCGCTGCCGACCATGATACTACATAGTACTGGTTTATCAGTTCGGGAAATTTTGGAAAAGCTGCAGCCATCTCATGTGCATCTCACGCGACAGTGGGGACTTTTAACTTGTCAGTAATGCGATAGATAACGGGATTGGTGTGATGTATGGATTTCTGTTATGAAGACTTCGGTACCTGGTTAGTAAACTGCCATTAGTTTATCATTATCATGGTGAGCATGGTCTTCGATAGTTAGAAACCAGGGCGCTTCAATTTGGAACGAATAAAGGACACGACCAAAGAGATAGCATCAAGGATGCATAGCTTCCCAGTCCTTTTTCGAGAGCACCTCCCAGAGACAATGTTATCCATAAGCTCGGACTCGGCAGCCCAGCAGGAAATGGAGAGGCTTGGGGTTCGCTTCCAGCCCGGAGCGCGTCTCTTTTGTGTTCAACACTGGGTGAGAGCAGGGAAGGCCAATGCGAGACAGTGAAAGGAAGATAAGAGCATGCAATGATAATTGAAGCTGTATGGTCGGAGCTCAAAACCGGACTGTTGGCTCTCTTTTCGCCTGTCGCGTCTCATTCGGACCTCACCCCCCGATTTTCCTGTGGGACCGGGAGACTTCTATCCCGCGGCAGAGAAGAGTTGGGCTTCCCTTGATGCTGAAGGTCTATCAAACTCATATCCAGAATGCCACTGGTTTTAACCAGGGATTGAGACAGTCGGAAATGAAGAATCGAAGAGGGAAGACCTTGCAACACGTAGGATGATGGACTTGGGGAAAGAGACTGGGGAAATCACGGGGTTACGGCATGCCGCAGAGACTAGAAACGCAGCGAAAATATTCTGCCGCGGCAAAGACCTGCCCCGACAGTCACACCACAACCAGTAGACCAGCTTCATGTGATGGCCATGGCAATCTCAATGCGGGCTTGCATCGCCATTGGTCAGTTTATGTATGTATGTCTTCCCCCTGGATCATGTTTCACTGGTCCATTCCCTCTGCGACTCGAAAGTAGTTCCGAGTCAGATGTGTCCCGCTGAGGATCATGCTAACAGAACCAACTAGACTATGTACAGCCAAACTAGAACATGAAATTCTATTCAGTTTTCCCATCAAGTGCTCTCTTTGCAACACATGGTTTTGAGGAATAGCTACGGTACTCACTAGAGCCCCAAAGAAAATGCTGGGGAATGAGTACTGCAAGCGGAGAAGTTCCAGTCGCACCGGCCCGAGACGATATCGGTTCGGTGATACTAAAAGCCCAAACCCGGGGATTTGTGCATCCCCCAGGAATGTGCCAGCGCTGCATCTTGCAGCCTTGAGTCAGGTGCAGACCGGGTTGCATTCTTGCACTTATCCCTTTGCCCGGGCCGAGAAACATTGGTAAGATTGAAAGAGAAAACAGTCAACATCATACGGAATGATCCGAGTAGTACAGTGTATCTTGAGGGTTGCAACGATAATGCTAGGCTTATTCATAGGAATATGGATGACCGTGTATTCTGCCCACTTCTACCCCACGGAAGGATCGGAGTCCCCGGCTTTCAGCGCAGGCCCTTTGCATTATTGATGCTGTGTAACCTAGAGGCTTCTTTGCGTTGTCCGGATCCCGTCCAGCATGATCCTAGTCGACTTACGAAGCATCGATTGCATTCTCCTGGCCCGTGATGTCATTGGGATGAATTTGGAATCAACAGGTCATCCAACACCATTTTGGTGTGCCTGATTGAACCAGCAAGGTTTCTAACTTGTTTCCAGGGTTGGGTGATATCCCGTTACTACTTATCCCCCCAGTCATGCCTAGAAATTATCATCGGAAACGACAGCCATAGGGCATATAAACAGGATTCGGCCTGGGAATTTGGCTTCGCATTGCGTCACTACTGGGGGCGGTCGACGACATCATCCAACCACAGTATCCATTTCTGCCGTCTCTAGGCGTCCGGATTTCCGTTTTTGGGATAGCCGACAAGCGCCCGGCTGGGATTGCTACTGGCGCGCGGTCCAATCAACAGTCAACGTTGAATGCTGCCACTGCCAGTGCCTCAAGTTGGAAGACAGGATATGTATATGGCAGGTGGCGGATGGTAGGTCGAGTCGGGGTTTACCGATGTGTCCATTTCGGTTGTCTCGCCGTGCTGACAGACAGGCACATGGTGATAGATCGAGATGGAAAAGCAACTGATACGTTGATATGCTACGCCCGACAGGTTAGAGATCCCGATAATCCGATGATTACCGGAGGGTAAGGGAGGGTGGATAATTGCCCGTTTCCAGCAGGGGCCAATGATGATGAGAGGAGTTCAAGGTGAAACCCATTTTGATAACGGGAAATTGGCAATGACGTCGTATAACAGTGACCTGATCTCGCACCGTTGTCCTGATTCGAGACCTGAGGCATTCGACTTGTAGGCTCGAAGACGTTGATATAAGAATTAAACAATTCCTCTCCCCCTGCCAGTCATTTCTGCCTGTAACTGACGTTTTTCTTACCACTTATGACCATCCCTTGACCCACCAAAAATTCGCTTTTCTCACAACGTGATTGATTGCTAGTTAAGGATTTACGAAACACGCTTGAATACCTTGAACGTCTTTAGCAGTGGGTGGAGACCCCAGTTGCCTGCCATGCCGTCGGAGGATCGGTCACCATCTCAGAAAATAAAGTCTGAGAAGAAGGAACCAGGCCAGCCAGATGAGAAATACAAAAAAAACAGCCCTACGCGTCAACCAGACAAAACACACGCCGAAGACGCTGGCGATTCAGACGATGACAGCGACGATCGGCTTCAGGTTCGCACAGACGGCAAGCGCGAGTTGACTGAGGATGACTGTTATGATAAGCTGGGATTTTCTTTCCCGTGGTACAAGAAGTGGGCTATCCTTACCGTCATATTCACCGTACAGTTGTCTATGAACTTCAACAGCAGTGTTTATTCCAATGTTGTCACGCCATTCTCGGAACATTTTCACATCAGCGAGCAGGCCGCTCGTGTAGGTCAAATGATCTTTTTGGTCTCTTATGCATTTGGCTGTGAGTTCTGGGCTCCATGGAGCGAGGAATTTGGCCGCTGGCCTATTATGCAGCTCAGTCTGTTCTTCGTCAACATCTGGCAAATACCCTGTGCTTTGGCCCCGAACTTTGGAACGATTGTTGTCTGCCGTTTCCTTGGAGGGTTGAGCTCGGCTGGTGGCTCTGTGACACTCGGCATGACAGCTGATATGTGGGAGCCCGATGACCAAGGCTTTGCTGTAGCCTATGTGGTTCTGTCTTCAGTGGCCGGTACCACTATTGGACCTATCTTTGGTGGAATGATTCAGCAGTGGCTCAAGTGGGAATGGAATTTCTGGATCCAGCTTATCTTTGGCGGTGTCACCCAGCTGGTGCATTTCTTCTTCGTGACGGAGACACGATCAACAATCCTGATTGACCGCGAGGCGAAGCGTCGTCGCAAGACTGGTGAGGATCCGAACATTTATGGCCCGAACGAACTCAAGAAACCCCGAATGGATGCCAAAGAGGTTTTGCATGTTTGGTGCCGACCATTCGAGATGTTCCTCCGGGAACCGATCGTGCTCTTCCTCTCTATGCTCTCCGGTTTTTCTGACGCTCTCATTTTCACCTGCATCGAATCCTTCACTCTCGTTTTCAAGCAGTGGGGTTTTGATGCCCTTCAAATCGGATTGTGCTTCGTTGCAATCATCATCGGATATGTTGTGGCGTATTTGATATTCCTGCCGGATATATATCGCCAACGCCAGGTCCGGCAACGACAAGGCAGTGCATCGCGACTTCCAGAGCGTCGCCTTCTCCTTCTGCTCTTCATTGCACCACTGGAAACCATTGGCCTCTTTGGCTTTGCATGGACGTCAATGGGACCCGATTACACGCACTGGATTGTGCCGCTAGTGTTTGCATTTCTGATCGCCATCGCCAATTATGGAATCTACATGGCTACTATTGATTATATGGTCGCATCGTATGGTCCTTATTCTGCGTCTGCAACAGGTGGCAATGGATTTGCCCGTGACTTGCTCGCTGGACTGTCTGCTATGTATGCAACGCCCATGTATACCAACATCGGTGGCAAATTCCATCTGCAATGGGCCAGCACAATCCTCGGATGTCTGGCTATTCTCGTCACGATACCCATCTACATCTTCTACTGGAAGGGACCGGAGATTCGAGCGAAGAGCAAATTTGCTCAGACTCTGGCTGCGGACCGACAAGCGCATGCTGGCCGTCGGGCTAGCCACCTAAGTGGTGAAGAAAAGCCCTACAACGTCTAAAGACTAGAGAGTTCATGAGATTCTCAATACAATGTCTGCGCTGTTTAATTACTGTAGCATGACGCCGTTTTTTGGAGGAAGAATCTACCATTGCCGATCGGCCGAAACTCTGACAACATTCTTGACAGATGTCATATCCATTCTTCATATTTTTTGCTTGATACCCGCACCATCTGATGTGCAATATGGCTCTTGTTTTGCTGTATATCGATGATTTCCTTTACAGAATAAATGATTGATTATGCAATATGATTAAAAACCGAGTAGATAAAGATGCGTTGGAGTAGTAGATGGCGTTTAATTAAGGCCATGAACCAGTCCCCCAAAATAAGCATTGGCGTCGGTCGCCGTTGAACTCTTGGCGAGGCTTTTCCCCTTATCACCTTCGCGCACCAAACCATCTCTCTTCGCAGCTCTCAAGTCCAAGCAGTTCTCATCTATCTCAACTGACATTTCCGCCGGCGCTCCATCACCTCCACCCCCTTGCACGATCTGCATTCCTCTAACCATGTAGTAGCGGCTTTGGACTGCGCTCATTCCGCCATCCATCCTGCTGCTACGAGAAACCGTGCGTAACCGCTGTCGCGGAATCGCCTTCCGAAATGCCGCGCTGCCTCCACATTGCCCTCGGTCAAGGGTACGGCAGCCAATCTTGACCGCCAGAATGCGGATGATGCGGATCGCGGATCTCTGGCTCCCCCCAAAGTTTACTACGCTGATGATGCCTGTGGCCGGTAATGTGGGGAGAATCCTGACGTGGAGTGTGAGGGGAGAGGACAAGGCTACTATGTTCGGCTCAGCGTGCATAGGTGGTTAGAATGACGCTGGATGGTCATTTGCCTCGCTATCAGTGGTCGATGGGGATCGGAAATATACCGTGCACCTAACTAGCTCTATGCTTGGTGACAAAAAATAAGATGGCAAGAGAGGGGACGAGCCCACTCTGTCCTACCTGGCTGGTATAAAAGGATCGTCCGTGGCCCTGCTGGGACTGCGAAAGAAAAGAAATCGACTCTTCCCATGACCGCAGCATAAGCTACCCTTGGTTACTCAGAATGACTTTACAGGCGATTGCCGTCGCAACTGTTGCGGTGGTATATTTCATCATCCGCTACTTGAATCGAACGGACGTTCCTAAGATCAAGGGCATCCCTGAAATCCCCGGTGTTCCTCTCTTTGGGAATTTGTTGCAACTTGGTGATAGCCACGCCACTGTGACAGGAAAATGGGCGAAGAAATTTGGACCTGTCTTTCAAGTGCGCATGGGAAATAAGGTTGGTTGTTGACCACCCCTCATAATTGCGGGAATGAAGACGCGGTGCTGATTTTCTGATTTTTGAAATTGCTAGCGCATCGTCTTCGCCAATAGCTTTGATTCGGTGCGCCAACTGTGGATTAAAGATCAGTCAGCCCTTGTGTCCCGCCCGACATTCCACACATTCCACAGTGTCGTCTCCAGCTCGCAAGGATTTACGATTGGTACTTCACCGTGGGACGAGTCTTGCAAGCGCCGACGCAAGGCTGCCGCCACTGCGTTGAACAGACCCGCGGTTCAATCGTACATGCCCATCATCGACCTCGAGGCAACAAGTAGCATCAAAGAGCTTTTTAGAGACAGCCAGAACGGAACAAAGGATATCAACCCCACGGCATACTTTCAGCGTTTTGCGCTCAACACCAGTTTGACTCTCAACTATGGGTTCCGCATCGAGGGAAATGTCGACGACCAGCTCCTGCATGAGATTGTCGATGTCGAGCGTGGCGTGTCCAACTTCCGAAGCACGAGCAACAACTGGCAGGATTATATTCCTCTGCTGCGCATATTCCCCAAGATGAACCGCGAGGCCGATGAATACCGTGTTCGACGCGACAAGTACTTGACTTATCTGCTGAGCATTTTGAAGGATCGAATGGCCAAGGGTACGGACAAGCCTTGCATCACCGGTAATATTCTGAAGGATCCTGAAGCCAAGCTCAACGAGGGTAAGTGATTGTTCTTGCTATTTTAACGGACGACGAAGCTGATGGTTATCGCAATAGCTGAGGTGAAGTCGATTTGTTTGACCATGGTCTCTGCGGGTCTCGACACGGTTCCAGGCAATCTCATCATGGGCATCGCATATCTGGCATCAGAGGACGGTCAGCGGATTCAGCAAAAGGCATACGACGAAATCATGAAGGTCTACCCCGACGGTGATGCCTGGGAGAAGTGTCTGGTTGAAGAGAAGGTTCCCTATGTGACAGCCTTGGTCAAGGAAGTCCTGAGATACTGGACTGTGATCCCCATTTGTCTGCCCCGGCAGAGTACCAAGGATATTACCTACAACGGAGCCACGATCCCGGCCGGAACGACCTTCTTCATGGTAAGCCCCCCTATTTGTAAATCAGGAACAAGTCTAATATCGGATGTAGAACGCGTGGGCTGCCGATTACGACGAGGACCACTTTAAATTGGCCAACCAATTTATCCCTGAACGATATCTCGAACTGGGCGAAGGTTCCGGAACCCCCCACTATGGATACGGTGCTGGCTCTCGCATGTGCGCAGGATCCCACCTGGCCAACCGGGAGCTCTACACAGCTTTCATCCGACTCATCACAGCTTTCACCATGCACCCGGCCCAGGAAGAAGTCGACCGACCAATTCTGGATGCCATCGAATGCAATGCCATCCCCACCGCATTGACTACGGAGCCCAAGCCCTTCAAAGTGGGCTTCAAGCCTCGTGACGCTGAGAAGCTGCAGCAATGGATTGCCGAGAGTGATGAGCGAACGAAGGATCTATAAGTTCAGTTTGGCTTTTGAGTTTCATGAGGGATCCAAGGGATGGCAAAAAATCAAATTCTACTTTTACGGTGTGATGTATATATAACTTTCGGTTGCACAGCCTGTGCTATGATTGCACTCTGATATTTTCTTATTATGCGAGTGAGATTTAGATTTTAATCAAAGTTTACCATTCCAAGTTTCCAACAAAAAGTATGCATTATTATCAAATCATGTTGAACAATCCCAATGCAGTGAATTCATAACTCGGATGCGGATAGAGCCCAGCCCGGCCGGTTCTGCCCTGTAGGCCGACCATGGATGGCAGTCGGCCAGACCGCCTATGCACACCCCCTGCAGCGTTATTTCCACCAGACTCACTCTGCAACTCCCCAGCCACGACCCTACATTTTATGAAACAAACCTGTAACAACCCTCTAATTTAGCCGTGGCAATAGCTACACTTCCCTCGGCTCCTTCAGCTCTGGATACCCGTCCAAAGCCCCGAATTCCGTTTGGGTTGGATTTAGGGGAACAGCGAACGGTCAACGGAGCAACTTGAACAGCGAGTGGACCTTGATCAGTGATTAGTGAATGAAGTGGACCGTTTTGACAGCCCAAGAGTCTATCTTTACCAATTTATTGCATCGTGGCTTGCATATTTGCTGGTCTGATTCAGACCATCCACGCTGATACAGGCTAGATCTGTCGCAAATCGTCAAACCTTGCAGCGGATCTCCATGATATGTACTATTCCCCCCCCCTTCTCTACGGAGGACATACGGAGAGAGTGGTAGCCTGCTGATAGATAACACGTCAATACCGTCGTCTAATTTGCTCTTTTCCAATGATTCTGTAACTATTGAACCTTTCCCTGGCGTTGGCCCATATTAGCGGGTTGGCGTGTTTGTAGCAGCCCTATGTCTTACTGTACCTGATGCCCAAGAGAATTTTAATTCTGATTCAGTCTGAGATCAAAACAAATCTTGACATCATCATCCTAACACGCAGTCCATGCATTAATGCCAGTATCAAATCGGACTGGATGATTTCCGCCTCCGGGACAAACAGTGCAAGCCCCGATCCTCCGAAGATCCAATCCATCGCCGGCGATCCCGATGGATCACGAAGGATGGCATAACTAGGTACGTAGAGCGAACTGAACCACGGCCAGGGTATCTGACAAGCTAAGCCCACCGGAACGGATGTCAGGTCGCTGCGAATGCCAATAATGATTGCCACTTGGCTCCACCGCAGAAAAAATAATCGAAAAAAGTTATCCGGCAGAAGGGTTTGGAGGCTTCCGAGCTGGCTTCCGCTGACAAAGCGCCGATCATCCCTATAGAACGATCTGGGGACAAAAAACTAAACAGTCGGATGTGATGTGGTATATATGCCCGGTCTGCTGCTGCAGGCCTGGCTGTGGATGTGATTTCTCTTTTTCATCAATAATTATCCCCTCCCTCATTCTTTCGTTCAATCAGCATCCCTCCCTATCCCTTTCTTTATGTTGTTCAACCACTCTCGTTGATTAATATACTCTTCCCTCCATTTTGGTACTGATTCGCCAAACCGTCCCCTTCTTACAGCATCTTGCTGCCCACCATGGCGTCGTGGGAAAAGAACCCCGATGAGCCCGTCGACTACTTTTCCAAATACGAACAGGAAAAAGAAAATGGAAAAGACGACGACCAAAACGCCGCCAATCCTTTCGAGACCGTCCACAGAGTTACCTCCGCCGGCAAACGTGCATCGATCTCGGAAGAAGACCAACACGCCCTGACCCGTATTGCAAGCCAGATCTCCCGGAAACGCTCGAGTGCCTATTCCAATCACCAAGATGAACCCGTCACTCGAACCCACACCTTGGTCGACATTCCAGAAGATGACCCCGCCCTCGACCCCGCCAGCAAGGACTTTGATCACTACAAGTGGGTTCGAAAGGTCATTGATAGCTTGAGTCAGGATGGAATCAAGTCCAAGACTTCTGGTATTCTTTTCAGGAACCTCCGTGTGACGGGAACCGGCGCTGCCTTGCAGCTGCAGTCGACCATGACCGATTTACTTATGGCGCCTTTTCGGCTACGTGAGGCGATGCCGTTCGGTTCGAAGCCCCCCAAGACAATCCTGAACAAGTTCGACGGTGTGATCAAGAGTGGAGAGCTGCTTCTCGTTCTGGGACGTCCTGGAGCGGGTTGCAGTACCTTCCTCAAGACTCTTTGCGGAGAATTGCATGGCTTGAGCTTGGACAACGAATCGGTCGTTCACTACAATGGTATCCCTCAAGAGAAAATGAGCAAGGAATTCAAGGGCGAGGTCGTGTACAACCAAGAAGTCGATAAACATTTTCCCCACTTGACTGTTGGACAAACCTTGGAATTCGCCGCCGCGGTGCGTACCCCCGCCCAACGACTCAAGGGCATGTCCCGCGCCGAATACGCAAAGACCATCACTCAAGTCATTATGGCTATTTTCGGCCTGAGCCATACCTACAACACCAAAGTCGGCAACGATATCGTTCGTGGTGTGTCTGGAGGTGAACGCAAGCGTGTCAGTTTGGCGGAGATGGCCCTTTCTGGCGCGACAGTATCGGCCTGGGACAATTCTACTCGAGGTCTGGATTCTGCAACAGCATTGAAGTTTGTCGAGTCGCTTCGTTTGATTGCAGACCTCGGTGGAGCTTCTCATGCAGTTGCCATCTACCAGGCTAGTCAGGGTATCTACGATCTCTTCGACAAGGTTGTGCTCTTGTACGAAGGACGACAGATCTACTATGGCTCCGCCAAAAACGCCAAAGCCTACTTCGAGCGTCAGGGATGGATTTGCCCGCAACGCCAGACCACTGGCGACTTCCTCACCAGCCTTACGAACCCCTCTGAACGCCAATCCCGCCCAGAGATGGCAACCATGGTTCCCCGGACACCAGCTGAGTTTGAAGCGCGATGGCAGCAGTCTTCCGAATACCAATATCTCCTGAAGGAAATGGCCGGCTATGAAGAGACATACCCGCTTGGAGGAGATATGCTCCAACAGTTCCAAGAAGACAAACGGAACAGGCAAGCTGACCATACTCGCGATGCCTCCCCGTACCTCATCAGCGTTCCGATGCAGATCAAGCTAAACACCAAACGTGCCTACCAACGTGTCTGGAATGAGAGAACCTCTACTGTTACAACCTTCGTCGCAAACACCATCATGGCATTGATCATCGGGTCTGTCTTTTATGGCACGCCAGATGCAACCGCCGGATTCCAATCTAAGGGTGCTGCCCTGTTCTTCGCCGTCCTCCTTAATGCCCTCACTGCTATGACTGAGATCAACAGCTTGTATTCCCAACGTCCCATTGTTGAGAAACACGCATCTTACGCCTTTTACCATCCATCGACAGAAGCTATTGCAGGTGTGGTCAGTGATATACCGGTTAAATTCCTCATGGCTATTGCGTTCAACGTCATCCTTTACTTCATGGTTGGTCTTCGTCGTGAACCGTCTCAATTTTTCATCTTCTTCCTCATCATGTTCATCATCATGTTTGTGATGAGTGCTGTGTTTCGAACGATGGCCGCAATCACCAAGACTATATCGCAAGCGATGACTTTAGCTGGTATTCTCATCCTGGCTCTTGTCGTGTATACTGGATTCGTCGTGCCTCTGCCATATATGCACCCATGGTTCAAATGGATTCACTATCTTAGTAAGTGTTGTGAATTTCTTATCTCAAAGACTGAGACTGACCTTTGACTAGATCCTATATTTTACGCTTTCGAACTTCTTATAGCGAACGAGTTCCACGGTCGTGATTTCACATGCTCGCAGTTTATCCCCGCATATCCTTCTTTATTCGGAGATTCATTTATCTGTTCTCAAACTGGAGCCGTTGCGGGACAGCGCACTGTTAGTGGCGATAATTATATTTTGGCCAGCTACAATTACACCTACTCGCACGTGTGGAGGAACTTTGGTATCTTGATTGCCTTCCTCGTCGGATTCATGACCATTTACTTTATCGCAACGGAGCTGAATTCATCGACCACGAGTACAGCTGAGGTTCTAGTGTTCCGTCGAGGCCACGAGCCCGCCGAATTGAAAGGCGGCCATGGGAAATTGGAAGATGAAGAAAAGGGACAGCCACCCGCTTCTGCCTCTACTGTGGTCGACAGCTCCGCAGGAGAGGATGATTTGCGAATGGCGCCACAAACGGATATCTTCACTTGGCGCGATGTGGTTTACGACATTGAAATCAAGGGCGAACCTCGTCGGTTGTTGGACCATGTCTCTGGATGGGTCAAGCCGGGAACTCTGACAGCTCTTATGGGTGTCAGTGGAGCAGGTAAAACAACACTTCTTGATGTCCTGGCCCACCGAACTCAGATGGGTGTTATCACTGGAGACATGTTTGTCAATGGCACACCACTGGATCCCAGTTTCCAAAGAAAGACCGGCTACGTCCAACAGCAAGACCTTCACTTGGAGACAGCTACCGTTCGAGAGAGTCTCCGATTCAGTGCCCTGTTACGTCAACCAGAATCTGTGTCGAAGCAAGAAAAGTTCGAGTATGTTGAAGAGGTTATCAAAATGCTCAGCATGGAAGACTTTGCGGAAGCCGTTGTTGGTGTGCCTGGTCAAGGTCTCAATGTCGAGCAGAGAAAGCTCCTCACTATCGGTGTTGAATTAGCAGCCAAGCCTCAACTGCTTCTGTTCTTGGATGAGCCTACTAGGTAAGAGTTTTCTATTCATGTTTCATTTGTCGCTTTACTGACTCCTTCAAGTGGTTTGGATTCCCAAAGTTCCTGGGCTATCTGTTCGTTCCTACGAAAACTCGCCGATGCTGGACAGGCCGTCTTGTGTACAATTCACCAGCCTAGCGCAATCCTCTTCCAAGAGTTTGATCAGCTCCTTTTCCTGGCCCGGGGTGGTAAGACTGTCTACTTCGGACCGATTGGTGAAAACTCGAGCACACTCCTGGAATACTTCGAGGCCCACGGTGCCAGACCCTGTGGAGATGACGAGAATCCAGCCGAATACATGTTGGAGATTGTCAACGCTGGGACAAACCCTCAGGGCGAATCTTGGTTTGATGTATGGAAGGGGAGCCCTGAAGCCGGTGGAGTCCAGACCGAGATTGATCGAATCCATGAATCTCGCAAAGGCCATGTTGACAATTCCCCTAAGGACCCGCGTGAAACTGAGGAGTTTGCAATGCCATTGATCAAGCAGCTTCCCATTGTCACTGGCCGTGTCTTCCAACAATACTGGCGCATGCCAGACTATGTGATGGCCAAGATGCTGTTGGGTATCTGCGCCGGTTTGTTCGTTGGTTTCTCGTTCTTCAACTCCGACAATTCCATGCAGGGCATGCAGAACGTGATTTTCTCCTTGTTCATGGTGTGTGCCATCTTCTCGTCGCTAGTGCAACAGATCATGCCTCTCTTCCTCACCCAACGAGGCCTCTACGAAATCCGTGAACGGCCGAGCAAGGCATACTCGTGGAAAGCTTTTATGATGGCAAACATCGTCGTAGAAGTCCCCTATCAAATGATGATGGGTCTTCTCGTCTTCGCATGCTACTACTACGCAGTCAACGGCATTCAGGATTCTGAACGTCAGGGCCTTGCTCTCTTGTATTGTCTTGAGTTCTTTGTTTATGCTAGTACCTTTGCCCACTTGGTCATTGCCGCCTTACCCGATGCTGAGACTGGAGGTGCCGTCGTCAATCTCCTATTCTGCCTGGCCCTCACCTTTAACGGTGTCATGCAAGTCCCGAATGCTCTCCCTGGATTCTGGATCTTCATGTACCGCGTCTCCCCCTTCACCTACTGGGTGGCGGGATTGGCAGGCACCATGATGTCTGGACGGCCTGTCGAGTGCTCTAGCGCCGAGATGGCTGTCTTTAATCCCCCTTCTGGACAGACGTGTGGAGAGTATATGGGCAAATTCCTCGAACTGGCACCGGGATCTCTGAAAGATTTCAATGCCACCTCGGCGTGTGAGTACTGTTCGTTGACCTCTGCCGATCAATTCTTGGCCTCCTCGTGGATCTACTGGGGTGACCGGTGGCGAAACTTTGGAATTTTCTTGGTCTATATCGCCTTTGATATTGCCGTTGCGGTTTTGTTGTATTACTGTGTCCGGGTCAAGAAGTGGAAGAAGCAATGATTGGTGAAACTTGTTTATAGATTGGATAGAGCATTATATGAGTGTGAATAGTTAACTTGTCAATAATTGATTTTAATATTTTTCTGGCAAAGATCATCCTCGAGCTAACTTAGTAAAAAGTACCTACATCATAACTACTGCCCCTTATGCCCAAGCCATGAAGTAATAGTCGTAACTAATCGCTGCACCGGGATTTGCCAAACGCACCCGAGGAAAAGCGCGGAATCCCCGCACTCCGAGGCTGCTTGACACTGACATTTCCCCAACAAACCCACCCCAGGCAAGCTTCTACCGCCACATTCCTCATTTCCCCTCGAATCAATTATCAATCGAAATACCCTTAGCCGAATCTCACACATGGACGAACTCGAGATATCGCCGATTGCAGACGACTGGCGAAACCCCCCTGTCGATGAAGACGACCCGCAGAGCCGACCGCGGAAGAGAAGGCGGAAATACATAGCCAAAGCATGGTGGGTTGCATAAGAGCTGCGCACAGGATTGTTAGATATGTGCAAGGGGGAATATGTGCTTACTGCTTATGAATGATACTACAGCAATGAGTGCAAACGACGCAAGATCAAGTGTAATGGAGAAACGCCGTGTCAGCGATGTGGTCGTCAACGAGTTGGATGTGTTTACGCGGAGAATGCCCGGTCGGAGAGTGGCATGGGTGATCAGCAGTGAGTGATTGAGTGGATTAGATTATACAGCGTACTCGAGCGGATATTGACGATGGGGTGAATTGAATAGGAATTTCGAGCGATTATTCGAACAAATGGGCGCGATGCAGGAGCAGATCACCATGTTGACGGCTACCGTGCATGCTTTGACCAACAGCGGCGTGACGGGGCCAGCAGCGACACGATCCGAAGCGACAACGCAGTCTTTGACCACGCAGCGCCCCTTTCGCCGACTATCCTCCGCTCGAGAATTGACCTTCCAAGGCCCGACCACCTCGGCGTTTAGTTTCGATTTGGCCAAGACGAGTTTACAAAGACGCGGGATTGTTGAACGCAATGAAATTGGCGAGGAGGATGGGGATATGACGCAGGAACCGTCGCCGGTGCCTTCGCCTTCATCGCCGGACCAGGAGTTGGAACCTCGAACGGGTGATCCGTTGTGGACGATTCAGAAGACGGAAGCGGTTCGACTGTGTCGGGTTTATGAGGAGGAGATGGGGGTCATGTATCCCGTGTTGGATTTACAGGAGTTATTGCGCCAGGTGGATATTCTCTACGGGCCTATGGATACGGTTTCGTGGTCTCCATTGCAGGGGAATGTCGATGGATTGGAGAGTGGCGATGTCGATATTCTGCGATTGGTGTTTGCATGCGCGTTGACTGCGGAGGGCAGCGGAAGTAGTGAGCTGGCTATGAGATTGTTTGGGAGTGTGCGAGAGGTGGCTGATAATTGTGTCTGGGGACCGCCGGAGATTAAAAGCATCATCTTTCTGACATTGATCGTAAGTATATGACGTGAGCGTGGTGCGATGATTATGGTCTAACTGTGTTAGTCTATCTTTTACTTCCAGATGGACGAAGAAACATTGGCGTGGCGGACGATTGGGACCGTTGAGCGCATGTGTCTTGAAAAGGGGTTGCATCGTCGCGAAACACTGACCCAGCCGGCTATCATGGAGGCGGGGAGGGAAAGAGTGCTGCGACTATTCTGGTCTATATACATACTCAACATCAGGTGGTCGTTTGGGACGGGGATGCCGTTCTCCCTCGAAGACACCGACATTGATCCGTGGTTGCCCGAGCCGGAGGAGAAAACGCCGTATTTGCAAGTGATGATTCGCTACAGTCGGATTGCGGCCAAAGTGTGGAAGTTCATATCGGCATTCAACAACAGCAATGAGATTAAGAAGGATGAGATGAACTACCTGGATTGGCAAGTTTTGCGATGGGCGAATGGAATGCCGAGATCTCTGCAACTTGACGATCTAGGCGCGGAGCAGTCGAAAGATACTCGTAGCATTCGTCGGCTACGATCCTTGTTGTACCTGCGAGGAAATCAGTTGCGGATGTTGATTCACCGACCTGTTCTACATACAGCCTCTCATATCATGCGATACATCTCCGAGTCGGAAACCGTGGTCGAGATCGCCAAGGACACGATTCGGTTTATCGCACATTTGAATGATACGTCGGATATCTACAAGCTGCAGCAAGTCACATTTAACTGGTTTCTTGTCTCTGCTCTTGCAGTGCTCTTTTTGGCCGTCGCACAAGCCCCCGGGCAGTTCAGCCATCGCTGCAAGGAGGAATTTGTAATGGCACTTGAACTCGTCAAAGGCTTCTCTACAAAATCTTACATCTCTCGCCGGCTATGGAAATCAATCAAAAGCCTCAGGAAACTGGCACCTCAAGTAGGATTGCAGAAACATCATGAAGAGAGAAACCACAACCACGAAACGCGGGATAATAATACGGTGGATTCATTGGACCATGCCCCTGCATCCAGTATCCAGAGTCATACGCCGCAGGACGGGGCACAAATGACACAGGAACTGATGGAGTGGTTTGAAGCTGTGGGGAATATCGAAAACCAGATTATGGGCATGGGCACACAACCGATGGGGACGCAACCACCGACCCTGGATGATCCAGGACTGTGGCAGTATGGGTCTAGAATGCCGAATGGGGAGTATATGTTTGATTATGGTGGGGAGCTATCGAGCATGATGAAGGACTGTTTCTAGTTGCTTGGTAAACCTATATTGAATATGTTGAGAGGATGACGCAGGCTGTAACATGCTTGACACCCAAGAGCTATACAAGTGCAGTATAAGCAAATCATGACTAGTTGGCCTTGATAACCACAACGTCAACTTCTTCACTTGCGTCGGCCTTCGCCTTCACCTGGACCTCACGTCCTTCAACAACATCACGAGTCACAGTTCCTCCATGACGTTGATAAACAGCCCATCGCCCAAAGGAAAGATTCTTAACCTTAAAATCCACCCCAACACCTCTACCAGCCCACTCCCTCAGCGTAACAACCATAGCGTCGACCTCATCATCCCAAACCCCCCTCAAAGCATCAACACCCATCGAGTACTCAATCCCATCCACCCAAGGCCTCTCCCCAAGAACCTCCCTCGTCCACGGCGAATCCCACATCTTCTTCTGCCCATTCTCCACATTCAACCTCGCATACCCAATCGCCGCATTCCCAGAGAATGGATCCATATGAGTCCAGCGTCCTTGGTGATCCGTCGCCGCGTCGTTGCGAGGGTAATAAAGGCCCCCGTTTTCCCAAGTCGGGTGGAGGTGGTTATCCGCGTAGGCGAGGAGTCCGGATAGCTCTGTCGTTTTGCCTAGTTCGGAAAGCCATTTTGCGACGTAGCCGAATGTGGGCTCTTTGTAGGGGAAGTGGGTGGTGGGTTTGTTTTGGGTGTAGTATTCGCGTGCTTGGTGGAGGATTTGAGATTGGGATTTAGATTGATTGGGGGATTGTGTGGTGATTGCCCGGTATGCGCCTGCTATCATGGGGTGTTGGAGTTCGATTTCGCCGTCGATGTTTGTGATGAAGCCTACTGCGTGATTGGTGAAGCCGGACTTGACGAATTCGGAGTTCCAGGTATTCATGAAGGCGGCCGCCCTGGATGGGATGAGTATGGATGCAAGGCCCAAATGAAAGGGTTCTTACCATGCGGTGAATCCGATATTCTTTGGAATAGCTGCGTGGCCTTGTTTAACGCTCACCCAGTCTTTGTATAGATCGTTGCGGGAGATCATGTTGTGTTTCTCTAATGCAGCCGTATATTTCCCAAGAATGTCCTCTACCACATTAGTACCGTCTCGGACATCATTGTATCGCATCGCAATAATCTAATACGATCAGTACAAATCCCCAAAAACATGCTTGGGCCAAACATACCGGAAACTGATTACAAGCAACAAAGACCAAATTCGGCTCACAACACACTCCCACCCAGTTATTCCGTTCCATCTCCGCAATGATAGCTCCCTGCAAGCTTCGATTATCATAGGAAAACTCCTCAGATCCCATCCCCCAAAACAGCGGGTCCCAGCGAAAGACCAAACTACCGGGTTTCTCAAACTCATCATCGTCGAACAACATACCGTATAGACTCGTCATCAACAACAGATGGCCACTATACATGATATTCTCCCTGACGACCGGATCCGCCCAGGGTTTCCTCAACTCCTTCAGATCAGGATCAAGACGGATCCCAGACTGCGAGGTAAGATACCAGTATCCCCAAACCTCACGGCGGAGCATTTTGTGAATTAGCCGACGGATCAGCGGTTTGAAGAGTCCGCGCATCGCCGGCATGCGGTGGTAGTGGGTGACTCCAGCTGCATAGGCCATTGTGGCGAGTTGGTACCGGTATGCGTCGAGGAATTCCTGCGCGGGCTCTTGTGAGCCCATGTGTGGCCAGTCTCCATCGATGGCTGCGCTGAGGTTGTAGAAGTGGCGGAGGTGGCCGGCTTGTTCGTGGGATAGTTTGGGATATTTGGATAGATCTACTGGCAGGGTATTGCTGCCAGGAGTAGATGTAGATGTCATAATGTCTGATATAGCTGGGGTAACGATGAATCGTTTAGCTGTAGCAGTCATAAACCTGCCGATACGAGGCGGTAACTAAATATATGTGCCCGTGCTTGTCTCAGCTGACCTCGGAGTCCCCGAGTGTAACAAGTATTCATAACTGTCCAAGATCTACAAAAATCCCTTGTGCCAGACAATTTAAGCATCAAAATAGTTGCATAGAAATGTACCCAATGCTCCGCAGCCGCTTACGCAGCGGACTTTGATCATAGCCGTGAACCGATGTGGAGCCGAGTCGTCGGTGTTTATATACCCGGTCGATGCATCGTTCTGGATGAAGTTCGAAATTGCGATTTGGTCGAAGAATATCCCATAGCAGCTGGATGTCTCTGCAGCAAAGACACTAGCAGAGGTCATCAATAGGAGGTTCCAGCATTTTGCACCGTCGGGAAAGAGGATGCATTCAGAGGATCAACAGGATTAGGTTTGCTGGGAATGGGATAGAAGAAAATGATATTGAACATTGATTAAAAGGTGAAGCTATTCAAAAGCAGGAAAGAGAAATGTCGCTGTTTGTGCGACTAGGCCAGAAAGGGAAGCGAGGGCAAGGGCAGCAACAGTCCCAACGCCTCTGCCTTAACGTCATTAGATGCTTCCCTTCAACCTTTCGAGATCATCAATCGTCCAGTCAGTCACCAGCATGTTACCTGGTTCATGGGAAAAGACAAGCCCATCGAGCTTGTCTCCAGCAGACTCAACAGCCATCTGAGGCGTCACTCCGCAAGCCCAGAACACCGGAATCTCACCATCCTCAAAGACCTGCGGCTCGCCAAAGTCCGGACTTCCAATATTCTCAATGCCTAACTCCTTTGCTCCATCCCAGCCCCATGCTACTGGTTCACCATGTGTCGATAAGAATGGCCTGGTCACTTCCCGGACCCGCTCGATATCTTCTGGCTTATATGGTCTCATCGATACGATACATTTACCGCCGGTGAATACGCCTGCCGGGAGAAGGGGAATGTTGGATCGATACATGGCAACAATGGTTCCGGTTTTCTGATGACGAGGCTGCAAGCCAGCAGCGGCTAGAGCATCCTCAAATGAAAACGAACAGCCGATTAGAAACCCGACATAATCCGATGTCCAGACATCAGTGAGGTCTCGACGGTTCTTGACGAATTTCCCATTCTTGTAAACGCGATACGCGGGAAAGTCGGTGCGGATGTCAAAATCGGCGGATTTGATACATCCTTTTGGACGGACTGAATGGGGATCACCGTTTAGAGTGATTCCCAAGAGCGGACAGGAAACAGGGTTTCGGAGACAGAGATTGTGAAAGTCTTGTGCATGTTTGGACGGGAGGATGAGAAGATTGGCTTGGAGATAGCCCGGTGCGAGGCCAGCCGTGTTGGTGATATGGTTCTGTCTGCTGAGGAGACGGGCGTGATGGGCTGGCGAGGATGCGCTGCTTTCGACGGCAATGCTTCCCATGATGACGGCGATAGGGTTATGGCATTCGTCGTGGATATAGCCCGTTCATGGACTGGATCACCAGCATCTATAACCTGTACCCCATATCATCGGAGCCCACTTCCCGACAGTCTGGGGAGCGGCCGAGGAGATTATACCCCGCATTCTGCAATCAGCGATCGTCGGATGCTCGTCGAATGGGATATCAAGCGTCCTTGAATTGCCGAGATAAAGCAGGCCTAAAACTCCTATCGTCGCTCGTATCATTTCCTATCTCAGTCCATCTCCACCGCTTATCACGACCATCGGGCCGACACGTGTTGCTGGCGGTCCAGCATTCCGATAACATAGATACAGAACGATTGGGCTATCGGGCATTTCTATTACGGAAAGAATACTCGATAAACGTTCTTGACGTTGGAGAGTTCTGATAATTGATGGGGATGGATCCACTCGACTCCGCATTGTTATCTGGCGATGCTGTCCCTGTCAGGATGGGTCTTAAACTCGACGCCCGCTGTCATGTCCTGTCCGCATTCTAAGAAACCGACCAAATAATTATAATGGAAACAGGAATTGACCCAGCTCAATCGGAGCGAAAGAGTATCCACGAGGCCGATGATGTGGTCCTCGACCCCAAGAAGGAGCAGAAGCTTCTTCTCAAGTTGGACTTGGCTTTTATTCCAATTATCATGTTGACGTATCTCACTTGCTTTTTGGATCGGTCGAACATAGGTATGCATCTTGATGTGTTGTGGTGAAGATAAGACTAATGGGAACAGGAAATGTGAAAGTCGCAAATATGCCCGAGGACATCGGCGCATCTCCGAGCGAGTTCTCAACTGCTGTTTCCATCTTCTACGTGACATATGTTCTTCTGGAATCGCCATGGGCGGTTCTCATGAAGAAGCTGACACCTCGCAACATTCTCGCCGGCCTATGCGTGGTCTGGTCGATAGCGACCATTTTTACTGGATTTATCCATAACGTCGCTGCGTTGTACGCAACGCGTCTTATTCTCGGGGCTTGCGAAGCGGGTCTTTTCCCATGCCTGAATCTTTACTTGACAATGGTTTACCGGAGAGAAGAGCAGACGAAGCGCGTATCATACTTGCTGAGTTGCGGCGCGATCGCAGGTGCATTTGGAGGATTGTTAGCATACGGACTTCTCCACATGGATGGAGTTGGAGGCAAAGCTGGCTGGAGATGGGTCTATATCATCGAAGGACTGTTCAGCATTATCTGCGCCTTTCTCATCTGGTTCGGTCTTCCCAACGACCCCGAAAATGCGTACTTTCTCAGCGACGAAGAGAAATGGATGATGCGTGTGCGAAACGAACAGCGTCGCAAGTACATGGGTAGCGAGGAGTTTAGCTGGGAAGAGATTCGAATCGCCGCGACTGATCCGAAGTTGATCCTCAGCGCGATTACTCAATTCTGCCAGGATATCCTGTTGTACGGGTTCAGCACGTTCTTGCCCACTATCCTGCAGAGTATCGGATATAACTCGCTGATGAGCAATGTGCTTACCGTGCCGGTGTATTTCTGGGCAGCGTTCGTCTTTATCTGCGTGGCGTGGGCTGCAGATCGATACTCGAAATTTGCAGTGGTATGTTTCATCATTATCCAAAAACGGAAACCAAGATACTAACGAATGCAGTTCATCTTGTGCGCCAACGTATTCGGCATCATCGGGTACATCCTCCTCCTCGCCGTCTCCTCAAACCAAGTCAAATACTTCGCTACCTTCCTCTGCGGAGTCGCCTGCTACACCAGCGTCGGCATCAACGTCGGCTGGCTAAACGTCAACTTTGCGCCCCAACAACGCCGCGCCTTCGCCATCGGCATGCAACAAACGATCGGAAACATGGCAGGAATCGTAGCAGGACAAGTCTACCGCGAGTCACCATATGTTCTGGGTAATTCGTTCTCGATGGCCTCGTTAGTCGTGGCGCAGGTCGTGGTCGTGCTGCATGCGTGGTACGTTCGGCGGGAAAATGCCGAGAAGGAGATGATTGCGCGGGGCGAGAAAGAGGATACGCGACGCGTGCAGTCGGGCGATAGAGAGGTGGATTTCAAATATCATTATTAGTTATCTTATCTAGTTCCTATGAAGGTCGATGATTCATCCACGTTTGGATTGTTGAATATGACGACATGACTTGAACAGTATATATCCACCAATCTTCAACATAATTCTCAATCAAACCAATCAATCAAATCAATCAATCTATTACCCAAACCACTCACATAAACCCCATATCTCAATCAAAATGGGCCTCTGCTTCTCTCTCCTCGGTGGTGGACGCCGCCGTCGGCCCATGATGGGCGGAATGGGCGGAATGGGTGGAATGGGCGGCGGTGGAATGGGTATGGGCCCAGGCTCGCGCTACTCATCAGGCGGAGGAATGCCCATGAACTCAATGGGCGGTGGACGGATGCACCATGGAGGATTCGGTGGTGGTGGTGGAGGTGGCGGATTTGGGATGGGAGGAGGAAGAATGGGGGGTATGGGTGGTATGGGAGGTATGGGGGGAGGAGGAGGAGGGATGGGTGGAATGGGAGGAATGGGGAGAATGGGAGGGGGTATGGGAGGGGGGCGGAGAAGGTGGTAATCTTGAAGAATCAAGGTATGTTTGAGATTGATGGTGTTGATGGATTGTGCTGATGATGGATAGAATTGGATATATTCGACCCACGGATATTGATACCACCTCATATGTCCATCGAGGTTTCACTCCAATAGTATGTCTACTCCTTGTTATTTCGGGTATCGCTAACACGAACGGAACAGTCATATACTCAATTATGCGATAAAGGGAAGAATGATTGACTCGACTCGATTCGATATTGTCTGATACATAGAGATCTCTACGAAATACATGGCAATCATTGAATATAACAGTGAAGGCACATATAGTAATAGTTAATAATATATCCTGCATATATTGACTAGAATACTCATTCATCTATACTATCATGGCTACTATACGTATTTATTCATTGGCCGTATCCAGCCAGATATAAATGCAGCCCAATTCGGATCTCGAACTTAGACTTGCATTTATTTTCATGAGCTTGATGTATAATGGGTCGTTATTATATAAAACCTGTTGCTTTGCCTTGACGGTATATATATCCTGGTATCTTTTATACACCATCAAAGACAGACAGCACTGGCTACATCTGAGCATTCATCAGCAATCTCTTCACTAGAAGATTTTCCAAATATGGTCTATAGAAATGGATGGGTTCTAAACCCCTATGATGGCCCAAGATTCATCCAAGTGCATGCCAGTTTGGCCTTCATTTGAACAACTTCAACTGCATCAGAAGGCAACTCATGTTGGAGAAAGGAGAAATTATGGAAATCTTCAGGTCAAATGGCTGGCTTCTTTCAAAGGTATACAATACATCCGGTCCACTGGCATCAATACTGATAGTCTATCCTTTGACAGTGGATGAATATCCTTCCGTCGAACGGACATACACACCTGTCGGGACTTACAAAACGAAGCTTGCACAGATTAAAAACAGGTTTCGTAAGTGTATTTTCTCAATTGTCGATGAGTGCTAATGATTCTTAATAAAAACCAGACAAACCGCATCAAACCATATCCGGAGTCGTACAAATTTGCTCCACCGAACGGGTTGGACAGGCACAGCGGCAAATTGGATGTGGCCGTCTTATCGCCAGACCAGGATTCATCGAGACACGAAAGACAGGAACTGAAAGGCAGAGAATGGTAGACTCTCTGAGATGTCCCCCAGAGAAACTGTTGGTACTTCGATGGCAATGGAGAATGCGATAGACGCGTCGATCGATGCATGAGACGGATAGAACGAGACGCGAAAGACAAGATGAAATCAAACATCGTGCAATTGCTCCGAAATGTCGCCGTGATGAGATTGCTGGATACCGAATCCAGATGGTATCAAAAAGCCTCGATATGCATTGGCAGAGGTTACGACTGGACATGGACTGAATTCAAGGCAGCAATAGCATTATCGCCAGGATATATAAATACTGCAAGCCAGCTCTGGATCCACAACTCCAATGACCAATCAGTCTATAAACTATTCCAAATCTCCCTCGATGCCAAATGCCTCGCCTCCTTCTTGGTCGTTCCCCTCCCAACCCCTGTGATGCCGTTGTAATTCCCAATCGACTGCCAGTCTGGTGGTGTTTCTCTCAGCATAACCTCTTCATAAACTGGCTTGACGCCTTCCACATCTCCTCGTGCTTTGAGCGACGATGTAAACCTGGCAAGATCGCTAGGTAGCTCCGGTAAAGATGCTGGGCCAGCACTAACACTCGCGCTCACACTCCCACTGACACTGGCACTGCCACTAACACTCCGAGCAGCCTCCTCCCTAACCGTCTGTAACGCACTAGATTGATCTAGCACATTCGCAGGCGGGGTACTATACAGCGACGGCGCCGTCAACGGGGTCGAAGCCAGCGGCGTCGACGAGACCATCGGCGTAGAAGCCACCGACGGCTTCCACGTTCTTTGGCTGAGATATTGATCCAGCATCAACTGGACATTATCTAGTTTCTGGGAGCCAAGCTGGGGAGATTCCTCGTAGACTCTGCCTAGGAATAGATACAGATCTTCCTGTGGTGTGTTTCCGCAACCGGGGAAACGGTACTTCAGGGCCAGGATGCGGCAGAGATCTGGAAAGGGGAGAGCTGTTTCGATATTTGTGTAGATGTGCTTTATTATATTAATAAATGTTCTTTCTTTTGGTGGATATGCATACCTTGAGTTGGGAGACAGGGGTGTCGGGGGGATTATTTCTGCTCACCCAGGAGGCGAGGAACAGTTGCATCCAGTTGTGGCCGAGCCAGATGGCTGTCATTTCCAGATTAGTATATTGATGATATTATCGTTCTTTGAGCTTACCTGTAGCGTTGGTCGACTGTTGGGTAACCATGGTGGTGATGAGAGGTGAAAGGGCGACGATGGGTTTTTATGAGTCGTTGCCACAGCAAGGCTGCAGTGATCAGGATGACTGACTGCGGCAGCTGAAGTGCACAGCCTGGGTATGCTAACTACGATAGGATATTTGATACTATCTGATATTGGGTAATGATTATTGATGCTGGATATGATGGGTTGGAGTGATGGTGGGGATTCGCGAACTTTTCCCCGCCCATTGTCGCGCCCCACGACTTCATGATGCAACGCAACATCAACAAAACAACAACCCAACATCATCATCAAGATGGAACGCCTTCAATTCCTCTCTCTCTTCCTGCAGAGGTCCAGCTTCCAATTGATCAATTTGTATGTGAAGAGCCCTCTGCAGGTGACAGTCTTCTCTATGTCTGCCACCAAACACGCAGGGAGGTGATAATCAGCCTTCCTGCTTCAAAGACCACGATCCTTCGAGGGTCTAGGGGACTTTGTTGAATGGGCATCTCGGGTCCCCCCATATGTACGAAAGTACATTCAAGACATCCACATTGGCTGGCCAGCACCCTGGTGGGACAGAATCAGCGCGTGGTATGGCGAAATACCTACCGGGCTTGAAGAAGAACCAATATCTCCACGGCTGACGACGGCCACGACACCGGAAGGGTGGAGGCAGCGATGGATGCAGATATCAGGGCAAGATATAACAGACCAAGAGAGTCTATCGAATGATCCCGAATCGTGGAGAGAGTTGGATTACAACGCCGTCGACACCTGTCCGATCACAGCCACCTGGGCGGCCTTTTCGGCCTTTAAAAACCTGCAACGAATCTCACTTGATCTGGATGGAGACGAATCGCAATCCAGTGATCCGCAGGCTTGGATACTGTAATTCCCCGATCCGCATTATGAGTTTCATCAATTCCTCAAGATGATCGCTAATACACGGCCTGAAATCCGCGAATTGTGCTTTACGGCAGGGCCGATGGCTCTTGACTTTCTGCGGCATTTCACCCAGTTATCCTCGTTGCGGTTTACCACCACGTCGATTAGTAGAACCAAGTGTGGTTCCAGCATTAGGCGAACTGCTGCCTCGTTTAACGAAGCTGAAGGTATTGGAGTTGTGCTTTCAGACAAACCGCCCGATGAAGAACGAGGAATTGAATATCCCATTTACGGTTGAGAAATGCGTGATTGAATACAAGGAAAAGAAGCTGAGGGTATCGTATCCACCTCCACCATCCCAACCTCCCCCATTAGGTGAAAATGAAGATCCATCAACTGGCTTATTTGGTATATATCCAATGTCAGCTGTATAAATGCAATATCCATCCTATATTTATAATCACAGAATACTCTTATAATGAAAATATAACTAGATGTTTAAATAGTAAGATAATAGCTAACCAGATAGAAAAAGTAGCTGAATAGCTTCAAATTGTTATTGTGTGGGGTTAATCAGATGGCAGAAAGGTGAGTAATCAACTTCACAACCCCTCCATCCTCAAATAAACAACTCACCAAATCCGAATCCAACAAGCTTATCAACTCGCAGAACCATCAACCAGAGAGATAAGATGTCTTCAAATCACCCCCTCTTCATATCTCTCCCCCCAGAAATCCGCTTCCCGATTTATGATCTCATCTTCCAGACACCGTCTGCCGGTTTCCATCTTCTCGATGTCTGCCATCAAACCCGCAACGACGTCTGGCCTATCCTGCTCAAGACACCCCGATTCTTCAAGAGCATGGAAGATTTCATCGACTGGGCATCGCGGACTCCGACTGGGTTGGGGCAATTCATCAAGGAAATCCATATCGAATGCCATGCCAACTGGTGGGCGAAATTCATGGCTGCATACAAGGAAATTCCACATCCCATGGAATACAGGATTCAGCATGCTTCAACCTCAGTGCCAACAGCCAACACACTGGCTGAGTGGAAGCAGCGCTATGTCGATCTGGCCGAGGGCTTTGAGACTTCGCTAGACGACTGGATGCGGAACGACGAGATCGAAGCGGATGGGGCGTGGAAAAGTTCACGCCCGCTTGAAGCGACCTGGCAGGCGCTTTGTATGTTCAAGAACGTCCAGATTGCCTCCCTCGTGCTGAATGGGGGCTTGGAGAAAGCGTTTACGGGCCGGTACAATCACCACCAACTACTGATGCTTGAAATGGCCGCCAACGCATGGCCGCATCTACGCGAGTTGGCCTTCAGTTCTGGCGTGATCCCGATCAGCTTCCTTCGTCTTTTCACGCAGCTACGCGCGCTGCGACTGCCCGGGCCGTCAATCACAAGTCCAGACAAAACGCTGGACATCCTGCAAAACATGAAGCACCTGGATACATTGGCACTCCGGCGCTATGCACGCGATGATTTCCGAAATGTTACAGGGACATTCCATTTTATGCGCGATCTAGCGTTCACCCCTGGAGTGGTGGGAAAGATGAATCCTCTTCGCCAGGTGGAACTCCTCCATGAGGATGAGGACTGTCCACCAATGTTAATTACCGGCGACATGATGCTAGCGTTGCATAACCACGCTGACACGCTCGAGTCTCTGGCTGTCCGATCGAACGCGACGGTGAATTCAGACGTTGTCAGCGAGATTTCACGACTTCTTCCTCATCTGAAGAAGTTGAGGGCTTTGGAATTGGCATTTGAGATACCCGCACCGTTTAATGAGGGGGATTTGGATATCCCGACTACTGTTGAAAAGTGTGTGGTTGATATCAAGCAGAAGTGGTCGACGGCGTTGGTTTTGGTAACATAATCATTTGATATACCTGATAGACTCGTTTATGTTAAATCCAGTATATGTTAACCTTACATCCAATGATATCACGACTGTTATATATAGACTGTCGCCTGATGGCGGGGCTGTGCTGCGCGCTTGCCAACACCAAAAGCCAGCGTTATAAATCCACCACCACCTCACATCAACATCAGCATCACCATCATCAAACAAACCATCAAAATGAATCCAGCCCAATTCGCCAAATTCCTCCCTCGACAAGCACCACGCACCGCATCAGCCCACATAATCGACTTTACCACCACCACCCCCTCAATCCCAAAATACAACAATCTCTTCGCGGCCGTCATCGACAACATCCTCACAGAATCTGAATGCAACGAGCTCATCCAGCTGGCAGAATCATCAACCATCACCCCCTCCTCGCCAACACCAACATGGGAACGCGCAATGATCAACGTCGGCGGCGGACGACAGGTGCTCGCAACAGACACGCGGAACTGCGGGCGTATCATCTACGACGCGCCAGACATCGCTGACAAGCTGCTTCAACGGCTAATGCCTTTTCTGAGAAAATTCGAGATTGATAAAATCGACAATAAACCCCGCGTAACTGGCCTCCAAGGCCGAGGAAAAACATACACCCTCACCCGTCTGAACGAACGACTCCGCTTCCTCAAGTACGAGGGAGGCGAGTATTTCAGACCGCACTGGGACGGGCGGTATACAACCCCCGACCGCAAGGAATGCTCATACTACACCATCCAGCTATATCTCCACGGCGAGGGCGAGCAAGATCTAACCGAGCTGGAAGAGGCGAGCAAAACCGTGGCGGGGACAGATGACGCTAATCTGGATAAATCGGGGGAACTACTCGGTGGCGCAACGTCGTTTATCCCGTGCTTTGAGGACGAGGAGACGAAGGTTCGGGTGTTTCCTAAGACGGGGTCGGTGTTGGTGTTTCAGCAGAATGACCTGATGCATGGGGGGGATCCGGTGTTTAGGGGAGTCAAGTATACGGTGAGGACGGAGATCATGTATTCTTTGCGTGATTAATGTGATATAACTGAGTTGTTGATGATAAAAAAAGCAACTGTTTAATATCACCCTGGTGTGTAGGATGCATCCTTTGCATTGGCATCAGTGAAACTTTGCATAATGGCTATTTTACTACTAAAACCAGCTATCTTCACGAGGCGCCGTGTATGATCACGGATTGCTTGGTGATTAGACCATTGCATGGAGTAGCGGTATAGTACAGCCTATCAACGGGCGAATTGCCACCCAATCTCACCAGGGCAATGACTGGCTGTTTTGGGTACTTGAAGCATATCGGCGGTTTCCGGTTGTACCTGCATTTCCCCTCTGCAGATGCGGGGTGATTCAGCATGGAATATTCGATGCAATCTAACTTATCGAACTCATTACAAATAGTACACAAATTCCCTGCCGATTGTTGTTATCGACCGCAAAGACCTCCCCAGACGGGTATAGTAAGCGGGGCTATTATCGTCGACAGCTACATCGTATAGTTATCTAGTCCAGACTATCAACTAGGGTAATTAAATCGGACGGGATGGATGGTGACTATCTACTCCGCATAAGGTATAAATTGAGACCATGCCCTGCGTTTGAAATGCATTGTCACTACCAAAGATAGACAAAATGGGCATTCTCTCAATATCTTTACTTCTCACTCTGGCACTGGGCATCCACGCCCAGCCAGAGAAAAGATATGCCATTGTGGACAACGACTGGTCTGCAATCAGCTTCATACCTTTTCTCCTCGCCCTCGATGGAGGCATGGAAGTTCTGGGATTAGTTTCTGGTAATACCACCTCCATAATTATAACCATCCATCTGACAGATGAATCAGACACCGCCAACACCTGGCAACGCCAATGCGCCTACCACGCCCTCGCCAACCTCGAAGTCGGCAACCTCACCTGCATCCCCGTCTACGAAGGCGCCACCTACCCACTCATCAACACGCCTGAACGTTTCCAAGCCTGGGAAGCCATCCACGGGATCATTCCCTGGCAAGGCGCGTTTGCACCGGAAAACCGCACTTTCGAAGAAGCAGGAAATGGCCCGACATCTGGTAATCCGAACCGGATTGTCAAAGCGGCCTTTGTAGAGGGGTATCCCACAACGGCTGTGAGCAAGTCGACGAATGCAGCTGCGTTCATGGTGGATATGGTGAGGAAGTACCCAGGGCAGGTATCGATCTACTCGGCTGGCGCGTTGACGAATGTTGCGCTGGCTGTGCGGATGGATGCGCAGTTTGCGTCGTTGGCGAAGGAGTTGGTCATTATGGGTGGGTATGTGGATGTGAATATGCTGCAGGTGACGGGGGATTTTATGCAAGCTGATATAAATTCGGATGTAAGTCACCTCCCTGTATAGCTGAAGTATGCTAATGAGTAGATAAACCTGATGATCGACCCCGAAGCCGCAAAGATCGCATTAACAGCCTCTTTTCCCAATATCACCATCGCTGGAAACGTCGCGAACCAAGTCCAATCAACGCAGGAGTTTCTGGATGAAGTATATCAAGTCAAGAATCCATATACGAAGCTCTTCCACGATCACTACGGGACTGAATTTCCATTCTGGGATGAGACTGCTGCTGCGTTGATGGTTGATCCTTCTATTGCTATCAATACTACTACAGGTATGTTACAAATCTCGATCTCTATATTCTTAAAAAACTAACAAGATGGCAGCCTATCTCGACGTGGACGTGGCATTCGGAAGCCCGAATTACGGCAACATCCACGTTTATCAGAAATCGCTGATGCCCCCGAATATCCGCAACGTGACGTATGTGAATGAGATTGATGGAGAGAAACTCAAAGCGATGATGAAGCATGCAATGCAGCATCCAAAGAGCTGCTAATACTATCATAGCCATATATGAATAAGATCAGTTACGATCACCCATCTCCCTCTCCCAGCCCACTTTCTTCGCTTCCCGGCGTTTTGCCCGAAGATACAAACACGATCGTACGAAGAGGGCAATGTGAAATACCCTATTATAGTTAGTATATATATAATTCTTATGGCGAGGACAGGCAGCATACGCAGCACAAAACACCAGCACAGCACCAATGGAACCCAAAGCCCGAGCCGCAGTACCACCACGTGCCGGGATGAGACCGATCACAGAGATACCGAACAGGACGAGAACCACGACAGAGCATACATCGAGTGCAATACTAATGACTGGATGGTTTGTGCGTTTCCGGACGAGGAGGATGAGTTCGACGAGGGACCAGATTGCCACGACGGCGAACTATACATACATCTGTTAGTATAGGTGTAGATGGAAGGTAAGGTCAACATACGAGGATGGTCTGGATGGCTGCAATTCTCGAGGATGCGAGCATGATGATACCGATGAGATTAAGAGTGAAGGCAGCAACCCTCAAAATGAGGGAGATAATCCATCGTCGTTGCTGGATGGTGGTGGAGGGCATTGTAGATGATACTTTGTGATAGAAGAATAGCAGGTGGATGATACTCTGATAGAATAAAGCAATTACCACTTATATAGATATAAACATACGGAGATTTAAGTCAAGCAATGCCTGTAGAGTGTAGACGGACAAACACCGAGCATTCTCCACAAAGACCCTGTATCCACTGTTCAACATCACGAATGTGCGTTTCAATCTCAGACATGCCAAGAGATGATGATGATGATAAGTGAATTGACAATACATCTGGCTGTCAAGATAGAATTAGTATTCACTTTCGATTGCCTCTCTATTGCAATTGAATAACTTACTCTGTCTATTATAGAATATCTACCTCTCAGACGAAAAAAACCATACTGAATGTATGGAGTTTGACGGAGAATGATCCGAAAATTCTCCGACATACAACCTCCGAATGAGACATAAAGTGATCATCACTTGGCATCTCTGGACAATCTATGCTGTTTAAAGTAAACGGCAAGGCTGAGTCGACAAGGCTGACTTGACAAGGTTGACTGGGCAAGGTTGACTGGATTTACATGAAACAGAACCAACATAATCAGATTAACGCTACCCATTACTTTTCGTATATCATAACCTCATCATATATATCCTCCGTTGGAAGTCATCCCACCCATGTGCATCTGCCGAGACTCCCAAGCCAACTTCCTCCCTTCACGCCGTCTATCTCGCAGATGGAGACTCGCTCGGACGAGGAGGACGATATGCAACACGCTGTTTTGTCAGTATAGTCCACCAATATCAAAAGGATGGAAGACATACGCAGCCAGAAAGATACACACAATCCCAATAATGAAGACCGCAAACGCCCAGTTCACTGTACTTGAATGGTGCACAACATAGCTTACGCCAAGTACTGTAATGATGCCGAAAGCGACAAGGATGAGGACGGACAGGGAATCGAAGACGATGTTGATGACGGGGTGGTTGGTGCGTTTGCAGCAGAGGAGGATGAATTCAACGAGGGACCATATCGCCACGACACCGAACTGGGCTGTTAGTGGGGTTCAGATGGTGGAGACATACTATACATACCAGGATCAGCTGGATGATGGTGAGTGTTGTGAGGGTTGTAAGCACGATGCCGATTGCATTAAGCAAAAAGGCTGCTGCTCGGAGGACGAGCGAGAGGACCCATGTTCGTTTCTGGATGTAGGATGGCATTTTGATTGAAGTAGATGAAATGGAAATTAAGATGAAAATGAAGAAGCAAGATGTTTGATATATGTGTTTCTCCGCACAGCCAGGATGAATCCTTCTGTGCCTGTTGTTAGTACCAATTTCCCAAAAAGGACATATACCATTGCCGATCACCACGCGTCTCCAGCACAGCCTTTCTATCAGGTTTGGCTGTGCGGAATATCATATCCTATCTGATCATGCCAAGACAAGTGCCCAGCAAATTATGGATAAACAGCGCTTATTTACACTGCCACTCGATCGGTTGGACCCCACGATGATCATAGTGGCATTGCAATATTCCGTTGGTGGTTACTATCTAACTGCCAATTATACAAGGCTCATTCCCGGTAAGGCTGTCTAAGGAGAGAATGTCATTTATTATACAATATCTACCTGCCTAATTCAATCCATCGCAGGATTCTCTTAAACTCGTCTCTGTCATTCTCCTTGTCTGCCTCTTCATATCCGAACCGCTTGAATTCTTCGAATAACTCCACTGCAGTATCGTAGGTATCCGGAAATGTCCATCCGTCTCGCTGCACCACTTTTTCCAATGCTTGAAAGAGATCTTGGATCTCGTTGAATCCATCGCCTTCTTTCAGGTGGTTTTCTATCTCTTCCTCGCTGAAATGGATAGGACAGGGTCCGTCAACACCGAGTTCATACCAGTACCTAGATTGTCAGATTGATTCTTTTTATAGATAGGTAGCAACATACCGTTGGATCTTAATCAGCGACTCTCGAAACATAAGAATATCACCATCCCACGAATCACCAGCAAAAAGAACCGGATATCGTCGCGTCTTGCCATGATCCATCACGAACGCATCAGCCAGATCCGGTGTTTTCGCCTGCGTCGTCATGAGATATAATCTACACAATGTAGATTTTGCGATTTGCGTCTTAATCTCTGCTTGTTTTTCCTCATTCAGCTGATCGAAATCATCGGGTCGTTCAAAGCGCACTTCACCGTTGTGATCCGCTACCTTCCACGGTCGAACTTCGAGGAATAAAGGTCCTACCCATGCTCCCTGCCAGTCGATCAGACCGGTGATGTTATCCCCTTCGACGAATATGTTTGGGGAATGGGCATTTGGATGCCAGAGAGTGGGACGAGTAAGGTCTTTATTTTCAACGTCGAGTAATGAAGGTGCCACTTGTATGTATTTCTCGAGGAGGTTGATGTGTGCAGAAGGATCATTCTGCGCTGGGCATATTATGCTTGGATCGTCTGGTTGTTTGGGAGTTGCGTATTGCTTTATCCATGCGATTTCCTTTCTCGCGATGGATAGGAGATAGTCGAGGGGGTTTGTCCCTGATGGTCAGCAATGCTCACTCATGGTATTGATATACTTACAAGGACCACGATCGATGTCCATCGTTGATCGTTGTTTATTCCAGAATTCTCGATTGGCAACTGGCCCGATGCTGAACCTTTCGTATACCATTTTCTTGATCTCATCGGATACATCGCCGACAATCTCAGCTGGCACTGCGTCTTGCACTGCATCTCTGAAGTAGATATTCCCATAACTGAATCGTCAGTAAGCCGAAAACAATAGAGACATACATACTGAGTAAACCTCAACGAAGCAAGCTTCGCCTCAACATCCACCATCTGCGTCATGATACTAAGCTTCCCATCAGGCTTCATACCATCCCATTCAATCGCCAACTGTCTCCCCCTCACTTCCTCCATAATAACATACTCCACCCCAACCGGATTCTCACACGCATCCCACGCATACACCCGCGGAACAGGAATCCCCAGCACAACTCTCACAAACTCCATCGTCGCAACCTCTGACGCAGTCCCGTAGAACCTCGTGCCCGAAACACCCATCGGTATACGCGCCACCACCGCCCGTCCATCATCCATTACCAAGCGAAAGGCTTTGTGGGAGCTGCCTTCGCCGATTTTGGTGATGGATGTGCAGTGTTTCGCGTTGATGGAAGCTGCTGCGATGGCCTGGAGCTCTGGGACGTTGAACGGGGTGTAGCGTTCCAGCAGGCGCTGGGGCTCGTTCCAGAGCCAGCGGCCGCTGGTGTAGCTGAAGAGATAGTGATGGTCTGGTTGGATGGCTGGGTTGGTGGTGGATGTTAAGCGGGATTGCTGTGTCCTTGACAGGCCTTTCCAGGGGGAATGACGCGTGAGTAGCCCATGGTATGGGCGGAGAGATAATGGTCTTATTATTGATCTTGGATAGATGGATCTGTATATCGACTTCATTGTGGTTGATTGAGAAAACGCGAGGTTGATTGTGTTTGGGTGCATTTTAAACAGCATGACTCATGCAGTCAAGTGACCTAGCTCATTCTTCTATACAACCAACAGATATAATAGACATTTATATAAACATCCACTAATCAATGACCATGAAAAATATCTCCCCTACTCGCAATTGTCCACGGACACTTGGCCAGAATCGCAGCCTGCCGACGATTCCACCATGAAATACCTTTTGGACCTTGGCCTTGGATTAGGAAGATAAAGGACTGGATATGCAGATTAAACCGACGGGGGATGCGTGATGACATGGTGGATGTTGTGATTGTGCTTCCACGATCACGCTGTCGATGGTGTAGTGGTGTGTGATGGCGAGGTGGCCGGCGTTGTGGGCAATGTATACCATCAGCCACCAGAAGAGGCCGAGGCAGATGGCGCTGCTGCAGTACCAGCCTTGATAGAGGAAAAGGAACATGGCACCGAAGAGGATGTGCATATAGTTGGTCTTTTGAACCCTCATCATCATCATCTATATACCTGAGGGGCCTTGGTGTCTGAATCTGCCATGAGAAGAATCGGCAGTTGAGTAGATGATAGTTCATGAGAATTAGATCTCACACAATCAGTACTGTCTAGACCCAAGCATTGAACGAGAGAGCACTGAACATGCATATAATTTATCTTCATCACCCGAGCGGAGATACACCTCCGATGGCGGGGAGTATTGAGCAGACGGAGCAGAGATTTATTTACCTTGGAAGATGTGGTACATGAAGATGGGCTGTTGCTAGTTATTGTTAGTTCTGTATAATATTTTATAAAAATATAGAATATAGATAATAGATAAAATGATAATAAAAAGATATAAGTGCCTTTTAGAATGACAGAAAACTCTGCTAAAAATGGAAACCCCGCATCTCCACTCTCGCATCTTTTCTCTCAACGACAACAACCATTCAAATCGCCACGATAATCGTGGTCGCCTTCCCCATCCATCCAAGAGCCTCAATAATGTCGTGAAATGGACCTCTTCTCCTTTCTCCCCACGGAGATCCTCCTGAAGATCCTCCACGCCCTCCCCGATTTTCTCGCCCTCCACCGCCTGCTGCTAGCCTCTGACCGCGCCGCGCGTGTCTTCGCCCACCATGGCGGCTACGTGCTGGAGGACGTGCTGAGGGCGTACCCGGGCACCTCGTTTAACCTGCATCGACTGTTTCGCTCGGTCGCGCTGGTCCGGGGCCATGTGCGCGATGGGCGAACGATGCAGGAGTTTGTTGCGTGGATGAACGCCAATGACGGAATTGCATTGGCGGGGTTGAAGCTGCCGTCGCCCGTGTTGATAGAGATGGTGAGTGTCGCGGCGAATATTCAGCAGCTGGCCTGTGCGTGTCTGCGCAAGCTGTTGAATCGAATACAGCATCTCCAGACGCGGCTGGAGCCAACCACGCCGGCGCCGTATCCGCCTGAAGAGCCGCTGTCGTGGATGGAGGAGTATCGCGTGCATCGCGCGCTGTGGTATCTGCAGCTTTTCTGGGACTTGCATGTGAAATTTGATGCTGCGCAGCCTTCGCGAATATCCGAGTATTACGAGACTGTCGGGTCGTCGTATTGCTGGATTGAAGAGGAAATCCTCTGCATGGCGTGCTGTATATCGTCCATGGGGACGGAATCCGCCGCTCCATCAGATATCATCCCTCTACCATCTGCGCGATCACTGCCCATCCACGCAGAATGGACCATGGCTCCCGTGCCTGACAACTCAGGCCGAGATCTGTTCAAATCGCGCCCTCCGTCCTGGGCGAATCTAGGCGGATCGGCGTATTATATCTGGAGTCTGCGGACGGATATCAACCCGCAGACCGAGGACGAGAGGCACGTCACTGCCTTTCTATCATTACGAAAACTGGGCATCTGGTTCTGGGATAGAGAACGGATCGAAATGCTAGGAATGGACATCCAAGAACGATCTGAAGAATCGGGCGAAGTCACGCCCGAAGAACGAGCACGAGTACGGCAGCGATGGTGGGATGTCGCCAGAATCGGGCATGCGATGGACTGATGAATTATGATCAAAATGCATTGTACATTTATATCTATTCAATATCTATATCATTCTGCTTTAAGACCAAGCAGATTCTCCGCATTCTTATACGCAAACAACTCCAACTCCCTCCCCTGAATCAGCCCACTCTCCTCAATCTCCCTGAAAAACTGCAATCCCCTCTCGTTTGTCGAAAACGGATAGTCGACGCTATACAGGACATGCTCGACGCTCGTCGTCTGCAAGAGACACGCCAACGGCGCCAGCGAAAACATCCCACTCGTCGTAATCCAGATATTCTCCCTCCACACCTCCCTCAACCCACGCTTCTTCCCCCATCGCTCGGAAACTGCATAGATCCGGTCAATTTGAAACGGTAACATCTCACCCATATGTCCGATGATGATTTTCAATTTCGGAAATCGATCAAACACGCCACTCGCGAAGAGGCGCAGAATATGCAATCCTGTCTCTGTATGCCATGACCAGCCAAAGGCACTCAGCGCCATCGCAACGGAGTCGGGATAGTTCCCTTTATAATGCTCCATCATGTCCTCTGCTGCGAACGTGGGGTGGATATAAATCGGCACATCCAACTCCTCCGCTTTCGCAAAAACACACCAGAACCGCTCATCATCGTAAAATTGCCCGTTGAGATGATTCTCCACCAACGCGCCCACGAACCCTAGCTGTCTCACACACCTTTCCAACTCCTCCGCAGCAGCAACCGGCTCAGCCATAGGCAACATCGCGAACCCAGCTAACCTCGTCGGATGTTTCGAAACAGCAGTCGCGAGATCATCATTCGCTGTTATACAGAGGGGAGGTGGGAAATCGCCTGGCCCGTGGGATATAACCTGCACAGCTACATTCCCTTTGTCGAGATCGTTCACACGCTCGTCATCGAGATTTTCGAGTTTGGCGTTGAGGTGGGGTGGAAATGTTGCGTATAGAGCGCTTGTCTCGGGGGTTGATTGGGTGATTTTCCGGGAGGAGTAGTGTTCCTCGAGGGTTATTAGGGGGATCATTTTGTAGTGTGTATGGATGATATTGTTTGATGGTTGAAAGGTGGATGCACTGGTTTTATAGGGAGATACACGGAGAAGATCGGCTTTATGTTAACTCCAGCTGCATAAATCCGCCGTCGCTTTGGGGGCGAAAGCTTGTCTATCACACTTATTAGCTTGATACTATTATTAATGCCTAATTTTCTACAATCTTAGATGGGCAAATACCTTTTATCCTAGGAACAGATGACGTCATCAATCTCTATCCCGGAATGAAGATATTCAAACATCTATCTACTTCTCCACCCACTCCGAAAAGTCCACCTCATCCTTCCTCCTCATCTCCCTCTCCAGCACTGCCAACTCTTCATTCCCAAAGATATTATTCGACGACATCCGCAACTCACCCGGTTTGAGCGGCCCCCTCTCATCGCCAGCACGGGAAGCAATCGAACACAGCCGATTCAGCATAACGAGAAAGTAGAGCGATAGCGCATCCTCCTTGATGGGGAAGTAGGGAAGGATGCGTTTTACCTTGTCGATATCTTGGATACAGGATATTGAGGTGGGAGAGGAGGGGGAGGCTTTTAGGTGGATAACTGGGACGAGGAGGGCGTGGAAGAGGGCGTATCTGTTTATTAGTATTGTGTATAGATGTATAGGTATGGGGGACGTACAGTGTGAAGGAGAGGGTGAGTCGTGAGTACTCTCCATTCATGATAAGGCTTGTTATGAGGTCGATGGTTGTACGGGCGATGTCGAGGCCCTGGACTCGACAATGTCGTTCGTTCTCGTATTCGTGTTCGGTGATGTTGAGCTGTCGCTTTTCTAGCCACTGTAGGAGTAATGGTCGATGAATGAGAAGTCGTAGGCTTCTATCACATAGCATTTGTCGGTTGCGGGCTATGGTATACCAATCTGGTACGGGGTTGATGTTAGGTTGAATACATAATGGTGATTCATCATGCCAGTTGTTGATTGTTTGTTCGAGGTCATGGATATCCTGTCCTGTGATGATTGTACTGGAGAGAAGACGACGGTAGATATTGTTTGCCATGCGGTGGTAACTCGATTGCTGGATGAGGCCAGAATATATCGTTGGACTGTCTGTGGGGATAAGTGTATCGGCATCTATAACATTCGACACCGGCCTGACAGTGATCAACCTATCCTCAGGGAGTAGCAGTGGCCGCCCATATATCTTTGTCGAACAGCTCTCGAAACAATACACAGTCCACCAGACTCTCCGTCGAATCTCCTGATCCAGAGAACTGAAGCCAGAATTCGCCTCTTCAGAATGCAGATTCAAGCTAATCGCCATCCGCAGTGCAGTACCCATATACTGCCAGCTCTCGTCTGGACTTCCTTGTTTGTGGGCGTAGTCGTTTAGCAGAAGTAATGCCTGGACCATGGTGATATTGCCCTGTTCGAACATGGGGATCTGTTGGAGATGCTGTTTGGCGATCGAGTAGTATGTCTTGTCTGTGTTGCTCTGATGTAGTGTCCATGCGCCGATGGCAAGTATGGTGTTGGTGAGAATTGGCCATGCGTTTGGATGTGTGATTGGGATTTGCTTTGCGTATTCTGCTTTGAATGTAGCTTCGTGGATGAATGGGTTGAGAGTGTGGTAGTGTTGAAAGTATGAATCAAGCAGAACCTTTTCATCTTCAACAGACCCTGTTGGAATAGATAGCTGGTTCATCCCTCCATCTGCCGGCAGCAATGCATCCAGCGATGGAAGTCGTGCATCATCTCCAATGATATCCTGAAGCATATCTTCAGATGACCCAGAAACCCTAGATTGAGGTTCCATATCATCTTCAAGTAACGACCGAGTGATAGCCTCCATCTCTCCATTTGGGAATAGCTTCCCCAGAGCTGTTTCCAGCATATGCAGCCGTGTCTCGACGGCCGTGAGATGTCTGCATGATCAGCCAACGCTTTACTAGAAGAGTCTGTGATACTTACTGCCTCGTTAAAGGCGTCCTGACCGGCTTTGTTGGATACATGCATGTTTTATTCTGGCTTTTACATTGCACACATGGATTTCCTTTCGAGCACTGGGTTTGTTAGAAATGTATTCCAGAAGGCTATGGAGGATCAACCTTGGCTTTTCGTGCTCGACATTCTGTGCACTGTACTAGTTAGATCTGCTTCAATTGTATCCAGATGGGTGCATACAGCTGGAATATGCGAATTGCGGCCATAACTACCGAAATCAGACTGTTTTGGCATTTTGATGAGGTTGATGAACACGTATCATCGGTGAAGTTATGATGTTAGATGAGATAAGCATCCGCTTGTTTGCCACATGATATAGGCTGCAGTTGAAGCAGTACCTAAGTACAATTACTTTAAATATGGAGACTATATTATTCGACTATTTAATCCACTCCTTATGAATATCACACATCCTTATAAGATATAGTTTAGGATATGACTCAGCATGGGGCCATAAGCAATGCCAGCCTTGCACAGCCTCCCAATCCCAAGTAACAAACAACATCACTCTGTAAAACTCCTCAACCGTTCACATCTCCCAAGAGGCGTCGATTATATTTGGACATCACAATGCCACACAAAAATGAAATCCCCAACGGGGGCTTTCCCGTTGAATTCAACTCAGACAACCTCCCGCACCACTCGTTTTTTGTGGGCCGAGAAGACGAATTGAATGCGATTCACACGGGACTTCAGAATGACTCGAAAAGGACTGTCGTTTTACATGGCATCGAGGGAATGGGGAAGACTCAGCTCGCATTAGCACACACCATGCGCCACCATGAATCCTACTCAGCGGTGTTCTGGCTTGATGCCACGAATGAAGCGGAACTTGAGAGGAGTTTCGTCAATATGGCAAGGCTTGTTTCGCTGGATCATCCGTCCACGGAATTGGAGAAGATGGCCGAGGATTTCGATACTATTGCTGTCGTGCATTGGGTGAAGAAGTGGTTGAACGGCCCAGGTAATGATCGATGGCTGCTTATATTCGACAATTATGAACCAAGCACGGGGTTTTCGATAGACTCGTGGCTTCCGGATGTGCGACAGGGTCATGTTATCATCACCACGAGAACGTCTGATCTGGAACTGGGTGAAGCTATTCATGTTTTAAAACTTGAGGATATGGACCACAATGCCCAAATCGTATGTCAGGGGTCGGGACGGTCGGCTCTAACTAGTGGTGAGAATCTCTGCTCATCATTCCTTGATTGACCTCTTGTACTAATTAGAGCAGATCCTCAATTGCACGAATTGATCAATGAGTTGGATGGACTGCCACTTGCATTGGCAACCGCAGGAGCATTCCTCCGCAACGTGCCCATCAGCTGCGATCACTATTTGAAGCTGCATAGGGAGGCTCTGTCGAATGCCCAGAATATCTCTCAGATGCACTCATACGGTGACAAAACCCTCGCATCCACCTTCCTGATTTCTCTCCGAAGCATCAAGGAGAAGAACCCAACAGCCTCTGTTCTTTTATTCCTATGGGCTGCTCTTTATCACCGTGACATGTGGTTTGATATTGTGCAGGATGCAAAGGTCGCAGACAGAATCAGCCATACAGATTTCTACGACGCAATGGGGGTTCTCCGCGCATATGGCTTTGCCGAGGAGGGGCCGATTCCAGATGAATCGCATATCGCAATGGGCTATACCTTGAATAGGAGTGTGCATGCCTGGCTGGTAGGCTCTTTGATGCCTTTTGATGGTCCAGATTATGGCGCCATCATGTTGGATTGTATCACTTCACAAGCATCAAGGCTCCGTGGGCCCCCAATGGCACAAGAAGTCTGCCAGCGACAGCTCCCTCACGCGAATCACCTGGTGAATCTCTTGCTGTCTGGGAAGGTGGTTCTGAAAGACCAGTATACGCATGCCTACGAGCTTTATAGACTTGCAAACGTCTTCAAAACAGCCAGTCCATCCGTCTCTTCCCCAGGCTTCGCACAGATGTGCAGCACTCTTCGAGCCGACCACCCGAAGTCATCAAACATGGCCGACCAGGAAAAGTGCTACCAGCAAGTGATATCCCTATGCGAGAAAATGGAAGACCAGAAGTTCAAAGATCTGCATCACGACGCCCTTGAAGGCCTTTCTAGTGTTTATGCAAACACCAGCATTCAGAAGCATCTCCAGACAAAATGGCTACAAGGAGGTGCTTGTCGAGCTGCATCACATTCTGACCGGTACATCTGTTCGCGCTGTCTTCAAAACCTGCGCGTGCATATCGCCCTCTGGCTTCTGCTACTCGGCATGACTGTTTCGATAATCGTCCTGAACCTGTTGGTGCTATCTACAATCGGCTCTCTGGGAGAAAGGTTCGAGAAGGTCCACCAGTTCAGTATATTCGCTTTGCCAGTTACGGCCAACATTCTCTCAAACCACCGTTCGAAGGCTTTGATGCTGAGCATCATGTTGATGGTTTGTGTCTCCCAGGTGATCTATGTTTTGATTATTTTGGATGTCTACTGGGCGTACCTCCACTATATTCTTCTTTTTGCAATCGGCCTACCGACAGCTTTACTCGTGGCTTTGAGCTCTGATTCACCACGGATTGAGAATCGCCTGCCATGGGTTATGATTGGGGTGTCTGTACTTGGTATTTGTATGATTGTTAGGGTGGTTGCTGCTATAGACTAGTTATCAGACTTTATGTTTAATCAGCATAGAAGCGAGAGCATAAATAAACGAGGACAATACCCATAGAGTATCTACTGAATGACTAAGAGTAATTTCCTCCGCTATGCATCCCGGCCAAGACAACATAGCCCTGCCACTGCTTGCTTTGAACAATATTAAGTGGAAAGAAAGCCAACGAGAACCAGGGTGAGGCTGTGCGAGGCTGAACCCTTGATTGACTGGCCATGCAGATTTCAAGAAGACCCATGCGGGGTAAACATGCAGCATTTGGCCCCCAATCACCACCAAGATTCCACAGCCTTGTACTCCGTGCCTGGGCACTGTCAAATCCCAGCCTTGCTGAAAATGTGGGTTAACCCCATCTTGAAATCCCATCTCGTTTGCAAATATCTTTCATATCTTTCATGATTGCCGTTGGACTGCTGCTTCAATGGGACCTAAGTTTCGGCCACAGAATTGGGGGACGCCATTCTTCTCCTGGTTAGGATATAAGGGAGTTCGAAATGTCTTCTCACAGAACACAGAGGAAGCGCATAAAGCGGGAAATATCAGCCAGAGGTTAGAAGGCACTACACGATGCTGAGCCAAGGCACATTCTTACTTTATTTTATTTGTCCAGAGATTACGAAAATAATACCGAGGAGGGCATATTGATTGATGGGAACGACAGTCAACATGAAAGCACCGACGGCGATGAATCACAAAGCCACAGATCTGACAAGAAGCCAGAAAAAGAGCCACACTGGATCAGGGGTGTCTATATGTGTGCAAACCTATCAGTCGGCGTGTTGATCATCAACGTCATTCTTGTCAGCATTGCAGGAGCACGAGCAGCGAAGAATCCTCTCAACAATGGCCTTTCCAGCTCTGAAATCATCTACGACGGCAGCTGCTCGGTGTCTAAACGATGGAATGTCGCCCTCCACTTGATCATCAACATTCTGAGCACCACCATTCTCGCCGCCAGCAATTACTGCATGCAGACACTAGCCGCACCGACCAGGGAGGACATCGACCGTCGTCATGCGCGCGGCAAATGGCTGGATATCGGAGTCCCCAGTGCAGGAAACCTATCTGTTGTTGGTCCCTATCGAGTTGCATTGTGGTTTGTCCTTTTGATTACTGCGACGCCATTTCACTTGATGTATAACTCGGCGGTGTTTGGTTCACAGGCGACAAATCAGTACCGCGTTGTTCTTGCACCAGGCGACATGGACCCCCACGATATGGGAAATCTTACTACTCCTGGGCTGAAGAGGTGCTTTGGGTCTGTTGGTGGACTCAACTGGGATGAGTTCACTTCTGATCTTTCACGGGGGTCATATGAGAAACGCAATCGACAAGAATGCCTCGATCTTACAAATGTCGAATTCTCTTCTGGGATAGGCACCATCGTCTTTCTCTCGAACAAACTTACAGTCAGTCAGGGGGGAGACCGTGCCATTCTCGATGCTGGAAGTGGCGCTGTTCCCTGGAAAAAGGACCGTGGAGCCGCTCTCAACTCGCGAGGTATAACTGGGGACACGTTTTCTAACGTTTCCTGGACCTTTACGGCTTCCCATGGTGATACGTCAGTTGCGTATTCAGCGTACAACTTTTCGCAGCCAGACTGTGACCTTGATATGTCAACATGTCTGGATGCAATGTTTATGAGCGATTGGCTGAAAACCAACCAACCGCGGACTATTCAGCAAATCAACGACTACATCAACAGGAATTCAGGCTATGACAACATTACCGGATTCAAAGATAGTTTGTCGTGCGGGTTAAAGTATTCTAGTGACTCCGACCCTCATGAATGTCTGGTCATCAAAACGCCAGAACGTTGCGAGCTGCTTTACAACCCCCCTATCTGTATTGCAGTCATTATTACGGCAGCTGTAAAGGTCACTGCCATGTTTCTAGCTGCTAGACTCGATCGACACAGGCCACAGCCTCTACTGACAGTTGGTGACGCGGTAGCATCTTTCCTGGCCAAGCCTGATGATACAACGGTGGGACGATGCTGGATGGACAACTCCAATGTACGCGGGGGGTGGAAATCAAGGACTCGCACCCGCACAAGACGATTGCCAGGGAGAGAGCGCTGGGTGCGAGCCGTAAGCCCGACACGCGGGATCGTGACACTCACGTTGTAAGTAATATCCATCAGGAAAACTTCGGAAACTAATCCTCCAGATGTGGTGTTTGTATTATTGCCGGGGGCTATATGCTCTGGGAGGCCTCCCGTGGTATCTCAGTCGGTACTGCATCAGTCAAGTTCTGGTGGAATCTGGGATTCGGCACAGAAAACGTCAACATCCTTGTTGAGGGCTACAAGAATTTACCCATCATCAACTACGTGGTTCTTGCCAACACACCACAGTTCATCGTGACCATCAGCTACTACTTCTACAACAGCGTGGTGACCTCTATGCTAGCTGCGGCAGAATACAGCTCGTATGGGGTAGAAAGGAAGCCTCTTCGTGTCTCATGGCCGAAAAAAGGAAGTTCTCAACGATCAACCTATTGGCTGAGTATACCATATCAGTATGGCATCCCGCTCCTGATTACATACGCTGCACTGCACTGGTTGATCTCCCAGAGCCTCTTCTACGTCAAGGTCGTCCCATACGATTTGAACCAGCACCGGTCCGACGAGAACATCACCAGCACGTTGGGCTATTCGCCAATTGCAATCTTTATAGCGTTGCTTGTGGGTATTCTGATGGTTTTGGCACTCTTCGTTCCGGCGTGTTGCAGGAGGTTCAAATCTATAATGCCAGCGGCGGGGAGTTGCAGCGCTGCTATCAGTGCAGCATGTCATACTCCGCCCGGTGAGGATAGGGAAACGGTGGCTTTGAAGGAGGTCATGTGGGGGGAGACCATGCCTATGCCAGATGAGATGGAGATTGAAGCGAATACTTTCCATTGTGGCTTCAGCGCAAGGCAGGTTTTGCGGCCATCGAGGGAAACATTTTATGCATGACACTATTAATCGATACCTATATAATCAAGCCTATTAATTCTTCAAAGACTGACCAATCGCACACGGTTTATACTGCTCCGAGTTATAAATCAGAAGTACATCATGATTGGACGGCTTGACATGGACTGGGTCCGGAGTACTCTCTACCAGTGATCTGATTGGACATACCATATATCTCGTTTTGATGACGTTAATATCGATCTATAATCATGCTTCATCATGCTCAAATGGATCTATAAAAGGCGCTGTTCATCCGACTGGTACTTGCATTCATCAGAGTTCTATAAAGCTTCTTTCATTCCACAACAACTCTATTCTATCAAAATGGTCACCGTCGGCATCGCCGGTATAACCGGCAAATTCGCCAGCCTCATCGTCAAAAACCTCCTCAACAATCCTAACACTACCATCAGAGGCTTCTGCCGCAATCCCTCCAAACTACCAGAATCACTACGCTCTTCACCAAGGGTAACCACCATCCAAGGGAACTCAGATGACCTCGACGCCCTCCGCACCTTTGTCCGAACCTGCTCCGTCGTCATCTGCTGCTACCTCGGCGATAACAATCTCATGGAAAATGGGCAGAAACTGCTCATCGACGCGTGCGCACTTGAGAATGTACCCCGGTACATCGCGAGTGATTACTGCGTTGACTTTACCAAACTCAACTACGGAGATCATCCCGCCAAGGATCCCATGAAAGCTGTCAAGGCATACTTGGACACGAAAGATAACGTGGCTGGTGTGCATGTTCTCATCGGCGCATTCATGGAAACATTCTGGAGTGGATATTTTGGAGTCTGGGATGAGAAGGAACTCAAGTTGAGATATTGGGGTGACGGCGATGAAGTGTGGGAATCGACTACTTATGAGACTGCAGCGGAATATGTTGCCTCTGTTGCGGTGGATGAGAATGCAGTCGGATTGCAGCATTGTATGTTTCTCACCTTTTATGTGCTGGATATGGCTGACGATGATAGTCCTGGGTGATAGGAGAAGTATTCGTCAGATAGCCGATGACTTTGAAGAGGTGTACGGACGAAAACCTCAGCTTGAGCGCTTGGGTTCAAAGAACGATCTATACAATACCATGCAGGGCATCTTTAAGAAGGATCCTGGCAATATCTATGCTTATCTCGCCATGTGGGTTCCCCATCCAGTCTATCTGACACTGCTAACAAGACAGGTTCTACCAATACTACTGCATCAATGGACAGACCTATCTGAAAGCGGATTTGGATAACGTCAAGTATCCTCATGTGAAGCCAGTTAGCTTTAAACAGTTTATGCTGGAACATGGCATGGAGGAGTTGGCTGATGCTTATCAGAATGCGGGATTGAGTGGATGATTAGTGCAATGGATATATAGCGGTCAATTGAATTGACTAGAAATGGAGAACTCTATAGCAAGAAGACTATGCATAAACTAGGCTGTGTGGTGTTCTAGACTCAATAACTTCATTGATCGGCATCCGAGCTGAAGAAGCGGTCAAGATGTATCCACATGGACTGATAACATTTGGCTATTAAATTGCGATACAATTGTGTTTAACGAAAGGAGAATGCTATTGTTTGTCAAAGAATTTATTAAGAATATCTCAATTGAAGAAAATTAAGGCTAGAAAAGGGATATCAACTCCTATAGCAGTAGATGTAGATGGTTGAAATGAGGGGCTACTCGAGATATGTGACGAAAGTGACATATCACATCCACCCGCATTTTGTGTAACCTGAAAGGAAGTTTCAGAATGAGGGATTTATCTCTAGTCAAGCGAACTCTTCACAATATAAAAATAACATCTTATCGTTGCTCCATATTTCTCAACCATCCACAGTCTATTCCGTACACCATGAACCCCTCATATAACCCACAGAGCAAAAAGATCCTCGTGACGGGGGTATGGCTATCCTGCCTATGATATAAAATATAGTATGTTGATGATTATATCCAGGCCTCCAACTTCCTCCCCTCCAACCTCATCGATCATCTCCTCCAACAAGGCCATCGCGTTGTGGGCGTCGACACAAGCGAAAAAGGTCTGCCGAAAAATCTCCGACATTTGGCGGGGCATTCGCGATTTCAACTTGTTTGGTATATCCGTCTACACTTGATATGAAAATGGATACTAACTGTTATAGTCATAATCTGCAGTCAGCATGGACGTATATTCCAGCTGTCGATCAGATATATCATTTCCCGTCGAGTACAACGACGGGTAGGGAAGTAGAGTACTTGATGCGGTTTGCGAAAAGGCATCATGCGAGGGTTTTACTTGCTAGTTCGATGGGTGAGTTGCCTTTTAGCCTTGAGTGTGCGATGCTGACCTTCAGATGAATCATGGGATACCATCCAATGCCACCCAAACGGGTTCCTGGTTGTCGGTCTGACAAACACGTACGGACCACGTATGACTGTAGCAGACAATGCGCTGATGACTAGTTTCATTACTGCCGCATTGCTGGGGAGGTCGATTAGTCTCTCTGGTGATTCTGGTCTTGTGCAGTGTTTCCAGTATGTGGGTGATGCTGCTGCTGAGCTGTATGGTCTTATGAATGGATCCTGTGAGCAGGGGGTGTTTAATGTACAGAGTGTGAAGGTATCTATAGAAGGGTTAGCGGGAATGGTGGCAGATAGTGTAGCCAACGTAACAGGACAGACAAAGGTGGATGTCATCGTGGATGGAGAAGGAAAGAAATGCAGCGAGATGGAGGATGGTTTGAGAAAGACGATAGAGTGGTTCATTAAAAAGCCGTCCGAGTTTAGTTAATATCAATGCTTTATTCAATCGCTATTCTAAACCTTGTATACCATCTTCCCCCTCGACCATGTCTCTAATACCTTTCCTTTGATGAAATCCTCCTTGTTCCACTCCATATCTAACAATACAAAATCAGCTCTTAAGCCCCTTTTCAAGCTTCCCGTCCACTTTTCGGCAAACCGTGCCTCGGCAGCCCCGGATGTGGCGGCAGTAACAGCGGCAGCCAACGGCAACGCGAAATGCGGGTTATTCATCAACGGACTGGATGGATCAAACGCAGACCGTCGCGTCATGGAAATATACATATTCGGTAACGTCAAGTGAGGAGCAGTCGGTACATCTGTCCCAAACGCAAGACGAGCACCGCCGTCTAGGAAATCTTTATACGCAAATGTTCGTTTATGTCTGTCTTCGCCGATGATATCCGGCCATTTCGTCGACCAGACAGGATCTGAGTGGACTGGTTGAACAGAAGCCGTGATGCCCAATTCACCTAATCGCTTTGCGTCCTCTGGACTGGTGAGTTCGAGATGTTCAATCCGGTGTCGTCGACCGGGCGTACCACCTGCTTCTACGGCGTTGATGGCTTGATGCACGGCTTGATCGCCGATGGCGTGGATGGCGACTTGTACGCCCACAGAGTCGGCGTATTCCACTACCTCGTTGAGGGCGTTGGCTGACCAGATCGTTGGGACGAGGCGTGTTTCGTTGGTGTATGGCTGTTTCAGAGCAGCGGTGCAGGTGTCGATAACGCCATCGCTGAGGATTTTGATACCGGCTATACAGAAATCTGGAGAAGTGGATGGATGGTAGCCCTGTTCCTGGAGCTCGATTGCCCGGTTGACGTGTGTGAAGTTCTTTTTCTTATCTTCTGAATGTGGAATCAGCCAGTGCATGGCGATGTGGAACGGGAAGCCGTATTCTTGGCGATAGTGGCATAGTGCATCCCAGGTTGATTCGTCCATGGCCATATCCACGACGCCTGTGACGCCGGTGGAAATGTATGCTGTGACGGCTTCGTGGATGGCGAGCATCTTCTCATTGATAGGAGCCACTTGGACGATGAAGGGGGAGGATATGAGTAGCGATGCTTCTTCGCTGAGTAGGCCGGATGGTCTTCCATTTTCATCGCGATGTACTGTTCCTCCAGAGGGGATCTGTCGATTATCTAGATCCAGCTCGTCGAGAGCAGATGTATTCAACCAAGAAGAGTGAAAGTCACCTGCTTCGATGAAGATGGGACGGTTCTGTTCGTCCAGGTCGTCGAGATGTATAGCCAGTGGCTGCTCCCCAAGAGTCGGTATCCAACCACGACATAAAATGCGACTCAGCTGTGGATTATCTTTGGCATACTGTGCAATAGCATCCCGAATCGACTGCAACGATTGACACGACTGGACATTCAACTTGCGCAACGCCAACCCAAATTGAAGCAGATGAACATGCGCATCGATAAAACCCGGGACCACAATCGTCCCATCTAGATCCACCACGTTGCCACCGTTGGACACGGCATGTCTGACTTCATCATCGTCACTTTGTCCAACATGGGTGATGTACTCGTCGGTAACGACGAAAGCAGAGACAAACTCGTCGCCGTTGGTGGGGGCATAGACGCGCCCGTTTGTAAAAACGGTCGTCATGTCTATGAAGAAGGTATATCCGAATACTCGAGCCTCAAACCCAGATCATTGAGGTTATCTCCAGAAACTTCCTCTTGGGAATGGATTAAGTAGCATATCAGATGATCACGGGGCCCCCGCACTAGGGCGCAAAGTGACGCCATTGGCTGGATAAGGGTGGGTCATGTGTTATCATGATTGACCCACTGTACCAGATAGATATGATTGGCTGATCGTTGATAGGTATTCAGATTGATGATGCTAAAATGTTGATGGAATTAGAGCCTTCTGAAAGAGAATGTCCTGCCGATGGAGATATAAATATCGGCCTATGCGCTTCTTCTATCTTCAACATCAACATCACATCACAACATGTCTTCCTGCTGTGCTAAGGTGTCTACAGTCACTCATCCTCTGGGTATGTCCGATATCACTCCATTATGATACCTGCTGATGAACAGATCCCCTCTCCATCGAGGAAATCCCCATCGCCACATCTCTCATCCGTGAATATGTCAACTCGAAGCCCCTCAAATTCAACTGCATCACCCTGCACGAGCCCACGAAAGCCGACTATGCTGCTTTCCGCAACAACTCCGGTCCCCGTCCGGATCGTCGTGCTTTCTCTATCGTCTTGCAACAAGGAACGCCGAATGTCGCTGAAGTCATTGTCAATCTTACCTCGCGAAAGGTTGAATCATGGAAGGACGTGAAGGATGTCTTCCCGACGTTGACGCTCGAAGACCTGGATGTCACCGAACGCATCGCCAGATCCGATCCCCGTGTCATCCAAGTGTGTCGGGAGATTGGCATCACCGACATGTCTCGCGTGTACTTTGATGCCTGGGCTATCGGGATCGACGAACGATGGGGATTCGAACGACGACTCCAGCAGGGACTGCCGTATTATCGCCACTCCACCTACGACAATCAATATGCGCATCCTCTTGACTTCACCGTCGTCGTCGATACCGAGACGGAAGAGATCCTCAGCGTGGACGTCCGTCGCGTGAATGGACAGCGAACTTCCACCCCCCTCGACCAGCACAACTATCTCCCCGGCTTCATGACCGACTTTTATCGCCATGATCGACTGAAACCGATCAACATCACTCAACCTGCTGGGGTGTCGTTCGCCATGAACGGGAATGAGCTGGAATGGGCCGGATTCAAAATGCACATTGGCTTCAACTACCGTGAGGGTATTGTCTTGTCTGATGTGAGAGTCCATGATGCGTATGAGAATCGAGAGCGCAAACTGTTTAACCGCATCAGTGTGGTCGAGATGGTCGTTCCATATGGCAATCCCCAGCGCCCTCACCATAAGAAACATGCCTTTGATGTTGGTGAATACGGGAGTGGACTCATGACAAACTCTCTCAAACTGGGCTGTGACTGCAAAGGGGCTATCCACTATCTCGATGCCATTCTCCCCACCTCCTCCGGTGAAGCAACAGTGATTGAAAACGCCGTCTGCATCCACGAAGAAGACAACGGCCTGCTATACAAGCACACCGACTTCCGCGACAACAACGTCATCTCAGCACGAGACCGCAAACTCGTCATCTCCCAGATCATCACCGCCGCCAACTACGAATACGCCTTCTACCACACCTTCACCCTGGACGGGACCTACAAACTCGAGATCAAACTCACCGGCATCCTCAACACATACTGCCTCCATCCCAGCGAACAGGCAGCTCCGTTCGGTACCCAAGTCGCCAAAGGCCTCGACGCACACAACCACCAACACATCTTCTCGCTCCGCGTGGATCCCGAAATCGACGGCCCCAACAACACCGTCGTGCAGAGCGATGCCCTCCCCGCTGAAGATCCAGTCGGCTCAGACGCCAACCCCTACGGCAACGCCTTCTACGCGAAGAAAACTCCCCTCCTGACCTCCTCCCAAGGCGCCGTCAACTACTGCCACGAAACCAGTCGCAGCTGGGACATCACCAATCCCAACCGCCTCAATCCAGCATCCCACAAGCCCCTCGCCTACAAAATCCTCAACAACAACTGCCCCCCCCTCATGGCCAAACCAGGAAGCACCGTCTACAACCGCGCCGGATTCGCCCGCCACTCACTCTGGGTGCTTCCATACCGCGATCACGAACTCTTCCCGGCTGGCGCCTATGTGTGCCAGTCCGAGGGACGGACAAATCACCCGCACAACCCGACCATCGTGGACTGGGCGGCGAGGAACGAGTCGATCGACAACACGGATATCGTGTGCTATATCCAGTTTGGACTCACGCATTTCCCGCGCACGGAGGATTTCCCGATTATGCCTGCTGAGCCGGTGAGTGTGATGTTGCGAGCGTCGCATTTCTTTCAGAAGAATCCTGGGCTGTGGGTGCCTCCTTCGCAGGGGGATGCGGCGTCGTGTGATGCATTTGCGGTGGACTTGAAGAAGAATCCGAAGTTGTAGGTGTGTGTTTGTATATTACCGTTATATTGATATTTAAATACAGTGTTTGCTGAATTTAGAAGTCATTTGAGTAATTTGTAAATTGCGATTATGCACTGGAGTCCTATCAGCCACCCTGATATAAAGTTTACCATGTTTATGTCTACCTCTACCTATAGGAATATGGATTGGTGAATGAATATAAGCTCTGTATCAAGAATGTTGAGTAACCCGACTAAATCAACCTTACTTCTCGACGTCACATCGAAGACAGAGTTTCTACAAGTCGGACCAATCCCGTATGTGTGCATATTGACAGGATGCGTCTATCTATTTCCGACTCAGCCTTCAGAGATAGATTCACTCGGCTGTTGCTGAGACGCTTAAACTTTTGCAGGGAGCTAGCTACACGTCAGAAAGGTAGTACAGTATCATCAACCTCGATGACATTGAATCAGCAAGGCAGGCATAAGTGGTCATGTCGTGGAAACTCAAACTGATGAAGTTAATGCTAACAGTCCAGAGAATGGGTACTTAATCCCAGGCCATTGCCGTCCTCGACATTATCAACAACACTCAATAACACTCATCCTACCGACAGTCACCATGGTTCAAGCCATCCAATTTCGCGGATCTCCATCTGGGGAGATTATCCAGGAAACAAACACCCTTCCCGACGTCAAACCAGATGAAGTTCTCATCCAAGTCACCCACAGCGGTCTCTGTGGAAGCGATCTTCACATGCTCAAGTTACCACTCGTCCTAGGCCATGAGGGTGAGCACCCATCTACCCCATTTAAGTATAAAGCTGAACGGCAGGCATTGGAATCGTCGAACAAGTTGGCTCAGCCTGCACACGACTCAACGTCGGCGACCGTGTCGGTTGGGGACCGATCTATTCCACCTGCGGAGACTGCGAGATGTGCGTCACCGGTCGTGATACGTACTGCCATGAGGTCAAGGTATACGGGTCAGCAGAATGGGAGGCTCATGGTTCATTTTGCAGCCATGTAATCCGTAAGGTGCGGTGGACGTTCAATGTTCCAGACCGTCTTTCGTCGGCTGAGGCTGCGCCATTGATGTGTGAGTATTCATCCCTATTGTAAAGGATGATATCTTTCTGATATCTCCAGGTGGCGGTGCAACCGTCTGGGCGCCCCTCGTCGAGCAATGCAAAAGCTTCGAGCGAGTAGGCATCGTGGGCATTGGCGGACTAGGCCATCTGGCGATTGAATTCGCCTCCAAAATGGGTTGCGATGTTGTTGTCTTTTCTTCCTCCCCCGACAAAAAAGAGGAGGCTTTAAGCCTCGGGGCCAGCGAGTTCTACGCGACCAAAGGCTTAACCGACTACGCAGACCTGAACATTACCAAACCCATCAACCGACTCATCATCACCTCGTCGACCACGTTCGACCTCGGCCTGTTCTGTGCCATCCTAGCTCCCACGGCCACCATTCACCCATTGACGCTTGGTCCTGGGGATCTGGCGATCCCAAACCTGTCCGTCCTTTTTGGCGGGTATCGTATTGTTGGTAGTTTGATCTGCACTCGATGTCAGAAGTATGTACTGTACCCGAATTAGGGAATGCGGCTAACTGTCCAGAAATCAAATGCTCGACTTCGCAGCCCGGCATAACATCTCTTGCATTGTTGAGACATTCCCCATGACACTTGACGGTGTTAATGAAGCTGTGAACAGGCTGAAGGATGGAAAGATGCGGTACCGTGGTGTTGTTAGCTGGGAGTACTAGCTGGAGGACTAGTGACAAGTGAGGGACATCGACAGGAATGAATTTAGCAGGACGCAAGGGTCAATGTGACACCACCAAGGTGGAATGCAACCACGAATAATGACTCGATTTATTGGATTTCCGTCAAGGTTTAGATAAAGCAAGGCGCGGTAGATGTTTCACACTGCCAGATACATGGCGTTCACCAATTTGCAAACTGGATTTATCAGTCTTTGGTCATTTGATACACACTTCTATTCGAAACAAGCTCAAAAAAAAGCTTGTCCTGCTTCTCCCAGAATCACTGTCCAGAAGGAGTATAGCCGAGTGGGCCTTTGTCGAAACAGGTTTAGTCTCCACCAACCTTAGGTATCTCATATCTTGACATGGACTCTATACACACTGTTTTCCATCAATCGCAATTCTGGGCTCGGAAATGTGTATTCCGAGTCGTGCATACTGCAGACGAGAGCTATATCATATCTCCCAATGACGACGCCTCACGCTGGACTCGGTTTGCATCTCTACAAGGAGTATTCCCCCTGGCGATCTGTCATTATAGCCATATACTCCAAACAATAACCTCTTATCATGATGGATCCAAAGTACATAAATACCCAGCCGTACCTGTCGATCACTTCTCAACCACCAGATTCAATACAAGATGAACCTCCTCACCACCCTCCTAGCAGCCCCCCTCCTAGCCTACGCAGCATCGTCAACCAACTGCTCAGCAGCTACATTCCAAAAATACGTCGATGCAAACGGTACTCATGCACACGTGCAATGGGCGCAATACATCCCGCACAGCGGCTCGTTCAATCCGGAGAACTACACGTCGACCTCTGAGTATCCGAATGACTTGCCCGAGTCGTGTGCGGTGCAGGTGAATGTTGCGTCCGAGGGGAATTCGAGTTATCTAGTCGGTGTGATCTTTCCGTTTGACTGGAATGGGAGGATGTTGTATGTTTCTTTTATTCTTGTGTGGGAGGTGAAGTGGCTAACGGGATAGGTCTGCTGCGGCTGGAGGTGGGATTAACTGGGTTGATATGGTATGTCACCACACATCTCATAGCATTCACCTATTCACATGTATAGGGCACCGCAACCCACTACGGGTTCGCCACCGTCTCCAGCAACCTCGGCCACCAAGGCATCGACACAGCGGGCACCTGGGCATTAGGCCGTCCCGAATCCGTCATCGACTGGGGCTACCGCGCCTGGCACGGGGCAACCGTTCTCGCCAAACTCCTCATGGAAGGATGGTACGGGTCGCGGCCGAAGTACAGCTATTTCTACGGCTGCTCGACCGGCGGTCGGCAGAGTATGAAGAACATGCAGCTGTACCCGGACGACTATGATGGGATCATCGCGGGCGCGCCGGCCTGGTGGACGACGCATCAGCAGCTGTGGAATCTGAAGCAGACGACGTATCAGGCTCCTGCTAATAGCTCGCATACGATCCCTGGGGCGATGTTTGATGTCATTGCGGCGGAGGTGCTGAGGCAGTGTGATCCGCAGGATGGGGTGGTTGATGGTATCATTTCGAACCCGGAGGGGTGTGTGTTTAACCCGCAAGTGCTGGCTTGCAATGCTACGAGTGCGAATGATGAGTGTGTGACTGCTGAACAGATGGGCACGTTGTATAAATTGCACAATGACTGGGTGGACGTCAACCAGACCTTTGTGTACAGCCATCTCTTCCTCGGCAGCGAGTCGAGCTGGTTATCCGGGAACATTGGGCTCGGTGAAAACCACACCATTTCGCAGCAATATTGGTATCCGCGTGATCTGATGGGTCTGGGCGATGACTTTGTCTGGCAGGATCTCGACCTCAGCACGGTTGAGCTGGCTGATACGTTGAACCCGGGCAATGCGACTGCGGATGACTTTAATATCAGTGCATTCCACAACCGCGGAGGCAAATTCATCCACTACCACGGACTGTCGGACAGCTATGTCTCTCCTGGCGCGAGTATCTATTACTACGATCAGGCATCCAGCGCTGTCAAACCGCAGGGCATCGAGGTGGATGACTTTTACCGCATGTTCCTGATTCCTGGCATGGAGTGCGTCCCCTACCTCTGTTATAGATACACATCCTAATACTAGTATAGACACTGCTTCGGAACCCCAGCAACTATGAACGCACCCTGGTACATTGCCGGCCCGGATCAACCGGCTAACATCAACACATCCACCTACAGCGTCCCGGGGTATAAAGATGCCAAACACGACGTGGTGCTTGCCATGATGGCGTGGGTGGAGAACGGGACAGCGCCAAATGATATTGTCGCCACGGTGTGGAAGAATGAAACCACAGCGACGGATGTGCTGCGTCAGCGTCCGATTTGCCATTATCCGAATCAGGCGAGGTACAAGGGTGGGGATGTAGATGATGCAGAGAGTTGGGAGTGTGAGTCTTTGTATTAGATATACGAGTTGTATCATGTCGTGTTGTATATCGGCCGAATCATGAGGATATCGCGCAATGCAAGTCTCCGACCAATCGGGATGCAGACACGGCAAATGGGGTATATCCGCCCAGCCAATCAGCGTCTACTACCCCAAAATGGATTTATCAGCATGTCTCGGGGGCACAATATAAAACCCTCTCTCCCTTCATACAATATCTATACCAATCTATTCAAATATCCTCATCACCATGGCAGTCAACAAAGCCCCCTCCACCCCCTTCTTCACCCCCGCCAACAATGCCGGGGCTGCCATCGACCCAAATGCCCCCAACACCCCCACCCTCTTCCGCCCCCTCTCCATCCGCGCTCTCACACTAAAAAACCGCATCATCGTCGCCCCAATGTGCATGTACTCGACTGAGCCGAACCCATCTTCCGCCACCATCGGCGCACTAACAGACTACCACATCTCGCATCTAGGCCATCTCGCGCTGAAAGGCGCCGGGCTGATCTTCATCGAAGCAACAGCCGTGCAAGCCAACGGCCGCATTTCACCGAATGATTCCGGACTCTGGCAGGAGGGGACGCAGTCGGCTCAGTTCCTGGGCTTGAAGAGGGTGGTGGATTTTATGCATGCGCAGGGAGCGAAAGTGGGAATTCAGCTTGCGCATGCGGGGCGGAAGGCGAGCACGGTTGCGCCGTGGATTGCGGCGGAGAGGGGAGTGAGGAGTCTGCGTGCTGAGAGCAGTGGGTTTGGATGGCCTGACGATGTGGTTGGGCCGAGTGGAGGGGAGGAGGAGGCGTGGGCCGGGGGAGAGGCATTCTGGGCGCCGAGGGAGTTGAGCACGGCGGAGGTGGAGGAGGTGGTGAGGGCGTTTGCGAAGAGTGCGGAGCTGGCGGTGCAGGCGGGTGTCGATGTTATTGAGATCCACGGCGCGCATGGATACCTGATCAATCAGTTCCTGAGTCCCGTCACAAATAAACGGACGGACAAGTATGGGGGCAGCTTTGAGAACCGCACTCGCATTGTGGCCGAGGTTGCCGCTGCGATCCGTGAGGTTATTCCCGAGGGCATGCCGCTGTTCCTGCGAATCAGTGCCACCGAGTGGTTGGAGGACAAGCCTGTCGCGGCGGCAGCAGGAAGCTGGGATATCAACTCGTCCTTTGAACTCGTCAAGCAGCTCCCTGCATGGGGCATTGACTTTCTCGATGTCAGTTCGGGAGGAAACCACAAAGACCAGCATATCGAGCCACACACCAACTACCAGATCGATCTGGCTGCGCAGATTCGTCAGAAGATCCGGGAGGCAGGGGAGAAGACGCTCGTTGGTGCTGTTGGGCTCATTACTCAGGCTGAGGCTGCAAAGGATATCGTCCAGGGGGCGGATGAAGCATACGCAGCTGAGGATATGTTGACGGGGTCGCAGCCAAAGGCAGATGCTATCTTGATTGCGAGACAGTTTATGAGAGAGCCGGAATGGGTCATGTCGACGGCGAAGAAGCTGGATGTAAAGGTGACTGTGCCCGTGCAGTTTGGCCGTGCTATCTAGACATACATGCATAGAAATGTTTCATAGAATGACTTATAAATCATGTGGACCACATCCCGATCCGACGCCGATGGCAGCTATAAATACCCACTTTCTCCCTCAATTATGGACTTAATCAAATCATCCATCAAAATGACCCAATCAAACGTCTCCCTCTACGTCGACGAAAACACCAACCTTCTCGTCCGCCACGGCCCCATCCCCGAACCATCCGATGGTGAAATCCTCATCCAAACCAGCTACTCGGGCATAAACCCCGCAGACGTGAAACATGCAACTCAACTCGGAATCTATCCCGCCGTAATGGGCTACGACTTTTGTGGGAAGGTCATAAAAACTACCCCATCATCCCAATTCACCATAGGGGATTGTATCGCAGGATATACACCAACTGGCCTGGGCCGTCCGGAAAAGTACGGAACGCATCAATCGTATCTTGTCTGTCGGGAGGATATGGTATTCCGGGTTCCTGGGCATCTGCCAGAACACCATGCTGCTTGTTTGGCGGTGGTGGCGATGACTGCTGCGGATGGGCTGTATAATCTGGTCAGGCTGCCTCTGCCGACGGAGGGGAAAGCGAACTCGGGATTGTTGATTTGGGGTGCGTCAAGCAGTGTCGGTGTTTGTGCTGTTCAATTCGCGTCTGCTAGTGGTGTGTTTCCTATTATTGTCACGGCGTCTCCGGGGCGTCATGATATGCTTAAAAGGCTCGGTGCTACGCACTGCTTTGACTATAAGTCTCCTTCTATCGTCTCGGATATACAAACTGTGACTGGAAATGGACCAATCGCACATGCATTCGACACAGTCGGAGGTCCAGGGTCAGCTGAATCAATGGCAGACTGCGTATCAGATACTACATCTCTCCTGTCAGTGGTTGTGCAGCGTGACCCGAGATTCAAAATGCCTCTTGCAACAACGCAGGACGGTGTGAGTCTTCGTATCCAGGGTGTGCCTCATCCAATTACAATTCCCGCGCGGCCGGATGATGCGAAAAGGGCATGGAAGGCGTTTCAATGGGCGGTTGGCCATTATGGACAGCAGTTCGAGTTGCCGGTTGTTGAGTTGTTTGAGGGGAGGGCAGAAGATGCGTTGAGGGAGTTGGAGGCTTCTGCTGAGGGGAGGGGATTTGGGAAGTTGGTTTTGAGGCATCCCTTGAAGTGATCTGGATATATATACGATGATGTATACAAACCCGATATATATAGTTTACATTATGCATTTCTTCACGACAATAACTATTATTTATTTAAGCTTTTTTTAACTACACTTGACCCAGAATATATAACATTCAGTATGATACATAATAATTACTGATATCGGATGATGATTTTCCCTCGGCAAATCCCTGCCGATGTCACCATTCCAACCCCGCATTCGACCTTCTCTCCTCCATCTCACCAACACATCACCACCACCATGGCACCCCTCAAAGCAGGCGACAAATTCCCCACGGACGTCAAGTTCCAGTACGTTCCCTGGGCGGAGGAAAACGAAAACATCCAAGCATGCGGAATCCCCATTCCCTACGACGCGTCCAAGGAGTGGGCGGATAAGAAGGTTGTGTTGTTTTCTGTTCCTGGTGTGTTCCCCCTCTTGGGTAGACCGGTCTATCCTGTCTAATATGTGTAGGTGCCTTCACACCCACCTGCTCCGTGAACCACCTCCCCAGCTACATCAAGAACCTCCCGCAACTGCGAGAAAAGGGCGTGAACATTGTCGCTGTGACTGCGTCGAACGATCCGTTCGTTATGAGTGCGTGGGGCAAGGCCAACCGGGTCAAGGGCGATGATATCGTATGTCACCTATATATTCAGGTAGTTGGATAAAGGTTGTGCTGACAAGATAGCTCTTCCTCTCCGACCCCGACGCCAAATTCTCCAACAGCATTGGATGGGCGAACAACGGTCGCACGGGCCGGTATGCGATTGTCATTGACCATGGCAAGGTCAAGTATGCGGAGATTGAGACGGAGAAGGGAGCTGTCAAGGTGTGTTTATCTGATCTGATGTTGTTGTGTTGTGCTGACTGAATAGGTGTCTGGTGCCGATGCCATCCTGGCGAATTTGTAGATAGAATAGCCAGTAGCTAGACAATTAATTATCGGATCCTTTTGTCCGTATGAATATCTGCCTCGGCATCTTTTGTGTTCATGATTCACTGCTTCCATTGGATTCTACGCTTATAAATCGGGTGGGTCTTGGATAATAGGAGGTGCTTGCTTTGTACGGTACTATGCAGATCAACCGTCAATTACAAGCAGAAAGAGATGGTTTATTAGTGCTTACATCGGAATTAAGCATTATCCCCATCTATGCATACCTGTAATATCATGATCATCATGGAAATACTCACATTCAGAAAAAGGAAAGAAAAATCAGATAATTAATCATCGACTCCACTCCACGTGGTCCACTGAAGATCGTTGATGGGACCTTGATGTCATCGATACTCGATCACTTATAACCCCTCCTCACCCGCAACATTATCATCATTCATCAATCATCTCTCAATCACACACAATGGCACCTAAAGTTCTCGTCGTCCTCTCCTCCCAGGAGACTCTGCCCACCACCGGCAAGCCTTCAGGATGGTACTTGGTGAGTATTCAGCAATAATGTCAACTACCTGTGTACTAATTGCCAGCCTGAATTCGCCCACCCCTATGAAGTCCTCAAGGACAAGACCGAGATGACCATCGCCTCGCCCAAGGGCGGCAAGGCTCCTCTCGACCCTGCCTCGGTGCAGATGTTCGCCGAGGATCCTACCTCCAAGGCCTTCCTCGCCGAGAAGGAGGCCCTCTGGACCAACACCGTCAAGCTGGCCGACGTCAAGGCGGCTGACTTTGACGCTATCTTCTACGTGGGCGGTCATGGCCGTAAGTCTTCTTCCACCTATATAAATGATAAATACTGATGGGAATAGCAATGTTCGACCTGTACTCCGACCCCGTCTCCCTCGCCCTCATCCAGGCCTTCTCCGAAGCCAAAAAGCCCGTCTCCGCCGTCTGCCACGGTCCCACCGTCTTCCTCAACGCAACGGCCGCATCCGGCGAGCCCATCCTCTCCGGCGCCACCGTGACCGGCTTCTCCAACGTCGAGGAAGAACAGGCCGGTTTGACCGCCGCCATGCCGTACCTGCTCGAGACGGAGCTGAACAAGATCACCAACGGCGGCTACGTCAAGGCCGACCAGCCATGGGGCGAGAAGGTGGTTGTCTCCAAGGCTGCGGGGTCGGGCGCTGTTTTGATTACCGGCCAGAACCCTGCTAGTGCGACTGCTGTGGGTAAGGAGATTTTGAAGGCGCTGGGATTGTAGATATATTCAATATATGATAATATAATTGTGGTGGATGCACACTATATATGAAACATGAGACTATCCAGATTAGTGCAGACCCTGAGACCCTTCGGACGGCCCCGAACCCCAAAACAGAAACATCCGATATCTTCTTCAGCATGCTCGTATCCTTACTTCTTATTCGTGTTGATCATGTTACACGCCAAGCATCTATACAACATGGCACATGCACTCAAGCAAGGGGTGCCGACGGACTCCGTAACCAGCCAACTATAAATCTCGCGTCGGGACCAAAACAAAACAACAGAACCATTCACCCTCACCATGGTCAAGTTCATCCTCTCGGCCCTGCTGGCAGTCCCTCTCATCGCGGCATCCCCTATCGCTGCCCCCTCACCACCAGACATCCCGGCTACATCTACGGCACAAAGTGAACTTGCAGCGTTAAAGGTCGCTGCGCAGGGATCGCAGGATGGCTATGATCGGGATGCATTTCCGCACTGGATTAGCCAGGGACAGTATGCCATCCTCAATCCTGATCAGGAACAGTATGCTGATGACGACAGCTCCTGCAACACCCGCGAAGTCATCCTCAAACGCGACGGGACAGACGTAGTCACGAACTCGCGCTGCGCTGCAACAAGCGGAACATGGGTGTCGCCGTATGATGGCAAGTCATGGACGAAGTCAAGCGACGTTGATATCGACCATGTTGTTCCGTTGTCGAATGCGTGGAAGGTATCACAGCCACTCTCTACCCCTGACAGTAGTAGACACTTGCTAATGAGACATAGAGCGGCGCATCAAAATGGACAACTGACCAGCGAAAAGCCTTCGCGAATGATCTCGACCATCCCCAGCTTCTGGCCGTCACGGATAATGTGAATGAGTCCAAGGGTGATAGAGGACCGGAGGAGTGGAAACCCCCTCTTGGTGAGTTTCCAGCCCTATTCAGAGTGAGTGAGGCTAAGATGTAGATTCGTATCATTGCACCTATGCCAAAATGTGGATCAAGGTCAAGTCGGTGTATGAATTGACCATTACGAAAGATGAGAAGAGTGCGTTGGTGGATATGTTGGATACTTGCTAGAACTGAGGTAGTTTATTCCAGTTAACTCAGGGTTAAAATGTCAGAAATATCTGAATCGAAGATAATCTGCTACACGAAGAATAAACCCCTAAAACTAATACCTTTAGTGATATTTAACCAAGTCTCCCGGGGATTAGGACTTGTCGTAAGCTCATGCTGCTAACTGCTAGAGCTTGTATCACCCGCCACTAAGGCATCCCAGAGTTCAGGAAATTGTTCCAAGCAGAGGATATCCTCCAGGGAAAACCGCTGAATCACTCCGTGTACCATAGCGCCAGCATCAACCAGCCAATGCGCAATCTGGAGCCTTCCTGGACTGGGTAACTTGGGGGCGACAAGCATATTATCTTTACGCAAGGGGAATTGGTTGAGGCTTAATGCAATATGCAACGCAGTTGGCCCACTGGCAGGATAGGCAAGATGATCAGCTGTCACGCCTGTACTGGCCTTGACATCAACATTGTGCTCTAGTAGGATGTTGACAATGTCTGAATGCCCGCCTATCGTGGCTGTATGAAGGGGAGTTCCAGTCCAAGCGTCATCCTTGTAAAGCCCCGAAGGCTTCTCGACACTGTTGTTCCATGTCACTGTCGATGCGTGTCCATCGGCACCCTTTGCAATCAAGGCCCTTGCAATATCCGTATGCCCTCTAAAGCATGCCAAATGCAGTGGCCGCCAGCCGTGGCTGTCTGTTACCTCTGTCTTAGCACCGTGACTGAGCAAAAGCGAAACGATTTCTCGTTGGCCTTGGTTTGCTGCATGGTATAAGGCTGGGATATTGTTTCTCCATTCGTCGATGGTTTGATTGGGGTCGCATCCTCCTTGAAGTAGATTTGAAACCATTGAGATGTCATTGTTTTTCACGGCAATGGCTAGAGCATTCGCATCCTGCAAGGCAGCTCCAGATGGGCCACTGCCGAGCACGGGCTCAGTTGGTGCCGATTGAACAGTGGAATTCCACTTCTCCTTGGTGACATCCCGTCGTGCCCCTTCAGCGATCAGGGCTGTCAAGAGCATGTCATTGCCTTTCTGGGTAGCAAGATGTAGAAGTGTTTCCCCCTTAATGTTGGTTCTATCCAGGAGTCCAGCCTTTCTCAGGCAGAAGCATACACGATTAAATAAACATCTCTCTTCCGGGGCCTCTTGTACAAAGCTCGTCCAGTGAGAGGGACTGGGACAAGTTGTGGAGTGGACCAGGAGAAATGATAGGTCTTCTAGGTCTCCGAATAGTGCTGCTGTCAGAATCGGTTCGAATGTTTCCTCTGACTCATGGTACACATCAGCACCCAGATTGAGAAGATCTTGCAATATATCGCGCGATCCATGTAATGTCGCAGCGAGGGTGAGGGGTGTCGTTTTCACCTCAGGCCCGAAGCTGAATCCTTCAACAGATCCAAAAAAGTTGATGTCCGCTCCAGAAAAGCAGAGCAACCCTAGACCTCTCTTGAACTTGTCGTACAGAATGGTCGTTTCGATGTTCGAATCTTTTCGCTTGCAGATAAATGACTTGACAAGCAGAAGCACCGAATTGGCAGATGGACGACCTCCTCTGCAGAGAAGGAAATCTATCATGTCGACTTCGAGAGCTTCAGTGGCTTTGTGAATGATAGGAGTCAGATCCAGATCAGCAGGGAAGGGGGCGCCGAGATCTGATAATAAATGAAAGAGTTTCCACCGGCCCCTGACCAGTGACAACGATATTGGCGTATGATGCTTGTCTGATTCTATTTTGTTTTCTAGCCAAGATGGGCTGTTTGCTACCTCATTCAAAAAGTCTCTTTGAGGGGAAAGCCTTTTTCCAGTAGCAATGAAAAAGAGAACTGTCTCTTTCAAGTCTTCGACCTCGATATCGCCGTCATTGCATCCGGTTAAGTAATGCAAAGGCAATTCACCATTAGGGCCAATGATATCTTCAAGAGCACAGAATCTAATTAGCAATTTGATAAGTGGAAAGTCACCACGTGAAAAAGCATGATGTAGAGCCATTCTCCCAGTACTAACAGTTACTTTTGGATCTGCTCCATTTGACAGCAATATTCGAACCATTTGCACGCTGTCACACGCAATTATTATCGCAGGAAGAACTTGCATCAGGTCGCTTTCGCTTGCAAATTTCTGGGCCAATTTTGTCTGCGCAGACATAGGCTGATTCACATCGGCGCCATCATGAACGAGAGCAGTCATTGTTTCCACAAAGCCATTCAAAATGGCCATTTGTAATGCCGTCCTTCCTCGGTAGTCGTTGAAAGTACCATCTGCACCACTTTCAAGTAAACATTCCATATAGCGAGGATCGAAGCGATGTGCTGCAATGTGTAGCGCACAAAATTTATTAAAACCAGCACCAGTTTTAGCCAGCATCTGAGCAGACGCAAGTTGCTGATCGCGGATTGCAGACACTAGCAAACCGGACTTCCAATGCGAAGGGGTTGAACGTAAAGACCTTTCTTGATCATTCGACCTGGGGATATTCAGGTTTGGGATGGTTGACTTGATTCCATTTATCTCTTCGCCCTTTGTGAGGGTCCTCCAAGGGCTTTTAGAAACCAGAGCATCAAACCCAGGGTTTTCCCAGATAGGGTTGAATTTGGCATCATCCAGTTTCCCTTTTCGGGTTTCAAAGTCCTGCACCACACGGCTAAAAACATCGGTCTCCTCGCTATCTGCCGCCGGCTCGATAGGGGACACAGTCTCTTGAGAATAGGCCTTGATCTCCGCCATTGTCATCGTGTAAAGTCGTGGAACAGTCTTCATGGACCGCGAATGCTGGTCGAGAAGCTCTCGGGCAACAGAGAAATGGCCACCAGAGATAGCCCAATGGAGTGCCGTCCATTCAAGCGTACTTCGGAACTGATGGTCTGCCCCGTTGGAAAGAAGTAGACGAACAAGATCAACGTTTCCAATGAAAGCCGCCCAGAAAAGAGGAGTCCAGCCCTGTATATCTGGAAGGTTGACGTTTGCTCCCTTTTGGACAAGCAGATCGGCAACAAGGAGATGATTCCTTGAGCATGCCCAGTGTAGAGGAGTCCAGTTGTGAGTGTCAGTTGCACACACATCTGCTCCTGCGTCCAGAATGGCTTCAGCTGTCCCGACCAGATTCCAGTAGGCTGCAATATGTAGTGCATGCTGTTCCTTAGGGAGCGAGTCGAAGATTTCATCTGCAAGGGAGCCTTCGAATTCTCGTCGGAACTGAAGGGCTTGAAATGCATTGGCAAGAAGCTGTTTATCCCCGACTAGCTCCATTATCAGTGGCTGCAACCTTTCCTCGGAAACTCGATTGCAAATGTGATCACCCCAGTGTTTTGCAGAATATCTCAGGAATTTCAATTCGTCAAAACGCACCATGAGCTCTGTCGAGCTATTACATGGCTCTTGCATGAGACCCTTCAGTCCCAGATACCGCAGACATGTCTGTGCAATATCGAAATGCGGCATCTCGGGTGGGAGCACCGTGTACAGGTACTCGTACGCTGATGTATGAACCAGACCAAGAGTGCTGTCGGCTTGGTTTACAACGACCATGCCAAAACAGATCCGCAGAAGGACATCAGGAGCGGGAGTATTCTCATGGTCAAGACCCTCCTCATCTAGAGCAAACGCGGCCCGAATCTCTTCCATCTTGAGTCGTCTTTTTGCATATAGTATCCAGGAGATTAAGCGTCGTGCCAGGGAGCTTCTTGCTTCTGACTGGCTATCGATGCGTTGTAAAGTTGATTCAAATGCTTGTTGCAGGCTAAGAACCTCCTTTTTGAGCGCCTTTCTCATCTGACTGACACTTGTGAGATCAAGGAGCTCATCAAGTGTAAGTCGGGCCAGAAGAAAACGTCAAGTTGTCAGCATGTATAAAGGTGGGACAGGGCACATCACGTACAGATTCCCGCTCTTGGACACTATATTATCAATCATGGTGTGGTCACCAGCTAGTTCGTCCTGAAAGTCACTGTCTTGCAGTCTCCTCTCAATGTAGACTTTTAGGTCGTTCGTACTCCCTGTGACCTCCAGCTGACTGGCTGTAGTCATCTTCTTTTGAATGAAGGGCAAGCTTCGGCTGCTAACCAGTACTTGTATTCCAGACCTTGCAAGATCCAAGCAGCATGCCAACAGCTCATTCGGACTTTTCATTTCATCAACACCATCCAGTACCATGTACATTGACCGCACTGAGCCAGCCTTTGCAATCAGCTGAGTCATATCAGCTGCACTGTGTGGTGCAGTGGATTTCTCTAATAACCCTTTCCGAACGCTCAGTGTATTTTTACCTCCGCGTTCAACCAGCTGTCTGATCATGTTGCGAAAGATGTTGACAGTGGTGTGTTGACTTTGCAAAGAAAAATCGCAGAAAAAAAAAACCACAACGGCATTTTGCTTCACAAGGTGATTGATCACGACCGAGCTGCCGCCATAGTCCATCAGCAATGGCATATAAAAGATCCTTAATGGGAGGGGCTACGTACGCAAGAAAGCTCTTCCCAACTCCGGCTTAAAACCCAGTTAGCCACACAACACAGACGATTTATCGTCTTCAGGAATGACTTACGTGGGCCGTGGCACCACAATAGCTGCGACGATCTTTCAATCCAGTCCTTCACAATGGGGTTGTTTAAGAACCACGTCCCCGTCCCTGGACAAGGAGTCGGCTTTTCTCGTAATTGGACTTCTGCCGGTGGAATCAATGTAAGAAGCATATTCCGATCTTGCTCTATTCAAGAGTTAGTTTTCTGATTGACCATCCCCAGTCGAAAGATTTCATCACCCATGCTGATAGAGGAGACCATTTGGTAGGTAGCGTTTGTGGTAACTCTATTCAAGGGATCAGCAGGAGGAACAGGACATAGAAAGGCACAAGACACACAGGGTACAAGTAGAAAGATATCCAGAGAAATTCTCCCTGAACCTATGAAGCATGTCGATATACGGTCTCAATTCCCTGTCCTGGAATGGTCTCAAGAGTCTAGATTTCCGCTTCTGAAGCTCGAGCTGGAGACGCGATAATTCCTTGTAACAATCCATCAATGCGTCATCGTCGAGGGTAGCCGGACGGGGCGGCATCAGTCCAGTCGATTCTGTCTCGACGATGACCTGCTCGACACGAAAGAGAATATCCATCAAACCGGATACTTCTTGGAGGTACTGCTTCTGTATCCTAGAGGCATTTTTGACCTCACGGACATAGCTGTAGCTCAGCTGGGTGACCTGGGCGGCTAATTGGATGACCGCGATGATGTTAGCAACCAGCCCGAGGACCTCCATGGCGGTAATTATCACGCGTTAAATGAGGGAAGCCAGGTAGTCTTGATGAAGTAGTCTAAATACAAAGACTGTAGGACTGATGGTATGAGTTTGAACAGGTATTCAGGAAAGTGGGACCCGCTTTCGAATTGCGAATCATTTATATGTTGACAGAGCAAACGTGAATAAAGAAGAGACTGAGGGGAAAGACAGCGTCTGCAACACACGTGATAGGCCTAATGTTCATATTTGCTTTTCTTTTTGTCAATCAGTGTTGATCAACATCTGATCCGTGTTCAAGCGGCTATCTGGCTGCAAATGATAAAAACATCTTTATGACAACTCTCGTCATTGCTGGAAATTATCCTAGCAGACTGACAGTCTTTTGATTCATTTGCTCATTGTATAATGGCTTGTATTTTCATTTTGATCATTATATCTATCATCCTGAACTGTTTCACTGTGGGATATACGCATGGTTGATAATTTCATAATGCCCACGTGCTAATATATACTCTCAGTCAAAAACCACCATACTACTAAGCTAGAAATGCGCCCAGACACATAATTATGTCTATATTTATGGTCCAATCTGCTTAACATACTATCTGCACGACCACAGCTTATTTGGAATACGCTCTGTTGAGAACCTCCGAGCGAAAGACTATCAAATTACACATCCGGATAATTACAATAGTAATAAAGTTAACTCGCAATTCAGGGCCAATAACAGACTACCTAATCAAAACAGACCCAGCTGGATGTCACATCCTGTCTGTAAGGTGCGGATTTTCCCTCATTCCTGAACGCGTAGGATAGCGAGTATACCCCTATCTACCTATAATCGAGAATCAGACCCACACTCAATCTTTATTTGCCAGATTTGCTGTGGTGGCAAAGGGACTGATCTCTCTGTTGGTGGAAGAGGGTTCCGGCACAGTCATCACACTGCGTAATTGAAAACCGAACTGAGTGGCCAAGAATTGTTGTGAAACCTGACGGAATCATCTGATAAGGTAAACAAAAGTTTAATGGTTTTAGCAATTACTAGCCGAATTTACCTGGGTTATATTAAATCATCATATAAATGCCACCAATAATAGTTATGAAAGTATGCTGATTGCTACATTGATACTTGATCATATATAATGAGGGGATAATTAGAAATTGATATTCTAAGAATAGTAGATATCCTAGAGTGTTCATTCTATAACTGGGATGAACTATAACAAGACTTTAAAACATTCTTACTGTTGGGCGACCCCCTTACCCTCCATCAGGAGGATGTACGACTTCCATATTTATCGATGAACAGGAACAGTCACCCATGAGTGTACACTTAAACTGGTGATATTCCTAGCTAGCTCCCCATCAATACCAACGACCTATGAATCCAGATAGACGGAAATGACTATCACCGAGACTGTCACTCGATCATCGGTCAAGGGTATGCTTCCAGTACAAATCTGTCTTCCTCTACTCACACGGACAGAGAAACTCTCCTCCCTTGAGAACCGACAACACCAATGCCCAGTCAAGTATGCCTACGACTACCTGAAAGGAGGAGGGAGATACTTGGCCCGTCCGTCGTTGAACTTGAACCACTATCGAACTCACAGAAGGTTCAGCCTATCTAAAAGCTCCTCTAAGACGAACTTCGATCGCGGTGATGATGGAATTGACATATTCCCCCATGAAGCCGGTCTTCCATGGTCAAGTGGGATCCTCAACATCCGCCAGAACAAACACTGGCAGATTGCTCATGACACAACCGAAGATCTACTGTAGTACTTCATCACTGATGAAACGACCAAGGGAATAGTCAAGTCCGGTCAATTGCTCCCTGACATCGCACAGAAGGAGCTGGCCAGCAAAGTGGAGACTGGGTGGCCGAACTTCTCGGCCTTCATGTATCCCGATAGTGAACAGATCCGGGAGAAGCTGCTCGCGGACTTTCATGTGTACATCATGTTTGATGAGTTCTGGGGGATGAATGATTTCGGCCTAGTGAGAAATCTGCTTCCAGATATAGCTGTTTACTAACTAGAAAAGTACGGCATCCTACAAAACAGCTTTATCAATCGGATGAGGCCGAATTTGAAACGGGGACCACAAGAACACCACTACAGGGGCGGATCGACGAAACCGTCGACGAAAGCGAGGAGCTCGATAGATTGACCGGAAACACCGCGGGCAGGGAGGTTATTGACCAGATGGTGCTGTTCTTCGACACTCCACCGAAGAAAAAGTACAGAACTCTGGAGGAGTTCATCCAGTAGCGCAGTGAAGATGCTGCTGTTCCGTGAGTGTGTCTAATACTATATTCTAGCATATATTAAGACTATAGGTTTGTCCTAGCATGCGCCAAATTCAGCATCAACTCATCTGTCGATATCAACGCTCCCAAATTGCAGAGCTTCCGTCGGTTGGTCAGACATCACATCAGTGTAGCTAATGATCTGGGGTCATTTGAAAAGGAAATGAAGGCGTTCCACGCGGCGAAGACATTGTACATGATTAACGCCGTTCAGATGGCCAAGGAGCTAATCGACATGCCTACATACGATCCAACGTTGGGAATCACGCAGGCGGTTCAGATGCAGATTGAGACTGATATTGATCAACAGATTCACCGACTGATGGAAGAGGAGGATATGACTTCTGCGGAGTGCAAGTATATCGATGCTGCACTTTTTACCATGACGGGTAATCTTCACGCGTCTATCGTCCTGTCTAGATATGGAAGCGAGAAATGGAGACCTGAATAGAGAACTAGTATACATTTAGCAGACGAGATGGTTAGATTGCTAATAAAAATCTGAAGATTTATCAGTATTGCGACATGAATGAATCCATGATAAAACTGCCCTGGCTTAAGCGTAGACGAAAGAGTAATAGACTATAGACCACATTGCATCTAGAAATGGGTGTCATGTAGCCACATCAGGGGGCATAGTATCTCCTTTGGCTTATCATGAGAGAGTCAGGGAATGTAAAAATCCACGCATGCAGGAATGATCAGATGCAGTATGATAAAACCAGAACTCTAACTCCACCAGTTATGCACGGACATTGAAGCAAGGAATTTCGTGTGTGAGTAGGTAGCCTTTTACAGCAAGAAGTGGCTTGCGCCGATGTCACACTGTGTAGATGATCGGAACCCTAAATACGATTAAACATTCCAGAGAGTAGGGCATTTCTGGGGTTTGGACTGCTGCTATGGCTATATTCGCAAGTCAACCGTGCAGCAGAAAGCATAGTAGATTACAGTATAAAGACGGCCAGGTATTGTATTTCTTTTCTATTGTCGTTATCGAATAGTGTTTTTCTGATAGAAGATGGAAAGACATGCCGAAGGCAATGCCCAATGGTAGGACAGGGCTGGAAATGTCATGAACACTAAATATGCGGACTGATATTGAGTTTCTCATTGCATCACACCATCATCAGCCAGGAATGATATGCTGTGATAGTGTTGCTGATGCGAGGGATACCACATCCTGAAAGGGCCAGTATATAGTAGGCCTCCACGGCATCGCCGCAATGGTTATTTAAGTTTAGGCTGGTTAATCTCAGGAAAACAATTCCATCCAGATTAGCTTCTGACTACAGAGCTACAGCGTTGCCAAGATGACCATCACCAGCGCCATAACGAAATCATCCGTCAAGGGTTTGTGTATCCGCCCCGTCCATCCATCCTGCTAATAGTCAAAGACAGCATCTGCTCTCCAGAAAACCGAAAGCACCTGTTCCCATACAGCTACGCCCACAGCACCATCAAAGGCGAAATAAACTATCTCCGCTTCCCCTCTCTCAATCTGAACAAGTATCAACAGCAAAGATGCTTCAGCCATACCTCGACCGAACCTCAGTTTGAACGGCCTGACCATGCAGTCGAGCTATTCCCCCAAGCCGCCGGGCTCCCATGGCCCACTGCTGTCCAGGCTGCAGCTCAGAACAAATACTGGGAGATCTGCATTAACGCTTGCAAAGATATACTGGAGCTATTCTCCCAGGACGAGACGACAAAGGGACTGGTGAGTGCTGGAAAATCGTTGACGGAGATCACGCAGAAGGAACTGGCTCGTGGATTCGAGCATGGATTTGTGGCATTCGCGATATTCGTGTATCCTTTTGCGGAGCCCAGACGGGCAAAGCCGGTGGCTGATGCGAATGCCTACGTGTTCATTCTGGATGGTGTGTACGTCCCACCCGTCTGACCATGGAGCTAATTCTGTCTAGAGTTTTGGGAGTGTAATGATCCCAGTTTGGCAGGTTGACCACCACTCTATCCAAGTATATTCTAACCCCCACAGTGGCATATCGTCCAGGAAAAATTCGTCAGCCGCATGCGACCCGGCTTCAGACCAGACAAATCATCCCGAACAGCAGTCGAAGCCAGAATCGACGAGACGATCGAGCAATGCGACGAGATAGACCGAGAATCCGGAACAAACAGCGCCAGAGACATGATCAACCAGTTGGTCTATTTCTACGACAAGCCCGCTCCACCAAAAGAGTACTCAACCGTAAGGGAGTACATGGACTACAGGACTCGGGATGTCGCAGTGACGTAAGAACACCATTCACGTTGAAAGATGGCAGGATGAAATTGACTTGCCTAGTTTGATCATAGCATCGGCCAGATGCAGCATTGTCTCCTCCGTCGACTATCACGATCCCAAGTTCGCGCCGGTCATCCAACTGATTGCAGATCAAATCCTGTTGCAAAATGACATTGCGTCTTTCGAAAAGGAGAAACGTGCGTTTGATACAGGAAAAGCGCATACGTTTATCAATTGCGTGCATGTGGTCAAAACCCTCATGGGCGTTAGCTATGAAGACGCCCTCGAACTGTCACTGGCGGCTCAGCTGCAGACGGAGACTAAGCTTGATACTGAAATCGATAGACTGATTTCTGAGGATGTTTTGACCGCCGAGGAATGGAGGTTTGTGGATGGAATATTGTATGCCATGACGGGTAATGCAATGGGTTCGGTGATTATTTCGAGGTATGGTGGAGAGAAGACCAGACTGTCATAGTGGGTGGAATGCGTTCATTACTTGGGAATTCAACAGTTGGTAATTGAATCTGATTTGAGACTGGATATTACAGAATGATAACGTGTGTGTGTGTGCTGTCTATTTAACGTTATTTCCCACAACCTTTCAGCCAACATGTTTCAGCCTTTATACCATGCCAGACCATAACCCTAACCTTTTTTTAAAGTCAACACTATCGTACCATATAATAAATAATGCCGTATACTAGCTATAGTCCTGACCTATGCCCCTGCCCATCTAACGCATATGGGTGTAACCCAGTAGGAAAACTAGAAGATAAACACTGCGAGCCGGTATAATATATATAGGTATAAAGGACAGAAGAGAGGTACATAAGTAGGAAATATGGTCTCTATATACCCCTATCCCTTCTATATATATAGATAGGTAAGAAAGAACCCTTTTCCATCACTATAGTCTACTAATTGTAGACTTTAAATATAAGTATTTGACATAGCTTTAGCAGACAGCTCATCATACTCTGCTAATAGTCTACTACCCAACTACCGGTTGACTTTAGAAAGATAATTCAATTAGAATAAGACCATACATAAAGACTAGGCTAGCATCCTCTCTATCACACTATCTGTATAATTCCACAAGAAAGTGGCATAATCCGAACACCACGCAAGACCAGTATAAAACGTACTCTGCTGCCCCTGCAGCGCATACAGCGATTTATAGAACCCATTCCTCACCTCCTCCGGCGAAACAGCCATAGTAGTAGGCGTATGATCCGCAAACGCAAGTATATTCGGACGCCTAGTCTCATACGTCCCCGCCGTCCCCATCCGGTGAACATCAGAGAAAATAAGATCCTTCGCTTGCTGCACCGTAAAGTTGGCATCGCCGACCATCTTGTGTGTGAGATAGCCTGATACACCCGGGTAGTCGAGATGCCAGATAAACGGTGTAGTAGGCAGACTGCCTGGTTGATTGTTTGGATTGAGGTTGGCGACGTTGCGGGCATCTGGGATGCCGGTGTTGTTGAGGACGGCTGCGTAGTAGGATTTCCACTCCCATTTCTGGAAGACGGATCGTTCTGCATCGGATAGGTCGAAGCCATCTAGGTTTGAGAGGATTGGGGGGATGGTGAGGAGGAGTTTGTTTGCTTTGATGAGTTTGCGGGATCCGTCGGCGTGTTGGACGATGAGTTCTACCCCGTTAGTGGTGCGGGTGGCATTGACTACGGTGGATTGGAAGAGGATGTCTTGTCTGAGTTTGTCAGTTGCTTTTTGGAACAGCTCGTATGCGCCATGTTTGGGTCTGATGTAGCCCTGTAAAAGGGCGTTGATATGGGGGATGCCAAAGTTGGCAATGACAGTTAGAGTAGGGACTTCGAGAAGGTTACCGACGCCATGGGCGAACAGGAAGATGAGATTCAATGCACCCTGCAGGTTATGTTTGAAGACAAACTCGCCAAATGGACGGAGTAAGTCTTCCGGAACAGGGTCAGGCAGGTTATAGACGCCATACTCGAGGTAGCTGAACTGTTGGATAGCGCTGCGATACTGCAGAGCAGCGGTAATAGTATCCAGCAGACCAGAAGGAGGACGGACTTTCTTGCCGGTGAGAAAGTTGACGTTGTCCGTCTTCAACGAGCCAGGGAGTAAGGGTTCATGGTCAATGCCGAGTTTGGCAAAGTAGTCGGTGGTGATTTTGTTGTTGAAGAAGCCTTGGACGCCGTAGTCGACCTGGCCGTTGGGGAGATACAGTGTCTCTGTGTGGCCGCCGAGGAGGTCTTTTTTTTCGACAACAACGACGCTTTGCTTCTGATCTTTTAGCTGAATAGCTGCGTATGTGCCGGTGCTGCCGCCTCCGATGATACAGACATCGCGAGTGATGGTGTCTTCGGGTTTAAATTGTTCAGAACGAGCAGTAGCGGAAAGGATAAAACAGAAGAGACCGGCAAGACACCAGAAACGACCCATCATGGCGGTGATGAATTCAACAATTAGCAAGGCTATCGGTCCTTTTATGCAATATAGGGACCTGTCGAACTACTGTAACTATAGGCTACTGGCTACTGATACACAGTTGGCCTGCTGATTGATAGAGCATGCAACAGTATCACATCAATTCAATACTAATTAATATACAATCAAACAGAAGCATGCGACGCACCCCCCTTGGACGACCGTCTCTCGGCTGCCTCCATCTCGGGAAACACAAACTTGGAGCTCTTCCACGGCTTGACCTTCATCACATACATCGTGTCAATCTCCTCCAATGTCCGCCCTTTGCCCTCAATGACACAGAAGTACACAACGCCCGCAGCCAGGAACAAACACCCCGCAAATACATATCCAAATCGGAAGTCTATTGCACTCGTGATAAACGGCGTAAAGAAGGCCAATAGGAAATTCCACAGCCAGTTAGAAGCTGTGCAAAGCGCCATTCCACGAGCTCGAAACTCGTTTGGATATAGCTCTGCGATGATACTCCACACCATAGGGCCCCATGTACTGGCGAAGCCCAGGATAAACAGGCAAGCGAAGACTACCATGACGACGCCAGGCGTTTTGGTGCGTTCGGGATGTTCGTGGTCGAGCAAAAAGTGGCCGACGGAGGCGAAGATCATGAAGCAGACAAACATCCAGAGGGCGCCGGTAACAAGCGAGCGGCGGCGGCCGTAGTTTTCAATCAGATACAATCCGAGGAAGGTGGTACCGAAATTCACGCCACCAAGAATCATCTGTGTGACAAAGCTGTTTGGAATCCCAGCTCCTGTTGTAGTTGCATTAGTGAGGCTGTTCAAGGGTGGTTACATTGAGGCACTTGGGCCTCATCTGACGTAGACGAATGACACACCTTTGAAGATAGTCGTGCCATAGTAGAAGAAGTAGTTGGCACCGGTCAACTGCTGCAGAGCCTGCAGAGACGTCCCAACCGCAAGCCGATATGCCATTCGAGGAGCCCGAAACATTCGAATCCAGCTTGTCTTCCCGCGCTGCACTTCCTGTTCGTATTTCTCTTTGATCTCTTCAAATTCCACATGCAAGGCTCGATGGTTCTTGGGAATGCCATACATCTTCGACAGAGTGTCAATAGCTTTGTCGACTTTACCATGCCGATAGTCGTACCGAGGGCTTTCGGGGAAGAACGCAATTCCAGCGCCTAGAATGATAGCCCAGAGATACGTGATGCCCATTGGAATTCGCCAGGACCCTGTATCTGGCCGTGCCTCTGTTCCAAAGTTGATGCAATTCGCGACGAAGATGCCGAGTGTGATGAAAAGTTGGTAGGTGCTATGCCATTAGCATACATGATCATCATGGAAAGAGCGATACACACCTGACCAGCGAACCACGAATATGTCTTGGACCAGACTCAGCCTGGTACATGGGCACAATCAAAGAGCATCCGCCTACTCCTAGACCAGCAACCCACCGACCCATGGCTACTTGGTACCATTTGCCGATAGGCGAGGAGATCTGAATTGTTATTCCAATACAGACCATCAAACTCCAAATCGACAGCGACCATTTGCGCCCAACTCGATCGGCGATAGGTGCTGCGACCAGAGCACCGATGAGTGTGCCAATTGAGAGCTAAGAATTAGTATAAGATCTCATAATTGGGAACGGTAGGGTAAAATACCAAACCAACTATAACTCCCGATCTAGCATTCGTAAAAGAAAAGCTCCCATCCCCACTCGGCTCACCATATCGTTGGAGAAAATCCTTCATCTCCAGGAATCCAGAAATCTGGCCAGTATCGTAGCCAAAGAGGAATCCACCCATTGACACGAAGATACCCATCATGAAGGACCGCCATGTCAGCAGCGGGATGGGAGTGTCGACAAACTCATCCTCTTTGTTGTGATTATTGTCATCGCCCACTACCCCTTCAAAGTGGTTCGCGGGGTTAACCTTGGGAAGATGAGGTTTCTTCATGAGATGGAGTTTCTTCATTTTGCTATCAATTGATTTATTTATCGTTCAGAAATCGTGAACAACAGAAAGAACCAGTGGGAAATGCGGATGTTATATGCTCCCCCGCCGAGAATCACGACGTCATCCATTGCAATATGCTTCCAGCCCCTCGCCTCCCCACGGGGAAGTCAGTCTGGGGATTTTACCTTTCTGGGTCATTTGGCTCACGCGGCGTATTTATTTCCATGGCAGAGTGTGTCTAAAGCGGTTATTTGTCCGCAAATCGCCTCGAGGAGGTGCGCGGAGTGGCGAATTATGCTTCGGGATGGCCGGGCTAAGACCAGGTTTGATGCTGATTGAATGGACACAGACGGAATCATGGCGTAATTGGCAGAGTATTTCCATGGGTGTGGTACTTTCTAGATGGGCTGGTCTGGTTATGACAGGCTCTCGTCCAAGAGCAAGTGTCATCCTAACCTTATAGTTTGGTTGACGGCTATATGTACCAAAAGCAGGATTGAGCATGTTTTTATTGAGATATTAAAGTAACACATGCTATGATATAATGGCTTTTGTTCTTATTGTGCCTGCGGGTGTGACACCAACGCTGTCTCTGATTCAGGAACAGCCAGTCACAACGCTTTGGGTATTTCCCATCATATTCTCAATGCAGCGATACTACCGTGGCGTTGGAATGCCTTAATATGGAATGAACATCTCCCGCCATGCTATTATTTGACGTTTGACACACCTATCCACCGCCCTAATAAACATGGTATCCACTGCATATTATCATAATTCATGATAAATCCACCAAATGTCAGATTGATATCATCCGGAATGCGCATCGTGACAGCTCCACGTTCTCCGATCAAGGGATGGCACATTCCAACAATCCCATTACCGAAAGCGGAATCCTAGCCGAATACATTGACTATATAGAACAACTCAACGTCATTTCATCGTCGTCAGCTAACCGTTTTCATCTTCTCAAAAATACTACTTAAGCATGGCAATTCCTAATGCTTTGTCTCAATCACACAATCGATCAAATACATCTACGTTCTGAGCCACAAATCGAAACACGATGAAGTATACCGCTTTCCTCGTTGCTCTGGCGCCTCTTTTCGGCGCTGTCCTGGCAGATGATGTCGCTGATGGCGCTTGTGTTGTATGTTCTCACTTATTCTGCTTCATAGCGACGCTAACTGATTACTCAGTGGTCGTGCATGAACCAAGCCCTTAAGTATAGCAGCTGCACCGACGTAAAGAATCTATCGTGTATCTGCGTCGATCCGGATTTCTTCAACGAGTGCTCGGAATGCATTGGGGCTGTTTGCAGTGAGACTGCTCTCAAGTGTATGTCTATTCACCCAAGATGGTGACGATGATTGCTGATTTCGCAGATGCTACTGATGCCAAGGATGTCGAGTGTGCCAATATCTAGGATGTTTCTTTTATACAGACAGCGATTATCATCGTTTGTCTGAAGATAGAGGTAGTAGAATTACGATAGACTTGGCCGGTAATTGATCTTTGGTTTGATTCTATATTGAAATTTATTCATACTAGAGTACATCTATGAGAGACGAAGAAGTAGAGACGAAAGAGTATCAGAACAAGCAATTATCTATACTCACAAGCTAAACTCAAGTCTATTCCCCGCATAATCCCTCGCAAAGAACCGACTCGGAAATTCCACCCCTTTCTCGCCTACATCAATCAGCCTAATCCATCAGAAACCAGTATAGACTACTCACCAGAACTCTCCCCCGGCTTATCCGCCTCTTGCGGTGCAGCCGAATCACCCGCCAGATGGTGCTCATAAATCCGCCTCTGCACCTTCAGCAGGTCGTCCACGGAACCGACACGCAGACACGGATGGCGAGTTGACTTGTGCTCGTTATTTCCGAATGCGATGTGGATTTGTTGGCCGCTTTCTCCGATGTTGAACCTTTCTTTTTTAGATATGTCGTTTTGTTATGGTGTAGGGGCTTACCATGCTGTTGTTTCCTTTATGGCTGCGGGGACAGGAGATGCGATGAGGCCGAGGGTTTCGACGTAGAATTTGTTGGCTTCTGGCAGGGTGCCTGCGGGGACGAGGAGGTTGACGTGGGCGATTCCTGAGATCATCTTGCCTTATGATATTTGATTCTATGGTATATGTTTGTTGATGTTGATGCGAGGTGAAAAGGATGACCCCGCACCCTTTTATAATCGCGGTTCACCGATGATGCGATGCGGTAACAAACACGGAAATCAAATCCCGTGTTGAATTAAGGTTACAAAACAAGCACAATAGGTAAGAATCAACAATGATCGTATTAGTTATTAAACTATGAGTAATACCAGATCTCAACAATATATATACCAATCGTCTCCGCCAGGGGGAAGAGAAGGGCTGAATGGATGCTATATGCAATCTGTGCAGGGGATTATGCTTGCTGACTTCTGTACAATCCAACAAGTCGCAGATATACAGTCCCGCTAATGCATTTAGACCACGACGGTGGCGGTGATGCCGTTGAGGACGTGCACGATGTTCTGCTGGGACTGGGCCAGAGTAGGTGCGCAGACCGGGATGAAGGGGTTCAGGAAGTTGGTGAATTGCTATCTTCATTAGTATATAGTCATTCACATGATAGTATGAGGGAAACTCACGTCAATGCTGTTGGCGTAGTTGTTCTCGACATCAACAAAGTTGGAGGCAAAAGGAGTGTTGTTGATGACCTGGACGTGCTGGTGCAGCTCGTTCTGGGCGTGGAACTGGTTGCCCAGGATGGAGTGCCAGAGACCGCAGATCTGGTTCTGCTGAGGAACAGCGAAGGAAACGCCAATGTCGCAGTGGAGGACAACGTCGATCTCGGCGATCTCCTTGTGGGTGTTCTCGGTGAAGGTCTATTCTGTTAGCTTGCTTCACTGGGGAATCTGTGGACGACTTACGCCGCAGGTAGCCTCGACGTTGTGGGGGCCAAGACCCTGAACCAGGTTGTAGGAGTTGCTGGTGATGGTCTCAAGGGACTGCAAAGCCTTGACAACGACGTCAACACCGCAGTGGCCAGCCATGGCAGGGGCGGCGGCAGCGAAGAAGGCGGCAACGGCGGGGAGCTTGAACTGCATTTTGACGGAGTTGTTGAGATCTGGTTTTGAACCGAAGAGAGAAGAAGAAGAAGAAGTGAAGTGAGAGAGAGACTGCGATTGGATTGTTGATGGAGAACGGATTGGGTGGGAGTCGACTGCCTCTTTATACCTCTGATGGCGATGGATGTTGGATAGATCAGGTCAAAAGGAGTATAGAGGTCTGATCGTCGTGCAGATCGAGTATGCATAGTTCCTGCAGATGCATCGGTTGGCGATCTTGTCTGCCAATGATGGAGTAGCGGTGTCCATCGATCTACCCCGTTATGCTCCAATTGTAGACGCAAGGGGACGTTCTTTCATGTTGATACATAGTACTGTCTAAACTAGGAAGTACATATGGCACATCTCTCTTAACTCAACCTCAGCACATTACTCGGTTCAATGGAACGCTCCCCTGTAGATCAGGCTAAGGCCTCGTTATACTCTGTAAACATGATATATGACAGGTAGGATTCCAAGATATGCAATATGTCGGGGTATTGCATCGGCTACTTCCGCCAAGCTGGTTGAGCTACTTCAATGCACAAACCAATCAATAAATGCAGATTCAGCAGTGCGGAGTGCATATTGAATGCTGCAGTTGCCTAACTTAATGATTTAAGATTGCTAACAGTGTTGGAATGTCAGATCATTAAGCGTAGCTGGGTACTTCTGGAATGAGTCGGCGAACTCCTGAGCGGCTACCTCATGTGATCTATCTCATATTTGCCAGGCACCGACATTCTCGAATCTCTATGCCAAAGGAACAACCTCTTGAGCTTTCATGTCAACTCCAGCTACTTTCCGATCAGGTCGGTAACATAATATCTTTAATAAATGCATGCACACTTTCCGTATAATATCCCCTTGCTGATGACCAACTGTCCGTGTTAATATTTTATACGGTCTGACAGATTTGCCCAACAGCCAATCATTTTACATAATACCGTACACGTCGATTGAACCTATCACATGAGGCTGCTTTATCGAAATTCCATTGCTTTCGATTGCATATGTAGTCCCACTTGGTAACTACTGCCTTGGCATATTCTTTGTCTAGTTCTCCATCAATGTCAAGATAGAAAGTACCATCTACCCCCTACAGAATCCAGTCAATTTCAACAAGCGGTCACTGCCCCAACAGGCTGAGTTACCGGTGAGCTCTTTTGAGTCTCGCCATAGACTCGATAGGGTCTGGCTGGACGTGGTGTAGACCTGAACAGCATGTAAATTCAGATTGTTGGTTCTAAACTAGAACTACGACATGGCTTTTACAATCCGCCAAGGAAGATACCAATGCGTTAGCTATTCACCATCAGCACAGGAATGAATTTCACCTTGTTATCTATGATGCCTGGTTCAACGTCCTCGATCTATTGTAGAAGGGGCGTTATTAAGACGCCATAGATATTTGCTGGTGTACCGAGTACCTGATCCAGGTAACAAAGTGAACAATCGAATGGGGTACATTGTTAGGGCATTACTCTTCATTCCAGTTTTTACACAAGGGTAATTTAGACTGTCAGATATTACTGATGTGTACAGTAGAGAGCTATCTACAAATTCATGCTATCAGATATAATGGTGAATTCGGTAGTATTGTACTTCCTAAAGCCAAAGTTAAGTGGTGACTATAAAATGAATGCCCAGTCAGTATTAAACTGTATGTCATTTTATTATGAATATTCACTCTTCATTATATTGGATATTCAAGATAAATACAGGTCGTTGATGCCGTCAGATTAGATGTAGACATCGGCAACTGGAAAACTATCTCCGAGGTGTACAAAGTCTTTCGTAGACCATGTTCTTCGACATTATACTTGTTAGATTCCTTTATATACTAATGTAACGGCATATTATTTGAATATAGTACCGTTCATGTTTCTCGGTAGTGGTGATATATATTTGAGTGCTTTGTTGAGTTGGAGTACTAATGTTGTCATTATATATAATCCGACAACGGACGTGCTCATAGTTTCGATAATATTTAATATACATCAAGAAATATCCAAAATTCGTTCTAATAATCCAAGGAATATTATGTATTATCAAAATATACATTCTATAATCCATAGATAGACATGTGTTGTAAAGAGTTGACTCATTTCCTATTGTGGCGGTGCAAATCTACCTTGCCAGGATGGCAGAGGACATCATCAACACGACGATCCGCTGTTATCTATCCCATCATCATAAATATTCTATCAAAATGCTACTCGATCTCCCAAACGAACTCATCTTATTGATAGCAAACAACCTCCCCCAAGCAGACATCAACGCCCTCCAACAAACAAACCACCAACTGCACACTCTTTTCGAAGACTTTCTCTACCACTACAACGCCCTCTACTGCGGAAGCTCCGTCTTGGCCCTCGCGGCATGGGAAGGTCTAGACAGTGTAGCAGAGAAATCCCTACGCCAAAAGGGTGATCCGATGGTCAAGTTAGAAAAGTTGCGCGGGGAAGAACCGTCTGATATCCCGATTTCGTCTCTCCATGCTGCGGCGAGGGGTGGTCATGTTGGAGTTGTGAGGTTGATGTTGGATTACGGTGCTGATATTGAAGCCAAATGTCTCGATGCGGGACTTGATGACGATGCGGAGGGTGAAGGCGAGGAGTATGAATTGCGGTGTTGGGATGAAGATGGCGCGACGCCGTTGACTGTCGCTGCTGAGTTTGATCACACAGAAGTGTTTGAACTGCTCATTGAACGAGGGGCAAATATCGAGGCACGCGATCTCAGGAATAAGACTCCGTTGCACCGCGCGACAGAGACGGGGTGTACGCGGATCGTGAAGCGGTTACTTGAATTGGGGGCGGTTGTTGATGCGCGATGCAAGTATGGGAATACGCCTCTTTCTCAAGCAGCACGAGGGAGAAACGCAGAGATCATCCGGATTCTTCTCGCGGCGGGGGCTGATATCGAGGCGCGAAATCATACGAATAGGACGCCGCTTTATCTTGCTATGCTCAATCATCATACCGAGGGGGTGAATGCGCTTGTTGAAAGTGGTGCTTCGGTTCAGGCACTCAATCTCCGAGCAGGCAATCTTCTCCGACTTGCTGCGAGGCGAGGATTTACAACACTTGTCGACTGGGCATTACATCAGGGAGAAGATGTGGAGAGGAGACACTTTGGTGGGATGACAGCATTGCACCTGGCAGCAATGGGAGAGCATGTCGATACTGTCCAGCGACTGCTCAATGCCGGTGCGGATATACACGCGAAAGACTACCAAGACTGCACTCCGCTGCTCTGGGCCGCGGCGCGTGGGGATATATTGATTGTCAAGCTTTTGCTGGACCAGAGATCTGACATTGACCACTGTGCACGGCATCGACGACAACTACGAACTGCCGTGTCGGTGGCAATGCTGCAATACAGATACACGATAGTCGAACTGTTGATCGACCGAGGAGCGAATGTAAACAGTGGTGACTTTCCCCTCTTGTGGTATGCAGTGCAAAGGACACAACGTGGCATGATATCGCTCCTGCTATCCAAAGGAGCCAATCCCAACATCCTTGGAGGCAGAACAACAGCTTTGTACTACGCGGTGAAAAACCACGATGAGGAGACAGTCGGATTACTTTTGGAACATGGAGCCGACCCTAACTATGGCTCGCCATTCTTCAACTGGAGCCGATATTATGAAGAATGTCCATCACCATTCGGATGCGCGATGAAGCAAAAATTGTACAGAGTAGCAGAAATGTTACTCGACCATGGCGCTGATCTGAAGCTTGCAGAGTGGCCGGGGCGTAGAGCCGTGGCGAAGGCGATTGAGATTGGGAATCATACTTTGTTGGAGAAAGTGTTGGCTGCTGGCGTGAATACGAATGAGATAGAGAGACATGGCCTGACGCCCATCTTTCTGGCTGTGGTTAAAGGAGATGAAAGGGCAGTTCGACTGTTGCTTTCTCACGGCGCAGATCGGAGTACTAAACGAGATGGATGTTCCATGTTGCATTGGGCTCGTCGAAGGGGATTTCCGGCTGTTGAGGAGATTCTTCGTGAATATGGTGCAGAATAGTCAACTTGACTAGAGCATGTGTAACAGAAATAATGTCGAAGTACTTTGCCTTCCAGACAATCGAAGAAGCATAAAGGAGTCGATAGTATGTCAGTCTGACAGATCAAAATGATGGGTTGTTTGGGCTTTTATACTTGGAACATTCGGAATACCCCGTCCGGATCTACACAATTATTGACACCCAGAACCGATGATTTGGGAGGATCGACAATAATAACCAATCGGAGCTTGGGCTAGACCCCAAGGTTTGATTAATTGGATAGTGCATGAACACTCCCTGCATATGATCTATCATATTGGTAGCTAGTACGGAGTACAGCGAATGGGTATAACAACGGAGAAGCAAACAGCATTGTCTTCTCAGAAATTCTTTACTTCTTGGACCATGGCCCTGGAATGCGCAACTTATCACTTCCTCTCACTCCCATTGAGCTCTTATTCACCCTCGTAAAATGCTGAATATATCGTATCCCATCTTCAGAACAAATACCACCCCCCGCAAGCCGATGTAGCAACGGAAGCCCTGCATATTCTCCAGACGAAGGCTCGATATCGACGACACGAATATACCTCTCCTCGACAGGTTCCCCGTCCAAGCCCAACTTCTGGCGCATCCAGTGTACCAGGACCCCGGTCAATTTTGTTTCGTGATAGCTCTGGTGGAGAGTATAATACGATCGGAACCTCTTTATCGCAGAGGGTAGCTGGCATTCAGGGAGACGGGAGAATAGTTCTTCTTTGAATTGGAGGTGGAGGAGGAGGTGGCGGGATTGAAGCATCTCCTGAGTCAGGTCTGTCTGACAGGGCTCGTTTCTGCTTATTATGTCCTCGGCGCAGGGACTGAAGTATTGGAGGGAGAGTTGGAGAGAGGCCATGTAGTCGAGGGCGGCGAGGCTGCGGGGGACACAGGGTGGGAGAGTGAGTGAGTGTGGTATTTCTGGTAGGCGGAAGTACTCTGCCATGAAGAATCTGAGATGGTCTTCTAGGGGATGCAGGAAGTGGGCTGAGAGGATGGTGTAGAACAGTCGTCGTTGATCTGGTTGGAAGAAGCATTCTGAAATGGATTGGATGAAGGTCTGAAAGTAGGCTGTGAACAGGTCGGTTTGGTCTGGGAAGACGAGCAGGAAGGAGTGTAGTGTTTTGAAGGTGTCCAGATGGCGCATCATCTCCATCTGGATGTCGCATGGGAGGCTTCTTATATTTGCCATGTACGGAGTAGTGTGTAGTTGTTCAGACGGAAAATGAAGTTGCGAATGATGATATATAAGGTAATAAGTAATGCACCAACCATGGATAGCATCAGGCAGCCGTTTCACTCGAACCAGGTCTGACAGCCTCCATCGCCTCTATGGCAGCCTTTGCCATTTCCTTGGTTTCCTCTGTCGCATCTGGATGATCAATCAAGGCAACAAACCGATTCCTCCATGCATCCCACCGCGCAACAGAAAAGGGTTGTCGTGCCCTCTCCTCCAACCATTCAGTATCTCTCCTATCCAACAATTCCTTCTCACAGGCCTCATGTATCTTGGGCGCACTCAATATCATCCACACAGCAGAAGCAGGTGCAGCAAGAGCTACAGTTGCTTTGCGTCCTTCTAGATACCATTTCTTCCTGCACCTACCGTCGTATTTCTCTAAACCACTCGATATACAATTCAAAGCGAAGTATAGATTCGAATCAAGGCCAGCATTTGTAAGATGGGCAGCTAGACCATTGATATTCTTCCAGTTACTGTTATCCTTTCCGTTTGGCAATGGGGAGCCTGTATAATCATCAGCATATACACTATGGCTAATAATGCTGAACATACACATATCCCATCTCTCACTGAACATCATCCCATAATACGGCTTATCCTGCCACACCATCCTCCCATTATACCACTTGTCATCATCTTTTATAACAATCTCCGGCAGTTCCCCGAGGGCTTTGAATAACGCGATAAACCGCTGCATGGGCTCATCGCGATAACCCAGCTGCGGGGCGATTCGGAACCATAGATGCCAGAATGCATAGCACCACCCGACCGCATTACTGTCTTTGGGTTTTATGTTCGGGTTCTTGTAGGGGAAGATATCGTGGATTTGGGTGGCTGCTTCTTCGGGGGTTGTTGGGGAGTCGTGGGGGAGATAGGCAGCGAGGATGTTGAAGATGGACTGTTCCAGCTCGTCTGGCTCGTGGGGAGCGTAGTCGATGTCGAGATCTAGAGGGTTGGCCATTATTGGGAAGATTAGAAATAAAGAACGTATGAATGAATGATATGATTTGGAGAAAGTAGCAGTCAAATAATGGGCAGTCAGGCTTGCGATGCACAGCCCTGTGGGTCAATCCTGATGGAGGAATAGCACAGCCTGATGATTCATTCTTGCGGTGTATACGATTAGAAACAGACAATTGATACTATCCATAGACAATCAGGCCTCTCCATGAGCAACTCCCCGCAGTTTCAGTGGACGCAACCACCCCTCGTTGACAGGAACATTAGGCACTGCACCCAATGAGCGTAAGGCCTCATGCTTTAAAGACTGCGCAAGATATCCTCTCGGTCTCCCATCATTTCCCCAGAAGAGCAAACTGCAGTTGGCCCCCCATGGAATAACGCCCGTCTGTTCGCCTTCGGTGAATTCGAAATCGGTGGCCTCCTCTTTGGGTCCAGCGATAAGGACCGTAGCTATTTCATCGTGGTTAATATGGATATCCCGTGCACAGAGCCATTTCTCGGTGGTGAGGTTCATGATTTTGTATTTCGTTTGAAATTGAATCTGGATGTGTTAGCTGTGACTGAATCAGTACAATTGAAAGCCTTACGCGAGGTTCTTGTTTGAGCACCGTCTTCACTTCAACCTGGAAGATGTTGCGAGTGTCAGTGGAATTGAACATATTGGCTCATTTCTGCTCGCTGGCAAGGTGCGCAACGACTGGGTCCATGGTGCTTAGATGGCTGAAATCAAGCGCATGTTTAAGATTGTCATCCAATACGTATTCCTCTGCGTCGGTTTCTGGACTGGTTAGTCGTGATCCAAAATCTCATTTTGTAATTTGCTTTTGTGAGAGTGGTATAGAAGAGAATATCTTGAAAGAGGATGACCTGGAAGAGAAAATATTTGATGAATCGATTGTAGATGCTCTGAGCTACTAGCTTTATATTAAAATAGGAATCTTGCTAGCTCACTCGGCACTGCCACTACGTATGTCATACGCATGGTAGAGTCAATGAATGAATTATTCCATAATAATGAGGCAATTATGCGATAGGTCTTCTTGATGGATGATGCCGACCATCGCCTGATACATACATACCGGATACCTGATGACAAAGGTATCACGACTGATGCCCGAAAGATTTGAAAAATCATCACGCAGATTCGAGTGCTCGGACTATTTCCTCCCTATCATGCGGGATGTAGCATCTATCAGCCATTGTTAATCATGATAGGCTGGTAGCTATCATCTGCCATGATTATCAGCCTTGAGCGTCAACCGTGAGTATCTGCGTTGAATGAACAAGGCTTCACGCGATCTGAACAATATCTTTACCCCAGCTCTCATATAGTCTTACAAAGATAGTTACCCTTCAACCCATCAATTTTTAAAATTTATTTCTGAATCTGGATGAGCAAACAACTAAACGTGTAGGCTATTGTCTTCATGAAACAATAGTTTTGGTTTATTTGTTATGAATTCCATTAAAGCAATGAATACTCGGCTTGTTAAAAGTCCGAACCTAAGGAGTGTCAAGTCCGCACCATAACCATTCACGCAGGGTAAATACCTAGTACTTTTAGGCAATACTCTTGCCGTGTCAGAAAGAACATTTGGGTTGGGATCACGGCGTAGACAGGGGCTTAGCGCTGCAAACTCCATTCTTATGTGGGTGGTTTGTTGGGCTTAATATCCAATCTTCTCCTGGTAGTTGCATTTGGAGATTCAGCCTCGTTAGAATACCCAGTCAATTGCCTTTCCATTACATGGTGGTTCTTAAGGCTATAGAGATACTGAGGGCTCCGTCTTCAAGGCATAGCTGCTGTCTGAGATATTCTACATTCAACCACTTAACGGATCATCTCCACTGCCTTTCGTTGAGGCACCACAAAAGGATGCAAATTCGGTAGTTGAATAGACCATCACCAATTATTTTGCAGAAGTAATCGAAGTTTTTCGACAAAAGGCTGGACTCCAAATCACTTCCACACCCAGTTGCTACTTTAAATTTGAGTTCCTTTTTCCACACTGAAGGCATAGCCATTCAATCTTTCAATTTGTCTCCTATCAACTACTGTCATTGTGTCTGAAAGTGTTAAAACTCAGTCCAGGTCAAGTGATTTTCCCACTGGGTAGAAAGGCTGCAAGGCTCTTACCACCATGGTGAGAGCCTCTTTTAATATAACACCACCCACCCACTTTGATTGGCTTTACTACTGCTTCACCCGGGTGAGACACGTGGCGAAGCACAGAGAGGGGAAGACATAATAAAACCACCATGGTGCCTAAACTCCAGCTTCTACTCTATTCTCCAGTCCTCCCTTCTTTTCATAATCTTTTCACATAAGGCTTGGTAAATATTTTTCAAAATCTACTCTTCTGGAATTTCGGTATTTCTCTACTGTTGCCTAGTTTTTAAATCACCGCGCAATTATGCGACTGTTCACCCCTCATATTCTGAGCCTCTTCGGAGCCGTGACGGCTACTTTCGCTGCCAATACCGGAAAAAGTAACTCGGATGCTGTGCCTTTGACCCGGGAGACATTTTACGATTTTATGGAGAAGCATGAGTTGGTTTTAGCCAATTTCTACGCGCCGTGGTGTCGTTACTCCAGAGCACTGGCCCCTAAGTTCGAGCAAGCAGCTACGGCGCTGAAACATGACAATATTCCCCTGGTTAAGGTGAACTGCGACTATGAGGACGAGCTATGCTCAGATATCGGGATTGGCTGGTATCCTACGTTGAAAGTGTTCCGTGGACCTGAATCGCATGAGCCATATGATGGCAATCAGGAAGCAGACTCGTATGCAACCCACCAACTGAAATAGCACGTTCCAGACATGCTAACCTCGTGGACAGGATTATCTCACATATGATGGATGAGTCGATTTCCACTGGGGCTGGTGCAGGCTTGTATTTGCAATCATATCATTAAACTAGCATCATAGACCCATTAATTCAATACAATGTATCAAGCATTTTGTGACGACTTCGCACTGCGTGCCAGGCTGATGTACTGAGATGTTTTCTTTGTTTGCTCTGTTTGGTTGGTTTGTCGTATCCGTCGCAGAGTTGACGGTGCGTCGCTAGCTTGGGAAGTGGATTATCCTGGCTTCAGCTGACCTGAATGTCTGGGATTAGTGCAGTCCTGCTATCATCACAATGTTCAATAATAAGAGATGGAACTATTCAGACTCCCAACAAGTAATGTGAATCTTTAGCTAACCGCAGTCGAGTGGTTATTTACTATATGACGTTGTGCACCACGATTGATCTTATAGAAGTATTATCCTAACACGAAGAATGTTAAAAGGAGGCCCTCTCGGTCAACACCAAGACTAGCCGTGGGAATGTAATTATCCACTATATTAAAGCCTGATTGAGGAGAGGCCATATAGTAGGATAACTATTTATTTATCTTAGGTAGAGTATTCATAGGGGCTATATAGATAACTACCTATCCTAGTTAATATTGTAGCTAATAACCTTTTTACTTATATAGAGTGAAGGGTCACTTAGTATAAATAACCTTACATATTTAAACTACTAATATTATAGCAGTTATATTACTACACATATTAAAGAATTCTAGCCTTTCTTACCATTTAAATATAATTCAAAGAAAATTAGCACAGTCAAGGTGGGAAAATCAAACACTAAACACTTGTACATTACTATATGGATTCCAAATATGTCCGCATCCCTAAGGCTTGTGAGGCTGGCTATACTGGCGCATACTTCTTGGCCTTTGCTTGGCCCAGCTTAAAAATACTCGACCTGGCCTCTTCCTTATCCAGTCCAGCCCCCTTCAACACGGTACTGTCGAATACATTCCTCGGTCCCACCGCGTTCAAAAGCCAAACCGCAAAGGCATTAGTACCTTTCCAAATGGTGGTACTCTTTCCACTGAGAACTTCGTCTGCAACCTCTCGGGCAAACTGAGCCGGCGCCATCGTCTTTGCAAGGTGAGTGTTTGTTCGCGCCTTTACAGAATCCTCCACGACTTGATAGATACTCTCCGGCCCAAAGTTGATATTGTCCGCCGCCATCAAGGGAGTCGATACCTCTCCCATGTACAGGGTTTTGACTTTGAGGCCAAGCGGCTGCACCTCGAGTCGAAGAGTGTCCGAGTAGGCTGCTACAGCCGCTTTGCTCGCGTTGTAAGCGGAAGCGAATGGATTCGGGACGCGTGCTAGGACAGAGGCGACGTTCACTATTATAGGCGAAAAGGCTGAGCTCACGCTGGCGAGCAGAAGAGGGGTGAAGGCAGTAGTCACTTCCATGAGGCCAAAAACGTTCGTGTTGAAGAGTGCACGCACACAGGCGGGATCTGCCTCGATGGCGGGTGCTTCGTAAACTAGGGTGCCAGCAGTGTTAATTTCCATGCGTAAACCTGCAATTGACTACGCTGGAGATAACCCACGAGTGCCCGCATTGTTGAAGAGTATGTCCAAGGAACCTCCTGTACGACTCGAAATTTCGGCCGCTAGGGCCTTGATACTGCTCGCGTCCGTGACGTCGAGAGTCAGCGTTTCGATATTTTCCCCCTGAAGGTTGGCCAAGGTCTTCAGCGACCTGGCGGTCGCAAAGACGCGGAAGCCCTTGGAAGCAAACTGCAAGGCTAGGGCATTACCGGCACCCCCTTGGGAGCATCTGGTGGGTGAGCGGTTAGGCCAGGGAATATGGAGTGGATAGGTCTCAACGCACCCAGTGATAAGGATTGACCTTTTCTTGGAGTCCGACATATTGGGAGAACTAAGGTTGATTTTGAAAGATATTCACCGCGCAACACCGCCTGTGTATACTGAAGTAGTATAAAGCACGAGTAACCTAAGGTATGATGTAGTAATAAGATCAGCTGTTTATAAAACATATTTCTCAGCAACCTATACTGAGGTGCCTTGACTCCCATGTTAGGGATCCATGGATCCATCCATAGATGATCGGGCGAGTTCCATATAACGTTAACTTTACCCCGTCGGCAAGATAATTGCTCCATCCCCGGCCCAATCCCAGTGGCCCATTTTAAACTTTCCTTGTGATCTGCCTTATCTATACAGGTATATAGTATTAATAATTGACCATTTCCAGAAATACTACGACCTGGGACTCCATACTCTTCACTGTATCATTTGGTCATTTGTCGTGCATCCATATCATGAAGGCTCTTATTTCCAACCGCAGAATTGCCACCAGAATTTTCAACCTCGCCAGTGGCCAGTCAGTTGGTGGCCAGGGGGGAAAGGTCGAGGACGATGTTCCCATTCCTACAATTTCGCCCAACGAGATTTTGGTCAAAGTCAAGGCTGTCGCGTTGAATCCAACGGATTTCAAGCACCTAGATATCGTTTCTCCTCCTCACTCCATCCTCGGCTGCGACTATGCCGGCGTGGTCCAACAGGTCGGGAGCGCCGTCAGGTCTGGATGGACACCCGGTGATCGCGTGGCGGGCGTCGTCCACGGTGGCCTTTTTCCCGACAAGGGCGCTTTCGCCGAGTACTTGAAAGTCGACGCGGATTTGGCTTGGAAGGTTCCGGATGAAATCAGCGACACGGACGCTACCACGTACGGCGTCTCGGCCGTGACTGCCATGTTGACCCTCAATGTCCGTCATGGCATCCCCTTCGTCCACGGTGATCAGGCAACCCATAACGATGAGGTGATCTTCATCTATGCTGGCGCCACCAGCGCTGGGCTATTTCACATCCAGATTGCAACGGCAGCTGGGTATAAAGTTGTTGTGACGGCCTCGCCGCGTTCATTCGACCTTGTCAAGGCGTACGGCGCCACTGCAGTGTTTGACTACAGGTCGGCAACCGTTGCAGCAGATGTCGTCAAGGAGTATCCGAAGATCTCGAAGGCCGTCGATTGTTTCTCCGAAGGAAAATCTACTTCCGTATGTGCAGAAGTACTGAAGAACACCGGCGGTACGGTGGTAACGCTATTGCCTAACGGCAAGTCAAGCATACCGGGCGTGTCGTACGAGCTGGTGATGGCGTATACGATGTTTGGTCACCCTTTTCAGTGGTTACCCCCAGTTGGCCCAAAGTTCGAGGCCAAACCAGCCGATCGCGAAGCTCTTGTCCGCTTTTACAGTGTCCTTCCAACAATCACACACATCTTAAAACCGATTCCTACTGTCAAGGAAAAGGATTGGTTTAAAGGTATTCTAGATGGATTGAACAAGTTACGAGCAGGCACTGTAGTCGGGGGCAAGTTAGTAGTGGAATTTCCAGCTTAGTATACCGCTGTATTATGCGAAGGACTATGAATCAAACTCGAGATGACTTAGTGCAACTATAAGAGGGAGCTTGACAGTGCATGGTTCAATTCCTATGGGCATAAGAACGTTCCGATTTTGGCTAGAACGATTCTCGCGCCAGATACAATATAGCTTCATGATGAGCTTAACCGCTACTGCAAACGTTATGAGGTTCGAACACTACAGAAAACAAAGTATATGCCGAATCACTGTAGTAGGCTCGAAGCCTCTAAGGCCATTCGTAGTGTCTTTTCGCGGAATCTAAAGTGGGCTCCCTTCTAAAGGTGGTAGATCAAGATTCTTACCATCGCCCTTGCTGATTTCTACGGCCCCTAAATCGATATCGTGTACTAGGCGCATCTAAAGTGGGATCCCGGTAAAACTGTTAGCTTATATACACTCTCTTCTATGGGGTTGAACGTCTTTTTTTATATAGACGAAGGAGGTAATCAACCAAGTAATTGTTTACTTACGTTGATAGCACATTGACCATCTCTGAATTTTGGATTCACGGACTTGTTGTAAACATTGGCACCACAAGTTCCACAAAAAAATATCCGTATAGTATGCGAGCCGAACCGATATTCCTATATCACATTGGTCAATGATCCTACCGATTCCTTAGGGTGATTTATACCTTAAGCGAGTTTATCCCTTGGTGAATCTCTATGTCATCCACAAACGCAAGTAGACTGCCCGCAATGTGACAATAGCTACCTTAAATGGGCTTTGTTTAGTCAATTGCATGATATAACTGATTGGTAGGACAGGAGAATATAAAAGTTATAGGGGCCATTATGCATTCGTGTACATACAGTTGCACGAGACTACCGTCAATTGCGACAGCGGAGACGGTAGTTTTGCAGAGAAACGCACAGCCTTGCAATGGCAACTTCCCTCATAGGGAACTTCTGTAAAATGTTCCATAGAACCCTGACGGATCTTTAGATGTAGATATTGGCAAAATCTCAATTTCTTCGTGAAAGGTCTCTCGTATTGGAGTTGGTAGTGCTAGAGCAAGGCCTATATTATACAGTCAAACCTCAGAGCTGTTTAATTGAGAACCAATTATAACCGATAGGTCTAACATTGTTGGGGAGTGTTGTGCAACGCCCATCGAGACTGACGGGATTCGGCTTGATTGATAGACCGACTCAGCGATAGTTTATGGACTGACAAATTAGACCCGGTCTGAAGTACACTAAGTACCACAAAGCCTTGGCTTAAAAGGGTTGATCATCTGTCAAGTTATGGCCGAATGGAATGATGAGTGATCATCCCGAGCCGAGGTTGCATAGGTCAACTCAAATAGCATAGATGGTTAGTCACAGCTCACCAATGGAACTACACTTACACTATACTTTCCTATCACTTATTTTCATTCGTTTTCTAGGGCCCAACTGATATGGGTTCCCAGGCTCGAGCAAAGTGCCTCTAGAATCGACTAGAGTCCGTAGGGCTAGTGTACGTGCAGGAAAAAGAGACATGGATCACCTTAGATCCTGGTATTACTACTGGTTGCTGTGCAGGTCTCGCGTATCCGTAGATGATGTCTGCAACGTGGAAACCATCCGAGAACGACTGCTATTCATATCCCAACAAAATGGTAGTATCATAGCTCATACGGTTTGTGATTGTGCTATATTGATTTCCCCAACATAATCAAAAAAAGAAAAAAATAGATCGTGCATCCTTCGATATGATTTGATATACCTGTGTTTCGTATGAGATCCAACAAATCTCAATCCTTCCTAAATAGTCAACGTTAATCCAGTTAATAACTCAGTATATCTATAGGGCTCTTTACCCTAGGGTAATATTGAATAGCAAAATTAAATATAACTGATTTTTCTTCCTATCTTACCGAATATCTATTAAGCTCTTTTATTATTATAAAATAGTGTAGATTAGTATAACTAGATAGTATAGTAATTAGAAATGTACTGCATTTTAAGGGATAAACTACCCCAATATTGTAAACCAGTCAGCTGAACCAATGCGTGACGTCATCACAAAGAATTCCAGCCTTTGTCACTGTTTAATTAAAATTTTATATCCATAGATGTAGCTTAGAATACAGTTCTTATTTATCTATCCACCTCACTTTCGTCCTCTGCATCTATATTCTCTGGCCGCATGGGTTAATCATTAATAATGCCACTGGTGTGAGGGGTTTAGACCATGGTCTGGCATAGGGAGCTTAGGTTAAAACAGAAACATTAAATGCCTAACAACAACTTATAGTTATATTTCAGTCAAGATTTCATGCATAGCTCTTCATCCTGCTACTGTAGTAATATTCCTTGAGATTATTCGCTTATCACCACAGGAAGACATAAATTAGATCCGTTGCCAGTATAATCTGTCATTTTACTTTCCATTTCTATAACTGGACTTGGTAGTAAGATTATTGATGTAAGATAAGCATTGCCTGATTACTGTTCATCCCACGAATCATTCACTCAGCACGATCCTATATATTTACATACTTTTTAGTAATCGGCCTTATCTCATAACAGTTATTGTGTACTGGTTAGACGTTGGAGATACTGTAACCGTCTCCGTTTATGTGACCCCGGAGTCCCATCTCATTCGACAGTTTAACCGTCCTCCCACTACTGTAGGTTACACAGAGTATGCTAAGCTCACGCTCACCCAGACTAAAACACAGTAAGCTCAGGATCTTGATAATCGCCGTTTCAGATCGCGTGGGGTCCAGATATAAAAAAAGCATGGGGCGAAATTAAGGGTGAGAGTGGACGTGGGATCTTACATCCCATCCGCCAATCTGACATGAGACAGCAGTATTTAAGAAATGCCCAGCCAACCTAATTGCACTTTAGCTACCACTGAATAACAGCACACCATTCATCACAATATGTCGCGATTGATCGAATACGAACCCAACACCCGCACCAAGCCCATGCGCGTCTTGTGCATGGGTATGGCCAGGACGGGAACAAACTGTATGCTTCATGAATACTATCTTTGACACGATGCTAATGTAATACAGCAATGCAGATTGCCCTCCGGCAACTTGGGCTGAACCCTTACCACGGCTCGGAATGCTTCAACAACCCCCCTCGAGACTTTAACCTCTGGATCGAAGCAATGCAATGCAACTTCTTCAATGACGGAACTAAAAAGCGGTACGGCCGAGAAGAATTCGACCGCCTCATGGGCTCCTACGACGCCTGTCTCGACATCCCCGCTTGCATCTTCTGGGAAGATCTACACCGCGCGTACCCTGATGCCAAGGTCATCGTGACAACCCGCGACGTCGACTCATGGCTGAAGTCAGTAAACGCGACAGTTTTCAAGTTCATTCAGATGCCGATCTTCAAGGTGTGGCAGTTTATCGATTATAGCAAGATCGGGCCACTCTTCCGGATGTCGGAAATGGTGTGGAAGGTGTTCTGTGGTGGGTGTTATGAGGATGAAGTTTGTCGAAAGGCGTATCTGGAGCATCATGAGAAGATACGAAAGACGATTCCCAAGGAGCAGCTGCTGGAGTTCCGAATAGGCAAGGATGGATGGAAGGAGCTGTGTGAGTTTCTGGGTGAGCCGGTGCCACAGGAAAAGTGGCCAAAGGCGTATCCTACCGCAGAGTTCCAGGAGCATATTGATATGGGTGCAAAAGAGGCAAAGAGGAAGATTGGACGATGGATGGGGATAGGAGCTATGGTGGGTGCTGTTGGGTTGTTGGTGCAATATTCTCATGCTTTCCGCGTGGGCAACTGATGTATATGTATTATTCTTTCTTGTTTGTTATACTAGCGATTGTTTCTAAATACAGCACGTCATTTTCTACTGAAGATATCTTCCAAAATACTCCACCAGCTTAGGTCCTGATTCTGTCAGATCATCGTAAAGATCGAAATGGTTCTTGCCCTGCACTGTAAACAGCTCCTTGGGCTCCTTCGCGGCTTCAACAGCCGTACGACTGTAATGCAGCGTCTGTGCTTCACTTCCCACAATCATAAGCAGCGGCCGGGGCGAGATGAGATGCTGAAAGTTGAACGAATCATAGCTGACCATGAGGTCGTAGCTGGAGACAGGAACCTTTTGGTCTGAGCGGTCGTGGTGTCCTCGCTTTGTACCGTAGTACGCACCGGCGTCTTTGAAGAATGGGTCTGCATCGGCAGGGAGTTTCGAAGGATCAGTTGGGAACATGGCAGGTACGTCTACGTGAGGCGTATTGGACTGGGTATTCCTCCATTGACCGGCAAACTTCAGAGCACCGGCGATTGCATCTGGGTTCTCCTTGAGATGCTCATGCACGCCTCCGTTGCGAGTCATGCGACCGACACAGGCAGCACTAACGGTAGCCAGCGCCTTGATGCGAGAGTCGGATTGCGCCGCATACGATGTATAACCACCCGAAGCACAAATCCCAACAACACCAATTCGCTCCGGGTCAACCTTCCCCTTCAGCGTGGTGAGGTATGTGACGGCCGCTTTGATGTCTTCCACGCGCTGGTGGGGGTCTTCCAGCCCGCGGGGTTCACCAGTGCTCTGACCTTGGTAGCCGGCGTCAAAGGCGAGGGCGTAGAAACCGGCATTGGCTAGAGCTTTAGCGTAGTCGGTGGAGGTTTGTTCTTTCACACCCGTCATGGGATGGCTGACCACGACGGCGGCACCTTTGCGATCAGGAGAGCCAGCGGTGGGGGCGTAGAGGTCGCCGCTGATGGTGAGGGCGAAGGAGGGAAATGTAACACTGGTCGGTGCGGACATATTGATTGATTCGGTATGAAATGTGAGATGGATGAATTGTTGATGTGAATGATGGGTTGAAGCTGTCTTAAATGTTGGTCTGAAATGGAGAGTGATGATGTCATCATGCCCGAAAAGCTTCACTTTCTCCGAAAAAATTCGGGTCATCGGTATGTGAGGATATCGGAGTTAGAGATATCTCCATTCAAACGGACATAGTGTTTATGTACTGCATGTTCTCAATTAATAGCGGTCATCAGGGCTATTATCTATCTAATGTACATATCGCCCAGTATTCAACATTATGTTTACGATACCATGATCATACAGCGCATTCGAATACATCACGGAGAACTCTGTGGAGGTGCATGTATATCCCAGCATGAAAGGAATTCCGGATTCCCACCTTCATGCTCTGTCTCATCTCCTTCCTTGGCATAAGAAAAGTCTTCATACTGTTCTTCATTTTCCCCATCCCCTTCGTTTTCCTCTTTCTCTTCGTCATAGTCCCCTTCTCCTGAAAGTAAATCCAACACGTCCCCCAACCGCTCAAAGATGCAATAGTCATTCGCCAGACCCAGCAGCTCCTCCAGTTTGGGCCAAAGCGCTTCTTCGTCCTGGTTGTCGTTCACAATGTCGTCTCTCTCCTGTATTGTCATGGCAGACACAATCTCCCACATACCATCTTCAAGACACGATTCCCCTTGAAACTCTTGCTGAACTTCATGGCCCAGCGTATCGGTTGCCGAAAGAGCGATTGTCTTGCCGATCTTGCGCAGCACGGAAAGCCCATTATATCGTGTTTGGGAATTGGCATTGGAACCACAGCTCGCGACGATCGTATCGATGGCAGATGCGATTTCGCCAACAACTTCCCCAGCAATATCGTATTGTTTTGAGCCGGTCATGCTGGAATATTTGATGTTGATTTTTCTCCAGATTGCCTTGGAATAGAAATCGAAGTTGATGATGCGACGCCGCTCTTTTTCGCGGATTTCCCTGATGGCAGCAGTTACCATCAGGGCCACGTCTGGATGAGCTTGTGTGGCTTGGTGAACGATACTGGCGAGTTTCTCGCGGTCTAGCTGATCAATGTATTGGCGCATAATCTCCAAATTGAAGGCGGGTGCTGGCGCATCTTGACGGATGTGTGCGTCGCCAGCGACATTGGCTCGTGCTTGTTTCGCAATGTGCCCTTCAGACATGGCGAAGGGCGTTTTTCTTTTCTTGTAGATTGTTGTTTATCTTGAAGATGTGAATCTGGGGGAAGTCGGGAGATCTGCGGGTTGTTGATCAGTCGCGTCCCGCGTGGGTGGGCCATGTCAACGTGTCGAGATTATAGATGCGCGACGTGTGTATAGAATTAATTCATTTTTGACCAAGCACAGAGGTATAGAAATAAAAAGATCTAACCTGCAGCGTAGAGTTACTAGAAAAGCTGCCATTGTCATTTTGTTCGGCACAACAGCATATATATAACTGTCGGAGTAGATGCCTTTAGAGACTTAAATGAACGATACACCCTTTCATTTACCATGCTGGATCTCTTTATCCAATAAATACAGGGAATGTCCAACTTTATGATCAAGCACGAATGCCCACGTTTCTTTCAACCATGAGCTTAATGGCGCCAAGCTAGTTTCTTCGACATCACAGTCAAAGTTGACAACCTGGCGGCGTTTGTTCTTGTGAATGTCATTGGAAGCGGCCAGGTCGATGGATTCTTCATCCTTTCCCAGGGCAATGCTCAAGAATGCGTTTATATCTTCGCGTGGGACTATATTGATGTGAAGTCGAAGTATAATAACTCCTGGAAAATAGAAGGGTGATATATAGCAAGGATAGAACGCATTCAATTTGTATATTAAAAAAGTCAAGTAGAGGTCACAGTGACGGGCAATTCAAACGCGATTGTCGGTGTTGAGATCCTCCCTTTCGGAGACTGAACTGAAAGACATAGCCTCAGAGTATAAAAGCGAGATATGAGACATGAGTCAAAGGTCTGACTAAAGTGTTTGCCCCTTGGCAGTAGAACTGGCACCGTGATAGAGGCAATGTAGTAGACTCTTTCTATTTCTTTACCGACTAGACCAGCAGGAGAGTGCTTCGCCCACTCATTGGACTGCAAGGAGAATGACGAAAGGGCAATTTCTTCAGTGGATAGATAGTGATGCTCTTCATCACAGCCCAGAGAAACATTGCCAGTCCACGGAAGTGACTTCATGTTAGTCAACACATTGAGACTTGTCGATAGTTTGGCCAGGTGAGGAGGGTCCTCGCTCTCCATAGGGTCGTATCGCAGGTGAATGGTAGTAACCGTGCCTTTGTCACGTTCCATGTCATTCTCAGAATCAATTAGGACTCTCTTTGGCTGTGAGGCAGTCACAGACAGCCGGTCAAGGTGGTGTTTATCGAGTCCGTTACCGGCAAGCTCTGGCTGCAGGAGGTGATCATAATCTGACTTTGAGTCTAATATCCCTGGAGAAGTTGGAATGACATGTACCATCTTAGACGCATCAACCAAAGTCCTCGGAGCCTTGGTTGATCGCAATGAGCCCTTCGACACGCGAACACGTATTTGATATGATATCTGACAAGGCTCGGATGAAAGGCTCCTTAAGATTGAATCGACCTTCCCCGAATCCACGCTTCCAAAAGTCGGAGGAAGCTTAGTGTGCTCCTTCTCGATGCAGTCCCAATGTCTTCCATGAAAACATGCTTGGGGAAGCAGGAATTCGGGAACCACAAAGGTGAATGGATATTTGTATATCTTGCCTGCTTTCAGCAGAAGAGAACCGGGGTGGTCGTCATGTTCGATTGGTTGGCGGAGTGTCAAGAAAGTATGGGTTGTGTTTCTTCGACCGGAGAGTCTGGTTGCCCGTTCGAGGGAGGTTTCGGATGTTCCTGATATAGGACTGTTAGTATTGTATTGGAGAAGGAAATAACGCGCCTCACCCTCGAAGGTTATGTCGATGTTGTCACACAAGGTGTCACGGTCAACGCAGATGATGGCCGTTCCATTCACTCTATCCAGCGTGGTATAGACAGCGGATGAAGGCCCTTTTTGCTCCTCTAGCGTGATTACTACTTTTGGGCGCGTAGCCAGCAGCCTGAGGTGACTGGCAGTATGCAGACTCATGTGTGCTGATATAGATGTGTAGATGTTGATTGAATATGACAGGGGAAGATAAGAAAGAGCAGGGGTTTATTAAATGATCCATTGGTGCTGGGCCAGAAATAGGCAACGAATTCGTCATTCTAACCGAATATAATAGGCCTCATGTCTGGGCCAGAAAGCCGACCGCAAATGATTACTTATTGCAGGCAAGCTTGAAACTTACCGCTGGAGCTTGTTACTCTATCTGGTGTGCAAAAGCTATGGAAGAATATAACTGGCTGCCCAAGAATAAACGTTGCCTCTGAATTTATAGCCATGGATGGGCAGAGTGGGTCCAGTACAAAAGGTACTATTCCCGATTGGGTGTGCGGAAACGATGACAGAATGGATGGAGGCAAATGAAGGTTTAATTCACAAGTATTTCTTTGCTATGTCCAGGTCACGGGATGTCTACGCGTTCGATCGACTTTGAGGTCAAACACATCCAGGCGCTGGTAACCACCCACCACATCGTGATACTGCTTCCCTTCAATGCAATCTTCAACATTGATATCTGCATACAATATGCCCTCAGTATGCTGAAGAAGATCGGTAGCCTGCTGCTCTCCCGTTTCATAATTCACTGTAAACGCAGGCAACTGCCGTCCAGTCGGATCCAAGAACATTGTTGCGCCGCGTTGCGATTGCTCCATTGTGTGACGTAGAGTTGATGATTTGGATGCAATGGCTTCGATAGCATCATTTCCTAAAGCTCCTGCGCATAAAACTCCAAAACATTTCCCCTCGAAGCAATGAGCAGCAGCCCGGATTTTATTTGCCGCAACGTTATCGTAGTTGTCGTTGCCTGACGATTCATTTGCATGTTCACCTTCTCTAGATTGCGACAGTCTCGTGGGCCAGATAGCCGGCCAAGTAGAGATATGAATTTGCTCTCCCTGCGCCATAAGCGCATATCTGGCCAGGGGGTTCGTATTCTCGCCACAGATGAGATTCCCAATCTTGGCTATCCCCGTATCGACAACGTTCAACCCGTATCCATCACCAGGTGCCCAGACCAATTTTTCGAAAAATGTCGGCATTAGCTTTCTATGATGCACGAGGACCTCCCCGTCACTTCCAATGATGAGGTTGGAATTGAATAATGTGGCACTGCTGCATCGGACTTTTTCGGATATGCCGATGCTGATGATGATATTGTGCTTTTGCGCTGCGTTGCGGAGGGCATTTACTTCATCTCCATCGGCGTAGATGGATTCAATAGCCATTTGCTTGAACAAATCATGATTTTCAGCGGGCGATCGAATGGCGCTCCAGATTGGGAATGCCGGGATGAATGATTCGGGAAAGACGATTAGATTTGCCTTGGCCTTTGCTGCCTCTTCAATCAAGGAGATGGCCTTTTTGGTGGTGTCTTTGGCTGAGAGAAAGACGGGCGAGACATGGCAGGCGGCGATGCGGACGCTTGGCATGGTCATCTATGGTTCCTAGTGTGCCTCAATGAATGCAAGTTGATACTTTTGATGAATGCCAGCTTGACAGTCGTACTTGAACTGGGTATGATAATGACATGGTAACCCCGCATCGGGTCGGCTGTAGCGGATATCGCGGGGTTTAGCTGATGTTTGCCGATTGTTGTACGTTGATTTAAGGATGGAACTGTCAGTTCGTAGGGCTTAGGGTAGGATGGTCTGGACGAATGGAATGGGGTACCAGGTATATATCCTTGTCAGCCTGCACAATCTCATCTGTATTGGGACTATTTCCTAATTATGTCAAGCCTCGTACCAAAAATTCTGTATTCTATTCCCAGTAACTGGCCTAAGCCTTTTATCTATTGGCCATGGTCTCCCAGTCTAATAAAGACAATATCTACTTACGCCACCTGGTTTTTCACATCCCCAATACACCACCGTTCGACCGTCTCCTTCACACCCGCCTGTAGATTCTCCAACGTCTCCTCTGCAAACCACGCAAGATGAGGACTCAACACCAGATTCAACCCATCCACCTCCAACAAAGGCGACCCGCCTCTGCCAACAGGCTCATTCGCGTAAACATCCATCCCCGCCCCAAAGATCTCACCCTGTTGCAAGGCACTAACCAAGGCTTCTTCATCCACTATCCCCCCGCGACCAACGTTGATCAGCACAGCCTGGCACGGCATCATCCGCAGCTCCTCGGCTGATATCAGGTTGACCGTCTCCGGCGTCCGCGGTAGGCAGAGTATCAACACGGTTGACCGTCGAAGCGCATCTTCAAAGGAAACCCGATCTGCTCGTGGCGTTTGCCCTCGACGCTCGGCTACAATCACCTTCATCCCTAGACTCCTCACTAACGTTTGGATTCGTTTACCCAGTGCTCCATACCCGATTATCCCGACTGTCTCCTGGCTGCATAGTAACGGGCCCTTCTCATCGGCTGTCCGCAGCCGTGGATGTAGAGACCCATTCGCTTTCCACACCGTTTCGCCCTTTGCAGGAACAGTCGTCATGGTATTGGTCAGACCAACTAGATTCCTCCGTGTCGCAAAGTACAATCCCAACGCGTGCTCACTGACGCTATCGATATTCGTTCCAGGACAATTGCAGACTGTGATTCCGCGGGCTATGGCAGCTTCTTTGTCGACACAATCTGTTCCCGACGCCATCACCACGATTAAGCGGAGGCGTGGGGTTTTTTCAACGCTCAGCATCTCGGCAGAGAGCCGGATTGTGGTTGTTAAGATGATCGTGGCATCTTTAACCCGCGCGCTGAGCTCTGGGGGCGTCGTCCAGTTGTGGATGGATATGGTGTATGGAGCTGGGAGGTTGAAGTCGGGGATTGGGCAGTGGACGGCCTCGATGGCGGCAATGTGGTGGGTTGTTCCTTTTGACATTGTATTGTATGGGTGGTAGGATTGTCTCGTTTGGATCCTGATTTACTGGCTACGAATATAAATCAATTATATTGCTCCGTTGATAAGCGAGATGTCAGCTATACTGCGAAGAGACTTGCCGAGCAGACAGACATCAATTCGGGCTACAGGGACCGAACTCCACTTAATGTCACCGCAAGGGCGTGCTCGTCTCAGAGTCTTCTCAAGTTTTGGTATCTATGGATGCTCATGAATTTGTGCCATGGCTGTTTTCAAGTTTATTCCACTACGATGGTATATTCCTATACAAAACTCGCCTACACTGTAATGCGCCCCTCACTAATCAGCACCGAGTCACAGCGCAGCATAACCTCGGTAACCTTTTCGCCATCCTCACTCCGAACAATTAATAACGTAGATATCATTCGTCCTCCCCATCTCAATGCCTTGCACGATATGATAATGAGAAGGCCCACTTCCCTGCCCCTTCCCTTCTCTCAGTGCCAGCAAGCGCGCAAGGGCACTGAACGCACTGCCAGTTCCGGCATTCTCCCACGAGACAAAAATACTTGTCCGAAGCTGTCTGTACCCACTCTTATCCGTTCCAAGATCAACAAACTACTTTGTGCCCGTAGGGCCGCAGTTCCACCCCTCGCCCATAATCCCGACGTTCCAGCAGTCTTCAAGTAGTCCGGAGGAAGTACTCGTCAAGGAATCAATGCCCGCTAGCTCAGCGAGAACAAAAGATAGCCCCTTGACGAGTGACATGATCGGAGCGGTCCCCATTCACCACCAGGTTGGATCCAACAAGCGTCTGGTGTACGTGACATTCGAATGGGATTGAAGCGCTCACAAGACCAGATGCCGCGTCCTGCGAAACGGGGATAGGGACTGCTTTAGTCACCAGTTCTTGTAGTGCAGAGCCGCCGGCGTAGTTCCGCAAAACATACGCTGCTGTCCCGATCGTTGGATGTCCGGCCAAAGGAACCTCGCATTTCGGTGTGAATGTGTCAATTGCGCGGGATTTGATAGCCTGGAAGCTGATTTCCGGATCGTGGAGGAAAATCGTTTCGGAAAGATTGAACTTGATGGCGATCTTTTGCTTGATGGTCTGCGTGATGGTGCTCCGGTTCTTGGCCGGGACAAAGACGATGGCGAGTGGGTTGCCCAGGAATCTGGTGTTGAAGACATCTACTACGACGTAGTTGAGGAACATGGTGAAGCAGTAAATTCTAGTAGATAACTGCCGGCTTCTTTATATTCTTCAATATTCAAATCTTCGGGTCGGCTTGATGCATAGAACTCGTATTCCGGTCGATGAATCATTCGGACAATGTGAGTGTTGTTATTGAACATAGCACCAGCATTCACAACGTTATTCGGTGCCCTGGCATGGCTTCTAGTGATATGAGGAGCATATTTCACAAAGTGGGTTTTCATTTCCTGATTGTAACATCATGCAAACGTTCATTCTTCTAATATTGCAGCCGGGATTACCCCATTCCCGCTCTTGCGAAACCAGTGCAGGTCTATAGAAAAGCACAACATGCTCAGCGAGCCACTTACTGAGCCACACTACCTTTACGGGCTGTACTTGAACTTCAGCTTGCTGCCAAAGGAGTAGTGCAAGGGCCCAATACCACCCTCGAACTTAGAGTGAGTCTTGGCCTTGGTGGCTTTGGAGTGACCCTTGCTCTTAGAGCTGGGGGTAAAGATATCTTGCGACTTGGCAGAAGAAGGAAACCAGGCACCCTCAGCATAGCAGGCATCCATCTCCTCCTTGGTGCTGAGGAGCTCGCAGAGAGTCACCTTGACCTTGGGGTGGCTGTCGGCCTGCACCATGTATCCGCCCTCGGAGATGCAGCGAGAAATCTCCTGCTCACTGCCCATCATTCCACAGTAATCCTCAGCACCAGCGTTCTGGGTATCCAGGGCTGCGTCAGCAGCGGCAATCCAGCCACCGTACTTGTAACAGTCCTTCTTGTTGGAAACAAGCTCGCAGACCTCAGCCTTCATGGCCTTGTGGTGGTCAGCGTGAAGCTTGAGTCCGCCTTCCTCGAGGCAGCGAGTTTGCTCCTGGGTGGTAGGAAGCTTCTCACAGTGCACCTTGACATCCAACACATCCTTAGGTTTGTCCGCGTTGTGCTTTGCGCTAGAAGCAGCCCAGCCACCGTGGGCGTAGCAGGCTTCTGTATCAGAGTCGGCGTCACAGAACTGAGCCTTGATTTGCTCGTGGCTATCAGCGTAAACCATGATTCCTCCTTCCTTCAGACAGCGGTTTTGCTCTTGAGTGGTAGGAAGACCTTCACAGTCGACTTCGGCACTCAGCTTCTTATCAGTAGCGGTGTAGATGGAGTCGGATGCGCCATCATGTTTACCCAGGTATTGCTAAAGAGCGCAACCATTAGCTCTTCAATTTCAGAAACGCAGGTCGCCGTGGAAGATACGCACAGTAACAGAATCCAAGAGTTTGGCCAGAGAGTAGACATCCTGGGAAGTAGCCTCGTCGCCCAAGGGCATCTGCTGGGGCAGAGCAGAAGCCGCCCCCGCGAGGAGAAGAGGCGCAATAGCAAGGTTGTTGAAATGCATCTTGGCCTGGATCAAGCAAAAATGGAATGAAGGGGACAACCGCCTGGGGTGCAGATGACCTTAAGTGTTAGCGACACCAACTCAGCTGCGATCCACATGGCTTGTAATGGGGAAAGTCTATCCCAGCTGTGGTGGACACACTAAGTAAAGGTGGGGATGGAAGCGAATCAAATGGAATGGTCGGAACCGCTCACACGGCCCAGATCGGGAAGTTCGGCATGTTCCACGGTTCCCAGATCTCAATACTTGCAACACTACACTTGAGATAGAAGAGTGCACTAAGACGAGGATAACTGAATGGGCAACTTGAGTTCATACATTTAGCCGAGTTACAACACTGGCTTCTTCCCGTTTCCGACTTTGCGTCATCTTTGCTGATCTCTCCTCAGCTGCGGCTGAGATGCGTAACTGTGGACTATGACAATGTATCCCACTGGGTGGTATCGAGAGCTGAAAATGACGATCTCATAATAATCTTCGCTAAACCTGCTGGGCCACCACTGCTTGTGCGATGATTGAGAAGCTGTCCGGGGTACTGTCTGCTTCGCCAAACCCATATATCCTTAGATTGATAAGTATTGAAAGCAGTTCATTGCCAGCGTGTGACAGTTTAAATCAAAAAGTGCAATATGTATATGTTACTCGTAAAAATTGCATAGTACGAAGTGACCAGAAACACCTCGTTCCTGATTCCGATATTCCGGACACGATTCAGAGATGTGGAGCTCAGCTGAAGGAGGTCCACTCTACATGAATGTGACCGTGGATCTCCTCTCAAGTGTACTGTCTGATTGGGAGTAGTCTCCCCAACACACCTACTATCGATCGGCACTCTCGCCAGCACCCCGACTACGGAGCCAATCGAGACTTATAAAGCCATCCTGTCTCTGCTTGACAGAGACTTCATAGTGCCTTTCACTAAATTTCCCCTCCAGACATCATACAAGATGAAGCTCACATCCTTGACTGTTTTGGTCGCGCTTGCCTTCGCTGGATCTGCTCATGGCTGGGACTGGTGTGCCGGTGAGACTTATGTAAGTTCCTTTTGACTGACTACTGATGCTTTTCTTCTCTTTTTTTTTGTTGTCTTTTCTTCCATGGTCATGACTGATTTATTTTTATTAGTGCAATGAGGACGAGGACTGCGTTTCTGACTGTTGGGATTATGGGTCACCCGTATGATTATTCCTGCTTAATTCCAAACCAAAAAGCAAGTGCTGAAATTGTCATTATAGGGTAAAAACATAGGATGCGGCAGTGGATGGTATCCTCACACCTGCTGGTATGACCGTGTGAGTTCAGTCTATATGTCCTATCCTCATGGTTTTAAACACTGACAAAAGACAGGGTTTTTAATAAAACTTGATGCCTTACATAGGTGGATTATTAGGAGTAAATACCAATGAATTATACGGTCCCAATCTTCAGATAGATCTACAATAAGATATGTATCTGTTTCATTATGATAGAACCAGTGCTATAGTATTCTCGAGGTTACTTCCACTCAGGCCAGGCATTGGATAATTGATCTGCATTGTATGAATTCATTATTGGTCCTGCATAGTACCAGCTAGCGACAGTAATATTTCACCAAGTGATCGGAGTTGCATGGATCCACCAAAAATGGCATCGTGGGTCCTATTTCAGTCTCGACTCAGATGCATATGTCTGGCTTTTGCAGATATATCCTATTGAATACTATCGAGAGCAGCACGATCATGCTCTTTCCAATAATACTATATAAATCTATTTCAATATTATTGTAGATTAATCAATGCCGAATGCTGATCCATACGCGTCAAGAAGCGGCCTGAACGCGCCTCAAGATTGTGCAGGTGACTGATAGTAAGGTATGGACTTTCTTGCTCCCAAAGCAATGGCAAGCCTCTGCTTATCTGTTCTTCATATAGCTATATGGGGTTTTCTGTGGCACAAATGGTATGCGTATGGCTGATGGCAGGACAACGTAAGTGGATCTATTCTATCGTTGTGGAATTTGGATCTTGATGGAAATCAAATTTGTCGGCTTGGCTTGAAGGATGGAAGGCTGAGTATTTGTATACATGGATTGGGTGTGAGTGTTAATTAATTATCAGTTTCTAATCTTGAGAGATCTACAATAACATATTTCTCTCTATTATCCAGATCATAAGCGATGCTATAGCATCATTACTTCCTCTCAGGCCAGGCATTAAACAGTCCTTCGGAGACGGTGACATCGCTAACAGTCGCCTTCTCAGCTCCGTCGTGGAAGAAGCTGATGTTGGTCGAGTTGGTGTACCACGATCTATGGTTGTTAGCTACGTCCAAGTCAAATGAAGAAGAAACTTACCTTGCCCAAGTACTCAATGCAAAGCGTCCATTTGCATACACCTCGAGAACACCATTGTCCACCACGATGGTGAGAGCCAGAGTCTCAATCTTCTCTACGCCGTCCTGGGCAATGTCGAACAGACGAAGACGACCAGCCTCGTTGGCGGCGGTGATACCCTCGGTTGTCTTGGATGCAGCGCTGGTGTTGGTACGGTCGACGATGATGGACTCGTTGGAGAATTGGTAATAGATGTTGGTGTTTTCGAGACCGGAAGAAAGAATCTGGAAGCCGGTCTTCACGTCCGAGGTACGGGCGGAGCTGGGGAAGCTGATGTTGGCTGTGAGCATGAAGTACTTGCTCTCAGGGGATTGCTTGAAAGGAATGAGGCCGGAGGAGTTGAGGGTACGGCCGGATTCCACGCGGGATGTGCCAGAAGCGAGTGCCTTGCGAGTCTCTCTGGCGATGTTGATGCCCATGGTCTTGAGCTCGACGTGGCCGGAGTCAGCGCTGGCAACGCGCCAGGAAGAGCCAGTCTCGCGGGCGAGGGCATTGTCGACGACGTTGGAGATGGTCTGGACGTTGAGTTCACGGGGGAACAGCAGAGTACCGGTCCAGTTTTGCTGGGCGGTTGGGAAGGTCTTTGCCTGCTCGTACTCGTCGCCGGTCAACCAGACGTAGGAGATGAAACGGTCTGGGGCACCGCTCTTGCTGGCAGCCTTGGAGCTGGCAGGGAGGATCTTTCCAGCTGCTGCGTAGCCCGACAGACCCCAGTCCAGCACACCAGCCATGGTGGGAGTGAAGGCGATGCTGCCATTGTTGGAGACATCTCCAGCAACCCACAACATGTCATGGATGGAGGTGACCTGAGGAGTAACAGGAGCAAGAGAACCCTCAGTACCGAGAGTAACAAAGATCTCTCCGTCGAGGTTGTATCCCTCACCGTCAAGGGAGAAGATGTTTCCAACCTCAAAGTTGAATCCCCAGCCTCCAGCCCAGTCACCGTTACCCCAGGTGGTGTTGGTGGGCTCGTGCCACCACTGTCCAAGGTACTCCCAGTACTGGAAGTCAGAGTCATACTGGCGGTAGAGGAACTGACTAGGACCAGATTCGTGCACACCACCGGAGATGGCAGTGTACCAAGTACCCTTGGTGCTGTTGGAGGCAGCATCCAGCTTGGGGTTCTGGAAGACATAGGGGTCACGGAAGGCAGTGACATTCACGGCGAAGGGAGGGTTGGGGATGACGGGGCCTTGCTGGAGTTTGGTGAAGTTGCGGCCGCCATCATACGAGACAGCGAGGGATTGGGTCTCACTTCCTCTGGTGTATGGGATGGACCAGTGGATGGGGAGGTAGGAGACGGAGGTGTAAAGGAGGGTTGGGTTGCCCCCGATACCGTTGGGAATGACAGAGCCATCGAAGACAGCGAGAGGGTCGTTCTTATCGCCCGCGACGATGGAGGGAGCACCGCCTTCTCTCAAGTCGCGATAGGTTGCGAGGTCATCGGTAGTAGCACCGGCGATGCCCTCGTGAAGGAATCCGATATGGAATGTGCCTGTCTTGGGATCGGTGTATTGCATGCACGGGTCACCGATCTTGCCAGACGGGGGGAGAACATGAGCTTTGGGTCTCCATGTATCGAACAGAGTGCCATTATCCAAAGTGGACAGATTAGGGGGAGCAGCATTATAATCCACCGACGCAGCACGGGGATAAACAGCAGCAGCAGCCTGAGTGGCGCCGACAACGGCAGCGGCAGCGAGCTTCATCTTCAGGGTCCGATGATCAGTTGTCAGATTCAGAAGATCATGCAGGAAACCGATCAGACTTTATAATATGCTCCGACCGGTAATTGACCGAGCGATCGATCAGCATCCGAGAACTCCGATCTCAACAGTTCATTTGCTTCAAACAAAGGAGGAGCTCGAAGCTGTCGCGACGGCCCAAACATACGCGCTGCTGGCATTCTTCGGGGAAATTCCCCGCAAAACCGCCGAGTTTATCCTGCATTTCCCCGAGAGCAGCACCACCTAATATTGGACACTGCTTCCTTAGCTTAATTATGCTAATCTGGAAAAGGTTCATGTTATGCTTGTTTCACCTATGTTTGCCCGAACAGCAGTTCTTTATATTAAGTGGGTATAGCATCGCATGAAGAACCAGTGTTCGTATATTAAACATCACTTGGCACGAATTAATCACGCACCAGTTGGATCGGAGATGGGCCGTGTAGAAAATGTTAGCTAATATCGTGCATTACATCTGCATCATTCGTATATGAGGTGGGTATTATCCTGCATGAAGCATCCCCAACAAAAACTACCACAACGGAAGATGCGGTGGAAATATAGACGAAGAAACTAAAAGACCCCAAAACCCTCATGACTTCCTGCCAGCTCTGACTGCATGGTTACGACGGGACTGTGCTCGACGAGGAGGTTGCTGCGGGAGAGATTGTGGATGCTGTGAGAGGCCCAGAGATACAGATCGCGAGTATAAAAATGGACACTGTACGTCTGGATGTGAATGCTGTATACGGACTTGTGCAGTCAGTCATGATAACTTTATGATCTGGCGGATTTTCCCTTTGATCTGGTGCCAATGAATACCATGTACAGCAGGCGATTAGATTATGCGTACATCTGGGGTGTGGGCTTTCTCTATCATTTGGAATGATCGGATATTTGTTGCTTGCTTCTTCCTCATTCATTCATTCAGTCACTATGATAGGCTTACATGCTCAATAAAGATGCGTGACTCTCCTCCCACGGATGCTCCGTCTCAACCAACTTGACCAACTCCTCATGCTTTGCACTCCTCGGCTTGATACTCAGATTAAACGGCGCCGGATGACTGATAACACCCGGCAGAAACTCCGGCGTGATGTCGACCTCCTTTCCATATTCCACTGGCTTACTGATGATAAACGCGGCAAGTGACTTGGCAATAGTAAGGAAGACAGTCGCATCAGCCAGATACTTACCTGGACATACACGACGGCCATATCCAAAGGAAATATTGTGTGGGTCTGGTTCAGGTGTGCTGCCGAGGAATCGCTCTGGTTTGAAATCCATCGGGTCGTGATAGACGGCTGGATCGTGTAGTAATGCCCTATCTTGTTAGTATCCATATTCGTATCGTATTATGATGACATACCAAATGTTAACGAGAACCATCGATCCCTTCGGAATGTGGTATCCTCTATAAGTATCATCTGCAGTCGAGGTGTGCGGCAGTCCCATGGGGGCAACCGGATGCCACCGGAGGACTTCTTTTACGATGGCATTGATATACGGCAGATTGTCCTGGTCTTCTGGCACAGGCAGTCTATCAGTTCCAACGACACGTTCGATTTCCTCCTGAGCTTTACGTTGAACGTCCGGGTATAGAGCCATCGCCAGGAAGAAGCATGCAAGTGATGATACTGTCTAAGAAGAGGTTAGCAATGTATCTGCGAAGAAATGGGGATATTACCGTATCGGCACCACCAGCGTAAAGCGACATGGCAGAGTTCTTGATCACAATCTCCTCTTCCGAGTCCTTGGCTGGAAGTCCATCTTCAAGCAGGCTCGACAGATAGGATGGTTCGTACTTTCCCTTTTTCATCTGTTCTTGGACAAACGCATATGGGACATCGATTGTGCCTTGCACATTCTTGTTCCACGCCTTGGCTTTCCTTTTGAACTCGGCTCCTGGGAACCATGATGGTACATATTTCACTGTTTTATTAGATTGTTACGATCGATATGAGTTGGATAGATACTCACGAATCGGCATGAAATCCACCAACCACTTCCCAGGGGTAGCAGCAAACGAGAATTCGTCCATGGATTGATTGACCAAATCAACCAGAGGATCATTCCCATGTGGCTCAATGGTATATCCATACGAAATCTTCAAAATAACAGCCCCAGTTTCACTGTCCGAGTCAGCTACACTATCCCCAGGTTTCACAATACTCAACTCACGTCCGTATATGTTGCACCAAATCCTGCGGTTTCCGCATAACCCTCAACAGGAACCGTCGCACTTCGACATCCTGCAGCGCGGAATATCGCGAAACAGCCGCTTTTGTGCCCAGAGCACGGTGGAGAAGTTTGCGATATGCGCGTAGGCGGTCCGAATATGACAGCATCGCTAACCCACGTACCCATCCGACCCTTTGAGCTGTTAGATTTTACTACTAATGTGGGTGGGAGCGCGTACAGTTCTCCAGCAAAAACCATTCGTGGTCGCGAGGAATGAGTGCCGGATCGCTTTTCCAGCAGATCGACAGCTGCTTGGGCTTCATTGATGATGACGATGGTCTGTCCGAGGACTGTGATTGAGCTGATGGGGCCATATTCATCTTTGAATTTGAGCCAGTGTTTCCACTCCTGCTCTCCTGGTTTGGCCAAATCCGCGATATTACCCACAATAGGCTTGCCCTTTGGTCCGGGTGGAAGAGGGGCTGGATTCCTCTTCAGGAATATCCTTGCCGCATATATACTAGCAAGCAGTATAATAACACTCGCAATTATTGACACGCACATGTCGCCTTCCCTTGGAATCTCCCGAGATTTGCAGCAGAAAAAGAAAACCACGCATCACGACCAACCGGCCAATTTAAATGAAATCTCAGTAGGCTCAGGATCTTCAACTTGGACTACGCCAAGGGTCTGTGTTGTATTCACCTGCAATGGGGGGTTATATCCGATTTCCACGGCCAATGTGCGGCTTCATATTGACAATGTAGCGTCGGGGTTGTGGAGCTAATTGGCAGCTAGGGAGACGGTGAAGCCGCCGTCTCTGCAGGATGTCGGGGGCTGTCGTGTTCAAACCTAAATTGTGACAGCTGCATCGTTTGAGGCTCTTGGGTTTCCTTCTGGACATGTGGATTAAATGTGTTGGTCGGTTCTATTCGAATTTTATTGGAACGTTTGGTCAGTGTGACTGTCAGCAAATATATATCGCTGGGTACAGGGAATGTGGTACTTTTCTACTCAGTGTGTCACTAATAGATATTTCAATGCTACCCCTCACAACTAATACAACGGGGTATCTTTAATATAAGACAACATAGCTACTATTTTTACCTCGGTTGACTTCGACCCTCCATCAACAATTTGTTTGTATGTCGCAGCCTGACACATTCTCACTTTTACCTGGTCTAAAGAGGTTTTAACAGTTACTATCACTGCAAATTTATGTGAAAGATCAAATTAATTGATATAGTCGAAGCTAATGATGGAATCTCGTAATGATCACATGATGAAGAAATTTCTAGTGACCGCGCTATACATCGGCTATATCATATGCAAAATCTAAATGTCAGAAAGCACCAAGACCGGAAGTCTTTTAATCGAACAAACTGGGTTTGTTTTCCACTACTAATGGAAGAATATTGATGGATTAATGGAGCTAAGATGGAATTAAACATAAGCACAAATGTACGTTAAATGCCGATGCCGATGTCCCTTGTCACTTTTCGGGATTTTCGGGGTGGGGCTGATATCTGTCATATCAACGGTCGACCATCCAAAGTCTTCAAAGTATATCTACCATTTATAGATAGAGTATGGTAAGCATCTACTATCTTATTTCCTATCCCCGTGTGTGTAGTTTAATGGAACTGGGTATATAAACCCTCTTCCATCTGTTAATTGAGGTCAACAACACTCCGTCCTCATCAAGCATCAATTATCTGTTCTATACATCATGAGCATCGAAAAAGTCAACTTCCCCAGCAAGGGCCTCAACATCATTGGCAACCTCTATCATCCATCCACCTCCAACCGCAAAAATGCAGCCATCATCGTCGTCCACCCCATGACCTCCATCAAAGAACAATCTCCAACGACCTACGCCACCCGCCTCGCCGCAGCCGGATTCTTCGTCCTCACCTACGATGCCGCCTACCAGGGTGAAAGCGACGGCGAGCCCCGCGGCCTCGAAGACCCGTTTCAACGTGCGGAGGAGGTTAGAAGTGCCGTGACCTTCCTCTCGACTCGGGATGAAGTCGATGCGGACCGTATTGGTGTTCTTGGGATTTGTGCGGCGGGGGGATATGCCTGTTTTGCGGCGCAGACAGATCTTCGTCTCAAGGCTGTTGCGGGTGTCAGTGCTGTCTGTTCTGGGGAGATCATGCGGACTGGGCTGATTGAGAACTCGTCGGATCGGGATACACTTCTCCAGGGTCTTAAAGCAGCTGGAGAGGCACGCATTGCAGAGGCAAGGGGTGAGCCAGTACAAGTCAATCAGGCTCTACCAGCAACCCTGGATGATGTCCCTAAGGACGCGCCTCATTTGTATAAAGAGTTGGTGGACTACTACAAAACACCTCGGGGCCAGCATTCCCGTGCACCCGGTATCTATGCGATTACGAGTCTCAGCTACCTGGCCAACTACGACTCATTCGCGTTCAACGAGATGGTCTCACCCCGCCCAGTGTTGATGATTGCAGGAAGTGACTCTGCTACCAGGTATTACAGTGAAAGGGCAATGGAAAAGACCAGAGAGCCCAAGGAGCTGTTTATCATTAACGGACAGACCCATGCTGGGTTGTACGATGATGCTTCAGTGTCTGGACCGAGGTTGGTGGACTTCTTTGGATCTCATTTGTCTGTTTAGATGTATATCATGCCGCATTCTCGATATTCGCCATAGCTTGAGTCATTTGTCTGGCAATATCTCGAGCCTCAGCACTGAATCTCTCATCTCTAGCAATCCAATCAACTTGCACTTTCCACTCATTCCAGTTCTCCATACTCCATATCTCTCTAGGAAGGTTTATCGTCTTCTCCCTTTTCAAACATTGTTTGTAAACATATCGTCCTGCATCAGGCTTTAGAATCCACTCTGCCGCTGCCATCAAATCACCGGCAATTCTCTTCGGACCGCCCATCTTGCGAAAATTCAAGTCTGGATAGTACGCATACGAGGGAAGAATATTCCCCAGTGCACAGAGAAACCCACAATCGATCAGACCAGAGACTGTGAGACGGGAGATTGCCGATTGCCAGTTTCGCCAGCCAATCTGGGTGTCGCTTCCGGGTGTTTCGACGTCCGAGTAGTCGTAGTAATGGTCTTCATAGTCAGTATTTATCATCTTGAAAAGGATAACTATAACATACCCTCTGCATCCCGCCGGATATCCTCCGTCAGCGCCATTCCCTCCCCGAGCACCCAGAATGTAATCATAACATACGGTTCATCCGGATAATCATGCGGAACATAGACCGGTAAATTTTTCTTCGGCAGTCCCTCCAACGCTTCCAAGAACTCCATAATCCGATTTTGTCCATCGCTATATGGTGGAAATGCAGCGAATACTCGTGCAAGCGACCTGAAAAACTCTGTCACAAGGCCTGTGGGATTTGGCATAGCACCGCGAAATTCCCATGGATCTGAGCTCTTCATACGCTCCTCGTGTTGCTGGTGGGCATTATTTTCTATCCAGGCATCATAGTCTATGGCGGCTTCTACTGGTGCAATGTCGCCGGTGACGAGGGAGAGGATGAGCCTTTTGTAGAAGATGTCTTCTTCGTCATCGTAGTCTTTGAAAATGTGGAATCGGAGGGTTTGGTTGTATTTTTCTGTCATTTTCATTGATGTATGTGATGTATATATATTGATAGATTTTTGAAAAAGACGTGGGAGCAGGTCTATATATGTGCCGAGTGTGGCTGTGCATCCAAGTATCGTGGCTCATCAGGAGGAGGATTATATTGCTGGCCTTAGATAGAAATATCCTCGATTTGAAGGAGAATCTGCAAACATTAGAGGATTCCACATGGTAGGTTGAAACTCACCTTTTCTATATATCGCACACCAACGATAATCCCATCTTTATCTCTCAGTTCTGCCTCCGATCCAAATGTATTCTGATCGCCCTTGTCAAGACACATCAAGCATGATACTGTCAGATCGGTATATTTATCTCCAATGAAGCAGGGTAGTTTATCCTTGGCCAATGCCACGAGATGCCGTTTGATGACAGACGCACCTCGACGGTGATCTTTGTCTGCGAGTGCATCTGTCAAGTCCAGTTCAGACCAGGGAGTTATACCATTTCCATCCTGTCGCACGAAAGACGTCCATAGAGCGATCTCAAGTAGACAAACACCGAGACTATAAATATCATGTTGCATTTTGAATAGTTCTTCAGGCCACAGACCCTGCCGTGCTGGATGACGGTAGATATTTCTATCCCAGTTCAGATCTCCGTAGTGATCTGTCGGTGCATCTGCTGGGCGGATTCTCTCAAAGCCAGTAAGGAATGATGGGCCGATGATGTTAGCGCCATCTGGAAAAATGATAATAGTTTCTGGTCTGATATTTTTATGCACGAAGCCGGCTGTATGGACAAACATGACAGACCGAGCCAGTTGTTTGGCGAGTTGAATACGTTGGTTCAGGGGACATCGGAATTCCTGCATCAACAGATGACGGAGAGTCGTGGGTGAGGATAGCTGCGAGGGTATCTCGAAGATGAATTCGAATTGTATGATTGCGTCTTTTTCATCGTGTACCTCGATCACGCCTTCACATTTCAACAGGCCGAATGTCATCGGATCAACATTGAGTAAGAGTCTTGCCAGATCCCGGACGTATGGCCTCACTCTCTGCATGGACGTATCAAAGGGATACTGTGTTTGATCCAGTAGAATCTTCCGTCCAGTTTCTGAATATGCCGAAATGAACGTATTCGACCGCGGTATCTGCGATATCTCCTTGTTGATAAGCTTCCTATCCACGAATATAGACTTTCCACTCTGATCATCAGCAGAAAGCTCCTTGATCGCCTCTCGCATCCGTGCCAATCTCCTAATCGACGGGTTCTCAGGCGCATCATCATTCACCTTCAACTGTCTATCCACATCCGGTTTGGCAATGCGCGTGATCAAATACCACGACGGATCGAATCGTCCTTGCCAATCCTCGAGATCCTTTACAGCATGCTTGATGTGCTTTCGGAGGTATATCACCTTGACCTTGTGTATTGACATACGAGATTCCGCTTTTCTTTCGACATGAGGAATTTCGCCATTCCAGCTTGTCACGCTTTCCAGGCTTTTCCACGCTGTCAGGCTTTTGTTCTGTAACCTTGCCAAGGCAGCTGCATAGTGATCCTGGAGAGGGGCAGGAAGAGTATCCCAGAGAGCTTTAAGCGAGTGTAGCTGTAGTTCTGTCTTTATCCACAGTCCCTGGATTGTAAGGATCATATCATCGATTTCTTTGTCAATGTGGCTTTGCTTCTGGCATATCGTGACTACTTCCTTGCCGTACCTGAATGAGTCAGAATACATTCTTTCGATGCTTAGGGTGCTTACTTCAAGCACAAATCCAATGTGCCAACGACCGCCAAGGCCAATCCTGCTAAACTGACTGGATCCATGATGATAAGGTTAACCGATTCCTTCGCTTGCGACAAATGAATAATAAGGGTAAGACGAGGCTGGACTTTTTGTAGCTTGTTAGGCTGCTGCGATCAGGCTACAAGACGAGGCTGAGCTACACGTAATCCTTGTGCGACCATCAGCATGGATGATCGAGCGGGGAAGGATACGAGTGAGGCTGCACAGCCTCATTTACATCCATCAAGTATCTGAAATGAGCCATCCAGCCTACAGTACCACGGCAAGTAGAACAAATCAATATGGACGACGACCTGTTTGCCGGCCATTTTAAGCTGGATGTTAATGTGCAAGGAGATCGAAGTCGGCAGGTCTCATTCGAGTCTGATCTCAGTCGGGGAATACGGAACAGGCGAGTCGTGACGATCTGGACGAGGGAGAAGTTTCTCGCTGAAAATGTCTATCTCGAACGGACAAATGCGGGCGAGTTGAGAGTCATCAAGCAGATGCTTCACCGACCGGCAAATTTGAATAATTGTCTTTCTGAGTTGAGGGCGATGGGGAGGGTGTCCAAGGTACATCTCTAGCTCCAAATACAATGATATATCTAATGATATAGGACACTGGCCTCTTCGTCCAATTTCAAGGATGGTTCCAATCAACCGACCATGTCTTCTTCGCGATGGAATATTGTCCTTTAGGAGACATCGCCAACTGCTACAATAACCCTCTCCCAGAGTCAGTGACACGCAATGTCGGTCGACAGGTTCTCGAAGGACTGGCAAAGCTCCATGAAATCGGAATCATCCACAGAGACATCAAGCCACAGAATATCCTCGTTCTCCAAAAGGACCCGATATGGGTGAAGATCAGCGACTTTGGAATCAGTAAACGTGTTCTCGATGGTCAAACTGAGCTTCGAACTCGCGCTGGGACGGAGGGATATGTTGCACCGGAAGTATTCGGGCTTGTTGATGATTGTGCTGAGAGTTCAGCTTATACCAGCGCTGTCGATATCTGGTCGCTGGGATGTTTACTGCATTACCTTCTAACAAAGAGTCCCCCCTTTATGACACTGGCTGCATTGCGGGATTATTGTTGGGATCCGATGGAGTTCCCTGAAGAGTTCCTGATTGCAGAAGATGTCGGAGATTCGGGGAGGAAGTTCATCAAAGATCTTCTTACCCTTGAACCCGAGAATAGACCAAAGACTTCCGTTGATATACTGTCCAAGTGGCAGATTAAAAAGACAGCACCGAAGCCAACAAGGCGAGTTCCAACGGAGGAAAGTTGGGATGGAAGCGAAGAGACATTTGTTCATGCAGATCTGACCAATCTAGATGATAATATGGTATGATACTCTCAATTACTTGATTACTATACTAATAATGACAGGACTACCACTCACTCGAACTCTGGAACGCAACAAATAATAACATCGACATCGACAGAGTCACAGCGCTCCTGGAACTCAGCGCAAATCCAAACAAACTGTGTAAAGGCTATACGGCACTACATCTCTCCGCAAGGAATGGATCCGCAGAACAGGTTGAATTACTCCTTGACTATGGGGGTGACATATCATTCCGAACAAGGCCTTATGAAGAAACAGCACTCCATCTCGCGATGCATCAGCGGAGCGTTGATAAACTGAAAATGCTCATTGACCGTGGTGCAGATATTAATGCACAGAATGCAGATGGCGATACTGTCCTGCATCTGGCAATTACAAAAGGGTGCTCGATCGATACACTTGATCTTCTCATAGCTAGAGGAGTCAATGCTGAGCTTCAGGGTCGATACGGCAGGACAGCTTTGCAATATGCAATCACCCTTGATCGGGAAGATACAGCTCGTTTTCTGCTACAGAAAGGGGCCAAGCCTAACAACCAAGACTACGACGGACGTTCTCCTTTACACTCGGCTATTGCAGCCACGAGAGTTTCGTCCAGCTTCATTTCCATGTTGATTAAAGCTGGAGCCGATGTCAATCAGCGAGACTCCAAGGGCCTGACACCATTACATGAAGCCGTTAGGCTGTCTCGAGGTAATACTATAGCATTCCTGGTTGATGAGGGTGCAGCATATCAAGGGTTACATCCTGATGTAGAGAAATATGTTAGATGGGCTTTGCTATGGAAGAGGCCTTCTAAAGCTCTCAGCTGGTAATTTGTGGGATAGCTTGATGTATGGTAGCGAATGTTCTTTAATATGTCTTAGATTGTTTACATAGTACCACTTTCATAATGGAATAGAATAGTCATCCAAATGGCATATTATCAAAAGGTACTCGGAACTCTATCAAGCCACATCAGATATAGCGTCATTGCCATCAGTATAGAATATTCTGTTCTCATAGTCCCGGTGGTCTTCTAGCTTTTCAAGTCGAACTTTTCTGCGCAAGATGTATCGTTTAAACATATAAGGGATGACCTTGAAAAGACGATACCGAACCAGCTTGCGGTTAGACACCTCGAATACTGTGTGCATGTCCTCTAGTCCTATCTGGTTAGTTTCTCTCACAAAGAGAAAGGCGAGGAAGAACAAGATAGAGGCGACGAATCTGACGGTTGTTAGTTGGCGAAATGATAGGGAGGACAGGTTGACCAACGCGGAAGGACGGAGACCTCCAAATGTATACACAGTATGTGGTTCAGAGAGGACGATAACTTTCATTACTCCCTGAGTCACATAGAAAATGCAGACTGATAGGGCCATGCCGAGTTCTATCTTGTCAGCTCCATATATAAGGTAACCATGGAGAGACTCACCACGATGATAGATAGGAAACACCTCAGCCGGGTACACCAAGCGGGTTGCATCTGCTCCAAGTGCCCAGATAAATTCGAATGCTATGCAGAAATAGATACTCATCTCCAGCCCTAGGGAGTAAAACTGGTGGCCGATGAGAACTAGGAGGAAAGGCAGCACAAGAAGGCTCACGAGGAGCAGACGCCGTCTTCCCCATTTGTCCATCAAATATACGCCAGTGGCCCCCCCGAACATGATTACGGCGGGGTTGGAAATTAATAACATAGCATTATAGATAGATTGCTCACCAGCCTCGGATCGCAACAGGTGGAATGTACTGCTGACCACTGCAATGCCAGACAAACTGGAGGACAGCATGACCACCACAGAGGCCATTGTCGCCCGTCTGATCCAGGGCACTGCGAAAATATGCATAAAGCGAGTGGGAAGGTTTCTGTGACCGAAGTTCTGCGTTTCCAACTTCATCTGTAGATGGATTCTCCACAGGTCCCGTGCAGCCAATATATCTGCCCCGGCTATGATCCGTAGAGACTGGTATGCGTTTTTCATCTGGCCACGGGCGGTATACCAGCGAGGTGATTCGGGGCACATCAAAATCGGAAATGGAAGAATTCCTGCGCTTACCAGGTTGAAGATAACCCATATCATTCCCCCCACCTCTGGGGAATCCCCCATCCGACAAAGCAAAGCTGAGGCTGCCATAAAATATCCCATTCCGGTCGCCCTACCTTGCTGATCAGTTCCGCTTTGGTTGAGGGGGCAGGTATAATCATACATTGACATGCTCGAAAGCGTGGTTCCACGCTCATGAGACCGACTGACTTCTACCAGGTATATCGGGATGGTGCATGCCTGAATCCCAACTGCAAATCCCAGAAGCAGGCGACACAGCAGTTTCGACTCCCATGTGGTGGATAGTACTTCACCCAGTAGAGAAACAAACAAGATGATGCCGGAGGTGAATACGCCCCATCGCCGGCCATAGAAACGGCTGAATACCGCCGTACACCAGCATCCGAGGAGTGAGCTAGAAATAAGTGGTGCACTGCCCAATAAATGATTACCTTGTCGATAACATATCAAAAAGATACCAACCATTCTAAAAGCATCATTACCACACCATGGTCGAGGTTCGATGAGTTGTCCCAATACCATCCAGTGGCAGCATCACTGTAAGTCGAGGGAAAAGTAAGTGAATACATATTCCTTCCACTATACACAGTACGTAATCAGCTCTATATCCCATCCCAATATCAAAATGGTGTTATTGCTCACAGTACAAAGCCTGATAGATAGGCGCACAAAAGCACTCGGTTATGACCGACATCGTGCTCCAACTTCTTCGACTTCTCCTTACCCAGGATAATCACCTCCTCGGCCGTCAATCCATCTATGCGATCGATATCCACACCGTCGGATGATAAGAAAGCCCCTTTGCGAATGACATCTCGGAGGTCGTCCAAATTGTACTGCGTTGCGAATTCGTCAACGTCATGCACCAGTTGTCGCTCGTACAGGTCACGGTTCGGACTATGTGATCTATCGGAAACAAAGTGTTAGTGCTATTAACTCATAATACATAGATGTTTAGAGATACCTTGGCGATCGATTATCCCGATAAACCCCTCTGGCCAGACGGATTCCCCGCGTTTGTGGACTTTCGCCTGGTAAGACTGTTTCACTTGACATCGTAATGTTTACCGCAATTGAAGAAAGAGTGAGCTAGGGGTGAGCGAGAGATGAGCAGAGGTTCCATCTGAGAGGAAGTAGAGATGAGTGAATTATTTTCCCTCGTCAAAGATCAATCAGCAAGGCTGGATGAAGATCGGACATGACGAGGCTGCGGGCGAGGCTGCGCCTCTGTCGGGCGCGTCACGAGATGAATCCCTGCAGATGACTGCCTTTTGGGATAGGACATGATCGTCGAATCTGTTTCATATCTGCCAATTTGGATGAGTATTTGTGCTTGTTTTGATGATATCTAAAAAAATAAAGGAAATGTATGGAGATGTTCTCCGTCTCCGACTATCTTGACCGTAGGGGAATCTCATTTCCCCCCACAGCCCAGGATCGCATGTTTGATTTAGTGTTTACCAATTAAATTGCGAAAGGTCTTATTATATAACAACCATTTTCTTTTTATGTAGGGTCGCTTCTTAATTGACAGTTACAATGATTGAAATGATAGCGGGACAAAGAAATATATATCATAATCATACCACTCCAAGGGATGCCATGACAACAGATTCTACCTTTGGGCTGCAATCACTTTTGTTGCTCATGGTATTGAAGTCTGTACTGTGGAAACTTCACTATTGGTCTTGCCATTTCCCTAGTATTACGGTGGATTGCACAAATTCATATCCAAACCCAACATAATGCTGCACTTGTGTAATTGTGCAGATAGGCGGCGTTTGGTACAAATTCGGATTTTTCTTATCTTGCATCCATAAGATAACAAAAAGGAAGAGATACTGATACTTTTTGACATCAATAGACGACAATAGACAGACCAGCCTATGGGTTTCTACCTACAAGTACGAGGTCCGCCGCAATATCACATCATACAGAGCATGCAGAGGGATACTTGTACTAACCTTTATTTTCCTAGCTTCTGTTCGGGCGATATCGGCGATACTTGAGTGTTCCTAGCTTACATGATCTTCCTCACCACCAGGTACAAATGATCGTCTATGGATTTATACAACGAAAGTCAATTTTATAGAACCCCTTTTTGAGATGGATTTCTGTAGATTTCCTTGACCCTAGATATATATTTTTACCTCACTAAGTGATGACTAAGTATGGACTCACTCGGAGCTCAACACGGTAACCCCTTCCAGCGAGCGTTATGTCGATCATGAAGAGTGATATATTGGCAAGTCCAATATCGGTTAATTTCAAGGCAGTATAATAAAATACTGTAATTTCTCAATATATTATTTGTTTTACTTCATTCCATTGTACATGGTTGACTTTGAGCAAGACATAAGTCCAGGTCGGCGGCAGTTACATCGAATAATGCCTCTATCCGCCATATCCGCCGTTCCTTGATGGCGTTGACTTTCAGCCGTAGGCATATCTAACTCAAGCAAAAGCTGGCCATAATTGCTTTTGCTGGCGACCATTGTCTACCTATGATTGAGTTACCGTTACGTATATTAATCCCAATGAACGGGGTCATGATCAATACTAGATTTCGCCAGGAAGACATCCAGGATTGGAAGAAATGGTTAGTTTTTTCATATATGCGTTGACACAGCCACCACTAGGCAGCTATTAGAACTGAAACAAATGGATCCTGAACCCACTTCATCTTGATTTATGATCCTCTTAGACCACGACAACCAGGATTGTGTTAATTATCAATCAGCACTAGCTTTAGTTCCATGCAGGGCTGCAATCCGTTGATCTTATCATCCATCTTATCAGATTAATTCATCCATCACTGCGAGGCGTTTCTCTACATCATGAAAACCCGAAACCAGTCACTGGAATGGAATATTAGACTTATCACATGCGTAAAGAATGAAGAGAACATACATGTAAAACATGAGCAATATGTTGCTGTTAGACCAGATATTATAGGAAGTCAGGATGCCTCATATCCACAACTGTGGGACTCTATGCACGTTAGGCGCACTATAGATTTGGCCCCAACAGTGGACGGCTGATCCGGATGTCGGAGCGAGAACCAATTGAGGTTGCCTGTTGTGTCAAGACGATCTAATCAATGGTATAAATGGGTGGTACCTGCCCATGAAAGAGAACATAAACACCTCTACATCCATCAACAATATATCCATCTTACAAACCCCATACCCATCTCTCAAAATGCAGTTCAATGTGGTAAGTTGTACTTCTCTATATCTCCAAACCATTCTAATATCATAGATCGCCACTGTCTTCACCCTCCTCCTCAGCTCTCAGACTGTCATTGCCGCCCCTGCCGCAGAGCCTGCTGCCCTCGAGGCCCGCTCGTGCCCCGGTGGGAACTACAACCAATGTTATCTGCAGACCGTGTCGAGCTGCACTCCGCCTTGCCAGACATGCCTCGGAACCTGTCAGCAATCAGCTACAGCCACTTGCACCAAGTTGTGCAGCTAGAAAAGACAAATATGGATGTTGTGAAAGATATTTGATGAATGTATCTAAATATGAAACGAATATTATCAAATGAGTATTAATCTGCTGGCGTGAGTATATCACTTGAGGATTGTGTCAAAAAGGAGATTTGCATAAGAAGATCCCGTATACTCCATCACACGTCGTAGCGTCTCCAATAGAAATGCGGTAGTATCTTCAGTATCAGTCCAGCCTGTGAGGTCTCCTAGAGGACCATAGACGTGCTATCGTCTGTTAGCACCACAAAATACCCATGCATTAGAACAGACAACATACCACTTCACCCAACACGGTATCCGGCTCACCCGGGTCCTCAGGCATCCATCTCTCTGCCAACCCATAGATGATGTAGAATTCCCATCGTTGACCTGTCATGATGCATCCAACCACAGGAGGGGGGGTGTCAACACCCCGCCGATTTTCAAAACCCCATCTGATCAGCCCACCCATCCAAACCCCAAGGTCTACTTCGGCCATCTCGAATCCATTGCATGAGTCTGTCACCTTGACTCCAGGCCCTAGTAGTCGCTTACTTGAATGTCCGTATTTTCCGTCGACGTGGCTGAATGTTTCGAATAAACCGTATCCCTGGTTTGCGTACTGTTCGTATTGCCCCTCCCAATGGACTGGAGATAAACCGGCCACAAGGTCGATGGTGCAATCAATTGTCTCGTGTGTTGGGCAGCACATACCATAGTCTGCGTGGGCAGTTTCTCCCTGGCTATACCATATTGTTAACTTGGAAAATATCACCCATCCAGGGACAGAGACACTTACACACTCCACGATTCAAGATTGGTCCCCTTGACTGCCAGCTGCATCATTGGATACGCAACTTCAAACACCCACGACCCCTTCCCTCGGCCCTCAGCCTCGAATTTACAGGCTGCTTCTGTGACCGTCTTAATGGCATCCGTATCTCCATCCATGTGTTCCACTGTCCCTCTATCCTCACGCGTGAGAAAAGACAAAAACTCACACGCATCAGCACTATGAGGCAATCCATCCGACTCGGACATATACAGCACCTTAACCCCGCCATCACCCAACCCACGCTTAATTGCTGCTGGGCTGCAGTCTTTGCCTTCATCCAACTCTGGAACATAATCCAGTTTGTATCCTAGCTGTGACGGAGCGGGGGCTATCCATGGTAAATGGCTGTCGGAGATTCGCCTCCGGCGTTTGTATGGGAGATTTGTGCCTTCTGAGGATTCTTCACGTCCGCTGATGCTGTGCAGCCAGTGCTGGATGATTGGCTCTGGTGCCATTGTTGATGCTAGAGATAGTGTGGTCAATTGAATTTTGAAGGAAAATTATGTCATAAAGAGGGGGTTGGAAGGGATGCTACTCGAGTAACGGCTGGAAATTTAAAATAAAGATTATGATCCTGGTTGCAGCAGCAATAAAAACGAGGCAAGGAAAATGTTCGATTTGACATTAATGATCGACCCTTGCGCGGAAATGCAACTCATAGTATCCCACTTGCGTGTATGCTACCACGGATTGCAATGGTTTCGCGAGATATGCTATAGACATTTCCATTTTCAGCAAGCCAGCAGTTACTAGGGCTGGCATGACAGAGTTGTAATATTTAATGCACTCAACATTAAAAAATGAAACCTTTGGCATATATGATCTTCTAGCTTCATATGCCCATGCGTGGTTACTGTTTATACACACTAATGAAGGGATGGACGGTGCAGTTGCTCCGACGAGAACCATTAATAGATTCATGAAAAAAACTCGTTATTTTCATTTCAACTACCAATCTATATATCTACCCTGATATATCCATGCTGAAAACAACTTTTAAAAATCCTCAACACCCTTACCCATCTCCGCCTGTATAGCAAGACTATAATTCGCAAACTTACTCCTCGACCGAATCCGCTCTCCGTAACAGATAAACAACGGCGGCGCCGCACAGAACAGCGTCGCCACGATTGCCAGAATGGATGTCGCCACGTTTGCGCCCAGCCCATTGAACATCTGCTGGGTAAAGAGCGGGAATATACCAGACAGTAACGCGCGGAGGAATTGCACGGCTGCGCCGGCGCTGGCGGAGTAGCTGAGGTAGCTGTCTGAGAGGTATCCTTGGAGGACCGTGTCGAATTCGCAGAGGGCGTAGCCGATGAAGGCGAGGGCGATGGTGGGCACGATCCAGGGGACCCCGTGCACGTCTGGTGGGATCGTCCAGGCGAACCACCACAGACCGATTGCGAATATGGGTGCGCCGATGGCGAGACCGGCGAGTTTGTCTTCGGGGCGGACGGCGCGGCCCTTGCGACGGACGAGGTTGGCGATGTGGTGGTCGAGCATGCGGGTGAGGGCGCTAAAGCCGATGCCGACGAGGATGGCGAGGAAGGCGAGGGATGCTTCTTTGTGGGAGAAGCCAAGGTCTTGGTAGATGGGTTGGAGGGCTTCGGTAAAGAGGTAGAGGAGGGCAAAGGCGACGGCGATCATGAGGGCAACGACGAAGACGACGGGTTCGGTGAAAAAGAGCTGAAGGGGTCGAAGGAGACTGACTCTGCAGTATGTACGGAGGTCTGGAGTATGGTCGTGGTTGAGGGCTCGGAGGGTGTCGATGCCGGTTTCTTTGCGGACGTGATTGACTTGACGGGTGAGGATGACAGAGGGACGAGATTCACGGATGAAGACCATGAAGAGGCCGACGAAGGCGATGATGATGGCGTAGATATAGAGGACCCAGCGCCTGAAGGGTTAGTAGTGGTCTTGGACAGAAAGGGAAGAGACATACCAGTCCAGGCTGGCGATGATGTATGAGCTCATGATGGGACCAATGATCAGTCCAATGTTGGATGCAATCATCCAGATGAAGACCACCCAGATACGCTCTTTTGATCTGAAGAGATCTTCCACACTTCCAACACCAACATTGCACGGTATAGCCGATAGCAGTCCCGCGATGAATCGACCGACAACGACGGCAGCGATTGAGGGGGCGACTCCGACAATGACACAGCAGATACTAATGATGCCACTGCTGGCGATGTATAGCTTCTTCCGGCCAAACGCTTCTGACCATGGTGCGAGTAGAATCGATCCGATGACTTGGCCTAGGAGGAATCTAGAAAGGTTAGCTAGGTTCATGAGGTGATTAAAAGGGGACATACAGAGTAACAAAGCAGAAAATAGACAGTGTAGGTCCGATGTTAAACTCCGACTCTGCTTCTGCGGCAGCCGATGACTGGTAATGTTAGACAGTCGAAAATAGAATGACAGCACAGATACTCACTCCGGCCGTACTGGACGCTGTGCTATACAACAATTAGCAATGATCACACAATGAACAACAGACACACTTACACAAAAAGATCCAGCATAAAAATCATGCCGATATCATACGACTTGCGGGTCAGTGACCAATTCCGGGGATGGGTCTTGTTATCCGGCTTGAAGCGGACAAAACGTCCATCAGGCGTGAATTCGAGATCATGTTGAAGCAAGTATGCTCCGACGGAGGGTTTGAGGTCTTCCATAGTGTAGCGAGTGATCTGGGCTGATATCACCAGTGGCCATAGCAGGCACAACGTGAGTATATGAATGAAAGAAACAAAATGCACATGTGGTGTAAGGCAGGGATAACACAGAGGCCACGCAGCCCTCTAAAATGAGCAACAAAGTCTATTTCTTGTACCTGGATCGTTTCTTTTCTTTTCGATCGGCGACAAGTCCGTGGTGGGTTTGTGATGATCGCTGTTGCAATGGAACAGGTGTTCCGGTGGCTGGATCAGCGGATGACGATGCCCTCAGACTGGGGACAGGAGGATGAATAGCTGCGTGCGCTTGGGCCAGGAAGATCATTGGCAAAAAGCCTCATGATCAGCAATGCCACTCGAGCGTGCTGGACGACCGATTGACATGACCAAATATAAGTCCATCTACGGTGTTTCATCGCGGCTGTCCTTGCGGTTGATGGCATGCATGCCGTATACAGTGTGATACAAACCAGTCTGTCAATCTCTACAATTCCTGCCACGGCATCACATGCAATTGTAGTCAGGGGGAAAGAATGCAGTCTTGCCCAATCGAGCAGTGCGCTATGTGAGTTCAGTAAAGCCGCCCTTGACGTGTGCTGCGAGTGTTCAGTCGTCAGCTACTATACTCTCCGCGGAGGTACAATTATGATGTTCATTGTAGATCAGTCCGATCTTCAAGGCCTTTCCACTCTTTACTAGCGGTAGATCCCGAACCGCTGTTTGGGTGTGTTTCTGAAAAGCTCCATCCGTGTTACCTCATACCCGTTGATGTGACCTGCCCCTTGCATGATCCGCGTATTATAGCTACTGCACCAGACTGCAAAGCAATTGTCGCGACTCAGCATGAAACAACCGCAGCTTTACCGTAACCCTTGATTGGCTCCCAATTGCAGTCTAATTAGATGTGGTGGAATCAAAGTTCTCTGGTGGTGAGATTTTACAAGGCAACAGTAGGCAGGATTTACCCCCCTTCGGAGCAATGGAGTATCATCTAGTATGAAGCTTGGTATTGCTTGGTCCTCCTGAGTATTGACAATCGTCACTGGCCAACGCAGCCATATCCACTCGTTTTGCCTGCGATGCCTTGCAGGTTATTGAGGCACTATGGGTACGCGCAATTAGTCCAATCTTCAGCCGGTCTGAAAGGGCAGTACATTTGAAATCACATTTTTCTCCTGAACAACCAGCTCGAGAGTCGAGAACAAGCCTGAGCACATCTTTAGACCCACGGTGGGCACGGGAAAAAGGAACACAGGCCACTCTCCACTCCATCCCCTAATTGTCGATCATGGTTCCCGTTGCGTCCCTTAGTAAAGAGCTTGGCTGCCTTGGCACAGATCTTTTATCAAGATCGATATCAGTTCTTTTTCTGTATCGTCATTTTAATATATCTGATGGTATGAGATCTATTCCTGTGCCTTTTCCATATCATGTTAGGTTGTGCACTGTAGATGTGCCTGGCCACTTATAATTGAGTTAGACCAAAAATCGGACCACCGCCAGCACAGGCAACATCAAGTTTGCTTATTCCAATTCTGATATTATTCAGCAACTAGTGGATACTATCCAATTGAAAACTCCTTATCCATACATATTCCAGCTATTGGGCATATGGTCGACGCTTTCTGCTGACTGGCTTTTGCTACCCGGAAAGTCATCATTATAATGTCATAACACGTGCTGTGAACCAGGGACTAGCAACGTTTGTCCGGTTAATAGGATTCGAATCACACCATTCATTGTTTTGTACAAGTTTCTACAAGGTATTGTATGTGATCTACAGAAATATCAGGATCTTGATGCATCAAAACTTGTGGCGGATCGAGTCTAGCCACTCTTCACGTTCTACATATTATTAGCTGAAGAATTGCAATAAAAAAGGAAAACACAATTCTTCTACAATACTTACAATTTTCCGTCGATTTCTTCACTGAGATAACTCTATACATAGTACTAGATAGTTCAATTCGATATATCAAATATCTTCTAATAGAGTATTCCCATTCCAGAGCCTGTACGCCAGTGCCTCGCAATGCTGCCTAACCCCATTGGCTCGGTAGTGAAGCCTCGCACCCGAATCCTGGCGATGATCGACATCTAGCGCTGCCGACTTCCGCCTCGATTCTATTTTCGTTTCCCCCGCTTCACCCAGACTCATTTCTGAATACATCATCTTTGAGCACTTTTCGTCCGAAATATTCCACCATGGTCATCCTCGGGATTGACGTGATTTCCGACATTGTTTGTGCAGTAGGGCTGCATCTACCACCTGACGCAATCACGCAAACTAACACAGGCACGTGGGCAGTGGTGCTACATTGGGAAGCGGAGGCTGGACAGGGCCATCGCCCTGTATAGAAAGACTTATCCGGGCGGACGCGATGATGTGTTTCAGATCACATGGCGGCCGTATTATCTCGATTATAACACCTCCTCCCCGGACAGTATCGAAAAGAGTGAACTGGCCGAGAAGAAGCTGGCCGGGATGAGGCCAGAACAACGGACGGCGTTGACACAGCGGATGTCTCAACTGGGGCGATCCGTTGGAATCAACTTCAAATGGGGAGGGAGAATTGGGAGCACGCGTGATGCGCATCGACTCATTCATTTGAGTCAGACCAAATCCGAGGATATCACGAATGCGCTTGTTGAGAAGCTATTTGAGGCGTATCACGAGTTGGAGAGGGATATTTCGTCACGGGAACTCCTTTTTGAAATTGCTGTCGATGCAGGGCTGGATGCCTCGGAGGTGGAAGAGTATTTAAACGGTTCTGGCAGTAGTACGGTGGATGAGGAGGCTCAGAAGAATAAAGAGACATTCGGCTCAGTCCCAGTGTTTATCATTCAAGGAATACGTCGACTTGAGGGGGCGCAAGAGTCGACGGACTTTATGGAGATTTTTGCACAGGTGAAAGATTCAGGATCTTCATAGTACTGATACACTCATTGATTCTGGAGGTGTATATATGGCGGTATATACTCATATAACATGGATAAGTCTATCGAATTGAATGTAAGGATCAGTGACAATTGAATAGCAAATGTCCGAGTTCTAATTCCATGAAGACGATATATTACAGTGCTATCATCATCACCAGTGTTTTAGCATCACGAATTTCATCATCTGGACAGCGGTCCTGACAGGCTGATTTTTCAACAATTATCAGGTTGCCATCAAACATATCTGAAGGTATAATGTGTATGCTCTTCGTTCAGACACCGTGAACAACCAGTATAGATTGAATCGAAATATAATGAAGATGCAGTGAATCATCCAATAGAATGCGTGGATATCAACAGGGATCAGAGGATAACGACGATATGCATTGGAAAAACATTCCACCGTGTGACAGCATGAGCAGGCATATAAATAGCCAGCCTTCTTCCCCGCATCATTTGTATTCGTTATCCGGATTTATTTTTGACAATCTGATCATGTCGCTATTCCCACGAACCCACCTCCCTCTACCAATATCCAGACTCCAACATGGCCTCATCCAGCGATCATGCCATACAACCACTCAGTCTATACTAAATCGCTCATTTTCATCAAAATGTCATTTATCTTATAATAATAATACTACTACCCACAAACAATCTGATCAACCTCCAAGTCGACCCACAACCAGTTCACCAGACAACGAAGTATTCGCCTCTCTCTCCTTTGAAGCCTTAGGAATAAACAAAAATACCAAAATATTTATCTTCATCGTCTTTGGGATCCTGGGTACGATAGAAACGGTGTTTTGGTGCCAGACGATTTGGCGATGGTGGAAGCGCAATTCTACAGAGGGTGAGGAGTTGGATTAGACAGAGAATCATGTAAATGATAAATAGCCAGCTCAAGGGCCCATAATATGGAGTTTGTATTTATCAGACCCTGTGTTGTACTTGCGTGGCTTACGCCTGGCCAGCGTGTTCATGGCCAGCACACCGTATTCCACACCGATTTCTCCGTCTTCCGGATCTCATATCCATCTCACCTTTTTATCCGTGACTTGCACACATATAACTGCGCGTACAAAACTATCGATCAGCTTGCGCTAAAATGTCCGAGCCGCGACCGAGCGACGATGGAGGGAGAGAGCTACAGGAAATGGTGGAAGACGATGCGCGACCGAGGGATATTACCACCACGCCAGATCCTCTGGAAGAAGCACACCTACCGCTGACAGAAATCCCATTATCGGAGGCTCAGGCTATCCCTATACCTGACAGCGAGAGCTCCGAGCCAGAAGAGAGCAAGGCACCATGGAATCAGCAACTGTTAGACGCAGCCAAGAGCGGTGACGTGGCCATGGTCAAGCAGGCGCTGGCTCAAGGAGCGAATATTAACAGCAAGTCAGAAGAAACGGGCATGACGGCGCTGCATTTAGCATGCAGGCGTCGACATGATAGAGTGGTGGATGTCCTTCTCCAGAATGATGCAGACACTCGAGCCAGAAATTGTGTTGAGTCGATCCCGCTCCATGAAGCGGCTTATGAGGGGACCAAGTATGCGATATACCAGCTACTCAGCCACGGGTCGGATATCAATGCGCAAACTGACGATGGATGGACTCCGCTGCTCTGTGCTGTGAGATATAATTCTTCAGCGGTTGTCAAGGTGCTGCTGCATTATGGTGCCGATGTCAGGATCCAAAACAACACATTGCACTCACCACTAGACATCGCTTGTCAGTACTCTACGTTCGATGTTGTACAGGCACTACTCGACAAAGGAGCAGATGTTAACACGCAAGATCAATATGGATGGACACCATTGCTGTGTGCCTTGAGATATAACTCCTCAGCGGTTACAAAGTTGCTGTTGGACCATGGTGCCGATGTCAACATACAGAATAATGCATTCAAGTCACCTTTGAGCATGGCCTGCGGGCAGTCAAGCACGGATATAGTACAGTTACTGCTTAAGAAAGGAGCCCATGTCAACACGAAAGACCAATACGGATGGTCACCACTCATGCAGGCAGTCGAGTCTAGCCCCGAGCACGCGAAGCTGCTATTAAGCCATGGCCCAGATGTATATATGAAGAATGACGAGTTACAGACTGCGCTTCACCTGGCCTGCAAATTCTCCACTGCGCAGGTCGTCAAGATGATTCTGCAGGAAGGCGTCGATATCAACGCACAGGATGAGCACGGACTGACAGCACTGCATTTTGCGGCTCACTTTGGCGATACTGAAAGTGTTAGGCTACTTCTTGCGCACAATGCGAGTGTTCGTATTACAGATCGTATAGAATGGACGGCATTGCACCACGCTACTCGATACGGGGGCAGTCTGGAAGCTATGGAGCTATTGCTTGCACATGACATCGATGTCAACGCAGGCGACTGTGATGGATGGACAGCACTTCAACATGCTCTTCGCTTTGGGGATACCGAAGCGATCAGGCTTCTCATGACATACAACCCAAAGCTAAACTTTGCTGACCATGCCGGATGGACACCGCTACATCGTGCTGCTCGGTACGGAAACGTGGAAACCATGCAGCTGCTTCTTGCACAAGATGCATATGTGAATGTTTTCGATAATCACGGATGTACGCCAATACATCTTGCCAGTCAGTATAACAACGTGGAAGTGGTGAAACTACTCCTTGCATCCAACGCAGATACAAATATCCCCGACAGGGAAGGCTGGACGCCACTGCACAATGTGGCTTTTAATCGAAACAAAGAAAACAGAGGTCCAATAGCCAGAGCGCTTCTGGAGCATGGCGCAAAGATACTTCCTACTCTCCACGGTCGACAGACACCCCTTCACAAGGCCAGTGTTGAAGGATGTGTGGAAACAACAAAGGTACTCCTCGAGTATGGGGTCGATATCAACGCCCGAGATATTGAGGGACGGACAGCACTATATATAGCCAGGTCAGACGGCTTCGCCCAGGTCGTCCGAGTGCTTTTGGATGCAGGGGCAGAGCATGACACGAAGGTGCCCGGTCGAGATGAGGATGCGACGACTGATCAACAAGTAGCCCGTCGTGGAATAGACGAGGACATGGCCACAGTGTTTGTGTCATACCTGAAATCTCACTATTGGTTGTTCCTCATGATTTACCATTTTATCCTTGAATTGTTTTAGCTGTGGGGAGGACCACATCAATGAATGAATGACATTTGCTTTGCGTGATGTCTACTTCAATTTGAATACATTCTGCTGCAGGTCGAACATCCCCGTTATTATCCACATTATAAAAAGTGTCCATTGTGAATTGAACTCCCACCACGTTCTGCTATTGCCACACCAACTCCAAGTCGTGTGGTCGGCGTACCTGAAGAGCAGGGATGGCGTCCATGCAGAATCTCGACGCGGATGTCCGCACGGGGTAGACAAAAGCAAACACAAGCTGTGGTCGTGGCTCGAATGGACTGCCATTCTAAATACAGATCTACATCCACAGCGGATCTAACCCAGCCTTACGGAGATCAGGCATTGCTTGTTTGATCAAGGTCCCGATCGAGTCCGCATGAAGCCGAAATGTGATTGGGTATACAGCTGGCTGAGGTGGAGCATAGCATCATCTCAGCCAATAATATGCATGGCGAGCACAGTTACACGATGAAAAGCAAACATCAACTATTACTCAAGCAGAACTCAATTGTGGTGATTGACGGGTATATTTCCCAAGTTGACAGTGTTGGGGTTTCGCTTTGCGATTCGGGTTGGGTTCTGGTTTGTGACTGGACAATTCAAGGCGAGCAGAGCTGAAGATCATTATGATGACTTCGCCAGACTTGGTATGAAGAGGACTGGCCAAAAATTATAAAGACTCGTCTCCGGCCCTCCTCGGCTCTCTATCAACCGACACCTTCATCGCATCCTTCAAGCTGTTCAAACTCCTCAATTATATCGATCAAAATGAAGTTCTTCGCTACACTCGCTGCTGCCGGTCTGGCCTTTGCTTCCTCGGCTGTTGCCCTCGAGCTCCCCTTGGCTGAGGTATGTACATATCTCCACCATTCATGACATTCACTAACTGAATGCTATGCCTAGGTCCTCTTCGTCCAGGAAAAGAACGTCACCCAGCCCCAGCTCATCACCGCCTACAACGGCACCTGCGGTTCCCTTTCGCCTGCGTGAGTCCACCAAAACAAGCCCATATGATACACATCCTAACAAGATATAGTTTCGCTGGCGTGACCACTGTTCTCAACATCAATGCCGAGGGTGGCCACGATCCCCGCTGCAAAGTCTTCAGGTATGCTTTCTGCAGAATAATCACAATGATATCTACTAACAAGAAACAGCGAGAGAGAATGCCAGGGCGCTTCTACCACCTTCAAGCCTGGCCAGCACAACTTCCAAAGTCGCTTTGTCAGCGGTAGCGTTAACTGTGTTGACCCCCAGCCTTAAATGAACGTCGTATATGAGATAGTTGATTATAATGCGGTAATGGATATGGATATAGATGGCAGTGTATTGTAGTTGAAATGGACAGTGCTATAGTCTTGCAACGCTTTGAACGTGCTCAAGGTATTCTCCAGTGTAGCCAACTAGCCAACATGATGTTAGGCAGTTTGTGGAATTCTTCTCTGTGCCCTCCGTTTCATCAGAATATCCCATCCGATGAGGGCCATGAGAACAATAAAAATAAGGTCTCGAAACAGGTTGGTTTCAATCCGACAAGTCTTTTTATCTCCTCCGCGATATCTGCAGCCTTTGTAGAACAAAACCAGGGTACCAACATATACGATGGTCCCTCTATATAATCTAGTTAGCAATTCTATCTCCTGGATATACTTGAAACACATACTTAATCGGGTGGGCGTAAATCGTGGGTGCTATGATCTGACCCTTAAACCCTCGCCGTCTGGGCGCCTCCGAGGGTTGGCTTTGGCTGCCCTGGCTGGGTCCTTTTTCCACATTTGGACATGGCGATTCCGTATTCTGCTTCTCTGGATCTGGATCCGATAGGGAGGCCATGATTGCTAGTTTTTCGGTGAAAAGGGGATCGTGATGATTTTATCCCAAGGCTGATTTTTGGGATGCTGCACCGCCACATTCGCTTAGTGGCGGATGTCTCAGATCCTGAGCCTGTTCATTTTGATTTAGTTGTTGGTGTTTGATCATTCTGATGCTAGTTATATTTTTATCAATTCTATTTTTCTCAATTACACACAAGACAAAAAATTATGTGGTGGTTTCTATTAACCGGAATGCCGCATCAAATGAATATATATTTGGCCCGGTTGTGAACTCCGCCCAGAGAGAACATCGATATTAAAAGAGCCTAAGGGTAACTGAGCTCGGGCTTGATTAATCAAAAAGTATTAAAGAAAGTTTAGTATAACTCAATGAGTAGTATCTATATAAAATTTATACGGGAGTCTATACAATCAATTTACCACGAAAGTTGACAGAGTAATCTTGGAGACTCGGAGAAAGGTTCTTTGTTGTTTCTTTGTTGTCATGACTATCATCCATGATAAGATAAGACAGCAGATGACTCACTTAATCTACATCTATTCAGGTACCAGTTGGCATCTGGAAGCACAGAGAGTATTTATTTAGAGGTCTTGCCATCATATTTTGGAAGCATGTAGACATTACACAACATTGATTATCTAGCTAAAGCCTTTGTAAACCATGGCACAACACCTCCCATTCGTGACTCTGGATGTCTTCACCTCCAAGCCATACTCAGGAAACCCAGTCGCTGCTGTCTTTCTCCCAGAGAAATCCAAGTCTGCCAGCATAACTCAAACACAGAAACAACGCATCGCTCGCGAATTTAATCTCTCCGAAACCATCTTCATACACCAAGGAAATGGAGCGAAACGTACAATTGACATCTTCACCAAAACATGCGAGATTCCTTTTGCTGGTCATCCGACGATAGGTGCTGCTGCCTGGCATTTATGCCATTCTACCGAGCAGGATAAGAAGACCGTTCGAGTTCTATTGACTAAATCGGGCGAAATACCGATTTCATTACAAAGCGGCAACTCGAATGTTGTTTCTGCGAAAATTGCACACGATGTGCGCGTTCACGCTGCTCGATTTCCGTTGAGCGAGGTGCTGAGGTTGCATCCATCGCTGGCGCCTTTCTTTCCTACCGATGAGGCAGGGGAGAGCTCGATTTCCTTTCCTGTTGTGTCGATAGTGAATGGAATGAGCCAAGTGCATATCAAATTACCAACGCTTACTGCATTATCTGCCGTGACAACAGCAGCAGGAGGGGAGGTCATCCAGGTCAATTCCGGCTACCAAGATGAAGGCTGGGAGAATGGTATCTGTGTCCAGTACTTCTTTGTTAGAGATACTGACTCTTGCAATGATAGGAAGACGGTTCTTCGAACACGGGGTGTTCGCGGGAACCTGGAGGATCCGGCGACGGGAAGCGCGGCGAGTGGTCTGGCTGCGTATTTGACATTGCAGGATGGGGGAGAAGGGAAGTTTGAGTATCATTTTCGACAAGGTGTAGAGATGGGGCGACCAAGTGAGATAAGAGTTGGCGTTGTGGTGAAGGAGGGTCAGATTGATAGTGTTGAGCTAAAGGGGACTGCAGTCAAGGTTTCTGAAGGGAGGATTCTGGTTCCAGATGCATAGAGTTCCTAAATAATTGATGGGACGGGGTTGTGGTTAGAGAAATGAAATTGGGTATTCTTATAAATAAACAATCAAGTATAATCAACATGAAAACGACCATTGTAATTCCTTTAATGTATATCCACAAGCAGTCGCAGGAAAGTGAAGCAACCCGAGTATTCGTGGATCAAGACTGCCCTCGAGGAACATGCAGATGGCAACACATTCACCTCGTATCCTCCCTTCAATCCATGGCTGCCATTGGGAGACAGAGCACATCAGACCCATCCAATATGCCAGCAGAATCAAAGCACGCTCGTCCCGTTCTCTAAGAAGATCAAGGTAATCATGCTCCAATCGACCCACAAAGGTGGTAAAAACACCCGAGTTGATCGCATTCCTTTCCAACCCCATCATAATACTGACCATTTGAACTGGACTGTGATAGGGATTGCTATCCGAAGTCGTCGAGTCATCAATGTCGCATAGATCTGCCAGTATCGGATCGAGATCTGCCCGACCAACTCGATCATCATGAATAGCGCCTTCGATTTTCTGACTTTCTTTGAACGCGTTGTACCAGATACTGCCAGGAATATACGGATCCGCGAGCTCCAAGATACACCGAAGGCCACTTTGCAGACAAAGCCAATTCATCGCACCTGGTTTGGGGGATAGAACCCAGGAATCGGAGGGGCTGAATTTCTCAGGACAGAGAGAATTGACGCTCATGAGCATGCATGTCGACAGCAGAGCGTCTACGTTATCCTGACTGACTTTGCCTTGGAGAGCTTTTTGATATCGCTGTATCGCTTGCTGCCAGAAATATGCTTCCGCAACCCGACGCGTTGGAGTAGGTGGTGACTTGCGGTTGATGTGGAGGAGACCAGCACCGATAATTGTGTGTAGGAGATAGGAATTCTACCTCAGTTAGAAGAGATGCAGTATATTCATGGTTGACATACAGAAAAGGCGACATGTATCACATCATTCTTCATGACCTGGCGGATCATGGGGTTGACAATCGTTTCTGTCGAACAGTTGATGAAATTCTGCAAAGCAAGAACGCTGATTGAGATATTTGAGTTTGCTTCTCTGAATGATGAATCAGTCTGCAGTGCATCTTCAATCCTCATTGTCATGTAAGATTGTGATAATGACGATATGACTGCATCCGGCTTGTCAGCCTCACTACCGTGACTTGAGGATTTCGATGGCGCAGAATAACTGCATGGAAGACCAATTTTTTGGCATCTGTTGCAAAACGGTTTCGCTTCATCGCACTAAACATTATTAGACAAATAATGGAGCAATAGAAAGAGCATACCTTAAGGCGTCGCTTCTTACAAGTCAAACACCCCGATCGAGATTTTTTATGAGCCCGACGGGGGTGATATACGGGGTCTGAAGGCGTCTCATTCACCTGAAAGACAGTCTGCCACTTGGGGGCTTTTTCAACCGCCTTCACTGGGGCCATGTTGATGAATTTCAGGTGACTGCTAGAGTCAGGATTCTGGGGCTTCTTTGATACCATAGTGCTCATTTTCATATGAAAAAAATATTAGATGTCCGTAATCTCTCCATGTTGTGAGGAGGATTGAGAAAGGAGACAAAGGTTAGAAAGAAGTCAGATCAGCCGCTCACGTGGCAAAATACGAGGCAGTGCAACGGGGCGTCGACATGGACCAGACAACACATTTTATGGTGGACAGTGAGAAATAAAGAAGTTCGGACAGAGAGACATTATTCTTATAACCAGAAGTGGTGGTAATATTTATCAGTGGATATAATGGTGGGTGTGGAATAAAGGGGAAGTGCAGAATAGATGGCCAGTGAAGTGAGAGTAAGGCGATGCATAAATGAACGGTGTTGATTCACCATCAAGATGGTCTCAATAGGAAGTTGAAACCAAGGCAAGACGTAAATTCACCAGTCCAGAGTTGAATCCACAACCAGACTCAACATCTCCAATCTCACGGCATCCAACCTCCAAGCTATCTGAGACACCATGGCGGGCTGGCCTTCTTTGCCTCCAGAGATACAAGTCATGGTCTGGGAGATACTCGCTGAGGATCCATCTATCTTGTCGAGATATGCCAGAGTCTCCAAGGACTGGTGTTCATTCTTTGAGAGAAAGAATTTCTACGGATTGACACTGCATCAAGACTGCCTGAAGGACTTCAGGAACATTGTTCGCCAGAGAAGGTTTATCAGACACATTTGGCTTCGTGTCCGAGTTCGATTATATGGCTGTCCAACCTGCAAGGACTATGAACACCCTGATAGAGGGAAGTTGAATGAAGCCACAATCCGGGCTGCTATACAGAAGCTGTTCACTATACTCAGCAAATGGAAGATGGACGAAGACCGCGACAGCAAAGGACTGACTTTGGAAATCAGTGTCCATTCAACCAGTGATACCAGACACCATTTTCAATATCTTGATTTCGACAGCAAGGCGTATTCAAATCCATTATATCTGCACGAGACAGAGGGACCCCACGATCCATTCCACGGCTGGCACAATGGGCAGAGAAAGACTGTCCCTACAAGCAAGGAAATCATGCGTCTCTTTGGACGTTATATCAACCTCAAATATGGACAGGCGCTTCCAAAAGTCGATGTTGTCACATCATTCCTCATACGTCGCCAAAGCCGCCGTCAGTTCTCTCCATATGCGGTTCATAAACTCATTGAAGGCCTTCCCAACCTCGAATATCTACATTATGAACCCTGGAGATCGCCTATGGAGTCAGAACAGGAGCGAATTGACGCGGGTAATTCTCGTTGTGTCTGCAAAGGTGACAAAAGCTAACAGAATCATACTGTAGGGAACGCGCTGGTGTTTCTGTCCCACTCAGACACTATCAAATGCCTGACATTATTTGAGGACTTCAACGAAAACTTCAACCTGAGATTCAGCCAGGACTATCGCGACTACAATCCTTCCCGACGCACCTTTTGGACACTAGGAGACGCTTTAGCGCTCGCATGTTTTACCCTTGAACGACTCTCGGCTTCCTTTCTTGTGGATGCAAAACAGTTCTTCGGAGGATGCATACCTGGATGGACTGCGTTTAATCTTGTCTCGTTAGCCCTGACTTCACAAACACTACATTCTACCGAGAATCCAGTCAAAATCAACGATTTGCTGAATCAAGCGGGCATTGCAACACAGAAAATGCCCAAACTAAAGACCATGGAGATATGGAATGGCGGTCGAGGGCATGGATGCATCTTTGGTTACTATGTGACGGACAGTTCTACCACACTTTCCTGGAAGGCTTCGTGGGGTTTGAAGTTTCAACCGCGCGTCATCGAGACTTGGAAATCGGTAGCAGTCCAGCATGACCTTGCACTTGAAGTGTCCCAGATCCCATCCTACACCATCAAGTCCCACGCGGACGTTATCAAACATCTGAAATTGAAGAACCACGTTCTTCATCCCGTGTCTTTGCACCAGATACAACAGGAGACCAAGGTTGAGGCAATGCACGGTTGAATTCTATTGTCTTTCTTCTATTTACAGCGAGCGTTGGATTTCGGTCGCATTCGTTTCATTGGAAACCTAGATAGTGACTAAACTAAGAGATAGCCAAAATAGCCAGAATAGCTGTCTCTTATCAAGGTGATGCTGGTCAACGGCAGCAGGTAGCAAAGCATTGTTCACCTATATTCATTAGTATAGGACAGAAATAGCATAGGACATCACCACAATACGTACTCGATGTAGAAGCCCGATTGTACCTCCTTCTGCAACAAGATCCAAAGCACTGGTCTCCTACTCGTGGTCAGTTTTTGACCATCAAGGGATGCACAGTAAATGTACCGTTGTAGTGATAGCTCGGCTCGGAGTCCTCAACTTCTTTCACTGTGACAGTCACATTCGGGGCTTTGCTATATCTATCAGTGAAGTTCAACAATATATCCGTAGAATAAACCCACTCAGGAACCAACGTTTCCTCCGACCCCTTCCCAACCACTAGACTGACGGGTACTGATTTAGGAACACTGAATATAGACTGCATCTTCGATTTGAAAGTCATCTTCATCCGTTTGGCTGGCATCGTCGCCTCCCCGTAGTCGGGATATATGATCAAAAATAAGAAGAACATTGTTATCAACAAGACGTTGTTGTTGGGTATATGTATTCCTGGACGCGTGTATTCTTGACGTTGAACTTGGTCTGGTGCACATCCTAAAACTAACCGAGAGAATGCAGCATTCTTCAGTAAGCGGGGTAACAGGACACTGAAAGCTTCTATTGGGGTTTTGCATACTGCCTGGGGCCTTTTATAATGCCTTGGAATAGGGAGGGGGATCGTCAAACGAGGGATTGCATTGACGAGAGGGGTCGTTGCCCTTGCCGGGTGTTGCCCTTTCGGATGCTGGGTGGCTGACTCGTCAGATACTTGGTTTCAGGAGGGTACATCATGCAATATGATTAGTGGAAGCGCTTAAATATACAGAAAATATTCATATTCTTCTCACTATGTGGGTGGATTAATGTCTTATGCCCAGATCAGCCTTGGAAAGGGCGGGTGACGCTGTATGATGGTTAACTCTTGCGCTTCTCTATACCACACAAAGTCTATTCAAGTCGTATATCCTTCAACCTTCAAGATATCAATAGTTATAATACTCAGGTCTATCAGTAAATCCTCTATGTAATGCACTAGAAAACAGTTTTCAACGACCACCCCCGACAAACACCCCTTGCTAACACAAAAGCAACCGTGGCCGCCAGATACAACACACCACCAAAGATAATGAGTCCCCCGTACTCCCCGTTATCTCTTTGTTGAATTGCTCCTGCTATCGGGATACCGGTAAGTGTCCCAATACTCACAATCGTGAAAGTCGTTCCATTCCTCTTCCCATAATCCTCGGTCGCGCATACCTGCGAGATACACACAGGCGTTAGGCTGATAGCGGCACCACTCCAGAAACCGAAGAGGACGGAGTAGCAGATAATAGCTGCTAAATTATTTCCAGCTTTGAGCCAGAGTGCAAGTGTTAAAATGGAACACACGAGTGCCGTGATGATCATGACGTTGAAGCGCCCGAGTTTGTCGGCGAGTAAGCCAGGGAGGAAGCGGCCAGGGACAGCGCCAAGATTGAGGAATGCGATCAAGGCATATGCGAGTGTATCATTCACTCCGACATGCACAGCATACGAGGCAATATAGGTAATAGGGATGAAGACGGCGAATTCAACGAGAAACACGGCGGCTGTCGTGGCCGCGTATTGAACATCTCTTAATGATTTAAAGTCGACCGATCCGCCCGCCGTTTTGTTCAGAGGTAGTCGCGTTTTGACAAGAAGACATGCTATCCCGCAGAGAATAAGACTCAGCAGTGCGATGATGCGAATCGCCCATGCGAAGCCTATCTTCGGGGCAGCAAAGAGAATGATGACCGAGAAAATCACACCCCCCAGACCTCCGGCTGTGCATGCGATTCCCGTGGCAAGGCCTCGACAAATATTGAACCAGTGGCCAACTACCGATACAGCTGGAGTGAAGAGGGCACAGGCTGAGAGACCACCGAGAACGCTGAACGATAGGAAGATCTGGTAATATTCTGCAATATCTCAGCATTTGTGGGAGGACATGAAGACGTGGTACACACCAGTGCTGAAACTGAAACATATGAGCGAAACCACTATCCCAATCGACCCGGGGATGACCACATAATTCGGCCCATACGCGTCAAATATCGGACCTAACTGTATTAGCGCCTCGTCTGTTAAATGCAGCATGCAGTACTGACCAACTTGAGCTGCTCCGATATAAAGGAAGAATCCATATGCACCATAGATCCAGCCGATGCTTGACTCCGAGTAGCCCTTCAACTGATGGTTACTCGTCCAAGCGTGCAATACACCCAGACTGTTCAACAAGCCCATGGATGGGATCATTGCGCACCATGATCCAAGCACGACTAGCCACGCCTGAAGACCTCCTTCTGGATAGTCGCTTTTCGGTTGATCCACGACATCGGGCGTGCCCGGGAGATTCGAGTCGATCGCTTCTTTGTCCGTCATATTGATCTTGTCTTTACAGTCCGCTGGCGATGTGCGAGTGGAAGATAGAGACTTGAAAATGAGAGCGAGAGTCGGCTTGGGCTTGTCCTTTATCAAGTACGAATTTCAGATTTTGAATGACCCACAGATAAAAAATCATCCATAGGCGGACAAGACGATCCGAGGGAATTCGAATGGCGTGACCATTCCTGTCCTTGACGTGGGTGAATAGTAGGAGCTCCCTTCTACTTTTCAGGAGAGGTAGATCGAAAACCAAAAGAGGGAATAAAGGCCTTGACTGCCCGAAAGATAGAAAACTGGGCAGCTTATCTCCGCTATGTTGATATTCGGGGATTGTGGCATTTGATTGGTCGATGAGCTGGACCCAGAATGGTCGCCGAAGATGCTGTTGGAAGTGATGGAGCAGTCCGGCGATGGTGTCGATCTTACACTTCTAGAATATTGTAGATGCACGGTGGGATGTGTTGTCTGAGGTTTGCAGTTGTAGATAGACATGTGTGAATCATCTGCGTAAATCCGAAAATAGCAACAGGAGCATTGGGGGTTTACCGAGATATATATTTGCTGCAGCCCTGCAGTCTACGTCACGGTGCAAATAAAACAATTCACTGTTTCAATTCAACATGAAATGGAATATTTTGAGCGATAGATCTATTTGAAATACAGAAGAAGAACAGCCTCTCCGGTATCAGGATACAGTGTCGAGTCGACTAATTTTTTTGCTTGCCAGAGGTCAGGGTTCATAATACAGATCTCTCCCGTTTTGTATCTGGAAAGGAGGCTTTTGGCATTTTCTAAGCCGTTGTTCGATATGAAGAGAGTCCTGCACATGACATAAATCAGCCACGATGCAATAATTCAAGAGTGATCGCATGCCTCGGATCTGCTATTGCAGCGCATTGTTGTCCACGCTCTAGTATGGCGAGAGATCATATTGGGATTGAGGGAGCTGGCGATGTCCCGGGGGAGAAGCAGTCATTGTGCTGGTGATGGAGATGGATATAACCGAGTATATTGAGGGGTGGAACCTATTCATCACTGGCATCTGTGGAAAACATACTCGGCAAGCGCTTTCTCGCAACAACTTATTTATAATCGAAAATATCAAATAGGTCGGTAAAAGGTATCTAGTTATCATATATTGCGCTTCCAGCTTACGATGTGCATTGATTGAAAAGCCCAGGACAGACAACACTTCGCATATAAAACTTCAGATTGCCTTTTATTTGCATGACAACAATAATAAAGAGCATCTGGCCTGTCGGGGAACGACTCCTCTCATAGGGCGCCTTTCACCAACACCGCTGGCCCACCCGAATTGCATCAGACGACGAGTTCGCCGAACATCCGAAAGTCGCCCTGATCCACCATTAAAGCTGCATCAGATCGCCGAATTCTATCTCCACCGAATACACACTCTATTCTACTATCCATGGCATCCCCGAGTCAGTCAAGTCAGAAATATACCCGCCCCTACCGTTCGAAACGCCATCCACCGTGCGATCAATGTCGTCGGAAAAAGTTGAGATGTGATGCACTGGGTGGCGGGATCTGCCAACGATGCCAGGCTGCTGGTATCCATTGCTCATTTGGGGGTCCTGAATCCACGATGATGGATGTGGAATTGTCGGCTTCTAGTGATGTGACGCCGATTGATGCACAGCAGGATAATGCAATTATTGTTGCACACGACCCAACCCCATCACAGGAACATGTTTTCCCCATCGAGCCCTCCATTGAGTCGCACCCATTTGAGAGTCTTGAGTCCATCTCGGGACAATTTCAGTCACCAGGCAGACCTACTGGTCAAACTATCCAGACGTTGGATCAGTTGAAGGGCTTTACTTCACAGGTTATCGGTGCTTCCGGAGAGTCAGACCCTTGGTTACTGCGACACGGCAGGTTTGACAACCTCGGATTTATACTGTCTCATCAGGTTCATTTCCGAAATGCCGGCGGAGTGCCGCTGGAAGAGAAAATACCGGTGCATTTTCTTGTCGCGGCCGACCAGTTGTATGATTCTACCAAAGAGCAGACGAGATTTCCTAAACGGGAGCATCTTAGAGAGGAATTGGATGCTCTAGTTCCATTAGAATATGGACAGAGACTGGTGGCATTGTATGAATTCGATTGCATATACGAGATTAAGCTAATAACTGCAGATTTGCCAAATTTGTCTTCCCAAATCTGCCTGTCATTTCTCGATCGCAATTCGGATTCACTGCTTCTCGAAGTCTACCAGAACAAGACACTCTTCGAAATACTCCTGTTCATCTACTCGCAGCTATTTATGCATCCGCACAGCCATTCGCCAAGTTTGATGAATACCTCTGTTTGATAAATGCTTATTCTGAACCACCGAGCGATCAACTATGGCGGATGGTGCTTGAGCTCCTTCTCGAAGAAATACACACACCTCATCTGTCTGTCTTACAAGCTGGTCTTTTATACCTCCACAAACCCACCAAAGGCAGCCAAAGTGCCCTTGCAGACAGTCCTTTCGTCTGGTCGCTAGTTGGCCTATTAGTCGGAGTGGCGACATCACTCGGTCTTACACTGGAATGTCGACCGATGGGTCTTCCAGCCTGGGAGAAGCGATTACGCAGAAGATTATGGTGGGCTCTATATGCTGAAGATAAATGGAGAAGCCTTTTACTAGGGAGACCTCCGTATATCCGCAATGATGAATGGGATGTGACCAACCTCGATGACGAGGACTTTCGGCGCGATGAGATTGGATTCCTGTTTACACCGGATGCGATGTCTGATGGTGTTCAATTCCAGCACTATTCACGATTGTCACGAATAGCAGATGATGTGCAGCACTCTCTATTGTATGTTGCTTCTTCTGTATAGGCCGTACTGACATGTATAGCTCCCTCCGTGCTGCTCAACGCCTCTCCTCCAACTTCCCCGACTCTCTCAACACAGCTCGATCTCTCCTGCAGAAGCTGAAAGAATGGTACTCTTATCTCCCCCCTCCATTGAAGCTCCAAACTCGCCTCTTCACCACCGTCGACGGCACACCTCAATCACCCTGTCTACACTTCGCCTACATCCTCCTCGAGGTCTTCATTTTCCGCTCTCTCCTCCGCCCAATGGTCCGATCAGCCACCCCGCCTCCACTCTTCGAAGAAACAGAAGATCCAAAGCCATTCATGAATATAGTAGATGACTATATATCGCAGATCATAGAAGCAGAGGAGGTAGAGCCTGTTCCGGCGATCGACATGTCCGATGAGAACGGAACTGGAAATGCAGTTCTCAAAGCGGCAGAGAATTGTGCAGCTACGATGCTTCGCCTTGTGATGAGGATGGCGTGCAGTGATCTGGCTGGGTTTTGGTATTCTTGTATGTATCTACTCATTCTGTGGTGATGATGCTAACGATGTAGGGTCTCGAGTTGGGTTTGCCACTGTGTCTAGTTTTATGATGCTGTTGATCGTCCAAGCACCGTCTAAAGACCATGCTATCAGAGCTAGACGAATGCTGCATATGTGGAAACAGGCACTTCGAAGCCAGAGCCAAGGAACTGAACTGATGAATCTGGCTCTGGTTCGACTAGACGGGATTGATTGGACTGGGTTGAGTAGAAACTTCTATCTTCCCAAACATGTTGAAGAAGCATTGAATGATACACTTGATGGAAATTAATGTCTGCATTATCGATATACACAATGCAGACGCATAAGGTGGCCGTCAATCATTGCAGAAAGTGGCGGGAGTGGATGGTTTGCACGCCGAGTCGGATAGTTTTATATTCCCGACTGACTCCACTTGTTTTATTTTAAACTACATCCGCATCTATCTGACAACATCATTATTGAACAATACTAAGGAATAAGAAAAATGTCTAATATCACCCTCACCTTCTTAACAACAGGCACTGTTCGCATCCGCCCCTCAATGCGCTCCCAGCCTGCCAACAGCTACACCCTCATCCGCCGCCTCCGCTCACTGACAGATCGCAACTGGACGGAACCACTCCCCGTCGGTGTCTTCATCATCCACCATCCTGATGGTCCTATTCTCTTCGATACAGGCCAGTCGCCATGCTGCAATAATTCAGGATATTTTCCCCGTGTGGCAATTTTCAATAGCGTTCTGAGTGAATTCACCATCCAACACGAAGATGGAATCGTCGAACAACTTGCCGAAGAGGGCATTAAACCCAGCGATCTACAAGCTATCGTACTCAGCCATCTGCACAATGACCATGCCGGGGGTCTAGAGGACCTTGCCAAAGCAGCACCAGAAGTGCCAATCTACATCAGCAAACCTCACTGGAAGGCATTCGGTGAACACCCCTTCTTCGCCAGCATCGAAGGCGCAACACCGGCGCATTGGCCAGAAAACTTTTCACCTCGCATATACGATTTTCACGATCGCACCGTTGGTACTTGGAAGCAGTCGTATCCTATTACGGCTGATGGGAAGATTGTCGCGGTTGATACATCTGGCCATGTTCCTGGGCATGTGGCGTTGATCGTATACGGGAGCAGTGACGGGAAGGAGACTACGTATCTACTACCTGGTGATGCGACATATGGATTGGATCTATTGGACAAGGAAGAGCCGGATGGGATTAATGATGATCCTATGCGTGCGTTGGAGAGTTTGAAGCTGATGAAGGAGTTTGCTACGATGGAAGATGTGGTGGTGCTGCCGAGTCATGACGTGAATACACCACGTCTGCTAAAGGACAGTGTGGTTTATCGCCCTTGATAAACATATTTATATCGCCAAGGAAGAGAAAATATATCCGATCATACCATAACACAATTACTAGACATGACACTATGAGCAATCCGATCTCGGTCGAAACTGAATCAAAGGCCCCTCTCGTCCGGAGGCTATCCAAGCTTTGAGCCGATACTCCGGGCTCCTCTCCGTCTCACCATCCAGCCAACCACAGCATTCTGGCTCATCGACGGCATGCTCCGGTGGAAGCCGCATGTCATACCGGAATACTATCCGTGCGATGATCAGAGTCAGCTCCGCCCAAGCCATATTCTTGGCCACACATGACCTGGGTCCGATGCTGAAGGGGCAAAAAGCTGCCTTGGCTAGCTTGATATTTTGTTTGCTAAGTGTATCGTCATGGTCTCCGTCTTCCTCGATCCACCGCTCGGGCGCATACTTGAAGGGTCGACAATAATACCGTTCATCATGGTGGATTGCATAAATGGGCGTGCCGATGACAGTTCCCTCTGGGATATAGTGGCCGTCGACAGTAATGCCACCGGGGAGAACACGACGTGTGGGGAGGCCTGCAAACGGAGGTGACAGGCGTAAAGACTCATTGATACATGCACGCAGGAAGGTGCATGAGTTGAGCTGAACACCGAGGAGAATATCTTCCTCGCTTTGGAAACAAGAGCGAATCTCGTTGGTGAGCGTAGCCAATGCTATAGGGTTATGAACTAGATGGAAAAATGTTGAGCTCATGGCGACTGCGACAGTGTCGGATCCTGCCTTTTGTCAGAAATGAGAGACAACAGATTCAAGGGCAAGGTCCATACCTGCTACAATCAACTGTAAAGATTCCGTCCACAGTTCTCTCTCAGTGAAAGGCTGACCAGTATCGGGGTCTTTGGCGTTGAGCATGTAATGAAAGCAGTCCTTTTGAGGAACATCATTCCCGAGTTTGGTGCGGGCTTTGGCCTGCTGTCTGATCCAGGCACCAAAGTCTTTGATCGGAGAGAGAAGAGACGCAAAGAAGACGCGGTCTAGCTTATACCGCCATAGCTTTGATTGAACAAAACACTAGAGAGTCTTGTCAGTAAAACAAGTGACAAAGTTGACTGGCAGACTATCCCTACCACTGCGTTCCGACGGCTGAGCATCGTAGTGATCTTGGTAATGGAGCGATATCTGTCCGATTCAAGCATCCCGAAACTCTTGCCATAGCAGAGATCACTGATAACATCGAAGGCGACGTAGTCAGAAAGAGCTGCCATGTCCTTGGTTGGCCCCCAGCTACTCTTAGAGTCGACAGGACTGTCGCTGATTATAGAATCCGCAGTGTCATTATAGAGCATATCACATAACCGCCTTGTGTGGAGCAGAATCCGATCTTCAACCCCCTTTAAGGCCGAAGCAGTGAAAACTTGAGACAGGATTCTTCTTTTAAATGCGTGTGCCTGTTTATCGATGCTGCTGATGGTGTTGGGCGCGTGCAAACTGGCGCTCATGACCATATAACCGTCGTCTTTGCGGACATTTGCTCCTGTCGCGTAGATGGTGGCCATTCCACTCCGTGTATTCACGGATAGGAAGTTTGGGCCACATCGAGCAATGTCCCCTGATTATGTGTTAATATACAGCACTCAACTCTAGGTTACTGCCTTACCATATTGCTGATGCCCATCCCATATCATAAGATGCGAGTTACCTCTCCAGACATGAAAGGCCGCATACCAATTGGAGATGGCGGCTTGCCATGGGCCTGGAAACTTGACTAGTGGGTGCAAATAGAGTCTGTAGACAATGCCATAGAGGACCTACGTTGGTCAACAGATATCAGCAGATGATAAGAAAAAGGGTTGAATTGCATACATATACTATGGCCAGAAGGCCAGCACTCAGTAATATTAGCATTATGAAGACAAATCTGAATGGACATTATGTGTAGGCGTCAGAAATGGTGTTTTAGTGGTGTGGTTGAGAGTTTTCCCCTGTCGACGCATGCGGATATATAGAGGGGACGAAACAAATGCTACGGTGGTAGCCCATTACACTTTTACTTGACCTGGCCAAGGTTATTTAATTTTATTCTGATATGAAACCATCATTCATTGCCCCTGGTCCTTGTTTTCATGGTCTCTACTCCGCTCAGGTAATATTTAGTGTTCCAGTGCTACTGTCTTAGCCATGTTGGACAGCTACACATTTGAAAATGTTAGCCATCTCCGATAGGCAACGCTTTGCCCTCACAATCCTCGCCCTGGCCACAATATCGCTCACTGTAGCGCTCAGTGGCACCAGTTTAAGCAATGCTCTCCCTGTGATCACCAGCCAATTCCACGGCACAGACGTGCAGGCCTTCTGGTCCGGCACGTCATATCTCCTCTGCTCTGCCGTCTTTCAGCCCCCATTTGCCATCTTTTCTCATACTTTCGGACGAAAGCCGTTGGTAAGAACCTCGATCAGAATTAAGCAGTACCTTTTGAAGTTGTCTAACTCAACTACTACAAACAGTTCATTCTTGGCGCCCTGCTCTACCTGGCTGGGGCTGCCGTTGCCACAGGCTCTGGATCTTTTAGCGTCCTTCTTGCTGCTCGCTCGATTCAGGGTTCAGGAGGGGGGGGATTGCTCACCCTGTCGGAGATTCTCATTGCAGATTTGGCACCGTTAAGAGAGCGTGGGAAATGGCTTGGCCTGTTGAGTATGATGTGGGCTGTAGGCTGTGTCAGTGGGCCTATTGTCGGCGGTGCTCTTGCTCATGAGAGTATGTTCTCATCTCTCTATGGTTAGACAATATATCTGACTGCTGTATAGAATCATGGAGATGGATCTTTGCCTTGAACCTCCCGCTTGCCAGTGCTTCACTCATTCTGATCTTCATTTCTCTGAAATCCTGCCGACCTCAGACAATGCAAGGAGATGGTGAGAGTGTTAAGAAGCAGCTTGCCCACATAGACTGGATCGGCTTCGCCATTTTCATACCTTCGATGGCTAGCTTTCTCATCCCAGTGACCTGGGGCGGGGAGATGTTTCCCTGGTCCAGTTGGCACACGTTGGTGCCTCTGTTGGTCGGGGCAATGGGACTGATTGTGTTTGTGATTTATGAGATGTTCATTGCAACAGAGCCCTTTTTATTGAGAAGTATTTTCCGTCATTGGAATACGAGATTGATTTACTTTCAGACATTCGTGCATGGAATCGTGGTATGTTGCCGAATCTTGTCAAAGAGTAAAGTATTTCCAGAATCACTAATATCCAGATAAATAGGTCTGGTGTCTTCTATACTACCTCCCCCTCTACTACCAAGCAGTCCAGTCCTTCTCCCCCCTGATGTCCGGCGTCGCCCTCCTCCCAGAAACATTCACCATCAGTATTTCCGCCGGTCTCGTTGGACTGCTGATCAGCATCACCGGCCACTACCGCGGCACTCTCTGGGCAGGCTGGGTCATCACAACAGCCAGTCTCGGACTGCTCACTCTGCTAAACGTCGACACTCCGACCTACGAATGGGTTCTTATCAATCTTGTCGTCGGTCTAGGAACCGGATCCCTCTTCACCAGCACCAATCTTGCAGTCCAGGCGAATATTCCCCCGGACCAAGTCTCGCATGCGCTGGGTTTCTTTGCGTTTTTCCGCTCCTTGGGCCAGTCCATTGGTGTTGCTGTCGGAGGGGCCACATTCGATAATATATTCCAGCAAAAGCTGGATAAAAATGCTGGTCTCGCTGCGTTGACGGCGAAGCTCAGCACTGGAGCGGCGGCGATGGTTCAATCCTTGAAAGCGATTCCGGATCAGGAGCCACGCAAATCGGAGCTGATCCAGGTGTATGCGGATGCGTTGAGTATGCTGTGGCCGGTGATGTGTGCTTGCTCGGGGGCGGCGTTGTTGGTGAGTTTGGCTGTCAGGTCTTATAGCCTAGGACCTGGTAATGTAACCGGAAGGGAAGAATCCGGATCTAATGGGGATGTTGAATCGATGGAACCGAAACAGGAAGTGATGGAGAAGTCGTGATGATTGAATACTACATGCTAGATCAAGTATTAAATGTTCTTATATACATTTGTCCAAGCGTTTCACTAGGCCTTCCATGTTTCCCCTCCTATCACAGCAATCCTCATCGCATCCAAAAGGTTCTTAGCCACATTAGAATGACTATACAGTCCACCCGCAAACATGTCTGTTGCATCCTTCCCAATTGCCCCAGTAATTATCATCGGACCCCCTGGATGCTCCGCCACAAAATTCGAGACATCATGAACAATCCCCTTAATGACGACCAGATTACACCCCGTTCTCGCTCTCTGTCGATACTCTTCCCACTCCATAGTAGGCAATGCGGCAACTGGCAACCCCCAATCTACTAGCTGACAATCCCTTTCCAGCCTTTCCCGCCGTTTCTGTAACCTCCCTTTCTCAATCTCATTATGCGGGAATCGTCTGAGATTGCTGGCAAGTCCAATCCGAGCCAACAACCATTCGTCCACTTGGTCGGATCATAGTTATACCATCGAATCCCATTTCGATAATCGATCGGGAACTCGTGATGGATATTATGATACCCCTCACCGAGGGTCAATACCGCGGCGAACGGATTATCTGGAGGAGGTTTAGTCGATTGAAACGGCTGTGAGCCCATTAGATGGGCGACGGAATTGATATCGCTAATATCCACATGGCCAGTCGTAATAGTTCCCTGTAGATTTCGGGCTCTTCTTGAATATAATCCAGCCGATGTGCGCATAAAAGAACCCCCTTTGTACATTGTATGGATCGTGATCCGTGTCGGCGTAGCGAGGGTGGGCGCGGTGATCGCGACACCATTGTTTGATCGTGCCTTCTCCAGCACCAGCGCCGATTATTGCGAACAGTAGTTTCAAGATAGGGCTTAGCCGCGTATGATTTGTGTGCCCAGAGACGGTGATAGCCTATTTCTCAGCTTGAGGACTGTTCTATTTCCTGACCCCTAGGGCCACTCACCGACCGTAATGCAAATCCCCCGTAAAAAGCCAAAGAAGCACATAAATAGGACGGTCTTTTTAAAAACAAGGAATCCAGAAGATGATCGAAGCGACTAGAGGGACCCCAACCAGAAAAATGACCATCGGCCATTCCAGCGAGTGTCGGGCGGTGGCCGACTTTCTGCTCATTGGAATTGGAAATGACTGATTCCACTTGTGGGAAATCAACAACTTGAAAAATTTCGGCACATATTGATGATACCGGCGAGTTAGTGGTTCGTTCGTCCAAGTACAGCTTAGTACATGTCCTTTCGTCGATAATGGCTACCTAAATTGAAGGCTCCAAAAGTAAGCGGGAACAATACCCGTCGCCGGAATAGTAAGGAATGATCTTTTTTCCCGCAATTATATATATATATATATAGGTGTCGTCTATGACAGGACTTTCTAATTTTAAGTTCCATGATCTCTACGTGTGGTCATTGACAGGTGGATACGTTAGACGTTGACAGATCTCCACTCTTTATACGTTTACTACCATAGCATACTACCACACGATCCTACTGCAACTCCCTATTCAAGAATAACAATACAACGACACTGTGCCCTCCATTAAATATATCATCCAGCCGGACTAACTGGTTTTCCATCATTACTTCACATTATGGACTTCATCACCGTCCCCAGTATCCAATTCGGCCTCCCGCCACGGGAACTCTTCTCGTTCCCTCCCAGCCAACGCAAGACACCCATACCTGCATATCCAGACTCATCGACCAGGTCGCTGCTTCGGCCATTCACTATAAACCCACATATCTTCCACGCTTCCCTCGACCTCAAATCTACCCTTACCTTTATTGCGATATATGTTACCGCGGTCCTTTCTCTAAATCAGCTCAATGCTAGTCGACGGTATCAGCCGTGGGCCTTCAGTAAGACATCTACATTTAGAGCTCTGGTCATACTGCACAATGCTCTACTGGCACTATTTTCTGCATGGACCTTGTTCACCACATGCCAAGCGCTGAAAGGTTGCTGGCCAGCGGGAGAGCCCAATTACTATGCGCATGTGGCGGAAATGCTGTGCGAGACTGACTCGAGTGCACTTCGAAGTGAGTCAATCTCGTCTCGCCATCGAGGTTTTCAGAGTATAAGTAATAACTGACGTCTGTCTGTCGTGGGTTGAATTAGCAAGTGCAAAAAGTCTCTGGGAAGAAGGATCCGGGTACATAGGCTGGGTCTTCTACATCTCCAAGTTTTACGAAGTCTTGGATACGATGATCATTCTCGCACGAGGGAAAAAGAGCTCAACGCTACAAACGTATCATCATGCCGGAGTGATCATCTGCGGATGGGCAACGATGAAATATGAATCCCCAGCGTCTTTGGTTGGGATTGTCTTGAATTCTGCGGTTCATACTTTGATGGTACGTACTTCCCTACTTTGTATTGCTGTTAACAATCCTTCCATGGCGTGCTATGACTAACTTTTATGTACCTTTAGTACTCGTATTTCACCATTCACTCGCTTGGTGTTTCCGTCCCCATGAGTATCAAACGATCTCTTACGACTATCCAAATCGCGCAGTTCTTGACGGGCTTCGTTTGGGGCTATAGCTATCTCTTCGTAAAGTATCATGTTCCCTTGGATATTACAGCACAGCCGGTCGACCACAGCAACAGCTGGGAATCAGGGTCATACTCGCGCATGGAGTATAATCCTCCCTCAACCAGAGGTTCTGATAGTGTGACCCGAGTAGTGGCTACTGCTGCAACTCCCTGCTTGAGTGACAGTGGTGAGGCGCTGACTGTTGTATTGACAACGGTATATGTTTTGCCTTTACTGTTGCTTTTTGTGCGGTTTTTCATCGAGTCATATACAAAGGGGGGAATTAAGGCTAAAGACTAGACTTATTGTTATTCCCAGTCTCTAGTATAATACATGCTAATGGACACTATCATCACGCGTACCCTTCTCAACCTCCTCGTTCTTCTTTCCCCCAAACAACTCATCCATATCTTCCAACGCCCTCCCTTTCGTCTCTTTCACAAATACAAAAACCCAAACGGCCATCGCGAAGCAAAAAACACCAAACATGATAAACGTCTTCCATCCAATGTTGCTAATCGCAGCTGGAGTGAAGCGCGTAACCACGAAATTAAACAACCATTGGGTAGCCGATCCCATGCCCACTCCATACGCGCGGAGTCGGGTCGGGAAGATCTCAGAGATATACACCCATGGGATCGGACCAAATGAGGCGGAGTACCCGATCACATAGAGGTATATCATGACGACCATTGCGATGGACGCAGGAGGAACGCTGCCGGTGTTGAGAGGTGGTTTTGTCACCAGGACTGCGCCGATGATGAACATCATCGCGCTCATCCAGAGTCCACCGCTGATCAGGGACCAGCGACGGCCGATTCTGTCGATGCCGACCAGAAGGAAGAGACCTGTTGCGACGACTTTGACGACGCCGTAGATGCCTGTTGTGAAGAGACTTGTGTCTGTCGAGGTTACTCCAATCGTTTGAAACAGCTGCGGTGCGTAGTATCCGATACTGTTTGTGCCGGTGAATTGTTGCCAGAACATGATTATGAAGGCATTCATAAAGCGCTGTCTGTTTCCTGGGAGGAAGGCTTCTTTCCAGGTTGTTCCTTCGGTTGCACTGAGTTCTTCATCGATTGATGCTTGGATTTCAGCGAGCTCTTGCTGTACATCTGGATGGTGGATGTCTTCACAGCGCATATACGCCAATGCATCCGAGGCTTCGGTATGTCTGCCTTGCTTCATCAACCATCGAGGCGATTCAGTCAGAAAGAAGAGTCCAACGAGCATAATACCGCTAGGAACAAGTTGAATAGCAATCGGAATCCGCCATTGTTTTGTCGAAGGCGCAACACCCTTCGCAACCCCATAGCAAAGCCAATACGCAACCGTAACGCCAATTACCAAGAACTCCTGGAATAGTCCAGATATTCTCCCTCGAACATTCGGAGGACAGTTCTCCGCCACGTAAACGGGGGTTATCGACGACATCCCACCAATACCTAATCCGGCAATCACCCGCCCAGCATAGATGTATGCGATTGTACTTTTTCCGGCTGTTTGGACAGCAGCTCCGATGAGAAAGATGATGCATAGGCCCATGAGCGAGTATCGACGGCCAAATTTTTCATTGGCGTATGCGGCTCCGATGGCTCCGAAGAAGCAGCCAGCTGTCAGGAGGGATACGACATTCGAGGAAATTTCCGCATTTTTGCTATCTGAAAAGCCGGTGCTGGAGACAGGGAGATTGAAGTCCTTCTTAAAGCTGTCTAAGGCTAGCACGCTGCCCATTATGCCGGTGTCGTAGCCTGTCCATGTTAGATAATGTGTGAATGGGAGGGATTGACATGCCAAATAGAAACGATCCCATGTACGCCACCGAGGTGAGCACGTAGACTCGGGAGTTTTTGAACATTGACTTCATCTTGGATGGCGGAATTGGGAATCTCTGCTGCTAGGGAGCAATTCCGACACAGCGAATGGAAACGGCGTACCCCAATATATATATTTTCACCTAGTCAGACGGCACCTGGAGCAGCTCGTCTATTTCCCGCCATTACCCCAGACTTTCCGCCTCTTTCACGGACGGGGAAAGAGGAGATGAGCGTTTGAGGGGATTTGTCATCGTTACTCGGTCCCTGTATACCCTCATCCTGTCCGGATCAGACGGCATCATGCCCTCCTTTCAATCATCGGTAACTGAGATCAAAAGCCGCCGTGAGTGATTGAGAATGATCATCTCTATAAATGACAGTAGTCTTAGCTCAGGGACCAATGCTCTCCAATCGGCAGACTTAATTTCCATCTCATGACCCAATCGACACCAATCTGTGCCATAGCCAAGCTATCGGCCTTTGAATCCGGCTATCTGTACTGCCAATGACAAAAGAAGAAGGCCACTCGAGAGACCCGAGCTACGAAGGTTTGTATTATCAAGAAATACAAACGATCCACCTTGTCGGCAAGGGACATCGGCAGAGCAGAGTGGGCCATTTTGCCGATGTATGGGGATGTGGGGATGGAAATACGGGGTGCGGGAAGCTAGGATGTGGAGTTGCGGGGTGGTTCCGCCATTGTATAGATGTCGGGGAATATGTCTGATGGCATCACATTAACCCCGGATTCATTCGATCATCCCATAGCTCATGGGCCTGTGACCATACCAGAATGTCCGAAACCCCTCATCTTGCACCGTATGAAGGATATTGGGATCAAGAGTTCTCAGACCTCCTGGGTCCAGGGCATCTAGTATAAAGGCCGTGAAATGGCATCACTTTGTTTGGGAAGAATAACTACACATTCTGCTCATCATGAAGGTCCAAATCGCCATAACGCTTCTTGTTCCAACAGCCCTTGGCCTCATCTCCGTCCCCGATTCCCCGCCCAACTTTGCCAGCGATCCTATTCCCAAGGATCTCTCGTCGTTTTCAATCGAGCTTTCATCATTTCCCAACTATGCTGGAAACACTTCGATTCCAAATGACTTCTCATACAATCTGCTATCCAACCTGAAGGAGCTTACGGGAGTCTGGCCCAAGGTCAGAGTGGGGGGGACAACGCAGTATGAACACTCCATACGATAGATCTGTCTCATCTAATGTTGTACTATCAGGGACAAATCATTGTTTGATCCAGACCAGGCTGAAGCTATAAAGCTTTATTTTGACAAGCCTGGCGACGACCAACCATCGCGTGCAACATACGGACCGGCCTTTTTTGAGTCATACCAAACATGGGAGGGCGTCAAGTTCATCCATGGCTTCAACTTCAACTATAATGGTTCCGACGCTACTGAACAACTCCAATCGGTGTCTTCTGCAGCCTGTACTGCTATGGGTCAACGTCTCTTCCTCTCCGAACTGGGAAATGAAATCGACTTTGCACCTGGATGGCCCAATTTCTACCGTTCCCCGAACTGGACTATGGCGGACTATGTGAAAGAATGGAATTGGAAGACAGATGTTATGGCCAAGTCTATTAAGGAGAGCTGTCCGGACGTTACGACTGATTTTATCGCGCCTAGTTTCATCTGGACTAATCTTACCGGACGAGCTCCATGGAATCCAGCGGATGCTTTTAAGTTGGGGCTGGGAGATAATGGGCTTGTCAGTGAGATTGGCGTGCACAAGTATGTTTGATGCATTCTTAAAGATATGATACTGACATGCATCAGCTATATGAACGCTGACTCAAAGGAACGTTTCGGTGTCGACAATGAAGATCTACAGGGTGGGTACTCCTCCATCATCAAGTATAGATTGACTAATCAGATAGAACTGCTCATGAACCACTCGAGCATCGTCGGCTCCCTAGGTCCTCATATAGAGCTCGCCAGGAACCTATCCGACCTAGGCCTCCCGTACATTCTTAGCGAAACAAACAGCATCGCAGGGCAGGGACGAATCAACAAGACAGACGTCTTGGGTGATGCCCTTTGGCTGGTTGATTATACACTCTGGGCTGGAGCCCATGTACGTCCCCTATCTTGTTTTCTTGATATGAGTACTAAATAAAGTAGGGTGTAAAACGGATTCATTTCCACCAAGGGATGAATTATCGCTATGCATCGTGGCAGCCGATGGAGAGCAACGGGACTCTGCCTACGACTCGGCCGCCTTATTATGGGCATATCATGGCGTCGCATGCACTTGGGAACTCTAGTGACACACGCATCGCAAATATCCCTCTGAAGGAAGATACAGAATCCGCATACGCTATATACGACGACAATTCTCTCTCTCGCATCGCCATCCTCAACATGCAAGAGTCGTTTGCCAATGCCACCAGCCGCCCTACCGAGAAGTATACCGTCAAAGTCCCCAATCATTTCCACAGAGCAAGGGTGGATAGACTCATCGCACCAGGAAGCGACTCTCGTACGAACATCACATTCGGCGGTGTTTCGTACGACTATACTCGATCACGGGGCCACCCTGTTGTGTTGAATTCGCCAGAGTACGCGGCCATCAAAGATGGAATGCTGCAGATAGCAGTTCCTGCCTCTTCAGCTGTGCTTCTTACCCTCGATGGTTAGGGATACGCGTTGTGTGCAATACTCGGGGATCCCCGTGTAACGCAGATGTTTCGGAGTCCTCAAGTCTATCTGTCATTTAGGAATATTGTGTCACATGCCCTTGCATGATGACGTTTCGCTGAAACTATCAATTCTGAATTTATGTTTTAGTGACGGTATACCAGTACTCTAGCACAGCTTTCAATGTTTGTAGTATTGTATCCCACCATCCACCCTATACTATCAAATGCACATTTCCCTAGAATCTATACAAATCGAGACTATATGATAATGGTATATTTGAGAGGAGAGAAACCATAGCACTACTGGTAAAACAGCCATTTGATAATCCGCGCTCGATGGCCTTTTTTCAGCAGTCCCCTTGCTGCCTCTCGAATCTCCTCGGCGTTTCCAGTCACGTCAGATATGCCCCTCTCCGCCATGAATAGTTGCAGACCTCGCCGCTCAACCTCTGTCAGATCCTCCCAGAGCTGTTCCGTTTTCCCCTGGGAAAAGTCCAAGGACAGTCCGAACAGGGCATAGACGCGCTCGGCGATGTTAAGATTTGTATAATCCCAGTCCAAATTTATCCACCGAATTTTTATGGCCCAGGGAATACGCCGGAGTCTCAGGCCTGCATCCCAGGACTTCTGCGATATGGTTCGGCAGTCCCTTCCACTCACGGCGTGGATGGGTCCCTTGCTTCCCTTGGCCAGGTGAGCCAGCAGTCGGTCAACCACGACGTCGACCGGGACCGCGTCGACGTTTGCCTCTTCCTGTGGGTTCTTGAGCCTTGTTTGGACATGAAATTTTGAGAAAGGTAGGACAAGAATAGAAGCAGCGATCATCGTATACGGGCAGGATCTCGGATGCTGGAAGTTGACGCAAGGGAACAACTGGGCCGGCGTGATGATGGACGGCCGGACGATGAGAATCTTGTCTGGCGTGCTGGCCTTGTCAAAACGCTCCACGAGAATGCGTTCTGTCAGGTGCTTTGCATAGGCATACGCCCATACGAACTCGTGGGACTCATATTCGGCGCTCGTGCCTATTTGCATAACCTCGTGGAGTTCATCCTCAAGACTGCGGGGCTTCTCGGATTGGAGTGGATACATATCTTCCTCCACCTTGACTTCGGGGAGGTCGCTCTGATTGTATAAAAAGATATTCACGTAGGCCGTTGACACAAAGACGAAGCGATGCAGATTCACGCATCCCAGTGCGAATTCGGCCACATTCTGACTTCCCCCGAGGACGGCGTCGATTACGTAGCCCAGAGGACGACCCAGGTTAATGGAGGACGCTGAATGAATCACAATGTGGATCCTTTCTTGTAGCATCCTGACCACATCATCTGTCATGCCCATGTTGGGTTTGAGCATGTCGCCCTCGATGACAGTAATATGCGGTGCCTTGCGCAGTGCATCATAAGCTGCCAGTGGAAGGGAAAAGCCCCATTTTTCTTCGAGTCGGCTGATTACTGTTAATATGCAAGCTGACAGCATATGGATATCACCTACCCCCATCCTCCTCGGCATAACAGGTAGATGTGAGCCACCGGCGACTGTGAGGCGAGACGGTAGACAAGCGCCGTTCCCACGAAGCCTGAGCCACCGGTGATGAGGACGTTTTTTCCCGAGAAAAATTCCCACATTTCAGAGTCTACATGAAATGGAGTGAGGAGTAGTATAACTATATTCATGGCCAGCCATCGACCTTTATATAATGCAGTCAAGATTCGAGACATAATTAAGGTTCAGTCAATCTAGTATTGTGATACCCGGACTGTCGCAGTGGCTATCTAGCTACGTGGTCCTGCGTCACTGTCAGTCAAATGCCAGTTACGAATAGAGCAATCGATGTTCATACTGTGCAGATGATGCCGAGTGTCCCTCTGGGTAGTGGGTATATCGAAGGTGTTGGATATGTATACTAACTCTAGAGCATTAAAGTTGGAATGTCCCACAATCGCACAATCGGTATTGTGTTAAGCAAGTATTATGACTCATGATAGATCTGGCATTCCTATCGTGATGGTGTGTAACGCTGAACGGTGATTGCTCCTTCATGACGCATACCATAAAGGATATCTGCACTCAGACCAGGCTCCCCATGAAGCATACTACCATGGGAGACCAGGGGGCATCACGGTATTGCCATGATATTGCTCTTCCGCAGCAGATAAACAGGTCACCGCGAATGATGTTCCCATGGCCGGTGATCCTCAAACTATGCTATAATGTACTTCTATACGCGAATCTCCGGTCTACCATGGAATCAGATAGAGGCAATTACTGATATCTTCACCTACCCTTGTCCGGGTTCCAGTCGAAGGAGAGCGTACAGCACAGCCAGCCCACACGGAACCGTCAATTACGACAAGGTCAGCTTGGAAATTTGGGACTCACCTTCACGATGTATCTTTTACATGGAGATGGCCGAACAAGTCATTTCACATCCGTGGGTTGCTCCATATGACATTTACAGTTTGAATTCAGGCAGCAAGGCAGCAAGGCACTCAGGCACCAACCCACATCCACACCTCGAATTCCGCTCTTTTGATCTCCCCAAAAATGGCATCGTACCTTCCGATCGAGATTGTCTCGCAAATCGCCTCGTATCTCGCAAAGGAGTGCGGCGAGGAGCGGTCCACACCTTGGTTCTATTATGGCCAGATTCCCAGATTAACACCATGCTCGACAGTGTCTTCCACGTGGCAGGCGGCCTGTGAGCCATTCATCTATCGTACTCTGCTCGTGTACAGCGAGGATCTGGGCTATAAAGGCCATCTGACATGGCATGGGCTGGATCAGTTGACATCTGGTGCTCCTTATAGACGGCGGCGTAGAGCATGGATACGCCACATCCTGTACCAAGCTGTCGTGCCGTGGGATAACTTTGGAGAATCCAGATACTTCAAACTTGAAGGATACACGTACGATAATCCCTTACGACGCGGCAACGATGAGGTCTTCCATCTTGCTGTTGCCAATTTCTTTGACGTCCTCGCCTCATGGGGACGCGACCTCGAGCCCCGGGTGTGTGTCACTCTTCTTGACCCCAAGGGGGTGCGATGTCTGCCCGAACCGTTGACTTTTGATGACCCAGATGGCGTAGTACACCCCCGTCCTATACACTTTGACCCGCCAAACGATGCGGTCGTGATCCCCCAGTCCCTTGGCTTTCCACCTGGGTCAAGTCTTGCTCAAGTGCCCTGTATCAACACTGTCCACTTCGAAGGAACCGTCAAGAGATTAAAGTATTCATTCTTTTCCAGCAAAGTAGCCTCGGAGATTCTTGCGTCCTGCCCTTATGTCAAACATTCCACTTTACGTCTGGTTTATCCTGTTCCAAATGATTCACCGGTTCTTTTGTGTGAGCAACGCGAGGGTAAGGGCCATTTGGGCCATATTGAATTTCTATGAATAGCCTATGAAGCTGACATTTTCATCCATAGCCAACTCTAATCTTGTTGCCCAAATGCCATCGACATTGGAAACACTCAATATAGAATGTGGCTCTTCAATGTCGCCTTTCAATGCACCCAATCTATTGCCTCCATCCGGCATCGATTCACTACTCCCCAACCTACGCATGCTCTCTATGCGACTTCGAGAGCTTCGCCTCAAGAACTCCCGCGTCAGCAGTGAGCTATTCTGGCCATCGCAGCAATCAAAAGCTCCTTACTGGCCGAGGTTAGAAATCTTCATACTGGAAACAATGCCTCTCCTTCCATCCGGTTAGATCCTCCCTCTCTTTGCCAGCAACGACCTCTCGCTGATTCCCGGTGTCAGGTGATCGCCTTATCAGCGTTGCTTACTATGCCGAAAACCCCACTCTCGATGAATTCAATCACGACGCCTTGTCGCGTATATATATTGCTCTCGGTCGCGCTGTTCACCAAATGCCCCGGCTCCAACGCCTCATGCTGAAGATGACCGATTCGTCGACCCACTATCTCAATTTGAATGTGAAAAAGGTTGACGGTGTGGATTACATCAGGGTCGAATGGTCCAGTTCACACGGGTATCGTCCTGACTATAGCATCTACTCGGTCTGGGGCATACCTGTTGACGAATTGCATGTGTCGGAAGTTCCTGGTAGTATTTATAAACTCCATACGATTTGCCGTGGTTATGCTCCTGTTCCGAGAGTGACGCGGTAATATTGCGCTAGATTGGTTTTGTTTACGTATCTCTTCGCTTCGGCGTGTTTGTTTTGTTAGAAATGTGTCTGACGACCATTGCGTGTACTATCCCGTCACAAGTGGCATTCTCTTATAAGCAACTCCACCCTGATACGATATGCATATTTCTTATCTCAACCAGTATGGATCTACTCTATTTGACTCTAATTCAATCACCAATTGCTAAATACGAGATATAAACTTTGACTGTGTGCGGAATTTGTAATCATGCATATGGGATGTTAGATATATATATCGGTATCTCCAATTCAACTTTTACCCCAAATTCGAATCCCACACTCCAACTTCACTTAAATAACCAACACCCTGACATCTCAATCAAATCAACCTATATCAATATAAAGCGACAATGGCATTTATCCAAAAAGAATTCACGCATCCCCCTCCTCACCCCGCAATCGGGACCCTCGCCGACTCCCCGACCGCAAAACCGTGGTATCCGATCGGCCCTGGCATCTGGGAACTTCTCCTCAACGGCAACCCCAACTCAGACAACAAGTCTGTTCTACAATGGTATGATCCAGGAACCAAGTCGACGCAGACAGAGCCGATTACGCACACATATTTCGAGGAAGTGTGTTTCATGCAGGGTGGACTGAAGGACTTATCGCTGGGTAAAGCTTGGAGTGTTGGGGCTTATGCTTGGAGAGAACCGGGGATGGTGCATGGGCCTTACGAGGCTTCTCAAGAGGGGTGTTTGCAGTTTGTCAAGTTGATACCGGCTGGGGAGAAAGCATAGAACTTTTGCATTTGGGGCGTGTGGCTTTTTAAAAACAGCATCCCAAGCATGATCTCATCAAGCCTCCATTTTTATTATTTTCGAATGTATCCACTTCTTTTTCGTTAGTAGCTTCGAAAGACATTCGTTTTTCGCTGGGATCGTCTCGATAAGACTCGGTTCGGAATGCGGAAATCGAAGCAACCTCCAGGGAGAAGTCTCCCTCCTGTGTTCCAAAGAAACTATAACCGTTAGCAACAAGTACATTCAGAAGTAATGGAAAAAGAATATACCTTCTCATCATGATGCTAACCCTCTTAATATTCGTCAAGTTCAATGGCGTCTTAACCTTTTTCTCCTTCCCCCGATACGTAGCCTTGAAATCGGCCCATTTGATCGAAACCCGCTCTTTCTTCTCTGCCGGGAAGTCATATTCCCAGCTCAACGTGCTTTGTTCCCTTCCATCCGGTCGCTTGGGCAGAATTTCGTCCTTCAGCGTGATGGTGTAGACTTTTCCGTCCGCCCGGTCAACGTCCAATTCGAGGCCATCGTACTCGGAGAGATCCCATGTTCTGTCCGTGCCTCTTGTTCGCTGAGAAGCGAATCCTGCACCACCGAGGGTTGTAATATCGAGGTTACCGTGGAATCTGGCGATCGGCGAGGAGGGAGAGCAGGTGAGGGTGGAGTGGGAGGATCCGCCACGGACACGGTCGTCGGAGGAGGTCCAGTCAAGCGGTGACCATGCTCTGGTGAGTGTATTAGTTAGGAAGGAAGGTCAATGGAGTGAGGATACTCACTTGCTGCCTCCGAAGAGGTCAATTCGCGACGTTTGAGAAGCCATTGTGATGGTTGTGTGGGATATTGTGATGATCAAAGGGAGCTGGAGGATTGGCGGCTGACGAGTGGGAGCTTATCTTAGCGTGGTATGACGTCATTTACGAAAACATCGCCTGGGATAGAGATAAGGACTTAATGGAAAGCTATAACACATGTGCTATCTATGGATAATGCCTCGCCGGGAAGAATGACGGAGCGATTTATTTTACAAGAAATCACCTTCTTCTCAGGGAAAGAATAGCATCATCCCCTTCCTGAACATCAACTGCCCCAGGAGACGGCTTCGTGAAGTTTGCCCTTGGAAAAGGCAAAGAAGAACCTTTCGCGTCCACATACTTCTCCAAACGGACATCATACCGGCTGAGCAGCAATGCAATGAACATGAAGACATATCTCCGCGAGAAAAATCGTCCCGGGCATAGTGTATTTCCACCTCCCCATGGCCTGTAACTCGCATTGCTTTTGAGGGTCTTGTCGTGCAGAAAGCGTTCGGGCTGGATTACCGTTGGAGTGGGACCCCAGACATCGGTATTAACATGCAGGTGGCGATATGGAACCTTGGATGGGGTTAGAACTAGGCTTATATACGCAGATGATGAGAGACTTACCATGAGTTTATTCCCCTCGTGGAGAGTTTTTCCCGCAACGATAGTAGGACTGACGATGTCACGTACCAGCGCGCTCCCAAGAGTCATTCGAAGGACTTCGCTCCATAGAGAGTCTAGCTTGGGACATTTATCTGCTAGGTACTCCTCATCGACATTTTTTCCATTGACAGATGGTAGTATCTCAGAACGGATGGATTCGAGAAGCGCCGGATCCCGAACCAAATGTGCAACAATCCAGAACGCAACTTTGTAAACGTTGGCAAAGACCCTGTTGAGATCGAATTAATATGTGAGTCATCTTCAATGGAAAGCGGGCAAAGGACAAACATACACCCAGTAGTGAAGCGCTATCATTCCAGCCACTTCTTTTTCGCTCAACTTGGTAGCGCGAAGCAATTGCTCCAACTCCTCGACAAAAAAGCTCTGTTGTGATTTCTGCTCCTTTGGAAACTGGGCAAACTTGAAAAACGTATCGATGAGCTCACGTTTGGCTTCCAGCATGTCCTGACTTAAGAACGCAGGGAGCTGAAACATGTACTTCCAATTCGTGCGCTCCCATGCCAGACACCACCGGGTCAAGTCGGGCTTGATCTCCCATATGATATCCCCAAAATATGCCTCTGTTGTGCCGCGGATGAAGACGTGGTTGCACCACTCGAAGAGCGAAACAGTCATCCATTCCTTCGACTTGCTCATAACGGCAGGATGGCTGTCCAAATTCAAATTCTTGTAAATTCCGGGTTTGATTCTCTTCTCGAAGAGCGGCTCGAGCTGTCCTCCTGGCTGTCCCTGTTGACGGTGCAGTTCGATGATGATATCTGTCGCGTTGAGTGGACGTGTATTACTCAATCTGTTGTATTTCGAGAGAGGATTTGCGACAAACATGTTATCGGCGCTTTCCTCAGAGACGCCCATCCACCTGTACATGCCTTTGCTAACAGAATCGATTGAGATTGTTGCGGTGTTTTTGTAAACTCCGGTCAGATCGCGGGGTGCGGTGATAATGTACATGATCTGTCCGGCGATGGTAACAGCGAACGGTTCGTTGGTATATCCGCAATATTTCCTATACTGTCAGATATTCCTATCCTCGACGGGAGCTTGGAAAAAGCTACCTGCCGCACTCCACCAGCGCATTGTAATCTTTGAAGAAGCCCGCCGCATGTCCTGGACAGTTAGCATCCGGAGTAAAGCGAAGAGGAGTCGCAAGTACCAAAGACTGCAAATGAATCAATGTTAGTATCCTTATCGAATGTGACTTTCGAGAGAGAACTCACAAGGAACCCAGTAGGGAAGCTCCTTTGGATCATCTGGGTGAAGAATCGGAGATATCGTGAATCTCCAAATCCTCCAAGACAACAATGAAGCTACTCCAAGCAAAAAGAACTTGAGTGCTGGATGGAAGCTGAGGATATCATGGCCAAGTAACACTATGTCAGCGATGATAGTCATCGTGAATGGTGGTAGGAAGAGTGTCAGGTAGAAGCGACCATGAGGGGTAGAGAAATATAAGAGGGGATGTCACTGATTGGGAAGGCGTAGGGCTCGGCAGTATTGCAAAGTCAATCCCGTGATAGGCTCGCAGTGAATGGCGAGGCTGAAACATGCAGCTGTTAAAAAAAGTACAGCCGGAAATTTTGCATGCGAGGAACTGCAAATTTACAGAAACGGTATTATGGAAGGACCCTGGTCAGCCTCTGCATCGTTACACCAACACGCCAGGAGGTGTGCTGGACGAACTGGAAAGAGTGTATTCTCACCAATCAGCAATGAGCCGCCATAAATAGACAATAAGCCTTGTGCCTTGCGGGGTTTCATTGAACATTTTCAGCCCCAAAGAATGTGATTGTTCTGCGCTTCGGGCATGCCAATTGCCTGTTTGGTCGAGGACTAGATGACTGCATCGCGCAGACTTCCAGTTTCCTTGCAACTTCATAAGGATCAATAAGAAATCGGAGTATTGCTGCGCCTTGATTTTAAGACTACCAGCCAGGATTCGATGTCAGATTGTCTGTCCAACCCTCCTCGGAACCCCGTTCTGCCCACGGATTACATGCATAAGAGCCCCTTGAATCAAGGACATCGAGGCAACACTTGCATAGACATAACCTTGGTTGGTGGGGTATAATACGAGCTGACCTTTTGGCCTGGCAGCCGAAGTTTATCTCCAGTTGAAGCCACCCTCAAGTTACCTTTTGCTTAGCATCGTCAACATCTATCTATCCGCAAGTATGGATCCTTCAGAGCTGGCAAATATGACTCCAGAGCAACTGGCAAACACGCCAGTAAGGCCTCCACCCCCAGGAATCACACCGAATCTTGCAAATCCGTCGTCAGATGGCGATGTCTTGGTGATTATCGGGAGTGTCATGATAGGCATCATGCTGGTAATCGCCAGTCTGAGATTCTATGTCAAGTTCTTCATGCGACGAAAACCGAGTCCAGATGATTGTATGTCACCCTCTCTGCCATGAGGAAATTACTAACATAATGCAGGGACGACTTTGGTTGCAGTTGTGAGTAGAAAGAGCCATCGTACAGAGCTTCACACTAACCAAGATAGCTTGGAACCATTGCATACTTTGTGATCTGCATGTTTGGTATGCTCTATCTGTTCTATATATCAATCAGAGCTAACCTCGCATAGCCGTCAAGAAAGCCAAGTTCGGAACTCATATGTGGGATCTTTCTATCGCCCATATGATGAGCAAAAAGTTTATCATCGTGAGTCTCCGCGAAACATCAAAGACCATCGCTGATTATTGGCAAGACGGCCTTCTTCTCCAACTGGGTCACTGCAATCGTTTGGGCCTTTGCCAAAACCTCCTTCTTCCTCATGTACCTTCAGCTGTTCAAGCCATTCAACTGGCTGCGATACGCCGTATACTTTGGCCTGTTTATAAACTGGGGATTCTATATCTCTGTCATTGCGGCAACGCTATACTTTACCGCCCCTGCACCAGGGCAAAGCTGGCAGGATAGCTTCTCGTCCAACCGCTATCGGCGATCTCTCAATACAACCATTCCCATTGCTGCTGGGAGTCTTGTTCTGGACATATATATCTTCATTCTACCAGTCGCCTGCATCTGGCCTTTGAACATGACGATGAACAAAAAGTTTGGTGTTTTGGCCGTCTTTGCTACTGGTCTGGCGTAAGTGAGCGTCTCGCTGGAGTAGAACCCGCTAACCATGATAGTGCGTGCGTTGCCTCGTCATTGAGCATCTACTTTAAAGACCATCTGGATCACCACCAAGACGACTATACCTACTACACCCTTCCCGTTCTCCTGATGGCCCTCGTGGAGATGTGCGTTGGAATCTCAGCCAGCTGCATGCCTCCCCTTACCCATCTATTCAAGCACGGCAATCTACAATGGAGCAAGGTTAGCTCTGTCATACTTCGCCCCTTCCAGTCTTTGCATTCCGGAAGCTGGAAAGGCAGTAACAACTCCAGAGGCTCAGGCGGCAGTGGCTGGTCGGAAGGGGCTTTGAAGAAGAATAACTACACCAATATGAAGGTTGCTAATAAGAATGAGCACGAGCTGAGCCATGTCAAGTCTATTAGAACATTTATCCGTGGAGGACGAACACCCGATGGGGATGACGATGATGGGATTCATTTGAAATATGGGATCAGCCAGGATGTTGAGTTTTCGAGGGAAGTTACGCCTACAGCCAGAAGTGCAGTATGATAAGCTGGGATGCTTGAAATAGTGGACACAGCATGAAGATTCTATATTTTAATTTAGCCTCGTTTAAACTGCCATAGCACTATATATAATTGATGACCGCAGACTTCTTCAAGACTACGACACCAACTCTAAACGGCCACGGCAGATCAATCCCGACCCTAGGAAAATACGCGAACGAGGGGAATCACCTCGAGTCTCACGTCAGATGAGCTCATGAGCAATGCAAGGGATTTAAAATACACAAGTTTCAAGCAAATTCGCAAAACACGTCGGGTATCCTACCGCTGCTGTCAACAGACCCCACGCTCCACGAGAACAAAGAAACAAGGCTACCCACCCCAAAAACTAATGCTAGACCGTCGATCAACCTTGTCTTTATTCTTAGGTAGCTAGTTTGAGGCTGTGTAGGTGATCAAGCATCCCTTGCTGCGTCGACTCCGATTGGCCATGTTGTATGTATGTCTCACGGGCTAGATATGCCGTTGGCCGTGTACCCCTCACTGTGCATACACAACCTTTCCTGATTGAGTATGTCGAATGAGTCACCTGGTGTTCTGGTCGGTTGCGCTCCTGTGGTATCTTGTCAAGCTGTATGATCAACGCTGCGAATAAGACAGTGAGCCTTAATGCTTGATAGACGTGGCCCTCGGGTTACATTGCATGGTCTGACACTGCTAGTCTTAGAAGCATACCAGGCTCATAATTATGCTGTCCTTGCAGCCTCGTGAAGGCATTGAAGCATCGTGGACAAAGACTTAGGGCCGTGGATGTAATTCTGATACACGTTGTTACACAGGACGCGGCAGCTCCCCGCCCTCTCCGCATGCTGTGGCATAATTACGGCAGCTGGAGAATAAAATACGGCTTAGTCACCAAGATGCTGGTGAATGGAAGGAAGGATTGAAATCCAGGCGAGCGTAAACAAAGCAGGCAGACGTCTCTTCTTTCTCATCGTCGTGCTCAATCTTCTCCTCACCACCGTCACAATACCCAAGAAGTGTCGTCGTTGTTGTCCTTCCAGAACCAACACCATGACTTCCAACAAGTCCGTCCTCATCACCGGCTGCAGTGATGGCGGTATCGGTTCTGCTCTCGCTATTGTCTTCCAGCAGGCTGGATATCGTGTGTTTGCGACCGCTCGAAACCCAGAGAAGATGCAGAATCTCAAGGACCTGTCGAACCTCACTCTCTTAACGCTCGATGTGACCGACTCGACCCATATCAGCGCCGCCGTGGAAGCCGTCAGCAGGGAAACAGACGGAAACTTGACATATCTTATCAACAACGCCGGCCGAAACCACTTCATGCCCATTCTGGATGAAGACATCGATGCAGCGAAGAGGATCTACGAGACGAATGTCTGGGGGCCGGTGGCTATCACAAAGGCGTTTGCACCGCTCCTTATCAAGGCCAAGGGAACGATCGTGTTCACCACTTCTATCTCTGGCTATGTGAATGTTCCTTACATGGGTATGTTATCGTGCCTACTTCTCTTGCACTGTCCTCCATGTAGAGGATAAGGAAGGCTGACGATGATCTGTTGTAGGTGTGTACGGCGCTTCGAAACGCTCCATCGAGATCATCGCGGAAACCCTCCGTCTCGAGATGGCCCCATTCCACGTGAACGTTCTGTCGGTAGTGACCGGTGCTGTCAAAACAAACGGCCAAACATACTTCCAGGACTGGAAACTGCCCGAGGACTCTCTATACAAGCCGATCGAAGATACCATCCACAAGCGAACACGGGGCGCAGACGGCGTCAAGCGCATGGAGTTGATGGAGTATGCTACAAAAGTCGTCCATGAAATCGTTGGAGGACATACGGGCAAGTTTTGGTACGGCAACAATGCCGGGGGCGTCAAGTTCGGCTCTACGTATCTCCCCAGTTCGATGATGGTAAGCCTTGATCAACACCATCACCCTTGTAAACCGCATTAGCTGACAGTTGTATAGGACAGCGGAGTCGTCAAAGGGACCGGCCTAGATGTCTTGGCGAAGCAGCGCTTGTGATTTGGTTACCCTGGAGGGCCTGGTTTGTTTCTTTGTCTAGTTACTAGCGAGCACCTGTTCAGCCAATCGTGTTATTTGTTGTTCTTTTTTCTTAGGGCTATCAGCACCTATTTTCCGAGATCCTAGTTTGTTGATCCGGTGATGCCCAAGGATTGTCTAGCGCCCACGAGGAATCAAGTAGATTAGAAGTGTAATGAATTCCACCATTATGACAGACCTTAGCGTAATTACACCACTAAGTGGAATGCAACGTGTTGGCCATCATGCCGCGACATAGTTTACCCCTCACTGCCAGCCACAGCAATCTAAACACCAAGCCCACCATAACCCAGTTTATGCGATCAGCGAACATCACCAGGATCTGCGGATCGACGTAGAATAATGTTTCTCAACGCCCATGGCTGAGCCTATTGGAAAGCAACATATTTGGGGGCGAAGAATGTTCATATACTAGCCTTGCATGTGTGTAATAACCCCCAACACTAACAACGACACCAGAATTTCGTTTCTATTCTAGTCTCGAACAGGCATATCACAGCATCAGCCCCGAAACACGCATGAATGGCCTCCAAATCTGGGGTTTTTGTGCAACAGCAACTGCACCCCGATGTAAGGCATCCTGGGAGGCGCGGACATTCACCCAAATCAGGAAGTTTTCCAAAGTGTCTGATCGTGGGAGCAGCTGCAGCTGTCAGATAGGGCGAAGGTGCTATTCTTGGATACTGTTATATCATTGCTTACGGGTGACTGGTAAGGCAGACTGTCCGTTTCAGCTTCAATAGGTATGTTGGATGAGCAAGTTTTGTCGGCGAGGATATATGAGGGGCGTTGGAGATGGAGTTGATAGTTGATAGTTGAACAACTTGCAATAGACGACGGAATCTGTATACATCTATATACTGCTAGAGCAATGGACTCTCAGTCTTTCTATAGGTGTCTCTTCTGGGGCGCTGCGACGCTCTATGTTTCTGCGGAAGTATACTACTTTATACTTGTTCGTCTCACATCTGCCATCAGAGAACCCATTCTAATCAGCACAGACTATCCTAAAGTCAGACTGGAGCAAGCGAGATGGATACTTTGGTCGCTTTGTGTCTGTCGTACGGGACTTTGTATGTTTACATCCGACCCCTTACAGAACTTCGATACTGACATGATCAGCGCGCTGGAAAATACTACAAACCATGGACGACGAACAAGCCAATTTTGATTACCCCAAGTAAGGAGAATATGCGTGAGTTGAGCGAGGCAGTTGTATTGTCGCAGAGGGCTGTTTACGCGGATGTATGTATACCCGGATCTGATGCTACTGGAGATGGTGCTAACAGAGTAGATGTTTGGGTTCAAACATACGATGAACAACCTCGATCATCATGATCACAAGGTTGCTCGGACAAGGCTCTATGGTCGGCTGTTGCAGGTTAATGGCCCTGGCAATCTGACTGGGTTGTATCCCTATCTGCAGAGAAGAGTCGAAGATACTCTCGATGGCCTTCTTAAGGCACAAGGGGGAGCTAAAGGTAACTTCCATCCATTAGTTTGATGTTACCTCTAACAAATACAGGCGCTGTCTCAATTCAAGTGACGCAGTTGACGAAAGTCCTTGCCTCGAGATTGATGGGTGTTGTGTTCTTTGGCCAAAAGCTTGGTATGTCATATCAGCAAACTATACGGTCACCATCTAACAAGTTGCAGCATCCGATCCGGAGTTCGCAGATGCTCTTCTCCGATATTCGCAAGATATGGTCTCTTGCATGGCTGCCTTTCAAGTAACTCCGGGATTTCTTTCTCCGTATGTTATCAAGACACTTTGTTGCAATTTCCAATCTAACAAGACAGACTCGTTCATTCGATCATTACGCGACGGGGACGCGCCATGCACCTGATACAAAACAGGTTGATGGATATCATGGGTCCAGATCGTCAAGACTGGGATGAACTGGAGAATCTGAAACAGGTATGTTCATGCAAGCAATAGTTTTCATTCTGCTAACAATCCTAGTATACAATTGCCCACAACATGGCCGAATTAACCGAGTCGACTCATGACTACTGGACACCCGAGGTGCTCTCTCAGTCTCTTCTGGGCATCTGGTTTGCAGCATCGCATCAACCGTGGATGACGACGTGTTTTGTGCTGCTCGAACTCTGTGCTCGTCCGGAATGGCAGTTGCTTCTGAGGGAGGAAATTGGGGAAGAAAAGCTAGACTATGAGAGACTGGAAAAGCTTCCTCTGCTGGATAGCTTTATCAAAGAGACTGTCAGACTGAATCCACTGGATACAAGTATGTCAGCCTATCGTTCTATCTTTTGTATACTAATGGGAATAGTGGCTATCCGGAGAAAGGCTTTACAAGACTATACCTTTTCGACTGGCTCGCCTTTTGTTCCTTCTGGCTCTACCGTATGTGTTTCATCGTACGATATTCTGCATGATGAGAACACATACGACAGTCCAAACGAATTCAACGGTGGACGTTTTGTCAATAAGAGCAAATTTAGCGAAGTCTCAGAGCATTTCCCCATATGGGGATATGGATCACTGGCGTGGTAGGTCTTCTTCCCAGTAATATAAAGAAGAAACTAATGAGGCTACAGTCCCGGTCGGTTCCATGCATCGCTGGTGATGAAGTTGATTATATCCCATCTCGTGGCCAACTATGACTTGAGTTTCGAGGATAGCACGGCCAGACGATCATGGTCATGGGAGACATTCAGAATGCCCAGTAACTCTTTGCGGATTATGCTGAAGCGAAGGAGTGTTTGATTTATTGTTTTTTAGAGTCTATATCCCCGTTTTGTATTGCTTGTTTAGCTATTTCATTTTTGATATCCAGTCGAAGTATATTCAATGCCATTATTCTTCAGCAATTCCAATATATCCAAGACAATTCATCCACTCCACATAGCAGGGATCTAAAATCTCACTCTGGTCCGAATGTAAATCGTGCCAATACGAACCCCCACCCAATGAGCTGCAGCTGCGAAGAATGCCAGCATGCAAGGTGTGTTGCTGACCGCATCTTCGTATTGCACAAATTTCCAAAACTGGGTATGGCAGGCCAAGCTGAAACTCCGATTTTGCGTAACGATGAGAATGCGGTTCCTAAAAATAACAGCCATGATTGAGATATCGTCCGTCACCACGTGTCACTGATGCAGGTTATTTTGGCTCTGTGCGTCAAATGTACCTGCGATGGATTGATTGAGGTATAAAAGGGCGTATATTGTCTTGTTGGTACTCCAGCCATCCATGCCGCATTATACCATGTCTTTTGTCCGCCTGGCCCTCGTGGCCTCCATCTTCTCTTCCTGGGTTACTCTTGGGCTTGCCAGTGACACAACAAATCCCTGTGATGAACTATCCAACAGTCTACCAGGAAAGGTTGTCCTCCCAGGGAATCCTCAATACCAATCTGACGTTTCATCCTACTTCTTTCTCAACCAACGAATTGATCCTTTCTGCATTGTCGTGCCAACTTCCGCTGAAGATGTGTCACTTTCTGTCAAAATATTGACCAAACACCCATCGACCCCGTTTGCTATTCGCGGTGGTGGTCATTCCCCCAATAGAGGAGCATCTAATGCAGAAAATGGGGTCACAATTGATTTCCAGTCTATGAAGGAAGTAGCCAACTATGGACCCATCACCTCTGTTGGTCCGGGTGCTGCTTGGTCAGACGTGTATAGCGTTCTCGATCCCAAAGGCCTTACCGTGGTCGGGGGCCGAGTTGCTGGTGTTGGCGTTGGTGGACTGACTACTGGAGGTATGTCATCTTCCTTTGATTACATTTCACTGATGCTAATTCTCTTCCAGGGGGCATCTCTGCATTCTCACCGGAGCTAGGCTTTGCATGCGACAATGTCGCCAATATGCAAGTCGTTCTGGCAAACGGGGAGATCGTCAATGCCAATGCCACTTCAAACGCAGACTTGTTCATCGCTCTTAAAGGGGGCCAGAATAATTTTGGCATCGTGACTCGCTTCGACCTCAAGACTCATCAGCGCGATGAATACTGGGGTGGTTCGATCAATTATCCCCAGGAAGCAGAAGCAGCACAACTTGCGGCGTTTACTGAATTCAAAGACCCGGCCAACTTTGACCAGTATGCGGAGATTGAGCAGAGCTTTCTCTATATTGGCCAGGAGAAGGCCTTCTATAGCAGTAACAATATGTACTACACGAAGCCAGTGGTGAATGCGACTGGGCTGAAGTACTTTACGGATGTGCAGCCTCAGGTGTCGAGCACCATGCGCATTGCCAATACAAGTAGTTTTGCTGAAGAGTTGGCCAGTGTTCAACCCCAGAATCAATTGTCTGTATATCTACCCTGTTGTCTATTAATCTAACAGCCACAGTGCCGAATGGGCAACAACCACATTTGCCATCTCCCCGACGATCCTCGGCAAAGTCCACGGTCTATGGAACGCATCAGCTGTTGAACTTACCCCTGTCACAAACCTGACAAGTGTCTTGACTTTCCAATCTGTTCCAGCCCCTCAACCATCGTCGCCAAATAGCTTGGGTATTGATCCCAAATCTTCACCCGAGAAAAACCTGGTCTTGGCTCTTGTGAACCAGTACTGGTCTCTCGAGAGTGATTCTGACAAAGCGAATGGGGTGACGGAGGAATTGATGAGCAACATTGACGATCTCCTCAGACAGGAGGGCTTGTATGTTGACTACAAGTATCTCAACTATGCGGGTCCATTTCAAGATCCACTGGGAAGCTATGGCGATGAAAGTCTGGAGAGAATGAAAAAGGTGTCGACCAAGTATGATCCCACGGGTGTTTTTCAAAAACAGGTCAAAGGAGGCTTTAAACTGTTCAAGTAGATATATTGTTGTTGAGTCTATATGCTTATAGAGCTGTCATGGTACATCACTCGAAATCCTAGAAAGCGAATCGATAGTACTAGCCACCGGCCATCCGGTTTTCCTTCCCCATTTCTCCAAGAAAGTTGTCAGCTCTGATATCTTCTGTCGATCTCGAAGCCATGGTCCACCTAGGATATTAGCAATTATCTTAGATAAGAGGAGTGCAGCGTACAGAAAGATATCGGGCCGAATGAGTTCACCCATACAGGGGCTGAATTACTGGATATTGCCAACGCGCAGACTTGGGTAGCGTGATGAGACAGTTTAATCTCTAGCTCTTTAATTCGGTTGATATGCTGTAGGGTATTGAGAATATGGGATGGTTGAGCCAGGCATAGAATGCACATTGCCGTGTGGTAGTATTGTAGGCTCGATGCTGTGTTGTTAGCACAGTCTGCAGGAATGGGCAGTACATACCATGCCATCCACACGTTGTCCATAAACATGGAAAGGAGCTTTCCCCATATAGCCTGGGAGTTTCAATAGGATCGAATGAGCCTCGCAGTGAGTCCTTCCAGCTGTCTAATTCCCCTTTCAAACACTCCCACACGTCTTCCGAGACTGGTTCCGTCTGTTCATCCAGACATTGATTGATTATCTTGCCGAGTAGATAGGATATATAATTAGCCAAATCGTCGTCTCCCTCCATTCTGGGCGGAATATGTCGGTCTGACAGGTCAATCTTCAAGCTCCGCTTATCGATCAGAGCCACGGTTATGTCCTCCCGGAGGTAGTTCCAAAAGCCAGCACTAAGAAGACCCGTTCCTATGTTTGTTGACAAGCTCGACAGAAGGGAGTATGAGCCGTGGAGATGGCTTTGCGCGGTGACGTTTTCTAATTTCCGTCAGCCTTGTTACTCGAAGGAATGATATACCCACGAGAGATAATCTCGTATGACCGTAAAAGACAAATTGCTGCTAATGTTTCCCCTGTTCTAAACCGCTCTTCATCCGAAGTAAGCGACAGTAATTCCTGTACACTTTCAAGATGATATGATTCCGCTAAATCCTTATATCTCCGCGATGAAGACGATGAGCCCTGGCTGGCAGCAGAAAAGGCCAATATCGCACTCAGCAACAAGGAATTCTGTCGTGCGCATATAGGAACAATATCACCGAAATGGCGTCTGCTGTCATTCAAATCATACCATCCAGCGAGATGGTCAACGTAATACCGGAATATCCGGGCAACATCGGGATCCTGCAGAGCTTTTTCCGGGTCTCTACTTGATGTATAGCCACTATTGCGATATGGCGCAGTTAACCCCAACGGGGTACTCGGTGTCCCAGGCAGCGGTGGCTGTGAGCCTGACGGGGAAGGCTGAGTGTAGCTCGAACTCCATCGACAATCACGAGAGCCTCGCTCGCAGCGCAGACAAACCGGGCGATGACCGTCACCTGCAGGAATCAGCGGCTAGCCTGATCGAGTAGTTTGGATCCGTACACTTGACCTTTCGCAGTCTGCACTCGTGGCTAGACCGGTCAGCGGCGTGTGGCTGTGATGTGCTCCATGCTTACCAGCCTGGACGTGTCAGTAATGTGCAGATTCTTCGCGTGTTCTAGACTGACGATCTTTCAGAAATGGACGTGGCATTATCTGTCGTTATCGTTAGATGTGTTTGTCAAAATGCGAAATGCGAATGCGAAGTGCGAGGTTAAATGAGTTTTGCGAGATTTGCCGATGCTGTTTTCCCCTCTTTTGCCACGGAAAGTCTCCTCAGACGTTGAAGCGGGGTTCTGTGAAATGCGAAGCGGAAATGCGAAATGCGAGGAAGACAATGCAAGAAGACTGCAGAATCATCGATCAATGTTATAAAGAAGTAAATATCTGCCATGAACTTGAGACAATGTCAATAGAACAATCTTCTCTATCAATCCTGAACACATCATGCAACGACTCGCAACACAGGCAGTAAGAACACCAAAAGCGAATATCAGGGCCATGCATAACCGCACAATGTCCAGCCTTCCGACTAGCATCCGGCCATCCAGCGATGAAGTCAAGCAAGGGAAGTTAACCCCCCAGAACGTCGAAGTGGCCATTCGCAGCCTTTATCATGATGGCCTGGTGGTCGTGGAAAATGCCATTCCCCATGACTGTCTTGATCGTCTGAACAGCAAGATGGTGCAAGATGCATATACTCTCCAGAGCAGAAAGCAGGACAGTCCATACAACTACAATCCAGGAAACATTCAGCAGGATGCGCCCCCGATGAGGGAGTTCTTCGACCAAAAGATATTCATGAGTTAGTCTCTATGCCTCTGTTTCCGATCATATCTGACAAAATAGATTCAATCGCAACGCAAATCACATCCACCGCATTAGGCCCTCGCCCGAAATGGACCTTCTGTTCAGGAAACACGGCAATGCCACCGACAGCAGAGACTCCACCGATGTCGCAGCCAGTCCATTCGGATGCAGACTTTGACCACCCCAGCCACCCCTTTGCCCTGGTCATCAATGTACCTCTTATCACCATGACTCCAGAGAATGGATCTACCGAGGTCTGGCTAGGAACGCATAAAGACAGCGGCTTGCATGTGCAAGAGGGCCAGCATGGTGAACGCGCAAGTGGGAGGATCAAACAGGATGAGCTCGAACAGAGGAGAGCTGTCAGACCACCCTGTCAGCCTACTGTTCCCAAGGGCTCTGTGGTTATTCGGGATCTGCGACTCTGGCATGCAGGTATAGGTAACCAGACAGACGATGTACGAGTCATGCTAGCAATGAGTAAGTCTATCTCTAGTAACGCGCGATCTGTCTAACAATGAACAGTCCATTTTGCTCCGTGGTATCGCAATCCAATGAGGCTCGAACTGGCAGATGATTTGAAACCTCAGATCGAGGATCAAAGCAATCTCGAAGTGCCTGTGGACTGGGTGACAGTGGAACAGGCCAAAGACCGCTATCTCAATCGTGCTTTTGGCAACGCCTACGACTTTAGCCAAGGCAATTGAGTGTATACCTTATGTGATGATATGCCTTTGTCAAGGTACATCTACTGCATGAGATAAGCAGTAGAATGTTCATACAGAAGATACTCTAATAGATTTCCATCCCGTCATATTTCTTCGTCGTTACTGCTGTTTGTTTCTTTCGGCGATATCCTATCCTATAATCACAGTTATACAATCGGTAATTGTTATGGACCTTGATAAAGAAGAAAAGAGACGGCATTTCCAAATGATATACGGGATCGTATAACTTGATAGCTTTGCTGTTTCGTATAGGTCAGCTACGACATCATGTACGAACCATTGCCTGCTGCCTGACCTGCAAAAGCTGGCGCCCAATGTCGGACACGATTTCGAGAAGGTCAAGATGAACGATGTTGCATTTAAGCTGTGGAATGCGTTTGTTCCGGATACATGATGTGGCATATCAGTGACCCTCGCTATCGCCTGGTGGAGCTTGGACAGAGGATGGCTTGGATATATTGTGGTTGATATACTGTAACAACTCTGGTCAACTTACTCTATAATAGCTAATGCTTAATAAATCACTGCTCAACTATTATCTACAGAGATATCACACGTACCCAGGATCATCTGCGATGGTCATACCATAGTCTAACTGCTCTCCAGGCTGTGATTGCCCCGCAGTCAACAAGAACGCCTCGCACTGCACAGCCCGTGCCGCCAACTGTTAACCGCTCTCTCCCTTGTCACGAACCAGACCCCTGTCTTCCTGTCTTTCATTTCTTTGCCGACCATTTCCCTATAAACACGACTCTCCCCTCAATACTCCATCAAATGTAATTCAACTACCCTACTATGCTTTCAGCTCTCTTAACACTCTTATGCAGGCGCCCGATGACGTTGACACACACGGTCGCAGAGGGCCGATTCCCACAACTCGACGACACGAGCGCCGTCGATCTCTTCCGCGCCAAATTCGAACCCGAACTCGTGCATCTGCAAAAGGCCAGCGCGACCGTTGAATCGGGCGCTCCTGATCCTCCCGGCTCGCTGAATGGAAGTACCCCGTCGAGATATCTTTACAAGCATGATTATGTCGAGGTGAACCGGACGTTGGTGAATATGCTTGCGCTGAAGTGGGTGCTGGCGGGGGACTACAATGCGTTTACGGCGTGTCAGAAGGAACAGGGGAAGCTCAGCGAACAGTCGTTTCGCGAGATGAAGGAATATTTCAATCGCAGGCTGCCGACCAACGAGGATATTTACTATTTGCTGGCTGCGATCGTGGTGGATGATATTGGGAAGGACCCGGGTCTCGCCAAGGAGCTGGGGCAAAGGAAGCAGAAGGCACTCAGGGCCAACATTCGACAAGGCAACCATTCAGAAGTGCTTCACGATGTCGCAAAGGCTGGGAAGATTCAAGCGTTGAATGACCTGCCTGAACCGGGTCACACGATTGTCCTTCGCAATATCGATATCGGAGAGAGACTCAACGTATCTCAGCTGGTCCAGGGAGAGAACGTGCCTGCGTGTTTGTCCATTCTACGACAGACCAAAGAAGACGCCCAGGCGTTTGACATGCGCGCGATGGTCACCGTGCTTGATGTCGCCGGCGCTGCTGCCCACCGAGACGCCCGGGGGTGTCTGGTGATGAACGAGACTGTTTACAAGGGCTACATGACCACGATCGAGACGATGAAGCGATTTGTCGATGGGGACATCCCCAGCGAACGTGAATGCTACGACCAGCTTCTTTCCGACCGTCTAAACACGGTGGGCATGAAGGAAGACGAGCTATCGACAGATCGTGCCGAGCGCCGCGCTCTCCTTCGCATGTTCTGCATGGGCCGCGTGGATACGAAATCACGGGCGGACTTTTTCATAAGCGCATTTAGAGCTCTTCAGCCAACGACCCGGACAGATCTTGTTAATGGCTTGAACGTGGATGGGTTGGATGATGGTGTCGCTGTGATCCCATACTACGCGCCCGGCTTGTTTGCCGAAGTCCTGCGCGCGTATACAGACAGGGAAGATTCTGACGTTGTTAAAGCGTTATCTGCCTTTATGCGTCTATTAGCACGAGTCTTCGATGGCTCGAAGCCAGAACAAGGTCGTAAAGGCGATATCATCGAGCGCGATCTGGCGTTCATTCAAGACGATATCAAGAGCGAAGCTTTCCGCCGTAACCCCAATATCCTCGATGATGTCCCCCTCAAATGGGACAAGCATTGATGATGATGACTTATGAATGATGCGATTATTATATGCTGGTTGGGCGGTCTTTTGATTCGAAAATACTAGGAGTTTGGGTTATGAAAACAGGCATAGTTTTAGTTATCCAGAGCTCACGACTAATCTGTCTATACTCCATATGATAATCAGGCATGAGGCTATTATACGCGATCATAAAGTAAAAGAAATCATATAGATGACAACATATCCATCAAAGTCATCACACACATGTCAACATCTCAACTCCTATGTGTATCCATCCACTTCTAGTGTCTGATGCCCATCACCTCGTTCTTGTATGCCACAGCGTCCCAATCCCAATTGTCATTGTCGATGTTCTCCTGCGCCTTGGATAACCACTTGTCCCAGGCCTTGGTCTTTGGCGCAAAATGACCAGTCTCCACCCATTCAGTCCGGCCAGTTTCACGAATCGCATACCACAGTGTCTTGGTGTAGTTGCGGTGATCGCGGTCTTCATCCAACAGGCAATGCTTATCGCTGCTTCCATCGTACTCGACATGGTATCGACTGAGATCCCAGGTGTTCTTCTCCTCTATCACGCGAGGAACAGCCCAGTAGATCATGTTGAGGATGATGTAGGCGATTCCGATGGCTGTCTGCATCGTCCATCCGCAGTTACTGAAGAAGATGATGGATGCCATGAGCAGGACTGTACTAATTCCCAGTACCACTCGGTGCGCAGCACCCTCAAGATAGTACTTGCAGGTGTCAGGGGCGACGTATAGTTCTCTGGTGATTTCCTCATCGCAGTGCACCACCACAAACGCACCCTGACGGGTTCGAATAACGACGTCTCCAGGGGGCACTTTGGATTTGATCGCGCGGGCCTGTAGAACAGGTACCCATCTGTTGGATAGACAACCTAGACTAGTGGACATGGACATGGTAGCGATGGCGATCAGCGCAACACCATCATGGATACACGCCGCCCAGATGAACAATCCGATAGTCATGAGCACGGAAATAGTGGTGGTCAGGGTCATCCAGCCGAACGGATGAAAGGGCTGATCGATGACGATCTCCGACTTTTTCGGATCGTCGTCATCCTCGTTTTTCGTCGACTTGAGCGTGTTGGAGCGCTTCGGCGTCGATCCCACCACCGTCTTGCCCTGCTCATCGCCGATCTCCAGATTATGGCTGATTCTGTACATGCGGAACTCGAATGGCTTGAGCCGATTGACGTCTTCGTGGATGATGTTGGCGAAGAAATTCAACTCCTCGACTTTTGTTCCCGACTCGACGCCCATGACGGTGACATCTTTGACGGGGGGCAGTCTGGTCGCTCGTTCAGTCTGCAGCAGCGTCTGAGGAGCAGGAATCAATCGAGGAATGAGTCCGAAGAGCGACGATGCCATCGGAGGCACATGGCGTTCGATGGTTGTTTCTCCAATGACAGCCACCAAACTGACAATGTCGAATTTCCAGCCATCGGCTTCTTCACGTGTCGTTGGGAACCAGCCCATGATTACTGAATGTATAATTAAGATGTAGATAGATAGATGAGAAAAACAGAATGCAGGAAACCCTCGAAGGCCAGGGCGGCTTATATATACGATAGCATCGCGCTACCACCCTGGTCAGGGTGATTGCTAGGGCGTTTGGGGCTGAATGAGTGGCATCATAGGAGGACGCATCTCCACTCAGCGTGGTTCATGCACTGCAGGATGATCCGAGAGTTGGAATAGTTCAGGAGTCCGTTGTTTACTTTGTCTTTAGATTGACTTCAGCCCGTGTATCCACAGTTGAGACATGTCGATCTGGCAGACATGAATATTCACTATTCACCTTCAACTCTGTATATCTTCAACTGGTAAAAGGGAGATAACGTATATCGACATCTATCTGATCTCACCCCTCATCGTGATTCCAGAAAACTCTCCAAATCGACTGCGGAGGGCGCGGCCATGTCCACCAATGACACATCGCCACTCAACACTGCATATCGCCCTAACGCTATCCAGACAAGATCGGCGTTGTCAGCCTCCTTTTCCCTCCGTCTTGAAGCCGCGCGCATAAGGCTGCTCCGTCCCGTGTCTACTGGGCTGATATTCCACGCCTTCTGGGGCACTTCCAGCGCTAAATCAAGACTTTGTGGGCTGGATGGGGAAGGATGCCATTGATCGTCCCGCAGGGTTGGATGAGCCGATTTGTCTTGGATGCAGCATGCAGGGTTGCGTTGACACTCGGGATTCGACGACTAAATATATCTGTCGTCGGATACATTGCGGTTAATTGTCGGTGCCTCTGTTTGGTCATTCTTCTACCGCCAGAGCGAGTTCTTTGCCTGGTTTTATGTATTGATGTCATGTTCTGTTCATCTGGTCTCCGTAATGCATGGATTTGAAGATGATGGATAGCTGATAATTGGCTGGACCCCTCGTTGATTTTGATTGACTAACACGCTATACAGAATACGATTTACAGAACGCCACGCTATATACCAAAAATTTATTTGACCATTTTCTGAAAAACCTCAACTTCCAGAACGGCTTCTTCGTCTTGCCGTTGTCTACGCTGGCCTTGGTTGCCGAACGTGATAGGAAATGACTGTGCTTGATGGGCTGGCTTGCTTGACTGGAAAATTCCCCTTTGTCATTCTTGATCGTGAGGCTCTCACGGACGTGAATCTTTTTCATTGGACCTCGCTCAACCACTTCTGCCAGGCTCCCCACTTTGATCCGGGCATACGTCTCATCCTTCTCGGATACTCGTTTCAAATATAGTGCCAAATGACCAGCAGTTTGGCTTTCAGATTCAAGTTGGCAGTTGAGGGCCACCGCAAAGGTACTGTTATCTATAGCGTGAAGTGGTAATGTGATGTCGAGAATACCGTTTGCCACCGTATAAGGTAGAGCTGGTGCCGGGCCGTTGCAAGAAACGATATCATGACAACCCGCAAAAAAGGATGGTGATGTCGCGAGCAGCCCATGGGGACTTGACGGCGATGCTTTGGTGTCTGTCCACGCAAATATGGAGTGGTCATTGCATCTACTGATGATCTCCTGTTGCAGCTGGATGAAAGCATTTGCGTCTTGCCAGTAGAGCTTCGGTATGCTGACACCGAAGATACCCATCAGGCTGTATGCACGATCCTCCACGAAGGTTGTCTGGCGATTCGCAGCCCACGACATACGCGTGGCAACGCTGGCCGACTCGATTGGCTTTCGATGTATGAGAATATCCTCATCGATCCCCGTGATGCGAGCCAAAAGGCTAGGCATTGTGGTTTTCCTTCCAATCTCCATCCATTCCTTGGAGAAGAAGATCACTTCGGATGGGGCAAGCAATTCTTGCAATGTCCATCCGCGGGTGAACCATCTGGATTTTTCAAATGTAGATCCACGCTTTGACGGGTTGTCGTCGCTGGGAACGTCGGCCAAGTACGTGAAGCAAATCTTAGCGTTCTTATACAAGTCATACATTGAATTGACGGCGAATGATACCCGTACTTCGTTGTCCTGGTCGATGCAGCATGTATCAATCCATACATATTTCACTCCGTACTCCAGGGCTTTCTGGCAGGTGTTTTGCACTTTGTTCCATGATGCTTTCTTCTGGGTGGGTGTATTATTGAGATCATTGGACTTTATCTCATTTCCTTGCCAGGTATGTGATAGAATTGCATAGTCCGGGGCATCATTATAGGGAAAATCCTCAAGTTGAACGGTGCTTGCGTTGAGAAACCACATTTTTGGTGCGTCGTGGTACATCTTTCTTTTCTTTCACGAAAGCTAGGTATTGCTTGTCCGTCGGTTAAGCAAGACTTTCTGCCTGGAGGTACTGCAGTGGCAATACGCACCCAAATGGAAGTAAAAAGAAGCCTGCGATCCTTTCGCAAGAGCAAAGTTAGTAACTGTTGCTGATTTGTTTGGTGTGGAGTGATGCAATGGATGGGAAAAGGATCGGACAGAACCATTGCAGTGATAATAATATAAATTCTGATTTTGAATATGGTCATGAAGATAAAAGAAAAGAGAATCCAGAATCTGGACAGTCATGGAAAGAATGATCAACATTGGCGGCGGCTATTCTACGCGCTTCATTCTCCAGGACATGTTTCATAACAACACAGCCCGGCGCCCCGCCTTGTTATATTATAGGTTGGTAATTATATCATCCATGCTGTTTAGCGGCCTTGCATCATCGAGTAGAAAGATGCGCAGTTTTCCTGCAGTTGCTTGATATCCTCAATTCACTTTCTTTCCTTCTCTTCTATCTCTATCCCACGATGGATAAATCAATCTCTTCAAAACAGACTTTTCGCCAGTACTTTAGCCTATCCAAAAGCTGTTTCAGCCGACTGTTGCCATTCAAGCAGAATCACCAACACCAATCAAATCAAGTCAGCATATACTTATCAGTACCTGTAGTTGTGTTGATTTCGAGCCTATAATAATATTCTTACCGCCAAAAGGACACAAGGACAAACCACGTATCCAAAACAAGCCAACCAGCAAACAAAACGGTCCGCATTGAACGCATTGCACCAAGTCAGCGAAAGGTCATGCCGCTGCAACTTCTCGATGAGATTCCTTTATATATCGACTGTCATTTTTGCCAACGGAGAGCCATGACCAATGTCGAAAAGATAGAGTCTCCTTCCATGGTGTAAGTTTTCTATCTCCACTTTTGCCTGTCAATCTTCCAACGCTTCATAGAGCCGTCTATCGTCTTGTCAGCACCGTCGCCAAAGTGCCATCTACCTTGGTTGAGCAAAGTAGAGATACCAATCACTATTGCTCGAACTGCAAAAAGCAGGTCACGCATAAGCCATATGGAGGCAGGGTTCAGGTCCTGCATCCCATGCCAACTGGTCCAGTGCTGTCCCAATGCCCTGATGCGGGTGCTAACGTTGATTACCCAGCATCGGATGACTATGGACATATATATTAATGATGTTATGCATTCTTGATCTTGTTTGTTAAGTTTTGTATTGTTCATGCTTAACGACAATATCTGTTGACCGAATAGTATATCTTTTAGTTTAGGCCTTGTTTTTATTTTTTACATGGCATTTAAATATAATTTTTATCAAATGTTTATTTCATTGAAGAATACTTTATCCTTTTCTTTTTTACGATTAATTGGTGTTGTCAATACCACTCAGCAAACATACTATAGCAGGGTTGCACGGCTATATATATCTTGGACTGTCGGAGGTAATTGATCAAGCAGCACACATCATCATTGTCATACAATAAACAGTAGATTAGGAAGACAGTCTCAGGGTTTACCTATTTATGCACTAAATTTATAAAGACATTGATGATGATCGAAACTAGTATTAGTGTTTATTGTTGAACCCCGCGCCAGCCCACATTGTTCGTCTTTTGAGATATTATAAAACAGGAATGCCCCCAACAAGCACCAATATAATAGTGCGGTTTATGCGAGGCACTATGCATATGATAGCCACATTAAGACGAACATATAATGTGAAAGGCGATTGGATCTTCTCGACGGAGGGATGTTTCAAATAGCGTCAGATGGACTATTGAAAAGCCCAATCAGTCCATGTTGACTTTATAGCTAACTCTAAATTCCCACATGAAATTACACATCCCTGTGTACTTGATGGATTAGAGCCTGTGATGATCAGCTGCAAGAGAAGCCAGGAACATAAAACCATCTATTAGATCAACAGGGCAAAGCAAATTGCTGACAATGAATGGATATAATGTAACACGGGAAGCCTTACGTAGACCGAAACGACTATACGGATTTTCTATCGCAAAGAGCGTCAAGACTTAGTATTGGTACCCGATTTCTGATTATACATGTGCTCGCAACCCTATCATATCTCCTGCCGGCATTAACTCAACACGAAGGAAGGTGAGACAGGTGATATAATCGATCGCCACTTTCAATAAAGCCGATACAGCCGGGCTTGTGTCAATAGCCCGTTTTATTAATTGCCCCAGAAAAGATTACAACGGCCCCGATCCCTGTTGCTTGTATTATGTGGGGGAAGACCAGGATATATGCAACGTCTTTTCAGTTCGTTTCTTGTATATTGCTGTTCAACAGCAGAATCAATGTTCAAACAACTGCTCTGTATAGGATGAATATAACTTAATCAAACCTCGGATCTTTCTTATCGTATATCTAAGAGATATGTGGCATAAACAACCGATGGTACTCCGAAGGGGCAATGGAGTATAAGACCCTTCCAGCACGTTCCATTACTACCTCTTCTGTTTCACTTTAGACTTCACTCGCCTTACCACCGTATGTATCCGACCATATCCAGCAGTCTGAGCGGCTCACCAAGTGGGGGTGAGGAGCAGCGCCATCTGTTGCGGCCAACAATCGGATGATGATTGTAATCTAAGATCCGAGATTAGATGAGATCAAGGCAGGAGAGGCCGAAGGCAGTGGGTCTCCCAGAGATCCAGCTCGGAGAAGTTGGAACCGTCCAATCGGCGTACTTTGATTTTATTTCCAACGATCGAATTTGCTTTTTATTTTTTTCACTGCCTTTTTTGCTTATGGCGCAGCAACCGCGATGAAAAGTGCCCGATGAGGGGATTCTTACGTGGGGGAATCAACACCGAATGGCCGTGAATCCGTGTCTAGGACTATAGGCATCAATATGGAGGTTTAACAGCTTCGAGATGTTAAATACAGCTTCCACTATTGGATAATCGACAGTGAAGGATCGGAGAGGTGAGTTGGGCGAGCTTCACCGGCAATTGCACACTGCAGGATAAGCCTAATTATCCTCGTATTTATTGGCGGAGCAGCAGCAGCTGTTCTGCACAACTCCCAAAATATCTTAGCCAACTGGCCCATCGCTGCTATCCTTGCTTTTCGCCCGCTTAGCTGCAGCTCTTTCTATCAGCTGATTGTTTGTGGGGGAATCCTCATCAACCATGATATAAGAAGCAGTTACCTGCCTCTGTAGAAATCGATAGCAGACAAACCACGCCTCACCATGTTTGCTATCCTGCTTGTTATTCTGGTTTTCTCCATTGCCGGCTGGCGTGTGCTGCGCCCCCGCCCCTCGAAATTACCCCTTCCCCCAGGCCCCAATTTTGTCACGGCCCTTCGAGCTGGAAATACCGACTTTAAGGCGTTTGAGGAATGGACGAGACAATACGGCCCCGTTGTCAGTGCACAGATCGGCACACGAACTTATATCATTCTCGGGACACGCCAGGGTGCTCAGGATCTGTTGGAAAAGCGAGGAAACATTTACAGCTCCCGTCCGGCTTCGGTTCTCCTGGATAAGTATCTATCGAAAGGTCTTGCGGCGGCATTTATGCCGTATGGACGAGAATGGAGATTAAACAGACGAATGCATTCGTCTCTATTGAGCGCCCGTGCTTCGGAAACATACCATATCCTCCAAGACGTCCAAAGCAAACAGCTTCTTCAAGGCTTCCTGTCGAATAACAACTTCTCCGAAGCATTCCACCACTATACCTCCGAGGTCATGTTCACTCTCGCATTCGGAAAAGGACAGGGAAAGAACGATAGCGATCACCAGCGGCTAGAACAGATCAGCGAGATGGTGACATTTATCCTGCAGGGTGCGTCATTCGGATCGACGTTGCTGGATTTATTCCCCTCATTCGACCTCCTTCCCAGCTTCATTTGGAAATGGAGAACACAAGCAAGTGAGCTACACGACAAGACGAAGGCTGCCTACACTGAGTGTTGCAATACAGCTTTGGAGTCGGAGTGCTGGAACTGGAGTCATGAAATTATCCAGAAGAAGGAGGTTATGGAATTACCCTGGGAGCATGTCTGCTATTCTCTCGGGGAGCTGTACGTGGCTGGTGTGCATACCAGCAAGATGGTGATGGAGGTTTTCGTCCAGGCCGTTCTCCTCTATCCTGAAGTGATACAGAAAGCACAGAAAGAGCTCGACTCTGTCGTCGGTTCAGACCGATTACCCACATTCGAAGACATCGAAAATCTACCATATGTCAACGCCCTCATCTCAGAGTGCCTACGCTGGAAGCCCATCTCCCCCATCGCCGTCCCTCACGCCGTCATCCAAGATGATGAATACATGGGCTACCACATCCCCAAAGGCGCAACGGTGGTCGCAAATCAATACGGGATGAACATGGATGAAAATGTCTTTGAAAACCCAACCGCCTTCAACCCCGATCGATACGTCGAGAACCCAGATCTTCCAGTCTCTGCATTTGGCTTCGGGCGACGACTCTGCCCCGGACACCGCGTGGCACGTTCGACATTGTTTATTGTCATTGTCCGCGTCCTCTGGGGGTACGATATTACGTATGATGGTGAAAAGCCTACGGCAGAGACCAATGCGGCTTCTGTTAAGGCTGTATTCAAGATCCGGAGCGCAGAGCGTCAAAAGGTGATTGAACAGGAGGCTGCGTCGGCGGATACAGATGAGAAATGGGCGTTGAATATTATCAGAGAAAAGTTGAAGGGCATCAAGGAGTAGTCAGTTAGTGCTATATTGGGGATAGTATTAGGGTAATAACGGAATTCAACATGGATTAATTGTAGGAGGCAGATTCATAATGGCGGGAAGAGAGTATAGAGCCATCCAGCATGATGATGTTCTCTGTAATCTCCACGGAAGTTTGTTGGGTATATAGATGATAGATTGGATTGCACCATATATACTGATTTCGTTCATAGCACGTAAAGCCAAAGCTACCCCAAAGAGAAGCACTGGCTTACTCCACGCATCCACAGAACAGGGAAATGTCGGGATGGCCAGGTGAATCCACGGATGGGGTTTCTTGTGTGCTTTACACTAAAGCCTTGCTGACTTACTTGATTTATGAAATCGTTTTCATGGCCAATATTGATGTATCTTCTTTTCCTTCCACGCCACGGCGTGGCGGCAGGGATGATTTTCGGTTGTTGAGCTGAATTGAAAGATCCTCGATCGAAAGCATTCAGTGAATAGCGTATATCTTCATGGAATAAAATTAAAGGAGTGTAAAAGTTTAACAGTTACTATTGCACAAGTATCTGCCACGGTTATTCATTGCAGTAACTATAGTTGACTACTTAAATCCGGTGGGCCATTGAGCGACAGAGTACTCAACCGACCAGAGCAACCTACAAATACAAGGACACGATCATTAGAATCAACCTGATCACTGATAATGGGCCTAAAGTCTATAGGAATAGCCAGAACACTCTGGCCACCATAAGTAATCCAGCATTTTGATTTTTCAATGGTATCGAATGGCTGTGTCCAGGTATCATCTGGAAGAGCCA